GAGCTTCAGACTGCAGTGGCTGAGCCCTTTGAGAAGTGGGCCGAGGGGTATAAGGTTTGTTCATCTGTCGGTGGGCGGGCACGAATGTGATCACTCAACACCTCACGGTTGACAGGAGCGCCTTCATGGAAGCAAGGCAAACCTGCTCGATGGCTGGATGTACTCTTATGAGGTTGCACAGACCGAGGTGCGTAAATCACTTCACGCACATAAGCGAAGAACGCGTCCTAACTGCTGTATAGGTCAACAAGCTTAAGAGTGACTACCTGACCAAAACCCGGAAAGCGGACGAGGCCGAGGATGAGTGAGTCGCCGCCCATGCCCGTGCATTTATCATCGCTAAGGCACATGCACAGCGCCCGCTTTGCGCCCATCACACACCCTGTGGGCGACCAGTACACTTCGTCGCCGAAACTGAAGCCCCTCGGCGCGAACCCGAATGCGGCCCCGCGCGCACCTCAGCGCCAGGCGACGATGTCCGAGCGCATCACGCAACGTCTGAAGGAGTTCCGCCTCAACGCTGGTACGCAGGCGCACCCTCGCGCCGCCCCGAAACCAGACGTGCAATTTGATGCGGATATCGAGGAGGAGAAGGCGGGCCCTAAGCTCGACAAGGGCAAGGGTCGTGCTACCGACAGCGGTGCAAGCACTCCGCAGCGCGTGTTGTCGCCGCCGCCCATTGAGATGCCGCCGGCAGCAGCGAAGGTCGCGCCGCCCAAGCTGGAGACAGACCCGGTCCCGCCACCGCCCCTGCCGCCCCTGGATGTCGCGGGCATCTCGATGACGCCCACGGAGGTGTCGGAGCTGATGAAGAAGGCGAAAGAGGAGCTTCCCTTGCGCCCGGTGCGCTTCCCGCTTTTGGGCGAGTACCAGGACTGCTTCTCGGGCGAGGAGTTCGCGAGCTGGCTTAACACGAACGTGAAGGCGTTCGAGGGCAACCTGGACCACGCCGAGGTCGCAGCGCGCGTTCTTACCGAGAAGTACAACCTGCTCCGCCGGCTGGGCGAGCTCGGGAATGACTTTGAGAACGCGGACGACTCGTTCTACCAGTTCCGGCCCAAGGTGAGGCCTGCATTATGCGTTGTGTTTGCTCTGTTTAACGACAAGGGTTTGGTAGGCTTTCACGCTTGATGCTTCTCCCCCTCCGCCCAAGGCTGCTGGTGCTCAAGTCCTTACGCCCATGGACAAGTTGTCTCCGCTAACCCAAAACATTGCTGAGCGTACCGGCGGATTGGCGAACCTCGTGTCGAAAGCGTTCGCTGCAAACACGGAGCCGCCCTACGTCCGTGCCCGGCGCGACGCGGAAGTTGCCGACCAGGAGTACCGTGTCGCGGTACGGAAGCTCGACAGGCAGCGTCTCGGCCTTGAGGAGCGCATTGAGGACACCCTCAAGACTCTGCAAAAATGGGAGCTCGACAGACTGCGCGCTGTCAAGACTGGTAAGTTCGGCGCGACCCGAGTACGGACGTAATCTGAATTTTGGCGTTTCAGTCCTCACGCAGTACTACAACACGCTCGCGAAGGTGTCGAAGGCGTACAGCACGGCGAACGAGACGATCGAGATGCTCATCGCCTCATACCAGCCCGAGCAGGATATCAAGGTGCTCATCGAGCGCTACCGCACGGGGCCCTTCCGGCCCGTCGCGCAGGTGTACGAGTCCATCTCGCACGACGAGTCCGACGTCGTGTTCGGCATCGACCTCCGCCGCTGGGCGGACAACGCGTACTGGCACGTCGCCAGCCCCGGGGAGAAGCGCGAGGAGGCGCCCCCAGTGCTGACCGCGCTGCTCGGTGCCCTCCTGGAGGCGTACCCGAGGCTCCCGAACGACGCTGGTGAGTAGCGGTCGTGGCGTTTTCCCCGTTGCGCATATGCTGATGCGTTACTTCAGAGAAGCGCAAGACGTGGATCTACGAGGTCCCGCTGCCTGCGGTGCACCATCTCCGAGAGACACTCAACGCTGTTCCGCCTCAAGAAGACATTCCCCAGGATATGCTGCAAAAGTACGATGCGCCCGTTCTTGCTAGCAGCGTCAAGCTGTGGGCGCTTGAGCTCGACCCGCCGCTGTGCATGTATGAGGGCTGGGATGAGCTGCGCAAGCTCTACCCAACTGGTAGGTTGGCTACAATGTGTTGCAAGTTTATCTTTCTGACTTGGCTGCCAGTTGGATCTAGTGCGCATCAGGAACTTAAGCCTTCCTCTGAGCAGCATGTTCTGGAACTGCAGGCTGCGCTCCAGAAGTTGCCAAAGATTCACTTGCTTGTTTTGGACATTATCGTCAAGCACCTGAAGGAGTAAGTCCTTCAACAAGCTCATACAAGTAGCGGCATGCTAACTACGGTGCAGCCTCATCGCGTCGACCTCAGAGTCAGAGAGCGAATCCAACGAGGTGTATATCACCAAGCTGGCTTTGAGCATGGGACGCAGTGCGTATTGTTTTTACGTGGATGCTACGCCGTAAGCCTAACGAAACGTCTTCCAGCTATCCTCCGGCCCAAGCAAGAAAATGAGTTCTCCATTCAGGACCGTCATCCTACACGTATGTGCTCTGTCCCTACTCGCTCAAGGCGTATGCTGACAGCCATATAGTGCTATTCATCGACCTCCTAAGCAAGTACGACGAGATCATCCCGCCCGCTATCGCCAAGAAGAAGCGTGAGTCCGAGCGCAAAGTGCCCGTCCGGCGTCGCACGCGCCCCGTCGACATGCGCATGTCGCGCTCGCGCATCTCCGCCGGCGCAGACCTCCAGGCGCTCCAAGCCCAGCAGCTCGCCCAGCGCGGCATCAAAGGCGCAAAGTCTCCGCCCCCAGTCCCGCCTGTCCCCCACCTCAACGCAGCGGGTCTCCCGCAGGTCCCCGAGAGCCCGCGGCCGGTCACGGACGAGCCGCTCGAGATGCATGAGCACGAGGCCGCGCCACAGCTGACCGCAGAGCCCGAGGAGTTCGCGGAGATCCCGCCGCCGCCCAAGGCGGAGCCCGGCGATATCCAGCTGCAGGACAAGCGGTCCTCGCCCATCCCCGCGCCGCCTGCTCCCGCACCTGCTCCCGTCCACGTCGACTTCAGCGCCATCCCGCCGCCGCCGCCAATTCCTGCCAAGGCCACCCCGCCGCCCCCTGCACACCCGGTGTTCAAGGAGCCCCCTCCCGAGACGGACGACGTGCCCGCACGTCCGCAGTTCAAGGAGCCGCCCCCGGAGCCCGCGTCGCCCCCGCGCCCCGCGCGCTTCGTCGAGCCGCCCGTCGAGGACGACGCGGCCCCCACCCCGCCACCGACCGCGATCCCACCGACCGCACGCCGCGTGTCCTCTCCGCGCGTACCCACCCCGCCCTCGGGCGGCTCGCGCAGCCCGTCGCCCGTGAAGCCCGTGTCCCCTGGCTCGGGCGCGACGACGCCGACGTCGGAGAGCGGGCGGCTGGCGCGTGGACCGCGTCTCACGCGGGGCCCGCGTCCGGTTAGCTCGCTGAACCGCCAGTCGATCGTGCGTCCGAGCTCGCCCGGGTCGCCGCCTGCGGGCTCTAACGGGTTCCCGACGGCGAACGGGGGTGCGGGCGGTGCGAACCTGAGGCGTGCGGGCTCGCGCACGAGCACGATGAGCAAGCGGAGCAGTATCAGCCGCGTGTCGGAGCTGAGCCGAAGGACGATGGCGAGCGATGCGGAGGACGAGGTGCTGCAGTGAGGATGAGCGCATGAAGGACAGTACTAGTGTGGTTGGAGAGGTGCGCGAAGGACTGTTGATCTTACGGTAAACTATATGCTTCTTCTGTGTGGATGAGGGGAGGATTTTGGGGTGCTGCTTATCTCTTTTCGTGCTTCGGAGTGCATTAATGATTGCTTGCGTCCTGGGGCGCACGACGGTACTTACGTCTTTTTAGATACGGCTTGGATATGTTTTACGTTGACGTCTCTATGTCTGGATACAATTGATGATATCTATCTGCTGTCACATCCGCAAGTGATGTGCGACGGTGTACGACTGCTTTGACTGGGTAGTCATCCGTTCAGGGCAAGTTCAGGGAGGGTAGCGTTGAGCTCACAGGTACAGTCTTGTGGTGGCTCAGCGAAAGAATTCGGGGTCATCCTCAGTCCTCCTCAGGCTCGTAACTTGCAGCCTTGCTGCGCCACCTTTACTAATCACGACGCAGTAATCCGATCAAGTTCGATGTTCACCTCGATGTCTACTAGCTGGTATGTAGTAGTAGTACTACTAGTACTACCGTACGCCTTCGAGGAAGTTTAAAGCCTCGAGGGTCAATCACTAGCTTCGCATTCAAAGATTATTTCCTGAACCCCAGTGAGTATCTTCAGCTCTAAGCCTCCGACGAGATCGGAGCATTACAGAATTTTCTAATCTCTGGAGAAAGTACAGCAGTCGCGATCATACAGCCACTGGACGCGGCGACCTACACCGAACCTCCGGCATACTTGCCACAGGTGCTGTGATTCGTCCTTCATTTATTGCGCACATGCATGCTTTCAGTTTCTTTATCACTGGCTCGTACCTTCATAAACTCCCCTGTCTCCAGTGAATTGCCTAAATTGAATACCGGATAAGAGCGCAGGACCCCGCGCCGGAAACGGGAATATATACTCCGCGCGCTGAGTGACGTGATGTGCTCATCCTTCTCGTTCGCACCATCTCCCCAACCACCACCATGTCTGCGTCCATGCCCACTGTGTACGAGAAGGAGCGCCTTGCTCCGTACATGCCTGAGCCTGTCTCGCAGCAGCCGCAGAAGAGGGCGCGCTGCGCGGGTCGCACGCTCGTGAAGGGCCTCGTCGGTGTACTCGCGCTGCTGACCTGCTTGCACTCGCTGCAACTCGTCAACCTGCGGTCATGCTGGTCGGAGGGCGCCATGGACGCCAGTGCCCAGCAGTGTCCCCAGTCTACCCCCGTCGTTCCGGAGAAGAACGGGGAACTGTGGGAGTCGCTCGGCCAGGCGTTCGACTCGGACGCGTTCAAGGGACGCGCCGTGGAATGGCTCGGTGGCGCCGTCAGAGTCCCGTAAGTTCGTGTGCGGGTACGTGGATTTGTGAGGTCGCGCTGACTTCTGTGACATTTTATAGGACTCAGTCGTATGACAAGATGGCACCTGTGGGCCAGGACCCGCGCTGGGAGGCATTTGGGCCTCTGCACGATTATCTCTTGAAGGCGTTCCCTCTTATGTAGGCGCACGCGTACTATAACCGCCCGTGTTGGTTCTAATTATGGCCCCGCAGCCACTCGACTCTTAAACTTACCAAGGTCAACACTTACGGCCTTGTGTATGTCTGGGAGGGCTCGGACTCGGACCTGAAGCCATTGCTGTTGGCTGCTCACCAAGGTCCGGGAAATAGATGTCAGGAACTCCCCACTCAATCTAACCACGATGTACAGATGTCGTCCCTGTCAACCCTGACACTGTCGACAAGTGGAGCTACCCGCCGTTCTCTGGTCACTTCGACGGTATGCCTACCAGGACAGCGTCGCGCAATCAGTGATACTCATGATAACCCTGACATACGCAGGGAAGCGGATTTGGGGCCGTGGCAGCTCGGATGACAAGAGTGGCTTGATTGGTGTTCTGTAGGTATCTCTGATCACATAGAGCCCGAGACGTGTTGCTGATAGGTTGGCAGGTCTTCTATCGAGTCCTTGCTTGAGCGCGGTTTCAAGCCGACTCGCGGGGTCGTTCTAGCGTTTGGCTTCGATGAGGAGGCGAGCGGCATTCACGTGAGTGAAAACGATGACTTTTGCTCTTTGAAGTCTCATAGCTTTGCTTAGGGTGCATCTGCTATCAGCAAGCACTTGCTGTCGACCTATGGCGAAAATGCGTTCTTGCTCCTTGTAGACGAGGGCGGTGGGTGTCATTTGCGCACGAAAGCATTTACAGTACGTTGACCTATGGTGCAGGAGGATTCGGGCAGGAATTCGGCGGTGTTATTGCGACACCTGCCATCGCGGAGAAGGGTTACATCGATGTCCGCGTCGAGGTCACCTCTCCCGGTGGTCACTCCAGCGTGCCGCCTGAGCATACGGTGGGCGAATCAAGCGACACAATTATCTACTGGCATTCTGACGGCCCGTCTTTAGACCATTGGGATTCTCTCGCAGCTTCTTGTTCACTACGAGGCTAACCCGTATGAGGCCCGTCTCTCCCGCGGCACGCCCATGTACTGGAAGTTCCAGTGTCTTGCGGCCCATGCACCCGACGTACCCCACAAGCTCCGTAGGGCGCTCAAGAAGGCTGTTAAGTCTGACAAGGCTCTCAAGGAAGCGCAGAAGGAGCTGTTCAGGAACCCCGGTTTCCGCGCATTCGTCGGCACGACTCAAGCTATCGACCTCATCAACGGCGGTGTGAAAACCAACGCGCTCCCCGAACAAGCCTATGCCGTGGTCAACCATCGGATCGCTACTGACAGGTCTGTACTGCGATCTTGCTGCGTAGCCTATAGTTTGTCGGGGATATGTTTGCTGACCGGTTTTTTTATCAGCTCGGTTGACGCGGCGAAGGAGCACGATACGGCGCTGCTCAAGGGCCTCGCCCGTGACTTCAATCTGTCGTACACAGCGTTTGGTGCACAAATCACCGGCCAGGATGCGCCCGCGTACGGAACGCTCACGATCAGCGACGCATGGGGTGCGGCGCTCGAGCCCGCGCCCATTAGCCCGATCGACGCGCCGGAGTATGCATTGCTCTCGGGGACGATCAAGGCGACGTACAACGCGCACCGCGGCTTACAGGGTGACGACAACATCGTCGTCGCACCAGGCATTATGTCCGGAAATACCGGTACGTGCTGTGAAATCTTCTAGGGTTACAGATAGCTCACGGTCGTGCAGACACGCGATACTACTGGGCGCTCACCCCGCACATCTACCGGTACAACCACTACAACGCCGGGAATGGCACCTTCTTGGACAACGGAGTGCACACGATCAACGAATGTAGGCTATCGGCGGACACCTGTCTGGTTTTGGCACCTGGTGCTCACTGCATTCTGCCATCTAGCGATCGAGGTCGATTCATTCCTCGAGATGATCAAGTTCTTCACCACTCTGATTCTGAACACGGATGAGTTCCGGGCGTAAAATGTAGGTAAACGGGGAAGGATTTACAGTAATCTACCGGTCCTCGGGACACTATGGGTCCCCGGGACACTTGCCCCATCCTGTCCGCTGTAGGCCTCCTGACGGTCTCAAACTTGCCCAGTATTTGCAGTAGTAGTACCGGAACATGTATCTACGATATCCCAGCGTGTCTATAAAAAATGCGTTCATAATTCAGGCTCTTACACTGTGAATGCACAACAGGTGAATTTATATCAGTGATCGCCGTGCACGGGTTACGCCGATTGGCCCCATATGTTGAGCGAAAGGCGAGGAGACATCATTGTGCATTCGGTTCAATTTATAGCGCTATCGGGGAGAGGGAAAGGCGGGAATCGCAATTTTACTGACAGAGGGGCAGCCAGCCACAATGCTCGAGGCGCAGGAGGTCACACTGGGCGCTCAGATAAATCGGATTACTAAATTGGGCTAGCATCCTACCGAACGCCTGCCCGAGGCCGCGAGGGATAATGACAGACTCGAGGGCTCTCGCTCATGATTATTAACCTTTACCATGCCTGGCCGAGCACTCTCGAAGACGAAACAGCTGCAGCTTGACTCAGAATTCTATGATCATTGGATCAATATCGCTGCCGACACATACAGTGAAGAACAGGGTAACCGAGCGGCGAAGAAGCCTCGAGGGGTGCGAAAGATCTGTCAAGCTGTAGAAGACGAGTGCTACGAGAAGACGAAGAAGCGTATCAACCTCCCAAAGAGCACCGTGATTGCACGGGCAAATGGCCGGCGAAGCATCCGGGCATTCAATTCGGAGAAGCGATGGTTGACGGATGGCGAGGAGGAGATTGTTGTGGAATTCACCATCGACACAGCGCTACGTGGCTTCCCTCTCAGTCATCAGCGCTTGAAGGAGCACGTTGACAGCATCTGCAAAGCACGACTGGGCAATCAATTCCCCGCCGGTGGTGTGGGGAAAGAATGGACGCACCGTTTTGTGGAGAGACACTCAAACCGGCTTGGCCGCTACTGGACACGTCCGGTCGACCGTGCCCGGGCGCGCTCAGTTAATCCCTCAAACAAAAAGGCGTACTTCGAGCTGCTCAAGAAGGTAATCGATGGTGAGGAGGAGGAGGATCCGATCGTTCCAGAGTGTATCTATGGCATGGATGAGACGGGGCTGCAACAAGGGGTGGGGGGTACAGAGCGCGTTATTGGACCATCTGGGCGAAAGTTTCAGTATCAGCAGGAGAGCGGAGACCGGGAGAACATCACGGTGCTGGTAACCATATGCGCAGATGGCTCTTCAATACCGCCAGCGGTCATCTACAAAGGCGAGGCATATCAGGCAGCATGGAAGCAAGATAATCCTCTGAACGCTTCGTGAGTGTGCATGACATCTGTCTGTATCTCTGATGGACTCACAATAATCAAGGCTGGGCTACTCGAAGAAGGGCTATGTGAACGGAGAGATCAGCGCAGAGTGGATCAAGCAATTTGACAAGCATACGAAAGAGAAAGCTGCAGGGCGTCGCCGTCTGCTCTTGGTCGATGGACACAACTCACATTACACCTTCGAGTTCCTTGACTATGCTCGCAAGAACCGCATCCATGTCCTGTGCTACCCATCGCACTCTACCCATGTCTACCAGGGACTCGACGTCGTCATTTTCAGTGTCTTGAAACAGCACTGGAAGCGAGCGCGGGATACACTCGAGCGTCGAGGGGAGAAGGTCACCAAAGCGACATTCCTCTCGGTCTACGGTGGGGTTCACGTTGCAGCCCTCACACCGGCGAATATCAAGGCTGCATTCCGGAAGACGGGAGTCGAACCATTCAATCCCGATGTCATAACAGCGGATCTCATGGCGCCGAGCCTCGAGACGTCCTCTCAAGGTCACCTCCCGTTCATGCAAACAAGTCCTGTGCGCATACTCTCGCAGCTTGTCTCAGAGGAGCTCACCCGGCGCATGGCCAGTACGTCGAGTACGGATGGAGACCCGGGCCCATTGACAGCCACTCAGGCTGCAGAAACACCCCAAACCCCATCTCGTGTCCGTAGCACAGTGGAGAGGCTTACCTTAACACGGGCAGCCGCCCTGGTCTCCCCTTCTCCCCTCCCTGCTCATGCTGCCCCTCCCCAATTTCTTCCGAACACCATCTCTCCCTCGAAGCGTCGATACGAGGCCCTTCTTGCGCATGAGCCGGCGACAGAGCTCGAGAGCCAGTTGCAGGTAGCGCTCCGGGAAAGCGAGACCAGGGATGATTCAAGAAAGTCATCCATGGTCACAATGCAAGCCACAGTCATCCTCCAGAATGTCTACATTGACCGCGCGCAGGAAAAACTACAGAGCCAGGCAGACCAGCAAGGGAAGAAGAAGAAGCGACGGGTGTTTGGTGATGGACTCCCCAAACTGCTGGATGGCGCGCAGTTCTTCTCCGAGGTGGTCGAGTACGAAACAACCCAAGAGCGCGAGGCAGCGGCGAAGCAAGCGCGAGCCGCTGAGAAGGACGCATACCAAGCGCAAGTGCAGGAATGGGAGAAGCAGGTGGACGCGCGAAAGAAGCGGGTGGATGCGCAGCGGGCACAGTACCAGGCGGCTTTGGCAGAGTGGGAAGACGAGCGCATACGAGCGCGTGAGGACAAGCGGCGCATAGGTTGGACTAAACCGAAGCTGGGGAAGATCGAGCCTGCAATCCCAAAGCCGAAGATGCGAAACACCGGGGCGGGAGGAGATGTACCAGAAGGCGAGAACGAAGGTGCGGGCGGGGATGCAGATGAGGATGCAGATGAGGGCGAGGGTCAGGACGAGGATGAAGATGAGGACGAGGATGAAGACGGTCAATAGATAGTCGCGCAATCAGGCAATCTAATCTGCATCTCCTGCCATAAATGGAGCGTGATGTGACTGTCCCGAGGACCCAAAAGCTCTTGATAACGGATTTTTGAATGTTTCTGCCTCGATCTCATTCATACGGCGGAATATTGCTCTGATATGCTATACACAAATAGCGAGTACCTCTAGCTACTTCATGAGACTGGCCGATATGGAGATCGTGGACGGGAGCTGACAGAAATGGCAAAACATAAATTGGGTGTCCCGAGGACCGGTAGATTACTGTAGTAGCTTTTCATGGCCTACACCGGTTTACGGAGAAAAACACCGCTGATCCTAGGCTGAGCGGAGCATGAGGGAGCATGTGCCGAGTCAACTGTCGTTTTGTCACACTCGGCCGGAGTGGGCTGTACTACCGCAATTCGTCTTGTACACTGCAAGTACTCTGCCTTGTGCTTCTGACCCACATAACCCGGCGGTATCGGACGGGCGTATACGTCGCGAAACGGCAAGCGTGACAGCCTCAGGTAGGAGGCGATGCCCGGTAGCCGGTAGGGGGTGCGTGACAGGGGTTGTGAGCCTGTGTGACTGGGCGCTAGTAGCGTGTGACTGTGTGAGTGCTGTACGCGAAATTGGCGTTCCGAATTCATCGTCGAGATTGAGCAGGACGCCGCCGCCCTGTCTGTTCCTGCTTGTCTTGCTCTCTCTCCTCGTCCTCCCGTCCCTCCTTCCCGTCCCCGTCCTCGACGCCCGCTACCGTCTCTCACTAGTCGTACTCCTGCGGTGCTGGAGCAACTATGAGCGGGCCCGGCGACTACGACCGCCAGCACAAGCAGCTGGAGTCTGTCTCCTCCCAGTCCTCTAACGACTCCGCGACCCTCGCCTACATGGCTTCCGACGCGGGCCCTGAGCACGATCACGACCTCCTCCCACCCTCTCTCTCCAACGGTACACATCCCCCCTCGCCACGCACAGACCCTCATGCCTCAGATCGTGCGCACGTCCCGACGAGAGCGTCTACTGTCAGTTCCCCGCACGACCTCGATCAGCGGAAGCCCAGGGCCGACGACCACCCCCATGCACGCAGCGAGGACCTCAACCATACCTCCGCGTGGGCCCGCGGGGATCCTCAGCACAATGACTATGCACTCTCTCAGTCTCCTGCTCCGCCGTACCTCGTTGCGAGCCGGCCAGGCACCCCGGGCAGCTCACACCACCACAACCCCCCATCTCCCTCCGATCAGTCTGAGCGCTCTCACAGTCGGCCTCGCAGCGTACACTCGGACTCGTCTCTCTATTCTGATTCGTCTACTCCTGGTGGCAGCCAGCCTGGCGGAACATCCACGACGCACACTAGCGCGAGCGTCGCTTCTACGTAAGTCCCCACCACTTGACCTAAAACATCCTCCCGCCGCTTGCCGGCCGCGCTCGGTGCAGTTCTTGTCATCACGACGTCGTCTAATCCTGTCCCTCGGCAGACCATGCGCGGCGTGTGGCAAGGCCATGCAGGGGGCCTTCGTGCGGGCGTTAGGCGCTGTGTACCATCTCCAGTGTTTCAAGTGCATGGTGAGCATCACATGCAGCTGTCATCCCTGATCGATGCGTTGACTGTCGTCCAGGACTGTGGTGTCGTCGTCGCGTCCAAGTTCTTCCCCATTGACGGCCAAGATGGCAAGCAGCACCCGCTGTGCGAGCGAGACTACTTCCGGCGTCTGAACCTGATCTGCGCCAAGTGCGGCATGGCGCTGCGGGGCAGTTACATCACGGCGTGCAGTGAGTATTCTCAACTATATGAAGCAGGTTCATGGGTCACCAACGGGTCCATTAGACAAAAAGTTCCACGTTGAGCATTTCACGTGCTCCGTATGCCCGACGCTCTTCGGCCCGCAAGACTCGTACTACGAGCATGAGGGAGACGTGTACTGCCATTTCCACTACTCGACACGATACGCGACGAAGTGTGCTGGGTGCAATAGCGCGATCCTCAAGCAGTTCGTGGAGATTAACCGGAATATGCGCGACGAGTGCTGGCACCCAGAATGTTACATGATCAACAAGGTGCGTTTTCACCGTCCGCGGTGTGGCCGGACTTGCTAAGACGTCTTTGCAGTTTTGGAATGTCAAGGTTTCTTCCCGACGGCCTACAAGTCTTCTACCACCTGAAGAAGGCGAGAGCAGCTCCTCCTCAGAACCGCCCTACGTAGAGGAGGAACGCCGGGAAACCGCTCACTCACTCAGGGAGAAGCAGATAAGGATGGAACAGCAGGTTTATCGGATATGGACGTGAGTTGATCAACTGACGCAGGAAGCCAGGCTGAACAGAACTGATTTCGTGCAGCGTGTTGTCTGCCTTTGAGGAGTCTAGCGCCGCGTGCATATCCGACATGTTGCGGCAGGTCAGCAACGGACAATATCTCGACGCCATCCGGATGGCCGAGAAATTCATTTTGCATGTCGAAGTTCTCTTTGCCACTATTGACGACCTGGAATACCACTTCTCACGACTCAGGATGAAGGGTCAGTGCACCCGCGAAGCGGTCAAACAGCGAACTAATCATTCCGGCATTTGTCAGGCATGTCTCACGTACGGGAGGCGCGCATGCTATGTCGCAAGACCGTCGATCTGTTCACTCTGCTGTCACATACCCAGGAGACGGGTGCGCGACGGATGGGTATGACACAAGAGCTGCTCGCCCTTGTTACCGGGCTTGCACATTACCTGAAGATTCTCATCCGAATCGCTCTTACCGGTGCACTGAAGCTGGAGAGAGAGCAGGACGTACGGGAGGCGATCACGAACTTCCTCGACAAACTACACATGCTCGCTATCCAGGGCGCAAATCCTGCTGCGCGGCGGATTATGAAGCGTGCGAACGGGGAGCTCGTTCCCCAGAACGACTCAGGCAATGTCGGCACGCAGGGCGTCACCTACGGGTTCAAGAGCCTGGCACCCGAGAACGCTGGCGAGAGCCCGTTCAGCGCTTCGCCGAAAGATCCCTCGCTGGCCAAGGTAGCCGTCGTCAACCCGCCCTCGGACCTGTGTATAAAGTGCAACCAGACTGTTGAGGAGGATTGCGTGCGGCTAGGGACGTACCAGCGATGGCATTCCCACTGCCTCAACTGCCAAACATGTGGGAAGATCGCGGCAATGCCAGCCATCAAGGAGCCAGTTAAGAGTCCCAGTCAGGACGACCAGGGCAAGGAGCTTGTGGGTCAAGACAAAGATTCGAAGCAGCCCAAGCTGTCCACGGCACGCCGGCCACCCGCGAACGTTAACGCCTTCGTCTTTGACCTGGATTCCATGAAGGAGACATCCTCGTTCGGTACCGTGCCAACTGTCGTCTTTTGCACCGAACATGCGCACTCCAATTGTCGCGCTGGCTTCCAGGCCGTCTCCCGGTTGGAACAGTATGCGTTTCTGCTGAACGTCGCCCTGCGGAGATTGTACGTGCTGCTCAAGAAGCGCGGTGTCGTGCCTCTATCTCCAGGTAAGTTGCCTCATCGAGCGCACTCTGCTGTCGGCTAAAGAATCAACAGCGGCCACGTCAATCCCAGGCCAACCTCCGCGAGAGTTGGAGGAGGACCCGTACAGAAACTCCGCCGACATGAATCGTCTTCGCTCCGTTCATCTAGACCGCAAGCTATCATCGACAGCCCGGGTGCCAAAGCGGTCAACGATCGTCGAGAGCCCGACGGGCAAGGTCGCCCATCCCACGGATATGGCCCACCGTCCACAGCAAGTGGCCGCGACCGCGCACCATGCTCCGCAAACCGCACAACAGTCCTCCATGCGGCCCACGAAAGCGCCCCACGTTCACACCCAACACCCGCCCCAACCACATCAGCAGCGGTCATTACCGTCGCCAGGGACGATCGACACAAGCGTGCAAGGTCAGGTTATCCGACCCGCATTCGCGCGCGGGAACACTGCGGTCAAGATTGTCGACGAGTCCGGGCCAAACTCGCCTGCAGGTGGCGCCGCTGACCACGACGGGATGGTGGGCGGGATCGAGGACGGTATCACCCTTGCGGATATCCCGCAGCTCGTCGAGGCAGCGCAGGCGCGCGAGCAGCGGCGGTCGCTCCCGAACCAGAACGCGACGCCGTACATCGCGGAGCTGAACCCAGTGCAGCTTGCGATCGTGAAGCACTGTGCGGTGTCGGTGCTGCAGCGGTCGCCGCTGCGGGACCAGTTCGACCTGGATGAGATCCTGGAGCTGGTGGAGCTGAAGAAGAGTTCGTTCTGGAACAAGCTCTTCAAGCCGGGTAACGACAAGAAGAACGTGAAGAAGAAGGGTGAGTGGACTGAGCGGCGCGTAATGCGCTCGCAAGATATAGCAGCTCAACGTCCGATTTACAGGCGTGTTCGGTGTACCTTTGGAGCTTCTGGTCGAGCGGGAGGGCGCAGATTCCCTGCTGGGTGCTTCGCGTGAGACGCTACGGATTCCAAGTTTTGTGGACGACGTCATCTCAGCGATGCGACAAATGGGTGCGTTATATAGGCGATGCTCACTCTTGCTCGGTGGCTCACGGGATCTTCAGATATGTCCATTGAGGGTATCTTCCGGAGGAACGGCAACATCCGTCGACTGAAGGAGCTCACGGAGGCGATTGACCGAGATGCGTCGTCAGTTGACCTCACGCAAGACAACCCGGTGCAGCTCGCAGCGTTGCTCAAGAAATTCTTCCGAGACCTTCCCGATCCTCTCATGACGTACAAACTCCATCGACTCTTCATCGCAACACAATGTAGGTTTCTCATGATGATGCTCACCAGGCCTACTGACTGATCGTCCTTCGCAGCGCTTCCTGCAGAGCACGACCGAAAGCGGCTACTGCACATGGTATCACTCATTCTGCCGAAGGCTCATCGAGACACGTTGGAGGTGCTCTTCGTCTTCCTCAAGTGGGTCGCGTCGTTTGCCCACTTGGACGAAGAGACGGGCAGCAAGATGGATCTGCAGAACCTGGCGACGGTCATCTGTCCGAGCATCCTATATTCCCGGGGCGCGAACGCGGTGCGCGACGAGAGCTTTGGCGCCATCCGCGTTGTCACCGCGCTGCTTGAGAATCAAGACGAGTACTACTGCGTCCCCGAAGACTTCCTACCGATCCTGCAGGGCGAGGAGCAGTTCGCCACCTGCATGGAGCTTCCAAGCAGGGAGTTCTTGAAGAAGGTCGAGGCGTACATGCGCTCGAGGTCGGGGGCGCGCACGCCCGGGCTGACATCACCGATCATGGGCAACGCGCAGTTCAACTTCAACCCAGGCACGCCACGACCGGAGGACATGCGCTCCATGCCTCCAAGGTGCGTCCCACGAACACGCCCCGTTCGCACCTATATATCTAACCCCGTGGCAGGTCTACGCAGTCGAACCCGCAGTTCCTGGACAGGCCGCCGCTGGGCAACCCCTCCCCCTCCGAGAGCCTGCTCCGGAACGGCCACCCTCAATCCCGGCCGCAGCCGCCTCCTATTCAGCACTCCCCCTTCTCCTTCCCGGCAGGGCAGAACGGCCCACAGTCGGCGACGCAGCCCCAGTCGATGGGCGCGATCCTCTCCCCGCAGCCGCGTGCGGCGCCGAACTTGCAGAACATGCAGAACATGCCGAGCATGCAAAGTTTGCAGAGCCCGAGCGCGGAGTGGGGCATGGACCCGCGCCTGCCGCCGATGATCCAGGACCCGAACCGGCCGTCCTCGCGCCCGCAGTCGTTCGTCAACAACCACACCGCGTCCTCGCGGACGAGCAGCGAGAGCCCGCACCCGTTCGTGCCCAACGGGCACCCGCAGCAGCAGCAACAGCAGCGTTGACGTTGACACTACTCTACCGCGTCGCCTTGCTCTGTTGCTCTCCCCTCACTTATGTTATGCCTCACCCGTCCGCGGTCCGCCCTCTCGGTCCTTCTGCACATGGCCCGCCGTCACGGTATCTGCACTCATTCTCCTTCGCTAGTATATACTCTGAACTGCATCCACTCATCAACGCGCTGCGTCTCCGTCCCTCCTCACTCGCTACCTCATGAATTTGTCCGTATCTGTACTTCACTTTACGTCATTTAACCTATAGCATGGACAAACATCTATACCCTCCCAAACCAGCCATTAGGGCGCCGGACGACGAAAATTGGAATATCGTGTGCTGATGGTGCTCTCGCGCATGCAGTCATCCGTGAATTTTTGGCTCGTAGATTGCCCCAAGTACATTGTCATACGAAGCGGCGAGGCACATGTCCCTATTCCTACACATCTCGCTGCGGTGTGCAGACGTATAATGCAGACAAGGATATGCGTTCCGGGTGCGCATAGCAGCATGTTGCATATTACTTTTTGAACTACTGCACATGGTGGTGGTGGATGAAAGACATAAGGAAGTCGTAAACCTGGACCTCTACTTGAGAGGGATGCTGTAGAACAGCGTGAATATCAAGTGACGAAGAGGGTTGTCTCAGAGACTTACAAACGCGAGGAGTGGGTGGCACCGATACCGGGGCGACCGTGCTTGACGGGCCGGTATGAGCACGAGAACTCAGCGAGGTAGTGGCCGACCATCTCGGGCTTGATCTCAACGGAGTTGAAGACCTGTAGGATCGCAACGTCCGTTAAGGGTCTATTCCTTCACATCCTCACTCATCGTGCCACGTACCTTTCCGTTGTAGATGCCGACGACGCTGCCAATCATCTCGGGGACGATGATCATGTTACGAAGGTGGGTCTTCACGACCGGGGGCTTTTCGTTGGGGGCAGCCTCAGTCTTCGCCTTGCGAAGCTTCTTGATGAGACCCATGGGCTTGCGCTTGAGACCGCGCTGGAACCGACGGCGGGCACGGGCATGGACAACCTAAGTAGGAACGAGGGTAAGGGTCTCTTCCTCCGCGATTAAGCTTTCACGCCGCATACCTCAACGAACTGTGGGCGCGAACAAGTCAGCTCCTGCAAAGTCCGATGATCGTAGCGTAACACACCTCCTCGTTGCTCAGGTCCAAAAGCTTGTCGAGCTCGATTCCGCGGTACGAGAACGTGCGGAACGTGCGCTTCTTCTTGAGGTCGGCAGCGACTTGGGGGTCGGTAACGGAGGAGTCAGCCTGTAGGCACGCCAAACGTTCGCACCGTCAGCATTCCATTCTCTATCCACCACCGTTAACACCGTGTACGGGCAACACTCACCATCTTGCGGTTGTCGTGGGCGGTCTTGCGGTGGGATCGGGAGGGGCGATAATTCCTGCGCTGCTTTGGTGCGGAGACCGAAAGCGTGAGTAGTGGCTGGGCGCTTAAGTCATCCGTGGGAATGCAGCTGTACAGTTCTCAGCCACCGCTGGCGCGCCGGGCCCATACGCGCCGATCGCGTAGACGGTCTCGCATTTCCATCGTCCTCGGATAGAAACCACAGGTCTTCCCCTAGGGATTAAAAGGTACGTGTCTGCTCGTCGTCGCGCGCGTTGCAGGTGTTCGCAGGCGTGTGCAGAGTGCTTACTTTTGGCGAACGCGCACAGTGATTTGTGGCTGCCGACCTTTTCCAATAACCCCTCAAAACTATCATCGTGCGTCCGCCTGCTTCGCTCGCTCGCCCAGAACGAGCAGACTCAAATCACCCACTTCTCCTTACCCGTTATAGATGCGTCATTTGGCTGCGTACCTCCTCCTCCAGATCGGCGGCAACGCCTCGCCCTCCGCGGCGGACATCAAGAAGGTTCTCGGTGCCGTCGGTATCGAGGCCGACGCTGAGCGTCTCGAGAAGCTCATCTCTGAGCTCGAGGGCAAGGACGTCAACGCCCTGATCGCTGAGGGCTCGTCCAAGCTTGCTTCCGTACGTGTTCTCTTTCAAGTCTGTTTCTGGTCGATATCTTACAAGCGCTATCTTAGGTCCCCTCTGGTGGTGCGGTCGCTTCTTCGGGCGGTGCTGCGGCTGGCGGTGCCCCCGCCGCTGCTGAGGAGAAGGTGGAGGAGAAGAAGGAGGAGGAGAAGGTCAGTTTCGCTTTGCCCTTCATCCCGCCGGTGCCGTTTCTGATATGGTCATCCCATCATACAGGAGGAGTCCGACGACGACATGGGCTTCGGTCTGTTCGATTAAGCTATGTATCGCTAGCCAAAACATACAGTACATCACGCCGCTCCTGCTTGGATGCAATGATGATACGCTTCACGACCGACTCATATGTGTGAACACGACTGTTTCATTTGGCCATTTGATGTTGTTCACCGAGGTAGAGCTGCAGTGGTTGGTGACCTCGTCCGAGGCGATGAGCATGCCCGGAATGACACACACTTCACTAGCACTCCCTACCCTAAGAGATCAGTCAAGCTGGGTGGTCCTCATGCAATCATATTGTATTATGGGACACATGTACCAGATTAATTTGCGTCTTTAGTGACACTTTGAGCGCATGTACTTGGCAAAACAGTAAGCGCCCGTCCGTCGCCTGCTTGCCCAGCTCTCTTCAGCATCTTACCTTCCAACTGCCTACTGTCGCGCTTGTCCTCATTTATGGTTATGGCTTTCGTAGAGGCCGTCTCCCAGCGTACGGAGGTCGACGCACTCTCTTCGTCACCACAGTTGACCGCCGATATGGTCTTCAAAGGTCGCGATGAAGCCGACGAAGTGCGCCGAGACATCTTCTTCCTCACCGTCACCGCCGAAGGGTTCAGATTCGGCCCGACGACACCTGCCAAACCTGCCGGCGCGACTCTACTCAACAAGAACACTTTCGTTTTCCTCAGTCACATCTCTACCCTGCTCACCACCGGTAGTCAATCCGACTTCACCGCTGCCTCTGTCAACGCGGTCACTGGCCAACTGGAGCCTGATGGCCATCTCTCTATCATCTGCACCCGGAACGAGACCGCGGCTCGTTCGTCCTCGACGTCGCCTAAGATTATGAAGATCGCCACCGACCCGGGAGCAGCGCGGCGCTTGCTCGATGATTGGTTCGATGCAACCAACGCGTAAGTCATGGCCTTATAGCATAGACATCGTCTGTCATCTCTAATTTTCCATGATCTTAGGAACACATCTTTCGACGAACATCTGTGTGACGTCGGGTCCATCGTTGCCTACATCCTCGGGATGTCCCCACAGGAGCGGCAAAGCAAGGATCTGATAAAGCTCGAGTTGTTCTTCATACACCGTGCGTACCGGAAACTCGCGGCTCGTATCGACATGATGGATATGAAATCTCTATGGTGCTCTTGTCCCATCCCCCTCATGCGGGAGTGGTATGCCAAGAAGCAGAAGCAGAAGCAGGACAAATTTGAAACGACTGTTCGTTTCAAAGGCGAAACCACACTACCCGAACAGTGTGGTATCTTCCGGTCCTCCCCCGCCAACCCATGCATCTATCCGCTCACGGATCAGAACGTCGACCAGTGGCTGGCCCTCTTGGAAAATCTGCTGTTGTGACTGAGGAACACTCTCTTTGGCAATTCTACAAGTCTGTGCAAGACCCAGGCGCCAAGTTGGCACGATATGTCGAAGATCCTCTTGGATATTCTCTATCTCAGTGATGTCCTGCGGTCAGACTTGTTTGAGATGCTTGACAAGCATTGTGCAGGCCAATGCCTTATACAAATGGAACAAGCACAGTTTGAGAGCAGTGAGAACCTTGTGTCACTTGTTCACTATCTTCCATCACATGGTGTGCACCTTGACACTTTCTGGGAAATTCAACCAGTCGTCCCCAGCAGGAAGTGACAATGAAAGTGCAGCTAATACCCAATCATCAGAGATGTATATGCGGGCACAGTTGGCGTAAGTGATTGGTTGCTTATATTCTCCTTCAAAGCTCACTGATTTGAACATGCATGTGCAGTGAGGTGGAAGCAGAAGCAGATGCAAAAGCAGGTTTGACCGGAATGGTTTCAGTTTGATTATTGTTTATTTGTACAACAGCTTTGTAACAACTTTATGGAGTGTGATGTACTGCTGCCCAAGAGACATCAGCAATGACAAAGACACAATGATGCACAAAGTATGAACTGCACCACCCATCATGTGCAGAGTTTATTGCAGAGGCAAATTCCTTTTACACTAATGCAAGCTTGAGGCCACATTGCTGTTTGGAGATGCTATGTAGAGCCAGGATTAATGATACAAGAAAAGCAGACTCAATCACGGGAGCTTGAAAGACTAAGTTGGCTGATATTGAAGACAACATGCGCAGGATCCCACACGTAGTGCAAAGAAACTCACCATATATGATTGGGCACATGGTATGCTATGACAGAGCGTGGAAATAGGCTGCCCGCATGCACCAAACGAGTTGCATGACGGGAATAAGCAGGCAGCACATCTGGTTTCGCTTATACAGTATGCGTGCACGTGCTTCTCGGTCGTGGCACGACCAACATCACACGACCCGCAGGGGATGCCCGACGCATGCCAACGCCACTGCGGGATGGGGACGAGTGAGGTCCATTGAAAAAGCTGAGATTGAGTAGCTGTAATAGACCGTGGAGTCGCGTGGACGATGAATGTGAAATATAAAAGAAAAAGATAAGCGCACTTTCGCGCACTTTCGGGACTAATTCTAGGATGCGGCTCGACGGCGGAGTGCCTGTGTGCATTCCGCGGGGGTGCTACGTGAGAGAGAGGACGGGAAACGACGAGCGAGAAGCCCGAGACAGCCAGCAGACAGCCCAAAGGGTCCGATTGGTGCGCAAGAAGAGGCCTCGAGCAGACACGAAATGCGCGGTCGACGTGTTACACCGCCTTGTGCAGCAACCATGAATGAACGAAGGAAATTTTGGGGCAAGTTGCAAGACGCGTACATCGCGTGGATAATGCCGAGCGGAGCGGTTAGCGTAAAGCGCCTCGCTCAAAACGGATGGTTGCTGATTGATCTGTTTGGGCCGTTGCGGTACCGAGGTGGGAAAAAAATTGTTGCCCTGACTCTGGGGCTTACCCTGATCGACCGGCTAGGCATTGTTATGGAATCTGGAGATTTGTCGAAGGTGTTTACAGTCGAAACCCTCTTAACACATACCTCTCGTAGCCCATAACCTGGGATAACCCATGCCTTTTTGGCTTTCCCGAGTTGGGATAGGGGGGAGTCGACCCCATACCCCATGAACCTGTAATACCACATAACCCATACAGATCTCGGAAAAAATCCCATAGGTATACCTTACCCCAAGTCCCATTTTGGGGAGACATACACCATTGCAGTTCACTCAAACTGCTTTCTATATGGTCACCCAACGGTAAGAGAAGTTTTTGCAGTCACTACATGGTGAATAATGGGTACTCGAAGCCCGGCAAGCGCCGAGCGGCCGTTTGCCGAAGAGACGCCCAAGCCTTACAAGATCAGGTCAACTCGGAACTCGCCACCTAGCTGGTTTTATGCTCAAAAACAACATCTGACATGTATATCAGAATGAGGAGCGATCATACCGCCGTGTACCTCCTCTGCGTGCACGATGTTTGATATGTACCCTACGGGCGCTTGTTCTCCTAGCCGCCAGCGCTCATCGGGCGTCTATCTAGGTAACCCATATCCTGCGAAAACCCATACTGTAGGGCCTTTCCCGATAGGTATGGGTTAGGAGGGTTTCGACTGTAGTGTGCACGCTGCAAAGACTCAGAACGGTCGAGAGAACTTGGACGAAGGTCGTTAAATCAGGCACGTACTGCCACTGTGCCACTATAATCGGAAAGTGCCGGCGGGAGGTAAGGAACCCGTCGCCGTTTAAGTGCCGGCGGCGGCCAGGGCCCTGGTAGGCCCGTGCATCCGTCGGCGCCCTCATCTCGGATCGGAACTCCTAACTCGGTCATCGGACCCCCACATCGTTTGAGTGCCAAGATAGCGAGGATCGAACGCCATCGAGGGGATTGGTGAGTCTGGCCAGATTGTCAGGCACAAGGCCGGAGAGGACGGTGCGCTGCGGTGCGTCGACGGTGACGGAGTGGATGGACGCGGCCGGGCGGAAACGCTGCCGCGGCAGAAGGGCGGCTCGGAGGTCCGGAAGAGTGGAACGGGCCGTGGCGAACTCTGTCATTTCTCTCGAGCGCGTTGGTGTCCTCCTCCGGCGAACGTGAATATATACCCCATCATTATACCCTCTCCCCGCTTTCGTCCTTTCCACGGACCGCCCCGTCTTCCCGCCCTTCTTGCTTTCCTTCCATCACCTCCTCCCGGCCTCTTGGGCTGACCACCCCGTTTCGCCTCGACCATCTATCAACCTCTTGTCCTGTCTCGCTTCGACAAATACCCCTGCTGCTCCATCTGCTCGTTCGACGTCTTCCGCTCGTTCTACGCTGTCTACCTGCCCCACAAATTCCTCCGCTCTGATGTCTTCGTCCCCCGACGGCGCAATGTACAAACCTCCGCTCTCCGCAACCAAACTTTCCCCACAGTCGGCGCCCCTTGATGCCCCTAGCGACCATCTACACCACCCCGAGAACGAGCACATCTCGGTCGCCTTCGTCAAGGGACCGAAGAGAAAGCGGCTCAGCAAGGTGCGTCTGTCGCTCCCGTTGTGCTTACCTCGCACCCTGCTCACTAAGTCCGCAGGCATGCGATGCCTGCCATAAGAGCAAACGCCGGTGCGATGGAACCGGTAAGTTTACCCCGCACGGCATGCTAGTCCCGATCACAGTCGACATGCCCTGAAGGATGTATAATTTGTATATCCCTTCCACGGGCACAAGCAGATTTCTTATAACGTATGAGGTTCGGTAGGCACCGATCTCGCACGTTATGAGAGATCGTGCACTAGGAGTTCGGGTTTTCGGAATGAAGCGCCCATAGGATGCCGCCCTGTGGATATGCACTATCAGGCACAGAGCGCGAATGAGTGGCAGAGCCTTTGAGAAAGAACATAGTATCGCATGTGCAACATCGGAACCACCGCACAAGATTCGGTCACCAGAGCGTGGGTGGTCGGTAGTCGGGTAGTACAGCATACCACATATGGGCTGTTCGCGAGGCATTCTCCGAGGCGAGAATAGTGGCATACGAAGCAGATCCGCTTACTGCGTAAATCCTATCTGACTCTATACGCTCCAATTTTATTTGCTTTGCGTCGCGCACGTCCACTAATGCGTTTTTATTTACAGCGCCTTGCGCAAACTGGTGAGTCGCAGGAGGGTATTTACCGCCTCAATTCTCACTGTCCAACAGTTACTACGCATCAAAGACCTGCACGTACACAGATGCCGCCGGTCGACCCGTGCCGGCGCCCAGAAACACCAATCCTGAACGCCCTGTTACGGCCGCCGTAGCCACGGTGCGTGCGCACCACAATCAGCTGACTGTGGTTCTGAGGGTGCACTTACGCAGGTCTCCCCGACCGGCGAGGCGCCGCCATGGGCTGGCCACGCAACCGCAGCAGCCCCTCCAACTAGCCCGCAAAATGGCATCGAGCGCGACCCGACCACCAAACGATCCCGGCGCGGTGTGCCCGGCGGAGCACCGAGCCCTACACAGACGTCGGTGTCGCCAGATGACTGCGACTCGACAGTACTGGATCCGGCGACAACCCACGAGCTCGTGAACAGTATGTTTTCACCCGAGGACGTGTCCTATTTTTGCTGAGCTTCACCGCAGTCTTCTTCGCACACTGCAATCCCCAGCGGATGATCCTTCACAAGCCCTCTTTCTCCGCCAACCTCAGTCTCAACAAAGTGCCAAGACACCTTGTTTTGGCAGTATGCGCAATCGCCGCGCCGCTCTCGAGGACAGTCGCCTCCAAGGCGTCCCATGCGCGTCTCGCGGGCGTGCCATTCTTCCAGGAGGCTCTCTCGCTGATGTTCGACAACTCTGGGCGATTACTTTGTGAACCTTGCGTGAGCACTGCTCAGGCACTTTGTTTGCTCGAGATGCACGAAGTGGCGGCCAGCCACTCGTGGACCCGTCACTACAGGTACTTCGGTAGGTCATATGTCCGCATGTCTGTGTGAAAGGAATCGTGGGCGCTGATCACGCCCGTTCAATGCCCGCGCGGGAGCAGAGCTTGCGCTGCAGGTGCTCGAGGGAAGTCTGGAGGTGCATCACTCAGACAACGCAACGCCGCCTTCGCCAACAAACTCAGAGGCACTCATCGACTTCATTGACCGTGAATGTACTCGGCGTTGCTTCTGGCTCATCCAAATCATGGCGTGGATTAGCAACATCTACACCCGCAAACCCATTCGCCCGCGGATGGCTGAGCTCGCGGAACTCGTGCGATTGCCCATCGACGAGACGACTTTCGAGTTGGCTATGTTGTCGAGCTCCGCCAGTGAGTATGACCACGGCGTTGTCAACGTGCTACATCACTGAAGCCGTGCACAGCGTCGGAGTACCTTCGCCGTCCTGCACCGCGGACGCGGTATGCATCACAGTACGGGCACATGTGCCGGATACTGGAAATACATCACAACGTGGAAACTATACTCGGTATGTCTTGAGACCCGCTAATTAACATCAGGGAAAATTCTCACTCGGCCGCCTAGCCACTAAAGATGGACCAGAACGCGTGTCTGCCATCGCAGCGGTCAGGCCCACGTTTGACGTACGTCTCCAGCTGCCCGGATAAGATGCTGGCTCACCACGCGCCTTCGTAGGCATGGCTCGAGTCCCTGCCAAGTCATCTGCAGTTCACAGAGGAGAACTTGGAGACGCAAGTCGCCATGTTCGAGACATCGTCAAACTCAGGCGCGTGGTGTTATTGCTTCATGCACGCGATGTACCCGTGTTGCTATCTCGCCATACTTGAGGTAAGCCCGCAGTCCGTGCGAGGCCGCGCCCGCTTTCTCGTTCTCCGGAGCACAATGTCTGACACGGCCGGTTTCGTCCCCAGGGCGAGGGAACACTCTCGGAGCCGATACCGTGGGTCCGGGAGCAGCTGAATATGATTTTCACCGCCGCCGGGACCCGCGCGAAGACTTCCATACTTTGTACGTGTACCACAGTACCTGCCGCCGGCACCAGCTGATGACGCCCCCCTTCTTCCCCCGCACGCCCCAACTCGTGCTTGTCCGTTACGGTTGCCCTTCTTTGCCGCGGCATGTGCGATCAGCGGCCTGCGCCCTTTGGGTAAGAGTCCTTTGCAACGTTCCAGATGCGCTAGAACGTGATTAACTCTGTTCGGTAGTCTTATAGCAAGTACAACCCGGACGACCCGCAGGTGCAAGTGTGGGACCGCGACTTCGAGAAGGTCTGGGGTTTCAAGGTCGTCCTAGTCGCCGAGCAGTGGCGCCAGAGCCAGGCCATCCAACGGCAGCAGGCCTCGGCCACCGCGGCCGCCCAACAACAGCAGCAACAGCAGCAACAAATGTACCAGCCGCGCGACCCGAAGTCAGCGTCGGGCTCGCCGCCATCGGCGCACTCGTCTCCGGGGGCAGCAGCGAGCAGCTCGCCGTACGACGGCCGGCGGGACGGGAATGCACGTACGCTGCTGCGTTCTCATGCGTCTATGTCCGACCTGGATGTGGCGTACTCGCCGACGGCACAGACGAATCTGCCGTCGCTGAAGGCGAGCGGCCTGCTCGACTCGTGGAAGCCGCCATCGGACGCGTTCGCGAACGCCCTTTCGCTCGGCACCCAGAGTCAGAGTCAGAGTCCGTCCGCGACTCGCGTCGCGCAAGGTCAAACGATACAGCAAGGACTTCCGGGCGTATCAAACGGCGTTGCGCCCGTTGGGCTGGACTGGCTCACAGACGGGGGCTCGCGCCAATAACGGAGGAGAGGACGCGGCGTCACCCTGCTGTGCTACGGAGATGTAGCATATTGTGATAGGCTTTCTTGGGTCACGGACTGGCGAGGTGTTGTGGGGTCGCGTGAGACTCGATATCGATGTACATCCAGAGGTTATTTGCTCTATGGAGCGCAGGGGGTGAAAGTTGCTTGGGGTATTCGCCTTTGTAATTATACAATCTGTGATATTGACCGTATCGAGTCGTTCGTAGTCCGATGGCCTGTGCGAGAAAGTACGAACGGGTCTGGTCCTATGGCATGAACAAACACCGCGGCAGACGAGCGTGTTTACGCTTCCACTTTGTGCAGGTTGCGGTGCAGCTCAGGCTTGACAAGGACGACACGGTCGAGCAGCTTCTTGACCACCTTATCCTTGCTCGCCTCGTATTGGGCACGGATCTCCTTCTGCTTTCCCTCGGTCTCCTTGTCCACAGAGACCTGGGCTGCCTGCGTGGTGCCTGCATGCTGGTTACATGCCCGAGCGGTGAGCTTCGGATAGTGATATCATGTAGCGCCAAGACGCACCGATGCCTCAAAGGCCTTGAATTCGGCCTCTTTCTGCTTCTTGTACTCCTCTATCTCTTTTGCGGCCTCGGAGCGCGCATCTTTGAGCCTCTGAACGCGGTCTGCGGTGCGGAAATGGGATGCGTGAGTGCTAGTGACCGTAGACAGGGACCGGTATAACGGACATTGGCGTGCCTGCTGCACTACCTTCGCGGCCTCCTTCTCGGCCTCGAGGAGAGTCTGGATGCTCTGTGATTGTTGGCCAGCCTGTTTGTCCGTCGTTCAGCACATAGTTCGGGACGCACAGGGCTGGTGCAGGGACAGACCATGAGGGTGTGCAAGGAGGATTCAGACTCCGCCACAGTGACGCGCTGCGAAATGGACTCTCGCGGTTGGCGCTCGTCGCGACTGAGAGGACCGCGTCGAGCAGCCCATTCGTCGTGCTCACCGTTCGCTACATTCTCCACGCTTTGCACGACGCACCGCTCGCTGGGCTCGACGACGTTGGCCGCACAACATGGCCGCCAATGCCGCCAACACCGACCCGCTCTCGCACTTCTCCTTAGCGTTGGCCGCGCCTGCAGACTCTAAAGAGCAGGCCGACCTACTCGCCACGCTCCGCGACTCCCTGGAGGGCCACCCGAGCTTGCCAATACTCTGCTCGACACTCCTTAAGACCCTTTCGGGTGCGGGGGACTCGCTTCTGAAGCGATGGGTGCTCGACCTGCTTCATTTCGCCATCTGCCGGTCCAACCTGAGCATAGATGCGCGCACACAATGTGCGTGATAATTTCGTGTTGAGAGCATAGTTATATTGACTAAATGCTATGTGGCAGTGGCGGACCAGTCCCTCGAAGCACTGGTTGGGTTGCTCAACGACCCGAACCTGAACACAGTGAAGGTTGCGATACAATGCTTCCCGACCGTGTTCGCTTTGATGTTCCGGAGCCTGTGAGTCGTCTGCGACCCCATATATTCGTGCTCTCACTCTGTACGTCCAAGGTGCTCTAACCGGAATAACCGCCGCCCTTGGGACATCCTCACCCAAACGAAGACGAGGATAATCGAGCTCGTGTGGGCACCGCACACCAACAGCGGTGTCCGCCTCGCCGCCCTCAAATTCCTGCAACGAGTTATTCTGGTCCAGACTCGCGGGATCAACGACCCCAGGGTATGTTTGTCTTCAAGGTCACAAATGCTGCCTCTCTGCTGACGGGCCAATCCCTAGTTGCAAAACAAGGATGATCCTAATCTGGCCATGTGTCCCACGGACCACCCATTTATCTCTGTGCCAGTCCTGGAAGCCGAGGGGATGAAGTTGCTTGAAGGGGTCGTCAAGCTGCTTTACACTAGCGCGTAAGTCGGTACGGCGATACTTCTCCGCTTGCTAACGCTCAGATGCAACAGCGACCCGAATGTAATCTCAGCTATCATGAACAGCTGGGCGAATTTGGTCAAGCGACGTCCCGCCCTCATGGACCTAGTGGTATCCAGTATCATGCATTGGTCACCCACTCATCTCAAAAGTCGCCCATATCTGGATGTACGGAGTGTGGAGAAAAGTATCCGGATTCTCCTTACGCATATATCGCGGTGCGTATATCATACCCTCTCACGATGACAAGACACTGAACATACCTCAGATCACCTCAAGGCGCATCCTACGCAGGTCTCATCCAAGCTGTACTCCAAAGCCAGGCGGATCGTATGGAGCGCGCTGCAACAGAGGAGAAGGCTCGCAAAGCAGCCGCCGCAGAGGCCTCGCGTAAGCGGTTATCTACGACTACACCTGTTGTCGACGCTCCCGACTCCAAACGACCCAAGTTGCAACACGAGGCCGCTCCTGCTGGGCCCTCCACTGCCGCTACTGCCGCCGCTGCTACTGCGCCTATCTTCGACTTCAGTTCTTTGCCTGCAACGCTCGTTACGGACCTGATTGTCGCCAACTTGCAAGCATTCACAGACAACGCTCTTTTGGGACTCGTTCAAGCACATCGACATAAGAAATCGGGTGGCGCTGCAGCAGTCCCTGCTGTCTCTGCGACCCCACCGCCATCTGCTCCATCTGCTCCTGCAGGCCCTTCACGCGCGACCCCTCTGGCTACTGCGACACCCCCGCCAACCGCACCTCGGGCATCCTTACCGCCCTCCGAACCTCGTGCCGACAGGAAACTCAAGTCTGCTACCCCGCCTCCACCCCCACCTGCAGTCGTCAAGGAAGAGCCGGTGGACCCGCTCAAGATGGATATCGACGATGAGGAGATCGAGTATGAGCCCGACAAGCTCAACCTGGAGGTACGTCGCATCGTTGGGAGTCTATTGCGCACGTCTCATCGCCCACGGCAGATGTCTGGAGATGCAGAGCCTATCGACGAGGCAGAGGCAGCTCTGGATCACGATATGGACGCTGCAGAGGTCCCTCTCACCGAGTTCAAGCTGCCGACGCCCCGAGAACTGGAGGCCGACGAGCGGGACGAACTTGTGCGTAAGGCGATCGCGCGAATACGAGAAGGCGCAAAGGAGCTGGCCTCTCATGAGCCTGTAATGGAGGTCGGCGACGGGCCACGCTCCTCACCTGGGGAGATGTGGATGCTCCTTCTCGTACGGATGGTGACGCGCGTGAGCGACCCTAACGTGGACACGGCTGAGGAGGAGGAGCAAGACAACAAGGACGAAGCCGGTGCAGTGGTGCGGAGGTCCGAAATCTATGATAGGCAGAACCGTCTGAGGCATGCGCTATGCGACTACATCATGGCCGACTTTTCCGGACGGTACGTTTATCAGGGTAAGCTAGCGAGCTATACGGTTGCTGAATGTTTGGCAGAGTGCGGCTGGCGACAACGTGGATGAACGAGGAGTGGTACAACGACCGGATACAAAGGCAACAAGACCGTGAATGGGTCAGTTCACCGTCCCTTTTCCCGGTTGAATCTAACGTTTAAACCCCCTTAGCTGCCCAACTACGAGACTTGGCTGAACCAGATCGTGGCTGCATACCAGGTACACGCAGACGGCAAGGATAGGACATTCTCACGCTTCTTGCTTGATCTCCCCCAAGTACCACAAGATATTCTGACCTTGCTCAGGGAGTCTTGTGTCGAGCCTGACCGGTTTGTTGTCAGCTTCTATCCGTTCCAGGAGACATCTGACACGATATGACCGCATGTCTAGGCGACAGATGGGGTTCGCAGCACTGAGAGAGTTTGTAGCTCAGCGCCCTTCGTTGCGTCAAGATGCGATGCACATGCTGCTTGAGCTCACCACACATCCCGATAAGATCACCCGCGGCGCGGCAATCAACACAGTCAAGAGGTGGATCCCAGATGGGCAGCCCATGGCGGACATGGTCCGAGATTTCGCGCTGCAACTCCTGCGGCGGTTGCAGTCAAGACCTCAAGCCGTCAAAGAAGCACCGCAAGCGCAGACACCTGAGAAGGAGCTCTCAGAGAAAGAGCAAGAGAAGGAGGTCGAGATCGAAACCGACAAAGAAAAGCCGCAGAGTCCGATGGCGAACGGCGCTGATCATGATGAGAACATGGAAGACGGGCAGCTTCCTCAAGAGGAGATCATCCAAACACCATATTTGCCGGAACAGTTGGAGCTGCCGGCTGTTGACTCACAGATCCTGCAGCACCTGGAGCTCTTGTTCGCGTTGTCGACCAGGCTACCGGAGTTCTTGGACGAGTAAGGCACCCACCTTCGCTGGTATGTGTGATATCTAATGCTTGGATACAGGATCTTCGCTGCATACGGTGGAATGGATGTCTCTGTGCAAGAGACTATCCAGCAGCTCATCACTCCACTCATCCGCGCGCTTGGGTCGACGCACGGGAAGCTCCTCACGTTGCTCCGAACTTTCCCTCCTGGGAGCGAGTCGCTTGCACTTCGCGTGCTTACCATCTTCACCGAACATGGCCGGCCGAGCGCGCAGCTCGTCGCATTGGTCAAGAGCCTCGTCAATGAGCGCGACCTCGACGCGCGGTTCCTCATCCCTATCATTGCCGAGATGGACAAGGTGCGGTGCTTTACCTTGCAATGATCCCCTCTTCTAACATTGGACCGCGGTCTATGCCCTATATAGGCTGATATCCTGCGTCATCTCCCGCGCATTGTGTCCATCCTCAACGGCACTCAGGAACCGAAGAATCTTGTTCGATCGGTGTTCAGCTCGATCGTCACCACACCTCCGGAGACGTTCGGCAAGGTCACGTCCAACCTACCGCGCGTGCGGCAGAGTGAACTACTCACGCCCGCGGAGCTCATGGTGCTCCTGCATCAATCCGAGAAGGAGATCGGGCTAAAGAGTGCAATCGAGGGTGAGCCATCCGTTCAGGGGTAAGGCAATCAATGCTGACGAATGCTCCAGCTATTGGCATCTGCTTCTCTATGACTGAGATCTACCGTTCTGAGATTCTTGCAGTCGTGATGAACCAGCTCGTCGACGAACCGAACCTGCCTACGTTGTTCCTGCGTACAGTGAGTTTCGTGTAGTCGGCACTCGCACGTGACGCTGATCTGCTGGTTATTCTCAGGTCATTCAAGCCGTGACGACGTACCGCTCCCTGGTCGGCTTCGTCTCCACCACACTGCTTTCGCGTCTGATCACCAAGAAGATCTGGACGAACCCGCCGCTCTGGGAAGGCTTCATCCGCCTCGCCAAGCTCATCGCGCCCGCGAGTTTCGGCGCCCTCCTCCAATTGCCCAAGGACCAGCTGCGCGAGCTCGTCGACAAGCAGCCGAGCCTCAAAGCGGGCCTGCGCGACTTCGTGCTGAAAAAGGGCACGAACAAGGCGCGCGTCGCCGGATACCTCGACATCTTCGGCGAGGAGGATACCAGTGCCATCGCGGCAAAGGAGGCGAGCCCCGCCTTAGCCCCTACTCCGGAGCCCCTTCCGGTCGACCCTCCGCAGGCGTCATGAGGTGTAGAGGTGGAAGGGTGGTAGACAGTGTATATAGTATCTCACACTTGGTGCGCACGCATGCTCGCGTGCACTCCGCTTCGCGCACGAGCATATTTGGTACGGTTCTCTGACCCTGTAGTGTATATTAGCAGACCCGTGGGACGTCCGGCTCCCGCGCGCTCCTGTAGCATGCCGTCGAACGCTCTTGCCTCCCTTCTTTTCTTGCAATAGGTACAGTAGATAGTACAGCAGCGAAAGCTCTTCCTCGCATGTAAGCCCCCCTCTAACCACCTGCACGCAACATCGCGGGGCTACAGCCGAATGGTCGACGGTCGACGGAGAGGTAGTTGTGGGTAGCCGTGGCTATGTGGTGTCCATGGTGAGGAGGCCTTCACCAAGCTCGAACGTGGGTGGATGGTCCGCGAGTTCCATACCGGCGAGCAAAGAATCGATGTCGGGCGTAACGACGAAGCGGCGGTTGACCTCGCCGAGTACGGAAAGCCGTTTATTCGCGGAGTCGACATAGACGGCGTGTTGGAGGAAGGATGGTTGTGTCGCTGCTGTAACCTGTACATACGCGTATGGAATGTTGTGTAAGTTCTATCTATAAAAAGATGTCCAAGGAATGCACGTACGTCCATGAGGATGCCGTTTGGCAGGCGTAGCTTGACCGCGCCGCTCTCGTAGATTTCGAGCTGGCCAACGACACCGTCGACTTTTGGCTGCCCTTCTGTCTTGTCGGCAGCGCTTGATGCCCCCGCGGCTGGTGCTGCCGTTGCAGCGGGTGCCGGTGGTTTTGTGTCCTCAGCGAAGGTGACTTTCTTGCCAGCCTCGTCGTTGCCGTCTTCGGCCTTGTCTTTCCCTTTGGTTTCCGGTGGCGCTTCGGGTGTTCGGAAGACGGGGAACGGATTTGGGAACTGGAAGAAGTACAGGCGCTCTTGCCGTATGTCCGTCTCCTGTACGTGTTGTCAGGAACGCACGCATAGATGGAGTATAGGGCGTACCTCTTCATTGGCGGCTTGTGTTTGAGCGAAGTCGTCGATGATATCCTCGAGCTCCTCTTCGTCCTCACTTTCGCTAAGGTCCAGAGCATTGGCTAGGTTTACCTGCTCCTCTTCTGGCGTTTTCGAACGGTCGATATCCATCGCCTCTTCCGCAACCACATCTGCTTTCTGCCGTCAGTAATCCTACAGCATAAGACACGTCGAATAAACGCACTTTTGACCCTCGCTTCACCCTTCTCTTCTTTCTTGACCTTCTTCTTCCCCGTCTCCTTCTCCTTCCGCAGACTCTCGGGGGCCATCCAGTCCATCTGCCTCACATTCTCCATATCGACGATCTCCACGCCCTCGTCCGGGTCCGAATACACCTCGTCGTCCCCCGGCGGGACCCCGCCCCCGTCCTTCGGCTCGCGCTTCAGCGTCGGCGCCGTCGTCTGCGTGAGCCCTGCGCCGAGGCGCGCCGCCCCGCCCGGTCCCTGGGGCACGATGGGCGCGAAGTTCGAGCGCGGCGCGGTGCGGCGGGCGGACGTCCCCCCAAGCGCAGGGCCCATCGCGAAGGGCCCGGAGGCGGTCATCTCTACCGCGGGTGGACGGGGCGCTGCGCCGCGCCCTCCTTCGCCTCCGCGGCCGCGCCCCCTGCCTCGCCCGCGTTCTCCGCCCCTGCCGCGGCCGCGCTCGGAGCTTGCTGAGGGTGCGGGTTCCTCCTGGCGCGTGAGGGGTGAGTGTGGGTGGAGGGGAACTTGAAGTCAGCGCGCACAGACCTTTTTGGCCTCCCTGATACACGGTGAGCAATGCGAAAGGGTAGCGTTGGGGGCGCGCGGGGGCTGAACTCACTCCTTGACGCGTCGTGCGGGAAGAGTAGGCACGAATTTGAGCTTTTGTGTGCCGAGGCGCGTTACATCGCTCTGCTTCTTCGCAAGGCTCGCGATGGCCTTTGGGGGGTTGCTGCCGGAGCCAGAGCCAGATGCGCCCGCGCTGCCTGAGGGTTGTTCGGACATGGTCGTGGTAGAGGCTAGTGGACAAGGTGTCCTCAGTCCTGGCGGAGCGGGTGCGCGATCGAACTTCAAGGAGGCGCGCGAGCAAGTGCTGAGGCCACTCTAATCTAATCACATTGATAACAGATCGTAATGCGACTATCAGAGGGAAAACTTTGAGATTATAGATGATCTTATCCTTGTCTTATCCGCTGCAGTGGCCTACTTATACGAGTGGCTGCCTCTTTCCGAGTCCCTTGTCCCTGACTCCCTCCTCGCAACGAACGCGTCTCTCCTTCTCACCGCGTTCTTCTGACCTGACGACGCTAGCCATGGCCGCGACCCAAGAGCCCGAGCACCTGCGTGTCACGTACAACGATGTGCACAACCTCATCCGTCGCAGCGCCGAGAAGATCGCGGAGTTCAAGCCGGACCTGCTCATTGCGATTGGTGCGCACCCTTTGTACTGTCATACCATCTACACTATGTTAACATATGTCGTACAGGTGGAGGGCGAGTATACCGCTCTCACTTGTATGCGGATCAGTGTGTTTAACATATCCTCGGATTCAGAGGCTTCTTCCCCGCGCGCGTCATGGTACGTCCCGCGCACCGCGATTCCTTTCTGCCGTTCCCCGTGCATCGAAGCTCATATTTTTGGTGTTTAGCGTACGTTCCTGAAGAACCCCGAGCGGAAAGGAAACATCCCCATCCACGCAATCGGGCTGTCCCTCTACGAGTCCCTACCGGGCCTCACCGCTGAGCAGATCGGCGCGCAGGTCATCCGCACCCAGTGGCTGTGGGTGAACATGTCCATGTGGAGGTCGCCCATGCTTATTCTCATGCAGCGGGCCTGAGTCCGGCAAGCTCCTGCTCGGCAGACGTGCACTCATTGTGGTCAGTCGGGTACTTCCACGACCATCCCACTGCCGCTGAAATAGCAGCGCGACACGTCGTGTTAGGATGAGGTGGATGACTCTAGGAAGACTCTCCAGTGAGATCAGGGACCCGTGCTATTCTTGCTCGGATTTGCTCACCACACCGGACCCCGCAGCTACGCCGTGACGGAATTGCAGCAGGACGTCGAGCGCGAGCTCGCGCTGCTGCCGGAATCCGAGCGCGAGGCGAAGCGCACGAAGTTCGCTGTGTTCGTCGTGCACAACAAGCTGAAGCCCAAGCTCGGGGAGATCCCGAGCGACATCCCGTGCGTGCCCCGTGCGCAATTGCTACCCCGCCGTGTCTAAACTTCTATCTCGCCCATACAGATATTACGCCGGGGACGAGATCGAAGACGTCTGGTGAGATCGATCTGCGCTATCTTGGGATTGGACGCGAGCTCACGACGATTATCTGTGTGATAGGCTGGACTACCCTTGGGAAGCAGTGTACGTCTACTCTGCGTGTGTTCGCACGGCGCTCTGTACTCATCTGCGGCTTGCTGCAGGGACATCGAGGAGCATGATCGCCTCGCGGCGGAGGCGAAGGCAAAGGCGCGCCAAGCGCAGTCGTAGAAGCTGATACAGCGCCCTGGAGGCGGTTCGGCCGTGCAGGACCCTGGTGTCGGAGGCAAATAGCGAAAGAGTGAACGAAAGCGTGTAAGCTGTATAGCAGCGGATGTAGCGTACCTAGATGGAATGCAGCGCGAGTGTTGGAGTGTGCACCGTTCACCCGCCGACGTCGGGGCCGATGCTGGTGATTGGGTGGGTCGTCCGCCGGGCTGCGATTGGCCGTGGCTGCGGGAGGAGGTGTCAGGGTCGTGAGCTGAGCAAGCGGCGCGTGCCACGCTCCGGATCGCCTGCTCCCATTTGCTAGCCCGTGCACTCTCCCAGCGGCCACCCGCGAGCACACGCACGCCCAGCGAGCCACGACCGCCCGCGCTAGTATATAGTCTTAGCCTCCACGTCTGCCACGCGCACCCGCGTCGCGCTCCCACCGCAGCCCTCTCAGCCCTGCCCCCGCTGCTCGTCGCCGACGTCCACTACGCGTTCGTGACCCTGCCGCTGTCCCCCCCCGTCACTCGCCACAGGACCCCGTTCACACGCACGCTCACGACACGATGGATGCCGTTGAAGACATTGAGTATGAGGGACTCTCGCCGAATGCAGGCCTCGCAGTGCGTTCTCTTTGTTCCCGGTGTCTGAGGGATCCCGTTGACATGTGGGTGCTGGCAGGTTAACATGGCAGCAGGTGCTCTTGTGAGTCTTGTGTCTTTGCGGTGGATAGCAGCGAAATGGCTGAAAAGTGACTTCAATAGGCTGGAATCACAGAGCACGCAGTCATGTTCCCGGTAGACAGCATTAAAGTGCGCGAAAATCCGTCCTTGAGCTAATTTGCCTCAGTTCTGACGTACGAGCACTTCCTGCTCCTCGCAGACCCGAATGCAAGTGTTCGCGACGTCGCCAGCGGCGGTATACACCGGCGTCGGAAACGCATTCACGCGGATATCGTCGACGGAGGGCATGCGCGCCCTATGGAGGGGTGTCTCGTCGGTCATCATGGGCGCTGGCCCTGCACACGCGGTACACTTCGGTGCATACGAGCTGGTGAAGGAGTACGCTGGCGGAAATGTGGAGGGTGCGAGCAACCAGTGGATAGCGACGTGTGCGTACTCTGCCCTTTTTGCGCCATTCGCGCCTCCTGACGTACAGCTTCCCCTTCGCCACCCCGCGCTCGAAATCCTTCAAAATGGAAATGTGCGTCATACGCATCTGCAGCGCTCGCAGGAGCGTCAGCCACGATCGCGAGCGACGCGCTCATGAACCCCTTCGACGGTGAGAGCCCAGCTGCACTTCCGCATGACCCTGCGTCCGACCCATTACCTGCCCGCCCGCCCCGCCAGTGATCAAGCAGCGCATGCAAATACACAAGTCCGAATTCCGGTCCGCGATCACCTGCGCGCGCACCGTCTACCGCACCGAGGGGCTCGGCGCGTTCTACATCTCATACCCCACGACGCTCACGATGACGGTCCCGTTCACCGCGGTGCAGTTCACCGTGTACGAGCAGCTGAAGTCGTTCCTCAACCCCAGCGGCGCGTACTCGCCCGCGACACACATCGTCGCAGGCGGCCTGTCGGGCGCAGTCGCGGGCGCGGTCACGACACCACTCGACGTCGCGAAGACGATCCTGCAGACGCGCGGGACGTCGCACGACGCGGAGATCAGGAACGTCCGGGGGCTCGCGGACGCGTTCCGGATCATCTGGCAGCGCGACGGGCTGAAGGGCTTCGCGCGCGGGCTGTCACCCCGCGTGCTGACGTTCATGCCGAGCAACGCGCTCTGCTGGCTCTCGTACGAATTCTTCAGTACGTCACGCCCTGCTGCGCGCTGTGTATCCGCCCCGCTGACAGTGACTTCTCGTTCGCAGAGGCCGCAATACGGGACGCGTAATGACAGCCGACGCCGACGACCGCGGCATCCCACGGTGCTCCAGGGCGACGTCAGTGCCCTCTGTGGCGGGCCCGCGGCCGGCTTCAGCTTCAACGTCAGCCACGATCCGTTCTGCGCGTGCGACAGGGTCAAAAGGACGCGCGGCGCGGCGCTTGTGGCGCGTGCGGGAGCGCGGGGACTATGAGGGCTGCGCGGACACCAGATCTCGGGCGGTGTCCACTACTATTATACTATTCCTATGTTCTGGTTGTAATCGGTTGGGCCGGCGAGTTGGCGGGCATGCCGTAATGAGACGACACGATTCTCAGCTGCGACGCTCGCCTTTTGTCCTACGTGAGGAGATGGGACAGCGTTTCGCCACCTATGCACACAACTGAGCGGGCAGTAGCGAAGGTTCAGACTATATCCGACTCAACGGGAGATACACGCCTCGCACAAGCGGTCGAGCTGTCTCGGAGTTCTGTCCATCCTATTGCCACACATCTGTCATAGAAACTGCCACAGACTGCGATAACCATCGATGCCGACCTCGTCCAACACCAGATTTCTCCTCCCGCGTGTATTCCTGCGCACCACATATACTATCGCCGTGCACCAGACTGCACAGGATAACCATATGCATCACTGCAATCATAACTTGAACCACAAGTATGATGCATTCTTCGACGGCCTGGCGTCGCCTAGATGATCTAGGAAGCACCTGCCGTTGCGTCTGGTCAAAATTTGGCGACATCGAATACAACCTGAGGCGTACCTTGTCCAAGCGGGGTAAGAATGCATGTCGACGAATCCTGCACGGGCCTAGGCCTATGCCCCTCGAAGGCGGTTTGAGTATGCTCGGCCGCCCAAGCCTTGACCTCCTCCTCCAGCCTGGTCAAGCTGGCGCACTGGACATAGCCAGCCTTGCAGAAGAGGCGGATAATGGAGAGAGCCCACGTTCGACAGGTGAGTTTGTCGAACCCCTCCGGCGCGTCCGTGGGCGGAATGCTCCTGGCAATGGCGACAATACGGTCGTTCTCGCCAACTGGGCAATAGCCAATGCGCATGGCGCCGATAAGGACTGAGGTCTTCATGATACTGCTAGTACGCTCGTCTTCGAACATCCAGCGCCCCGGTCGCCCGGTGATATGCATTTTGTAGCCTCCCTGGGTGGCGTGGAGGTGGTGGTAGAGAGCCCAGTGCCATTGGTCGGGGGCGGCCTCGTCTTGCATGAGCGACAATGCGACATTAGTGACGACATAAATCCCGCCGACAATCAGGCGTTCGTCGATGACGAACGATGGCTTCGGGTGGGAAGACATGGTGAACTAACGAAACTGCGTTAGCGGGTGGCCTAGTGAGCGAACACTGTGATGCTATGCCTTCAATTTGTGTTATGCACCTAGCGGTCTGGGTAGTATAGAAGGCAATATATCTCCAGGCGGGATCGATGTCGAGGATACGAGCTAAGCCTCTCGTGGTGGAAAGTCTTCAGTAGAATCAGTACACGCGCCGGGCTTGTGCGAGCGGGCGCCTGCTCGTCGGCGCTTGCCGAAGCGTTCAGTATCGTGCGCGAGACCTTTTTGAACGCTGTATGCGTTTGCCTTCGTACCACGACGATACGTACGGGACAAACGGAATCCTACCCGACTTCACTCCTGGCCACCACATTCATCGACTGCTTCAACAGGCCTAGCAGCCCTGACTACCTGCGGCTCTGCAGAACGGTGAACTGGATCTGTCATGGGCGGCCGATGTACCCGGCGCGCATACATTCGAGCCGTTATGGATTGCCCTGCTGAAGGCTCTGTCCTTCGTACTATCTTACTAGTGTGTAAGGTGAGCTACATGACTGCTTACCAGTAGATCATGCCCCGACCCTTGTTAATCATCATCAGGAATATATGGGGAATGTCACCAGCGTCTCTTCGGAATCCCATGGGCGTTGCACGCTTTCAGAGCTTAGACCTCGGCTTCCTCGCAGTCAATACCGACCGCCAAATTACACGCTGCGACTCCGTAGAACCTCGCTTGTTCGTGAACGCGTTCAAATTTTACACACCGGTTACACATACTGCCACTTTATCATACAGATACCCCTCCGCTTAGGCCTCGACCACGCCCACGATCATCTCCCCTCGCGTGCACTCCCGCAGTGCACCGCATACACCTTCGCCATGCACCAGACTGCACAGGGTAGCCAACACTGCAATCATGACTTGTACCACAAGTATGATGCATTCTCCGAAGGCACGTCTGTCGCCGTTCAAGACTGGGGAGAGCCTGCCATATGTCAACAAAGTCTGGCGACAACGATTGTATCATGAAGCGTACCTCACTGACCCCGGGGAAGGGTGCATAGAGCCGAGTCAATAATGGGCCTGGGCTGATACGCGAGCACGGCGGCGTTGTAGTGCTCCCTGCCCCACGCCGTGATCTCCGTCTCCAGAGCGGTTACGCTGTTGCACTGCACATAGCCAGCGGCGCGGAAATGGCGCACGGCCGTGAGGACCCACGTCCGGCAAGTAAGGTTGGGGAACCCAGGCGGCACCTTGTCGGCCGGGATGCTCTGAGTAATCTCTCTGAGAGCGTCGCCGTTGTCGACTGCGCAGTGACCGATGCGCATGGCACCGACGAGGAGGAAGGACTTCATGAGGCTCGACGTGAATGCCTGGTCGTATACCCAGTGGCCCGGGCGTCCCGTATCGTCCTTGATATGGATCTTCCAGCCTCCCCTCGACACATGGCAGTGATGATACAGACTCCAGTGCATTTTCATCTCTTGTCCTAACGCGGTGAGAGCGTGAACGACGACGTAGACCCCGCCCACAACGAGGCGTGAGTCGACGATGAACGTCTGGGCAGGTGCCGTTCTAGCTGGGGTGAAGCGCTGCATACCAGACTGGCGCCGCTCAGGTTGTTAGTGATGCGCGGCGTAACGAGCGGACAGGGCTGTGCCTCACCTTCTGTACGCGATGGTAGAACAGGCAACTTCGTGGGTAATTGGCGGCGGGAGGGTGTGCGCAAAAAAACTGAATAGCTGAGGGCGGAAGTCGGAGACTCTGTCGAAGACACTGATGAGCGACCTGCCGTCGAACGGTCATCCACCATCTGCATACTTATATATTATTACCGGGCAGCCCCAAGACTGAACTCGCCGAGTTCGAGTCCCAACGGCAGAAGACCGACATGCACGGAGGGAGCGACAACTTTTCTCAGCATCATAACCACCCATTGTGTGGGAGGCAGTCTTCGTCTACACATCGAAGTCAAAGTGAGTTCGAAACCCTGATAGAAGTACGTTATAGGTCCCAGTAAACGCTGACAGTTGATCACGCACAGAAGGCGGTACCGTTATCATTCTGGACAGGTGAGGTCAAGGCCTTGAGATATCTCACGAAGGTGAGAAACACGCGTACTTCTAGACGGGCGGTTTATTGTATTTGGATGCTATCAAGTTGCGCCCATGGAGATGCCGACGCCCGAAGTCGTAGTTGTACGTCAAGGTGTTCCTATGTTTTTCTGCACCGGACCAGGGGGAGCCTCGGATGGCAAGCATGTCGGACAAGGACCCCTGACAACATACATGCCATATTGTCCGGTATTTCTGTCGAGCCTACGTGTCAAATCTTGCGTTTGGATCGTCGTCGTGACCGCTGCAGCATGAGCTCTTTCAAGAATTTCAGGAATTATAACTTGAATGACCCTAGTACCTGCACCGCCACATGTACAGCCGTACCTGAGGTTGTGCAGCATGTGGCACGATATGCCATTCCACTAGTACTGCACTATGCGCTTGGAATCACCACTGACATGCTTAGTACCCTGCATATCAGATCTCACAAAGAAGTCCCATATGCTCTACGCGCACCACCCACCCCCGCCTAACCCGGCCGATATGCAATGACTCGGACTTGAGACGCCGGGGCATGGGTCGCGGATTCGAATCGAGTCCATGGCATCAATATGGCGGGGCTCGCACCTATTACATAGGTCAATCGACATCACTGAGTTCCCAGAATCTCCTGGTCTCCATCAATTAACATATACGTGGACTAATACGGTTCAATAAAACGAATGTCATAGGAACTTTTCAGTGCGCATCGCGAGGGCTGCGCCCTCGATATTCCCTCGAATTTGTCCTCAAAAAGGCTCAAATTGCCCTCGCCTAACCTCGCTCGGTCCTCGCATCACCTACAGGACACCTGAGGCATCGCGAGCGATACCGCGCGAGGCCTCCTGATCATTTGTCCCACCGCCTTCGAATTGTCTGATAAGTATAAGATAATACTGTGGCCGCTGTTCACTGGGCCTCACGCAGTGCCAGGGGCTCTGGCTAGCTACGAGACGATAGTGTTGTGGGCGCGTGGAAATAGAAGGTATGCAATCGCATGTCCACGAGACGATAGCATTGTGGGCGCATGGGTATGGAAGAGACGACCGCATGCAATTGTGGTCGCAGGCGACGTCTCGAATTGATGTACTCCGAGAGCGCCGGCGCCGGCAGGCATCTGACCGGCGGACATGCAAAACGAGCGTTTCGTTCTTGCCACTCTCGCCGGTCCCCCTCTCTCTCCCTCCAGGTCTCGTTTTCGCGCCATCGTAAGCTCTCGCTCTAGTACCTCCTGCTGTCCATCTTGCTCTCTTCCCGCTCTCATCTCTACGTCCTTCCCTACGCACACACAACACAGTCAACGCAATCGCAGTCATGACTTCTCTCCACCCACTCAAAGCACGCTTTCCTCTGGTCAGCTTGCCTCCCCGCCTTTTACCCTGTCCCCGGATAGGTTCACCATCGTCCGCGTTTACTAAGAGGATATACTACTACATCCACGAGTATGTTCTCCTACCGTTCTCGGAGTGGTACATGAAGCACTTCAAGATCGCGTCACCGATGGGCATATTCCAGCTTCCCTTTGGCCTCATTCTCAAGCGCCACGACCGCGTCCACGAACACGAGGGCCTCGCCATGAACCTCGCCCGCGCCATGGGTGTGCCCGCCCCACGTTTCGTCTCCTTCGGCTCGCTGGGCGTACCCTCCGCGTGCCCCTCGCTCCTCATGACCCGCCTCCCGGGTTACCCCTTGGACTGGTTCGACCCGGGCCAAGTGGACATGGACGTCGTCGCTGCGGACCTCACACGGATACTCGCCCGCATGCGCAGCTTCGCCAGCCCGCACGGTGCGGCCGTGTGCGGTGTGACCGGTAGGGAGATCCGCGGCCCCATGATTCCCGGCTCGCCGCTGGCACCCTTTGCGGACGAGGACGCGTTCAACGCCCGCCTGCGCGCGTTCGTCACGAACGTCAGGATGGAGCTTATCACCGAAGGTGTCAAGCCGGAGAACATGGACGCGGCGCTTGGAGATCACCGCGCACGGGCAGAGACGGTGGAGAAGTGCTTAATCGCGCAGGCTCCGCACGCGATCGTGTTTACGCACGGGGACCTGAACATGCACAACATCATGATCGGCCCAGACGGGCACGTCTGCGGGATCATTGACTGGGAGGGCGGAGCGTGGCTGCCCGAGTACTGGGAGTTTAGCATCACGGCCGTCATGCCCACACTGCCCTGGGGCCAGTTCATGGACAAGAAGGTGTCGGGTGGGGTCTACGAGCAGGAGCTCAAGGGACACCAGGCGCTGTTTATGTACGTGGCGAACAGCTTCTCCTACTGAGCTTGGAGAAGTCTCCCAGTCGTGGTGCAGGTCGTTCGCGTATCTTTGGGACTGTCTAGTTGCACTTGTCTAATGACCTCATGATATACAACGACACATGTTACCTGTGATTATCGGCGGTAGCAGGGGGCAGGGAACTGCACTTGAATAGGCCTGCAGCAGCTCGAGGGCGGGCCCATGGCGAAGCGCTTCGTGCAATATTGGCAAATCGTGCACAATACAAGAGCCTTAGCTATCAAATATTATCGCTCAGCTGTACAAGTGATTGAAGACTAGGGGCTACGACTAAGTACTAGCATACTGATGCCGTGTGCGAGTGATCAGCGAAGATCATACAAAATCAAGCCGACGTTCCTACCACCTCCACCGTGTTCTTGTCGGCCTTGGGCAACACCATCAACGCGTACGACAGATATACACTATCTGCCCTCCACGCTTGCGCCTCATTCCCCGTGTGATTGACCGTCTCCTCTTCCTCCTCCTTGTAGGGAAACATCGTCCGATCCGAGAGGTCGACGGAAAAGAACGGGACGTTCTTGACGCCCTCCAACCACTCACATCCGTTGAGTATGTCCTCTCTGGACACGTCGTCGTTGAGGAAGTCGATGTGGCCGTTGGTGAAGGGGTAAACGGTCGTGTTGCACATCATGGAGAATTTGTTCCGGTCGTCCTCGTCCCCCCATCTGGCATACGCTTCCACCACGACGGGAATGTGATGTACTTCGAACCCGGGTCCCGAGAAGCGCGAGCGCATGGCATCCACCACAAGCGCGTCGAAGCCGCTGAAGTCGTTCGTGCCCAGCGAGTACTTGTGCCCGAGGAGGAGGCCGAGCGGCGCCTCCATCTCGGACACAATCCCTGCGATTCGCAGACGCACTTCCGCCGTCTTCTTCGACTCGTTGTTTCCGCGCCCCGAGGCCGGTGGTGCACGGAATATCTTGAAGGCTATGCTTGCGCGGTAGCCGTCCTCCCCCAGTTCATTCACGGAGTGGGGCACGTCCGGGTAGAACGCACACCACGAACCCGGCCGCGCCTCCATCGCCGTGCCATCGACCACGAGGCCACCCCACCGGGCTGTGTCGCCCAGGCCTATGAGGAATGTGCCCACCAGGTCCTTCTGCGGGGTGTCGCGATGCATCTTGAAGTGCCCACCCGGCCCATAGAGGTGGATCTTGTACGGCTCAGCGCGCACGTCGGCGCTCGGGACGAACTGCTCCGTCCAGATGCTCTCGATGCGTCGGAGTAGTTCATCCTCCACCGCGAACTCGGAGGCACCGATCTCGCGTGCGGTGCGGACGCTCTCGTCGACCTTGGTGACCTGCTCACGCACGTCCCCATAGCCCGACGTTAGGGCACTGCCGTGCCACCGCCGGAGCCGTTCACGCAGCTCCTCGCACAACGTCTTGTCCTCGTCCGTATGAGGCCACTGGAAAGAGGTGGTGCGGTCGGGTGAGATGGAACCGTCGAACTCGCAGCCCGGTCGGGTGATACGCAGGCTGAAGGGCTCCTCCAAGAATCCCGATGCACTGTCTCGCCTGTCCGCCTTCACGAGCACTGCGAGCTGCTCGAAGCGTTTCTGCCAAATGACGGCGCCGGAGAAAGGACGTTAGAAGGCAGCAATTTAGGCTGGCGACGAGCGACTAGACACACCTCGTTGTGTTCGACGTGGGCTATCTCGTCGTCGGTTCTCTTCCCCTCGGCAGCATCAGAGTCTTCGCTATCACTGTCGCTATCGGCGTCGTGGTCATAGTAGTCATAGCCCCGCATCATGGCCGTCCGTGCAGAATGCACTGTAGGGCAATCACCGATAGCCCTGAGTCTGTACGCGAGCCGCAGAGCTCGTATAATTCTCATAGCAGCGGGAAAGACAGAAGGCGCCTGATGTGCAAGACCCATACCCGCAGTGTCATTCTGGTCGGGTTGATCTCGCTAGCGAAGATCACGGGAGGATCAGGAAGACACGAAGCGCGTGGGGAATAAGGCTCACCTCTGTGGTCGCGTTCGGGGTGGCGTTATCCTCGACGCGCTGACGCTTTTTGGGGTTCAAATCGGAGGGGGGAAGGGAAGAGGAGGGTGGATGGGCAGGCATGAGGTGCTGAATCCGCTATGGTGGTGGTTGAGTTCAGCTCCGTGTGGAAGGGCGGCATCCTTTATATACTGGACGCGATGATGGGCGCCATCAAATTACCTACGAAGTCCAAAAGCGGATGTGTGGGCACGGCGTTGACTCGAACTAAGTTCGCTTACCGCTTTGGGATAAAAGTGCAGATATCTAGCGATCTTGACGTACAAGAAGCGCTTGCGAGAGTAGTCTGACATATTATGAGTGTAACAGATGAGGCCTTGAGGCCCTCCAGAGCTGCAGCGCGGGCCCTCCCACGAGCAATCGTGTCGCGCAATGGGGTACGTGATAGGGGGCAGTACATGCCTCCCCCTCTTCAGTACTGATGCCGCAGGCGCGGGGGTGTTGTCTGGTGTTCGAAGCCTCGGTTAGCGGCCATGGGCACAAGCGGACAAGTGACTCACCGAATGTCATGATCTCATCTGGCTGAATGCCTCCGTCGACGCTGTCCAGACGCAAACGAATGCCCAAGTCCCATTGCGGTTGCCGCCCACCCGCCCGCGCAGTCGCCACGCAAGCTTCCAGGCGGGTAACACGCGGAGCAACATGAATATGCTCCAGAAGAGCGGGATGCCGTGCTTGTATTGGTGGACGGCGCGACGTCCGTGCAATCGTCGCTGTATTGGGGCCCGGAGGAAGGAAAGGAGGACGAGTCGTGGCTGGCACCGCGCGCGCGACTGCAACCGCGAATGAGCACACTAGTTCCAGGGTTTAGGCGAAAATATGAACATGATGGACGATAGCATTACGATGATATGGTACAAGTGAGCAACCTGTATGTACGGGAAGAATACAAACGTCCGGAAAGTGCGTACTGCGAGTCTACCGCGCGGGGCGCCATAGATAAGACATATAATCATCACATGTAGAAGTCGGGCTTGCGCGAGTTTATGCCATACTCCGCGAGGGCCGACCCGAGGTCGTCCATGGTCAGCGTCGTCTTCGTCTTGTCCTGAGCAGCCCCACACACGCGTCGGTTTAGAGTGACACAAATGGAATGCGACCGTGCCACTCACCCGCGCCGACGCAGGCCCCGACGACTGGTTCGCCCGTGCCCGTCCGCCTGCAGCATTTGAGCGGATGCGTGCGTGCTGGTATGCGTCCGCTGCAATGTCGGACACGAACTTCTGGGCGGCGAGAGAGAGCAGCCGTTTGCTGTATGCGTCCAAGAACGCGCCAAGGCCCGTTGAAAGGCGAAGCATCGCTATATACGCGACGACACTCACAGTCGGACATCGTCGCACTCAAAGCCTACTCTCTGGAGGTAGTACTCCGTGACCTCGTTGGGTATCTGCGTTCGGGAGTGTCAACAGACGTGTAGGACGAGGCTCGTTGGCCTTGGGCCGTTAGCCACACGGTGGTGGTGCACGCACCAGAGGTTCGTAGTCATCGAGCATCAGCAAGAACTCTGCAAGCGTTTTGTCTTTTCGTGTCTCCTCGGCAGTCTGTGCAGCGCTTGGCCGTGATTGTTGTGAGGAACTGGGCCCTGGTTGGGTGAATTCTGGTGTCGACTGCTGCGGGTGCGGCGACGGAGCTGAGGGGGTCGGGGTCGCAGCGTAGTACCCCGTTGACTGGCCCTGCTCTTGGTATGGAGTAGACATATTCAATGAGATGATTCAAGCTGGAGGATTGGAGGAGAGAGCGAGATGCAAGAAGTGGTCCTGGGCGAACCGTCGAACCCGAGGAGTGACTGAAGTACTCCAAGCGCCCGCGTGGCAGATCCCGATCGTGTCCGGCGTCTATTTGGTGCGTATAAATTTCGCGCACGTCGCGCCTATCTCACTTGTGCCCTTCTCTTCCCTCCTCCCTCGTCGACCTCAAACACCTTTCCTCCTTCCAAAACGTGAGTGTTTGCCTCCGTTGCCTCTCGAAGCTCTACACCTTCTCCGTTATGATGTTTGAGGCATTTGGCTTTAGTAGGGTCTCCCTGCGTTGCAGAAAATTATCTCAGCTACCTTCGGGCGTTCGCTTTGGCGAATAGTCCGCTTATTCTGAACTTCGTTGCATGTTTATGATCATGGAATACCTGCTCACAAATTTCTCACAGATAACTTACAAGCTCGACCGCTTTAGATGCCACATACTTCGTTCTGTACCGCAAGGAGGGGCGAGTGTGCCGTGCTTCGCTCTACCACGCTGTATTCACGAGATACATGTAACTTACATATACCTGCACCTACACATCGTACAAATGCTATTACCTAGCAACAACCTCATTGCACCCTATCGATCTTCTCTACGCCCTCTGGCAACACATACTTTCCCTGCCGCCGAACCTGGGAAGAACGACATTGAGTTTTGGCGACGCATACCGACAGTGGTGTACTCACCTCGTCGAAAATTTCCATTACGATGATGCTCTTCTCGTGTCCCCAAGAGTCGCTCTCGAGCTTGCCGTCCCGGAGGCACCGCGCGACCTCGTCCGCCTCGAAGTGCCAGCCGCCGCCGACGTACTTGAACGTCTTCGTTTCCTCGCGCACAACCTCCCCGCCGGTCTTGTCGAAGTACTGCACCGTGAACGAGGGCGAGCGGAAGATCGGCGGCTTCACGATGATGTTCCCGTTCTTGTAGCGGATAGTCGCGCCGAAGTGCGCCGTGGGCACAGTCATGCTGCAGCTCAGGACGGCCTGCGCGCGCAGGTGCTCGGTGAAGTTGATCGTGAAGCTCGTGCTAGCGTCGACGCCAGTAATGGGTGTCGTGAGGATTGACCCCGTAACGCTTGTGGGGCGAGCGTTCTTGTTCGAGGGGTGCTCATACAAGGCAAGCATGGCCTTCGTGCTCGCCATCAGTAGCATATTCGTGAAGTATATTCGTCATACTCACCCAGAACAAGGGGTACGGCCCGCTACGATACAGGGTCAGCGTGTATCCTCAGATTTCATGAAATTCCACCTACAGATCCAACAATGCGCCACCGCCGAGCTTCGGATCCAGCATTCGGTGAGTGAGAGGCAGTTCTACACCGGGAGAATTCCCTAGGTCAATGGACACTCCCTCACGACTTTGACAGACAACACCCACTTTCGATGCCAAAGTCCGCTGAGAGGTCCGCGTGCACTACGACCGGGTCCCCGAGGGTGCCCTCCTCCGCGATGCGCTTCAGCTCGAGCGTGAGCGGATGGAATCGCGTCCAGAGCGCCTCCATGAAGAACAGCTTCTTCTCCTTCGCGAGCGCGAGCAGCGCCTTGAGCTCCGCCGCGTTGGACGTCGTGGCTTTCTCGCACAGGACGTGCTTCCCCGCGTTCAGTGCCTCGAGCGCGTTCTCGTAGTGCAGCGTGTGCGGAGTACCTGTGGGGGATGCGCCGATCAGCAATAAATTCAAGACGTTGGCCTGGTTCATACGCCGTACCGATGTAGACGGCATTGACGTCCTGGTGATTATGTTGCGTTAGCATTGAGTGCTGTGACAGAGGATTTATGGAGCTCACAGGATCGGCGAACACTTCCGTGTAGCTAGCATACGTCTTGATGTCCTTCTCCTTGGGGGCGTATTCCGATACGAATTTCTGCGCGCTCTCTACGGTGCGCGAGCCCACCGCGACAATCTTGTGTGCGACGTCAGTGACGTTGCGACTATGAATATGCAGTTAGCAGAGGAGTGTGGGTCTATGAAACAGGTGGACATACGTCGCCGGATCCTCCAATAGATCCTGTGGAATAATCCGTTAGCCTCTGACAATGTGTACCATTGTGCATGTAAACCAGCCATATACCTTGACGAATTGCTGGGCAATCCAACCAGTGGAAATGATACCCCACTTGAGCACATACGGGGTGGCTGCCATCTTATAGTGTACGTATCGGGGTGTAGATGGGGTGCGGGGGTGGGGAAGTTGCGATCATCGTGCGCGCACACGACCCGGTTTATATACCCACCGAGAGCTGGATGAGTGATCACCGTCAGGAGGCCCGTCGGAGGACCCACAGAACGCTATGGCCTATCGATGACGATGGGGCGGGCCGGGCGCCGAATGTGCCGTTGCGGCCTGCCTCCCGCCCCCGCCCAGCAGACCGGTAGGTTCAGCGGCGGCCGTGATATATTGGAGCGTCGAGAACGCCCTATAGAAGGGTACAACGGTGTGGTAAGAGAGGGTATGGCGGATAGCACAACATAGCGACTACGAGGGGGAGCGCAGAGTCAGGTCTAGTATCATATGCTAGTGCAGTGTCCGAAGAGCCTCTTTCACCGTGCTCCGTTCCCCGAGCAGAGCGAACAGCTGCCACCGCCGGTCCCGCATGTCCTTGTTCTTCAGGATGACGTCGTCCTCGGTAGTGTCATTATCGCCGACTGCTAGACGCATTGCGGTCGCAGACTTGTTCGGGAGGGCTGCCGGTGACACGCTGAAGAGGCTGTCGAACGACGATGCGGAGAGCACATAACTATGCGAATGTGGTTCGGCGGCACGAATGGATGAGATGGCGTGGGATGTTGATGTAAGTTGGAGGGCTTGTGTGATAAGCTGTTTCAGCTTGGCCTGCAGGGGTTGTGAGGGTATGCAGGGACAATAGGGACACAGCACGCACCTCGAACGCGAGCATCATGAGGGATGCTACATCCCGGGAAGGAGCACCCAAGTTATGTTGCGCAGATATAAGGTTTATGCGATCCGAGATATGTTGCATTGTTGGAGCGCGAGCCATGGAGGCCAAATGTAGCGGCAGTCTACTCCCGGGAGATTCTATGCACAGTTGTCAGTGTCCGGACAGTGCCAAAGCATGAACAGTACATACCTCCGCGCTCTTGCATCAATGTGACGCCTCGTTCTGCCGCTATCTCGTCCGTGTAGTCTCTAGGGACAACCGGTTCGTTCAGAGCCACGGTCTCGAGGGCGCGTATGCGGTCCCGCTCGCGCCTGCCCAGCCCAACAGTCCACTTCTTCAGCCTCGTAGACCGGAGGGTACCTTCGTCCACCGCGTCCGGGCCCTGGTACGGTAGCGTGCGGCGCCGCTTGCGGGAAGGAAGTTTGGGCACATCCGGAGGCGGGGTGGGTGGCGCAAGGTGGGCGGAAGTGTCGAATAGGGAGACAATGAGGGTGTTATGTAGCTGGACTATTCCCGCAGAGCGTGTACGTTAGCGCATGGGAGTCGAGCGAGTCGAAAGATGCCATACCGAGATGAGTGCTGTCTAGATGTGTCTTGACCTGGTCGTCGTATTCGGTCCGCGAGATGTGGCCTGAGAGGTACTCCTTGAGGACGCTGAAGTATGGAGGGGCTTTGGGGCCCAGCGCGGTGCTGAGCTGGTTCTTAATGGTGGTCGTGGATGACAGCGACATGGTATGCAGCGGTCGCGGTACGCGCGCTGGTGGCCGTTCCGGAGGAGGTGAGTGCAGCACTGCAGTACCGCCGGGCCGGGCTGGAATGGGCGGGGATGCTTACATAAGGGGTACAATGAAGGGCGGGATCATGGGCGCCTGCGCGGGATTGACGTTGCCCCAGTACTGCTGACTTGCCGGGGTGGCTGCAGCACCTACCGCAGGCTAGAAGCTCAAGCTCGAGAACTTCCTCATCGACCACGCTATATAGTCCTATCGATAGACCTCTGGCTGCCTGCGGATCCCCCGCCACACCCCTCTGCTGCCCTTTGATCTGAGTTCTTGCTCGCATGTCTGGACGCACGAACGCCGAGACGCCAAATGCTCATGACTCTGCCGCTCATCGACCTGTGACGTCCAAGGCACGCGGGGTCTGCAAATACTAGTAAGCATCAGGCCTCCGGATTCCCAATTGGATAGGATACTTACATATATGTGCCACAAAGCAATACCGACCGCGGGTGCTACGCCGGCGATCGCTGCAAGTTCTTGCACGGAGAAACGGAGCGCTTGACCCCTTATGACAAGAACAAGCCCTGCAAGTTCTACGCCGCCGGATACTGCAGGCGCGGAGAGAAGTGCTGGTTCTTGCATGCGGACCCAAGCAAGGTCGGCAAGACGAGCGAGCCTGAGGAGGAAGACGAGATAGTGTGCACCATTTGCTACGACAAGCCGGAGACGTTCGGATTGCTTGGTGAGTGCTCCCACTCCACGTATTCGCCGTGATCTGGTGGGCCGGGCACGCCACAGCATCGTCCCCTGTCCGCGTTTCTCTTGCGGTTCCTGCGCCATCTACCCGCTTGTATGCTGGCTTTACCGCGTGCGAATGTCCACCATTTCGCATTCTGTAGCCGCGCCCTCCGTTCAGCATTACACATACATTTCAGGTTGAATGATTATTGACCAGGCTTATGTCACAGCGGGCTGCAGTCATGTCTTCTGTATCACGGTAAGGACGGTTCTCCGAGCACTTCGGAGATATCTCTAAACACAATGCATTGTACCCAGTGCATCAAGAACTGGCGTGAAACGCAGGGCAAGTCCGAAGACATAGTCCAAGCAGGGACGACCAAGACATGCCCCATGTGCCGTACCTCCTCCCGCTTCGTGACGCCATCCGCGTTCTTCTATGCCGAGGGGCATCCAATGAAGTCCGAGGTCATTGACAAGTACAAGGCCAGCATGGCGCGCGTCAAGTGCAGGTGCGCGGCGTCGTTTCGCTCGTAACCCACGTCTCTAATCACGCAATTCACCGGCTACTCTAGGTACTTCGAGCGCTCTAAGGCGAGTGAGAGGTCCTGTCCGTTCGGAAAGGACTGCTTTTATAAGCATGAGAACCCGGATGGGTCGCCATACGTTTTTGAGCATGGTGCAGCCTACTACATGGAGGTGAGCACTCAATAGAGTCCTACGCCCTGAGTTCCGCCGGGAGCCATAACTTACAGTAGCGAATATAGCGCCGCGCTCGAAGGTTCCGTGGCAGCTTTGGGGACGATCTGTTCAGCCTTGACGTTGTGGAGCACGTTGAATCCATGCTGAACACTATCTCCCAAGTCTTCGGCACCTCAAGGGAAATGGTAATACCTCGTGTTGTTCGCGCATATTCTGATCGACTGACACTGGAGCTCCTACAGCAGCGGGCAATCTTGGAGAGCGTGGCCGCCGAGTTCGGCGTAGACTCGCTGCCGCCCATGTATCGACTTGAGGAGTTTGAAGAAGACGAAGCGCTCGCGCCGGCACCGGCACCACCCCCGGAAGCTATCGACTCAGGCGAAGGGATTGGTAGTGGCTCCGTTGCTAGCTTCACCTCTAGCCCTCAGATGAACGACGAGCACATACTCGAGAACCCCGACGAAGACGAGGGCTGGAGACCAGCTCCTTCCGATCAAGAGAGCGCTGCTCCTCCAGCGCATATCACGACCAATTCCGGTCTTGATCCGACTATCCCAGAGTTCGTGCCGTCATTCCTGCGAGCTAGTACAAGCCAACTCCCGGGTCCCTCGTATGAACTCGACTGGTTGAGACCGCTCCCCTCGGGTCCGTCTGCGGCGAGTGGATCCCAGTTGGTGGAGCAACCTGGAGATGAGGAGCTCGCGTCTGGGCCGGGCATCCATTCACAACCTCAAGGTGTCCGAATGGCGACGTCCTACTTGCGGGGTCGAATCGACGCAATCAATGCCCTCATCCTTCAAGAGTCATCACCTCTGAGTCCCTTATCCGAGGCGTCTTCGTCTCTGCTCAGTCCCCCTTCGTCGGACACGCAAGCCCAGTCCACTGCCGCTTCTGCGCAAGACGCACCCCTAGACGTTCAACCTGCTGCGTCGGAACCTGGGCTTGTTCAAGACGCCGATCCTCCGTTCATGACGGACGGTCGCGGCCGTGTTGTCTGGAGCAGCACGACCTCCTCACGGGGCCGCGAGGGTCGACGCGGGCGTGCGGCGTCCTCCTCGGCCATGGTTCCCCCGCATCTCAAGTCCAACCCGGACGTACTTGTTCCTGAGGACCGCGCCACTCCCTCGCGGCACGACTCCCCTGCGCAGCGGACGTCGCAGCGTCTGATCCGACAGCGATCTCTTCCGTCGGTCGGCCCGAGCAGCGACATCGAGGAGCTCGAGGTGCCGCCTGAGTTCGTCACAGATGGGAGGGGGCGTGTCGTGTTCGCGTCAGCCAACGACGGCCACTGATTCTGCCGTCGGAGCACTACCTATCGCACATACTAACGTTCTGCATTCACTCCCTGTATACTTACCCGGACGTTCATCCCCCCTCGCACTTAGCTCTCGAAACCCATTAACCACTTTTCCGGATTGTACTGCGTATCGCGTCAATGTATGTATCAGTAGATTTCGTGAATTCGTTTGTTTGTGAGCATCCGCTCTGCACGCTCGCGATGAGGGAACTCGCGAACTTGGAGGACTTAATTAAGAACTGCACCTGGGCAGCGGTGCTAACTGTATTCGGGCACGAATATTAAATTGGAATTACGTCACTCGCGACTAGATGGGTTGCTAACGGCAAGAGGCCTGCCCTCCGTCCTCCTGCATCCTGCTCTCATCTCGCGTCCTTTGCTGCTAATCGCGTAACCGCAGACGGACAGCGATAGGCCATCCGAAAACTGACGAATCCAGCGAGGCCCAACGTCGCGGACGCGGCCGCTATCCACCACTCCCGCGCGATCGCCTATCCGAACTCTTCCCCGGCGTCGTTGTATGTAATCTTGTCGTACGCTCTCGTCCCGAACGCGTCTCGCTCTCTTATAAACCACCACCACCCCGCTGCGAAATCTTCCTGGCTTCCGCTGCCCACCCCTCGCACTCTGCTTCTGAGCCCGTCTGCATCGTGCGCTGCGATCCTCCGTTACCGGTCCGGCGTCACCCCTTGCTTCTACCACGCTTATCTGCGCCCGGCATAGTCTCCGCGACTTGAACCATGGCTGAAAATAGCGGCGAGAAGGGCGGCGAGAAGAGTGCAGAGGCTCAGCAGGCCCAGCAGGCCGCCGCGGAGCCATCGAGGAAGACCAGTGGGGACGATTCCGAGGCCCCTGCAAAGTCTTCCTCGACCATCCCGTCCCCGGGGTCCGATAACGGACGGAGAGGACGGTCGAGGACGCGTGTACATGGCTCACGGCCTTCGGAGGATATGGCGAGTCGCAAGTGAGTCCCCGCTCAGTCTGGATCGCGTCGTAGGTGCTCATGAACCGCGTGCAGGGGCTACCATGCGCTCATGTCGTCGTTCGGCAAGGTATTCCACGTCGAGAAACGGTGGAAGCTCATCCGCGAGCTTGGCTCCGGGGCGTACGGCTTTGTGATGTACGTCGCGCGATGCTAGCTCTCACCCCGATCCACACTGAATGCACTCTGTTCATCTCCAGCTCGGCGGCGGACGACATCTCCGGGGAGCCCGTCGCGATCAAGATGGTGACCCGTGCGCTGGAGAAGGTCGCGCTCGCGAAACGCGTCCTGCGCGAGATCACGCTGCTCCGCCACTTTGCGCACGAGAACATCACCGGGCTAATCGACGTGGACTGCTCGCCGGACCTCAGCGAAATGCATGTGTTCCTCCTCGCGCACTCGCGCCATATGCCGTAAGAAGCTAACACGCATCGCAGATACATCTTCATGGAGGTGCGTCCCTCTTTACGTGGCGCGTTGTGTGATCGGTGCTCACGTCTCGTGTGTGTGCTTCAAGCCTATGGAAGGTCCGCGTTCAGATGTCTATTCAATATTGACGTCATTCTCAATGTCTTCGCTGTTTTGTTCTTGCAGCGGATTTACACCAGATTATCAAGTCGGGACAGGCTCTGACCAACGAGCACGTCCAGTACTTCGTGTACCAGGTCCTCCGAGGTATATCCGAAGCCGTCGCATCGTGGCGCGAAAGCTAACTTTCCGTGCAGGCATGAAGTATATCCACTCGGCTTCGGTAGTTCATCGAGATCTCAAGCCGGGCAATCTGCTTGTCAACGCCGATTGCGAGCTGAAGATTTGCGATTTTGGCCTCAGCCGCGGGTTCAATTCTGCACCGGACGAGAACCCGACCCTCATGACTGAATACGTCGCTACGCGGTGGTACCGAGCGCCGGAGATCATGCTTGTATACAAGTGAGTGCTCTACTGGCGGCCTGCCCCGAGTTGAGTCTAACCTTGGCCGTCGTAGGGCATATAACACGGCAAGTCAGTGTTCCGAATTGCTTTGGCCCGCATCGACGCTCATTGTGGCGTAGTCGATGTGTGGTCAATAGGTTGCATTATGGCAGAGTTGATGATGGGGAAGCCGCTGTTCAAGGGCAAGGAGTAAGTTCCGCACGGTTCGTATTGAATTTGTCGCTGACCTGCCGCTATTATAGCTATGGTCAGACAAGCTTCTTGTCGAAAAGCGATAGAATGGTTGCTGACTTGTTATATTGTCTCCAGTCGATCAGCTGAACAAAATTTTGGACGTCCTCGGTGATTGGTCTCCCGTCTTCGTAGCCATAAACATTCTCACAGTATCGCAGGATCTCCGGAAGATGCAGTAATAACTCGAATAGCAAGTCCCAAGGTAATGTCCGTTCTCCTCGACCCTGTGCAGCTTGCTTACGAGCAGTGCAGGCTCAAGCCTACATCCGGTCATTACCCATCAAGAAAAGGGTCCCTTTCGAGAAACTCATCCCGACCGCCGATGCCCAAGGTTTGTTTATATATACTTCGAGCGCCTGCCGGGATCTCAACTACTACTGCAGCTATCGACCTCCTAACCAAGCTCCTGCAGTTTGATCCTGCCGCTCGCATCACCGTAGCAGAAGCTCTAGAACACCCCTGGCTATCCGCATACCACGACGTCAGCGATGAACCCGCATGCGCCGCGCCATTCGAGGGCTGGAGGCAGATCGAAGAGCTCGAAACGCTGCCGCAGTTCCGGGAAGCGATCTACAACGAGATCCATGACTACCGCAAGGAGGTCCGGAGCATCTACTTCGACGTGGATGAGCCAGCGGCGGATCGGAGTCCGAGCATCCGACGCCCAAGGGAGGTCCTATCGCCACCGCCTATCGAGGAGGGCGAGTCTCCTCCGCCACTGCCCGAGTCTCCCACCGCGGCTGGCAGCAGCACGCTGTCATCAGAAGCAGCAGAAGCAGGCAAGAGCAAGCCCGTGTCTCCAGAGACGAGCACCCTTCCTTTACCTACAGAGTCTTCCACGACCTCCACCATCGCAGCCCCTGGCACGGAAGGCGCGATACCCCGCGAACGGCCTGCAGAGCCCCGCCCACAAGGGGGCGACCCCGTGTACACCTACGTCCGGCGGTCAAGCTTCATGCAGCCATCACGCACAAGCTCGACCTACTCCACCTTCCGCTCCCGGCACTCCGTCGCGTACCCGCCCGAAAACCGCAGTTCGCTCGAACGCGCCGTCGGGCTCGGCTCTGGGATGCCCACGGGCACGGGCACGGGGACGAGCGCAAGCGGCGAAAGCACGATCGCGTTCCCGACGCAACCGCAGGAGTACGTCGTGCCCGCACGGACGCGAACGGCGTCGATGTTCGGGGACGGAGCCGCGAGCCGGCGGCTGCTGCGCACGCTTTCGACGGTGTCGATTTACGAGAGCGGAGAGGGCTTCGCGGGAGGGCTGGCGGACATCGCGCCGATCGGGCGGTACATCGTAGAGCGTGACGAGGGGCTGCCGTCGGAGATGCCGCACGAGCTCGAGAGCCCGCCTCAGCCGCTCGCGCTGTCGCAGACGCAGTCGCCGACGTCGCAAGGGAGCGGCTCGGGGTCGGGTTCGGAGGGCAGCAAGAAGGAGCGTGCGCGGTTCCACATACAGGAGTAGCTGCTCAGTGTTGGGCAGAGGTGAGCGCTAGCGGCCACTCGTGTTATGGGAGTGATAGAAGAGATGTACCGATATTGTAATTGTGCATATACGGCTTCCGGTAGATAGAGACACACATACATGCGACGACGTGCTGACGCGCAGGTAGTACTTGGCAAAACGATCATTACAACTAGAGAATACAATGCCGTAAAAGTAGTACAGTGAAGTGTGATACAAGATAGTACTGTGTTGATCAAACGTCGCCCAGCTGCTGCTTGATTTCTGAGCCCATCGTTAGCGCGAGGGTTCGAGACGACTGATTCATGAGACTCACTGTCTATGATGTCCAGGTATGCAATGCTCGCCGGGCTCTCGGGGTACTCGTCCAAGAAGCTCACGCCGTAATCCGCACTCTTGCCTATCCGCGGGTCCAGCGGGACAGCGCCCAAGAACTCCACGCCCATGTCCTGCGCCAGCCGCCGCCCACCCCCGGTGCTCGGCTTGAATATCTGCGACTCCGTCTTGCAGTTCGGACACACGAAGCCAGACATGTTCTCGACGAGCCCAAGGACGCGGATCCCGACCTTGTTGCAGAAGTCGATTTCACGCCGCACGTCCTGCAGCGCAACCTCCTGCGGGGTCGTGATCACGACCGCGCCGTCGATGCCGCTCTCCTTGAGGTACTGCACGATGCTGAGGTGCTCGTCGGACGTGCCGGGCGGAGTGTCGACGACGAGGTAGTCGAGGTCGCCCCAGTCGACGTCCTTGAGGAACTGCGAGATGAGCCCGTTCTTCTTCGGGCCGCGCCACATGATCGCGTCCTTCGCAGAGGGCAGCATGAACCCGACGGACATCACGCCGAGGTTGTCTTGCACGTACACGGGCGACCAGCCGGAGGAGGACGCGTGCACCTGCTCGGAGGCGATCCCGAGGATGGTCGGTATTGAGGGCCCGCAGATGTCGACGTCCATGATTCCGGTCTGTGTTGCGGTCAGTACAAGGGACCGGGTCGCGTGGGTGTGGGCGGTGGACGTACCTGGACGTTCTCGTCTGCAGCGAACGCCCATCCGAGCTGTGCGGTAAACGTAGATTTCCCTACGCCGCCCTTTCCGGAGAGCACAAGGATCTTGCGCTTAACACTGGACATGCGTTCGCGTACGAGAGGAAGGGCGGGGTCGGGACCTCGGGTTTCTCCCGATGCACATATCTCTTGATTTGCACATCCTGCACACGCGTCCGCCTTTCCAGCAAGTTCTGATTCAGTCCCCTATCATACAAGTCAGTATTGTACAGACTGCAAGGCGGGTGTAGACGTACCGGACAGTGCTCCGGTGCATTCGCGGGGACCCCGAAAGGATCGGGGGTAGGGGTTGCTTGCTGCAACGCGATCATGGGAGTGACACCAGCGTCTCCGATGTTTTGACTTCAACACAGAGTGGTCAGTCGACAATCTGGCGCGTTATTGCGTAGCAGAGGTATGTTGCAGGAGGCAGAGTGAGGAAGAAGAGAGCTGAAGAGAGCTGCAGACGATCGACTCCGACTTTGTCATCCAGCAAATCTAATCTTATCTGGGTCTAGCAGACACATTCCTCATCGAGATCTACGATCGGCTCATTGCAGAACTTGTCTCTCCCCCTCATCATGCCCGAGGACGCGCAAGCTACGCCAGTGCTACCCATCTGCACCGTGCAACACGACTTCAATGTCGTCGTGAAAGATGTTATCGATGGGCTCGTCCCCGAAGATACTTTCTGGGTGTCCTGCTACAAATTCGGCGAACCATCTGTGCACGGCAAGGCCGTAGCGGCTTTGGACGAACACAACCGCAACTTAGTGCTCTATCAAGGGCGGGATGGGGTGGATTTCAAGGCCACTGAGGATGTAAGTCACTCTATCTTTCTACTCAGTCACGTCTATAACACCTCCACAGTCTTCGTATGCCATCGCTTGCCCGACTCTGGGGATCGGCGAAACACGCATAGCGGTACCACGCATCGTCTACCCATCTCCATCGGATATACGAAAGGTTGGTATGTCATGACGGGAGAGCCACTGCCGATGATGACGAGCGTCACTCGTCGAATAGCAGAGCCAAATAACCGCTTTTGATGTTGCGCCAGACGGGTCCCAATTCGCGACAGGCTACCACGATGGATCGGTATACATACGCTCAACAACCTCATCTACGGCTCCACCTACTGCTTTCAGCAAATCTCATCTCAGCACTGTCACCTCGATACGCTTCTTCCCCTCGTCGCGGGTCATCCTCTCTGCCGGTGCAGACTTCTCGCTTTCCATCTTGTCCGCAGACCCTCCAGAGTCTTCATCGTACACAACCGTCAAGGCCACCCCAGCGCGGACGCTACGCGGTCATACGCGGGCCATCACCTCCACCGCCATAATCGCACGTGGGCGCAACGTCCTGTCAGGTTCGAAGGACGGAACGGTCCGTCTTTGGGATATCCCCTCGAGCTCACAAATCCGCACACTCGCCGCGGGATCGAGTCATTTTGTGCCCGTGCTTGCGATCAGCTCTGGGGAGCGGTGGCGGGACGCGGCGCTTGAGAGCACTGCTGACGACGTCGATTCGCGAGAAGTAGAAACGTCTGACAAGGTGGTGTTCTGCGGCCTGCAAGACGGCTCGTTTGAGCTCTTCGACCTGCGCACCAAGTTCCCAGTCTTCCGGTCTCCAGCCGGAGCCTCTGGCGCACGATCGGCTCTGCAAGCACTCGCATACAGCCCCGAGCGCAGCCTGTTGGCGACAGGATCTGCTGCCGGACTGACTTCAGTGTACGACGTCCGCACGCTCGGAGAAGGGCCGGTGACGACATTCCGCCGTAATGAAGCTCCCATCGAGGATATTGTCTTTGTGGACCCGCCAGCGCACGCGAGCCGAGACGAAAGCACACCCCCGCTTGGCGGCCTCGCGATTGCTACCGAGGACGGGCTGCCGTATGTTGCCAACATACAGCGGTCCAGAGCCGATGTCCGCGCGGAGCTTGTTGGGACGGACTGCGACGCCGTGAGGCTTGTGCGCGCAGCGGGCCGCCACGTTTGGACTGCGGCGGATGATGGCGTGGTTCGCAGGTATGTTTTGTAGCGTGAATGACTTATGCATGTATGTCAACAACAATGGGATTTCGAGCCTGATGGTTCGTACGCCAGGGCAATCCGAAAGCGGTAAGCTATCATAGCTCGACTCATTGTCATTGACCACGCCACGCCCACTTATCCACATTGGGACTCCGTGGGCAATTCGATTGTCCCACCCATTTGAGCGTCGTATATATAAAGGGTGTCTTTCGCTCTCCTTGAAGCCGAACACGACCACTGTCATGACAGACCCAACGTCCCAGGCTGCACTGCGTACCCACTCTCGCCCCTCTTCTCCGCCCTCGAACCCGCGAAAGCGCCAGCGTGTCGAAGACGACGCCACACCGGATGCGGCCCCAGAAGTGAGCTTCTTTTTGAAGTTCTTCGCATTCTTGCTCATTCCTTGGAACCTTTGCTAGCATGATCAGTCCGACCATCCACAGAATGACACCGCGGACACAGGTGTTGCAGTCAAGACGCCTGATGTCGTCCCCGCTGCTATGAGGATCATGCGAGCTCTGCGGCAGGCGACTCGCCGCCTCAAATCCATCGGCGATTGCCCTTCAGTGCATTCCGCACGGACTGTCAAGATGCGGCGTTACGACCCTCACGATAGCGAGGGCGTTGCTGCCAGCTCAAGATATGTCAAGGTGAAGAGAACCGAAGACGGGATAGCCAAGGTCGAACGCAACAAGGTGCGTCTAGCCACTTGTTGCCAACCTAGGTGGCCGCTTTCTGACCTGCTTGATAGGAACGTTTCGAACAGCTGGCAGCACTCGTGAAGGCGGACAGACGGGACTGGGGCTCTGGGTACTTAAAGGAGCCCTTCCGTCTGCGCATCACCCAACCGGGCTGCGAGTTCGACGGTTACATCGGGCCCAACACCACCACCAACTTCAAGCGTCGCGCGTGGAAGGAAACGCACGAGGACAAGTTGCTGCGCGAGGAGCTCTGCCAGCGGCTCCGCCAGTGGCACGGTAGTGCACTGACGTCGGGCTATGGCGACGTGCGCGAGCAGGTCACGAAGATCGACGAAAGCGTCCGCACCGCACGCGAGATCGGCGCCTCCGAGTTTGCGGTAGAGAATGAACTACTCCGGGCTATCGAGGGCATCTGGACAGAGCAGTTCGTCCCGGGCTCCGACGTGCGTGCAGAGGCGTACAAGATTCATCTCTATGGACCGGGCGGCCACTTTAAGATGCACCGCGACACCCCACAGAAGGATTTGGTTGGCACGTTCCTCATAGGATTGGGCGATACGGCATTTTCGGGTGGCCTCGTGGTCAACGGCGAGACCATGGAGGCACGACCGGGATCGTGGTGCGCGTTCTACCCGGACGTGCCCCACTACGTGAAAGAACTGGGAGCGGATGGCTACCGCGCAAGCATCGCCTTCAAGATCTTCCGTGCCCCAACCCCCCTTTGGAGAAGCAACCGTCAGTCGGAGAAGACTGAGCAAGTACGTCAGCGGATCGCAGATATCGTGGCTGAGGTAGAGGCGCCATTTGGCCTCCTTCTCGAACACAAGTACTCCCTGGGCACGGACGAGTTCAGCGGCTTCGACGCTCTTATTGTGGGCGCGATACGGTCGCGGTTCTCAGGACCTGGGTTCGAAGTACGTCACATCCCCGTCGTGGTGGAAGAGCACGCTAGATGGGGGGACGAGGACGAGGAGGACGAATTCTCCATGATGTGCGACACGACCGTTTACCCCTTCACCGCCTGCCACATCGACTTCCTCAACGAGGACGTGTCCGAGAAGGACATACTCGACGGGTCTGAGTGGCTGGATGGTGTCAAGAACGTCCCGTTCTATTCCGTCGACCTCTCGGATCGGACGATGTTCCCCTACAAGGAGGAGGAGAAGGAGACGGTCAATCACACCGGGAACGAGGCACAAGCATGGAGGGCCGATAGCGTATATTTGTCGTACGCGTTGATGGTGTTGCCCAAGGCCGAGAAGGATACGGTGGAGGCGGCGGCGGCATCAGCTTGACACTGTACAATACTCTTCACTAATAACTCGAATCCGGCATCCGAATGTTAGTACTTAGTCGCTAGTAGCTCCTCAGAGTCTTCCAACACTTGTACAATTGAACGATGATTCTTGATGTATGATGTTTGAAATAGTGTCCGCCCCAGGCAAGCAGCAGTGAAGCTCTTCTTTGCGCTATGTGCCATTGCACGAAGCGGTGCGGGCGCCTGTGCCACGGGACAGCCTCGAAGGATGCCATGAGTAGGCGCCAGTGGAATTTCTCTCTCCGGCACCACGCACTGACAAGGTCGTCTTTGCCAATATTAGCCAGCAGGTAGGCCTGGAGTCGGATACTAAAGACCCTTCGAAACCCATCCGACTGCCAACACTGGCAGCCGACGCGCCTGCGCAGAGTAAGTATTCATTGTGCAACGCGCTGTAGGAACAAAGAATATTTGATCAGCTCTCAGCCATGGCTAACCACCCCGCAGCCAGATGCAGGCAGATTTTGATTGTTTCCACTCCCCGGGCTAATGGATTGGAACAATGGCAAGCCCGCAGCAGCAAGTATTACCGGAGGTGACGCATGCAGGTGTGTGGCTAAGTGGCAGAGGCTCTCCCGTGGAATATAAATACCGGCGGCGGAGACCTTCGTCAGCCCGGATTTGTCCCTCTCAGTACCCCCTTCCTGTCCCTCCCACAGACAGCATCGATCTCGATTCTCATGGCAGACTCTATGCAGAGCACGAACCCCAGGAAGCGTCAACGTGTTGAAGAAGACGTCGACTCTAGCGTACCGACTTCAGAGGTGCGTTCTGTGTCCAGTCCTCAGCTCCTGCAGCTTACGCCCTTGGTTCAGTCGGTCGACACGGCCGACGGCCAACATGACACTGCGGCAACTGGCCTGAAGTCCCAGCCGGTCGTCGGACTCCCAGCGGCTATGAGGGTCATCCTAGCTCTGCAACGTGCGGAACGTCACCTGAAGGCAATCGGAGTCTGCCCCACGAAGCACGCCGCGCAAACAAAGATGATGCTAGAGTATGGCCCCCGTCCCGACGATAAGAATAAATATCATCAAGTGATATTCAGCGGCGACTCAGAGGTCCTTGGCAAAAAGGCTAGTACAGAGGAGCAGAAAGCCAAGGTGGTGCAGGACAGGCGCAACAAGGTACGTCCCGCCGACTTATCTGAAATGCTGTCATTTTCTCTCTTGTCTGACCGCTGCGCTCTGTCAGGCACTCTTCGGGACGCTGAAGGATGTCGCGGATGCAAATTCGAGGAACTATGCGTATGGCTACATGGACGAGCCCTTCAGCCTCCGCGTTAATCGACCGGGTTGTGAGTTCGACGGACCCATCTTACCTAATCGCAACAGCCACAAGTCCCAAGTATGGAACGCGAAGAAACATGACTTGCGCTGGGAGTTACATACGCGACTCCAACAGTGGTACAACAGCGCGTCTGTGTCAGGCTTTGGCGACGTGCGCGAGCAGGTGACCAAGATCGACGAGAGTGTCCGCACCGCACGCGAAATCAACACCTCCGAGTTCACGGTGGGAGACGAGCTGCTCCGACGTGTCGAGAATATCTGGAAGGAACAATTCGTACCCGGCTGCGACGTGCGTGCCGAACCCTACAAGATTCATCTCTACGGCCCGGGCGGCCACTTCGACACACACCGCGACACTCCGCAGAAAGACCTCATGGGCACGTTTCTGGTGGGCCTCGGCGACACTGCGGACCATGGCGCCCTCGTGGTCGATGGCAAGCATTTGAAAGCGCATCCAGGATCGTGGTGCGCGTTTTACCCGGATGTGCCGCACGAGGTGACAAGACTGTCCGATGGCTACCGCGCCGTGGTCGCCTTCAAAATCTTCCGTGCTTCAAGTTCTACAGGGGCGGGGGATGGCGACACCCAGAAGACGGCGGAGGTGCGTCGACGGCTTGCAGAGGTCGTGCCGAAGATGAAGGCCCCGTATGGCCTCCTGCTTGAACACAAGTACTGCCTGGGTACGGACGAGTTCAGCGGCTTCGATGGGCTCCTGGTAGACGCAGTGCGCGCCCATTCTTCAGGCAGGTTCGATGTTCACCACCTCCCCGTCGTGGTCAGCTCGTGGTCCGTGTGGGGCTCAGAAAACGACGACCCTTACGAAGAATACGCCGTCCATTGCTCCACGAATGTGTACCCTTTCACGAACGGCCACATCGACTACTTGAACTCGGTCCCGGCGGAAAAATCATATGGCAGCGCCACCCACACAGCCTGCGGATGTGCCTGGTTGGAGGACGTGAAGGACCTCCAATTCTACGCCGTGGACCTTTCGCGGCGGACCATGTTCCCTTTCAAGCACGAGACGAATGAGACATGCAACCATGTCGGGAACGAGGCGCAGGCTTGGCGAGAAGATAGTGTATATCTATCATACGCGCTACTAGTGTTGCCCAACACGACCGCAAAGGAAGGAGCGGAAGAGGTGTCTGAGGAGGATGGAGTTGAAGGATTAGAAGAGGAGGATGAGGATGAAGAAGGATCGTATGTGCCCTCGGAGGAAGAGGACGGGGAAGAAGAGGAGGATTCGGAAGATGATGAGTCGGGAGAGGAAGCATCGGAGGGGTAAGTGAACGATACGGGATCGAGTAGCGATCTGCTTTCGGCGGCATGCATGCGTCCTTGATTGTGCTCCATGTTCCATCCTTTAGTTTGTTCAGATCAACATATCTAATACACAGTTCTAAGTCTTCGATTATATGTCTTGGGCGATAATACTTGAGCGCGATGTGCCACACTAGGCACCAGCGGTACATCTACTCCGCTACCGTCAAGTAGCATGGACTAAGTAAGGTGCTGCAATCCCCGCGCACCCGTTGAGAATCATCCGTTAAAATAAAGTAGAGACGGGTTGGAGCGGTACTAACTACGCGCTTTACAGCGAAGCTCCGAAGAGTCGATAGTCCGAGTGGCAGTAAGTAGTATTTAGTTGTTTTGCTCGTGGCCGCAACTTTGTGGCGCGAATAATTTGGATAGTATGATGGGCGTTGCACACCCCGGAAGCCCCCGCTCTCTAAGTCTTGCAAGAAACGATCTCTCGATATCAGTTTCGCCGTAGATAGGAACGGCACAGTCTGAGTCTGCGACACCGCTGCATCGACTCTTGACTCTGAGTGTGCTGCCAGTGCGTTCAAGGGAGATACGGGATGCCACGCGAGCTATTTCCCATACAGAGACCGTGCGAACAATTGTCGCGTTAGAGGTACACCGTACAGCCACACAGCCAAAGTTCGTCTTCGCCAGAACGGGGAACATCGTCCACGACCGTTGTTGGTTTCATCAATTCGACCATTGTCGCCCACGCGGCATTCCCAAAAAAGGTTCAAGACACCGGGCTATCTGACAAGACACATGGTGCGTCTTAGTAACGCCATCGCGCCCCCGTTCGTCAGACGACTCTCTGGAGATCTTAGCCACTGGCACAGCTCAGATCTGAGCATCAGTCAGCGCTGTACCTTCGGAGGCCGTTGTGATGCCGCAGATTCCGCGTGATATGTAGGTCTATTGTGTACCTCCAGCCCTCATACATGTGCCCATAGAAATTGACGCACAACAGCCGCCTGTTCCTGGCAGTACAATACGAACAGCCAACGAACAGCCTCCAGCTAACTTCTTAAAGTCTAGATACAACGTTCAAGTACGCGTTCACCGCGTCATGACCGGTTCTATTGCATACAATGCCACGGCTTTCCGGGTGTGCAGGTACGCCGCCCCCTTTCACATTGCCCGGAGTGGTTTGCACTTGAAATCGCTTCAGCCCAGTGACTCACGCACGCACGCTCATGCAATTACTCAGATGCTCTCCATGACCACAATTATTGGCATCATCAAGGCGAGCGTCGACTTAAATTCACGCCGAAGGCCATGTTGACAGCATCCCAGTCCATTTTCGGCCCAGGAACGCACTTGCGGGGCCTCTGTCAACCCTCGAGCCATACATACAAGGATATTGCCGCCGTGCGGCGGGGTATGGGCGCGCCGAGGCGGTTCCGGGGCCGATGGGGTGAAGCCTGGTTCTCAATCAACAAACATACGGTTCCTTTCCCCGTGTACCACGATGCTCGCCTGCCCATCGCCGCCCTTAGTCAGAGAGGATGCCGTTTCCAGCCCTGGCTAATGCACACCAGGAACAAGTGATGGGAGGCAGTGGTGGTCGAAAGACCGCTGGTGTATCTGCACAGACTCGTGCATAGTAGCGCGCCCTCGTCGGTGTCGGGGGCTTGGCGGCTGGTGGGCCTATAAATGCATGGTGCTCGATTTTCTGTCCAGCATCGAGCGAAACCCACAGCGCGCGATATGCTACCCATACGGACTGCCCTGCTGCTCACACCCTTCCTGGGTGCCACCTTCGCATCTGTAATCCCCGAAGCAAGAGACCTCCAAGCTCGCGCCGGCACCGTCAATGGGAGTTGTATTTCTGCTCCCGACGCCGCATGCGTCTCCCTCGTTGGGCTGTGTGTGGCCAAGATCGCAGCAGGACAGGTTAGCGTGCCGCTTCAGATATATGGGGTGGATGCTGACGCTCTCTTCAAGATCGGTTCTACTGCGTATTGGACAGATAGCGTTTGCGTCGCTGCTGCGACTTGCGCAAGTGTATGTACTGGACGCTTCCCTGTGGCTTATCTCTGAGGCTGACCATTCGGGCGAACAGATGGGATCCGTCCTGGATGCTGCGTGCTGCGCTGGGACGTGCAGGACACCCACTCAGATCGGTAGCCTGGATGTCAACAATGTGGGTATCTCGATACCTAATGCTCTGCCGTAGGCTTCGATAATTGACACAACATTCATATGCATCAGGTATATCGTTCAATGGTCGGAACATCGTGCACGTCGCAGACAGCATCGAGTTGCACACTTACATGGCGTACGTTTGCATGCACGCCGCACATGGTATATTACTGATGTGAGCGTTAGAACCTTTCATTGATTGGTTCTACGGCACTATCCAGACGACTGGAACCAATTTATGGCCCGAGTACGTGCTGCGACGCCGGTGGACAGGCGAACACTGACATCGTTGCTTTTAGGTCCGGTGACGACGTCCTCGACAGATGGCAAGACATTGCAAACTGGACGGGTTTCTGCGTGGGCGATAGCTGCGTAGATGGCGCGATCCCGTACAGCAACTTCAACGACTGGTTCCACTTTTCCACGGCTATCATCGCGACCACTCCGGGCACGCCGAAATACGTGAACGTGTTCCCCACATTGGAGGAGAACATCGACAACTTCACGCCAAACATCTTCTGGCCGTGCCAGTTGGATGAGCAGGCCGACTGCTGGTGGGACTATGGTCCGCTACCCCCAGGCACTTTCCAGTCGGGCACAGCAGCTCTGCAAGCGCAAGTACGGCCGACGCCCTTGGTTATGGCTATGCAGGCCAAGTTCACAGCTTCGGTGACGGGCAACAGCTCTTCTCCCTTTGGTCGCGCCGCATTCCAGCCGCTCAACGTGCCTCCTCCGGTCTACGTGAACGGAGAGCTGTTCCCCCTCGTTCTCAACGGCGCACCGGTGCAATGGAACGTCACTACGAACCCTGCAGAAGGGGATGACTCTCCCGACGTCGGCGCCCCGTCTACGAACCCCCCCGCTCCGCAGACCACTCCTACCGCCTCCGGGAATCTATCCGAGCTTGCAGTCGTTCCCGGCGCTTGCAAGGGTCCCATCGACATTCCTACGACTTTGCCTACGTTGACGTACTTCTGTCCATTCTTCCCTGGCATCTGCCAGAACATCCGGTCTCATCCGGATTGGAACTCGGCTACCAACACGATGGAGCTCACGTACGATCCATTCGATGGTGGCAAACGGCGTGGGACAGTGTGCGATAAGGATGTGAGAGCTGCATTCCAAGCCAGTGGTATATGCGACCCGCGCCAGCACGACCCGAACTATTGGAAGGTGTGCCTCTACACTTCTGCACCGTAGGACACCGCGGCTAACACAAGCATGTGGTAGATCTCGTGCGACGAGTTTCCTTTCAGCTCTTCTCTTGAGGGCGGATCGGGTAACGTCGTTCTTTTAGCGGTCGCCAATGCCGAGCAGGACCTCCAGGGGACGCTCCAATCGTCCATCACGTATCTGCGCAGGAGACGGAATGACGGAAGGACCTCGTGGGGCAAGGCGAGCCAGTGCCACCGGTACCAGATCAAGCTCGCCGATACTGTGCCAGCTGGCGCGCCCGCCAAGGCGATCGGCAGCCTGGACGCAGGCTCTCAGTTCTTCGCCACTAAGGGGGTGACGTTCAAATACGTGACGAACTCGAACGCTGCAAAGCCCCGTCCGCCCACATTCTCCATCGACACCAGCTACAACCCGACACAAACTGCGTTGGTCTTGCCGAAGACCCAGGGTAAGACGAAGGTCAACTGTCTCGTCTGCGTGAAGCCCAGTCCATCCCCAAGCCTGGAGGCTTTGCGGGTGGAAGAAGGGTCCTCTGCTCTTCCGGATGAACCTGTTCCATCCCCCGACACTCCTATCACTGCCGCTCAGGAGCTTGTAAAACGCCAGGCGTCGTCGTGCTCGGTCTCAGCGGGCGCGCCTCTCCCTACTACCACCGCAGGAGCTTCAGCTATCGCTGCGGCTAGCGCATCCACAGCGTCGGCTGCTGCCGCCGCCGCTATTGCCGCTCTCGCTTCTGCCTCAAACCCGTCTACAGCACAGGCCGCTGCCGCTGCCGCCGCGGTCTCTGCAGCCAATGTTCTCGGCCCCGCAGCCGCCGCGATGGTACGCAACGTCTGTCTCCTCCCTTGGTCCCCGTCTCACTGAACTCCACTGCAGGCCGCGGCTTCGAGTGATGCCTCTCTCGCCGCCGCCGTTGCGGCCTCCCAGGCAGCGATCACAGCCGCTCAGAGCGCCTTGAACTGGATATTCTTTCTCGGCCCAGATCTCCCAGATTGGCTCACGAATATCGTGAAGCAGGTGCGTCCCTCGCCAGCCCCCTCGCCACACTTTCCAACGAACAATGTATCAAGGTGTCGTCCTCGACGTCTGCTGTGTCTGACGCCGTCGACTCCTCGTCGAACGTCGTCAACCCAGCCACGCCAGTACCCCCGGACGTGGACCCAAGCAGGGATCCGGTCGTCAACTCGGGTCCGCCCGCAGGCACCCCGGCAGCGGCATGCTTCGGGGCAGGCTCGAAGGGTCACCTGAAGATCGGCGACGCCTACTTCGTCAACGAGAACGGCATCGACCCCGCGACACTCGTGGACGTCGGCTCCGACGCGTTCTTCGGGCTCACGCTTCCCATCAGCTACGCCATCCTCCCTGTCGATGGATGCAGCGGCGTGGTACGGTGGGTTGGCGGCGTCGCCCTGCAGGCCGACTTCCAGGTGGACTGTTCGACGATGGAGTTCGGGAGCTACTGGAACGGCAAGAAGCAGACGTGCTACGCGTACAGCGAACCGGATATCCCCGGACCCTTCATCGTTGTGTGTGGCGACAACATCGGCAACATCTACAGCTGCCTGCAAGCGGCCAATGCATTCGGCACACTGAGTTCTGCCTTCATCTCTTGGGTGACATCCTAGTCCATGGAAGGGGGATATCGGATGTACGTCATAGTCATCGGTGTTGTAATCTTGTACTTTTCTCCGTGCCAATCAACACAGTCCAAATAAACCCATATGCGTCTGTTATGTCTGGAAGTATCTGATCAATGTATCCAACGACCTATGCCGGGATGGGCGACACTGCAATCGCAAGTGATATTCACGCTAATGCGGCAGAGGCGTATATATACCGCTCACACGAGGGTTCGAACGTTCAGGATTCGATGCGAAGATACACAAGCTTTCTCAAATTGACTGCATGCTATCGAACGTGTCTGAATCGAGCTACAAAATGGTCGTACTATTGACTGTCCGGGGAGAGGAGCTTGCTATTGGTTTGGTATCCGTATATGAGAGGAAAGGAAACGATGATGCTGCAGGAGGAAGAGGTACAACACGTGTCTATACTAGTCCAGCCATTGTCCGAGGAAACCGTCCATATCATGCAGATTTAGCGCTCAGCTTGTGCACTTCCTCGAGGAAGTCAAGCAGACAGCTCGCGCTCCAGGCCTGCGTGTTGCACGAGTCTGCGCAGTACGCGCCATCCTTGTTCGTCAACTCTGGGATGCCAGCCCAGGGGTCCTTCTGGATGTGCTCGCGCGGCTTGAGAAGGATGCGATGAAGGTGGTGAAGAGTCTCGATGTTATCCTGGAAATCATTTAGTAATGGAGATTCATAGCGCCGGGGGTAAAACTTACCGTTTTGCCTGCACCGAATTTAGTGTCGAAGTGCAGGTATGCGCGCAGGAAGTAGCCCAGCGGCCAACCCCACTCGGGTCCCTAGATACGCGCATTAGTGCTCGAATTCCAGCCACAGCACAAGGAGGGGACTCACGTTATGGTAGTTCCATCCCTTGGCGATCGCGGCGTCGGTACCGTCGTTCGCGTTGTCGTAGTAGGGCCGGTATTGCAGGTCGATGGCATCCAGCGTCTTCATGCCCAGGGGACCGCGCAGGTATTGATCAGCGAGCTTGAGGGCACCGAGGGCATGCTCGGGATCGAAGAGCTCCGGCGCGACGGTCATCGCGATGGGGAAGTTCGGGCGGAACTGGTAGTCTGACCACTCCCGACCAGCTCCAGAGCCGTACACATCCTTGTAGATGCCCCTACGGTTGACGAGACTGGAGTTGATGTTGTACTTAGTGTCCTCACTGGGGTCTATTGATATTCGCTTTGATCAGCATGCGCGTCTCATCCACTACGGAATCGACCTACCAGTCGGCACGTAGTAGCACTTCTCGAACGACGACTGCAGCAGGTCGTTCCATTCCTTGTAGGTCACAAGACGCTTCTTGCCATCGACTGCGAGGAACGTTCAGTTTTATGAGCCACACAGCTAAGGACGCTCAGAACTCACTTTCGGCATCTACACCCTTGAAGGGGAACTTGCCGGCCCTCGACAGCTGGTCCAACCAACGCAGCGTACTCTTGAGGAGACCGATGATCTCAACGGGGGCGCCATCACGCGGGGTACCCGGCAGACCCTTGTTGCCCGCCTTCTCCGACTCGCCCATCTTGTCCATCCAGGTGCCGCAGTTGTAACGGTTGCCACCGGAGATGAGGCCAGTGGTCCAGTCGACCTGAATGTCGATGTTGAAGCCTTCGTCCTTCATCTGCATGTCGAGGTTCGGCCCGGCGTTGTATTCACGGAAATGAATGCCGTCCGCGTGCCGTTGCAGGATCTCTTGCGTGACCTCCGCGATGGTGCTGGAGTAGGCGTACGCAGCGGGATCGTCCCAGGCGACCCAAGTGTCGTCCTTGGGGAAGCGCCGCTTGACCGACTCGGACAGGATGGACAAGCCGTCCGGAGCACTGTTCGCGTAGTCCTGGATATTCTGCAACATCCACCAAGGCGAGTCGCGAGAGTTGTATCGGGGGGTGCGCAGGGAGTCTAGGAGATTGGGGATAAGGCCGTGCTTCAAGGTGGACGCGAAAGCCAGAATATGAGTCTTAGCTCCGTCGAAGTTGCCAGTCGTCAAGAACAGGCCGCGCAGCGAGATGAACACATCACGACCCCAGCAACGGGCCCACCCGGTCGTGAAATGCGGCAACCCAGCCGCCAAGGACGGCGTAGGCTTGCCAGGGTCAAGCGACGCCGACTTGATCTGCCCGTACATCTGGACGGAACACAGAGCGAGGTTGTGAGTGAGGTCGTGTCCGCTTACGACGAAGTTCGAAGACTGCTCGATCGCCGCTCGGCGCGCTGCCTTGTAAGCCTCCGAGATGACGATAGCAAAGTACTTGGGGCGCAAGAAGGGCGGAACCGTCGCTTTCACGCGCTCCAAACGCTCCTTGAGCCACTTCGCAGGTTGCGCCAAAGCCGGGAAGACGTCGACTTGCCTAACAAAATAATGTCAGAGGAGACTTACAGAGATGTAGCATGGATCTTACTTGAGCAAGCGGTCGTGAATGTAGTCAAACGCCCAAGTACCCTCACGGAGGTGACCGCATAGAGGATGGCCGAGATCGTTGTACCTCATGATGTGCCGCAGAGGGTGCATCCAGCCCTCAAGCCCACAGTACACCAAGCTTCCTAGGCCAGGGATAGCATATGCGCCGATCACTCCGCCTGTGGCGTCCCTCTCCTCGCCCTCAGCACGGTGCAGGATGACGTTGAGGTCGACAAGGTTCAGGTCACCGAACGCTGCCTCCGCGCCTTGCGAACAGAACACGTCGAGATCGCTATCGATGCCTTGGAGCTGGGTTTCCAACACCATGAAGCTGCCAGGAGGGAAGTAGTCGGGTACGACGATCTCTGTGAAAGGGCCCTCGCCGTCGAGACCTTGAGGAGCGACAACCTCTGGCATGTCGACAAGTTTACCAGGAAGGCCCCGGAGTGTGCTGGGGTCCTTCTCGATGTCGTAAGAAGAGATGTCGATGTGCGCGCCGTAGATGAACTTCGCCTTCGTGCTCCGAAGTTTGATGGGAGTGACTAACTTCGTATTAGGGCTGCACAAATTTGACAAGCAAGGAGCAACTCACTGTAACCGCGGTCTTTCGATCCCTTGTGGAACGCCGTGTGAACGACGAGGATATAACCCTTCTGAGTCGAGGGCTGAACTCGATGAAGGACGATATACTAGTTTTGACTGTCAGGGAGCGTTTTTACCGATTCAGAAAATGACCCACATCGTTCTCCTGGTGTACGTGTCCCTCCTCATACCCCTCCAGAGCGAATTCGGTGTGCAGCGCGTTGAGGAGGCGCTTCGCCTTTGCGATCCCGCTATTCTCCCCAAGGTTTGTCACCTCGTACTTCCGCTTCTCTCCGACGAGGTTGAGCAGCTTCGGGTATAGGTCATCGAAGCCCTTGACTGATCCGATGGCGCAGAACGAAAAAGTGACAAGGGCCCCAGTAGAAAGCGCATCTTCTGCTGAACGCTTGTCGAGGTACGATTCGTTGTCGTGTGTGAGGTCGTAGAAGAGAGCGTGGGGGACTGAACCGTTGTGAGGGATCACGATACAGTCTCGAGTGGGACCCTTGCCGGTCGGGGGTGGGAGTTCTGCCTTGCTTGTCATGCATGCGCCGTCCATAGAACCTGATGGAACGCGATAAGTACACCGAAGCTGAGAGTCAGACTACCGACCTACCCAGTGGCTTGCCGAGGCCGTGGCGGTATAGCAAACGCGAGAATTCCTTGGGGTCCCAAGCGTTGCCTGCTTCCCGAATCAAGCTGTTGATGCCTAACCGACTGACGAACATCGTATCCATCTCCTCGCTGCCCGTGAAAAGCTCCGCACAGACGTAGAGGTTGGGGTTTGCAGCTCGCGCAGCGTCCAAGAGGTTGATGCCGACGTGCAGGGGGGTCGAGTGGCAGTTGTCGATCCTGAAACCCTCGAAAGTCTCCGCAAGGGAGGTAACATACTTCGTCATGAACTCCCAAAGCCAAGGGTTAGACGACGGTCCTTCGCCATATCGAAGCTTGACGCAGTCACCCCAGACGATCACCTCACGTCGGAGGTAGGCCTTCGACGGCCATAGGGCAAAGTTGGACAGAGGATCCGCGTTCCAGATCCACCCGTTGTTCGCAAGGGAGTATGTCTCTGGGTCCGACTTCTTGAGCCGGGTGAAGTACGGCTCGACCAGGGGCAGTCTAGCATGACATCAGTACTAGCAAATCATCCGGTACAAGTAAGCTTACTGAGGCGTGATGGCACCCAATTTTGGCCCATGGGGGTCCAGGCGAGTGTACTTCAACCGATTCCGGATGTTGTCCAGCGCCACCTTCGTATCCTCGGTCCATTCCTCGTAGAGGGGGACGTTCAGAACGTCTACAACCCGCACCCATGCATCTGCGAGGGACTCGCTGTCTTCGCCAAGGTTGACGAAAGCTGCCTTGACGAAGCCAGCGGCCACTGGACCGGGAACATTGGTACCCAATCTCTTCTCGAGCTTCTTGTATCCTTGGATTTGCCCCGATTCACGGATGATGTTCGCGAGCTCAACGACCGTCTTTAGAGCGACATCAGGGCCAGACCACTCGACAACGTCTTTGCGGTCCAGCGCCTCCTTGATGACCTTGCGTTCTCGGGTGACATCGAAGACGTAGTATTGCCAGAGCGTTCGCTCCTTCAGATAGGCGTCGAAAGCATTGACCAGCATAGTGACATCCTGTTCCGACGAGATGGTAGTAGGGAGACCAGCCGCTTGCAGGCCACCAGAGAACTCAAGCATAGCGGTGTCGAGCTCCAGCGCAGGTGTCAAGTGAGGAGTGTTAGCGGGGCTAAAGCCTGCAGTGGGAACTCGACAGTCAGTATGCGGGAGATCTGCCACGACAATATATCCGTACCAGCTTCCGGGTGGTCGACAAGCCAAGGACTATCGTTCGCAGTGTGGTTGAGAACGACGTCAGTCAAGTTGAGCAGGCCATACTCCTCCCTGGCGACTTTCAAAATCTCTTCCAGCTTCGCCTGGCCTCCATCAGACCCAAGATCCGCCTTGCCCCCGGAGAACATGGATGGCTCGTAGACAAGCTGGTTGCGAATGGAGTACGGACTGTCGCTCTCCCCGCGCTCTTGTAAAGGCGTCCAATGGATCATGTTGTAGCCACGCGCACTGGTCTCGGCGAAGTGTTCCCGCCAGGATGAGATAGGGCCCATCCATTTGGAGACAAGAGTGAGGATCGACAGGCCATCCATGGGGATGTTGATGTAGTCTTGTTGAATCGCCGAGCCGTCCTGCGCTACTTTGCCGTCAGAGACGATGGGGCTGCGCGCCTTGGTCTTGAGAATAGGATCTATGTTGAAGTATCCTTCGCGTCCTTTGACACGAGCACCCGCGATATCGCCATCGTATTCAATCCAGTAGATGAAAGCCCCTGCATGGGAGATGGGTAGATCAATCTGAATGGGGGCGGAGAAATCGGTGGGCAGCCTTTGCGGACGCCACAGTTGGTCAGAAACGGTACCAGGCAGCCAAGGAAGTCATGCATACCTCCGTTCAGCGAAGCGATCACGCTCAAACCGGCCACCGTCCAGAGGAAAGTTGGTCTTGAACACACCATTCCTAGAAGCGGGTGTCCCGGCATCGAGAGTTACGCGGACGACGTAAGGAGTGTAAGCCGGAGGGAGGCGCATATACTGTGCAGATCAATCAGTTTCGCGTGCAAACTTCGAATTCGAGGGAGATGATGCATTCTCATGCTGCCGACGCGTCGTTTGACGTCCAAGGTGGGAATGGGTGTACTCACAGCTCGATCTTTGTTGGGCCCGCCATCGGGGTCCAGACGGAGCTCGTAGACGTGAATGGGCTGGTCCCCCTTGCCCACGGACTCGAAGAACTCAAGACCTTCGTCCGCGGGTGTCTTGGGGGTCTTGGGGGTCACAGGCGAACTTCCATTGGACCGCGAGAGATCCGGTTTGGGGATCTTCATGGAGGTGAGGGCAGCCTTCGCTTTCTTCAAGGCTTTAGGCATGGTGGGATGCGGGGTGGGTGGTGATGGGGAGGGAAGAGACGGGGAGACGCGTCTGGGGAGCGAACACGGTCGTTCGGGGTTTTATAGACGGCCTGGACGCGTGCAGGCCGTACGAATGAACTTCGAGCCTGGTCAGGACACCGCAACGGTCCAATCAGCGGGTGTATCTCCGCATGACGTCAGGGTACCCTGCCTGCCGTATTGGGCGACCGCGATGGGCGGCAAATCGCGGGCGTCTGATCTACCCACGTGGGCGGAGCGGTGCCACAATGGCCTGGCCTGCTCGTCGACCAAGTCGGCCACCTTAGCCACAACGACGATGACCCTCAAACTCAAGCCCAGCTCCTCCCCGCCGGCCTCCCCGTTCTCATGGGAGGTCTCACCGCAGACACCGCCAGCGCACAGCGCATCGAACGAACTACCGTCTCCACCGACTGCATGGCTTTCAGCGCGCGACATGAAGACATTCGGCGCCGAGCCTCTCGAACTCGACGTCGGCATAATCAAATGCAGAGACTGCATGAAGCCAATTCTGCGCAGCGCCATATCGGAGCATTCAGGTGAGCAATTCCTCTGGGGAACAAAGCACAGCTTTCTTACCGTTGCCACAGACAACTGCGCTAAGATTCGGTCCGGAGGGAAGAAAGGTATCAAAGGGAAGCTCGGTGCGGAGACAGAGGCCGGTACGTGCATGCCCCCCCAGGGCTCTGGTGTATCCCGTTCATTTTCGTGGGGGCAGATAAGAAGGGAAAGAAGCGCAAAGCGGAAGACGAGCTTGACGATCCCGGAGCGCCGAAGACCAAGAAGCAGGCCCGGACTCGCGTCAAGGGTCCGGTCGACTACGACAAGCAGTGCGGTGTCATCAACGACAAGGGCCTCCCATGCTCGCGATCCCTCACGTGCAAGTCCCATTCCATGGGCGCAAAGCGCTCCGTGCAGGGCCGCTCGAAAGGCTACGACGAACTGCTGCTCGACTGGAATCGCGCCAACAACCCGAACTGGGTCGAGCCCGTGAAGAAGGAGAGCAAGGCCGAGCGTAAGGAGCGCAAGGAGCGGGAGAAGGCGGAGAAGAAGCGTCAGGCCATGGAGGCCGCAGCAGCGGCGGGCGTCGACGTCACGAAGAAGGGCTCGAGCTCGATGACCGGCGGGACGACGAAGAAGGGGAAGAAAGCGAGCGCCGCCGTCGCCGCAGCGACAGCCGCCGTGTCGGCAGCTACGCACGTTGGTCCGGCGGACGACGTCTACGAGAACCTCGACGATCTGGACTCCGAGACGGAGCTCGACACGCTCGTCCGTGCCGTCCGGCTTGCGCACGGTCGTGGGATCATCGGCACGCCGCTCGCTGCCCCCTGCGATACTAGTTCGTGGTTTGTGGCTCGTCGAGAGCGCTTGCGGACTTGCAATCAGCTATTGGCGAACGCCCTCATGCCGTCTCGCAGTGCCGCCGTCCCTGTTGTGAGCAGGCTTACATAGTGGTTATGTTCGCAGTCTTCTCTCCTTTTCCCTATACCTTAGCCACACGCTCACAGCACCTTCACACGGACCAGGATCACAATCTGTATCATACTGGACTTCCATGTACATTCCCTGTAGATCTATATCGTTGTAATATTACCGTTGCCGCATCGACCTCACAAATGTCGTTTCCGAGATCAAGCGTGTTGCGTGACGAAATCGATTACATGCTACGTTGACTTGATATGAACAAACTGGAAGATAGAACATGGTGCACAATCTTGGACGGATGCATATCGTCGAGCGCAGATAGCTTCTCAAGCCCGTATCGAATTCACTTACTCCTCTCCCTCCTCCTCTCCCGACTCATCCTCTTCCGAATCCTCCTCTTCTTCTCCGTCCACTTCATAATCTGATCCTTCGGAATCCCACGCTTCTTCTCCGCCCTGTTCGAATTCCGATTCTTCATCGTCTTCCGATCCTTCTCCAACCTTTTCCTCCTCTTCCCCGTTTTCCTTTGCAGTGGTCTTGGGCAACACCACCAGCGCATATGATAGGTACACACTGTCTTCTCGCCAAGCCTGCGCCTCGTTCCCGACGTGGTTGCATGTCTCATGCTGCTCGTGCTTGAAGGGAAACATGGTCCGCTGCGAAAGGTCCACAGCATAGAATTGGACGTCCGTCACGCCGTCCAACCACGCACATCCACAGGCCTTGTGGTCGACGGTGCTCCCCGATTCTTCGTCCACGCCGGTGTTGAGGAACTCGATGTGACCGCTCGTAAACGGGTAAACACGCGTGACACAGCAGATAGCGTAGTCTTCGTAGCGATCGGCCGTGCTCTCCGACCCCCACATGGACCGTGCACTCACCGCGACGGGGAGGTGGTGGACGTCGAACTTGTCTGCGGATAGGGCGCGCACCGTATTGACAAGGAGCCTGTCGAAGCCGCTGAACTCGTCCGTGCCGAGGCAGTACTTGTGTTCAAGGAGCACCCCATACGGAGCTTCCATATGCGACACGATCTCTTCGACCCGTCGACGCACCTCCGCCGCCTTCTGTGTTTCGCCATCGCCCGACCCCGTAGCACTGGAAGTCCGGAAGATCTTGAAGGCGATCACTCCACGATAGCCGCCGGATACTTTTGTCACGGAGTGCAGCACGTCGGGATAGAATGCGCACCACGACCCCGGACGCGCCTCCATATCCTTGCCGTCGATTACGAGGCTACCAGAGTCCGCTGTATCGCCAAGGCCGACTAGGAATGTGCCCATCAAGTCCTTCTGCGGGGTGTCGCGGTGCTCTTTGAAGTGGCCACCCGGACCGTAGAGGTGTATCTTATAGGGCTCGGCACGCACGTCGCAGCCGGGCACGAACTGCTCTTTCCAGATATCCTCGACCCGTCGGAGCAGCTCGTCTTCCACCGCGAACTCGGAGGTGTTGATTTCGCGAGCGGTACGAACGCTCTTGTCGGTCTTGGTCACCTGCTCACGAACATCGCCATAGCCGGAAGCCACTGCTTTCTTGTACCATCCTTTGAGTCGCTTGTGCACAGCGTCGCGCGTGTCCATGTCCTGCAAGCCCTTGAGCCGGAAGCTCTTCAGGTTGGTGCGGCTAGGCGTGATAGGTCCGTCGAACTCGCATCCTGGTCGACTGATGCGCAGGTTGAATGGCTTGTCCAAGTAGCCGCACGCGTGGTTCCTCGAATTTGCATCGGCGACACTTTCCAGCTTCCCGAAAAGTTCCTATCCGAGCCCAGCGGTTAGACTGGAGAGCAATTGACCACGTCCGGGATGAATCGGTCGGACGCACCTGGTTTCGTTTGATCCGTGCCGCATTGGCTTTCTCCTGCTCTGCGGTCTTTCTGCCATAATCATAATCCTCTTCGTCGTCAAATCTGACTTTATGATATTGATCGTCTGCAGCGGGGCCGTAACTCAGCATCATCTTTGTTTGGGCGGCATGCTTCGTGGGGCAGACCCCGATTGCACGCAGGTGGCGGTCCGCACGCTGCAGCGCTCGAATAATTTTTAGTGCAGCCGGAACGTGAAGGCTATCGAGCAGCTGGACCGTAACATCACCATCCACGGACTCCTGTTGGATGTTGGCCAGGTCGGCGGGCTGAGCGAGAAATCTTAGTATCGCAAAATCGAAGACCGGACATGAAACCTACCTCTATCTGGGGGAGCAACACAAGTTCGGGTGTGGTGTCTTCTTCAAGACGTGGACGCTTCCTCGGGTTTGCACCCTGCGGAACGGATTGCGGGAGAACGCTGCTCTCGGGGTCTGAGACTAGCATCATAGGATCCGCCATGGGAGCGGTCTCGTCGACTGTGGGACAAGAGGGGTATTGAGGTGAGCGAGTGGATGAGGGTGGGTAGAAGGCCTCTAGTCTTATATACCCCTTGAGTAGGAGCGCTGATGTCTTGATTGGGGTGATCATGAGCTAGACGCATGCGCAGCCTCGAGAAACACTTGCCGATTTGCGGTTACCATTGTTCATGACGAGTTCCGCGCGGGGTGGGACAATAAAGTTCGATATTTGCATAGCTCCGCTCGAGGGCTAAGTTAGGGCTACTTTGGTTGGGGCTGCGCTTTAGATGAAGCAGGTAAGGGCCTTTGTTCGCAAAGTCCATTTACCTGCTGGCCAGCTGCGGAAGCCATGGCTATGTGGGTGGGCGTTCCAACGACTCCGATATGCCCCAAATCGGAGAAGAATTGTTTCCAGCGGTAGTCCTTCACATGATCAGCATCGCGATTCTGCAAAACGCCTTCCTGGGATCATTCTCCAGAGTTTTGAGGCCGGCCACTGGCTGGTAGTGCTCACCGCCCAACATTGTAGCTTCCAAGTCAAAGTTGAAGACAAAGTTGCGGGTGATGCGAGTACTTTGGCGCCGCGGCGCGATATCAGTACTGGCGCTTATGTTCTACATGGACCGCCACCGCGGCCTACGGCAACCTACGTACTTGGTACAACCGTCGCGATCGGCGGCGGCAGGGCCTGCATTGAAACTTGAGAAATATTTGTAGTTGCATCAACCTGTTGCCTACGCCGTAGGTAATATTTTCCCCTCATATCCAGACCGTAGTTCAATACTACTTACATGGTTCCAGGACGATCCCTCGCGACGTAGCACTGCTCCTCAGCACACCATTCCGTAGCTCGATTCAATCAAACTCAATATCATCATGAAAGTAGTAGCTATAGTAAACACAAGCTTGATACAGACTTTGCGCACCTTTCACATAATTCCGCCATGTGCCTTCCTCATGTGCGCGTACACGCCCCCACCGCTGTCCGTGTCCCCAAACACCTTCATGCAGACCCAGCACAGGTGAGTTCCGCACTGCCTACAATGCATATGGTTGCATCCGCCGTTCTTCTCCAGACCGGTACCGCACCCGGGACAAGGCCGCACGTCGTGCTCCTTGCGCCAACGCTCGAACGACTCGTCCCCGCCCGAGGCATGGTCCTTGTACGCTGCACAGCTCAGGCCTTCGTGTGCCTCGACGTGGCAGGACGCGCAAATGCGGGCGACGCAGGACGGGCAGCGGAGCACGGTGTTTTCCTCGCTCGCGCGGTAAATGGTCTGGCAGTCCGCCGTCGGGCAGTACTTGAACTCCTGCGCGCGGCTATTGATATGCGACAGGAAAGTAGCTTCCAGGAGGCGCTCTTCTTCTCCTGGAGTGAGGAGATCGCGTATAGTGTCGAGAGGGATCCCGCGCCTGCAGGGTGTCGCCGTACCGTCATCGCGTACGACCTCAGCGAGGCACGCTGCCGAAATAGCACCTGAACCACCGGTAGCATTTGCGAGCGAACCGAGGTAGTGCTGTAGACAAGACCGGCAGTAGGTGTGCCCGCAGGGTAGACTCAAGGGCTCCGAGACGTCGCAAAAACAGACCGGGCATGGCGTGTCGTCCGTGGAAGACCGCTGGATACTCTCTCCAGCCTGCTGTTGTTCGACCGCAGTGCGCGCGGCGCGTACGTCCGCGTCGTCCCCGTGCACCACCAGGCGCCTAAGTACGACATCCAGGAAGACCTTCTCCGCGAGCGACGCATGTATCTCGTGAAAGCCCCCGTGCAGCATCATGCGGAACGTCACATCGTCCAGCTCGATGACATGCTCCGCGGCGGACAACTCCTCCACCTTCTGGAGGATGCGCGCCCGGGCGGCCGTCCGCGCAGCCTGGCTCCCGAAGAGGTGGGTCGTCCGCGTACGTTCGTCGCACCGGACGTACGCCTGCGTCTCCGCCTGCGTCTCCGCCGCGAGCGCGTCTATCCACCCCCGCCCGCCCGGCCGCGCGAAGTACTCGTGCCACAGAACCTGGTCTGCACCGTCGCGCACAACGTCCCCCCTTAACATATCCTCGAGCTCCTTCTTGAGTCTTCCAAGCGCCTGCGCGTCGGGCCCGTACGCGCGGACGCACACGCGCTCCACGGCCGCCCCGTGCTCGTCCCGGTCATGATAGCGCAGCTTGCACGTCTCGAGTGCGTCGCGAAGCGCATCGATCTCCGCACGGAGCGCGCCGAACTGGGCGCGCGGGAGCATATACTTGACGGAGTGGATGAGCTCGAGGAAGATAGGGCTGCCGCGGAGGAACCGCTGATGAGAGCTGTGGAGGGCTGCGACGGCGCGGGAAGCAGCGTCCGCGTCCGCGAACTGCACAAACACGACGAGCTTGGGCTTGGGCTTGGGCGCACGGGGGTCCGGGGGGACGAAATCGAACGCCTCGAGCGCGCCGTGCCGCGTGAGCATGGTGCGCAGCTCCCTGAGCGCGGCGTCCACGATGAAGCTCGGGCGGCCCATCGTCACTGAGCTCGCATGGCAGAAACGCTTGACGTTTATGGAGGAGGCGTCCAGCGGGAGGCCCTTGATTTCGACAGAGAATGATGTGCGCTGGTTGAAGGAAGGGGTCTGGAATGACGCGCGCAGGGTGCGCCCGGAGAACGACGTGCCATCGAGGCGTGCAGCCTCGTTCTTGGCCTTGGACAGTTCTCCGTAGTGTGCCCACGCGACGAGGCTCGGGGCGAACCAGCTCAGCTTCGCCTTGGTGCTCCGGAGTGTAGCCGTACCGCTCTCCGCCGCACGTAGATCGAGGCGCGCCGTCGCCTGCAGTGTGCCGTGGCGGAGGGCAGGCTCGCGCGTGAGGCTCCACACCGCCCGTGCAGCATCGGCCGTAGTGAGGTACTCAAGGCGCGCGGATGGGACTGCGTGGGCTTCGCGTGGCGGGATGAGGGTCGCATTCTTCAACGCGCCGAATGGTTCGGCCAGCGAGATGAGCGTAGCGTGAGAGAGGTTGGGAGGCAGGTTGTGCAGAAGGACGACCGATGACTCAAAGGCGGTGGTGACGCTTTGGATGGCGGCACCGGAGCCGTATATGACCGTACAAGACAGCTTGGTGCGGGTAGTCGTGGGCTCTACGGTCTCTTCAAGTTCTTCTGCGGCGGAAGCGTCCTCTTGGCCGGAGGGTGGAGGTGTTGATGCAGTCTCTGCCTGAGAGGGATCGGTGATGTTTTTCTGTTTCGCCGTCGAATCCGGGTCGCCTGCTGTAAAGCTCTCCGGTGGGACAGTATTCTGGCAGGGAGCCTGTAAATATTGACGCTCAGGCATACCAAGAACATACTCACGATAGAAGATTTCTGTCTGGTGGATGCGTGATTTCGACGAGATATGCTCTGCGATTCCGATTTCCCTGCGGGATGTGGGAAAGGACAAGAGTCGCCTTTCGTGCATCTTCCTTGGAGGAAAAACTTGCAAGGCACGAAGATCGTACCGGGAGAGGGTGAAGCTACCGAAGAGACGCCTTTGGGGTGCGCGAAAGGACACGCGTCGCCCTTGCTGCATCGTCCTTGGGCGAAGAATTTGCACGGACCGAAGGGAGCACTCTGTGAGTGTGTTTTGGCAAGCGTGGCACTGATTTCCCCTGGCGATGCTTTCGAGATCGTGGTGGATCGGGTGACGGTGTAAAGGGGCCCGGCGGGACGGAAGGCAGGGGCGCTAGGTGCGAGTATGCTTGGTGGTTTCGAGATCGAAACACGGTGGCTGAACTTGCACTCTTGTCCGAAGCGGCAGAGACCCTTCTGGTAAAACTCACAAGTGGGTGTTAAACGGGATGTCAACCCTGGTGCAGCGGTGGTGCGCGATCTGGGTGTTGGAGGTGTGATCGCCGGCTGAGCAAGGGTATGAGAGAATTGGCACTGTTTGCCCTTGGAACAACGTCCTTGGGCGTAGTAGATGCATGGTTGTTGAGCAGCCAGAAGCACCATTCTCGGTGAAGAATGGGAGTCGTCGACTGACAGCGAGCTTCAATCGGTGGAGCATATATAGGGCTGGCATGACGGAGACACGCCCTACTTCTTCCATGTCGCATGGTGGAACACCTGACGAACATGCTGGTAAGGAAGGCCTCATGCTGGTAAGGTTGGGAAACGCACCTTCTGGGAGGACATGGTTTCGCATGTCAAGTTGAATTGTGGGCGCTCACTTCCAGCTACCGCAGCTGCATTTCAATATTTCCCATCATGTTCCGGATAGGGAAGTTGCCCGTTTGTCCAGCTACTCTGAATGGAGTCGCCGTGCAGGAAGGCCGTGTGCAGTAAGTGACCTCTTTCCCAGAAACCTATCGGTTTGAAAAAAAAAAAAACGCGGACAGCCTTGACCCAGACGGTTGATATTTTAGAGACATAAGTGAAAGGGTTGTGAAATCACTCGCTGCTCGCTGTATTTCGCTGGAGACGTACTGAGATATGCCTGCGAAGAGCCAGACGCGCTGCGAATCGTTGAACACGCGGCACGTGAGCACAACGCGACGCGTCTTTGGCGGGACATTATTCGGAAGCGGCGCGCGGCGGCTGACAACACCCGCCGTACCGATTCATATGAGGACCAGATCCCCCATGTCGCCTCTCTAACACTCACCACGATGACTGCCTCAAGCTCGTGCCACCAGCTTGCGCACAACAGCAAACGCGATGGTGACCCCAAGATGATCGGCTTGTGGAAGATCGGCAGGACTATTGGCAAGGGCAGCTCAGGTCAGTAGGTTATTAGACCGATTCTCATGACACGGAGGACTCACGATGTATAAAGGTCGCGTGAGGCTTGCACGACACACGAAGACGGGCCAGTACGCAGCCGTGAAGATCGTCTCCAAGACCGCACTCCTCAACTCTCGCATGTCCCTCAGTAGCCTCGGAGAAGAGGCGGAGCGCATCCTCCACAGCATCGAGCGCGAGATCGTCATCATGAAACTCATCGACCATCCGAACATCATGCGCCTCTACGACGTTTGGGAGACGTCCACTGAGTTGTACCTGATCCTAGAGTACGTTGAGGGCGGTGAGCTCTTCGACTACCTCTGCAACAAAGGCCGTCTCTCCGCCCCAGAGGCACTCACCTACTTCCACCAAATCATCACCGCGATTGACTACTGCCACCGCTTCAACATCGCGCACCGTGACCTGAAGCCGGAGAACCTCCTGCTCGACCGAAACAAGAACATCAAGGTGGCCGACTTCGGCATGGCCGTCTGGCAGGGCAAGGACAACATGCTCCAGACCGCGTGCGGAAGCCCCCATTATGCCGCACCCGAGGTTATCATGGGCGACGCCTACGACGGCACAGCGTCCGACATCTGGTCCTGCGGCATCATCCTCTACGCGCTCCTCGCCGGTCGCCTTCCGTTCGACGATGAGGACCTGCCCACGCTACTCGAGAAAGTCAAGATCGGCAAGTTCACGATGCCGTCCGACATCGACCCGCGTGCGCAGGACCTCATCCGCCGCATGGTCACGAGCGACGTCCGCAAGCGCATCACCATCCCGGACATCCTCCGCCACCCATTCTACACCAGCCAGAAGCCGAAGCCGATGAGCTGCGACATCCCGAAGCTGGACGAGATCGCACGCCCGCTTGGCAGCGCGGCTGACATCGACGCGGACATCTTCGCGAACTTGCGCACGCTCTGGCGAGGTATGCCTGACGCCCAAATCATCGCGCGCCTGACAGACCCCGCGCCGTCCTGGGAAAAGGGCGTGTACCACCTCCTCGTGCAGTATCGTGCCAAGCACACGGGCGACTACGACGAAGAAGAGGAGTCGCGTACTGCAGCGCGGCGCACGAAGAGGCGTAAGGCCAGGCGCGCAGCCGAGGCGGAGGAGAGGGAGCAAGAGCGCGCCGAGCTGCCGCCGCGAACAGGCCCCCCGACGCCGTCGCGCGCGGGTGCACGCATGCGTGGGGGCCCAGGGAGGTCCCGGTCGCCATCGCCATCTCCGGGCGCGGGCCCGAGTCGGGCGCAGCGTACACCGCTGGGGAACGCCGCCGACCCCGCGTTGACTCCGATGACGGTCACCTCGGCCTGCGACGCTCTCTCGCCCACTCTTGAGGCTCTTCTATCACCTCGGTCGCCCCTTGCCGCGTTGAATATCCCGGAGGTTGAGGACGTGCGCGTGCAGCAGTTCCTCCAGCAGATCGTCCAGCACCTCGCCGTGATGAAGGCCAGCACCGGGGATACCCCCCATCGCAACCAGACTCAGGATGAGTACGACGAGCTCTTCGCCCCGCTCGCTACCACCCCAGTCGCCAAGTCCAAGAAGCAGAAGCCACAGGCCCAGCGACAGTTCGGAGATCAGGTTCACGGACAAGTCGTCGCGGACGACAGTGCGATGGATCCGTTCGAGATCGTCGAAATACCTCGCGAGTGCGCGACGCGCCCATTGAGCGTCCGCAAGCCGCCGTCGAAGGGCGCGGACAAGGAGAACACGTCAGGTCCGCCTCGGTTGTCCGTCAAGACCGACCTCCCCGGTCGCAAGTCCTCGCAGCGCAGCGGCACGACGACGACCTCCGACAACTCCTCCCCGCGAACGCAGCTCCTCTCTCCATCCGGCTACGGCGAGGAGCGTGGACGACTCCGGAAGCGCTCGCCCGCGCTCTCCCCCGCGTCGCCCGCATCGGCGTTCTCCGAGGGCTCCTTCGTGCTGCCGTCTACCCCACGACGGCGCTGGTTCGGCGCGCTCACGCTCTTCCGCGCGCGCCCCACGTACCGCCTGCTCTCGACGCAGGACGCGGCGCACACACACGCGACGTGCCGCCGACTCCTCGAGAGCATGGGCGTCACCGTCGCGTCCGGGGCGTATGCTGCGGGCTCGGACGCGCTCGTGCTCGCGTGCACGCTCACAGATGTGAGCACGGGCGCAGCGGGGAGCGTGATGGCGGTGGGGAAGGGCGTGCGGTTCCGTGCAGAGATTCGGAGGCCAGGTGCGGAGTGCGAGGCGGCGGGGTATCCGGTGATGCTGCAGCTGGCGCTGGAGAAGGGCGCGGCGGGGAGCTTGAAGCTGATATATGCGAGGCTGAGGAGGGAGTGGGACTTGGACAGCCCACCGGTGCCAATGTCGAGTGAGCAGGAGGAACGGTTCGTCCAGGTGGTATATGCGACCTAGAACGCTGCCAGTGCCAGTGGGGTATTGAGGACATAGAGGGGTTTCTTGGATCTAGAAGAGTTGTAAAGATTATCTGACTTACGGACTGATATTGATGAGACTAAATCGTGTTCGCATATAAACACCTGCTCGAGCCTGATCCGATGATAAGCAAGTGGTATTGATACATCTGCACAGAGTGAGAGATGAAAACTATGTCGACACACCGGTAGAGCCAATACACACCTATATAGCACACCATGACCACAGATCCGAAAAAAAAACCAACGCGTCACTCTCCATCCATCCCCTGGATCGTCGAAGAGAATTTTGGCGTAGGCGCGAGTAGGAGCGGCGCCTCGTCCGTGTCCATCGCGGCCGCGGCCTCCTCCGCGTCCGCGTCCTTCTTTTGCTGCTCCTCGCGCTTCAGCAGCGCATGTTGGCCTATTCGCGTGAGAATGACTGTGTCCGGCGCGGCGCTCGAGATACGAATGAAGCGCAGCTGCTGCAGGTACCCCGCCTCCTTCTGGTCCCACTCGCGGAAGAGCTCCACATTCCGTGGATGCGTCAGGTCGATCACCTCTGCACCATCCATAAGTGAGTGCTGATTTCGGGACAATGGTAGGAGATATAGAGGGGAAGGCTCACCCATGCCGGTGCGGTAGAGCTCCTTCTCGCGCAGCTGGAGCTCCTCAAGCTTCTGCTCCTTCGCGCTCTTTGGGCGGCCCTTGCGCCGCGCCGCACGCTCCGCCTCGATCTCGTGGTCGTGACGCGTGAGCCAGACGTCGCGTACGACATAGTGCAGCTCGTCGAGCGAGAGCTCGCCGCCCTCGGGCGGAAGTGCGTGGAAGAAGAACCCGTAGATGCTGACTGCACGCGAAAAGATATCAGTGTTTGCGGGGAGAGACAGAGGAACAAAAGGTGAATAATGGGCGTACCTTGTGTACCCTGCTTTTTGTGACGCTCCCTAGCGAGATCGACGAGCTTGCTTTTACGCAGCTGGGTGCGGACGAGTTGGCCTGCTTTGCGCGATTGCGGGTGGAAGACCTTTTCCTTCTTGCCACCGCTTGATTTCGCCTTCGAGCCGGAGGCTTTTGTGGGAGGTGCCATAGCGCTATGTGAGACGGCTCGGGGCCTGTGAGGAGGGGTAGGATGAGATGGGACACGGATGGATCGTCTCGAGCCTGCGTTTGGGAGAGCCTGCAGGCGGGTGGCTGCAAATATTCGCCGATCACAGCCACGTGGGACGCCCGATTTAGCAAGGATCGTGGTTCGCTCGCGTGCCGCTGCAAGTTCGAACGAACCGCCTCCTCCTCCATCCTCTTCGACTTGGTCCTCGGTCGTCTCTGGACCTCTGTCCCCGTCTTGCGTGGATTGTAATTGCATCTATGGCATACTCTCAGCCAAGCTCGCCGGTGCTGAAAGCTCGACGGCAGACGAGGCGGCTCTGCACACGGGTGTTCTACACTGTGTTCTCTCTCGTTTCCGCCATCTGGTTTCTTAAATATGTTCTTCTTGATGGTCCACGACACAAGAAACCCGACGCCATCCACTCGGAAACCCCATCGAATCCCACCCCTCTCGCGTATTCCACGGCCACGTCACCTCAATCACTTCCCTCTCTTCCTGCGCTACTCAATCTTTCAATGCATGTCCATGATTCCATACCCGCAACTCTACACAAGCATCAACCTCCACTTCTGGGCGCGTCGCGTCTTGCGGCAGTCTTACCTATCACACCAGACACTCTTTCCGATTTGGGCGCAAATCTACGGACCCTTCTCCAACAACCTGGCGCTCTGTCAGAAATCGTGCTGGTCACTCCCCCACAGTACCATGCCAAGACTCGTCATACTCTTCAGGTTTCTCTATCCGATGAGGATGACGCCGATGTCGAGATCTCCATCACCCCTTGGTCTTCCTCCATCGGCCAAGAACTCGCGACCCTTCAAGCTGCTCAGAGGCTCTCTACGGACTGGGTCCTCTTGTTGGACGAAGGTGGCCTGACTGGACACGGCAGCAAAACGCACGACACGCTACTCCTGCGAATCAAGCCTGCAGCTGTTTCTCCCCTTGGTCCGCGCGGTATCGACTACTATCTAGACGGTGTCACCTGCATCACGCCGTCCCACACTCCCCGGAAAGCTGCGCATCTCGTTCCTCCAATGATATTGCCTACGGCTTTCCTTCCGCCTACTATCGATTCTACACCTGGCACTGACCACTGGGCTGCCCTGGGCGATTATGTCTCGCGCTCTCAGCGTGAGCTCTCTGGTGGCATGGTTCTAGGCTCCTCTGATGACTCGTCCGTGGACTGGTGCTCTCGCTATGCACCAAAAGCCCTGGACGGCTCTCGCCTCCCAATTCATATCCTTCCCGATAGCCCGGAGAAGCTGCCGCAAAATCTCCCTGCCGTCCAAGAAGTACCTGAAATGAACGACACCCATCCTGGGTCGGTTCTCGTCGTGGTTTCCACGGTCGACCTCACGTATATTTCGCCCATCGCCTGCGGGCTTCTCCACAAAGGGCATCATGTTGATCTCTTCGTGACGGACGGCAGTGCCACAGTACTCGGCGTAGGCTGCCAACTACCAGTCCTCGCTTTCCCTGCGGCTGTGCTGGGAGATGGAATGTCACTACAGGGTACTCTGACCGCCGCTGTAGTCCAAAATTTGGATGTTGTCATATCGGTTCGGGAGATACAATTCCAGTCTCAATTTTCAGCTTTCCTCGCCGATCACCGCCCCTTCGTGACCCATGTCTGCGTACCTCGAGAAGACCTACCCTACACAGACTGGATGGCCGTCATGGATCTTGAGGAGTGGAAGAGTGAGCATTTCGCCTGTATCATGCCTGCGCTCGTGCTAAATGTCTTTTGACACCAGATTGGCATGTCCCGCGGGTCGAGCTGTCGGTCATCACAAACGATCGACCTCAGTCGCTGCAGCGACTACTGTCCTCCCTGGGCGAAGCGCGTTATTTTGGCGACACACTGGATATGCGTATCAATATTGAGCAAACCGCCGACGATGACACGTTGCGTATCGCGAGTGACTATGCATGGGATCGCGGGAACGTCTTTCTGCACCATCGTATCGTCCACGGAGGCCTCCTTCCTGCGGTCGTCGAGTCCTGGTACCCTCGTGGCAACGACTCCTACGGGCTCATCCTCGAGGACGACGTCGAGCTTTCTCCGTTGTTCTATGCATACCTCAAGTTCACTCTGCTGCGCTACCGGTAGGTCTATGATCCTCTGCGCCCTCCTCTCCGCTGACGCTCATCTTCCCAGATATGGCCGACAAGAAGACCGCGACCCTCACCTCTTCGGCATCAGCCTCTACCAGCAGAAGAACCTCGAGCTGCGCCCCGAAGGCCGCCACCTCTTCGACGCGCGCGTCGCCTTCGCCGCCGCCGGCCTCCCGCACGCGCACACGCCCTACCTCTCGCAGATCCCGTGCAGCTGGGGCGCGCTCTACTTCCCCGAGCACTGGCGCGAGTTCCACGCGTACCTCGGCGCGCGCCTCGCGGAGCACGCGCTGCCGCTCGCGCAGACGGTCGTGCCCGGGGTGCGCTCGAACCGCTGGACGCGCTCGTGGAAGCGCTACTTCATCGAGCTCGTCTTCCTGCGCGGGTACGTGATGCTCTACCCGAACTACGCGCGCTTCGCGTCGCTCTCGACGAACCACCTCGAGGTCGGCTCGCACGTGCGTGATGTGCCGACGGACGTGTACCTCCGCAAGAAGAAGCTGTTCAACCTTCCCCTCATGCCGTTGCCCGAGGCGGGAGACGAGGGGGTGCTCCTGATCACTGGGCTACTCGAGCTTCCGGATGAACGCCTCCCGAAGTGGGACGCTTTGCCGGTGCTTGACTTGCTCGGCGCCATTGTCGACCAGGAGACGGTCTCGCAGAGGGGCACAGAACGGAGGACGGTGCTCACGGGGTGCGAAGAATTGCCTTCGCGGCTGCACGACGCGCGGGAGCTCCTTTGTATGCAGTGACCAATACTCCAACGACAGCGACGACAGCTTAGATTCGACTCTACGAGATAGGGGATATGGGAGGAGACGGAACGCTAGACTACAGTACTGGATGTGCAACCCAACCAATTGTTAAGTTGTTCAAACACGCAACACTCGCGGGGCAGAAAGAAACACAACGGGTGGCTAGAGTACAGTGAGCGCGGCCTCACACCGCGATCTGGGAGCTGTCCAGCCCTAGCGCGTGCAAGAAGAGGTTGACGTTCGCCAGGCGGAGCCGGCGGCGCTCCTCGCTCTCGACGCCGAGCCCCTTCGTCGCGGTCGTGACGTTCTCGAGCACGATGTCGCGCAGGCCGGTGACGAGCACAGACTGCTGCGTGTCGTTCGCGCTGCACGCGAGCGAGGCGAAGAACTGCCAGACGGGCTGGTCGATCACGTCCGCGTTCGGCACGCTCGTGAAGTTGATGCCGGAGAGCATGCTGAGGCGCACGGAGGGGAAGAGCACATGGAGTTGCGGCCTGAGGAGCTCGAAGAGATGGTTGTATAGCATACTCCTGCGATGTGCTTATGCGTGAGTACTGGACCTTCAAATCGCTAGCGATAAACACGTACCAGCTCTGCAGCTCATCAGCCGAGGGTGTTTCGTCAACTTCTGACCCGTTCGCAACGTTCTGCAAAATAACCTCTGCTCTGCTGAGGAATAACGTAAGGAGAGCAATGCCAGGCTATCCGGGTTGAAGTAATCAGCGTCGAGGTCGTCTAGCAGCCGCATGCACACATACCCTTGTCCGTGCGATCGCGATCACGTTGTTGCTCTCCAACAGCAAGCCGAACAGCCCAGTAACGAGCCGCATCTGCGCCTTCGCGATGACAGGCAGAATGCTCTGCACGACACTCCCCAGGAACGCCTGCGTCTGCGCCTCGAGGTCGAGTACCTCTCGGGTCTCCTCGAGCGTGTCCAGCAGGGGCGCTTGCACGACAACGTCAAGCTGGGAGAAACACGCAACGACGAGCGTAAGGATGATCTGCATGCGGTTGTTGTCGAGCAGGCGTGCAACCCGCGGGAGCAGCTTCTTGCCCTTGATGGGGGTGATGATAGAGACGAACGGATGGGGATTGCTATGAGGGAATTAGCGGGTGGGACGATGGACACGGAAAAAGTGCTAACCTAGTCTCAAGGGGCACGGACACCATCAGCTTCTCGAACAGCTGGTCGATAAGCCTGGCGCATTCGGCGCTCCTACACTGAAGAGTGAGTTGTGGCCAAAATATAGCTGAAGAAAACTGTACAGACCATTCATCGAACTCCTCCACTTCCTCAGGCGGTGGCTGATCGCGTCTGCGTTGCTCGAGATCGAGCACGAGGTCGTACAACGACTCAAGGGCAACCAATGCTTCGCGATGTGTCAACGGGTCCTTCCGGACGAAGCCGGTGGACTATGTCGCTAAATTAGACGAGTAACGAATCTAATGGTAATGGCCACTCACGTCTGAGGCGTTTGCGAGAGCCTCTCGTCCAATCTTGGCGGCTTCACGTGCGGCACCCTCACCTTCCTCCTTGGTCTTCGTAGCATCGGTCTTCGAAATATGCGCCGCGTGTGCATGAGACGACGTGGGCGACGTAGACACGTTGCTCGAGTCGACCTGGAGCAACTGGCGAGGAGCCGCTTTGTAGCTGCGGCCAGCTGTCCTGCCCAGTGCACCCTGAAGGTTGTTGAGCGCTAGCGAACAGTTTAGCAAGTTTCTAAACGCCACCACGTGCTGTGCACGTACACGTCTTCTCCTTCTCCCGCAGTCTCGCGTTGTTGACGATCCGCTCGACCTGAGCTTCCATGCGCTGCATGGCGTTCTGACGACGATTCGGCATCTTCTGACCAAGTCCGAGACCAACGCCACCGCCGGAGCCGAACTTCAAAACGCGGTCCTCAGACGTCGGGAGACCCATTCGTGACCGGAGGATAGCTCCATAGACCTGAGCGTAGAAGTCGTCTGCGTATGGATCTTGCGTGACGAGCTGAGAAACTTGAATGCGCGTGATGAAGTCCTTGTCAGACTGCGTCATGAGGTCGTTGTAACGCGACTAAAGCGATGTTGGTCAGCGAACTGCGAGCAAAATGACCATATAGTGATATACCATATGAGCGATCTTGTCCAGCTTGCGCTTACGCTTCTCCTCCATCCGCTCGGCCTCCATGATCTTGCGCATTGCCTCGACTCGGAGAATCTCCTGCAGCTCACGAGACTCCCGGGTATCCCGCTCCGTCAGTCCAGCGCCTTGCATGGTGCTGAGGAACTCCGCTTGCGCCATCTCCGCCAGGAGACGCTGCTGCATCTGGATGTTCTGTGGTAGATACTGCAGGGTCTGCCCGAATGGAACCTCGACGGGGATCTGAGGAGACGCTACCGCAGGCGACTGCCGACCCATGCGCCGCGCACGATCACCGAATGCGGGGCTAAGCCCTCCTGAGTTCAGACGTTGATGGATGATATGGCTATGCATGAGGTGGTCATTCACGCCGGCCTGCATCCGCTGTTGCTGCAAGTGGTGCTCCTGTTGCTGGCGCTCCAGTTCCTCGAGTTTGAGCTGCTCCTGTAACTCAAGGAGCTGCCGACGCTGTTGGTGTTCTCGCTGTTCCTGCAAGTCAAGAAGCTGCCTTTGCTGCTGCTGCTGAAGCTGGAGCAGGTGGATCTGGTGTTGTTGCTGTTGCTGGTGGAAGCGCGGAGACTGCGAATGGGGGTGCATGCGAGGCGGCGGAGTTGCGGCCGCATGCTGGGGCCCAGCGACGACCTGACGCTGCCCCTGGGATCGCGAGGGGGACTGCAACAGACCATGAGTGGATGCCTGGGGTTGGTGCTGCTGCAACATTTGCTGCTGTAACTGTATATCATGGGATGAGTGCTGCGCCAGCATTTGCTGCTCGAGCTGGAGTTGTTGGAGTTGCTGCTGGGTTTGCTGGAACTGCAGCTGCTCCTCTTCCTCTAGCTGCCGCTGAAGCTGAAGCTGCTGCTGGTGATGTTGAGCAGCGGCCGCCGCACGCATTTCCCGTTCGATCTCCTCTAGCGTGTGCACACCCTTGTGAAGATCCGCCCCGAGGCTCAGGCTGGTAGGCTTCTGCGGAGTGGCTTGTTGCGCGGTAGTCGCCAGGGGCGAATACTTTGCTACGGGGGTGTGGTTCTGACCTCTACTGGGGCCATTGTTTCGAGGTAGAACGGAGAAGGGAGATTTGTTGCTCCAGACCGCATCGAGATGGGAGGAGTGGGCTGCGTGTAGAGTATGAGGGATGGGATAGCGACACGGTCATGGTGCACCATACAGGGTTCAACCTCGCCGTGCGCTTGGACCTTCTGCTGAGCCTGAGGCTGTTGTTCGTGGCGAGACGTCTGCGTGTATAGACCCGGACTTGAGCGGGACGCCTGAGGCTTTTGGTGCTCGGGCAGCGCGGACCCTCCAAAATTAAAGTCCTTCCCTGATATGCGGCGTCGGGAATACGCTAGATACCAACCGACATATGTGCTCACCGACCGGCCCTGATATACCAAAAGTCTCGTCGTTGAGCTCGTCTCCTCCCTCCTGCAGCGCATCACCCAGCCCGTCGTAGCTGTCCTCGCCCCAGGTGTAGACCGCTACGTCCTCGCGTGGCGCACCTCCCTCGAGGAACCTGCGCTTTTCATTCTCGAAATCGTTCTGTTGTTCAAAGCCGAAGAAGGACATCCGACCAGCATGAGGGTTGAAGGACAAGACTCCGTTCGCCCGACGTGAGGCGCGGCTCTGATCTGAGGCTGCGGCAAGCCAATCGTCTAATCGATAACCCCTTACCGCCAAATTAGCTTAGCCTTACATGCCAGTAATCTAGTTTATGCTTATTGATGGCTTATTGTGCTTTGTAGGTCCAAGGCCATTCTTGCCGCGTGGCGGGGCGCAGGCTCTTAGCCACAACCACCACGAGCACTTAAGCGCGTCAATGCAATTCAACCCCCTTCTCATCTGACCATCATCTTCCGCACGAAGTCACACTTATTGCTGGTGTTGTGGACTCCGCCACCTCCCAACAACAACCATGCAGCCGACACCAGCGCCGTCTTCGCCGCCCGCGTCCCAGCTTCAAGTTCCCGCGTCGCAACTTCTCCCACCAGCGGTGGCGGCAGAAGACCATCCCATCGAGTACCCTGCTCCCCCTCAGAACAAGGGAAGCGCTCCATTTCAAGTCCTTGTGGCCCTGTTCGAGAAGCTTCAGAATGAAAGAAAGCCTGAGAAGCGTCGAAGACTGATCGCTTCTTGGTTTAACGTGCGTGGTCATCTACTTGCAAGATGCCCGTTGTACTCGATGCTGAGACCGTCTAGGGCTGGAGGAAAGACATCGGATACGACTTGTTCCCTGTTTTGCGATTAATCCTCCCCCAAGTACGTTGATGCTCTAGTAGACGCAGAGGGTGTCAAACTTACGCCCACACGACAGAAAGACCGAGAGCGCACCGTGTATGGCCTCAAAGAGAAGAACCTCGCGAAGGCATACATTAAGCTCATTCCGCTTGACCGTCACGGACCAGACGCTATTAGACTCCTCAACTGGAAGAAACCCACCGAACGATACGTAAGCACTACGATGGTTTTGGTTTGTAGGGCCTGTATCTGACCGCTGCGGTTGAAAGCGCTCGGCGGGTGATTTCCCTTCGGTACTATGGGAGGTTGTCAATAAGCGGAACAATGTTACGGAGGGATCGTTGACCATCGACGACATAAACGGCGTCCTAGACGAGCTTGCCCAAAACATGGGCAAATCGTGAGTAAATGAATGTTACAGCGAAAAACACTGACGATTGACTCATTCATTTTGCGCACGCAGCGATTTGCAGTCCAAGATTCTACAGCGAGTCTACAATAGAGCCACTTCGGATGAGCAGCGATGGCTTGTTCGCATCATCTTGAAAGGTCGGTAACAAAATCACGGCTTGGCTTACATTGCCTTATTCGAGTTCTGCAGACATGATTATCTCCGTGAAGGAGAACACTGTTTTCGGCGTTTTCCATCCTGATGCACACGATCTCTTCAACACCTGTTCCGACCTCAAAAAGGTCACCTGGGAGCTCTGGGATCCAGAGCGGAGACTTAACGACGAGGTCGGTTGATTTCGCGTATACCTCAGATGCACGCCTAACGTTGATATCAGGACAAAGCCGTTCAGCTATTCCGTGCCTTTGCGCCCATGCTCTGCAAAAGGCCGACTAAGAAGATCGAAGATTCTGTCAAGGAAATGCAGGGTCGTGCATTCATCATCGAAGAGAAGCTCGACGGTGAACGTATCCAGCTGCATAAGCGTGGAAATGAATACTTCTACTGCTCTAGGCGAGTGCAAAGAATCCGTCTAGTCTTGCCAAGCTGACACCCACCGCAGGAAAGGAAAGGACTACACATATTTGTACGGAAAGCATGTCGGAACGGGAAGCTTGACGCCCTACATCGACTCTGCGTTCGATCCGCGCATCGACGAGTATGAATTCGTGATTCAGTGCTTTTTGTCATCGTTCACATAGCTGTACAGGATTATTCTCGACGGCGAGATGCTGGTATGGGATCCGGTCTCCGAACGCAATCTTCCCTTCGGCACGCTCAAGACCGCTGCTATCGGTGCGTCTTTCGCAAAATCGCAATGCTTTAGCTGACATCATTATCTAGACCGATCTAAGAAGGAGTTCAACCCGCGCCCATGCTGTGAGTACAACAGTAGACCCTGCTATCCTTGCGGACGCTAAATAAACCGCCCCCCATAGTCAAGGTGTTCGACCTGCTTTACCTGAACGGCACATCGCTCCTGCACAAGTCTCTCAAATTCCGCAAGCGCAATCTCCGTTCCTGTGTAATCCCAGTAGCAGGACGCATCGAGCTGGTCACCGAATTCGAAGGACGCACTGCCAAAGATGTCCGAACTCGTATGGACGACATCATAGGAAACCGTGGAGAGGGATTGGTCATGAAGCATCCGGACTCTGAGTACGTGCTGAACGGCCGCAACAAGGACTGGATCAAGGTGCGACGTACTCTCGCATTTACCCCTAAATTCCACGGCTAACAAGTGTGCTGCAGGTTAAACCGGAGTACATGGTAAGAAGTAAAGAAATCCTCGCACAAACTTGGCTAACCCTGAGCAGGACAACATGGGAGAGACGGTCGATGTGCTTGTGGTCGGTGCGTTGATTTACTATGATGTTCGTCTCATCAGTCCTCACGTTCATTGCAGCTGGGAACTACGGTTCTGGAAGGCGTTCTGGAGGCGTTTCCACGCTCATTTGCGCCGTACTGGACGACCGCCGCGTTCATAACGACGATGACGAGCCAAAGTGAGCTAGTCAGCACTGCGTCGTGGCGCCACTCTAACCGGGATATCTGACAGGTACAGCACCTTTGTCCGTATCGGAAGCGGCCTTTCGTACGCCGACTACATTTGGATCCGCCAAAAGCCATGGAAGCCTTGGGGACGGGACGCCCCTAGTTATCTTCAAGTCGCAAGAAAGGGGCACGACGATAAAGGCGACGTTTATCTCGAGCCACAGGAGTGAGCCGGCAATGCGCATATAAGCAGGTTGTCCGCAAACACTCATGTCTGCACTCCCAGCTCGTTCATCGTAAAGGTCAAGGCGGCGGAAATCACGAGCACGGATATGTATCACTTGGGCTTTACCATGCGGTTCCCGCGGGCACTGCAGATTCGAGACGACCTGTCGATCGCTGATTGTATGACGGCCTCGGGTAAGCGTTGTGCAAACTGGAGCGGCGGTTTGAATATATACTCATGGATGTCTCTAGCGGTCCTCGAAGGCATCCGGTCTGAGAAGAAGAGGAAGATGGAGGATGATACCGAGTATGTGTACCAATATTCGTACTCACTGCGGCGAGCTCACCCGTGACTCGGACATCACAGTAAACCCAAGAAGAAGCAGAATCGAACCGCGAAGAAGGTCCGCGTTCAATCTGGCTGATCATACCTGTCGTACTGACCTCAGAGGATAGCCGACCATGATGCCCGAGTACCGCGGCGTCAACCTCAAGGACGTTGAGGTCGAGGACAACCTCTTCGGAGACTTCAAGTTCGGTGAGTGGCGCAAGGATGAACCATTGACCTTACTGATCGTAATTTGTAGTTGTATCTTCTGACCCTAAGTCGAGAACCGGCGCGGATGACAAGAAGGCGCTGTTGCAGATGTGAGCGGTAAGGATATACATGCTATCATGAGAGCTAAAACCGGTTGCAGGATCCATGCACATGGCGGAAAGTACGCACAGGTTGCCCGGAACGACCCGAACATCCTCATCGTCTACGGCGGTCAGACAACTCGTCAGTACAAGACTCTTGCCTTTCGTATATCCCCGTTGACAAATACATTACCAGCATATGATCTCAGACTCATTATGGACAAGGGCGTGTGCGACATTATACGCCCGCAATGGATATTGGACTGCGTCGCGTATGAGAAGATAGTACCACTCACCAAGAAGTACGTCGTACAGCCTTTACCACTACACAGGTGCTCACTCGTCGATAGGTACTTCTTCCACGCCACCGCAGCACGCAAGGAGACGGATGAGTATGCCGAGGACGATAGCGACACCGAAGAAGAGCCCGAAGATGAGCCACCCTCACCTTCGCCGTCTGCCTCACGGAAGAGCAAGTCTCCTCCACAGGAGGAGCCTTCTCAGCCAAAGGAGGAAATCAAGATAGACCCATCAATGGCGGAATGGTTCGACGTCGGGGCGAGTCTGCAGCAGAGTGGTGGCTCGAAAGGCGGGTACATATCCGGCAGTGACACGGAGGAAGACCCGGAGTCGGATAATGAAGACGTCGACCCGGAAGCTGCCTCTGAGGACGAGGACTGGGAGAAGGTCGATCAGGATTCCGGCAAGTCGCAAGAGGAGAGCAAGGTAACTATTGTATTGGCGGCAAATTCCAGCTGTACTAGATCTGATAGATTGTCTCAGGGGAAGGCTTCCGAGGCGCGCATGGGCGAAGACGACAACGCTATGGCCTACGACGAAGAGCGTATCTTCAAACACCTGTAAGGATGACATCAGGCTCCCCTACTGTTCTGGATTAACCGGAACCTTGCTACGCTATTCAGGTGCCTATACCTCGACTCGCCAAGCAACGCTCGGAAGCATGGAATGAAAGTCGACACTAAGAGGGAGGCGGACATCGAGAAACGGTCAGCGTCCCTCAACATCCCTTTCCATACCTTTTGTTAATCCCGGCGGACAGTTTCTCGGAGATGTCGAATGTGATCACAGAGAACGGCGGCCGCGTTGTCGACCTCGACGATCCCAAGCTGACGCACGTCATCCTCGACAAGCGGGATATCAGTCGGCGCAAGGTACTCATTGCACGCACGTCCGAGTGAGTGATAATCCGACTCGTACCGGTCTATGTCTAACTGGAATATATAGGCCGAAGCGTAGACACCTGGTGATATCGGACTGGGTCGACGCCTGCGTGGCAGAAGAGACCTTGCTGGATGAGGAGGGTAAGTAGACCTTCCCTCGTCGTGTACACCGGACCCCCTAGCTGACCAACGATTTGCAGAGTTCAACCCGTAGACATGGGTGAACGTGTTGAGTGACCCCGACGATGGACACGACCGGATCCTATGTATACTACTGCTTCATGTACTGCTGAACACCTGGATATCAAACAATACTTTATATGCGAAACTCCCAGTTTGGCTCGACTCGAAGCATACATTACGACGTTCTGATTCGCACTGGTCCCTTGCGCACCGCTACAGATGCATTGCGCGCTGTACGACATAATTATACGGGTAGTCTGCCACGTCCATGATCCATAACACGGCATGCAAGATGATGTAGACGACGGTGGCACGCAAGTGCGCGTAGTAATGTACATAGACAAGAGAGGGCGGCACGTGTGGATAGGATCGCAACAGACGAACAAAGCCCAGAGAGCGGGATACAAAGCAAGCTGAGAAAGCGCAACTACTGCTACGATAGTCTGGCAAGCAAGATAGGATCAGCGATGTGCTGATACGTGTGGGGAGATAGAGATACTCGTAGGAGAAACAGAGGGTAAGACAAAGGGAACACAGTGAGACCGGATGAGATGGTGAGATGAGTCGTGTGAGGCAGCATGATATGGGGGTCGAGACAGTATGTACGGAGACGTGGGCAAGCAGATATGCGAAGCCGTGAATGGCGGATGGAGTCCCGTCTAGCACAGAACGACAGTGTCCATGTATGATCGGAACATCCGAAGCCAATAAGAATAGGTGGATAACGTAGGGCGATACTGGCCGGGAGGCCGAGGTAGGGAGACATTACAGGTCATAAAAGTCATTAACACGTTGAACGAAAAAAAGATAGCCAAGAAAGCAACCAGTGATATGCGGATGGTCCCGAGTGTGCCATCCCGTTCGCGACGCCGGGACGGGCTCTCAGTACTGCCCGCCGAACCCGGGGCTCTGCAGGCCATACAGGACGGGTGACTTGGATAGCCCAGGCAAGAACGGGTCGAAGAGGCTGGAGCCCCCAGGGCTCTGGAAGAAGCTCGCAAAATCGTCGTCGAACGCGCTGCGAGTTCCACGAGAAGGTGTTCCGAACGGGGAAACGGGCCGTGGGTTGGAGCGCGAACTCGAGGGCCGCTGCAAAGGCGTCTTCTTCGGCGTCCTAGGTATATCTATCGGCGAACGTGCGGTAGAGGGACCTGCCTCGCTGGCAAGTAGGTCATCGACATCGTCCGGGCGGAGGTATGGAGCGCGAGACGAGTATAGAGATGGGATCGGAGCGTGGCTCTGGTCGATGAAAGCGGGGGACATGCCGTGCCTTGAAAACGCACGCATGCGTGGTGACTTGAACGGGGAGAAGTTGAACAGTTCCGCCTCGAGGTCTTCCAGGCGTTGTGGAGGAGTAGATGGCAAGGACGATGAGGGTGGATACTCGGGAGTCGAGGGCCTTTCGTCTGTTTCCTCGACATCGGAGTATGCAGAGGTAACCATCGTGGTCACTTCTACCTCGGACAACGGAGAGGGAGAACGCGTTGATCGGCCAGACGCCGCATGTTCCTCCATCGCGCGCATGATCTCTTCCACACTCGCAGTCATGGATGGAGGCGTGACAGGACGCGCAATGACCGGAGCTACGACCGCATGTGAGTTAGACGGAGGACTGGTCTTCGTAGGGTTGCTCTTCCCAGCCTTCTTCTGGGGGGTCCGGAAGCCATACCGAGTAGTAGCCGCGGCTCGCCTCTCCAGTGTAGGAGATGGAGGAGGAGGGAGGACTGGCATTGGCTGTGCATACACGTCAGAACAAAAAGCGGTTAAGTAGAATTAACAGCACAAACCTTAGAACGCTTCTTGGCAGTGCTGCCCTCTGCCCTTGCCTTGCCTTTACCGAGGTCTCTCTTGTTCGACTTCGAGGGTGCCGCCGGTTGGGACGGACCAGGGGCGTCGGATTGCAACCACAGCGCATCCGGATCCTCGATCGGTCCCTGCATGCTAGGAGACGCCGACGCCACGACAGGAGACGGATCGCGCGAGCCCTCGTCGTGCAAGCTTGGTTGTGAGGACAGTGCCGGACTCGAAGAAGAGCTATGGCTCGCAACCAGCTCCGGCACTGAGGAGGACGACGGTGGTCGCTCGATAGGTGAAGTGGTAAGAGGGAGGACACCACTTGACGTCGAGGCGACGCCTAGATGGCTATGTGTAGAGTTCAGCGAGGTTGAACTGGACGCAGCCCGAGAAATGACGCGGTGATAGTTGGAGGAGGGTGGTAAAGGGGGGAACAGCACGTCAGCAGGAAGTTGTTGCTGAGAACAAGCAAGCTGATAGTAGGGCTGGTGGTAGGGATTAGCGGGAGTGACATGGGGGAAGTATGGTGGCAGCATCGGCGCAGGTGTCATTACCGGGAGGGGATGAGTGTCGTCGCTTGGCTGCTCGACAGTCTTCCTGCGCTTCACTTTCGAACCACCCGACTCGTCGGCCGCGCGCTTCTTGGAGGCTTTGGAGGTTGGGGCGCTGTTCATCATGTCCGCGCACAGAATTTTCTTGAACCCGCCGCCTTCAAAGCAAGGAAGGTCGCAATCCCAGACGGCCCACAAGCTTTTCCCCTCAGACCTGTCCCGCGGAACTTTACGGAATACCGCCATAGTACTCAGGGCATGTCGGACAGAGTTCATCCAGGTAGGTTCACCACGTTTGTAGTAGGGGTAGACAGTGGTGATGAACTCATAGATATCTTGTAGCGCCAGAGCATGGATCGGGGAGGCCAAGATAGCTTGTCCGATGATAGCCGCGTATGAGAGGTCGGGTTTGATGGTCGAATGGGGACCAGACGGAAGGGTGTACGGAAGGCAGTCTTCCTCCTCCAGGGGAGCTGGCCTCATGGGTCCTGGAGACGATACCAGGTTGACAACAGGTGGGGGGCTGGATCGTGGTGTTGGAGGGCATGAGGAGGTGGGTTCACGGTTGGAGGGTGTTTGCGGCATCAAAAATGGAGGAAGAGGCACTTTGAATCGCCCTCGATCGTAGTTGGTCGACGGCGTAACGGGTCCCTGTTGATCCTGGAGGAGTTGATCGTAAACGAAGCAGGATTGAAAAGCGACCACTTACCAGCGTGCGCCTTGAACCAGAAGCCTCGGCCACAACTCGCTCACTGTAGTACCTATAATGATGTGGGGTTTCGGGCGGGTACTGTGCGAGTAGAGGATCAGCGACGCGCGTAAAAGGAACGCGTCAAACCCACATTTGTTGCACTCTGACGCGTCGTGTCGTGTGTGGGAGTAGACGGAACACGTGTATCTTCGCGTTGACGCGACACAGGCCCTACGCGACGCGCCCGTCAAGTTCACCCGAACCCTCCTGTATACAACGTACTACACACCTTTCCTACGATCCGACTTCGCGCGATTCCTCTGTTCGATGATTAGCTCCATCTTGTCCCGTGGACGTTGTGTTGCCGCATCAGGTTGTTCTCTCCTCGCGGGCGTTCTCGGAGCAGGTGAAGGATCGCGCGAAGAGGAAGAGCTAGACACGGACTCGGATCGACTGCGCGAATTCCCGCTAGACCCAGCAACCATTCGTTCATAGAAGTCGGTAGAAAGCTTTTGGGGAGCCTTCTGAGCAGCTGAGGGTTCCTTCGGGACGAAAGGCTGGTTGCGGAGGAGCACCTCCATCATTTCAGTCTGTTTCGCCTTGAACTGTTCCTCAGTGAGGCCGAGTTTGCTGAGCGTTTCTCTTATAGGATTGGGTTTCGGCAGGCCAGGGCGAGGCAGAATCTCCCGTAGCCTCTGAGCGGCCATGGCGGGCAGGAAGGGAGGGACAGTGTGAGAGCAGATGGTAGCAGGAAGAGAGAGCCGAGTGCAAGACAGACTGCAGCCACTCGCACTACTGCCGTTACCCGACCGGGTCAAGCGTATTACGTAATTCAATTGGCCACTATCATTGGCCCCCTCCACCTTATCAACTCAGCGGCCGAGGTTATCGGCGTATACTGTAAATCAATCGTTTTCGATAACTGCGCGGACATCCGTAGCTGTGCGATCGTACAAGCCAGTCTCCGTCCACCACCCCTGCTCGCCGTTCGTGAGGATGCCCTACCACAATCTCAAAGGCATGCTCGCTGTCTATCACTCTAATTACTGTCCTGACGCGTCAACCAGCTCTGATCAAGGGCATTCGGGCATGCAAGGCGAGTCGCCTTTCCAATCCAATTACGTGCCAAGCGGCCGTACTCACACCCATTGCTTAGACCGTCGCAGATGAGCGTGCTTTGATCAAACAAGAGTCCGCCGCTATACGCGCCTCCTTCCGTGAAGAGGACTCCTACGCAAGACACAACAATGTCGCCAAACTCCTCTACATTCACATGCTCGGCTTCGAGGCCCACTTCGGTCAGATCGAATGCCTTAAGCTCGTAGCAAGTCCCCGTTTCGGAGACAAACGTCTGGGATACTTGGGTATCATGCTGTTGTTGGATGAGAGCCAGGAAGTGCTTACGCTGGTCACGAACTCCCTGAAGAAGTACGTTCGCAACGTTAGCCTGGCGGGCCATCTAACCTCGGGCATGAAGTGACATGAACCATGCGAATATGTACGCGGTCGGACTAGCTCTCTGCACGTTCGCGGACATTGCCTCGGAGGAGATGTCGCGAGACTTGGCCAACGAGATCGAGAAGCTGCTGGGTTCGAGCAACACCTACATTCGCAAGAAGGTATGTGAGGTCATGTGGATTCTGCTGCACTTCATGACCATGCGGCTGTAGGCTGCGCTATGTGCCCTTCGCGTGGTCCGCAAAGTCCCAGACCTCGCGGACCACTTCGTCTCGAAATCCAAGAACCTCCTCGCGGACCGCAATCATGGAGTACTCCTCACAGCAATTACCCTTGTTACCGAAATCTGCCAAATTGATCCCCCGAGCCTCGAAGAGTTCCGCAACGTACGGAGCCTATTTGCCTGACTACGATGTTGTGCTCATCCGCCTGTCTATTAAACAGGCCGTACCTCTGCTCGTTCGCCACTTGAAGTCACTCGTGACCACGGGCTACAGTCCGGAACACGACGTTTCAGGGATCACGGACCCCTTCCTGCAAGTCAAAATCCTACGCCTCATGCGTCTACTGGGCAGGGGAGACCCGCGGGCTAGTGAAATCATGAACGACATCCTTGCTCAGGTTGCAACGAACACGGATTCTACCAAGAACGTCGGAAACTCCATTTTGTATGAGACCGTTATGACCGTCCTGGAGATCGAGGCAGACAGTGGCCTGCGTGTTATGGCGATTAATATTCTAGGCAAGTTCTTGAGCAACCGGGACAACAACATCCGGTGCGTTTCGCCCTTTGCCCTTGCGCGCTTTTGAAATGTCTCATCCAGTGTTGGCACCAGATATGTCGCGCTCAACACCTTGAACAAGGTCGTCGCGATCGATACGAACGCAGTTCAGCGGCATCGCAACATCATCCTCGACTGTTTGCGCGACGGCGATATCTCCATTCGTCGGCGCGCGCTCGAGCTGTCGTACGCGCTGATCAACGAGCAGAACGTCCGGATCCTCATCCGGGAACTGCTCGCGTTCCTGGAGGTCGCGGACGACGAGTTCAAGCTGGGAATGACCACGCAGATCTGCTTGGCGGCGGAGCGTTTCGCACCCAATAAACGTTGGCATATTGACACGGTTCTGCGGGTATTGAAGCTGGTAAGTATTGTCGTGTTGGTGTGCTCTCCACAACCACGCATACTTATCGATGAGCGCTTCAGGCTGGCAACTTCGTGAGAGAAGAAATTCTCTCTGCCTTCATCCGACTGGTCGCGCACACACCAGAGCTACAAGCATATACCGCGTCCAAGCTCTACGCCTCTCTGCGTTCAGACATCTCGCAGGAATCCCTCACGCTGGCCTCGACATGGGTGATCGGCGAGTACAGCGAGATCCTCCTCGAAGGTGGTCTTGTTGACGAAGAGCAGCCCAAGCCAGTGAGTTTACTGTCATTTTAGTACCACTCCTTCCTCACTAATGCGGTTTACGGTGCGAAAGATCTCAGATCAGGAAATTGTCGAGCTTCTCATCTCTGTCCTCGACTCGCCCTACGCAAACTACCTCACGCGCCAGTTCGTTCTCACAGCGCTGACGAAGGTCTCGTCGCGGCCAACCACATCGCCCGCGCAGCAGGAACGGATACAGACGCTGCTGATGACCTACACGACAAGCCCCGAACTTGAGCTCCAGCAGCGCGCCGTAGAGTTCGCGAGCCTGTTCAATTTGGGCGAGATTAGGTCAGGCGTGCTCGAGCGTATGCCTGCGCCCGAGCTGAAGGCCACCGTATTGGGTGTCGGTGAGTTTTGCGTTACTTCTCTACTGACTATGTGGGATCCTTAACCTCTGTCTAGTGAGCGAAAACAAGCCCGTCGGCTCTGTACAGCCAGGCAAGGACGTATGTATCCTTGAATTCCCGCTTTGTCCAAATGACTGAACTCGATCCTTAGGCGGACCTTCTTGGGGACGACATTCCAAGCGCGCCCGCTACAAACGGCCAAGCTGCAGCCCCAGCTACCCAAGACCTCCTCGCTGAGATCTTCGGCAACTCTGGACCCTCCGCCCCAACAACTGGCGGCTCGCCCGCACCCCCGCCTGCCCAGCGCAACATCGCCCAGGACATTCTCGGGCTCTTCGACTCTCCCTCTACCACCGCCGCCGCTCCAGCCGCCACGGCGCCATCGTACAACGCACACTCCTCCTTGTTCGGTGCAACCCCTGCAGCACCCTCACCACCCGTCCCGCAAGCTACGTCTCCCCCGCCCGCACAGGCTCCAGCGGCGACGGGCTATGTCGCGTACGACAAGAACGAGCTGAAAGTAACACTGACGCCACAGACGTCCCCGACGCGTCCGGGTCTCGTCCGGGTCCTCGCGCAGTTCGTTGCGACCGGTGCGAACCCGCTGTCGGGTCTCAACTTCCAGGCGGCCGTGCCAAAGGTCTGGTTTCTTTATCACATTAACGGAGGTGTGTTTGGATGCTGACACTAGTACACACAGTCGCAACAACTGCAAATGGCGCCCATCTCAAGTCCCGACGTCGCCCCTGGCCACGCAGAGACCCAGGAGATGCGCGTATTGGCCCCCGCTGGTGTGAGTGCTGCCGGTGGTTGCTGTTTGAGAGGCTTAGTGTGCTGATATTTTCACGCTCTCTGCCTGCAGGCCAACATTCGTCTACGACTGCGCATATCGTACAGTGTCGCAGGACGCGCGGTGCAGGACCAGGTCGATTTCGCTGGTTTCCCAGCTGGGCTGACGGGCGGATCATCATGATGTGCATAATGTGTACTAGATTCTAGCAGTATTTTATTGACACCCTCTGGAATGCATACCTTTCGGCTTGTAGCCTGGCGCTGTACTCACGGAACGTCCCCCCGCTGCGAAAGAATCGGACAAGACCATAGTTGCAATAAGGAGACCTAAAGTACGCATACACAGCACGAGAAACCTATCCTACAACATAACATTATAACGCCCCTCAGATGAACATCTGCAGCGGGTGGCGATCGTAGACATTTTGGCCCTCGCTGAGCTCGCCCAGGTCCGGGTAGAACGGCACGAGCGCGTCCTCCGCGCCGAGGTACAGCGAGTTGTACACGCGCCAGTACACCTCGCGCACCTTCCGCGCGGGGTGGAAGAGCCCCTGGAGCGTGTAGCTGAGGAGCACCCCAGGGCCGAGTGTGACGCGCATCGCCTCGACGGCCTCCATGACCGCGCCGATGACGTGCGGGGACGTCTCGAAGCAGTTCGGCCAGACGAGGTTCATGAGGTGCAGCATCGAGTCTTCGCAGCCGAGCCCGGCGACGCCAAGCGCAAGGTGCTTGACGATCGTGCTTGCCGTTTGGCGATGGACGAGGTCGCGGTCGGTGAGCGCGTCTTCGAGCATGGTGACGACGGAGTCGGCGTAGTACGCGGACTGGGGGCCGACGTACTCGAAGACGAAGGACAGCGCCTTCAGACAACCGGTGCGGACGTTGAGTTCCGCTGTCCGGTACTCGTTCAGGATGGCGGGTATACATGTGAACGCTGTAGGGTGCAGTCAGCGTCAGGACGTGAAACTCGAGATCCAATGCAAGGCACTCACGTCCACAAGTTTCCGCGACGATGGCGATGGCGACGGTACTGCAAACACGACTCTGACGTTCTTGCACGCGCAGATTCGTGAGCAGCACTTGCAGGACGTCTTGCGGACCCAAACTCTTCGCGATGTAACCGAACGAGTTCACCGCCGCACGTCGGATACCCTTCTTGTGCGCTTTCAGCAGGTCCAGGAGCTCGAAACAGATTCGCATCCACTCGCGAGCGGGAACGAACTCAGCACCACGATCGGCGATACGGCCAATCAAGTTGATAGTCGCCTCCTGCACCTTCTCGTGTCGGTTACGAAGGATAGGGGTCATGCGGGGGACTGCGTATAACAAACCGGTCAGCAACGTGCAATATGATACTTTCCAGAGGATGTACTCACGAAGATCCTTCACAGGAGGGTTCATCTGTGTCATACCGACAACGTTGGCAATAGCTCCCTCGGCGGCGATGATACTACCAAGAGTGTCGGGGTACTCCTCACCGAGCTGTTCGAAGAGCACGAGACCGAGCTTGCTGAGAAGCTGATCCTCTCCACACTGCTTGATGACGACAGCGAGGCGCGTCGTGAGGTCGGCGGCTTGTTGACGGACCTTAGCGCTCTTGTTGTTGAGACGCCACAGAATCGTCGAGACGATTTGAGTGAGGTACGGCTTCACACGGATACCTGGGAATGACAAGTGAGTATAAATCGAACGCAGAATACAGACAAAGCAAGACGTACCAAGCGCATTAACGACGGTACCGAAACCGTCCAACATGACCTGGTCCTCCGTAGTCTGCTCCTGGAAGGCATAGATGATACCGTCGACGAGGCGCACTTCAAGGCGTTCGTCGATGTCGGAGGCACCAAGGGACGCGACGACCTTCGTGATAGTCTCCATGACCATCTTCCGGTACGGCTCCGCCTCGTCCTTCAAGTCGTTGACAATCCGGCCCACGATCTCCGCCACCCCAGACTTCTGCGCAAGCTCAACGGTCGTCTCGACGACCTGGCGGTAGTTGCGGCGGTCGAGCGCCATGCGGCGCACCCAGAACGCCTTGAAGAAGTCGGGCAGGATGTCCTGCTTGATGTACTGCGCGGTGACGCCCTCCGTCGCCGCGCACTGCTGCACGACTTTCAGCACGATCTTCTTCATCTCCTCGTCCGAGGTTTGGAACTCGCGGATGAGGATGATGGTGACCTCCTTGATATAGTACTGCACGTACTCTGGGTCCATGAGCGGCAGGATGAAGCCAATCGCCTTCAGGAACGCCGCCAAGCTCTTGCCGCGGTGCAGACGAATGCCGACCCAGAGCGGCTTCAGCACGTTGTCGAAGGACTCGATACCGTACGGGGCGGCAGCTTCGGCAAGGGCGGCCAGAGCCAGCGCGGTCATCGTCCGCACCTTCGTCTGCTCGTCCTGGAGGCCGTGCGCGATGCAGTCCACGAGGTTCCGCAAGTGAGGGAGGACGGCGCAACCCATCATAATGGCGATCTGCTGGACGATACGGATACCGGTGTGGCGGGCTTGCCATGACTTCTTGCTCCTACAGACGGCCTTCAAGAAGGGGAGCAACGAGGGGATACCGAGAGCGGACGCAACGACAGAGAACGCACGGGCGGTGGTATTACGCACATACTCGTCCGCGTGGTCGATATCGGGACGCATAGTGGAAATCATGTGGGCGAGACCAGCTGCCTTGGACAGGTTCGAAATGATCTCACGACCCTCGACACGGGCGTAGTAGTCCTCGTCGATAAGCAAAGGCTCAATGACGACGAGAATCTTGTGGACGTAGGGTCGGACGAGGTCGTCGAGCTTGTAGAGGACACGGTCGATGACCTTGACCAGCAGATGCCGCTCCTGGTCCTCCAGGGTCCGCTCCATGAGTAGAGGCAGGATCTTGTCGAACAGGGGACCCGCACCGAACTCACGAGCCTTGTCCGTGATCTGACGAAGAGCGGTCTTTCGAACGGGAGGGGTGCCGTTCTTGATCTTCAGGAGTAACCGCATGATCTTGCGCTCCTTCATTTCGTCCACAGACATCTCCGTCTCGTCCTCCTCTTTCAAGATCTTCGCGAAGTACTGAGCGTCCTCCGCCTTGAAGAACGCAAGATTGCCAACGCCAGGAATTTCGGTGGGAAGCTCTGGCGCAAGACCCGCGGCGGCGGCCATTGCCGCAGCATCTGAGCTCTCTTGGATTTGGAACCCACCAACCTCGGTTACAGGCGTGGCGGTCAATTTGGGTGGTCGGACGAGGGGTGCATAGCCAGGAGGGGGAGTGACGATAACATAACCAGCAGAGGGTAGGAGGGCGTCCAGCTCTTCGTCGGTGAGGTACCGATTGTGCTTGTCCTCGTGCATGAAGCCAGGCGCGTTCATGATGATTTGAGTCATGGCCACCTCCGGGGCGGCGGCGGGTGCCTGGTCCCAGCGCGACCGCTTTCCGCCAGGAGTTTCGCCCGCGACGTCGGCAGGGGTCGCATCCCACCTAGACCGCCGCTTCTTCGGCGCAGCGCCCTCGAGAGCCTCTTTTGACCACTCACCCTTGTTCTCCTTGTCCTCCTCCTTGCCGTTCGCTGGCTCCTCGATGTCCCAGCGCCGCTTGCGCTTCGTGCTTGCTGAGAGGGCGGCGAGCTCCTTCTGTGCCTCCTCGAGTTCTTCGCGGGGAGGAGTCTTGTCGAGGTCCATCTTCGACTGGCCCTCCTCCCGCGCCTGCTTCTCCTTGTCCGATATCGCCCTCCTCACCCGCTCCTCCTCCTTCTCCAGCCGTTGCAGCCTCATCGCCTCTTTGTAACCACCGACGTCTCCCTCCTCGCCTTCTGCGGAGGCCTGGAAGGCATCTGCGCTCTCGTTTGCGTGGCGGTTGAACCTCCGGTTGTGGTAGTCTGACTGGCGAGACGCGATTTGCCGCTTCGAGGCCGTCTCGGCGAAAGGGTCGATGTCCTCCTCCTCCGCCATGTCGGCGAATTCCTGCAGCACCTCCCTCGGGGCAGTGAACGAGTCAACGAGCCGTGGTGATCTTGGAGAAGACATAGTGAGGAAGAAAAGCGAGAGAGCGGAAGGATGGTAGCGAGAACGTTGGAAAGGACGTGAGCGTCTGTGTGCAAGACGTTCCACGGTGGTGACAGCTGAGTAAACGCGCCACAGCGGAGTCTCAGTGTTCACACTCCGACATAACTAGATAGGCGAGCGCTTGTCTTCCGTAGCCTGTGTACTCGACGAGCTCAGACTCTGCAGGTCCCCCTAATCTCCCGGTCTTGCACTGCCAAAATATCGCGCGTACTGCTGCTGCTAGCTTCTGAACTGGTGCAGACTTATCCGCAATTTTCACGCGTGAAAAAGCGACCGAAGATGCACACAATACGTCACATTCGCCGAGCACCATGGCCACACTTTGCATTCAGTTTCGACAGATGCTCCTTTGCTCCCACTATCATCGACCATTCGTCGCCCGGGTGTTCTTCGTGGCAGCGCTCTCGCGTCTGAGCTCTTGCACCACCGCCTGTGCAGCCGATGCGGTTCAGCACACTCAACTCCGCACCTGCCGTTATGCGACGATGGACATACCGCCAGAGCCTCGGGGTTAACGCCGCTTTCGATCAGGCCAACGCAAGTCGCAAGCGTCTCCTTGTCAAGACCCGTGTTGAGCAGCTGCGAGATGTCGTGGAGAGCTAGGTGCGCCAGTATCAGCTAAGACGCGTTGGGACGTCGGAGAAAGGCGTACTGTTCAGGGTTTCCTCCGCCGCTGAGTGGCGTTCTGCTTCTCGCGTGGACATCTCAGCAGAGTCTCGAGGACGGCCTTCCGTGCTGCACGCAGGTGGTCGTGGTGGCTGGGGGTGGCGGAGAAAGACGGCCTTGGTGGCGGTCGCGCGCGTCGCGTCGCGACTGGAACCTTGTGCTTAGTCATACGCGCTGAGTCGTGCTGCGTATCCGAAGGCGTCCTGACCAAAGCACGCCTAACGGGGCTCAGCGTGCGTTATTCATTCTGTGCGAAGTGTCTGCCACGATCAGAGCGCGATTTATAACAATCCTGTCATTAACGGTAACCAGCGGCCACGACGTACTTAAGACGGACGCAACAAGTCTCTGAAAGCTTAACTCACAGCATCTTGCGATTTTGTTCCTACTTCCTCACCCTCTTACCCCCGCACTCGCAGTACCCGACTACATGTCCTCGTCCACGATGTCCACCTCTCAGCTCAAGTCGCCGCTTGTCGGATACGAGAACGCAGAGCCACTGCCTACCACCTTCAACGCGGACGGCAAGTCGTACTACAACCCTCCAGCCCCGCGCTCCGCCGCATACGACGACTTCCCCGCACCGATCAAGTCAGCGAACAACGGCTTCGACTTCCACAGTGAGTCCAGTGCGCTATTGCAATGCAAATTTGAAAACTAAACGTATCGTGCCAGTCTACTATCACCCCGGCGCGGCCCAAGAGGCTAAGTACGCGGCGGAGCTGCACGAGCGCATCCGACGCGAGTTCCCCGAGGTACGTGCTCATTCCTATACCTAAGACGAAGCACCGCTCACTCGGCGCCGTTCGTAGCTCCGCATCTACAAGCTGTTCGACAGGGCCGTCGGCCCCCACCCGGTCCCCATGTTCGAGGTGAACGTGTTCACACCCCACCAGACCGGCACCTTCTTCTCGTGGCTTGTGGTGAACCGTGGTCCCCTCTCGTGAGTCGCATTCTATGATACGTCATATGTCAACTGAGCGGACGTGTGTTAGTGTCCTCATTCACCCCAACACCGGGGACGCGTACCGGGACCACACCGAGCTCGCGACGTGGATGGGCACGCCGTACCCCTTGTACGGCGGTATGTTGAAAGGACACTAGGCTAGGGTAATGACTAGGTCCAGCGATGTAGTCAGCATGCTTCTGTATAGTATATCAATCACAACGCAAAGCTTCAAACCATAACATGCGCCTCACACATCGCACGACCGCGGACAGTTCAAGCTCGCTCGCAAACAGGATGGAGAGGAAAGAAGAAATTATCTAATAAACAATACAAATACACCCGGTACAGAAGAATACACAGACAAGAATCGCGACACTCGACACCCCCTACGTGCGCTCGCCGCGCAACCGCCGGGCGAGGGCAAGGTCTTTGGGCTGGATCGTCACGCGCTTCGCGTGGATCGCAGCGAGGTTGGTGTCCTCGAAGAGCGAGACGAGGTACGCCTCGGACGCCTCCTGCAGCGCCATGACGGCGGAGGACTGGAAGCGCAGGTCGGTCTATGCGGCACAATGGTAAGCGTCGTGTTCATGCAAAGGTAAAAGGGCGAGAAGACAAACCTTGAAGTCCTGCGCGATTTCACGGACGAGCCGCTGGAAGGGCAGCTTGCGGATGAGTAGCTCGGTCGACTTCTGGTACCGACGGATCTCGCGGAGCGCGACGGTACCCGGCCGGAAGCGATGGGGCTTCTTGACACCACCAGTCGCCGCCTGTGTTCAAGTGAGGTGAGCATGAGACTCGAAGGTAGACAAGGGAGGTGTGGCTTACAGCGGCGGTCTTGCGAGCCTGAGACTTAGCAGCGAGCTGCTTGCGGGGCGCCTTGCCACCGGTGGACTTGCGGGCGGTTTGCTTGGTGCGGGCCATTGCTGATGAGGTGTTTGGGTTTGGCGGTGGTAGTAAGAGTGGCGGAGGGCGCGAGAGTTAGAGCGGATGGATGAGGGGAAAGGCTGCAGCGCCCTGGCTCTATATACAAGGCGCCGCGACGCGCCGGGCTCACGTGCGCCGCGCGTTGACGCCGTTCAACAGAAATAAGGTTCACCACACGTGATCATAGCCACAGGCGCGTCCGATATAAGCAAGTGGGCTGAGGCGCTGAAGCTGCATCCACTCCCCACCTCACACAAGCCACCTCTCCTTCTTCGCACCGTCGAAGCCAACCAACAACGCGCTTTTAAGCACTCTCACCAACCACTACTACCTATCTCGACATGTCTGGCCGTGGAAAGGGAGGCAAGGGTCTCGGCAAGGGCGGCGCCAAGCGCCACCGCAAGATTCTTCGCGACAACATCCAGGGTGAGCCCACTTGCACATTGGACTTGCAGCGCATCGTCTGACAACGACTACAGGTATCACTAAGCCCGCCATCCGTCGTCTCGCCCGTCGTGGCGGTGTCAAGCGTATCTCGGGTCTCATCTACGAGGAGACCCGCGGTGTCCTCAAAATCTTCCTCGAGAACGTGAGTTGCCTCTGCAGTAGCCACGCCAAACATTGTCTTATTCCTCCCCGCTCAGGTCATCCGCGACTCTGTCACCTACACTGAGCACGCGAAGCGGAAGACCGTCACAGCACTCGACGTCGTGTACGCGCTGAAGCGTTCAGGGCGCACACTCTACGGTTTCGGTGCATAGAGGGTTTTGGATTCTTCGATTTGTTTATTTCCTTGTATCATTATGTATTGTACAACACCGGGTTCCTAATCGACTGGTCGAAACGTCTCATCACTGTCCGATTTTGAGTGTTCATTGGTGGTTCTAGTGATCCGGCCGCGGTGCGAAGAGGTTCTGTCAGGAACTGAGCAAGACGCTGGGCACACGACCGAGGAGGTCCTCATCTGGTATGATATATAGGCGAGCGCCGCGCTCCTGCTGTGAGCGTCTTCGTCGTCCTTTTGTTTCTTTGTGGAATACCTCCACTTGCAAACTGTGTAGCCTAACGAATAGCACATGCAGGCATCAATGTTGGTCCCGCAGTACGCCTGATCCGGCCCATGCCTGAATACCTGACACCGACGAGGGTGCACCGGCGTGTCTACAGCCGGTCAACGTCTGCTGACCCCCAGCAAAGCCACAGGGATGATCATGACGGGTACTGCGTGTGCCACTGCCGGCTGGCCACACACCGGCCGTTCGTACACACAAGTTCTCAAGGGAGTCGCGCACACGACCCGCCGTGTGCCAACGTAGCTCGCCGCGAGGATCTGCGAAGGTTCATCGATGCAGACGAGCAAGGACCCTGACGGAAGCAAGCGCGACGGCGCCTCCGCGCGATGATGCGGGGCGGGCGCTCATCTCACCCCGATCTCATATCACATGCCGGGTAAACGGGCGCGAGAGAGACGGCCGGGCACCGACCCCAGCGGCCTCCATAAAGCTCTCAGCCTCCCGCCCGTCGCCTCCACCATCCCTGTCTCCCTACCCCTCACACTCATATCCCGCCATGGCCACCATCACGACCCCCCTCACCAAGCTCTTCAAGATCAAGCACCCCGTGCTGCTCGCAGGTGAGCCCTCGCGCGTCCAACCCTCGGGGGGAGGCGACATATGGACTAAACGCGCCCTCGCGCGCAGGCATGAACGTCGCCGCCGGTCCGGAGCTGGCGGCTGCTGTCACCAATGCGGGTGGTCTCGGCGTTATTGGCGGTGTGGGCTACACCCCCAAGATCCTGCGGGCACAGGTCAGTTCGTTTGATGCCCATAGACATGCAGAGAGCACCCGTGCTGACTACATTTGCCTCCGCAGATCAAGGCCCTCAAGGACGACCTTGTGGACAAGAGCGCGCCCTTTGGCGTGGATTTGCTGCTGCCGCAGGTCGGAGGCAACGCGCGCAAGACAAACGTGAGTGCCCCACACACTCGCGTCGCCTCGACCGTCTCACGAACTGCGGGTTTCCTAGTACGACTACACGAAGGGCCAGCTGCCTGACCTCATCGACGTCATCATTGACGAGAAGGCCTCCCTCTTCGTCTGCGCCGTCGGTGTCCCCCAGAAATGGGTCGTCGAGAAGCTGCACAAGGCAGGCATCCCCGTTATGAACGTAAGTCGCGCCCCCATCCCTTCCCCCCACCCCAGAACCGCACTCACGCACGCCACCTCAGATGGTCGGCCACCCGAAGCACGTGCAGAAGGCCCTCGACGTCGGCTGCGACCTCATCTGCGCGCAGGCCGGCGAGGGCGGCGGGCACACGGGCGACATCCCCGCGTCGCTGCTCATCCCCGCGTGCGTCGACATCTGCAAGGGCCAGAAGTCGCCCCTCACTGGGGAGCCCGTGTACGTGATCGGGGCGGGCGCGGTGTACGACGGGCGCGGGCTCGCCGCGAACCTGTCGTGGGGCGCGGAGGCCGTGTGGGTCGGCACGCGCTTCGTCGCGAGCACGGAGGCGGGCGCGCCGAAGGCGCACAAGGAGGCCGTCCTCAGCGCGGGCTACGAGGATGCGGTGACGACGCTCATCTACACCGGTCGCCCGCTGCGTGTCCGGAGGACACCGTACGTCGACGACTGGTAAGTCCTCCTTTATGCTCCGTGATGGGGGCGTCGGATTGAGTATTGCTTTTCAGGAACAACAACCGCCAGGCGGAGATCAAGGAGCTCACGGCGAAGGGTGTCCTCCCGTACGAGCACGACCTGAAGGAGCACCCCGAGAAGTCGCTGGAGGCGCGCGCGTGGCTCATCGGGCGCGTCGCGGCGCTCATCCACGAGGTCCTGCCCGCGAAGCAGATCGTGGAGAGCATGGTGAACGACGCGGCGGCGATCCTGCAGGCGAACGCGGCGAAGGTGGCGGTCAAGGCTAAGCTATAGTATTTTTATGCCGCGGCGGCACGTGTAATGTGCTCCTAGTCTGTTCACTTATAGGATATCCCGGATATTGACCGTTTCTTCTGCATGGACCCCACTGCAACATTCTACAGCTATCGCGGAATCAGTAGGCCCCTGGCATGATGATGTACAAATTGCTCTTTGCGTGAGGTGGTACCGAGCGAGCACTAGCATGTACGCAGCGCCTAGTACTGGTAGCCTTTATGTAGGCGCGTGCATTCGTATCCTGCCCATTACCCGCCATGTACGTCGTTTAGGCAGCTGTTTTCTGCTGTTGATTGACTCTGTGACTAGCTCATGGAAAGCCATTACGAGCGATTGAAGAGGCTACGAGAAGTATCATGGTGTGCAGGAGACGTCTCACGATGCTACCGCAGCACACTGGCATGAACTCTTACATATAGCCCGCTGCACCCCCCACGAACTGCACCATCCACTTGCCAGCACCCAGGTGCGTACCGCTCTCGAGCATGACCTAATGTTTGCTTCCACTGACATCGCAGACTGCCTTGTAGAAGCCGACCGTTCTACACACTCCACAATGGATGAGGCCACCCAGCAAGCTCACGGCGACGACACGCAGTCCCCCACCCCCACCATCGCTCCTCCTCCTTTCGACAAGCCATCCGCGGACATCGTTCTGCGCACCGCCGACTACGTCGATTTCTGCGTCCGGCGCGCGATCCTCGAGGAGGCATCGGCCGTGTTCGCCGACATGTTTAGCCTACCACAACCGTCTCCTGGCGCAGACTCCTCCTCCCGTACTCCCCCAATCCTCGTGTCTGAAGACAGCAAGACGATCGAGGCCCTCCTGCGGATGTGCTACCCGGTCTCCGACCCGGAGTTCGCCTCTCTCGACGAACTTAAGCCTGCGATGGAGGCCGCACGGAAGTACCAGATGGACGGCCTCATGCCGACGTTCACGCGTCGGTTGGTCGCGCTCTCCGGTCTTTTCCCTCTCCAGGCGTACGCTCTCGCCCTCCAGTACGGAATGGAGGACACCGCCCGGGTCGCCGCGAAGCATTTTCTCTCTCTCCCGCATCCTTGGCGGTATGTCGCAGAGCTGGAGCACATCTCAGGTGGTGCCTACTTCCGTTTGCTGAGCTACCGGGAAGCATGTGCACAGGCGGCGAAGGGTGCTACGCGGGGTACGGAATGGCTCGAAGACGGCAAATACACGTGGTTCACGTGCGGGTCCGCCGACTGTCCCCGGCCCAAAGCTCGCAATAAGGTCTGCATCATGAGTATCAGAGGGGGAGATGAGATTGAAGCACGCCCGTACTTCGATGTCCACCTCGCTCGCACAGCGGCCCTCCTCGCCGCCAAACCCTCCCGCAGCACAGTGGACCACGCTGGTGCATACATGCAGCTTGTTCAGGATGCAGCTCCTTGCTCGACTTGCAAATCCCTCATAGCTGCGGATGCCTCTAGATTTCACCAAAACCTAGCGCTCGAGGTTGATAAAAGGGTTAACGAGGTGCGTCCCTGTTCTCCAGATTGCTACGAATGGTGTAATGATCTTTTCGCCCTGCAGGTGGTGCTGAAGATCAAGCTGTAACGATTGGTGTCGCGCTGATACGAGATGCCGCATTGTCAGCAAAGCCGTATCGCGACACAGTGGAGGCGGAGGAGCTTCAAGGCGACCAGATGTTCCAAGACGCCTCCTCCTGCAACGCCTCTTGTAGAGTGTCAATACATCTGCACACGCGCAAGTTTATGTCAAGGCTTGCGGTAGAGGTGGATAAGAGAGTATCAGCTGTACATACTGGTTCCCTCCTGACACACACGCATTGCAGCCTCTCGCTAATATGCTCTATGTCAGATCGACCTGAAGATTGTACGCAAGTAGGAGACCCTTGAAAGAGTGCCACGGTTGCTTTCGGTGAAAGGATACTTTGTATGTAGCCCAAGGATGTGTTTCGGAACTACTTGACATCACTGTGGCTAACTACGAGCTCGCACAAGAGATCAAGGCAGGATCGAATGTGCCGCATGCGTTGACCGATTTTAGACAACTGTAGATATTGCCGATATTGTTGCCACAGAGGACGATGAAGCGACCGGGGGCGTCCGCTTCGCTGTGGGCGTAGAACACCTGAAGTTCTCGCCGTTTCAGTAGCTCCCGAGCTCCATCGTCGAGCAGTCGACTCGGAAGTCGGACTGCAAGGCGGCGTCGTTGGTCCACTGGTACTACATTCCGCTGCATCCGTCGACGGGGACGAGGGAGTAGTTCATGGGACTTAAGGGTGAGCTCTCAGAACGCGTCGGAGCCGGCGTCCAAGAGCGTCGTGGGAGCCTTATTGTTCTCATTGATATTTATGAAGTATGTGCCGCGCGCCAATGTACAAGAAACCCTTCGAGCCCGCCCCAAAGGATGCGGCTTCCGGGACATGCAGTGCCAGCGGGCGTCGACCCGAGTTGACCACTGGGTCCCGACTGGAGTCCACGGACGTCGGGATGGACAGCCTGTGGTGAAGACCTTCGACGAGGAGTTCGCTGCGCGAAACGCGGCAGCTGTCAACGCGGGCCTTGGGCAGTTGGGCCGACTGCCGAGTCATGGCCAAGCACTCATACACTTCAGGGTTCAGCGATCGATTTAATCTCCTCATTTCCTTGTACACCAATGCAATATCGCATTACTTATCGCGCTATGTCTACTACACGTCCGACCCCAGTTTTACAGCCTCATGATCCACAATCAAGTATATAACCTAGTACTTGAAGGTCTACACATAGCACCGGCACACCGTCATGTGCGAGGCAGCGCGTAGGCCGATCAGATGAAGTCCACTGGCACCTGTAGAAAATTGCATGTCATCAAACCACAATGGTCAAGGGTACGTAGTAGCCAGTGACGAAACACACCTTCGATACAGCATCGTCCACCGCCGAAGCATAGGAATCAAGGACTGCCCACGCCCAGGTCAGATTTGTCTGAGGAGAGCAGGGTGGTCCGTTTCGAGGGGTGAAACTAGGCTTGTCCATACCGAAAACGTGAAAGTCAGGGTCCCGACAAGTCGGAAGGTCGTTGACTGCGGCTTGCAAGAATTTCCTGGCCACTTTGGTGTTGCCGCTCAACGTGGACTTGCATGGTCTGTCTTTGAGCGCGTGAAGGATGGATTCAAGGGCCAAAAGCACCGGCTTGCTCACTGCACTGTGGCCCACCAGCTGAGTATTAATGCAAAGATTATCCGGATACCGCGAATAGCAAGGGTTCATATACACGCAGGAACGTCTCGGTGCTCCCTTGATGTCGAGCCAGGAGTCGGCAGGCAGTTGTGCGGCTTGAGAACACGCTTCGAGGTAGACCAAAAGTCGCCGATATGGTCCATTCTGCATCGTCTCAAACTCGGGGAGATACCGCGTGCATGTCGAGGAGATGCTGTGGTTTTGCAAAAGCGAGCGGACGCAGTTGCGTGCCTCCGCAACCCAGCCATAGCGCACAGCATGGATATAGGTGCGAAGGGGATCCTTCTCCAAGATCGTCGGCCATGAGTAACGTATCGTGGCCTCCACTAGTTGCAGGTCATATTTGCGGGCGGCGAAGAGGACATCCAGGAGTAAGTCGAGGTCATCGGGTGGCGCACCGCTCTCTGCGCAGCACATCCGAAGCATTGTGTCAACAACGACACTGTCCTCCTCCATAAGATGGATAGACAAATCACCGTCGTCCTCACAGAGCTCCAAGGGGATCGTACGCTCTCGTAGGGTCCTAGCTGAAGCGATGGCGATGTTTGAGCGCGACACTCTGAAATCGACGCCGTCGCTGCTCCTGAGGATGAGATGGGCGTCCGGTGCATCCAAAGGAGGGCGAACAGCCGAAAGTGAGTTCCTCGCGGAAGTCTCATGCCTTGGGACCGGTTCGCAGAATGCCCCAGGGGCGATGGAGGTTCTAGAGCTTGGTTTTTCCCCAATATGCGTGTGGCTGGGCTTCTGCGGCTGGGCCCGAGCGCGTTTGAGCTCTAGTAGCCGGTAGTATGCGCCAGCAGAGATATCGTCGATTCCGAGACAGTGCAGGTGACCGTCGACCTTGCCCATGTCGACGGCGCTATGTGCTGCGAGCGACGCTTCGGCCTCTAGTCCGAGGCGACACGCGATGACGAATATTTGGAGAGGACGGGATTTCAGGTGTCGAGGCTTGAATATGGCGCTCTTGGCCAACACGTTCGCCGCTTTCATCTCGTACTTCATGGCGGCGCCGAGAACCCGACGGATGAGGTCGAGTGATCTTAGTTCTGGATCCGGTTCGGGGTAGCAGACGCGCAACAGGACATCCAGTGCTTCGCCGTCCTCAGAGACGTCAACGACCGGTCGCCCGGAACCTGTGTCGTCGGGAGGCTGGGGAATGCTGAACATACCCTCGAACACAGGTGATGCCAGGGTGAGAATAACACGGTGAACGTGGAACTCGATGTTATCGCTAGAGCGAAGAATGAGGTCAGCGTCATCGCGGTCGAATGGCGCGGATGCCTTGCGGCTTTGTTGAGTGCTAAGCTGAGGAGCACCAGTCACCACATCGGAGAGGGGCTCAGGAGTGGAACTTGATGCCATGACCGTTCTACACCGCCACTAGTCAGCGCAATGCCATTCAAGGGAAGAGAATGCTTACTACAGTCTTGGGAGGCGCGCCGAATGAGTACGCCAAGGGAGAGGTAGGAGGTAGGAGCTAAGTTAACGTTAACGTGGGCGGAGTCCTCTTATAGCCTGAGGCCTGAGCCACTGTTAAGTGCGCATGTACCATAATGCGAAAACTGATTCAAAAAATGACATTGTTCCCAGGGTGACATGGTTGCAGCGCAAGTGATAGTCAGAGCAGAGACCATGATTTGTGTACACGTGAGGTAGATGGACAAACCAGCGAACCTGGAACTTCGCGAGGAGCCGGGAGAGATTGCGAGCTCCGACCGCAACGACCAATGCTATACATAGTGCATTACAGACCGCTCCAGATGTGTATGAAGCAACGCATAGGCCAATTACGGGAGCGGCACCTGTTTTCGTTTAGCATCAGTGACAAATCGTATCATTACGCAGCCCCGGCCAGCGGTAGAGCGCACCTTCGATACAGCGTTATCCACCGCGGAAGCGTAGGCATCGAGGACCGCCCAAGCCCACTTTAAGTTTGTCGCCGGTGGACATGTCACGGCCAGTAAAACACCCTGATGATGGGTCTGACAAGGGGGTGAATCGTTGGCTATAGCCCCCAAGAACGTCCTCGCCGCTTGGGAATCGCTGCCGAGAGTAGACCCGCACGGCTTCTTTCTCAGCGCGGCTGTGAGCGATCGGATGTGGGAAATGGGAAACTGGGTTAGTGACCAAACGTCCTCGGTGTTGGAGTTCGTCGTGTGAATGGAGTTGGGATACCGGGCTTGGCAAGGGCACTGCTCGGGCGCCCCGCAGCATGGACGCTGCGGTACTTCAAGTTGAAGCTGGAAATCAGCCGTAGCGGCTTGGGAGCACGCTTCGAGGTAAGACAGCAGCCGGCGATATGGTCCATTCGCCATCGTCTCGAATTCAAGAAGATACCGCTCGTGTATGGAGGGGATGTCGTGGACCCGAAAGAGCGAACGGGCACACAGGTGTGCCTCCGTCACCCAGCCGTACCGCACGGCGGCGAAATAGAGGCGCAGAGGATCACGTGTGATGTATATCGGCCACGAGTGCCGTATTATCGCCTCCACCCTCGGTAGCCCGTATTTGCGAGAGGCAGAGAGGACGTCGAGGAGTAGGTCGAGGTCGTCGAGGGGGACACTGCTTGTTAAGACGCACATTCGGAGCATCGCGTCAACGACGACGCTGTCTTCCGCCATTAGGTGAACAGACAGCTGATCGTCATTCTCACCATCGTGGTGAAGCTCCGAACGGGGTGCACGAGCGATCAGATCCGAAGTTGAAAGGATCGCGATATTAGTTTGCGATATCCGAAACTCGAGCGAGTCGCTGGACCTGAGGATGAGATCGGCGTCCGGCGCATCGAAGGGGGAGTTGACAGCTTGGAGAGGTGCCCTCTGCACGGAAGCGGAACGCTTCGATGGTTCACAGAATGACCCTACAGAGGTGGTGATTTGACGACTCGTGCTTCTGCGGGGGCAATATTTGCATCTTTTGCCACTGCCATGGTTCACGACGACGACGGAACGGTGAAGATCCAGCAGACGGTAGTATGCTCCAGCGGAGATATCGTCCAGCCCCGGGCATGTTACGCCCTCCACGAGATCCTTCTCGACAGCGTGTCGCGCCGCGGCAGCAGCTTGATCCTCTAGTCCCAAGCGACATGCGATGACGAACACATGAAGAGGGCTTTCGTCCATGAATCGCGGCTGGACTATAGCGTTCTTCGCTAAGACGATCGCCGCATGGACTTCGTACTTCATCGCTGCGCCGAGAACGCGGTGAAGGAAGCCGAGCGACGGGAAGTCTGGAACTGGCTCGGGATTGCAGACGCGCAGCAAGACGTCCAACGCTTCGCTATCTTCAGACACGTCAACGATCGGCCGCTCAGTACCAGCCGCGTCCGGCGGCTGAGCGAGAGAGAGCATTTCCGCGAAGACGAGCGACGCCAGAGTGAGAATGATGCGATGGACGTGGAAGTCGACCTGGTCTCCGGAGCGAAGGATGAAATCCGCGTCCTCGCGGTCGAATGGCCTGGACGCCTTGCGGCTCTGCTGGATAGGAGCGCTCGGCTGAGGAGCGACCTCCGTCGGGGAGGCAAGGTAAGTGGGAGATGACATGACTACAAGACGCATCAGCGCGATATCTCCACTGCAACGAAAGCCCACTCACAAGTATGGTAAGTGAGGTTTGATAGTCTTATGTGCAGGCGGACACCGCAGGTGTGATATGCCTTCTATTCATATAGCAAAGTCTTCAGCCGGTGCCCTCTTCGACGCGCGTGAAGCTCACCTCGTCTCCAGTGTTGGGCTAAGGCGATGGCAAGAGGGAGGAGGCCGGCGGGCGCACTGGTGGTGGGTGCGAACGACTACCGCAGCACCGCAGGGTCAGTAAGGGCACGTTGCGGCACGCTGCAACTTCGCGCAAAGCTCGTGCTGCAGCAGCCCATCGTGTGAATTTGCGTAGACGCACTGGCCCAAACACCTTCGAGTTCCAGCGACGCAACAGCGACGGGGCCCGCAGTGGTTGGTCCGTGCTTTACGTTTACGCCTGTACTGTTTGTTGCCTGTACCGTCCTAGGCAGGTAACACGAGGATCGCCAGGCACTTCGGACGCAGTGAGCTATCTTACAATTCCCTCAGTGCTCATCAGTGGTAGTTCAAATCATTGGCTAGAAGACGCACCAAGTCGCTTGGGGGGTCCACCGATTCTACAATTGCAACTGTCAGTAGGTCGTCAATACATCAAACCATCCACGTCGCCCGAGACGACACACGCACACCGACCCGGAATATCCGATAAACGTTAAGAGTGGCTTTCAGTAGAGTATATACACCCAAAAGTACATCTATGAAACAAAGCGGGGAGAGACGCCTAGAGAGATACACGCGGCAGCGCACGAGGAGAAAGAGAGAGCCGGGGGAGAAGGGCTGCCGCAACAACGAACACTACTGCCGCGCACGCACGCCCGCGCGTGCGCAGCGCACTATACGGTACTCGTGCGGGGGACACACGCGGACACGGACACCAAACCTACTGCTGCTAGTACTACGCCCAGGGGAAGCCGAGCCGGGGAAACGGGACGCGGGACAGGATGCGGGGAATACGGGGGAGATTGATGGCAATGGAGAGCGGACATTGGGATGGGGGGAGTACGGATACACGACACGGCACTTGACCAGACCAAACCAAGGAGAGGAGAGGAAGGGGGGGCGTGAGCGCGGAGAGGGAAGAGGGGAAATGGGGCGGGAGAAGGTCCAAGAAAACAACAGGATGCGATGCGGCTGCGCGAGGACGGGGATACACGTGTGGGGTGTGACGCCACCACGGCGTCGGGTTGCAAGTGCATGATGTGCAGAGGGAGGGAGACAAGGGGAGCCGGGGGAATGTGAACACGTGAGACAGCGCCGGTCGCAGTGCAATGGGTCGCGCGCGGCGGGAATTAAGAGCAGGACGCCGGGTAAGTAAGCATAGAAGAAGATATAGTTGCCCGGAGACGAGAGCGGGGCGATAAACAGCTGCCATACGCATATTCGAATAATAACTTGAGTGACGGAACGAGATCATGATGTGTTGGGACAGTCGTCATGGATGGGGATGCAATTGCAGGCAGCAAGGCGGATTATGCGATGCGTGATGGCAGGTTTAGAGGGGTAACGGAGTAGGATGTGTCGGGGAGGCGAGCGCACGTTCGTTGAGCTTGCTCTAGTTCCATATTGACCCGAGGAAACCACGCGCCGATTGCACAATCTCGGCTGCGCGGTTCACCAGCGTCCCAGCCTGCTCCTGCATGCCGTCAAAAGACACCCGCTGGGCGCGCGTCGGATGCCTCAGAGCATTCGAGCTATCAGGGGACTTCGGCGACTCCTCAGACGGGGAGGGAGGACTAGGTGAGGTCTCCGGCGACTTGCCGGTGCTCGGCGAGGTCGCAGTGGAAGACGAAGGAGGCTCGTGAGATGCGAAGACGGGGGACGGTACGGGTTCGGCCTTCTGCGCCGGGGGCACCTGCATCCGGAAGGCAGCTACAGGCGAGTTCGCCGGCGTAGGCTGTCTTGATCTCCGCTCCTCTTCCTCCTCTTCGGGAATGGGTGACGGGATCGCCACCGCGACCGTCGGGAGCTTCGCAGCGGGATCAGCTGAACGGCTCGGACGCGCTAACGCCTCACGTGCTTCCTGCTGAGCCTGGCTCGGGCCCACAGTCGACACGCTCGCCGTCTCGGTCGACGACCCGGACACGGACGACGGCGGCGACGGTATCCGCATCGACTTCTCCGGGATGTCCGACAAGACCGGGGAGTATGGCTGGTACGCGCCATCGCCGCTGTCGCTGCCGCGCGACGGCGAGCCCACCGCGTTCGGCGGGCTCAAGCTGTCGCCTAACCGCCTACCGGTGCGCTCGCGCCCGCGCTCCTCTTCGCCACCACGTCTTCTGCTGCTCCGCTGCTCGACGACGACGCCACGATCGCGACACCGAGTGCCTGCGTAAGCACTGCCGATACCAATCGCGCTGCCAGTTGGCGAGATGCTGCCCATGGGCGAGCTCGTCCCACGACTCCTGCTGCGGCTGCCGGAGCGCTCGTGGTCCGAGAACGACGACGTGCGCGTTGACGAACGCCCGCGAGAACTGGACGCGCTGCGCGAGTCGGTCGAGTGCGAGTAGGACGACGAGCCTGTCGTCGTGCTCCCGCTCACACTCGGGGAATGGGGTGTGCGGCCGCGCGACGGCGCGCCGTCCGCAGACAAGAGCGCCGGATCGCAAGGGGCGGAGCCCGGCGCGGACGACGGTATTGAGTGTGTGCTGGATATTGACGACGAGACGAGCTGGGAGTGTGCAGAGTTCACGCGAGGCACAGGCACAGCGGGGGTGGAGGGTAATGATCCATGCGCGGTCGGAGGGGAGGCTTCCTGTTCTGGTAACCTGAAAGCAACAGCCGGCCTGGCTGGACTGCTTTCGCGCGACCGCTCCTGGCGTTCCTCGACTGCACCGCTGGCCTCGTTCACCACGACGACCGGCATGTTGCTCCCGCCCGCGTTGGACGAGGTGGCATGCCAGCCACCGCTGTTACTCCGTCCCATCGTAACGCTAGAGGCACTGCCATCCGCAACGCGCATGATAACATCCCCGTCGTCGTCCCGCACGTCCGTCCGACTGCGTCTCCGGGATAAGTGCGTCTGGCTGAAATCCTCGCCAAGATCAGGTCCGCCGAAGTAGTCGTACGCGTCCCCGACCGGAGGATGCGCGATGTCGTCAATCTGCATGGGGGAATCAACCATCGACTGTGCGCCATAGAAGGTGCCCGAGTTCGAGCGTTGGAGCGAGGACCCGCCGATCGAGTGCTCAGCCGGCATACCGACGCTTGGTATACGCGGCGAGGATCCGGGGACCGGGGACCGTGCGAGCGGAGATCGAGGATAGGGAGAAGAAGTGCCGACACTGAAGTACGACTCGCGATGGTGGTACACGTCCTCGTTGCTGCCTAGGTTCGGGGTTCCCGGTTGGCTGTAGCTCGCCGGAGGCACCCACACGAGGTCGACCTCATTTGGCGACTCCGGCATTCTGCCTTCGAGGACGGTTCCCAGCTCGTTACCCACGCCGGTGCTCTTCAATAATGTGGGTGGGATCGGAGCGATGGTGACGTGTTCCCGGTCGGTAGAAGCGCGGCGGACCATGGGAGGACGGGGCCGGGCTGCCGTAGTATCAACGCCAAATGTCGTGGCAAACGGCGAACTTCGCGAAGAGGAGGATGAGCGGGAACGGCTAGAGGCCGTGCGCATCTCGAGGACGTCGTCGTCATCGTCGTCCGAATCCGAACCCGGACCGTAATACGAGACAGGCTCCTCGTATTCGCCTTCGTATCCGAGTTCAGAGTCGTACCTGACATAGGTATATTAGGATCGGGTACATCGTATACCATTCAGAGCTGCGCCACTCACCCATCATCGTAGGCATCAAAGACACGACCCTCGCGTGTAGGACCCGTGTTGGTGCGCTTCGTCTTGGGCTTCTCAATCGCAATGCACTGTTCCACGAACGTGTTGAAGCTGATGTGCTTCTTCTTCCCCCCTGGCCCGTGGGAGCCGTCAACGCCAATGCTCGAACTGCCGCTCAAGTCTTGATCGCTGCCGGTAGAACCAGAGGCCTCGCTGCCAGGCGCTAATTGCGCGACAGGGGGCGCAGTGCCATCCTCCGCGATTATGCGTGGTGGCGAGTTCTTGCGGAAAGGGCGCCCGCGCAAGCTGATGTGCGTATCGCTCTTGGTGTGCATGAGTGGCGGACGTGTGAGAGTCGAAGTGCTGGAGCCGTCGTCGCGTTCCTCAGATTCTTCATCGCTCTCCAGGTGATTGAAGAAGGGACTGGCGGGGAGAGAGAGAAGCTGACTGATGCTCCTACGCTTCAGTATAGGCTTCTTGGGCAAGGGTGCGGGAGGTGAAGGAAGACCCTTGAGGTGCTTGTTGGTCTTGTAAGGACCGGGGAGGTGGTCAGTACTAGTTTTCCGATGGATAGCGGCGAGTTTGGGAATCTTCTTCGTCGAGTAATCTGTCCAATCGTGACCGATGTGTAGAGGGCCATACAGCCAGGTCACGTCAGAGTCCTTTAACCTGCCAAACGACGTTAGAGACACGCAGGTAAAACGCGGTATCACGGCTCCTGAACACGAGGAGTGCTATCTCGACCATACGAACCCCTCATGTTTGGGAGCGAGATACGAGAGATGAACGGCTAAGAGGATATAAAACACACCAATTGAGGGTCTCCGGACTAATCGTCTTGAGCTTGTTTCTCTGCTTCCACCACGTCCGCCAACTCGCGTTTTCGAGACGCATTCCGTTGGCGATCGCGTTCTTCTGGCGGGTCATACTGCGCCATGACCGCCAGACGTCCTCCTCCTTCCAGTCGTGAGAGAGGTAGTCAACTTGGCCTTCGGGGAGGGTGACGAATGACGAGTCGTCAGGCGCAGCATTATGGGTGACAGAGACAAGCAAGACGGGCAGATAGCTCGTCAAGGTCGCAGGGATAGGCATTGCCGTCGTGGTCGCCAGGAGGGGCAGTGGTGTGTCGGAGGAGACAGACGACGGTTCGTAAGGTGAGAGAGGAGAGGAAAAAGTCCCAGAAGAGAGTTGTGGAACCGACGGTGAGTCGGTAGCGGATATCCGAGAGACTAAAGAAGCAGAAAGGCCTGGTGACCAGCTGCTTGGTGATGGGAGGACGTCGTCGACAGCGCGCTGGGCGTGCAGACTAGACGGCCGTGTGGGTGACGAGGTGGGGGTGGGCTTGGTCGATTAGGAAGGGGGCGCCATGGATGGCGAAGGGAGGAAATGGGATGGACGACGGTGGAGAGCTCGATTCGTTGGCGGCGCGAGGGTCTGCCTGGAAAAGCCCGCTCTTCCCCGATCCCCCATCTGCCATCTCCCACGTGCCTTTTTCGCCCGCTCCTGCGTCCCCGCCTCTTCCTTCTTCCCGCCCCCCGCCCTCTCGCACCCCCCGCCGGCCACGGCGCCCTCATCGATCCTCCCGCCCGACTCATCCTTGATGCTCGCCATCGATCGCACTCTGCATACATTCAGCATTCTGTGCCATTTTCTGTGCCCCTCTGCGCAACGGAGATGGCCCTCAGGCTCCGGTGCGCCGTCCGGAGCCCCCGCACGGTCCGGACGGACCTCTGGATCTCCCGAGGAGTGTCCATCACGCCCTGGCTGCATTCTCACAGCTTTCCTCGCGTGCCCTTCGCAGCCTCTCGGCCCACGACCACATGAAATCGAGCTCCCCACGGACCTCCTCCACCGTCCACCTCGTCTCGGCCTCTGTCGACGGCGCAGGTGGAGTGCGATATCGCACTTAGCTCGCCCCACTCGCCACTCGCCACCGTACCCACTGTCGTTCTTCCGGTCACCCTCGATCGCCCGAGCGAGCCTCGCGTTCGCTGCCCGCACAAGCGTCATGCTGTGGTGTACAGCGCCTCCACGGACCCCCGCAATGCGCAGGTCGCTCGATGTCGTAAAATCAGTGCGGGGTGGGACAGGCCCGTGACCACCCCCGCCCGCTCCGTGGCACCCGCCCTGCCTCTTCCGCAGAGCCCCGGGCAGCGTCCCGTTTCGCATTCTCATGTTGACGGCCAGCGGTGCTGCGCCCCCGTCACTTGACCTGGCTAGCTGTGTTGCCACCAACCACCCGCGACGCGCAGGCCAGATATAGCACTGTTCAGTTGTTCGTCGCCGGCTGAGCAACGAACACGCATGGTCCGAGCCACCTTCCATCCGCCCGGTCTCCAAGCTCGCGGTTCCCTCTTTGAGCGACTTCCCCGGACCTTGTGACCACTCTGCGCGCCCTCTACATCCGCGAACCAACCGGTCCAAGCTTCTTAGCAATGCAAGCGCTTCATCGCACAAGGAACGCACTGGAACGCAGTGCCAAATGTGAGTCGAATCCGACGCGTCAGGACTCGAGCTTGATCATCCGCAGCCGCCTCTTCGCCCTCCTGAGCTTCCCCCGAGTGGGTGCATTATGGCATCGTCCGACCTCGATGCCCCGCGGGCCGCAGCACGCAGGCATCGACTCTCCGAATCCGCTCGACCGCCGTCGAACCACCGAGTCGTACGTACTGCAGCGTACGTGCAATTTCTCCGTGCGTTCTCTGATGATGAGCAGCGCGAACTCAGACGATCGCATCCACGTCTGTTTGAGTTACCCCGCCTCGGCCGGCGCCGCCCTCTACCCGAGTCGCCTTGCACCTCTGGAACTTGGCCGCCAGCGGGGCTTCCAAATGCGGCCCGCCCGCTCGCGCCCCTTATCACATGCTAAACCAAACGCCGATCCGCAGAATCTCGATCGCCCCCCGCCGCCGGGCAAATCGCAACGCTGCCATCTCATCTGCCCCTCGGACTCGCGCGCCGGGCTTTTGCGAGCCACGCTGTTCTCGGGCCTGGCGACACGGAGCTGCAGCCGAAAGCATGAGCACAACGGCGAGAAGGCGGACGCGTAGGGACGCGTGCCTCGCACTCGTTGGCCGAGACACCCGTTGGATCGTCTGAATTTTGAAGATTTTGACATATGCATCCGCCTGCGGCCTGTCTGGAACGGCGGGACGGCGGGACAAAACAGCGAGCGTCGTGCGTGTTGTCGGGCGGGCGCGCCTTCTGACCTCGACCGGCCTGTGGACGCGGTGGCGACGCGGTGGAGGCGCGCCGACGCTCGGCGCCGCCGCCCAATGCGTCCACCTTGGCCCGGACATGTGCTACGCGCCCGAGCAAGCCGTCAAGCTCTCTTCCCGCTTTGAAGCCGAGGCCTCCGGCGTCTCATGCTGAGTCTCAGATGTGTTTGCACATCGACGACATCGGATAGGTCCAGGCCCTCAGATCAAATACGACGCTGCAAGCCATAACTAGAAGTATGAGTTTGCATGGCCCTGACATCGACTTCCAACAAATTTCAACCATATGTTCGTGTGAAGTGTGTCTCACAACACCCAAGATCCGCAGCTGGCGAGGCGCAAGTCTACCAACATGCGTACTATGATTTCAGATGCGGTTACATGTGGGCATCGGAGGAGCCGTCCTGAACTCATGGACCATGGCCGGATCTTCGTTCAAACATCGTAGCAAACATCACCAGCAGACACCAGCACACCCTCGTGTATTCAGTAGTCGAGATTGGTTCCAAGAGTCCTAGCGTAGTAACTACTCACCGGTGTTGTCTTCGATATATAGCTAGATGGATAGCGTATTGTATTGCTGCGTAAAGTTTTAATACTCATGGCCGCCTGGCGAAATGGCATCGCGTCTGACTACGAATCAGGAGATTGCAGGTTCGACCCCTGCGGTGGTCATTTTGCTTGTAGGGAGGATGTTTTGCTCCAACCCGACCCTATCGACGAAGCAGACGATGATATCCAGGAACGTCTCAATGCTATTCGCATTACAATAGTTGTGTATCGGTTCATTATTATTATCATAACAACACAATGCATGTGGGTTGTGCTATGGCTCCGCAACAGCCTAAGCACTCCTTTGTGTTGTCTCGAGGACGGCAAGGTTCGTAGATTTGCGTCATAAGACCAACTTTGGCACAAGCACCGACGACCCGCACAAGTTCTGGAAAATGTGCTCTTGATGTTTCTATGTATTGTGCTTCACCCGCGATTCTCACGAAGGTTTCCAAAGGCCCTGAGCAACTCGGAAGCGGTGCCATCAGTGGGTGTCGGTGGGGGTACCTGCCAGTGGGGCCGGGAGCGCGGTCCGCCCCTGGCTCGCAAGATGGCCCGGCGGTATCCCTCGATTGGGACGGACGGTACGGCAGATTCGCGACTTCCTCGAGACTCCTCATGTGCCTGTTGTTCCTGGTATGCCTCCTCGACCGTACGATGCTGCTTGTCGACAAACGCTGCGGATGAAGATGAGGACAGACCTCGACGGATTCAGGCTAGCTTGTTCGTGCTTACCTCGACGGCGTGTTGCTCTCTAATGGCACCCGGTCACGGCCTCAGGACGAATGCTATCCTCTCGCGTCTTCCTCGTCCTCAGACTGGCGACACCTTTTCCCTGGGCATCGCTATCCGATATTAATCCGAAGCTACCGTTGGCAAGCTACCTGCGCCTCGAATTCCTATGGCCTTTCATCAAGACAAGCTTTCTTCGCGCCTTCGCGTTCGTTGCGATCCTATACGGAGCGTGCCGGGAGTTTTCCAGGAGGAACGAAGCGGAGTGGGCCTATTCACGGTGCGTATTCTTCGTATGCGTGTTCGGCGTGCGCGTAATAACCCATCAAAGGTCCCGTTGGTGTTCCTCGCTCCGATGAGCGCCGGGGTGTCCGTCCTGCATCTTCAGGACGTGTTCAAGTTTAGGCCCGATGCCGAGTAAGTTGGTGATGCTTCTCCCGCGGCGTGTGTCTCTTCGTGTCCCTTTCACATGCTGTACTTGCACCTGGTCGCGCTATTCCGTGCCATCTGCAGTTCACTATGAGGTATATCCTTGCTCATCCGACAACTTGTGCTTCAAGGAGCGAAGACTTGCCTCAAAATTTCGACGTTCCTCCGGTGACTGTGACCGCGGTCACGGCGCTTTCTCCTCGGAAAATCGTCTTCAACCTAGCTTCAACCTTGGTGGTTGTCGTCGTTGGAGGGAGTTGTTGAGTCGCGAAGATGTGCCGTTAATGCTACTGAGAGAGGGACACTGGACTGACTGTCCTTTTACCCGTAGGCATCACGATGTCGTCGTCCCGCGGAAGGGGCTACTTGCTGGCGATTCCACGTCGAGCACCCGTATATCCCTGTCAAAGTCCTATACGTTTGCTACTCCCTTCGCACGTTAGATGGCTGATCATATCACCAAACGGCCGTAGGCCAGCTGCAGCAGATGACAGACAGCAAAGGAGACTGCACGACGCACCTCCGGCTCTCTCCCCTCCGAGTTGCTTCTACTCGGACTCCTCCGTTCGCGCCAGCGGCTCCGCAGCTCCTGGGATCCGAATGTGCTGCGGCATTTTCTCGAATAACGGCATCCAAGACATGCGGGGCGGTTGGTCTGCTTCTAGTCGCTACACCCTCAAGACCCTCAAGCGGGGGGCGAAGGAACGTGCGCCTCAAGCATACATACAGCTGGGTTGACTCGACTCGACCTGGCTCCCCACGGGTCCGAATTTCGAGCTGGAAGAATATTCCGCCGTTGTTAGAAGCCGTCCGACCGAAAAAAGCGTGCGTACACGGCCTTTGTCGTCCTGAGGCGGTGAGTGTATAGCCTCAAGAAGACGTGCATCGAAGTACGAGCGACGAAGCGGCGACCAACCGAGTGGGGACGTACCTGCAAACGCAGAGGTGGGAGTACCAGGATCGGCTCGCGCTGCGCCATTTACGCAACGGAGCGCGCCCATGCGCAATCTTGGTTTCCTCCCCGGGCGTCCTCAATCAATCCTCACGTCGGCCTGGCCCTGCAGCCTGGGGTCCCTCCCTCGCGCCCGAGCTGGAGTAAAATTTTCATCCCTTCACGTTCCTCACAGCGCTCTCGCCTGCTTTTATTGGCCCATGACCCCCGTCTCTGGTTGCCTTCCACCACCGCCCGCCACGCGATTTTGACTTCTAGTGCGCTACCCGGCCACGGGGACGCCTAGAGCTTGGTTAAAATTGCTCGACCTTCGCGCTTCAGACACCCTCAGGCCCTATCCCCCCTTCTTTTCCTCTCCTTCAAGTCCTCTCGAGACCGGCCAACTTTGCTGGTATGCGTCTTCCATCGTACTGCGAAAGCCACGGCCGCCGCCACCACCCGTACACTCAGGAACGGCGTGTCAGGCGGATCGATCTGTTCATGGTGAGTCCATCACAGCGCCTTGGTGTCGGCGTGTTCCCTGGGTGCTCAAGGCTGCGGTCGTGTTGTTGATATTGGTAGATGGCGGCGGACGCGGCTGAGGGCGCTGAAGCGGACGTATTTGAGGACGCGGAGCAAGGCCACGGTGCTCTGGTGAGTGGTGCTGTGGACGCGTTGTGTGCGCGTACGGTTGGAGTTGACGAGTGTGTGCAGGGCGTAGCGGAAGCCAGGAGCGACGTGGCCGAGCACGGGAGCCAAGAGGACCTTGCCAACCTGGAGCGCGTGCTGTTCGAAACAAAAGTGGAGAAGCCGCGCGGGCTGGCTACGGTGGTCGTGGTGCGCGGAGTGGTGTTTTTACGCGTACGCGTGCTGGCGCTCACGTCCGTCTTTCCTTCTTGCAGGAACTCGCGCTCTATGTCACGCGTGCACTCCGTCGCCTGTGCGCTTCTTGAAGGAGCGTGTGCGTGGCGGTAGGCCGCCACGGCCACGGTCTCATTCTTTTTGGGTCATCGCGCGTGCTCTCTCTGGCTACATCTTGTCACTCGAGTCCTAGTCTGGCTGCCCATTGTTAAACTGTATCTACTAATGCCGCTTTTTACTGTAGGTTCTCGCTCTCAATTGCTTTCTGCTGTAGCCATACCCCCTTCGCTCTCGCTTGCTTTCGATCATTACTACTTACACTGTACATCATTACCACATGCACATACTTGGACAATTGGCACCATACTAGTGACCCGTCTTCGCAAAACAATGCTCATCACATTCACCCAGATTTCACGCATTCCACACCAAACACCGCTTTAGAGCAACTTGTGTGAAAATGTAGCCTTTGTGGGTCCATGTGCGCTTGGCGAAGCATCCGGATCGATCGTATGCTACGATCAATGTCATTATCCGGGATTACCGGCGGTGCACACACGAGAAGTGGGGAGGGCAAAAATGACCACCGCAGGGGTCGAACCTGCAATCTCCTGATTCGTAGTCAGACGCGATGCCATTTCGCCAGGCGGCCATGTATGTGTCAAAGACGCATGTCGTTATATTACGCTGTACCCAAGGCTCACCATGACGGAGTGACCTCCATCCATGCTTGGCCATCCGCATACGGTTTCTTGACCTCTCAAAATCTCCCCACAAGATTGAGCACCATCCGTACGCGATTCATGAGTAAACGAACGAAACGGTGGGTGCTTAGGGGAGCTTGTGTATAGCGGCCACCTATGACGATGTGGATCGGCGAACTCCGCGGCTAGGGCCGATCATGTGTATGCCGCCCAAACCGACCTTCCACCTCTCTCCCTCTCTCCCTCAGCTTCACTCCCAAACTCCTTGCTCGCGTTACACTAAGATATTGCTGGCGACTTGGTGGACGGATGTCACTCTCTATTGCCTGTACACGAGCTCTCCGCTTGGATATTGGCAACTTCCACCGGGCAGCCTGGCGAGGACCTCTCGCCACCGCAAGTGTCTACACGCGACGCACACCAACCGCGTATCTCCGCTCGTTCTCCATCTATACGGCCCTCCGAAACACTCCTCCATTACCAAAACCTCCTGCACCGCGACCCGAGAAAGATGACGCGCCGGAGAAGGCAGCTGCTCCGATAGTCAGGGAGAACATCTACACCATACCCAATCTCCTCACGCTCTCCCGCATAGTCGCGTGCCCCGTCCTTGGCTGGGCGATCGTTCACGACGAGTTTTACCTCGCGACCGGCCTGCTCGTGTATGCCGGCCTGACAGACTTGGTTCGCGTCTCTCCTTCTCTCATGCTCAAGTGAACGTTCCACTGGAACTGGCTTCGGTGTTCTCAAGGTCGACGGATGGCTCGCCCGGAGGTTCAACATGGGCTCCGTCCTCGGGACAATCCTCGACCCCGCGGCGGACAAGATGCTCATGACGACGCTCGTGGTCACGCTCGCAGTCAAGGACCTCATTCCCGGTATGTCAATCCCCATATGCCGTCCTCTCAGGCTACTCACCCCCGGCGCGCGCGTGCCAGTCCCCCTTGCTGCAATCATCCTCGGGCGCGACGTGCTGCTCAGCCTCACCGCGTTCTACATCCGCTACACGACGCTGCCCGCACCCGTGAGCGTGTCCCCTGCGCCGTGTGATGACGTCACGTGACCTCGCCTCACAGAAAACGTTCACGCGATACTGGGACTTCTCCATCCCATCTGCTGAGGTTCGCCCCACCGGTATCAGCAAGGTAGGCTCTACGGCGTTTTTTCTGGTATGACAGAGATGTGGGTTGAATGCTGCACTGATCGATTGCTTAGGTGAACACCGCGCTCCAGCTCTTGCTCATGGGCACCGCGACTGTGAGTCCTATACTCCCGCTAGACATCGGTCTCCCGCTCCAAGCACTCCAGTACGTTATTTTCTTCATATGTTCCTCTTGAGTGGCCCACTCACACAATATCACAGAGTAATCGTTGCTGGCACCACCATATGGAGCGGTGCGTCCTACGTTTTCGCGAAGGACGGCTTCCGCGTCATCTCGTCCGCGACGAAGGGTCGGCCGGGGCCGCCGCCTCCGGGATCAAGCTCATAGCGACACTCCGCCTCTCTGGACATTCTGATTCCTCGATATTGTAGGGTCCTATATACATGGCGCGAGGCTGGTAATGGTATAATACACGGTATGCGCGCGGGGTACAGCTACACAACATTAACACTAATCGCAAGGTATGAGATGAAGGTGGCGCGAGTCGGATAGTGGTACAATGTCCAAGATAGCGCGATAGGCCGCTCATGAGTTCGATTTGCCGGCGGGGGTGGTCCCGTTCACAGCTCTACGTTTCCGCACTTCTTGCAGCGCAGCTTCTATTGCGGGCTTCGCCGCACGCTGCTGCCGCCATTGCTCGCCAGCTCGCCTGAGTCGAGGTGTCAGACATCTGCACTTAAGCTGTGACCTGCGGGAGATGTGACGTACCTGGAGCGGTTGATGAACACGACAGACTGCACGACGCTTCTCAGCGACTTGTGCTTGCTCTTCGCCGGGGCAGGTTTTGATGGCACCGTCAGGTATCCTATCCGTGCAATGGCCGCAAGGATCTTCTCCTCTCTGTACCCACTCGTTAAATCGTATGCACACTGACTCATATGTAAACCACTCACTTTCGCTCGAGGCGCGCCATCAAGACGAGCAGATATTGCTTCTGGTACCCAAGGTCGCAGCGGAACACGTACTCGCGCGTGTACTTCGCCTTCAGGTAGCGGATCTGCACCATGAGACCTTTGCATTCCTTGTTGTGCTGCTGCCGGAGCGCCACGAGCTGGGTGTCGTCCCTACACGGTCGTCAGCCTCCACGTTAAACCTCAGAGCAAAGGTTCACGTACGCAGCACAAACATGCCCTCGCAACTCGCGCGCCTTCTCCTTCTGGGTGTCGAGCTCCTCTTTGAGCACACGGAGTTGTGCCTGCGCCTGCTTCTGTGAGCGGGCGGCCGCGGCGCGCTCCTCCTTCCGCTCTGCCTCTGTCTTGTCCTTCTGCGCGCGCAGAGCCTTCAAGTCACGCCCGAATGCCTCAGCATCCCTTCGGACGCGTCGGAGATCCGCCTCGAGCGCCGCCACGGTGCGCGCGACGTCGCCCTTCTCGGCAGCAAGGCGTGCCTTCTCTGCCTCTACGCGCTCCAGCTCAGATGCCTGGTTGGAGAGCGCTCGGCGGAGGTCCTCGATCTCGAGCACGCGGAGATCAAGCTCGTGCCGCCGGTTGTCGTGCGAGGTCTGGGACGCAGCGTACTCGCTCTTGAGCCGGTTCACCTCCTACAGCCCATAGTCAGTCGTGCGTGGTGAGAATAAGAACAAGCTAGACGTACCTCAGAGGCTTTCGCATAGCGGCGCTGGAGGTCCTTGTGATCCGAAGCAAGCATAGAGCGTTCTTGGCGTAGCTGCTCCATGTTCCCGAGGTTCTCGGATACCCTGGCCTCGAGAAGACGGGCCTTCTGTTCAGCGGTAGCGTTGCCTGTTTGGATAGGTCAGATGAACGTCATTCTGAGTACTAAAGAAGAGTGCGTACTGCGCAACTCCCTCTCGAGTTCATGGTTCTCCTGCTTGATTTGTTGTAGCTGCTCTCGCACATCGGTCATGTCCTAGGTAACGCTTGTTAGTTAGACTACCATGTGGGAAGTTCCACCGACGTACGGATTCAGTGCGACGCAAGTCGAGCAGGACGGCCTCCTTCTCCCTCTGAGCCTTCGTCTGCTCAGCGGTCAGTGCACGGAGACGGCTACGTTCGGCTTTCAACTCGGCCTCGAGCTCGGCCATCATGAGCCTTGCCTTCTCCAGTTCCTATATTCCGTGCTCATCAGCGATGTTCAAGCGTGAGGTCAGGAATAGGCGACTTACGCCTTCAACACCAGCACGAGCCTTCTCCCCACGTCGCTCGGCCTCCGCGTACTTGCGGATCTCATCCTTGGCGTTACGAACCTCGACGTTCAGTCGACTAGCGGCATCTTGCAAGACAGCATTCTCCCCGAGAATCTTGCTCCTCTCTTCCTCCCAGGTTTGACGCATAGCGTCCAGCTGTGTGTTGACCTGCTTCAGCTCTGAGCGCAGTGCCTCTGTTGTCCTGGTGGGAGGCGTCGGCGGTTCCGCAGGTAGACTCATAGTCGAGGCCTCGAGAATAGAACTATCGAGGGCGAGGTGAAATGGTACGGCATGTCTTATGTGTTACGACGTACCTCTCATCGGCGTCACCCATACTCATCAGACTACGCGTGTCGACCTTGGTCCTGCACTTCGTGCACCGGAGGCGTTGCAAGCGATGCTCCCTCCGCTCCTCCTTGCGGGTCATCCGTGCAATCTCGTCCTCCAGGGCATTGATGTGGTCTCGTGCATCCTCCAGCTGTTGTGTGAGGTCAACAACGCCGAACCCAGCGTCTTCCAGGCGGTCGAGTTTGTCGTCAATGCTGGCGTTCGCGCGGTCCAACTCTTGCTGCAGTCGTGCCAGCTCGGCCACAACCGGGGACATCGACGGGTCTTGCATGGTGTTCTGGAGCCAGGACAGCTACAATGCCGATTTAGAACGCACGCCATATCATGGTACAGTTTACTTACATCACGGAGAGGGCCGCCAGGTGTCTTTGGGCTCTTGAAGGACAAGTTGAGCAGGTGCCGGTGCATCGGTGACATGCCGCTTCCGCTAGCCCGTCTGCCAGGAGTACCGAAGATGCCGCTCTGGTTCTTGAGAGACTTGAGCCGTTCCAGCAGGTCCTCTTTCTCCTTCTCAAGCAGCTCGAGGCGGGCGTCCTTCGCGTTCTCCATAGCCTTGCGTGCAGGTGATTGCGCGACGACTGTCTGCAGCCGCGCGATCTCCTTGCGGGCATCGTCGAGTTCGTTCTCCAACGCCTCGACCTCCGCCTGCAGGTCGCGAGTGATAGTGCTCTGCGAGGGGCCTAGTTGAGACACAGAGACAGACCTCTCTTGCTGCCTCTCTGCTGCGCGCTCGAGGGAGGCGACGGTGGCCTTCAGAGTCGCGACTTCTTGTTCGTCCGCGAGCATTTTCTTCTCTGCTGCTTCGAGTGCTGCCTCCATCTGGCGGGCGAGCTCGGACGCCCTCTCGGACTCTTCAACCAGACGGTCGTTATCCTGCTGCTCCAGCTCCAGCTCAGACGTGAGCTGGTGCACGTTCTCCTGGGCAGCGGAAAGCTGGTGCTCGAGGTCCTGGATACGACGACCATCTGCAGCAGCGTCCGCTTCGTACTGCGCCGCCGCATCCTCAGACTCCCGAAGCTGCGCGCGGACCTTCCGGATCTCCTCCTCGAGGCGCTCCGACTGGTACACCGCGTTCGACAGCTCGTCCATCTTGTCCCGGAGCTCCTCCTCCAGCGCCGCCGTGCGCTTGCGCTCCGCCTGCAGCGACGCCTCGGTCTCGTCCTGCCGCTCGTCCGCGCGCATCACCTCGTCCTCGAGCTCCTTCATCTGCCGCTGCGCGTTCTGCAGCTCGCCGCGCACCTGCGCGAGCTGCTCGTGCGCCGCGTTCACCTCCGCCCCCAGCTCGAGCCCGCTCTCGAGCGCGCCCTCCGCCTTCTTCAGGCGCTCCGCGAGCACCTCCTTCTCGACCTGCACGACCGCGAGCCGGCGCTCCGCGTCGCGGACGTCCTCCGTTCGCTCGGCCTCCACGCGCTTCGCGGACTCTTCGGCTGCGCCGAGGCGCCGCTCGAGGTCCGCGACGATGCCCTCGACGCCCTTCTCGACCTCGACCATGCGTTCGCGCCACCGGTCCTTGTCGCGCGCGCGCTCGGCGCGTTCTGCCTGTAGTGCCTCCTCCGTCTTCGCCTTGTCGGCGGCACTGGCCTCGAGCTCCTCCTTGATCTCGTCGATCATCTCCTCGAGCGCGGCCTTCTCTTCCATCCAGGCCTCGGCGACGTCCTCCTCAGTGACGTCCCCCAGCCCGAGAGCCGGTCCCGCACTGACACGCCGTCCGCCACTAGATCGCCGAGTAGCGGGAGGATCCCACGCGGGCGTCGCACTAGAGGAAGGAGCACGGGTGGCCGCGGGCGAGCCCTCGACATCCCGCCCGTACTTCTCCTCGAATGCCCGCAGGCGCGCGACGAGGTTCTCGTTCTCCTCCTGCAGACGGCGATTGAGCCCATGAAGGTACGAGTTCAGCTTGCCGGCGTTGAAGCGGCCCACGCCGTGCCCGCGCTCGGCAAGGCCCATGAGCGGATCGAAGGAGGCGTTCGCCCGCGCATGCGTCGTCAAGTCGTGAGAGGACGCCGTCGAGACGAAAGACGCGCGGTCCATCGCGTGGTCATAGGGCGACTCCGAGCCAGACCCGGAGTCGGTGGTCACCTTCCAGGTCTGGGTGAGGGGGTGCGAGAGGCGTGCCCGCTTTGCCACGGCCGGGCGAGGTGTAACGCCAGCGAAGGCTTTTTGCAGGGTCACACCTGGCGTGGCTTGAACTTCAGAGTGAGACTCGGAAGACTGCGACTGCGACTCGTCGCTTGGAGTCCCCGGGTGGGGTGTCGGATACCGAAGTCGAGGACGAGCGGTAGAATTGATGACTGAGAGCAAGAACGACCGCTTATGCGCGTGCGGGGTTGCTGGGTCCTCGGCGATAGGATAGGCATCGTGGCCTTCCTCGTCGTCGTGATCTTCCGGCTCATAGGCATACTGCTTGGGCGTCTCATACGTGTCAAACCGGACTTGGGGTGTAGTGGTCGACAGAGGCGTCGTAGAAGACAACGGCCCACCAAAGCGGGCCCGTGGGCGAGGCTGGAATGCCGGGGTCGGGGTGAACATCGCCGATCCTGGAGAAGAGAACGCCACCGAGAGAGGAGTGGGCGAGCGCATGCTCCTGATGCCATTGCCTGCGCTGCCGTTGAGATCAGCCGAGGCAGCTTCCTCCGAAGAAAACGTCGGCTCTCTCGAGTGCTGCGAATAGCGGTCGCTAGTGTCGCTGGCTTGGTGTCGATCACTGGCTGGGCTGGGCTGGTGAGGGCTCTGAGCGACGTCAGGAAACACTTCCATGTCCTGACCGGAATGCTGAAGATCTTCGCTTTCGGTTTGGAATCCAGAGCCCAAACTCATCTGCGTAAGATCATGCTCTTCCACGTGTGGCGGTACCGCAGGGGAAGCCGTCGCCGAACGGGGGAGAGGTACCGCAAGAGCAGCCAACGGAGGGTCAGTGTCTGCGCGTTGCCATCCAGCCGATCTCGTGCTGTGCGGTGTGGAATTAGATGTAGATGATGCTGGAGAGGACGTTGTTCGTGATAGCGAAGGAGTCCTGGTGCGGGAAAGCGGTCGTCGGAAAGAGATGTTTCGCAGTTTGTCAAAAGGAGAAGCCTATCAATGTATCAGTGTTCGCCCTACCATCTACATCGAAAGTTGAAGAGATACCTGGGGCTCCGAGCGTAGGCTGATGGAGTAGTCGTACTCAGACTTCCTGCGCGGGGTTTCTCGGTCCCCCGGGCCTGGGGAGTTGGAGCGACTGACAGACTGAAGAGCATCCGACAAATCGAAGTCGGGATCCGCATTATCATCCAGGGTCGGAGGAAGGTATGCTTCAGGGACGGAACTGCCTTCGGTCTCCTGATCACTGCTGTGTATGTCCATATCTTCGAGTGGATCCCGAGTGCCCGGTAAACTCGGAATAGCACTGATATCGAAGCTCGCTTGGGGAGGCGGGACGGGTGCTGAGCCGCGTGATACAGACATGGACGACTTGACGGAGCGAGAGGCCGCCAGGGAGTGCGCAAATCGAGCTGTGCTGGAGGTACTGGAGGGCGCTCGAATGGTAGAGGCATATGAGAGCGCGGCCGGGGTGGAGTGTATAGGCGAGGCTATCGGCATATCGTCTTCGCTGCTCTGGTCCAGGATCGTTTGAGGGTCCGCAGAGTCGTCGAAAGCAGGCAGAGATGGCAAGGATGGCATGTCTCTGTCTTGATCAACCTGGATGCGACGCCATACTCTTGATGGTGTTTCTAGGAGATTTGCCATTGTTTCACGTTTCTTGGCGCTAGGTGCCACGTTCAAATGGGTCTGCAGGGAATGTAGCATGTTAGCATGCGAAGAACAGGGAGGCAGCGTGATTAACAAGACGAAGAGCGTTTGCCGGGAGGTCTTAAGCCACTCCTGTAGTCCGTAGTCACTTTTCGACAGGTTGACTATGCAGACAGCCTCTTCGTATCCTACCTCATAACGCGCCATGGAAATGAGCCGTACTGCATTCGGACTCACCGTACACTCCTCAATCCTGACCCACAGCCACTACTATTCCAGAGTTCCACTTCGTTATGCGATGAAGGAAAGGCCAGTGGATTCAGTCAGACTCAAAGCAGAGTTCAGCGGGTGAGCTGTAGCGGCGTATGGCGGTACCAAGAGAGCGTAGAAGAAGGCAGCGCAAGTCGGAGGATGGGCGGGCGCGAGGTCGTGGCTGGAGAAAGAGGCGCAACAAGCGCTCGCGACGCGGTTTCAACTCCACGTGACCGTCGCGTCGTATCAGCGCGCTTAACCAGTCTGACGGGGCGCCTACTGACACTGGCCAAGCTTGCGTCTCGACGTCCATGACTTTCGCCCGGGCCTCTCCAACACAACGCGTCGATGTGCTTTGGTGTCTTGCTGTCTATTATACCGCTTTATTAGTAGCTCTGTGCTCTAATCAATCACGGTCTGCTATTACTGAGTACTTACTAGGCCTAGAGAGCTCGGGTGAGCTGATCGAACCTGCCAGAGTCAGTTCCGACCACAGGAAACGCTTATGCCCTTCAACTCGCCCACAATGTCTGGGTCTTTCTCGGAATGATAACATGGTAGTTGGATAACGGTCACTCGAGTCAATTTCTCAAGCTGAAGGCAAGTTGCGGCGCTATTGACGCTGCATATTTCCCTGCCGGGCTCTCAATGCTCATTCATTGATCAGGGCTCTGGATTTGTAGCGGTCGATGTCCGCCTGGCGTTCGCCGCTCTTTTCACGTGGGTTTGGCACAGTTTGTTCTCTTTTACCATAATTGCAACTACCTGTGCTGAAACAACATTTCGCCACAGCACCTCACAAAGAACAGTAACAATGAAATACGTATAACACTTTGATAGTCTATGTGCAAGCGCATAATTTGACGGTGGCTCAGGGCCTCATGCTGGCGACCTCGACGCGCGGGGGTTCAGAGCGCTTCGCACGTTGGCTCTTACCGCCAATAAGGCTCTCCCTTGGCGAGTTCAGTTGCCACTGATTAGTACCACCCCCACACGTATGCTAAGTATCTTCCTTCCTTGAATAACATTGCGCTCACCAGTGGCATAGAACGATCATGGCACTCAGATTTCCCACTCCCCAGCCCTTTCCCGCTGAAGTCGGTGCCACTCCCCGGCATGTTAGCACGCCTGCTCAACAGGGACGCAAGGCATCCGAGCCATTCGACCGCGACGACGCCGATCTTATTCTTCGCTCCAGCGATAATGTAGACTTCCACGTCCACCGTATCATCCTCACCTTGGCCTCATCCGTGTTTGCGGGCATGTTCACCATCCCTCAGCCGCCCGACGCCAACTCCGAACGACCCATCGTAGACGTGTCTGAAGACAGCAAAACAATCAACGCATTGCTACGGATCTGCTACCCCGAGCCAGATCCTGAACTACCGTCTCTCGATCTCATTCACCGGGTTCTCGGGGCGGCTCTGAAATACGAGATGGGAGCGGCGATCGTGTTAGTGAAGAACGCCATGTTCCAGCCGCGCTTCACAGGCCTCCGTCCTCTCCAGGTGTTCGTCGTCGCATGCCGCCTGAGACTAGAGGATGAGGCGGCGATCGCAGCACAAAACGCCGTCGACCTAGATAGCGTTAACGGTCGGCTCTGCCCTGGAATCGACGATATCTCCGCTGGTGCGTACTACCGTCTCCTAGAGCTCAGCCGCGCCCGGTCGCAGCCCCGGAAGCTCAGCCTCAGACACGCCGGGGCACAATTGGTCCCCAGTACCCCCACCGCTCCAGGGCCGTTCTGCGAACCACCACGACATCCACTGGCAGTCCCCCTGCATAGGAGTTCAATCACATCTGTCAGCGCCCCTTTCGATGCGCCTGACGCCTGTCTCATTCTTAGAAGCAGCGATTCCGTCGATTTCCGGGTGTCGCGTTCAAACATCGCAGTAACTTCAGCTACGACGCTACTAGAGCGTGCGACCCTTCTGGAGCACTACGAGGACGAGGTCCGTTTGCCTATCCATGTCATGGCGGAGGACAGCGTCGTTGTCGAGACACTGCTTCGGATGTGTTGCTCAATAATCGGTGCTCCCCTCAACGACCTGGGCGTACTCTTGGATGTCCTCTCCGCCGCTCGCAAATATCATCTACAAGCAGTGGAAGCCACGATACGTCAGTCATGGCCGATGATCACCAAGAAGGACCCCCTGCGGCTCTACATCCACGCTGTGCGCTACGGCTGGATCGCGGAAGCACATATGTGCGTCCGTTCGCTTTTGCAAGACCATAGCATCTCCTCGATATGCGCGCGGTATCTTCCCGAGTTCGAGACAATGGAGAACGGACCGTACCGCCGGCTTTTGTTCTACCTCGAAGCATGTTCTCAAGCCGCGACAGCCGACTTCACACTCGACCTCAAGGCGGCACCGCGGCGATACTGCAAGACGTCCGCTTGCCAAGCTCGTTATCCGGACAAGCTCCAAATCAAGGGCCCCAGCCTGAGCACGGTGCCCATGTTTCTGCACGGCCCCATCCACGCCATCAGGCAGGCACTGAAAGACAAACCATGCGGGTCCACGCTGGGCGCCAACACCCGACTGGCCAGGGCGTTCTTGGAAACTGCCGTCAGCAACATCCCACCTTGCCGGGAGCCTGGGGTCGTCGGCACTGCCAACCCTTTTTTTCAGGAGCCGTGCTCTCCGGCGAAGAATCTCGCATGGGCGTGGGCGGTTCTTGATTCCTATGCGATAGCGGTAGATGATGCTGTATTGAAGGTGCGTTCCTCCGCGGCAGATATGAACTCCCTTGGTAGTCTTTGGCTGATGGTATGCAACTTGAACAGGTGCAGTGTCCTTAATCAGTGTGTGCAGTCACCTCGTACAGGTCGACATATGCATCATATTAATTGTCGTGCCATCACACCCTCAGCTTCAGGTCCAATATCCTATATGAAAACCCGTAAAATCCTTCATCGAATAACGAACATTTGCCATTGATATTCACAAGGTAGTCTTGGCGTATATGCTGACTCGGAATGTGGTCCGCGAACTTTTCGTTGCCAACAGAGTTGTGTAGTGGGACACTGAGCGACGAACTTAGAATGAGTACAGTACTGGAGCTCGGAGGCCAGCCGGCCAACAGCCGCCGCGGCTTGGCCGCTCTTGGCCGAGGCGCCCGGGGCGTGCCTGGTAGGCAGTTTGGCGCTCTGCAGTCACAGGGCGAGGGCTCGTTGGCAGAGGGCTGGGACGCGGATGCGGACGTGGCGGGTTCGGACGCGGATGCGGCGGGTTCGGACGCGGACGCGGACGGCTCGGACTCTGATGGAGAGATCGATATATCGTGGTATGCACGCCTGTAGACTCCCGCGCTCGCAATATTCGCTTGCCTGAGGCTTGTTTGCACTGTTCCGGCCACGATCGGTGAACTTCGCCTGCCATAGCAGTTGCATACGGACACTCTGCGTGCACTATGTGTATATGATACTTCATTGTATATTGCAAACTTCCGGTCCTACGTAATACCGCGAACTACAGTTGACCGCCCGATATTGTTGAGAACGGTAGCCTCGCGCCCGGAAAGGATGGATGCTACAGTGCAATACGGGCGTCTAACTTTGCGCCAACGGGTGCTAGCCCACTCTCGCGCCCATCTTGTGATGTAACGAAGTCACCGTTTTGCTGATGGTGCACGCGGGACCTACTGCCATGGCGTCGAGTCGACCAGACGTTACGGTCTAAGCCACGAACACGCCTCCACTCAGCTAGTACCCACTCGGACAGGTCGTATACCTCGACAACGTCTGCGCGCAACAGGGTGTAGCTCTAACGAAAACCAGTGCTTGATAGGGTGCGCAGTTTCACACTTGCATATGATGCATGGTACAGGATGTAACCGTATACTCAGGGTTAACATAATAGTACCTACGTCCTACAACCCGCCCGACATGGATCAACCCAGTGCCCGTGCTCAGGCCTCGCCAACTCTCGTGGTGTCCGCGCAGAATGTCGGAAAGCGTCGTAAGGCATCCGAGCCATTCGATCGGGATGAGGCGGATGTCGTCTTGCGGTCTGGCGACAACGTAGACTTTCACGTCTATCGGGTCATACTCTCTTTGGCCTCACCCGTATTCGAGACGATGTTCTCTTTGCCTCAGCCACAAGAATCCCGCGATTCCGAGAAGCCCATCATCAATGTGTCCGAGGGTAGCAAGACGCTAGACCCGTTCCTGAGGGTACTTTATCCCATCTCGGACCCTCATATCCTGTCCTTCTCCCTCATCCGCCAAGTGCTCACTGCAGCGGTCAAGTATGAGGCATCTGCGGTTCTCTCCGCCATGAGGAAGGCACTAATCTATCGGCGTCTCCTAGAAGACGACCCGCTGCGGTGCTTTGCCATCGCTTGCTGCTTCGGGTTGGAGGACGAAGCGCAGATCGCGGCGGAAAAGGCCGTCATCGAGGATCGCGCGCTAGAAGAAGACTGTATCGAACTCGACGAGATATCGGCCGCGGCCTACTACTACCTTCGTGCGCTCAATCGTTCTAGGCGAGTCATCAAATCGACCAAGCGACCCGGTGTAAACACTACTGTCACTGTGAACTTCACCAGAGTAGGCCCCTTTTGTCCAGAGACTTCCGAGCTGGACACTGCTCGGAAGCGCTCGCGTCCAACCGTCAAGCCCGCCCATCCCTTCGACTCACCTGACGCCGACCTTGTCCTCCGAAGCTGCGACTCCGCGGATTTTCGCGTGTCCAGCAGGATCATCGCGCTAGCCTCTCCAGAGATACTCGCACTGGCACGCATGTCGACTATCGAACCGATTCACACAAGCGCCACCGCACAAGACGACCAAGAAGAGCCTTCCTCCCAGCTCCCAATACACGGTCTACCTGAACACAGCACAGTCCTTGACGCGCTGTTGCGGATGTGTTACCCAACGGACCACCAGCCGATCAACCCGGAGATCCTCTTCGACCTTCTCGCAGCTGTGAAGAAGTATAAGCTCGTGAAAGCAGAGCAGATCATCCGTGACTCGTGGTCGACCCTCATGAAGGAAGGACAGTTGCGTTGCTACCTCGCTGCTGTGTGCTGTGGCCCAAGTTGGGAGACGGAAGCTCGAGCGAGCGCTCGGGAGCTTGTCCGAGAACGCGACATCTGCCGGATTCAAAGCCAGTATCTCCCAGAGCTGGCGAAATCGCCGAATGGTCCTTACCGGCGGCTCTTGGCTTACCTACAGAAGTGCTCGTTGGCGGCGGCGGCCGACCATCAGCTTGAACTCCCTCCTCCTAGGAAGCAGCTTTGCGACAAGTGTGGAGCTCAGTATCCTGCCAGCCTCTTGACGTCGGACTCCACCTTGTCCATCCATCCCTTCTCGTACAGCTCCTTCCAATACATCCTGAAGGGGAAGCCCCGAGGTTCCGCGATAGCCACAACAACCGAGGTCGCACGATCTTTCATGTCTGCTGCGGTCGACAACTTCCGCGCTCCCTGCTCGGCTCGTAAGGACGCATTCGTCAAACCGTGCTCCCCATCCTATGTCTTGGAATGGTCCTTGGCTGTGCTAGAGGCCTACGCTAGTGCGGTAGACCGTTCAGTGGACAAGGTATGATGCACGGCACGTACTCGCGATATAGCTTATGCTGACATGGTCCACCGACTTACTTACGGGTCATGTAGGTTGAGTTGCAACTAGCATGAGAGATGCTACGGTCCGAACTTGACAAGACCTGACAAAACCTGACTCTTTTATCTTCGAGTCTTCTCAGACTGGCTCGATCGAGTGTCTAACCTTGCTACTAGTAGTGGTTCCCGATGTGAAAATTGCGTTTTGAACAGAATATCTATGCGCTTACATGTCATATTCGCGCCTACTCGTAAGCGCCCTCCGAGACGGTGTCTAGGGACCGAGACAGCGCCTCGATGCAGGCAGCAATTGGCACGCCGAAACGCACGTTAAAATACGTAAAGCTGCCAGTGCCAGGCGGCTCGGTTCACGTTGCGTACTTAGTATCATACCACGAGGACAGCTACGTGGCCTATACGGGACGCTGCAGCTTGGTGCTGCGGCAAGTCTACACGGTTTATAAGCACAACAACGCGGCGGAAAGGCTCATTGGAACCTCCGAGCTGATATTGCTGTTGTAGGCCACCGAAGCTTCTTTCTGCCTGAAATGATGTTTATTGACAGACGCACCCAGAGATCGACGCCATTATGCAACCGTCCGAGTCCGCTGGCTCCAAGACCAAGGAACAGGTCAAACCGAAGGTCCGCAAAGCATCTGAGCCATTCGACAGAGATGATGCCGACCTAATCGTTCGTTCGAGCGACCACGTCGACTTCTACGTGCATCGTCTCATTCTTTCCTTGGCTTCCCCGGTCTTCGCGAGTATGCTCTCGCTCCCCCAGCCGCCCGGTACCGATCTCGTGCGCCCGGTGGTCGACGTGGCCGAGAAGAGCGAGATACTGGATGTCTTCTTCCGGGTGCTCTATCCAACCGCGGATCCGGAGCTACAGTCCCTCTCAACCATCCGCGAGGTGCTCGAATCTGCCATGAAGTACGACGCTCCCGCCGTTGTCGCCGGCATGCGGAGAGCTCTTTCGCAATCGCGCCTCGTCGAGGACAACCCTCTGCGCGTCTTCGCAATCGCCTGCTACTTCGGGATGGAGGCGGAGACCAAGGTGGCCGCCGAGAAGGCCGTCCTCAACAACCGCGTGACGGGACGCTTCTGCGCTGAGTTGAACGAGATCCCGGCCGGGTCCTACTACCGCCTTCTGCAGCTCAACCGCACCCGGAAGACGACCAAGTCCAAATCATCCGGTACCCCGCGCGTCACCGTGGACTTCACTGGCATCGAATCCTTCTGCGAACCCCCTAAACACGCAGCAAAAACTGCGGCCCGCAGGAAGCCTCTCGTGTCTGTAGAACCTCCCTTCAACGCCCCCGAGGTGGATCTCATCCTCAGGAGTTGTGACTCGGTCGAGTTTCGCGTTTCCCGCGCAATCCTTGCCCTGGCCTCGCCCACTATGCTTCAGCGGGTTGTTCGCGAGCCCGAAGACGAAGAGGATCTCCCGAGTGAAGGATGCCTTCCCGTATATCGTATGGTGGAAGACAGTGCTCTGGTGGATGCGCTCCTGCGCATCTGCTATCCTGTTCCCCAGCCTGCGCTCACCGACCTCGATCTGCTTCTTGACGTCCTCGCTGCCGGGCGCAAGTATGGGATCAAGAAAGTGGAGCAGGCCGCGCGAGACGCCATGTCCGCGAACGTAGCATCGGACCCCCTTCGTCTCTACCTCGCTGCGGCGCAATGCGGCTGGGCGGTCGAGGCGCGCATGTGCGCGGACGAACTGCTTCGAAGCAACGATGTCTCGGCGATCGCCTGCAAGTATCACGCGGATATGGAGACGACGTCCAACCGATGGTACCGGTATCTTCTGTTCTACCTGGACGAGTGCTGTAGAGTCGCGGCAGCGAACCATGACCTGACAATCTCCATGCCCACATCCTACAGCAGTACTTGCCCTTGGGCATTCTTAGCAACAGGATGCTCCCAGCGCTATCCCAACGTGTTGGGCACGGTCACCACACCTCCGCAGCTGGCGTGGCTTGCACCCTCGTTTAAAGCTCTCACGGCTGCGCTGAAAGAAAGTCCCCGGGGATCTACTCTTGCGACAAACAACGAGGTGGCAAATGACTTCATCCGTGCTGTCGCTGCCGATCCACCACCGTGTCTCCAATGTACAGCCGCGGTGAAGAAATGCACTGCAGCGGACAATGTCTCGTGGGCATGCGCGGTACTCCAACGTTACGCTGAGGCAGTTGACGAAGCCGTTCGTCAAGTGAGTCCTCCATCTGCTACAGGTAGCACGGCACATAAGCTAATCCATGGTGCATGGTAGGTTCCATTCGAATTGCCGGAGTCGCAGTGAGGGCTCGAAATCACCGGGCTTCGTATACTGTAAGACCCAAGCCTCTTTTGTTTTCGGACTACGCTGATCGCACCCTCCACTCTTTCAGATGAAGATGGTACCCCATTATCTTTCTATGTATACGCTACAGATGGAATGCTAATGGTTAGAGGAGGTTAGAGCCGGCGCAGCGTTGGTGCCTTTCCTAGGCGCTTTGCGTGTTGCGACCTCCGAGACCTTCGAGTGTTTGAGTGCACGGTGCTTCTCCACCAGCTCGTGATATGCCCATGCCTTCACAGACTCCATCTCCCGCACGTACCCGTGACGCAAGGGGTCCTCACAGATCCAGAACTCCGCCATCGCCTTCTCCTTGTCGAACAAATGATTTGTGGCGAGCAGATAGCACGGCAGAGCGAGGGAGGCGGACGCCTCGCGGAACTCCTTCGAGACGATGTCGAGGACGCGATCCATTCTGTACTCCCGCGCATAGACCATGAGCGAGACTAGGCCGGCGACGCTAATCTTCCGAAGCCACGAAGACGTCGGGTTGTAGCAGAGAGAGAGCAGCTTCTTGAGGACGGGGCCGGTGCACGAAAAGCGGAGGACAGGGCGGTCGACGGGCGTTGTGTGGCTGGAACCGGAGCTACTCCTCCTATCCGCGGAAGACGGGCTCTTCTCGAAGCGCCGGTCCGCACCTTTGATCATGTCGGCGAGGAGCGTCGATGACATGGCCAGGACGACTTTGTGGGCGGCGAAGTCCGCGCCATCCCGGGCGCGGCAGGTCACGTCGGCGTAGTCGGAGAAGATACCGATGTCGGACTCAGAGAGGTACAATGAGCCCAGGGCGGGCAAGGCGGCGGCTTCGTCAGGGTCGAGGGCGCAGAAGGTATAGTTCGCATCCGCGACGCCCTTGTTGAGGTAGCGCCGCAAACGGAAGTACGCGCCAGCGTACACTTCGTGGTACTCCGCGATGGCGGCCGAAGGGAATTTGAATTTTAAAAGGTGGTCTGCCGCAGCGTGGGCCTCCTTCTCCAGCTCGAGGATGCACGAGATGGCCCAGACGCGGAGGGGGGCCTGCGGGATGAATGACTGGAGTGTCGTCCGCATGAGGGACACGGCCTCGCTCATGCGGTATTTCTTTGCGGCCTCATACACGACGCGAACACTCTTCAAGTCGTCAAAGGTTGGGTCGGTAACGGGGTAGCAGAGGCGGAAGAGGCAATCTAAAGTCGTCGAGTGCTCCTGCACCTCGATAGCCAGGGGCGTCCAGGGCTGCTCCGCCGAGTTGGACTGGGTTGACTTTGGAAACCGTACTCCTGCGAAGATAGGAGACGCGATGGAAAGGATGATGCTGTGTACGCGAAAATCCACTTTGTCGGAGGAGCGAAATACGACGTCTGCATCTGGACTGTCGAACGGGTGAGCCGCCTTGGGATATATCACGCCTGCAGTCGAAAACGTCGGCGCAGCTCCTACGCACAGGAGAGTATCGCTGTGCAGATTACGCTGAGCAGCTGCAAACATAGCCAAGGCAATATATGAGCAAGAATACATACAGTAGGGACACCGTCTCGGATGAGAGACGTTGCATGGTGAAGATGTCCAGTGTTCTCCGCGCGGAATAACAGACGTACTTGCCACGTCCAATATCGTCGACGTCCGGCACAAGTCGTACGAGTGGCTAGCATAATTTTATAGGTTCTAACCGGGTCAGCAGAGCAATCACAGCCATTTGAACGAATCGAATATCGCAGTTAGAGTCGGAAATCACAAGCGTCAAGTAGCGTTAAGCACATTGTTGATGGGCGCTAATTGTGCTAGTGATTGGTGTGGCGGCACCGCGACTTGCGCAGTCTCCGCCGCATCCGAATCCCTCTGGGCCGTCCACTGCCCCTTGCCATCTTCCTCCATCGCTCTATACCCGCAGTTCTCTCGGCCTCCGCACATTGACTCCTAGCCTCGCCTTTGACTACCTAGGAACACTTACACGCTCGCTGGTCACTCGACAGAAATTCTCATGTCTGAGGACACTGCACTCAGCACCACTCTCCACAATGTCCATCTCGAGAACACAGAAACTACAGACGCCGAGCTAGACCCCTGGAAGGATACCCCTGCACCCGAGGAACGCGTAATTCCCTCAGACAAGGCTCTACTAATTCCGGAGTCGGACCTCCGCACTATCCAAGGACCACCCGTTGAACCCGGAGAGACTACAGGACATACAGCGGCGGTCGCAGATATCCTCCTTGAGTTTGATCCTCTAGCAAGTGCCGAGGAAAGCGCAGCTCAGAATGCTTGGTCGAGCTCTGCTGGCCACCCCCCTCCGCCCGCTCCGATCAACGTCGAGGGAGACGTCCCACCAAGTAGCCCAGATCCTGCCCCTTCTCCTCCCCACACACCATCACCACCCAACCGTGCCTCATCTCCCATACCTACATTCCCTGCGCTTGCCGCGCTTGCCCGCACGTTTGCCCTTCCACTCACCTCTCGAGGTCAGCGTCCGCGTTCAATAGATACCGCTACCGCAGTACCATCCCCCGCCACTATCTCCTCCTTTGCAAAGCAGCAGGATGCCCTACCACCAAGGCGACCTCAGGATATCTCTCCAAGCGGTGCCCAGGACGCTGTAGCGAGCAGTAGTGGGCGTAGCACCCCGTCGGGGAAAGGCAAGGAGTTGGAGCCTCCCACATTCGATTTCCAGAAGTTCCTGGACCAGATGAAGGCGAAGGGCGCGGAACCTGTGGCGAAGTATCTCCGGTCGTATGTCAGTGTATTCGCGATCTGCACGAAAGGCGCTAACTGGGCCACACAGATTCCTGAGCAACTTTGCCAAACGCACATTCACAGTCAATGATCAGGTCAAGCTGATCAACGATTTCCTCAATGTGAGAGTCCAGGAATTCAGGTGGCGCGCTCACGCTCATTCCTGGAGCAGTTCATCTCTGCCAGAATGCGAGATAGCGATGTGTGGCGCAATGCGACAGAGGCCGAGTTTGACAATGCCATGGAGGGCATGGAGAAGCTAGTCATGAACAGGCTATATGAGTTGTGAGTAGCTCGCATATGGAGAACCACGTAGAACTGTGCTGAAAACGTGCTAGCACCTTTACGCCTCAAGTCGCGAAAGCGATACCCCCACGACCTGTGACCGCAGACGATCTTGAACGAGATCGCGTCCTCTCGCAGCGCATAGCCCTATTCAAGTGGATTGAGCCGAAACACCTAGACGTCCCCGAGGGCGAAGGGAGCGAAGGCTTCCTCATGTTCGCGCAGCAAGGTTCGCGCATATACCCTGACGGTCTTACGCACTTAGGCTGAACATGCGACGTGCAGAGCTACTCAAGATCAACCACTACAAGGCGCCGCGTGACAAGCTGATCTGCATTCTGAACTGCTGCAAGGTCATATTTGGTCCGCCTCCGCTCGTCTCGGCCTGGGACAGGCACTGATATCGAGGCGATAGGGTTGATACGACATTTGCGCAAAGACGAGAGTGCCGATACCTTCGTACCGATCTTGATCTATACAGTGCTCAAGGCAAATCCGCCGCATCTGCTGTCAAATGTCGAGTAAGTGAACATCGACAGGTTAGCACCCGAGATCTCACCGGTCCTGCTAGGTTCATCAACCGCTTCCGCAATCCGGCAAAGCTGCAAAGTGAAGCAGGGTATTACCTCTCTAGTCTGGTAAGCTTTGCGCTCGTTGTTAATCTGTCGATGCTGATCCCGCGTAGATGGGTGCCGTCTCATTCGTGGAGACCATGGATCACACGTCGCTCTCGCACATTTCCCAAGAGGAGTTCGAAAGGTCGGTCGAAGCGCCCCTCCACTGCTGAGGGTGCTTACGCGTAGCGCAGGAATGTCGAAGACGCGATCCAGTCGCTCCCGAGCACCGGCAGCCAAACTCCCGAACGTGCGTTCACGTCCGGGTCCGAGTTTTCGGGTACAACGACGCCACCGCGCTTCGCTGGTGCTTCGGCGTCCCACACCGGCGAAGAGTCCGCACAACCGTTATCCTTGCCCACGCCCGGCCAAACACTAGGAGAGGACGCGCGACGGTTCCTGCAGAAGACGGGCGACACGATCTCCAAGCCGCTCAATGCGATCAGCCGCATATTCAACGAGGTCCTCGACGGCGCAGAGGACACACTCTCTTACCTTCCTGGCCCCTTCGCACCGTTGGAACTCGGGCGAGAGCAGCAAGAACAGCAGCTGTATGCGCAGGATGGGCACTCGGCATACCCGCAGGGTTACCCACAGACGCCAATGGGTCCCGGGGCGGAAGCCCAACAATATCAACCGCCTTTGCAGCCTCCGTACAAACCACGCGTACGGCGAGTATCACCGCAGCCTTCCCCGCAGGGTTCCATCCGGTCAGCCTCGTCAGCACAATTCCCCCTGCTCCCCCCAGACGACACTCCCACACGCGCCCGCTCGCACTCGCTCGGGCCCCACACGAACCAAGCACTCGCCATCGGCCCCTCGCAGCAGCCCGGCGCGCCGCAGCCCGCCCGTCTACACGCGCTCGTGCAGGGGGACCGCGAGCTGCACGCGCCGTCGCCGCACGTGTCGCGGACGCCGACGCCGGCGCTGGACATCGCAGGGCTGCAGCAGGAGATCGACCGCGCACACGAGAAGGCGGCGGTCGCCGCGCGCGAGACGCTGCGGCAGATCTTCCCGACGACGGACGCGGAGATCGTGGAGTGGGTGCTGGAGGCGAACGAGGGCGACCTGGGGAAGAGCATCGAGGCGCTGCTGGAGATGAGCAGCGGGACGTAGGTACGCGTGGGTTGACTGGGTTCTGGACGGTATGGAATCGCGTCAAGGGATGAGGATGCTGTCTGCCTGTGATGGCGTCGTCTGATGTCGCAGCTGCAAACCCATCGTGTCCTCATACGATCTGACTGGGAGAGCTAAGGTAGCTGAACCTTCCACTATATCCATGTCAGACTGTTCGCCGGATGTTCAGCACTTCAGCACTGGCTACAACCATGACTGACTAACCCGCTGCAGCGTTTTCCACAGGCTGGGCAGGGTGCACATCGCGTTTCTTCTTCCTTGGCTTCGTGCGATTGTTATTCATGAATATGGGGTATACTGGCATCATAAGATTCGCGCCCCCACTACCCACCGGCGTTCACATGATCGCTCCAAGCTTAAGTACAACACTATTTTACGATGTCAGTCGTGGAAATTCTAGTCTGGCTGACTATTCCGACAGAAGCACAAAACGTGCCACCGGGTGCTTCGTAAAGTTTATGCTGCCGCAGGTGCTTCGAAAAGCCTGCAGCACGCAGGGTTATATCTGATCCGCAACTTCCCAGGGCTCGCTCTGTGCGACCTATCCACCCTACAACGACCTCCTCTGTCATTCTTCATCCTTGGACTCCCTCACGCGATGACAACCAACTCATCCTTTCATGGACCCCGAGTTTCTGACGCGACTCCTCCTTTCGACAAACACAATGCCGACATCATCCTCCGCTCCTCCGACCTCGTCGATTTCCGTGTATATAGCCAAATCCTGATCGCCGCGTCGCCGTTCTTCGAGGGCCTATTCCAGGTGCCCCAGCCCCCGGCCGAAGAACAGCCCCGGAAGTACGGGCTCCCGATCGTCGAAGTGAGCGAGGACAGCAAGACGCTCGATTACCTCCTGCGGTTGTGCTATCCGATCAAGAAGCCGCATATGTTCGGAGTCGGTGGGCTACAGGTACTCGAATCTGCACTCCGTGCCGCGATGAAGTACGAGATGGAGCTGGCCGATACGCTGCTCACTACCGATCTCGTTAACCTTGCCGGTTCATACCCTCTCGAGGTATGGGCCATCGGCTGTCGACTTGGGCTGGAAAACATGGCTTCAAGGGCAGGAAGTGGTGCTTACTGGAGGTACAGGGAAATCAAACATCGCTCTGCTCATCTTCCCGATCTGGACCTACCGAGCTCCGTCAGCATCCTGGAGGGAGTTACAGCAGGCCAGCTCTTCCGCCTTTACCGCTATATCGGCACATTTCACTTCGCAGACCGCACACTAGCAAACTACCAGTTCATCTCTCCTTCTCCTACGATCTCAGATGTTGCGCCTTCGGAAAAGGACTCTTCCGAGTCCAGCAACCTCTTGCCTGCCGCGCTCACCGACATGGCATCGGCAGACATCGTCTGTCGCTCTTCGGACGGAACCACGTTCCACGCGCATCAGGCCGTGCTGGGTGCTGCGTCGGCCGTCCTTCGCGCAAAGATAGCAAGGGTGACGACAGACGCGGGCGATGAATCAAGCCAGTCAGATCTTCGAGAGCGTTCTGCGCCTCTTGGACGTTCTCTGCCCGTGCTACAGTTCGAAGAGACTAGCACGGTCCTGCCACATCTTCTTTCCTGCTGCTATCCGGGCCTAATTCCCATCCACCTCGCCAACCTCTCTCAACTCATCGCCGTCATTGCTGCCACGGCTCGTCACGACATCGCGGTCGCGCGCCCAGATCTCCTTGATCAATGGTCGAGGATGGCTTCGGCTGATCCCTTGCGCGCGTACGTCCTCTCCACGCAGGTCGGGGACACAGCATGTGCAAAGGAGGCTGCCAAACACGTCTTGAACGGGCCGCTCGTGGGAGTGTATGTGCACGAGATGGAGTCCTCTCCGGCGCTCGCGTATCAGCGACTTCTGTCATACTACCGGTCATGCAAGAACATAGCGCGGCGGGGTCTCGTGGGCGTGGCTTCTACTCAGCCAGCAGCCGCGCCCCCCCAGTTCACCAGTGGTCAAGAAGAAGAGCCCGTCGGCGCCACGCGCAGCCAGCGCGCCTGTGGGGGAATCATGGATCCAGACCTATACGAAGAATGTTTGGAAGACTTTGTACCACCACCCCAATCCCACTCTCTTTCCTACTTTGGAGCAACTGCTCATGGCATCTACGTCCGAGTCCGGCGATAACCAACCGTGGTGTCCCGACTGCCGAGACGTGGCCTCTGCGCTCGTCCAGCAAAGCAACGACCTCGAGGCCCTTCGTGTTGCAATGGAGAAGGTATGTCATAGTGCATTCGTTCTGTCACACTGACAGATGACTTGATATTGATCATGGTGTCGACATTTCCAGGTCGAGTTGGCAATATGAGCTCAGAAAAATATGGGGACGTTCGCACGCTTCGCCGTCGGTCTGGGATGTTATCGAGTTGTAGGCCTATTATCTAGAAATTATGATGATCTTGAACTAATCAGTCATGGTTTATAGTGCCCTTATGTATCTCGCCTCTCGTCGAGTCGTACCTGGTCGTACTCGCGATTTTTGGGTTCCATAGATGGAAAGCAAAACACACCTAGCCAAACATTAGACAACAAGAGCGCTTTTTGGCGCCCACCGTCACCGCGCGCCTCCTCCTCGATCGAGTCCGAGACTAGTCTTCTCCCTAACCACGAGTCTTACTGCGACTGCAGACATCCTCTCACTACTCTTATCATTACTATTGTTGATATGTGGCCGTGAAACATTCCCTCAAACTCGACACTTTGAGCAGATACGTATCCCCACCGCTTGTTGACTCTTCGGCCGATGATGTGCGTGGTTCGACCTGGGTCGACTACGACCATCTGAGCTTTCATTTTCTTATGCTTTATCGCAATTTTTGGCAACGAGTCTCGCGAGGATAGCTGACTCGCTTAGGTATGCATCTTGGAACACGCAATATGCGAATTTGTGCTTCCTTGCTTTCAACTTAAGCTAGCGGCACTCGATGGACTAGGTAGACGGTGCCCTTGAAGCGGCGCTGACGTATCAGATGCACTATCGCACGGACGCGGAATAACTTACGATAAATGGCCACAGCCTGATGTACTCGGAGCCCCGTGTGAGTGGAAGGCATGTCGTATCGTCCCGCACACGTGCGCGGAGGCCACGAAGAGCACTCATGATTTACATATACAAACGCAAACAGAGCCTCCCCCGGGTTGGTGCGTGGTTTCTCGTCGCCATGCACTCATGTCGTACGCTGCGGTCTCTGACTCGGCCTCCAAGCTGTACTCCGTCCTCCACATCTCAGTGTCACCTCCGACGTCCTTGCGGAGCCATGGCCTCACCGAAAACAGACGGTCACCCATTCACGTATTCTACGGCAGACGTCATATTCTGCTCATCGGACAACGTCCACTTCCGTTTACACAAAATCATCCTCTCCCTCGCGTCCGACTTCTTCAAAGACATGTTTAGTCTGCCCCAACCCCCACTGCCTCCATCGGCGCCCGCGCCATCCAAGTCCCCTCACTTAGGCATAGCGCAAACGGACGAGCTCGAAGGCTTGCCCCTCGTCCATGTCACAGAGACGAGCGTCGTCCTCGAGAGCCTTTTCCGTCTCTGCTACCCGATCGCGGATCCTCCGCTGCAGACCATCGAGCAAGTGCGCCCGACGCTGGAGGCCGCCTTGAAGTACCAGATGGACGAAGCGATCGATATCACCACCCATAGCCTGCTCAGTCTGGTCCAAACAGCGCCGCTTCGCGTGTTCGCCATCGCGTGTCGACTGTCCCTCCAGAAGGTTATCGGCGCTGCGGCATTGGCTGTCTGGGAGCAGAACTTGCAGGACTCGTACGTGGAAGAGCTGGAAGACATATCCGCGGACGCCTACCATCGATTGCTGAAGTTTTGCGAGCCTTCCGCGGCTACTCAGATAAAGTTCGGCCGCCCCTTCCTTTCTCCACCACCTACCAGCCTGATCGTTTCACCGGGTGTGCTGGGTGCTCCCAAGGTGGCTTTCTATGCGCGTATGAAGCCGATTCCGGCCTGTATGTCAAACTTACAGGGGGCTGAGGTCGTCATCCAAACGGCCGACCTTTCGTGCTTTGCGGTGTCCGAGTCTATCTTGAACCTATCCTCCAACGTCTGGCGCGAGATGATCCTCAACGCCCGCTCCACTGCGTCGCAAACTCCTCTAATTCTGGAGGTACCGGAGCACAGCGGTGTCATACTTCCGCTCCTCGAGCTGTCCTACCCTATCTCCCCGCCCTCCGACCTCACAGATATCGAAAAACTACCGGCGCTGATAATCGCTGCGAGAAAGTACAAGATGCTCGCGGCGACGAAGGCCCTGGAGGACGCTTTGTGGCGTCTGGTGGACCCCCGGCGGCGAAACGCTCCCTGCGACCCGCTCTCTGCATACTTCGCCGGTTGTCAGGTTGGTATGCGCGCCGTCGCGGAGGCTGCGGCGTTACAAACCCTGCGATTTGACATCGTCCAAAGAACTCAGAGCGGAGCGGAACCCTTTGGTGCCGCCGCCGGTTGCCTGTGGCGCCTCCTGGAGTACCACCGGCGCTGTCGTGCGGCGGTGCGCGCCGTCGTCGAGAACGATCAGTGGGTTGCTGAAAGCTGGAGGAAGAAGAAGCCGAGGAACTGCTCCAGAAGTTCTGAAGACATGCCCTGCTGGTGGAAGAAGTACCTGGCTGCTATCGCCAAGGACCCATGGCCGAGTAGTGCGTTCGCGACATCAGAATCCGTACTACAGGAGGCCGTCGCCAGGTCGATTGGCTCATGGAGCGACAGTGCGTGTAGCCATTGCGCCGGAGCGTGGGGGATGCTCCTCTTGTTCAGCATCAGCAAGTACGTGGCGGAAACGATGGACGCGCGCGAGAAGGAGGTACGTCCACAGCAATTTTTTCGACATCGTCGGTACACGTGTAACCGGTTTTCCTCATTCAGGTGGCTCTGGAATGGCCAATGTCTGCGGAATCCTCTACGAAGCAGGCTGAGTCTCAGTAGTGTAAACACCGCAGTATTCTCCCCGGGGCCCGCGAGCTTTACATCTCCCATCCATGATGATCCTTGCCTCACACGTACTGTCCCTCGTCGGTTGTTTCGGTGCAGTCATTCACGCTTCATGCTTGGCGCGTCTAGTAGTGGTATTTATGCAATGATACTCATACATGCGTCCGAGACGCGGGCTCTACCGAAGGACCAACGACCACTCCGGCTGCGAGAAACTACAACAACGCATCGCACGCGCCGCACAACGCGCGCGGGCCGGAGGGTGGGGAGAAATAACGAGGTAAGTAGTGGTATGCGGCGTGGGGGGACAGATCGATTAGATGGGTGCGGAGGACGTCGATGGGTGTGGTACGAGGTATCGATTATATGCGTAGGCGACAGCAAGGGTTCAGCGAATGGGGACGGGCACGAGCAAAGAGTTGAGGGGGGCGCGGACGTCCTCACGCCTTGGGCGCGCGGATGTACGTGCGGCGGTACTTGGCGTCGATCGCCTCGAGGTAGTACGCGCCGGGCCAGATGTTGTCGAGCGAGCCCGTGGGCGTGTACGAGCCCGCGTTGTGGTTCTTCTCGCGCAACGCCAGGGAGTCGACGTACTCCTGGCACGGCACGACCTTCATGCTCTCCAGCCGGCGCACGAGGTCCATCTTCTCGCGGATCGGCGCGGTGTCGCCGCGGACCTTGAGCGTGAAGAACGAGCTCGCGAGCCCGGAGCCGTACGCGAACATGCTGATGCGCTTCCCGCGGAGCTCCGCGGGCTCGACGCTCGCGAGCAGCGACGCGAGCCCGCCGTAGAGCGACGCGGTGTACATGTTCCCGCAGCGGCGCGCGAGCTTCATGCCCTTCTCGACCGTGCCCTCGAAGTCCGCCTTCGCGAGCCCCATGAACGTCTTCTCGAGCGCCTTGTCCGTGAGCGACGCCTTGTACGGCTGCGCGAGCAGCGCCTGCGGCTCGGGCACGTTCGCGTAGCGCGGCGCGTCCGGGTTCGCGAGGAAGTCGTTGTACACGAGGCGCGCATGCGCCTTCTGCACCATCTTGCCGTACGGCGAGTGGAAGAGCGGGAAGTCGACGTCCGCGAGCGAGAATGCGGGCCCGGCGGCGTGCCCGGAGAGCTTCTTCGCCTTCGCGTGCTTGGCGCGGAAGGCGGCGTAGGAAGCGTCGATCGCGGAGATGTAGGCAGAGATGGAGAGCGGGCCGTCGACCTCGGGGTACTCCGAGTCGAGCTTGGGCTTGTAGAAGTCGTAGGTGTTCACCATGTGCGAGCCGTGGATCGCTGCAGGAGGAGCCGGTTAGTTAAGGTGACTTGCAGATGGGAAAACGGGAAGCGGGAATAGAAAGTCTGGACCAGGGCATCGGTGTCTATAAGGCAGGCAATTTGATGCGCCATCCTTGATCGGATGCATTTGCTCTTTTCCGTAACGCTTCACTTTATTCCGCGAACCGCAGCCGCTCCGCGGTGCGCGGCCGATAACAGACGCGACAGCAAGACTGGTACTCACGTTCAACCGCAAGGGGTGCGTTGGGGCCGATGAGCATGGCGAATGCACCGGCACCACCGGTGGGCCGTCCACTGCCCTCGGCGTAGATGGCAATGTCACCGCCGACGACGATCGCGTTCCGGCCGTCCCAGGACGAGGACTCGACCCAGTTGACGGCGTTGAAGAGGGCTGCGGTGGAGCCGTAGCAGGCGTTCTTAGAGTCGACACCCTCGATGTCGGTGTTACCGGCATCGGCGAAGAAGTCCATGAGGTGGGTCTTGGTCGATTTTGACTTGTCGATGATCGTCTCGGTGCCGACGTCGATGCGACCGATGGATTTGGGGTCGATGTCATACTTCTCGATGAGGTTGATCACCGCTGGACGGAAACATGAGAGATTTGGGTGTGTGGGGACGCGAAGTGCACGTACCGGTGAGTGCGAAGGAGTTGATGTCCTCGCGGTCGTCGCAGCACGCCATGAACTTCTGTCCGAGGCCGATGGTGTACTTGCCCTTGGGCACATTGTCGAACTCCTCGAGCTCCTCCTCGGAGATGCACTGCGGAATGATCAGGACGCGTGACAGGTTTTGCAAACGCGAATCCACGTACGCGGCGGGGGAAGTACATCTCCATGGCAAGGATACCGACATCCTTGGGGCGGGCAGGCGCCTCGACGTCCTGGCTGGTGGAGGGGTTTTGGGGGACGGTCATGGCAGCGTCGAGGGTGGTGTTTTGAGCAAGGACGGGAGATGGAGGAGAGGAGGAGCGGGATGGAGAGGACGGGGCGCCAGGGATGTTATATAGAAAAACGAGGATGAGACGAGGCTCGGGTATTATTTTGATTTGGCGAGTGGTCGTACCACCGCTCGAGCCTCTGCCCCGCTCATCCCCGCCCTCTCATTGGCCCCCGCCCCGCAGCCGCCCATCCGCAATCGCGCGACCGCCCGTCGACGTCTTGTCTCTTCCCCCCATCCCTCTCTCGTCCCTCAGATCACTCAATTTCAGCAGTGCTCGCGATATTGGCTGGATGGATCGCGGACAATACACTGTCGCACTCCAAACGTTCACGGGACGCCCTCCCAGCGCGCGGCTGCTGCATCTTGTCCGTGTCTTGTACGTCCTCTTTACCTCTAGCGCGTCCCCTACCCACCATCGCAGTCTTGTCCCCGCTCTAGTCTCGGTTTGCGTTACGACACGGAGCAGCTAGCCAGCCGCGCACATCACGCCATGCGCGAATTATCACAAATCGCGATCAGATACAGGCTCGTGTGCGGCATGCCCTCCGAGTCTCTGCTCGCGTACCCATTCCGGCGTGGCGCCACGCCGTCCGATTCCATGGCCTATGTCCGGACGCTCCCTGCATTCCTCCTTGTTCCATGTCTCCTGCGGCGGCCCGACCACATCGCTGCGGGCGGCCTGCACCAAGTTTCCGTTCAGCCCGGGACGCCTCCGGACTACCGCGCGTCTGTCTTCGCTTTGGATGCCGACTTCATCTCCGGTGCACTGCACCTCTCCTCGGACCCGCCGGACAAATTTGTATGACCTCCGACGCGCCCCAGCCGCCGACGCCCGTATGGTGTATGTCGGTCCTATCGTGAGTCGCTCCATTCACCGTGTCTTTCGCGGCAGGCACAGCAGTACGTCGTGTATGTCTAGCTCAAGCAGGAGGCAGGAACGGAGCTAGTGGCGCGCCTGCGAGGTGGACGATGACCTTCTGGGGCCCTCGCCTGCGCCGCCATCAGCGCTGTTCTCGTATGTGGATGTTCAGTCTCCACGGCCGACACAAAGCTATCGCGTTCCTCGTATGGCAACTCAGGACCAGACGGCATTGACGGGGGTTCCGAGGTGGCCGGCGACTTGGCGCGGCGCGTCAACCATATGACCATCATATGTAGTCCGCGCAAGAGGCCTCCTTGACATCAATAGACCTTGCTTTTACCTCACCCGACCCGAAAGCAGACCCGGAGTCGAACAAGTCTAATACAAGTTGTCGCCGCATGCAAGGCGATTGGGACGGAAGCCGGGGTCAACGACTGTCGTGGCACTATGAATGCTTTACATTGCTTGCTCTAGCTACAGTATGTGCGTGGTCGCGCAGTGGCAGAACTCTGTTGATGGTGTGATCGGCATCTGCGATATGATATGCAGCGGCGGTACTCACCTCATTACGCTCTCTGTGTCAATCAATGACGTCTGGTTCTCTAGATCTGCTCAGGCGAACTGGAGCCGTACCTACAAAGGCAATTATCAGCACCGTGCGGATTTTCTGCAAAGGATACTGAAGCGACCTACGTCGTCGATAGCAGACTCTATAGCGTCGGCGGCGGAAGTCATGCATTCGATGAGGGGGACGAAGACAGTATGGAGGCTAGCGTTGTCTATTTGAGTGGACACAGCGTGTGTTAGACCCTGTTGACATCCGTTTTGAATCGTCGCCTTGGCGGGTACGCCGTGTGCACTAGCTACGAAGTTGGTAATAACGTGCTGGAGGGGGGTGGTAGAAACGTTATAATAATTGGAAATATACGGTAGGATTCGCCGGCTAATGTTCTCGAGAGCCTCCTTGAAGATCTGGCGGCATGCGTCGTAGTAGATCAGCAAACGATGATAAGCCAGCGCTGGTGCGCTCTCCATAACGGCGGTGTAGTCCCCGACCGGCTTCCTCAGTGCGTTTCTTGCTGCTTCCTCCGCGCATTTGTTCAGCCCGAGGTTGATCGCGACGAAATAGGCCTCCAGGGGATGAAGAATGGCTGCTTGATCCCAAGCCTCGCGGGCCTTGCTCGCGATGAGCCGCATATGATACTTTTCGGATGCAACCAGGACTCTAGCCAGCCGGGTCTGGTCGGTCGGCAGGGTGCCCCCAAGGCTGTAGCAAGCCTCGAGCAAAGCGGACAACACATCGGCGTCTTCGTCAAAGTCCAGCACGACGGCCGCGGGTGTCGAAACGTCCTCTGAGACGGGGACATCCTGCAGCTCTGCAAGCCGTGTTCCCAGCTCCGAGGAATGCATGTGCAGGACGGCCTGGTGAGCGGCGAACGACATTTGCGAGCCCGTTTGTGAAGACGACCGACAGGTCACGTCCGGATGTGGTAGCTTCGTCGAGAACGGGCGAGGCGGTTTGAAGGAGCGTCGCTGTGGCTGTTTACGCCGACGCTCGATCGGAGGACTCAAGAGAGCCAGCTTCCCCTCATCTATGACAGACTGCTCCGCCTTCAGGAATTGCTTTAGCCGGAGGTAGTCCGCAGCGGAAATCCCAGACATGTCCCCGAGGTCGTCCATGAACGACAGCACCTCATTCTGGCCATCGCGTGCCCACGAGGTCCGCAGAGCGACCGCCGCCTGGCGCGCTACATCCTCGAGCCCGGTGCGACACGCGGCCGCCCACACTTGCAGTGGGCTCTTTGGGACGATGGCGATGAGCCGTTCGGACAGGATGTCGACGGGCAACTCCATCTCGTACTTCGCTGCGGCCTGCAGCGCGGGCACGATCATGTGCGGGTCTTCCATCTTCGCGCGCGGCTTCGAGATGGGGTACACGAGGCGCAGGAGCAGCTCGAGCGTCGCGCTGTCCTCGGAGACCGGCACGACAGGCGTCGTTTGCGTTTCCGCGCCGGCGGGGAGCGCGGAAGGGGTGGTGCTAGCGGAGGTTGGTTGGGGGAGCGCGAGCATCGTGGCGAAGAACGGGGATGCCATGGAGAGAAAGAGGGTGTGCACACGGAAGTCGACGAGGTCCGCAGTGCGGAGGATGAGGTCCCCCGATGGCAGGTCGAACGGGTGTGGTGCATTGGTGGGACGTGAGGTGTCGGGCGAGGGTTGGGACATGTTGTGGTGAATTTGACTGGTGAAGACCCACGGACGAGGTAGGGAGGGGGTCGGAGAGGATGACGGGGGGAACAAAAACGCATTCAATGGCGGACATGCCTTATATCACCGCGGGAGGTGCTGCGGTAGGCCACGAGCTGGAAGGTCGGACTGGATACTTGCGTTCGTCCAGGGTACCGCAGCCTAGAGGCTTAACCTGAACGCCACTATAGTATATACGTACGTGTCGTCCCGCCCGTGCCGCCAGACGTCCTACCACGGCCTTCATTGACCTTTTGCTATCAACTCAAGCCAGCGTCGGAGATCTCTTGAGCTTGGATAGACTTTGCTTATAACTTATAATGCGCCCGACCAGAAGTCACATATTTGCCTCCAAGTCGTCACAGCGTGCAAGGCGATTAGGACGCAGGTCGAGGTCAACAATAAATCAACGGTTTACATTGCTTGGTTTAGTTTGTACGTGGTCGCGCTCGGAGTGGCAAAACTCTGTCGATGGTGTAATCAGCGTCGACGTCTGTAATATGATATGCAGCGACGATACGTACATCACTATGACATCTGTCTCATTCATCGACGTCCGGCCTCTTTGCTTAGGCGAACTGGAGCTGTACCTACGAATGTAGCTATCAGCATCATGCGGGGGTTTCTGCACAACCGTGCCCAAGCGACCTACATCGTTGATCGCAGAATCTATGATGCCGTCGGTGGAAGTCATGCATTCAATGAGGGGGACTAAGAAATCACCGAAGCCAGTGGAGTCAAGTTGTTTGAGCATGATGTCTGTTATCTTCTTCCGACATTCCGCTTTGAGGGGTATGCCTGGTGCACTAGTGACGTCGGTGACAGCCTGCTTGAGAGCAGTGGTAGTCGTGGACTGTCTGTAGGCAGAACTTCTAGTCGCGTAGTAAACCTGTTCGGGTATCCGGTCGCAAATGATCCTGAGGCGCTCCTTGAGGTTCTGGCGGCATGCGTCGTAGTAGACAAGTAAGCGATGGTAAGCCAGCGCCGGTGCGCTATCCATAACGTTGGTGAAGGCGCGCGGTACTGGACCCCTTAGTACGGTCTTCGCAGCCGCCTCCGCGTACTCGTGGAGCCCGTGATTGATCGCAACAAAGTAGGCCTCCAAGGGTCGGTGGGCGGCGGCTCTATCCCAGGCCTCGCGAACCCTGCGTGCAATAGCTACCATCTCGTACTTTTGACACGCCACTAGGAGGGCAGCAAGCTTGGAGAGGTCGGTGGGAACGGGTTCCTCGTCGCCATAGCAAGCCTTTAGCAACGAGAACACGACCTCCGTTTCTTCGTCAAAGTCGAGCACGACCAACGGCTCGGCGCTAGGACCCGGAGAGCCATTTAACATATCGTTCCCTGATGACACACCGCGACGCTCCGCGAGTCGCGCCTTCAGGACCGGCGACTGCAGGCAGAGGACCACCTGGTGAGCCTGGTACGGCGCTGGCGGGCCCCTCCGTGAAGATGGCCGACAGATCAAGTCGGTCGGTGGCAGGCTTGTAGAGTACCAGGATGGCGAGGGCGGGGATAGGGGCGGGAACTGACCCCACGCTGGCAAAGCAGAGAACTTGGCGCCAAATCCTACTGGTATGGGAGTGACGGGGATCTCCTCCATATACGGCCCGCCCGCCACAAGGAAATGCTTGAGCCGATGATAGTCCCCCGCGGAAATCCCAATCATGTCCCCGAGACCGTCCATGAACGACAGGGCCTCCACTCCGGTGTTGGTCCACGACGTCTTGAGTGCCTCCGCCGCCTGGCGTGCGACGTTCTTCAGGTCCGCGCGGCACGCAGCCGCCCACACCGCCAGCGGGCTGCCCGGCATGAGCGCGACGAGGCGCTCTGACATCGTCTCGAGTGGGAGCGCCATCTCGTACTTCGCCGCCGCGAGCAGCGCGGGCACCATCTGCGCCGGCTCCGCCATCAGCGCGTACGGTTTTGGGATAGGGTATGCAAGCCGCAGGAGCAGCTCGAGCGTCGTGCTGTCCTCGGACACGGGCACGATGGGCGTCTCCGAGTCCGCCGGGCCCGCGCCGGTGTCATGCGCGGAAGAGGAGGCGGCTGCGGCGGAGGGCTGGGGTAATGTGAGCATGGACGCGAAGAACGGGGATGCTTGGGCGAGGATCGGGGAGTGCACACGGAAGTCGACGAGGTCGGCAGTGCGCAGGATGAGGTCGGCCGAGAGCTGGGTGAAGAGGAGCGGCGCGTCGGTCGGCCGCGGCGTGTCAGAAGTGGGTAGGGGTGAAGACATCTTGGCTGACTTGAAGATATGTGCAAGCGGAAAATGGAAGGCGGAGGGAGACTGTCTTGAAAGTGAGGAAAACGAGGGCGTACTGACCGGTGTGTGTGTTTTATAGCTACGATCCGTGCCCTCCCGCCTCGAGGAGCCGGTGCAGGGCGCTGCGGTAGGCCACCCGCCGCGGGTACGGGAACGGGTTGACAAATTGACTTAGTAGAGCGCTCATACAGAGGGACGAGAGTCCGAAGTCCATAATGGATGCCATAGCGAACAACATGAAGATACGCGAAGATCTCTTCGCTGCGGCTGGAGGTTATGGTTGATGGGTGAACACGGTACTATTCTTCGCACCTCCGAGTTATCTGTCGGGCTAGATTCACGATCATTATCCCTATTCTTGAGATGTAGCATGAGCCGTCTTAGAAACTTCCAAAGCAGAACAAGCACGTACCCGAGTTCACTGCCGGAGGAAGATCAATAAGTGTTCCACCCAAGAGAAAAAAAGCATGTACCGCTCGGCCGCGTATGCGGGGCATTCAATGCGCTCAGCTGCTGTCCTGTGCGAAGCTGATCTTCACCTGCGAATGCACACGTTAGGACAGGTCATTTGCGGCAATCAATGTTGCAGTCTACATACATCGTCCAGGGCTTGTTCTATCTCATCCGGAGTAGAGCTGACGTATTGAACAAGGGTAGCCGCAAAATTCGGCAGATCGAAGGCTCCAGTACGACCCAGTCCAGCTTGTATCACGGTGTCACGAAGAACTTTCCTCAGGCCTTCCCCGGGTCGTGCAGTGTGAGCCAGGTCCTTCAAGGGTGTCACGATGTCCGTTGCTTGAATTGTGACGCTGATCTCAGTGTCCCGGGCGAACCGTTCATGCAAGTAGTAACCCCTACCGCCACCATAACCCCTACCGCCACCGTCAGAGTGCTGGCAAAGGTGCGAGGCGGACAAGTGGTCTGGGATTCGGCCGCTGGCTTGAACCAATCGCTCTCGGACGACCTGGTGACAAGTGTCGTAATATTGCAACAACTGATGGTAGGCCAGGGCTGGTGCTTTCTCCATGGTGGCGACGTAGTCGTCCACGATCGGTCTTGCCAACACGTATCGTGCAGCCGCCTCGGCACATTCCTTGAGTCCGTGTTCAAGCGCGACGAAGTACGCCTCCAAGGGTCGGAGAGCGGCGGCAGCATCCCACGCGCGGCGAGTCCAGCGCGCGACACCCACCATGTCGTACTTTCGGGAAGCACCCAGGAGTCCAGCAATGCGGGTGAGGTCGGAGGGTACAGCGTCCTCGCCGCCGTAACAGACTGCTAGCAAATCGGATATGACATCCGCATCTTCATCAAAGTCTAACACCATGGGGTCCGACGAGGACGTCGAACATGCCGCTATTCGGAGACTGAGGATTTGTCTCTTCAAGACCGAAGAGTGACTGCACAGCATGATCTGGTGGGCGAAGAAGGGGGTGGGTGGTCCGTGGCGAGAAGTTGGTTGACACTTGAGATCGACGCCTGGGAGGTCGGTAGAGAAGGGAGAGCTCGGCGTCATGATAGCTACAGTGCTCGGTTCGCTCGCTGGGGGGCTCAGTAGTGCCGGAACCGTCGCACCTGAAAGGAACCGCTTCAGCCGGTAGTAATCCCCGGCAGAGATTCCCGTCATGTCCCCTACACCATCCAGGAGAGTCAACACATCCTTGTTCGCTTGGGGAGTCCACGAAGCCTTGAGGGCAACCGCGGCCTGGCGTGCGACATCCTCGAGGCCTGTGCGAACCTGGCACGCGGCTGCCCAGACCTGCAACGCCTTGTCGGGTGTGATGGCAAGAAGTCTCTCAGATACGACCGCCGCGGGCCACACCATGTCGTACTTGGAAGCGGCTTTCAGCACGGCCGCCAACAGCTTCGGCTCCTCCATACGTGGCTTCAGGATGGGGTATAGAAGTCGCAAGAGCAGGTCGAGAGTCTCAGCGTCCTCGGACATGTCGATGACGGGGAGAGCGCGGGTTGGGTCGGCGACGTCTACGGGATCAGTTTTGGCTTGCGGCTGCGGGAGCCTGAACATGTCCGAGAAAAACGGCGATGCTTCCGCGAGGATGAGGGTGTGGGTGTAGAAGTCGACGAGGTCGCTACTGCGCAAGATGATGTCCGCCGAGGGCCTGCGGCTGAACGGGTGCGATGCATCGGTGGTTTGTGGTGGATCGGGGAAGGGAGCCATTCAAGACGTTATCCAGAGATCAAGAGGACGATGTGGAGGGCGATTTGAGACGGTAACAGAGGCGGCGCGGTCGCGCTTGACCGAGGGTGCGCGTTGAAATAGCTGCAACCTGGTGCTGCGGTAGTAGACCACGCGCCGAGGAGAAGGAATGAGGCGTAGATCGGCCCGGTGGAAAGCTCTCTTGAGATACCGCGCGAGCCCCCACAGCGCACTGCTTGACCTGAAGATTGAAGGACGAGTGTCAATACGCGCGAACTTAAACTCCACGATGGTAAGAGTGATGACTGACACAAGAGTCGTGTGGCCGTGGCGCCGTCTTCTATCACCCCTCGTACTTTACAACCTGGTCGTGCTGTTGAACAATCTATGAATTCAATCAGCGTTGCGGCTGTGGTAGGATATACGAACACATACCATGCATCGGCACATCCACCTATCAGAGAAGCTACTACATCCTCAACCTAGGATGATCTCCACCTGCGAGTTATGTAGGTTAGTACTGAGGTGCTTATGACAAGTGAGACTGACACACGTCGTCCAATGCCTTATCAAGATCATCCGGTAGGGAGATAACACATTGAATGAGCATTGCCGCAAAACTTGGTAAGTCGGTCGATTGACTGCGGCCCGACCCAGCTCGTACCACAGCGTCGCGGAAAGTGTTCCTGAGGTTTGCTCCGGGACTGAGATGGGCGGTGTTGGCGATGTTCTTCAAAGGGAGAACAATATCTGTTGCCGGAACATTGACACGGCTTTGGCAATGAGTTCTGCCCATCTTGTAGAGACTTCCGATATGTACGGCAGCGGACGTTGGATCGTCGCAAGTGTAAGTCTGGATTACGTGCATTGGGATTTGGCTGCTAGCTTGAACCAATCGCTGCCGGAAGATCGTGGAACAGGCGTCGTAGTAAACCAGCAAGCGGTGATAGGCTAGCGCGGGCGCCGTGTCCATGACTGCAACGTAGGCATCTGTGATCGGTTCTGCCAACACGTTCCTCGCCGCCGCTGTCGCAAAATCAACCAAGCCGTGGGCGAGCGCAATGAAGTAAGCCTCCAGGGGGCGAGGAGTCGCAGTCTCATCCCACGCTCGAATACTCGAGCGAGCCACGCGCGCCATACCGTACTTGCGGGAGACGACCAAGAGTTTGGCGAGGTAGGTGAGGTCTGTAGGCAGTGCTTCATCGTCACAGTAGCAGGCTGTCAAAAGCATTGATATGACCTCGGGTTCGTCATCAAACTCCAGCACAAGTGGTCCCGCGATATTGGCGGACGACGATACATCGGGGGGGATTGTACTGCGTAGACCTAGAATCTGCGCCTTCAACCATGAAGACTGACTGGAGAGTACACTTTGGTGAGCAAGGAAAGGTGCAGTCAGTCCGCGGCGAGGAGTCCGGCACTTCAAGTCGGTGCCTGGGATATCGGTGGAGAATGGAGAGATCGGCGTCGTCGCCACACCGCCTGCTTCCCTCGTGGGGGGGCTCAGCAGTGTCGAACAGGCCCTGCCCATGAGAAACTGCTTCAGCCGATAATAGTCCCCGGCAGAGATTCCGGCCATGTCACCCAGACCGTCCATGAGAGCCAGCGCCTCCGTATTCGCCTGGCGCGTCCAAATAGCCTTGAGGGCCTCTGCCGCACGACGCGCAACACTTTCGAGGCCAGTGCGACACGCAGCTGCCCAGACCTGCAGCGGACTCTTGGGTGTAATCACGACGAGCCGCTCGGACATCATCTGAACAGGCAGATCCATCTCGTACTTCGTCGCGGCGAGCAGCGCGGGCCCCATCACTTGCGGATCTTCTATCTCGGAGTGCGTTTTCAAGATCGGGTATACGAGACGCAGGAGCAGCTCGAGTGTCGTGCTGTCTTCCGAGACGGGTACGACCGGAGTCCCTTCCGTTTCCGCGCTGGAGTCGGGTGCAGAGATGGTATTAGCATGGGGCTGAGGAAGTGCAAGCATGGTAGCGAAGAACGGGGATGCCTGAGCCAGAATCTGGGTGTGCACGCGAAAGTCGACCTGGTCGGCGGTGCGCAGGATGAGGTCCGCCGAAGGCTGGTTGAAGGGATGCGGCGCGTCGATAGATTCCACTGATACGGGTGTGGTCTGAGACATGTTGTGACTCTATTCCCTCGTATGTTGTTGGTTCAAGAAGTTTGCAAAAGGACACGTAGAGGATACAGGGGGAAGTGAGGTTCGTTCACGTTCAAGCAGTAGTAGAGGTTAGGGAGAGGCAGCTGGCAGACGCCGTGCTGAATTTTGGTTTAGGCGCCGGCGCCCGCCTGCCTTCTGGCAGGACCCCTGCCTAAGCGCTAACATGTCCGATTCGGAAAGTCACGTGAATTGCCTTACTTGTGGATAAGAGGCGATGCTTCGCACGCCAGACCGATTCTACCTAAGCTGCATGTGGCACGCTTACTTAGTACACTACGGTGCAGCTCGAATTTTCATAACGCTTGCTTTACATGATTGGAGGTGCGTAAGACCTAAGTCGTTGATACCGCCTTTCCGTTACGATTGTTGTGTTTATCACAAGTCCATCAAACAATGTAGGGGGCTAAAGTTGCCACATAGAACATCTTCGAGTTGTTCAGACAAATTTATGAGATCCATCATGAACTCGCATGATCCCACACATGCAGGTGCTTGTCGTCGAAATCTAAAGTGGAATAAAACCAACATGCGCTGCGGCTATGTAGTTTTACATACGTAGCCAGAAGGCGCTCAGGCGGTGGCTCCGCTTCTGACTAGAACTGTTGCTGAACATACCTCTGGCAGTAAGTGTTCTACCGCCACGGAAATTGAAGAGAGTGAAAACATAGCAGTTCAGGATACAGACAGTGCTGGACGGCAACAACTTGAACGAGTACGGCGAGACGAAACCGGCGTGAAGTGAGTCGTGACGTTCTACGTTCGGCATTTGCCGGTGGTGGGTTTCTCGCACGTGCACGCTGCAACCTAATGCTAGCTGATAATCCGATTCTTGGTAGAATCGGAATAAGGCTAAATTATGTCGACTGAAATGGCCATTTTGGCCGCTATGGGAGGTCCGGCCAAAATTCAATCGGCCATTTAGGGGGCATGTGGGTCGCAGACAAACCTTTATAGGACATACGCACATGTGATGCTATTTATCGCACTTTATGAAGCTCTTGTGGAGAGTTCCAGAGTCATATCAAGGGAGCTATGATTAAACCAAATTCTCCTACGACATGAATCGGACCTCTTAGCGCTTAGGCAGGGGTCCTCTGCTGGCGTCCGCTGAGAGGCGCGCGACGCGCGCGAAGTTTTGGGACTCATCTTTGTTTGTCTTCGTACCTCGACACAACGATACATACGGGATGATAGGAATACTACTCGTGTTCCATCTCTGGGAGCCCGATTTCTGAATTACTCTAACATTTAGACTGTGTGAAGATGGCTATCCAATCCTAATTCCACCCCCACCGATACAGTTCGTCTTGCCCCGAAATGTCATAGGACTCCGAGCTAACGCACGGGAACAGGATACTGATTATACCTCCAGTTGGATCTGTGATGGGTCGAACAAGGATGTTACACCATGTTAGTACGTTAGCTGATCACGCGCGAAAAGGTAGCTCACCTCTTCGACAGCAGAAGCGAGCTTCTGTGGTAAAGTCCCTCCAACGTGGAGTATCTCCTCGATAATGAAGGTGGCGCCGCTACACAAGGCCCGCGCCGACTCTGCTGATACCTCCTGGAGCAGCGCAAGAGGGCCCACAAAAGATGTCCAGTCGCCTCCGTCACGGTGCCGAGCCAGGCCTGGGTCGAAGCTGACCAAGTCCAAGTAATCGCCAAACCACCGCTGAGCTGGCATATGCTCCGCCACGCCCGCGTTTTCGTGCCCGCTCCCCGATCCCTCTGTCCGGGGAACACTAGCCAAGATATCGATCTTGTTTCGTTGCAATGTATCCCGGGGGGCAGAGATCGGCCAGTTATCCTTCGCCTCCTTCAACACCAGACCCACAGCACGCCGGCACGAATAAAGATAGTTGATGAGTCGGTGGTAAACCTTCGCGGGGGCGTTCTCCATCCTCGTCGTATACTTCCACTGTAGTGGTCCGAGCGCCAGCGGCGAAAAGATGAGCTTCGCAGCTGCCTGAGCATGGGAGTCCAGATAGTGCTGCGAGGCGATGAAGTACGCGTCGAGCGGAATCAAAGCAGCTTGTCGATCCCACATACATTCGGTTATACGCTGTAAAGTCTCCATATTATACTTCCCGCAGACGGCGATTACCCGTGCTAGGTGAGGGAGACTGGACAATGCGGCGCCGTAGCAGATCCTCAGAACGGCGAACAATGTTTGAGCGTCGCCGTCGAATTGGAGGACTGGGACTGGGGAGCGTAACATATGCAAGTCGGGATGTTCTGCAACCGGCGGTGTCTGTCGGAAAACAATGGAATTAAGTGAGAGGATAGCCCGATGTGCCTTGAAGTCGACGCCGTCCGAGGAGCGACAGATGACATCAGGGAGAGGGATTGTGAGTGAGAACTCGACATGGGCATCGTCGCACGGAGGGGCGGCAGCCCTACCAGTAAATGGATCCAGCGTGGATAGCATGCGGAAATCACTGCCGACCTTTCCCTTCTTGCGCAGGAACTCGTCCAAGCGGAAGTAGTCCCCGGCAGAGGCCCCGTCCAAAGCAGCGGCACCCTCCATTTCCACGATGAAGGGCAGATTGCGCGCGGAAACGTCTTTGCTTTTCAGGAGGAAGGAGGCAGCTGTAAGCGCGATCGTCTCGGAGCCGATCCGGCAGGCAATGGCCCAGGTGCGCAAAGGCTCTTGGAAAGCGGCCTCTTCGACCTGTTCGCTGAGGGTTGAGACAGGCCACTCCATGTCGTACTTCATCGCCGCGACGAGAGCGGGGACGATCGCATCGACATTCGCAGCTTCGTTCTTTGTGACGGGATAGCACAAGCGCAAGAGAGTATCCAGCGTCTTGCTATCCTCCGAGACGTCTACTACAGGAATAGACGACGCAGACGCGGGGTGCGAGGGTTGTGGTAGCTGGAACATCGTGGCGAAGACGGGGGAAATGATAGCGAGGATGGCTTTGTGGACGCGGAAGTCTACGCGGTCTGGCGTACGAAGAATCATGTCGGCCGACTCCAGGTCGAATGGATATGGGGCGGTGGCGTATGCCACTGGGTGTTGGGGTGTGTCATCCATGGTGGTGGTGGTGAGAGCACCAGTTGAGCAGAGATTCAAAACAAGGGACACTCGGAGGTTAGACAAAGGAAGACGAGGTAGTAAATCATCGATGCCGGCCGGCTCTGACACGAGGCAAGGCCGCGCGTTAGGAGGAACAATGGCCGTTGTTATGCACCACCTGCGAAGACTCTGAGTCGAAGTCGGAAACAAACTTGAGGCGCTGAAGCGTTGAAGCTTTGATCAAAGGCCCCGGCCAGCGATAATGCCATTCATGCGAGAATCGTATGAAAGCCTATAAGAGTAAGCATACATTTTGAATCGCGCTATACATCTCTTCCGTTAGAACACAGTTTCGCATCCTCTGAATCTCGCGCACAAGATCCCAGCTCTGCATGATATCCATAGTTCTCTCGTCTCTTGGCGGATCCAGGCCCTGCAGTAAGCCGCGAGTGTGCTGTTGTATGTATGATATATAGTTGTCCTGAAGTTCGTGAAGGACGGGTCTCAGCACCTCTCCAGGGGAAAGGCTGCGGTGAACGACCACTGTAGTCATGTTGCTCAACCTAGCCGTGATGATGTCCACGGTCGACAGGCCACTGGACCCCGCAGGGCTGCGGCGGGGAGGCTGAGGGAAAGCATTGCGAATCTGCTGGGCTACACCACGGTTGATACCCTCCATGCTGCAGTGCAAAGACTGCCGACAGGCGTCGTAATAGAGCAGCAGGCGGTGATAGGTCAACGCGGGCACCGTCTCCATGACCGAAGTATACACTTCGAGTTCTACGGCAGGCCGTTCCAGCATATTCAATGCGGCGACCTTGGCGAGCTCGGGGAGTCCACCGGTGACCGCGAGGAGGTACGCCTTCACCGGTTGACATGCGGCGGCCCCTGGCCAAGCGACCTCAGCCCAGTACGAAACCTGCGACATCTCGTACTTCCGGGCAGCCTGTATGAGCGGCACCAGCGCAGAGAGGCCCACGGGCACGCCGGCTTCAGCACGGTAGCATACGTCGAGGATGTTTGACACGGTCTGCGCATCCTCCTCGAACTCGAGGTTTAGAGGACCGGATCCGGGGCCATCGCTGGGCACCGAGGCTCGAGCAGACGCGATGCGCCCACTCAGAACCGGAGAGTGGAGAGCGAGGACGCTTTGATGCGCAAGAAATGGTGCTTGGGCCGGGGACTCTCGATGGGAGGAGTAGCAGGAAATGTCGGTGAAGGGGATGTCCGTGCGGAACACCTGCGGAGGAGACGCGTCCTGCGCCGCCGTAGCTTCCCGAATCGGAGGCCTCAAGAGCGTCGAGGGCTGCAGGTCAGCGGGTGCTCGCACGAACCATTTCAGACGGAAGTAGTCAGCGGCGGATACTCCAGGCATATCGCCGAGCCCGTCTATATCGCTCACCGCCTCGGGAAGGACCTCGGACGCCGGAGACTCCTCTCGTTTCGCGAACGCCGTCCGAAGCACCTCCGCAGCCTGATGGGCCACGTCCTCCAAGTCAGAAGTGCATGCGGCCGCCCAAACCTGCAGCGCGTCGTGAGGCGTGGTGGCGAGTAGCTTCTCGGAGATGTACATATGCCACAGGCCAGGCCATCTCGTACTTGAGCGCCGCCTTCATAACCGCCGTCAGCATGCTCCTCGTGCCCTCCGTCGGCTTCGGGAGGGGGTACAGAAGCCGCAAAAGGTGATCGATGATGGGCTGTTCCTCGGGGATGTCGATTATGGGAAGGGCCTTGCCAGTCGAACCATTGACATTTGAGTCGTCCGGTGGTTGCGGGAGCTCGAACATGCCCGCGAAGAATGGCGATGCTTGAGTGAGGATGAGAGAGTGGACGCGGAAGTCGACGGCATCGCTGCTGCGTAAGATGATATACGCCGAAGGTTGGTTGAATGGGTATGGTGCATCGGTACCTTGCGACATATTGTGTGAGGACTGGGCTGTAACTGTTCAACAGGAGAGTCAAGGATGCTAGTGAGGGGACGAGTGAATAGCGGAAGTAAGCAGGCTGATGTATATGTGATAGAGGGAGAGGAAGAGAACGTGATAAATGCGAGGCAAGGCTGCTTGCGTGCTTCCTATGGTGCTGCGATAAGCCACGCGCCTGAGAAGTCAGCCATATTGCGTACCGTGCTAATTCATGTGCTAGTCCTTGAGTCGAAGGTGTTCACCCCGCTGCGCTTCCTCAACCGCTCTGGACTTTGGTGAGGGTTCAAACTGCGTAGCACCCTAGAGCAACAGAGTGATATAGATGACAACACCCCAGTGACTGTAGCAATCTCGACCCGAACCGCAATCGCACTAGTACATGTCAAACACAAATTACAACTCGACTCGCGTGTGTATCTCACCTATAGATAAGGGTCAAAGGCTGGTAAGCAAGAAAGTAAGTACCACATTGCTTACCGATGCCTAGGAGGCAACCACACTGAATGCAGTGCGATGTTCCTTATATCTCCAGTTCCACCTACGACAACCAAGGTTAGTAGAATGCCAGTGCGCGCGATATAACTGAGTACTCACCTCGTTGATGGCATCGGAAAGCTTTTGCGGTAAGGTTCTGCCGATGTTGAGAAGCGACTGAACGATGGCTCCAGACCTTCTACAGAGTGCCCACCGTGCAGCGGCCTTCTCAATTAAAGCGGAAGACCCTACCACGGACGTCCAGTCGACTCCTTGGACTTTGGGGTCCCAGTCACCCTGCACCCGCTCCAAGTATTCGACTAGCCACCTTTGCTGCGATATGTGATTGAAGGATCCTCCTGTCTTGGACGGATTGTAATGGTACTCGTGTCCATCATATGCGCTAGAGCCAATCCACGCGTCGCGTGCCTTCTTCAGCTGCTGCTCTATGACGTGTTCACACGACAAGCAGTATGTGACGAGCTTGTGGTAGACGTGAGCCGGGGCGTCCTCCATGACTGACGCGTACTTCCGGAGACCCTCCAGAGCGTTATGCGAAGTCAGGAGCTTTGCTGCATCGCGAGCCTGAGGGACTAGGCGGTGGGATATTGCGGCGAAGTAGGCGAGGAGGGGTTGCGCGCGCGCCTGCTCATCCCACAACCGCTGTGCTGTACGATGCACGGTCTTCAAGCCGGCCTCATACTGATCACATGTAGCGATGACCTTTGCGAGATGGGAGGAATTCAAGTTCGAAGGTACGCTGTCGTAGCAGATAGCCAGGATGATGGACAGCGTCTGAGCATCTCCGTCGAAGTGGATGATTCGGTGCCTAGAGGAAGAAGCCTCGGTGTCTGATGTGGCCCGAGCTCGCTCCTGTGCATCCAGCGGTTGAGGGGCATCATGGACAACCTCTGGCTCGGGAGGATCTTCAGGCACAGTGGGCGTTTTGACAAAGTCGATGGCACGTAGGGATAGGATGGCTCGATGTACTTCGAAGTCGACGCCGTCGGAGGAACGACAGACAACGTCGGGGTTCGGAATGCTGGAGATGAAATGGGTCTGTGGTTCTTGGCGCTCGGCACAGGTCTCCGTTTCTGCGAGTTCGCGGAATGTCGGGGAGAGCAAGAGGAACTCGGCATCGACCTCGCCCTGCACCCGAAGAAATTCATCGAGTCGATGGTAGTTTCCTGCGGAGACACCCTCCAAAGCAGTCCACCCGTCCGCTCCAAGTACTGCATGCAGACCACGGCGGGCAGCACCCCTCTGATCGCCCAAGAGGGATGTGGCCGCTTTGCGCGCGACTGTCTCGGAACCGTGCCGACAAGCGACGGTCCAAGCGTGCAAGGGGTTCTGCGAGGCAAGATCCTCGAGTTTCTTGGTAAAGATGGAAACAGGCCACTCCATGTCGTATTTGGCCGCCGCACTGAGCGCGAGGATGATGTCGTCTGTTTCCTCAGTTTCCCTTTTCGGGACGGGATAACAAAGGCGTAGGAGCGTGTCTAACGTCTTGCTGCCTTCCGAGATGTCGACCACGGGAAGGGAAGTCGGACCTGGTTCGTTGCCCTGCGAAACGCTAGGCTGCGGCAATCTGAACATGGTGGCGAAAACGGGGGATACAATCGCGAGGATCGCTCGATGGACGCGGAAGTCAACTTGGTCTGACGTGCGAAGGATTATGTCGGCCGTATCGAGGTCGAAGGGATAGGATGCGATAGTGTATCCCTTCGGATCCGAGGGTGCGTCGACCATATTTCTGGTTGTACTGTGCTGCGATGGGTGATCTGTGATTGGAAGATGCAGAAACTGAGAGAAGATTGTCGACGCCGTTTTGCCTCGACATAAACGCGAGGCAGCTGTTCAACACGAGGGGGAAACGTAAGCATTCGAAGAATGAGGACGGCAACTGAGAAGCAAGCGTAACGCCGGCGAAGCTGTAAAATGAGCGCCCAACCATATAACCGACCAGCGCAAGTTTGCGAACCCTTGGGTCTTAGGGGTGGCCCATTCGGGAGAGGCAAAGATACGCTGTTCGTAAGAAATTTCGACTAACAGGATTCTAGTCTGGGTACTCAGCGGCGGTCTCGCTTGACGTGGAGAGTAAATCATTCTCAATGATGACATGGCCGGGTTTGTATTATTGTCAATGTATCTTACTAGTAATCAACAGTGTGAGTGTATGTGAACGATGCAAAGTACGGTTATCGAGTTGCACGTACATTAAGTTGACGGTGATGCGCAGGCGTCTACTTCGGTGAATGGTTAAAACACCTGCAGTGAGCGATAAGTAGCGTGCAAGCATCCGACAGGCCGGGTAGACATGCCTCGTAGGCTCACCTATCGTTTGCGATGATAAGAGCGGTACTAACCATATCTTTGTCAGCGCAGGTCGCATAAGTCGAACAATGGCCGGTTTGACGCACCAGAACGGGAAGTCCGCTTCACGCACATGTGACACACACGCTCCGCTGCACAGTATAAAACCGCGAGACGCGTCTCTGCAGGCGCTCCAGGTTCGACTTGCTCTTGACCACCTACCACCTCCTCAGTCCCCCCCTCCACGCCCATAGTCTCCCCCTCCCCTTGAACACCTGGAACGCAATCCTCTAGTCAGCAGAGCGACACCACCAGTCTACGAAGACACACATACCCGTCACATCCCGCATTACTTTCATACACCAGTTTAGCCACCATGCAGATGACGAGCAACTCGCTGGCGCCTCCCCGGACCTCGGGATCCGACTTCTACATCTGGACTGCAAGGCCGACGAGGCCCTCAGACCTAGTTGAGGTACGAACTGAGTGTATTAACCAACGGGTGAGTCGCTCGCGGATGGTTCGAGCGCGAGCGGTTGCTTACCGGGGGCACGACGCAGTACCGGGGCGTAGACGGCGCCGAGGTGCGACGTTTGGAGGATCGCCTCCGCAAGGAACAATGGGCCCTCGACTGGTGGCGATATGAGGAGCGCCTCGCGAAGGAGCCGACGTGCGACGTCCCCCCGCCAAGTTGGCCACCGTTCAGGGCGCAGCAGATCGGGTTCACCATGCCGCCGCCGGCTGAGGTCCGGGCGAAACTCGATGAAGCGGCGGTGGATAGGGCCCCGGCAGCGAGGAAGGAGAAGGCTACGAGAGCCAGGGCGGCGATGAAGGAGAGGGCAGCGATGAAGGAGAAGGCCGCGAGGGACAAAGCAGAGGAAGTGCTCAGCCGGGTCGCAGAATGGGTGGAGAGCGTTGGCGGTGCCCATGGTGACTCTGGGTACCCCGGCCCCAAGGGTGGCCTCGCATTCCCAGCGGCGGCGGAGGAGACCGTATTGGCATCCGGAACTCCTACGCCCACGCGCGCGAGCTTCGCAGGCGAGGCGACACCGCGCGCTGGGACGGAGAAAGGGTGGCCGTCAGAGCTCTGCGATGACCCTCAGGAGCAACCAGAGCCCGAGCCTGAGGGTAGTGACGAGATAGCACTGCCAGCCTAGGTGCTGCGTCGCCTGGGGCTCAGGTGGGGTCACGGGGTGGATCTGGGGTGACACGGGGAGTGGGGAGGCGGGCTGTATCGATAGCGGTGAGTTTTGGCGTCTGGTCCGACGAATGTGACGCTGATACGAATTCGGGGTTGCAGTGGGAGGGTGTCGCGGGACAGAGCATGCGCGCGTGACTCGCATTTGTTGACTGTGCTTGGGGCCTCCGCAGGAACTTGTATAGTGTCTTGTATCATAGCATTGTTGATGAAGTTGCGTTCCAGTTGGATCGTTACCGCGCGGCCGGTTTTTGTGCTACAATACAAGTTCGCGTCAGTAGCGGATAGAATTCGACCAAACGTCATAGCCCACCTTGACAGATTACAAGGCTAGTGAACCGGTGAGGACGACACTAACTGACGACTTCCATCAGCTACATACCGCTTCAAAGGGGACAATCCGCGTATCGGCGTACCTCAGTCACTAGCAACCCCACGATCATGCGATGTGCGCGCTTTTTTCCATTCACTGGAGGGGAATAATACCGCGGATGCGTCCATAAAAGCGCTGCAGATCCAACCATACTCAGCTGCTCATCGTGCGCCGTACTTCGTCAGCTACACATGCCACAGAAGCAGGACAAAACAACTCACCTTCTGACGGTTAGCACCTACACCCCAGGGCACGACATGAGAACGTCCTACCCCGCACCATACTCAAAGCCCGGCTCCTCACTCACATCCGCAATACCCACCATCGTCATTCACCCCCCAAGTCCGAGCCAGCAACTGCCACAGCTGCACCCAGGCATGAACGTGTCGGAGGACGGGTGCGTGACCCGCGGCTACGACAATTACTCTGTGAGTGACAGGCTTAAAGAAAGAGATATAAGGAATGCTCACACGTTGAACTGATTAGTACGGGGTTGCGAGTGCCAAAGTCAGCGACCAGAATGCCGATCGAGGCCGTCCACGACCATGGCGCCAGTCGCACGGCAAACTTAACTTGTACTGTCCGCTCGTCGCGGAAAAGCCTGGGTTGGGCGCAGCTTCTTCAAGGGCATCCTTCGAAGTGCGGAAAAATTGCGAGTCCTCGACAAGAGCGTGTGCTGATACCGAAGCGATGTAGGCGAGAGCGTTCGCGCCTAGCGAATCAGACTGGCGAACGAGAACCAGCGGCGGTAGCTGGCACAGCAGCACCCGAGCCGGGCAGGACGGTCGCTCGGTGGCACCACCATTGTACTTCAAAGATGAGCTCCCGCAGCCCATGCTCACGGCCGTCGGGTCCGCGATGGATGAAGAGGAGCGACTAATTCGACTCTTGGCCGTCATTCTCAAGGAGAGGTCCCAAATGTACGTCATCCTGTGCGAGGAGCTCCGTAAGGCAAGATTCGAGAGGCTCAGACGAGAAGACCAAGAAGCGAGGTCGCCCCTCGGAAATCTTGTCCGGGACCTCGAGCTACAATGACGAACGTCAACGTGAGTCGGTGGGGTGATGCGAGAGGAGAAAGAGAAATTACCCTAGGTAAGGCTTATTGACCGATAGGCTCTCCAGAAGCTCATTTTCAGACTTATATCTAGGAGGGACGACGGGTGGCGTAGAACCTCCGTCGAAAGTCGGCAGAGTCACTATGTGCTTCTTTGTCGGGTGGTCAATACCGTTGTATGCAACATCGTCTCGACTCGCGGGTACAAAACTTGTGAAGTTGTCATTGTGTCGTTCTTGTGTGGACTGCCTTCACTTTATTGTGTAGCTGAAGCGCGCATACGCATGCGAGGTCGAAGAGTGTCATGACTGGTCATGATCATCGCGAACGCTAAGGTAGCTTTATGTTGTGTAAGCGAACTGGAGTGTATTCTCACTATATTTTGAGCAAAGATTCGTTACCGTCGGTTTTTCAAAGGGAAAACAGGGTAAGACATAGACGTGCGAGTATCGCCGTCGTGGTGGTAGTGCTTGAGGAGGTCCGACGAGTTCAGAAGCTGAGACGACCGTCGTGGCGGCAGTTACAGCTGGCCGGAATTTCATTTAATCTATACTCACGCTACGCGCCACTTCTAACGGCCCAATGGTCTAGTAGTATGATTCGCCCTTCGGGTCGTACCCCAGTGTTACACTGAAAATGGGCGAGGTCCCGGGTTCAATTCCCGGTTGGGCCCTTTTTGCACGTCTAGAGTTGGCTGGTGTGACGTCACCTGCGGCACTGAGCAGACGATTGGCAAGCAGCCACGGTCTTCTTTTGTCCTAGGTTGACCTCTACGGAACCCCTTCCTATACGACTAAGTAACTGCAGTACCTCTAGAGCAAGCGATGCCTGTCCCAAAGCACATCCTCAACCAGATCAAGACCATAATCCCCCCTCTCAACGGCTCCTTGCACAAAGGCCAGTCAGGCCGCGTCGGTGTCTTGGGCGGCGCCCTCGAGTGAGCGCTAGGGTCCCCGTCCTCCAGTCCATAGGCTTACATACCTACAGCTATACAGGCGCGCCCTTCTTCGCGTCGATATCTGCCCTGCGCATAGTAAGCGCGATATAGCACTCTACGCACGAGCCAATGCCGACCACCACGCACATATGTGTAGGGTGCCGACCTCTCCCATGTCATCTGCTCGCCTACCGCCGCTGGGGCCATCAAGTCGTACTCCCCAGACCTCATCGTACACCCCATCCTCCGTGAAGACCAGTACGTGCGCGTATAGCGCGAAACCCCAGCCAGTGCCCATCGCGTCCCCCAGGTATTGATCAGCACATCTTAGAACTACAGAACAGCTCAGACCGGCACTCGACTCCCTCCTCTCGCGCCTCCATGTGCTCATCGTCGGCCCCGGACTCGGACGCGAGGACTACATGATCAAGTACGCGAAGCTCGCGGTCACGATCGCGAAGGAGCAGGGCATGTACGTCGTGCTCGACGCGGACGCGCTCTGGATGATCGGCCAGGACCTCGCGCTCATCCGCGGGTACCGCCGTGCTGTGCTCACCCCGAACGTGATGGAGTTCAAGCGCCTCAGCGAGAACGTCGTACGTACCTGTACGCGTCCTTTGAAAGAGAGGCAGACCAATTGATGGGCATGAGCAGGACATCGACCCGAAGATCCCACCGGAAGAGCGCGCGATGCACGTCTCGCGCGCGCTGGGCGGCGTGACCGTACTAGAGAAAGGCAGCTCCGACATCATTTGCACGAATACCGGTGAAGCCGGCAGGGAGCAGGCGGAACTCAACAAGGTGAGCTTCCAGTGCCAATCCTCCGACGTGCAAGCCGCTCAGCCATTCTCCCCAGATATCCGAAGGCGAAAGCACGGAAGAACGCGTCGTCGTAGACGTCCCGGGCGGTCTCAAGCGGTGCGGCGGCCAGGGCGACATCCTGAGCGGCACCGTCGGCACGGTCATGGCCTGGGGCAAATGCTTCGAGTCCGGCGCGTTTGGGTGAGCTGTATCTGTGCTGCAACCGCTATATGCATGTATTCTGACCCCTGCGCTCAGAGATGGCTCTATCCCCCCATCTCGCATCCCGCTCCTCGCGGCGGTGGCTGGGTCTATGGTCACCCGAACAGCATCGCGACGCGCGTTCAGCAAGAACGGCAGAGGTGTGTCCGACGCGTTTTGCGAAGTCTTGTTGGGCTCGATTAACTCTCGAGTAGGCGTCGTAACGCAGGACATGATCCCAGAGATCGGCGGCGCCTTCGCCGAGGTCTTTGGCGAGGGCGAGAAGGGCTGGGGCGCGTCGACGAGCGGAGGAAAGCTCTGAAACTCCAAACTTCAGTCCTCGATACAAGATCAGGTCGGAAAGGACTCCAGCATCTGTATAACATGTACGACAAACCCATCTGCAGTGTACTTATAGAATACTTACACTGCCTCTCAGCCCTCCGGACGGGCGAGGAATGTGCGTGAAAGCAAGACCAACACGGCCCAATGGTCTAGTAGTATGATTCGCCCTTCGGGTCGTACCCCGGTGTTAGCTTACACTGAAATTGGGCGAGGTCCCGGGTTCAATTCCCGGTTGGGCCCTTGTTTTGCCCGGAAAGGGTATGTTTTGGCATGACGGAGGGTCTGGATTGTCGCCTAGTCGTCCCGGGAGGGAAACCGACCGATTAGAGGAAGATGTAGCCAGTAGCCCGAGCGGGGCATGCGGCTGCTGCTCAAAAACCGGTAGGTGGCCAGCAGGGATATCGATACAGCGACAGCGATAGTGTACAACACAGCAGCAGAGCATGGAAGACGCTATAAAGACAGCCACCGTCGGTAGAGTGCCTGCGCCAGAGGCGCAGCACCGGTGCTGACATAGATGAGAGATAAGTTATGCGCGGCTTCGCGCGCAAGCCCGCAGTCCTACGATGCAAACGTTGAGGGGACCGTATCCATCTAAACAACCTTGCTAGGGGACGTACCTCGTCATTGGCATTTGCTCTTGCCTCCGCTGCGCTCAATACGCGTTCGTAATGACGAACAGCGAGCGTATGCAGACCTGATTTTGACTATAAGTGGAAGGGACGCGGCGGAGGCGGAGAATGCTCACCGAGTTGGTGGAAGACGCGACCGAAGTTGTACTCGACCTCGTCCAGTCCCTCAGCTGTCTCGCCACGCAGCTCTCGATATCGCGTCAAGAACGCCATGCCCTGATGCACTATATGAGCCAGGGCATGCGCAAGGAAATACAGGAAACTGACCTGGGTGATGAGATGATGTCGGTTGTCAGACTGCCTCTGCATCGCGCGCCCAACGGAGGCGATAGCAAGACACAGTGAAACGAGTGGATCGTCGGGTGCATAATCGTACGCCTGCAATAGATAGACTGGTCCGGGGTAAGCACGGCTGTCCTTGTCGCCTCCACTGTGCAGTACTCACATAGCGCACTCTGATAGCTCTTCGCCGCCAGGAGGATCTGTCCGTACACGGCAACGTTCACCGGATTGGCCTTCGTCGGCAGCTTCGCGTGCTCAAACTCCGCGACGGCAGCAGGGGTTTCCACCTCGTCCTCGTCGTCGGGTATGTCGTCAGGATCGGCTTTTATCGCGGAACCGACCACGCCGTATCGCCGTTGAGCGGTGTTGTAACGAAGAGCCTCCGGGTCTTTGACGGCCGCGTCGGCCAGTCGGGTTTCTCGCAGCAGGTGTTTCGAGAGCGTCGATACGAGGAACGCGTCTGTCGCTCGAAGCCCGCTCCCGAGAGACGCTACGAGAAGCCGGATAGGCTCGTTGTTGAACTGGTGCCCGTTGATCAACTTGCGGGCTTGTTCGACGACGGTCTGGAACTGGTCTGCATGGATCGCACAGGCTGATCCGGAAGTCAGCCACGTGTGACGTAGATAACTCCATGTACAACGTACTAATCAGGGCTAGGCGGATGGAGTCTTGCGACGAGCGCGACTGGAAGGCGTTGGAGAACAGTAAGTGCCGCAGGACCTCATTGGCGGGCTCGTACTGCCCTCGCCTTGTCAAGAGGAAAGCATACTAAGTACTGTTAGCCGGCGTCATCATGGGCGAGTAAGGCTGCTAGACTCAACATGCATGAACAGCCGCAACCAGTCGTCGAACGGGATAGTCCGGAAGGTGTTCACATTCTCGGCCTTGGCACCTTTGCGCGTCAGAGTGTCGCGACCTAACGAATCATAAGTATGCATATAAACCACATGAGTGCAAAGGACTCACCAAGTTCGAGTTGCAACCGCGACGCCATGCTATCCTCGCTCGCCTCCGTAGTCTGCTTTCGCGCGCTCCTCGGAAACATCCCGCGGAATCCGCGATGCTGCGCACCTCATCAACACGAACACCCCCGACAATACAGAAGATGCTCCTCACCCGACTCGTCAAGAACAACGCTCGCGTCTCTCTGAACGACTCGACAAGTTTCTCCGCTTCAACGAGCCACTCACGCGTCGCCTCCTCCTCGCCTGCCAGCATGCGCGCATACAACTCCTGCACGCGATGCCATGACTGCACGCCCTCACGCTCCTTCTGCGTCTCAAGCTCGCGCAGTTGCGTGACTGTGAGCTTGTTTGGGTTGGCCTTCGCGGGTGTCCCCTTGGCCTTTGCTCCGCGAACTTTGCCTTCTTCGAAGAGGGAGGCGGAGGCGGGGTCCCCGCCACCGGAGTCGACTGTACCGTCTCGTTGCGCGGCGCGGCGTTTGCGGGAATCGATCACTATAGACACCGCTATTACTGTCTGACTTTGAATCAGAGCATAGTGGAAACGGACCTTGCATGACCAAATCTAACGCCTTCCTTGGCTCGTTGAGGATTTCGTAAATCTCTGCAAGCTTCATCTTCGCCTCGTTGTGCCCAGGGTCTGCCTGTATGACTGAGAGGGGGGTGAGACAAAGAGCTAATTTAGCAAAACGAAGTGCTCACCGTGTTCGTAGACCTCTGCCGCTTCCTTCAGGTCGCCAATCATGCGACGACATGCAGCCGCTTGGAGGAGCACATACATGCTACTTGTGCCCGCATCGCCGCCCAACATCTCGTAGATGTGACCGGCCTCCGCATACATCTCCCTCTCAAAGTACGCGTCTGCAATCTCCGAGAACAGCGCAGAGTATTCTGCAGTATCCTGCGCCAGCACTATTTTGGCGTGCATCTAAACCCCCTCCTGTGAGCAACACCCCCGCAACGCATAGTACCGCAAACCAAAAGGTGACCGACCTTGCCCTCCTCGACATCGCCGCCCTTGATGCGCGCAATCGCCAGCCGATGCCGCGCATTGACGTCCAGCGGGTACATCCCCGGCTGCACCTCGCCCTCGCCCCCGCGCTGCACCCCATTCTCCACCACATCCCACTCCCGGTCGTCCTCGCACGCGTCCCAAAACTTCTGCGCCGCGCGCCCCTGCAGCCAGCGGCACCCGCGCCGGATCGTGTCCACGGCCTGCGCATGCGCCCCCAGGGTGTTGTACAGGTCCGCGAGCACTAGCAGACTCATGAGCCCAAAGCCACCCCCGGGAACCTCCTTGCCTGTCTCCGCGTCGAGCCCGAGCCCGGCGGGGAATGCGGCGCGGTAGTGGTCGAAGGCGCGCTGGAAGAGGTCCGCGCAGAGCGTGAAGTCGGAGAGCTCGATGAGGATCGGACGAAGTTCTTCGAGTACGGGGAGGTGGTGAGGTAGACGCTTGAGCATGGCGAGCATCGTCGAGCGGGCCTGTGTTTGTGTTCAGTGTGCGACCAGCGGAGAACACGGCAAATGGACTTACCGTCTTGAGGTCACCGATCTCCTTGGCGAGGGAAGCACGGTCCCACAGCGCGTTTACATTTGTTGGGTCCAGGTGATACATCTTTCCATAACAGTACAGCGCCTGCTGGTTGTACCCCAACGTCCTACAAACGCGTTCGCGAGCTCGCTACACCCTAAACTGGCGGGGGCACTCACCTCGACTTCTGCGCGAGCTCAGCCCATTCGTCCGGGTCGTGGTTGAGGTGCGCGGCCATGATGCGCAACTGGAGGGCTTTCATGCGTTCGCCCCAATCGTCGTAGCACTGTGCAAGCACGCTCCACGGCGCGGCCGCGCGCGGCTCGATGCGGATGACCTCCTGCATGATGCGCACCGTCTCGTGGAGGTCGGCGTCGACGAACGCCTGGTTGCCCTCACCAATCAGGGCGCGCACTTGCTGCGAGAGCACTGGGCCCCGTCTCCGGCCGCGCTGCGAACGCGTGTGCAGATGCATTGGCTTGGATACGGGTAGAGGGAAGGAAGGACTGAATGCACCTTTTTCTTCATCTTGCCGACCCCGGACGCCTCTCGGAGGTCGTCCTTGAACTCCGCCTCGCGCTCCTCCAGATCCATGTCCCACATCTTGTTCAACATCCCTGAGCTCGAGCCGTCGCCGGCGTCGCGGATGTTCTGAATCAGACGGTCAAAGTCACCCTCGATCGCAGTTTCGACCTGTGTATCTTCCGCGTCTTCCGCGTCCCCGAGCAGGGCAGGGGTCCCGTTTGCATGCGCCTGTGTGCCGCTCGGTCCAGCGACGGCATTCTCCTCTTCGGAGTACTCGTCGCCAGATTCAGAGGTAGATTCGTAGTCAGAAGAGCCTTCAGCGTCTTCATCTGAAGTGTTGCAAGGTTAGACGGGATAGCGAGAGAAAGATGGAGTGTCGGACAGACCGGAAGCGCCCCACAGCTCGGGCTGTTCGTTGTTTTCCATCGGGCGTGTCAGCTCTCAGGTGCAGATGTTATTATTTGCCTGAAGATACGTTGCAACACAAGCCTTGGAGATGTACAGAGAATCACGCAAGGGTACGCAGCTAGCTTCTGGTCATGGAGCGTAGACGAGAGTTGGGAGCAGTCGCGAGTCGCGCGACCGCCGACGCGACTTACACGTTGTCACGTGCCACCTGCGCGCGTAAACGTCTGTCGATCATCTCGCCCAGACATAGCCAGACATCCCACTCCGTCGACAGGTCGCGCAAGTGGTACGTATTCACGGCTCGGGAGATGCTGATGAAGTCGTATGGAATGATATTTAGACGACTGTAGAGCTATATGGTCATATAATAGCTGTTTACAACTAGAGGGTGAACGGCGATGCTTCGCACGCCAGGCCCGATTCCATACCCCGATTGGTACTACTGAGAATTTGAACGAGCAAGTTCGCGCCAAGCTATTTTGATTGAGTTTCTTTCAATGGAGGTAATAGTATCTCAGGCCCACCACTATGACTCTTACAAAGTATTCGAGAACCATATATGCGGTATGAGGCCACGACTGGCCAGTGCCACCCGGGTCCACGATTTTGAAGTGCGCTCCTAACTCTCAAGGAAGCCAGGCTGCCAGACAACGCATGCGTACAGGAGGGCTCCAGACACACTTCCGGAAAACAAAATTTGGACTTTGCGGTCTCCCATGAACGACCGCATAAATAGCCAGTACTTCATGAACATAGCAAATGGCCTACCCACCATACGGTGACGAGAGAAACTCGGAAGTATGAGAGCGGGCAATATTTGCGGCGAAAGTCAGCCTGCCTCCAAGGCGTCCTCAGCCACAAAGCAAACATGCGCAAGCGGGCTACGAAAGTCACGTGGTCTCTACCAACCTCACAAGAAAACCGATTCTTTATGGAATCGGAATGAGTGGCTTTACAACCGAGGTCTACAGCACACTGGCAACTTGAAATCAAGGAACTCGGAGAGAACTGTACTAGACACAAGGTCGTGGGCGAAAACGGGAGGAAAATGTTATAAGAAACAAGGAGTGTAGAGTCCGAATGTAAGACACAAGGGAGTGTAGAGTCCGGATGTAAGACACAAGGGAGTGTAGAGTCTAGAAACGTTCGACTAGGCAGATTTGGGAACGAAAGAAGGCTGAGTGATGAACGAGCAAAATGGCGAGGCTGCCGCCCGCATAGCGTAGCCGCTAGCAAGCTACAAAAACAGACAGGATAAGCATCCAGGGTATCAGCTGCAAGTATGAAACAGTGTACTCTAGATAGTCGCGGTGGGCTCCGCCGTAACATCTGTCGCGGTCTCAGTGGGTTCGGAGGTCGCGTCGGTAGTGGAAGGGACGCCAGTGGTCCTGGTGGGGGTTTCAGTTGGGACCTCGCTCGTCTGGGTAGGAACTTCGGCGGTCTCTGTCGGGGGCGCTGAGGAAGCCGGAGACACCTCCGTAGTAGAGTCTGTCGGCAGGTCCGAAGTGGTAGACGGGGTCTCCGTGGACTCAGGAGGAATCGCAACTGTCGCGGAGGGTGGTGCGTCGGTGGCTGTGACGTCCGTGGAAGTGGTGATATCGCTTGTGAGCGTAGGGGTTTCACCTGCGGTGGGAGTGTCCGTCGGTGAAGTGGTTTCGTCCGGGATATGGATGGTTGTGACGGGAAGATCGGTGGTCGTGATGGGGAAGTCAGTGCCAGTGGATGAAATGGGGAGAGAATCGGTGGTGCTGGGGGAGCTGGCGATGATGTCCGTTGCAGTCTCAGTAGTGACGGTGGTCGTCTCCGTCGGGAGACCGGTACTCTCGGTAGGAACACCGGTGGAGTCGGTGGGGAGACTGCTGGCGCCTGTGAGGATATCGGTCGTCGTCCCGGTTGGGGAGTCCGTTGATTTATCCGTTGAGACGCCCGTGATTGTGCTCGGAAGAACAGTGGTCGACGTGGTGTGGTCGACGTGGTCGAGGAGCCATCGGATGTCGTGCTAGAAGGCACGTCGGTCGTCTCCGAGGGAAGTTGGACAGAGGTAGAGGTGGTGGGCTCGGTAGCTGCGCTCGGCACATCACTTGAGGTAGAAGTGAAAACCTCACTGGCGGTCGTCGAAGCCTCAGCAGATGTCTCGCCGGGTGAGGCGGATGTCATGCTTGGTCCGTCGGACGATGCAGGGGCGCCAGGAGAGCCAGCGGGAGGCACGACAGGAAAGGGGAAGCCAGAGGGGAGAGGCGGGAAAGGAGAGCTGGTAGGATTCCCGTTGAAAGGGAAGTTGGACGGAAACGAGAGCGCCCTGAGAGGGAAACCGCCGCTGGTACGCGTGACGGAAGGAGAAGGGTGCGGGAAAGGAGGGAAAGGAGCGATTTGGCTGTTGTTGTAAGGCGCACCAAGGGGCGCGGCAGTCGATCCGGTGATGCCAACAGCGAGCGCGACGAGGACTGAGAGCTGCATATTGACCTGTGTGCGCGCGTACAGTGGACACTAATAGTGATCTATGGGACGATCAGTGGCAAGCTACAGAGGACGTGTATGTCATAGCACACTCACAGGCACTACGAAGCTGAAAGAGCTGTCCAAAGGGTGTGAGCATGCGGTCCGACGTTATATACCGCGGTTGTAAAATGGTGCAAAGATTTTGAATACGTCATCTGCGTTCGAACATGCATACAGTGTCGGGTGCGACGGTGATCATTCTACATCGAGCGGAAGTCTCGGGTCCGTCGCACGCGTGCAAATGATGTTCCTGAGAGTTCATAGGTGGGAGTAATTTGTCGTTAGGCCACCACTTGCGAATATGAGAGCCGCCCCGGAAGCAGCGTCATCTCGTGCATGTCATAACCCTGCGAAGAACATGATGGTCAGCCACGAGAAGTCATCACGTCGAACGCCATGCTTACGGTACCGTGCAGCCCTGATATTGAAGGTGAGATGGATGATGCACGTCCATCTGCAGCCCTTTACCATGATCCACTCAAGATCAGACGCCAGTGGAGTTAGCAATTGATGATCGAGGCTGGACCCCTACGCAGTTACATTTTGACATTGGAGAAGGAATGGACATACTGGGGTTGTTTCGCGACAAGCGGCATCATGGGCATTCGTAATATAGACAACTGTATATGCTTGAGAGCGGAGGTATCACCAGGAGGGGATCGCGTCGTATGCTGCGAGCCTGATTTGGGTGTCATGCTTGAATAGCGAACCTAGGAGAGTCGTGAGCTGCTCCAACCTCTGGCCCTAGGACTTGCTCTGCAGTATCAAATATACTAGTTGAAACTGATACCATCGTCATTCATCGCACGGATCTGACACTGACTTACGGACGTGAGTGATGAGCTGGCATAACCGCCACCGTTAGCGCTTCGCCTGTGTTGCGGCCTGGACCCATAAGGCGCAACAGCGCCAACATGAATATGGCCGCAAGTGAACTCAGAAGAGGCGCAGCAACCCTTGAATGCCACAACCCGCCCCCTTTGCCACTCACCTTCAAGTCGCAGGCCTTCAAGCTTCGAGGGTAGGAGCAAACCACTCGTAGGGTATCACTGCGACGCTTAGAACCTGCGACAAGGAGCATGCCAGTTACGGCCGTCGTGGACTCGTGCCAGTCTGTGCTTATCTTGGGCTTGTCCTGTCGTACCTTCGGTTTCGTGCCGTGAGTCAGCACAATTGCCAGCATAAGATTGCGAAATGGCTGGTGCGCTGCGAATGTAAGATCGGGGCGTAGCTGGAGACACCTCGAGCCCTCTTATTGAAACGTTGACCAGTTTCAGGGAGCAGGCTACGAATCGGTCGCAGCGACAGTGAGATGGGCAGGGAAGCAGATATAAAACACAGTTGTAGTGGTGGTAGCGTTGAAAGAGCTTACAGTGGTGGCTCACGGGCGCCGGTGAAGTACTCGCGTTGCGCTGAGAGCCCCCAGTATCCGCTGGACATGTTGTAACCATGAGAAGCAAACATATCGGCCGCCTGGCGAAATGGCATCGCGTCTGACTACGAATCAGGAGATTGCAGGTTCGACCCCTGCGGTGGTCATTTTGCCCCTTTTGCCCCTCATACGTTGGCTCATTGCTCCCACATTTGCGTGTCTTCTCCCCTTTTACCTGATCTCACAATACCAATGCTGATCCAAACGTATTGAGCATGCGTTGTGAGGCATGCGGGCGTATGACAGTGGTTGCCTGGAATCAATATAACGTGGGTAGGAAAACTAATTGCAGCACCCCACCAACGATACGTTGCAGTTCTTACAAAGTCGCATTGCATTGTCAGGGGGAGATATCGTGAACACGCAGCAAAAAGCATCGAGAGACTCATACAACGATGTGGGTAAAACGTGAGTCGGCCCAGGATCGAACTGAGGACCTTCTGTGTGTTAGACAGATGCGATAACCAACTACGCCACCGACCCGATATAAAGAGGATCCGCCATGCTTTTTTCACATGCATAACCACATAGCGCTCAACGCTACGACGTGGCAGGATTCCAAGGCTTGCTCTCGAACGCCGACCACCACTTCCACTCGCTCAGGTCGCTCGTACGAGTTCGTTTCTCCCCTCGGCTTTATACACCCCCTAAGGCCCACTGCTACGCAAATACTGGTCAATTCATTGGAATAGGTGCACTAGGCCGGTATCACGCATCTTGGGGCCGGCATGCTGGCGGACACCAAGTTCGTATATGTCACGCAGACTCGCAGCACAACACGTAAGTTAAACCCGATGATTGCCACAATTAAGTTATACTTGTACAGATCCATGAAATCCGGCGAGCCATTTTAGTCGCGTCGCCGAATTCCCCATGCCCGACCACCCGTGTCCAACCCCGATACCCAAAGAAAAACCTGTGTGCGACCATCCTCAGCCATCGCTATGCGCTTGTGCTCTCAGAGCTACGCTTGTCTCCTTATCTCGTGAACCGACCCTACGACTACCAGCGCACCTCCTCGTCCGGAAGCAGGGCCCACGGGTTGGCCCTATACCCGCCGGTGTAGCGGACCCTCTCTCCTACGTCGCCAGGACGCGACGCGCGACGCTGTCCCCGTACAGCAGCCTGCGGAAGCCACGTGACATTCGGCGCCGGCCCTCCAACCGTCGCCCACGCACCGGGCGGGACACGCGAAGGATACCGAGCTGGGCCGCGCGGCGGAAGTGGGGGCAAGACGCGCGGAGGGTACGGGGTTGAGACGCGCGGAAGGACGCGCGGGAGGAGTGGGGTCGAGGCTCGCGAGGGGATTGGGGACGCGACGCGTGGGGGAAGCGGCGGAACGAGAGGTGAGTCAAGTTGCGGGAGCGGGGACTGGACGAGCGGGGGAAGAGGGCCCGCTCCGACCTCCTTGCCAAACGTCTCGTACCACTGGCGACCAAGCTCCGCCAGTGAGAGGTCTCCGAGGTCGACGGGCGGCGTGACCGCCTCGTCCTCCTCCTGCGCCGACTCCTGGGAGTACTCGGACCCTGAGGTAGACACCTCGCTGTCCGAAACGAGCAGCGAGTCTTTGCGCGCCGCGGCGCACGGAGCGCGGGCTTCTCCCTGCGGGATCGCGGGGAGAGGTTTATCGGTGTTCGGGACCGGCTTGCGCGAGGCCGCGGGTGCTCCGCCGGAGCAGGATTTCGCCGGAGACATGGGCCCGAGCACGCCGGCATGGCTTCCGAGTGTGGCCTCTTGAACGGTCTGTCCGTTCGCCGCGAATGCATTCGAGGCGGGCGGCCAGGGGGGTGCTTGGTTTGCAAGCGACTGGCTGAGGGTCGCCTTGGCATAGTGGTAGTCCGCTACCCGTTTTGCTGTGACCCTGCACCCCGCGCGAACCCGCTGCTCGTACAACCCACCATGCCCCATATACTAATCGCTAACGTAAGTAAAGGCTTGCGGGAATGCGCTTGGTGCTCAAACGTACCGCATAGTCGCCCGGAAGGGCGCCACTTGTCAATTCCTTTACGGAGACCGGCTCCTTCCAATTGAGAATGGCCGCAAAGTCCCTCGGATGCCGCTGCGGGCGAGGGGACACAATGACCACTGCATTCACCATTATGGAATTCAATGTGGTTATGGTGGGTGGACGTGGATGAGCCAGAGAAGGAGCTGGTCAATGGATGCGCGGAAATCGTGGGTGGATGCCTTTGGTGAATAGAGGAGTAGGCGGTCCTCGAACTTATAGGCACTACTAGGACTGGATAGCTGGATATGCTGAGAGTTATCGCGGGCGACAAGCGAGCGAGGCGGGATAGGATGGGGGACCACGGCAGGAAGTACTGTGGTGGGGGGACAGTGTGGATATTGGCGCGTTTTGTCGCGTCTGGCCACGCACGTGACCGTGACGCGGCACCGTCTGTCTCTTTGTTCCTGCGTTACTCGACCGATACCGTACGCGTCATCTATCGGGCTATACAGCTATACTGGACGGCAAGAAGCGGCCCTAATCGTGAGCAGCGTCTTGCCTTGGAGCGCACAACGCCACTGGTTATACACGACGACCTCTAGGCCTCCGGACCGTACAACAGATATACAGAAACAACACGCGAAACAAAGCTGCTCAGGAATACAGCACTCGTTCGACAGCAGGGAGGTATCTTCTGTGGGCTAAGGTAAGTCGTAGTACCACTGCGAGTGGGATATTGCACCACCGACTTACTTGTAGTTCAGCCAAAACCTCCTGGTCCCCGCGGTCGACTCGTCCGAGGATGAGTGTCGGACGGTCTCGGCTACTTCAGCTTCCTATATGTACCCCCACGACCATGTCTTACCGGATACTACTATCACACTGCCATTGGGAAAATATCCCGGCTACCTGTCGGTGAAGACGCCTGTCGAATGGAAGTCATGGACACCCGAGTCCGATGGTATAGGTGATATCCTGTCAAACTGTGTACTCGATATCCGGGCGGTACCACCCCATTCCGCTCATCTACGGAGGTGGAACTGGCCGGTGGGCCCCTCCCCTGTGAACTCGTTAACGGACGGAATGCTGTTCCACGCAGGACACAGATATCGGTGTCTCGGCCGTCCTGGGTCGCAGTACTATGAGGCAGTCCAGTAGCCCGATATCAAGTACAATTCCGGGAAGTAGCTCTTTATGTTGTTGTACCAGGATATTGCCTGATATTGCGCAATCGATTACAGCGGAGGTTAATAACAGACCGATACCAAAGTCCACAGTAGCACGCAGAGAATATATATAATACAAAGAGTGGCGTGGCGCAGGAAACCAACTTCTGTGGACCTGGCAGTTTCGGATGTACCACATTCATCTCAGCTTGTGCCCGGGCCGAGGAACAGCGAGGGAGACCTTGGCCATCGGGTCGGTGGCGTAGTTGGTTATCGCATCTGTCTAACACACAGAAGGTCCTCAGTTCGATCCTGGGCCGACTCATGTTTTGCCTGGGCTCGTAGATGCACAGGTCACGAACCGTTTTGTTGTACAGTGTGTATGACTGTGCGCGGCGTAGCAGAGAGCTCGCCGGTTCGTCGAAGTAGCGATGAAGCGCCATGCGAATGAAATCCCTCGCCCGTGTCCTACACCACAGCCTTACCAGAGAACCTCTCGAAGATATGTATACAGGTCGATGGCTACCTCTTACGCAGATAGCTAAAGCTTAAGGAGCGCCAAGTCAAAGACCCAAGGGCTAGCGTGAGGAAGATTTTGAGAGCGATAGCAAGGTAGACCAGTGCCAGTACGCGGTGCAAAACTAGCAAAATGACCACCGCAGGGGTCGAACCTGCAATCTCCTGATTCGTAGTCAGACGCGATGCCATTTCGCCAGGCGGCCGATATGAGACACGCTGTCCACATTGATAGGACCAGCGCGCGCCTTCGAAGATGTCCGCGAGTAGGCGGACACCCGCGACCCATCCACGCACTGCGCAGAGCTTACTGACTCGCACATACACCAAGATCGAACAATAATGGAAAGGGGTCGATGGTAGACGAAGGTCGAGCCTGGTCTACCCTGATTCAAACTGAAAACAAGCACGCGCATATCGGTAGACTAGACTTGCATATCATAACACTAGCATACCAGAGCTATAATCAAGGCCATTAAGGTAAAGTACAGAGTGTAGAGTATTAAGAAAACGTAGTAGAAGCCCCATTTGAGGCACTAAAGATACACGTACCGTATAAAAGTACAAGCGTCGTCCGCGACGAAACTGACGTTCCAGTACACAGCGGACGGACCACCACATCGCAATCACCACGCACACGGCCCCCCGCACAGACGCGTGATCCTGAGCTGCACAAGCTCCTGCACGGCCTCCGACCACGCGGCCGATATCAGCGGCGGCGAGTGCCAGTCGACCGCCGGGAACAGCGCATCCAGGCACTTCGCGAGCCGTCTTGGATCGGGGATGCGCGACGACCAGCCCGAGTCGGACAGCTTCAGCGACCGCAGCCCTCGGAGGGCAAGCGCGTCCTTGCTAGATGGCAGGCTGTCGGTGTCGGGGGCGGAACCGTCGATACCCGGGAGGATGAGCTCGGTGAGGTTCGGGCAGTGCCGGGAGACAGCGGCGAGGTCGGAGACGGGGGTGGGGGCGGAGGAGGGGAAGTACGAGAGGTGCAGGCGCGTCGCGTTCGGCCAGGCTTCGCACATCGTCTTGAGATCGTCTTGAGAAGCTGCGAGGATGGCGACTTCCGGTGCGATCGTCAGACGCACGTCCACGAGGCCGCGGACCTGCAAGAGCGGCTCGATCGTTTGCAGAAGCGGCTGAGGTTGCTCTTGTTCGGGACCGATGCCGCGCAAGGACAGAGTGAAGTCGCGAAGGCTGGAAGAGAATTTGGAACGAATGATGTCGGTTACTTCGTGAAGCTTGGCGTGGACGGAGGTCGTGGCGCACTCGCAATTGAGTAGCGCAAGTGTCGCGAGTGCATGAGAGGATATAGCGGAGAGGAAGGCAGGAACGGAGCTGAGGGGCGCGAACATAGCATCAAGAGTGAGGGTTCGAAGTGATGGAAACGCGTTCGATTCGAAGAGAGGGACAGCCGCCGCAGGAAGACGAAGTTTGAGGTGCTGCAGGTTTGGAAGCGAAGCGAGAGGCTGGAGGAGGGGATGTGTCGTGACTGGTCCGTAGATTGGCTCGAAGATGTCGAACGTCTCCAGCTCCCGGAGGTCACCGACGGACTCGAACCAGGACTCCTTCACCTCGCCCGAGGTCGTGATTCTGAGGTAGCGCAGGTTGGACGCCTTGACAGCTATCTGCTGAGCAAGCTCCCGGACAGAAGCTTCGTCAAGTGATTTGGAGGCGTCGTGGGTCAGATCGTCATAGTTTGATAGTGGTTTCTTGAAGACGACGTGAAGGCTATGAAGAGAGGGGGACATGATGCGCATAAGGTCCGTGCTATCAGAGGCACGCTGCACCCAGCGCAGGCGGTTGAGTTGCGGAAGAAGGGTTTGTGGCTTGATCCATGAAGGGACGCGTGTGGCGCTGTCGGCGGACTTCAGGGAACCCCCGACCACGCGCACATGTCGCGCATAACACAGCGCCCGAGCTGCCTGCTGTGGGAGGTATGCGAGCTGCTGGATCTGAAGGGCGTGTGTACGTGAGTAAGGTTCGCACAAGTGGGAAGTAGGCGAACTACCTGTTTCGCAGGGAGGCGCATCAGGCTGCCGTGAGGCTGCTCCGAAGATAAGGACACGGCGCCGAGAAGGGTGAAGAGGCCCGAGAGGTCGTCGACGTCCCTCCAGAGCAGGGCGACGGCGGGATAGAAAAAAGCCCGGGAGACCCGTGCACAACGCGCCAGTGTGCTCTTGTTGGACGCGTCGGAATCGCGAACATACCAAGCGGCAGCGTCGTTGGTAGCGGGGTCATAGTCGTACCATGAAACCTCGGAGCTTTGGAAATGCTCGAGGACAGTGTAGAGGATGTCGGCACAAGATAATGCGCGGTGAGCAGGCATCGTTCAGCAGTAGGGTGGGACGCGGGAGTACATGACGCAAGGCCTCGGACGTCTGGTCTTATAAGGCCACTCGTCCGGGGCCGGGACGGTCATACAGTGCCCTGATCGAGGGAGCTGATCGAGGTGCGGAGGACGGGAAGCAGCGGGAAGCAGACCGACACCGCCAGGGGCACCCACATTGCCGTCAACCGTCTGCCAAGATTAGGCTAGGGTTTTCCGCAGTACGTGGGCGCCGGAATATGCAGGCGCGAGACCTGCCCATTCCCCGCAAGCTCCGCGTCCGAGCCGCACGAGGACGCGGTAAAACAGAGTCCACCGGGCTAGGAATGGTATGGGCAATGCTCGTGGTCTGGAGCATGGCGGACAGTCGCGTCTCGGCTTGCTGCCGAGCAGGATTGGCTACTCGCCGTGAACACATACGCAAGGGCGGGGGAGCTCGCATAGAGTCGACCCTTCACGCGCCGATGCCCCGGGCTTGCTCAACTTGCATTGCGTGCACTGTGGCGTGGGGCATGTGAGTATCGAAGATAATGTCACTGTCCAGCTGACGAAGACGCTCGCCGACGCAAGAAAGTTAGGCTGTATACGAGCCGAAGCAAATGCATCCTCATGATACGACGTATCCACAGTCTGACGCACCTGAAGAGCCTTCCCTGAGCGGCGCACCGTCCGTCCGAGTCGGTTCGTCGGCTACCGTGCGCTGACAATAAGAATGGGAGGAGCCACGCACCTGGCGGCACCCTGACTATGTAATAAACATGGTCTTTGACAGTTCCGGCGAGCCATGAAGCAGAGAAACAGGTTTCATCCATGGCCGTAAGGCTGATAGGCGTGGTCGGCGCGAGCGAGGAGGAGCGCAAGAAAAGCAAGCGCAGCAGTGTCATGATTCGGACTTGCTGGATGTGTCGCCTCCCAGTCAACATCATGCGGTAAGTTTAAATTGCGCACAGCCCAGCGAAGTCGTAATTGTCGTCGAGAAGCAGAAGGCAAGTTACGACACTTACGAGAGCTCGCGAAGGCGCGGCAGAAGTTCGTAAATTGTCCGAGTCGGAGACGGCGACTTTGCGGCGTTTTGCAAGCGAGCAGAAAACATGCCGGCGGGGGCTCCTTGACCGCTAACCACCACCACCTGCGTTGTTCCCACGCTCCCCCAAACGTGCGGAAAGCGCAAATCTGCGGTAAGACAAGATGGAATACATGGATTAGGACGGAGATAGCGTCTGGCTATGTTGGAAACCCGAATGAATGAGTATTGCTCCAAGAATGTAAGTACTCTCTCTGAGACCCGGTTGTGTATGCCCGGGATGCGGATGCCTGCGACACTGCAGATGCCCGCGCGCTGCGGATGCCTGCGGAACGCAGATGCCTGTCGATTGACAGATGCCTGTGCGGACACAGATGCCTGCACTTCTGCAGAGGTATGCTGGCCCAGAGATCAATGACCACTGCAGCACTGACCCACTGTTCATGCAAGTGGGGAGGCGGTGAGCTAGGAGGAGTGAGGATGGATAGCGGGGGGTGTCTGACGTGTGAAGGATGACCAACCGGGCGCTGGACAATCGCGAATGACATCGGACTCAAGACTGAAGCGACCGTGCCAGGTGAACGACACGGGGAAGATGGCAATGATACGACAGGGTGGCAGAGAGTGACATGATGGGCTAAATGAAATCCACGACTGACTTGAGGGGATAAAGCGCGAGCGAGGACCGCGCGGGCGTGGACATGAACTCCAGACCGGACAGATGACACTGTGCGCGAACAAATTATGAACGATCGAGGGTGAAAGCATGAAAGTCGTACGGGCTTGACGCCTGTCACCAAATGGTTCAGACGCGTGGTACGTGGAAGCTACCTGTTATAGAAGCTCCCAATGCGAGGACGCGTGAGTGCGTGTACGGAAGTGGAACCTACTACGGTGGCTGATCCTGCTGACTTACGTGAAAGCGTGGCCATGTGGGTCCACGGCGCACGCGTGCACCAACAAAGTAGCGGGAGCGTGCACAACTTGCACCCAGGAACCGAAAGCAACAATGAGGAAGAGAACTGGACCTTCGTGTTGGCGCCTAATTAAGTCTGGTGGGACTGTCTGAGCTGAGTGGGAATGAACTAAGCAGCCGTGGCACGGTAGACGGCTAGATTGGACACGTAGAGCGCCTGGGGTGGATCCAGGAAATAGTCCCAAACCTAGCGCACTGCAACTAAGACGGTGCGTTATAGAACTGAGCCGCCTAGGCGGGGAAACTGATGTATTCAAGAAATGTGTGGGTACCCTCCTGAGCAACGGCTATCAGAGCGTAGGAGCCCAGAAATAAAATCCACTCACACTGCACACTCTCTCAGAGCAATGGAGTATGTCGGATGGAAATGTGTAAGATGCGGTGACCCAGACGTGAGTGAGAGAGCCCATTGAACCTCTCCTACCACCCTCCAGGCGTAGTAGCAGGCCAAGAATAGCGGCCGGGGCCACCAGAGTGGCAGGAGCGGATGTATTGCAGGAGCAGGACAAGTAAAACCTCCTAGAACTCCCTGTAACTCACCGCCTCAGCTCCTGGAAGCATGTACGGCGATCCACATCACTTTGCAAGTGTATGGGCTGTAGTGCCAAGGCCTAGAAACCTCTGGGTGTCTGTAGCACATTGAAGGACTCCACAGACCTTAGGATGTAGCTGAGAAAGCATAGGGGCCAGCAGGAAGGAAGTGGACAACCGAACTGCTGACTGGAGAAAGAAAATGAACCATGGAAGTAAGCGCGTCGCTACCGATCTACTATCTTTAGAAGTTTTTTCCCCTGCTTTTAAACGGGGAAGCGGCGCACGCGCCTAAAATCACCCTGCCTCCCCCCACCACCATCGCCCTAGAACGAGGATGGAGTCGGTCATCATCTACACCAGAGAGAGAGGGAACGCCCCAGCAGACTTACCCTTCTGCAACCAAATCCGCGACGTTGCTTTCCACGATATCGCCATCTCTCCCACACGCCCGCTCGAGGTCGGCCTCCGCGTCCGGATACATGTCCTGCGCCCAAGGCATGGCCGCGAAGTGCTTGCGGAGGACCCCGATGACCCGCACACCACACCCCGATACCGCGCCGAGTCAGCGGACATCGCAGGACCCATCGTCGGGATACGAACACTGGAGCTGGCTGTAACGGAGTTCATCGTTCAGAACGAGATCTACCGGTCGACGGTGGAACACGCCTACCTGTCGGTGCCTCATCTCCATGGCCTAACCGTACGCCTTGGAATGTGGCACTGGATCGCAAGGACCGTCCTTCTTCCACTCCTACCGCACACGCGCCACGTCCGGCTCCAGGACAATGCTGTGATAACACACCGGGCGTACCGGATCCCAGGCGAGGATTACGGCCCTCTAGCGAGTGGGGAGGAGCTGGACGAGGAAGATGAGTAGGAGGTGATGAAGGGAGCGTTGAATGGAGGGGAGCATCACCCAGCTCGTGTGGGATGGTGACTTGAAGCGACATTGGAATGTGGACGAGCCGATGACATACACTTGCGACGGTCATCTGATGTGTGCAACTGGGCCTGGAGCGTGACGATCAGACAAACGTGTAGAGCTGGGCTCAAATGCGGCCTAGGCGAACCGTTGCCACGGGCGATAATGCGAGGCGTGACTCAGCCCCATGTGAATCGGGAAGCTCCTGTATCCAAAATCAGAGACTAAGATTAGATCAAGACCAATCGTGGGCCCTTGAAAACAAGGAATGTACTGATATGGATAGAGACAAACACACTCGGGTGTGCAGCGAGTACAGCCTGATAAGAATGCTGCGGCGAGACCGCCTGATGGGGCCCGGCGGCCGGCGTGCAGTGTGTGGCATGAAATGCAAGATAAACAACACAATCCTAAGAACGAGGTTGTTGCGTGAGGATGCGTATGGCGTTGAATGGTACACCTGTACTCACGGAGTGCCGAAGTGAGAACACAAGAAGCCTAACGGGATTGGCGCAGAGCATGCCCGCAAGCGTGGCGATGTCACTGGACTACAATGGACTATGTGTGCAGAGTGTGACGTCTTCTCGCGGCAAGCGAGCGACGATGTACGAAGGGAGCGTGCCTAGCTGCGAATGAAACCGGAAATGAGCAAAATGTCAGCAATAATTCAACGCTAGTGTCTGTGTGAACGAAGTGGAAGTGTGGAGCGTGGATCTACTCTCCGGCGGCGCAGTAACAGTGCAGCGTGCTCATCTCAGCCCTGTGCCGTTTGCCTGAGTTGGTAATGCAGAACCTGACCGGAGTGCCTCGGAGCATACCAGTATAGACCGCGGCGCAGTGATGTTCGGGTTGGCCGACCAGCCGTTCGGCTAACGGACAGTCGCACGGCCTACACAAAGTCGCATGTCCGACCACGACTTCGCTCAATTCGGGAATCTTCGGCGCTTGATCGTACAGGTGCAGCGCGCGTGCAGCAGCGCGGTCGCCCGTCTTGATGTTTTACAGTCTAGCACATGGCGTGGCCGTCTCTATAATATATAGTCGACCCGAATAACCAACGAGGGCAGCACAAACTGTAATATCAGATCTATCCAGCGCGTGAGCTCCTTACCTTCAGGCACGAAGCCCTCAGAGCCCCGCGCGCCGACACCGGGGCCACGGCCACACGCGAAGCCTCCTTGGTCGCGCGCAGGCCGTTGAGGTTCAAGCTCCAAAATCTTCTCGCCCACACTGAGTGTCCGAACAACCTGAAGAACGTGTGCGGGCTGTCTTGTCAGCCGTGATGCCCATAGCGCGCGCCAGGCAGCCTGCTTCTCCCGCCGCGGCCTTTTGAGCAGACTCTCCCCCAAGATCTTGACTCTGGCGTGCGCGCACTCTGCGCTTTTGCTGACGGATCCTTCAAAATCTCCCTGTGCTTGTTGTACAATCTGCTCCACTTCGCGCCCTCGCCTAGATGCTTTTGCGGTGCGTGCAAACTCTGGGGCTTCCTGCTCTCGCTCGCCTCGCCATCGGCCTAGTTCCCAGCAGTAATCCTCGCGAACATGCGCGTATTTACAACAGTATTCTTCATACCATGCACGCGAACCAGCGACCCTTTAACTATGGTGTATACAATGATTTTCGCCTGTGACCTTGCTTGAGTGCCACCCGCGCTGTCACCTCAACCCATTGCCTGTGGAGGCCTCATTTACTTTGAAAATGCATGCCGTGCAATATAGACTGTTTTTCCACGGTCAAGGTGCCCCGCGCGACACCTCGCGAGGCCGCGAACTTGCTCGCGCGGCAGGACATAGAGTTTTGGAGCGGGGCGCGCGGGTCCAAGGTTGTGGCGCGAGGTCTTACGGCTTAGGTGCGAAAAATGATCTATACATAGTTCCGTGCAATACTAGACCTCATATTGTGTACACTACGCCATCGTAATACAACTATTGTTGCGTGCCGCATCTCGAATCCCCCGCTTGCTCCGACGCTGACTTGAATGAAGCGTGCGCAGAAGTTACTACCGAATCGGGCTGGGATGATGTACGCTACCGGGCGGCCCGCTGGCTCCGGGGCAGGCTGATCGTGAGAAAGTCGCCGTCGTCCTCAGTCGGGACGATAGTCGTGCGACCTTACATCAAGTCGCATGTACGACTAGACGTACATCGGTGCGACCGGAACATCACTGCCGCGGCGTGTTGAGACTGGAGAGTCGGCCAAACTTGTGCGTCCGCGACCGAAAGGGAGTAAGCTGGCGACATAAAGCACACCAGTCTGGGCATATCGAAGAGGTGATGAGAGACTGGAGGATCAGCTTGAGATTGTAGAACTGCAGCACGAGCGGACTCGACTATCTCGCGCGTTGTGGAGGCAGAAAGCTCAACGCCCGCCAGATTCTGCAAAAGGAAAGCTAGGAAGACTGAGAACGCGGCGGGCCTTGCTGAGTGCAGCGTGCGGGAACTGCCATATACGGCAGGTACCAAATATTGACAAATACCGTCGGCCTGCCGAAAAGCGTGCATGCGTACGCCATGCCTCTGGCCAGCGACAGCTGCGAGGAAGCGCAAGTCCGGCGCCGATGTCGTGACAGCTCCCGGAGCCGAGCTGTCACGAAATGGAAAGGCGCGCACCTACTCTGGAGGACCAAGGGCGACCTGGCGCGGGGCGCGGTCGACTGAGTGGTAGAGGCTCCCGAGCACCAGGCGAGCGAATGCTCGCGCGTCCGTTAAAGTAGCTGAGGAGGGTCGCCGAGCCCCCCCAGCTACCCCCTCTCCCTCTCCACGGTACCCCCGAACGACAAACATCACTGGCGCGCGCGAATGAGCGACGACGAACAGTACACACTCAGCTTCCCTCCGAACTTCTTTGGCGCTGGCCCCGAACCCGACCCTATCAACATCCCGGGCTACTGTGTTCCAAACCTCATGCAAGCTGGAGGACCGGCCGAAGCTCTGGGACAGCCTGTGAGCCCCCGAGACGGCTCTGCGGCGAACATGGTAGGTCCTTGGGATCTACATCTGCTGAGCAGACCTATGAGACATCGGTTTGAACGATTTTCTAGACGGCTGCGCCACTACGCTCTCTGTTCTCCTCGGAGAGCCACCCGTCGGCTTCCCCACCAGGGCCCGATGAGGAGACGCCCACGCGCCCTACTACTTCGAGGGGGACTCACGCCCTTGGGCACCAAACCCGTGAGACGGACCCTGGGACCTTCAATTTCGACCTAAGACCAGCGCAATGGCCGGGCGACAACATCGTGAACAACAGCTCGCCGCCGGTTACCCCGACAAGGCTCCAACGTGACAGTGCAGCTCCTCCTCAGACGGCGCCTGCTCGCCCTCGTGCACTCCGTATAACGTCGGTGGCTCAACCGGTCCAGACGAACGTCAGGAAGAGACTTCGGTCTGCCTCTCTATCGGCGGCGCTCGCTGACGACACCAAGAGTCGCTCTGACATAGCACCGCCGGCTAGTGCCCCGCATCAACACACTCAGACACCCCCTAGCGCGGGTGGTGCTGAGGGCCAGCCTAACGATGGACACGCAGGGACCTCGCTGTCGAACGTCCAACACCTACCCACTCAGCACGAAGCTCCCCTCCCCGCGCCCGCATCGCTGTACGCCCATGGCACGGCTGCGTCAGTTGCTGGAACGAACGGCGTCCCGCCTAGCGAAGCGAGGGCGGCATCTCGTACTACACTCACGGGACACCCAAGCGCTATGGGTGGCGCGGCGGCGCATTCGCTACGCGATGGAGTGTCGCGCTCCGACGAAGGAGAAGCGAATATGGCCGCAAACGGCATGCTCACGAGGGACGCGGGACGAGCTCGCGTCGAGAACCCGACCTACACCACGGCCGCGACTGCGACCGTACGCCCGGCTGACACGCCACTCCTTGTGGGCGCGACGACGGCGGAGGACATCGAGAAGCAACTAGCTCTCCTCACAGCCCTAACGCAACGCAAGCAACTGGAACTGGAGGCAATACGCGCGACCTACCCTGCGACTCAGCTGGGCGGATCCTCCGACGGCTCTGAGCTCGCCCTAGCGGGAGGCCAAGTCCTTAGCCCCAACGTGTACAATGTGGCGGGTGTGGGGAGCACGGCCCTGGGCCCGTATCGACTTGATAACCAGATTGCCGCGAGCCAGCGCATGGCAGGACACCTTGGACACCCGACGACGCCCCTGACCCAACGAGCGGGCGCGGAACAAGTCTATGTCCACCGGCCAAGCCCGGAGGCAGGAAACAGAGACGACATGGAGATCGACGGACCGCAGCACGGCCAGTGCAACGAATGGACGGGCTGGGAACTCGAGTACGCCCAGCTCGGAGAGCAGCACTCCCAGAGCCTTCCGAGCGACCCTCTAGATGTGGTGAGCGGGGATATGACCTGTCCGACGACGTGTACTGAACCAGAACGCAGCGCCCGGGGACTCAGAACTCCTACGTGCCGACCGTGAACCCGCCGAACGTCCAGATCGTGACGCGGAGTGGCCAAATGGACCGATGCTCGCCCTGGATCGCCCAGGAGGTGAGCCTGATTTGCTCCTACATTTAATTCACCGCATCTGACACGTGCAGCACGGCTTGAACGTGACCATGCATCCTCAAAACGAGGAACGACCGCGCAACGCAGATGCGAAGATCACAGTGGCTGCGCCGCGTGAGCCCGTGATCGTTGCCCTGCCCGACGAGGCGGACGCCGCGGTCTTACCGCCTGTACCGTCGGTCTTCCCGACTAAGCACGCCATGGCCCCGGGGGATATCTTCCGTGGTGCGACTGCGGACAAGTCGGATGGCTGGATGAAGCTCATCAAGGAGAACCCGCACCAGCACTTCCTGTTCCAGTGCCACGGCCAACTTCCGACAAGCGACAGAGCATACATTGAGAAGCTCAAGTCGGTCATCATCAGGACGCTCGCTGAGTTCACTGGGCTGGACGAGAAGTTCATCAAGATCGCCGCCCCGGACTTCCCTTCTCCTACCTCGCGCAACGAGCAAGCGCGTGGCTTCCCCTTCACCTGGTTCTGGCATCACGTCCCCGGTGATGCAGCCGCCAAAGCCCAAGAGACTGACATTATACTGGGCGACGACCTCACTCTGTACCTCATCCGCAACCCAAACGCCGTCCCGACGTACATGGTCTCTCTGATTGGCTTCCAGCGCGATGACGAGGACGAGATCAAGAAGGACGTCGTCGCCGCCCTCAAGAAGGATGGGCCGCGCGAAGCTACGGCCATCGCGCTGAACGGCGGCAGTCGTAGTATCCCGAGCATGATCTACGAGAAGGCGGACGCGATTCTCGAGGGTATACGGGTGACTGTCCACAAGATCAAGAAGGGCAAGAACAAGAAGACGGTCAACGTCGTTGTGAACGTCTACTGTGTACCACCCAGCGAGGACCCGGTGCTCTGGCTCCGGTGGAACGAGGAGATGCGCAAGATCAAGGTCCCCAGCCTGTACGACAACACTGCGACCCCTCGGCTTCCGACTAGGTGCAACGGATGCCATGGCGGAGACCACCTTCTGCTCGAGTGCCCCTTCGAGAAGATCCCAAGAGTCGTCTCCACGCCAGCGGTGCCGGACGATGACGAGGCTGATGAAGACGGCGACGAGGAGCTCTCTGCGCCGGCGAATGCGGGAGCGCGTGCGGCTCCACAGCCCGCGATGTCGGCGGGGCAGGGGACGCACATGTACCCGACGCCTCCCCCGCCCCCGTACTCAGCGCCCCATCCTCAGAGTGTCCCCGCCCTCGGCCACCAACACCAGGTGGACGCCTACGGGAGATGGCCGGTCTACACCCCGCAGCAGCCTTATGACCAACACCAGCCCTACGTCCCACCACAATACATGTACGCGCAGATCCCCATCCCTGCGGCCACGGCTGGCCGGCCGCCGAACAACCCCCAGCCCACGCGCCACAACGGCATGAAAGTCCTCACGCCGCAGCACTACCAGCAGAACGCGCACGCGGGCCCGTCCTCGGGCAACCTGTACGAGCCGCGTGACGGGCCCGAGACGCATGGCGACGCGCAGAACCAGCGGAGCAAGTGGGGAACGCAGGCGCGGGGTGGCGTGCACAGGAGCAAGAAGACTCCGCGCTCACAAGGCCAACCCTCTGACCGCGTATAAACGACGCGCTGACATCTGAGCGCAAGGTGCGGTGCTGATAACGACGAATGTACATACGCCTCTCGACCCCCGTTCTTGCCCGACCTCTATCCCGGACGACGATGGCCCAGAACGAGTCCTGACCATTGGTGAGCTCCCCCGTCCCCACGCCTGTAACGCCGCCCCTCTCCATACATCTTGCATGCGGTTACTGTAGGACCATTACTCGGACTTGCTAAATACAGCGCGAGGTGCGCGCCGGCTTCAGTTGAGTACATACTATATCTTGATCATCATCCCCGTGGCCAGGAAGACTACCTACCTGCTAAAATGTCCTATCTTGATACTGAACGAATAATATGCTGTTTGTACATAAGGTTGCAGTTGTCGAGAGTACAGTGAACGCCGATTCGCCCGCGCGCCCAACTCCCCAGAGAACGACTGTATGAGCGTGACTGCCCAGCCATTGCCTCTAGATCTAACCATGACTGCTGGCGCGCGATACGAACCGCACCTTGGCGACGGCTCGGTGAGCCGTCGCCTCAGCCGCCTGGGGGCGGGCGCATGCACGCTGGACTTGCCTCGGAATGGTGTCCCCAGCCGCATGCGGGGGCCCCTGACTGCCGTGAAGCTATACCCGGCTGGCCCCCTATGCCCGACACAGCCAAACCCATGACACACGCCTGTGTGTCGGAGAAACCAACCTGAGCGCAGCGGGAGCGTGAGCTCCTGGCGGCCGCGCCGTGTGCCGCGCCTGTAAGCCGTGGTGTGCGACATGTGCACTCGTCGGCCCTCACGCTCACCTATTGCACGCTGGCTATGCCCACGTTCTCCCCTTAACACGCTACCCCACACCGACCGTGTGGCTGTGCGTTCCTCCTTGCTCTCACCCCAGCGCCACTCTGGCATATTGCTCGCCGTCGATTCGCTGTCTCCATCTACGGTGTATGCGCGCGTTCCGCGCTTTGCTGTCCCCTGCCTCGTGCCCCCGCTCGGCGCTGGCGCGGCGCTCACATATATCGACTGGCTCTCACCTCAACCCCCCTCTGTTCTGCACTCGTACCACGAGCGCGCAGTACTGAGGTCCTTACCCGTTCACCCGCAGACCCGCTGCACGCTCCGGCACTGCGAAAGCGGTGACGAGCCATGAGCGGACCCGATAGGCACGCCCGCCCTGACCCAGCGGGCGATGTGAGACCCAACATACCACAACGGACGACACGGCGCAGATCTGCACCTGAGCACGCGGTGCGTCCGTGGGTCCGACCGGTGCCCAAATATACTGGCTTCTGAAGCACAGGAAAGCCCGGGCGAAAACCCCCCAGCGGCGGCCTATTTAGGCCTCGACGTGCCGCGCTGAGAAGCTTAAGCCTGAAGGGAGAACCTGCAGCAGCAAGATGCAGGCGTGCCCTCGTAGTGCATAGTCGACCGGCGGGAGTCGGGATATACTTCCTTGCCGCTTGCGCTGGTTGGGCGCTGGCGGGACTCTACCCAACCACGAACACTGCAAATAACGATCACACCCCTGACCCTACGGAAGTACCTCTGGCACATGGAACGGGCCTCAGCGCTGCAAGAGGGGGCGGGAGCCCGTTGGCCGCACCTGTGCCCAATGATGGCAACGCTGAGATTGGTGGCCACCCTCATGGACAACCCGGGAATCATTGCAACACAGGAAATGTTGGCCGGCCCCTGAACGCCGAACATGCCGCTGGGGCTGGCCCCCAGGATGCCCAGGTGGGGTGCGGGCGGGGAGGAGAGGACGACAGACACGGGGGGGTGAGCGATGAGCACGCCGCTGGCGGTGTTGGATGGAACGAGAACGGCCGTGTGCATGGTCATAAACCGCGATCAAAGGCCCGCATCATGATCGCAACCCTGAATATGCGTGGCTTTGGAGTTGAGAGTGAGATGGAGGGGTCTAGCAAATGGATGCTCATGAACCAGCTACTGCGCGACCGCAAAATCGCGGTCCTGGCACTACAAGAAACACACACAAATGATCGCAGGCTGGACCTGCTGAATCGCATCTTTGAGCGGAACATGGCCATCTTGCATTCCCCAGACCCTGTCAATGCGACTGGAGCCCGGGGGGTTGCCTTTGCCATCAACAAGCGGATATTCAAAGATGGCAGCCCTAGGATACGAGTGATAGTCCCGGGGAGAGCAATCCTGCTGACAATCCAGTGGTCCGAGGACAGAACACTCAGAATACTGAATGTGTACGCACCAAATGACCCCCACGCAAATGCAGCCTTCTGGACGTCACTAGCCAATGCAAACATTGGCCGAATTGATGTCATGCTGGGGGACTGTAACGTGGTAGAAGACAGGGCAGACCGAATCCCACAACGGGAGGACCCAGAGGCCCCGCGTATGGCTCTCCAGACGCTCTGTGAACAATCCCAGATGGTGGACGGCTGGAGGGTAGCGCACCCACTGGAGAAAGGGTTCACGTACCTCCAGGACAGCACAAGTGTTCAGTCAAGACTGGACCGAATCTATGTCCGGCGTCCAATGCTAAAAGACTGCTCAGACTGGCAAATTGTAGAACCCGGGGTACCCACTGACCACCTTATGGCTACGGTGACAGCTGAGAACTACAAGTCACCCTTCATCGGGAAGGGACGCTGGGTCATGCAGCCCCACCTCCTTGAGGACGCAGAAATGAAGAAGACAATGCTGGCTCTTGGGAAGGAGCTTGTCCGTAAAATTGAAGCGATCCGTGAGCGAACACCCGACGACAACCCGCAACTGGCCTACGCAGACTTTAAGCGTGATCTAGTAGCAGCTGCGAGAGCAAGGGCGAAGGAAAAGATCCCTAAGATCCAGAAACGGATGGAGCGACTCAGGGACGACCTGAAAACTACCCTGAATGGAATGGAAAGCGATGGGGATGGAGCACGGAGTATGGAACGTGCAGCAATGCTGCAAGACCGCCTAACAAAGCTGGAACAAAAGCGCTTTGGATGGAAAAGAAAAGAAGTCGCTGCACGCCACTGGGCTCAGAGTGAGACAATGTCCAAGTACTGGATGCGGGGGAACACAACCCCAGAGGTCTCTGAAGTAATGTACACAATGCTCCAGCCAGGGTCTGCCCCGCCGACCTACACGAACCACTCCAAGACAATGGCCACAATAGCAGGGAACTTCTACAATGACCTCCAAGGGGACGACCCCCTGGAGGAGGGAGAAGACCACGAATCGTACATTGAGGATGCGCTTGCCGACACTGATGCAAGACTCTCTGGTGAGGCGAAGGCAGAGCTGGCGAAGAGGCTCACGAGGGACGATGTGGCAGATGCAATCAAGGCTGCAGCATCCGGGAAAGCACCAGGCCTTGATGGCCTACCAACAGAAGTCTGGAAGGCATATGAGCGATGGCACATGGCGGCGACCAAGAAGGGCGCACCTGCTGTTGATCTCCCGAGAGCGATGACAAAGGTCTTCAACGACATTGAGCGGTACGGGATCCTGGAGGACTCAGACTTTGCGCATGGATGGATCTGCCCGGTCTACAAGCTTAAGAAGGACAAACGTGAAATTGGCAACTACCGCCCCATCACGCTCCTAAACTCTGACTACAAAATAATGACAAGAGCACTGGCATCCAAGCTTGCGGAGGCTGCCCCGGCCTTGATACATCCAGACCAAGCTGGCTTTATACCAGGAAGGAGGATCTTTGATCACATTAAGCTATCGCAACTGATGATTGAGTATGCTGAGGCGGAGGAAATCAATGGCGCGATCGTTGCGCTGGACCAAGAGAAGGCATATGACAAAGTAAACCATGAGTACCTGTGGTGCGTTCTGCGCCACATGGGCTTCCCAGTGACCTTTATACACACCCTGAAGCACCTGTATGCGCGCGCTGAAAGCTGTGTTATTGTGAATGGAGTGCGCAGTGCCCTCTTCCGAATCACGCGAGGTGTACGCCAGGGTGACCCCATCTCGTGTCTCATTTTTGACATTGCAATAGAGCCCCTGGCGTGCTCACTCAGGAAATCTAGCCTCCGGGGGCTCAGAGTCCCCGGGGACACAGAGAGACTGATTGCAAAACTGTTTGCGGATGACACAACTGTCTACCTGAGCTGTGCAGATGAGTACACGACAGTGCAACAAGTGACTGACCGGTGGTGCCGTGCTTCACGTGCCCGCTTTAATGTAGAGAAGACGGAACTCCTCCCGATTGGCTCAGCTGAGTACAGGGAGGAGCTAGTGGCGACACGAAGAATGGGGCCTGGGGGGGCGGTAATCCCAGAGTCTGTGCACATCGTACGGGAGGGCGAAGCCATCCGCTCACTTGGGGCGTGGATTGGCAATGGCATTGACCAGGCTGCCCCCTGGCTTCCTGTGATAAGCACCATTGAGACCAACCTAGCAAAATGGCAGAGGGGGAAGCCCACTCTGAATGGAAGAAAGTTGGCTGTGGGAATTGAGCTAGCGGGGCGGACGCAATTCAGAGCCATGGTGCAGACAATGCCTGAAAGTGTAGAGAAGCGCCTGACCAACATCATGATGTCCTTCATGTGGGGTGGGGATGCGCACCCGCGCATAGCACGGGAAGTGCTCTACAGGCCTATAAACAAAGGTGGCCTAAACCTCCTTGACATCAGGGCGAGAAATGATGCAATTAACCTGATGTGGCTCCGAACCTACCTTGGAATAGGGCTGAAGCGCCCTGTCTGGACGCACCTGGCTGATGCACTGCTGGCAAAGGCAATCGCTTCGGACTCCAGAAACATTGAGCCTGCAGCACGCGTTAACACCTTCCTGCAAACATGGAATGTTAGCACACGTGCCAAGGCGGGGCTGCCCCACTGCCTCAAAGCAATGATCAAAGCGGCCAAGAAATATGGTGTGTGGTGTCAATCGAGCAATCCAACCCTGGCCCTCTGCGAGCAACTACCTGTATGGAGCCACATTGGAAGGGAGGCGGGCCGTGTGTCTGAAAACTCCCCCAGCTGCAGGTGCCTGCGTGATGCACACCAACTCCGTACTGTGGGACAATGCATGTTGACTGCAGCTCGACTCAATGGCGGCAACCCTGACCATGTACCTCGCCCGAGCTGCCCATGTAGAGACTGTGTGAGGGACAGGGCTGTATACCAGTGCCCGAACCCCCATCGGTGTGCGCTGGCTGCAGAAAAGATGATTAGCCGAATAGTAAGCAAATGGAACCCAAGGCGGGCGGGCAATGAGGATGGCTTGTCCCTGACCCCTCGTAGGAAGAGGGGGAACCACACTGCCCGTCTGGCAAATGAGCGCATCTGTTTTGACCCTTCACTGTCCACGGATATACCTGTTGCAGAGTCACTCCGTGTCTTTGTTCCGGGCGGCCCTGCGGACCCAGTACCAGCCCTGCGCCCTGCACCCCCCTTCCAGGTCCAGCAGGAGGAAGTGGAGGTCTTCACTGATGGGTCCTCCCAGGGTAATGGCTCGGAGTCAGCGCGTGCGGGGAGTGGAATATGGTTTGGGGAGGGGGATGCCAGGAATGAGGGACTACGAGTCCCATATGACACCCAGACCAACCAGGTGGCTGAGATCTATGCTGTGGTGGCGGCGACCAGGAAAGTCCCCCCATTTGCCCCCATGCACATAGTGAGCGACTCGAAATATGTTGTTGATGGCATGACAAAGTACCTCCCTGTGTGGGAGCGTCGTGGGTGGCTGGGGGTAGCGAATGCAATGCCCCTCCAGGAGCTGGCCGGGTTGCTCCGGATGCGAAGTGCCCTGACAACCTTCAGATGGGTTAAAGGCCATGACAAAGTGCGCGGAAATGACGAGGCTGACCGCCTTGCAAGTGAGGGAGCCGCCCTCCCAATGATGGCCCGCCCCCTGTTCCTGCCTGTGCCGGCTCGTTACTGTGTCAGGGGTGTCTCCCTCCTGCATATGACGCAACGCCTGGCCTATGAGGGTGCCCGTCAATGGAATGGAACCAAGGAGAGGACTGCCACCTCCAGGAATGTCCTGAGGGTGCAGGACGAAGTAGCGCATGCTACCAGGGTCCGCCCATCAGTGGAGTCTGTCTGGTCCCTGCTGAGGAAGGACCCGGTCTCCAGGAAGTCTAGGGATTTTGTGTGGAAGGCCCTGCATGAGGGGCATCGTGTGGGCAAGTTCTGGAGTAACATACCAGGCTACGAGGACAGGGCACTCTGCACAGCTTGTGGCACCCTGGAATCCATGGAGCACATACTCTGCCTGTGCCTGGCACCTGGCCAACAGACCGCGTGGGCGTTGGCCAGGGGCATCCTGAAAAGGAAGGGGATTGACCTCCCAGATGTGACCATTGGCCTGGCCCTCGGGGGCCACACTTTCTCAGTCGTGGGCCCTGATGGGGAACACAAGCATGGCCCCACAAGGCTAGCCCGACTTGTACTGTCGGAAACCGCATACCTGATCTGGGTGCTACGGTGCGAGCGAGTTGTGGGCAACCGTGCCCCCCTTGCTGGGAGACTGGAGCATGATTTTGTGGAGCGACGGTGGATGAGGATGGTGTCCAATCGCTTCCAGTTGGACCGGACCTTGACCAATAAGCGAGTAGCTGCACAGCGTGCAGTACCGCACACTGCGGTGCTAGCGACCTGGGAAAAGACCTTGCATGAGGAGCATGACCTCCCAACTGACTGGATCATGGAACCGGGGGTTTTAGTGGGTAAGCCGCTGTGTCTGCATGTTCTGAGGCCTGGATAATCCATGGCCCGTGCGGATTGACATGCAGTCCCACACTGGGGTACCAAGTACCTGCGTGCGTAAAGCATTTCCTCCGTACGGACGCCTCACCTGGCACAGAGGCCACTGACCTCGACGCCCAGCAATTGTCACGAACGGCATTCACCAGCCACACGTGATGAGCTCCGTTAAAAAAAAAAAAGAAAACATGCCGGCGGCTGCGGGCCGGCTCCTTCCCCGGCTGGGCGCATAGGACCGCCGTGGTGCTTGCTCCCGACCTCGACCTTCTCGTACATCCTCGTCTGAGGTTCTTTCTCATGGCTGCCTTGGAAAGCAAGAGAACGATCGTGACGGTGGAGTCCGACGCGCAAAGCTCAGCAACTCCGGACAAACTACGCGCAATCGCGCCTTCGCGTCCGTTTACCCAGCAGGAAGGTACCTCTCCCGCTCTCATCTCTACGCTGCTCTCTCTGACTGAATGCATCCCACTGTTTAGGTGGACGTCGTCTTCCCATCGTGCCCGGCGCTTGAGGACGCGTTGCTCAAACTGAGCGCCGTCTATTGGAGATGCGAATGCACGCTGAGTAACTTCCTCGACTTCGCGAAGACGTATGTGAGCCAAACGGCTTTGGAAAGGTGTGCTACTCTCTCGTATCTGTGCGCTCTGAAATATGCTGATTAAAATGTTCAGCGAGGTCGTAGCGCTCGGTCCGGCCGGTGCAACAGACGAAGACGTATGGAGCCTGGACTCGAGGGGCATCCTAACGTTAGTGGTGGGGAAAGAAACATACGAGGTTCTTGGTCTCGTTGGTGAAGCGTTACCGTGGAAGGAGCACGCGGAGATGCATGGTATGTACCGCCCGCGCGCATTAGGTTATCTTGGGCAGCTTACCGAGCGCCGCGTTCAGTCATCCATGTCTCCCTTCGGGGCTCCCGTCCTGCCGCCGACAGCATGAAGACTTGGCTTGCATATGGACCTAAAGAAGTCGCTGCAATACGCAGGTGGGACTCCCACAGGGGCCCCTGGAAAGTATTATATTACTGCGACCGCGTAGGTACGTCTTCATTCGAGCCTTGCTGACTGCGCGGTACGCTGAGTACACCCCACCAGATGTTGCAATGAGCGGTGCCATTCGCCATGAGATGTCACGAACTATACGAAAATTCGATCGCGTACGCATCCCTGACGTCCGGCGAGACGTTATCCTAAGCCATGCGAACGACGCGGCGGATGAATGGGAGGAGAACATATCCGCTCTCTTCGAGTGGGCTGGCATGGCCTCTCTGGGCTCCCCAAGGTAAATAACCGATGTACTCCCTCGCGCTTTGTACGAACTGACCCTATTGTGCAAATTGTGCATAGGATCTCCGCTAACGATCGCTGTGACCCGTACATCGCGGTGTATGCACCTCCTGAGCCTTCTCGGGTCGGTGACGTTACTGTCATCCGCTGGAACGGCTTCATACCCTCAAGTTTCATTCAACAGGTGCTCGAAAACATCTCGTACGTCTCTTGACTTTCGTTCTCTTCTCCTGCTCAAGTTGCTCACGCTCGTTTTAGATCACCCAACCTTCCGCCGCCCAACTTCGTAGCGGTGACTGGGCAATGCATAGGAACATCACCCGTATCGTATTTACCGTCCGAACCTAGCAAAGCACCGCCTCTGCGTGCCCCTAGGCCAGACGCGGAGGACACTTGGTCCTTGTTGTATGTGAAGGAGGATGCAGGCTCCGCGTGGGTCTTGGCGGAGAGCGTGGGGCAGTGGGATAAGAGATGGGGGTAGGTTGAACGCGCACCTCGTCACCGTTGTAGCAACCGCGTCTTTACGTTGGGTGCGTGTATTCTATATCTCTGCGTCTTCGCAGGAGAATCCTGTGCAGGTCATCCCGAATCGGCTATTGGAGAGCCTCATATGCTCGCACCCATGCTTGTGGCGAACCATCATGCAACAAGCACGACAGGTGTCTGCGAATCGTTTTGAGGTCTCCGGAAGCTACGAGAGGAGTATTCGCGCGCCAACCGGGAGTCTCAGCGACCAACCACCATTACCAGTATCCCGCCTCAACCCACCTTGGGCTGAGGTGGTACCGCCCTCCCACAAGATGTCTAGTAAAACCGCTACCAAGGTAGATGCTACATGCTTTGCGCTCATACCGGGCTGACAACTTCTCTCTACTAGCCCACCGTCGGGGATTTCCGGTACTGCGAACCCTGCGGAAGGGATGTTAATCTTGCCCGCGGAGGTGACTGGAACTGGAACGCCCATACTGGCAGCAAAGCACACGCGGCCGCCGTCAAGGCAAGAGCCGCAGCAGCCCTCAAACTGAGAACTACCCGCAAAATCACGTCGTATTTTCGACCTGTAGTCGATCACATTAGGACTCCCTCCTCTGCCGCAGAGCCTGTCCGACCCCCCTGCAGCTCACCTGGGGAGGTTGCAGAAGTCGATTCACCTCCGACCCACGCCGCTGATCAGTCTACACGCAGTGGTATGTACGGCGACCCTTGATATGAACACGCACTTACATTATTGTGTGACAGGTGCTCCATGTCTGCCAGCCAATCCCAAATGCCCGTCTGATGTTTGGCCTTTAGCTTATGTGAAAGAGGAGCAATGTGAGCTCGGTGCGGGTGTTGGCGGAGAGCATACTTAGGGGAGTGGGACAGGAGAAGGGGTACTTTGTCGCAGCGACAGCGTGTTTTTTGGTCAGAACTGCATCGGCTATATGTGTTTAGCATCTCTTCTTCTTCGCCAGAAGACACTGCCACGGGCCGCACCAACGGGACCGTGTCGTAAACTGTTCTTCGAGAACGCGACGCGTATATGTATCACGTGCGACGTGTCAAGCAGGGCCAGTCCCGCAGGATCGATCTCAGCCGGATCTTACGAGTTTACTCCCGGACACCGTCCTAGAATGCACAAATCGGACGTTCACCTCCTCCTGCTCCTCTCGGAGTCACTCTCGCCCGCTTTCTCACTCGAGCGTCCATGATCTACCTCCGGCGTAGCGCTACGAACATCTTGACTCGTCTGCGACCCGTCTCCAGCTCATACTCGAGGGCCATGTCTTCAGCACTTCCGCCTTCGTCAATACCGCTCTTCGACACCGTAGCGTCGTATAGGGAATGGAGGCACAAGGTTCGCGACGAGAAGAAGTCGGTGGGATATGTCGCCACGATGGGCGCGTTGCATGACGGGCATTTGTCTCTCGGTGCGTACGGCAGCTCTCACCATACCCGTTCCGCTCCTCACCATGCTTTTACCGTAGTGAAGCGCTCTCTCGCCGAGAATGACCTCACCGTGCTCTCCATATTCGTGAACCCCGCGCAGTTCGCGCCGCACGAAGACCTCGCGACCTACCCGCGTACGCTCCCGCGCGACCTCGAGCTGCTCTCCGCGCTCTCCGTCCCCGGGCACGACGGGTCCGCGCGCACCCCGTCCGCGGTATTCGTGCCCACGGTGAACGAGATGTACCCGAGCGGGATCTCGCAGAACACGCAGGAGCAAAAGGGGACGTTCGTCGAGGTGATGGGGTACGGGCACCAGATGGAGGGCCGTACGCGCCCGACGTTCTTCCGCGGGGTCGCGACTGTGGTCACTAAGCTATTTAATGCGATTGAGGCGAGTAACCTTCGCCGCGGCGCGCGGAATTGGTATACGTTCGCGAACGGTTCCGACTAATTTTATTCGCTATAGCCGACGCGCACGTACTTCGGGCAGAAGGACATCCAGCAAGCCCTCTTGCTTCGCCGTATGACGCGCGACCTCCTGCTCTCGCATCCCGACCCGGAGCACCTCTATATCGTGCCCACCACCCGGTACGCTCTCCTCCAGCTTTTCGCGAATGAGCCCCGTCTTACCCAATCTCTCGCAGGGACCCTACGACATCTCTGGCGCTGTCCTCCAGAAACGCATACCTATCACAGCACGAGCGCGACCACGTAGCGCCTGCACTCTACGCCGCGCTACAAGCAGCGCAGTCCTCTTGGGAAGCGGGTGCCTCAAAAACCGAGTGCATACAACGCGCGCAGGCCGTGATCGAGAATAAAAAGCGCGAGGCCGGCGAGTCCGTCGACCTCCGGCTGGACTACATCGAGATGAATGACGCGGAGTCCTTCGAGGTGCTCGCGGACGCTGTGCAGCGGGAAGAGTGGGAGGCAGGGTTCGCCGGGCGGCCGGTCATTTTGAGCGGGGCGATGTGGGTGGGCAAGACGCGGCTGATCGACAATATTGTACTGGGGGGGCGGCATACACTGGGTATCGTCGACTAATGCACGGTTTATTTTGTGTGTTAATCTGTCCAGGAGGTGGAGAATCGCGATCACCCATAATGATCATTGCGGGACCAGACTTGGAAACATGCGGAGCGGTAGGGAGGCAGCGTGCCACTGAAAGTAGTTGCAGTTAAGCCACGACTTGAGTACTATAGAGAGCACAAGGACAAAGTGATGCTGATCCAATACCTGTCTTAGTAAACAACGCACCGATATTTCGCGTCGCGAACGATCGAGGACCACGCATGGACCGAAGCCATGGCTACTGTTGGGGCGTAACGATTGGGTCCATGCGCAGCCATGGCGTTTTGTAGGGTAATATCTAGCCTCAGTAAACTTGAGACAGTAAGATGTACACAAGACGATGAGCCTTATAAGGCTCTGGGACAAGCTCACCGCGGCCCCGCGCGCGCTCTGGCAAACAAGGCGTTGTGACTGATCCCTTCACGGAGCACGGCTCCAGCATACGCACGAACCACAGTTAGACAAGTGTTAAATATATTTACTGGAACGTACCCCTGTGGATGCATGCCGTGGCCAAAGCGCACTCGTGCCCTGGCCTGGTGTCCGTGGCACAATGCGGTCGTGATCAATGCCCCAGTCAAAGCGTCCCCCGCTTACGGCGGACTCAGGCGACAAGCACTGCCCAGGGGTAGGCAAAGCGTAGCCCATCCTATATGTATATAACAAGGGAAGGGGCCTCTGTAACAGTCCCCCATACAGGCACTCGACATTGAGCAATCGCCCTCCCTAGAACGCGCAGGCAGGTGAGTGCTGACATCCTATCTTCACCTGCGGGAGCCATACACTAGTAAAAACAGCCAAGGGAACGCATCGCGCTACCGCCTTCAGACGCACCTGGGCCTTACTGAGGGGTTTGTCTCCCATACGAAATGCGTAGGGTGACGAGCGACCTCCGTTGGGCCGGGTACGACTGAGGGTATGCAGCGCGGAGCGCTGCCTTGTGAGACCTAAGGAAACGTGCGTACTCTATCAGCGGCGCTGCTCGCAGGTGCACCTGGGTCTTACTGAGGGTTTTATCTGTCCGACGGATGCGCCAAACAGATAAAAGGTCTCCGTTGGGCCGGGTGTGCCTGGGAGCCGCGTCGCGTAAAACCGCGCCTCGATATATTCCAGAGTATGGGGGGAGTAATTCTTGAGAGGCACGAGAGAGCAAACGCTTCGAGTATGGTGGGATCTCCTGGCGTACCTGCGCTTTACTGAGAGGCTGGTCTGTCATACAAATGTGTTTGATAGAGCAGCGATCTCCGTTGAGCGGGGTGCGCCTTCAGGTCTGCTGAGCATGTCAGCCACATTCTATCATAAAAGCAACTACGGGGCCGTCGCTGGATATCATACCTGGGTCTTACTGAGAGGTTTGACCGCCATATGAGTACATGGGGCGGACAAACGATCTCCGTTGGATCGGGTGCGTGCATCTGCAGGGACAGTATCGGGTAAGGGTGCTTGAACTAGAGGAAGCATACGGACGATCAGTTTCCTGGAAAAAATGAATGTCAGTGTCTGCCTGCGAGAGTGAGATATTGATGTTAGCTACATACCCACGAGTCTTTCCTATGGTGCGTCCTTCGCTCTTAGAGACGGTGTAGTAGGCCCATGTGCGTGCATGCCTTGATGAGCTCTAAAGATCGTGAGCTGAACACCTTGAATCACGATGTCGATATCCTAGGTTGAAGTGCTGTTGATTTGTCAATTGGTTCACTCATGAGCTCTTCTTACTCGGTATAACAAGTCACTGCGACTCCGGTGGGGTAGGTTGGATGCGTGTACCGATGAGGAGTCTGGCAAGTACTTCCATGGCGGCGACCACCGCTCGTCGCTGTGGCGCGGCGGAGTGTGAATTTGCCATCAGGCCCAAAGGAAACACAAACATACTCTGTCACTCACCTGAACCACCCACATCGTCTGTCAGTAATTTCATTCTGCACGTCCATAGCTCAACGCACACCATGTCGGAAGCACCAGAGAGCGTACCGTTTTTCCCAAAGCCCGACGCGGACGTCATTCCTCGCTCTTCAAATGGTGTCGAATTCCGCGTCCACAAGGCCATCCTCTCCGAAGCGTCGCCGGTATTCGAGAGCATGCTCACGCCCCCCCAACCATCCGCGACGCCCTCAAATCCCTCCATCTCCGGATCACAAGCGACCGCCCCCGCAGAGCTCCCGGTGGTCGACATGTCCGATCCAAGCGAGGTCCTGGATCGGCTACTCCGGCTTTGCTACCCTCCCTCGGAGGACCCGGACCCAGCCCCTCCATCGCCACGGGAGATAGCGCGTCTCATCCAAACCGCGAGGAAGTACGACATGCAACAAGTGCTCGATCGCGCTGCCAGGATGCTGACGTCTAGCGGCGCGTTGGACGACCCTGTAAACGCGCTCCGCGTCTTTGTTGTCGCCAGCGACGTGGACGTGCCCCAGGCGGAGGAAGCGGCGCGTGCTACCCTTCGCGCGCCCTTGGGCAAAGACCTCCCCTACGAACTGGACGGTATCTCTCCCGCGTCGCTATACCGCCTCATGGAATACCGACGGCGGGTCCACGCGGCCGCTGTGAGCTACCTCACCGACACGGACAGGTGGACGTTAGCGAAGGACTTCGATCTCGACGCTGGGAAATTCGACTACTCCAAGGATACACGATACACCCGTGGTGGACGAAGATGGGATCTTCTTCCCGCTCGCCATGTGCCGCGGCGACCATCATTCTTCTTCCGATTCGTCCGAGCATTCCTCTTCGTCCGAGCATTCTTCTTCGTCCGAGCATTCCTCTTCGTCTGAGGCCTCATCGCCAGGAAACGACGCCTCGCCGTTGCGTCTCCGCATCGATAGGACGACGGTGACCCACTATTTCGTGTCGGAGGTCGAGCAGATCCACTGCGCATTCAGCAAGTGGTACATGGGCGGGGAGCTGTATGACGAGGCCTGCGATTTTCTGGATTGCTCAGAGTGTGCAAGGGAGGCACATGAATACCTCGATGCTTTCGCTGAGAACCTCCAAAAGGGTGTCCGGACGGTCATGATGGAGGTGAACGACCAGGTGTGAACCGAAGATACCATCTACTGATACAGTCGCTGCAGATACCCCTCGACTTGTAGGACACGTCTCCAGGACTCGTCACGCAGATCAGAGACCATCGCGGATTCAATAACATCATGTCGAGGCGGCTCGTAGCATCGAAGCAAAGTTGGATTGAACCCTCTGCCTGTCGACACGCACTTAGCAGATGATCGGCGACCACTGGCTGGTTCCGATGCGTATGTACGTACTCGCGAGGCAGAGAATGGATTGCATAGAAGACATTGTACGAGATACGGATTACAAACCTACAAAGACAAAGACCATGCGATCCAGATGAAGTTATGAGAACATTGCAGTAAGCCGTACAGATCAGAGTATGAACGCGCGACCACGGATCCTATATGTTGTACACATTGAGAGCAGGACCAATCCGAAGGAAAGAAAATCAATGAGCCCCGCTCTTGCGCTTGTTTCCCAGCAGATACGGCGCGTGCACGTCCCCAAAGCACACCCCCTCATACTTGCGGAGATGCCGCCCCAGCGCATCCTTCCTGCTAAACGTCTTCCTGCACCCGCCCACCATCAAGATCCCCGCGTACTCGACCGGATCCTCGCCCCTCACCTTCGCGGGCACTCCAAGATCCGCCGCGTCCGCGAGCGGGACCCCGCAGCACATGTACGCCATGCTCTTCGCGTCGCGCTTGTGCGTCTCGATGTGCCGCCGGATGTCCGGCCCGCGCCGCTTGCGCTGCACGTAGTTGCAGTACGGGCACTCGTACTTGCTCGAGGTGACGCGGCGCTGTGACGCGGGGAAGACGGGGTCGTTGCGGCGCGTGGTCGGGATGATGTCTGGCTGGGACGAAGCGCGTGAGGACGTCGACGTCGACGATGCGGCGGGGGAGGAAGGGTAGGGAGAGGACGGAGGAGCGGGGGAAGCCTGTTCGCAGATGCGGGTGTTTTTACGCTGGCGCGAATTCTTCTGTGACTTCTTCGGGCAGCCGCGGGTCTTCTCAGGCTGCAAAGGCGCGGTGGTACTGGCAGGCAGCGGCGGAGGCGGAGGTGGAGGCAGAGGCAGAGGCGGCGCGAACACGTCCGCGGGGCAGCACCCCGGGCCGAGCGCGTCTGCGATGGTCGAATAGGCGCTCTCGACTGGGATGGTGCTTCTAAGCATCCACGGCTCGATGGTCATGGCCGGGAGTTCATGTATATCGGTAGGTGACTGGAGGACCGGTGAGATGGTGTTCGGGTACAAGTGGTCGTACGGGACGTCGGCGAAAGGATCGGGCTCGGGCGTGCACGAAAGAGACGCCGGCGGCACATAGGCGTGCGCCGCGGCATTGTCGGAGGCCGAAGGGGATGGGGAGTGTAGGGCAAGGCTAGGATATAGGTCAGAGATGTAGCATACAAGAGTAGAATGCGACGTACTAGGCTTTGGCGAGCTCTAGCTCGGATTGTAGGTCAGTGTCCAAGGACGAGTGGCACCCTCCGGCATTGAGCGAAGTTCCCGGTGGACCCGCCTGGGACAAATTCATTTGGAAAAAAGCCGAATCAATATCCCAGGATAGACCATCATGCAAGCTCTCGTGCACAGAGCTATCCAGAAAGTGTGAGTGAGTGTGCGAGGACGCAGAGAGGAAGCCGGGGTTGAGTGAGGCCATCGCGCGGGCTCTTGTGAGTGGTGGGGGGAAGTGGGGGGTGGATTCGCGTCCCCGCGCGACCCCCCAGGTATATATGGCTGCCCCCAGCGCCTTTTGCTGCTGTTCTTGCTGCCCATGGTGGTCGTCCGTGCCATTCCAGCGCAGGGGCAGGCGTAGTGGAGGAAGCGCTGGGTGGAGACGCCGAAAAACGTCCCCAGCAGGGGTGATCTTCCCACAGATCTCGGGCGCTTATGGCTCACTCTTCACATTCAAGCGCTCAATTGGGGCGGGCCGGGTGGGCCTGCCTGCAAAGTCGAACAAGTCGCGCCGGCCGCCAGAGGTGCAAAGTAGGATGGAAAACATCGAAAGCAGTGTGCAATTGCGAAGTAATATAGTACAGGTCTACTACGAGATACAGCTTATTTTTCCAGGGCTGGGCAGGGTATACGTCGTCGCACCGTAGCCAGTGTCCAGCAAGTCACGAGGTCCGCAGCTTCTACTCACGACGCGACCTCCGAGTCCGTCTGCACAGCGGCCGTGGTCTTTCCTACGACTGCAGGATCCGCCTCGGGACTCAAATCCACAGCGGTCGCTGGCGTAGCAGTGTCGTCTACGGCCGCCGCGCTAGCAGGCGTGTCGTCGACTTTGTCCTTGATCTGCGGAGCACGCGCGTCCGCCCTTGACTTCCCCTTCTCCCGCAGCTTGCGCTCGACCCACGTAGGAGCCTCGCTCACTGCGTCGTACGGCCGCGTCTTGTACGCCATCAGGTACCCCTGCAGCGTCGCCATCGAGAACGCGCGGTTTGGGATCGCCGCTGCGAAAGCATCCGCAAGCTCCGCTGCCTTCCGACGGGAGAGCTTCGGGGCGCGCGCAGTGTGTGCCTGGCCAACGTACATAGTCGACGAGTCGTCCGAGTTGGATGAGGAGCCTGACCCTGGAGTCGCGCGTGCAGGGTCCGAGGAGTTGAGCCGCTCGACGCTGTTAGTGCGACTCCGGGAGCCGTACCCGGAGTCCTTCTCGTCCTCTGCCTCTGCCCCGTTGTCGTTGTCCGCCTTCTCCTTCCCGTCAGGGTCGACGTCCGAGGGAAGGTAGAAGCGCCTGAACATCTCGCGGCACTGGTACTTGCTCGCGAGCTTGAACTCGATGTGGAGGTCCAGGCGGCCGGGGCGGCACAGCGCGGGGTCGAGGGCGTCGTAGTCGTTGGTCGTGGCAAACAGAATGCGGCCTTCCTGAGCGGCGATCCCGTCCAGTGCGTTAAGGAGCCCGCTGAGGGTGACGCGTCCAACAGATGCGGGGGCGTCGCTCCCACCCTTCCCGTTGTGCTTGTCCTCCTTGCCGTCCTGCTCCTTCTCGGGGTCCGCGAGGTCACGCTTCACGCCCTGGTGGAACGCAGCGTCTACGTCCTCGACGAGCACAATGCACTGGGTGGGGAGGTCCGCGATAGTTGAGCTGAGAGACGTGTCGTCGAGCCCGAGCCGCGTGAGCGAGAGGATGTAGACGTCCAGGTTGAGTTCGCCGGCGATGCTGTGGATGAGCGAGGTCTTTCCGGATCCGGGCGCACCATACAGAAGGTAACCTCGGCGATGGGGGATACCTGTAGATGCATAGGTCAGCGCGTGCCTGTGATGCAGTAGATATTATACTGACCTCGCTCGGCATACCACGCCTTGCTAGACAGGAAGTCCTTCGCGTCTTCGAGCACCAGGTCGATGACGCCAGGGTCGAGGATGATGGACTTCATAGGTCGCTTGTGCTGAGTGGACACCCTCTTCCAGTAGTCGGACCTATTGCCAAGCGCTTAGTTTGAGGTACGCCACGACTTGTACACCAGGCACTCACGGGTCCGAGACGTAGATCGAGATCATGTTCTCGCTCGCTTGATGATAGAGCTTCTTCGCCTCGTTCAGGAGCTGGCGCAGGGTGTTGTGGTCGCGTGTGAGCATCCTGGGCGTATGACGTCAGTACACGGCCGTACGCACAGCCCAAAGAATACGCACTGGACCTGCAGCGTCTGCCTCGGGCTGTTCCATGGGCCGTCGGTGACCTGGTCGCGGATGAAGGTGACCAGGCAGAGATGGTACCACAGCGTGTACGAGGTCTGCAGCGACGGCAAGAACGAGATCTTGCGGCCGTCCGACTCGTCCGACTCGTTCCCCGACTCAATCGCGCCCGAGTTCCGTCCGAACGAGCGAGTGCTCACATCCAGGGTCCGGGCGGTGCCTGTAAGAACGTCGATTAGCATTCTCCGGGATCCCGGAGGGGAGGCGGTGCTCACGGAAGATGGAGTGCTTCGAGAGCCAGAACATGAGCCAATCTGTGTGTGCAGGCGGCGCCAGTGAGTAAAATCAACGCGCAGTTAGAAGCTTAATGATTTGCGCACCGACACACTCGTCGTTCCCGTCGAACGTTGCCGTAATCCAGAAGTAGTTGATGAGGCCGTAGTATGATTTTGTGAGCACGCGGCGGCACGTCTCAACGACGGCGCCGAGCAGCAGGAGCTTGATCCAGTCCCGCACGGCGGAGAAGGACAGGACCATGCTGATAATGGAGGGGATCTGCAGCGGAGAAAAAGACGCCACAGAGGCGACCGCGGCCGTGGCGTTGCCCGCAGCGGCGTCGCTCACGTTGAGGTTCACGGCCCCGGATTGGATGGCCGACATGACGGTCTGCAACACCGCAACTGCGTCCATGATGACTAGCTCGCAGTGCGCTGAGAGGCCGGGCTTCGGGGAGTTGGTAGCGGGTGATGGGCAGACGTAGAGTTTGGGCAATCGCTTTTATACGTGCCGCAGCGAGCGGGCGACCAAACGTGAGCGAATCAGGCAGGTTCGGTGCCGGCCCTGGATTTCGCTCGCGAATGCAGTGAAGGAAGGAGTCAAAGCAATCGAGATCAGTGACTCGGGCTAGAAGCAGTGGACTGGTGGCGCATGCAAACCGCCGCTTGGTCCTGCCAAAGGACGTCTGGTACGTCGCCGGTTGTCGCCGGGAAGTCAGCGCGGCCCATTACCCCACACTGGTTGTCACCGCATGAACCGTCGGCCTTTGCACTGACCGCGCTACCGACGGCGGCGCGTCGCCCGCGCGGTGCACTCGCGTGCACGCCAAGGCAACCTCGAGCAGCACGCAGGTGCTGGTACCCGAAGCTGTCCACAAAGAAGGACCGCGGAGACGCACGCGTCGATGACACTGATAAATGAGTTGCGGTGTAATTGCGCGTGCAGGCAGGTGCACCAGGCGATAGCAGAATAAGCATTGGAAGAGGCGGGACAGGTCCGGCAGTGGTGGTTACGCGCAAGAGAGACATTTCCGATGGGCGGTGCAAAGTTGCACTTCCACGCGCCCGGCCCACGCGGTCCGCACTTCATCCGTCTGCTCAATTACTGAGAAGCTGCGTTCCTTGGTGGCTTTCACTTCACCCACAATCCGACGTTGGCCGCTTGCTACGAACTCTGATAGCACGCAGAAGTGATGTTCTGCATGATTAGGTGTCCGTTTGAACGCATTATGTGTCTGGTGTGGTTTGTATATTCGTGCGTGCAGAACTATATACATTCGTACCCTATTGCCGCTTTCACATGATCGGAGCACCCTTGTGCGACCGCGAAGCTTTAAAAGTCCATATGCAACCATCTACTGTACATATCCGTATAGAGTTTCTTCGTGACCGCCTGAAACAAAGGGATGCGGTTTCTCCGCCAGACACTACAACTCCGCCAGGCTGACGCATAAGGCCACCCATGACCGAGCCCTGATCCCAGGACACCGACTAGGCTAGAACGGCGTCGCGGTGTGGAATGGGGTGTCGAAGTACCTCTAATGCGACACGTAAGGAAAAAAGAAGGATGAAGCACAGCTGGCTTCCACCTGCCGCGAGCCTACGCCACCGCGGCCGCTCCTTCTGTGTTCTTCATCTCCTTCTCCTGCGACGGCGTCTGGCTCGCGCTAGCAGTAGCCTTTTCCCGCAATTTGCTCTCTACCCACCCAGGCGCGTCGGCGATGGCGTCCAGCGGCCGGACCTTGTACGCCATCAGGTACCCCTGCAGGGTGGCCATCGAGAACGCCTGCGGCGGAACGATTTCTGCGAACCGCTCGGCGAGCGCAGCCGCCTGCTTCGCGGACAGCCTGGGAAGACCCCCTGTTCCCCCGTGCGCCATGCCACCCACGTACACTGAGCGCACGGACCCGGGCAGCTGGGAAGCAGGCGGAGTTGCCTGCCCGGGTGCGGATGCGTTGGCCAGTTCAGCGGGCGGCGTAGAGTTCGCGGAAGTGTATCCGGAGTCGGAGTCGGCTCGCTTCTCGTCCGAGTTCAGTTGTGTCGCCGCCACGCTGAGCTTCTCTTCCTCCTCGTCGGGCGTGAAGAACCGCTTGAAGAGCTCGCGCGCCTGGTGCCGGCTCGCGAGCTGGAATTCGACGTGCAGATCAAGTCGGCCGGGACGCAGCAGCGCGGGATCCAGCGCCGAGTAGTCGTTCGTCGTCGCGAACAGGATCCGGCCCTCCTGCGCCGCGATGCCGTCGAGCGCGTTCAGTAGCCCGCTGAGCGTGACTCCGTTGAAGAACCCATCTGGCTTGTCCTTGTCCTTCTCGCCCGGGGGCCCGGCCGGCTGCCCGTTTTCCTGAGTCCCCCCGCGCTGGGTCTGCTGTTTCTTCTCTGGGTCGACGATGTTGCGCTTCATCCCGCGGTGGAACGCGGCGTCAATGTCCTCAATGAGCAGCACGCACTTCTCCGGCAGACGCGCGATGAGCGACTTCAGGCTGTTGTCATCGAGCGCCATCACAGTAAGCGAGAGGATGTAGATGTTCAGATCAAGCTCGCCCGCGAGGCTGTGGATCATCGACGTCTTCCCTGCGCCCGGGGCGCCGTAGAGGAGGTAGCCACGCCGGAATGGGATGCCTGCGGATACGCGTGTGGTAAGTACTGGAGGCGGCACTGAACGAAAGAAGCTGGATTCGCACCCCGACTAGCGTACCACCGCTTGCTGTTGATGAAGTCCCGTGCGTCCGCGAGCACGAGCTCGAACACGCCAGGGTCGAGGATGACCGAACTTGCCGGCCGTTTCTGTTGGGATGCAACGTGCTTCCAGTGGTCGGAGCTGGATCCCGCAAGCGCTCAGATATGTGGAACAGAACCACATCGTGATGGACGCGCACCTCTCTGTAACGTATACGTTGATAACATTCTTGCTCGCCTCGGTATATCCCTTGCGTGCTTCCATCAGGAGCTCGCGCAGCACAGCGGGATTCCGCGATAGGATGCTGATGTGAGTTGGTATTGTCAGCTATGGCGGACACCCCCGCATACACCTGATGGGCGTACCGGAGCTCAATGACCTGGATCGCGCGGGTGAAGCTGTTCGGGCTCTTTTGCTCGCGCTTGATGGTCAGGTACCGGCCCTTGTACCACAAGCTATATTTCCTGTCCATCGATGGGTAGAACGCCACCTTAGCTTCATCGTTCCCAAAGACGTCAACCATGTTCTCAAGAATGTAGTCCCCGGATGTTATCTCAACGTGACGCGCCGCGTCTGCCCATACACAGTGAGCGATGCCAACTCACAGTAGACACAGCCAAGAAACGTACCGAACATCTTGCGCTGCGCCGCCCAGTGCAGTATCCAATCTAACACAGCAATGTCAATGTTCGACTAGGGCTTTTCAACGGAGGACGGAAACTCACCCGCAGGATCTTCGTGCATCTCAAACGTGGCTGTAAGCCAGAAGAAGTCCTGGATGGACTCCCACGACTTCGTAATGAGGCGGCGGCAGGTCTCGAGGAAGGCACCGATGAGCAGCAGCTTCATCCAGTCGCGCACCGCGGACATCGACAGCAGCGCCATGACAAGCTGCACGGCGCCGACAGGGCCAGCGGCCCCAGCGTCGTGCATGGACACGGTGCCATTTGTGTTTGTAGTAGACCCGGGAGGTGAAGAGCCAGCAGTGGTGTTCCCGGCTGAGGCTTGGATTACGGAGAGCACCGTCTGCAGGACTTGAGAGGCGTCCATCGCGCTGGGGCCGGAGATCGCTTTCGTACGTCCTCCACAGAGTTTCTACCTGCCTTATATACGCCGACGCTAATGAAGGGCCAATTCCGTCGATCCCAGTCATCCGCTCGCCCTCGGTACCGTTGATTGCGATGATAGTCGTGTACATCATCCCGCTCCGCGCTCGCGCGGGGTTTGACAGAGCACACGGGGCATGCATGGGCCTTAACGGGAACACGCGCCCGCGAAGAAGGCGCAGGCAGCGGGGGGAAGAAGCAAGCAGAGTGATGCACGAGGTGGCTGGTGGCGGCGCTACGCCGCGTTCGTGTATTTGGTTGCTTCAGCCGCCGCCGGTGAGTTCGGTGTGTACATACAGCCGGCGAGTAAACCGTTCGTGTGCGCGCGAGGCATTTGATTTACTCCTCCGGTACGAGAGGTATCTAAAACACCCCTTTTTTCCGCGTCCCTGTACTGCATATCGCCGCAGTATCGCAACAGCCAGTAGAAACCACGTTAGCGCTTCCGCAACGCACGGCAACAAATAGCCTATGCCACGTACCAGTGAGTTCCATCGCTTGCCGTATCCTGCGGTGCGACTCAGTGATGTACTGCTATCATAGCACCAATGTTGCAAAACGGTACTTGTGATGCGAGTGCAGCTGTTGCGTGCTATACAGCACCTGGGCGGTACGCGCGTACCGGGCATTTTTGGTGCTGTATCGGGATTCGGGAGTTAGGCGAGTGCTCTGCGGTGACATGTACAAGAGCTGCCGAGCGTTGCGGCTAAGAGTCGGCAGGAAAAGACCACCGGACATCATATCGCATACGAAGAGCTCGGGCAGTCGGAAGGGGCGACAGAGCACGAGGTGCGGCACAGGGACACTGCCAGCGAGTATACCGCTCAATTGCAGTGTCGACATGAGCTCACAGTCACTCAGACTAGAGTCGGTTTAGTAGGGCAGACGTTGTTGACAGGACGTGGTGGTAGCGGTCAAAGGAGCCAGGGGAGGAATGGCTGACGCCGGTAGACATGTTACCGCCACCTCATTTTAAGTTTGTTTTTCGATCATTTTCGACCTTCACTTCATAAAGGCTCGCGAACGTTCGAATGTCGCACGTAGCTCGAGTTCAACAGACGGAGTAATATGTTTGGTGGAGACGTAACTATGGTAGTAAGACAACACTGCATAACGATGACTAGCAGCAGACGACAGCCATACTGTGTGTACATGTACCCTTTTGAGACACCGAATGAGGCAAATCGTGTAGACCTATGTGAAAATGAGCGGGTAGCGATACAGTACACTCCAAGGACCGTGGTGCCTGTGAGCAAGCAAGCATACAAGGGGAATGAGGGATCGAGCACTGTGGACGAAGTGCTGCGGTAGATGAATGAGCATGTAGATGTGAATGGCGATGGCGATGTAGGCGAGCATGGATGAGAAAGAGGGTGGGTGTCGCGGGAGTTAAGCCAAGCAAAAAGGGCACCATGGGTGGCTAATCGCGTTATGCAGCGCGGTGCGCCGGGACGAGGGAAGGGGGAGGGATGCGCGCCACAGACATACGCGCCGAGCGGTTAGAGAGGGGGCTGGCCGGCGGCGGGATGGTGACTGAAGGGAATGTCGTCCACGAATAGAGGCGCGGCGTGACCGATGGCGGCGGAGAGGGCGAGAGAAGGTATGGCGTCGAGTGGGAGGGAGGCGTGCCCGGACGCGGAGGGGTGGCGGGAACGCGAGACACGAGTTGCGGGGAGGAGACATACGATTCCTCCGGAGGCAAGTCGATGTAAGTCGGGACGCGCTCACGCACGCTAGGACGCCCCTCTTCGCGCTCGCGCTGGCGGGCGGTTTCCATCCTGTCGATCAAGGACATGTAGTATTGCACCCTCTCCTCAGCGGGAAGGCCGCGCCCCGCGTCGAGTTGCGCGTCCAAGGCGGGGTTACGCGGGGCAGGAACGGGGATACGCGTATCGTCCAATACGCGCACACCAGCGCTCCTGGCCTCCCTGTCGAAGGATTCGACATCCACGATTTCCATCGGGCTCCCGCGGCCACTGGACGCGCCCGAGCTGGAGCTGGAGCTCTCCCCTACGTCGATGACAGTGAGGTCCGTGGCAGGCGATGCAGGAATGTGGATCTGCTGGCCGGGGTCGATAAAGGCCTCGTAGACAGCATCGTCACTCTCAAAGAACTCCTCCGCGTCGGGGTCAAAGGCGTTCGCGTAAGTCCAGGTCTCGTAGGAGGGTTGCTGTGGCTCGGGCTGGACGCGAACAGCGGGCTGGCGAGAAGCGGAGAAGAGCGGGCGACCCATGTTTGGTTTTGGAAGAGCAAGAGTAATACAGAGGAGCAAGAATTAGGTGCTGGCCTGTGCAGCTTTTGAGGGTATGGCGAAAGGAGGGTATGCGGACGGAGCGAGGTGGAGGCAGAGAACAAGTCGAGGTTCGTCCGGGGTTGGCCTCTGCTCGATCGCGACGCGGCACTTGAGGGCAGGCCCGTGCGCGGCACTGCCACTGCCTTTTTCAGCGCACAATGGCTTCCACCCTCCCCCACCTGATCGGACGCAGAGGAGTTAGAACGGCGCGGTCTTTTCCTCTTTGCGGTGACGCTTTCGGTCCTTGCAACCACGATGGTAAAATACGCAAGGATCTGGACGAGCATGGACACGTTGAAGGTATTTTAGCATGCAGACGTGCTACATAACTGACGCCAATATCGCACCAGTAACGGTATCCCGGTAAAACAAGTATGCCTCACGGATATCCCTCAAGTCCAATACAGAGAACACCGTCCCGGCCGGAGCTCGAAGGCCCCGCTGGATCTACTCCTTGAAGGCTCGAAGGTTAAATTGGCATGCCAAGGGCGACTTGACCTAGACACTAAAGTGGCCCGGGCACTTCGAAGCACCAGTAGCTCGGCGTTTCGGTCGGAGATACGCGGTAAAGCCGCTATACAGTGTTATACAGGTACATCGTAAGTTACGCAGACTCGGCGTACGCATCCCCCGTCATAAGCCATCCCATCTCACGCTGGCATCCTCACAGCGTGTAGCGGTACCCACTCCACTCGTCGCCCTTGTCGCGCTTCGCGTCCGCGACACTGTCGTACGTCCCGTTGCGAGCCAGGTCCGTGCGATGGTCGTTGACGCCCCGAATGATCTCGTCCCGCTCGCCGCGCTCACGCTTCGCGTTCTCCCGCCGCAGGAACCACCAGTATACGACCGCGGTGATGAGCCCGATGCAGATGTACATCAGCACAATACCGTGGCCGAGCGTGTACCACGGCGCGTCCCTTGCGCGGTACTGTGCATACGGTGAGTAGTCAACCCTGGGAGGAGGTTAAAAGACACGTACGACGTTCGAGGAGACTGCGCCGTTGATGTTGCCGAAGCTGATTACCATCGCGATTGACACACTGCGCTTGTATGAACCCTCAACGTTATTCGACACCCATGCGACCAGGTTCGGGATCGTCGGATAGATGCCGCACGCCGCGAGGTACACAGCGATATACGACAGCGTCGCGTTCCTAGACACGATAAGGATGATATATCCAATCATACCGACCGTAAGGCATCCCCTGGGAGCGGCATTTATCAGTCTTCCGGCCATAGGATATCCATAGACAATCTTGATACGCACATTGCGAGGTATCCGCGGCAGCCATGCCTATCCGCGACGAACCCGACAATGCAGGTCACCACACAAGCCAGAGCGTACACCGGCACGGTGAGTAGGTTCGCAGGTGTAGCAGTGAACCCTGTGCCTAGTCAGTCTCCGACGCCTTTATACGATCGGATCCCTAGTACTCACCAAGCTGGTTGATGATACTAGGCAGGAAGAGGGAGAACGCATAGAGCGGACCGTCTGCACCCATGTAAAGTACCACTGGCGTCCGACGTCAGCTCACGCCCCAAGAAGATACAAAGCGGAAGAGGCCACTCACTTCCGACCCAGGTCTTCCAGTCGAGCAGACTGCGCCAGATATAGTGCCACCGAAGGTTCTCGCCTGCAGCACTGTACTGGTCATCCGACTGGAGCCTCCGCACGACGACCGTGCGCTCCGCCTCGCTCAGGAACTTGGCCGTGTCGGGGAAGTCCTGGATGATCCAGAACGACACGATGCCTGCGACGACGGTGACGAGTCCCTCGAGGATGAAGATCCACGCCCACGCCGGCTTGCCTCCGACGCCCTCCATGTTCGATATCGCCGCCTAGAACATCTTCCGTCAAACTCGGCCCCGAAGGCTGCCAAGAGGCTTGGGGAAAACGTACCGCGAGCAGCCCGCCGAACGCGCCAGACACGGTCGCCGCGGAGAAGAAGAGCGCGGCACGGATGCCGAACTCGGACCGTTTGTACCAGCTGCACAGACAAGCCTATGATTAGCTCGCAAGAACTCCGGGGGGCGATATGCGAGAAGCACGCACCAGGAGAGATAATAGTTCACGCCTGGGAAGAGTCCTGCTTCGAACATTCCGAGCATCCAACGCATGCCTGTGAAAAGCATTGTGTATCAGCATGGTCGGCCCCGCGAATTGACGTCCCTTCCAGGAAACAAATGACATACCGAGAAGTCCGCCATAGTTGTGCACCAAGCCTTGTACAGTCTGGAGGGCTGAGTTGAGGAGCTGTGCGGTTGCAATACGACGTTGACATGACGCACCATCATGATGCCCCAGCAGAGCATGAGGAGCGACAACCATATTGACGGGCGCAGCCGCTTGAGAAAGATGTTTGACGGCACCTAGCAGCGCAGCACCGGCGGGTCAACGTCGCTCGCGCAGGCGCACAACATAGTACTCACTTCGAATATCGAGTACGAGAAAAAGAATATCGTGAGCGCAATGAGGTATTGCTGGTCCGTCAAGTGCAAATCGGTCGTCATATGATACAACTGCCGGGCCCGCCCTCCATTCAGCACCCTGCCAAGCCTTCCCCAAGCCGAAGAACGCAGCACGCACCTTCGCGTTCCCAATGCTCGTCCGGTCTAGGAAGCTGAGCAAGTACAGGAACGACAGCCACGGGACGAGGTACAGGTCGATCTTACGCATGAGCTTGCGCTCGTCGACCCCGCTCACGTCGATGTGCGCGTTGTACAGCGGCGGCTCGAGGGGCCCATCTTCCGGCTTCTCCACGCGCTCGACCTCGGACGTGCGCCCCTTCTCGTTGGACGAGTACGTGGACGCGGCGGAGGAGCGTTCGAGGGGGCGCGCCTCGACGGTCGCGAGCGCCTTCTCTGGGTCTGCTGAGGACATCGTGTCGCGAACGGCGGCGGCGGCAACAACAAGAAAAGTCGGGGCAGGAGAGGAGTCGCTCAAATTTCCTGCAAATGAGCGAGCCTGGTTTTATACGAGGCGCTCCAAGTTGTCATGACTGAGCCTAACCGTGCCGGATAAGCAGGGCTCGGCGTCAGAGCAGCAGGCCGGCGGTCATGGGTTCGTCCAATTTTGTCGTAAGGAGTGATAGAGATCATTCCACAGGTGTTCGTCAAGGCACAACGTTCTCGCAGTCTGCCCCGCGCACGCCGGCGTGTGCCGCTGCACTGTGTTGCTGTCCCCTGAGAACCGTGAGTGTGCGCCACATGTCGTTTTCCGTGGATGTCGCCTTTCTGGGCTGGCGAGAGTTGTGTCGCAGCGGAGACAAAGGCGGGGTAATGAGAAGGCACAGAAGTTGTGGTGGGCGCGGACGAACACTACGAACAGACGATCGTCCATTGGAGGACATCGATGTCGATCACCCTCTGCAGTCTCGACTGGTCTGATTACCCCGTGGGGTACTCGTGAAACATATCTACCGGTCTGGGGTAATCAACGCGTCCCGCAAGGCCCCCCGGCATCTTGGCGGAACTTTGAATAACCTGCTAGACTGTAGACATACGTAAGAGAGGGCACTGAAGTGCAGTGGGCACCCCATGCCGTCTCGTCGTCTTGCAACTCAGTGGACTCCAATGTTTCCCGGTCGGGAACTGTTGAAGAGTAAGCACAAACGCCAGAGGTCATGCCCAAGAAACTCTGAGCTGCACCGTAAGCCACAGTCCACACGCTTTAGGTTGCGGCACACGGAACCTATGACAGACCGCAAGAGGTGGTGAGAACGGTCCGTGGCATCCGGAACGGGGTCCCAAGACTACGAATGACATTTCCAACAGCGGCATGTCACCACCGCGCGTGCGTCGCAGGGTCCCGGACGAAAGTTCAGTGGCGTTCACTGCGCCTTGGCGTCCCTTCTCTTTGCGTCCAGCCGTTGCCTATTCCACTCCTCCCTCCACCGCAGCCATTGCGCCTCCGTTCCGCTATCAGGCCAGACCAACCACCCATCCCGTATGCGGAACCAGGTAGACACGGGGTTTGCAAGCAGCGCCGTGCGGAACTCGCCCAGGAGCGAGTTTGGCCGACGCGTGGGGATGTGTTCGACGAGCATATAGTATGTTGTGCCAAAGGCGACGCCAATACCGAAGCCCCACAGGACTTGAGGAATACTGTGGTATGAAAGGTAGTACCTGCAAAGTACATGCCTCAGCCGGCGCAGACGAGTGTGATGGCGGCGGAGTACATACCGTGAAAACGCTACCGCACCCGCCCACGCCAGGATAAACGCATACAAGAACACGTCGCGCGCAAGGTCGAGAGTCCGGAACCCCGTTGGGGTCCAGCGATGCCGAAGGGTGAAATGCAAGATCAAGAAGCTAGCGAAGTAGCCCATCCATTGGGAATGCGATGACGGGAACCCATATCCATCGCCCAGGTTCTCTGTGCGCATTCAACTGTCAGACAACACAGAGAGACATATATTTAAGCGCACTCACGGTTCGGACGTTCTTCTTGAATAATATGCTTTAGCACATAGTTGAAGCACTCGCAGAGCATCTGCCCGGCCCACATCTCGAAGAAGAGCAGCTCTCGCGTCCATACCGCCAGAGCAGCGTAGGCAGGCTTTGAGATCGCCGTTAGAGACGAATGTCCACGAAGCAGCTACAAGTAAAACTCACATTCAAAAGTATAGGTGTTAGCGTCAGCAGCGCTAGGATATGTGAGAGCACCGAAGAGTCATTGTCTGGCCATCTTCACTGTCAATTTAAGCCATAGGTATCCCCGAGACGAGCTTGACGATGACCGATACTCACATAACACATAGGTTAGATCCAATGCGGCACTTGAAACAACTACTGGTTCCTCCAAGGACATGTTGTACGCTTATAAGGCGGTCTGGTCCACGCCTACAGGTTTCCTCCGAGACGTTCGCCACGAGCGGAAGGACAGGGAAGGTTCAGCTTTAGCACAGAGAGTAGTGTATATCCGAGTATAGTGGATGATCTGGAATCGTGTCGGGAGTCTGAGCGGGAAGATCGTGGCAGAGCAGAGAGAGGAAGTTGCGCTAAGTACGTGAATGGCTCCTCGATGACGTTGATTGCAGGACAAGCATAGGCGCTGGAATGTGAAGGGTGAGCCATAAGCGCCAGAGATCTGTGGGAAGATCACCCCTGCTGGGGACGTTTTTCGGCGTCTCCACCCAGCGCTTCCTCCACTACGCCTGCCCCTGCGCTGGAATGGCACGGACGACCACCATGGGCAGCAAGAACAGCAGCAAAAGGCGCTGGGGGCCGTCATATATACCTGGGGGGTTGCGCGGGGACGCGAATCCACCCCCCACTTCCCCCCACCACTCACAAGAGCCCGCGCGATGGCCTCACTCAACCCTGGCTTCCTCTCTGCGTCCTCGCACACTCACTCACACTTTCTGGATAGCTCTGTGCACGAGAGCTTGCATGATGGTCTATCCTGGGATATTGATTCGGCTTTTTTCCAAATGAATTTGTCCCAGGCGGGTCCACCGGGAACTTCGCTCAATGCCGGAGGGTGCCACTCGTCCTTGGACACTGACCTACAATCCGAGCTAGAGCTCGCCAGCGCCTAGTACGTCGCCTTCTATTCATTGTATAACCCATCTCTGACCTATATCCTAGCCTTGCCCTACACTCCTCATCTCCTTCGGCCTCCGACAATGCCGCGGCGCACGCCTATGTGCCACCGGCGTCTCTTTCGTGCATGCCTGAGCCCGATCCTTTCGCCGACGTCCCGTACGACCACTTGTACCCGAACACCATCTCACCGGTCCTCCAGTCAGCTACCGATATACATGAACTCCCGGCCATGACCATCGAGCCGTGGATGCTTAGAAGCACCATCCCAGTCGAGAGCGCCTATTCGACCATCGCAGACGCGCTCGGCCCGGGGTGCTGCCCCGCGGACGTGTTCGCGCCGCCTCTGCCTCTGCCTCCACCTCCGCCTCCGCCGCTGCCTGCCAGTACCACCGCGCCTTTGCAGCCTGAGAAGACCCGCGGCTGCCCGAAGAAGTCACAGAAGAATTCGCGCCAGCGTAAAAACACCCGCATCTGCGAACAGGCTTCCCCCGCTCCTCCGTCCTCTCCCTACCCTTCCTCTCCCGCCGCATCGTCGACGTCGACGTCGTCACGCGCGTCGTCCCAGCCAGACATCATCCCGACCACGCGCCGCAACGACCCCGTCTTCCCCGCGTCACAGCGCCGCGTCACCTCAAGCAAGTGGGAGTGCCCGTACTGCAACTACGTGCAGCGCAAGCGGCGCGGGCCGGACATCCGGCGGCACATCGAGACGCACAAGCGCGACGCGAAGAGCACGGCGTACATGTGCTGCGGGGTCCCGCTCGCGGACGCGGCGGATCTTGGAGTGCCCGCGAAGGTGAGGGGCGAGGATCCGGTCGAGTACGCGGGGATAATGATGGTGGGCGGGTGCAGGAAGACGTTCAGCAGGAAGGATGCGCTGGGGCGGCATCTCCGCAAGTATGAGGGGGTGTGCTTTGGGGACGTGCACGCGCCGTATCTGCTGGGGAACAAGCGTAAGGGCGGGTCTCATTGATTTTCTTCACTTCAAACTGGTATTTCTCTCAATGTGTACAAAATATATGATCTGTGGTCGCGCGTTCATACCCTGGACTTTGTGGCTCAGCTTAGCTCTACGTTCTCGGATAACAGGAGTCTGTGAAATTATGTACTTTCTATCTCATGCAGTGTATTCTTTTTTTCCCTTATTGATCTCGTATGCATATTCACAAACAATCGAGTGGTTATTCCTGCATACCGAAGAACGATGCCCACTCACTGGCAGTGGCGCGGCGCCAAAACACTGCAACAAAGGCACGATATACGGTAACGTGATCGCGTCCTATACCGCTCCACCGCAAACTTCCCTTTCAAGTAACGTCGTTGTAAGTTTCACAGGGGGAAAAGCTGGGGGACATTGTGCTGTGAGGTATGGTCGAGCTCATAGAAGTAGAGAATCCGAGTAAAACTTTATCGCACTGGTATATTGTACAGATAACCATAATCGCCCGCCCATCTCAATTATCTACAACCCCGCTCTTGCTACGGGCACGATATCCTGCTCGAGCACATACCGATACCGCACCCTGCCCGCCCGCACGTCCTCGAGCGCCCGCCCCGCCTCCCGCATCGGCAGCTCCACGATCCACGGCCGGACGCCCTTCTCCGCCGCGAGCGCGAGCATCTCCAGCACGTCCTCCTTCGACCCGATGTGCGAGCCCCCGACCAGCGAGCCGTTCGCCAGCACGTCGAACGGGTGGATCGCGGGCAGCGGCTGGTCGACGTCCGGCAGGCCGACCGAGATGAACTTGCCGTGCACGTAGAGCATGCTCAGGAACTGGCGGATAGAGACCCCCGCGGGGAACTGGTCGACGGTCGAGATGAGGATGTCGAAGGTCATCCCCAGGTCCTTCCAGTAGCCCTGCACAGAGAACGGATGAGCGACGCGTCCGTGGACGTGTAAAGAGGGTAGTGCTCACGTTGACCGTGGTGTCGACAACGTGGTCCGCGCCCATCTGCCGCGCGTCCGCCGCCTTGCCCGTCCCGCGCGTGAACGCGTATACCTCCGCGCCCATCGCCTTTGCGAACAGGATGGCGTAGTGGCCCAGGCCGCCAATCCCGATGACGCCGACCTTCTTGCCCGGCCCGGCCCCGTACGCCTTGAGTGGCGAGAACACGGTGACACCCGCGCAGAGCATCGATGCGGCGTGGCGCGACTCGAGCGCGTCGGGGATGGGGAACACGAACCGTTCGTGAGCCCGGATGCCGGTGGAGTACCCGCCCTGTGTGAATACGCCGTCGGGATGCTCATGGTTCTGTTGCACACATCGTCAGTATCTAGGTCTATGCCGTACAATGCGAGGTGCTCACGTATGTGTGGATCATGTGCGGGCAGTAGTTCTCGTAGTTGTCGTTGCACGCGCGACACTGCAGGCAGCTGCCGACTTGCGCACCGACGCCGGCACGGTCGCCAGGCTTGAGGCTCGTCACGTTCGCGCCCACACGCGTCACCTTCCCGACGTCCTCGTGCCCGACGACGAGCGGGAGGCGTGACGTCGCGCCCCAGCCGCCAGTGAGCGTGTGCAGGTCCGAGCCGCATACACCGCAGTGGGTGATTGCGATCTCGACGTCGTCGGGCCCGAAGGTCTTGGGCGTGAATGGTGTGACGGTGAGAGTGGACCATGCAGACGGGTCTGCGTAACAGAAAGCTTGTTGGTGAGGACGCCTGATTCCCGGGTACGAGGTGTGCTCACCAGTCATCGCGTACCCCTTGAACTCGAGTTCCTGCTGGGCAGACATTCTAGATGGTGGTCTCTTGTGAGGTGAGTGTGATGAGAAAGTGTGGATCTAGAGACCGGGAGGAGAGGGGAGGTTGAGTGCGGTTGGTCTGCGTGTACCACCGCTCTATATACCCCTGCTGCCACGGTGAGAGAGCAAGCGCAGAACACCAAAATACCCCATAGGTTTAGCTGAGTAAACACCGAGTTTGCTGGACGAGCGTTCGGGTACCCATAGCGTGAGCCGACCGAGCCCGTGCATTTCATAACGGTATGTGTATGCCGACCGGATGCCCATGCATACTTTCCTCCAGTACACGGAGGACCGTACGGTCTGTCAGGCTTCGAGGGGTGCGGAAAACCTGAAAAGTTTAGTTGATAAGCGAATCCGGCCGGATACATACAGCCCGAGTCCCTCCTGCGATGTTGCGGGCGGACATCAAGAGAACTTGAAATTTCCGTGTTAATTCCGTGCGCGTCGCACACGGACACTGTGGATGTGATTTCTCCAGCCGGGGGAGAGGGGGGGGTGCGGGCAGGGCTCCAGCAAAAGTAGCGCAAGAGCGCGGCCGACGTGGTTAGGGACTGCAGAGAGATGTCGAGCAGTTGTATCCTGGCGCTAGAAACAACCCTTGGGCGATCGGACGCTGATCAGCACTGGCTGCACTCATTATCAGTCAGCGCATCTATGTGCGTACTGTGGTCTCTTGCTGCTTAGTGTGCCTCGCTATGTCTCCATGCTTGCCAGTGAGTAAAGAGGGTCCCCTTATGAATGTAGGTTACGCTGATATACCTCTGTCAAATCCCACCGGAGTCATCCACAAATTCATACTAATGCTGGTGAAAGACAGTTCGAGTGATGGATTACTACATGCAAACACGCTGCACAGCGAATTCCATGCTGCCAATCAGTAACATACCGTCTGGACGCCGGTACTATCCTCGATGGATGTGCCATGCCATTGGGATATTTATTGCCTGGTAGGTCACGGTGAGTGGAACATGTATCGCGTTCACAGCCAGGAAGCTTACGTCTGGCTCCTGTTCCACTTGTAGATAGCTCTAAGCTCAGGTGTGCTTCGGGTGGTCAAGCGGCACCTATGTCAGACCTCAGCATGCGACTATAGTATTCGTATGAGACCGTTCACCTCGAGTATCACGTCCCGCAGAGCCCCCTGAAGCCCATCGAACACCTCGCGGAGGCACTTCATACCCTCTGCGAAGCATCGCGAACAGCTCCCTAGAAGGCGAAATGTATCCGCAATCATCTTCTCGGGAACGTGCAGCGCGAAGACGTTCTGAAGGTCCTCGGTGTTCTTCGCCAGCTCCCGGAGGACGTACGCGTCGTCAATGCGCACGTATCTGCTCCCGCCGCCGTCCGAGTCTGGGCTGTAGTAGCGGTAGTGGTCGTGCCCCATGCGGCACCACTCCGCCGTGAGGTAAATCCCTTTCCGATCTTCGCGTTTATGCCAATGTCCCGAGTCACAGCTGTCCAGCGTGAGGCCCATATCGTTCGCGAAGCTCCATCCATCGGGGTTCATCAGGTACTGCACGACCGCCGCGCGGACCCTCGCCCGATACCCAAGAAGCCGATACAGGCTCGCGGGCGAGATGTCGTGCAGCCCGCACGGCAGGTCCGCGCCCAGCGGCTCCCGCAGACTCGTGCGCGCGGCCACCTCCGCGGCCTCGGGCAGATTGAGATCGCTCGCGATCGCGAACGCGTACAGCGCCTTCCACGGATCGTCGAGGACCGTGGCGTGCTGCATGAGGAGCTTGCCAATCCGGGGGATCGCCCATTGCATATTGTATCTGCGTGCGGCTTGTACGATGGGTCGGATTGCGTCCATCTCAACGACAGGGTCTGCCATGGGGTAGCACAGCCGGAGCAGCGGTTCGACGACGGTACTCGGCTCGATGAGATCTAGGATGGGGAGTGCTGGGGACGCAATTTTTGCGTGCCTAGGTGCGGAAGAGCCTGGGGGGCTCATTGGCTGGGGGAGTGTAACTAAGTCGGCGAAGACGGAGGAAGCTTCGGAGAGCACGGCTTTGTGGACGCGGTATTCGATCCCGTCGGTAGCGCGGAGGATGATGTCTGCAGTGCCCTTCGTGAACGGATGGGAAGGCTTGGCTGTGGTCGACATGACGGGAGGAGGTGTCAGTGAGTCGTTGGACGCGAGGTGCGCATGAGGCCTTGCGTGCACTGCGGTACTTCGCGGCTTCTGCGCTCGATGCTCATAGAATTTGGATTCCGGGAGAAGCCTCCGGTGCGCGTGGCGGCGGTAATCTCACGAAGTAGGTTTTCATGGGTGGCGAAACCACGCTCCAAAGATTACTGAAACAGCATTACTTGGGGGTATATCGATACATGACCTGAGGTCTATGATACATCCTGTCGTACATCCTCGCAATTACATCCGGATTAGACTCAGAAACCAGCGGGCTTGTTCAGCTCCTGCTGTGTCTGGCCCTTGTCATGGCGCACATTGCCTGCAACGTTCTCATTAGCACGCCATGCACGCACTCGGAAAGATTGTCAGAACTCACCAGACATCTCCTGCTGCCTGTCGCCCGTGACGGCACCGACGACGGTGTCCACCTTGCCCGCGACGCGGTCGACGGTGCCCTCGACGTAGTTCTTCGCCTGGGCGGCGTCGTACTCGGCCTCGCCCTCGACGTGCTCTTCCCGCCCGGACTGCTTCCAGGACTGGGCGCCGGTCAGGTCGCCGATCGTCTCGACGGCCGTGCCCTTGAGCGAGTGGTACTGGCCCGTGGTCTTGCTGCAAAAAGTATGTCAGAGACATATCGATGGTGAGGTAGACGAGAGGGACGTACTTGGGCTCGTCAGTGTTGGCCTTGTATCCGGACATAGTGAGTGATTTGTAGAAGTGGGTCGTGAAAGTGGTGGTGTGGGAGGATGAGAGATGTGGAGAACAAAGTTCGGTAGTGGGGTCTCCATTGCGAGACGTGCCAAGCTTTTATATGTTAGCCAGGGCAAGGGCGAGAGACACGTGAGTCGGAGGTACACGTCTGGAGTCCATGACGTGGTACGCAAGCTGTACAGGTACTGCGGCCGATGGAGGTACGCCCCACTCACTGACGCAACAGTAGACCGACCTGGTCTGGAACGCCACCGACGTCGCGAGCAAGTACGAGACACCTGCTCTATGGGGGAGGTCAGTGACGTCGTCCACCAGGTCGCGGTGGCGTCGCGGGCGCAATGACACCCTCTCCTCCAGATCCCATCGCCCGATCTGGCGTTCCATACGCTCTGACGTCACCACGTCGCGTTCCCTCTCCCTCCGTCGCGGGCGACAAGTCCCGCCCGCCCGAGTATATATATAAGGCGCGCCGTCTGCGCTGCTGTCCCTCATCAAATCATCCACGATTTCCACACACCCACACTCATCCACACTCACACCCAACCACTTAACTTCACATCCATCATCATGTCCTACAACACCAACGGCGAGCCCAAGTACGTCGCCTCCCCATGCCCTGCACCGAGCTATGCTGACGCGCACACGCGCCCTTCTCTAGCAAGACCACCGGCCAGTACCACTCCGTGAAGGGCAACGTCGTCGAGACGATCGGCAACCTCACCGGTGCCTCCACCTGGACGCAGTCCGGCAAGGAGGAGCACGCCCAGGGCGAGACCGAGTACAAGGCCGCCCAGGCCAAGGGCTACGCGGAAGGCACCATGGACCGCGTCGGCGGCAAGAAGGACGCCGTCGTCGGCGCCGTCACCGGCGACCGCTCGCACGCTCGCAGGAGGCTGCAGGTGTGTAGCGCAACATCCGAGTATCGTTTGAAGGCCAGTGCTGACTTGTGGGTCCCTTCTAGGCAACGTCCGTCATGACAAGGGCGAGACGCAGCAGGAGTTCAACAAGAACGCCTAAGCGGTCGATTTGTTCTCCCATCCGGCGCCGTCCTGCTTGTATGATAACCCTGTATAATCAACAACTATAATGTATCCTTAGCATCTACAACACCTTTTCTTGAACTGATCGCATGACGTCCATGCGTGAATGCGCGAATGCTGCTGCTTTCCATGGTCATTAGACATGGCTATGATGGATACATACAAACGTCACCACGTAGATAGGCAGACGTACCTATCCGATAGAATCGTATGCATTGGCGAAGCAAGGACAAGCGAATTCAAGCAAGGGCGGCGTCTCGCAAAGCAGCCCAGCAAAGAGGATATGCAAACTCGCTGTAGCCCCAACGTGATGAATAGTTTGTACCGCCAACCGATGTTCCAGTGGCGTCGAATGGCAACCTCGAGGTAATGGAGGCCTTGAAGGTGCGCGTCGGATTGAAGAGTCGTCGAAAGCTTTGGATACGTAGGGGCCGGATTGTATACGCCAGTGGCGGACGAATCCTTTGCGATCGATAGTCTTCGAACCTAACGTAATCATCAACGCTTTGACCTGCGATAGCGAGCTGCAAAAGGTAGCTTACCATCAGCAACAACTACGACAATGCGGCTCACAAGCACATGGCGGTGATGGCGCCAGGGCGCAAGGCCGCCGACCTATGGCGACCAAGCGGCCTCCCGAGTCCCCAGTCCCCACGCCTCTCGCTTTGTCCCGACGCGGCAACGTGACCTGAGCTACCCATGTCAATGCGTTCCAGGGTGACCATCCCGCCGTCTATAAAGCGCGGCGCAGCGCGCCCTCCCCTCCCACATCGGTCGCTCACACTACCATAGGCCCACAGCGCGACACCCCAAAGCAACCATTCAGGTGCGCCACTGTCGACTCGAGCTCGCGCGTGGGGAGACGCTAACCTAGCTGTGGCCATTTCAGTCCCATATTTCTCGGATCTATACTCCACCATCAACGCCCGCGATGCAATACAGCACCCCATTCGCAACCGCCTTTGCCAGCGGCACTGCCAAGGCCTCGTCTACGACTGCCGAGACCTTCTTCAGCGTCCTAGCCACGAACCTCCACCAACCACGACGAGCGATCGACGCGCCGGAGTGGGACCCCTCGCGGGACGAAGTAGTCCGACCCACGGTGAGCCCCTCATCCGCCCTCGACGCGCGCAGAGATACTGACGGTGCGTCCGACGTTAGGCCCCTGGCCGCTGGGGAGCAGTCGGTGGTGAACTACGCGCGAACCGCGACAGCGCGGCGCGCCCTCAGATAACCTCTACGCCTGGGCGATGGGGCCTTGCGCACTTTCAGTTCCCCACCAAAAACGCCCTTCCTGCGCCTGATGCACCAGGGGCGGCCGCGTGGTGGGCAAGCCTGGTACCGCTGAAGAAGTACGCGCCAGTCGACAGGAAGAAGCTCCGGGAGGAGGCGTACCAACTCACGGAGTCTTTCAACCCGTTCAACCCGAACAATATCGCGGCCGGGGAGGTGCGTCCTTCCTGCGGCTAAACAGGTGTTCACGATGTCTAACCTTCCATGTGCGCCGTAGACCCGCCCACAGGAGGAGGCCAAGGCGGCTAACAGGGCCAGACGATGCCCGCGCGAAGCGATGGAGGAACTCACAGAAGAGTTCAACCCCTTCGACCGTTTGGACGTAGCCGTTGATGTCGCCGCAGAGGTATGTCGCTACCTCCAGTTGTTCGGTTTGAATGACACCCTGACGTCCGCGGTCGTGCAGGCGAGGTTCGCGAGCGGACATGCATCGGCGGGTGACGTGAACAGCGCCACATCGGTCGACGACGCGGTCTCCCTGTCTCGCGTCGGGATCCACGCATCTTCCTCAGCGACGCCCGAGACTGCGCTCATCACAGATCGTGTGGTGACCCCACCGCTGGACGCGCAGAAAGCAGCAGCGACCTGCGAGTCCTCGCCGGAGTCGTCCACCTCTTCCAGAACCACAGCCAGCTCGCGGTGGTCCACGCCGCAGGACTATCCGGCGACGCATCTCCAGGAGCACGGCCGCCGCGCGACCCACTGGTCTATGGTGCACGCGCTCGAGGCGTCGCTGAAGCGCCGCGCGACCGTGCAGACGTCCCCGCTCGGGAAGTTGGCACGGCTCGGAGGCGCGGAGAAAGAGCGCGAGTATCGCGGCCTTCCTGGCGGAGCCGGCGCCGTGGAGTTCTCCTTCCTCGACGACGATTAGACGGGAGGAGGAACAGACCGAACTCACGGGGTGTTGGGTCCGTGTTCGGGTGTATTTGTGGTCGGGCTTGAGATTGTATCACCATAAAATTGGGAACCTTTGCTCTCCTGAGCGGAAGCTTCGTTTTACTACTGGTGCCGATTGTGTGCTTGGCTAGCAGGAAGCAGCTCCGAGCGCGTGGGGTTTCATATTAGTGTGATCGTCCTCCCCTCCTCGACAAGATCATACATCGTCTACCTAGGGGAGACAAGGGTTTCAGCGAGATCTCAAGATAGCAGAAGCCTATGTGGGGCGAGCCATGCGCGAGCCACTAGAGTGATTACAGTGCTCTTGAGAGAGGTTCCAAGGTGAGGAGTACAGAGAAAGAGGTGCAGCATGAGAATACAGAAGGTCATTACCTCTAGAGTCTGTTGAGGGGAAGAGACAGAGAGGTGTCGACAAGGCGTCGGAGTCGACGCCCTCTGCAAGACACGTCGCGGGGGTTCGGCGCCTGACGTGATATATCGACGTGCAAAGGTCACTCCATATCGGCCGCCTGGCGAAATGGCATCGCGTCTGACTACGAATCAGGAGATTGCAGGTTCGACCCCTGCGGTGGTCATTTTGCGTCTATTGCCTCCCGCGAAGTACTCAAAGTACTGTGAATTTTATCGCTCATAGAGTATTGATCGTATCTGTAGTACTTCGACACCATGAAAAACTATCTGGTGGTGAATGCGTTGACAGTGACCAGCCAGAGTACGATAATCATCAGACTGTATGTAGGAGCACAAGACCAGGGCTCCCGATCACGAGGCGCTCCCTCGATACTTCGGCAGAGCCTTTGGATTTACTGCTGCACAAAATGTACTTGCTGGCAACGTACGGCAAAATAGACTGAAGGCCTACGAAGCTGAGCAAAACGTGAGTCGGCCCAGGATCGAACTGAGGACCTTCTGTGTGTTAGACAGATGCGATAACCAACTACGCCACCGACCCGATAAACGCTTGACTTACCTTGCTAACTCGATCGCGGTAGCTGGACAAATCTCATCAAGAGTCCACGTCGACTTGCGCAGCCTGGGTGCTCAAGAAGAAAATATCGGTGCCATATTCCGTCTTGGGGGAGCATGGATGTATTAGGGCGAGATCCCCACCCTGTGCAAGTAAGTACACTGCCAGGGCTATTCGCCGTGAAATAGACTCACCTGTCCCTCTCGCGAGATCCGCCCATCTGTGAAGTGTACGAGTCGCCCGGAAGTTTCATGAGTCTGCCGGACATGTCGCCCGGTCGATATTGGGGAGGCACATGTGGGCCGTCGTTGAAAGCCCTTTCGCGTTGTCCAGGTGCGCACGGTATGTACACGCGCGAAACGGCGGCCATATCCCCCCTATGACTTGCTTCCTTCGGCCAAGATATGCTCATATCCGGGACCGTGGGCGTCGCAACGCACAGTATGCACGGCATACTCGCCGCCAATATTTGCCGTGCGAGTCCAATAGGATTGGCGGCGCGATGCCGGCATGCTGTAGTCGCGACTCGGTCGTCCTCGAGACCCTGAGGACCCGCACGACGCGGGCGAGGATCGACATATCTGTGCATGGTAGCGGCGGTTCCCTGTAGATCCGCAACCGAACACAGTACGGGATTTCGTGCCGGAGAGTCTATTGCCCACGGTTCCCTGTAAACCCTCTATAGGTGTAAAACGTGAGTGATTCTGATATTATGAACTTTATCACGAAGATGAGAGCACATTACTTGATCATGGCGGGATCGAGTGCAGCGCGTTGCTCGCAACTCGTCTTCGCCGGGAAATGAAAGTGGGAAGACGGTTGGCTCGCGGTAGGACAACGGGCATCGTGTTCGTGATAACGAGAAGCCGCGGCGCGTGGGCGCACACGTTGGCCGAGCTCCGGCGGTCGAAATGCGGTAGCAGCAGCGCCCCCTTTGCGTCCTGCAGGACCCGATCAACATAGTGAAGGTGGCGGATGGTAGTGTGAAGCACGCAAGAAGACTCGGAGCGTGCTTGTTGCGTGATACGACCAATGTAAATGGTCAATGATATGTCAAAAGGCCGTGTTACCATGTCTGCCAACGAGATGGAATACAACATTGACGGGAAATCCGGAAAGATGACTTCCTTTACGACAGGTTTCTCGCAATGCTGATGGTCCTATATGGCAGTATGCCTGATAATCATACCAATAGCTACTTGCGCGCAAGATGTGCCGGATGGCTTGGACACGGAGGCGACCGAGGTGTTGAAGAGGTTGATGCGCCGCTGATTTTTCAACAAATCGTGTGTCGGACCTCGGTCAACACTCGCCGCGCAGAGGATCTAACGGGGAAGAGGGTGACCTGATCCCAGGCCGAGTCTTGACTCTTGAGAGACCAATGTATACCGCATTGGCAGCCCTCCCACATCCCTCAGAGAAATGAAGGGGCGCCAGGAACGCGCACATGGATGAGTTGGAGCAACGGGACCGAGAAGCAGAGGAGAGCTGTGTTACGCACCACTTGTTATCGAGCGCGAGTGTGCTCCCCGTGCAAAGCAGGCACAAAGTTTTCATGGAGCGGCGTCTCGTCCCGGCGCGCGAAGTTCATCATGATTTCAAAGTGCAACGGGTGTTCCCACCGGTGCACTGCAGCCCGCAGTCCAGCAGCTGGAGCAATTGAGTAATGTCCCATCCGGACAGGAACGAGAGAGACATGCAAGGCTCTGCGGAGGAATGAGCGGCGGTTCCAGGTTTGTACGAACGGCTGTGGCCGTGGGCAGAGCGGTGTAAGCGTGGCGCTTCCTAATCAAGGCAAAATTGGAAGGGCGCGCAACAACGTGCTAGCGCTCACATCTACTTTTACCACCGTCCGGCGCTCGGGATGCGCCTTGCGGTTTGTCGATCCCGCGAATCGCGTAGTCCAAGAGCTTGGCTTTGTCGGGTGTGTCAAAGCCAAAATTCGGGAAGGGGGGGGCGGAGGTACGTCGGTGCCGGGTCGAGCAGCCAATGCGGGGCGCAGTCGCCTGCGCAACGGCAAGGACCAGAGTGCGGGGTGGCTGTGCCGCAATCGATAAGCGGGCGGGCAGCGCGTTGTCTCCTGCGACGCCCAAACGCCCCTTACACGGTGTCTATGGACACGAACAAGGCGGACGGTGTGAACGGCGAGTGAGAGGAGGACAATGGGGGAGTTCAAGAGCAATTGTCGAGCGTTGTTTGGGCGCGAAGGAGGACAAAAGGTGTTCCGGAGACGCGTGGGAAAGCGCATAGAGACGGAAGAAGGAAGGGTGTCGGCCCCAAAACGCATGTGGCCGGTTGATGGCCAGGGCAAGCACAAGCACTCGCCTTTTTATACAGAACATCTCTTCAGTTCTCTCCTTCATCTCTCCGCCCCGCCCCGTCCCTCCTTCAACCCGTCCCCTCCTTCACCATGTTCCGCTCCCTCGCTGCCCTCGTCCTCGCGCTCGCTGCGACCTCGTCCGCCTTTGTCCCCAACCACAGCGCGCACCACCGCAGGCACAACAAAGTCGGCAGCGTCTCCTACGTCCCCCGGAGCACCGCCTACAAGCTCGCAGACCGCTTTGAGGGCCAGAGTTTCTTTGAGTGAGTTCTCGTTTCCTTTGCTCCCTCCGAGGTGTTCGTTGGTGGCGGTAGAGTTTGCACATTGCGAACGAGCGCCCAACGCGCCTCGCCGGCGCCTGGTTGAGTGATTACTGACACTTTCTCTTCCAGCGGCTGGGATTTCTTCACCGACGCCGACCCCACCAACGGTCTCGTCAACTATGTCAGCGGAGATGCCGCGTCCAAGCTCGCGTACGTCCAGGACGACGGTACTGCTGTGATTGCTGTCGACGACACTTCCGACGTCGCTGCCGGCGGCAAGCGCAACTCCATCCGCATTAGCAGCAAGAAGTCCTGGGAGCGCGGTCTCTTCATCGCCGACATCTACTCTATGCCCCACGGCTGTGGTGTCTGGCCCGCGTACTGGTCCCTTGGCAACGCCAAGTCGTGGCCGAACGCCGGTGAAATCGACATCATTGGTATGTGCAGTCCAGACTGCTCTCGGCCGCGCTCTGACCATATGTTTCTACCACAGAGGGCGTGAACAACAACATGCAGAACCAGGTGACGCTCCACAGCGGCGCCGGCTGCGTGCTCGACAAGGCGACGGACGCGCTCTCCAACCTCCTCGGCACGTCCTGCGAGTCCTCGAACGGGAACAACGCGGGGTGCGCGTGGCAGCAGAAGGAGAACAGCACGTTCGGGCACCTCTTCAACATGCAGGCCGGCGGCGTGTACGCGCACACGCTCGAGTCCGACGCGATCTCCGTCTGGTACTTCCCGCGCGACAGCATCCCCGCGGACATCACCTCGCAGACGCCCGACCCGTCGACGTGGGGCACGCCCACCGCGCTCTTCCCGAACACGCAGTGCGACATCATGTCCCACTTCCTCGCCCAGAACCTGATCTTCGACATCACCCTCTGCGGTGACTGGGCGGGCCCCGCGTACGAGAGCTCGGGCTGCCCCGGCACCTGCGCGTCTGCGATCGCGGACAAGTCCAACTTCAACGGTGCGTCCATCATGTTTCGTGGTGCTGCTGCGGACGTGCGCTGATTGATATGTTTGTGTTTGCAGTCGCGCAGTGGAAGATCGCTTCCGTCTCCGTATACCAATAGACGGCTCCCTAGACTCGCATACCCGCACACGCACGCCCCCCAACGCACGCCGCATCGCACGCACGCACATCCGCTCTCCCGCATAGTCTGTCTTTTCCTTGCTACGTTACGCTCCTATACTCGCCCGCCCCCCGCCGGCCGTTTCCCCTTCTCGCTCTCTGTTCTCCCGGGGCGGGCCACATTGTACAAACCAAATCTGCTAGACACGCGCCCCGTGCGGGCGCGTCTTCCGCGATGCTCGTGTAGTGCTACGTACGTCTTTCCCTAGTACCCTCTGGATAGACCGCCTGTGCGCTGCCGTCAATACTCGCTCGCTTTTCCCTCCCGACGCGTCCGCACGCGGGGCCGCGCCCCGGTGACGAACCTGTGCCCTCCCAGCGAGCCGCTCCTTCGTCCTGGGTGCTACGCGCCGTCGGCTGTTATCTTTAGGGCCCGCTTATACCGTTATACGTCGCTTATTGCCACTACTCTTCCCCATCGTCATCGGTTTCCTTGGGTCGGGGGTCCGCCGTGCGGGTCTCTGCTGATCGTCGTGTACGTCACGCTCCCGTTCTCTGTGTAGCACATTCATTCATTGTACGCAATATACACACGTTGCACTCGTCTCTAAAACCCTGCCCTCTGAGTGCCCCCTTCAAGGCAGTAAAGCTCTTGCTACGCCAAGAGCCTTCGTTGCTAGTGGCGCCCAATTAAGAGGGCAACGGCGCCACAGCGAACCCCGTCGAAGCCTACAACCGAGACCCACCGCAGCGCACTAGACTATGGCTGCAGTGTTCATGCGGACCCCCATGCATGAACGGGACCGGAGTCCGGGGAGGGCGCAGGTCGAAACTGGGGGTGGGGACGGGTATACATGAAGCAGAGCGTCGGGGGTATCTTCGTTCTTATATACCTCCCCCCATGCCGGTCCCCCAGTTAATTTAGTCGAATCGTGCCGTGCGCGATCCGACACTAGAAGCGCGGAAGTGATACTGGCGACGGCTGTCAGGGTGCGGCGGGATGCTGAGAGTTCTTGCACCGGCCTCATGGAATTACGCCTGCGGTCCTTGCGATCCGTCTGGGAGCGCTTTTCAAGTATGTCTTGTCTGACAGCTGACGATGGACTTGAGACTGGCGACAGGAGATGGGGAGGTCGTGCTTCGGCTTGGGTATTTCGCAGGCGGCATTGGACGAGGCAGACGACGGGCTGTGTGCGACGTACGTGCGGGTATGCAAAGGAATGTGATGGCGTCATTGCATCCTATCGTTATATGCGTCTTCTCCGCTTCGTCCGGCATGTGGAATGCGGCATGACTGAGGAAGAGTGATGGTACGGCGATGCATAGACCGCAGTGATATGGCGGAGGGTATGTAAGACTGTCGTCCTGCCTAGCTCGCTTGTCAGTACCAGAACATCACTAGTTCGGAGACACTGAGCGCCGGGTGCATACCAGTACACACTTACGCTACCAGACGCTACCGCATCTATTGCGCAGTCACGCGCTGCGGGCATAGAGCCCAGAAGGTGTGTTTCCCAAAAGAACGGTACGCACCGCGCACAGGTTCGCTGCCTTGGAGCAAATCGGCATCGGTCCGTTGAGTGGGTTCGCGAAGCCGGCGGGTAAAGACTACCGGATGGTAGCATGTCCAGAAGGTAATTATGGTGCATGGTTGACGCCAAAGAAGTCGTTGGTTGATCCTGCCATCCAAGTGCGCTATCGAGGTTACTCAATCTTGACACAGTCAATGATTGGTAACACGATAGTGGGCCCGAGGAGACGTACCTATGTTAATGGCTCATGCATCGATTATGTCTCTAGATGAGGATGCCAAAGACCAGTGATGCTGCTACCATGGGATATCCTTAAAAAAGTCTGATCAGGTTGCGTACCAATGTACAGCCCGAGTTCATAGAACTGCCGCAATCTGCCAAACCTGTCATATTAACAGCAAACTGAGGTGAGTGCAGCCAGTGAGTGCAGCCAACAAAGCGTTCCTTCACGCCCTATCATCAGCCACAGAAGGGAAGAGGCAGTGGTCGCGACGTACCACGGTAAATGGTAAGCTCCCGGCCACATCTCCGACGTGCACGCCGTTCCCGCACCGCACACGTACACATGGCGCGTTGCCTCCGAGTCGTTTCTCGCAAGTGAGTTCATACTATACACGGAATACATTCAGCCTACAATCCCAGCTACAACTCGCCAACACGCCCTCCTCGTACAACGACCACCCACAGCCGATGACGAACTCGGTGTGCGGGTCGTGGATATAAAGAAGGTGCTTCCCGCCCGGCGGGGGTGTCGTCGTCCATCTATTAAACAACTCAGTCACGTTCGCCCGCACAATGCTTGGAAGACAATCCAGGACGTACACTCTGCAAGTCATGTCGTATCCTGCGCTCGCAATCATGTCCGCGCGGTGCGGACTCCACTGGATCTTCCGCACGGCAAGCTCGTGCCCCATAAGCTGCGTCTCGCACGCGCCGCCGACCGCCGGGTTCTGCGCGGCCTCAGGGCCTAGCTTGACCATGCGGCAGTCCCACACCTTGATAGCCTTGTCCACGCCCGCGCTCGCGAGCACGAACGGCCGATACTTGTTCCAGTCGAGCGAGAGCACCTCTGTGCCGGACGCGGGCACGGTGAGTGCGGCAGCTGTGAGGGGTGCGGTGAAGTTGTTAGTGGTGGGCCCGGATGGCGTGTATGCTGGGGCGCGGAGGTCAAATATCTTGACGGTGCCATCGGTAGAGCACGTCGCGATCAGGTCGGGCTGGTGGGGGGAGAAAGCAGCTTGGTATACGCAGGATTGGTGTGCGTGTATGGTCGTTATTGACCGTGGTCGGTCTGGCGTCCACTGCGCTAGGTCAGGAAACGCTTCCACAGAGTGCTGCGTGCACACTCACCAGTTTCACCGTGCCATCCCATGAAGACGAGATGAATTGGTCCTTATTGATGTTTGACCAGTCGACGGAGAACACTTCGCGTGTGTGCTCGTGCCATGCGCGTATTGGCAGGTCCTACAGGGGCTTGCGGCACTTTGGATCTGGTGCACTGATTACGGAGCGAGAATGGCCTACGTTGATCATGACATCCCATAGCTTGAGCGAGCCATCCCCGGACGCGGACACAAGCTGGTTCTCGTGGATTTCTGACCATGCGACATCGTACAAGCCATCCTGTGTCTCGTAACTGACCTCACTCAGATGGAGACCAAACATAGGTCGCCTTCAAGTACTCACAACTTGTCTATCGAAAGGCCGGGCACGCCTCCGGGGCCAGGTCCGACAGAGACGAGGTGCAGCCTCCCGTTCCCCACGAGACCGTAGTTAGCAGACGAGGCTAGCGCAACGCGATTGCTGTGAAACGGAGACCAAGCAAGCCCATAGTGCGGAAACCCAGGCGTAGAGAGCACAGCGGGTGGTGGCCTGTTCATCGTGGTCGATGTCGGGGAGCAAGCGAGGGCGGAGCGCTGGGCGGGTGCGGGGAAGAAGCGCGGCGAGTGCGGGCGGTTGTATCACATGCGTGTCTCTGTTCCTACCATCCCGGACGCCGTCCTCCGGGCTGCAGCCCAGACACCCACTGTCTCTCCCGCCGTAGCTGTCGACCGCATCGCCCGCTTCTTCGAGCATGGACATGTCGCTGTTCTCACTGGCGCAGGGGTCAGCGTGGACTCGGGAATCCGCGCGTACCGAGGGGAGAAGGGCAGCTACTTGAACCCGAATTACAAGTGCGTCATTTCTTGCGCTGCAAGGAGTACTATGCGCGACTGATAGTAGCAAAGACCCATCTTCGTATGTTCTCTTGACTGTCTTCAATGTGCAGAGGCTGAAGTCCTGTTAGTACCATGAGCTCATGGAGGCGACACCGAGGGGAGCGAGCTTCCGGTACGTTTTGCATTACTCATCTAGGTCGGCGTTGCGGGATTTGACCGGTCAGTGTACAGACAGCGATATTGGTACATTCAATGTTCTAAACCCATTACAATGAGTCTTCTTACGCCTCTGCCCATAGGCTACGCTCGTACCTGGGCTACCCACCCGTCCGCGATGCCCAACCCAATCCTACTCACTTCGCCCTTGCCGCGCTGCAGTACGCGTCCGTCGCGCCCCATATAATCACGCAGAACGTGGATGGCCTTCACCACAAAGCCATCCGTACCGCCTGGGACGATGCCAGACGAGCGGAAGGAATCCTGGAACTGCATGGGACCCTACATGTGCGTCTAAGCCGGGGCGCTTCCGCTACCCTGGGCTAACATGCGTCTCGAACCGAAGAGTGTCAAATGCTCTCATGGACATCCAGTGGACAGACAAGGGTTTCAGGACATGATTGGCGTGGCGAATCCCCAATGGAAGGCCTACGCGGAGCAGCTGGAGCGGTCCGACTCGCGACCGAGGACGAACCCTGATGGTGATGTATGCAGCACTTGGCACACAGTCGTATACAAGTGTATGTTGTTTACGATCGTTGTTTATAGGTTGTTCTACCGGAGGGCACACGGTATGACCAATTCGTCGTCCCCGAGTGCACCCGCTGCCTGCAGGAGAACCGCCATAATTCGATGGTAAATCGCTCGCGTCTTTTCTGCGTTAACGCTGAATACTTACCGTATCCGACAGCTCAAGCCTGAGGTCATTTTCTTCGGGGAGTCGATATCCGCTCAAGTGAAGGACAAGTCGTGAGTGCCCTCCCCGCTACATTCAGTCGAATTTGCCAGCTTCAACGCAGTCCCTTGCCGCAGCTTTGAGATTGTGGATACGCATGAAAGGTTGTTCATAGTGGGCACCACTCTGGCGACGTTCTCGGCGTATAGGTAGGCACTTACTTCCCGCATTCTTCTAAGATACATACCCTCAGCCTGTGTCAACCATTGCGCTCCGTAGGTTAGTCAAGCATGCGATTGAGAAGCGTAAGCCTGTCCTGGTGCTTAACATCGGCCCGACGCGCGCGCACGAGCTCGCGGGCATCGAGATCATCGAGCTGCCCGCGGGCGCGATCTTCCGGGAGGTCGTTAAGCGCGTCTTGTACGTGCATCCTACTTCAACATATTTTCCTCATATCTTACGCCTGACCGTTCGTCCACAGAGGAAGTACAGCTGAACGTGACCCTGTCATTTCGAGGTTACTTACGAGCGGCATTGTGAAGACTCCACCTGACGACTATGACGACCCCATACCGTGACCCACCGGTCGTTAGATGTGCAATTCTTTCCACCCTCCGTTCTTCTCATACACATTTCGGATTTGATAGAGTCAAATGTATTATACAGCAACCACTAGTCGAGAATGTGTAAATGGGTGATGTTTACGTGCCATCGGGGCGTCGCTACTGTATTCCGTGTATATGTACAGGACAAGGGGAAGTGTAAGTATGTGTGGGGGGTAGAACAAGCATTAGACAGATGTCCCGTATTTTATGTTCCGGGGTAATGGCACAACAGAGGGGGGATGTACAAGGTAGCTGGGACACGAGGGACGAAGTGCAGGATGAGGCGTACGTACAAACATGAAGCAGGCAGAGGTAAAATACGAACTTGAAGGTGATACATGACACATGTGACTGGGAGCGCGAAAGCAGGACAGCGTAACGATGAATGAATAAGGTACGTAAAAGGGATGAGGGTGGGGTGTTCATGATGCCCGATGGGGGCGCGAGGCAGGTTCGTCGATATCATCGAACCCTACACGAGTGCAGGATCGATTTGCATGTCGTCCCCATCCGAGTCATAGTCGGACTCGGGCTCGTGTGACCAGTCCCCATGCCATTGCGCGGGGGTGCGCAGGGCGAGCTTCATCGGGTCCACCTCTGGGGCACCAAAACAGACCGGCTGTCTCAGACGCGCCGGTGTCCACGCCTGCATCTGTTCCAGCAGGTCCGGATAGCTTGTACATGCTGGGACAGTGGCGATATCGGGATGCGCGATAGCCATGTACCCCGCGCACGTAGCGGGCGCATCCAGTGGCTGGGTCTCGAAATGCCGGCGCTGGTCTAGCCAAGGGGTCGTCGATGGAGATGGCGAGGGGGCGCGGGACGAGGCGGGCTCGCTCTTGACGGATAAACTCGTCCCCTCGGACGCGCCGTCCACAGTCAGCTCTGGGGTGCAGGATGTCTTGCGCCGCCCCTGTGCGTCGCCACCGCCCGTTCAGCTTGGGGACTCGTAGAATGGTGCGTAGGGGGAAAGGCTCACCAGGCTGCTCATCGCGCGCCTTGCCGCTGCGTCAGCGTCGGACCATTTCTTGCAGACGCCACGGTGCTTGGTCCAGTGCTGAGCGTCGTAGTTGTTCTTGTCCGACAACTTGATGCGTGCGCCGCACCGGTCGCACTGGACGGACTGTCCGCACGTCGGGCTGACATGACAGAGGGGATCCGCCTTGAGTTTCTCGTAGCGACGGCGTTCTCTGCGGGAAGAGACCACGAATCAGCCACTTCGCCCGTGGTGTGGCTGGGAACTTGGCACATACCTTTCCAGAGCGTCCGTACGCGCTTTCTTCTGGCGCGGTGTAAGGTTCTCGAGGACATCCGCCGAACGCTTCTTGGACGGGCTCTGCTCTCGGGCTTCGTCTTCGGCATGGTGGGGCAGGGGGACGGGTCCGCTACTAGCCAGACATCAGCCCGTTTATACCCCGAAGAGCACGAAAGCCGTTTACCTCGCCGGGAGCTCAAAGACCATTGGAGAGGACATTGTGGCGCAGGGTGGCGATCGGCGGCAAAGTCTGTGGCAAAGCAAAGTCAAGGACGCAAGGGGTGTCTGTGGGGGTGATGGTATGCGTCTGAGGGCACCCGGGGGCAGTCCCGCGTCTCTTAAGAGCAGATGGCCAGGGCAAAGCGTGCCGGCCACAGCGCGTGCACTCTTTGTGTGCGTGCTTTGTCCGCGTCCGGGGGTGGCACGAATGTGGCGCAGGCCCGCGCGCGTCCGTTGCTCTCGTATTTTGCGGACAAAAAGGCGGGGTCGGGAAGGGGCGGGCTCGCAACGCGTGCAGGCCGGGCGTGGGGGCGAGGGGGGCGGAGGGAAGGCGTGGGGGCGGGCTGGGGGTGCGGAGGAGGCTAGGACGGCGCGCAATATCCCTCGGCAAACCCCGCCGCGACGCGCTCTCGACGCGACGTCGACGCGCCTCACGCGCGCGCCCCGCGTGCGATACGTACACAGCCGCAGGACCATCGCGGATGCATATCGCCTGCCCGGTTTGGACTCGGGTATCCCAATCGCATTGCGCGAGGCACTCGCAGTGTGTACAGTACGGTAACGGACCTGGAACAAGTAAGGATCGTTGGATATTCGGGAGAAAACAAGGGTAGCTAAGCAAGGAGCGACAGATACAATAGCAATACTTAAGTGAGTGTGGCACGGTGAGATCAGGAAGGGAAACGTTTACGCAAAGAGTGACGTATTGAGATGGGCATGTGGGTAAGTAGATGCGATGGCGAGAGGGTATGAGCACAGACTGGATTCAACCTGAGCCGGCCAGACCCTCGCGGAAGCCACGGAAGAAGTGCTTGACCGGCGCGACAATCCAGTTGAGGAAGCCGGGAGACTCGCCCTCCGGGGCGGTATAAGTCTCGTCGCGGGGACGTACGGAGCGTTCGGCGACGGCGACCTCCTCGTCGTCATCCTCACGCGCGCGCTTCGTGTTCTTGCGCGGAGGAGACGAATCGGTTGCGACCACCGTCTCTTCGGTGGAGGCGGTGGATGGTGGGGGACGAGGTGTCGCGGGAGTTGCGCCGTCGATAGTCTTGGGCACAACGAGGTTGCGGGGTTCGGGGACAGGGGTTTCCAAGCTAGGGCTATGGTTAGCGTCGGGCTCATCGTCTGCATAATTTGACATACTTATGCACTGTCAACTTGTGCTCTTCCCACTTCGTCAAATCGTAGTCGGAGCCTCCTTCGAGCTCGATGGTCGCATCACAGAGTTTACATTCGACGCTGCGAGCAGTGAATGCCTTCACGTTAGCGTCGTTGACAATCTTCAGCTTCCTCTGAGCGGTCGCTACTCTCGAACTTGGACTGTGAAGGGTGAGACAGATGAGCTGGGACCCCCTCCAGTAATCGCGGAGAGTACGTACACAGTGCTTGTGCACTTCTGGGTATGGATTCGCCAGTGGTATAGCGAGTACTTGGTATTGGGGGAAAGCCTGACCCACTTCTGGCAGTCCTTGCAGAAGGCCGAGTCCGACTTCAGCTCGCTGATTCGCGGGTCGGCCTCGAGGATCGCCTTTCGGTCCTCTTCCTTCACGACTCGGCGGTGACCGCCATCTGCGACGGACGTTGCGGCAATGGATGCGCCATCGTCCTCTACTGCCTCATCTGTAACTTTCTCTGCAGCACTCGCCTTGGCCTTGCTCGGGCTAAGCGCTGGTTAGAATCATCCCGGTCGTGTGTTCATCCAAAAGTCGCACCTTTCTACAGCTGCATTCTTGCATTGCTTCTTGTGCTCGAGCCAGAGCCGCATGATGTACCGCCGCTTCGAGTTGAGCTCAACCCAGCTATCGCAAGCCTTGCAGAAGACTTTGTGTGCCTCAACGTCCCCCGAGCTCGGGTCCTCCTCGAGGAACTGACGGCGCTCCGACTCCGTCTTCCGGGCACGTGCCTTAGACGACTCCCCAATGGAGGATCGGTCGTCTGCAGCGTCCTCCGGAGTCTCAGTGCGTCTACAAGGAGCAGCATGATAGGTAGGAAGCACAGGTAGGTGCAAGGGAGAGAGCGCACTGGGTAATCATAGATGGCGGCTTCATGCTCGACGTGGGCTTCGTGGGCGATGCCATGCTAGCGTCGATGGTGTCCTCACGGGCGATGGATGCGACGGAGCCCGCGCGAGAGTGTGCACCCTTCCGAGCCCTGCTCACTGGCTTCTTCGCAGAGGCAGACTCGGAGGCATCGTGTCGGGGGCGTTTGGGGGACGGTCCGGGGAGACTGTGGAGAGAGTTCACATGCTGCTCGCACCCTGCACTTGTCCAGGCAGCCAGCGATCGTTAAGGTGGACTCACTGGACGTCGACTTTCTTGGGGGAGAGGTTCTTGGTGGACATCTGGAAGATAAGTTTCGCCGTTGAGCTACTGGCCACGATAGGTAGAGTGGGAGGACGGAGGACGACGAGCGAGGAGCATTCAGCGTGGGACAGGGGCCCTCGGTGCTTCTCATCTTCGGACCGTAAAGATAGGCTTCTGTCGCGGGTTGCCCTGTAGCGCGCGACAATCCCGACCTCCGACTCCCATCCTCCGCTATGGACTACAGTAGCCTCCGCGGCCAGCGCAAACGACATACCTTGGTTGAAGTGTTACGCTTGACTGGGGATGATTGTGGATTCTCGGGTTGTTGAGCGCCTTCTTCGTCGGACGACGCGCTTTAGCCACCACTCGGCGGTCAGTCCGTGGTTGACGCGTCGCAGAGAGCTAAATACGCACTCTTTGTAGCTGATGATGCTCTTTCTTCTTCTCTACACGTCCGCAACGCGTTCATCCTTGCCCTGGCGCGATTTTGGAGAGGTATGAGAGACGTACCTTCTGGCGGCCGGCGTATGTTACTTTGGTAACGGGAGCGTTTCTACAGGTATTCGCGTAAGTTCGCGTCCACGCCATGGCACACAAGAGTTTGTCTGACCTGTCTGGAGAAGCTAGCGCGTCGCCCATAGCAAAGAATGTGGGGAAACTGAGCAAGAAGAAGCAGGGGAAGGGAGGGAAAGGAGGAGAGGTGTTGGGGATAATTACTGGCAGTTATCAATTGATGGCGAGCGCCGATAAGCCCCCAAATTGGCCTATTGTGCGGTAACGCCGGCAAACCTAACACAAACAATTGATAAACAGCTCCTGCTCATTGTCCTCCGACTTGCTCTCAACGTCGACCACCCGCTCTGTGCGATCTCATTGCCGTTCTCCGGAGGTTGCCCCCTACTGTTAGTTTCTCTGGGATGTCTGAACCTGAAGACGTACTTGCGGATTCTCTTGAGACGCTCTATGATCATGCTCCCATCGCACAGGGCTCCGCGGGCTCTCTCTACACATACCAATCACAGAATGGAGGCCACACGATTGCTTTGACCACCCCGGACACGCAGGCAGCTAATTGGGCTTTGCATGCCACGTCGATCTGGTCGGCTTCCATCTATGTCGCGGACCATTTCCTAGATCTCCAGATCAGCCGCCGTGCCAAACAAGCTGCAGAGGAGGGACGGTCCCTCAAAGTTCTCGAGCTTGGCGCAGGAGCAGGGCTTCCTAGCATCCTCGTCGCAAAGAGCTACCAGGACGTTCTGGTAACGTGCAGCGACTATCCGGATGACGCTCTCATCCGCACGCTGCAGGAGAACGTCAAGCGGAACGACGCGTCGAGTAGCTGTCGCGTCGTTCCGTATGCGTGGGGATCTGATCCATCTGTTCTACTCCCACCTGGTACCACGACCGATGAGGCTCCTGCATTCGACATCGTTCTCGCTGCAGATACACTATGGAACTCAGATACGCATCACCTCTTCCTCGATACGCTTCGGCGTACCCTGAGACGGTCTCCGAATGCTCGCATATATCTCATTGCAGGCTTGCACACCGGCCGCTATGTCCTCCAGTCGTTCCTACGCCTCATGCACGACTCTGGTTTTGTTACGGAAGAGCTCACCGAGAGACGGATTGGTGCTACGGAGGAACGTCCGTGGAGTGTCGACCGTGCTGAGGGCGAGGATGAACGAGAGCGGAGACGATGGATCGTATGGATGGTCTTCAAGTGGCGCGACTGCTGATCAATCCAGCTCTACGGCGTGCGGTGGTAGGTGGACTTATACCGCCCTGGTCACATATTCCGTTCCCTGACTTACCAGACGGGTATGTTGGGCATGGTAGCCTGCAAGATATCACTAGCAGCATAGAATTTCGCGACACGGACCACATGCGGGGCAGAGGCTGCATTGGCCACCAGCTACGAAATGGACATTCTCCGCTTCAGCCACCCTCCCATCTTCCGCACGACGCTCGGCCCTCTCAGCACACTTGCAATAGTCGTCTGCCGCCGCAATCCCTGGAAGCTCTCGTCGCTCTCCTCGTTGATATCGATCATCGTGTAGGAAGACGACGCCAAGGACCATTCGCCGGACGAGTTGGTGCTGCACGGCGTGCCGTTCCTCAGGCTTGGCGATACCCATGCGAACCACGGATGAGGCGGCTTTTCGAACCCGCTGTACGGTCTCCCATACGGAATGCCCACCTGCCGATCGTTCTGAGTAAACCTGCCAGCCTACCGCTCAATAAAGCGCTCACCTCATCGCAGTCAAAGCTCGCTTCGGGCTCGCACCCTTGGATCGCTGGTTCTCTTCGCGTGAGCGCGTCCCAGTCGCTGTCCAGGATCCAGTCAAATCGCGAGACACTATGTCATGAGGAGCCTACTCACGTTCCCCTGAACCACCGATGCTTCTTCAACTTCCGGATCGACGGCCTCTTCCTCGGATCCTTCTCCAGCATCTGCGCCGATGACATATAGTCAATTTCCCCGCGTGCGGCACGTCGGACGTACCTTGGTCAACAAATCTCGCACGTCAGCGTCCACCACACCGTAGAGGTCAAAATCTGCAGGCACGCTGTCCGTCCGCGCGATGAGCTCTTCGAGCCGCTGCTGTTTTGGATCAAGTCCGAACGGCAACTGCAAACATGTCAGCACTCTGCCATAGAGAGACCCACCGATAACAACACTCACCTTCCCTACCAACATGCAATACAGTGCCACACCAGCTCCCCAGACGTCAACCGCATACGAATACTTCCCCGAGTACACCTCCGGCGCAGTGTATCCCGGGGTGCCCACCATCGAATGTGTCACGTCTGCATCTCTCTTCCATCCTACCCTGCATTTCTCGTCCGGAGGTCCGTCCAGGCTCGTGCGCTGGCCCCACGGATGCACACGCTTCCACGCCCGGTCGCTGTCCTCGCGGGTGAACGCGCGTGCGATGCCGAAGTCAGCGAGGACGATGTGGCCGTCGTCGTCGAGGAGGATGTTGTCGGGCTTGATGTCGCGGTGGACGATCCGCCGTCTATGGAGGTGCTCAAGTGCGACGAGCTGGGGGGCCCGCTCAGGTCAGCGTCGAAACCGTCCGCATGGCATGGAGGAGACACCCACAAGTTCAGCGCACCATTGACGCGCCTGGCTTTCCGATATCCTGCCCTCCCTGTTCATGAGCTTCCGCAAGTCGCCGCTCGGGTAGTAATCCTGCAAAAACGCAGCCTCATCAGCGCATTCGCCTCACCTGGACTTCTTCACTACCCACCGTCAGGAAATAGAAGTTGTCGCTATCCTCGAAACTGCCCTGAAGCGACGCCAACCATGATTTTCCACCCGCTGCAGCCAACGCACGCGCGACAGATTGCTCCTCGAACACGGCAGGGTACTCGCGCATCCGCAGCCCGTTTTTCTCGACGACCTTCATCGCGAGGTGCTGCCCAGACACGACGTCCTCGACGAGATACACCGTGCCGTGGCCGCCCTTGCCGAGAACACGGAGCGGGCGGAAGTCGGACGTGCAGAGCGCGGTGTCCCCAGGGCTATGCGGCCGGGGCGACGAGACGGAGGAGTACGGGGTGGATAAGAAGGAGTAGGGGGTGGATGGGCAAGCAGAGGACGGCGCTGAGAGCGGGCTATAGGTGGAGAAGGGTGTATCGTGGAGGCCGTCGGTCCGTTGGCACTCGTTGGGCGCGATGGAGAAGTACGAGTGCGGCTCTTCCTTCGAGACGACGACTGGCCCGAACCCGTAGAAACCCTGCATGCGGGGGGATTAGCGAAGCTCATCGTCCTGGGTGAATAGAGATGGCTCCGTACGTGGTCCCCTAGTTGTTCGAACATCTTGCCCCTTGGTTCATGAGCCGTGTCCGCGTCGAGCTTGGCCTTCGCGCGCGATTGGTCCGTGGAGTGTGTCAGTACAGAGGCCGATGCGATACTGGTCGGTATCAAGCAAGTCGGCAGTGTGCGATCCACGGGGAACAAGGCTCGCACCCAGCATCGTGTTTTTATAGCGAGGACGGTAGTCCAGGCCTGTGTTAGCCCGGTCAGCTCGTCAGCCACACGGACCCGAGGGCGGGCGGGATGCGGGCACGTCGGGCTGGTAGTCGGTCTCGTTCAATATACGTCCAGCACAGGAAGTGTAGCCCAGCGCGCATTTGGACCGGCAAGCGAATGTGTTGACCGTATCTACATGACTAGGAATGCCGAGACCGGATGCCAGCATGCTAAGGATGGGAAGATAAGTTTCTTGTGCTGAAGCGATGGAATGACATTGCAAGGGAGGGATATATTAGAATACATAGCATACAAGGGTCAGCGTACACGTCTAGACAGTCCAAGTCCGAGCCACCTGTTGTGGAAAATGAAGGAAACGAGCGACGACACCTTCAACCCAGCAGTCTACTTCGCCGACATGACGTAGCCACTCGTGTCCAACACCTGCTTGCCGCATATTGCGCACACGCCTCGTTTGTATGCACAGCCTGGATACGTTCAAGTCAAGTCAAAACGTGCATGCGGGCGAGCGTCAGGGGAAGACGACGCACCATGACAATACTTGGCCTTGTTTTGTGTTACTGTGGACTTGCAGTCCTTGCATTTGCCCTGGTATGGCTGCCGGTCGCAGAGACGGTCGTGAGCGACATTCCGTAGCCCATGGTGTAAGCCACGCACCTGAAATCGGTTCTTAGAGCTGCCCGGCCTCGAGAGCAGCTTGTTCTCCCCGACTTTCCGCGAGCCGTCCTTGATGGCTGACGAAGTAGACTTGAACGGGTCAGGTGCAGCGAGCTTGGACGTTTTCTGCAGTAAGAGTCAGCATAGTTGCACGGGAATGCCCAGCCTATTGTACTTACAGCCTCGCACTTCTTGCAAACCATGGTGGTGGATGTGGGGAGAACGGGGTCGGAAGCCCGCAAGCGCCTTACCAGCATCATAGCAGTGCGCTTATGTCATACAACTTTTAGAAACCTTTAGACGCCGGAGACTCAACCTCCAAGTTCCGACTCTACTTATATCATCTTCACCATTGCTCACCACGCATATCACGACAGGGAAAGTCACCCACTGACTCCATCGTTGGAATAAATCATATAGTGAGTTACAGCTCCTGTCTCGTTCCAGCTGCATCTCGTGGAAGACAACGTTACTTATGTATATGCACGTCCGAAGCGTCATACCGGCATATAGCACTGCAGTTAGATCTTGCAGGGCAAGGATTAACTCATAACACACCTGGATAGCCACACAGGGAGAGAAGAAACGCATGCGTTTGAATTATATTGAAGGTAGAACACATCATGCAACGAGCAAGAGCGTTCTGAACTCCTGCCTCGAAGAGTGAGCTAGTCATGCCGATGCTTCTCGTCGGTGTAACGATCAGCGGCCGCCGCATGTAGTGCAGCTAGCGATTTGCGCAGGCTGTTCATGGTAAGCATCATCGGGCAGAGAGAACAGAGATTTAGGATCACGCACTTCATCTGCTCTTCGTAGTATTCTCGTATCTCGCGATAGCGCTGCAGTCGAAGCCGTTTGTGTACCAGGGTGAGCATGACCACGGTCGCGACCATGGCTATGAAAGCAGTTGGCTCAACCGTTGAAGACGTCTGCAGAAGCCACATACCAATGACGACGCTCAAAGCAGTCAGAACGATCTGCCAAACTTCAACTCGTGCTGGCGTTTCCGGAGGATCGGCACATGTACCGTTTGGAGCGCAGTTGAACTGAGATGCACATCATATGAGCAAATAATCCTTGAACGGTCATTATTGGGAACCTCACCGATTGACACTCCTGATCGGTGATGCAAGATGTTCCCAAGATCTTCGTCGGTACACATGCCTTCACGCTGGCATCGCAGTAAAACTGTGGTGTCTGGCAGTTGTGTCGCGTCACGGTGTTGCTGAACTGCTCGCCATTGGGTCCCATGTCGATATACGTAACATCATCGAGAATGCAAGGTTGCCCTAGCGTCATATTGGCATACCTGCCGTGTACAAAATCGTCAGTATACGGAATTATGAAAGCAGATTTCATATAGTGTACGTACGTGCAAGTAGACTGCAGGCAGAGCGAGCCGTTGAAATTCTGGTTGCTTGCGACGTCTATCCAGTTCGGAGGGGGAGCACACTGATCGTCGCGATCCAGCTGACAAGCGTTCCCTTCCGCTAGTAAAGGCTTGCAACCGCTCCCTTCGTCGGGGCAGTAAGTCCCGTTCTGGCACAGCGCCGGCAACGCCGTGAAGTTCGTGAAACCGAAGGGGAATTCGTCACGGCGGCACTGGCGGGGTTGGCAGGTTCCATTCGTGGCCGCGGAGCAGAAAGTCGTTTCGCCGCAATCGCTGAGGAACTTGTGGCTCGCGGGGTCCAGGTGGTCGTTGTCGGCAGAGCATGGCAGACCAATTCCGTCATCAGAGAAGGCAGACTTGATGCTAGAAAGAATCAAAGAGAAAAGCAGAGTTCGTGAGCACCTAGACATCGGAGCCATAGTGTCGCCAGAGATCGTGCGACAGTCCAAGTTCTACAGATCAACCGTTAGATGGTCAGATAGTAAGCTGGCCCCAGCGCCGGTAAGCCCCAAGTTAGCCGCAGTGTACGGCCCTGCTCGAAGAGGCTGACAACATGTCAGAATAGCTTCAGCCCCCGCACGTTAGACATGCCGCGCTACAAGTGGCCGTCAGCTAGCTTTTAGGCTCCTCAGTTTCTGATACATCTTATAAAACACAGATGATAGTAAGTCTCCGATGTGCTATTCCAGTGTTTTCGCAAGCCCAAGGTCACGTCGAGGATAGCGTCTTGAGGAAGGCAGTCGTCATATCGTCACATATGCAATAATCCGCCCATATAAACAATAAACATTAGAAATGTCAAACCTTGAAAGGTATGGACGTCGTGGTCGAGTTGTGAGTCGAGTTCGTGTAACGCTCAACAGCGAGCGAAGTGAGATTCGGAGGTGTGGGATAGTCCCGATAGCGTTATAGTTGCATGGAATCCCAGGTCTTCAACGGGTCGGTGGCGTAGTTGGTTATCGCATCTGTCTAACACACAGAAGGTCCTCAGTTCGATCCTGGGCCGACTCACGTTTTTCCTAGGCTCGTGAGGCTCGTTGCAAGGAAGTATGCATTGTTCAACGGTGCATTTTCAAGGTTTTACTGAAGGACACCGACGGAGCGTCTCACGATCGCAAGCCCTGGCCCTGTTCTCTCTCATATACAGGCTACATCGTCGTACTGCGACTAGTTGCTGCATTTCTCACTGGGAACCTTTTCTGATGCGGATTATGGGGTGTATTATGGCGATGAACCTGAGACTCAGCGCGAAAAACCTGTATCAATGGTACATAAACATATGCTGATAGAAGGGGAGGTAAAAGGAGCAAAATGACCACCGCAGGGGTCGAACCTGCAATCTCCTGATTCGTAGTCAGACGCGATGCCATTTCGCCAGGCGGCCTTGATTATGGTAGCAACGGCATAGATATGACGTGACTGGCGGTTACAATACCTTTGCGAAGTCACCGGCTCAACGGTCGGTCGTGGCGGCAGTTATAACTCCTGCATTCCACTGGCGCAGTTTTGAATCTGACAGAGTAACGAATGTACGGGAGAAACTGATGATATGAGCTCGAGGACCGACATGGTGAGCGAACACGGGGTGGCTTCGGCCTGCTAGTACCGTGGGACAGCGAACTTTTCTCCAGGACATCACCTTTTGGGTGGGGTGTATCATCTGTTGACGATGCGATTCAGCAATGATGATGTTCTACACCGATCGATATGAGGATCTTAGATACGCCGCTGTACATGTTCAAGCTGGGCACAAAATGCAAACTCCTGTGCAGTGACATCCACATATCAGTCGCCGTACTGCCATGTTTACCCACACACAACACACACCAATGAGTCAATTCTCGTGGCCTGTAGCAGTCCCGCATCTGTCTTCAAGCTCCTCTTCTTCCCTCTGCAGTCGCCGCATCGTCGCAGCGAGGACCTTCCTCCTGCGTTCCTCCGGAGAATCGAGCGCGCTGCTTGTGCTAGATCCTCCGCCACCAAGGACATACTCCTGTGCCTCGGTCTCAAGAGCAGAGTACGTCGGCTCGAAGCCATCGCCTGCGAGATGGTGCGTGCCCGCGGCCTCAGCCCGCTCAAATTCCGCGACCTCTCGGTTGAGAGTCGAATTGAGCTCTTTGAACTGAGAAAATGCATCTGTCAACACGCAGAGTCTATGAATTATTTACTAAAAGAAGTCATAGTACTCACATTATTATCGTGGTCGCCCCATACATTATGCGTGAGCTCGTGGCAGAGCACGCGCCGGACCTCCTTGTATATCCGGAAGCCGTCGTACCTGTCCGTTCGGAGGCGTAGCTTGATTGCTTGGCCGGCGTTGACGTTCAGCCCGAGGAGGTGCGGTTGCTCGTGCGGCGCGAGCTCGGTAAGAACGCCGACGGCGAATTGGTGTTTGCGCATGACATGTCGGATAGCGGGGTCATTAGCAAGGCGAGTGAGCAAATCGCGCGCAGATGCCGGGTTGGGTAGGTGAGGTAGTGGCTCGATGCGATGGAAGGTATAACTGGCATCGGAGGAAGATGGCCCTCTGCCTGTGGACCGGACCTACAAACGGCATTTTGCATGAGCATCCACACCCTATAGCTGTATGTACTCAGGTCATTATACCTTTGCATGAACTTTCTGTGCTCGTTCTCGGAGTACACGCTCCTTCCGCTGGTGTTCGCTCTCGGTGGCCTGCAGTCCACCCAGCTCTTCAGCTGTAGGCCCGATCAGCTGAACCTTTAGACCATCCTTGAGGCCGGCATCGATGACAGTGGCATCGTGAGATACAGACTTCTTGCCCTTGTAGAGCAGCTTCTGGTTGTCCGGCGGCACTGACGTCAGCTCTTCTAGCCGAGCCTGCAGGTACGCGAGAGTCGAATCCGGGAGGAGTGAGAGTGGGTGCGTAGTTCCTCGGTGGGAGATTGTGATAGTTAATTCGCTGGTGGAGTCCATGCGTACAAGAAGGGCGTGAGATGTACAAGTAGGTAGGTATGTGTGGTGGAGGTAAGTGGACAAGTAACGATCGACCGAGCTGTGCTTGGTGAGGCAATATTCATCAGCGCCAGCGCTCATGGCAGCGGGCGCTGAGGTTATTCGTCAGATGTCATGTGCATCATGTCATCACCGCCGGTCCGATGGCGGGATACGCTTAAGTTAGCCACAAGCTGGGAACAGGCCGGCCGACGCATATACAGGGGCTTGGATGAGTATTGTCTCGCTTTATCGTGCAAAGTATGCTTAGGATTGTAGACATGTAAACACGGGGGCTAGCGACGTCCCTGGGGCCTTCAAAAGAGTCAGGATCAGCGAACGGAAGCGCCCCAAAGATACTTGAAGGGCTGCCAAATCGGGACACGCACTTTTGCCACGTGGCGTGGATATTCCGGAAATTCACCTGCAAGCTGGTGCCTGCCCTCGCGTGACGCCTTCCCCCGGCCGACCGCTCTGCGCTCCTCTCGCTCCTTCCTCCATCTTCCACGTCCCCCCGCACTCCCCCCACGTCCTCTGCGACGCGAGTAGCCTCTTCTCGCAGGGATGTCCTCGATATTTCCTCACCGTCGCCGACAACCCAGGCCTGTTCCAACAATCGTCGAAGCTCACGAACCAGGTACGTTAGCCGGGCCTAATATCGAAGCCTGTCGTTAACGGTGCCCCTGTAGGCTCCTGGGACGCTAGGAATCAACCACCACAGGATGCGGCATCGGGCTCCTCCAATACGCGGACCACCGCCGTGAAAATCATGCACACAATGCGTCGAATGTCTTACAGCTCACCAAAGAGGCGAGATCGGGGACAGCCAGTGCGTAGCGCTGCGTTTTGGGCGCGCTTTCCATGCTCACATGTATGGATTTATTTTAGGAGGGTGTAACGTACTCAACACCAGCAGAGAGCTGCGCGCCGACGCCCTCCCCATACAACTTCCACGATAGACCCGATACTCGCCCGACGATAGAGCAAATTGCCATGGGCCTCCATATATCCCGCACACCCCATGCCCTCCCCCATCGCTCTGCACAGGCATTCCACCCTCCCAGCAGCCGAAGTGGAGACTCCCCCCGCGCATCATCACACAGCCATCTCCTCACGCGACCCAACGCGCACACGCGACGCGCCTCCATGTCAGCTGTCGTGCTCCCCCCTCCCCCTGCGCGTTCGTCATTGAAGAAGTCGAGTACGGCAAGTACTGCGGAGAGCTCCCTGCTCGCGACATCCGCCTCGGACGCGTCTATCTCGACGATGACGACATTGACGTCAAACGCGCCGTCCACGCCCCGCTCTGTCCAGAGTGCGAGCGCGACTTCCTTCCCCGGAAAGCTCAGGATGGAGATGTTGCGGCTGCTTCCGTCCAGGAAAGGGACGCTCGCGTCGAGCGTGCGGTCGGACAGCCCGTCCGTGATGACGCAGAACTCGGACAACGACTCCGTCACCAGCGAGCTGACGCCGCGCAAGATGGTGCGATTCTCGACCGGACCAGGACCGCACGACGTACCCCCAGGGTCAGCGTAGGCTCTGAGAGCCCTCTTCTCTATCTGCTCCCATTTCTCCTTTTGGTTACCGGCTTGCTTCAACTCCAGCCATTCTCACGATCCCGGTCCCCATACATACTGTACGCCCGTCTGAGAACGGTGCATCCGCGGTCTATCTATCGACATATTTACAATTGGGTTGTACGCACTATCTGCACACAGTATATCATCACCATTCCCCTGCATCGCACCGCATCATTCTGTAGCTAGACTTGTTCCCTTACGCACCCACAAATCACAACAAGTACGCTACGTATCCCTAGCTTTAGAGGCCGGCCGTCGTGTGCGCATAGCAGCACATACATACCCAAAGAAGTCAATGTCATACCACAACTATCCCCCTATCCGCTGAAGCACGGACCGAGTGCACGACGTCTTTGTCCGACCGGCGTTCTGAGCCGCAGTAAAGCGATGCACGACGCCGCGGTATGTCATGGCGCAGGCGCTCTGCGGCCGGCCGAGAAGTTGGCCTCGCGAGTGGCGATCAGCCGTTGCCGCTTTTGCGTTCTTTCTCTCGTCCTCTCGTCCGCCCGTAACGTCGTTTCTGCCTGCTTCTTTACGACACCGCTGCTCTCGAACGTCTCGGACACTTGACCTCACGACACGCGCTACGACGACCCCAGGAGACTTAGCTTCGATCGCAGACTGCTACTGCCGCGTTCACTAGACGAGTGATAGGCAGGATGGCACCGGTTGAGACGGAATACTACGACTTGGTACGCTGGCGGTGTTGCTTTGGATGCGAGAGGACGTGAGTGGCTCATCCGGAAGACTGCTTTCGTTGCTCTAGCTCGGTGTCCCGACGGACGTGAACGACACGGACCTGAAAAAGGCGTACCGGAAGCAGGCGATCAAGGTACGTGCGCACTTGGCTGATGCCTGTGCGGTTCACCCATGTCTCAATTCTACCCTGTGCGCGGTGCTTCGGCCCACCTTCGAACATCTGCAACTTTGCACGGATGTAGTACCATCCCGACAAGAACCCCTCACCCGATGCTGAAGAGAAGTTCAAGGACATCAGGTTAGTCTTGCTGCGTTCCCGGCCGTTTGAACCAGTTCGTAACAAGAGGGTCGTGCAGCAAAGCATACCAGATCCTCTCAGATCCGGTAAGTCCTGGCTTCTAACTCGGTCAGGGTCGCGTAACTCAAGCGACCCTTTCAGAACCTGCGCGTAGTATACGACAAGAATGGCGCCAAGATGGTGGACAAGGAGGGCGGTGTCGGTATGGAGGATGCCGCAGGCTTCTTCGCGAACGTCTTCGGAGGAGAGCGGTTCAAGGACTATGTGAGCGTTCATTGCACACATTTCGGGGCGACCGCTGACAAGGCGGGCGCAGATCGGCGAGATTTCCCTCATGAAAGAAATGACCTCGGTCGCGACGACCATGATGACCGAAGAGGAGAAGACCGAGATGGAGCGCGAGATGAACGGCGGCGTTTCCCCCGCCTCGCCCGCAGGCGCACCCGTCTCGCCATCCCCTCTTTCTCCGCAACCCGAGGCCGCAGCCTCGTCCACCACCCCGGCCCCGGCACCCCAATCTAGCACGTCGTTGGTAGCTACCCCCGTACGCTCGCCTTCACCCGCACGCGCAGCGTCCCCGGCGCCCGCTACCCCTGCCACAGCCACCCCGGCAACAGAGACGCCGCTCACAGCAGCTGCCAGGAGCCCAGCGTCCTCGTCATCGACGAACCTAAAGGACAAGGAGCTGCACAAGGCGGAGAAGGAACGCGAGGCGCAGGGCAAGAAGCGCGCGAAGATCTCGCCCGAGCAGCGGAAGAAGCTGCAGGAGCTCGAGGAGGAGCGCCGGAAGAACATGGAGGAGCGGATCGAGACGCTCGCGAAGAAGCTCGTTGACCGGCTGCGTCCGTTCGTCGAGGCGAAGCACCCGGGCCACAAGGACGATGCGGAGACGCTCGCGTTCGAGGAGCGAATGCGCAGGGAGGCGGACGACCTGAAGCTGGAGAGCTTTGGTGTCGAGCTGCTGCATACGATCGGGAACATCTACATGACGAAGGCGACGTCGTTCTTGAAATCGAAGAAGTTCCTCGGCATGTGAGTCGAGAGTATCTATCATAGATTACGCCGGCTGACCTCTCACAGTCCTGGTTTCTTCTCGCGGCTAAGGGAGAAGGGTGCAATGGCGAAGGACGCTTGGGGTGTTATTGGGAGCGCGTATGTCGATCCACTTCAGGATGTGACACTATACTGACAGCCTCTTAGTATTGGCGTACAACAGACAATAGCGGTGAATATTCTGGTCGTTTAGTATGTTAGTTTGAGTACTGAAAGATGTTTGCAACAGGAAATGGAGAAGCTCCAGGCCAAGGGTGAGCTCGGTGAGGAGGAGCTCCGGGCATTGGAGGAGGACGTCACGGGCAAGGTAGGACATGCCGCCTTCTCTTCTGACAGCTAATTAACCTGTCGTACAGATCATGCTTGCCTCTTGGCGAGGGACCCGCTTTGAAGTCTCACAAGTTCTCCGGGAGGTGTGTGCTGTGAGCATTGAAAGTGTGTGTATGTGTATGATACGGCGATGAGACGCCTTTCAGTTACGTTGGGGCTGCGGCTCATGCGGAGGACGCAGGCGGCGCCTTCTCCGCCTTCGCGGCGTCGGGGGCGGGCTTCTCTGGGGCGCTCGTGCTGGTTGTGGGGGTCGCGGCGGATTCGTGCTTCTTCGCACGCTTCTCGGCGCGGAGCTGGTGGTGCTTAGACTTGCCCGACGCGGCCTCCGCGACCATTCTAGTATAGCGCGCATAAGCAACGACTACGGCAACAGACAAAGTCTGACTGATACGCACCTCTCGAGTTCACGTCGCTCCTCGTCAGTCTCGTCGGGGACGGTCTGCTTGAAGATAGCACCAATCAGGAGGAGTCCCTGGAGGAGGCGTGTGTTAGATGAAGTATGACCAGTTCGTAGAGTTCAGCGCACCTTTGCTCGGTTATACAAGATCTGCTCAGAGACTCCAGATTCCTTGAGAACACGGTCTACGGCCTGTGCTAGGGGTAAGAACATGTGTTGTAACATTTCGCTTCCCTCCCGATTCTGCGCTCCGCGCATCCTACGCACATATGGCTTCGATCTGACATTTGACACGCTCTCTTGCTTCCGGCCCCATTCATGCCCCCTGAGTCCTCGCTGCTGCTTTCCCGTCTGTGTCCCCGGTCTAATAGACTACTCGGTAGTATTCGCTAGTATACATGTGGTTTCTGCGCCGCATTCACCCTCGACCTCCCCATTCACGTTCCCACTAGTGATGCGCATTTGGTTATGACTATTTGGATAACGCCCGTGAGCGGTTACACGACCTTCGCTCGCATCGATCTTGGGGTGCCCGTGTGGGCCACCATTTGGGATCCCGCGGCATGCCACACTACTAGCGGTCGGCGGTGTATCGCCGTGAGGTGATGTTCACTTTCTGTCATCCTGGCACTCACAGCGTTACACAAGTGCAAACATAGCCTACCCGAAACTGATACTACGTTCTAGGTACTACACCGTCACTCCGAGACGGGCTCTCCGCAGTCCGAGTCTATCACTGCAAGACGTCTTCGGAGCAGCCACTCATTCTCAGGTATGACCCGATCACGTACGTTGAAATGGCATATACTTGGAACATGGATGAATGGTATACAGCATGGGCGCGGCGTCGGAGCGTTGGCAGCCCGAACGGCCAGTGCAAGCCGTCCTCGCGATGCTTACACTGCTAGCGCGACTTGAAGCATGCAATATGCATGGCCGACGTCCGCGGCCAAGCTTCCGACGTGTCGCGTCGTTGGGGCTCGCACCGGACTTGTCCTTCTTGTCTCCGCGCGCATATCCGGTCGACGGAGCGGGCATATCCTCACTAAGCCCGTCCGATACGACGGGCACAAGATAAAGCCAAGCTGGACGGCGAGGGAGTGCCGCCTCTTTGGTGCAATCGCCCTCCGTTTGAATGAGATCAAAATCTATCGTGTATGATATTGGGTCGGTAACCAGCACAAGGCTGTAATAGTACTACCGAACCGAAGGGTCGCCAGTAAGCTACTGTAGCATGCGGATATTGTACATATGTCATGAGAGGCGTACGGGGTCACCGTCCAAGCAAAACGCGTGTGTGCATTCGTAACGTATTCGTGAATCGGAAGCTTCACTCGCCCTTTTTGCGGCCTTGCGTCGAACCGCCGACGGGGTTGTCGATGATGTTCGCTTGCGCCTCGAGCTGTGCTGCCCAAAGCGCAGCGCCGACGGTGTTTGTAAAGCTGAAGAGCAGGCCCACGACGGGGATGAAGTTGAACAGCAGCGTCGACATGCCGAATCTGTGTCCCAAACGTAGTTAGTATCAAGCATACGTATGCCACCAAGGGAGGAGCACATACGCCGTGTATTCCGCTCTGCGGTTCTCGACGAACGACGCGCGCTGACTCTTGCTGAGGTTCTTCAGCTGGAAGTAGCGTGTGTGCCAGCCGGGGCCGCCGTTGTACCCGTTGTATAGCAAGAACAACACAGTGCCAACGCCCGGGATGAAGTTGAGCGGGAGCGTGAGCACGTAGCGCACAATGCCGTCCTTGGAGAACGCCTGTAGGGGCTTCACGAGCGCGCCCTGGACGCCCTTCGCAACGGACGCTTGTGCGGCGGTGCGTGCTTTTCCTTCGCGGACGAGCTGACCATGTGCGCTGGCCTCGAGCGTGGCGTCGAAGACGTGGGTGAGGGCGGGCTCGAGAAAGAGCGCACGCGCGAGGAAGGAGACGACGAGAAGGGACTCGGCGCCGACGACGATGAGGGCGATGAGTGGGGCGAGGGGGCCGGTGAAGATTGCGAGGATGGCCATTTGGGGGATGTAGGTGAAGAAGGCGAGTACGCAGAAGATGACGGCGGAGGAGAGGATGGACTTGAGGAGTGCATGGCGGACGGAGAGGATGATCTGTGGGTCTATATCACAAATGAACACTTCAGCACATATTCCTATATAGCGTGCATCTAAGAGCACTTACGAGTGATAGAGAATAGGAGACCGCGAAGAGGCCATAACCATGCGAGTGAGGAGACGGCCTCGAAGGTATGCGAGGCGGACTCGCGTGCCTCCTGCTGGAGTTTGTCCACGAGGGAACCCGTATGTGCCTTCGCAGATTGCTGCAAAGACGATGGTCCGGAAGTTGCAGACATTTTGCGCCGTTTCCGAGTGGTTGAGAGTGGGAAGGTAAGGAGCGGGAGTGCGTGCAACGCCCTGCATATGGGCCGGCGACGCGCTGGTGACGTCATGGCCTTCTCTCCACGCTCACGCCTGTTTCCGGACGCGTCGTACATCGCGGTCATGTGAGCTATTTGTACCTCCAGAACGCGCCGGCGATCGACGAGACGCGTAGAAGTGGTAAATTACAAGCTACATACCGCGCGCCCATGATATCTATGAGTACGTGCCATAGGAAGGACGGCATGCTTATATCAAGCAATCTGCCTTCCTAGTGCCGGCGCCTGAAACTGACTGCGATAGACCGTATCATTGCACGCAGTTCAGAACTGCAAATGCGGTTCAGATAGCCAGCGCTGAGCGAGCCCAATTCGCGCAAGCGGGCGTCTTTGCACAAGAGCAGACCTACTCACTGCTAGCCCAATACCTCTTCGGTTCTGTTTGCGTTGCAAATAACGTCTAATCGTCTGAACGGCGAGAACTCACCAGTGAGATGGCTGAACCAGAGGCTTGCACAGTGAGATGGCTGAACCAGAGGCTTGCACAGTGAGATGGCTGAACCAGAGGCTTGCACAGTGAGTAGCAGGGACTCTACATAGTAAGGTCATTCCACTGTCCAGTGAAGCAGACAACTGAGCACGGATCTGCGCGGATCCGTATGTGCATGGAGTCACCTTGCGAGTGCGCGGCGGCACAAGCCGCACCGCGGCAATCACCCGCGACGTTCCTGGCCCCTTTTGTGCACTCGCTTGGTGCAAGCGGGCGCTCTCTCCTTCAGGCTTCCGATCGACCTTATTCATCTTGTTCAGCGCTCTTCGCCCTGCCAAGTCAGCCAATTCTCATTCTTGGCTCCTTCCGCCCAGGTTGGCATCCTTGTAGCATAGAATGTTCACTGTACTTACACCTACGGACATGGACGAACGAATTTGAAGTTCGCGCCGACACAAGCGTCGGTTCATTATCGACGGGAGAAACAACTTCATTCGACTTTTCCCGACTGACCCGATCAACACCCGCTCCAGGCCTCCTGGAAACATGTCGTCGCCAAGCCATCGCCCTCTGCGGCAATTCTTTACAGCCCTCGCGCACCCGACCCGTCCACGCTCGCTCCCTTCCCCGCCCAGCCTCCTCTCCCTCCCTCCCTCTCCTTGCTCATCATCCCCACTGGCAACCCGCCGCCGCCCTTCCTAGTCTCCTCATATCTCCTCAAGGTCGCATTGCGAGTTGCGCCAACTCTGCGACTTTCTGCACACACACTAGCGTTCCTTGGACTGTCCCTATAGTACCCAGCCATGATCGCCCTCCCCGCGCTGTCCGCTCTTTTAGCAGCCACGCTCTCTCTTGAGCTCGTCGGCGTCAACGCCCACGGCCCCAACGCTCACGCACATATCGCGCAGAAGCGCCAGCTCGCCGCCGCGTCCTCCGCCGCCAGCGGCGCAGCCCCGGCCACCGCCTCTGCCACGTCTGCGGCCGCCGCGACATCTGCTGCGACCGTCTCTTCTGCCGCTGCGGGCACGACCTCGGCTGCCGCCAGTGCACCGGCCACGACCGCGGCGGCCGGGTCGGCGGTCGGCACCGGGTCGTACAGCGTGCCCCCGCTGGAAAGCATCTCCGTGGGCATGCCGAGCGGCGTCATCCCGACGCTTACGACGACATATACCCCGGGCGCGAGCCCGACCTACCTTTCTGGCGCACCGCCGCTGCCGACGAAGTGTACGTCTGCGATGTGACGGTGTTTACGTGAAGTCATTATGGATGAGCTAATTGTGTGCGTGTGATAGTCGCGTTCAGCTCGGCTGATTGGCCCGAGTTGGACAAGGTCCCCCCTACCGGTGCGTGATTGCTCGCAACTGCGAATCAAGGATGGCTTATTAACATCGAACGCATGGCGTGTAGATACGGACCAGGTGAAGCAGTGGATGAAGGAACTCGATGGACACGATATTCCGGACATCACCCCTACGCAGGACGGCTCGTGCGCGGGCGATGCTGCGGCGGCTGCTCAGGCGCAGGAGCGCGGCTGGTGGACGTGCGGCGGGTACACATCTGGAAACGACATCGTCTCGTGCCCCGACAAGATGACGTGGGGTGTCAGTTTCGATGACGGCCCGGCTCCCTACAGTGAGTAAACGCCATGTCGACCCGCAGTAGAGTAAACACTGATGCATTTTGCAGCGCCGTAAGTCTGAATCGCGTCCAGGTGCAGTGAGGATATGCGCTGACACGTAAAACAGGAAACTCTTGGAGTACCTCGACGACAAGGACATCTCCGCGACATTCTTCGTCGTGGGCTCGCGTGTGATCTCGTACCCGGACATCCTCATTGCGGAGTACATGGCTGGCCACGAGATCGCCGTGCACACCTGGTCGCACCACGTATGTACACATATCCGCGGTTATCACAATGCTGACCTTGACGTGTCGCGCAGCCTCTCACCGCGATGACGAACGAGCAGATTGTCGCTGAGCTCGGATGGACGCGGCATGCGATCCAGACGGTGCTGGGTGTCACCCCCACCTTCATGCGTGCGCCATTCGGCGACATCGACAACCGTGTGCGTGCGATCTCCAACGCCATGGGCATGCGTCCGATCATCTGGACCACCGGCCCCGGCGGTCCCTTCGACACCAACGGTGCGTCCCCGTGGTGGATTTGGAGTGTACGAACGAGCTAACGGGGCCTGAAATGCAGACTGGCACGTCCCCGCCGGCTCGGTCACGGCGCCGGAGCAGTTCAACATCTTCCAGGGCCTCCTCGGCAACGCGACGCTCATGGACACCGGGTTCATCGTGCTCGAGCACGATCTCTTCGAGATCACCGTGGACCTCGCTGTTGGCTACACGCTCGACGCTGCGCTTAACCACAAGCCCGCCTTCAACGTACGTCTTCCTTTTTTCCTCCGCCGATTGTGACCGTCAATGTCTAACGAGGTTCGTTAGCTTGAGTCGATCGGCCAGTGCCTGAGCCTCAACGCCGGCGACCTCTACGCGGAGACTGCGACGACGAACGTGTCGTCCGTAAACGTCACCGCGTCTGGCACGAACTCGTCGAGCGCCGCCGCGACCGGCTCGTCTGGTTCATCGGGCGCCGCGCCGCGCACTGCCGTGTCCGTGTCCGCGCTCGTCGGCGTCGGTGCGGTGCTCCTCGCGAGCTTGTTGTGAGGGGGTGCGATGCTGCCTACGACACGGACTTGTTTGGCGGATTTTTTCTTATAAAATTAGCAGTACAGCAATCTTATTGTTTGGACTCGTGCATGCATGCTATTAGACGAATGAACTGATCCACATACCCGTATGCTTCCCCGTACAAATTACATTTGACCCGGCCAGTAACTGCGTGATAGCTGTTATCAGATCAGTACTATGGTAGGTCCCCATCGACTCTCGCTTCCGCTCCCCAATGTGGCGGCGACGCCTCGTGTGACGCGGTAAGCATGTAGCAGCCCGCACCGCGAGCGGATAGTACGCGGGCCTAGACGTGTGTACCCGCGTTCTCCCCGCATCGTCGACTCGTCGCTCGCAGTAATGTCAACAATATTGCTGCGAGTGGTGTATCGCTCTGATAACAATCGAAAACGATACTTCGTCCGTCAGAATCATGTATGCGGGTGGGAGGAGGTGAGAGCTAGATTGCGCGTCGAAGGTTGGAAGCTGCGCCGGGTTTGGCTGGAACGTAATCGAGTGCGCAGATCGCCGGATGGGGGTGCACCGCCACCAGGATGGCGTCCTGAGGTCGGTGGTGTACAGCACCGCGCGACCCCATCTCTCCCTGGCTCTCCACTCTCCGCCGCTGCAACGTCCTCCCTCTGCCCTGTCCTCTCGCATCGAGCTGGTCTTGAACTGTTCTTGTCTACCTCTAGCTTGTCTGCCCCGCTGCCTGCCACCCAAGAGCGATGTCGTCGCTGATAACGACCGTCAGAGCCAGTGCGTCGCGCTCCCCGCATGCTTGTGCAGATCTCGACGACTCACTGCGCCGTCTATCCCCGGTATAACACATACATTCGCGACACTGTCCTGCAATTTTTGTTACAGAGTTTCTGGAGGCGATCCGCTCCGTGAACCCGCCCGGGAGATGGAAGATTCTTGTGGTGGACGAGCACTCACAGCGCCTCCTCGGCTCTGTGCTGAAGCAGTTCGATATTTTGGAGGAGAACGTCACGCGTATGTGTCTCCATACTCTTTGGAAGTACGCGTGTATGCTGAACACGACTGCTCTCCTCGCAATCAATCTACCATGCTCCTCCTCGGACCCCTGCACCTGCTTTGGTGCTCATGCCTACAGTCATCGAATCTATCACCTCCCACCGCGAGCCGCAGCCCCAGTTCGAGGCGATGTACCTCCTCATGTCGACCTCACAGAACGTGGACCGCGTCATCCGTGACTTCTCTAACGGGAATCAGCAATATGCCGGCGCGCACCTGTTCTTCATTGACGGTGCGTCCATCTCCTTGCGCCTGGGGGCACCGGTCGGCGACGAGCCGTGTTCACCGTATGCCAAAGGCCTCAGGACGTCTCCATTGGGGATGAGGCGGATGGTTGTGCGACCTTTCCCGCGGTTGCGGTCGGTGTCCCCGGGAAACACTGACGGGTGACATGTAGTCTGACGGTGGTGACATGGGCAGGGCTGGCCGAGCAGCTGTTTGAGCGCCTCACCTCCTCGCCCGCCGAGCCGTACTTGAAGGCGTTGCAGGAACTGTATATCAACTTCTGGGGTATGTGTTGCTTGTATAGCGTGTGCTGCGCGCAAGGCTGAGCGCGACGGTACGCAGCAATCGAGGCGCAGACGTTTACGTTGCGCACCCCCGGATCGTTCTTTAACATGTTCAGCCCACCGAGGAGCGATACGTCTTTCAAGCCTATGCGTGACCGGCTGGACGAGGAGCTGCGATTCATGAGCAAGATGGTCTGTCCATGTTTACTCGTCTGCCCTGGTTTAATGTTGACTGTGGTTACTCCTTTGCAGATCTCAAACGTTTGCCTAACGTTGAACGAGTACCCTTTCATTAGGTACTACTCGCCTAACCACCACGCGCCACTTGGTCCCCTCAAACCCCACGCGAGCACCCGACCACCACCCCCGACCGAGCAGAGTAGCCGATGGCGGACGAACCTCGCGCGTGGAGGGGACGCGCGGGCATTCGAAAGCGTAGAGGGCGACTATGTCGCGAAGGTGCTCGCATTCTTCGTGCAGCAGAACCTGGACGAGTACAAGAAAGCGAACCCGGACTTCCCTAAAGCGTCGGACCCGCCGCGGCCACGAGGGACGCTTATTATCACGGACCGCTCGATGGACGCGACGGCACCGCTGCTGCACGAATTCACGTACCAGGCGATGGCGAACGACCTGCTGCCGATTGAAGATGGGACAACTTACAGATACAAGTTCCAAACGGCAGTCGGCGCGTACGAGGACAAGGTCGCGACGCTCTCGGACCTAGATTCTGTGTGGACGGACCTGCGGCATATGCACATGCGTGAGGCGATAGACAAGCTCATGGCAGACTTCAATCAGTTCCTGCAGGACAACGCGGGCTTCAAGGGGTACGTTCAATCTGTCAAAGCTGTCACGTTGGTCCCATGCTTAATTGCATTCATCTGTAGAGAGGGGGCGGTGAACTTGAACGACATGAAAGACATGCTGGCTAACCTGCCACAATACCAAGAGCAGCGGGAGAAGGTCAGTCCGGCGCTCCGCTGTTGAGGCGTTGCCATTGACCTGGTTCGGCATTTTCCAGTTCTCGTTGCATTTGAACATGGCCCAGGAGTGTATGGCTATCTTCGAGCGCGACAAGCTGCCGGCATTGGCGACTGTAGAACAGGTACGCCGTTGAAACTGACGTATTGACTGAAGCTCCGGGCCCTGACAAGGCGACTCTTCGTAGAATTGCGCCACGGGCGTTACCGCGGAGGGCAAGGCACCGAAGACGCTCGTTGAAGAAATGGTCCCATTGCTGGACAGCCGCGATGTAATGTGCGTCATATAGTTGTCGTCGGACCCTGTAGACATGTGCGCTGACGTAGAGACGACCACCTTCTGTTTGTGATGACCGCTCGCGCTCGTGACTACCGCGCGGCAGAAACATGAACAAGGTCCGCATCATTGCGCTGTATATTCAACACCGCGATGGTGTGCCAGACGAGGATCGTCGGCGGCTGTACCAGCATGCCCGCCTGTCGATGGCCGAGCAAGACGCGGTGAATGCGCTCGTGTATCTAGGCGTACGGATCAGCAGGGTATGTGTCCGCACCGTACAGGTGGTGCCCTCTCGCTCATACTGATTCTGCATCAGCAATCGGGCGATAAGGACACAAAGAAGAAGATCAGGCAAAAGCCTAGTAACGAAGAGGAATACGAGCTCTCACGGTACAAACCCGTGCTGCGTACCGTGCTGGAGGTATGACGACAGGCTGTGTTTCTCTGCGCCCAGGGACTGACGATCGCGCAGGAGCATGTGTCTAGCAGACTCGACCCGACGCTGTTCCCGTACGTGAAGGACTCCCCGGCGGCCGCACCTACACCGAGCAGCAGCCTGCGCTCGAGCCCTGCGATCCAGCCTGCAGTGTCTTTGCGCAGTCAGAAGCCCAGCTGGCACAAGGCTGCACGCGGCGGCAACACGCAGAACGACAACCGTCAGAGGCTGATTGTGTTCGTCGCTGGTGGAATGACGTATTCCGAGATGCGCGAGGCGTACGCCCTCTCCAAGTCCCTGAACAAGGAAGTCATCATCGGTGCGTCCTCTAGCATCTAGACACCGGACCGATCCTAATATGACGCGTTGCCGTATAGGCTCAACGCATCCGGTGACACCGCAGCAATTCGTTGACGACCTCAAGGTTTTGGAAATCGGCGGTGTTGGTTCGAGGGCGCTGCCCAACGGTCTGGGCGAGACGGCGGCACCCGCGCGCTCACCACAGGAGATATACGACCAGAAGTTCTTCACGCGCGACGCGCCGCCGCCGCAACGGGCGGCGCCTGTGTCATCTCCGCAGCCACAGGAGAAGCGAAGCTTCCTGCGGCCGTCACCCGTACCCTCTTTCTCGGGGTCGCAGACATCCACGACGACGACCGCGAGCTACGGAGAGAAGGAGACGAAAGAGAAGAAGAAACACAGGTTCCTGCGCTTCTGACGCGGCGGGGAGTGTGCCGCGGCACGGACGGTGTATATCTTATTTGTTCGCATATCCTCTCGACACTTGTAATAGCGGCCGGTATACCATGGATATTATGAGGACGGATGTACAGGGCCGTTTCGTGGGGGAACTGCGCGTGCGGGGAATAGATGGGCTAAACGTTTTGGTGTATGGAGCTGCCACCGACGTCAGCAGCGTGTTGTGCATGTTCCCGGGACCGGAAGAGGGAGGAGAGGGAGTGCGCCGAGTGAGTTGCCGCGCGCAGGTCTCGCGCCGGCGCTAACGGGATTGTCCTACTTGCTCGTCGCCTCGACATCGTCCCCGCCCCCGCCCCCGACCTCTGCATCTCTGGCCGCCATGGACAGGCCAATGGGCCCCCGAAAACCGGACAAGCGCAACGCTGCATACGAATCCATCTTTGGCCGGCCGAGTGCGACCCATCACCACCAACAGCATCCTCCAGGCCCTGGCCAGTTCACCCCCTCCCCCCAGCCCTACCAGCCACCCCCACAGGCGGGCCAGGCGTATCCTTATTATCCCCAGTATAGCTCCCAGCTCGACCGCAGAACATCGACGTCCTCTTTCAGACCTCCCCCCACGCAGTACCAGCCCCTGCAGCAGCCGGGCCCGTCCCCCACGTTCAGCCAGTCCCTCTACCCCGCCAACGCCCAACAGGCTGCCCTCGGTCCCCCGCAGGCGTATTCGTCCCAATACCTTCCGCAGCAGCCACACGGGTACGCGAGGTCACTAGCACCTCCATCTATAGTAAGCCGTGCCCGCTCTGTCGGCCACTCACCCGGGGTGATTGCCCCACTCCCGGAGGAACCTCCAGACGCTGCGCTCGAGGAGTTGACGCGGGCAGGCCTCACTCCCGCGCAGGCGTACCAGGCCCAGGTGTACATGAACAGCCCTCTCGGGCAGCAAGCGAGCAGGACGCAGGGCAATCTCACCCTTGATCGACCCGTCCCCCCATCCCCCACCACTGCGCAACTCAATGGGCCCCGGGGCCCACGCCCATTGAGCACACAAACCACACAAAGCGTGCCACCAGACCTGCCGAGGATAGGGCTGAATATCGACGCGGGCAGCGGAGATCTGGGCATCGATTTCAGCTCCAATGGCGATGGCAGCACCCCTCCGAGCGACCCCGGCACGGAGGAGGACTCGAGTGAACTGGCGTATAGCAAACCACAACGCCACTCGACCCCCAACAGTGTCCGATCTCGCCTCTCTGTTACTTCCAATATCGCTGGCGGGTCCGACCACACCCATTTCCCCCCGTCCTCGTCTCGCCCCTACCCTCTCCAACTTGATACCGCCATGGCAAGCGCCGCCGCCACCGGTGCTAGTATCTCACCCGCATCATCCACCCTTGTCGAGGAACCTGTGCACTCGGTCAAATCTGTCAGCCCTCCCCATTCAGGACCCACCGGCCGTCGCTCTTCCGAATCCGCCAGGACATTGCCTGGTCCAGCCTTCCATCGAAATCGCAGTATAAACGATCGTTCACGCTCCATGTCAGCTGCAATGTCCCCTCAATACCGAGCTGCTCTCGAAGGCGGTCGCATAGGCAGGCCGCCCGTCCCACCTGCACCGGCCGGACGCGACTCTCCGGCGGCGCGCTCACGGAAGACGCCCGTGGTGTATCCTGCACTACTATCGCGCGTGGCGGAGGCGTTCAAAGCGCGAATACAGCTCGGAGACCGGGTCAAGGATGGGCTGACGTATAAGGATGCATTCGATGGGCGCGAGGCCGTCGACACGATCGCGTACATCATCAAGACCACGGACCGCAACCTCGCGTTGCTCCTCGGCCGCGCGCTGGACGCGCAGAAGTTCTTCCATGCGGTCACGTACGATCACCGCCTGCGGGACAGCTCGCACGACCTGTATCAGTTCCGCACGAAGCTGCCAAGCCCGTTCGTCAGCGGCGAGCTAGACGTCCCGCACGAGCACGAGGAGCTCATCAAGGCTCTCGGACAGCCGCTCCTCAATGGCACTGGGGGCGGAGACGTTGACGCCAAAGAGAGCCCGTCGCCAACTGCAGAAGAGCAGGATGACTCGGACAAGAAGGAAGGCTCGCGCCCCGACTCCCCGACGGGCTCGGTACCCGGGGCTTCTTCACCAGTTACGCGGCCACGCGCCGGATCCGTGACATCCGACGACGTGCCACTGCCAACGGGCGTGTTCACTCTTCTGACGGACTGCTACTCGCCAACATGCACCCGCGACCAGCTGTGTTACTCCATTGCCTGTCCTAGGCGGCTGGAGCAGCAAGCACGACTGAACATGAAGCCCCAGCGCGAACTCAAGAAGCAGATTAGCCGCGAAAGCTTGGGCGAACTTGTGGTATGCAAGGTTTCCATATCTACGGCACTGCGCAGATACCAAACTGGGCTTCATAGGAACCCGGAACATTATGGATCCACACTGTACCTGCAGAGGTCGTCTCTAGCGTGTCCGATCTGGAGAAGAAGCGCCAAGAGGCGATCAACGAGGTCATGTACACTGAGCGCGACTTCGTGCGCGATATGGAGTACCTCAGAGATGTAGGTGCCTTGAAGCTCTTGTTATATTCCCGCTAAATCTCTGTGATCAGTGCTGGATCAAGCCGCTCAGGGAACAGGATATCATCCCCGAAGCTCGACGCGAGGACTTCATCACTCAGGTGTTTTGGAATATCAACGATATCATCGCCGTCAACACTCGCCTCCGGGATGCGCTCAACAAGCGGCAGAAGTCGTATGCTGTGGTTGAGCAGATCGGAGACGTGCTTCTCGAGGCTGTGCCGCACTTCTCTCCCTTCGTCTCCTACGGTGCACATCAGCTCTACGGAAAGTATGAGTTTGAGAAGGAGAAGAGCACGAACCCTGAGTTCGCGCGTTTCGTGGAGGTTTGTGGCGGTTCGCACCAAGATGTTGTGGTGTGGATTGTGTGCTGATGCGTTCGAGTAGGAGACCGAGCGGTTACCAGAATCGCGGAAGCTAGAGCTGAACGGTTACCTGACCAAGCCGACCACTCGTCTGGCTAGGTACCCCCTCCTACTCGAGGCCGTCTTGAAACACACCCCAGCAGAGAACCCCGACAAGACTGCTCTGCCTGAAGCCGTCAAGATTGTGCGCGAATTTTTGAAGGCTGTCAACTCCGAGACCGGTAAGGCGGAGAACCGGTTCAACCTCCTCCAGCTCGACCAGCAACTAGTGTTCCGCCCAGGCGAGCAAGTGGTGAGCTCTTTGTGCCAAAACGTGCGGTCGGCCGATACTCATCCGACCCAGGACCTTCGTCTCAAAGAGGAAGGCCGCGAGATGATCTACAAGGGCGCACTCAAGAAGCGTGGCGGATCACAAGGCGATAGCGGGGAGCTTATGGTATTCCTGTTCGACCATGCACTCCTCATGGTCAAGCCTAAGAGCAAGGTCGAGCAGTACAAGGTCTACCGACGGGTGGGTAACTTCCTTGCGCATTAAACAATTAATGGAAGACTAAGCATCGAGCAGCCAATCCCACTGGAGCTACTTCTGGTATCCGCGCCTGATGAGTTCGCCACCCAGAAGCCCCAGAACAATCGTCAGAAGCAGCTGCTCAGGAACGCTCCTCACGCGCCAGTCATTCCAGTCAACAACACCAAAGGTGGCTTCTCAATCACCTTTGTGCACCTCGGACGCAAATACTACCAGATCACCCTCTGGGCGAGCACCTACGTCAGCCAGCGGAAATGGATGGAGAACATTCAGAAGCAGCAAGATGCCATGCGGGAGCGTAGCAACGTCTTCGAGACTCTCACACTAAACGAAGGCTTCTTCGTCGGGGTGAATAAGGTTAACTGCGCCGCACCATTCAGTACGTCCCTCTCAGATCATGTGTTGCTGTGCTACTGACATTATAAATCAGACCAAGGGCGGAGAGCTGTCTATGGTACAAACGATGGCATTTACCTTTCCAACCTCATGGAGCAGAACCGGGAGCCGGTGAAGGTCCTCGCCTTGAAGGATGTCGAACAGGTTGATGTTCTCGAGGACTATCAGTTGTTAATCGTCCTGTCTGGTACGCATCGACGCTTCCCTCCATCCTTGACATCTCTGACACCTGGTTGCAGAGCGTCAAGTCATCACGTTCCCTCTCGATGCTTTGGACCCCATGGATCCCCTGTCAGGCCTCAAGCGTGCTAAGCGGATAGCATCGCACATCTCGTTCTTCAAGGCTGGCGTGTGTGTCGGGAAGACGCTTGTCTGCGTAGTCAAGTCAAGTCCGCTATCAAGTACCATCAAGGCGCTGGAGCCCATCGACCAGAACGTCCGTGGGCAAAGAAAGCCCACTTTCCGCAAGTTGCTGCAGGGTGGCAATGATACGCTGCGCGTATTCAAGGTAAGCGATGTTGTCTCCGTGTGGGTTGAGGAAATGCTCACGATCGGTGTGCAGGAGTTCTACATACCTGTGCAATCGAGCTCGATTCACTTCCTGAAGACGAGACTCTGCATTGGGTGCACGAACGGCTTCGAGATCGTCGACCTGGACACATTGGATACCCAAGGCCTGCTAGACCCCGCCGACCAGTCGCTGGAGTTCGTCCACAAGAGGGAGAACCTCAAGCCGCTTGCCATCTACCGAATAGAGAATGAATTCCTCTTGTGCTACGACGGTGAGCTCGGTGTTATTGCGAAGTGTTGCGGCACAAACTAATGTGTATCGTAGAATTCGCGTTCTATGTGGACAAAGCCGGATGGCGGTCCCGCAAGGAGTTCATGGTCTATTGGGAGGGAAGCCCGTCAGGATTTGGTGAGCGGACTAATGCCCTTCCGTGGTTCTCCAACTTACGTATATTGTGCAGCTTTGCATTATCCATATGTTCTCGCGTTCGAGCCAACCTTCGTGGAAATCCGCCACGTCGAGACGGGCGCAATGTCGCAAATCATCCAGGGCAACAACCTCCGCTGTCTCTTCGCGGACACGCCACCCTCGACGACGAACGGCGCGAACAACTACTACAACGTGTACCAGCAGGGCTATGGCTACAACCCCTACCAGACGGCCGACGGGTCCCGGAGTTCCATGAACTCCATGCACTCCAACGGATTTGGCGCACCAGGGGCGCCTGCGGCCTACCCCAACCCGTACGTCGCGCGACCACCGCAGGGCGCCGGACGGGACGAGATCCTCATGGTCTCTGACGACCGGGTGATGCGGCTGCAAATGACTGCGACGGCGCAAGCTTCGATATTCGGGAACTGACCCGGAGCTGCGGATGCATACGGCCTTTGACGACGCGACGACCTGTTGTATATTGCTTTCTTCCCCATCTATCCCACTGCCCCCTCTTGCTGACGACCGCACGCACACCGCATACCACTTGATCCCCCGTCCTGCTTTGCCCGCTCCACCCCCTCCTCGCCCCCGGTCCCGTACCCGATCCCCCGCCGCCTGCGGGCACTCCTCTTCGGCTTCGCCCGCGACCCGTGCGCCCTTTCATACGATAATGGCCCGTAGTATCTTGTGTTGCCGTGCCGTCTCTTGTTATCCGCGCATCCATTCTCAGTCCTACCTACACAGCATATATATCCTAACCTGCACTTGTATCCGAGACTCATCATCTGTTATGATACGCGTAGCTAACATATATTCAAGCATAGAAGGCAACTCAAGCGTCGCGGACAAATCACCGAAAGCCCATTGATTCGTAAAGAATGGTTAGTACAATGCACTCTCGAGTGTCCTCGTAGATCTACTCGCAGGTGCCCCCCGTGCAAAGCAACTGTCATAGCCTCGCCTTCTCGCTGGAAGGCCGCTGAGCGTGGAGGTCGTACAGGTCCTTCGCAGCGTGCTCAAGCTCCGCGCAAAACTCAGCGTTGGGCATCTCAGTGCGCGACGTGATCGTGAACTGGAGGTAGTCGTCGAAACCGGTCATGTAGGCCACACCGAAGCCATCCGGGACAACCTGCATTCATGGTTGTCAGATATTGATTAATACGCATACATAGCAGCATCGGCACTGACCTCGCCCCAGCCATACGGCCCGAAGTGCTTGGAGAAAATTGCGGACGTGCTGAGCACCCAGTAGCTCGAACGCTTTACGACCGGGTTGGCGAACACCTCAGGCATCTGCTCACCCTCCTTCACGAGAAGCTTGAGGCCTGTGGGGTGGAAGTCAGAATCGCATTGGCAGCCATTTAGAGGGAGGTTGGCGCACCGAGTAGATGGCGGTCAATACCCAGCCCGTTACCCGCAGCCCGCGCTGAAGCGCCATGCGTCTTGACCGCGTTCTTGAACAGCTCAAGCTTGCGCGTTGCACCCGCGCTCGCGTCATCCATGCTCTGAACCCACGCATCCGACTGTGAGGTCACGACACGAATCGCCTCGGTGCGGCCCTTCAGGAATTTGCGCACCGACGCGGCCTCGTACGTCCCCCCTTGACGTTTCTGCCCGCGCGAGCGCAGCAGGCGGGCATACGCAAGCTGCACGACCATCTGCGTCCACGAGTCGGGCGACACGCCGAACGCCTTGATGGCAGCCTTACCGTACGGCGTGCGCACGATATTCAGTGTCTGCGACGTGACGAGCGCGGTGGCGGCCTCAGTCGCGACCGTGATCGCGCGCTCAGTCTCGGCGGAAACATTCCAGTCGAGCGGCTGTGGCAGCGCGCCCTCGGTGGACGCGGAGGAGGGGGAGGCAAAGTCCGGGGACGCGATCGTGTTTATGACGTGGTCGCAGAGCGCGACGGTTGGCGTGCCGTCCATGACGGAGTGCTCCCCGACGAAGCCGGCCTTGCCGTCTGCGAAGACGACAAACTGACAGGGTTTGTCCATCCAGCGATTCCGGAGGCCGAGTTGCGGGAGCGCGCTCCCAGACTGAGGTACGACCGCGCCGTGCCACAAATTACGGCTGTGGTCGACGAGCGATGGCGCGGTCTCGGTGTCGAGGCACAGGACGAATGCCGCAGAGTGAATGGCAGTGATGATATCTGCGTTATGGGCGTCCGCAGCGAGGGCGCGATAGTCCTGCAAGACGTATGTCAGTCAAAGAGCACCATGTAGAAGGAAGGCATTGCTGCGTACTTTCGCCCACACATCCCGATTTGACGCAGTAAGTACCCCGATGGCCGGGTATTCCTTCGTTGTGTTGTCGTAAATATGTTGAATCTGTCTGAGGGTCTGGCGTTAATCCTGTGGTGCCCCTGTGAGCAAATGAGTGCAAGCCTACCTCTGTAGCTCTTCGAGCGAGAGCAGCTGCCCGTTCTGCCATGGATCGAGCTTCCAGACGCGCCCGCGATGCAGGACCGCAACATGGCCGGACCGGCCCCGATCACCAGCCTTGGCATGGCTCACGCACCAGTCAACCTCGGGCCCAGGAACCCGACAGCAGTCGAACATCCACCTGGAAGGAATATGAGCCATAATGATATGGTCGAATGGAGGGGCAAGTGCGTACCTCCATGTGTCCATGCATATAGGGCCCTCCTTGGTTGCTTCTGGAGGGACTTCGCCGAGCTTAAACTGTTCGCGGAACAGCATCGCGGCACGCACAATTGAAGCAGCGCGGTGCAGGGCCGTTTGCGGTAGGTGCGGAGGGTGTTCCCTGAAGCCGTCTATACCCAGAGATGCATCGTCTAGCGGTACCGCTGCGGCCCATAGTGTAGATCACTTACAATAGTAAGAGACATTTACTACAACCTATGGACCGTCAGTTCTCGCTTGCGTGCTCAGTATTATGTGCACTCACCGACTCGCGGAAGCCCATGTACGACCAGTCGTCCCACCACTCCTCGAGCCAGTGCGGACGGCCTGGTTCCTCGGCGCGCGCCTGCAGCCTCCGCTGGAGCTCGCGCGCATACTCGCTGGAGGCGAACTGATCGACGGCCTTGAGAGCGTCGGTGTACTCGCCCTCGGACCAGGCGGACGGCCTGATGGAGTCCTTGAGCTTGGCTAAAGTGTCTGCCAGTGCGGGGACAGGCAAACGCGGGAGCGATGATTGGGCCCCGAAGGTCGGGCCGGGAAGCGGCGGGGGCGCGAGCTGCTTCCACTGTGGGGGGCGGGTCGCTGCGAAGGCGTGGCTGGACATCGTGCGCGACGCTGACCAGGCTATGCGGGGCAGTCTGGGGGAGAACATGAGCGAGCAGGAGGAGGATGAGGGCTAGATGTACGAGACCGCATGCACTGGTGCTGCCACCACCGGCTCCGGGTACCACACGTGAATATGTCAGTACTTTACCGGCGTCCCTGGCCTCGTCCGGCGGGGCCCATAAGGTAAGGCACACCATCCGGTGCAAAACTCTCCATTAAATATGCTCACGATAACACGTGGATAACGGAGAGGCTTTGGTAGATGGAACAAAAAATCGAAGTCACGATGAAAGGGCCTGGCCGGGAATTGAACCCGGGACCTCCTCCAGACTGTCGGAAGACCCTAAGAAGGAATCATACTACTAGACCACCAGGCCACGAAGTCCAGGCTCAGACATGTAACTTCAGTCGTAACGGGTACCATCTCCGCGACGCGTCAGTACTGAGCCTCAAGCTTACGCGTCGGACGCGCGTCTTGACCTGCATTACGCCGCCAACTTGTTCCTCCTTCTCCAGCTACTCCGCCCAGCATGAGCTCAGCACAAGCCTCAACGTCCGCCAATACGATGGACCAAAGGAGAAAGGACGCCCTGAAGGGGTATAGAGATGTACGTTCCTGCCGACGCCCGGAGGTCCGCGCAGCTTACCCGTTTACCAGAAAATGCGGCAACACGAGCAATCGAGCGAGAACTTGAAGAGCTGTGAGAGAACACTAGCACTGTTAGCTATGGCAGAGGGACTAACATGCGGCAGTGAGGTTCTCGCTGAAGGATCTTGAGCTGGACTTCGAGAAGACAGAGGACGACATCAAGGCCGTACAGTCAGTAGGACAGATTATTGGCGAGGTCATGAAACAGCTGGACGACGAGCGATGTGAGTTGCACCTGTTAAGTTGCGATACTCGAGCTGGTGCTGACACGCATGCACGCGCCCCCGCAGTCATTGTAAAAGCCTCCTCGGGACCTCGCTACGTTGTGTCCTACCGCCCTACGCTACCGGTCGACAAGCTCAAGATGGGTACCCGTGTCAGCCTGGACATGACCACCCTCACCATCATGCGCATACTCCCCCGCGAAGTCGACCCGCTCGTTTACAAGATGAGCTTGGAGGACCCCGGAGGTGCGAGCTTCGCGGGCATCGGTGGTCTGGGAGAGCAAGTCCGAGAACTGCGGGAGGTACGCGCGTGCGAGTTCGCGTCCCGCAATGATCGCTTACGCTTGCGCTTGCGCACAGGTCATTGAACTGCCCCTGCTCAACCCCGAACTGTTCCAGCGCGTGGGCATCAAGCCTCCGAAGGGTGTGCTCTTGTACGGCCCCCCGGGCACGGGCAAGACGCTGCTCGCGCGCGCGGTTGCTGCGACGCTGAACACGAACTTCCTCAAGGTCGTCTCCTCCGCGATCGTCGACAAGTACATTGGCGAGTCCGCGCGTGTCGTGCGCGAGATGTTCGGGTACGCGCGCGAGCACGAGCCGTGTGTCATCTTCATGGACGAAATCGACGCCATTGGTGGGCGGCGGTTCTCCGAGGGCACGAGCGCGGATCGTGAGATCCAGCGGACGCTCATGGAGGTGAGTGCACGCGCCCTTCTGGCATACCTCTCAAAGGCATACTCACCGGGGTCGTGTGCAGCTACTGAACCAAATGGACGGCTTCGACTCGTTGGGACGGACAAAGCTGATCATGGCCACTAACCGTCCTGACACGCTCGACCCCGCGCTCCTCAGGCCAGGGCGTCTGGACAGGAAGATCGAGATCCCGCTGCCCAATGAGCAGGCGCGACTGGAGATCCTCAAGATCCACTCGCAGCCTGTAAACAAGAGCGGCGAGATGGACTACGAGGCTATCGTGAAGGTACGTGCAGTATGCGTATTTTAAGCATATGTGAGGCCTAATTGGCGTCGTAGCTGTCCGACGGCTTCAACGGTGCTGATCTGCGCAACGTGATCACGGAGGCTGGGATGTTCGCTATCAGGGACGACCGGTATGATGATTTGTTCTCGCGAAGTTGAGGTCTGGGCTGACCCAGTGTGTTTGCAGTGAATACGTCATCCAGGAAGACATGACGAAGGCTGCACGGAAAGTCGGGGAGGCAAAGAAGCACGAGAGTAAGCAGTGTCTCTGACGTTCCAATCTGTGATCCTCGCTGACCTCGCACACTCTCAGCCAAGCTCGAGTATTCTGCATAGTCGGTGTAGATGTCTTCGCTTTTGGACGTGTTTTGTATCATACCATGCATTTTGTACTCGGACTTCTCTCATGCACGGTTTCCATGTCCAACGGTTTCCATGTCGAGCGAGTGCAACCATGCCTTGCAACACCACTGCAGTAGTCTGGTGTTGAAGAGAGGTAGGAATGTGAACCCACAGAGTAATAACACATAAGCAAGATGCCTAATATGTCACAGTAGGCGATGTAGTTAAATCGATAGCAACATGATATTATTGACCTCGTATGATACAGTACAAGCTTGTCCATTTGTTCATGTGGATCCTCTAAGCTTCTGGACATACGTTGACGTAGGGTTAGGGTTAGCACTATGTACCAGCAACAAAAAAGGCCTGCCCAGCCCGAGGGCCGAAGCAGGACAGGGAAATATTGAGACGGTGCACGAGCCGAAGCCCGTACAAACCGCGAGGGCCCCCTGAGGACAAGGTCGCCGTGCTATGAGAGGCCCCCGTGGCCCACGAACCCTGGTACATGAAGGGGCCCGTGCCATCAAGGTAAGTATGACTTGCTACAACGTCCGGGGGAGGGTTTTATACCGGAGGGACGACGCACGGACCATGCAGTTTAGGGCGGGCAAGGAGGGCTTCTCGCGATGTCGATGCAGCCAGCCGTCGTTGATCGCATGACACGGAGGTGGGGACTGACCGCGTTCAGTGAATTTCCACGGCCTGGTGGTCTAGTAGTATGATTCCTTCTTAGGGCTTTTCGGCAATTGGAGGAGGTCCCGGGTTCAATTCCCGGCCAGGCCCTTTGCCCACGCAAGGTATGCTTTTTTCGCGGTGCTTACCTCCTAAGAGGGCGATAATCCAATTATTCATCCATGGCTGAGTACTTCTCTTGCGCCGCTGAAAGGGACGTTACCAGTAATCCTCCGCACGATACTCTACAACCTTCGCCCCGCCCCTCTTCTTCCTCTCTGCCTCCCACCGCTCCACCCACTTCGCCATCTTCCCCCGCGATGTCTCGCTCCCCACGTTCACCGTCGCGATCATCCGGCCCCAGTCGAGCGACAATGCAAAGCACGTCAGCTCGAAGAACGAGCTGTGCTCCGAGTACGGGACGCCGTACACCTGCAGCGTCGACGTCGAGTTCCGCATCGGCTGTAGGTTCGCGTGCGTGAACCCCAGGCCCTGCGAGCGAGTGATCACGGTCGAGATGGGCGGGAGCGTGTCGCTGCCCTTCGGCTGCGTGAAGCTAGAGACGCGGTAGCGGTATGAGCATATGTCTTTGCGGAGGACGGATCGGAAGTTGATTACTCACGTCCACCCGGTCGGTCTGAACCCGATGGCTCTGCTGTACCGACCTTTCCAGCGGTCGACATAATCCTGGAGCCTGTCAGACGCGATGACTCCGAGTGGCACAAGGTGTACCCCAGCGGCGTAAGCGTCGGTCGTGAGCAGTGCGTCCAACTCTGGGTCCTCTTCGCAGCGCAGGATGGCGGCTTTACGCGCGTCGCAGTATATCTTGGTGTCCAGCGCTTTCGCAATAGCCTTCACAATGCGCTCCTTGCCGATGGAATATGTCCTGCGGGCGGGTCGCATCAGTGTGGGATGTCTTGTCGGTGCGCTGAAGAAGACGTACCCTACGACGACGAGAACTTTGGTGGGCGCCGACGCAGCCTTGTCTTTCTCTTTGCCCTTATCGCCACCCTTGTCCTTCCGGGTGAACCAGCCAGTTACAGTGCGAGGTTTCGTCTCTCCTGGGTCAACATCCTCGACGGCGCGCCCTTGGACTAGACGTTTCGCGAGTTCCGCACAAGCGGAGATGACCAACGGTTGAGGCGGAAAACAGTACTGTAGTTTGCTGATGAAAACCACATCACGAAGGCAGATGGAATGGGAAAATGTACCTTGGGGTCTAGGTAGGTCGTATCGAGGTAGACGTGGTCGAGGTGCTTGCCCTTGACCGCGGGATGAAGAATGTGTTTGGGACACGCACGGAAGTCTCCGCAATGCAGGTAGCGGAAGATTCTTGGCGAGCCCACGAACGGGGACTTGTACGCACTGTCCCCGCCGTTGACCGTCTGCTTTCCCTCAAAGAGGAACAAGCACGAGCCCGGACCTGAAAGGTGAAATACTCCTGAGCAGACGTTCAAGGTAGCATGTGAGTCAAGATGGCGTACAGTGGTTGGCTTCGATCAAGGTGACCTCGACTCCGCCGGTGTTCGATATGACGGTAGGCACGTCCATGGGCAACGGGTGAACCCACTTGGGATCCACCTTCAGCATATGGATGATCAAGTTCGCGGTTCCTGGCGAACAGTATATTGGTCCGTGTTTCCAGTTCGCCGATAGGTTCGTGTAGTGGTCCGAGTGCGCATGTCTACGGTGCGGTTGAGACGACGTGGTAATACAGATGGGAAGTGATAAGAGACGTACGTCAAGAAATACGCCGTGCAGTTGGGTATGGCCCCGTAGCGGAAGGCGTCCACAGAGATGGGCATGCCCTGCAAGACTTTGTAAAATGGCGCTTTCCTTCGGTTGGCCCTGGTAGGTCGGAAATTGCGGTCTTCGACAGTAGACGCTTCTTTCCACGCTTCGTTCTCCTTGTAAGAGGTCATGAGCCTGGAGAAGACATCGCCTTCGCCGCTCTCCTGCTTGACTGCGGGCTTCATGTCATCCTCCGTGGGATGCGGGGGAGCAGGTAGGGACGACAGGGGCCGCAAGGTCTTCGAGCTCGATGCTCCCGATTGTGGGGGGCCTGACGGAGCAGGCTCGGGAATGGCGTCGATGCAGCGGTCTACATGATCATGAATTTCCTACCATTTGCGTCTTAGGCATATCCAGTGGTATACTAGTCAAATATGGACATACCAGGGTGCTCATCCCGATGAGCTGCCTGTCGCATATTGGACAACTCTCGACCGCGCCTCCGCTGTCACCCGAGGTCTCATCTGCCTCTTCCTCTAAGGTGAGGTCTATGTCGACTTCTTCGGAGGCTTCAGCTTTGACTCTGGTCTCTACGTCGACGAACTCTATCTCGTCGTCACCCGTGTCCCAGTCATCGTCTTCGAGAAGGGCATCCTCGACTTCACGGGTATCCTGTGCTGAAGGCGCGGACGCGTTGAAGACCGGGACATCCTGCGTCTTGCACTCAGACGAAGAATCCCCGCGACATAGAGGGGGACTCTCAGGAGGGGCAGCTTCGCTTTGCGAGTCCCGCGCGACAAGCAAGTCGGGGAACCCGAACGACACCGACTCGGAAGACTTGTCTGGCGAAGACGGTCGGAGCTCAGCGATATTTTCTTGGCTCCCATCTGGCTCGCTCTTGACGTTGGCGGCTTCGGCGAAGGTGTCAGTCCCTTGAGTGCTCCCGGAAGGGGATGCTCGCGCACTAATGTCTCTCAAGACAGGAGCTTTGCCGTTCAACGCAGAATCCGCATTCTTCGGCAGCAATTGCTTCGCAGAATTGCTGGATGTGCTGCGCATGGGCTTCGCGCACGGTTGAGGAGCACTAGCGTCGATGTCGTCTTCATCGGAGTCAATGACTATGATGTCTTCCGGCTCGGGCAGCCTCTTGCGCCCACTGTGCTTGACAGAAGCAGTCGGCTTCGTTCTTGGTTTCTTCGACTGTCGCGGGGCGGACCCAGTGGCACTCTTGCCAAAGAAGTCGAGTAGCGTGGACGCCTGAGGAGTTTGTTTGCGCTTGTTCGCCATGTAGACAACAGTGAATTAGTTGGCGGCTTCGATAACCGCAGATTTAGACTTGAATAAGTTAGGTAGAGTATCTAAGACGTGAACAGCGATAGCATGCCAAGAGAGCAAAGAGAGGAGAGCGAGTGGGAGTGAGAGAGGATGTGGTCGACCACAGGAACAAGACGAGTCGGCGCCTCGGGGCCGCACAAGCAAAGAATGTCTAAATTACGTAATTACGATCATTCCAAACATAGGATTCCGTCGTCTGCTCACGCTCAGTGCGACGGTTCGTGGTGCATAGGAGTCCAGGGAATATATAAACATCCTCTTGTCCGGGAACTTCAAGATCTGACGGGAGAGAGACCTTCTGCAAGGACGCCACCACCAGCGACCGACCCCGCATTGACAAGACCCCAGCCGCTAAGGGTTGACGCCCGCGCGCCTGTGGATCATCCTGAGCTCGACCTCCTTCGACCCGCCATGGACAAGCCGTAGGTCTTAGAGACTTAACGAAAACAGACGTACTCTATCTGTTTCCTAGCGTCTTCTCAACTAGAGTCTCATCGGTTCTCCGGCGTGCTATCTTGGCTTGACACCACTACATGCTCTCTCGTACAGTCCGCGCTGCGGTGCAGAAATGCGCATCTTCCACGAGGCATCCTACCTCTGCTTCCTTCACGACCACCGCTCGTCTGCTGGCATCCAAAGGCAAAAAGGTGGCGCAGTCAGAAGACAGGATCAACTACAATGACCAGTACTCCTTCTCCGATATACCAGACCCGGAGCACGTCAACTACAAGCACGTCACTGCGAATGACCTCGAGAAGGAGAGCGAACCCCCGCGTCGGGTGAAGATGCTTGTGCGGGACTTCATAGAGGACTCGTTATACAACCCGAACTACGGGTACTTCTCGAAGCAGGCAACCATCTTCACCGCCGCCGAACCCATCGACTTCACGGCCATAAGAAACATGTCGGCATTCGAGGCTGAAGTTGCGAACCGTTACGCGGAGTACGGTGTGGACCAAGATGGGCCAGGGAAGCAGATATGGCACACTCCGACGGAGCTCCTCAAAGTACGTAGCACGCGCACATATTCCTTCCGTGCACTAATGTGGTGCACTCGCAGCCTTGGTATGGCCGCGCCCTGGCTCAATGTCTAGTCTCGGAGTACCTCCTCAAGTACTTCCCGTATGAGGACTTCGTGATATATGAGATTGGAGCCGGAAACGGGACACTTGCCTTGAACATGCTCGACTACATCCAGGAGGAGTACCCCGACGTATACGAGCGGACGCGGTACAACATTATCGAGATCAGCGAGAACCTCTCAAAGTTGCAGCGGCAGAAACTAGAGTCTAAGCATCCGTGTGTTACCATTCATAACAAGAGTATATTCCGCTGGGATACCCGAGAACCCGCCCCTTGTTATTTTGTGGCAATGGAAGTCATCGTAAGTCGCAGTCCCCGTCTCCCTATGTATCTAACGTACGAATGACGCGCTCTAGGACAACTTCGCACACGATATGATACGTTATGACCTCCGCACCCTAGAGCCGTACCAAGGCCTCGTCACGATCGACGCGAACGGAGACTTCAGCACGTACTACACAAAGATCACGGATCCACTCATCAGCTCCTTCCTCGACTTACGCCGCTACCTCAGCCACCCACCACCAGTCCACCGCCTGCTCAAGCTCTCGCAGACATTCCGTACATTCTACACGAACCTCCCCTTCGCACCGAACCTCTCACCCCCCGAGTTCGTTCCAACGCGGCTACTGACGCTCCTCCGCACTCTCCGACGACATTTCCCCCGACACCGCCTCCTCCTCTCCGATTTCTCCTCCCTCCCCGACACGATCCCCGGCGTCAACGCCCCGGTCGTGCAGACGCGGTACCAGAACACGACCGTGCCATGTACGACACTGCTCGTCAAGCAGGGCTACTTCGACATCTTCTTCCCAACGCACTTCGAGAACCTGCGCGACATGTACGAGCACATCCTCGCGCAGCCGCTCCCGCCCACGCCCGAGCCCTCGGAGGACCGCGGCGACGACGCGCGCGTGACGCCGCTCGGGATGACCGCGTCCGCGCTCGCGGCGGGGAACAGCTTCTTCTCGTCGTACCACCCGAAGAACCGGCGGCCGCCCGTGGACGGGATCGCGTCGAGCAGCGGGCTGCCGGTGGGCGAGCGCAAGTCCGCGGTGTACTCGCACGCGGAGTTCATGAAGACGTATGCGGACCTGGGACGGACGCGCCTCCGGAGCGGCGAGAACCCTCTGTTGGATACGTACGAGAATGTAAAGTTCTTGTTTTGAATTTTTCTGCAGCGCGAGCGCACTTTGGGTTGTCCGCGCTTGGCTTTCAAGAGCCGTGCGCCGCGTGGGGCTCGGACTTTTTGCCTCGGACACGCAGTCGGTTTTGCATCGCGTTGCCATCACATCGTGCGCGCGGTTCCCGTGTCGAATATCCTCTAGGTCAGGCTCTCACTGCCGCAGTCACTGCGCGCCGACTATCGTAGGTCATCCAGTCACTGAACTGTGCATGGTAGAAGAGCAAGGACAGGTGATCTCTCTGTGTTTGGAGTCGTGTAATGAGCAACGCGGCACCTGCAGCGGAACTCTCACAAATTCATCCCCGTCTCGGTCGCGACGATATGAATTCGAAGCGATCTTGGCGCGCGATCGTCCTCGCACGTACTTTTCCCGAAAGCTTTTCCGTCAGAAATCAAGCATGCCGCCGCCGGCGAGCGGCGACCACAAGGCTGCTCTCCCTAGCGACCGGCATTCAGGCACGGCTCCTCGGGGACGCGGGTGCGGATCTCGCACCTGAGCCTCGCGTCCGCCTGATAAAAGGCGGGGCCACCAGGGCCGACGCTCACAACTTTCGCCCTCTCGTTCCACTGACCGGTTCAGCCTTCGCTCAAGCAGCTTCTCTTCCGTCTCTTTCCTTAGTCGACTTGCTGCTTGCCGTCTGCGACGGTCTTTGGAATCCTCCCCCACAATCCCTCGGTGTCACTCGCTTCCCTCGTCTTTCCAAGTAACTCAAGATGCAGTTCACTACCATTTTCTACGCGCTCTCCATGCTCTTCCTCTGCGCGTTCGCCGCGCCGCTGGAGGTGCGCCAGGAGACGGTCTCCAACGTGAAGTGCACGTCGAAGACGTGAGTACCCTGCGCCCTGACCTAGCTCGCGCGGTCTTGCTGACATCGCCGCTCGTAGCGCTCTTGACTTCCACACCTCGAATGTCGCCCTGCTCCAAATCTGCGGCGGCATCGCGGGCACGATCCAGAAGTGCCAGGGCGCGCCGACGTCCACCACTGGTCAGTCGGGCAACGTCCGCTTCTCGATCACCCCCGCGATCAAGGGCGACACCATCAACATCTCCAAAGGCCGCTGGGAGCGTGCGTACCATGTGTTCCAAGGCTCCTGCTGTGGGTGTACTGACGAACGGTTCGTGCAGAGGGCATCAAGGCCGCGTTCGCCGTCTGCGGCCAGAACATCCCCTTCACGGCCACCTTCGCTGGTGGTGCGACGAAGGGCGACGTCAACGTCGTCTACGGCACGGCTTAAGGCGGAGCGGTCTCTTTGGGTTGGGTGGTGGTTGTGTATGGGTAGTCGTGCTCTACTGGAATCACATTCGGGTCTCACCAGGATATGTTCTCGCTGACGCGTGCGACTGAGACCTTCGATAAGGTGAGGAACATTGAAGGACCATAAGTAAGTCGCAGTGAGATGGGCGACCGTCAGGGCCGTCACGTATCGGTACGCAGTGAGGTGGTGGTGGCCAGAGAGCAAGATGCAGAAATGATCGACGCGTCTGAGCGATGGCGTAAGGGCAGATCTGAGATCCATGCAGATCGCTGCAAGTTCTCTTGACTCGCATACACCCTCTGTCTCTCCTCTTCCCATCTCGCGGGCCTGCCAATCTGTGAAATCTACCTGTACGATATCTTGAGGACTACCTGTGGAGGTTCCAACACGCTCTGTAACAGCCCGAACGGTTACTTGCCAAGAGGACCATGACTGAGCGCATCGACCGGCTCGTCCGGACCTGGATTGCTGCAGAGCAAGAGCAGGTGGTAGAGGAAGCTGCTTCGGGTGAGTAAGACCTATGTTTTGGAAATGCGCGAGCGTGCGCTCACTAATCTTAGAGATTGCGCAGGGGAATGCCACCCTCTTAAGCCTTGTCAAATCTCTTGGGGAGTACTTGACATCGGAAGAGGATGATCTGCGTACCAAGGGTAGATATTCAACTATTCCTTTTGGACACGGTGTTTTCAACATACTGCAATATCAGGTGTTGAATTTCTTTCCCTGGTCCTCGCAAAATGTCCTCCGGAGAAGCTAAACCGGCAGTCAGGTACGCCAGTACGCTGTACTCCCATGTTATACTATCCTAATCGACAGTCGAACTTCCCTAAGTCCGAGTGCTCACTATGTTCTTCTGCGGCAAACTGGAAGACACGGAAACTATCATCCCCGCGCTGAAGGGCTTGGTCACGCTGACCAAGTTGCCCGCGTTCACCTCGATAGATGCCGTTGAAGTCATCAAGGCGTAAGCTTGTCCATTCTAAGTCTACGCAATCTCGCAGGTCTTAACAGCCGTTGCAGAATATTTGCGCACGTAAAAATGAAGGTCCTCGTACAGTCGCAACGTTTCATGGTATTTACGATCGTCGACGGCCTCGTCGCCCGCCATCGAGAAGGTCTGTCATTCCCGTTCGCGCGTAACCAGAAATTGACGTGCTGCTATAGCTTTCAAAGCGCTGGGCGATGAGTTCATTTGCGGATACATTAATATAGCTGAAGGCGAGAAAGATCCTCGCAACCTCATGCTGGCGTTTGCGATCGACCGCGTCCTTGTGATCGAGTTTGACGTACAGAAACACATTGAGGTAGGTCATGGTGTATTTCTCCGAGCGTCGGTTTTGACTATTCCACATCCAGGATATCTTTAACATCACCTTCTGCTACTTCCCTATCACATTCCGACCTCCTCCAAATGATCCGTATGGTATCTCAACCGATGACCTGAAAGGTGCACTGCGGTATGCAAGACGACATATCAGCAATGTCGCCCTTGCTCACAGTCTGTTTTAGATCCTGTCTGCATGCCACACCTGCGTTCGGCCCATTGGCGATCCCCTTGTTCCTTGAAAAGCTGACCGCTGGATCACCTGTTACGAAGGTGAATATTTTGGCAAGAAACGGGTGTACACCTATTGACACGAGAACCGTCAGAAAGACACGCTTCAGACGCTGGATGTCAGCCTTCCGGTCTATGGTCCCGCAGTGGCGAGAGAGAATGCCCGTAAATTGTGGAACTGCCTCAAGCTCGAGGTTCGCTTTTTCGTTCAAGTTACGAAATCCCGAACTGAACCGCGCTGCCTCCAGATTTTTCAACCGACGGATAGCGAAACGGAGGAAAAGGCCTTGAAGACCACCCAAGTTCTCATCCACACCATCTACTCCGCGAATGAGGCCGTGGGCGGCGACAGCGCAGAGATCGAGGGCTTGGCGAAGGATGCTTGCGACGAATGCATACAAATCCTCCGTGAGCCTGAGAAGAGCCAGGCACAACACGCTATCAAAGTCCTGTGTGCTTTCATGTCGACAACTCGTGAGTAACTCCTTCGATCACCTCGCGGATATGGCTCACTCTATCTCAAGCATCCGTCGCACGCTTCACGCTCGCAAGGGCGGTCCCGCACCTGGTGAAGCTCTTTCACAACCCTGACGAGCTGCCAAACCGTGCGCCGACTTTGAGGCTACTTGCGGATTTGATCGAGGCAGCGCGAAAGTCTACTGCAGAGGATCCGGAAGTGCTCCCGGAGGAAGGGAACGTGCCGCTTTCGCCATACAAAGACGAGGTTCTTGGCGTCTTGACCGTCGGCTTGAAAACGCCGGCCTCTGCGCTACCTGCCATCGACGGCCTGAAAAGTATGGTACGCACAGGTGGCCTACTGACGGATGAGGAACTGGGCTTCGTGGTCCACAATGTGAATGATATACTGCAGAAGGATGAAGACGAGAGCGAGATAAGGTGCGTTTGCTCATCTGCTGTTCCCGACCTGGTTCGGCTCATCTGGGCTTTGAATCGTGTAGCGACGCATCGTTGGACCTTCTGTGCACCGTCTCTTCCTTTGCACCATCCCACGTCTCTAGCAACACGCTTCCTCTCCTCTTTACTGCGCTTCCAGACAGGGCACCTATGCGCGAGGCAGAGGCCGACCGCGTTCGCTGTTGGCGGACACTGGCCTACCTGAAAAAACTCTGCACCCACCCTGAACTCTTCGAGACTCTAGTCGTGCGCCTCTCTACGAAGCTCGACCTGCTCTGCATACCTTCAGCATCTAGCGACGAGCAATCTGGTACCGATCTCGAGCCGTCGGCTGCCTATGCGCACTCTATTCTGAAGACCCTCGCCGATGTACTCTCTGCCAAGATCGATCTGGGCCACGCTGACGTCGTGAAGTACATCGACCGTCTGGTGCCGCGGCTATACAACCTCTTCATCTACTCTACGCTACTAGCGGAGGAGAAGCCGATGCCCGCCACTGAACCTCGTCTACTGGCCGTCTCAGCGCAGATCATCACTTTGGTGACGCAGACCCTCAACGCGGCGTAAGTTTGGGAGATTATTTAGCCTGCAGTGGAACCTCACTGCTTTATAGGCGACAAGAGAGCTTCATCAAAGCTATCTTCGCAGCGTACCTGGAGGGCGACGTATCACAGCTGGTAGACGGTGTGCAGAAGATTCCGGGTGACAAGAAATTCACGCCGTTACAGGTAGGCCTAAGTTTGGCATATCATCGAATCTCAACTGATTCTCTTTTCAGCCTGGTGCCTCCACTTCCCAGAAGAACTTGGTGGTGCTCTTTGCCGCTGCGGGCGTTGCACTACATAAGGAAGTATGGTGCTCCATGCCTGATAACATCGGCATTCCTGATAATCACCCCGCTTTGCAGGTATCACTCCCCGTCCCCGACGAGACAGTCCTGCTGAATAGCCTCCTTCAATGGACCGTCGACAGCGCTGAGAACGCGCTCCAGCGAGACGCCGTGACGCATCTGATTTCCGCCATATTGAACCGACATGCAGACAGTAAGCGGACTTGCTTTTCGCCGCCCATGGCGGCAAATATTCAAGTAGCCTCTTTACTTCAGAGCTGGAGACATTTTTGTCTGCGAACATCGCGGCCTTCTGGCATGCCCGAATTGCCGACGCGACCGTTGCAGCCGACGCCCGTCGAAACGCGATCACAACGTTCACATGGGTTGGTTTTATACTTGTGAAGCATTCAGGCATTCTCATCATCCCGTTGCGACAGGTGTCAAAAGCCCTCCTTGTACGCGGACACCCCACCGCGATGGCGAACGTCGACCGTTTGTTCGAGCTGTTTGACGACGACAAAGTCAACTGGGACGCTGCGCGAGCAATTGGGTTGATCCCGGGACCCGACAAGATTCTTACGAAAAAGAACCACGCAGTCACCCGGGTAGCACTTCCTGATCACTTTGAGGCAGCAGCTAGCTGACTTGTGTGGGGCCACGCAGATACTCTACGCACAGAAGTACTGCAACGCGGTCCTTCCCCGCATCATCGAGGGTGCGAAGGCATCACGTACGTCGCACCGCCCTGGCCAGTCTAGCATTACTAGCTAACCGCTGCACATGCAGAATCCGCGAGACAGAATGCGTTCCTCGTCGCACTTGCCGCACTCATCAAGTCGGTACCCAAGTCCACGTACACGGACCAGATGATATCCGTGAGTCATACACTTACACTAGCTCACTCGTCTCATGAATATGCCCACAGTTGATGCCCCTGCTCCTACGCGGGCTTGAGCTGCCCGATAACGAGATCCGCGCAAGCGTCATCGACACGCTGCAAGCGGCCGCGACGTCAGCCGGAAAGGACAACACCCTCCTCGCCGAGCACGCCGCGAGCCTCGTCTCCACGATGCTCAAGAACAGCATGGTCTCGCACATGCCGTCGGTGGTTCGTACACATCCTTTTTCTCCGGCCGCGCGGTGAATTGACGGTCGTGTGCGTGGCAGCGGGTTCGTGTGGCCGCGCTGCGATATTTGGCCACGCTGCCGGAGGTCGTCAGATATGACGTGTTGCACCCGCAGAAGGCAACGGTCGTCCGAGAGCTTGCGAAAGTGTTGGACGACCCGAAGAGGGCAGTACGAAAGGAAGCAGTAGAAGCAAGGTGAGCATTCTCTCTCGCCCATCTACCGTGTACATTTCTCATGTGCGTTCACGATCATAGAACAAACTGGTATGCTTCCTTTGCTGACCATAAGAAAGGCTTCCGGTATTGACATGCTTTTAGGTTCAAATTCTCTGGTTGAGTGCCACGCATGGGCACACATGTGGGGTATGTGTAGCAATTGCAGTCATCTATGTAGAACAGGGCGGCGTGAGGACTACAGTGCGCTGTGGGGATATAGTAGTGGTGACAAGTCGACGATGATGTGTAAAGAGAGATGTATTAGATACTAGTTGCGCACGCGCGCAGAAGACAGCAGCCGTCCCCCGTCCATGGCCAGTGAGCCCATCCCCCCGAATCCAGAAACCAAGCAACGACAGCGACAGCGACATAACGATAGGGAGCGGTAGGAGCGTGTGCGCACGGCGTGTACGGGGGTCTGCGCTCATGACACCGCGGCCATGATCGCCTGCGTCTTGAGATTTGCCTCCGCCAATGCCAGCTCGAACGCCTGCATATGTTCCTGAACGAGCTTCCTCCCATCGACTCTTCGTGATTTGCGTGGGGGTGTTGAGCCCGACGGCGTCGATTCCACGTCGAGGCCCGCTTCCCATCGCTCTATCCGCACACGACTTCGCTCTGCGCTATCCCACTCCGTTCGCCACCCACCCATCTTGTTCTTCAGCGCCCGGATCTTCCGACCGGCTTCGGTCGTCGCCGCAGCATTCACTTGTGTATGCTCAGATATCGTAGCAAGCGATGCGGCGGTAGATGTCGTGAAAGTACGTAGGTGCGCAAGGAGAGTTATGGTCGCAGCGGGGGTCGGGGGACCACTGAGCATTGGCGGTGGCGCGAACTCGGTTTTGACGGGTGTCTGCGGGTCGTACTCGTCCTCATCGTCCCCGAGGCGGGCCTGATCGGGGTCGACCTCCCAGTCATTCGCAGACAGCGCCGGATCCTCTGCGATAGAATCCAGCTCCTGCACATCCGCCTTCAACGCAGCCGACGACGGTGCCTGCGCATCGTCCTTGACAAAGTCATCCAGCTCCGGCAGGTGTCCAAGCGCCTCGTTCCCGCCGACCTCGCCCGCGATCTTGCGGAACTCGCGGTCGTACTCGAGCAGCTCCCGTAGCTGCGTCTCGCGATCGCGCGCCGTGTCGTTGATGCGCCGAATCACGTCCGACGCGAGCCGCTCGAGCCGCGGCTGCGACGCGTCCCCGTCCAGGTGCCGCAGCTGCGCGAGGAACTTCTCCGTCGACTCGAGGTCTTGCGCGAGGATCGCCATCGGGTCCGCCTCGGGCTGCCGCCGTTCCTTTGTGGGCGACGCGACGGGGCTCCGGAACTCGGGGTCGAAGTCGGGCGGCGCGTCAATCGCGGGCGCGGGCACGCCGCTGAGCTGCAGTTGCGCGGCGAGCGAGTCGTGGCCCATCTCATCCTCTCCAAACTGCGGTGCCGGGTCCCCGTACTGAGCCTCTGGGGGCTCGTCAATGCCTTCGGCGCCCTCATCGTACTCGATCCCAAACTCCTCCGCGAGCAGCTTCGAGCCCGCGCTCGGTTCTGGTAGTAGTGCCGCTGCGAGTTCGTGGGCGAGCGAATGTCGTCCGTTTGCTGCATCGTCGCTGCCATTCAAGGCATCTGCTAGAGACGGGCCGCGCAAGGACGTGGACGACTTGCGACCGCCAAGGTTCTGCTTAGATGGTGACTTGCGGGGGCCCGAGGTGGATCCTGCTGAGAGGTAGCGCGAGCCGAAGACATCGTCGTCGTTGTCGATGGAGGGCATGGCTGGAGAGTGTGCCGACGAGGACGATGGTTGTCCTTTGGCGGGGACGGAGAGGCGGAGGTGGTGGCTGAGAGCAAGTTACTTGACAACGCCGAAATAGGCGCGTCTATTCCTCTGCCACTCTGACAGTGTGATCGTGACTTGCTCCTCCGACTCCCGACGCGTGTGTGGCCAGCATGATTATCCCGTAAATCCACAAATAAATTCCGAGTAGGCTATCTCTAGGCACAACATCACGAATACGTCCTTCTACACAAACACGAAAGAACGTCGAGAGCCACCTATCTATCTATGTCGAACCCAAGGATACCATCTATGTATGTATACGTACGAAACGTCTAGTTAGCCGTTCGTCTGAAATCAAAAGTTCTGTCTTGCTTTGAAGTCTAGACTCTAGTCTAGTATGTGATCTACATCTAGGATAGCTGAACAGCAGAGAACCGCTCCGTGACTTCGTGTGCAGGACAGTCTAGAGTGTTCAAGGAAGGGAAGGTCGCCAGGAGGGCCTTGACGAGGGCAGGCGCACAGGCCGCGGCGTCGGGTACGTCGCCAATCGTCATGGAACGCAGCGCCTTCTGTTGCAGAACGACGGCATCGGGTGCAGGAGGCATGCCAGCGGCGGCCACCAGGTCGATGGGGAGGATAGGCAGCGCAAGGCTCTCCAAGTGAGGGAGAAACTTCGCCACAGAGAGAAGCGCCGCGGGGGTCATCTGGACCGGCCAGTCGGGTGGAAGGTAATCGAGGTCGAATGTGCCGAGGTTGAGGTGCTGCAGGGCGGGCCACCACTTGCCCATCCGTTCCAGGTCGCCATCGGTCAGTGCCGGGGCGAGCATCGACACGACCGCGAAGCGCCGCAGGCCCTTGAGCGCGGCGAGGGGCGTCAACAGGGAGAGCGGGTACCACTCTGGTGACACGTGCGGACGGAGGGAGGTGTCGAGATCCTCGAATTCCGTCAGGTCCTCGATAAGGAGCTCCGCCATGCTCTCCGATGTCTTCTGCGCGAGCATCTCGAAGACACCCTTGAGGTAACCCGGGCCGCGGGGAGAGCGGTCCACCTCCGCGCGGAGCTTCGTGAGGACCCGAGTGGGCAGGTGCTCCATGACGGTCGCGAGCAGCGCGCCGCTCGCGCGGATCTCCAGCTCCTCCAGCGCGGGGAAGCAGGGCGCGCCCGACCGAGAAAGCGCGTCAGAGAAGTCTTCATGTGAGATCCCACTCGCATGGATGGCCAGCGACCGCAGGCGGGGGAAAGTCGCGACCGCCGCGAGCGTATCGCACGTCAGGAAGCAGTTGGCGTATATCGTGAGGCTCCGAAGTTGCGTGAGCCCCGTGACCGCGCGGTTCAGCGACTCGGTCATCCGCCCGCGGATATGTAGGGTCTGCAGGTCGGGCGCGCGTAGGGTGGCTTGCTCCAGATAGCTTGCAGCGGCGTTGCTTCTGTCGATCACCGTCTGCGGGTCGCGCGCAGGGCCAATGTTCACTGCGATGCGTCGGAGGCGATCCGAGAGGATCCACGCCCTGGGCACCATGCATCCGTGGAAGGACAGCGTGACTGCTTCAAGCCGAGGCATGACGGTCGCGAGTTCGTCCACACCGGGTATGCTGAAGCGCGTGGGATGCGAGATTTCCTTGACGCGAGCAGCGTAGGCATGGAATGCAGGTGTAACGGCGGCATTGTCCTGCGGCGAGGTGGGGTGTTTAGCACGTGTTCTCGAGGTTCGCTGGCGGCGGTTCACTGGAGTGTTTATAACATGTACTCACCGTCTTTCCCTGTTCACCGCGCTGCAGGAGACTAACGAGCGGTGCCATCCCGTCTATGCGGGACCATAGCCTGTCTAACGCGGGGTCCTTCCACGCCTTGCAGCAACGCGCCAGCTGGCAGAGTGTCCATCGCGGCTCAGATTTCGGCAGCGCGACGCAATGGTCGAAGATGAGCTGGAGAATTTCGTCGATGAGCAGCGCGTGGTGCATGGTGAGGTCGGACCCCGCGACGGCGAGGCGGTGGGAGAAGGTGAAGAGGGTGAAACTCGGCTGTATGCATGGCTTGACTGACCGCTGTGGTCCTCCGAGAGCACGGAGGCGTTGATGTCCGCCCGTCAAAATTTGGGAATGGCGCGCTCCGATTGGCTGCCGCCATCCCGTGCGCTATGCTGCCGGCAACCGTCATTCCGGAGTGCATCTCACGGCAAAAATTGAGGCACCCGTTCGCACCGGGAAAGTAGACGACACGGTGTAGAGCGGCAGTCATAGCATTGCGCGATGGATACAGGTTCGTCATATGCATACAGCGTAGTACATGGCCGGGAAGCACATAACAACACGAACCGCACGAACGCTTAGACGACGGGGGGCTTCGTGCCGGGCTGGAACTGGTAGGTCAAGCCGCACTTGCCGCAGTACTGGCGGTCCTTGTGGAAGGCCATCTGCAAGGGAGATACGTTAGGCATTACGACGAGTAAAATTGGCGAGATATACGCACGAAGATACCGGCACCGCACTCGGCGGAGGGGCACTCACGACGGAGGCGCTTGATCTTGCCGTCCGACTCAACCTTGTAGTACTTCAAGATGGACATCTTGACCTTCTTGGGCTTGTGCTTGATCTTCTTGGGGGTCTGCAAGGGGAGTGTATTGAGTCCCTGCTCGTCAGGGTGGGGACGATGGTGTACTCACGTTGTAGGTCTTTTTCTTGCGCTTCTTCGCACCACCACGCAGACGCAGCACCAGGTGGAGGGTGGACTCCTTCTGGATGTTGTAGTCGCTGAGGGTGCGGCCGTCCTCGAGCTGCTTGCCGGCGAAGATCAGGCGCTGCTGGTCGGGGGGAATGCTATAGGCCGCAGGACAGTCAACACGGCGTTACACTGAGCTTCACTTCCAGGTACGCACCCCTCCTTGTCTTGGATCTTGGCCTTGACATTGTCGATGGTGTCCGAGGACTCAACCTCGAGGGTGATGGTTTTGCCCGTGAGGGTCTTTACGAAAATCTGCATCTGCGTTCACGGCGGGCTGTCAGTAACAGAAAGTGCAAAGCGAACGATGCTCAAGCTCACCTTCGTCCGCCTCTGTCTGTCCAACGAGCTGAACGGTGGAGTCGTTGACAAAAGCGAGTTCCTGGCTTGAAGGCAAGCCTAGCGCGCTCAGAAAGTTATATAGCCGAAGCTTAGTCAGCGCATGACTTGTGTGGATGGTCCGTGCATTAAGGTTTGAGCGTCGCTGACTCCGCCAGTCGGCGACTGACTAATTTGATCACCGAGACCGAGATCGGGAGCCTTCGTCGCGGGCCACGTGCCTTTACGAGACGCGTCTCTTCCGCCACATTCCGCGACGCGACTCTCTGCGCGTTCACCTACTTCTGCATATACACGCTCTTACATCACATCTACGCGTCGAATTATCAGCCATGGACAGCGACGATGACACGCGTATGGACGACAACGAGCCTATCAACTGGCCAAACACTACGAAGGGAAAGGGCAAGGGCAAAGCCACTCAGCACGAAGACTCTGCATACGATGTGGAGAACCTACCCTGGTGCGTGTCAGGCTCGTGCACACTGGAACCACTACCAAACAGACACGCTTCAGGGTAGAGAAGTACCGCCCGGTTACATTGGACGACGTTGTGTCGCATCATGACATCACAAGCACGAGTGAGTGTGCTCACCCGCTCGCACCAAGGAGTTTGACTAACGCGGTACAGTCGTGAAGTTCATCGAGAAGAACAGGCTCCCTCATCTGCTGTTCTATGGTCCACCGGGAACTGGAAAAACGTCGACCATTCTCGCTGTTGCGCGGCGAATATACGGCAATGACTACCGCAAGCAGATCCTGGAGGTGGGCTTGACATGATACCTGAACGCTTCTTGAATGTGTTAACGCCTGTGACGGTGTAGCTCAATGCCTCAGACGACCGTGGCATTGACGTTGTACGAGAGCAGATCAAGAACTTCGCAGAGACGCGTACCTTGTTCGCCAAGGGCTTCAAGCTAATCATTCTGGACGAGGCGGACATGATGACCACCGCAGCACAGTCTGCCTTGCGCCGTGTAATCGAGCAGTACACCAAGAACGTTCGCTTCTGCATTATCTGCAACTACGTCAACAAGATTATTCCCGCAATTCAGAGTCGATGCACACGGTTCCGCTTCTCACCACTGCCCATAACGGAGGTGGAGAAACGTCTGAACAGTGTTATTGAGGCCGAAGGGTAGGCGCGGTTTCATCGACGGCAGTGCTCTCATGTACTTATGTGGCCCTGCAGAGTCAAGCTGACAGAGGACGGCAAGAAGGCTCTACTCAAGCTTTCAAAAGGTGACATGCGTAGAGCGCTGAATGTCCTTCAAGCATGTCACGCTGCGTATGACCGCAGCGGGGAGGCAGAAATCTACAACTGCACAGGCAATCCCCATCCCTCCGACATTGAAACGATCGTCAACTCCATGCTACAAGACGACTTTACGACCTCGTACAATCGTGAGTTCGGTCCGTCCCTCAAAATTCTCCCTGTTATTGACCTCCTTGTCGGCAGTCATATCAGCGCTAAAGACGGAGCGCGGCCTGGCCCTCCCCGACCTCATCAACGGCGCATACGAGTATCTTCAGACTATCCAATTCAAACCCAACGCACGCATATACCTCCTCGACTTTCTTGCAACCACTGAGTCAGTGGTATATCTCAATTCATGCATGACCTGTTTCGCTAATCATCTTGTAGACATCGACTCTCTACCGGAGGAAATGAGAAGATCCAGCTGACGGCCCTTCTTGGTGCATTCAAGAACGCGGTGGAGTTGTCGGCCAAATCCATCTGAGTAGATACCCTTCGTCGTATGAGCCCGTCTCTTTGCTCTCGTTGTAATGCATTGTTTCTGTACCGACTCCTGCCTACGTCAAACGATGTGGGTGTAGTCAAGACGAGAGTCCGGTCGCGTAACTGAGCGTCTATTTTGAGTGTATGAGCTCATGACGGCGCGTCCACGTCGCGCCGACAACGTGGACGCTGCTCTCATCCCGCCGCCACCGCTGGGCACATCGCTCTCCTCTGTTGGCTGTGTTCGACTCACACTTACGACCTGTTCACGCTGTAACGACCGCTAGCTCGGCTTGGTTTCTGGGGTTTCCCTACTGTAGCTATGGCATTCCCGATTCCCTCGCACTTACCTCGCAAGAAGGATGCTCGAGACGTCTCTACTCAGATACTGACCAAAATATCTGAGACAACTCTGAAGGACCTCAACTCCAGCGCAGCGTCATCCTGGGTCTCAGAATTGGAGGACACCATCTCACTAACGAAGGTGTGCTCTTAGCAGTGCCCTCTGAAAGGTCCAACCAAACTCACTTCGAACTGGCAGGCTCACATTCACGAGCGCATCTCCAACGACCTTCCTGACTTCGAGCGACAACTATCCACCTCCGTCTCTGTGCAAGAACGCTTGCAGTCCTTGTCACAGAATGTCAATGTCCTGAGCGAGAACATATCAAATCCCCAGGTGAGCTTCCGCCCCCGCATCCCCCCGTGCGGCGCACCGACTGAGTGCGTGTAAAGTCAGGTTTGGTCCCAAATCTCCTCAGCACCCTCACAAGTCACGCCAAGCTTGCGCAAGAGGTTGCGGACGCGCGGTCAAGGCATGACGCCCTCGCCCACTTGCTTCGGTGTAGGAACGAGCTGAAGCGGTTAACACGGCTCGTCGAAGGTGGCGAGCTGCCCGAAGCGACTACGGCTGGTTCATCGCTTGAGGAAAGCATTTCGCGCGCGCCGGAGCCGCTACAGAGGAGTGAGGTTATGGCGGACCTCAAGGTACGTTTCAGCTCATATTTAGACGAGCCCGGATGACTGACCCCCACCAAGCGCAAGTGCACGACACTGCGTAATCGTACGGAAGAACAGCTTATACACGCATATTCGCGTAGTATAGTTATCTCTGCATCCGAGATCGTTGTGCGACCGACAGTACGAGGTGAGTGGGCATTTACGGAACTGTTAGTTCAGTAAAAGCCAACATCCGCTCCAGCTCCCCAGGGAACGTCGACATTCCCCCTCTCGGCTATTATCACTTCCCTGTCTCCCGCCGCACTCTCCTCGCACGTATCGACTCTGCGAAGGGACATTATTGCTCACTGCGTCGACTATGTGCTAAAACAGCCCATCACGATCGAGCAAACCACCTCCAACGACATCTCTGGCCCTGCGGAACACAAACTATCCATGTACCCTGCGCCGCCACAAGAAGAAGATATAACCTTCCGTGTCGAACGTCTTACAACTGTGGCGACGTTCCTCACCGAGCACCTCTTTCCCCATTTCCCCGAGCCTGAGCGCAAGTCACTAGCGCTATCCATCTGCACGCCAATACGCACGGCTATCCTCAACCACTTGCTGCTGCCTAACCTGCCCTCGTCATTAGCGAAGTTACCAGGCTACCTGCAGCTGGCAAAGCGTGCTGTCCGGGCGGAAGACGATGTCATTGTGGCAATGCTAGGGGATACAACTGGCGAACGGAGTGTCGGCGGGTGGGTAGACGCCGTCGGGCTGCACTATGAGCGGAAGCGCCGAGCCGAGATCCTCGACAGGGCTCGCGTCATTGTCGTCAGCCCTCCGGACGACAGCAGCTCGTTCCGCGTGGAGGTACCCCTGGTCATCGAGGAGGCAGCCCCGCCTGCTCTGTCTGAAATCAAAGCGCCCGTGACGAACGGCGCGACAAATGGGCACAAGACAAACGGAGACGCGGGTATTGTTGTCGATACCGAGGAGGCTGAGGTTGCTTGGGACTTTGAGGACGACACGCCTGTCGAGAGCGAGTCTTCCGGGGACGGCTGGGGCTTCGAGGATGACGTTGAGCCTGAGCCCGAACCTACGCCCGAAGTCGAGGTCTCTCAACCACCAGAACCGGAACCAGCAGAAACAGAAGAGCCGCTTGAGGAGGACGATCCATGGGGCTGGACTGACGATTCCGCGCCTGCTCCCGCCAACGACGAGGCGCCTGAAGAGGATGACCCTTGGGGCGATGCCTGGGACGAGAAGCCTAAGCAGGTAGTACTCAGCCCGGTACCTGCGCTGAAGCCTGCAAAGGGCCTACAGAAATTCTCGAAGAGTGTACCAAACTCCCCCGCATTCCCACCACCGAGGAGTCCTGCTATCCAGCAGCCGCTCACACCCCAACCCAATACGTTCAAGAATCCGCCACAGCCACCGCCTGCACCTTTAGTAGTGAAGCCAGTACGCGTCACGGAGTCTTTCCTTGTGTCCGGACGGACGAAGGAGCTTCTGCGGCTCGTTGAAGACGTCCTTCGCGAGGGGGCTGACCTGGTCTCCTCTGGTATCCTGGCATCCTACGCGTCCACTTCGCCGGGAAGTGTAATGATGCAGGCGGCACCTATGGCGCTCGAGCTCTTCCGAGCACTAGTTCCTGTCGCCAATGCGAATGTGCTCCAGCAGTCTGCAAGGGAGGCTATGCGGTTCTCGAACGACTGCTCCTTTGTGGGCCAGGAGCTGCAGCAGATGGTCGCGAAGTTGAGTGGACCCAAGGCGACTGCACGAGACAAGCTGGAGGAGGGATTGGAGACTCTCAAGCTCCTTGCTGACAGCTGGTTCGAAGATGCGATTGTGCGTTTCACGAATGTTGGCGCGCAGAGCGGACGCTAACGGTTGTTCTCACAGGCTCGCGAGGAGCGGTCGATTGAGGAACTGCTGGATGGCGCGCGAGGCTTTATCGATACCACGCACCAGGAGCGCTATGATGAGTGCGAGAGCGCAGTCAACGAAGTGCTCCGACGCATTCGCAGGGTTTCCCCGCAATGGAAGGTGCGGTCAGGCGCAGTCGGCTTTTGATGTATGGCTGAATCCTCGTGTGAGCAGACGGTCTTGGCGAAGAGCAAGTACTATGACGCGCTGGGCGCCGTGGTGCAGACAGCCATCTCGCGTATCCTGAGGGACGTGCTCACGCTGGAGGACATAACGGAAGTCGAATCGCACCGGCTCAGCGAAATCTGCCACATTCTGAACGCGTTGGAGGGGCTGTTCATGGAAGACCCTGACCATCCATCGTTCGTCGTGTCGTATGTCCCCTCGTGGTTGAAGTTCTCGTACCTTTCCGAGCTGCTGGTACGTCTCCGCTTCGATGCTTTACACAACTAGCCGATTCTAATCCCTATGACTCATGCAGGAGGCCTCTATCGCTGACATCTCCTACTTGTTCGAAGAAGGCGCGCTTGTGGACTTCGAGATCGAGGAGCTTGTAAAGCTCGTGCGGGCCCTATTCGCCGACACGCCTCTGAGGGCCAATACGATCAACAGGCTGCTGCAGGGACACCCCGGGCGCGGATCATAGCGTCTTCTTTGGACTGTGCCTATCATGCTTTGGTTCCCTCGCTTCTGCACTGTACGTACCCTTGCTTACCTTCTGGACGGTATATTATCACGGATCATCGGCGTACGTCATTCGACTTTCCCAATAATCTAACATGAGTCGGGTCGCGAAGGGGTTGGTTCGCAGGCGGCAGCATGCCGCAGCCGTATTCATTATACAAGACTGGATTTCGAGCTCCGACTTATCCCCCCTCACAGAAACGTGAGTTCGCGAATCTGCTTCTCCATCGGTTCTTTCTGCTCGTGGCCTACCGCAGTACCCCTGCAACACATCCTCGAGGCGCAGAAGACAGGAATTATAGAGATACACACTATCGACCTCTATGTTTCCATCGCGCCTGCGACCATCTCCTCCCGCACCTTGTCAGCTCCCTTCCACCGCTTGGAAAGACCTCAATACAACTCAACTCTCACCCTCGTCCAACATGCCCATACGCACGGCTGCACCACCTTTCAATCAGCCCTCGGCGGATCTCACACTCCGTACCGTTGACCTTGTCGACTTCTATGTGAACTCGCCAATGCTCGTCCATGCCTCGCCGTTTTTTGCCGCCATGCTCGCGCTTCCCCAGCCCGCTGCAACCCCACCTCCCTCTGCGGATCATCACGATACAGCGTTGAACAAAACGCCCACCATACCCGTGCCAGAGGACAGCACGACTCTCGACCTCCTCCTACGCCTAGTCTACCCCATCTCCAAGTCTCGCGTGCAGATGGAAGACCCGCGGGGGATGGAACCCGTCCTACAAGCCGCAATAAAGTATGAGATGGAGCTGCCCGTCGAAATTCTGACTAGGAGGCTTTGCGAGATTATGCCCCAGAATCCTCTGCAGGTGTGGGCGACCGCCTGCCGTACGGGCCTCGAGGACGTCGCACGCCGAGCCGCCATCGATCTTCGGGTCTCGTGGACCCGCACCGAAGGGGAGGAAGCGCTGTCTCTCTTGAACGGCCTCGGGGACATGACTGGTATCTCAGCCGGGGACTATCTCCGGTTGAAGCAGTTCCTGAAAGCTGACCAGTGCGTCATAGACGAGGGACATTTGACTCTCCTAACCCCTCCCCTCGAACTGGCATTACCTCCCACTCCCACACTCCCACCATTCTCTACCGGGTTGGAGTCCACCGACGTCCTTTGCCGGCCGTCATCCGGACGTGACTCCGAGGTGTTGTACCCTGCTCACCGGGTCATTCTCTCTATGCATTCGCCGGTGTTGAAGGCTCGACTCGCAGCTCAGGAGGTTCCATCGAACGACTCGCACCGCGACGACTCTCCGTTGTCTCCAAGTATACTAGATTTCGATGAAGGCCGTGAGGTCTTGTCTTCCTTGTTGAAGGCGTGCTATGACGGAGAGGAGGGTATGCCCACCGACCTCGCTTCCATCGCGGAGCTCCTGGATGCATCCGACAAGTACCAAATGGCGCGCATCGGGGGCTGGGCTCGCGCAGCTTGGGATAGAGTGGCGGTGGATCACCCCTTGGAAGCATACTGCGTTGCGGTGAACCATGGGCTGAACGAGTGCGCGGATGCAGCTGCGCGGAACATACTCGCAGGACCGATCGCGGATGCCTACACCTCCATCATGGACGTCACACCTGCCCTCGCCTACCATCGCTTGCTCAAATACTATGATACATGCCGCCAGGTCGTCCGGGAACGACTGGGTGAAGTCAGCGACCGGGTCCCTGCCTATATCTACATCTACCGTCCCGGGTTTGGGAATGGCGAAGCGGCCACTACCGACGTCAAGGACGCATTGAATGAGTTCGCCACCAATCCAGACAGCGTCCTGGCCGCGGGATCTACCCAGAACGCACTGCTTCAAAAGACCTTGACGAAGACGATGTCTGGTCCTGACCTCCTTGGCCAAACCCCACTTCGGGATTTCGTACATGTACTCATGGAGTGCGTGACTTCGGTCCCGCAGGCAATCAATTCTGCGATCGACGCTGTGCGTTGTTTGAAACTATCGTGCGCAATGTTGACCTGACACTGCACTCGATACTAGGTACGGATCGAGCGAGCCTGAGTTGAGAAGGAGCCGTATATATGTGGAGTCGACGAGCGTCGCGCGCAGGTGCGCGGCTGCTTCTGATTCGTACAGTGTACACTGGCACACTTCGAATCTCATGGGACATAACCGACACTGGGTAATCCTCTTGCGAGATCATGTCAAGGAAGTACAACCCTCCTACCAATGTTCGTAGACGGCTCACAAAAACGCATCCTACTTTATGAGTGCGCTTTGACAACCTTACACCCAGCGTTTGTGAGTTGGGCCCATTCGTTTGGGCCGCTGTACATCCAAAGTATCAAGGCAAGTAGTGTTATGTACCCTCACATAGCACTGCAACCAGGCGGCCGCGCTCAGGACAGAAACCCAAGCGTAAGCAGACTAGACCCCGCGTCATGGTCCATCGCTCTTTGGATTCAAGCGCGACATGCGCGCTGTTGTACCTGTTAAAATTAAAATAAGCACTAATATTCGAGTAGATCTGGGTGTAACATCGTCTGAGGTGATCTGCAAGTACGCTGTATATATGACATGCGCGAGGAAGTTGGCGAGGAGGTGAGAGACGGGCGTCTACCAACTACGGGAGTCACGAGCTTGGCGCACGGACCACCTCGACCTCGGCAAGCAGTCCCGCCAGTCCTCCTTGTTCTCCTCCCTCCTCCTCCCTTGCTTGCTGTATTATACCCCTCTGGTTCTATCTAGTTTCTGTCTAGTGATATCTATGCTCTGCGATGGCCACGATTGAAGTAACTTCTTCACTATAAGGCGCGCCGGGCGGGACTCACATGCGCCCTCACAGGCTTTCGAGGCAGCATTAAAGGATGTTCTGAAGGCGAAGCGACTCTCGCAGTCGAAGATGGCTGCTTTGACCAAGGTCGCACTGGATTGCATGGATGTGCGTCCCGTTTCCTTGTTGGCCGGGCAATGATGCGCGTTGCCGTTAACGCGTCGTGCCTGTCACCTATACTCACCGCTCGCCAACAGAATGACGTCCAGGTGGTATCTAGTTTATACCGTACGCACCGAGGGCTCTCCCCCGATGCTAAGGGGGCCAGTCTATATGCGTTTGACGCGCTTGCGCGAGCTGCTCGCAATCGCGTCGTCAAGAACCATCTCAGCGCAGATCTGAGCGCGGACAAAGGGAACTGCGCAACGTTCTTGCTCCGGATAGAAGGAGTTCTTGATGGCCTCTTTCGGGATCTTGCGTCGACTGACAGTGGCAACCTCAAGGTTCGTACAGAACGTTTGACCACTAATCGTCTGCGCGGCGGCTTTTGTCGACCATAACTCCTTGTCCTTCCCCTCGACGTGCCATACGCACAAAACAGTCCAAAAGAAATACTGCTTCCATGCTGCCGTAATCACCGCCGCCTGTGCGCTTGTTCACATCGCGGATGGGACGGACAGCTTTCTTTGCGAACTGACCAGAAAGCGTCGGTCGCTTTACACCTAGCCGTTCTCCATCACCTGACAGAATTTCCTTCTATCTCGTGGTGACCGAGAAGCGACGTCCTAACCGATCTCCGCCGACTTGCAGGAAAAGGCCAAGAAGATCCTGGATATATGGACAAAGCAGAATACGTTCTCATCCGCTGTGCTGTCGCCGCTGTACTCAGTACTGGAGCAGGCAGGGAAAGATAAAGGTGCATATGGTTTGTCCTGTCGGTTCGCTAAGTACATCTTCCTGTGCAATCCCATTTGTTTGCGCCGTGGCAGATCAAGAGCGTGAGACATGAACTGAAATATGGTTTTGTCCGTGTCAGAACCCAACAATGCAGAGACGACGGATGTGGTATCCACCGAGCCCGTACCGCCCGCTCTTCCTCCAGCCGACCCTACCGCGCAAACTCCTATACAGCCAGTCGACGTGAATGCCGTACAATCCACCCTCTTCGCCCTGCTCAGCAAAGCGGCCAGCGCCGTCAATGCAGCCGCGCCAATGACAACGTGAGTGCCTGTTATCGTGCGGGCGTCGGGGATCGCTCAGTGCCTTCCAGCCAAACAGCGCCAAATTTCGCCCCGCCACCAGCCGCACCGGTCCCAATCTTGGATGCCAATCAGCTCGCCCTCCTCCACCAGCTGGCGCAAACGGCGAAGGGGAATGCAGTTCCTTCGCAGCCCATACCTGTACCCGCGTCCGTAGTGCCATCATTGACTACTCCGAATGGCGTGCTTGTAGTACCCCCTGTGCAAGGGCCCCCGCAGCCTCAGCCATTCCCGTATCGAGATGATCATTACGGCGCCCCTGCCAGTGCTCCCCATAGAGAGTCAGAGCATGTCCGGTTCGACGGCCCAGAGCGCGGGTATCCCCGCGATGACTATAACGACCCCCGTCGCGGCTCCAGAGGTGGCCCTCGCGAGCGCCGGCGAGGCGGGCGCGGACGGGGCAGGTGGGACGACCGCGACCGCGACCACTTCCGAGACCGAAGTAGAGAGTTCTCGCGCGACCCCAGGCCGCGGCGGAGCCGCTCAGGCAGCCCGCCCGGCCGCTACGGCGGTCCTGGGCCTCGCGACGCGCGCCCGTACAGTCCCCCTCCCCCTCCCGGTCGACGGGGCGGGTATGGGCAGCGACAATCCCAAGGATATGGACCGGGTGCTGCAGCTCAGGTCAGCGGCCGCGGGGAGCCAGAGGCGGGCAAAGACGAATTTGGACGCGATCTCAGGCCGGAGTCGCCCCGCGCCGATTCGGACACAGCGTCTGTGCAGGCGCACCAGCAGCGCAGCGCATCGCCCCTGCCGCCCGGGACAGGGTCGGTCACCACGTCTGACCGCGGGTCCGTAGCGTCCGAGAACGCCCACCCTGCTGCTCCCCGTGCGGCTGCTCCGTACTCGCAGCCATACCCAGGCGCACCCCCTCACGCCCACTCGTATCCTGCCGGCTCGCCGGTATCACCACCTATCTCGCCGTCGACATCTACCGCGCCGCCGCTCTCCCCGGTCCAGCACCACCGTGTCCCGGGGGCAGGCGGCGCCCTCGAGGGCTTCGATCGCGCGAGCTTCGATCCCTCTGACCCGGCCTCGTGGGAAACGCTCGGGAAGGCATGGACCGCTACGCACGCCACGATGCCTACGCAGCAGGAGCTCATGCAGTACATCTTGGGCGGCGCTGGCCCGCCCGTTCCCCAGCAAGCACCTGGGACATACGGTGCACTTCCGCCACAGCAGCAGCCACAACAACACCAACGGTTCCAATCACCGCCGTCTTCTCAGCCTCCGCCGCCTCAGCAATACTCGCAGCCGTACGATGACGGCGGAGGGCGACAGTGGCAAGGGCCTGACCGCCAGCAATGGAACAACAGGTCTCAAGATCCCCGAGGCGGAGGCTGGCGAGGCGGGCCTGCGGGAAGAGGCGGAGGACGGGACGAGTTTGGCGGCGCAGGACGCGCACGTGCGCGGGGTCGTGGGGACTTCGGCCGCGGAGGATACGGCCGCGGGGAGCCCGGACGGAGGGGCTTTGGCCGCGAAGACCACGGACGCGGGGATTACGGCGGATACGGCAACGGCCGGGGTGCGTATAGCGCGGGTGGGGCAGGACACCACGAGCAGGACACGGACGCGGTTATGCTTGGTGGAGGGGATGACCACTCGGGGCAGCATGAGCAGGGCCCGTCTTACGGCCTACTACCACCGCAGGCGTACCAGGAGCAGTTGTATAGGGATCCGCAGCCGCCAGTCCCAGTGCAGCCGCCGTTCCAGGCTCAAGCGCAAGGCCCGCCGCCACCGCATGCGTACGGTGCACCGCCGCCGCCGAGCCATGAAGCCGAAGGAGGAAGTGGTGGCGGGGGCTTGGGTGGTCGGATGCAGAAGGTCGGGGACAAGTGGGTCTTCGTGCGCAGCGCGGCATGATTCCGCATGGTCAGCTTGGCAGGTATCTTTCACAACGTTATTTTCGCACTGTACACACAGCTTTCCCGTAGCATTAGCATGTCATTCCGGATCGTTATGCACTCTGCTCTCCTCGCTCGTTCGTCAAGCCCGCCAGCTCGTACGCGTACGGGTCGCCGCGGGACATCGCGCCTCCCGACCTGGAGAGCTCGGCGTTGTAGAGCCGTCGTGCGCCGTGTGAGTCGGCCGCGAAGGGGTTCGGGAAGTAGATGAGGTAGCAGATCGTGGCGCAGGTGGCCCCGAGGAGGCTTCCTACTATCACGTCTTCTTTGTGATGTCTCTGAGTATCATGAGAGGCATCAGCCGCTTTCGTAGTGAAAATTTGTGTAGATGTAGTCACTCACGTAGTCCTCAACGCGAGATACCGCGACCCATGTCGCAAACACTAGCGGAGCTAGCGAGAGTGCGATCCGCCCGAACTTGCTACGGTGAAAGCCGGACGGGACCGGCTCCGTAAGACGCCACGCTCCTGTTGCGCCTGCGATCCAAAGGGACAGGAACATCATGCCGGCCCACGCTATGGACGAGTGGCCTGACGGGAACGACCGGCGTCCGTCAAGGACAGAGTCAAGCTTCCTATCGGTATACGGACCGGTCAGGGACAGTTGAACATGCGAGCACGTCGAAAACGGACCCTGTACAAGCCTTGAAATCTTTATCCCATTTACAGCGGTCGAGGAAGTCGGGCCGAAGACGTCCTGCAAGAATCATGAGTTGAGCATCCGACGACGTGTGTGCACAAGGCTGGCTGACAGTACTTGCCTACCCTATTCTTGAGGAATTCGGTAAGCAGATATGTGAGACCGCTGTCGTGGTGATTGAGTATAAAAACGGCATCAATGCCAACGGTGTATACAACGCACCCTGTCGTGTAGAAGCCTAGTACACTGTGATGGATATCAATGGCTGAGCGACGGATAGCTCCGACAGCTACTGTGATGGCGACCGGGAGAAGGAATGCGAGTATCCAATTCCACCCGCCGCCAATCCTGTTGGGTATGGTATTAGAGGTTGGAATCATGAAGGAGTAGCATAGACGGACTGGTTGTGTCGGTGCTTGTGATCGATGAGCGGATCTTTAGTGCTGAAGTCGCGCTCGTATGGCTGGATTTCTTTGACGAAATGTGCGGCGGCCCACATCAGGGCTGCGCATGCCCTATCCAATGAGGGGGGTGGGGGTCAGTGCATGTTTTAAAGCGGTCTCGGCACAACGTTATGAAAGGGCGCCCCCGAAGATGACTTGCACGTGGGCGAAACATACCAATCTACCGCGTACCCGCCGTCCCAAATGGTGGCAAGTGCTGCTGGACCGAATCGTGCCAGACCATTGTACGACATTTTGAGGATCGATCGGTTTCACACTGAGCTCCCTGTGGACAAATTCGTCAGTATCAGCACCTTGGGTGGATAATGCTGCGCTACAGATCCGCCAGAGTACGTACCGTCAAGCGCGTTGCGGCGCCTTCGTGGTATAGTTTTTGTTAGCTTAGCTCTACTCACGCTTCAAGAGTATCCGCACAATATACAATGGTAACAGCGTAGCGTTCACAGCAGGTAACGTCGCATGCAGGCTGTGTGGGTGGTGGGAACGTGCAAGATGCAAGGCCCGATACGAGGCGTACATATGTGTATACCGACCGAGCCACGTGGCACCGCAGCTAGTGCCCATTAAGGTAGAGTTCAGAACGCCGTAAGACGCGCCGTAACTCGCGTTCTACGTTGCGTTACGGATCAAGTGCCCTGATTATCCCACTTTGAGCTTCAAGTCGCATTGGCCCAAGTGTTGGTGCTTTTCACAGATAGCTGAAACAGCGTAAGATGTGACGCGATGGAGTCATCGCGACTTTACGCGAGAGTCACAGCTTAGTCATCTTGTTACGTATCGTGAACGTGACAAAGGGCATCCTCGCGTCGCGTGCATGACGCGCTGCCACCACTTTCTCCTCCTCCCCTCACCATGGCCCCAGCCTCCAAGGCATCCCGAGCGAAGGGCCAGAAGCCCATAACATCCTTCTTCGCGAAACCCAAGAAATCTGGAGAATCCAGCAAGACTAACCAGTCTGACCCTGAAGATGACAAACCCGAAGACGACCCGGTAGAGGACCCAGAGGACGACGACGAGGGCGAGGGAGAGGGCGAGGCGACCAAGGGCGTGAATGTGGAGAACTCGGACTTGCCCCCCATCTTCAAGATACCTGCCATCTTCTCCGACCTCGTGTCGCGTATCCCTCAGATCAAAGACGTTGCAGCACATCTGAAGGGGCGTAAGCTACGTATCGCGACTATGTGTTCGGGGACTGAGTCTCCGCTACTCGCCTTGAACCTCATACAACGCTGCGTCATGGAGCGTTATGAAGTAACCCTCGATTACGAACATGTATTCTCTTGTGAGATCGAGCCCTTCAAACAAGCTTACATCGAGCGAAACTTCAAGCCTGCTCTTCTGTTTCGCGACGTCTGTGAACTTGGGGACGATGAAGCGTGAGTGAAATTGCACTTACGACATCTACGTGAACTTGACGAACGAAATAGTACTACGGCCTACGGAGCGCTCGCGCGGGTCCCAGGAGACGTCGATCTACTCGTGGCCGGTACATCTTGCGTCGACTATTCCAACCTAAACAATGAAAAGCAAGGCATCGACGCAAACGGGGAGTCTGGGCGAACCTTCCGCGGTATGATGTCGTGGGTCAAGAAGCACCGTCCGCCGATCGTTATCCTCGAGAACGTCTGCGGTGCCCCATGGGATCGTGTGGCGGAGTACTTCGGCAACAACCACTACAGTGCGGCGCATCTTCGGGTAGACACGAAGACATTCTACATCCCGCATACTCGCACACGAGTGTACCTCATCGCTGTCGACCAGAAACGCTCAGGTCTGCCCGACGCGTGGAAGAACCTGATCCAGAAGCTCCGGCGCCCCGCCTCGTCGACGCTGGACGCGTTCCTGCTGCCCACGGACGACCCGCGTATCCACCAGGCGAGGCAGAAGCTGGCTTCCGAAGCTCACAATGTCGGCGAAAGGCGTGGGCGAACTGACTGGGGTCGATGCGAGAGTCGTCACCAGCGCGCGCGTCTCGAAGAGCTCCTCGGAACGAAGCGCCCCCTTACCAGTTGGGAAGAAGGTATGCTAAGAACCAGGCGATCAAGCCGGAATGCTCACTTTCTACTAGGTGGTTACTGCAAACTGCAAGACTTTGCATGGAACGACTGGGGCGTTGGCCAAGTCGAACGCGTCTGGGACTTGATGGACATCAGTCTCCTGCGCGCAGCGAAGAAGGGGGTCGACCCTTCGTTTAAGACGTGAGTGTCATCTATTCCCGGTCCTTGTAGTCGGATTTTGACAATGCTTCAGTCAGGTGTGGAACCTCTCCCAGAACGTCGATCGTTCTACGGGAGCGAGCAAGCCGGGTATTTGCCCGTGTCTAACTCCCTCCATGATCCCGTACATCACGAACCGTGGAGGACCCATGGTCGGCCTTGAGGCTTTGTCTATGCAAGGCCTTCCGGTGGACGAGCTCCTCCTCACTCGCGAAACGGAAGACCAGCTGGCCGATCTGGCCGGCAATGCGATGTCGACGACCGTCGTCGGCGCGTGCATGCTTGCTGCCCTCGTAATTGGCAGGAAGCTATTGAAGGACGGGTCGGACGCGCGGACGTATGAGCAACGTCACGATGGCGAGATGGCAGACGGCGAGGCGAAGTCCACCAAGGTCGAGGAAGAGATGGAGGTCGACCAGCCTGCCGTGGACATCGAGGGCCGCATCACGGGCGAGGACCAGCTGTCGCAGCAGCCCCTCGACCTAGCAGCGTCTACTTCGCAGCTGACGTTGCAGGCAATTCTGGAACAGGCGCAGCGCAGCGCCCGTCTGTGCAGCTGTGAAGGGCGCAAGGACATGACAGAGCGCACGCTCAACCGATGCGTTGACTGCGACTCCACGTCGTGCGTCAAGTGTGGCGGCCGTCCGGAGCACAACCTGCAGCCCATCGACCTCAAGGCGCATCCGCGTCTGTCGCCATCCACGTTCGAGAAGGACCTGAAGGCCGTCCTACCGATGTCGCTGACGGTCTCAAACGTTACCAAAGCGCTTCTTGACAAGCTTGCTGGCGGGGTCGACATCGACACCTCTAGCGGCCGCTGGACGGGCTGGCGCGCTGCGGTCTTGCGCGCGGCCGAGAAGGAGATGCGTTTCGTCGAGCCCAAACGGCAGGAGGTCTGGTCCGTGGTGTACCAGTCGCCCACTGCGAAGCTTGAGCTTTCGCTACACCCAAAGCAGCCCGAGTGGCGCCTGTTCGCATTCCCGGAGGAGAGCGAGCCCGCGAACGCCGAAATCCGCAAGGTGCTCGACCTGCCCGTGGGCCGCTTCGTCTGCAGCGACGGGCTCTTCTCCGGGCGGTGGGAGTTTGCGCTCCCCGCCACCGCGAAGGCGGATATCACGATCGAGGGCAGCGTCGAGCTCGTCGCGGCATGGGAGCAGAAGCTCGGCCTGCAGGGCGACGAGTTCCGGAACAAGATGGTGCACGCGCAGTTGGAGGTGAGCGTGCCCGAGGCGCAGCGCGAGCTGTTCGACCGCGACATCTCCGGCACGTACACGCTCATCGACAAGTGCGGAACGGCGAACGCGGCGCTGCACAAGCGCGAGCAGACGGACGCGGACGAGGGTCTGCCTCCGATCTTCCTGCTCCTCGACCCGACGCGGTGCGGGGAGCCTGCGGCGGACTCGTTCGTGTTCTCCACGAGCACGCGGCGATACGAGTATGGCGAGAGCCGGCCGCTCATTGCGATTCTCGACCCGAAGTGGAGACAGTCGGATGTGGACGGGGCGCAGGACGTCAAGTGCGTCCTCCCGTGCCGTTGGGTGGAGTCGTCGACCGTAAAGCTCACTGTAAGTTTGATTGTCTGTGGATGAGCACGCCTCTGACTTAGCCCCTTTAGCCCGCCTCGGGACATGATGCTGTGTTCTCGACTCCTTCCGAGGAGGTCACTATCGATGTGTCTCAAGACGCATGTCAGAGCGCGACAGCGCTCCTCGTCTGCCGCGTCCCTCTGGGCGAGCAGGCCGGCCCGGAATGGCCGCGCGGGGTATGGGAAGAGGTCGACAAGGTGCACGAGCGTTCGACGTTCAAGTCCCTCGCCTGGCTAGTGGAGCGTATCCGGAACATCGACGGGCAGTTCAACGACTGGCAGACCGCGGACGCCGTCGACAACAACCACATCCAGTGCCAGCGATGCGCGCCCGTCTCGCCCGCCATTCGCTGGGCGAAGGTCAAGAAGCGGATCGCCGCGTTCGAAGACACGATCCAGGCCGGAGAGTACGAGCGCAGCCTGAAGCGGCGTCCTGCCCCGTTCATCACGCAGCTGAAGCTCGACGACGAGGGGCTCGGAATTGTGCGCATCGGTGTCAACATGACCTCACTCATGCACCGCGCACTGTCCCGGCTGCCTACCGCCGGTCGCACGGAGGCCGTAACGCTGTCGTGGCGGTTGAACACGGATTTTACGCCCGCGGTCAAGATCACGCTGCCCAAGTTCCGACTGTCGAGCAACAAGCGCGACGTCGAGCACGCGCAGCCGCCGAGCTTCAAGGTCCCGCTGCGTCCCGAGCAGCTGCGCTCGCTCACCTGGATGCTCGCGCAGGAGAAGAAGGGCGCTCCCGCGTTCGTTGAGGAGGAGATCTCAGAGGCGATCCTCGAGCCACTCGGGTGGCGCGCAGAGGGCCGTGCACAGCGCCCACACCATGTCCGCGGCGGCGTCCTCGCAGACGAGGTTGGGTACGGGAAGACGGCGATCTCGCTCGGGCTGATCGACTGCGCGGCGGAGGGCGTACGGAAAGAGTTCAAGGCGGTGAAGGGCATGAAGGGCCATATCGCGACGAAGGCGACGTTGATCATCGTGCCGCCACATCTGACGCGCCAGTGGGAGTCCGAAGTGCGCAAGTTCACGAAGAACACGTTCGAGGTCGTCGTGCTGCACACGGCGTCGAACCTCAACTCGCTCAAGGTCGAGGACGTGATGGACGCAGACATCGTCATCGTCGCGTCGAACCTGTTCAAGAGTCAGGTGTACCAGGACAACTTGGAGGCGTTCGCGGGTGCGGGCGAGCTGCCCATCCAGGACGGCCGGTTCTTCGACGCGCGGCTGGAGATCACGCTCAAGGGGCTCCAGGAGCAGGTCGAGCGCCTCAGGGACGAGGGAGCGGAGGAGGTCATGGAGCAGATCAAGGAAGGCCGTAAGATCGGTGAGTGCCTATTTCAATCCTTCGAAAGTCAGGCCGGTGGATTCAACATCTCGGTAGACGAGGCGGCCCAACTATTGGTTCCTACCAAGCGTCTCAAGGGCAAATCGTACCGTGACGCCGCGGACACCACTGTGAAGTCCGAGAACGTCAAAGAGGAGCCCGAGGAGGCCACCCTTCCCGCCAAGAAGAAGTCGACCGTGAGCCCGCGGACGGGCCTGAAAGTGGAGGTGGTCATCCCTTCTCTACCAAGGAGTCGCGGCTCGCCCTCCGCCTCCAGTGCGCCTGCAAGCGACGAGGATGAAGACATCCGGACCATGCGCCGCGCGGTCAAGCGGAAGGCGATCGTCATTTCTGACGACGACAGTAGCGAGGAGGAGGCCCCTAAGAAGAAGGGTAAGGGCAAGGGGAAAGCCCCGGCGAAGAAGAGACCCGCGAAGCGTTCGAAGGCGTCCGAGTCCTCTGATTACGAGGAGTCTGCTGCCGAGGAAGAGGAGGATGAAGAGGAGGACGACTTCATTGCGAGCTCGGATGACGAGAAGCCTAAGACGTCGAAGGCCAAGGGCAAGTCGAGGGCAGCACCGAAGAAAGCTGGGAAGGCTCGGTCCGCGCCCGCAACATCCGAGTCTGAGGATGCTATGGAAGTCGACGATGACGAGGACGTCAAGCCCTCTGGTAAGGGCAAGAAGCCCGCGAAGAAGCCCAAGGTCGAGAAACCCGTAAAGGAGAAGAAGCGACGAGAGGACTCGGACCCCTGGAAGCTCAAGTCGTCGGCCGTCAAGCGTGACTGGCGCAAGATGCAGTCTCCGCCGTTGGAGATGTTCTACTTCTCTCGCAAGATCGTCGACGAGTACACCTACCTTGACGGCAAGGTGCTCTCAATGGTCACCAAGATGAAGGCCGACCGCCTCTGGGTTCTCTCTGGTACCCCGCCCATTCATGACTTCGGCGCGCTGAAGACGATCTCCGCGTTCCTCAACATCCACCTCGGCATCGATGATGACAATGAGGGTCAGTCGCTGCAGGTCAAGAAGCGGAAGAGGGAGCAGACAGGTACGCTTCTTGCTTTATCTCCTTCTGCATTAGCTGATGATTGGGGCAGCCGTCGAGAAGTTCCACTCGTTCCGCGAGGTGCACAGCCTGGAGTGGCACGCCCATCGTCATGAGCTTGGGCAGAAGTTCCTCGACCAGTTCGTGAGACAGGTATGTTCATTTCGTTTGTGCTCGGGTGCCGCCAACTCACTCCTCGCAGAACATCGCCGAGATCGACGAGATATCGTGCGGCCAGGAGATCCAAAGAGTCAAGCTCCCCGCTTCCGAGCGCGCGATCTACTTGGAGCTCGAGCATCATTTGCGTGCTATCGACATGACCGTGAAGCGAGGCAGGAAGAGCGAGAGCGACCGTGAGAAGCGCCTCGCACAAGCTCTTGGTGACAGCGGGTATGTTATTTCAACGGTGGATTTGGGAACCGCTTCTGACGCTTCGAGATTAGCACCGCCGAGGAAGCATTGCTAAAGCGGTGCTCGCATTTCGAGCTCGAGACCGCCGACAAGGAGAACGCCATCAAGGCATGTGAGGTCATCGTGAAGGAGCGCACTAAGCAGCTGCAGGACTGCAAGGCTGAGCTGCTGAAGAAGCTCAACGATGCCGTCAAGATGGAGAAGAAGATCGGCAAGGTGCCTGACGAGTCGCTCTTCCGCGAGTATGTGCGCGTCACCCGGACGGAAGGCGTTGGTGACAAGGAGGCCACCGAGGCCGTACAAGCCCTTCTAGACGAGACCAACATCGCAGGGCCGCTTAAGCCCTTGACGAACAAGTTGAGCGGGAAGAGCAGCGGGAAGAAGGACGACTCCGACATTCCGAAGGCAACGAAGGACCTTATCTGGGACCACCGAGAACAGACTCACGAGATTCGTCGCATCACCAAGGAACTCGTCGGTCGTGTGCGGTCGCTCAGGTACTTCACCGTCGTCCGTGATTTGCAGAGGCAGGCCGACTCGCCACCAGTCGTACACTGCCCCAGTTGTGACCGCAAGGACGTTCCTCTCGACGAGATCGCCGTCCTATCCTCTTGCGGACACATGGGCTGCTACACCTGCGTCGTGGCCTGCGCGGATAGGGAGGAGTGTGTCTACGCCGCCTCGGGGGCTTGTCGTGCCGCTGCGCGCGCCCTTAACATCGTTAAGGCTGACACCCTCGGTGTCGACGACGAAGCACGCGACGGACGTGGCAAGCACTACGGCCTCAAGCTGGAGAAGATCATGGACCTAATCAAGTATGTTTCCGATGCCACAGTCACAGTGGGCGGATACTAACTACCCTGTAGGAAAACCATCCCGAAGGACGAGCGAGTCCTGATCTTCGTCCAGTTCCCCGACCTTACCGCGAAGGTGGCCGAGGCCCTGAACTCCTACCGCGTTCCCTTTCTCGAGATCAAGGGCTCCGCTTCGCAGAAGAGCAAGAACCTGGAGAAGTTCCAGAACGACAGCGAGGAGCGTGTGCTCCTGCTGAATGTCATGGACGAGAGCGCGAGCGGAGCAAACCTCACATCTGCCAACCACGCCATCTTCATCTCGCCGCTGCTCGCGCCAACGCAGGAGATCTACGACGCGTGCGAGACCCAGGCGATCGGTCGTCTGCGGCGATACGGGCAGCTCAAGCATGTCAACATCTGGAGGTTCCTCAGTTTGGACACGATCGACGTGGAGATCTACCAGCAGCGGACGGGGCAGAAGGTGTAATTGGATTGACAGTCACGGTGCTTTGAATGGTGTTGTTCGGAATCCTCTCGTCGTATATCTGTGCTATATCTTACGTGCTCTATGTTATCCATGTATGTCCCTTGAGTTCTTGTAGTATGTAATGTAATGAAGGTGTTGTTTTGGCTGCTCACTCTGGAAAGCTGAAAGTTCAAGACCAGTGTGTGTCCGCGACGCTCTTTCGCAACTTACACTCTAGGCGTACGTAACCTACTCACCGTAGGCAGAGTGGAAGTATACCGGTCTAGACATTTCTCATCAATGTCAACTTCGATACTCTGACGCTCCAAAATGACTGGTCATGTAGCAAAAATGACCACCGCAGGGGTCGAACCTGCAATCTCTTGATTCGTAGTCAGACGCGATGCCATTTCGCCAGGCGGCCGATATGTTTTGAACTGACATAGTAAAACATTATCGGCTGCATGTACGACGCAATAATACTCAAAGTCTTAGACTCCATGCGATCAGATCCGGGTAGAGTAGTATATTCAGTTGGCTACAGACGGTGTGCCATTCCCGCCAAGTACGATCCATGCAGACATCATAGGAATGAACGTGCAGCAGTACGTGGTTCCGATAGACTTCGAACTGGAGGATCGCGAGGAGTTCGCGTCGATGGCCGTCCGCGGACCGTCGTAGAGGTGGCTGTGCTGACAATATGCGCCAAGCGTCAGATTATGCATGGCCGCCTGGCGAAATGGCATCGCGTCTGACTACGAATCAGGAGATTGCAGGTTCGACCCCTGCGGTGGTCATTTTTGCTCAATTCCCCTACGGTACGGCTGTTTTCCTTATCCTATTACCAAAAGCTGAAACCCGCCTTTACGTTGTGTGTCAGGCAAACTAGATCCCGAGCCGAGCTATGCTCTATGGGGTTGAGAGACGGCGAATTCTAGATAACCGTACCATGCGACGGTGCATTTGTTCACGGATATCAAGCAGTAACGTACTTACTCCGTTATCCCGGCCTTCTCAATGAGCACGAGGCAAAACACAATCATAGCTTGGGGCGAACAGGGGCAAAACGTGAGTCGGCCCAGGATCGAACTGAGGACCTTCTGTGTGTTAGACAGATGCGATAACCAACTACGCCACCGACCCGTTATATCCTTGGTCGTGTAGGTGCGGCAGCAAGGGGCTTAATGCTAAAGCGGGGGACTACTTATTTGAATGATAACAATATGTAAATTCACGACATCTTCAAATCTTCTCCGTTGGCGTCGTCGAAACATCCCAAAAAATTGACTATAGGTAGCGTACAGGTACTCTCCGCCCATAGTAGAGTCGTGTCGAGACTTACAGGCCCGGTGACTTCGTCGTTAAGCGAGACGTTCTATTACGCGCTCCAAGTCCGAGCCCGCGATCCCTTCCGTCTGTGGTTCCATAGTAGTGTTAGCGCAGCTCGGAGCGCAACACCCCGTAGATGCGCGACGTTTCACCCAAGTGGTGGCGTTCGTCCACGTCAATTACCGACGATGGCGACATAGCTCGGTCAGGGCGAGGATGTCCAGCCGCCCCGAGGGCGACACAGAGTGGCAAAGCACCCATCCCCACCTCGCCGCTACACCTCCGCCAATCCTAGGTAAGCGGGGGCAGGAGTCGCCGGTATGGCACTCGATGGTGATGGTTTTGTGGGCGACGGCATCGCGATGAGCACTGCGACGCGCAGACGCGCGGGATCTTCAGTCGCCTCCGCCGAACGGACGCTAGCGGTCGGTTTTTCGGAGAAGGTGCTCCAGGAGGAGCGAGCACTATCTCGGCTGAGCGACCGTGACGCGCGAGGGGAAGAACGAAGCGGGGGACGCGTTGGGGAGGCACTAGCAAGTGCTTCGCATGGAGGTGCGTTTGGTGGGAGATATTCCAGGGAAATGGGCTGAAAGGGCAAGTCAGTCGATGAATACGCATAGGAGGGTAGTACACGCACCATCATCCCGTTCCATCCGTGCTCGCCGACACGAACACAAGAGAACGAGGGAGACTGGTCCATGTGCACCTCCCACATGCGCGGCTTCTCCTCCTGAAGTTCCCGAGCAGGCTTGCGGTAGACAGGGACGACGCCATCGCCACGAAGTGCGCGGACGCCTTTGAGAACAACGAGCGTGCAGACAACAAACACCACAACAGCGATGAGCGCGGGGATGGCGGGGTTTACTGATGGGCGGCCGCGGCTGCCGGAAGGGACGTCGGCGAGCGTTGTGCTGTTGGTACTGGTGCTTGAATCGTTGTCTAAGACGCGAGCAGCGAGCAACGATATCCGCGATCCATATATGAGAGGCTGTAGCGGATGGGTGAGCCATAACGCGACGGAGTAGAGCAGGAGCATCAACCTTGACAAGCGGGAGGTGGGATGGCTCGCTATGCGATTCTTCGGATATTGTAGGGGTGGACATTGCGTACAGAGTTTGTTCTTGGTCTTCCAGTAGGTTGTTTCTTGAGAAAAGTGAATGTCAAGGTGGGAAAACTCTCGAAGATTAGCAGGGGAACACGGAGCAGTGTGCTGGAGGATAATGCAACACAGGCGAGGTAGGAGGGCGGGGAAGGAAGCTCTCCTATGCACGAGTGACATTCATATACGCACACGTCCTGCAGCGCCCACTGCGCACGAGACACGGACGTTTAGATGTAAACGGCAAATGACTCTGTTCCATAGTTGCCGCGCATGATCGCGTCAAGCCTCCAGCCTCCGGGAGACGCTTATTCAGCGCGGGGTTCATTGGAACCTATAGGATGGCCCCGCTGGGACGCTTAACCGCGAGGGTAGTTAAGACGTTAACGGCGTAATTAAACGCGTGCCCGTGACTCATGTAATCGGACCAGGGGGTGGAAGTCTAGAGGGGTGTAATATGGAGAGCGCCCCTCTATTCGAGTCATAGGTAAACAACGTCAGCCAAGCCATCCACAAACGACGCGGGACCTACTTGCCATAAGCTTCCGAATTTCACCGGCCGCACTCAACGTTTGTATGTTTGTTGCTCGTTGCATTCTAGCGGTTAGAAACGTGCGCACGTTAACCTACACGACTTGGACAAGCGCCACATGCCATCAATATTGACGTGGGTATGAGTCAGTCCGCTTCCGATGCGCGCTCGCCGAGGATGCCCCATGTCAAAGAACAACACCAACGGGACCCGGGGCACAGGGATTCGGAGCGGTGTGGCGGATCGCAGGGACGTTCCTTCGAATGACGATTGAGGACGCTGACTGAGCTACGACCGTGGTCCGTAGTCAATCGCACGTGGAGGCTGCGCAGTGATGGACTCGGAATGACGGAGGTCTATTTCACGGGAGACGGTCATTCGACTGAGTCTCGACACAGGGAAGAGGCAAGACGCGAGACGTTGGTGTGCAAATTTGAATGAGAATCATGATGAGCGTAGGAGGCGTTGAATGCATACGAGCGCTTGCACTGGTAAGTACCGCACCCGCCGCGGTCAGCATAGACGCTGGGATGTGCCTGCCAAGTCGGTCAGTTGGTCGATCGGGCAACGCCACAAATATTGTGACTTGGATGGGCATATGAGGAGGGGATAGGGAAGAATTCATATGAACGGAAACATGACAATCCTGGTTATAGTACATTGGTACAGATGCTTACTGTACTAACAAGAAATCGAGATACTGTACATTTGGAAAAAGCATTATGTCAGGATTATCCCCAGCCTGTAACAGGAAGCGGGCCCAACAAGGGGACTGGTGAGAAGAGGTGATTTGGGACCTCTCGAGTATGGCTCGTGGTGATTATCTGGAAGCGGCACCGGTAGTGTGTTGAATCCTTCGTCCTGGCGCGGGGGAGGGGAGGGAATGCTGATCGCCAAAACGAGGTATTCATTCAGCTCGTCCCCGTCCCGGCCCCCGGTCTGGGTGAAGAGAGGCCTGCGGAGGCATCGCCGAAAGCATGCGTTTGCTTGTTCTACACGCACTTGGAAGTTGGGAAAGATGTGGTGTACCGTTGCGGCGAGGGAATATAGACGACGTCTTTCCATTGCATCGTCGAACGTCGTGGCATTGCTTTCGCTTGGGTCCTGCGTGCGGAGGGGGACCAGGCTAGTGACGGGGCGCGGCACTTCAACGCTGCAGCTTCAGCACCGCCACCGACGCCACAACCGACGCCACAAAGCGGGCGCCTCTCAAGGTAGCCCAAGACGCCAAGAATACGGTCTGATCCGAGGACAAGGACGCTGTCGCGAAAGGAGTGCAGTCTACGCGCGCGCGCTCATAAGTCTACACAATCGCACAACAGTCACAAATACTACTCACAGAGGTCCACGACATCGCTGAAAATACCCCTCCCCAACGGAGACGAAGCCTAGAGTCAAGGATTTACTCCACAATCATCCAGGGCAGCAGCGAGAGATTGGGGGCTTTCGTGTATGTTGACCGCCGTCGGACTCGTTGACGTCTCAAGTGATCCAGAGTGGTGGCCTAGCGTCGGGGTCCAACCAAGGTTGTCGCGATTCGGCGAAGCTTCAGAGACGAGGCCGGGACTATGCATAGCTATGATATCGAGATTGATGCTTGGCAAAATCGGAGACCCGGCTGGCGCGGTGGCGGCTGTCTGGCTGCGCGACGGTCCCCTGAGGTTCTCAGTTGTACCCTGGCCCGATGCCGGTGCAGAGTGAGACGGCGCCACTGGCGGAGCGCCGTTCGTCTGGGTTGCGGCTCGCGAAAGGTCGATATCGAGGACGTTAGGCCTAGGGGCTGTGGTATTCCTGCGCCGGCCCATCGTCGCCTGCGGATGGCGCTCACGATACTCGCGCAGCAACCGTGCGTTCTCCAAGCGGCCGCGCCAGAAGCTCGACACGATCTCCGGGTCGACGCGCGTGGGGCCCTCGTTGCGCACTTTCACGGAGTCGAGCAGCTCGCGTAGCTTGGTGCTGACGATGAGTCCCGGATCGATCTCGTTCAGCTCCTCGAGCGCGAGCAGGATCGACGCGATCTGCCCCGAGCCAAGTGCGCTCGTCCCGGACTCGGGGGTGGTGAAGTATGTCTCGAGGTCGGCGAGCATGAGCCGCAGCTCGTTCTTGATGCTGTCGAAGTCGAGCCGGGGGAACGTCGCGGCGGTGGAGAAAGCGAGCGTCATCTCGCACGCGACGTGGAAGGCGTTGTAGTCGCTGCCCTGCTTCGCGGTGCGCGCGAAGGAGATGATCCTCTGTATGACTGACGACGTCACGCAAATCGGTATGAGCGGCGATGGTGAGGGCAGTAGACAGATAATAAGATACACACCAACAGGATGAATAGGTGCGCAGGACCGCGCCCATATCCGCTGCATAATCCCAAAGGAGCGCATCTTCACGGAATCCTCGTGGGTCAAGAACCGAGCCAAGACGTCAAAGAGACGCTGGTACAGCGTCACAGCGTCGTAGTGCTCGGTCTCGAAAGGGATAGCGCGGCAAAGACTGTCGGTCAGGGTAAGCATCTTATCTATACCTGCGCGGTCCGCTCGATCTATCCGGGGGAGGACGTCTAAGATGAGGTGCAGGAGAAGGCTGACGCCAGAGTCGACGGTTTCGCGATGGCGCCAGTGTGGTATGCCGTGCAACACAGTGTCTGCACGATGGGTGATGATTTCGTGCAAACAGTCGACCGCTGCGGGGCACTCCGTGTCGTTGAGACAGAAGCTGATCGTCCGGCACAAGAAGTCGTCCTCCATGAACGTCGCGTCCGCGTCCGCGAGCAGCCGGTGGTCCAACTTGGACGCCGAGTCATGCACGATAGCCATCTCGCGCTCGCGCCAAGTGCCAAAGAATCGCCTGTGGATCAGGCTGAGGAGCCACGCAGCGAGGAGACGCCGCCACCTGCGGAACATGGATGGATCGATGATGAGCGGCCACTTAGGGCGATACCAACCTAGCCACGAGTATATCTTGTGCGCGGCAAGTGATAGAAGACGCGCGAGTCCCTGCAACACAAGGTATACGCCCAACGCCTGCGGCGACTTGTAGGGGCAGTCACCCCGGAATGTCGGCATGATCGTGGTGAGAACAAGGAAACCAAGCGATATGGTGACTATGGTGGTAATCACTCCCGCAACGGAGGTGTTCAGGCTCCAGAGGAGATCCAAGAGGCCGGCGAAGAAGAGCGCCATCGCGACCTGGAGGAGGATGGGCAAGAGGGCGATGGTAAATGGTACGTTCCACCTCACGAAACCTTCGTGACGAAGTTGACGGATACGCGCGTTTTCGCGGGGAGAGCTTGCGGCATTGCGCGTGTACTCGCGCAACCATTGTTTCGTGAGAATGCCCACGGAAGCGGAGACAAGGCTGAGAACGAGGCTCGAGAACCACAGAATGTTGATGCGGACAGAACGCGCGTCCGCAGAGAACGCCGCGCTCTCGGCGGGAGATTGCGGCGTTGTTGTCCCCGCGTTTGTTGCGAGCTGTGCGGAGATCTGGCCCAACAGCTTCGCCGTCTTCTCGTCAGGATCTTCTTGTAGCAGCTTGTATGACTCAATGTTGAACGCCGTGACGACTGCCGAAAAGAGACCAGCCTGTGGAAGAGGTGTGTCAGAAATCCGAACCGTTATACCCAGCACCTCGACTCACAAAGACTAGGAGACTGTCCACATCTTCCTTCCAACCCTGTATCAGATGTTGGTCGTGTTCCCGCAAAGCCTTGACACAATTAGTCCAAGCTCCGTTGGGTCCAGAGCTCGCTACGGATGGGCCAATCCTGATGGTCGATGTTCCATGGTCGCCGTGATCCACATCATGTCGTGTCTAGACTCCAATTTCAGCGCTCGGGACACGATACTTTACGTGGACGCCCACCGTCTTCATAGGAACATATGGCGGATGTGCATGAGGCACAACATATGGATGCACTGAGTCATCATCAGGCGCAGGAAGTGGGAGTTCTGACAAGGGGATTGGGGATGTGGTTTGGCCATTCATGCCAAATGGGGCCTCTTGGGGGTGTAATTGCAAAGACATCACACGTTTGGTTGGGCTAATCAGCAAGATGGATCAAAGTACAAGGGGCGAAGGGGTGCTGGTGGGAAGTTCTGGGGAGGGGTGTGGACAGACCGCCTCGAGCGACGAACCTTTTATATGATCAATGTCCCAGGGAAAGTTTGCACAGATCTAACCGAGCTGTCACCCAGCGAAGGCACAGCCAACACGAAGAAGGTATCGCTGCGGCAGTTCACGTGTCGTCGAGGCCCAACAATCCGCAAGCGCTTCGCAGTGGATGTGACCTGCCAGTGCCATAGTGAGTAGCGCGCTGGACAGCCTCGAGGTTCATGATCAACTAAGAAGCTCTAGCTACTCAGCTCATGCATACGCCCGCGGGGTCGTAGATGCTTCGACAGTGAAATGAGCGTGCTCCATAGCTGAGTGCTGAGAGCGCGGTATAAAGCTAGGCTTGAGCTTCTAGCTTCCAACTTCCAGTCCTATCCGGTCGAAGGTACGTTCGCGTTTGCGGCAATCCCGGGCTGCTAAGGAGTTCTTCCTGGTCGTATTTTGAAGCACAAGCGGTATTCTTTTCAAGGCATAGAGAGCAGATCATGGTTGCAAAAAGCGTGGTTTGAGATTCGGATGAGCGGAAGAGCGATGCGGCAGTCTGAGGGTAGGGTGCGGCAGTCTGCTCGCGCCTGCCCTTAACCAAAACTCGACCCCGTGACCTGGCGCGTTTGTGGTCGAACCGCGCGCGTCCACTGTCAGTGTCCCGGTCCGTCCAGGCTGAGGCTCTAAACACCAGCGACCTACCCCCACGCGCGCCGATCCCGCAACAACCAAGACCAGGCCTCTGGAGGACACCACGACCCTTGACATCTCTCACTCTATTGCCCCTACCAGGCACACATGGCTGCGGCGACACCCAAGAAACTCGTTCACTGGGCTCTCAACGTGTCCCTCTCTGATCTTGGCTCACCGTTCTCCGATGCCGGCTCCTCCGAATCCTGCTCGTCCACTTCCAGTCTACAATACGTAAACTCGCAACTACTGGCTCATGGATTCACTCACGGCTCTGGACTCTCCCTCGATGGGTTGGGGAAGGAAGATGCAGATAAAGTGGTGAAATGCATACTGGGCATGCTTAGCCAACGCATAGTGAGTACATCTTCCCTGGATATTTGTTACGTTCTTACGCCCTGTAGGACGACATGTCGAGGACCGAAGACCTTACGACGAAACTCCGTACACTCTCCTACGACCACGAACGTTTGACTTCAATGTACAAGACAGAAGCTGAGAAATCGGGTAACGCAGAACGGGAAATGAATACGCACAAATCACGACTCGCGTGAGTACCACTTCTCTTGGACACACCCCAACAAACACCTCTTGTTCACCGGCCAAGCATTGGGGTAGCGGATGATTCAAGCTGACCCGCTGTTGTACAGTGCAGCTACCAAATCCCTGCAGAGTTCTGAAAATGCCCACAAACACACTACAGCTGAGCTCCAGCGCACACGAACAACGCTGATCGCCCTTCGCGCCACACACCAAACCGAGATCAAGAAGCTTGAGAAGGAGAAGGAGCGTATGGTCGAGCGTTGGAGCAAGCTCTCCGACAACCAGTTGAAAGCCGGAACCCTGTCTGCCGGGCTCACATGTGCAAATCTCCATATAGTCGAGGCGTCGGATGTGCAGTTGCGAGGCAAAGGCCAAGGATTCCTGGAAGTCGCGCTCGAACAGGCCGAGGCAGCCCGCAAGGAGTTGTTCGAACAGAACAGGAAACTCAGAGGGATTCTGCTGTCCGCTGCGAACGAGCTCCAGCACGTCATGCATGCGGTTCGTGCCGGTGAAACAGATTCTATAGACGAGGTCAGCCGTTTTCGGAACAGCATAAGCCCCAGATATTCATCTATTGTAGCCCACGCTATTAACACACAGTGCATTGTTCCCAAGTCCGGCAGCGGAAGCGGCTGGAGAGACGTTCAGCACACTATTCCGCTCTCTCCGCGACACTATATCCCATCGGACGGAGCCTAGTGCCAGTGTCTGCAATCACTCATGCAAGGCGTCTTCGTCGTCTACACCAATGAACGATACGCCAGCCAAGGAGAAGGCAGAAGTTGAGCGGCTTCAAGCAGTAATTGATAAACTGCGCTCAGATCTTGGTACGCTTAAGCATTTACTCGGGGTCCATACTCTACTGAACAAAGCTACAGAGGAAGCGCAGAGACAGGCGGCTTCGTCCGCTGCACAAGTGCAGGAGCTATTCGATCGTTTCGCTGAGGAGCAGGCGGAGGCTGCGACGCATACAGCGGAGATGAGCATGGACCTCATGACTGCGCCCGCAAGAGATGAGGAGCGGCAACGGTTGGACGCCCGGTTCAAAGAGCTCGAGGCGGAACGCCAAAAGTTCACTGAGGCCGCCGTGCGGTTAGGCAAAGAGAAAGCAGCGCTTGAGGTTCGTGTGGAGATCTACTGCATGACTATACGTCCCAACGCTCATTTCTTTGTAGGCTGATCGTTTGAAATTGCTGGAAGAGAAGCGGTCATGGCAAGTAGACATGATGCTTGCTGAGCTCCCCCCGACCCCTGCGCCCGGCGGATCCATACCTACTCCAATAGCCCGTCCTGTTCCTGCTCCTGTTGCTGCTGCGCGACAATCTGCACGTAAGTCGCCACGCAAGCTCAAGAGTAAGGCAGCAAGTCCGCGCAAAACCCGTGTTTCACGACGTTCCTCCGGTTTCGCCTCCATTGCGCTGGACTCTAGCTCTCCAAAGAAGAAGCAGAAGGTGGCACCTCCTTTTGAGACTGAAGTTTTGCCCTCCTCCGTGGCCGTACCCAAATCTCCCGCGCGGCAGCTTCCAGAGTTCAAGACCAGTATGGACGCATCGCCCGTACCACCACCGCCGTTCCTCGCTGGTAGCTTTATCCTGCCACCACCTTCCCCTGCAGCGTCACTACCTTCACGGGAAGGTGGTGGGACGCCGCTCCCGCCTATACCCCCACTTCCGCGCCTCGAGATACCCCCGGCCAGCGAAGACATCTCCGACGAGAGCATGGACACCACACCCGACCCCGCCTCTTCCGCCGGATCCAGCACAAGTTCCGGCACGTCAAACAACTCCCACTCACAACCAATACTCTCTGTACCACAAACGCCAGTAGTCCGGCCGTTCCCCATGGCGAAGCCCTTCGCCACGCGCATGATCCACGCCTACTCCCCGGTAAAGCCCAGCCCGCTCAGCCGCATCCTCATGCTCGCGAACTCCCCCGACAGCCCCGAGGCCGGCCCCGCGCTCGCGTCGCTCCCCGAATCCGCCGCGGAAGACGACAGCATCGAGCAGTCCGCGCCCGCGCCCATCCGCAGCCTCGCGGAGGAGCTCGGCGTGTCCGAGGACGACGACAGCCCGTTCCGCGTGGCATCGGACGCACAGGGCACGAAGCGCAAGGCGCACCCGTCCGCCGAGCCGCCGGAGCGCCGCACGCAGCCGTCGCGCGCGAAGGACAAGGGGAAGGCGCGCGCGGACGCCCAGCCTGCGCCGGCGCGCGGGGAGGGGGGCGTGAAGCGTGCGAAACTTGCGAATGGGGCGAAGACGGCCCCAGACGCAAAGAAGCCTGCGCGGGCGGCGGCGGCGGCGACGGCAAAGCCGACGAGCAGTAAGACGCAGACGACGAGGAGTCGTACAGGGTCGGGGTCAGGTAGTAGCGGTGGGAGTGGTGGGAAGGCGCCGCCGAGGTCTAAGGGCGGTGCGCGGAGGGTGCCGGTGGGGAGTGCGGAGGCGGCGCCTGTCCCGACATGGCGAGGATGAGCATCTTACCGTGCGTCACGAACACTAAGGGATCGTTTCAGTAGCTTTCGCCGAAGCTGTACCATAGGCGTTCCTATCTTGAACGTATACACATTGACATCAATCACTCGCTCCCTGTAGTGCCTGTGGTCGGCCCCGATACCCTGGCAGGTCTGCTTGTACTCCTGCCCTTGATTTTGAAAAGGGGGAAAATGAAGTCTCAGGTAAGCTTGCACTATGTCTGTTGCGACCAAGTGTGTACATTCTGACAGGTACGTCTGCGACAGGATGTTTACACACCGACCGCGTCGATGGCCCAAATGGCGCAACGCGCTGTTGTCATGACATATGACCGTGTTCTCCCACCGACATGTGTCCGTTCACAGACTCCGGAACAGTACAGCTGTTCAACCTGTGTTTTACGGCGCTCAGCTATTTCAGCAGCAATACACCAACGCGCGTCCATCGATATCAAAATCAAATTCGCTCTCTGTACGGTCCTCCAGCCCCTTGCATCATCACGGCGGTCATGAAGCCCGCCGCCCAGTGCTTCTTGAGCGCACCGCCGAGGCTGAGAATTCGCATAGCAAGCCTTATCGTCATTTCGCGACTCAGAGGTGCGCCCCATTCCTAAAGTAAAATGCTAACATATGCTGCCGCAGGCCTCGGGGACGGCTTCAGTCGATGAGGCCGCCCGGTATATGCCCTCAGCGCGGGCTCGCGAGGATCATCCAACACCACCTCAGATACAAGGCGTTAATCCCTGTATGGCAAGCCTTGTTCTCCCCCGTCAGCTGGTCCGCCAGCATCGCCACCATATGCGCCCACAATTCCTGACCGTGGGTGGTACGGTCTCCCCCTCGGCCGTTCGCCCTCTCACATCGCATGCTCTAGACTGATACCAACAGAATGCAGCATGTGCATCAGCGCGAGCTCGAACAAACCTTATGCCGCGAGAACCCTTGCCTCACGGGCTGTGAGTTATTACTTTTGGCGTGTTCGATGATGACCTTGGTCGCCCCTCACTCGTAGTGCCAACCGTCTACCCTCTTCGACCGAACATCACCCCCGCCTTGGACATGGACCCCGATGGCGCTGTGACGGTGGACGATGCGAACCCGAGTATCGTTGAAGGGCTTTCCCCGGGGTTCGCACCGGACCCGGATCCCGCTAAAGGAGTTAGTCAGTATCTTAACCAAGTGCCAGAGCTATATGGCGGCACGGTGTCCATTATAACCGCTCCTGGGTATTACGTTCAGTGCAAATTTTCCGGTGAGTGCATGGTCCTTCATCTGTGAGGTCTCCAACTAAGAAGTCGTCAGGGAATTACGTCGCAATGTACGGTGTTGCTCTGCCGTGGCGTGAGGGAAATCTCCCTACGGCGCACTACGTGGTCGACGGCGAGTCTGGGCAACTGCTCATGAACCCGAATGTGTCGTTTGCAGAGAGTAATGTGCTCCTCTACAGAGCCGACAACCTGTCGCTTGGCCAGCATACTCTTACAGTAAACGTCACGACGGCCTCTTCGGACAATCCATGGCTCTTCGACTACCTTAGAATCGCTTCTACGCCCGTCTTCGAGACCCAGAGCACGTCCTCCATCACTACGACGGATACCACTACCTCGACCTCAGCCTCATCGAGCACGCCACAACTTTCCAGCACACAGACAAGCTCGAGTTCGAGTTCAACTGTCGCCCCTACCGTGGCAGCCTCCAGTACAAGTTCCCCAGCATTCCCAACGGCACCGGTTGTGGGCGCGGTCGCGGGCGGGATAGTACTCATCGCTGCTTTGCTCGCCTTCTTGTACTACTTATGGAGGCGCGCTCGCATGCGAGCGCAAGAATTAGACCTCGAGGACGTCAAGGACAAGCAGGCTAACTCGTCGCGTGAGTACCCCTCTACGCTTAGTGCTACCCCTCGGATTACACGTTTGCTAATAACGGCTGACGCCTAGCGCCTGCTGATGACCGAGTTGCACCGGAGAATGGCGCTGGCGCTATGGGTGCCGCCGATATCCTGCCCACGTTGCCGCCGCGAATGGTGCCTCAGGCGATGTACTCACCTCCGGCGATGCAGCCGCTCGTTACCAATCCCGGGCCGTATTCCAGCTGGTCCCACGCGTCCACGCAGCAGCAGAAATGGGCGCCGTACCCAGTGGGAGGTGAACAGCATGCGCAGCTGGCAATAGCCCCAGTCATGCACGCGCATCCGCCGTACGCGCCGCCAGGGGAGCAGTGGTCGAACTACTCCGCAAACTCGGGTCAATCCATGCCTTCTGCGCCCATCCTCCCCACGGACCAAACATCTTACTTCCCCCCTGCGACACTTCCGCGCGCGAGTACCGAGGCGGCGAGCATCCACTCGCTAGTGCTTAGTTTGGAGACGGACGCTGGGGACGCGCCACGTTCCTTACTTCATGGGCACCCCGGGCATGCTCGGGCTCCTTCAGCGTTGTCACTGGCCGCCAGCGTTCTCGCGTCGGCTGCAAACAGCAAGACGGATCTCGCTATCGTAACGCCTTCCGGTACACCGGATGGTGGCGCGCGGATGCTTGGTGGGATGGTGACCTACGACGGGAAGGAATCTCGGCTGACCACAGTTGCATCTCCCGATGCGGTCTCGCCAGTAGATGGGGAAGTCGGTTCCGGGAGTCACAGTTTGGAAGGAAGGCACAGTATGCCCCCTCCCGCATATGTACCATGATGTTTTCATGCCCTTCGACGAACTTTTCACGACGACACGATGTATTTATTTATCACGGACTTAACAACGCTGATTCATATCTACGGGAATCTGGGCAGAACTGGAGTAAGTACAATCCAGACCTAGTGCTCAAACGAGTTTGCATCCAGTGAACGAAGCTTTCTATACATACGGGCGCCTATTCTCTTCCTCCTCGACGTTCATGATGCCACGTGGTGCCACTGTCCCTAAACTTAAGCGACCACCATACTCGCTACTGAATTATGGTAACGAAGTACACCAACGACTTCGAGGATCTGAGGTTTGGACTATCGCATTCTGCCAAGGGAAAGAATCGTAATTGCGGCATTGCATCCCCGGCGAGCCATCCACGCACTCTCTGACGCTGGTGGTGGCCAATCCGACACGATTACGGGGCGATTATAGGTCATTTTGGAGCACTTTGGCTGCGAGGAGGATAAGACGGAGGTGGTGCACGCGAAAAGCGCCATTGGGTCGGACGGTGCGTTATTGGAGAAACTCACACGCGAGGACCGTCTGATATCTACTCCAGGTGCACGCACACTCCTGGGTGCGCGAAACTCTCGGCATTGAGGTCGAAGGCGGTGTGACAGGTATGCGACCGCCGCACGTCTACCCGCTCCGCCTACACTGCTGATCTTGCTCATCATAGGTACGATATGGGGCGTCGTCGACATCCTCCCTGACACCTACCTTCCGGACATCCGATGCATGACCTGCATCCACTCCGAGAATGGGATCATCGGTTCGGGAATGGACGCGCCGACAGTATCTTCGACGTCCTGTGCGTCAGCTCTGCGAAGCAGGAGAGCACCGACTACCTCGGTAAGCGGACGTGGCTCCCCTCTGCTCGCGATCATTGCTGATCTGTGCGCTCTCGGCCCTATATCTAGACTTTTGATACTTCTTTAGGCTGCCTTGGTCGAAGTGAGCACTAGAAATATAAAATGCTCAGGTCGTTCATGCTAACGTCGTGCCCAGGGTGCTTTTCGATGACACCGACTTACTAGGCCGCGTCGGGGGAGGCAGGTACGCGAAGTACGGTATCGACCCGCACGCTGGCGCGATTGTGGTTATTCGACCGGATGGCTATGTCGGGACGGTGGCTCCGTTGCACCGTGCTGACGAGCTCAAAATATACTTTGGGCCATTCCTGGTATAGGCCCATTGTGTCGCCCCTGTCTTTCTGTTCATGCACTTCCGAATGTGGTATCATCAGCAAACATGTGTTAGTCTTGACTGAACAGGCTGACTTGGCGATGCTCAAATACATTTCTAAGTAAAGGTGGGGCCTTTTCACGCGATGTGTTCGAGGCTGTGGCTGCACATAGATTCACTGATACCTGCTTCAATGAAGCTGCGGCCTTGCATGCCTGCGCTAGCTCAAGTTGGCATGCACACTCTCATGACAGCGGCCTTTCATCTCGCTGACTAGCGGCCTCCGTCAGACGACCCCTTTTCCATGTGTCCCACCCCGGAGCGCGTCCATTCGGAATTTCTGTCCCGCGCATCCTGGAACATTAGTACGTCACTACTTCAAGCGCATCTACGACTCCTTCAACATCGGTACCTCGCCCGCGTGGACGTCCCGACGCGGCGCTCAGGGCTGGTCTGAGCGGACGGGGGAAAAGGGCATGCTGTTCAAAGAGTTTATTGAAATTCATTCAGCAGGTGCGTCTCAGTGTGCATCCGGCTTTAGCAACATCTGCTTTGCGAACCCGTTTCGGACAGACGGCCAGGTCCCGAAACTGGGTAATAAAAGGACACGGAAGCGAAGATGGCGGAAGTGGAGATGCCGTGCGTATACGTGTCTCTCTCTGCCAAGGATGACTTTTTGAGTCATGTCACTGGACTCAGGAACACACTGTTACGTTACTCCGTGGTCTCTGAACATATCTCCGAGTGAGTCTCAGGACAGCCTAGATAGAAGACAAACTGATGATTCCAGTAGTAGTTGGCAAGTGGTCAACATGACAACTTCTGGAGGCCTGCGCGTCCTGCAAGCGACGGACCGGCGCGTCTTCCATCACTGCGCATCCGTCTTGAACGAAGTGCGGGATCGCGGCCGCCGAGATCTCCCACTGCAGCTATTTTGATGGTCAGCGTAATGTCAAATCTTGTCACGGGCAACCCCATTCAACCTGTCCGTCGATGGATTCTGAACTTTGTGGCGATGTGCTGACACGCGTCGTTCTCAGGCTTACTCGAATGCGGAACTTCCAGGACGGGTGCGTTAAGTTGGCGATGTTCAGCAGGAAGCATCGCGGTTACATGTCAGAAAAGTGCCCTCTCCCAAGGCCTCATAAATAGGGAGTCACCCGTCCCTAAAGGAAACTCACGGACCCTGTTACACTGTGTCCACTCCTCTATCGATGCACAGCTCCATGGCTCATTCCTCAAACGCCACCCATGAAAGCAACGTCGACGTGCTCATCATCGGCGCAGGCCCCGCAGGGGTGATGGCCGCAAACGCTCTCGTCCAGGCGGGAGCCAAAGTGCGCATCGTCGACCAAAGGTAAAATCCTTTTCAGCCTAATGTCTGCTCTTCTCTCACTGAACCTCCAATCAATTCGCTTCTTTTAGACCGGAAGGTCTTTCATCAGGGCAAGCAGACGGTGTTCATCCCCGTTCGCTGGAGATTCTTCAGGTATGCGTGGCTTGGCTCACACCCTCGATGAAACAACGCTCATAGATGGTCAGAGTTACGGTCTGGCTGACCAGCTATTGAAGGACGGGTTTCATATTTGGAAGCTGGTATGGTCCTGGGATTTGTTGGCGTCTGCACTCTGTCGCTAACAATTGACAGGCCTACTATGACCCAGACGGGAAGGGTGGCATCGTAGTACGTTGACTACATTTATCAATCCGAACACAGTCACTCACATCAGCGCAGCGGTCGCGTCGCCTTGCTTGCGTTGGTGTCCCAGACGCACGCTACATGTTTGGGGTGAGTGACAACCACGGTCGAACGGGCAGTGGGGACAAGCGATTGATGAGGAAGACAGGTCACAATGCATCAAGGTGGCGTCGAAGACCTCTTCCTCGACTCGATGAAGAAGAAAGGTCTGGAAGTTGAGCGATCAACTATACCTACGTCCATGCAGCTGTCGGATGGTACGGAGGATCTGAAGGATCCCCACGCATACGTCAACACGGTAATTTTCCCCTAATCTTCCGAGAGGAACAACATTTTTACGAGAATATCACAGGTCGCCATAGAACATCTCGACCGCGACGAGAACAAGACGGAGGTCGTACACGCGAGGTTCGTCATCGGTTCAGATGGTGCGTCTCGCATGTCCAGTATACCAAGCCAAATTCACATGCGCACTTTATAAAGGCGGACATTCCTGGGTGCGCAAGACTCTCGGGATCGAGGCCGAAGGCAGTACAACAGGTCCGGTATTATCGTTTTCCTTGTTTGTAGCAGCAGTACTGACTTGGCTCGCTACAGGTGCGATCTGGGGTGTCGTGGACCTGCTACCAGACACCGACCTCCCGGATGTCCGATGCATGACATACATTCACTCCGAACACGGAACGATGTTTATCATCCCGCGCGAGCGCGACCTCATCCGCCTCTACATCCAGCAACCAGACGACAGCGAGGTCATAGATCCCACAACCGGGCGCGTGGACAAGAACAGGTCGAGCCCGGAGAAGATCCTCGCGCAGGCTCAGAAGATGTTGCATCCGTACCATCTGAATATCAAGGACGGGCATATCAACTGGTGGACAATATATGTCGGCGAGTACTCCCCAAATCATTCCGGTGCGACCGCCCCCTAACACTAGTCCTTAGTGGGACAACGGGTCGCTGAGAAGTACTCCGTGCATGATCGTACTCTCATCGCGGGAGATGCATGCCACACGCACTCTCCCAAAGCTGGTCTGTATCTTACCCTAGGCTCAGGGCGTACCTACTCAATTAAAGTGCTTTCCCGGATGCAGGTCAAGGCATGAACGCCGCTATGGGAGATACGCACAACCTCTGTAGGTCACTCAACGTACAATGTGGTCTATCTACCAGACTAAACTACGCGACGCAGCGTGGAAGCTCGCATACGTCCTGAAGGGCTGGGGAAGCATGTCTTTGTTGAAGACGGTAGGCCTAGGGTCATTTTCTGTCCTCCAGCGTACTGATAATGATATCTATAGTACGAGTCGGAGCGCCGCAAGTTTGCACAGGACCTCATCGCATTCGACAAGCAATGGACCAAGCTCTTCGAGGGCAAAGCTCAGGCCAATGGTTATCCCGAGGGCGTTACCCCCGAGCAGTTTATGACGTGAGTGACTCTATGTTTCATACGTCTCACCGTCGTACCCACTAACATCATATGCGCTTCGGACGGTCAGAATGCAAAGGACGTTCGGTGGCTTCACTTCCGGGATAGGCATCGTTTACGCTCCCTCGATCATCGTGAACACCCAGTATCAGCACCTCGCGTCTAACCTGGTCATCGGCGCGCGGATGTCCCCCCAGGTGTTCATACACGCGGCTGACGGGAAACCTTCCGAAATTCAAGACCTCCTGCCGGCCGATGTACGCTTCAAGGTGCTCGTCTTCGGTGGTGACATTGGCGTGAAGGAAGAGGCGGCGCGCCTGCAGGCTACCGCGGACGAGTTCGCGAAGCCCGAGAGCTTCCTGAACCGTTTCGGTCATGAGGAGCCCAGCAAGATCTTCGACATCTTGTGCTTCAGCTCTGCGAAGGAGCATAGCACGGACTACCTCGGTCAGTGACACGGACTCTCCCATCCTAGCGTGTGATGGCTAATAGTTCGCGCGCTCTCTCCCAGATTTCCCACAATTCTTTAGGCCTCATTGGTCGAAGTAAGCTCACACTTGAGACCGTGGAAAGACCCAACACGATAGCTGATGTCGCTTTTTAGAGTGCTACTCGACGACACTGACCTGGGGGCTCGTGCAGGGGGAGGCGGATACGCGAAGTACGGCATCGATCCCCACTCCGGCGCGATTGTGGTTGTCCGGCCGGATGGATATGTTGGGATGGTTGCCCCGCTCGATCGCGTCGACGAGCTGACCTCCTACTTCAGCGCATTCCTGGTGTAGACCCCTCTGAGTCCACTGCATAGTTCTTGTCTGTAACGTGATATTATTGGGTTCATCTCTATGCTGTCTGATCCTGCGACCCCTGTTTGGGTTAGGTGAGTCAAAGCTGCGGTGTTTTACCGCGATGAGCCTGAGTGCGGACCCTACGGTTCTATCAAGGGACGCTAAGATCCGGTTTTACGTTCGTGACCATGCTTTTCACTTTGCCCTTGTCTCTAGTAATACAGCACGTTCCGCCGTTTTGCTGAGGCCGATATGGATAGAGCTGCCCATGAAGGGTCTCTCAGCGCGCCCATGCCGCGCCCAGTCACAAACATCATGATGGACCCACAACAAGAACCCCCTAACTTGTGCACGGTCGCAGTCGCCGCTTATATAGCCCCTTCCCACCCACACGCGCTCCTATCGTCCCCCAAAATGTCCAACTCCAACGTCGTCCTCGTGAGTATTGTGCAGACCGTCACTGCGCCCCAACCCTCCCTACAACGATGCTCACGTTGCGCAGATCACCGGAGCTTCAGGTTTCATCGGAGCCCATGTAGTCGTCCAACTTCTGGACCTCGGCTATCGTGTCAAAGGGTGTGTAACAAGTGCTGATTAAAACGTCGTCGACTCACCCAAAGTTGTACCACAGAACTGCGCGCGGAGCCAAGCTAGAGCTTTTACGAGAAAAGTTTGGTGCGAACCCCAACTTCGAGGTCGTCGAGATCCGCGACATCGCCACAGATGATTTCACCGGGGCTTTGGAGGGTAGGGCGTTATGCCTGCTATCCAAGTGGGATCAGCGTACTCATTTTGTTGATTTAGGCGTTTCCGCCGTCGTTCACCTCGCATCCCCGCTCGCCGGCCGCCAATCTCCTGAGGAAGCTCTGAACGTGAGCCCATACACCCCCCGAAATGCGGATATAGAAGGCTGACTGACACCATCAGAGCGCGGTGGAGGGCACCTTGAACATCCTTCGCCAATGTGTCAAAGCCAAAGTCTCCAAAGTCGTCTTTACCAGCAGTTGGGCGACCACCCTGGACCGTGAGTTCTAGAATGATAAAATTGCGTAGACAGGCACTGAGACGCACGTCAAGCAAACTTGGCAGCCACATTCGCGGGAGTGACATTTACGGAGAAAGGTGAGCTCTCACCTCGTCATAGTCAGCGTTTCCGATACTGATGTGACCCTAGATTGGGGAGCTGTAACGCGCGAGGACCTGTTGAACGGCGACCACAACCCGCTCTACGTGTACTGCGGAATCAAGACTCTCGCAGAGCTCGCAGCATGGCAATTTGCGAAAGAGCATTCAGTACTTGATCTTGCAAGCAGTGAGCATAGGTCGCGTATTTCTGCACGTTCATTCGGTCGTCTAACACGCTTTTTCTAAGTCAACCCGCCGTTCGTCTACGGAAAGCCTGTCGATGGACTCACCTCAGGGACTGGTGTGATGTCTCTCGGCACGAATGCGCTAATCTACCAGCTCATCGCTGGGGAGCCCGGGAGACCTCTGCCGCCCCAACTCCCTCCGTACTATTGCAACGTCCGCGACGTCGCTCGCGCGCACGTGCTTGCGTTGGGTTTGCCCAGGACCCCCGCCTATGCCGCCAAAGGTCCGATCGCAAAACCCTCGAATTTGACCACATTTATCAGCATACTTTTTCGGGATTATATACAGCATGATAATGGTACATACCATTTTGACGGTCGTTTTTATCAGCATGACGATCGGACCTCGTGCAGCATAAGGGTTCGATTTGTCTAGTCTCCTGGGTAGACGCACCGTGGAGCAAGCTCAACGGACCGTTTTGTCCAGCATATGGAGATCGTACCCCCAAATACGAGCCCAGTGCTGCCCAGTGGGTACCATTCTGCTCAGTCTTCCTCGACAGCCGCCGGCAGATACGGGTAGGCCGGCCGGGCAGCTGCCTCTTTTGTCAGCATAACGGATCGGACCTGCAGCGCCCTAAGGCCCATTATACAGCACATATTATCGGACATAGCGAGCCATAAGGGCCCAATATACCGCATGATTATCGGACATAAGGCCTGTTTACAGGTCATTTTGTACAGCACTATTATCGGACCTCTTGCAGCATAGGCGGGGGTCCTGTTTGCCCAAGCTGCCTGCGGACGCGGGCGTCCAGGGCAAGCGCTTCATTGTCGCAGGTCCGGGGGCGATGCTCTGGGTAGATGCGGTGAAGATGATCCTTGTCGAGCGTCCCGCTCTGAAGGACAGGCTTCCGAGATTGGACGATGCCCCTCCGCTACCGGGACCGCTGTCGGCAGTGAACACCACTCGCGCCAACGAAGTCCTGGGGATGAAGGAGTACGCTGGTTTGCAGGAAACTCTTCTCGAGGCCGTCGACGCTCTGACCACGGCGGAGACTACGTGGGAGTGACGGGCGTTCTATAATGTTTGATAGATGATTTGCATGCTGTACAGATATTTGTGTCGTACGAACCAAGTTCACGGGATTCTAATTTCTGACATACTAGCGAGGATCCGAGAACCTGCTAAGGAAGCCGCTTGTGCATTCTTAGGATGGACATGTGGGTGTGCCTTTCATGGCTTTCCCGGGGCGACCATCCGAAAGCAGCGGGTCAGTTCAAGCCTCAAGCATCTGATGGTGAGTTCTCCGGGCGGGCTGAGAGAATTCAGAGAGAAGCAGCAAGCACTAGTTGGATTTCTGTTATCATTCTGCAGGATGTTGGATCGTGTATGAGATGGTGGTAGCAGAGGGGACAGCGTCGTCCGCGGGTCATTCGATACATTTGTGCGCATATTACGTCAGCAACTAGCAGAGCGTCCGGGCTGCGCGCGCAGAGGTTCTACCCTTCCCCACATCTCGCGCTGTACTACCCCGTCTTTATATTCTTATTCTTTCTCATTCTGACCACCCCGGTACATGCCCGGCGTTGCTGTTCTTTCACCGTCTGCGGCCAGCTTTCCCAAGTTTCCAGGTAAGCGAGCGTTCACACCATCTCGTTCTCGGATCGACCCATACCCAGTAAACAGCGATGCAAAATGGCGGGCCCTACCACCGCGACACCGTAGCAGAGATCAAGGAGCGGGCAAAGGAGAACGTGAACTTGGCCCGCGGCGCATCGGCCACCAATCTTCTCAAGGCTGCTCGCACCCAGATCCAGTATGCGCACGTCCAGGAGAATGAGGGCGACCTTCAGAGCGCTCTTAGCCACCTTACCAAGGCGGCCTCGCTCGTGCAAATGCTCATGGAAACAGCAGAGTTCCGAGCGGATTCACAGGCAGGGAAGAAGGGTGTGCTGTTCAGAGAGTTCATGGATTTCCAGCAGACGGACGGGCGGGATTTACTTGGCAAGCTGAAGAACGTGGAGGCGAAGCTGGTGGAGTTGGAGAAGTCCGTACCTTCGTACGTCTCGCAAAGCTCCTTCCCGCTGCATGAGTTTGTGGTTACCTGACCCTCTTAGACCGACCCCGACTGAAGAGGAGCCGAGCAGTCCGATTGTCAAGACTGGCGGCGGGAGCATCGCGGACCGCATGCGCTCTTTGCAAAGCGCCGGTCTCTCCGTTGCGACCACGAAACGCATCTCGCGCGAAATCCCTATTGGGTCCCCTCCACTATCACCAGACAGCGTCCGCCCAAACTTCTTAGCTCTGCAAGCCCTTTCTCCGCCAGCGTTCGCTCCCTCATCTTTTCACCAAAGCCTTGGTTCACCCACCACAAGCACCCCGTCCGGACCTTCTGCCCATGCGCTAGTGCCTACATCTAGCCTGGGTCCACCTTCGCCTTCTTCATCCACCTCATCCTCACCCCGCATGTCCGTCCTGAGCCTGCAGGACTTCGCACACACATTCCCCTCGATCGACGAAATAGAAGAGATGGACGTCCTTAAGCTTCATCCAGATCCCACGGGCACTAGCAGTACCGGGTCCCGTTCAAGCAAGCCTTCGTTAGCAGACTTGAGAGCAAATGGTGGCCCACCTTTGGTTCATCCCAAGCCGTTTCCCGTATTACCCATGGATATGCCCCGACCGTCCAGCACGCCCATTCCGCCTACGATCGATACATTCCAGAGCCGACCAAGTTCTCCCGCACGCGTACCACTTTCTCCAACAGTACCACGGAAGCCCTCTAACCTCGCGCTCAATTCCGCTGTGCAACGGTCCCCGGTGATTGCCCCCATGACGCCGACCGCCGAGAAAGCGGAGCTTTCCTTCAAGACGCTCTTCCCGAAGACGCTCCACGAATGCAAGTACAACCCGAATCTCAAGGTGCTGCTGCTAGACGTGCGCACGCGGGAAAACTTCGAGCGCGAACACATCCGTGGGGATGCGGTGGTATGCATCGAACCATCTATATTGATGCGCGAGAAGTAAGCACGATAAACATATCCGAAACATCCTTCACTGATGAGTTCCCTGTAGTGTGACAGCCCAATCCATCGAGGATGCCCTTGCAGTCGGCCCGCCGCACGAAGCTGTATTGTTCAAGAACCGCGACAAGTTTGATCTTGTCGCTATGTACGACGATGCGTCCGTAGCAATAGGCGACGCGCGCTCTCCCACAGGCGTGCTATTCAAGGCGATATACGAGACAGCGTTCCGCAAAATCCTGAAGAACATGCCGATGCTGCTTGTCGGAGGGCTGCAGGCGTGGAAGCGCGAGTTCGGCGACGCCGAGCTTGCACGCGCAGGTTCAGCATCTCCGAGGCGTCCGAGTCCCCTCGCGGGGCTCGTCAACGGTGCGGGTCCGTCCACGGTCAACGGCTCCGCCGTCCCACACACACCGCCCGCCGAGCCGAAGGGGCTCGGTCTTGGCCATGTACGCGCGCCTGCGGAGTCGTCGGTTGCGGCTCCTGTGCCCTCGGCACCGCCGCTCGGTGACTTTGCAAGCCTTACCTTTGGACGTCAACGCTCTGGAACGGAGTCCTCGGTGGATCCGAACTCACATAGACCGTGGATACCCCAGGCCGGCATGCGAACTCCTTTAGAGCCGGCACCGGGGTCACCCAGGTAGGCTTCTTACGCTCGACGATCGACCGACTCGGCTGATTATGCCACGTTAGAATGAGCTTGGATGGTACCGGAGCGTTGCCGTCCATTTCGGACCCTTCGAAACGGCTGCAGCGCAAACCTGCGATGTCCCGAAGCGGATCTAACTCTGTGTCATACCCTTACAACTCTGTTATACCTGAGAACGTCAGTGGAACTCTCCTGTACATGCCCTTACTCATTGCTGACTGTGTCGCAGATGTCTGTGCAGCACGTCTCGTCAAGCATGGCCAACGGCTCTTCTCCATCTCCCATACAATACCCGCAAATTTCTCGTCATATATCCCCACAGGTGTCAGGGTCGTCATTTTCCTCTTCCCCCGGCACCAATGGACTGGTTTCGCTACCCCCCCAGGCGTCCATCAACCCCTCACCTCTCGCCCGTAGACGAAGCGACTACATTGACCAGTCCCAGGAGGCGATCAATGGCCTTACCCACCGATCTCCTATCGACTACCCCGAGCTCTCGTCCCAACACGTCATCCGCCCGCCTCCGGCAGCAGCATCGTCGACGTTGGATAACCGACCACGCATCATGCCGTCCCAACCGCAGGTCACCCACTACGCGCTCGCACAGTCGGGTCCGCGGCCACCCATGATTCCATCGGACTACCCTGTGACGTACTGGCCGGATCTGCAGATCGGGACGACGGGTCTCAAGAATTTGGGAAACACGTGTTATATGAATTCTACGATCCAGTGCTTGAGCGCTACCGTGCCGTTTTCGCGCTTCTTTACAGGTATGGCAGGACGTGATCTAGTTTGAGTGCATGCGCTAATGGGTGACGTGCAGATGGGCGGTGGAAGAGCGCCGTGAACATGATGAATCCGATGGGCACCAAGGGCAACCTCGCGAACGCGTTCGCCAACATTTTACGCGAAATGTGGCAAGGAGAGCACGGAACGCTGTCCCCCGTTCCTTTCCGCGTACGTTTGTTGCATTTCCGCAGGCTGGCACGTGTCTAACACTCAATCACTGCTGTGATAGCGTTCGCTCTGCAGTCATGCGCCACAGTTTTCCGGCTCGGAGCAGCACGACTCGCAAGAATTCCTGAGCTTCCTGCTGGACGGCCTACACGAGGACCTGAACCGGATCCTGGCGAAGCCACAGGTCGTGTCCACACCGGAGCGTGAGGCGGAGCTCGAACGGCTACCGACACAAATTGCGAGCGAACAGGAGTGGCAGATCTACCGTATGCGCGACGACAGCCTTGTCGTGGACTTCTTCCAGGGCCAGTACCGCAATCGCATGGAGTGTCTCACGTGCCACAAGGTACGCTCGGCTGTTTGACTTTAATTGGCGAGGGAATGAGTACCCACGCTCACACACAACAGACGTCGACTACATATAACACTTTCATGTATCTCACGCTCCCCGTTCCGCCGAAGAGCGGCAACGCGAAAGTGCCGTTGCAGCAGTGCATAGACGCGTTCGTGAAGGAGGAAGTGATGGACAAGTCTGACGCATGGTGAGACATTCCATCCTTGTCCAACTCAAGTGCGTTCATCTGACTGTCCCACAGGCACTGTCCGCACTGCAAGACGCTCAGGAAGGCGACGAAGCGGCTGTCGTTATCACGACTCCCACCCGTGCTTCTTATCCACCTCAAGCGCTTCTCCGCGAAGGGTCCGTTCACGGACAAGATCGAGACGACTGTCGAGTTCCCGCTCAAGGGCCTCGATCTCACGAACTACATGCCGCCCCCACTCCCCCCTGGGGTGAGCGGCGGCTCGCCCGTGCAGCCCGACGACCCGCGCTATCAGAACCCGCCATATCGCTATGACTTGTATGGGGTGACGAACCATTTTGGGTCGTTGAGTACCGGACATTGTGAGCTGTCTTCGAATGCCAACCTGGACGTCTGGCTGAAGCGTGTCTTTTCAACAGATACTGCATTTATCGCGTCGCGGGGCGGCTGGCTATATTGCGACGATAGCCGTGTAACATCAGCAGAAGCGAAGGACGTTGTCGTGCGTATCTCACCCCTGCATGTCTGCTCGTCGCTCACCCTCTCCTCCGCAGGGAAAGCCGGCGTATATACTCTTTTACAAGAGGGTCAAGGCATGACCCAACATCTAACCCCCACATCTCCGTCTCTCTTGCGTTATCGGATCTGCTGTCAGTTGTATTTTTCCCTCACTATTGCACCCGGCGAGACACTCCGTAATACCATAGCACGTGTAATCGTACAGCCCCCACTAGCGGAAGGACCCAGGACCCGGTATATACAAACATCGTCCACAGGCTCTCTACAGAGATAGGTCCGACCGCCGTCGTCACGACGCGCCGATGCCAATGATCACCGGATAGCTCTTCCTCGTCTCGGCGTGGCACTTGTGGCACAGCCACGACTTCGCGCCGTCGCGCGGTGCGTTCGTCACCTCGTGGAAGAACGGCGAGAACTCGGTCTGGCAGCGGTAGCAGTGCGGGTCCGCAGCGGACTGCGCGCTGTCGCCGTCGACGGACGCGGCGGACGAGATGTCGCCACCCACGACCGCGTCGAGGATCTTGTCGAGCCGCCGCGCCTTGCGCAGCAGGCCGTGCGTCTGGGCAATCGGCGCCTGCTTGTAGTTCCGGCAGTACATCTGCAGCGCGGTCTGTGCGTGTGTGTGGTCAGCGCGCGGTGCGGGAGAAGGAGGGAAGGCGAGGCGTACCTCGCCGACTTCGTTCGTGTCGCAGATGTCGTATAGCTGTCGTTTGTGGCCGATGTGCCCTTTACAGATGACGGAGGGCACCATCTGGCCTGTGTGACCCTTCCAGTCCACCGTCGTCGCGATTTCCCGCCGACTGTTCTTGACCTGCGAGAGCGGCCATGTTAGTCTATTGAATGAGAAAGTGCGCGGGGACACTTCTCTGACTTACAGGCTGGATCTCGAAGCCGAACTTGTGGCCGTGCTTCCACGCACAGGACACATGGAACTCGGCAGGACATTCGCTGCACAGGATGACTGCGCCGTCCTCTCGATCGCACAGCGTGCAGGTCTGCAAAGCCCGCGAAAATCATCAGCGCCGGTAGGATCGCCCTGAACTGGGCCTGAGCCGGTAGGCACTCACGTTCTGCCATCGGTACTGCGGGATCGCGCTCACGCCCTCAACGAGCCGGAGGCGCACCGCGTCGGAGTAGCAGATCTCGGGGATGAACACCGAACAGAGAACGTGCACCCACGCCTGGCCCTCTGTTGGCTTGCATGCGCGCAAGTACGAGTCGGGCGGTGGATAGATGAGCTTCTTCTTTGGGTCCCGTCGCATGCGTGGGCACAGAAGACAGTCAGGGATCTGTGCGATATCACCGTCAGCACAGTTCGTAGGAAATCTGGCAAGAGACAGCTAACCAGGGATGCTTCGAGCGACTTCTCGTTCTGGCAGAGGTCGCATACCCAGGAGTCGACGGTCGCTTGATCGAGGCTTACACCACACGCGCCCGCATGTACGCGGAACTGACACTGCTTGCAACGGAGAACCTTCCCCGTGGGCCCGTTGCGTTGACATGCGACACAACGAAGTTGTGGTACAACGGGTGGAGGCGAAGATTGTGATGAGGAAGTCTTTTCGTCACTTGAGCATCTACTTTTCGTGGAAGCAACCGGCAGGATAAAGCGTACCTTGGCACGTTTGGATAGGGGGCCGTTGAGGGGGGTGCCCTCCCGCTTGTCGCCAGGCTTCGCCTTCACGAGTGCCTCCTCGCGCATTGGCCGCACGTTGAGGTCGGCATACTTGCGCCAGCTCAAGCCACAGTTGTCACAGAGCACGCTGGTAGGGAGGCCCTTGGGGGCCTTCCACCATACGTCGGACTCACGCGTCCGGCACGCGCCACAGCTGACGTTCCGAGGGGGCTCCATGACGATCGAGCCCTCCTCTTCGTCTGGCGTAGGCTCCCGGGTAGTCGACTCTGCCTTCTCGTCGACGCCGTTTGCGCGGGCGAGTCGTATCCGTACGTTCTCCTCGCCCAACTTCGAGCTGAGTACGAGCAGTAAGTAAACTGTAGTCGAGTGTCTGATAAACGACGTACTTCTTCCAGTGGCCGTAGAAACGGACGACCTCGGGCATCGAACGCGTACCGACCTCATCGCGCACTGCGCGGAGTTCGGCGCCGTGGACCTGGATAGCATCTTCGAAAGCTGCTACCTCCTCGGCACTCCATTCTTTGTCTGTATACCGCGTCTCCGACTTCTTCCACTGTACTATAGTTAGCATCTGCGCGACCCGCCGAAGAATATTCTCCTCACTTTCTGGATCCGCATCGGAGAGCGCATGCTGACAGTGGACCATTCCCGTTTCTTGATCCATGCATCGGTGAGACGGAACGTCACTTCGGTGAGCCAGTCAACGCTGCACTTCAGCTTGTCGTTTCTTGTCAATAACTGCTTCTGTTTCTCCACTGAGTCTCGAGTTAGCAGCTTATTTCTCGATTTTCCTGCCCAGGTACAAACTCACGTGCTTCGACTGTAAAACAAACATATGTAAACGGAGACTTCCGTTTTGGGAAAGAATCTCACACACCTTCGGCTGGTGACATTTCGTTCACGAGGCTGAGCACCTCGAGCGTCCCATCATTGCCTCTTTCCTCAATATCTGCACTAATTCTTGAGCACGGAAGGCATTGGTACTGCGTTGGTGCGCACCTTTAGGTCTGTCGGCGACGCCAGGGCCGGCGGGAACGGTAGCCTGGTACTTCGGGCCCACGCGAGTCGCAGCACGTGGAAAGATCAGGTCGTCTGGGTCTGTATCCAAGATTAGCAAGTGCAGTGCCAGAGACGTCCTTCTCCGCGCCAACACGCACCGAGCGTATCTTCCGCAAACGTGTACAGCCTGTGCCCCATCGCCATCAGTTCCTTGCCCTCTCTCCCGCCGGGATGCAGTCCGGCGGCGCACGACCACTTACCCGAAGTACCGGAAGGGCCACATCTTGAAGTGCTTGATCTCCACGTTTTCCTCTTTCTCTGCGAGCACTCGGTCTTTCCTCGGCCGGCCGCGCCCACGCGCAGCGGGTGCGTTGGTCTTTACTACCTTCGGGGGTACCGGCGTGAGGTGCCGGACATCGTGCCCTTCGACTTCCTCTTCGTGCGCGCGAGAACAGGGTGCACACGTCCACCCATAGCCCCGGCTCGGCTTCGACAGCATCGGCGGGTTCACACACTCCATATGGAAGAACCTCTTACAGCGGTCGCACTGCAGGCTCTCGGCGCTATGGGGAAAAGAGATGGGATCAGTCGAGGGCGTCACGGCGGCGAATGACGCCTACGCACGGTGGGCACCACTTCTCACACGTATCGCAGTTCCGCAGATCGTCGGTGAGGTCCGGGACGACCTCGCGCTCTGCGACTATGTATTCATAGCGTGAGATGAGCACCTCCCTGATGTGTTCGGGCACTGTGGGTGAGAGATAAAATGAGCCCCCCGAAGTCTGAGCCACTGTGGAAGTGAAAGGCGGAAGGGCGCCTACCGTTGCGAACCGTCGTCGCAGGAATCACCTCGAACTCCTTCCGGAGCCATGGGTCAAACAAACGAGTAAAGTAGAACCTGTCCGGCCGTTTCTTCCAGCCGGCAAGATCAGATATCCTGTCTCTATGGAGCACGTAGCACCGCGAGCGGAGCTGACTAAGCTCGCAGACCTCGGAATAGATGGCCGCGAGGAGCAGGCGACAGTCCGCCACTGTGCGGTCCGAGACGTCGCTGGGGCGGTAATACCACGCCAGGCGGGCCCGAGTGATGGGTTCGTTCCGGTTCCCAGCCTTGTCGAGGGTGGGGGTACCCAGGGCAGGCAGGAACTCCATTATACGGGCGATAGAGTAAGGGGTGCCGTCACGCACACCCCAGCTTGGGGAGCAATAAACGTGGTCTTTTAAAAATCAGCTGCGTGCACTAGCAGACGGTTTGAAGTAGTTGAGATTACCATTGACTTTCACCTCCTCGCCATTCTTGAGTGTGATCTTGAATGGGGGCGGCGAAGGCATGTCGAGGGTCTAGCGCCGGGGCAGGGGCCAGCGCGCGGCGGAAAAGGGAAGGTGGATCTGGAGGGGGCGAAAAAGCAGTATGAGGCACACCGAGGGTCCTAGAGCGCGGATGCGGAGTCTAGGAATATTCGGAGGCGGAATGCGGGATGGTGGAGGTGGAGGACAAGAGGTGAGATGGGCCACCGAGGGGAACGAGATCTGCTCGCTGAATGGTAAGATTCAACTCCGACACCCCCTGCGCGGAACCACCTGGCCACCGCCCCCGCAGACGCCCCCGTTCCCCCTCCTCAGCAGTTCGCTCTCGAATAATCCATAGCTCTTTGTGTCTCCCATCTAGGCATGCTACGCTCTTTTTACAGGCAAATTTGCGCCCAGAGGCTGTTGAACCACCTTCCCCGGGCCTTCCCTTCAATTTTTCCGACATCGATGCCTCGTAGGCTCGCACACTATACGTTAACGCCCAAGCTCGTTTAGAACCGGAACCTGTTGCAATTGCGTCGCCCAAAGATACACGTAACGCCGCCCTCCGCTGTGTTCACCATGACGATGCGCCAAAGCAGTCTCAATCCCCTTAGAGCGTACCTTCTCGCCTTTATAGAGCTTCGTCGATTTTCTTTAGCCACTCCTTCCGCCGATCGTGTGCGTAAACCATTCTTTGTACATGTCTGGGGCGACGAGTGAGCAGCGCGGCCGGTGCGCAGCCCAACGGCCCCAACCACCGGGAACCGCCGAAAAGCATCGCGTTGCGCAAGCTTGCGCCGGTGCCGGGCTTTGCCGGCCGGCCCTAAACGGTAAGTTGGAACAAATCCTCCGATTCGTCGTCTCCCCTCCGAGCCCCCTGCACGTTCCAACGTTCCAACTTCCCTTGGCAACTCGCACCGGTACTCATGCTGGCGCCCCCGCCTTACTGGCACGACTCTACCGGCCTTCGGAACTTCGTGCGATGCGTCATATCCTGGAGGGAAGCGTGCGGCGGTTGGGAAGCTCATTTGGGTTCGGTCAGCCGCACTCCCCGCGCTGATAGGGCCCAGATGGGGCCAGGCGATGGTCGAAGCAGGTCTGGCAGCGCAACACCAGTGTCCAAGGTACGCATTCGACACGAGGGAAACAGATTTGTTTCGCATCATGCAAATGCGTTCATCCATACATGTGTTGTCGAGCATGGACGGGCACGGACGAAGACAGTCAATTCATGCTCCACTTGTACACCACTTATAAACCATGATTTTATCGTACACTATCTTCCACCGTGAACGTTGAAGTTCACTCGTCGTCGATCCATTTGCACTATGATCAGATTGTCAAATCCGTGCATCGCAAGCGGGCATAAACGGCGACAACATACCGCAGCGCGGAAGTGGATCTTGGAACCCTCGTCGTTGATCTGCTGCACCTCCTCCAGCGTGAGGTCAGGCAGACTTTCAGTAGCGATGTACTCCTTGACACGCTCCAGCTTCGAACTCGTCCTGCAACATATTCCGGCACGTCAGCATGCTTGAGGCGTGTACGCCACGCTACGCAGCTCCGTTGACTGACGTGATCTGGGGGATACCCTGGTATCGCAGCCAAAGCCCGAGCACCTGGCCTGTCGTCACCTCCTTCCCGGTATCTTTCGCCAGGCGCTCGCGAATCGAGGCGAGCACGGGGTCGACCGGTCCGCCCGTGTGGCGCGTGAGGGGGACTAGGCCGCAGTACGACGTCGCGAGGATGCCGTGCTTCTTCCCGAACTCGAGCACCGGCTGGCTCGCCTTGAATACGTATGGGTGGTACTCGATCTAGAGGAATGACGCATTTCGTCAGCGTATTTCCCACAGACGGTTCAATAAAACGCGAGCTGGCCTGGTTGACCGCCGGCACGACGGTCCCGACTTCGAGGACCTCCTCTATGTCCTGGATGCGGAAGTTGGACACCCCGATGCTGCGTGCGAGGCCCTCCTTCTGCAGCGCCTCGAGCTCCAACCACGCCTCCTTGACCCTCCCCTTCAACGTACGCATGGGCGAGTGCAGGAGGAAGAGGTCGACGTAGTCGAGGCGCAGCTTCTTCAACGACTCGACGAGCGTGTCGCGCACGGTCTGCCCCTCCAAGAGGTCCGCGATCTTCGTCGTCACGAAGAGCTCCGCGCGCGGCCTGCCCGCCGCGGCGATCCCAGCCCCGAGCGAGTCCTCGTTTCCGTAGAGCTGCGCGCCGTCGAGGTGCACGATGCCGTGCTCGATCGCGTTGCGCACCTCCACGGCAGCGTCTCTGCGGAGGAGTGCGGTGCCGGTGCCGAAGGCCAGCCACGGGATGGTGCGGCCGTCGTTGAGTGGAAGGGTGAGAGGGGTGTAGTCGGACATTGCTGGTGCAGTTTTCTCTCTGGTACTGAGGGTACATGGATGGGCCTGAGGCTAGGCATATTTATATGGCCAGCGTTGGGGGCAGAGCTGCGGTTCGAGTGCGTCCAGGAGCGTTGTCGGGGAGCTGTCCGACAGACACAGCGCGCTCTGAAGATGCGAGCGTGCGTTGTACCCAAGTCCGAAGTGGGACTTACGCTTCGAGCAGGAGTACGCAGCATCATGACACCCATAGGCCGAGGGCTCCGAAGCCCCCCACTCAGTAAACCGTGCGACTTCACTTCGCTTCTCGCTGGGGCTGCGAATAAATCCGAGCCTAGAAACCTGAGAGCCCCGTACGAGCACCACATGCCCCGGCTAGCTGGCTGCACCAGAGGAATGCAGGTGCGTCGTCGGGCTTCTCCCTTTCTCATGCCAGTGAGGGTGATGCCTGTCTAGTCTACATTTTTGTGGATCAGGCCACGGCGTAATTGCTCTCAACTTGTTGCGTACCTCATTGCCATGATTGCATCCACTGTATGACAGTTAACCGTCTGGGTCTGGCCTCCGGCGGTGCACTGTTGCCGATCTTCAGTTCCGCTCAACCATACTGCAGCGTAGACAGAATAATTGGCGGTAAGACTGAACGTTGACGTAGACATTCAAGGACTCTAGTATATCGTGGTTGGCATGAGGACTGTATTTGAGCTTGACGAAGCAGACGAGCACGAATGGAGGCATCACAGTACGGCTGGAGGCATCACAGTACGGCTGGTCCGGGGAAGACCTCCGACTCAGCTCCGACTTTGGCTCGAGGTCGTACGGCGAAACTCACCGGCCCGGGGCACCGGGACAGCGAGGACGGCCGATCAATATTGCTGAGTCAGCAACTAAGAGCGCCTTCGAGATCGGGGCAGGTTCAATCTCTTGCTCACTTACCGCCACCATCCACAACCTCTCCCTCGTTCCCCCGCAAAACCATGTCCAAACATCACCCCGGTACGAACATATAGCATGTGCGCGCCGAAAATGCCACTGATATCACCGTTTGTCAGATCTCATCATGTGCAGGAGGCAGCCCGGTATTGGTATGTACAACCCGTTGTGAATCACCAGTTTAATTGTTGACCAACCAATGTGCCATAGCTATCGGACGCCTCTGTGAAAAGTGTGACGGAAAATGGTACGTGCTCGGGTGTTCCGCTTCTCCAGATGCGCCCTCGCTGACCTGTGGCAAATAGTCCTGTCTGTGATTCCTACGTACGCCCCGAGACCCTTGTTCGCATCTGTGACGAATGCAACTTTGGCACTTACGGAGGACGATGCATTATTTGCGGGTCTCCTGGTGAGTCTCTTTTCACTTACGCGAGCGTTCATTCCGCTGACATGTGCCCCAGGTATCTCCGACGCCTACTACTGTGCGGAGTGTACACGACTAGAGAAGGATCGGGACGGCTGCCCCAAGATTGTCAACCTAGGCGCTAGTAGGACAGACTTGTTCTACGAGAGACGTCGCCTAGGTATGAGCTTTACCTTTCTATTTGTCCTTCCGTCGTTGACGAAGTGGTCATTGTTTAGGGTTCAAGAAGGGCTAGCGGCTCTAATTCCAGTGCTCTTGTCTCTCTGTACTATTCCTTGGCAGCGTCTGCAATTGATATTGCGTGTAATTTTTTGCCTGGACAGCCTGACCGACTTCAAGAGAGGTATGTCCGCGTTTTCCGACTCCTAGAGCTACCGAATTCACGGCGCTCGAGGCTATGGTGTGTCGTGGGGCCGCGATGCACATGAGATTAGTTCTGGACCCTCAGTTCCCGCAGGGAGCGTTGAGTATCTCTGTCAATACGCTAACCATATAAACTTTGGGTTTTCTCGGCCGAAGAGCACACCCAGCGACACCGCTCGACTCTGGGATTTCCTTCCAAGCCTCTGGATCTGGACACAGAACAGTCAAGTCTACATACATACAAGGAAAGCCCTTCATCTGCTTTCTCTACCAAGATGACGCTCACAGCATGCGAGGTCTCTGCAAGCGCGATACAGCTTCTCGGCATCCTCTCTCCATAGCTCTCACCCAAGTCGTTCCCTCCCATTCCTAGCCGGATGTATCAACGCCGAAGTCATGCAAGTGGGGCTTCTCCCGCTGCCGCGGTATCGCCATTCGGACGAGCAATAGCCAGTTCGGTGTCGTCTTCAGCCTCGCCCCCGTCTGCATCGAAGAGCTCCGCGCTCTCGGCTACAGCATTGCTCCCTTGCAGTGTACCCGCTCGTTAGATGAGATCGCGGTGGCCACATCCCTCACCTCCACTTCTCAGTGTCATGCGGGCCGACGGTCGACATTCAAGCAGACCATCGAGCTCCCACCGGCCTTCAAGGTCCCGATGGAGAGGTATGGCACGGCGATAACCTCGTTCATCGTCACGAGCGTCATACACGACCACCCGTCTGCGCCACACTCAACAACTCCGGTGATAGCGATTCCTGGTGTATCGCCGCGCTCACGCAACGAGACGGAAGGAACCCCCCAGATGGATGGCCCCGAAGGCCGATGGGTCTCGGAGTTCCTCTCGGAGTCGACGACAGAACGCGTACTCGTCGATGCCGAATTCATCATCTGCACCGACGTCGACGAACAGACTTCCGATGAACCCAACGCCAGGCTCCTCTGAGTCGCACTCGAACGTCCTTTGTGGAGCCGGGAGGTCGCAGATGACCGGAATCTGCACATCTTCGTTGAACTTTGGCAGGCATATATATATCGGTTCAGTGGCAGGCATGCCGTCAGACCGTCCGGCAAACCAACCATATCCGCCGCAGCCTGAAGTTCCACCTCCCCCCCGTTCCCCCGTCGCATTTTGTTGGACACTTGCCTGTAATTTTACATGTTGCGGGGGTGACGGAACTCTCTTGTATCCAGCATAAATCCCTTTCTAAGGGACAAAACGTATACTCGGCAGTACTTCGAGAGAATCATGTACGGCCACGGGTGGCCAGCGCGCGCCCAGCGAATGTCCTTCTGCCCGGGCATGTCCGTGAGGGATGCAGCAAGACGTTTAGTTTCCGTCATCAGACGCTTGTCTTTGCCTCCAATCGCAAAACTACATGACCTGTATATTACGTGCCGTAATAAGCAGCATTGGAGCATCCGATAATATGTTGCTCATAGGCGAAAGAGCTTGTTAAGCAGCGAACACGTCCCCCGCCTCGGCCGTGGTGGACGCGTTGGAGGCATTGCCCGATATGGGCATGCAAACGATGGGACAGGAGGAAGAGACCATCTGACTCGCGCGCCGCCTCCCACTTTCGCACTCGACGTTCCCTCGCTCAACGCTTCGTCGGCGGACTGAGATCACCCGCGCATGTCATCTCTCGTCTATTTGCTGCAGCCCAGACTCGACCTCCGATATTCGCATGGGGCGCGCACCACCACTTTCGACAGCAGCAGCCCGCGGAAGGCAGGCTCGGACGGGTAGCGTCTACGTGATGCACGCCCGATAGGGACGTCCGGATGACACCCTGGGCCATGTTCCGAGCGCCAGCCATCCGAAGCCGTTCTCGTATAAGATGCCCCTTGCGCTGCCGGTGGTTTACCAGACCACCCCTCCGCCCTCATCGGTTTCCCCATTCTACTCACCATGTCGTCCCCTATTGCACCCAAAGAGACTGAGGTCGATGTGCTGATCGTCGGCGCCGGGCCTGCAGGCGTGATGTGCGCAAATGCATTGGCTATGGCGGGCGTGAACGTCCGCATTATCGACCAGAGGTTCGTTCCGGGCTCCCCGGCGCAGTGCTCTGAAGTTGACGGTACCTGCGCAGGCCCGTTAAGGTTGCCGCTGGACAGGCAGATGGCATCCAACCGCGCACAATCGAAGTGCTGCAGGTACGTGGGGTGGGGTTCATGTCGCACGGATGCTCATCGCGTTTCTTTGGCAGAGCTATGGTCTTGCAGAACGTCTCTTGCGGGAAGCCAACCAGATGCAGATGGCCGTCAGTTCCGAATTACCCCTTGGCGCGTGAATACACGCTGAACCATATTGCAGGCATTCTACAACCCCAGCCCCTCCGGCGGCATTGAGGTCTGTATTATAGCGCTCCGATCGGGTAGGATCGCCCACTGACGGGGAATCGCGCAGAGGACGAGCCGCGCGCCAGACGTCACCGCCCCAAACGCCAGATGGCCATTTGAGGTTCGTACATACACACCCTACTACGAATTCGGCTTCATGATCGCCCGTCTGTCAGGTCACCCTGCATCAGGGCGCAATCGAGGCCATATTCCTGGACTCGATGAAGGCGCACGGGGTGGCCGTAGAGCGCCCCATCATCCCTACCTCCCTGGAGCTATCAGACTCCGAGGACGAGCTGCGGGATCCTAACGCTCATCCTGTCAAGGTAGGTAGATCGCTCGTGCCTGCATCTCTTATCTAGGCTTTCGAATGACGCATGCTCGTTAGGTGACCCTGAAGTATCTCGACCCTCCCGCCGGTCAGAGCGACACGGAGATCGTGAGCGCCAAGTTCGTCCTGGGCGCGGATGGTCAGTACACAGCGTGCTCTGCGCGTTCAAACATGCCACTCACCCAACCACAGGCGCCCATTCATGGGTTCGCAAGGCACTCGGGATCACCATGGACGGCGAGCAGACAGGTGCGCTCACCCCCACTGGACCTCTGTTTAGCATTGAGCTCAGACCACCCTCCCCGCGCCGACAGACTACATCTGGGGCGTGATCGACATTGACCCGGACAGCGACTTCCCGGACGTGCGCTGCAAGACCGCGGTGCACTCGCACAACGGCTCGTGCATGATCATCCCGCGCGAGGGCGACCTCATCCGGCTCTACATCCAGCTCGCGGACCGCGACGTGCTCGACCCCGCGACGGGTCGCGTCGACAAGAGCCGCGTGAGCCCCGAGAAGCTGCTCGCGGTCGCGAAGGAGTCGTTCAAGCCGTTCAGCATGGGCGCGAAGAACGGGTTTGAGTGGTGGACGCTGTATATCAGTATGTACTGCTGCTTTGAGGGAAGATGTATGGAGTGGCTGACGGTTGTGCACAGTTGGGCAGCGCGTCGCGTCGCGGTTCTCACTACACGAGCGTGTATTCATCGCGGGAGACGCGTGTCACACGCACTCCCCGAAAGCCGGTAAGTTCGTTCCCCGCTTGCTGCGTCGAGTGGATTCTGATGTTCTACGCAGGCCAGGGTATGAATGCCAGTATGAATGATACCCACAACTTGGGTATGTGTTCTTTGCCATTGGCGCTTTGTTCAAATATGCTGACGCGGCGCTGCTAGCTTGGAAGCTCACACACGTCCTCCGTGGATGGGCGGACATTTCCGTATTGAAGACCGTACGTATGCACGCCCGCGTCCGGTACACAGCTCAAGCTCACCATCGGTGCAGTACGAGTTCGAGCGCCGCAAGTACGCGCAGGACCTGATCGACTTCGACAAGAAGTTTTCGAAGCTCTTCTCAGGCAAGCCCCGCACGGAAGACAATCAGGACGGCGTCTCGCATGAGGAGTTCCTCGAGTACGTGCCCTTTACCGCTTCTCCCGCGTCGCGCTTCCCGTGCTCACCCGCGCTCGCCCAGGGCATTCCAGACATTCGGCCTCTTCACGAGCGGGATCGGCGTGCACTACCAGCCATCTGCGATCACGCACGCAAAGCACCAGGATCTCGCGTCCACGCTCGTTATCGGCGAGCGCATGGTCCCGCATGTCTTCGTGCGTGCCGCAGACGCGCGCCCGTATGACATCCAGGACGTGCTCCCCGCGGATGCGCGCTTCAAGATCCTTGTTTTCACTGGGGTGATCACGGACCCTGCGCAGGCCGCGCGGGCGGCCGCGCTCGCGGAGGAGATGGACGCCCCGGGCAGCTTCTACCACCGCTTCGGGCACGAGAATCCGGCGCGCGTCTTCGACGTGCTCTCGGTCAGCGCCGCAAAGAAGGAGGATGTTAACTACACAGGTTGGCATATTTATCCCTGTGCGAGTGCTGCGCTGACGCGTGTTTGCATTGTAGACTTGCCCAAGTTCTTCAGGCAGCACTGGTCGAAGTAAGCAGCTCTCTTATGTGTGATGAATTACGACGCTGACTCACCCTTCTCTAGAGTGCTCCTGGACGACACAGACCTGTACGCGCGCGTGGGCGGTGGCGGATACGAGCGGTACGGGATCGACGCGGGGAAGGGCGCGATCGTCGTCGTTCGCCCGGACGGCTACGTCGGCACCATCGCGCCGCTGCACGGGCTGCGGGACATCGACGCGTACTTCAGCGCGTTCATGGCAGCATGATAGACGGATGCAGTAACATAGCGCAGCCTGAGGGAAAGGGAGGTGTACAGTAATATATTGATACCATTCTCTACACGTGTTACAGATGCGTTTCTTTGCGCGAACAAGGCATACAATTTGAGGCTGATTGTGTTTGAGGCAAGGCGGGGGCGCTGGGCTCGCAGTCCAAAGTATCCATATCATAAGGGGTGTGCGATTATATAGTCCTGATTAATGCGAGGCATTGCGAGTGCGAGGGGGAATGTGATCTACAAGAGGTGGCGATAAAAGCACAGATGACAAAAAACTACATGGTGGACGACGGACGGCATTGACAAACTCGACGGATTATGACAGATGGAAGCTCCCCACGCCCTCCCGCATGGCGACCGACAACTTCTCCCTCATAACGGCCTTGGTAGAGTACTCGGGCAGCTTGAGATAGTTGACGCAGGTCATGACGCTCGGCAGGTAGTCGTCGGCGGTGAGAGGCGCTTCGTGCGGCTTGCGCACCACAGTGAGAGGGGGGTTCAAGCCCTTGAAGCCTGCATGCTTCGTGAGCGATGTGTGGCAGAAGAGGTCATGGCGAAATACGCACCACCGATGGGCAGCTTCGGGCTACCAGTGATGAACTGCAAGTAGCTGCGTCGCGCTGAGGCGTCGTACTCGGACATGATCTCGATGAGGTCCCTGATAGCACGGCTCTCTACGTTGAAGCCGTGGTCGGCCTTCAGCGATTCTCCAAGAGCTGTGAGTGTATCGTCAGTATACAAAATAGAAGCGCGCCCAACGATACACATACTCTCAGCGCTCCAGTCTTCGTCCGCATTTCCGAAAAGCATAGCGAGCTCGTCCGCCGTGAAGGCCTGGAGGTCGGCGATGGGGAACACCTTCGAGAAGCCTTCCCGGAACGCCTGCGCCTGCGCTTGTGCACCCTTCCCAACGATGGCGTCGATGACTTCTTGTGTGTACTCGTCCACGTTATCGGCAGTAACAGAGATGTCGCGACCGCCAGGCTAACGAATGATAATGAGTACACGCGCGAAGCGATGTCACCGAAGTGAAGCTCACCCTCAACTCGATATCGTATCCAGGCACGGTGAAGTCAAGACCGAGGTTTTCGACCTCATCTCCGGTATCCATGTCCTCGAGGGCAGCTAGTTTGCGGCGCAACTTCTCGTTCTGACTCTTCCCGGCGGCAGCCAGGCTTTGAACCTTCGACAACGAGGCCGCAAGCTCTGCGTCAACGCGCTGTATATCGAAGATCAGCGAAGCTCGATAGAGTAACGAGTGACATTACCTTGAGTGACTCCAGGTTCAATGGAACTTCCTCGCCGAGTACCAGCTTCAAGAAGATCTTGTTGAATGACAGGTCGATGATGCGCGAGTCCAGCATGGCCTTGGCGACGAATTGTCCGATCACCCTGATGAGGTGGGTTCGTTTCCTGGGGATGATGTCAGTCTATGCAATATTCAAAATGTAATGTCCACTTACTGCACACCGTCCTTCGCTATGTCGTCGGGGCTAATCGGGGCGGGGAAAAGACCAAGGGGATGGAAGACGTAGGGGCTTGGCATGGACGTGTCCGCGTCGCGCCAAACCTTCAAGTCCTTTCGTGCAAACTCCTTCGAGACGAGGGAGTAGAACTCGAGTGTCGGACCCAGACCTGTCCCGACCTCCTCGAAGTATTCGACCTCAAGGATTGACGACGAAGATCCGTATAGCTCGAAAACCTTGACCGCGGACTCCAGGATGTGCTTGCGCGAGATCCGGACCTTCTGTCGTTGCAGACGGCCGAGGAAGCCCACACCATCATCACGTCTGGAGCTGTCTTGCCCGCGGCTTTGCTGGCTCTGCCACTTGAGGATAAGACGTGCATAGCCGAAGGAGGTCGACTGGAGGAAGTTATAACGGGTCGCGAATGGGAATAGGAATGGGAAGTGTTGTGGGAGGTCGAGAGCCCAGTCAGGTAGACAGGAGCTACAGAATGACGTTCAGTGATTGCGAAATAACCAGGGATGCACTGATCATACCTTGCGACAATCATGGGCTCTTCCAACTGCCTCGTGAGCTTGGCAGACAACTTGTTGTTGACGAAGGCAGACGAAGGGAGAATACGCTTAGCGATTAGAGGAGTAGCACGTTCGCTTTCCTGTACGTTGAGCTTGTGCAGCATGCGCAGCAGCCTCAGGATCTTTGCATGAGGGGCGTCTTCGGGGAGGGAGGAGAGGGAGGGGCTGGGCGAACGGCTGCGGATGCCTGTCTCGTCGGTACGCGCTGAACGACGGCATAAACATCCAATACGACTACAGGACAGACATGGCGGTGGCTCACCATCTGACAAAGGAAGCGGTCCTGGCACCTTCTTGAACTTGATGCTATAGATGCCTTGCCAGATCATGCTAGGCATGAACGGCGAGCCAGATGCCTTGTGCTTGCGCAACTCGTGTTGGTGAATGGCGCCATAGACAGTAAGATCCAGAGGCAGCTTGTGGTCATCCATCGAAAACTCTAGGTGCCAATCGCTTGGCTTCGTCTTGAGGGCAGCAGCGTATGACGTCTTCGGCGTCGATGTACGAGGTGTTGGTGTGCTCGAAGGTAGCCCTCGAGCAGAGCCTGGTGTAGGAACGTGGGTGCCGTCCGGGGTCTGGGCTTCCACCCTCGCATCTGAGGGAACGTTAGCAAATACAGACATCCTACAATATCGCGGCTGCGTACCCTCTCCAACAGAAACGTTGATTGTCTTGTCTGAAATTGAGTTGTCAGGATCTTCGTCCTCGATGACCTGGTCCCATGGTCAGAAAGTGACTTCGGCCTCCATTGAAATCATACATACCTCAGCGTCAACATCGACTTCATCGTCCGTAAAGTCCGCAGCAAACTCATCGTCATTGACGACAGTCTCACTGGGGGCGGGCTCTGCCACGGACGCGATGGACTCGGCCTCGGCCAAATCTGCAACACCCCTCACCGAAGAAGACTCCGCTGTTGCACCAGTCGTGCTACCTGCGGGCTCCGACGGCTCCGCGGAGGCATCCTCGGAATCGCCAGTGGTCCTCTGCTTTGCGCTCAGGCGCAAGCTACGCCGCCTGCTAGCCCCGGCGCCACCTGCGGAAGATGTCGCTGCTCCGCTGGCGTCAGATATAGAAGCAGACGCTGACGCTGAGGCCCTCGCCAAAGCCTCCGTCAGCCCGAAGCGGGAGGACGGTGGTGCCAAGCCTGACGCCGCCAGGGCAGCGAGCATTCCTGACAACCTCGAGCTGCTAGAAAGGAGTCCAGCCACACGGGGCCTGAGGTAATCGTGCAACGCCTGGAAGGTCGCGATGGCATGGATAGACACGACGATGTTGTTCAGGTTTCGTGGGATATCAGAGTCTTCAGCGGCGACCAGGCGAAGGCGCAACTGGCGTGCCAGCAGGGAAGGAGAGCTGCGCTTCGAGTCTGTGCACAGATATAATGAGGGCAAAGAATATTTCGAAAGGACAGTCACTTACCGTCGGCGTTTTGCGCTATGCTGATAACCTCGAACGACTCCATCCTGGTGAGACTCTCCTGCAACTTCTTCACGAAGACAGTGAACGGAGTCTGACCGCCGGTCCCCTTGCTCTTCCTGGAAGTGAAGGCAGTGAAGAACAGTTCCTGACGTCTAGCCAATGGCACTGGGAGGGCGTATAGGTTGAGTGCAAGAACTCACGAGCTGAAACCCAATCTGAACTCACCTGTACGCTCCGTGCTTGAAAAGAACTGCAGTAGGCCGTCGATCACGCCGCTTTGAAGAAGTTCGAAACTGGACACTGATGTATGTTGCGATCCGAAGAGCGTCGCAAGCTCTCCCAGAGCCGAGGATAGCTCCTTCTCCGACACTGCGTTGTCAGTGATACGTTCCACCAGCCTGCGAAGCTTCGCGAACAGGTCGTCAGATCCGGCAGAGTCATCAGCTCCAAGATGTTTGAAACGAATGACGCGAGCCCGGAGAGTGATGGCATCGTCCGGCTCCATCGTGAGGGACGTGAGCTTCTTGTACGGGGCAGAGCTGATCACAGATATTGAGATGGGCATCGCGGCAGCGACACCTGTATCTGCCGGCGAGGGCGCCTCCGAGGGTTCCTTGTCAGCGCCCTTGTCCTTGGATCTCGTCGACGTGATCGTACGCGAAGCCAAGATATCTGCCTCGTGGAATACGCCTTCGCGGCGGAAGGCAGGCTTGTACTCGGCAGGCACCTTCGCAAGGAGCAATTCGACGAGCTGGAGTGCGCCGATCACGAGAGAGGGATGGTCCTTGGAAGACAAGATAGACGATGCAAAGCTTGCGACGGGCACGAACTACATGCAGCTGTTAGCAAGTGCGTACAACACAGAACATTTCGATACGTACCGTGAAGACTTGCTTCAACTCATCACCGTCCAAGAAGCTCACAGCCTTGAGCAGCCCGGTCAAGGTCCGGATGCGGACAGGCGTGATCACGCTAGCGGCGTATACATCGACGAGGATAGGGACCATGAGCCGCAGGAATCGTCCGACTACATCGGGCTTCGAGCGAAGGAGGTCAGTGCGGTCGACGACGGTTGATTCCTTCTCGAGGCGTGGCAGAGCGTCCTCTCCTTCCTGTACGGACTGAGGGTCGATGTGCATCGGTTCGGGCGCTGCGCCATCTTCTGCTGGCGCTGAGACCGGCGGGGCCGCGGACGCACTTGTACGGGCTGTTGAACTAGAAGGTCCCGCATGGGTAGAGGCAGCTAGAGCCGCCGCTGCTTGGCGAGCTGCAGCACGATCTGCCTTGGCCTTGGCCTTGAGCATCTTGTTGAGAGCTTTCTCGGTGTATCCCTTGTGGTCGAAGACACCATCTGATATGGAAAGACAAATCAGTATCAGCACGCAGAAAACGGGCGGAAGCACTGACCTTTGGGCAAAGGGGGCATGAGTTCGGAGATTAAGCTCAGCGCTTCCTCGATCTGATCCTTAGGGCGATGCGCTAGGTTCTCCATCACAGTCATGTCCGCCAACCCACCACCAAGGCCCTGACCGCCGGCAGCATCACCCTGCTCTTCCATGCCATCCGATGTCGGGGGCAAGACGCCAGTCAGAATTTGGTAGAGCGTGTCGACGATACCGGCTTCGAGGAGTACGAGCGTGATCTTGGGACTGATGCGAGCGGATGTCGCCAGAGCGCGGAGGAGTAGAGTGTATGTGCTCGCAGCAATCAAGGGGGAACCGCCTGCAGGGAGCAAGAGCATGTTCACAGCGCGAATCAAGTCAGCGTCCACGAGAGCCTCGAGGTTCTCTGGTGAGGATCGGTAGTAGGAGTCGATGATGCGGATGACACAGAGACAGGCGTATTCAACTAGTCGTTGGTCGGAGTAGCCGAGACAGTTGCGGATAATAGGCCAGACAGCGCGAATCATGGGGAAGTGCTCGATTGAGACGTTGCGACAGCAGTTCGCGGCCGCTTGCAAGGCCGTTCGTTGGACAGCGATGGAGAAGAAATCGAGGTAGTTCAGCAGGGCAGCAAGGCCACCTTCTCGGACGATGGCGCTAGGGAACTCTTCAGATATCTTCTCCAAAGTCTAGGTTACAGGTGAGTACGCTGGTGAACTAGAAGACAACGCAGTGTAAAAACATACACTCAAGGTCTGCTCTGCCAAATCGATGTAGGAAATCTCGATCAGTTTGCTGCAAAGAACGGGGATGGCGCCGTGGTATACGACAGTATGCGCCACGCCCGGCAGGGCCTCCATCAAGTTGGCGAGACACCTGCAAGCCAGGACCTGGGCTTCCAGATTCTCGTCGCCTTGATATGCGCTCCCACCAGTGCTCATTGCCAACGCCGCTGCGAGAGCTGCATCCTCATCTTGCTCGGCCGCGTCGTCATCGTCGCCTTCCTCCTCATCGTTCCCCGTGCCACCCAAAATCCTGACTAGTTCTCGGATGAATGCTTCGACCTGGAAGGATCCTGCGAGGGTGTCCTCGGTGCTGATGCTCAACAATTCGCTCAACTCCTGCAGCGTCACTAGCCTCGTGGTGGGGTCTGCTGTAGGCTTGATGTTATTGAGCATCGTCTTCAGCCGTCCAGAGATGCCCATCATATAGGAACCGAGTTGACGGTAGTCGCCGAAGATGGACATCGCTGAGGCCTCATTGCCCATGCCGCCCAAGGTGCTGGCGAAGTCCCTTTCGGCTTCTTCGTCTTCATCGTCGTCGTCTCCGCCGCCACCATCGTCGGGCAGGTCTTCAGGGTCATCACCTTCATCCTGACCCCCGTCGTGTGGCTCACCATCCTGGATGCACTCAGCGTCGACCATGTCCACATCTTCGTCGCCAGCACGGGAGGATCCTGCTGCAGCCATCAAGGCCTTGCTCTTCGCGGTAACTTTACCCTTGCCGGATGTTACACTGCAACGGCATTCGCGCGTTAATTAGGGTGGAAGGCCACTATATGCGCACATGACATACCGTGACTTTCTGGTCATGTCCGCTCCTGTCTGATTGTCCGACCTCGGTCTGAGAGAGTAGGCACTGGTAGGACGCGTGAGTTTCTTCGATGCAGAGATTGCCGCAGCGGTTTCGTCGTCTTCTGAGTGGTCTTCGGGTGCAGCGCGCTTCTTGCCCTTGGTATCCTTGGTGGGTTCGTTGATGGTGAGGGCGGAGGTTGTTGGGTACGTGGAACGGCGCGCGCTGTCGAGAAAACCTTGAGTGGTGATGTAAGATGGAAGGACGAACGGACATACCGCTTGCTTGCTCGGGATTCGTCAGCTACTTCTTTCCCCTTGCCTTTATTAGAGCTGCTGTCGCGGGCTCGCTTGCTCGAAGACGACGAGGCTTGCTGGCTGTCTGCGGAGGGGCGTTCCTTCTGTTTCTCCTTCTGTTTCGCGGCTTTGACCCGTGCGCTCGTACGGAGGACCTTGGACTCGGAGGCGGCGGAAAGCGATGGCTCGTCGGTGTGCGTGGGGTTCGGGCTGCTACTGGTCGCTGCTTGGGATTGGGTAGAGTCCATTTAGAGCGTGCAGCCGGCCATCGATCCCGTGTAGGCTATCGAATGGAGGTAGTACGAAAGTGTGGTCGACCGTCCAGAGCTCTGTTGCCACACCCCTTGTCCGCGGGCCCAAGTCCTTGAGTCGCCGCCTGAATTACTCAGCGGCCCTGAGCGGCACATTTGCTCCGAACCTCCGTACTTAGAAACTCAGTCAGTTCTGCTTATAAACTACTTGTACTTCGGCGTAATCAACGTTTGAACGTAACAACTCTCCCGCATTTTCAATTGCGTTGAGCAGGGAGCATACAGGGCTGATCTGCGAGAACGCGAAGACGATGCCGTATGTGCAAGGCAAAGCCTTGTAAGCCCCGAGAGATCGCCGCGGTGCTTCATTGCATTCCGGATGCGGAGAACGCTGCACTCATAGCCACGCCGGAGCATCCGCTGGCTACCCATCGACCATCGCTCGGGATGGTGCAAGGAGACAAAATGAAGAGGGGGCGCAGCCTGTTCAGGTAGCTGCTGTGATGGAGCACGCAAGATCCGATGACGCTAGAATACAAACCCAATCCTACAACCTACACCGCACGGCTGTCCGCTTTCGTCGCCCTCAGCACCATATCCTCCAGCGTGATCGCGCGGTACTCCCCGCCATCGTCGGCCCACACTGCATCGTCCAAAATGTACACCAGGATGCCACCCTTCCCGTCCGTGCTCTGCGATAGCCGGTACAGCGGCATACGCGACTGCTCGTGCACACGACCGGTAGGAATCAGGAGCAAGTTGTGTGACGCCGCGAAATCTTCGATGATAGAGCGGAACGTGATCTCTTGTGTCCGAGCAGGGCGGGGCTTCTCCTTCGGCTTCGCTGCCGGGGCAGGTGTGGCCTGGCGATGGTCCGGGCGGGGGAGACGTGTGGGCGCGTCCGGTCCTAACTCGAGCGCCTTGTTCATAAGCTGTAGCCCGCGCGTGAAGCCATGCGCGATCCCGGGCATGTTCTGCACGTTCTCGGGGAACGAGCCTTTCCAGAACGAGTACCATCGCGAAACCTCCTCGAAGCTGGGATTTGGCTGGATGAGCCAAATGTGGAGGACGTCGAGCCACTTCGGGAAGAACTCCGTCTCGAGAATCTGCGAGAAAATGGACGGGCGAAGGTGCTGTTCCCAGAGTAAAACGTCCTGCAGCGGCTGCATGTCTTGTTGGCGGGGATTGACGCGGAAGTCGTCCCGCATCCTGGAACCAAGCTTCGGTACAACATACTTCAATAGCATAGTGTCCCAGTCGCCCACATCGAAGACCTGTTACCAATATCAGCACTTCAACTGGTTCATACAAGCACACAGCCACATACCTCTCGCCAGGCACCGAGGTCTTCTGGAATGGCCTCGGAAGTTGTCCAGGCTCTGAGAACGCTCTTCACTTTGCGTCTGGCGTCTCCAAGTACATCCTCCAATCGTAGGCCTATATGTGGTAGCCACGGGAAAACGAGCTTCTGTAGCGAGACCTTGCTCTTGCGTGCGCTCCAATCGCCAACAGCCTTGTGTACCTTCGGGAGGACAAGTTGGTCGAAGAAGTTATCTCTGATGAATGGCGGGAGGAACGGAGACCACGCCTCAAATAGACGAACGGCGGGCAATGGGTCTTCGGGCGTCCAGTCGTTGTTTAGAGACGACCGCACGCGCGGGAGCCAGGTATTCCACAAGAGGCTTTCGTAGGGTGTCATGGGTTTTTCTCTGCGCGAGATGGTAAGTCGCACTTCTCACTATTTAATTAAGGGCGGGGCACTCACACAACTGGTGCCACAGAGACCACTGTACTGCTCCCGTAAACTTGTACTTGAGTCACTGGTTTCTCCTCGGGAGAAGCCATCTTGAGTGCTCGCCGCCACGTACGGAAGTTGGCTGTGAAGGCTGTAGGGTCTTCAAGTGGTTGCCAGGACGTCAACATCCTCCGGACCTATAACGGTGGGTTAGGGAGGATTACGGGCTGCGAAAGAGCGGTACATACCACCGGCGCAATGGCGGCGACAACGACCTCGTCCAAACGATAGCGGTCGAACTCCCTCGCGAACTGTCCCAAGAGCTTGTCGAAACCTGTCGTAAAGGGCTCCAGGGAGGCCTCATAGAGGGAGGCTGTTTCTCGCGCTTGAGTATTGATCTCGTCCACGACGAGATTCATCTGCTGTAATCGCGCGATAACTACGACGAAGTCAGCGGCGGAAGCATAAGTGCGTTTTATACACTCACGTTCTGCCTCTCCATCCACCTGCTGCCGCAGTCTCTCGTCTTCAGCACGTATCCACTTCTTGCGCTCCTCTAAGGCACGAGCTTCGCGTGCGAGGCCATCCAGGTCCGTCCTACAAGACTCCGTAATGAGACGCAAATTGTGGCGAATCTCTGGCAGTCGCATGGGGTCTGTGGTTGGAGTCCAGGACGCCATTGACACATCGGCCAAGGATGATACTTCTCGGAGCTGTGCCTCACGTCAACGAGAGCGTAGCTACCGACGTAGGCGGATGACTTACCGTTGCACCAGTGGCATCGATGATTTGCCCAAGGCTTGCTTGAGGAGCTTCTTGACCGGCTTCGGCGATGATCTCCTCATATGTCTTGTGTTCGACCCTGGTCTTCGTCCGCTTGGGCTTCTTCCAAGCGTCCGTCTTCGCAATTTGCGTCTTAGCTGCTTTGCGCGCCTTACGCGCAGCTGCCTTCGACTCTTCATCGTCCTCACTGACAGTTTCGCCCCGCCGTCGTGCCTCGGCCTTTGACTGTTCGGTTTTCTCTCTGAAGCCCTTAAAGGCGAGACCCATACCTTTCGGACGCAGCTTGCTCTCCACAGGGGTCACGATGCCTTCTCCAGTGGAACCGAGACCCAACCCCGCCTGCCAACCCATCTTCTCGAGCATCCGCGCACCGAACGTGCCCGAGATCTTGCTGAAATGCTGCCGTTCTGCCGCTGTGAGCGGAGTGGTAGTGCCCGAGTTTCCTCCACTGGTATCGGGCTTGCGCACGAAGGAGCGTTGCGTACGCTGGGCACCGAAGGCAGTCGGGAAGTCTTCTGCAGCTGCTGGGGCGGGCGAAAGCGAGGGCGAAGCAGAGGATTCGGGCACCTCTGGGTGTGAGGACCCGATGCCTCCCCGTTGGAAGGGCATGGGGGCGGAGTTGCTGCCGATACCTCCTTTGGAGGAACCTATGCCACCCTTCGCGGAACCTATGCCTCCCTTCGACGAGCCTATGCCACCCTTGGAAGAACCTATGCCACCCGTCGAGGAGCCAATTCCGCCCTTGCTCGCACCAAGGCCCAGTCCACCGAAGCGTGGTCGCGTCTCTTCCTCCTCTGCTCCCTCCTCACGGACCCGCGGCGAAGCAGGTTTCGAAGGTTCGTCGTCGGAAGACATCGAAGAGACATCTTCAGCACTATCCACGTCGTCCTGCTCTGCTGCGGACCCTTCCTGATTCTCCATGGGTTCATCCTCCTCCAAAGGGACCTTCGAGCCTCCCGAGACGAACGCAGGAGCCTTCGTTCGCGCCTTTCCGCGTGGCTTCTCGGGCGTCGCATCCTCCTCGTCACTACCGAAGACTCCATAGATCGCGTCCTCCTTCCCGTTCTTGCGTCTCCGTTTCCGCTTGTACGGATTCTCAAACAACTCGCGCTCGGCTCGCGCATCGGGGTCGTTATTGTCGTCAAAGTCGTGGTTGTCGTCATCGTCAGAGGCAGAAGAGGAGTCGTCGTCCTCAAGGAATGGGCGTTTTCTCCGCGCCATTATGGACAAGTGCAGAACAGTCGGCAGCCAGTGGTCAAGTCAAGCGTCTGTATGATGCGTATCCGAGGCGCGCGACTTGACCGCGAGCGCTCGGTCGCCAGGAACGGGCGCCCATAATTTCCTAACTCAGACGAACTCCGACTGATGAGCGCGCGGACGACTCCGAAGGCCTGAACGCTATCGAGTTTTTGGAACGCCTGTACCAGCAAACGAGGCCGCCGCCGTCGCCAACGTCAAGCCCTCAAGACTCCCAACATGGTCAGTATGCTGCTGCTCGTCGCCAGAACCGTCCGTGGAGAATCCAGAGTGGAAGGAGTGGACACAACGTCGCTGGAGGGGTGGATGCTGCTCTCAGTCTTCGGATGTACCTGGCACCTCTGCGGCAACACTCGATTCTCTTCGACCGGCTCTGGGGACTCTACTCTCTATGCAACATATGCTGACGGTCTTTTGCTTGTCTTTCTAGGCCCGTGGACCCAAAAAGCACTTGAAGCGTCTTGCCGCGCCGTCCTCATGGATGCTGGACAAGCTCAGCGGGACTTACGTGCGTATGCATGAATGCTTGTTTTCGCAACCCTCTAAACGCAGTTCTCCGTCTCCTAGGCTCCCCGTCCCTCTCCCGGTCCCCACAAGCTCCGCGAATCCCTCCCCCTCACGATCTTCCTCCGTAACAGGCTGAAGTACGCGCTCACTGGCAAGGAGGTCACTTCGATTGTCAAGCAGCGCTTGATCAAGGTCGACGGCAAGGTCAGGACCGACTCCACCTACCCCGCGGGCTTCATGGGTTAGTTCGCATCGCTGTGTTTTCCGCGTCTGTACTAAGATTGCCTAATAGATGTTATCTCCATCGAGAAGTCGGGCGAGCACTTCCGTCTCCTCTACGACGTTAAGGGCCGCTTCACCATCCACCGCATCACGCCTGAGGAGGCAACGTACAAGCTGTTGAAGGTCCGCAAGGTTGCGATCGGCAACAAGGGCGTTCCTTTCGTCACCACCCACGACGGCCGCACCATCCGTTACCCCGACCCCGCGATCAAGGTCAACGACACCGTTCGCTTCGACATTGAGCAGAGCAAGATCACCGACTTCGTCAAGTTCGACACCGGCAACCTTGCCTTCATCACCGGTGGCCGTAACAGGGGTCGTGCGGGTGTCATCGTACACCGCGAGAAGCACGTCGGTGGCTTCGACATTGTCCACGTGAAGGACTCCCTGGAGAGGACCTTCGCTACCCGGTAAGCTCTTATGCAATTTTTGCGTGGGACTATGATCCTGAATTGTTTTAGTATCTCGAACATCTTCGTCATCGGCGAGGGCACTAAGTCTTGGGTCTCCCTGCCGAAGGGCAAGGGTCTCAAGCTCACCATCGCGGAGGAGCGCGATGTCCGGAGGAGACGCGCTGCGGAGTCATAAACGGGTCTGTATCGTATTGCTCCTATGTTACATTCATCACGCCCACGCATGCCTATGCGCTCCCCTGTATGCCACTAGTACGCGACCAAAATTTTGCATGCATGGTTCATGGAGAGAGATATCGCCAGGCACGGACAGTCCGTTCAAATGATGCGTTCAAATGATGCGGTGTTGACTTCACTTAATTATCACCTAGAGGCGAGCCACATCGTCCTCCGGCGGCATGAGAGCTCACGCTTTCCAGATCTGGTCAGCACCATCAGCTGTATGTTGCGGATCGCTGCGCTGCCTGTCGACCTTACTCAGACCAGCAGCTTCGCTGTCAATCCGCGTCTGATCCACTGGGGGCACCGAATGACTCCTCGCGAGCTCTGGTGTCTGCGGTCTCAGTGGCGTTGTCCGCGTCGCCAGGTTCACTCTCCGTGTGGCATCTTAGATCATAATCCTCACAAATCAGGCTGCGCGCCACCCATCATGAGGCGCGAACGCGTAAGCATGCTTTCCTGTACCCGGTACCCATGTACATACACCTCCCGGAGGCTGTGTCCGACGTACATACTCACTGCAACTGAATCCGGCAGTCCAAGTGGTATAAATAGGAGCGCTGGACCAGGGAGAGAGACATAACAGCCTACAGCTCCCCAACGTTCAACGTTAACCAACTCTCAACCACAGCTACTCAACACCACCCACAGAACAGAAGATGTCCAACAACCACCTCGCCACCGTCGACCCTGAGCTTGCCCCGCTCATCGCCGCGCTCCCCGCCATCCCGCCGCCTACTGGACCCATCGACCCTGCGGTTGTGCGCGCACGGATGACCGCTATGTTCTCCGGCGTCGCCAAGAAGAACCTCGCGCCTTACCTCCCTTCAGGTATGTGCCCGTTCTTGTACGCTTACGAGTAGTTTGCTCACTTAATATCAATTCCCAGAGGACGCGTGCCACGTCGCCGAGTACAAGATACCCAACGATGCGGGCGAGTTCGCTATCCGCACCTACCGCCCGGCGGCGGCAGACGACGCGACCTTCCCGGTCTTGCTGGTCGTCCACGGTGGAGGTAATTAATCTACCTTTTACATTCCTTGGTAGAATCCGTTCTAATCCCGTGTTCACTATTAGGATTCATGAACGGCGATCTTGAGATGGAAGACTTCTCTATCAAGATACTTTGCGTCGAGCTCCAAATTGCCGTCGTAAACGTTGACTACAGACTCGCCCCTGAGAACCCCTACCCGGCGGGTCTCAACGACGTCTACGAAGCTCTGAAATGGGTTCGTCTGTATCGTGCACACCCAAAGTCTTTCCCCACTGACCTCATACTTCCATAGACTGCGCGCAACCCGGAGAAGCTGCACGCAGACCTCCGCAAGGGCTTCCTGGTCAGCGGAAAGTCCAGCGGTGGGAACTTCGCGGCCGTCGTCGTCCACCGCGCCAAAGACGACCCGTTCTTCGCGGGCACCCCGCTGACGGGGTACATCCTGCAAATGCCCGCCTTGTGCCACCCGGCTGCCGTCCCAGAGAGGTCCGTTCCCAGACGTCAAGCACAGCCGCGTTGCAATACTGACTTGGCAAACAGCGAGAAGGACAAGTTCGCGTCGATGGAGCAGTGCAAGGACGCGCCGCTCTTCACCCGCGGCGCGATGCTGAACGCGTACGGTATGTGTCTCCAATACTGCGAATACTCAATTTTGCGCTTAACTCTGCACGGCAGCCATTCTGAAGGCTGAGCCCACGAACGTCGAGATCTCCCCGTACCTCTACCCCTCCTTCGCTGGGCTGCCCCCGGCGTACATGCAAGTCTGTGGCCTCGACCCGTGCCGCGACGAGGGGCTGGCGTACGCAGAGAAGCTGAAGGCGAACGGGGTCCCCACCAAGCTGGATGTGTACGTCTTAGTGCTCAGCTCTGTGCTGCTGTCTGCGTGAGACTGACTGGGGTGCAACTCACAGATACCCCGGGGCGCCGCATGCCTTCAATGTCATCTTCGCGCCGACCAAGATCGCGCAGAAGTGGAATGAGGAGTTCAGAGAGGGCGTCCGTTGGCTGCTGGGCCAGGCTGCAGCCGGGTCCAAGGCTTGATGGGCACCTTCAGGTCGCACTGGCTCCTTGAACGAAACTGGGATCTTATTTATGCTGGATGATGAACGATTAGGACTGTAGTGTCTTCGTATGATTGTTGTTGTATGATGTACACTAGTGTTTATATATAAGTTGTATGCGGAACATTGGCGAGGCTTGGTTCGGGACATTCTGGGGCTTAGGTGAGGGGTTGCGACTTACTTGCCAAACTCTCCTTCAACTATAGGGGCCGCCTAACCTTAGCATGCGTACAGACTCGATATGACCGCAGTGGTGGAGGGTATGTACCTAGCACACGATACCACGCGCTACGACCCCTCGACTACTTTCCGCATATCCAACAGCAGTGTACGAGTGTACGAATTTTCACTTATGATCCAGATCGAGCATGGTATAACCCAAGAGATACAACTATCGTACATACAAGCAGCCCTCCGCGCGCTCATTGCCGGAGCGCGTACACAGTCTTGCCGTAGTAGTAGCCCGTGACGGCCGATGTCGCAGTCAGGACGGCAGGCACTGGCCCCTTCGCAGCGCGCGGCGCCGACGACAGAAGCAGGAGCGCGGAGGCACCTAGGTGCAAGGTTGCCATCAGGTTGAGTAGCCGGCATGGCCAGACTGAGCGAGACTTACCGAAGGCCGCCTCCAGACCGTTGGCCGTGCCCTTGCGGATTGCGTCTCCGCTCCAGAGGTACAGCACACCGACGCTGTAGTTGTGCGCGGTGAGTGGACCCATTTCTGTGAGCAATCGTGTTGAGGTCCTACCCAACGCCTGCGACGAGAGAGGGGATGCTGCGCGTGCGCGCGAAGCCGGTGAGGCCGCCTACGATGCACAGAGTGCCCATAACATATGCGGGGTATGCAGACTAGATCGATCGTCTACGTTCAGCGAGTGCGGGGGCGCGTCGGGCAGCACAAGAACTCACCATGGCGGACGCTGAGGACGTGGAAGGGGTGTCGTGGAGGTTGGTGTGAAGGAAGGTGGGCGCGGGAGGTGAGGTCGGCCGAGCGTGTGCGCAACGCTTATTTACCCCGCACGCCGTTAGACGCCCGGTCCTGATCGTAGATCTAGGAAAGACGCGTGAAATCTCCTCATACCGCTTACATCCGGTTCCGTCTCTCCCTCCGCCACACTCGCGGGATCGGAACACGATGGCCGATATTTTGCCAAAGAAAAACGAAGAGTACGGCACGAAGGAGTACTGGTAAGAGTCTTGTATGTTTCTCAGCAAAATGCTGTTGCTGAACTCGACAGGGACCAGCGGTATACACAGTGAGAATATTCACGTCCACCGCGCCGAGCGTTCTCTGGGCGGGCCGCCGCTGCATGCTGCTGACTGAACGCCATCCGGGTATTCGTTTAGGGAGTCCGAGGATGCCTCATTCGACTGGTTCAAGTCATATAGCGACATCGCGGACATCATGCGCGAGCTCATCCCCGAGAAATCGGCAAGGATCCTGATGCTCGGATGCGGCAACTCGACCTTGTCGCAGGATGTACGCAGAGCGTTCAGTTTTATGTTCTGAGCAGATCGGACGTGCTCATGCAGACATAGATGTACGATGACGAGTACAAGAACATTGTGAACACCGATGTCAGTCCGTCGACCATCGTGCCGCTACATTCTGCTCATCGGCACCGGTCGAGCAGTACTCCGGGATCCTCATAGAGAAAATGCGTCACAAGAACGCGCAGGACCGACCAGAGATGGAATGTAATTACCTTATCCTTCTGAACAGTCCTTGATTTCTAACTTTGCTAAGGGCACGAAATGGACATCCGTGACCTAAAATTTGACGACGATACTTTCGACGTAGCTATCGACAAAGGTCCCTGTTCATCAACTTGCACGTTCAAGGACTACGCTTACCACGCGTCATACACTCTAGGGACTATGGACGCTATGATGACTGCGAAAGCAGACGTATGGGTAGGCGACTTTGTGCAGACCCTCCTACTCAATGCCTGACGTCTGACAGGATCCACCGGAAGAGGTCGTGCAGAACTGCAACCGCGAGGTCGACGAAGTCCTCAGGTGCGCACTGGCGGGCATGACACCCTATGGAGACTCAAAACCTGACCGGGTCTCACACAGAGTCCTCCGCAAAGGCGGCATCTTCGTCTACCTCACCTTCGGCCAGCCGCACTTCCGGCGCAGGTACCTCGACCGCCCTGGCACGACACTTGAAATCCGTAAACTGGGCGAGGCCTTCCATTACTACCTGTACATTGTCAGAACATGAATAAAATTAGTGCAAGCCGCAAATGTAGCACTATTCGTGGCAATAGTCTAGCGGCGGTCCTCAGCGAGCGCGCCCGCATGCGATGCTTGGGCGGTGAGCAGCCAGACGACGTCGGTCTTCGTCACCATACCGGTGAGCTTACCGCCTTCGGAGAAGAGGATATGTCGAAGGTTCTGGGGGTCAAGCGTGAATGAGAGGATCTCCGATGTTTGGTCAAAGAGCACGAACCAGTTTCTGGAACATGTTCACGACGAGCTCGAGCGGCACATCCTTCCGCAGCTGCAGCACGGCCTCCTCCAGCAGTGACGACAAATTCAGTACGCTGCTGTCCCCTTCCGCCGCCTGACTCGGTGGCACGAATGTGCACCTACGATCCCCCGCAGGGTTTTCCGCGAATATTGCGTCTAGGCCATTCATCAGGACACAGTCTCACCGCACAAACACTCGCAACGCACCGATAGCAGCCTGCAACTTATCCCTCAGCACAAAGCCCAGCAACTGGTCCCCCTTCACAACCGGGAATCCGCGGAACGCGTGCGTGCGCGCCAGCTCGTCGAGCTCCCCGAGCAGCGCATCGTCGTGCACCACCACGAGGTTCGCCGCGCCCTTCATGACGTGCGCGGCCGTCTGGCCGTCGTCGCGGAACTCGCGCGCGGGCAGCCACGGGTACTGGCGCATCGCGATCCACGTCGAGTAGATGCCGTCCTCACCGAACGCGTCTGCGACCCACTTCGAGACCATGACGGAGATCATGATCGGGAGGACGTGCGAGAGCGCGCCGGTGAGCTCGAAGAGAATGACGACCAGGGATACTGGAACGAGGGTTAGCCAACGCTCGATAAATTGTACGAATATGAACTTACTTGTCATCCTGGTGACGCCGCCGAGCATGGCAGATGCGCCAATGACGGCGTAGAATCCGGGTGATACACACCGCACGGTAGGATCGGGAGGACATGACGCGAATAGCCAGGCTGTAGGGTACGCTCTATGCAATCCCTGCCTGTAAACTAGACATCAGCTATGAGAGCTCTACCCTGAGTGGGATTACACGGACGTAATCAGCCCTACTGCGCGCCCGAGGCTTGCGCCGATGGTAATAGTCGGCAAGAAAATACCGGCGGGAACCTGCACATGTTCATTTTAAGCGGATAGCCTTGTGCTAGCTGTGAGGAACAACGCACCATCATGCCAAAGGTCCAAGCGGTGAAGCCCACCTTGGCTAGGGCAGTGAGAGTGAGGAGAAAGACGTTCGCCCAGATCGCGCTAGGACTGTATACTAGAGTGAGTCCGTGGCCCGCACAACCTATACGACGGGGCACATACTTGCATAGACCGTGGTAGTCGCCCTTGGCCGGGTCGCACTCCTGGAACAGATTCGCAACGAGTTCGGACGACTGCACTCGCATGAACACCATCTATCCAAATCGGTTAGTACGGGATTGTCAGAGAGCCACTCCCCGCTCGCGACGTACCGGATAGCTGACGGCGGCCGTGATGGCCGTGAAGCCAACGACTTCCACGATGGGCCACTCGTGAAGCATGCTATGCCGCCTGTACACCGCAGCGGCGGTGTTTAGCTTAATCAAAAGCGAGCCAAGGAGGCCCTACGGTGACGCTCGTAAGATCGCTGAAGCACATACGATACAACGAGCTTACCCCTACGACGGAGAGGAACACCCAAGGTATCTGCGCGCCATGAGGATTGACCGTCCACTCGAATGCCTAGATAGCACTTACAAGCTCGAAAGCCCGCCAAACGGACCTAGACTCGGTGACTTGGAAGAGCACAAGCTTCGACGTCCCAAAGGGGTCAATGTACTGCAGCGACACAGCAGCAATAACAGACGTGACGAAGCCGCGCCACATCACGTCGCCGTCGTCGAAAAACGCGTCTAGCTCCTCGAGACCGAAGAGCACTCCACCCAAGGGGCTTCCGAATGCGACCGAGACTCCCGCTGCTGCGGCTGCTGCGAGTAGCCTGCGTTTACGCGCTGTGAGGAAGCCGTTATCAACGTCGCGTAGCACATTTCGTACCGCGACATACCTTCGTTGTGCTTGAATTGTGGCAACGCGCGGGAGAGCAAGAACGCCCAACAGCATGCGACGTGGACCAGAGGTCCCTCCTTCCCCAAGGAGAGCCCGGACGCGACGGCAAGTGCGAGTCCTAGAGACTTGATGAGGAGCACCCAGGGACCTAGGAATGCATCCAGGACGTAGCCGCTGAGAATCTACGACGTGGTGAGGAGCGTACAGTCTCCAAGGAACGAACATGACCTACTGCCTTGATCTCAGGAACTGGTCCAGAGTATGGTGAGTGACTGGTATGACGCACAACGCAGTTCAGGACGTACTTCCGGTATGGAACGCACTGCGTGAATAGATCAGTATCGCACACACCTAGCACACTAGCTGCTTGGCGCACTATGGAGCATAGGACTTCACCAGGATGGCCGAACTTCCTGCAAAGGCGATCTGGAAAGCCTGTTATCAGCCCCACGGAGCGCGAAGCGATGTCTCTGCGCACTCACCGAAAGTGCAATATATATAGCAGACTGCAACAGCGACTGGGCGAAGATACTGTTCACGTTGAGGTATTCACTCCAGGACTGCCATTCGCGGCATATCTCTCCGGCTGCCTCCTGGTTAGTATCATCGCGCACGTCAAGAAAAGCGCACTCACGGTCAAGCCCACTACAACACGCAACTTGGTTGTAGAAGAAGCCGTACGTGCACCTCCCTTCCCTCAAGTCGCCCAACCTACACAGCCACATTCACCCCTCCGCACCAAGGCGAACACGCACAAGCAACGACGCACCATCTGACCAGCACGTCCAGCCACGCGCCCACCACGCCCGTCCCCATGCCCGTGAGCACGATCACCACCCACATTCCGACCGAGTCCTGCACGAGCGAAAGCAAGCCGCGCAGGCCGCGCTGCTGGCCCATCACTCGCTTGCGCTCGCGCTCGGCCGCTTCCTCACGCAACCAGTCGATCGTGCTGCCTTCTTCGTAGGCGACAGGCTTTCCGAGCGGTGGTGAAAGCAGGCCAGGCGCGCGAGGCTCACCATGCTCGACGAACTCGTACGCCTCGGCGTCACGAACGTCGGCCTCGAGCGGACTGTCTTTGCCGGTGCTGAACCATGGCAGTTGGGTGTTGGAAGAGCCGTCCCTGGATGTCTTGAGTGAGCCAGTCCGACGCGGTGTGAGATGCCAGAGGTCTAGACCTACCACATTCTTCCCGGAGCTACAAGTCTGTGACGAGAGCCTCAGATCTGGAGGCTATAGTGTGCGTAGCGAGTTATTGCAGTTCACCAGTTTATTTGAGTTGTAAAGTTGAGTACAGCGTTGCGCAAGCCCGAGTGGGCGCAGCAGAGGAGGTGATGGTATGGGAGCAGCATACAACTCCGGGAATCTCGGGATGATGTTCAAGGGCGCCTATTCGCTCGCCGCGGGCAACCAGTGGGCAACCCTGGATCCGGACAACCACCACCTTCCCAGGAAAATAGGGTATTGCGGTATATATGGACATCATCAGGGATGCATAGGATCTATTTGAACAAGCTTCGCTGACATCCGTCGCGCTCAGCTACGGAAATGACACACGAGTCGAACCGGTTCAGCCCAACCTGAGTAGCAGTAGTCCATGTCATTTCGAGTTACGGGTCTGCGCAGCCCCGGAAGGCCCTCTTCGTACAACGACTTCTGTATGGAGCTGGTCATAGGTTCTATGGGAACAATAGTCATAATTTACAGTAAGATATCGTACAGGATCGTAAGATCCACGGGGAACCAACTGCCAAAGGCGTACCGACACAGCGACCAATAGACACACCGCAATGCAGGAAGCGGTCACGGGCACGCGCCTCGGGTTTCATACAAGCCACACGAGGCACCCGTAGCACGTAGCTAAGCCCCCGAAATGGGCCGCGAGGCGTCGAGGAAGGGAGGAAGGCGCGCCACGCCCGACGGCGTGCGCGGGGAGGTGGCAGGCGCTGAGAAAGCCCGAGCTGCGAGATGAACGTTCGAAGCCACGCGCGTCCGCAACTTGGGTTCACGGGCCCATCGACCCCCGTCGCGTCATCATCTGCCCGGGCGGCGGAGGGCGCCCATCGCGCGAATGCGAATGCGGTTGCGATTGAGGCCCTGGCCTTCCCCAGCCGGCGCCGTAACGCTCTACCTCCGTCATCGAGCGTGTGACGGTGACTCGCACAGGCGGCGGAGGTGGCGGGAGGCCTGGACGACGCAGTTTTTTGCTGCCGCGCAGGCGGTTCGCGAAGATGTTGAGCTGGCGCAGGAAGCCCGCGTTCCGATGGACGATTGCGCGGCGCGAGACCACGTATTCGAGGGCCTGGTGCGGGGACATCCCGCGGTGCGCGACGAGGTACGCGCAGACGACAGTGGGCGAGCGCGAGATGCCCATCGCGCAGTGCACCTACAAAAAGGGGAAGAACGCCTGTGGTCAGCGCGCTGCGGAAAGCCACACGGAAACGGCGCGACGTACGAGGACGATGTTGCGCCTATCCTCGAGCGCGGACTTGATGAACGCGGAGGTGACTTCGAGGTGCTGCAGTAGGTCCGCGTACTCGCTGTCCTCAACGGGGATGTGCAGCGTCTTCAGCTTTGTCAGCGTTTTGGGATACTTGGGTCGGTGCTCGATGACCGACACGACGTGCGTGACGCCGATCGCGATGAGCTGCTCCTCGTCCACGGCCGTGTAGAGCCCAGACAGGTACAGTCTGGAGGTGATTTCGGACGGGGTCTGCGCGGCCTCGCGGATCATCGCCGCGCGACGCGACTGGTGCGACTGGTGCGACGGGCGAGCTGCGGCGACCATATGGTGCGCAGCGTTGTTCACGGAGGAGGCAAAGGAGAGCATGGTGGTCCAGGTGGTGGTAGCGGTCCAGGTGGTGGTGGTCGGGACCAGAGGTAGGATCGCGCCCAGAGCGTCGCAAGCGCGGCCTCAAATAGAGAGGGTAGCTGGGTAGCTCTCGAAGAATGCCTCGTGTGGCGACGATCGCCGCTTTGAGTGGGATGCCGTGCACACTGCGCAGCGGTGTGCGGACAGAGGCTGTGTCGAGGCGCGACGGTCAGTGACGACAACCACACACGAACTGGTTCGGCGCAGCTGCACAGAGCCGCACATGTAACGGATGAGCCGATCCAGCGTAAGACGCAGGCGTCTCGAAATGGGCCACTGGGTCGCCCCGCTGTGAGATTTCACATACCTAGGTAAACAGCGCCTTGCTTAGATGCCGGATTCGCTGGGATGGGCTTGATGAGTATTCCAGATGTAGTCGGTGCCAACGGCAGGCGATGCAGCTGAAGGGTTCGAGACGTTTCTCCTGCTGGTCTAGTAGCTCCTAGTAAGTTAGTATGGATGTGCAGGTCGTCCGTTATCCGTGTTCGCGTGGGGCTGAAGGAAAATATCTGTGGTCAACGTGGTTCGTTTGTGACAAACGCAACACCATACGATTCAGGTAGACGAGAAGTATTTAGATCTGGAATACTTGAGCAAAGCTGAGGAGAACTGAGCGTAACTCGGAGGTGCGAGCATGCTCGCGCGCGAAGCTCAAATGCAGTGTATACGCCCGCCCAGGCCCGCCACGTTCAGCCGGTCGGGCATCAATGTATCATGCGAGCAGCGATATCAGCCCACCCTAAACTGCCTGGTCCGTGCGTCGTCCCTTCGGTATAAAGTCCTCCTGCAGAGTTTGTGGTAAGTCATACTTACCTTGATGGCACGGGCCCCTTCATGTACCAGGGTTCGTGGGCCACGGGGGCCTCTCATAGCACGGCGACCTTGTCCTCAGGGGGCCCTCGCGGTTTGTACGGGCTTCGGCTCGTGCACCGTCTCAATATTTCCCTGTCCTGCTTCGGCCCTCGGGCTGGGCAGGCCTTTTTTGTTGCTGGTCCATTGCGCTAACCCTAACCCCATGTTACCTAGCTAGTAACACTAATAGTACCTTCAAGAGAACATAGATAAGCTGGAGGGGAAATACAATCCAGCTTATCGCTCCTTCTCCTAAGATGTTACCCATACTATAGAGGTTCCTTCTATTGGTGTACGACGGTCGTAAGGAAGTGTAGTACATGCGTTCATCACAGTCATTCCAGCTCGTACACCCAGAAAGTGTCACCCCCCAAATTCTACTCACAAAGCACCGCCCACAACCAACACAACACCCAACGACAAAGCGAACAAGAGAACACAAGCCTCCACCCCACGCGCAGCGCCATTCCCAGTAGCCTTCGGGCCCGTCGCGCTTCCGGAACCTGACGCGGCAAGCCCGCCTGGTGGGATGACGGTTGCGGTCGCGATATAGCTGCTCCACGCTGCAATCGTCGCGGAGGGGAACGTGTACGTCGACTGCGTCGTGCCCGAGCCGACGAAGATCCCAAGCTGGCCAGGAATCGCGTCGACCGCGAGCGCGCTGCTCTCGCCGCCGACAACGTTGACGGTCCCGCTCGAGTTGGTGACCAGCCCGGTCTGGTTGTTGCCGAGGATGAACTCGCGGAGCAGGACGAAACCCTACGAACAACACCGATAAGTATGCGGTCACTGGACGATGTGAAGAGGAAGGCCTACTCGGCCGGGGTTCGTGTATGGGACGAGGTGGCCTGCGCCTTCGATGAGGACGTAGGTCCAGTTGCGCTCCTGGTGCACGATGCCGCCGACGTCGCCATTGTCGTCGATCCAGGGAGTCGAGGGCTGCCGAGTGAAGCCTTGGATCCCACCAAAGGTCGTGTTCTGTTTATGTTTCAGTAAATGCATATGGCTGCGACAATCTGATCAGCATGCCTGTATGACCACTATGGATTCTTGGTTAGTGTGAATCTCACAGAGATGAAAGCATTAGCTCACCTTCAGTACCGCGATGCGCAACAAGAGAGTCGTCGTTTCCGGAGTAGAGGATGACCGAAACGTTGTGCGCGGATGCGTTGGCCGCGAGGTCAGTCAAGAACGCCATCGGTCTAGCTTCAGGTCAGTATACGCTGCCTCCCTTATGCTCGAAGTGCTCACTCCACGCCTGGAGCAATACATGTCAGTTCCGTAGACTCCAATGGTACGAGTGATTGATCTCACTGGGATCGTTGCCTTCGAACAGAGGATCCCCCAGGAACGGGTAGAAGATCGAGCCCGTCCAGTTCTTGCTCGTCGGCGCATGCAAAGCTGCGCGTGTCTTCGCGTCTGCACATAGAATTCAGCATGACCCTTCACTGTAGTCCCTTGATGCTCCCACCATTGAAGAAAAACGAGGCATCCATGTTGGCTTCAGGATCCAGCGCGTCAGGAACTTGATAAACCTAACAGCAGCCAGCCTGTCAGAGCCACACACGCAAAGGGACACTCGAATACTCACGTCGAAGCCATTGAAGTTATCGTGCGCAGCGTCTGCGTGAGATAGTGAAATGTCAGTACGCAACGCAGATGCCACGCGCAGTGCAGGCACTCACTCCACGGCGCAGAGAAATTGACTGCATAGTCGATCATCTCGTCATAAATATCACACCCGTACCACGGGTCGATCGTCCCGTTGGCCCTCCCGCTCAAGTCACGCTTCTTCGCTGCTCCGACCGCCACGCTGTCTCGCTGTTCGATCTTGGCAGAGCGCTTCGCGTTGCGGAGCACCTCGCGCGCGCGAAGGCGGGTCTCGTGGCGCGTGCGGGAGTTGAAGCGGGACAGGGAACGGAAAGGCTCCTCGTTGTTGCTGGGCTCGACGAACGTGAGGGTTGGGAAATGCCCGTTTTGTGGGTAGGTGAGATTCAGGTCGTATCCGCAGAGGTGCGTCCTACATGACGTCGAAAAACCTCAGCTAGAGCGACGAAAGAAGGAGAGCGTGATGCGCACTGCTCGCGGAAGAACTCGAATACTGCTGGGTCGTACCCAATGAGCTGTGGGTACGTCTCGATGGTTGTCACCTATAAGCATATGGTCAATACAGAAAAATCTGGCGAGAGACGCGACTGTATTCACAGTAGGCAGCAACTCGAAGACCTCAAAGGAGCCGACGGTACCGTCTCCGATCGCGAACTTCGCAATGTTCACGGGAGGGTCCGTCAAGCCAAAGTACGTCTTCATAATGTATGGCTGTATGGAAAGGTAAGTATGGGGAGGATTATATCGAGCCTGAGATCGTACAATGTATGTCCCTGCGTAACTCTCGCCAGTGACGTAGAGCGGTCGTGTTTTGAGGCTCGGGAAGACCTTCACCAAATTTGACAGGAAGCCCATCTGCGCGGAAGTCAATCCGAGTCCTAATGGCACGCAATATGACATTGCACACGACGTACGAAATCTCTGCCCATCTCGTCCTCATCATGAACTAACCCATTGACGTTAGTCGCCCAGGTCATATCAAGCATGTCACAGATTGCGCGCACCGAATCCTGCCGAGTCTGCTGTCGAGAAGCCCACGCCACTGTATATGGGCGTAAGCTCGAGTACCGCGCAAATGGCGTTATGAGGAAGATACGTACACTGGCTGGTCTACCCAGACGTAGTCCGCAAGCCTGTCCCAGCTGAAGTTGTTCTGCTGTGCACTGAAGTCCGCATTGATATGAATAGGTCCGTTCTACGCCCCGCACAGCCGCGTTAGCCACACCCTGGGGATTCGGCGATCCTGATCACGCCTGATCACGCAGCCGCATACCTCAGACGTCAGACCAATCAGACTTGACGATCCCGGGCTAGGAACGCGTCATATCAGCGATTGATCTCAAGTTAGAGGTGCGCGGGAAGGAGGGAGACTGACCCTCCGTTGAGCCATATCCCCCAAGGCTCACTCGCGCGGTCGTTCGCGCTGGCCGTGAGCGACCCATTTTCCTTCTCGAACGCCCAGAAGAAGAGCGTGTCATTGGGATGCCCTGCTCTGTTCACTGGGATGTTCCCTGCAAAGTTGCGCGGGAGCTCCCAGGTCACATTAGGGAGCGAGCCATTGACCTCAAAGTCTGAGAATGGGTGGGAAACAGTCAGCGAGGATACTCTCAAGGGTGTGAGCGACATACAGCTCTGCCAGACCGGGCTGAAGTCGCCGGAGGGCTTGCCAGGGTAGTCGTGGGGGAACGTGCTGGGAACGTCTCTCGGCGGGTAGGCGGCGTGGACGTCCGCGACGACGAGGGCCAGGAGCACGGCTACACTCGCAAGGCGTGACATGTTGAGCGGGATCGTGGGCCGTGAGGGGAAGCCGGGCCTTGCGGTGGATCGTACTAGGGACGCCTTATATACTGTTCTTGTTCTCGATGTGGCAGTGGGCACGCTCTGGACGGTGCCGTACTATTTCAATATTGATAGATGGATGGGGTTCAGACAGGGTGACTCCAACTTCCAAGCTGACGCGCGCTGTGGATGGCATCGCAGCGGCAGCGATTGTGAGGACAGCGTTACTCGTCTGCTGCGAGGGGCCCGGAGCAGCGGGCAGTAGTAGACCTTGGGAAAATACCACACCTTGCCCATGCGGTGTCTACTCTTCTGCGGCCGGCCGGCGGAGCAGCTCATCAGCGCCCGGACTCACGCGATGTCTTTCGGGCCCTCGGGCTGCGGAGGGATAGGAAGAAGACATTCCAGATATTTGTGGACATCGCGTTGTAGACGGGAGAAGTGCGGGGGTACAATGCGCCACCGTGATGGTCGGTGGAAGAGGTAAGGATGTCCCAGCTAAGATTAGCTGCGGGCCTCGGGCAGTAGACACGTACCAGCACGTGTGCTCAAAGTGAATGGTGCCAGCGCGTAGTGCTGCGTCGAACCTGCCATGCACCTTTCGTAACATGACAATAGCTATATTTTGGAGCTGCGCGCGCATCCCATGCAATTGTGAGCAAGTCCTCAGACGCTAGTGCACGCGCTGACGAGCGTCAGGACCACAGATCTAAGAAGAATCGGAGGTTGTACGTCTGAACGACGTAGGATCGTACCTTCACGACTCGGCATCCAGAATCTCCGGCAGGTGCTCTTTGATATACTCCACTACGGCATCGGGCCCCTTCTCCACTTGCAAGCCAAAGGGGATGTTGAACGTCTTAATGTCGGGCACTACATCCTTGGCAATTATGACGATCTCCTACAGATGCACAGGGGAGATACCCAGTTCGTTAGATGACTCATGCGAATCTGCAATGGCTCGAACGCCACAGACGTACCTGCGCTTGTTCGGCGGTCCACATCGAGGCGGTGAACTGTGCACGAAGTATTGGCTTCGAGATACCCAGGGCCGAATAGAGTCGGCGACGAACCAGCAAGTTGGGCTGCTCTCTTTCTACAGTCGCTCGTACGTCCTCAATTCCTGTTGACATAACGCGTCAGTATCCGCATCACGAGGATCGATGTCACTTTACTGACTTTCGACGTTGGCAACGTGCACGATGGTGAACTTGTCCTTCACGTCCTCGACGACTCGGCCAATCAGCCGCTTCGCACGCTCCGGCGCGGTGTTGACGGTGACGAGCTTGATTGATGTATCGGCCATGGTAGGAGTTTGTGCGGTGGATGCCAGAATGAGCAGTGTCCTGCAGGCGGCGAGCGTGGACTCTGTGGTGGTAGCGCGCGGCGAGTGACTGTTCGCAGCAATTGGGTCGAAATCGGGCAGCCGGAGAACACATGACACGGGCCTGGATATGGTCATCTAGGATGCGCGCGAAGCTTCCTTAGCTTCTAGTCGTGGAATCAACGGGTCATGTCGCGCAATCGCGGGAGGCGTACAAGGATCTTGCACGAGGACGGTGATAGCACCGACAATTACGCTCAGCTGCTTCGCTTATGGAAGGACGGCTCGGGAAACGGAGGGGTGGGCTAGGTGGGGCCATTTTACCGCTAAAAAGGCTTGAATACCTCTATATGATGGATGCAGTGTCCGGCCCATGCTGACGATGGCAAACAGACGAGCGAGAGAGGCATACTGGGATGCCGCAGGTCGACAGTGCACAGATACAGGCGCAGAAGGACACTGATAGATGCGGCTCAGCATCCAGAGACGTACCATACTAAGAGCAGCTATATTGCATGACCTCCATTATCCGTCAAGCAGTCTTGTCCCATCCTCCGGCGAAAGGATCCAATGTCCATGTTTGAGGATCGCCAGCAAGTTATTGGGTCGAGGTGGTTGGATCGTAATGAAAGCGACACCATTCGCCGCGGTCAAATGAAGGCAATTGAGAAATGACATAACCAGGCCAAGATACAGATATGTGGGCGAGTCGTTGGAACTCTGATGCGCGAAGAACTCGAAAATCAAGTCGAGGACGGGACAAGCGCTATAGGCGCCCGCCGCGGGATGGAATTGTCCGGATATGGTGCGTTATGTAATCCAGTGAGCCCGGACCGGGGCTGATTCATGTACATGCAGCTTGTCCGCAGCTCCCATGCACAGTTCACCGGGCCCACTCTCAGCGTCCACCAGACCCTCCTGAATGTCGGTAGTAGGTTCGGAGTACGGCGGATCTAGCTATGGAAGATCGGAACCCCGCCCAGACAAACCCCTCGTCGTCAAATGTCTGTACGAGGAAAGAGGCGGCAAGAAGATATCCTACCCCTCCGCGAGGATATGCTCCTTCGACAATCTGCGCAAACAGGTGCGTTTCATCCGATCGAATCTCCGGCGGAGGCTTGGTTGTATCTTGGTCAAGGAAGCTGCGCTCTGAGTCGGGTGTAAAGGGTGCGCATCTCCTGAAAGGTCCGGCCCTCTGGTGAAGTGCCCACCGGAGCAAGTCCCACGGAACGACTGGAGGTTGCCTCATCGCCAGATCGCCAAATGGTAGACCACTTTGTCTATGTGGTCGATGTGGCCGGTGTGCGCGCGTCGGGTGGTCCTACCTGTGTGGCCGGAGCCCGACGCCGCCTCACTGGTTCACCCTGTACGTCGAGCCCCTCTCTAGGTTTTTCGACGTACAGTTAGCAGTGAACGAATGTGGCAGTGGTTGTAGATCTGCGAAATGTTGACGACTCGGATTATGCATTGCATGTCGCGCACCATCCGGGATACGCTGTTCGCTCAATCGTTGCGCACTCGGTAATCGACCTTTCAGCTGACTTTCTATACAGGTAGAGAAGACGTATCAATTGAACGCTACCCCCTTTACTATTGCATACATCGATGACGACACGGAGACTGTCCCCATTACGAACGAAGCCGACCTGACGGAAGCCATCAACTACTTCAAGGTCGGCGACGATGCCCCCTCTTCATCTGCCGGCTCCATTCTGTCTGGTCGGAGCTTCCGACAGTCCAGGATCACCCTCAAGGTCAACATCCTTGTCGACTATGACGGCATCAGTCTGTCCGACACTGGGTCCCTCGTCAGTCTGGAAGAATACAGAAATAGGAACGGCAGCGGTTTCTCGCTCTCACACTCTTCCATACCCCCGCGGGAGATGGAGGACGATGCTATGACCGTGAGCTCCAAGGATGTTGGCTCCAAGTACGAGGCGTTGCTGGCCAAGGGTTCAAGGACCATCGTCGCGGGCCCAAGTCGAGAACCGCTTATTGACCCCACGGAAAACTGGGAAGTCGCCACGATCTCCAGCGCCCCGCGCACGACCAGCTCGAAGCAGAGCCGAAGCTTTATCTCTCCTGAGAGCGCGCTTGCACGCTATCCCGAGGATCCGTCTTCTGTGTTCGCGCTCCTGAAGATGGAAGAGGAACGGCGCGGTCTATCGCCTGGCCATCTCAACGGCGCATCGACTTTCGAGACAGAACGAGGCGCGAACTGGCTGCGGGAGCAAAGTTCACATCTCACGACCCTAAATGGAGATAATATGTCCATGAGCGAGTTCTCCCTCGAAGACAACTTGTCCCTGGAACTGGAGAAGAACCAACACGGGAACTACCGGTACACGCTCACTGGGAGTAGCGGGTCTGTCGCTTCGCACGGCGCGCGCGACTACGGGATGGACGACAGTTTCAGCGCGGTCGTCAATGACGCATTCGAAAGCGTCGCGGACCCAGCCGAGAAGATGGGAGACAGTCGTCCTACTTCGATGCAGACCACTCAGTTCACCCATCCGAACCGGGTGTCGAACCCGTTCTTGGGTCCAGGCGAGGAACAATCGGTCGCGTCCGACTTCATTCATCCCGACATTCCCCCAGAGGTCCTTTCTTTCCTAAAGCCCGAAGCTCCCCTCGCGCCTCCCTCCCATCCCACGAACTGTTCGAAGTGCGGCGTATGGCTCGACATGATCAAGTACGTATGTTCGACATGTGGCGAGAAGAAACCGCCAGGCCCACAAGAGGCAGAGCCCTGGGGTGATTCCAAGGGCAAGACACGCGCCATCGACATCCAACGGGAGGCATCGTACCCCCCATTCCACAACAACTCGTCGGCCTCCTCGTGGACGATCGTCGGCAGCGGATCCGGAAGCTCCGGGAGTTCGGGCGGCTCCGACCATCCCTCTCGCTCGATGTCAGATAGCACACTCAACTTGAACACCGCGCGGAAGCCGCTCCCTGCAATTCCGCACAGCCATTCAAATGGCATGAACGGACATACACGCCCCACATTACGCGTTCCGGGGATCCACTACCGCGCACCGCAGGGCTACGAGCTCTGCTCGAACTGCGTGCAAGCGTATGGCGTGCAGCACTCACTGGAGTTCAGTTCTACGCCCGGATCGTCTCCGGGGCCGGGGACGTCGCCTGAAGACGCCGAGCGCGCGCTTTCGCGCTGGCGCCGCACTGCGCCTAGCCAGAAGGGCGTGCTGCGCCATGCCTACATCGAGAAGAGCTGGACGCACAACGGATGGGAGGACGTAGGTACGTGTCCGATCGGTGCTGCGGCAGCAGCGCGGTCATGGTTGCGCGGCGCAGCCGCAGTGCATGGATGGTGGGCTGACGCGTCTCGGTCCGCAGAGCAGGGCGGTAATGGAAGCTGTCGGTGCTCGACGTGCAACACCGTGATTACGAGCCACCGGTACAAATGCGCCTCGTGCGACGACTTCAACCTGTGTCGGGCCTGCTACAGGTATGTCTGGGCGGTTGTTGTGGATGCGCAGCGGCGGGCTGACGCATTTATACTGCTGAACAGGCAGGTCTATGAGGTCCACCCCGCACACGCATTCCTGCAAGTTCCAGACCAGCGTAGCAGCTCGTCGTCAAGTTCAGGGATGATTGACCAGACACACGCGATCTCGCTCGAAGAGCCATGTAGGAGCTGCTTCTACCTCGAGGTCAATGGCCGTTGCTGAAACATGCTTGTCTTTAGCATTAACGCATGTAGGCGTGCATTGTGCACAGTGAGTCTCGTCTTCCTTTGCCCGCTACTTGAAGTTTAATTGTGTCCGCAGTTGCATGCAGGAGATCGTCGGAGCGCGTTTCCACTGCGCGCAGTGCGAGAACATCGACATCTGCCAAAATTGCGACGCGGCCGGCCTGCCAGGCAACCTCGACTCTCCAGATGGCGGTCACATATCCTCACATATCATGATCAAGGTGAGGATTCCCATCGCCCTGCACCTCGGCCCTGGAGGCTCAACATGCACACGCGTAGATTCCCCACCCCATCCCGACAGCGGATCTCCAGTCAACGAGCCAGATGGCAATCAAGTTGTGGATGGGCAGGGATGCCGCGCACGTCCAGGCGGCTAGCCCGAACGGCCATGCACGGCGCAACTCCCTCGGCTCCGCGTACTCACATACTGTGCTCGGGTCCGGCGCGCGGGTCGACGCGACCACAGTCGCCGCCGAGCATGGAATCGCATGCGACGGGTGCGCACAGGTGCGTCTCCATACATCGTCCGATGTGCTTCCTCGCCGACGCCCGCCTTCCATGTGACTGCGCAGCCCATTGTGGGGGTGCGCTACCAGTGCGCGAATTGTTCATCGTACCCGAAGTCGATCAGCCTGGTATGTGGCTTTTTCCTTGTGCAGGCCTCGGGGCCGAAGACGCTCATTCGGGGTCTCCAGTGCGAACGATGTGAAGCACGATCGTATGCTCTGCACGATCCATGGCATGTATTCTTCAAGCTCCCACGACCCGTCGACCGGCCGCTTGTTCTGCAACCCCCGCTACCTCGATTGTGAGAACACATTTTGAATTGTTGGCTGCTGCCTCTGCTAACACTCATTAGATATAAGACCCCTGCAGGACCGGCTGGCGGGGTATTCAACCTCGTAGATCCTAAGGGTAAGCACCCAATATCATATCTGCTGACCAGATGCTAATGGAACTGCGAACAGGATACCTTTTCAACCTCACGCATCAGTTCGCGGTGTGCGACCGCTGCATGTCGCACATCCGCGGCGAGTGGTTCCACTGCGCATACTGCCCGAAGGACCTGTGCGACAGCTGCGCCGAGGTCGACACGCACGACCCGACGCACCTCTTCGTCGCATTCAAGTCGAACGTGAACATGCAGATTTTCCGGTACGCCTCCCGCTCTCCGCTTTGTGTGTTGCGCGCTGACCTTGGTGATGCAAGCAGGAGATTCATGAACGAGGAGGACCCGTCGCGGAGCCCGCCCCTCATCCCCTTCCCGGTGTACAGCTCGTAGTCTTGCCCCGCCGTGTCTTGTGTTCCTGCTGTCACGCTATGTATCTCTTCACGTCGGCCGTCCCATTCTTGTATCAGTTTACACGCCTTACGGCATTGTTGTTGTACAATCGAGCGTCCGTCCGAACGCGTAAATTATACGCTACTACAAGTCGGGATTGAGGTCGAGGTCGAGATCGAAGAACGGCTGCTGCTGTGGCGGCCGGAAGTCTGGTCGGTAAGGGTTCGCTGCAATGTGCGCCGGAAGCTCGACTTGTGGTGAAACCGTCGGCGCTTTTTTCCAAAGGGAAAGCAAAGACCAGTGTTATCAGAGGGCGCATGAAACATCAGAGCAACGGGCGAGGGACGTACGTTTTCCGACGGAGTGCGTCTCCCCGAGGATTCCGAGGGGCGCCTCATCGCTCATATGTCCGCGCCGCATCTTCTCCTCGTTCGGGAAGGGCGGGAAGAACAGTGGCGGCGGGGGCTGGCCGGGTGCGAGGTCGGGCATGTTCGGCGGCGCGGACGTGAACGCGGACAGGCTCTGCGCGTACGCAAGGAGCTCGGGGTAGGGTATCGCCGCTGCGGGGAGTATTCACCCATGAGCACTCGCGCACATCTCAGAGTAATAACCAAAGCACTGAGAGTGACTCTCGCTAAGAATCGACTCCCACAAAGAACAATGCTCCCTGGATATCCCGAGAGTACAGCCGACAGCCATATATCGCAGACGCGTTCGTGTGGCTCATCCTATGGTACGTGTCCTGCAGTTGGACTCGTTATGTGGGCTTGATAAAAGCCGTTGATTATACTTACTATCTGAACGCGGTCGTCCGAGGTCCAACAAAGCCTGCCGGGTTGGCCGGGGGCAGCTCCTCGCGGTGGAGAAGACCTTGTGGTCCACGCGCGCAACGCGGCGCGCCACATGTGCTGGAGGGCGCGCGCGACGAGCGCGAAGAACGTAACTTTGCATCCGCGGGGCAGAGCACTTAGTCTTCGTCCTCGATGAGCGTGATACAATACATCGTGATGGCGGCAACATAGCGCGTCGCGCGACCTGATCATATGGCTCCTCGGCATAGTGACTCTCACTGTTACCACTCACTGTCACTGGGAGTCATTGGTCTCAATGAGAGTCACTCTCACAGATCTGGTATATACTCTACATTTTACCCGAAGCCGAGAACGCGCAACGCACCTGCTTTTGCCTCATCGATAGCCTTAATCCGCTCTTCGCCCTCGCGCACGATCGCGTCGAGCTCCCGCCGGCCCTCATCCAACGCGCGCACGGTGTCGCGCCAGCGCCGGTCGAGGTCGAGCACCTCATCCTTAAGCTGCTCTATCCGCCGTTGCTTCACCTGATGCGCGCGCGCGAGCTGTATCGCGGCTGCAAGCTGAGCATCGACCAATAGAAGGTCGCCGACTGACGGCGGTGGCGGCGGGCGGCTTTGCGGGGGCCCGAGCGACTGGAAGAAGGTGTGCGAGAGTGTTTGGAGGCGAGCGAGCGGCTCAAGGAGGATCTCGGACATGGAGGCGGAGGGCCCTGCTGGGCCAGAGGGGTAGCCGTTCATGGGGCCGTGCTGCGATGCGTAGAGCTGGGAGGGGCCGCCGAGTGTTGATTGAGAGAATGTGGGTTGGGTGGATTGTGTTAGTGGTTGGGACGAAGATCCTGTATATGATGAGTACGACATTTTGTGTCTTGCTGAGACAGGTTCCAAGGCAGGTAGGAGGGAGGGCAGGACCGTGAGCGTTTGAACGAGAAAGCGGACTCGGTTCGAGGGCCACCTTGTCCTTTCAGATCAGATCTTATCTTATCTCTAAAGTACCGCTGGCTGCCGGTGGCGGGTCGAACTTCTCATCTTAACCACACACCACCACTTTCCTGCGTCTGAGCTGGCAAATCGTTCTGGTACTATGCGGCCTACGACGAGTGTGCATAGGCATAAATACCGATGCATGGAAAGCATCCGGCAAGCACCTACGAACGAAGCGTGTGCATGCAAGTGCTACGCTCTTCTCTTTCTAGAGTCTGTACCGACCCACAAAGGCCTCAAGCTCCCGTGCTATGCCGCGCGGCGTAGGTACGACGCATCCATATGTCGGAATAACTGTCCCGGTCAGAGGCGTACGCTCTGGGCCTATGCAACACGACCTACTTCGGGCGCCGCTAGGGCGACATGCACCTTCCTCAAATGTGTGTGTTATTGTCCTGTACCATGCTCATCCATGGAAGACACCTCGCCCGCACATCTTCCGGAGACCCTGTCAGGGCCATGGCAAGGGCTCATGATGCTCATCCGGTGCGTGCGCCTCGCCTGTCAGCCACCATGTGCCCTCCCGCGCCACTACTTTCCACGAGGTGGATGCAAGTCAGGTTCCTGGATTGACGCTTGCGCCGAGCTCGGCGGTCGATTCGGGCACCTGCCATTTCTACTGCCTTGGACGACTTGGCGACTTCCTCCTCCGAACTCAGGAGACAATAGGCGTGTCATCTATCTTCGTCACTGCCGAATGTTACTTGCAGCCCGAAGGTGAGTCGTGCTTACACCAACACGCGCGTACTTCTCCAAGACTCAAGCCATGCAACAATATTAATTGTTGGGGCTTGTTTGGGACAATGTCTGCTGGAGTCCCGTACGAAGAGCGGCGGGACTGCGAGAGGCTGTCTCCGATCGGGTCTAACCCGTCTCGTCCACTCCAAGTCCGTCTATCCCGCCGGCAGGCTGCAGGCCCTTCGCTCGCATCACGCTTGCCGAAATTCCGCTCCGCCTTTCGATGCTCCGAATTCTATATCTTCATAGAGTCATCCTCCTGCCGCCGGAACTCTGCAGCGAATCCATTATCCGGCATAGGCACCCTGCGAGCGGTAAGGCCGCATGCCCGAACGGAAGCGTCGGGCAGAATGCATGCCAACACAATTGCGCAGAAGCACCAGCCCATCTCGTCGTCAAGCAAGCCTATTGTTAATGAACAGCTACGGCGCGCGAGCCTCCGAATAGCCTACAGGGATCGATACACGCGCGCACCGCTCGCCGCTGGATGGGAGGATATGCGATGTCAGCCCGCGCCATCAACTGAGGCTGGCTCGCGAAGCACACTTTGATCAGGCGCTCGCACTAATCCTCGTTTGCATATATACCCCCGCATCATACAGCTCTTCTAGCACATCCGCTTAACCCCCCTCTTCATCGAGATCCACCACCATGCCTGGGTTCGTGTACACCGCTGTGCTGGCGGTCGTCCTCCCGCTCGTCCTCGCCCAGGTGCCTCCGACCCCGAGCAGCTGGCCACATGACTACCCAGGCAAGCCGTCCGGAGACTTCAGTCCCGAATGGCAGAGCTGTAGGCAGTCTTTCATGATGTGTTGTGTAGGGGTGCTGATGCTGTCGACGTTTAGATTTTGAGGTCAAGGATACTCTTCCTAATGTCACCTTCCCTCTGGCCCACAGCTTCGCGGGGAATGTCGCGGTCAACCGACCAGGCCACCCTAACAACACGCTGTTCTTCTGGGCCCTCGAGAAAGAGAACGGCTCCCTGACTGTCGGCGCTGACGACCGCAGCGACGTTCCGTGGGGCATATGGCTGAACGGAGGGTAGGTTCATCCATGTGCTTCTTAAGTGCGGGTTGCTAACGCAACGCGCATTCGCAGACCGGGATCTTCGAGTCTCCTTGGTTTCCTATACGAGGTACGCGCTTTTCTACATGTGTGTGCTCTCGGCAGGCTCACGCAGGTCGTGATATCAGAATGGACCTTTGCGCATGCAACCAGACGGTTCGATTCAAGAGAATAAGTTCAGCTGGGATGGGCTCGCAGACTACGTCTGGATCGACCAGCCCGTGTAAGTTTTCTGATAATCACAGGCATGCCTCTCGTGCTTACTCGCCCGCAGTGGTACCGGCTGGTCTACGACCGACTCCGACGGATACGGTTCGTCACACGATCACTCAGCCTCGCTTCCGTATTGAATCACATCTTACAGTGCATGACGAGGATGAAATGGGACGCGACTTCGTGAGTGCCATGGGCGTATTCATATCACGGCGGATGTTGACATGTGAGGGGCATAGATGGGCTTTTTGGAAAATCTCGTCAAGGTGTTCCCCAGTCTCAAGAAACGACCGCTCTACTTGACGGGCGAAAGTTATTCCGGAACTTACATCGTGCGTAACTTCCTGATGCATGCGGTTCTTCGCCACTAAACCACATCGGAATTGCAGCCGTACATCATGAAGACCTACTTCGGTCTTACCGATCCGCCCGTCAATATCGCTAAGTTCGCGATCGGCGACGGTACGATAGGCTCGGAGGCTGTGTTCGAGATCCTCCCAACTGTGAGTACATCGCGCGTGCAAGTTTGACCCGCACTGACGTTGGCATGCAGGTAAACACTTTGGAAACGTACCCGCAACTCATCGGGTACGACCCGGAGGTCTTCGAGTGGTTCCGGGAACAGTAAGCGCGCTGCCCCCTACCCCCCAGTATGCAGTGCTGACATTCGATCAGGGAGCACCTTTGCGGCTACGACCTGAACCTCACGTACCCCCAAGACGGACACTTCCCTACACTGCAGCTCATCGAGCCGTCCAACCCCACGCGCACCATCGAATACGCGAGAGCTAACAGCAAGCCGTTCATGAAGGCGCTCACACGGCTCGCGCTTGGGAAGTCAGCGCACAGCGTGCGCGCAATCGAGGAACGCGCCAGGCTGCCCCGCGCGGAGACTATCGCGGAGCTCGTCGCTCCGCTGCAGCGCCGCGCGGAGGAGCATACGGGCAACCAGAAGCGCGATCTCAGCTTGCGCGCGAACGGCACGATCGACCCGTGGTATGGGTGCTTCCTGTTCGATGAGATGGTGGAGTACACGATCAACTACACTGCTCCTTGGAGTAGGTCTTGTATGCTCTCCTGTTCCGCATTCTCCGCTTACGTGCACCCATCCAGGCTCCCATGCGGACATTAATACCTGGCAAGGCTTTGACGTGAGTTGTACTACGTTGCATCTGAAAAAGACGCCTTAAACTGATACGTTTCTCCGCTACCAGGTGTACCAGGTAACAGACGCACTGTCACCCGAGTCTCCCATTGACGGTTCTGGCTTCCTAAATGGTGAATAGTCTTGGATTATGTCTGACCCACATGCAGTTTCTGAACATACCTGGCAGACCCGAGGACACGTGCAGCGCTGCATGCCCCTACGAGCAAGAACTGGGCCGGCGGCATCATCTACCCCTTCCTCGGAGACCCCGTGAATGGGATTGATCCTAGTACGTTCTTGTGTAGAGTTTTTCTAGGCACGCATTCTGACCGCGGCATTTACAGGCGTTGAGTAAGCATTCATGCGATTGAGGGATATACGCTTTCTCATACTCACATTCAACAGGCCTATGGCTTTCCTGACGGACCTTGCAACAAACGCATCGGCACACGGCATTCCCGTAGTGTTGTACTCGGGCAACGAAGATTCGCTCGTCGCCCACCGCGGTACAGAAGGTGCGTTCCTTCTTTTTATCGCTGCGATACCTGAGGCTGACACGCTGCACGTAGTGGTTATCCAGGTATGTTCAATGAGATCTCGTCTATCCAACTTTGCCTGATGACGGAGCAGAATACGACCTTCGGTGGTATACAAGGTTTCACGCGGAAGCCGTCCACGCCGTGGTTCGACGACGACGGCAAGCAAGCTGGAATCGTTCACCAGGAGCGAAACTGGACCTACATTCTCGTTGAAGACGTCGGCCACCTCGTCGCGTACAACTCCCCCACTCGGGTCAGTGCTTAACGTCTCGCGTCTTGCGTCCCGCGTTTCCCCGCGTTTCTCACTGCCTCTCCCTGCAGGGCTTCACCCTCCTCCGCGAGTTTATCCTCGGCAACAACCAAACCGGGCTCGTCACGTCCGGCGCCAACGGCGCGATACGCGTGGACGGCGGCGAGCTCCTCTCGCTTGCGGTCGACGCCCTGCGCGCCACGGACGCGGTGTTCGTCGGCTCGGTCACGACGCAGTCAACGTTCCTGTACCCCGCAGCGACGGTCGACGCGTGGAACAACTACATCGCCACCGCGACTGCGACCGTCCTCGCGATCGTCCCGTCGAGCGTCGCGGCCGCGGCCGAGCAGAACGGGGCTGGGCCCCTGCGCGCGGCTGGGGCATGGTGTGCAGCCTTGGGGGCGTCGTTTGTTGTATCTTTATTGATGTTCGCATGAGCGCGGGTTGGCTTGTTAGATGTTTTCTGTTGCTTTATAGGGCCGTTTGGTTGCTTGTACATTAACGAGAAGTACGCCTCATCGCGTCAACCTATAGTACATTGCTCGCACGTTGCGCGGGTCGCACGTCCATTCTACTTCGACGACGCGGGGCGAATTGCCTGGGCGAGCGGACACGCATCGAACGTCCCTGCGCTCTTGAACCCGAACCAATAGTCCGTTCCATCGCCCTGTGCGACGGTCATCAGCGACGCTCCTCAACGATACGAAGTCTGGCAAGCACTCACGATCATACTGTGGGGGAACCCGAGATCGAATGGCACGGCGCCTTCGATCTGCTTGATGTGCTCGTCCGCGAGCACAACATCGAGTGCTTCTAGGTTAGCGTGGAGGTGCTCGACTTTACGTCCGCCAACGATCGGGAAGACGAACGGCGTCTTCTGCATCACGTACGCTATCGCGACTGTGAAACGTCGCTGTGAGCCTCATACAGTCAGAGGGCAATAGTGGGACACACCAGCTTGGATGTTCGACGCGCCCACCTGCGCGGCGACTTGCTCGAGCACCTTCGTGACCTTGCGCTCCGTCTCGTTGCGCTCCCACTGAGGACCCCGCGTTGTGCGACCTATGGGTGGCATCCTTGTCAAATCCTATCCTGCGACCGTGTACCGGTGCAGGTTACTACGTACCATTCTCGCCTGTCTCGCGGCGACGCTCCTCTTCCTCGTCCGTTCTGATCTTGCCGCCCGCGAGGACGTTCCAGGGCGCGAGCGCCATGCCCTCCGCACGCGCCATCGGGATGATCTCCCGCTCGAAGTCGCGCTGGAGCACGTTCCACGCGCCCTGGTACACCGCGAAGGGCGTCTGGTGGCTCATGCGCGCGTACCTGTTCGCGCTCGCGACGACCCACGCGGGGGTGTCGGAAATGCCCTACGTATTGTCCTGGTGAGCGGTGCTCGTTTGGAAACTGGGTTGAATGTGTACGTACGAGGTAGAGGACCTTGCCCGCCTGCACCAGTGCGTGCAGGCCGTTCATAAGCTCTTCGATGCTAGTGTCGTAGCCCCACTGTGATACGCCGAGTGAATATCTAGAGTCCGCTTTGAGATGAATCGGTGACTTACCCAGTGGACGTAGAGGATGTCGATATAGCTCGTGCGCAGCTTCTTGAGCGACTGCTCCACCGAGATGTGCAGCGACTTCATGCTGTTTCCCACATATGAAGTATGCTGCTTTATGTCGGTCCTGCCCCTCTTGAAATCAGTCGAAAACTAAGCAGATGTCCCTTCAGCCCTACTTCATGCGATGCGCCTACGTGCCAATGAGAGAAACTTACTTTGGTAGCGACGACCATCTGGTCGCGCACACCGCGCGTGTCCATCCACTCACCCAGGAACTCCTCCGAGCTCTCGTCCTGGTAGTTGTTCGCGGTGTCGATGAAGCTGCCCCCAGCCGCGTAAAACGCGTCGAGCAGCGCGAAGCTGCTCTCTTTGCTCGACACCCCCAGGTTCTCCGTCCACTTGTCGCCGATGCTCATCGCCCCGAGGCAGATCGGGGAGACGTGCACGCCGGCGAGCGTGGAGAGGCGGCGATGACGGCCAAGTTTAGTGGGAGGCGGCGGGGCGGGTGCCCAGAGTGAAGACATGGTTCTGCGAAGTGTGCGGGATGGACTAGGACGTGGGTAGACCGTAACAATATGGCAGCCACAGCTACAACAGCGGGCTTAAGTACCCTCACACGCGCGGACCTCATTGTGGGTCCTCGCGAATGCGTGCATAGTCGAGGGGGACGCTGACTGAGCTCGAGCTTAGCGGGACCGTGGATATACGAGGCGACCTCCTGACCGTCCGTGAGATACGTGTGCCGTGAGGAGTACGCATACACCGGGGTTGGTCTGTGCCGAAGCAACGTCCGCAGTGAGAGGGTATCATGGAGGCGTCGTCTCTCAGGCCTTCTGCTATGTCCTATGTAAACCGTCATCAGTTTCTGACCGGCAACTGCGAAAGGCGATGATACTAGTTGGGACATACCAGGTCTGGCTGCAGCAGGTTTGAGATGTAAGTCTGAGTGCTGCGAGGGCTGTAATGATGGTGAGAGTCGGGGGTGGGAGGCTCAGATCGTCACCGTAATAAGCGGGCAGAAAATGAAGTTCCTTCTGTAGTAAGTACTTTCAAAAGCCTTGGTTAGATATACAAACACTTGGGCAAGGATGTAGACGTAGGGTCGACTTGGTATTCATTGAGAGCGCATATTACATGTCGATATGATGTAAAGGTCGAAGAATTAACGTTAACTAGTTAATTCAAGACCGTCATGATAATAGTACTAACTGCGTGCCATAGGGTTAGGGTTAGCACAACGTACCAGCAACAAAACGGCCTGCCCAGCCCGAGGGCCGAAGCAGGACAGGGAAATATTGAGACGGTGCACGAGCCGAAGCCCGTACAAACCGCGAGGGCCCCCTGAGGACAAGGTCGCCGTGCTATGAGAGGCCCCCGTGGCCCACGAACCCTGGTACATGAAGGGGCCCGTGCCATCAAGGTAAGTATGAACTGCTCAGGTGTGCGGAGGAGGGTTTTATACTGGGGGGAGGGCGCACGGGCCAGGGGATTTGGGGCGAGTGCGCGGGTGTGATGGGATGTGGGGATGGGCGCGAGGCGGCAGGAAGGACGGCGCGGTCGGCTGGGCGTCGGGAATCGGGCGGCGGGCGGCTCGCGGGCGGCGGCCACGGAGGCGTGCCTCAGCTTGCAACTTGAACTCGCTCTTCGTTGTGACCATGCTTTCCGCCTGCTTTCTCATACTGTAGCAGGCCCTACACGGCCAGTTGAGCGGGATATCAAGGCAGTATTTCGAAAGCAAATATATGCGGGATACGCGTTAGATTCCCGGCTGATGGCGGTCGGTGATTGCCCAGACATCGGAAGGCAGTTGTCCGACGGCTCTCCACGGAGGATATCGCAGGATATCTAGCGCTAGAGACCAGCCGCACATCAGTGCTATATTCGGCGGTTCTCTGGCTGAGTTGTGTGAGAGATTTGGGCCCAATTATCTTACCGAGGTCAGCACGAATACTTGCAGGACATCATGAAGGAATCCACTGGATATTTGTAGGTCACATTACCTTCCTCGCAGCAAAGCCAGTTGCAGCACGGCGCCACCCCAGCAAGTTAGCGCCGCGCGATGAAGAGCCCGCTGTTGGGCGGCACTTGGGCGGCACCATACTCTGCTCTTACCGTCACCTCACAGTCCTCGCCCGTTCACCTATGTCCACGCGCTCACCTCACTATTGCCTCCACAACACATCTATCTCACACTCTGTCGTCGACATGAAGATGTCTCCTTTGCATGTCATAGGCAAGTACTCCAAACCCATCAATAGTAGCTCTTACTGACATTCGTCACTGCAGCTGTCGTCCATCCAACACAAAGGTGAGCTTGTGCATAACCCCTCCCCTTCGCCCGCTCCCAGCCCCACTTTTCCATCTTCCCCGTTCTCTCTCCTAGTTGCAACGTGTACTACGCTGTCGCCCTACCACTCTCCCATCGCTCCCATAGCCCGCTTTGCGTATAATGTATGTATACCCATGTATCGTAGCACGTACTGCATAATATATTATACACAGTTTGTTGTCTATGCAATGTCCGCACCCCCGCGACCCGGCGAGCCAGCATTTCCAGGGTTACGCCAGCCTGTTTCCCGGGGGCGTTTTTTCCCCCGCAGATATCCTGCGCTTCTCCAAGAGAGATCGAGCTGGCATTTGCGCCATGATCTCATGCTTTGTCCGCTGCCGACATCCTACCGATCTCGCGTCTAAGATATCTAGTCGATAATTGGAGCCAAATCACGCAGGGATATTGGCGAGGAATCAACAGATATCTACTTCGCGTGATATCTTACGATATCTTGCTCGTCTGGGCGTGTAGTGGCTCTATTTGATTGATCATTGCGCGCCGACATCCAGCAGCGCGATCCGACGAAACGACGCTGACCTCTAAGCCTTCGTATGTCAAAAGTATTGTTGGATCGGTCCAACAGTTGGTTAACGCACATCTATAGCGCGAACAACATCCTCGACGAGCCTCACGCGCCGCCCTTCTCTACCGCGTCCGCTAAATCACCCAGCGTCGGAAACACGTATTTCGCCTCATCGCCCTTCACGCCCTCAAGTCCCGTGACCGCGCCCGCCCTATTAATCCACGCCGTGTCCATCCCCCTCCCCCTCGCCGGTATGATGTCGTGGAACACGCTCTGCGCCGTCATCAGCACCTCCCCCTGCGCGATCCCGAAGTCCTCCTGCAACCGCTTCAGCGCGAACCCCAGCATCTCCGGAGCCGGCTTGTACGCGCCGACTTCCTCGGCCGTGTACACGGCGTCGAACGCGAACCCGTGCTCGAGCACCACGCGCGTCTTCGCGATCGTGTCGCCGTCGATGTTTGAGAGGATGATGAGTTTGTAGCGCTTGGAGAGCGTGGCCAGCGCGGTGATCGTGTCTGGGAATGGCTGCCATGCGGCGACGCTCTGCGCGAACGCCTCCGCCGCGCTCGAACCAGCTGCGTCCTCGACGGCACCGGCGGCCGATGTGCCCACGGAGGTGGACGCGACTTGCGCGTCCCCGGAGTCCTTGTGTGCAGAGGAGAGGACAGGCTCGCTCGTGGCGGACGTCTCGGGCGGCGTGGGCTTGTCCTGGAGGCGCGCCTCGAGCGTGGCGTGGACCTTCGCGAGCAAGGCGGAGTAGCGCATGGTGGGGAAACGCGCTTGGAGATCGCGCTCGACGGCGGAGAAGGCGTCGATGACGGCAAGCCTGTCTGCAGGCTTGCCGGCCTGCTCGAAGAGCGGCTTCAGGCTGGTGTAGATGCCCGTCTCCCAATCCTATGGAAGTACAAACGCGTCGCGGGTGAGTATCAGGTGGGTACTATTACTGCCGGTGTCACTGCAGGAGTGAACGTACGACCAGGGTGCCGTAGCAGTCGAAGACGAGGGCCTTGTACTTGGAAAATTCATTCGTCGAGGCCATGATGTCTGGTGGATGTTTCAGGAGTTGTTGCAGGGATGAATGAAGTATGCAGACGACGAGAAGACCTGGAAGGAATTATATACGAGGAGCCACTGCAGCCTGTGTGCTGCTCTGAGATCGCGTTTGGGGTAGGCTCCGGCACCGAAAACGACGTCACCGGGACCGAGGACCTCTCATCAAGCCTCCCATGCAGCGGTCTCTTGCAAACCACTCTTCTGTCTTGCACTCCATCATCTCCTCATAATCTTGCGAGCATGACTCCTCCTGTGTTCGACCCCATCCACGCTGTTCCTGCTCAACCGATGTCGCGGAGTATGTCCCAGGGACGAAGAGGACCCCAGCCAGTGCTGATAGCAGCAGTTCCTCCGCGATCGACGCGTCGAAAGACGCGACGTGACCACTCGACTCCTCCAGACATCTCCCCGCACTCTCACGCGTCCTCTTCTCGCCAGCATCATGCCTCTAAAATGCGGTCACTTGCCCACTACGCCATCCTCGCGAACACTTGGCCGTCATGTTCTCAAACGTAATAGGCATTTGCACTCGCTGCCTGGTCGTCTCGATCGTGGAGGTACTGCGCGATAGAATGTGAGTCATTTGTATTCTGTATCTAATCGCCGCGCATCGCAAGACAATCTCCCGACGCTCGGGTGAGCTTCAGCCAGCGCGTCGCATTTCCGAGGGGTAGAGAGCAGGGGGGCACAGTCATCGGTCGTACTGGACGGTGCAGGCTTAATGTGCGACTGGACGTTGTACGATTGGTCGGTGCATGGACGCAGCATGGTGCTTGCACATAGGTATGCCTGTCTCTGGGGGCCAGATGGACCTTGTAGATCTCCTGAGCGTCAGGCGCAAGTTACGGTAACCTGTGGAGAAGCTTGTACCGCGGCGGACCTCCACTGCCGATGGCATGTTATGGCACATGTGCGATAGATAGGCTAATAACGGGACCCCGCAGGCTTCCCGTGCAATAGCCTACTACTTGTGCAGCCCCTCTCGCCATCGTCCGTCCACATCTCCCTCGCACATCCCACACCATGGCTTCCACCGCACCCGCAACGAATGGCCACGCCAAGAAGCTGAGCCCGTCCGCGATCTTGCACCGCACCCCCTGGCAGCCGCCCATCGCGACCTCCGCGGAGGGCATCTACATCACGCTTGACAATGGCACGCGGATCATCGACGCGGTCGGCGGTGCTGCCGTTGCGTGCATTGGGAGCAGCCACCCTGCGGTCACGAATGCGATCAAGGAGCAGGTAGACAAGGTCTCCTGTGAGTTGCCCGCTGTCTGGATACGCGCGCCGTGCTCACGCGGTGGACAGATGTGTACAACATGCAGCTGTCGAATCAGCCCGCGGAAGAGCTCGCGCACTACCTCATCGAGGCGAGCAAGGGCGCGTTCGATCTCGTCGGGTTCGTGTCCGGAGGCTCCGAGGCCATGGAGGGCGTGATCAAGACCGCGCGGCAGTACTTCTACGAGTCGGGCCAGCCGCAGCGCAAGAACTTCATCGCGCGCGAGCTCTCGTTCCACGGGAACACGATCGCGACGCTCTCGCTCGCGTACCACCCCACCCGCCGCGCACCGTACGCCGCAATCCTCGACTCGGAGAACTTCCACCATGTCTCGCCCGCCTACGCAGCGCGCTTCCAGGCTAAGGGCGAGAGCGAGGAGCAGTATGTCGAGCGTCTGAGGAAGGAGCTGGAGGACAAGTTCATCGCGCTGGGCCCGGAGACAGTCGTTGGCTGTACGTGTTGCAGGCCTGTCGAAATACCGACATCTTTGCTAACGTTTGTCATCCTACAGTCGTAGCAGAGACGGTAGTTGGCGCGACGTCGGGTGTTGTCGCGGCCCCCAAAGGGTACTTCAAGGCGATGAAGTCGGTGTGCGACAAGTACGGCGCCCTTTTCATCCTCGACGAGGTCATGAGCGGCATGGGCAGTGCGTACTTTCCCCCTAATCAAGCGCTACTGGCGCAAACTGAATCCCACACTTTGCAGGGATGGGCACGTTGCACGCTTGGGAGAGCTACGGCGATGGCGTCTCGCCGGACTTGCAGGCCGTCGCGAAGGGCCTCGGCGGAGGGTACATCTCGCGCACTCACACGTCGTGACCTCCTCACTGAACTCTATGTGCAGTTATGCCGCGATCGGCGCGGTGCTCATCTCGAAGCGCGTCGCCGACGGCGTCCGCGACGCGTCCGGCTTCTGGAAGCATGGTCACACATACCAGGCAAACCCGCTCTCGTGCGCGGCCGCGCTCGCCGTCCAAAAGGTCGTCGCGGGCGAAAACCTGCTCAAGAACGTGACAGAGGTCGTCGGCCCGCTGCTCGGATCCCTCCTGCGCGAGAAGCTGCAGGGCCCGAACGCGCTCGCAGCGCCCTTCGTGTTCGACATCCGGGGCGGCGGCGCGTGGTACGGCATCGAGTGGGACTTCAGCTCGCCCGCGGGCGCGAACCTGGACTTTGGCGGCGAGGGCTTCGCGCTCGCGGTGCAGGCGCGCGCGCTGGCGAACGGGCTCGCGATCATGGGCTTCGCTGGGGGTGCGAGCCTGGACGGGCTGAAGGGCCACCACAGCATGCTCTCGCCGGCGTATAACGTGACGCCCGCGGAGATTGAGACGATCGTGGACCTGTTTGTGCGCAGCGTAGAGGAGGTGCTGAAGGCGGGAGGGTTGCAGGCGTAGGTATACCAGGAGGGAAGGAGAGTTGAAGCCAAAGCCAAAAGAGTTGGGTGAGAGTATCGTCGTGTACGATGGTGTACGACTGTCAGATTTGTGCTATTAGACTTTGTTTCAACGCTGCGCCCGGCCTGTGTCGCGCTACGCTCAGCTGGACCGCTATATCGCCGCCGTGTACGTGAACTTCCGATGATCTGCCATTGACAGGATACCAGTGCTGCGTGCACCACAGCTGCGAAAGCGATCTCGATTGCGACACTCGTACAAACAACCTACAGCCCGCACTACATCCTCTTCACGGCGCGGTACCTACACGCATATTCCACAATTCTGTAAGTCTACAGAGAGTCTCAGAGCAGAACGAGAGTGTTCACTGACCCTTGTTTCCGCAGCCGGTCGCCGGCCAATTGCCGGCCTTTTCGCCTGCGATGCACGCGCCGTTCCAGAGCGAGCCGCCGTCCGAGCCGGACCACTGGCTGCACGAGACCTCGGTGTAGCTCCCCGTGAGCGCGCCGTGCCCTGCAAGTCGTCAAGTAGCCATCAGCGCCGTTCTCGTGATGAACGTATCTCGAATGCTTACCAGACGGGAAGAACGCGTTCGCGCCTCCAGTGTCCTCGCAAATATCGAAGCTACACACCCCATCAGCACCCCCACCCTCCCCGAAAGCTCACTCAAGCGGAACTGGAACTCACTGCACCGGGGCGCCGTGCTGGTTGTTCGGGCTGCTCGTCGACTGCCCGCACCACTCCTCGTTCCCCTGCGACGGGCACAGGTCCGTGACCTTCACGACGATCGTGTGGAACGGGCCGGTGAAGGCGGGCGAGAAGGGGTCCTTGTTCGCGGTCACCGCGAAGCAGCGCCCGCACGCGTCGCCTGGCCCGAGCCCGGGGCCCGACCCGAACGCGAGCTGGCTCACTGCGGCGGTGAAGCCCGATGCGGGGATACCGCATGCTGTTCCAGTCGACGACGGTCAGCTCGAGTCGTTATCTGTGGCGAGGGGGGTGGGGGATGCTAGGAGACGCGCGCACCTGGCTGGCCGCACCCGGAGTAGTGCGTGAAGGACGCAGAGCCAGATGGGTTCTGAACGTACCCGCCTGTAGCGCGTTTGTCGGCGGTGGTGAGGCAGCTGGCCGCCGTGGCGACCGCGAGGAACTGGAGGAAGCGCAAGATCTTGGCCATGTTGATTGGTTTCGTATCGGGACTCCTGAGGTGAGTTGGGGCTTGCTGCGCTCATATCATGTCTTATATACGCCCCGCGATGTCGGCTGCGACAAAGGGTGCGAGGAGCGTCGCCGCGTCAGTTGGCGTAGATTGATGTCGCCGGAGGCATTAGTGTGAACGGCGGGTATGGAGCGCATCATTTTCGGAGCTCATTAAGCCTCTGACCACGAAGGCGTCGGGAACCGGCGTCATGAGACTAGGCCTGGACCGCGTAAAGCAGAGAAACACGCTACGAAGCCCAGCAAATATGATGCAGAAGAGGTGCCTGGCTGATGAGGTTCCGTAGGGTGTTACCCCGAGACTCGTTGGAAGCGATGAAGAGAGATCGCTGAGGCCGCCTGCGGGTGGCGCCGCGACGTCGCTGCGAGTATCTCCCGCACGCAGGTGTCGTGGGGCGCTATGTATACCCCGAGTTCCGTGAATAAGCCAGTGGCGAGGGCTCCCAGGACTCATCCAGCTATGGGGTCAAGTTGACTCTCCACTCACGGTCTCCATTTATGGATGCACTTGACGTTTGCCTGCAGACCGAGGGGGCGTCATACACAGCATGAGGTGGAGACAATATCCATTACGAAACAGTCAAACTGAATAGCAGGTGAGTTCAATGCAAATGCGCTTCAGTAGTCGGACAGGAAGCTCACGTTTTAAGGTGCGGGCCGCGACGACAGCAGTTCCCTCACTCCAGCATGGAAAGCACTAACGAACTCCTTGGCAAAGACCTCATCCACTGTCTCCTTGCTATATGCCACCGACACCCCGAAGCCCCCGGCGGGCGTTCCAGCCACGTTCAGCAAGAATGCAGCGCCCAGTGTGGGGCACGCTTGCGCGAACAACACCTCGTCGATGTCCCACTTGCTTCCAGGAGCGGATATCCCCTCTGACTTGTCCGGATTCGCAGCGGGGAAGGGCCCGAGGTTCGAGAGCTCGAAGCCGGCAGTACGCTTCTTGCCAAGTAACCCGCGGATGTGCTTCTCGTATTTCCTGCCCAGCAATTTCAGCATCCCCACCTCATAGATCGCGTACGGCGCCGCGCGCTTCAACATAGCGGCTAGGTCCGCCGCGAGCTCCCAAGGAAAGTTCTCCGCCGTCATTGCCTCTATGGTCAACCCCTCAGGCTTGGAGCCTCGTTGGAAGATGGGATGGTAGTCCCTTAAGGACGAGACGTGGTTGCAAATTGCGGTAGGTAAAGCATGTGTGTATCGTCGTAGAGAAATCGGGATGAATGTCGAGATCGTCTTGTACTTGTGCCCGTCCGGGCGAGCGCGGATGAGGCGCGAAAGTGTGACCAGCGCGATGGTGTGCAGCGTTCCCGTCAGCGTGGCCTTGTGCTCGCGGGAGAGCGCGACGAGGTACTGGCCGTCTTCCGGCGAGTAGTGCGCGATGCGCATGGACGTCCCGAACACGGTCTTCTTGGGGCGGCTGTTGCCGGTCCATGCAGTCGTGGCCTTGCGCCATGCGGGAGGCCAGACGAGTTTGCCGACCTCACGAAGGATGACGGTAAGCGGAACGGAGTCGTCCATGGCGCCCTCCAGCGCGGGAGTGAGGACAACGCCGTCAGCAAAGTCGGTGACAATCCCAGAATGTGCGGGAAGGGACTCCGGAAGGCTCCGTAAGGCGTCGAGGAGCGAGATGTGGAAGGCCATGCCGCTCTGCCCATCGCCCATGGTGTGCTCGTAGGCAAAGGCGATGGTGCCATCGCGCAGGGCAAACAGCTTCCATGGCGGAGCGTTGTCCGCATACAGCTGCGGGGCCGCGTACATGGCCTCCAGAATGTCCTGCAGCTGCGTTGCATCCTCGTCGCGGAACTCGACGAGCGCGTCGAGATTGACCGAGGGCAGGAGGACCCATTCTGGCACTGCTGTAGGCTGTTTGGAGGGGTACTCCAGGCGGGATGCGAGGGCTGGCTGGCCGCGGACAACGCGGTCCAGCGCGGCGAAGAGAGTTGCCTCGTCGAGCGGCGCACCCGAGCCGTTGTGGTACTTCGCGGAGACGACCACCCAAGGCTGGACTCCCAGGCGTGAGGAGATCGAGAAGTAGTGCTCCAATTTGCCTGTGCATTTCGGCGAATTGGTGACTGATGGGTTTTGAGACAACGGTCGAGCAGGTGCGCACTAACCTGCTTTTCTCAGAGGCTTTGTAGCAGCCTGGGGTGACATATTTACTGGTGCCTCGTCTTTGTATCCTATTGCAGATCAGGGACTGTGTTGAGGATTGCGGGGTGTCTCGGCTGGGCCGGGACACACCGCGAGGCACGTACGCTGCGACGCGGGTCGATCGTCGTGCCGTGGGGTCAAAGCGCTAGCAGGCGCAGAGAGGGGAGGGCGGCGTCCGACGCGCAGGCGCGCGTCGGCGTCCGCATTAGGTATCTCGTATGTTTGTTTTCTCATCCACCTCCTTCATCGATCGCTGACTCGCGCAAGTTACCGCGCGAGTCATCCCAGTCGAGGGGCCTAGGCATACATTGTTTACGATTGTTTATTCGCAAAATTTCGGGCTCGTCGCGCGTTCGCGCGCGCCCATCTCACCTCACACATTCTATCGCAGAACGTTGTGAGGTGAGCCTTTCCTGTCTGTCTTTTACTTAGTTATCATACTCACACTGCCGCGCAGATCTGACAGACCGCGCGCAGGTTAGCCCAATACAAATCACACATTCTATCGCAGAACGTTGTGAGATCTGACAGACCGCGCGCAGCTCGCTCATCACTCGCTCACGCGCCCGCATAACCTTAAAAGACTGTACGGAGAGTATCGACTCCGAGGACGGTTTGCGTGTCGTGGAGGGTTGTGGCAAGAAGTAGGAGAGGCACGGATGATCGAATGTTTGTTATGTGCATCGCAGAGGCATCAAATAGGAATCTGCAATCCTTTGGGCCTCTTCTCAGACGGCTGCGCCGCGGTAATTACTAGTTCAGCTGATCCTGCTAGTGGGGTAGGCCGCGTGTTGTGCATCGGGGTGTATAGACCAGTCATACTTGTACGCGTGGCAACGTGAGTGCAATCTCAGTACCCGTACCCGGACCCGTTTGCCTCGGCGTGAATGACAGCATCCGGAAAGACCCAGGTCAGTGCGTATAGCTCCGTAGAGGGTAGAACTCGACAAAATGTATGACGCTTGGCGCAGCATCATCTCAGTACTATGGGGTATATGTAAGGAGCTTGAACAAGAGGGTCTTCTACGGTATTGGAGATCAGTGAGCCCACGGAGGGGTGATTAGGACGGTGCACAACTCACGTTCTACGAAGCCGGCCGCGATGCGAGCAGTCCCTGCACCCCAGCTTTGAACGCCTCCACAAACTCCTCCGCCAGCGCCTCGTCAACCGCCTCCCTGTTGTACGTGACCGTCACTCCAAAGCCCCCCGCAGGTGTCCCGGCCACATTCAGGCACAGCGCAGGCCCCAGCGTGGCACTCGCCTGCGCAAACAGTACCTCGTCGGCGTCCCATCGGCTGCTAGGCGGCGCATCCTCCGCAGTTTTCTCCAGGTGGGCCACGGGGAAAGGTCCGATATTCGAGAGCTCAAGGCCCGCAGCGCGCTTCTTGCCCAGCTGGCTGCGGAGATATTGCTCGTACTTCCCGCCGACAAACTTGAGGAGGCCCACTGCGGATCCTGAACGTGGTGCTTCGCGTTTGAGCGCGTCAACAAGGCCCGCAGCGAGATCCCAGGGGAAGTTTTCGGCGGTCATGATGGCGCCCTCTTCCTTTGATCCTAAGGGGAGGATAGGGTAGTCTTCGCGCAGGGCTGACACATGGTTGCAGAAAGCGGTGGGTGGGACGTGGGTGAATCGCCGCATAGAAATGGGGACCGTCGTCGCGATCGTCTTGTATTTCTCCGCCTCCGGGTGGGTACGGATGAGACGCGAGAGGACGACGAGTGCGACGGTGTGCAGCGTCCCAGTGAGCGTGGTCTTGTGTGCGCGAGAGAGCTCCACGAGGTATTTTCCATCCGCCGGTGGGTAGTGCCCCAAAATGCGTACCGTCATACCGCGGATGGCATCGCTGGGGACGTCCTTGCCCGTCCATGACTCCCGCAGCCTGCGCTGAGCCGGTGGCCAGAAGGGTTTGAAGATCTCCCAGAGCAACATTGTAATCGGGACGGAAACGTCCATAGCGTCCTCCATGGCAAGACTGAGGGAGGCGTCTTCAGGGAGGTCGGTGACTACGCCGGAGTGCTCTGTAGGGGGCGCGATCGGCGTGCACAGGGCATTGAGAAGTGCAGCATGGAAGGCCATGCCGCTCTGGCCGTCGCCGATCGTGTGCTCGTAGGTGAAAGCGACCGTGCCATCGCGCAGGACAAACAGCTTCCAAGGCGGGACGTCATCCGCGTATTGTGCTGGGGCCGCGTACATTGTCTCCAGGACCGTGTGTAACTGTGTAGAGTCTTCCTCACGGAACTCGACAAGTTTGTTCAGGTCGACCGAAGGAAGGCGAAGCCAGACGGCGGGCGCAGTAGGAAGACTGGCGGTGTATTCCATACGGGACGCGAGCGCAGGCAGGCAGCGTACGACATGGTCGAGTGCCACGAACAGGGTGGGCTTGTCGAGCGCCGCACCCGCGCCATTGTGGTATTTGGCGGAGACGACGACCCACGACAGAAAGCCAAGGCGAGCACGAGCAAAGAAGTAATTCTCGAATCTGCCTGTTCGCAAAAGCAAGGTCAGAATACTGCATAGCCATACTTAAATGTGGTGGTACAGACCTGCCTCCCTCAGCTGCTTCCGGGTCGAGTTTGCTGGAGTCGCATCGTTCCCTGTGTCCGCGCCCATTGACCTTGCTCTCCTTGTTTTCGTGTGCCGTCAGGGAGACAAAATGCCAGCTCAAGCTCTCATTGCGCAGCGTCGTTGAAGTTGTGGAAGTTCTCGCTTAGAATCTATTGAGCTCGATTGTAATTCCCACGCGGGGATTGGTTCATCGGATATTCGATCATGCTGGCGGTGATGTACCTCCGAAACATATACCGGTACTTGTAACTGAGTACCAGTCAGCCCCCGCGTTGCGCGCAGGAAGTTTGGTGGCATACCTGAATGATTCAGAAGAAGCAGCTGTACACTCACCTCGAGCAATCACAGTGTTGTGCGTGTATCATTACTACAGTATGGATGTCGGTCTAGATGAGTAATCGTGAAAGTATACGTGAGACAGATTTCGAGGTGCATGACAGACATACGGCACGGTGCGATAACAGAACACGAGACACGGCCGCCGCAGACATGAAACGAGGGGTAGACATACGGAAGAGGGGAGTGCGCGAGGGGTAAATGTGCAACGGTAGCGCGGAGAGCGCCTTTCGGGGAGGGAGAAGACGGGGAGGGGGCGGGCAGGCATGCAGGTAATGCGGCGAGGTCCGTGGTTCGAGTACGACAACATGATGGAAGTAGAGCTACGATGTATAGTATTATGAGAAAAGGTGGTACAAGGGCCAGAAATCACGCAGAAGCAGAAGAGGGAGACACCCAAGAAAAAAGGAAGCATCACACACCAAGGACCCTAACGAAAGGCATACGTGGGGACGCATACAGGCTGAGGAGGCGGGCGGTGGAAAAAGGCGCGGGTTATGAGGGCGGGTGTGACGGCTGGTCAGGTGATGCAGGGGGCCCTCGTCTTCGACGCTCGTCGGCGATGACTAGCATGCTCTTCAGGCTCTTCTCCAGCACGGGTTTCGTGAGGACACTGGAATGGGTCAGTTCGCGATGCTTTGAAGTCTTTAAGTAGCCACTCACTGATCGACACCAGCCTCAAGATACTCCTGCTGGTCCGCGAGGAGCGCGTTGCCCGTCACACCAACGACGAAGTCTCTCCTACCCATCTGGCGCAACTTCGACACCGCCTCCAGCCCAGACATGACCGGCATCTGGTTGTCCAAGAAGACGACCTGGTACCGGTACTCGTCCGCTGACCCCGACGCAACACCGTCAATCGAAAGACCGCCACAGCCCGTATCCTCCGACGAAGGCGTCTCGCGCTGAGCGTGCCCATGTAGGATGAGGTCTAGCGCGACCTCCCCATTCTCCGCCGTGGTGACTTTGCAGCCTATCCGCGTCAACATGCGGCTCATCAGCTTGCGGGTGAGCAGGTCGTCGTCGACGACCAGCACGTTCAGCTTCGACTCGAGCGGCATCTGCAGAGAGCCCGGCGTGCCTGCTGCTGACCCCGACGACCCGGCCTGGCTGGGGAGCGTATTTGTCGTGCCGGCGGAGAGCGCGGGGGATATTAGCACGCCGTCGACCCCAAACGACTGTGGTTTTGGCATATGCGAGAGATGGAGCCCACGCGCCGTGTCTGAGGAGTGCTCCACCGAAAGCGTGGGGCGCTCGTTGGGAGGCGTGATGTCGTCTCCCGTGAACCGTGCCTCAGTGCCTGTGTTCGGGTCGCCAATGGTCCGCGTGAGCGGTCCCTCAGTCGGCTTCGTCGAAATTTCGACGAGTCCACCTGGTTCAGCCGGATGTTTAGCATGCAGGACTATCAGTATCCGCGAAGGAACAAACGTACCTTGTTCCATAATGCTGTGCAGCGCTGACGACGAGTGTGACTGGTTGTTGGATTGGAATGACGACCGAACATTCGACGTTCCTTCTCGGGGGACACCCTTGAAGGCGACATCCTTGAGATTCGAGTACACCGCTTGCCGAGGGCTCGGGTAGTCATCCTCTTCCATATCCATGGGCGAGGTGAGCGCTGGAAGAGCCTTGTTACCAACCCCGAGGGCTGTATTGATAGGTACGTTCAGCCACCGCAGCCGCCTTGTAAGGCGGTATACGTACGGATTTCGACCCAGAACGTCGAGCCCTCTCCCACTTTGGACTGCACGCCCAGACGGCCGCCGCTGAGCTTCACGATCTGCCGTACGAGAGCTAACCCCAAGCCGGTGCCCTTGCCGCCTGCGCATGCATCAGTTCAGCCGGTCCCCCTGAGAAGGGAGGTGCCTGCGTACCTTGCAGTCGACCCTGCTCAGTCTGGTTGAAAGCAGCTGCATAGCGGCGTCAGCCAATCTTGTATCCCCCAACGCCGACCACACTCACAGAACAGCTTGCTCTGAACCATGTCCTTCGGCCGTATACCGCACCCGGTGTCCGTCACCTCTATCCTGACGACAATCCACTCCAAAGGCGGCGCTGGTTTCGAGTGTAGCACGTTATGCTGCGTAAGGTGCGTTGCAGATAGCGGTGGTATGTCATCCGATACCTGCCCATTGCCATTCGAAGCGACGCGTGGACCGTGAGGGGACAAGAAGTCCTCGCTGTGGTCCAGGCGTTCCTCGTCAAAATCGTCGTCCCGCTCCGTCTTGGAAGGCGGCTCGGGTATGACGAGCTTCGTCGTGATGGTCAGTTTCCCTCCTGCCGGCGTGAACTTGCACGCGTTGCTAGCCAAGTTCGTAATGATCTGCCGCAGACGGGTCTCGTCTCCCACCACTATCCCAAACTCGTCCGGGTTCTCATGCAGCTTCCGCGTGATGGCCTCGTCAGGTTCACCCATCGCTTCGAAGAGCGCACGCCGCGCGACCTCGTCGATGGTGTTATCTAGATCGATGACGAACTGCAGGCCCCGGGCATCCGTAGCGAGCTGAAGAGGCACGAAGAGCGACCGCAGCACTTGGTGGAACTTGTACGGCTTGAGAACCGACTCGAAGCGCCCGCTGTCCATCCGATTGCTATATCCCCCGACGTTGAGCATGTGTGGGTCAGTGACGTGAAGATGTGAGCTCACAAGTCGAGGACGTCGTTGAGCACTGTACGCCGAAATTGAATCGAGGGTGACGATCAGCTTCGAAAATATTTGTCTAGGGCGAGACGTACCCTTCGACATCATGCTCAAACTACCTTCGAGCGCCTTAAACTCGATATCCTGCGTGATCATCCCAGAAGCCTGCATGTTCTGCACGGCTAGGAGCGCAGTGTTCAGCGGCACTCGCACCTGTGCATCATCGCCGCACAGAACGTCAGTCTGGCGCTCCTCAAGAGGCGCCCGTAAGGCCCGAACGGAAAAGACACTTATCATGGAAGACGTATCTGTAGAGCGGGACCAGGTCAGTGAATGTCAGAGCAGCGCGTAGAGTTGTATACGCACGACGTAAGCCGACGCTTCGAGTCCGCAGCCTTGCGCTCGTTGACCTGCGCCTTCTGCGTCGCACGGAACTGGACTTTGAGCTGGTCGCGCAGTGTGTACAGACGCCTCTCCGCCTGCGAAGCACGTTAGCGTCGGGCTCTGTGCTTGTGTGGGTCGCAACATACGTTCTCGCGCATGTAATGGATGTACAGCAGGAACCCCTGGAAGAAGAGGAAGTTCGCCAAATCTGGTCACGGTTACATTAGTGGTGCCGCGGAGGGCTTGCGGCGTAAGGCTTACTTCGGACGAAGAACTTCTTGTCCGGCACGATGAGTACACACGAACTACATAGGTACTGCATCGTAAGTACACCGTCATTACGGGAGAGCACTGCGACGTACAGGATGAAGAACACGAGAGCGCCGAGCATCGCGGGAAAGCGGTGTAGCTTCAGACCGAATAGCGCGATGGTCTGCAATGCTGAGGTGTAGCTACGGAAGACGGTCAACGATGGTACGGATCATTAAGTCGTATCCAGATACGTACTAGAACATCGTTAAATAATCCTTTCCATTGCATGTGAAGCGTGATCGTGCAGGATTGTACTGCCCACACAGGTATCTGTTGTAACACTCAGCAAAGGAGCAAAGCATGTCTAATCGCCACACTCACATGAAGATGACCTGATATACCGACCATATCCAGATGGAGAATACCAGGGTGATTTGGTATATGGTGTTCCGATCTCGTGGCCAGTCGAAGATGACCATAGGCGGTATGACGAAACTCGCTACGGACGCGATCGCGTATAGGAAGATCTTGTCGGAAAGCAGAAGCGGATCTCGCTGAACAAACCCGAGACCGAACGCCCAGTTGACGATCAGGAAGCCAGACGACCATAACGCAAGGTTCTGTAATCACCATTAGCATGCTGTTTGAATGCACCCATGACGTCGATGATCGAAGGAGTATACGCGCAGACGTCTATGTAGCGTCGATCGGCGTTCGAGATCGACAGTGTGGTGCACACCATACACTGTGAAGAGCGACTGCTTCTCATACGGCGAAGTCGGGGCAAACGGCGTGCCCGGATGTCGCACTGGACCCCGCTAAAGGAGGCCCAGTTGGAGTCCTGGCCCGTGCACTCGTGGAGAAGTGTGAGGGCGGCCCCAAGGGCGGACTTGCCGCCATACCGCCCCTCGAGTGCCTAATTATAGAACAAGTCCACCGTACGAGGATTGTACAGGTAGAGAGAAAATCTCTCGCAAGCGAGGAGGGGTGTACGACACCAGATAAACGCACCTTTCGCAAGAACCAATTCTCCTTGTTATAGTGCATCTCCGACTTCTCGTCCATAAAATGCGTGCAGAAGAACGAGTATGTCGCGGGCCATAACCTCCAGCGAAGGAGGATGAGCGGTCGACATAGTCCCCAGAACCCTTCTGGACGGATGGCAAAGCTGTCGCGGTCGGTATTTGTGCCCCCGTGGTGATTGCTCCCCGTCTTCTCAGGGCTGCCACCGTGCTCGGAGTGTGTGATGGAGCTGCTCTTGATCTCGTCCGACCACTCGCGGTCCACGACGACCTCGTCCACTCGGTCTTCCTGTGGTTCGGAGTAGGTATGGTGTCCCAATCGCGACCGCGGGTACCCGCTGCTCTCCCCAACACTCTCCTCGAAGTTGGATGAGGTCGAGGGTGCGGTGCCTGAGCCGAGCTTACGCACGAAGCGATCCCAGTGAACCCGCAACCCCCCGTCTATGCGTGCGTTCTTCTTCGAGCGAGATCTCCGGCCGCCGGACTGGTGGTCGTCCTGCACAACGGGCGGGGGAAGGCTCTGGTCGGGTAGGTTGACGATGTTCACAGGCATCTTCTCGGACATGGCTGTCAATTCATCGCGCTTGGTCGAGGTGGCGGAGTAGCTGGCAAAGGAGCTGCCCGACCGCAGGAAGTGCATCAAGATGATGAGGGGGGCGAGGAGGACGGGGCGGCCAGCGAGCAAGACAGTCGCCCGTCGGTGTCGGTGTCGGTGTCGGTGTCGCTGGACGAGAACAAGTCCCACTTTTTGCCGCCGGCCAAGGCACGAGCGCCTAACAGCTACCCGATTCGGATAATTGGCGCCCGAAGCGCATGACGTCAAAGAAGCTCGTGTTAGGGTCTCGGGCCTGGATTTGAGGCCGGCCGGCGCCGTGCGGCGTACCTGAAATTGACTTGGCCAATGATAGGAGTGCCCTTAAACTTGTTGGGGGCGAAATACCCCGCATTTCGCATATTTCAACTTCCAATGCCCCCGGCCACACGCCGCAACGACCTCCTGATTCGTCCCGGTGCCGGCCGGGGTCCTCTTCGGAAACACCTCTACGGGTACCTACTTCAACTGATGGTACATTATTCCCTTTTTCTATCCGAAGTATGGGTCCCCAAGTCCTAGGTCCAACTGTCGGGGTAGCGGTTTATAGATTTATGGTATACGTTGAAGCTTTGAAGGTTCTGTCTTCGAGGTTGCAGCTTTGTGGTCCTACAGCATCTCAGCATGTTGCACGTACCGGATACAGCCCCACGATTCGTATGATCCATGTACATGCAATTATAACTGTCCATGTAAACCGGTGAGCAGTGTGGTCTCGTAAAGCGCTCTGCTATGCAGTCTACGTCGTTGCCCAGGCACTGTGTATTCCAGATGTGAGGGGACTCAGGAAATTGCGAAATCTTCCGGGTCTATCACACGCGCTGTTGCTTCAATAACCGCCGCATCACGTACGCGTCCTCGCCGTCAGCATCTGGCGTGCCCCATCAGCGTCAGCCTTACAGCGTGTGGTGGGTGAGTACCCACAGTACTTCTTCTCTATGTCTTGCACGGTGAAGCCGAGTGTATCTTTGTACAGTCCTAGCGCAGCCCGATTGGACTTACGGACGTGCAGCGTAACGTATGCCGCTCGATACACGACCGCCATAGCTTCCTCTACGATGTTGCAGCGTTAGAGCGGCTGGCGTTCCGACATGAGATATGAACCTTACGTGACTGAAGCATGAGCTTTTTCGCGAGTCCAAGACGACGGTAGGATCTCAGGACGGAGATGGAGACAACGTGTCCGTGCGGCTCCTCCCCTTCCGGTACGTCGTCCTCCCTGTCACCAAGCAGGCGTGAGATTCAGTGAGGGAGAGTCAAACGATATCGCTCTCACATTCGTCCCAGGATGTATCCGACGATCTTCCCTTCGTCCTCCGCGACGTACGACACCTGCGGATTAGACAACATATAGAACAGGTCTACGACGAATCCCAGAGACGCGGTCACTGTTCCGTGTGTATGCTCCAACGATCATCACGCGCTCACAATATCTCATTGTATAATTCTCCGGTAGGTTCTGCAGGTTGCACGCCTGCATCCCCTGCAAGTCCTCTGCCTGCCAACATCCTGAATTAGTTATGTCTCCAATTGCAGGTCTCCGGGCGGCCTCCGCGGTTGATCACGTACCCGTGCGACCCGTATGGTGACCATCGCGACGTGTCCTAGTCACTTATGAGGCCTGGACTCTGGGAGTCGGGGAAAGGTGGGGTTAGCGAGCCACTGCAGGCCACTGCCTTGTCCGGCGGCCGATGGTGTGCGATAAGAAAGCGTGTTGCGCGTGAGTGGAGTCGCACGGTAGTGAGGACCGCTCGTCCCACGCCGCTCATCGCAGCGCACCCTATACAGAGCAGGTGTACGTACAGCTACGTATACATGCTGTAAGACACTATAAACGAGGCCAAGCTTCTTTTCGTGCCACCGCGACTGCAGCACTGCGTGTTTTGGATCCGCTTGCTTGAGGCCGTAATTCATGTTCGTGACACGCCCATGCGGAGTCATGGTGATCGGCTGCACATACAGCCATTTTCTTCACGTCTTTTTCCGCTTGAAGCTCGAGGTAGTGTGGATACGTCCGCGTCAAGCTGCATAGTCGCGATTGAGCCGCAGTAGGTATACGATTTGCCAAGAAGCGCTCATCAGTTGAAGGAGGTACGCTCGGCGTCTATGTTTGCAAACGTGCTTTCTGCGTTCATCTGCGTCACCAACTGCACCCTATGTTTCCGCGTGCTGCCTGACATGGCCCGTCAAAGTGCCGCACGACGCGTACGACTTTATCACTCGTCCAGATTCGCAGAGCTCCAGACCCGAGGCAAACCGGAGGAATGTTGTGGATGTCAACGTCGATGGGGATACGACATAGCCACTGCGGCCAGCAGCCGGTCTACCATTGTATTGCACCCGTCCCAATTCTCCATTGCGACTTGGTTCCATGATGCAAAACTCCAGGTACGTTCTACAGAGCCTGATCAGCTTACAAAACGCTCACTTGCTGCGAACTCCGCAGCTGTAGACCGCCGACGGGTTACGTCGTAGGTTTCTGAAAAGCTGGGCGCATACACTCTGCAAAATATGTGCGCTTGAAGCACTACTCGGCACGCTATCAGACACCTTGCTCTGGTCAGCGACTGGTGCTAGTCAGCGTGCCGCAGTCACACCTCATCGTTCGCGGCGCAGGCTGGGCCCATGGCTTCTTACCACTTCTCACCGTACATCTATGATGGAAGTAGCGTCCGCTTAGCTGACGCGTAGATCCGGCTGCTAAGGTCTACCCCGACATTAACGCTTCTCGCCTCCTTCTGTGGGCATGAAGCTGATTTTGATTGTCTGAGTATGACGGCCCCGCGTCTATAGGAGCAGCATATATACGTGGTAGCGGGGTGTTCAACTGCCCAAACTACCAGTATCCCGCACCTCGATCTATTCTCCAGCCCCCCAGAATTACTCCATGGCAGCTAGCAAAGTCGATGTCCTCGTCATTGGTGCCGGACCCGCAGGGTTGATGTGCGCAAATGCCCTTCTCCAAGCTGGCATATCGGTACGCATCGTTGACAAGAGGTACGAGTCGTCGTGTTATCACAGTCCTCTATTTGACTTATCACTCATTCGCAGGGCCGAAGGTGTTCAGGCTGGTCACGCCGATGGTATGCACGCTCGCACTCTGGAAATATTGCAGGTAATATCGAGGCTGTGGCCCGAGTATTTGAACATTTTCTCATCCCATACTAGAGCTACGGCCTTGCAGAACGCCTGTTCCGCGAGGCAGAGCAGATCCATCGAGCGGTTCGTCCATCCACATAGTGTGTCGCATGAACGTAGAGCTAAGCAAGATTGCAGGCATTCTATCAACCGGCAACTAACGGCGGTATCGAGGTTGTGTAGCCTCTGGATGTACTGAACGCATACACTGATGTTTTTATACAGAGACTGCGTCGGGTACCCGCCTTCACTACCTCCACTGCGCGGTATCCATTTGCGGTACGTGACTAGCACCTTCTGTTACCATGGGCCCCTTCTGACCTGATTTATAGTGCTCTCGGCATCAAGGAGGCATCGAAAATATCTTCAAAGATGCGATGCTGGACAAGGGCTTGAAGGTGGATCGGCCCACGATCCCAGTCTCTCTGGAGATTTCGGAGGACGAAGCCAAGTTGAAGAGTCCTGACGAATATCCCGTGAAAGTGCGTCATGGCGCGTGAATCGGCACCATCATAGCACTGACAAGCATACTAGGTAACATTAAAGCACTTGGACAGCGTCACCGAGGACACCGAAGTGGTGCATGTGAAGTTCGTAATTGGAAGTGATGGTAAACTGCGTCTGCGACAATCTCTTCCGCTGCGGCTCACTCAGCATCGTAGGCGCGCACTCCTGGGTTCGCAAAACCTTGGGTTTGAAGATGGAAGGCGATCAATCAGGTCCTTGATTTTTGGAACTCCATAACAACGGTAGACTGACCGACCATTTGCTAGACTACACCTGGGGTGTTGTAGACCTCCTTGCTGAAACGGACTTCCCCGACGCCCGCAACCTAGCAATAGTGCAGTCACAGGAAGGCTCCGCTCTCCTGATCCCGCGGGAGAACGACTGCATTCGTATCTACGTGCAACTTTCCGAAGCGGAACTCGTCGATCCGCAGACCGGCCGCGTCGACAAGGATCGCACAAGCGTGCAGAAGATCCTTGAAATCGCGCAGAAGATTATGAGCCCTTATCACATCACCGCTATCGGCGAGCCAGAGTGGTGGACTACGTACATCAGTAAGTTTCCTGATCTTATTCATATCTACTTGTTAAATGTGGCCCTCTGACGTTCGTTCAGTTGGACAGAGGTTCGCGGAGAAGTACTCGGTCCAGGATCGAGTGTTCATTGCTGGAGATGCGTGCCACACACATTCGCCGAAGGGTGGTAAGTTCCGCGAATCTCATTTGCGTTTGCGGTATCCAAAATTCTGGTCTTAGGCCAGGGTATGAACGCAAGCATGAGCGACACGCATAACTTGGGTACGCAATCGCTTTCTCTAGAAGCATTAAATACTAAGCGCCCATATAATGCAGCATGGAAGCTTGCATACGTCCTGCGAGGATGGGCAGACCCGGCGCTCCTCAAGACCGTATGTTCCTGCCGGAATCCAATGCTTGTCAGTGGCGCTGACATGATGACATACGCAGTATGAAGCCGAGCGACTCAAGTTCGCCAAAGAATTGATTGACTTCGACCGCAAGTGGGCCACAATGTTCTCCGATAAAGGTGCTCCCACCGTAAGTGAAGAGGAGATGCACGTGTAAGCAACGCACCTGTCTCTCCACACCTCCTCAGCCTGAGCGACCCTTGTGCAGCATGTTCCGCAAGAATGACGAGTTCATGAGTGGCCTCGGGTTGCGTTACGAGCCTTCCGTTATTGTCGCAGACGAGTGGCAGGCGAGCGCGTCGAAGCTGACCGTTGGCCAACGCATGGTCCCGCACGTATTCATCTGCGCCGCGGACGCCAGGCCGGTGAATATCCAGGACCGACTTCCTGCGGACGCGCGCTTCAAAGTTCTCGTGTTCGTGGGGGACATCACCGACAAGGACACGGCAGAGCGTGTGCGGACCCTCGCCGATAGCCTCGTGGCGCCCGCGCACTTCCTCAAGCGGTACGGACACGGTGGAGATGGCACGGTGTTCGACGTCTTGTGCATCAGCGCGTCGAGCAAGGACGCTGTCGATTACACTGGTGGGTACTCTCCCACACTTGACGCGCTCCGGCTATGATCCCTACTCACGATCTGCGTCTTCGGTCTTAGACTTTCCGCAGGTTCTCAGGAGCCATTGGTCGAAGTCAGTACTCTCTCTTTACTGTCCCACTGTCCTGACATGATCTCTGCAGGATACTGCTGGACGACGCCGACATGCAAGGGCGGTCGGGTGGAGGAGGGTTTGCTGCGTACGGCATCGACCCGCAGGCCGGTGCCATAGTGGTGGTCCGTCCTGACGGTCATGTCGGTTTGGTCGCACCCAGCGATCGCGTGGACGTCGTGGACTCGTACTTCGCGTCCTTCATGCTGCCAGTACAGGCCGCCACGTAGGTGTATACGCGGTATCGCCCGGACCAGCCTGGGTCTCGGTCGTTGTATGGGAAATTAGAGATTTCGACATGTGTCTAGTTGACTGAATGCGGCGGATAAACGTGTCTTCGACGATGCCCGCGAAGTGGTCGTCGGACTGCTCAATCTTCTCGCGCATTGTACCTTGGCGGGCCCACTTATCATGTGCAGGTGAGCTCGTCTCACAGGTGTTCCGTGTGATGTTTCAAACATTCAAACTGACCATCAACACTTGTTGTTTTGGGTGTACCTAGGACTCCTAAGACAAGCACATGCCCATCTTTCAGATCTGGGTATGCACCTCGTATCATGAAGCCTTTCAGCGACCTTCGCTCGGGCTACCAGATCATGACCGGCGCCTTCCATGACGGTATTGAATCCGAGCGAAGCATCTCTCTTGTTACACACGGTGTCAGGTTCTCAGAGTTCAGGTGAGAAAGAAGCTCCATCTCGTGGTATTACCCGCTAGCCATGACCCGCCCTGTCTTTCGGTCTTACCTGATTCCCGCGCTCCTGGAATCCCCCTGCATAAAGTGTCTGGCGCAGAATTGGCCTCCTACTTGGTGCGGGATTTCAACCCTGCGATCCGGCCGCCTGGGCGGTGTCGAAAGGGGTGGATCCGCGCCCATATATACTGACCGTGAGGACACGAAGGCGCCGGAAGCCCCTCCCGATTCTCCTCGTCGGGCTCTCTGCATAATGGCGGAAAGTAAGGTCGACGTGCTCATCATCGGTGCTGGGCCGGCGGGGCTGATGTGCGCCAATGCGCTCGCACATGCGAAGATACCCGTTAGGATAATAGACAAGCGGTGAGTGCTACTGCGTTTCTTGCTATCTGGACGTTCAACCGAGGTTGGGACTAGGCCGGGCGATATTCTGGCAGGACAGGCGGATGGTATTCATGCGCGAACACTGGAAATTTTGCAGGTGAGTTTGAACCTACACTCATCTACACGACGGTTAAGAGACCTCGCACTACAGAGCTACGGGCTTGCTCGTCGATTGATAGACGAAAGCGCCGAAATTCACAGAGCTGTGAGTAGAGCAGAACATCAGCACCAGGCAGGAGTTGACCCCACTGCTGCAGGCATTTTATATACCGGGTCTTAATGGCGGCATAGAGGTAACCGTCGCTTTGATCTCACAAAAACACAGGGTTTCTGACACGTCCTGCAGAGGTTGCGTCGGCTTCCAGCCATCACAGCACCCACCACGGCGCGCTTTCCGTTCACGGTTCGTACTTCTATCCCATCAAATGCCGACATTGGTCCAACCTCATGATAGGTAACGCTACACCAAGGGGCGATCGAGGCTATTTTCCATGACGACATGAGGCCTCAAGGCCTGGATATCGATCGTCCGACAATTCCGGTCTCCATCGAGTTGTCCGAGGATCAAGCAGAGCTTAAGGACCCTCAGGCCTATCCAGTGAAGGTAACAAGTCGCGCATACTCAGTTTATCTCGAGATACTGACATTTGCGGCAGGTTGTCTTGAAACACCTCGACCGAAGCACGAACGACACCGAGGTGATACGCGCCAAATTTGTTCTTGGTGCAGATGGCAAGTCATACGCTACAACGTAGTCTGCATGCAAGTAACTCATTGTATCGCATGCAGGCGCGCATTCATGGACTCGCAAGGCCATGGATATCAGCATGGAAGGCGATATGTCAGGTATGGTGTTCATTGGCTTGTAGAGCCCCATCGAACGTGATATTGACTCCTTTCTACTAGACTTCATCTGGGGTGTGATAGACATCGACCCCGATACAGACTTCCCCGACGCCCGAAATTTGGGTGTCATCCACTCTGCTGAGGGCTCTATGCTGCTCATTCCGCGCGAAGGAAATCTGCTGCGCCTATACGTCCAACTATCAGACGCTGATGTCATCGACCCCGAGACCGGTAGAGCCGACAAAGCCAGAGCCAGCCCGGAGAAGGTGTTGGAGATGGCGCAGAGGATTTTGAGACCGTATCGGATGAAGCCCATCGGGGACCACATCCGGTGGTGGACCATATATGTCGGTGAGCCGTGAGTGTTGTACGTATAGAGGATCACGTCTGACGCAGGCTTCCATTCGCGACAGTGGGTCAGCGTGTAGCCAACAAGTACTCGATACAGGATCGCGTTTTCATCTCGGGGGATGCGTGTCACACGCACTCTCCAAAGGCTGGTGAGTCTTGGTCTAATGACATCTGTAACGCTTTGGATACGATACCCCTCATAGGTCAAGGTATGAACGCCAGCATGAGCGACACCCATAATCTAGGTACGTGTCTGACTGGATAGTTGATCTATGGGTGCTCTGACTTATGTTCGTGCGATAGCCTGGAAACTAGCATACGTACTACGCGGATGGGCAGACATATCGTTGTTGAAGACCGTGAGCCACATAGCATTCTTCGGCACGATGGACGCGCTAATAAAACGACCTTCAGTATGAGTTCGAGCGTCGAAAGTTCGCGGTAGACCTGATCAACTTCGACCGTCAATGGGCGTCTCTCTTCTCATCCGGAAAGGCGAATCTCAAGGGCAAGGATGACAGCCTTCACGAGTGCGTCTGTTGTGACTTATCCGAGAAATGCGGGCGCAAGCTGACGCACCCCGAAACTTGCAGGATGTTCCGGAGGAACGGCCAGTTCACGAGTGGCATCGGGATTCGCTACGAGACCTCTCCAATCGTGGAGAGCGGATACCAATCATACGCCGCGAACCTCGTAGTGGGAGAGCGCATGCTCCCGCACGTCTTCATCCACGCTTCCAACGCTGGCGCTAAGAACATCCACGACATGCTCCCCGCGGACACGCGCTTCAAGGTGCTTGTCTTCGTCGGAGACATCAAGCAGAACGAAACGGTCGCGGCAAACGTGCGACGCTTGGGCGAGCAGTTGGAGGCGCCTAGCAGCTTCCTGCACCGCTACGGACACGAGGGTAGCGACAAGGTCTTCGACGTGTTGTGCATCAGCACATCCAGCAAGCACGTTGCGGACTGGAGTGGTACGTACTGGAAGCCGCCTATTTTGCATGTCTGACACTGCTTGTGCAGACTTCCCGAAGGCGCTCACTACCCACTGGTCGAAGTACGTCCATGATCTATCATTAGGTACCCTGAGCCTAACAATACCTCTGTAGGGTACTGCTGGACGACACCGACATGCACGCCCGGGAAGGCGGGGGCGGGTTTGCTGCCTACGGAATCGACCCATGTGTCGGCGCCATTGTCATCGTCCGTCCTGACGCCCACGTAGGACTGGTGGCGCCTCCGGATCGCTTGGACGTTGTGGACGCGTACTTCGGTTCTTTCATGATCCCAGTCACCGCTGCGTAGATCTGGGCATGCTTCTTCCAGCTATCGGGTGCAATGTAGATCCTTGGTCATGTGTTCACGCATATATCACCTTATCGACGAATAGAACAAGCTCTGTATATGCCCTGGGCGTTCAGGTTACGCAGTACGCCAAGAAGCCTACAAGGTTTGCTGCCCCAAAAACTCTATCAGGCGATACGCCGGGTACGCCAGCGCGTTGGGGTGGAGGTCCCTCCATGTACGGCGTTATTTAGCACATTGGAGCATACGTTATACTTTCCGGTGAGGACGATGGTGTGGTTGTACGTCTTACCTTTACGTGGTCAGCTTTTCTACGCAACGGAACAGGTATTGTGAATTCGTAGCACCATTCTGAAGCACGATCAGGACCGCATGGGACCGACTGTGGTCGGATGTGTCACTCACATATCCATTTGTCCTAAACGTCCGACAATCCTCGTACCTTGCGGCAATAGAAGATCGCTCTTCTGAACTTTCTCCAGCTTTGCCGCTGCGAAACTATATATGTAGCCTGTTGTCTTCCCCGAAGAACAAGCTACTGCGTCCCTTCTATGATGTCTGAGGGAAATAAGGTGGACGTGCTCATCATAGGCGCCGGCCCTGCGGGGTTGATGTGTGCCAACGCTCTGTTGTGGGCTGGTTTGAAGGTCAAGATCATCGACAAACAGTGAGTGAAGATACACGTATACGGGGCTGCTATATGCTAACCTTTGTGATCCATATAGGCCGTTTTCCGTTATGGCCGGGCAAGCCGACGGTATTCATTGCCGCACCATCGAAGTGCTACAGGTAGCGTTATCCTTGCCAAATCATCAGTATGTGGCGTTGGTCACTCATAGGCTGAGAATAGAGCTATGGCCTCGCGGATCGTCTTATTCGCGAGAGCGCTCACATGCACAGAGCAGTAAGTCGAAGTGCGCGCATCACGATACGGTGCTTACCGGGGGCGTGGCCAGGCATTTTACGATCCTGATCCAAACGGCGACGGCATTGTGGTGCGCGTACAAACTTCGCCGTGACCAAACCTTCCCTCACCAGCATCGGGTAGCGGACGCGTGTGGGACGCGGCTTTACGTCACCTACTGCTCGTTATGGTTTCACTGTGAGAGTCTGAGTAGCCCTTCCCATATCGCCCCAGCTTACGGAATACCAAGTGCGGCTTGCATCAAGGGCGAGTTGAGGCGATCTTCTTGGACGACATGAAGTCCAGAGGGCTTGTGGTGGATCGTCCGGCGGTTCCCACATCGATCGAGCTTTCCGATGAGGAGGCGGCGAGGAGTTACCCAAAGGCGTACCCGGTGAAGGTGAGTAGATCTAGCGTGTACGCGGATAATCTACGAAGGACTCAATTAGTTTCAAGGTATGTATCAAGTATCTCGAGCGTGCTGAGAGTGAGGGTGAGACCGTCCACGCCAAATTTGTGCTGGGAGCAGATGGTGAGCAAAACCGCTTAGAGCTTTAATCATAGTATTCAACCACGCACGGGGATGCCCAGGTGCCCATTCTTGGGTTCGCAGGGCTATGGGCATCACGATGGAGGGAGATACATCAGGTAGCGCGCTTCTGCACATCCACCCAGACTTCAGCTGACATACCTGTTCATCCCAGATCACATTTGGGGCGTAGTCGACATTCTTCCGGACACCGATTACCCCGACCACCGGAATGTGTCCCTCGTACAGTCCCACCGCGGCTCTGCGCTGCTCATCCCGCGAGAGCGAGATCTATTCCGGCTTTATATTCAGCTCGAAGACACGGATGTCGTGGACCCCGAGACCGCGAGGCTAGATAAGACGCGTATGAGTCCTCAGAAGATCATGGAGAAGGCACAGGAGATCTTGAGGCCCTTCCGTATCAACGCCATCGGCGACATTGACTGGTGGACGGTCTATGTCGGTCAGTGTTGTAGTTCGCATGCGCAGCATTCTTCTGAGGAAGCAAGTAATCAATGACAGTGGGACAACGTGTCGCGGAGACGTACTCGGTCGCAGATAGAGTCTTCATCGCAGGTGACGCGTGTCACACGCATTCGCCCAAAGCAGGTACGCCCTCATTTCACTGCAGGGGAGCACAAGCATATCTGACGCTTCGTAGGCCAAGGTATGAATGCTAGCATGATAGACACGCACAACCTTGGTACGCACCTCATCGAACTCAGAGTGACATTCTATCGCTGAGTAGGGACGTAGCGTGGAAGCTCGCATACGTTCTGCGGGGCTGGGCTCCCATGTCGCTTCTGAAAACGGTATGAGTGTAGTTACGCGGATTCGTATATACAGGGCTGCTGATACACCTGCAGTATGAAGCTGAAAGAAGGAAATATGCCCTGGACCTCATCGAGTTTGACAAGAAATGGGCGTCGATGTTCACAGGCGGAGGCGATCCACAAGAAGACGAGCTCCACGAGTACGTTTCATCATGATGGCCTCTTCTGTCCCATCCAGTGCCTGACCGAAACATGGGCAGAATGTTCGCCAAGAACGCAGGATTCACGAGCGGGCTCACCCTACATTACGAACCCTCCGTCATCGTGGACAACCGTTTCCAGGCGTGCGCACCGCACCTCATCGTCGGAAAACGCATGCTCCCGATCGACTTCATCTGCGCTGCGGATGCGAGGCCTGTCAATATCCATGACATGCTTCTGGCGGACATGCGGTTCAAGATACTCACCTTTGTCGGTAACTTCGCCGACGAAACCGGGGCGGCGAAGGTCCGCGCCTTAGCAGAGCAGCTGACTGCGCCTGACTGTTTTCTGCAACGCTACGCCCACACGGGCACAAACTCCGCGTTCGACCTGATTTGTATCAGCGCCAGTCGTAAAGAACAGGTTGACTATACGGGTACGTACCGCAACGTCGTGGGAGAATGACTGGTGGTCGCTGACAAGCCGCTGCAGACTTCCCGGCTGTGTTTAGGAGCCATTGGTCAAAGTAGGCCCTCCTTTTTGGTCAGTCAATCCCGTGCCTTGACTTCGAGTTTGCACAGAGTTTTGCTAGACGACACCGACATGCTAGGCCGATCGGGTGGTGGAGGTTTCGCTCGGTGTGGTATCGCGCCAGAGTCCGGGGCGTTCGTCGTCGTTCGTCCCGACGGGCATATCGGCATTGTCGCGCCCTGCGACCGCATCGACGCGCTGAACAACTACTTCGGAGCCTTCCTGTTGGTTGCTGCATAAAGAGGGACGGTCGCCCGCGGAATCCCGGTTACCTTGGTGCTCAATTTGTATGTAGGATCTCTAGAAGTCGAAGGATTATTGAGTCGGGGTTCGAAGTCGAAGACGGCACTTCAAGTTCCTGTTTGCGCAGCTGTATGATGGATGACGACCTCCTGCGACAGAAGTTAAAAAGAAGGACGTATTTCTCAGCAAAGCGGCAAAAACACTGATGTAAAGGACTGACGTCTGTGTGATCTAAGTGCTCCCTGGAACTCTGAGATGACGCCTACCTTAACGGTAGCTGCAGGCCCTCTCGTCGTACCACTCAGCACAAGACCCATTAGCAGCCTGAATGTATCAGCCCGTGCGGCCTTGCCGAGTGCACCTGTGTTCTAAAGCCTCATAGAATGGGTAGAAGGTGTCTCGGCATGACTATGATTGACGACATTCTGTATCAAGGGGACGTACAAGAAGAGAAGCATCTGTGCTGCTATGATACCCATGAGTTATAAGGAGCATTATTGAATCACAGGCTCGAGCTCACCGTGTGCTGGATGCCGGGTGAGTTTCGGTGGTGGGCGTCGGAGGACAACCGGTTCCGGCGTCTTCGCAGCAGTCAGGCGCCAAAATGGTGCGGCTGTCGATCCCGGCCGCGGGATCTATCACAAACCGCCATGTTCCCACTCCTGCACAACGTTGACCATCATTCGGACCAGCATTGCGGTGATCATCATGCATAGTCGTTGTATATCATGGATATTGCACGGAAGCTCAGACCGACCAACGCGACAGCCAATCATGAGGTAGCTGAACCTACGGTGCGACCGTACGTCAGGCTCTCGCGAGCTACTCGCCGCCACTGACAGACGAAACAGCGTACGTCGTCTTTTATTTTGATCATCATACTGAAACCGCTCACATTCACACAGTATGAGGGCCCTGTGACAACCCTACTCAATTGGGTGCCTGCACACAGGCATACATGTTGCTTAAACGTCGACGCGCGACACCGGACGGTGCCGTTGCACTTCCTGACTGACCACTGCGCAGAATATGCCGCGCGAAGGCTCGAATGCAGCGTTCCGACCGGAAGGTGCCTGCTCCTGATGTTCCCGCGAAACTGCGGCTTCTGCAATCCTACCCTCTACTAATAACGGCGATTATCGGCACCCCCAGTCATAGACAGTACTCGCGTAGGTTGCCAGATGGTGGCCATATGGGTGCCTGCAACCCCATCAACTGACTGCGAACACTGCAGAGAGTCGTAAGTTCCGCCTGATGGCTATCAGCATCCTCGTCCTGGGGTTCTCAGCGCCTGCTCAGATGAGCCTGCGGGTGGCACTGCCAGACGTATAGCATATAGCAGTGTCCCTCCCCACCCCACCGATCAGGCCCGGCGTCGTAGGTCCCTCCCCTCTCTTCCGCCTTCTCGATACCGTCGCCAAGATGCTGCAAATTGATACTGCCGAGCTTGCTGGCCTCGCCGCGGAAGGCGTTCTCTTTGGTGAGTCTCATCCGGTACACCTTCTCGTCGCTGAACCTCATCTATTGCTTCGCTAGGCATCTTTCTCTGCCTGTTCTGCGTGTGCGGGTACGACTTGGTCGACAGGCGGAAGCGGCTCAACACACAGCTGAGCTGGCCCATGGTCCTCGCGGGCGTGCTACTCATCATCCTCGCCATCGTCCGTTTCTTCGTCGACTGCAGCAACATCTTCGTGGCGTTCATCCGCCATGACCCTCGCGAGGCACGGTTGGCGTACCTCGAGGATGTGACGCAACCACTGTTCATCACCAAGCACTGTATCTTCATCACCGCGCTCTTTATCGGCGACTCGTTTGTGGTACGTCTCGTATTTTCTCTGTCTGCGCCGGTAACAAGGGCTAACGAGTACTGTACGGCGCACAGAACTATCGGTGTTGGGTCGTCTGGGGCAAGAAGATCTGGATCGTCCTCCCTACCGTCATACTCTCCTTTGTTAGCACAGGTGTGCACCGTCGCATACCGAATCACTCCTCTGGTTCTAACAACTAGCAGGTTCTGGTGCTTACACCATGTGGGCCTACGGTCATCTCCCAAACCAGACGATCCGATCGGAGTCTGCCTGGCTGTCGGTCCTTTTCTCTCTCAGCCTCGTAACGAACGCGCTGGCAACGTGTGCGTTCATCATTTCTACTCCAGAGTTATGTGTACTGACAGACTTGGCCTCGTAGCGCTGTTGGCGTACCGCATCTGGTCGATTGACCGCAAGGTCCAGGCCAGCGGCGCACGCAGCACATCCCAGTCCCGGCTCAATCCCGTTGTACGCATTGTGATGGAGAGTGGCCTCGCGAATGCCGCGTACCTCTTCGTCTTCGTAATGACACTCGAGTTCGGCTCGCAGGCACTGGAGATCATGTCCGAGATGGTATGCCCCTGCTCTCTCCTACAACGATGTTTGTCCGGCTCGAGCTGACGTCGTCGCCCTTGCAGGCTGTACCGCTGACAGGCATCATCTTTTCGATCGTTATCCTGCGGGTCGGACACCAGCGCCACGGAGACTCGTTCTACGCTTCTCAGCCTGCCCCGAGCAACGTCGCATGGCCTAGGGCAAAGTCGACCATCGGGCCGGCGGGTGGGCGAACTGGTACATCTGCAACGACCACTGCAGGCAACACCGGCTCGATACCGATGGAGATCTTCGTCCATAATGCCACTTCCACGACGAAGGGGTACGATGACGATAGCATCCAGCGGTTGGAGAGTCGATCTCTTCCTGATTTGCCTGCGGCGTTCTGAGTGGTCTTTGGGCGCGCTGTACTACTTTGGACTTTGCTCTATCTTTATTCTGTCTGACTCTCTCCGATGTAATGCAGTGTACTTTGTGCCACATAAGAATACCCATGGCCGTACATAGGCCAATGGCAGAAACAAAACATGGATTACCACCTCCTACTTGAGCTGCAGCACATTGATCGCTAGCCGCGGTCCGAGGCAGCCGGAAAGATGTGCGCCACGACGCAGACGCCGATCACCTCACCTTGTCCTCCTCCCTCTTCCTCGCGCGATACCCATATAGCCACACACCCACCCACACCACTATGTCGTCCTTCAAACGCGCCAGATCTCCTCAACGACAAGACGACTCACCCTCACCCTCACCGACGCCCTCGCCGACTTGCAAGGCCGCGCGGACGAGCGCGACGCCTCCTCCGGGCGCGGGCGAACCATCCACCTCTAGCCACATTCTCTGCACATTGCCACCAACGTGCAATCCGCCGAACCGCCCTACCTCGCTGGAGGATACACGCGATCTTGAGGCTCACTATGCAATGTACCACGCGCATGTCTGTGAGGATCAGGGTTGTGGGTGCGTGTTCCCCGACGCGCGGCTACTCGAACTAGTGAGTGCCATTGTTCTTTCCGCCCCTGCCCCGGGAGTGGCACTGGGGCTCTTCTGCCGCAGCTGAGAAGGAGAACAGACGTACTGACTGCGTTGTATTTCGTGGCTGCAGCACCAAACAGAATGTCATGACCCACTTGCCGCAGTACGGAGAGAGCGCGGCGAGAAGATTGTGCGTGTGCTATCCATCTCTCCGTGCCTCAAACCTGACGTATCGTTGAAAAAAATTCAATCACGTAGTTCGCATGTCACTTAGCCTCGTGCGCGCGCCGCTTCTCCGCGCCCAAAACGCGACGGCTGCACCTCATCCAGGCGCACGGGTATCCCAAAGAATACTTCTTCGCGGTCACGAATAAAGGCGTCGGTGGCCTGCTGAAGCGATGGGGTGAGGGCGCGAGCCTGTTGCGCCGCCCGTGGCAGCCGCGCGAGAACGGGAACGGGGGTGAAGACGATGAAGACGACGACGAAGGGACAGAGACGGATGCGACACAAGTACAAGACGCGAATGGGGAAAGGGTCTTGTCAGACGACGACGAAGAGCAAATCTTACTAGAAAAGATGCCCGTGGATCGACCTCCGCGCGCGAATACCACGGCAGCGAACGGCCCTTTTACGTCTCCCGCCAAGGGCAAGGGGCGGGAGGCGCAACCCTCCGAGGAGGACAACACGCTCGCGGACGCCATGGACTCCCTTTCGCTCGTCCCATCTTCAGTCCAGTTCGGACGCGGCGCAAAACGCGGCGGGCGCGGTCACGTGGTGCGTGGCGGCGGGGCGCGCGGAGCAGGGAGAGGAGCATTCGCAAACGGCGGAGAGGGCATGCCCATGCAACTCGACTTCCGCCCGCCAAACGTGCGCGGGCGGGGAAGAGGCGCGGGACGGGGCTTCCACGTCCCGCGCGGGGGCGGGTTTTCGAGAGGCAGGGGAAACGGGCCTCGTGGGTTTGGGCGGGGGGCGATGTTGGGTGGAGGAGCGGTACGGGGAGCGGGTCCTGGGCGGGGTGTGGCGAAGGGGAACACGAATGCGTGAGGGGTGTTGAGCAGGTGCTCAGGCTCAGAGAACATGTTGACAGTGTCGATCTACGTTGTACGCTTGGTTAAGGGTGTTGAGTAGCGTCAGTGGTGCTCTAGGGAGGTTGTGTAAGGGTGCGGAACAGAAGCTCGATTATGTTAAGATAATCAGCTCGTCAACACCATACGCTCAAGGCTAAGCAGTCAATATACGATTATGAAGCAGTAGATTATCAAAGAGTGTTGCGATACAGTTAAAAAGCAGGTACACAAGAAGTCCGTACGATCTCAAGTTCACTACACGCGTTCAGGAAGAGGGGCACTACCACCTTACCAGGGGCTCACGTATGTCGCCATACCCTGCAGGTTGGATCCCTCTGAAAGAAAAAGTCAGAAAGTGTACACCAAGGCGAAAAATCATTGCTATGACTCACGGATAGGGACACCTGCAGTGTGGGCAGGTCCACTGACATTCACGCTAGAGACGAGCTGCGCCTTGGCGGGACCGTTGAGTGCGAACACCTCGACGGTGGTCGCGTTCGCGCCGAGAACGTAGAGGTAGCTGTACGGCGATGCGTCAGCTCCTTGTATCCCAAGACAACACGCGCGCAAGACTTACTCCTTGCCCCGGATGGTCGCAGTCTCGCTGTCAATGGGGGAGGTGCCCGCAGGCACGGTGTACGACTATATCAGAGAGACAGGTCAGTACCATTCTCCATGCGTTGTCGCGTGCAAAACGTACCGCAACGACGCTGCCCTTCAGGTTCCCATCAAGCGCAACCTCGCGGATCGCGTTCCCCGCAACGTCAATCGCATAGTAGTTGCCCGTCTTCGCGCTATACGCCGACCAGCACGTCGCCATCTGCCCCGTGATCGCGACCGACGAGCTGCGCCCCTTCCCGCTCAGGTCCACGACTGCGTACCCGACGCCCGGGTCCGCGACGAAGAACGCGTTCTGCTTCGGGATCGGGGTGAGCGAGAACGCGACCATGCCGCCCTGCGCGAGCGCGACCTGGCCGTTCTGCGCGGAGAGCGAGCCGTCCGCCTGCACGTCCCACGACGCGAGGTAGCCCGGGGCGGTGGCCGTGCCCTTGAAGGACGCGAGCAGCTTGCTGCCGTCCTCGCTGAACGCGATCTGGCTGACAGAGCCGGGCGGGCCGTTTGCGGGCGTGGTCTGGTTGAAGCCGAGGTAGCGGAGCGAGTTCGGGATCTGGACGAGCCCGAGCTCTTTGTCGACGGTGTAGCAGCTGTTCGGGCGGCATGTAGGTTAGTGCGGCTAGGGGACGAAAATGGGGGGAGACGCACTTGACGCCGTTGATTGCACCACCGTTCAACACGCAGAGGCGGCTGCCGTCGGCGTTGAAGGCGACCGAGGAGGGGAACTCGCCCTCGGAGGACACGGGGTCGCCAAGCGGGGTGATGTTCGTCGGCTTGCGCGGGTCGATCTTGAAGAGGGATACGGTGTCCGAGCCGGCCTAGAAGGCGCGTTAGAACGTATCACGTAGGTTGTGTACAAGGACGCTCACATTCACGGTGGCGAGGACGCCGGCCTTGGCGGAAACCTGGATAGAGCCCTGCGAGAACAGGCCGTCGGTGCCCGTGTTCCCGTTCGCAGTGACACCGTGCAGGCCACGTCCGCCTGCTGAGACAGCACGGTCGAGCCTCTGAGAATGATGTTCAGTGATCGATGATGGCACTTGAGACTTGGAGACTCAGAGCAGACGTACCAAGTTGCCGTCAGAGTTGATGCTAGCCGTGATAATCATGTTTCCCTGAGGCTCATTCGTGATGACTATGGCGATAATGGATATCAGAAACACATAGCGGACTCGTCGAAGAGTTGTACTCACAGTAAACGGCGCCATCGGGATGACGCTGGGATGCCTTGGTCAACATTGTGACCGACCCCCCACGACGTTCGATGACGCCCGCCGAGACAAGAGCAGTCGCCGAGAGAACAAACGTAAGAAGGTTCGTAGAGAAACGCATCTTGGAAATTGGCGAATAGAAGGAGTAAGAAATGCCTTCGGATTAGGGAGGAGCCTCCACGAGACTGAAGTAGAGAGAAAGGAAAAGAGAGGAACCGCGGAGGTGGCTTCACCAGTCGATGATGTGGACGCATATATACTGGACGGTCCCGCGCGCATCTTGGGCGGTCGCTTCCAGAAGGAATACAATGCAGCACAGCCGCGACGCCAGAACGATGCGATTTGAGACGGGGAGGAGTGCTACGCGAGGGGAAGAGCGCCTCGCGTGGCCGGAGCCGGGCGCCAGCTGGGCGGCATTGTAAGCACGCACAGGAACAGGAGGTGGTGATTTTGATTGCTGTGCGACCGATCCAGTACGTGTTATGCATGCGGTGCACAGTGGCGGGGCGGTTGCTTACCAGTTCGGGGTCGACACGGTGTTCGTTTGGTAATTCCCCGCCGCCTCTCGAGGTCCGCTGTGATCGAAGCACCGTTTTTGGTAAGACTTCAGTGAAGGGCGTTAGCGACAAACCTTTGACGAGCCTCACAACGTGCTGCACGCCATAACGCGCCCGGACTCTCCGGGATCAACGGTCGCAGGTGCATTCACGCGGCACGCCGTCCGTACAGCCACCATGAAGATCCACCAGTTGCTTGATGGGGCTGCATAGCGGGCTTACCCGAGTGGGTGCTCCTGCTCACCGTCCCAGGATCGCCGGGTGACGGCCGTGCCGCCCCAACATGCCTCGCCGCTCTGACCTCACTTCCACAGCTCTTGTTTGGGGCCCGGTGAGCGATTGGTGAGCCGTGGGCGGATACTACCCGGAGTGCTTCGCCTGCAAACCGCCGGATGGCAACGCTTCGTCTCGCGGCTCTGATATACAATGCCTCCGTGCTGGGCGGAAGTGAGTACTGAGTGCTGTATTCCGGCATTCTATGGGTAAGCGCTTATTTGCGGCAGGAAGCCTGGTGAGACTTACCCATTTTACAGAGACCTGATACCGTGTGTTCTCGGGACTAAGGAGTATCGAAACTAGCTAATGCACAAGGATACGCACCTTACTACCACGGGCCGTTGAGTTCGGCTCCTTCATAACCCGCTTGATTCCGCCAAGCGCCTCCGATCATCCTAATACCTGCTAGAGAAACATCAAAGGCCGTACGCAACAATCCGAGTGTGAGACTCATACGCACTCAGACTCGTCGCTCAGCCTGTCCCAAATAAAGGCCCGATGCTCCCACACAGGCCAATAATCCCCCATTTCCTCCGCGGCGCGACATTCTGGTGGAATACGGTCGTCCCAAGATGGCACCCAGCTATCCCGAGGGAAGCGCGGCGGTTTCGTACGATTGAGCGTTTTGGTGATCCCGAAATGCTCGACAAGTTCTCCCAACTCCCGTGCTTCCTGGTATCCCGACGGCGAGTGCATCTTAGCCTCCCGGCTATCAGTGCCACGGCTGCTCGTCTCGCTTTCCGCGATGGACGACTCGTCCTCGATGGACCCCTCGTCGATGTCCTCGGCTAGGTCCCAGACGATGTGCAGACGCTGGAGGGGATGGCCCATTTGTGCGCGTCGCAGGAGGAGCCTTCGCAAGCGCGTGACGTGTCTTTGGCCGGACACGAGCACGCACAACGCCTCGAGCTCCGGACACAGGACGGGCCCGTCCTTCGGAGGAGTCAAGACCTCGAGAACGGCGGAGAGCCTGTGCTCCTCCATTGCACTGCACCAGATCTGCAAGAACCTCAGGCGAGGCAAGCTGTGCAAAAGACTGTCCTGGACGTAGAAGAACTCGATGGCGCCGGTGCCTATCCAGAGCTCGCGCACGTGAGCGAAGAGAGGGGATGTGGAAATGGCGAGGCGAAGGTTTTGTTGGATAGTCGCTTTTGCTTCGTCGCAGCCACGGACTTGTACGTCGAAGCGTACCCCCCGGCAGGTCGTGGGATTCACGAGTTGGAGGGAGATGGCGCCGGATCCGAGCGACGCGTAACTCTGCCGGCCGTCGATGATGCGCATCGACGAGAGATCCCTCGGTCCCTTGGAGATGTGGTTTGCGTATATGGTTAGATCGCGAGAGAGCACTGGCACAATGTATAGGATACACTGAGCCGGTAAGACGACCATGGAAATGAGAGCACGGTGAAGAGCAGAGCGATTGATGAGACGACGGGCTTCTTCAGCGGTTATCGGGTCGTCCAGGGCAGGTCCGCGCGAAGGCCTCAGGTCGTCAAGCACGGAAAACCTGCGAAGATGAGGAAAGTGTATTGAGGAATTGATAGCACCTGCCGTGGTGGGTGCCTCCATTCTGCTTGCACCCAGCATACCTAAGTGAAGCGATTGAAGATTGGGGCAATTCGCCAGGAATGTTTGGAGATCGCGAAATGTGAAGATGATCCTCCAGGAACACTCTAGCGTGAGGTGCGTGAGTGTTGGGAAGCGGTTGGAAGGAAGGTATGGGGTGCGCTCCAAGCGCAGTGAGTGTAGCTGAGGAGTGTAGTCTTGGAAGAATGGTTTCAGAGGTGGTCCGTGGGGGTTGTCGAGAGTGCCGAGGCTCAAGCTGCAGTTTCGTAAGTTGTCACCCTTCAACGACAGCATGGTGTAGAAGGCCTCGCGCCAACGAGTAGCGTAGCAGAAACATAGGTCCCGCACGCGCTCTCCATGACGAGCTAGAATAGCTAACGTGTCTTCATGCGGGTCCCCATGAACATGTACGTACAAGGGCCCACGCTGGCATCGATGTATGTAGTCCATGAAGTGAGGCCTTCTTCCGGGAGCATCTCCATATTGTTCGATTGTGGACCATAAACGAGGTGTCTGTAGTACGATGTTGCGCCAGTGATGGCAGACCTCCGTCAATGGAAGGATATCGTGGGTACGACCCGCGAAGGATCGAGGAATCCATGCTACAGACGCTTTGTTGACACAGAGGGGATCGGCAGGAACGAGCGAGAAGATGTGGGTCATAATCTCTGGGGGTAGTCGATGCAGAGGATGATATCGGTTGAGGAGCTCGCCCACCAAACAGCGAGATTTGGCGAGTATAGCGTCCAATGCTTGAATCTAATCATACCGAAAGATTTAAGTCATTCCACGGAAGTCATACGAGTTGGCATTCATACCGACTCAAGCCGCGATAGGCTAGGTTGAGTACTGGTCTCTTGCTATGTCAGTCGTACTGATAGGTGCGCAACTTATGATTTCATACCTTGAAACAACAACATCTTTATGACCTACGAACGCTGTGAGCTCCGAACACAGTGCACTGGCGAGGCCGAGAACGTCCGCCATGATTTCACCGCGCGGAAGTTGGAGGACAAGGGCAGACACAAAATTACCCCTACAGAGTCACAAACGTTCAGTTATCCGCGTGAGGGTGGCTTAATGAGCCGGTTCAACTCGACGGGATGCAGGACGGAAGGAAACGATTCTGAGTCGGCGAGGACGAGGTCACCGGTCAAGTTCCGCCCTGGACGTGATGCGTGACGACGCGTACGGTGGCGGGTGACACAGTGTGACACGCCGTGATATGTGAGGCAGACGCGACGCGTTGGCGCGCAAACCTGACGCGAACTCGACGCAAGGCACCGCACCGATCCTCTGTCACCTCCACGACGACGACGACGACCGCCCCCATCATGGTTCGCGTACCGCTTGCGCAAAGGCCTCGAGATCTTGTGTACTTCTTGTTCTTTGCTGTACGTCTGCTGCCATCTCAATCCTGAGGCCTGAGCTTCCCAGTGGTAACTTTGCACGGTAGATTCACTTGCCCGCAACATTCTTGATCGACCTTCAAGCACTATACCCCAAACAATGGGTGCCGAGCATCCTCTCCAACCTCCCCAAGTTTTACGTTGAGATGTCCAGCGACCCGCTCATTGGCAGCGCAATGGGGTACTTTGGCCAGAGTCATCTGGACGCGTATACTTGGTTCAGAAGTTTCCTCTTGGTCGAAGCGTGCGTGCCCATTCGAGATAAGAGAAGTGTCCTATGACCTGACTGTCCTCATCCTGTAGATTTTTCCAGGTCCCAGTGTTCGTCATTGGCCTTCTTGGTCTATGGAAAGGTACGTCCCGTCATGTCACCGGAGAGCTCGTGCTTGATTACGATGGTACTGCCCCTACGCTAGGCTCTCGCTCGATCTATGTTTTGCTCCTCGTCTATGCTGCCTCGACGACCACAACGACCCTGCCCTGCCTCTCCGTCATCCTTTCGACACCCATCTCCGCGACTCCACTGAACATGGCCGAGGTCGCGTCCGCCACGGCCAAAACGGTAGCCCTCACCCTTACGGCCGAACAGCGTCTGCTTCTATTGTCCAGTTACATCCCATTCTTTCTCGTACCTCTCGTGATGACCGTCGACATGGCTTCCCGGGTCCAAAGTCTGGTAGCTGCGAGCACAGCGCCTCCGAAGACGGTTAAGCGGGATTAAATACCTGCCGGCGTTGTCTGTTCACCATTTTACCCGCTGCTTGGGTTCCAAGGGTAGATATGTTCGTATCAAAGATGGACTCTCGCATAACGGACGCTGACGCTGATAAGTTTTCAGATAATAATGTCTTTTCTATCGCTGCCCGTACGACTACTCGTATGCAACACATATTGATTCGGGTCTTCTAAAGCCTTTATTGGCGCTAGCGCATGGCTTGTACTACGGTACGATGTCAGTTTTGGATCAAGATCCAAGACCGCTCACACTTTGATGCGTTTACACAAGTACAGCATTTTGCATCTTGCGCCTGGTACTCTATCCACCGCTCAATATGATTGTTATAGGTGGTCATTGATGCATCACTGAAGCCTGTGACGAAAGTGCTGGACATCATGTCTTCAGAATCACAGTAGTTGACAAACGCTCTTCTCCTGTCCTCCTTGTCGCTCACTCGTTCCCACTATTTTGACCATGTCGATACCTCCTGGAGTGCAGTATGTGGATAGCGGCGACTCTCGTATCATCTTCACCATCCCTCCGAACGCCACCATTCCTGCCCTTAGCGCGAGAGCTCATAAATGGCTGGACGGCACTCAGTTCTTTCAGGACAGCGTCAAAACGGTTACGGTTCCCGGAACAACCTTTGAGCTCTCTTTCTACGGTACGCCCTGCTCTTATATCTGTGCGCTGCATGACTCACATTAATTTTATAACGTTTAGGCCGGTACGTCGAAGTCTTCGGGGTGACTTTTCCCCTGAACGCCACGACAGAACCCCCGCAAGCTCTTTATTCCATCGACAATTCTACCCCCTTCATTGCCGACGTTCCGACTGTCCTCGGTAATACGACCACGGACGTTGGCGTTGGGTTCTACAGGACAGACTCGTTACCGCTCGCGTATCACCTCCTTGTTATCAATGTGACCAACGCTTCGGGAGACTCCCCCTACCTGCTCGACTATGTCGCGTTCGACGCATACGACGTTTTCCCCTCTCCTAGCTCCCCTCCCACATCCACATCCCCTGACCCTTCAATCACTTCAACGGCGTCCTCCCTTATGCCAACTGGTACGACAGTCGCGGTCTCGGGGTCTACCGGCACACGCACGATTTCAGCAGGCATCTCAGCGGGTGTCGCTCTCGGAGGCGCAGCTCTGCTCTTCGTTGTGCTCGGGAGTTGCATCTGGCTATGGAGACGGTCCGCGCGCTCTCGAAGATCACAACACGAAGACGCAGAACAGAGTGGCCCTCTCCGTGCGTGTATGTCCTTCTATCACTCGTACCGTGAAGATGCTAACAATCCGCGGCAGTCGATGTCAGCCTATATCCGAGGGTGGTACCTGCCCAAGCGCATGTGCTCTCGTCCAGCGCTGACGCGAGTTTCAATTCCCCCTTCACGCTCGACTCGTACGTCAGACCAGCTTCCACGGAGTCCGCGGGCAGCCAGCGCGTCCCTCCCGAAGAACACATGCTGAGGACGAACGTTTCCGTCATCGCTTCGGACAGCAAGAGCGCTCGTCCATCAGCATCGATCCTTCGCTCGGGCGCCGCGGAAGGGTCTTCTGTGGTTACGCAGATGTCCAGTCTAGGGGGCGTGGTCTCCTTCGATGGCAAAGAATCGCGTCTCACCTCCGGCGCGTTGCCAGAGAGTGAGCCGGCTTCTAGCGCACGGGTCGACGCCCATGTAGGAAGCGAAGTTGCGCGCCCATTTCCTCCTCCGTATGCGCCGTAAGTGCGTGTAGGGGTGCGCCTGTCTCCGGGGGCGCAAGCAGGTATGACTATCGTGATCGTCCGTACATGGTGGGATCTCTAATGCCCTCTGCTGCCAGGGCCAATACAATTCGCTAGCGCGGGAAGGGGTTTCGGACCGGGATTACGACGTAATGCGAATGTACTTCGCACCAGAGGTAGGTCGGCATTCGATCCTCAGCTTCTCCTGTATAACCTCGTCTTGTCCAGGTTTTAGATGATCATTTTCCTAACATAGCCCTGTAGTATCCTCAGTGAACGGTACGTACATTCGTAAGGGGCTTTGCCACTTGACGTGGTACTTCGCTTCGAGCACGCGGGAGAACCGAAGCATCGTTTACGTCCTCGTGTTGATCCAGGCTCCGGGCGGTGTGCAACATACGCCCACAAACCCCTATATCGGGTCGCCGACGAGCATTCGTCCTCATGGACAGGCACCTTCATGGCCTCTTTCCGGGCCAGAAGTACGCATCGCTTTCACGCACCGATGCAGCCCGTGCGGACGATGACCCTTGATAGATTCCAGGCTGAGCCAGCGAAGTCGTGTGCAGGCCTTCCGCGTCCCCTCACGCACCTTTCCCCACTGCACGTCTCTCGCTCCCAGACGATGTATCCCGCCGACCCCACCTTCGTAGACAACTTCGACGCCAGAATCGTCTACGCTGACCCTTCGGAAGCTCGACAGGACGACGAACTGTCTCCAGATGCTCATTCTCAGGTGGACGCCATCTCCGGGGTCTATAATGGTACGCTTTCCATCACCACCGACCCCGGCATGAGCTTCCAGTTCATCTTCTACGGTGCGTCTCAACGTTCGGAACATACCTGCGGCCGATCATGCTGATGACGAGCGCATACAGGGCGTATACTACAGATATACGGCGCGGCGCTTCCGTGGCTGTCCGGCCAACAGCCCTGGGCGGAGTACTCCATCGACGACGACGGCGAGACCCAGCCTGTCCCGAGCGCACCCTCTCCGTTGGGGAATGTGCCGCTCTACGTCAGCACGCTCCTCCCCCTCGCGTTTCACACGCTCACCGTCAAAGTCATCAATGCGACCTCCGATGGGCCCTTCCTGTTCGACTACATCGCCTTTGGCTTCCTGGACGCATCTGAAGACCCCAACCCGCAGAATTCGAGTTCGACATCTGTTGCATCGCAGAGCTCCATAACGTCATTGTCCTCTACGTCTGCGGTTTCTATTACTGCGAGCGCGACGAGTGCGACGGGAAGTTCACCAACATCTGCGGCGCCCCTCGTGACTTCTCCCCATGTGGATTCCTTTCCGGTCGCTCCAGTCATCGGTGCCATAGTGGGCGGTATCGTGGCGTTGGTTGCGGTAGCCGCGGTGATCCTGTGTGTTTGGAAGCGCATGAGCAGGCGCAGGGACGTCGATCGCGAATCGATCGAGCCGGCGAGCGAACCTGGTAAGTCCGAGACACGTCGCCTGTCAAGCGTCCAGACAGAAGAGTGCACTTACATTCTCTGATCGTGTAGGGCCTCCAGAATTCGCACCCACGACCAAATATGTGGAGAAAGGATCCTCGCGCGCACCTTCTCCATACGTCCGGCGTACGAACCCGCTTTCATGGGCCGAGCGGCAGGATTCCGGTGTTACGTGGCCTGGTCCCTCGGGATCCCCGTCATCGCACCGCTCTGCCTTGCCCCGGGAGAAAGCAGCGTTTAGTGTTGTCGAGAGCGACGCACGCTCTTCAGGATACGATTCTGGCCAGCATCAATGGGATGCCCAATCCCATGCCGACATCACTCTGGGACCCGATGTGAGGGGCAGACCGGCAACGCCTGGCCACCTGGTATCCTTGGAGAGGGCACAAGGATCCACTGGATTTGTGGGGCCGTCGCCCTCCCAACCTCCGGATGCGATTGCTCAAGCAGGCGCCCATACTCCTGGCGTATATGCGGGCGAGTTGTTTACACAAGTGATAGCGCAGGACCGAGTTCCTCCGCCATACTCTCCGTAAGCGTAGTGGGCTTTGGGCCCATTATGACAGTCTTCTCGCGCATTCTTCGTTCCTTGTAGTAGTTTTACTACTGTATGCTTACACGTGAAGGCATGATCGTACTCGGGGAAGCGCCGAATAGTAGTACTACGTTGTGCAAGCTCTCGCCGAGAAAGCCGAGGCGCGCATATGGTCCCAATCGGGCTTGCACCGACTGATTGAAATCGATCTCTGACTTCTGCGTCTCCTCCTGCCTCTTGACTTCATCAGGCTTTCTGCGCTCTCCAGACATCTTCTGCACTAGGCTTTACTCCGGAGGTGCTATGCAAGATACATACCCTTCTGGCATTACCGCATCCTTACTCCGTTATCTGCGTCGCTGCTGCCCATATCATCCGAAGCTAATAAAGCCGAAGTCGAATACACGTCCTCAGCAAGTCTTCGCGAAGATCTCCTCCCATATATGCTACTATCAAGTAAGAGGTATGGTGCACATCATCAGTTTATACCTGCTTAGCTCTTAGTTTGAGCCCGGATATCATACTTTTGGAAGATTGCTGCGCTATGGGTTACGAACAAAACTGGACTGGTTTTGGACCAACCCATAGCCCGGCAATGGATCGCCTGCATATGGAATCCCAGCTTCATCGGGGTGCTGAGTCGTAGGATACCGGTGGTTTGGATAGGACTATTGCACGGGTGTCATGCCGGAATAGACATCTTCGATGTCTTCCGAATCCGCGTTGCGCGGCAGCGTACCTGGCGGCGCCCACAGTAACAACGTGGTCTCGCTTGTACGGTGGGCTCGCAGCTCGACCGCTTTCAAGCTTGAACGGGACCGAGCATTGCGTGCCTGCACGGCCATACGCGGCGAGCATTGACGTCTGGGGGCAACACGCGGCTCCTGATATTTGGAAGTTTACATGCCGGGTGCGGCGCTGGATGAATGCGTTACTGACCTGCAGCGCGTGCGGTCCACAGCGGCGAAGGAGGAGCCAGCGGCGGTCTCTGCACGTCGATGGCGTTGTGGGAGAGGTCGCTATGTGCTCTTCGACGATCGCGAGGCGCATTTTAGCCGCGAAGGGGTGCTGCAGCACTGATGGCCAAACTTCGCCTCAGCCGTAGTCTGTCGCTCGAACCCTGAGGGCCTGTGGTTCAGCAGGAGAGACCCTCAAGTTGACGCGCTTGCATGCTCTCAGCCTAACATGAGTAACTCGGAGCTCATTGCTCCGCTATGGGTTGTCATCAAAATGCTGTTTTTGATGTTGACGCATAGCTTGGCAACGGGCACCAGCACATGGTACACGCCTCATTCGGTGTCGTATGATATGGTACCCTTTCAAATGTACGACCACACGACGGGGAACACGCACATACGGCAACAGGTGCCATGTCCACTGACCCAATTTCGAGAAAGAAGAGCCTCTCATTTTGGGGACAACTGGGCTCGCCACCAGCGTATCGCCAAGTTTGTGAATGGCTCGATTCGACTCTACCACGGACAGATCACCGGGCATGGAGGTGTGGTCTCCCGGTAGCGATGTGCTCGCGCCCGCTGCCGCGTTGGGCTGGCAGGAGAATGATACCGCTCCGCGAGGGCTTACGGGCCAGTGCAATGTCACGGTAGCCGCAGCGATTTCTGTACTATGTGGAAGCGCATGAACAGGCCCGTCGATCGCGAATCGATCTTTGAGTACGACGTCCGCAAGGTATGATATTATGTTCCTTGATCACAGCAAGCCCTCATTAGCTGCTGGTCCGCGCTCGGTGCTCATTGCTCAGCTATTGGCTGGCTTAAGAACTTGAATGTTCTCAACGCATCTAAACACTCGTTAACTAGTACACATCGTGTCGGGGGCGACTTATGCTGCACCGCTGACAGACTCGCAAAGCGTTGTATCGCACTGCAGTAGGAGCGTCAAATATCACACTTAAAGGCCCTAAAGAGATGCGAGAAGATGCGCAACTCCACAGAGGCTACGGGTTGGCTTGGAGTTGTGCAAGCCGGGAGATCAGTTAAACATCGGGTGGTTGACCGCCTGCAGATATACCATGGGCTTACAGTGCGCACGGTACCAGTGGCGTACCTATACGGCCAATGGGTGCATCACTACATGTGTTTTTCGAACATGTCGAACGCCGCCTAACATGGCCCAAGATACGAGCATAAGTAGTAGTCGCTAGCTCTAGGACGAAGCCGCTGCGCGAGAGTGGCGCCGAGGGACAGTGCGAGCGCGAAGTCTTCGAAATTGATATGGTTCAAGCCTGTGTAGCCCGCGATTTGCTGCGGGAAAGTCGAGCATTGTAATCAACGTAGTACAGGGTGGAAAGAGAGAGAATAGAGTTTATGTTCGAACGTTCAAGCGTGAAAGTCAATGCAGTCGGGCCTCTCCGGGTGTTGCCGCTCGAGACGCTCATGGTCCCGATCGGGCTTGCAGGAAGGTTATGCATTGATTCGGAGATCGATCTCTGACTTTGCGTCGAGTCCTTCTGACCTCCTCCCGTCTTGCGTTCGCTGGACATCTGTTGCATCACTTACTACAGAAAGCTATTCAGCACACTTCTAGAGACATCGCGTTCCTACTCAGCTCTCTTTGTCGCTGGTGCTGCTGCCCAAACGGTCCGAAGCTGATGAAGCTGAAGTCAAATGCACGTCGCCCACAGCAAGTCTTGAGGCCTTCAGGGAGCTCTCCTTCCGCGTCGTATGGTCCCAGGTGAGAGGTATGGTGCACGTCCCTAGAAAGCTATGACTGCTTCTAGACCGACCTATAACTCGGCAATGGAGTACCTGCACATGGAAGCGACGGTATGGCTGCAGAGGATGAATACGGTGCGAGATTATGCTCCTCCATCATGGCATATTTCCACCAGGAATGTGTTTCCAGCATCTCCAGCTCGAGCTTACCCTCGAACCTTTGAACCTCATTGCTTAGCTATGGGTTACTTTTAAATAACAATTTAAGACTAGCCCATAGCTCAGCAACGAAATCCATGCATGGGTCCACGCGTTCGTTAGATATCGCAGTCGCTCAATTTGCACTGGTGGATGCTCACCGTGCTTCGACGTGGAGCAGGAAGCTAGCCAGCGCACGATGCCATACATGGACACCGAAGACGGCCGCCATCGCCCGGGAGATTGAACTCGCGAGAGGGACAGGGGTGTCACACTGGGGCAGTGGAATATATAGCAGATAGATTCATGTCAACGTTTTGAAATATAGTCTGATGGACTCGCGGAGCAGCATTCGAGAAGAGCTATGGGTTACTTAGATAACGACGAGAAACGTCAACACTGAAGTTGATCACTCTCGTCTGAAGCCCTTGTAAGCCGGATGGTCGTCCGAGTAGAAGGGCCTTGGGGGAATGCACGCAGCGATGAGTCGCGCGCCGATGAGTGGGCTTCCTGGGCGGGGTAGCTGTCGAGGCCTCCGGGGCTGTAGCAGCCCTGCGGCTGGTAGAGTGGGCTCGCAGACAGGGTATGTCCAAGCGCGAAGGACGCCTTGGGGCGTGCCATGACCGGACCATCGTGGACGACCATCGACTGAGCACGGAGCGCGCCCCCCTGATATTGGGGCGTCTGCGCCGAGCGCGACGGCGCGGGATGAGCGCGCGGACCGCTCTCTAGTGCGGTCAACAGAGGCAGATCGCGAACCGGCTGTGGTCCCCGCGCGGAAATCGCGTTATGGGGAAACTCGCCGTGTGATCCTCGACGATCGTAAGGCAACGAGCTTTGGGCCACGGAGGGATGCTCGCGCTGGCGTCCGGCGGGAACGTCCACGACGTGTTGGTCTTGATTGCCCTCCAAATCGTGGGGGTCGTGCGCATGAATACGCGATGCAGACGAATGAGTAACGCGCGCATCTTGGGAATACAGCTCCGCGCCTGAGTAGCTGAGTCCCGTCGGGTCCGATGCAAATATGCCGGTGTCGGGCGCGTAGACCTGTTCCTGCTGCGAGAAGATCTCCAGGTCGATGTCGCTAGAAGGGCGCCAGTACACAGTGGCGTGGAACTCGTCGGGTTGGGCAAGTATCCACCGGAGTGGCCTCGGACTCGACGGCCGCTCTGCGTTTGGGGAGGGACAAGCCTCCTGCCACTGGATCGCGTAGGGCTGTATGGACGTCTGCGCGGGCGCAGGCTCGGTGTATGTGTGCTCAGGGCCCACGTTGACCGCTTCATTAAGCCCGTAGGCCGCATCGGTGGCGGTAACGGACGGCGCGGTGTGTGCGCGGTGGGCGCAACGCAACAGGGCGTCCGGGTGCACGTGCTTGGGCTGGTATGCGCAGATGGGGCACGGTAGATCGTGGTACCTGATATCCTCGACGCGGGCGTGTTCGCGCTGCTCCGAAGGCTGAGAGGTCCTGGACGGAGATGTGAAGCGTGTCGGATCTGCCCGGATGAGGTCGTCCGATCGCGCGTGCGCAGCCTGCTTCGTGAAAGTGGGCACACGGATGTAATGTACCGCTTCTTGAACAGCGGCGCCACGTTCGGGTTGCGGCGATGGGAAAGGTTGGCCGTTGTAGCCGCGCAAGTCGATGTCGTGCCGCTCGAGGGTGCGCATCTGGACAGCGTCGCCTCCCGGCTCTTGGTGGCGAGCGCCGCCACCAGGGGCGAGCGTACGCCGGATGGAGGGGTCCCGCTCGTTCTCGTCCAGGAAGCGCGGGCGTGGGCGAGAATACGGCTGAAAGCGGGAGTCGCGGGCGCGAGCGTCATAGCGGCGACTCGGAGCACTGATCGCCTGCTTCTCCCCAACGGGCGCTGACTCGGACGACGTCGCCCTCTGCGACTGATCTGGGAGAACGTATGGCCGCTCTTGAAGGCGTCCATGCGAGCGTGGCGGCGAGTCGTACTGGCTGGGCTGGGCAGACGGTGGCGCGCCGGGGTGGGTGTCGGTGGTGGCGTGGGCATGGAGTGCGGGATATGCAGGAGCGTATATCGCCTGGACTGGGGCAGCGGGGGCTCCGAGCGGAGCAGAGTCAGGCCACCGTTCGAATGGACGATCAGGTGGGGAAACAAGACGACCGCGGTTCGATGAAGGGTATTGATGGACGCCACCGCCCTGCAGATGCGATGGTTAGAGAAGGTAAAGAGCACTGGCTCCGGACTTGCCTCTGCTTGCCCCGGTTCCTGGGCAGGGACAGGCACGCGTGTCAAGTCCACGTCGCGAACATCCTGCAACAAGCCTAGACGCATAAATCTGACATTAGTGTCGACTTTCCTGTTGATATACACTGGGTTGGAATCCAAAGTGACGACGATCTTCGATTTAATAACAGACACATGAGATGATAATGAGTAGGTATGTCCTGTACACGCAGCAGGCGGCGACATACCGACTCCGTAGTCGACCCGAGCAGCTTTTTGATACCCTTTGGCACTGGTCTCTGTGTCCTAACAGTCGCGAGTCGGCACGGGTTGGTAAGACCTGTATCTGTAGAAGGCGACGGCGATATCCTTCGCGGCATGTCGTGGAGGTGTCGGTCTGCGCGCTCGGATGAGAGGGGGGTAGTGACAAGGTCGCGCTCTAGCGGGGGATCAGGGAGGCAGAGACGCGACGCCCTTGTACTTCAACCACCTGGCGGAGTTGTGTTTTAGTCCCGAGAAGCCACGGCATCAGGGCGTGCTCCGCGGATTCGCACACCGCACCGCTCCCGCGCGTGCATCAGACCCCAGAGAATCTTCGCTCTTCCTGGATACCACAGCCCGAACAGCCACGGAACGCGAGGCAGAGGCGATTGAATGGGCTGGTGGGCACGTTCCGAGTACACAAAACGAGCTTACTTGGGAACCCCGCCTAGGCCTCCTCTTGTCGCCTCGGGCTGATATGATCCCGGAAATCATTCGCTTGAACATAATGAATGGCATCAGCGCAATCTAGAGTGCTGTAACTACAGGATATGTTGTGGCGGGAGGCCTTCACTCTTGTGGAATGGGTCGGGCTGTGGCGTACGCTGACGTTCCGAGGGCTCTTGCGATGCGCGACTGCTCGGAAAGTTTCAAAAGTCGTAAATGACACCAGAATGCATATGTACAGATAGACTCACCACAGAGAACTGCCTTGGTTAAGGATGCGGCTCCGAGTCAGAGCCTCTGCGTACAGGCGTTAGCACGCATGGGGCTAATGGTCAGCTCGGAAACGGCAAGTCAATGAAATTAGTCGCTACTCGAGCTTCTTCAGGGCCATCAACTCCACGATATAACTGAGGCCTCCTGGCGGATGCTTCTGGCAGCATATGACTTACCTGGTTGACGAAGTCCAGGATTTGGAGTAGATATTGTGAGCGAGCAGGTGTCTGAGCAGTTCGGCGAGCGAAGAGCGGACATGAAAGTTCCAGTATTCGCAGAAATACTGCCAAGCCACATGAGATTCGGTCGGCCCGTCCAGTGTAAGTGGGGGTCAAGTCGAGGTTGAACAAGGACTGCCCAAATCGGAGAGTTGCGTGCGAGAGTATGGGCGTCTGTCATTCTTCCGAGTCCCCAGATCTAGTTTCGTCCTCGGAACGTGGTGCTGCATGTATACGTTCCACTGGCTCTGTTAAAGGCAGTATTTTTCAGAAAAGCCTTGCAACTGGAGCGCGTGCGCAGAGTCGCAAGTACGACGAGTGGCAAGCAACTTTGGGAGCGAGCGGGGGCATTTCGACGGCGCGCGCCGAACTGATACATACCGGAAGGTCCCGAAACAGGCGAGATCGTCATCGGCGGGCAGGCCGGATTAGCATCGATCAGCTACTCTCTTTCGCCCTTCGTTCCCTACTGCGGTGGACACTCCGCTGATCAAACGGTCGCGACACTCACTGTTTGCTCTTCCAATTGCATAGCGCAGAACATCCTTGTCTTGATCGTGCCCTACTCATCTGCAAACTCTCGGTGCTTCTTCGCCAAGCTATGGGTTACTCGAAATTATGGCAGTTTCGAGGTATACCCATAGCTCGACCCTGAGGCCACCGTACACGGTACAACATGCCTATCAAGGCATCAACTAGCACGACATTGTCAGAACCAATCTATTCGACAGTGAGTACTCTTCACTCTCGCTCTTTTGCTCTCCAGACGTCGACTCTGTTAAACCAACTTCCATCGCTGTTCTCACTTCGTCATTCTCTTGATCATGCCCTACCCTGGCTACCCATATACAGTCATTCGGTGCTTCTCTGCCAAGCTATGGGTTAGTTTCGAACTATTGGCACTTTCGAAATTTACCCATAGCTCGATAATGGGGCTACCATACACGGGATAACATGAGTGCCGGTTTGCATGATGCCGTTGGAATCAATCAATGCTACGGTCATTTGATACATGTAAGACAGCGTGAAGGGTGATCTCACGACATATATTTCATCATTGGGATCTCAGAAACAGGACGGGAGTGGATAGTGCGGGGGTGAATATGGGTTAGTAGCGAACTACTGGTGATGCGGACTGATGCACGGAAGATCTGCGCTAAGCCTCATCGCCTCCAGGTGCGGGACATTTGAACGTTGAGCGGAAGTGCCTTGTGCGTACGCATACGACGACGAGCCAGTCGCAGACAGATCTTGTTGCCTATCGCAGTATGTGGCGGCGCCCTCGGCATTTATGTAGCCCCACTCGTTGAGCGGGCTCGTGGCAGGAGCACGGTCGGCCGACCATGTCGCGGCTGGACCGTTGCAGGTGACGCCTCTGGGATATAGTACAGGCCCTTGGTAGTGGACTTGCAGTGAGTGCGGCATTGCGTGAGCAAGTGTCGGATCGATATCAGCAGCTCGTGCTCCCCGTAGAATGGCCTCGCGAGCCAGTGCTGGCCCTGGCGGTGAGTGGCCGTGTTGTACGATAACTGGCCGTATGCTCGAGCATCGTGATGCGAAAAGCCCCCGACCGCGAAGGCGTGTTCGCGTCGACGTTCAGTATGCACGTCCGAGACGAGGCGCGAGCTTGGATACCCCAAGAAGCGAGGGTCGTACGACTGGGTGTGCAATGCAGTCGGATGAGGAACACGCGCGCCCTGTGCATAATAAAGGTCCGCGCCCGAGGAGCTGTTTCCTGCCGGCTGTTCCGGTGCCAATAATCCGGTGTCGCGGTTGGGCATCCACCATCCCTGCTGTGAGAAGGCCTCGCGCATGTTGTCGCTGAAAGGTTGACCATAGGCAGTGGCCAGGTTCAGGACGTTCGCGGGCGACGTGTCGAGTTCCGCTTGCGTGGACGCGAACTGGTTGGTATTCTGCGGGAGAAGTGCGGACGGAACGGACACAGCTTGATGCTGATGTGCTGAAAGCTGGATAGGTATAGGCTCAGGGACGGTGGGGGCATGCATGTTGACAAGTGCACCAAGCTCGTAGGGGTCCTCGACGGCCGTGATAGACGATCCCGAGGACGAAGACGGAGAGCCGATATAGTGTGGCGCAGCATCCGGGCGCATGATGTCGTTGTACGTTTGGTACAACGTCGCGGTCGCCGTGGGAAGGCTTAGTGTACCATAGGACGCGGCGTCGTGCTTGACGCGAGCGTACACTGTGTGCTGTTCCGAAGGACGCGAAGTCGCGTGCGTCGATGTAAGGGGCGTCTGATCCTCCCGAACGAGGACAGGTGGTGGCGCGCGGGTACAAAAGCGCGTAGCCTCCGAGAAAGAGATGTGTTGGCGACGATCACCCATGTCCCAAAGAGTCGCCCCGAGGTGAAGGTCCTGGGGTGGGCAGGGGCGAACGTCATAGCCGCGCTGCTCGGTGTCGTGCTCCTGGGGGTCATACATGCTGAGAACATCATCCGCCGCCGCGTTTCTGGGGTAAGTATCACCGCCCAGAGCAACAGCACGCGCAGAATGATTTAGGTCGTTTTCCTTGGTTATGCGCGGGTTTTGGAGGGGACCATTCGAGAGCCCGCGAGCGGCATCGCGGTGGTGGTAAGCAGTGTCATCGTGGTGGCGAGCAGACACCTGCGACTCAGTGGGTGCCAATGTCGCGTCCTGTGACTGAGGCAGGCGTGGGTATGACCATCCGAGGACGGCTCCGTGCGAGGGCGGCGGTTGGTAGTTGGCCGGGTGGACGAACGAAGGTGCGCAGGAGCTGATGCCAGTGGTGGCGCGCGAGAAAAGGGCGGCGTACCCACGATGTTCGATATCCGCATTGCCTCGGATAGAGCTGTTGATCGTAGTCTCGGGCCGCTGAGCAGATGAAGGTGCAGGGTTCGAAGGAGGGCGAGTGCTTCTCGAAGGGCGTTTTCTCTTAACACCACCTCCCTGCAGGCGCGATGGTCAGAAGGGCACAAACGGTAAGTGGCTGAACTTACAGGTGGGGCGTCATGTCTGGTCCCGGCACTGGCATCTAAAGTATGCCCTCGTTTACGCTGTGGGGTCTTGGTCTTGAGTCCGCTTTTCATCGTGGCCTTGGCTCGCAGGCGTTTCTTCTAACATCCCGATTAGACATTGTCTTTCGATGCCGCCCGGCAGCTTAGCTCAAGAACTCACAGCTGGTTGTGGCGGTTTTCCCGGTTTCCAGTTCGCTACCTGAAAAATATTGACTTGGCTCAAGATGTCCTACAGCACAGCTCCAGTGTCAGCGCCGTCACGTCATCCTGAGCATCAGTAGCCTGAATACGTGCCTTGACCATCTTCTGGTGCTTCTTACTGCGAGCAACCCACGGGCTGTCCTCAGGGTTGCACTTGATACGGCCTGACATCATGTAGCGAGCCTCCGGAGGTTACAGTGTCGAGCGTAAGGAATAGAGTATTGGGAGGCTGGCCTAGATAGATGTGGGAGGAAAAGTACGCAGCAGCTCAGCTTTGTGCGTTTCCAACCACCTGTCGGAGTTGATCTGTGAAGGTGAGAAGACACAGCATCAGGGGCACGCCCCGAATATTCGCACACCGCGCTCCCTGCACATGCATCAAGAGGGCTAGGCTAGAAGACCGTCGCAAGTGTGCGGTCCCGGGCGTGAGAGACACAAATAAATGCTTGCAGCGTGGGCCATGATGCACGCGCGAGCTCGTTCCGAGTATACGCAACAGGGCAGCTCAAGCGGTACACAGGAACACGCGGACACGCCACCTGGCCGCCTAAGAACCGCAAAACATAGCGGGAGCTGAACGAGCTCACTGCCCTCTCACAACGCGGTCACCCGGAGCCCATCATAGAATGCGCGCGGGGTAGACTCGGAGGCCTCGAGGCGCAACTATCGCTGGATTGGTGTTTTCGGTGGGTTTGGAAGGAGAACCTGTGCTCTTGGGATGGCTAACGTCATTCTTCCCTTCCAGGCACTGCTAGCTGTGATTGAAAGAGAAGCTTACCGCTATCAGCCTGCGTAGGTGCCAGCTCCGGCTGTAGCGAGACCTTGCCCCATCCCTGTCCGCGCGATTGAAGGGGAGCCGTTGACAGCAGCTAATACTTCTTTGGATACGCGAAGATTCCAGCCTAACATCGAAGATGTATCGCGGTGTGAACACGCTTGCACTGCGAGGCATTCGGCACTGTCGAACGACGTGGCGATGCCCTTCGGCGGAGGCTGGAATGGGCGACGTTGGATTCGCACGATGCGCAAGGAACCGTAGGGCACGAGGATGTGTAATGGCAGCTCATGTGGGTTCCGCGGCGAGGGAGCGGTCGCAGATCGTACACATGCAATCTGTCGCCAGGGCGTAGCGGTGGACGGCGGGCGTCCCCAACCAGAGTTCAGACCCGTTGGCGTGGTGGGAGTAGGCGAACAACAAGGTTTTCCATTTGGGGAACCTGTTCGGTATCGTTGTTGAGCGCGGGCGCTGCCGTTGCCGCGGCGCCTCTTCAAGCAATCTACCTGCCTTGTGGAGACATATTTGAACACATCTTAGAGCGCGTACACTGCTGCGCGGGCAAAGAGCTAGTGGGTGGCTGCAGACAGTGGTATGTATGTAATAGAAGTTGAACGACGTGTTCAAGAGTACGCCGGAAAGTGCCGAGATGCGTAGCCAGATCGGGATCGATCTCCTTCGATCTCTAACTTTACTGTGCCGCTGCGACTCTCACCATAGCTCACCATCCTCCTGGCTTCCTTACACTCCCTGACTGTGAGGATCGCTGCGCCAGCCTCGCTCTGGGGACGCCCTTTCAGGCTAAACATCTGAATTATAGGGTGCCATGTTCCACTTGCGCTGGTGCCGCTTCCTCGATAACCCTCAGGACCCCCATCCGCGATGACAAAACGCAGCCTGTACCAATCCGTTTAATGTCGGATTATTCTCTTTGATGGGTCATTTCCCGGGGAATGAAAAGGTGCGAAATCATGCTCCGTCATCACTGCATGTTCCCGCCGTTTCCTGGCTCAATCGCATCTCTCAATCCTGGTACTTGTTGCTAAGCTATGGGTTGTTCTCAAGGATATACTCTCTTGAGAGACATCCATAGCTCAACAACCGAGTCATCATACACGTAGAAGACGTGTACATCCACAAGTTGCACTGGCGCTACTTCGTCGGAATCCCGTCCTTGGTGGGATGGTTTGAAAGGAATGACACGAGGCGAAATCATACTATGCCGTTACCGCCTGTTTCCGCCGGTGCGTGGCTTAAGCGCGTCTCTCAACCGTCCTCTGCGCTTTGTTGTCCAGATATGGGTGATTTTCGATTGTGTTACTCTTTCGAAATGTTCCCATAGCTCGATGATAGAGTCGCCATGTATACTCAACATACGGGATGCCAGAGCCAGGGCAATCGCGCGTACGGCGACAAGCCGTCTGCGGACGGGCTATGTTCCGCAACAGAGTAGCTGACCACGCCCTAGTATGATCATAGCCCCGCTCGTAAAATGGGCTCTCGGAGGAATCAGGGCGAGGATGGTGCGCGCCGGGCATTATGTCATCTGTGGAACACTGTCATCGGTGAGCATCTTGATAGTAGGTAATCTGCGCCAGACCAGCGTGCAAATCGCCGTCTTGTCTAGCCCACACCGAGAGCCGACGAACTAGCACGACAGCGGGTCCAACAACACGCCAGAAGGTACCGAGATGCGTGACGAGCAGGAAGGTCATGTATTGGTCTTGATCGATATCTGACTGCGTTTCCATGTTGTCTCTGCTAAGCTATGAGTTTAGTTACTGAATGTTGATATTCAGTATCCGACACATAGCTCAGCAGTGCAGCTACTATGCATGGCACTTCACGCCCGAGCCGATCGCCTCAAGGTGTGTGCCGTTGAGCCGCTAAATAAAAGCCAGTGTGTACGATGACATATCTGCGGACGGACCATCTTCTAGGACAATGTAGCCGACAGCGCCCACGGTACCGCTGCAGCTCCGCCCGTCTCATTCACGATCTTTCGGTGCTCCCTTGCCGAGCTATGGGTAATGTTCAAACTTTCGTCACTTTCGAAACATACTCATAGCTTGGCAAGGGAGCCACCACACATGGGATGACACGTCTATTAGACCACTGGCTTCCACATTGCGATTGGTATAAATCAAATACTATAGTAAGTCAAAGTAGAACAACGTCCAGCTTGATCTCTCGCTAGACTGGGGAGCGTCACAATCGGGATCATACTAATACAGCCATCCCTACTCCAAGGAGACCTCGCGCGTTGTCGCTGAGAGGCTGGTTGAATGCCGAGGACGATGCTATAATACCGACCTGCGAGGAAGCGGCCCAGCGGGCCCAGTACTACACTGGAACGTGGCACACCGAAAGGTACCGAGATGCGTGGCGGGAACGAAGCTCGTGTATATCCACCATGATCAATCTCTGACTCCGTCAATTTGCGATCCCATATCAATCCTCTCTGCTACGCTATGAGTTCAGTTACTAAATTCTGACATTCAGTACCGAACCCATAGCTCAGCAGTGTAGCTACTATACAAGGGATCACACATCGGCGTAGAGACAGAAGGTGGTGTCGCTTTATCATTGCATCAAACCAGAAGCATTAGATGCAATATGGGCTTAGTGTAGCGTACGGGGAGAGTTGGAATGGAGCCGCGTAAAACTATGAGTTCATGTACTACTTCCGGACAGGAAAACACGGGTTGAGCTGCGAAACATCAATGCCCGCGTCGACCATCCGCGGGTGTGGGACGTTCAGCTGCTGGAGAACGAAGGAGCCTTGCGAGAATGCGTACGACGATGAGTCAGCCGCGTACGGATCGCCTTCCGGAACAAAGTAACTGACAACGCCCTCGGTGTTGTCGTAGCCCGCCTCGTAAGACGGGCTCGAGGTTACAGCAGGAACGAAATCGAACAGAGGCGGATACGCCATGGACGAGCTGTTGGGGTCTTCGGGGATCATCTTGGGATGATGCACGTCCTCTTGATATCGGGCCGTCTGTACTGGGTATACCGGCGCTGAATGGGTACGTAGATCGCCATCTCGTTCACTGGCCCACACCGGTGGCCCGCCAACCGGAGTCGAATTTAGCGAAAGGGCGGCGTCGTATGACAGCAGCTGGCTGGCGGGGTGTGCTCCCTGGCGATTGTGCAGTGACGGGCCCTCGACCACGAGGTCATGTTCGTGTTCACCTCTGGCAAGCAGACTAGAGACTTGTCGCGGGTCTGTGTCGCCAAAGAAACGAACGCCGTAGGGCTGAGCAAAAGAGGCAGCTCGGAGATGAGGATCGTGTGACTCGTAGCTCCGCTCGTGAAGGAGGTCGCCGACTAAAGGGCTCTGTTCGAGCGGTGCCGGATATACGTTGGGGGAGATCGATCCGGGATGAAGTGCGATCCTCAGATAGTGAGCCGCCTGCGCAAAGTCTTGAGCTCGAGCCGCCCGCGGGGACAGTGGGGGTTCGGCCGCGTCGTATGGGAGCTGTCGACGTGCTTCTTGCTGATTAGACGACGGTGAACGCTTGGCCATGAAGAATTGCTCGCGCTGATGTCCAGCTTGCAGGTCGGGAAATTGGGGCTCGATAGGATGGCCCTGAGCATCGTAATCCTGAGCGTACAAAGATGCGGATTGGGCGTCCTGCGGATAGCGATCCGTGGCGGAGTGATCGAGTGCCGGCTGCTCTGGTGTGAACGCTGCAGGAGCGTGGGTATGCATCTGCCATCCATGCTGCAAGTAGGCCTCGCGCGCGTTGTCGCTGAAGGGCTGATCGTACGCAGTGGCCCGATCTAGCAGGTCGACCGGCGAGGTGTTGAAGTCAGCGCGCGTGGACGGAAGCTGGTCAGGAATCGAGGGAAAACCTGCGGACGGGAAAGACACGGCTTGATGCTGATGTGCGAGATGTGCGAAGACGTGGTCGGGCGTAGGGGCAGTTGGAGCGGTCCAAGGGGCCGCATAGGCTGGCGCACCACTGAGTCCATAGGGCGCGTCGACGGGCAATTCCGAGTCGGAGGAAGAGGAAGAGCCGGCGTAGTGCGGCACGGTGTCCGAGCGCAGGATGTCGCTATACGTTGGGTTGTACGTCACGCCGAGGTGCGACGGGCCATAGTAATCGGCGGAGCGCGAGTCGATGCGGGCGTGAGCCGCGTGCTGTTCCGAAAGACGCGAAGCTCCGTACGTAGGCGCATGTTGCGCCTGATCCTCCCGAATGAAGGTCGGCGGCGAGACGCGCGTCGTAAGTCGGGAAGTATCCGTGTGGGCGAGGCCCCGATGGCTATCGACCGCTCCGTGAAAAGTCTCCTCATCGTTGAGTTGGTAGGATGGTTGAGGATGGATATTGTAACTGATCTTCTCAATCACGTCGCGCCCCTGGGAGTCGTACATTGGGGGCGAGTCATACATTTCAGGCCCTGAGTGGCGAGCACTGGCACCATCGCTTAAAGCCGCAGGATGAGCAAAAGGGTCACCATCGGTTTCATCGATGACGAGCGGGCTTGGATAGGGATAGTAAGGGAGGCCGTAGGCGGCGTCGCGGTGGTGGCCGCGAGCATAAACATGGTGGCGAGCAGACACTTGCCTGACGTCAACGGGCTCTGAAGATGCCGCAGCCTGCCACGACTGGGGTGGGAATCGATATGGTCGCTCCGAGATGGGTTCGCGCCAAGGTGGGGTCTGGTAGGTGGTCGTATAGATCGACGGGGGAGCGCCGGAGAGGATGCCGGTGGTGGCGCGAGAGGGATGGGCAGCGTACGCACGTTCTATGTTCTCCAAGGTCTCGCGTCCAACGGAGCCGTTGGCCGTCGGAGAAGGCCGCTGAGCATATAAATGTGCGGGGGGCGGGGAAGGAGGGCGAGTGCTTCGTGAGGGCCGTTTCTGCTTGCCGCCACCTCCCTGCAGGTGCGCGATGATCAGATGCGCAGCGTCAGGACCCATATGTGAACGTGTAAAACGTACAGCAGATGGATAACGCGCAGTTATATCCGGAGCGCGGCCTCGTTTACGCTGTGGCGTCGAATTCTTGGACAAACTTTTCATCGTCGCCCTCGCGCGCCACCATTTCTTGGTGTTGAAGGGGTCCTTGCTCTTGCCACCGTTCTCCGATGCGTGCCGCTTTTGCTCTTCAATAAGAGCGGTATTCTCATCCACGCGCTCTGAGTTTGCATCAAACGTAAAAAACCGCTTCAAAATCGCCACAATCACACGAACACACACATTAGTTTATGCTTCCTGGACATGGGGGACGGCAACGTACCGGTGTCGCCTCACTGCCGAGATTCTGGAGGGTCACTTGAAGCGTTTCCGGAACGCGTCTTGTTTTATGTTTGTCTGTGTTGACAGGCTCGATGCAATCCGAGGGAGAGCTGTTGAGCGACATGGAGTCGTCGGTAACGCAGTGAACGTCTGGGTGTTCGGCTGGAAGCGATATATCGAGGATGAGCTGAGGTGGGGGATCAGAACGAAGGAGACCCGATGCCCTTGTACTTCAACCACCTGGCGGAGTTGTGTTTTAGTCCCGAGAAGCCACAGCATCACAGGCGTGCTCCGCGAATTCGCACAGGGCACCGCTCCCGCACGTGTATCAGAATGCGGAGAAACTTCGTTCTTCCTGGACGCCTCGCGCGGATAGCCACCGAACGCGAGGCAGAGGCGATTGAATGGGCTGGTGGGCACGTTCCGAGTACACAAAATGAGCTTACTTGGGACTCCTGCCGAGACCACACCTTGCGCCTCAGATTGAGTTGATTCTAGACCAGCTTCGCCCACGTACCACGTTTCAAATTAGCGGGACCTCGTGCACTGTACTACAAGACATATGTAGCAGGGGGTCCTACTGCAGTGTGCACCGAACATTCCGAGAGCGCCGCACTCGGAGCTCAGTCACCCCCGTTAGCAAGACGCAGCGAGCCCAGGAAGCATACGTAAATGAACTTACCTCTGAGAAGTATCCTGATTAATGCTGTAAGCACCGGAATCGTATCGAACGACAGGTTGATAATCGACCAACATTGGCGAAAGTTTGGCGGACCACTGGCAGGAGCACTTACTATTAGCCGCCACCGGAGTGTCTACCGACCCATGAGGCCCACGAGCAAAATGAGACCGTCCTAGAGATTGCGTGTCCTTTTGCGCCCAAATGTCCTAGGGCGGAAGGCGCAGGATTCCAGGGCGAGCGTCATGAGCGACTCGGAGCAGACGACGGTCTGTCAGAATCCGGGCCCTAGTAGGCCGTAGTAGTACTTTCAGTGTGGCAAATTCAAAGCGGGTGTCAGTGTATAAACGCCATAAATCCTCAAATACTTCACTACATTATAATCGAGCCTAATGTTTTGTGAGCGGGCATGAAAGCGGTGAACAGCAAAGAGCAGCACCGTAGCTGGGAAGAGCAGAGAGTATATTATAGGCGCCCATTGTACCCAAGAAGTTCAACCTTCGGGCGCCCAAGATTAGGATCGGTGCAGATCGGCGAGATCTCCTCATCCAGATCTCTCACTCTCCAACTCTCTCGCCGATACCATTGCTAACGTTCTTCGACACCCTTTCTCATACAGGCTCTTTCTCTCTTACTGTGATCAGGGCCCAACGGACGACTCAGGGAGCCGATGTATAAGAAGGGAACGCCACCAGCACCCGCATCAAGTTTCCTCGACGGCTTGTCCTGGGCACCCGCGAGCGGTGACAGCGCTGTCCATCGGAGTACTATTGGTGCGCAGGAACTGTACTCGTTAGCTATGGGTAGTCATAGGTATAGCATGGTACACCTAGGATTACCCATAGATAATAAATACGGGATTCCAAATGACTCTCTCACGTTGCCCGAAACGGCCCCCTGTCCACACAGACCTGGACTATCACACCGGGGTATAAGTAGCGAGATAGTTGATTAGGGATGGTAACGCGATGATACTTTCCAGCTGTACAGAAGGGCCACTGTTGTTCCCGAGTGCTAACACTGGAACACCTACACCGGGAATGGGGAAAGGCGGAGAATATGGGTAGTCAGAGATATGCTCTCAGGCTAGCGAGGTCAGCGCGCCTGCCAACGAGGAATACGAGCTCTTCCGCATGGGGAACATGCAGTGGAGCATGTCGCGGTTGTTTGCGTACGGCCGAGCCACTGGCAAAGAACCGGTCGAAAACGCCAGATCAAACCTCTCCACTGGCATGCCGTGCATGGGAGAACCCAGCGGAGCCGGAGCCTGGTCGATGTCCTCGCAATAAAACTGCAGCCCTCGGCCAACGATTGCCGCGGACCGTGTGGGATTATGGGATGGTGCGCCACCGGGATCGACACTTTGTTCGGCTGTCCGCTGAGCACCAGCGCCGCGCGACGCGATCTCGTCGACTCGGTCGAGAGCGGCGGTGTTCGGGGGGAACAGCGCGTGAGGGTGTCCGCGGAGATTATATGAAGGCGGAATGAACGGCGGCGCGATGTTGTCCTGGGATCCGACTGAGAATGTCGATGTGGTGACAGCGCGGCCGTATGGGGCGGTGCGCTCGCCCGCATTCCAAAGGGGCGGCTGAGGTGTGAATGCTCCTGGGTCCATAAAGGCGGGAGCTTCGTCACTAGGTAGGCCCAGCGGAAGCGCATCTATTGGCGCGGGTGTGGACTGCGGGTGCGGCGGATTGATAGACCAGCCGTTGTGGAAGTGAGCGTAACCTCCAATAGGATGTTCAGACCCCATAGAGGGGCCAAAGGATTGAGTCAGCGCGAAGCCGTCGCGGTGCGCGATGGCACTGGGACCTGGATAGACCGAGGTATGGTGGGAGTAATGCGGCGCAGCCATCGAATTGTTTTGCGTCCAGTTCGATGTAGGGCGATGGGCCTGCGTATATCCAGTGCCGTCGTCAGGTTCGTGCTGATCCGACATGCGCGTAGGTGCATCGGGCGCGACCGCTTCCCTAGAGTCAAAACTGAAGGTCGCGTCGGTGGGGATGAGGGTGCTGGCTAGGGTGTTCTCCTCCCCGATATTGATCCGCGCCAAAAAGCCGTTCACATTGTGCTCGCGGAGGCGTGGAGCGATGACTGCGCCCGGAGGACCGATGCGATGTTGATACTGAGGATGGAAGTCCATACGACCGCGGTCGTGGTCAGCGCGAGCGTGGAGGCGTCTGCTTGCCAGAGACGGTGACGGGCCAGGCGGATGAGAGATCGGCTTGGGGTAGGGACGCTTTGGACGCCGTTGCATGGGGAGCGGCTCCGTCGCGCTCGCTTCCTGGGCCATCGCGAAGGGATGTGTGGGGACCGGCGCGCCTATGCCGTCAGGTGCTGGAAGCGCGTGATGCCAGAGATCAGTGATGGGGATGGCATACGGAAAGAGGTTGGGCGAGCGCACCTTTCAGACCACCTTGGACGAGCGAGGTATCTCCTCTTCGAGCGTAAGTCGGATGAGCCGAGGGTTGCATGGGGAACATTGGAGCGTTAGGGTCGATGAGAACATTAGATGTGACTAGATGCCTCCCGGAGCTATGCGCAAAGCCACCTTTGGGCTGTAGATATTGGGTTATTAGGCAGGCAGAACTCCCGCCAACTCAGCGAACTTACCAGAATGGGGCGATGAGCATTTCCCATGCCTGGGTAGGGATGATAGCGCGTGGGTCGCTGCTCCGCGGCCGGGTGACGGACCACGCCGCCGGAAGAAGACCCAACAGTGCCTATGCGCAGTGATGAATGGGAAGGGCTAATCGAAGCAACGCGAAATTCTCACCTCTTTTGGCGTGACGCGGGGGCGAGGACGAAGGGGAGATGGCGTTGGGACGCACTGGCGGGATCACGAGGGGCTGCGAAATCGTGTACAGAGACTCGAAGAAGCGGACGGTGTCTGCAGCGCGTGGGTCGCCTACGCTGTAGAAATTTTGGAGCTGCGGCGGGAGGACGATGTCGTGGCGGAGGGAGGCTTGGTGATGTCCGATAAACTGTGTTCGACGCACGACTGTTGAACACAGTTAGGCCTTGCGCTGATATGAAGCACTCACAGAGGGATTGAGACCTGAAGGCGTTGCGGATGGATGGGTCGCGGATGGAACTGACGCGACCGTCGGCATACTCATGATCGGCGCCGGGTCGTGTTGAGATACCACCTCACTGGCAGCACAGGGGTGCCCAGGCGAGCGGCCGACGCTGGAGGACTTGCTGTTTGGGAGATGATGTGCGTTCTGAGAGGCTTGACGACGTGGAGGGGGGTTCGTTCGTGGAGCGGGATGGACGCTGTCGACCTCGACGGTCCCCACGACGCTTTTCGACGAGTTGGGCGCGGCGACCGGCGGCCTCTTCGGCCTGTCCAACAAGAGGTAGGATGCGCGATATGTTGCACGAGCCTGAGGGAGATAGAGAGAAACGTTCAACAGGAGCGCAATAGATCCACCAACTTTGCACGTACTCGTTGATCTCTCCAGAGTTTGACAGGAAAGCCCCGGGGTTTGTCGGGAAATTGCACGCAAAGTGGGGGTTCCTGCGAGGGCGTAGTTTGCGCCATAACTACCCAGCTTCACGTGGGTTGTGTCAAGGCAACCGCCTGGGGGAGACAGGCATACAAGGAGACAGCCACGCTCAAGGGGAAGGGCCCTTGTACTCTCGAGATTCGAACCACCACGGCCGGAGTTACATCCGGGAGGCGAGGGGCACAACATCAGAGGCGTGCCCTGGAAGCACGCAGCCCTGCATGCGTATCACACGACGATAGAACCCCGTCTATATGTCCCGTGCGATGGCGATAACTGAGTGGCCAGATCAAATTGCGAATGCAAACTTGAACTCCGCGACTGTGCCCAAGTACACGGACAGGGACACCTCTGAGCTGGCACTGCGCTGTCGTGCCCGCGGAAGTCCGCAGAAGCTCTACGGACGGGTAATCCTGTGACGTTCCGATGATGTTCGGCGTCAGGCGAGATGCTTCCTGGGGCGATGGGGCGCGGAATGGGGCGTATATTCGCACAGGTCGCTTTAGACGATATTGCGGTGAATACAGGGGACTTGGTTTCTGGGAGGAATCCTGGACATGCTATGATCCTAAGAATAGGATATTCGCTACATCGCCTGGCGTGTAGAGATGTATATGCATACATACAGTCTGAGAACGAGAGTGCCAACGTCGCGGATTGCCGGGCGTACGGCGCGAAGCGCTGGAAACTGGAATTTGGTGAACGCAACGCGGCCCTAGCGTAAGGAGTTGAGATGATGCGAATTTCCATGGGCTGGCAAGACGAGAGGTGAAAAGAATCGCAGGAGTGGTAGGAGGTCAACTGAGCCAGGCGCCAAAATACAACTCCTCGCCGAACCACATAAGGAATTCCCAATTAGGAACGTCGATTCGCTCCGCGTGGGCATCTGGATTCAGGGCATTTGGAATCCAGATGTCCCCAAACAGTCTCGATGCAGTCTCAATGGACCGTCGCAGAACGACGATACGGTGGGTTGACAGGCTGGTGGTACGACTTGGCTCGATAGCGCGCTACCGGTAGGAACCAAACTAGATAAGTTACATATACTCATCTCCGTCGCCAACAATACTACATGTGTGTCGTTATACAGATACTGGCTACTAGGTATACAAGCATTCGTACTGCTTCTCTCTTCCTCGCCAACAACACGCTCGATAGGCGGTGCGAAGGCCTACTCGTCGACACCCTCCTCCCAGCCCTTGGAGCGCTCGATGGCACGCTTCCATCCCTGCCAACGTTTCTCCCGCTCGGGTTCGGGCATCGACGGCGTGAACTCGAGACTGCCCTTCGTGTTCACCTCCGACAGCGTCTCCGGCTTGCTGATGTCCCAACCGTGCAGGCGCACCGCCGAGCCCGCGAGCAGCGCCGAGCCGAGCGCGGTGGACCTACAAAATCATCACTACGTCAGCATGCGTAGATGGGCTAGGCGGACGGGTATACATACTCGCGCATCTCGGGCCGGATGACGGTGAAGCCACCGAGGTCAGCGAGGACGGACATGACCTTGTCGCCGTTGGTCATGCCGCCGTCGACCATGAGGTGCTTCAGGTCCGCGTTCGAGTCGAGCTTCATGTTCTCGAGGATCGCACGCGTCTGGAAGGCGTTCGCCTCGATGGTGGCGAGGCAGATATGTGCCGGGGTCGTGTACGCCGAGAGACCGATGAGAAGACCCGCCGCTCCGGGGTCCCAGTAAGGCGCAAGCAGACCAGAGAAGGCGGTAACGAAGTACACGCCCCCGGTGTTCGGGACAGACTCGGCGAGAGTGTTCACCTCGGGCGCCGACTGAACCATCTTCATCGAGTCCCGAAGCCACTTGATTGCGCTACCGGCAACGGAGACTGGGCCCAGGGTCAGAAAGGGCGATAGCTAAAGATGACAGGAAGTACGTACTACTACCCTCAAGAGCATAGACGGGCTTGTTGTTTCCGTCACGGTATGCTACCTGTGGAATGGGATTAGTTCCGAGGAAGACTGAATATATGTAGATTATGCATACCGTCGACAGAAGTCCGTGCCCGCTCTGTACGATGTCCTCGCCCGTGCAGAAGAGCAGGAATGCGCCAGTGCCGTATGTACACTTCGCCTCTCCCTGCTTCAGGCACTTGTTGCCCACAAGCGCCGCCTGCTGGTCACCCGCGAGACCAGCGATCTTCACGCCCTTGAGTGGGCCGTACGCAAGCTCGCCGTAAACCTCGGATGAGGAGACGATCTTGGGCAGGACAGAGTCCTTGATCTCGAAGAACTTCAACAGCACATGGTCCCACTCCAAAGTACTGAGGTTCATGAGCAGCGTGCGCGAAGCGTTGGTCACATCGGTGATGTGGAGGTTCGACTGCGTGCCGCCGGCCAAGCGCTATAGGGACGAGGTTAATCGTAGCCCCTAAAGCGCATATAAAATGTATACGCACGTAGACGATCCAGGACTCGACGGTACCGAACATGAGGTCATCCTCCTCATGCGCCTTGCGGACGTTCTCGTGGTGGGTAATCATCCACCGCAGCTTTATCGCCGAGAAGTAGGTCGAGATCGGAAGGCCGGACCTTTTCGCGACAATCTGAGCACAGATCTTCGCGGATGAGATGACATCACCACGGGACACAACTCACAGCTTCCTGAGCGCCTGGATGCCCTCTTCCTCCTTCTTGAACTCCCCGGGCGCGACCTCGATACCCGCAGTCTGCAGCTTGTGCTCAAAGTGCGCGACCGTGTTCTTCGTGCGCGAGTCGTCCCACACGATCAGGCGGCACAGCGGCTTGCCCGTCTTGCGGCTCCAGGCCACCGCGCTCTCACGCTGATTCGTGATGCCTAAGAACGCACGATGGGAGAGTGCACGTCAGACCGGTGTCTAGCTATCGCGAATGGCAGTCAGTTGACCGTGATAGGCACGCACCGATGACCTTGATGCTCTCCTTGGCCCACCCGGCCGCCTCGAGCGCTTTGCTCGCCTCAGCGATGCAGGCGTCGCAGCTCGCCATCAACTCCTCGGGATCCTGTTCATGCCAGCTGCGGACGTGGGGTAAGTAAGGTTTACAAGCGATCGAGGTGGGCGATGTTGGGTCGCGCGACGTACCTGGGTTCGGGGTAGTACTGCGGGTATTCCAGCTGATGCTCAGCCACGATGTTCGCATACTTGTCGAAGACGAGGAAACGAGTAGAGCTGAAGAGTAAAGATCACAAGACAGTCAAACGCTGCGTTCGCATTCCGCAGTAGACAGCGCGAGAAAGACGTACGTGGTGCCGCAATCGAGAGAGCCGACGAACTCGCCTTGCTTGAGGTTGGCCATGGTGGTGGTAAGAGGGCGGAAGAGAGTGAGAGAGGGGAATAATGGAGGGCGGCACGGCGGGAGGAGCGCGTATTTGAATCATGCAGCGTACACTGAGAGGGGACGGGCCGTGTTCCGGCACGGCGGGAGTGCGATCGAGCAAACGGCCTCCTATCTTTCCCCCTGATTCTGCGATGCCGAACTCACCTGACCGGGGTAAACCTGGGGTAGCCCCGCCCCCATCTCCTTCCTTGCTGCGAGGATGCTCGGAACACCGTAACTTTCCTGCGCACACCAGCGTCCTACGCCGTCTCGAAACGCTTCGTATTAAGACCGTCAGGGTGAGGTATCATAGCCCCAAATCGCCGTGTAAATAGTACAAGATAAACGCACTGTCCCGGGCGAGTATACTTTACGCGCCGGCCGGACGCTCTTTCCGCGGCGGGTCCCGCCCCGCGACGTTCCATCGGGAAGCGGCATGCCCGAAGGCTGCTCCGGCGAGGTCCCATCACGATGTATCATATGCCAATATGCGCCGTCTATTACTCCTGATCGGGATCGGGGTATCGATCCCAGTAGATCCTCCCTGCGGAACCGGTCAGGACGCGTTCGGCCGACCGAAGACCTCTATACCGAAGATACACTCACTAGATCCCCACAGTCTCCCCCGCACGCACATGCGCGGGGCGAGAACACGAGAACGCGACGCCTCAGCGCGGGATGCCGAACTTGTGCTTCTGCCAGTCGCTCCACGTGAAAATAGGCAGTGGGTGCGCCTCGGTGTTGAAGACCCACTTGTCCAGGGGCACGAGGTCTTCATTCTTGAACAGCAGGTACAAGTACTTGAGCCTAAGGCACAGCGTTAGCACGCCGCGGAACGGGATCCGACACGACGGGTATTAGGGCGTTCCCGGCTCCCGGGAAGCTGTTGTAAAGTCACGTCTGGTGGATACATCTCCTCAGCCTTCTCCCAATCGAGTACGAATGGCGGAAAAGGCTGGGAGGGAACCAGCGAGGAGATGGTGATCCTCCCTGACAAGATCACCAATGGTGCGGACTTTCCAGCAGTTTTCCGAGGGCCGCGAGCATCGCAATCCTCGTCGCACGAGCAATCAGCACTTACGTCTCCGCAAGGAAGTAACTGGGCACAACAGTCAGCACGCACGAGACACGCATCACCAGCGTCACACACCTCGGCTGGTCATCCATCTGCAGCCCGGGCGACTGCGTGACCTTCTTCAGGCTCGCGTACCCCGACGCCGTCTTCGTCTCGCGCTCGATGGCCTCGAAGATCGCCCACCCGCGCTCCCGCCACACCGGGTTCCCCGTCGTGCGCCACATGATGTAGATCGACTCGATCGTCTGTAGCCAAAGCGTATTCAGCACTCAGCACTCGACACGGGCAGGGCGGGCAATCGCGGGCCCGGGAGAGCAGTGGCACTTACCTCGGGTCGCAGGAAGTACTCCGTGCGTCTCACCACGTAGTCCCAGGGACCCCCCGCGATCGTCGACTTCTCCGGACGGGTATACATGATGGGCTTCTTCTCGCCCAGACCTGGCAGGGGACCGTGCTTGCCGCCCTTGCGCCACTCCTCGACGGCTTCGATCCACAGCTTGCCCTGCCGGTCCGCGACCTTGCCTCCTACGTGGGTATCGTGCGCCATGGAGACCACTTCGGGCCCGAGTCCACTGGGCTGGTCCGCGTACATCAGCCAGCAACTTGTCGCGAGTCCCTCTGCTGCAGCCATATGGAGCGACTTCAGGTCGTACTTGATGAGGATATCGTATTGTCGCCGCGCCTCGGGGTTTAGTCTATTGCGGTCGATGTCGGAAAGGTTAAGGTCGAGCGTATGTGCTCCCAGTGCGAGGAGCCCGGGGAAGAAGCACGCGAGGTGCTCGAAGGTGTGCGACGCCGTGAACCCCTTCCCGCTCGTCTCCGTGACGTAGAGGAGTCCACGCTCGGGCGTGATGTAGAGTAAACGGGTGAGAACCTCGTTCATGCTGAGCAGATCTGGAACTACAGTCAGCAGGAGAAGATAATACACGCAGACAAGGCACGTACACATCTCGAGGTTCTCGATGTCAGTCTTGCCCGTGAGCAAGTACTGCTTGAGAAGGTATTCGTGCCCGCTATCCGCCGCGGCACCCACCGAGCGCGACTCTATCTTTCACTTCAGTGTACATCCACGCACTGAAACAGGGTAACATACCGCTTGTCGGCCGTCCGGTGCTCAAATGCCAATGCGTGGGGAACATCCCGCCCTGGCGGTCCTCCATTGCATCTGCGAGAGTGCTTATGACTTTACTCGCCTGTAGTAATGTGAGCACTCGTGTCTACATTTCGCGTACCAGCACTCACTTTGTCATAATGCGTCTTGTTTCCGGTTGCATGGGCGGCATATGTCCACTCCAGTTGGCAGGATGCGACCTCCGCAAATATGCCGCTAAGAGCCGGCGTGGTTGCCGTACTGTTGGCATGTTAGCCAACATCAGGACAAAAATAACGCAGAGACAACGGACGTGTTCGTGTTCACGCCGAACCTCGGCAGGCCCTCTGGCGTGTTGAAGGCGGGTTCTAGGAGGGTAGCGAGGTCGCTTGCGCGGTCCAGCAATATTGACTCGCCGGAGAGGGCATATGCGGCAAGCAGGCCGCCGAGATAACGAATAGCTGTCTCGAAGAAAGGAGCGTATTGCGAACGCGTCCACGGGCCTTCGCCTGGCGTGTTGCGTATCTGTATATGCGAATTAGCGTCTGGTAGGGGGAATCGTGAGCAAGACAGAAATATCAGGAGATTGGCATCGTATATGCGCCTCATTGCATTGCGCGCACGCCGCAAAGCCGTACACTCGCCGACCGGGCTGCATGAGTAACTTGGCGTGGTTGCTATCCGGGGTGACGGGCTACGTTCTCAATGATACTTCCCCGTCTTCCCGCGCGCTATTACACGCCCTAGAGACGGGGTTGTCCCACCTGTTATACAAGAATTCCAGTCTAGCAAGAGAACGCTAGGAGGGACGTTGACATAGCGTTAAATCATGTCAAACATTAGGCAGCATGATATACCACTTCCGCTTCCACGTGCGTTCAGAGACCGAATGGTCTCCGTACACGATGTCAGGCGCACGGACAGCACGACTGCCAAGACGCTCGCACGCATGTGGGAAGTCCACGAGCATTCATATAGGCGAGAAGCACCGAGGGAACCGTCGCGGGACTGGGAAGCACGACGTGTGTGTCCAATAGCAAGCGGGAATGGACGTCCGACGGGAAGACCAAATCCGCGTGCAGTGAGGAGGCTTGAACAGACGACTTACCGCACGGAAATCCCCATGCTGCACTACCGGAAGTGCATCGGCGAACTCGTCCCAGAGGCCCATGAGGATCATGGTGTCGAGGGAGTCGTACATGGATACGTTCCAGCCATTGAAGCTAGTCCGAACGAGTCAAGCACGGTTTTCAGTGCATTGTAGTGACACTCACTTGTTCACCGCAGTATTCGATAGTGGTCTGAGCTCATCGTAGCCGTTGGCGTACCTCTTGTAGCCACTATACGCATGGCGGAAGGCCTGCTTCACCTGAGCAGCGCGGGTATCCCAGAGGTAGTCCGAACTGGAGGGGGCTTGGTCCTGCGTCGGAACAGAATCCGTCCAGTGCGGCAAGTATTCGCCAGAATGTGGTACTTGGACGTAGTAGAGGGTGGAGACAACGAAGATAGCTGAGACTGCGGCCGCAACGTAGCGCGTAGACCTCGAACGCCTTAGTGTCGAGATCGCCTGAGCAAACATGGAGGCTGCGTGCTGGTGGGGAGCAGGACTCACGGGAACATCGTCATCTACCGCGCCCTTCAAGTTCTAGGGATAAAGAGTGGCGTTGCGGCGGTGCTGCGCAGGACCGCTGCGGGCAACGGCGGGGGTATGAATGGAGAGAGCGGCGGGGAAGGACTGAGGCTATTTGAGAGGGGATACCGGGGGCCGTTAAGAGGAGAGCCGTCGTGTAACGAAGCCACTTGGCATGATGATTCCGCCGAGACAACCCTCCAGCGCGGAACAGAGAACAAAATCCCAGGGCGTTGCGGAGATGCCGACACGGCGCAGCTCGCTGTCTCACCCGTTCTCCTCGACGACGGCCTCGCCGGACGCTCGGGCCGACGCGGCATCCCCCTGGCGCAGGGCTGCCGCCGCCTTCCGGCCGTCCGGCCGGCCTCTGAGTGCCGGATTTGCCGCGGCGGTGAGGCCATTTCTGGCAACTCCGGCGCTTCTCATCAACTCCAGTCCAGGCCATTTCGCCGCGGGCAATTGCCAAGCGGCATTTGCCATTCTGCCGGGCTCCGACTCGGGCAGAATTTGGCAGAATGTGCGCGCCTAATGAGGGTATAACCACTCAAACTGGGTTTCCTAGGTCCAAAGGGCTTGCATAAAACTCGCCACCGTCATGGTTTGCTGGAAACCGAGTATAGAGACCTTTCTGAGGAACACGAGTGCCCATGATTCGCACCAAGCGGCATGGGCGCTAATCTCAGCAGGTGCCCCGCGGAGAAAAGTGGGTTGCGAGCTTACCGTACCCTCCCAGCCGTGAGCGACAGTGCACAAACGCTATCAGTGATGCGTTCAACATCGTTTTGATACTCTGGTGTCGACTTCGCCGGTTCATGTGCACACATTTTCTGTCGGCGCAAGGCTTGAAGAATTCTGGCGCTTAAATGTCTGCCAGTATTTCCCGGCCCTGGCAGTTGCCATTCTGCCATTTCTGCCGGCAGATTGGACCAAAACAATTCTGCCCGGTACACTAGGACCCCGGCCAATACACCAAGAGCTCATATGCCGGAATCCCCGAAAATGGGCCCGGAGGGCCCGAAACTTACATGAAATTCAGGTCGATTTCCCCGAAAATGGGGCCTTCAGCGGCCGGGGTTACATCCCTCCCCAGCCCCGAAAACAAGCCCTCGCGGGGATAGTCATATGCCAGAACCCCGAAAGTAAGCCTCGCTCGGCCGACCAGACGGCCGGGGCCCCGGCTGGAGACAAAAGTTACCCAAAAAGCGACGTCAGCACGCCGCGCTCTGTTTTCCATCGTTTCTCCATCCAACCCAGTAAAGGCCGGCCGGGCCGAGAAATCGAACCAGCGCTGAACGGGCGCCTAAAGCCATGTTACATCCATTTTACCCCCGAATCCGGCGTAGCCGGCCGCAACTTATGTGAAAATCCCCGAAAAACACCGGATTTGGGACCCCCGAAAACGGCCCAAATGGGCCTCCAACCGGATGTGAGTTCTTGGTGGATTGGCTGGGGTCCTGGTACACCAAGTCCAGCTCGCTGCTCGTCGTGCTCCTCATCCTGTACACATCTCCCCGCGTCGTCCTCGTCGCCCCTCGCGCTGCACCCCATGACGAGCTTCGAGAAGACCGTCAAGCTCGCCTGCAAGCCCAAGGCCGCGCCGCCCAAGTCCAAGGTGCGCCGATCCCACCTGCTTATACTCTACGATCGCACTGCCCGTTCGCCGAAGGCTCATGTCGATTCCCCTGCAGTATCTTGACCCCATCATCGCCGCGACTTGGTCAGAGGACGGCGCGGTACACGATGTCTGCAAGGCCCTCTCCCCGCGTTTCCGCGAGCCGAACGTCATCGTGCGTACAGCGTTCATGTTGGCTTGCACCGCCTAACCTCTCTGCAGGTCGTCTTCAAGGCGTTGATCGTTCTCCACACCATGATCCGGAATGGCGCTACCGACAACATCCTCCAGTACCTTTCCTCCTCCGATGTGTTGAAGCTGCGCAATGTTTCGACCGGCACCTGGGAAGGTGATTACTGCTCGACCTCGATCACTGCGCTTTCCCATCTCACCCGCGTTGGGCAGGGTACGATGCTCCGCAGAACCTGCAGAACTACTCGAAATACCTGGACACACGGATACGAGCGTACCGCGAGCTCAAGCATGATGCGATTCGGGTGCAGTCCGAAACCAACCGAGATATGCGCAACTCCCAGGCGATCGACGAAGAGATGGACCACGGTTCGCGGAAGCGCGGCAAGAACCCGCCCCCGGCTCCCACCAGCTCTCTCCAGCGGGGCAAGACGATGTCTGGGCGGAAACTGCGTGTCATGACGGTAGAGAAGGGCCTACTGCGCGAGACGAAGGTTGTTCAGAAGATGGTGGACGCGTTGGTCGAATGTCGGGTACGTCCCCGCAACATCCTCGCGCTGCCTGTATCACTGATGGTGTTACCCCAGTTCTACCTCGACAATCTTGAAGACGAGCTAAACGTGACTGCACTCTCGATGCTGGTGAAGGACCTCCTGATCCTCTTCCAAGCTTGCAATGAAGGTGTCATCAACGTGCTTGAACACTACTTCGAGATGTCACACATCGACGCCGAAGAGGCACTCGCTATCTACAAGCACTTCTGCAAACAGACAGAGCGCGTAGTGGAATACCTCGGGGTCGCGAAGAAGCTGCAGAATCTGCTCAACGTTCCAATACCGAACCTCCGACATGTAAGCTCTATGGCTGACACACGTTGATGACCGTATTGACATAAACGCCAGGCGCCCGTCTCTCTTGCCAGTTCTCTCGAGGAGTACTTGAACGATTCAAACTTCGAGCAAAACAGGATCGAGTACAAGACCCAAAAGGAGGCAGCGGAACGTAACGCCAGGCTCGGCATCAAGTCAAGTCCTAAGCCCGCGGAGATCGGTACGTCGCAAACCGTATAACATCTGTACAACATTGTTGACAATACGCAATGTAGCACCTATGCCGAAAGCGCCAGAGGCAAGCTCCTCATCAGACTCAGGCACGAAGACCCCCGGACAGAAAGCCTTGATTGACTTCTTCTCCGCCATCGAGGAAGAACAACACACCATGTTCAACCCACAGACGAACAGGTAAATACCTACGGCTGTCACTTCCCGCAATTGCTGACTCTCGTGTAGCCCGACTAGCAATTACTTCCAGCAGCAGGCTATGCAGAACCCCTTCCAGCAACAGATGGTGACGGGAGCAGCGTTCGCAGGCGCGCAAGCGTTCGGACAGCAACCGCAGCTGCAAGGACAGCCCACAGGTTATGTATACGCCCAGAACACGGCGGTTCCCATGATGGGCGCGACGAACCCCTTTGGGATGCAGGCTACCCATCAACCTGTCCAACAGTTCCAGCCGTTCCTAGCTCCGCAACAGACAGGGTTCTTGCAGCCACAGATGACAGGCGCCAACCCGTTCCGACAGAGCACACTCTTCCCGCAGAGCACAGGCATGCCGTCATTCGGCCAGAACATGGGCGCGCCCCAAAGCACCAACCCCTTCCCTGTACAGAACCAGCAGCCACCTCAGCAGCCACAGCCGCCACAACAACCTCAGCAGCAGGCGAACCCGATGCAGAACTTCAGCCAATTCCAGCAGCCCCAGGCGGGACAGCCGACTGGCCAACCGTCCTTCCCCTTCTCGAACCAGTTTACCGGCGCACCGAGCGCCTCGCAGAGCGGGTCGAACATCGCTCAGCCGTTTGCTCAGTCAGCGTCAGCATCGGCGTCGTCATCTGGGCCGGTACCGCCGCGTTCGGCGACAGCGCCGCTCACCGGCCCCGCACCTTCCTTCTCGTCAGGGTCCTCCGGCCCGCCGCCAGCGCAGCCGGTGAGGACACACCAAACTGGTTCGCGGAATCCGTTTGGTCAAGTGGTCGAGCCTGCGCCGCCTGTGCCGCCTGTGCCAAAGCAGCCTACGCTGTTGGACCTCGCTATGGGCTACGGGAGCCAGAACAATACGCAAGGGCAGCAACAACAACAGCAGCAGCAGCAGCCCATGCAGACGGGTGCATTCTCGTCATCGTCGTTCAGCAACTTCGGTTCGAGCGGTTCTGGCTCGCAGCCGAACACCAACGGTACTGCAGCGAACGGTTCCGTCATGGCTAGCATAGCTTCCTCCTTCGCGTTCTCAGACTCGAAAGGTGGCTTGTCACAGCCAGGCTCCTCGTTCGCCTCGCCACTCACTTCCCAACCTACGTCAAGCACCACATCCGGCTCGACGTTCTCAGACTCTCTTTTCTCGTCACTCTCTTCGCAGCCCACGGGCGCGACCTCCACGACGGCTCCTTCCATCTCCATCTCCTCCGCCGGCAGCGCGCCATTGCGGCCACAAACGACTGGGTTCAGCGGGCTCAAGGCGTTCAAGCCGTCGTCCTCGTTCGGCGCCGCCCTGCTTGAATCGCTGCCCCCCATCCCCGCCTCTAACCCCTCTACCCCCGCGACGTCCCCGCCGCCGTCCAACCCGGGCTCCACTCTCGGGTCCCAGCCGACAGGCTTCCCTGGGTTCTCGGGGCAGGCAACAGGGCTGGGCACGTCGTCACTAGGCGTCGGTCTTCGCCCGCAGGCCACAGGCACCGCACCACAGGCGAACCCGTTCCGTGCGTCGATGTTCTCGACGACGGGGAACCCTACGGGCGGTGCGTTCAGTGGCTCGACTTCGACTCCCTCGTTCGGTGCGGGTGGGGCTGGGCTGGGCTCGTCGCCGTCGCCGTTCGGCCTGAACGCGAACCCTACTGGCGCGCCCTCGTTCGGCGGTGGCGCGTCGTTCTTCGGTGGCAGCTTCAGCCAGAACCAGCAACAACAACAGCAACCACAGCAGCAACAGGGCGGCACCGCGTCGCTCATATAATCCGCCCCCTCCCCCTTGTGCTCTGGTCTCCCCGCCCCGCCTTTTCCCGCCCCTTGCTAGTTGTACCTAATCTTGATTCGCGGCTCCGACCCGACTTGGCGGCACCGGCGCACCCGTTTCTCTTTTACGTGTAGTTTAACGCTTTCCACGCTCCCCTTCCTATTCATGACGCGCATGCTTTCGCTTTCGGTACGTCGACACGGACATCCTATTGGGCGGGCGGGAGGAGGGCCGAGGGGCTCTAGGGGTTTGGTTTTGTGGAGGGAGTGGGTGAGGGGAGGACGGGGCGGTAGGGAGGATACTGGGGAGCGCTGCAGCGGCCCTGCTTCGGTACGCTACGATACATGACATGGTTTTCGACATCTCTGGAGGTAGAGAGGATACCCGGCGCAAGTGTATACTTTGACTCATCCTTGCGCGTCGTGCTCGTTCTGGTTCCGGGATGTGCGTGGGACGCGTTCGGCTCATGCAATATCTCCAACCTCGGTGTAGGCGGTATGCGTCGTTTGATGATGATTGCGAGTACAAGTACAAATGAAGTGAGTACAGGAAAGTAAAGTCCAAAAAAGAACCACTGGATATACAAGTGCGGACGGACAGAAATGTCTTTGACCATCGGCCACTCACACATGGACGCGTGCCGGTGATAGAACGACTACGAGAAGGGCAGCGTCAGGACGAGTAAGCTATACATGGACGAAGATACTCACAAGCGATAACCATCTTCACGCGCGCCGCCTCCTCTTGGCTGGCGGGGGCTTTACTTCAGGCCGCTCTTGCCGTTTAGGACGCGGGACAGGAACGTCGTCCGGGAGCACCTCGCGAATAGCAGTGCGCTCGATCGGTATATCCTCGAAATCTGCGGGGCGCCGGTCCTCGCACCTATCCCCGGACGGCCACTGGGGGTCCTGCATGGCGTCCTCGAACAACTTGACTATCCGGTCCGCGGTGAAGATCTTGTTATCTGAGCCCTTGGGCGGCCCATACTCTCGATCTTTCCACGTCGGGACCATCACCTCGTATCGGGCGTGCAGCCAATCAAGGAGCTGCTGGATCACTTCGTTGAGGGGATGTGTGTACCGCGGACGGCGCGTCGAGCGCACCGCGGCGCTGCTGGGGAGAGCGAACTGCAGCTTCGTCCCGGACCTCTTCTTGGAGATGAGGATCTGCGCCTCCGCGACGCAGCGGGCGCGGTATGACCCGTTCTTGATCGCGAGGTAGTGGTCCTCGTTGTTGTAGCGCTGGATGAACGCGCAGACGTTCTTGAGGTTGCTGGGCATAAAGCTCACGGCCGCGTAGACGAGGACGTGCAGGAAGCCCTCCATGTCGTCCTCGGGCTGCCGCTCTTTCGGGCCAATGGTACCATCCAGAAGGCGGACCGCAGCGAACGCGCTCGTACCCTAAAATGCCCCGGATTAAACATGTTAGGTACGTCTTTGAATGGATGGAAGACGGGACTTACGCAACCGTTATCAGGCTTCCCGTTGACGGTACATTTCCCGGTAAAGTCAGTCGCGACCTCCCAGTCGGTGAGCATTCCTTGCCATTTCTTGAGCACGGGGTCCCAGCAGAGGAGGATGTTCCCGATGCTGATGTCGCGGTGCATGATTGGGATTTGCATTGCTTTCTTATGGGCTATGTGCGTGTTGTATGTCAGAGGGTCTTGCTCAAAGAAGGCAGAGGGCAGAAGACGCACCAATGATACAACACATCAACGCGCCGAGGAGCTCCTTGCTGTCGCTGAACTCCTTGAGTGGCTTCGCGATCTCCAACATCGCGACGCGATAGTGCTCGCGAGCTAGGATTGACGCACGGCGGTACACCCGATCGGAGAGCGTAATCTGGCCGTCGACAACTCCGTGACACACCAGAGTAGGCACGTAAGGAACACCCGCGGCGTTCAGCCGTGCAACGATATCACCCTCCTGAAGACGTCCCATATTGATCGGTCGCCACATATCCTTCAGAAAAACGAGGCGCTGGTCGGGGTCGCCCAGGTCCAACCCGATGTACCCTCGTGAGCCGGTGTCCGGGAGAGCGCATTGACGTTCGTAATGAGGCCTTGCGACGAGGAATTCGCGGCGGGAGGCGCCCTCACCGATGGGGAGCTTGAACCAGGGCCAGTTCTCCTGGAGCGACTGTTCAAACACCTGGCGTGGGTAGTCCAGGGGGTTGTCAGGGTCCTTGTTGAGCTGGGCACGCAGTCGCATCTTGTCTGCGAGAGGCGAGTCGTGCGGGATGTGTTCCGCCGTAGGGTCTATTCCGCGGTCGGCGGGCGACGCTTGCGAGAACCTACGCAGGAAGTCCAGGAGGTGCGTGGCGTTTGTGGAGCAATCGATGTAGTCTGAAAACGTGATGCCAGAGTGGTCTACGCGTAGAATGCGGGCCTTGTAACCAAAGAACAGGAATACATAGCAAAATTTCCGGTGTTGGTAGCTGAACGCGATCCCCACGCGCCAAAGCACTCGATCCAAAATGCGGGTGTCGTCGGCGTTCAACTGGGCGTGGACTGAAAGGCTATACTGGTAGAACGGATCGTTGGATATCTCCTCGGCGCCGTAGCAGATGGTGGGGATATCCATGGAGTATTGGTGCATGGGCTCCAGCCGCTGCTCGCTAGGCCGCGACGTTACAAGCCTCTTCGGTGGCGCGGCCTTGTTAGGCCACGCCGCTGCCCATGCACGATTCGCGCCGTCTGCACGCTTGTGGTAAATCGTGATGAACCGGAAGCCATGGCAATGTCCCGAACGATTCAGCATGTTGGTCTGTGTGCTCTCTCAGAATAAACACGTTCGCATGACTCAACTAGCCACCTACGATGTCAACGTAGCGTTCATACTCCGTTACGGGGCACCGCTTTCCGCACAGCTTGATGTTCCTGATCGGACGAAGGCCTGTCGTTGGGCTGGGGAAACACTGCTCCACGAAGTCGTCTGCGTCGAGCTGATAGTTTGCCGAAGACATGTTGCGCGTTGAGATTGGGAATGGGGAAGGTGAGGTTAGCAGAGCGGAACGTCGGTGGAGGGAAGAAGAGTGTGGTCCATGCACGACTTGAGTGATTATAAGCGAAATCAACAGACTAGCCACGCTCGGCAAATCATACTTGCGAGGGAGTTCCTTGTATTGTCCCACCTGGGACAATAGTCACGGTAGCCACTCGGCCAGCTCCGGTCTCACTTTATTGGGCGGCCGGCATGCTCGCGCGACGACTCTGGTTCAGACAAAGAGGATTTCAATCAACACCGGCCTCCATAAGCCACGATCAAGATGACTCTGAAAAGTAGCTCACTGGGTCTCCACGTCCGTCCGTCAATTGGACAGCGACACGCACAATGCCCAAAAGCTGTGCCTCGCGTTGCAGGAACAATCGTTCCGGAGGGTCAATGCGGACGCGCGGCAAGCAGACGGAACCTGGGAGATGCTGCCAGACCAGCTTGAAGAAAAATCAGAAGAGGAGATGGCAGAAATGGAAGGCATGACCTCCAGGGAGGACTGAGTCGTGGTCGGAGAGACTCCTTCGGAGGTGGGTGTTATACTTGGATGTTACTTGTATCGATCCACGATAATATTGACGAAGATGAGCTTGAGTTTTCTGAACGCGAAAAATGCCTGTCATTCCGCGCATTATCCTGAAGGCTGGGAGACCATCGAAGGATGCGGCAACTGAGAGTGTCGAAATGTGTGTGGTGGTTTACGCCAAGATGGCTCGGGCATAAATAGGCGCCCATCATCATCTTGATCATTCTCGGCCTCGGCCTGCCCTTCCTCTTCGACGTTCTATACCGTGCGTGAGCATACAGACTATAATAATACTGTGGATGTGTCAAGTAGAGGAGTCGAGGTTCTTCGTTAAATCTAACACGAGGTACGCGACATTACTACTTAAGTGGTGGGTAAATGGTACTAGTATCGGGCATCCAGCTTCAACAAATCCGCCATCCGCGGGGTCCTCTGGCCCGTCGTCCACATCTCCATCGTTTTGCAATGGTCCACGGAGACATACGAACCCTGGACACACTTGGCAGGTTTGAGGGAATCCGAATCTCGGACGACCACGTGTAGCGAACCTTCGTTCCTGATTGGGACGCGGGCCTGGTTCGGCAACCCGTCGTTGAGCGTGCTGCGTCTGGCTCGGTTGACCTCCCACCACTTTCCAGTTGCGCGACCCTGAACCTCTCGTTCTGCCCGCGGGTAACCCAGTCCACTGCCAGTGCCAGTCACACTTTTCCAACACCTTACGCTAGGGCCGCGCCGAGTTCACCAACTCAGCACCTCGCGCCGTGTGCCCAATCCGGGGCGTTGGCACTGTCGTCTGTCGGCTGTATGTATGCATATCCATCCCTACACACAAGTACATGCGACGAATACCCCCTTTTCAAGATAATGGAACGTTCAGCATATTTTTCAGAGACCAGATCCACTGTATTCGCCGCAATATTGCCTAGGGCCCCACGAAGCGGCGAACACCGAGCATCATATTGCATGTCACAATATACCCTGGGAGCGTTGAATCATTTTGAGTGCAGGTGGCTGCCACATTTCCCGCACAGCGGAGGCCGACCTTCCCTCTGGAACATAATCGCAACGTGTTCAGCAGTGTCCTAGGAATCCGAACAAGCCAGGGCCTGTGCACCTCGTCACATTGGGTCTGCATTCACACGCTAGCGGGCTATGTGCTCAGAGCTTCTGGCTGTGATAGCGCGGCCCGCTGATTTTCCGCGGAGTATGCTGGTGATGCCGTGTCTTCTCGCGATCAGGAGTCGAACTCCGCCAGGTGGTTGGAAAGTACAAGGCCGGCCTCCTCAGGCTGCGTCTTTGACCCCACGTCGGATATCCCCTTTGTATCTTGTCTCCCTCATACCTATCCACAGCCAATGACTCTGCCCAGGCGCAAGCCAGATGCCTTCAAGACCGGCCGATGCGACCGTCCAATCCCAAAGAGCCTCATGTCATACGATAAAAAAGTGAGTTTGGATTATTCCTGAGCGGATGGTGGCGGTCAATGTCACTCACCGAACATTGCACCTATTTGTCCGTCCAGACTCCAGGTTGTATTATTGTGCTCGATTGCAACGGCGTTGAAGCACGGAAGGCGGCGATAGACAGACAAGAACGGCTCGAACAGCACGCGTTGGCGGCCAGCGATGCGAATGGTGGCGCAGACGCCACATCACCGATACCTATGACCAGCCTGAGCGAGAGCACAACGACGGACGATACAACCCCCAATTATCTCCCAGACAATGACGCCCGCACCGCAATAGTCGCAACGGCACGTCCTTCAAGCCCCTTCCTCAGAGCTTCTCCACAACATGCATGCCCTGCCTGCGACACGCGATGCCCTAGGTCGGGGCGCACCGACGCCTGCCCAAGTGAGTCTTTGCCGAGCGATGGGTGAGTCTGTAGCCTGACTAGGGTTGTGCGTCAGCAGAGACGGGATCGCCGTGGCTCGCTCGCGACTCCCAGCGCCGTTTCATACGCGCGCAAACCACGGCCCAGGCGACCCAAGAAGACCGCCCCGGTCGACGTAGAGCCCAAGTCATCAGCCGAGGCCCCTAGAGACTCTTACCGCGCCGACGCTTCCGTCAACATTGCCTCAACACACACCCATCCCATGTCGCACCGCACCGCCCAACGGCCGGACGATGCGTTACTGAGTGGTGTCCGCTCGTCACTGTCCTCCCTCTCTCCGCCTACAATGCCCGCGGTGGCGACTACAGCATCACCGACGACGTTTTCGCCCCTCAAGCGCCGCCACGACTCGGACGTCAACTATTCCTATAAGAACGCGCGCGCGCGCCATCACGTCGAGCCCCAGAATGTCTCCTCTCCGCACTTCGCGGACACGGACTATGATCTGTCTGCGGCAGAGCGTATGCGCCGGGTTCACCCCGGTCGCGTTTCGCCCTCCGCTGTCACAAACAGCGCTCTCGACTACCGCACAACTCCATACCTCGTCAACCAGCCCGTCCCCGCTGAAATGACCAGGCAGTACACTCAAGAGCCGCCGCTCGCGGGATATGAGGTCTTCGAACGCCCTGCTGGCTCAGATGTCAATGGCGAGTTTCAGACGTTCATCTTAGAGCAGCGCAATGCCGAGCGACGCGGCTACGACGGAGAACGTTTCGCGTTGTCGCTTTCTATCCCTGGTGTGGCCTTTCAAGAAATGGTCGCTCGCGACAAAGAGCCCGCCCTCACGCTGCAAACTACAAACTCGCAATCGCCCAACTTCGTCGGAGATGATCCGATACAGTTTGCGCCCTATCATTCCCCGGAACTTCAGCACGCGTACGCCCGCGTTGAGCACGACGCTTCTTACGTGCCACCGCACATGGCCGCCACGGAATATCAGATTTGTAGCAATATGATGTGTGGGGGCACGGCACCGCATCGCGCAGGCTTTGCATCAACAGCATCGCCCGAGCCCACCAAGGCTATCGATACTACGCCCTACGAGCTTGATGAGGTGGTCAACACTGGGTATTCGTTCACTGTGCCTGCGCCCGCGTCGATCCAGCTCCCAGTATATCAGCGTCAGGATTGGATCCTCCCATCTACAGGTCGCCCGCCGAGTCCACAGCAACTGGGACGGACCCCCATCGCACCCGACCCCTCGCAAACCACCGCTTATTGGCAAGCATCCGACGACAACTTGGACGGAGGTCTCTCGCAGCCGGGACAGGTCTCCGTTCACGACGCTGGCTTCGGAGATTCGGAGTTGCATGCGCGACTTGCGCTCGACCACACAAGCTCGAACAAGCCTTTCACTCTGTACTATCCCGGTGTCGATGAAGACATGTGCGCGGTCCTTGGCCATCTGCAGCAGGAAGGAGGCCTCTACAGCGGCGACGGAGACACCTTTCCATCGCAGCGCGATACGTCGTATCCCCACTGGCAGTATCTTACGAAGACGCGGGTCTATTCACAATCCGCGCTTTGGTCTTCCCCGGTTGCGCCTCACGCTCATCTATCGGGCGAGTCAGTGCCGCTCCAATTCCCCATCCCGACCACACCTACCTACGACTTCCCAGTGGTGTATGGTCATCACCCGTCCGTCCCCACGGGCCTACATGGGCTGGTATTGGCTTACGAATCGCCATCATGGCCCCCGGCAGTGGTTCATGGAATGCCGCAACCGGTTCAAAATCACTACGATGACATCGCCCTTCATCGACGTGCGGTCGACCACGGCGGCTCCGTTACCATGTGCCCTGCTCCGCCCGAGATCGTCCAAGATGTTGCTGCGAGCTACATACTAGAACGAGACTACCATGACCTTCAGCTGGCTAACCGTGACTACCACGATCCGGATAGCCGTATCCCCTACGACGTCTCTTGCGGCACTCACGTCAAATCGCCCGACGCATTTCCTTCGCACCCAGTGTCTCTCAGCGATGACTACTGGCGAGGCAGTCTAATTTCTGCAGTCGATCGCAGCGAAGCCCCTCTCGATTTGATTATAAACCTATATTCATTCCACACCCCCGTCCTTCCTGTCTCAGTATCCCAGCATACATACAGTGACCCGATAGAGTCACTGACGTACCCTTTGTAATGAAATTGAATCTATAACACTGACTTGTCTGCGCGAGAAGATGAATGCGATGCAAGATAAGCTCGGCGATGTACACTTGCTACATGTGCATGTATAGTCGTTTATTGTTGGGCTATGGATCTATGCTCAGATTTCACCAAATTTGATCTTAAACCCATAGCTCATCAATAGTACCACGAGTGTTCATATGTTCGAGGACAAACAGAGAACAAAAATGCGGGTAAATGTGCGATAGTAGCGCTTGTCAGCCACTGCTCAACAAACAGACACTTCCCATCTAAAAGCGGCAGCCTCAGTGCGATACAAGATAAGCCCGGCGCTGTACACTTCTTACATGTGCATGCGTACAGTCGTTTATTGTTGGGCTATAGGTCTACGCTCAGATTGCATTTAGATCTGATCATAAACCTATAGCTCATCAATATTACCACAACTGTTGATATGTTCGGGGGCGAACAGGGAACAGAAGTGTCGGTAGATGCGGGATGGTAGCGCTTGTCATTGGGAGCTTCTTGCGCATATGTGATGCACGGGATCAGGAGGGTCGATATAGAATATGTAGCGATGCAACAGGGGAGGGATCCGCACTCACCCTGCTTAAACACAATGTTGTCGGAGTGACACTGCATACTAGCTATAGCGCCTGTGACATGTAGCCTAGAACGAGGGCCTCCAAAGCGAGTGTAGGGTAGCGATCCCCACAGTCAGGGAGCCAGGAGGACGGTGAGATGCAAAGCCGGAAGAGATCGATGATAGACACATGTACTTCTGGCCCAATCGGGACCTCGGCACCTTCCAGTGTGGCCGGCGCCGCTTGCACTCGCGACTCGGATGCATGCTGACTCGGTCCAACGTCTCCTGTGTACGCGTGCTCCCAGAGATCTTCATACATTCTGCTGCTAAACGACTCATAGGCTGCTTGGATCGGCGCTGCTACTCAAACCTTGTGTCGAGCCGAGGAGAGCAAGTTAGCGCCCAAGAACGCTGCTGATCCGGTTCCCGAAACGGAAGCGTTTGTTGTTCGCCTACTCCCACGACGCCAACGAATCCGAACTCTGCCTGTGGACGCCCGCCGCCCAACGCCGCGCCTTGGCAACGACTTCTTCACATTTGTGCGTTCTGCGGCCATTTCCTGGCACCGGAATACACATGAACTACTATCGCACCCGCGTCCTACGACCCTAGCGCGTTGTGCGAATCCACCCGTTCCAGCCTCCGAGGAGCATCGCCACATACTTCGGCAGTGCCTAATGCCTCGCGGTGCAGGCGTGTTCATGCAGTGATCAATCTTCGAAGCTGGGCCGGAATCTTTGCATCTCCAAAAAAGCTATAGATGCTCTCATCGGTTCCCTTTCGACGCCCCGGATAGTGGAGGGGCGAGGCCTCGCCACATCGAGAGCGGGTGTATACACACATCAGGAATGACCTCAGGAACCAGGGGCCCTATATGGTAACAGGTGGTTGGATTGAGCGCTGGAGACTCCCCCCCAATATGCGGAGACGCCCTGTCTCCATCCGCGGCCATATGGAGCCTATGGAGGCGTTCCCACGGCTTCCCCGCGCGACTCACCAACGACGCCCTCCCCGCTCACAATTAAAATCATTGCGGCCGGCCTACGGAAGGCCAGATCTATGAGCTCGTACGTCGAAGCAAGAGCGAGATGAGGTTTGTCGCAGGGATGGAGAACGTGTCTCCATATGGAGGCCCCTGGAGCGCTGGAGTCGGGCGTCTCCGTCTGGAGGATTTGGCTTTTCCTGATGCAGGCTGTTAACGGTGAGTCTATCCCCTTCAATCATTGGCTCGCGGTGCCTGGAAGAAAGAGCTGAACCGCCCCACGAGCACAGGTTCTCCTCCGAAAAACACCGAGAACACAAATTCAGCCATAGTTGCACCTCGAGGTCTCCGAACCTTCTGCGCGCGCGTTCCGTGACGGGCTTCGGGTATCTGCGTTCTGAGATGGCGGCGAGAGTCATCAGCTCCCCCTATGTTTTGCGCTTCTTTGGCGGCCAGGTGGCGCGTCCGAGTCCGCGCGTTCCCGTGCACCGTCTGAGCTGCCCCGTTGCGTATATTCGCAACAAGCTCGCGCGCACATCATAGCCCCCACCCTGCACATATATATGTGGCTCTCACGCCCGTACCCACTCGCTCGGAGCGAGCTTCTAGCCTGGCTCTCCTGATGCATGTGCGGGGGAGCACTGTGTGAGAATATACGGGGCGTGCCCCTGATGCTGTGGCTTCTCGGCTTCGCGGTCCAACTCCGACGGGTGGTTGAAAAACAGAACACCCAACGATGAGCTTTTGTGTCTCTCTGTCCACCCTCCCATCTACGCACTCTTCTCATATCTGCCCGCGACATTACACCCAATCAATATTTCGCCGCTCATCATGATCTTTCAATCATACAAACCCCCACATTCACCTGATGAGGTGGCGATGATCCCGGGAGGGATTACAGTGAACGCTGGGGATTCTGAATTAGTCAAAAGCTTGAAGGGTCACCAAAAGTTGGCCATTGCGTACCCGGTATTCCTATCGAATCTGAGCCGATTCGATGCAGCTAACCAGAACTTTGTGTTGGGGGATGTGTAGGGCATGGAGGCCAGGCTCGACATCGTTCAAATCAAATTAAACCATCCAAAACCCAAGAAAGACAGCCCTCCGCGATTGGTGAGTGTCCGACTACAGCTGCTGGTCGTTCGGGGTGACGCCATCTAACAGCGGGTACATTAGGCGAACGTGCCGATGCCGATGCCTCCGGACGCCACCCTTCAGGCTCCCGCCACCACATCCACACTCACGTACTCCACCTCGGCCGTGTTACCCTACCCCTTGGTGACGGAACACCAACAGACGGCTCCTCTTCCTTCCCCAATCCGGCCAGTTGCCTCCACCGGGAGCCAGGGCGTCATCCGCCGTGCGACACGCCACCCTTACTACACGCCGTACCGGCCCCCGCACGAGCGATCCCCGCCACAGCGCGGCCTTCCCGACAGCATGCAGCAGCACTGGAGCTACACGCCCATGTACCCGATGCATGTTGCCGGTATGGAGTCGCAGCAACACCCATGGGGACCGCTCGCAGCAGAAGCTCATGCACAACACGACGTCCAAGCAGCGTATCACAACCCGCAATGGGCCGCTTATTCCGATGCCTTGGGCAACGTCGTATACCCCCCGCCACATCCCGAGCTTCAAATGCGTCGCGCGTTTCTTGGCGCTACTCAATCGCGTCGAGCGTATGAAGATCACGCGCGGGAAACGTCTGGTCCCCGGGCGATCTGGGCACCGACTGCCCTCCCTCAGCGCGCGTCGCCGGCCCATCCGAGTTTCCGGCAGCCCATGTTTAGTTCGGAGTGGCGACACCCTGATGGTCCTGCCCGTGGAGGCCCAGTAGCGCCACAATTGTTCCACCCCAATGCGCGAAGTCTCGGCGCTGGCAACGCGGGCGCGACCGCCACAGCGCCAATATATTCAGACTACAAGCACAACGGGCTAGCGCGCTCGCCAGATCTTACGTCCCACATGCCCAAGAAGGCGCGTCGTGCCAGTGGTCAAGGAGCATCTCGTCGACGTGCCAAAGAGAGTGCCATTCCTGCAGCGCGACCAAAGAGCGGCCGCACCGTGCGTGACCGATCGTATAACACTGCGTGAGTTTTTCTTGTGTCATACTGTGCGCAACGTAAGTCTGAACCGAACCTTCTCAACCACAGCGCAATCGGAACGTATGACCACATTGTGCCGGAGGAAAATCTTGCCATTCCACCAGCAATGACTCCGCCTCAGGGTTTCCTCGATGTCTCTCCTCAACTGATGGCGAGCTCGCCGCTTGTCGTTGGCAACATCACGGGACATCCTCCGCAGCCCTCCCTTGTAGACGCATACTCGCAAGATCCCCTTCGCAAGGGGACCCTGGCTGCACACGTCAACTATACCATAGCGGCGTCAGCTCCCCCTACATACACTCAGACGTCCGGAGTCGACCGTGCCGCACAGGTCGACGAGCTCTCCCACGGGCAATACCTCGCCAACAACGTCTCTGTGACACAGCCAGGGGATCGCATCCAAGGGTTCTCCCCCAGGTGGCAAACGGATCCCCCTTCGCCATCACAGTCTTCATGGTCTTCTCCTACATCAAGCATATCAGAGGCGACGCATGAACAACTTGTGGTCAGCGCTGTCCATCCCTTCTCGACTAGCACGTACTCTGCACTTCAAGGTGCATTGTCGTTGCCTGTTTCGATTGTTACAACCCATACAACGTATACACTCCCATACTAGCATATTCCGCTCAATTATAACCCGAGATCTATGTGAACGGACATTGGAAACACTTGCATAGCAATATCCATTGTCCGATTTAATTGCCGAGCAATCCGCACACCGTTTTGTCACATACAGGGCTGACTTTTCTCGAAGCATGCTTCCAGTGTGCTATGAGTTGCACTGAACAATTAGATTGTTTAGTACAACCCATAGCGCGCTGGTACAGCTCCCCTGCATGGCTGCCTCCTGAAGCCCGGAGAACCATGGACCTCAAAGATACAGTCGGGAGCGGTCTTCGTGGGCAGCTCGTGGTGCGTGATCTGTGTCCTCTGTCCTGAATCCTGATAGTGTAGCAGTCGATGAACGTTTGGACCAGGAAGAGCTCGCTTGGATCACTTGATTATATCCTTGAGACAATACCAATGTCGTACCTGAGTATCCCTTCCTGCTACGTCGTCTAGATATCCGGGCGAAAGCAGGCAAACGTGTGGGTCAAGGTGCCCTCTTCAGAGACGAGTCAAGCGGGTGCGAGGATACTGACTAGAGCGAGTGCCTGGATGCGGACAATGTAGAGTGCAGAGAGTGCGTGTACGAGCAAGGCTAAGTAGGGCTAAGTTGAGGGAAACATCATCAATGCGCATCGATCCTCCTGGGACGATCTGGACACCATCCCCACGCCCGGTTTAGCGCTCGCGTCTTCTGCCGAGTTCTTCCCAAACGGGAAGCCCATCGTGTGCGTCCACTGCCATGGCTGCCGCATCCAAGCTACAGGGCTCCGGTTATAATTCACCAACTTGCTGCGACCGGTACGCGTACCCGTGAATATGCTCTAATGAATCACTGGCATCCGTTTTCACCAATACCTGGGCCGATGCTCTCCTCGTCATCTTTCCACGTCCCGCGCAACTCACTGTTCTGCGCTGGCAATGCTGGCACCCGAGTCGGCGCTTCGACGCTCTGGCTTCCACTGGCAGTGCCGCCAGGATTTTTCTGCTTTCTGCATCCCTGTAAAGAAGTCGATGCACCACAGTGGAGAAAAAAAAATTAATACATAGCGCCATGCTGACACGCGCAACGACACCACAGGTATCACCCCATCCGGCTGGATTCCGAAGAACATCGTCGATTCCGGGACGAGCCACTGCCCTATGAAGTAGCTCGTTCCCTCAGTTGTAGACCAATCGCAGCGAAATATAGCGCTTTGAGGACAGCGGGTCGCACCGATACTATGACGGTGGGATTGTTCTAATTCAGATTTGTATGGTATCATTGACTCCGCTCGCAGGGCGCACGAGAGACGAGGCTCGATGGGGAGGCAAGCAGGCGCTAGCATCGATAGAGACACGGTCGCGAGCGAGAGACTCGGCGCACAAACACCGTCGGACAGAGGCGCACCAACGCAACCCGCGCAAGGCAGAGCCGTGGAAGTGACGCAAGTGCGAGCGAGTGAGCGCACACTGGGCGCTTCGCAGGGTTATATAGAGCCCAGCGTTGTTCGCCTACTTATATGACAGAACTACTTACATGTTCCTGCTCCCAACCGAAGGAGCACGAGATAAAAATCCCCTGTCCAAATATAGGCTCCATATACTTGAGTATCGGCACAACATAGAGAAAATCGCGTTTATGACTCGAGCGGCCTACATCATGCCGAGACACGGTTCCTGTGTGCTATGGGCTCGGCTGAAAGTCTATTCTTTTAATCTGACCCATGGCTCTGCAGTTCCGCTCACGCAAGAGGGGAAAGACCGCGCAAGGCGCGCGGAGACGTTATGAAACACGTCTATGTCTGCAGTGCTGCCTTCGCCCGAGGTATGGCCCTGTGTGCTATGAGCTGGACTGAGCATTCCATTCGCTTAGTACAACCCATAGCGCGCTGGTGTTATCCCCGATGCGTGAATATATCTCCTCGTAAGACTTCCATATATCCACCGAGTGCTACAGTCCGCCGATGTAGTTCTAATTTACTTATTAATCGAAAAGAACATATTTAGCGCCTGCGCCCGCGCGTGCTCCCAGCCATCCATGGGCCAAATTCAACTGTCATTCCGTTGAACACAACCCATAGTTTGCTGATGCATTCCGATCGTATGGCGAGCTTAAACTTGGCTGTACAGGCGCAGGCGTCCTGTGCTGCACAGGGGTTCCCGGGAATTTCGAATGCCCAACATCATGATGATTGCCGTCGATAAAGCACGACTGCAGCGAGAACACGCGTAGCTAGATGCCAGACTGCGGCGTATGGCAATCCGCCACCCTTTTGGCGTCCACACATTTGGCCTAACCCACGCCCTTTCAACGTATACGCTCGCGAGCCATAAGCGACTCGTTTGCAGGGCCGCAGGTAGAGATACAGTCCGGCAGAGAGACGCCATACTCCATATCCATCCCCGCCGGGCTGATACCGACTCTTGCGGCCGATTTCATTCACAGCCAATAACGCAGTATCCCTGTGGTATGTCGAAACCGGAACGTATAACTCGAGAGATACGTAAATATCACCTTGGTTCGAGCCTGCTTCCGGCAGGCTATGGGCCAAACTGAACATTATTCCTTGTCTAGTTTAACCCATAGCTCGCTGATTTACTTCCACCGTATGGCCATAAAGAAGGCCTGAGTTTGTACACGAAAACTGAGACGGTCTCTCGGCGTACGCGTTGCAAGGCATAATTGACTCATTCCCGTTGCAGATTGAATACTGAGAGGCGGTCCGGCGAAAAGAATACGAGCACCATATTCATCCCCGCCGGCCCAGAACCAACACCTTATATTGCCCGGCATTCACCATGATAAAACACAATATCTCGAACCCAACCAAGGAGGGAGTAAAAGGGGCTGATTCGACACTGACAAATGGCATCATGCACCCACCGGATAAAACCACCCCGGAGGAGCTACGGATCTTGAAGACCTCCGGCGGTCCCATTTCTCCGATAGAGCCAAGTATATAGCATGGGGTGCGACGTAGCCAGAAGGCGTTCAAGATATCCAGAGCGTCGCTGTGGAAGAGAAGAGGGAGTGCAGACGCCGGGAAGTCGGTGATCGATGTGCAAAGATGCCTTCCAAATCAGGACCAAGAGGTTCACCGGCATCTTCCGGTGTGCTGCGACGCACGCGCACGGCGCCTCTCCAACCCGTTCGTCCCGTTCATTTGCTCGCTCGACACACGTCAAGCCCGATGTCGAGCACCCCCAGCTACCAGCCATCGCGCCAACATGTCTCTGAGGCCAACTCATTGGGTTATCCAGGGTCGGCTGACAGGCACCGTCAGTGGCGAGGTCCGCTGTAGGACGCCTGAGTGTCACCGTCTCCACGTATGTCAGCCCCTCGCGAACTAACGCGATCGGTAGCCTGCGGTGGTATGTATATAATCTATGCTCGGGGAAGGTATCGGCTGACTAGCCACCAGAATGCCTTCCCAACTCCCACCCGTAAACCACTACCAGTGCAGCACTACCGCGTTATGCGTGCTCAAAGACACTGGAGCTCCGCAAGGCAACAATAACTACACGACGTTGGTCCTCATCCATGGACTTGGGTGGCACTCAGGTGAGGAGAGCGGCTGTATTTTGCGTCTATACTGCTAAAAACGCCTCTCAGGGAACTTCAGGAAGCTTGTTCCGTGCGCTCAGCGGTCCAATATTCGAATCGTCCTGCTGAACCGCAGGGACTACCCGAGAGCGCGTCCACACTCCCCCGAAGAGCTTGCGCATCTCACTCGTCTGGGGTCCTCGCCATCATCCGCTGGAGCCGCCCAGGAGACGTCCGCCGTCATGGCCGACCATGGTCGCGACGTTTACGACCTCCTCGTCGATTTCATTCGCCGCGAGCGCATCCCCGCCGCCAGGGGCAACACCGGTGGCGTCGTCCTAGTCGGCTGGTCTCTGGCATGCGTGTGGATCACCGCGTTCCTGGCGAACGTCGCTTCATTCCCTGTGGACGACGTCAAGGTGGACACATACGTCCGACGTGTCGTCCTGTACGGTCAGTGGAGTTTGAGGCTGACACCTCCGCTTGGCGAGACATGACAGCTAACACAACGCACATACAGACCCCTCGTGCGTGCTGCTCGGCTACCCGCGTCCTTTGGACTGGTACCACCCCATCACAGACCTGTCCATCCCCCTAGCCGAGCTCTGCGCAAGCTTCAACCAATGGCAAGCGGGATATTACACGCACGGAGACCTGGTCAAGGATGGACCAGATGCGCTGGAAACTCGTACCTCCGCGACGGACACCTCGAGCACTATGTCGCGTCTCTCTGTGGTCGACTTAGCCGACTCGGTGCACGGTCCGCCGATGGAACCTTCGGGGAGTGATCGCCTGCTGATCGAAGCTTGCATGACGCACGGGACGTGGGGTGATCTGAAGGATGCTGCGATGTACCTTCCCGGAACCGAGTGCGAGCCCGGGGCCGACGATTGGCGCGGTATCGACGTCAGGGTAGCGTGGTGCGACAGGTCTGTCTGGGAGATGGTGCTGGGCTCGTACCTGCTCGAGAAGGAGCTGGCGGAGGCGAGACAGGCGGGCAAGTCGCCGAGAGAAGTTTCGTTTGTGCGCGTGAAAGGCGCGAACCATTTTGTGAGTGTTCCTGCGTGGCAGGACGGACGCTCTGGGGGCGACTAGACACTAACATTTCTTTCGGGAACAGGCACATTGGGATATGCCGGAAAAACTCTTGAAGGCGTTCCTCGGAGACGAGCTGATCGTCTAGCATGGCATTCGAGACGACGGCGGTCGATATGTATCTAAGGCTCGTGCCCGTAGTCTTATATTGGCGGATGGAGTTACTCGGCCTGTTGGTGTATTGTATGAGACTGGTTCACATTGAGTGGGTCCCCTGTTGGTATCATACAGCATATAACATATACACATATCACCAACCCTCTCGTCTACGGACTAATAGTGCGAACCCCAGTGCCTTACAACGTACTTCGACTTCATCAGGTTCCGATTCCATGCACGGACAAACGGCCAACAAACCTGTCCGAGCCCTCCACAGAACCAGGAAATACTGTGCATCTCACGAACAGGTTTCTCTTGCTGATCTCGACGATGTTTCCAAGCTTGTACGACGCAGATATGCTGGTACAGAGCTCGCTCATGGACGACCCGCCCTGATGCGGACAGGACTGGTTTTGCCGAGGCATGCTTCCTGACTCGGGCTATGGGCTAAACTAAACATCAATGATGTTTAAGCTAACCCATAGCTCGCTAGTTATGCCAGCCCCAGCCTGTAGTCGTCCTTCGATCCCTGGTCAACAGTCGCCGAGCGTGTAGCTGCCACGGACATTGCAATCTTCGACTTGAACTAATCCTGAAGGTATAGCTACTGCATATACGGGGCCTGTTGAAAGAGTCAAGTTGGAGAACAGAATGTTACAATCACGACAGCACATTCCGACCTGGCTGTTTGGATCGAGTTCCTTGCGAAGGTATGGGGGAGCTGAGAGAACGGACGTTGGGAGGACGAGACCAGTCTTAGCTTCAGCGCTCACGCATACCGATCAGGACAGCCGGAGCGATCGGGCCGGATGCTTTGAGTAAGCGCAATTACATGCGCTTTTAGGTTCAGACTCTGACTCCTCGAGCGACTTCAGAAAGTTCGCGCCAAGTTCGCGCAAACGTTTCTCTCAGGACAACTTATCGACAGTGGACGTTGCGCCTCTACTCACAACTGGGGACGACTGAAAGCACTCTTATAGCTCACTACCAGCCAAAAACACAGACGTAATGGCAGAAGAAAACCCCGCGCAGACGATCGCGAAGGCTGCCAAAGCCGCATTCGAGGCATCGCAGCTCATAGCGCCCGCTGAGCGAGTTACAGCGTTGCAAGAAATACGCAAAGAGCTCGACGCTGCCAAGGATGCTATCCTCGCCGCAAATCGCGTTGATCTCGAGGTGCTCGTTTAGCCGCTCTACACCCTTCAAATGCACGCGCTGATTTTCGTGTCGAAATCCACAGGCCGCGCAGAAGGAGGTCGACGCGGGGCGTATGTCGGGATCTCTGCTCAAGCGCCTCGACTTGACGAAGGGCGACAAATGGGACTCCATGCTGCAAGGCGTTATAGACGTTTCAGAGCTCCCGGATCCTACCGGCGTTGTCTCGTATGCGAACGAACTCGACGACGGTCTCGAGCTCTACCGTGTGTCATGTCCCATCGGCGTACTGCTGGTGATATTCGAAGCACGACCGGAAGTCGTCGTCAATATCGCTGCGCTCGCGATCAAGTCAGGAAACGCCGCGATCCTGAAGGGTGGCAAGGAGTCCAACGAGACCTCACGCCTCCTTTCGCAAGCCATTCAAACCGCGCTGTCCAGGACGGCCATTCCATCCACCTACATCCAGACTATTCAGACCCGAGCCGAGGTCTCCGCGCTGCTCAGCCTCGACAAGTACATTGACCTCGTCATCCCGCGCGGCAGCAACGCCCTTGTGAGCAACATCCAGAACAACACGCGGATACCGGTTATGGGGCACGCCGACGGCCTGTGTTCGGTATACATCGACGCATCTGCGGACGCGAAGAAGGCCGTTCGTGTTGCGGTAGACTCAAAGGTACCGTAGCTGCAGCAATGGTCTTGAAAAAACTTGTGCTAATTCGAGTGCAGACGGACTACCCTGCAGCATGTAACGCGGCGGAAACGCTTATCCTGCACGAAAGCGTCCTCTCAACAATCTGGCCTGAGGTCGCGAAGGCACTCCTCGCGGCAGACGTCAAGCTCCTCTGCGACGAGCCATCCCTCGCGGCCCTTTCCGCGCTCTCCTCCGCACCCACCAACCTCTCCTCACACGTCGAACCCGCGACCCCCGACGCATACGCGACCGAGCACCTGAGCCTCACCCTCTCCGTCAAAACCCTCCCCTCGCTCAGCGCCGCGATCCAGTGGATGAACGCGCACTCGTCGCACCACACCGAGAGCATCGTGACCGAGGACGAGCGCGCAGCGTCGACGTTCTGCCGCGGAGTCGACTCCGCGGGCACGTTCGTGAATGCGAGCACGCGTTTCGCCGACGGGTTCCGGTACGGGTTCGGGACGGAGGTCGGGATCAGCACCGGGCGCATACACGCGCGCGGACCTGTGGGGTTGGAGGGTCTGGTGACGTACAAGTACATGATGAGGAGCAAGGGCGCGCAGGGACATGTGGTGGGTGAGTTCGGCGCGGGAGAGGGGAAGAAGCAGTACAAGCACAAAAAGTTCGCGGCGTCGTCCGTGCCCTTCTGAGAGCGTCAGGAACGACGCCGCGGGCGAAGAAAGCGACACAATTGTATTAACAGCTAAGGTGGAGAGAATATGGATACAGATGATAACAGCTCACGGAACAAAGTCCCCACACAGGCCAGCGGAGTGCGCATTATGACGCCGCCTTATCGAGCTTGGCCTTCTTTTCCGACTGCGTCTCCTCGGCGTCCTCTTCTGCTTTCCGCTTCGCCGCACTACTGGATGCCGACCCGTTCGCCTCCGGGTTCTTCTTTTTCTTCTTAACGAGGCCGGTCAGGTCGTGCACTTCCGTCTTTGCAGGGGCGGCTGGTCCTGACTCCGCGTTCAGCTCCGCGTCCAGTTCCTTGGCCACTAGCGCAGGTGCTGACTCCTCGGGTTCGTTAGGCGATGTCTTCAACTCGTCCACCTGTGTACTAGAGTCAGCAACCGCACGCAGGATCAAATGGGCAGAACTTGACCTTCAACGCGAGGTCTTCCCGGAGGCCTTGTAGCTCCTTCTCTTCAGCCTCCATTTGACCCTTTGTCATCTTCTCGATAGCATCGTCCGCCAATGATAGGGAGCCCGTTGCTTTCCCTTTGCCCTTACCCTTGACGTCTTCTTTGACCTCGGGCTTGACAAGGCCCTGCCCGCTGAGAGCATCTCGTAGCTCCGCGAGACGCGCCTCAACACTATCCAAGGCGCGCTCAGCATGCGTGATCGAGTCGCCAAGGCGGCCAGAAGTAAGGTCGAGCACAATGCTGAGCTTGTAGTGAGCTTCGGCGATCTGCCTCGAGGAGAGCGGCAGAAGGTCGGTTTTGAGTGCGAGACCCGCGGTGTAATCAGAAATGGCCTGCTCGAATTTCTCTGCAAACGCGAAGTCAACCATATGAACGGGAGGGACGAGAGGCGTTGTGGCGTACCAGTCTCGAGGGAAACGTCTCCGAGGGTGATGAACGTGTCCGCGAGCTTGAGCTTGACTTCGTCCGCGTCCTCCTGATGTTTCTCGTAGATGGCACGCGCGAGGTCCAGGACTTCCCACGCGGCGTTGAAGTCGTCCTCGGGTTCAGCGTCATCATCTTCCTCTTCCTCTTCTTCCGCGGCGTCCATCTCCGCCGCCGCCTTCTGCGCGTCAGCGAAGAGATCGACGGCTACGTCTTCACCGAGGTGCTCCTCCTCCGCGTCACCAGAGAATGAGAGGAACGCGCCACTGTTGGCGGCATCTACGCGACACAAAGACGCGTGGCTCAGTTGGGAGCCACCCAGAGCCACACGGGCAAGCAGAGACACGCACCACTGCTGTCCTCCAGGCCATCCTCCGGGTCCTGCTTGCCCAGCACACCGCTCTGCGCAATGGCGTTCTCCAGCAGCGCCTTGCCGTACGCGAAGTACAAGTCTGCGATTTCCGGTGCCTTCTCGTCGAACTTCTTTGTGCTGCAGGGTGTCGCAGCCGATCGGTCAGGACGCGCCGCGCGCGCGACGTAGGCGTGTCACTTACGCTATTTCGAGTGCAGACGCGTAGTGCTCCACCGACTGCTCGTACTTCTTGAGCGCGAAGGCGCGTTTGGCGTGTTCGATGGTGTCCTCGAGTGACATGGCCGGCGCAACGGTGTCGGGCGCGGCTGTGGGTTTCTCTGACTCGCTGCAGGGCGTCATATGTCGTCAGTGCATTTGCGTGCTGCGCTGAGCTATGTGAGACATACGACATGGGTGCGGGGATGTTTTGTGGAAGGGAGTGCTGGAATGGTCGGAAGCAAGAGACGAGCGACCGAACCGCGCGAACGCTTCGCAGCAGGCGCGCGTGCCGTTACGCGGGGGCACGGGCTGTCGCGCGCTTCTGTCCTGACCGTCACCTCCTCGCCGTCGTCGCGCACCGCCGCCGCCCCACCGTCGTCCTTGACGTCGTTGACAATATGACCGCCATCGGCAGCGTCTTCCTTGGTGATGTGCAGCGTCATCGCTTGCTGTCGACATCTACGCCCCCCTCATCACCGCCTCCGCACCTCACGACCAACGGCGCACTCCACAGCTTCAGTGATGTTGACCTCGACGACCTCGACGAAGGAAAGGCCCCGACAGCTGCCCCGCCCTCTATCTCGCCAATGCTGTCCCTGGAGCTCCGGCTGAGATGGCTCGAGACACTGCTTTTCGGAGCCAAGCACGACGCGCCGGAGCAGGCCGCAAAGGCGGGCGCAAAGGTCGAGAAATTGAAGGACGGCGATACTCTAGCCAGGCGCGCGGAGAGCCTCCAGCGGCGGCTAGACAGTGTTGTCCAAAACAGCGATGGGTTGAAACGTTTCGTAGACCGATGTGAGGGCAAATAAATTGCGCCTCAGATACGCCAACGCTAACTCCTTGCAGATGAGCAGTACGCGCACCTGCTGACGCCCCAGTTCGCGCTCTCCGGGACGCTGTCGATGAACCCGCCGACATACGACAACATGTCCCCCAGTGAGCTCGAGGCGTTCTTAGGCGAGATGGAGTCGGACATCCGCTCAGCCGAAAGGGATTTGCGCGAGATCAGTGCTCTGGAGGCTAAGGGCGTCACAGGGGCGGGAAAGCTTGGCGACTATGAGGCGTTGCAGCCGCGACTAGAGGCGCTGCTCAAGGCACACGACGAGGATTTGCAAACCGCTGCCGACCTGGAGAGGCGCATTGCGCTGCTTATGGACCGTTACGCCACGAACGTGAGTGTTCGCTTTCTGACTGTGGAGGTATACGCTGATTCGCGCAGGTCGATACGCTCTCGGAGCTGTTCGTCTCATGGGATCAATCAGTCAGAGACACAGAAGAGGAGGTCCACAAGATGGAGAAAGACCGAACCGAACAGCGAAAACTAGGCTATGAGTAGATCTATGATGCTCTCTGTGTGATACCCCGGTCAGTGCATACTACTCCACCGTCAGTGTCTTCGGTAACTTACTTGGTGATGATCGATAGCCCAGTCCCATACCCCTTGTCGTCTGTAAGTCCGAGCACCGCCCATGATGATCCCGACGCAGTGATTGATATATCCTTCGGCCAGTGCCAGCAGTGCTGACGCTCCGACGGAATGAAGAACACTGAACATTACGACCGCAGGAGCTGCGTGAGAAGCCGCACGATGCACATGTCAAATGTCAAAAACCGATGGACAGCAACGTGGGAGCCCTGGACGATCGTGTATTTGCCTGCGGCGAAGATGCCAATTGTCTAGGTGGGGTGCAGCTTCTGTCGAGACCATGCACGCTGAGCGGACTGGTCAGGCTGATCGTACGTATGACATAACGACGGCGCAGGCACACGCTTGACGCCGCCGGTGCCGGCACCGGGTTGCAGTTGACATTCCCTGCCTAGGTAGCCCCTATCCTGCGCCGATGGTCTTGAGACTGACACTGGCGAACGAACTCTGTTTTCGTGATGGGACAATTCGCAATTGCTGCCGCAGATGAAACCTTGATTTCGTTCTCATGGCTGGACGCAAGCTGGTATCCAATGGGACATTGTTCGCAGCTGCGTCTTGCGTTCCGAAACCGTGCTGCAGCTGCTTGATGTGCGTGCGTGTGTCTACGTGCGTCTATCCCCCCCTCAGCGCTGCCGTAACCCCGTTCCGGTGAGTGGTGCCTATGGTCGAAGTTCCCTTCCGGCGTCCCCTGAATATATGACACAAGAAGCGGTGCTTTCCCCGCTAGCGCGATCGATGGGCGCCGCGGACGGTGGTTTGCTATGTACCTCTATCGGCAAACCTGCATGATGTTAACCTCGCGGTGTTCGAAGACAGTCGGACACTCGGGTCGGTCTAGAGCTCTTGGATGACTCCACCGCGACCACTGGCCATTGTATTGCTGGCGGGATGTCCCGCGTTGGGTTACTTGCCATATCTGTCGACGTTCCTAGGCGAATAGCCGAGTGCGCCACGCATACGGTTGATGGCTGTGCGTTGACGGCTCTCGGCGCGCGGCGCGCCCACTTGCCTAACATGTCTACAACTTGGTCCGGTCGCCCACCACGACATGTTCTCTTCCCGGGCGACCGGGCTGTCCTCTGCGCACGCGGCCGTTCAATGTTCCCGTCCTCCCGATGCGCCTGCCGTTTGCGTCAGGAGCACCGCACGCCTGTCATTGTCAAGCGGTAATCTAGCACGCTGGATCGGAGGTGGGGGGAGGGCCGTGGAATACCGCGTAGAACGGACGTCGAAAGAACCCGGCATTCATCCATGGGGGACAGCCCTGGGCGATGCTCGTCATACGCGTATGCGGCTTTTCCAGTGCATACAAAAGGCAGGTCGTCCAGACCTTGACAGCCCCCACCACCACCATCCACCTACAGCTGCAACACCGTTGCTCGCTACCAGCGCAGGCTTAGTTACATACACCATACACGCAGTAGAGATGACCAAGAAGACGAGACCGGTAAGTGTCCTGAAACACCATAGGACAGCTCCGAGTCGCCGACACCGCTTCGTCTCCACAGGCGCGCCGTCTCTTTGGACGACCACCAGAGGGACCCGGGCCACAGCAAACCTTCAATAGCACATTCCAAGTAACCCCGGCCCCGTCGCCTACCCATCAAGCGCAGTTTCGTCTCAGCACCCCTGCGCACGCTGAGTCGCCTGCGCCCGCACCACCATCGTCAATTGCGCCCGGCGACCGCGCACACGACGATCAGCGTGAGGTCGCCAAGCGAGCTGGGGGCTCCAAACGCTCAAGTCTTAATGCACCTTCCGCAAGCCCGACCGCCCCAGAAGACCATCTTTGGACAGGCGACGGTGTCGCGGGCGGACCCTCTAAGCGACGCCGCCCTTCAATCGCAGCACACCGTCCCACGCTGAGCACCCCGGCCGCCGCCGTCTCAACCACACAAGCGGCGGGTGGGCGCTTCCTACGGAGCCGGTCAAGCACCGCCGTGGCAGCCGACATAATCAACGCCTTAGACAACAACGCTGCGGGCCCCAGCTCTCTCCCCGCAAGACTGCGCGACGGCTCGCTTCCAGCTACGTCTGACTATCGTGGGACTCCTCAGATGGCACCTAGCACTCCTGGTCAGTACTCTCCATACGGCACGACTTCACCCTTCCGCACGCCCTCCTCTGGCTCCGGGGCCTCGACCTGCCATCACCGACTGCCTTCCTATGACTTGCCCTATGCTTCTCCCGCGGACAATTCGCCATGGACCCATGCGTCTCCATCGCCAGCCCCGCGCACCCCAGGCTCGCACCGCGGGGCGAGTGTACCCCTCAGCACGGCCTCGGAGTCGTCTCCATACCTCGGGTTTATGATCGGGGAATTTTCCCCAGAGATGCCGTCCCTGGGTGAGTGCATCGCTGCAGCACGCCCGCCGCACCCCCACTTATGCTGAGCATCAGATGCAGATGGTGAGGAGATGCCCCCGCTCACCCCGGACCACGCGGCGGCCCTGGAGCTCCCGCGCAACTGGGGCCGCCCGCGATCGCACTCCTCGACGCAGGTCACGCGCGGCCAGCGCGGGGGCCTCTTCTTATCCGCCGAGGCGACCCAGTCGAGTATATCGGGTAAGTGTTGTATTTGCATCCCACGGACACCTGTTCCGCACGCTGACGCTACTTGCCTGTTTCGTCACGGCAGTTCCGGAGGAGCTCCAGGGTTTGCAATTCCCCCCGGAGGTGTTTGGGCTGGACGAGTCCGCGTACGAGGACCCGCGTACGCCCGAGCATGACGAGCTCGCGCAACTGCCCGGGCTGCATGTGCTTTCTCCCTCCCGGCACCCTCCGCCATCCTCTCGCTCTCAGGCGCCGCGCCGTGCTTCTGGCTTTTAGGCCCTGTCATCCGTCTCCGCTTTACTGGCCTGTGCGCATCTGGTTCATGTCGTCCCGCCCCTCATATATCTAGATACCGCCTTTTGCCCTGTCGGACCGCCGTACAGCTCGGACTGTGATTAATAGCTGCTGGACCTGCTTTTAATGTTCCGGCTAGCGCGGTCCTTCCATTCGCCGCAGCCTGAGGCTTCTTTGGAACTTCTGGCATCGGCGACCACTTTATTTGCACTGTACATGGCTATATTCCGTTCCTCGCGCGGCGCTACGATACCCTCATACCCACAATGCGCTGTGCCGCATCGCATCCCATTCATCCGCTTCCGTCCACGTCGGCCATAGGCCTCGCTCTGATACATCGTTCGCATCCGCTGCACGTCGTACAACGTACATATCAATCAAGGTTCCTCTTCATGTCTCCGCAATACCACCACTTCAAACAAAGGGGTCTTTTCTCGTACACAAATACAATGAGTTGGCGTTACTCGAATTTAACGCCTCGACTCAGGGCTTGTTCAGCTTGCAGTTGCGGGGAGTTGCCGGTACATTTACCTGGATCCCAATCGGGAAGGCCGACGGTTTCTCGTTCGACGCTCATCCGGCACCCACCCAACGGTTCAGCTGCACTCGTGTACTGAGTCTACATGCATTTCCTGAAGTGTAGACACTCACCATAACTGCAATAGTCGCTGTTGCGTCTCGACTGGCACACATGCCCGAAGGCCGCTCGGAATGAGGACTGTGACGTTGACCTCCGATCCGAAGTCCTTCTGACGTGTCTTGTCCGAGTCCAGGCAAGCGCTGCTTTCCGAAGTTACAATGCTCACTTACGCAGTCGTACAGATTAGGTGGCTTCAGCACTGTGTCTAGCGGTCGGCCCATACAGCCCGATTCGGCGGAGTAGCCATTACATCCGCAAACTGTGTGGCTCTCACAGCAATACGCTGAGGTGCGCCCTATCAGAAGCACTCATCGCAGCGCAGTGCCCTGACAGTTGATTTGGAGCTCACATGAGTGCATTTTCGTGATTTCTATAACCTTAAGCCGCATGTTCGAGGCGCAAGGTGCACGCGGAGCGTGCGCGGAGTGTGCGTGTGCTGCCAGTGCGACAGAACCCAACCCTACTAGCCCCGCTCTCTGCAGTCAAAGTTTATCCGTAGCCCATCTATGAAGTTACGTTCGATCGAAGACCAACAACCTGTGCAGCCCTACTCCGAGGACAATGTGCGCAAGGCGTCCTTCCGGGCGCCGATCGCGGGAGAACACTAGGGGCCTGTGCATCCGATGCCGCCTTCGTTGAACACCATCTCCTGGGCCTCCCAACCATGACTGGCAAGTCGGATTACTGCCTCGCGCCACGATCTACGCCCTCGGCCAGTGTTGCTCCCAGCGGGCTTGTCAGGAGCAGGGTGAAGAACTCCGGTAGTATGCGACTCGGAGTTCGTCGCATCCGCGGATGATATAAGTTTAGAAGGGCGTCGTAAGATACTATTAGTCCCCGTTGATGAATACTTCATTCTTAATTCCGATTCCACTTTAGGGAATCGGTTATCATCTTGAACGTCCGTAGGGTGATTACGTTATAGGTACGCTACACCGATTGATGGCAGTGCTTAATATGGAAATACACCGATATCGCGGCTCGGATAAATCCGAAGAACTGTACAGTTTATGGGAAGGGGTTTATATAGGCCTGAGCTGATGACGTCGTGGAGGCGTTACCTCTTCGCTTGGGTATTGCGTTTACTCAAAGCTGCGTATCTGATAAGCTCGACTAGCGAAACCAATGGATTGTGGGCTGGATGTTTACATGCTCGATGGCGGGGCTACGCTCTGTGGGCGGATGCGCATTTTGAATGGAGCTGCCGTTGTGGCGGTGGTATGGATGATTGCGGTGTTGTATGTGTGGACGAGGAGGCTTTTGTCCCGCGTGGGCGTTGAGCCTGTCGTCGGTTTGGGTCCCACTTTGAAAGGTGGAGGATCGGGGCGTCGATCGCCGCAGGTTCGCGTTGGCGACCTGCTTCGTTACCGTGTTGTAGCGGGTTCTCTCTCGCGCTTGAGTGCGGAGCAATCTTTGGAATTTGGGGGTTTCGTGTCTGGTCCGGAAGGGTCAGCAGGTGAGCATGGCGCTCGCGTGATTGTGGCGTTACCTGTCGATTTTCTGAGTAATGTGCTGCCTTTCCAGCATCTGGTGGCGCTCGCTAAAAGCCATCGTATAGTAGTCGCGCGCGGGCATAGAAATGTGGCTGGGTTAAAACAGATTTTACGCTCGCACGTGTGTGATACGTACTGTTCCGAAGTGTTCAGCTGGTTTGTTATGCCTGTTCGACCCGCTTCCATGTCAAGTATTACGGTAGGAGACACTGTTGTGAGTGCGAAGTGGTTAGCATGGTACAAGTGCATTTACGGAGAACCGGACTGCTTACAGAGCGCTGAACGAGTGGATTTCCGGAGTGTGGTACCAGCATCAGTTGAATACAACGACTTGAAGGCCAGGCATAGCGGTGCTGCGTGCGTGCTCGTGTTTCGAATTCCGCTTCGAGATCTGATGATCGAACTCCCAAAGTCTGTGTTTTTGGTGTGTCTGCGGTCTCACGGAATCGTGCTGAAAGACGATGTAGACATGAAAATAGTGGTGAGTGCGGTCTCTGCTCACGTCTGCGAAGGCTTACCTTGCTCCGGTTCTCTGTGCGTGTTCTCGGTACGACGACCTGACGATGTGTTACGAGCAGGATCAACGGATAGCGAGTTTCCCCCAAGGCCGGTTACTGTGCGGGATTTGAGAGGTATCGTGCACGACTGGAGTCAAGCGACCAGTGCTCGGGAGGTATACGAGAAGCCCTGTAATGTATGTGGGTTGTTAACGCCGGAGTCTGTTTTACATAGGGCTCGTCCTACCGAGATCGATTTAAGTCCTCTTCTGCGTCCTGGTTGCGGGGTGAGTCGAAAAGAACGGAGGTCGGTGCAAGATCCTGTTGCAGAGATGGCAGGTCCTATACTTCACGGTGGGGTTGACGCGAACGGATATCTATGTGTATGCGAAGACTGTTTGGCCGCGCTGCAAAATGGGCGGTTACCGAGGCTGTCCTTGGCTAACGGCCTGTGGGTAGGCGACGTGCCTGAGGAATTAAGGCGTTTGAATTTCATCGAAAAGCTGCTGGTCGCGGTGGAAAGGCATAATGTCTGCGTAGCAAAGGTGACAAAGGGTCAGTACAAGATGACTGCTAACGCTGTGGTGTATGCGCAGCCGGTGGGTAAAATGTACGACATCCTTCCGCCGTCCCCCGATGAACTGGCGGAGTTTTTGGCAATAATATTTGTGGGACCTTGCAAGCCGATGCCTGCGGACTTGAAGCGCACGCCGTTTATCGTAAGGCGGAGCGTGGTTCTCAATGCCTTGAGGTGGTTGATCTTAAACCATTGCGACTACGCGGAAGTGTCAGTCTCGTACGAGAACCTCGCGCGGTATACAGATGATGAACCGCCTGTATGCGTTGTATACCGCGCAGGTGAAGGCGATTTGCCTTCCGAATCGCAACCAGGATACGGTGGTCGGGATAACGAGGGTTTGGTTGAGGGAGAGTGCTCGTTTACCGTGCAAGGTTTGACTGAAACGGAGTACGTAGAGATGAGTAGAGATCAAAAGGTTGCAGCCGCACTAAAACATTTTGAGTCCGGGGGCGGAGTGTTGGCCTACGGGCATGCGGCGAAGCCGTCGTCCATGTACAACAATCCTCAGTTGTTTCCGAGGCTGTTTCCGTGGCTGTTTCCGTACGGTCTAGGCGGGCTGGGAAATTCGAGAATGAAATATGCTGTGGAGAGAGTAAAGCAGATACGAGCGCGGTTGATGTTTAGTGACCGCCGATTTCAAACGGATAGGTACTTTCCTTTCATTGCATACAACCAGGAGCAGATTCGGGCAAGTACCACAGGAGGTTATTTGCTGACGGAAAGATCTAACTTCAAAAGTGCTGCTGCCAAGATTTTAAGCGTAGATAAGAGCACTCTTGACCGCTTGATCGAAAACGGAAGGAATGGTATCAGACAAGAGGTGTATACGTCGGAAGAGAAGCAGTGCCTAGAGCTGCTGAGTCTTGTTGACTATGTAGGCGGACGTGTTCCGGGCTCGCTGACAAGAAGAAAATATCAGAGGAGCGAAATAAAGTCGTTGATCGTGGAGTATGGCGTACCCACCTTCTTCGTAACATTCGCTCCGGTAGACTTCAAACATCCTGTGTGTTTGTATTACTGCGGAGAGCCTATAGATTTAACAGATAGTGCACCGGACTTACCGAGCGCTGGCAGTCGTCTGAGAGCAATCGCTTCTAACCCGGTAGCGTGTGCGCGTTTTTTTGATTTGATGGTGCGAACATTTGTTAAACAGGTTTTGCGGGTGGGGGATGATCGCGACAGGCCCGGTTTGTTTGGTAAGACTTCATCGTATTACGGGACAGTCGAGGAACAGGGTCGGCTCACCTTGCATCTACATGCGCTGATTTGGATTGAGAATAGTCTCAGTCCCCAAGAAATTCGAGAGCGTGTTCTCGCGGATGCTGACTTTCGCGGAAGGCTCACGTCGTGGTTAGAGAGTTGTCATCAAGGTCAGTACTCGCTGTCCACAGATTCGGTAATAGGTAAGCGTATAGCAGACAGGCGAAGCGATGATGCACGCGCCTCCGGTGATGTGTTTGGCGGAATGGAAAGAGAAGCCGTCGAAGGCAGTTTTCGCGATCCATGCACTACCTTACCAGGGAACGTGGACGGAGGAGACGCAGCAGTCACCGACGAAGCATGGTATCGCGAAGTTTGTGAGGAGAGCGATGAGATCGTGTACTTGTCGAATAGACATGATCCCCGACATCGTAAGGGGTGTTTGCGAGGCGACCCGCCTTATTGCAAGGCGCGTTTTCCTCGGGAGCTGCGAGATGAAACATCTGTTGACCCTGCTACGGGTGCAATTAGTTTCAAAAAACAGGACGCATGGATCAATACTTACAATGTTGTATTGTCTTATGTGTTGCGCTGTAACACGGACGTAACTTGCTTGCTATCTGGGACGCAAGTTAGAGCGGTGGTAGCGTATGTGACCGATTACATCACTAAATCTCCTCTTAAAACATACTCTGTGTTTGAAGCGGTTAAAGCGGTATTAGAACGACGCACCGACATCGAAGAGCGTTCGGCCTCGAGTGAAGAGGTAGCGAGACGGGTTATCACAAAGGTTGTGAACCTCTTGAGCGCGCGGCGCGAGATTGGAGGTCCCGCCGCGTGTAGCTATCTCCTGGGCAATCCGGACCACTACACGAACCGTGAGTTCAAAGTGTTGTATTGGTACACGTACCTGAAACGCGCTATGGTAGATTCCGAGCACAATGTCCTTGTAAACCCGGATGGAAGTGATGACAAGCTGTTGATGACCGTGACGGAAAAACGGGTGGTTGGCTTGAGCAAAGTGAACGACTACATCTTTCGACCTGCAGAATTTGAGCACATGAGCGTTTATGAATACCTGAGGTGCACAGATGTCGTGCGGAAACGGAAGAAAGATAATGTGGAAAATGATGCACAGTCGTCCGATGATGAGGAAACCGATGACGGTTTGGATGAGGACATGGGCCGCATACCGTATGACGAGTCCACGGTGTATGCATTTCAATCAAAACATCCATTATATCGTACTCACGGCGTGCGTCGGAAGCCCGATAGTTTCAGATACGTGATTAATTTTACAGGGGGCGTGCTCCCGAGACGAGATCGTGGTGATCGCGAGCTGTATTGTGCCACTATGCTTGCCTTGTTCTTTCCGCGGGGTTGGCGTAAAGGTTCTGACTTACTCCGTGGGTGCACTTCTTGGGCGGAAGCATTTGATTGTGCAGGTTTTGATGGTCAACATGTCACGGTCATGAAGAATATGAACGTACTTTACGAGTGTGCTGATGCCAGGGATGATTACGCATCGCAGCGCCGAGCCTCGAGCGGGGACGTTCCGGTTTTTGCCGGTCGCGGTGGTGACGGCGTCGAGCAGCAAATGCCGGATGGTGTCGAGCTGAACGATACGGAGCACGATATTCTAGAGTTGCTTGAATGCGGAGATGCCGATGTGAACCCTGAAAGCAGTCGGAAAAAGGCAGAGATGGAATATATGAAGGTACTGCTTAATTCTTGCGGGTACACAAAGCCCCTTCCGCAAGTTGTAAATGTTCCTGTAGAAGATCGAGTTTTAGTCAGCGAATTGAGGAGCGAGATTTGGAAAGAGCGCGTTACGCGCGCGAAAGAAGCGGTAATAGAGGAACGGCGTGCGCGTAGATGTTATACCGACAATGATTTGGCAACGACTGACGAGCGGCTTGCGAGCGTTGGGAGTATGTCACATGTGGACATGGTTTCTGTAGTGACGCAGCATGATTTGAAGGGGATCAATATAGACGCACCTTTACAAGATAGCAGTACAGCGATGTTAGCGGAGACAGTCGCGGCGTACTCGCTGAACGTTGAGCAGGAAAGGGCTTTCATGATTATCGCAAAAGCGGTCCTTCATAGGAGTGCAATCCAGTTGCGGATGTATCTGGGAGGGATGGCGGGTACAGGTAAATCTCAAGTGTTGCGAGCACTGACCGCGTTTATGCACCGTCGCGGCGAGTTAAGCAGACTGCTGATACTTGCGCCTACGGGTTCGTCAGCGTGTAATGTTGACGGAAGCACCTATCACTCAGCATTGTGTATTGGACGCGATGCAGAGTCTTCCATAGATCTGGACCAGAACAAGCTATCTCGCTTACGGGGGAACCTGGAAGGTGTGGATGTCGTATTTCTCGACGAGATCTCAATGGTATCCTGCGCAGCATTTTACGTAGTTAGTGCCCAGCTTGCGGCTGCGCTGAATCGGCCTACTTTACCGTTTGGTGGCTGTCATATCATCGTTGCCGGCGACTTCGGCCAGCTACCCCCGCCAGGAGTAGGGCAGTTGCCCTTGTATAGCGACCGAGTCGAGAGGTGGTCTTCGTCCCAAACAATGAAAGGTCAGATGAATGCTATAGGTCAGGCTATTTGGAGGCAGTTCACGACCGTTGTGTTACTTAGACAGAACATGAGGCAGCGAGGTATGTCAGATGCGGACAAAATGTTTAGGCGCGCGTTGAATAACCTGCGCGTCAAAGCTTGCACGAGCGAAGACTTAGCGCTCTTTCGAACACGTGTCGTGGGCGTCTTCTCTTCTGCAGCTCAACCCGCTGGTCTTGACCTCGAACGACTGCACTACGCTTCAGTAATCACGGCACGAAACTCTCATCGGGATGCAATAAACGAGGTAGGCTCCATGGTGTTTGCTGCGCGCAGTGGGCAGTCGCTAATGGAATTTCGCTCGGTAGACTCATGGGCGATTGAACGCGCTACTCAATCTGTGCGTAGCCAACAACGAGAGACCGGGATGTCTTTGGATCCGGTTCGATCTAGTAACACTATTCATCGCGAAATACAGCAGGTACTTTGGGATATCTCTCCCTGTATGACTGAGCATCACGCGGGGACATTAAAGCTCGCAAAGGGTATGCCAGTATTGCTCAAAAATAATGAGGCGACAGAGTTGTGTGCAACAAACGGTGCGCAGGGTATAGTTTACGACTGGACCGCGACGACAGACGCTAACGGCTTTAATGTGCTAGAAGTGCTTTTTGTGAAGTTGCTGAACCCTCCTAAAGAGGTACACGTCGAAGGCCTGCCACCCAATGTCGTTCCAATACCGCGTACGAAGGCGCGTGTTAAATGCGTCCTTCCTTACTCAACAAAGCACGTTCATATAGACAGGGAACAGGTGATGGTGCTTCCTAATTTTGCTATGTCAGATTTTGCATCCCAAGGTCTCACGCGTTCTTTTAATCCAGTACACCTCGAGTTCTGTCGGACTTGTCAAGCTTTGTATACATGCCTTTCGCGTAGCGCATCCCTAGAAGGTACTGTAATCCTGGGTGAATTCGATGAGCGGAAAATGGTCGGCGGTCTGTCGCCTCCATTGAGGCGGGAGTTCGTCGACTTCGAGATACTCGACGATATCACGCGGCTCGCTTACGAGGACAAGCTCCCTGCGTCAGTGAGTCGAGGATACAGGTCGGAAGCTGTGAGCACGTTTCTTCGAGTGATGTCCAGTGCTTATTGTCCACCTCATATTCATCCTGCGCTCGACTGGCGGTCATACAAGACAGATCAGCATGTAGAGAAACCAGAACCGTGGCAGATGCTGTCACGTGGATCCAAACGTAGAGGGAAGACGTCAGCCATGAAACGCAAGGCTGAAGCCTCCGTACAGGAGACTATATGGGATACAAGTCGCCCGAGTAAGCGTGTAGCGCGACGAGTAGACCGTAACGTCACTGGCGGGATTCGCCACGCCGGTCGGGTCCAACCGTCGGGTTTCGTGTGGGACAGTGCGGATTACAGTTGCGCGTACGACAGCATCCTCACTATCTTATGGAACTTGTATTCGGAGAACAGCGTCGAGTTTGCGTTGCGGGTTTCAAACGTCTCGTCCTCGTTCGACGAAGCCGTCCGGTGCTTTAGGTCAATCAACGAACATCCATCGGAAATGGAGATGCAGCGTGACGTGCTCCGAGATTTCTTCTCTGCCGCGGACGCTGCTCGGTTTCCTCGTCGTGGCGCGACTCTGGCTGCGGTCTCGGATGTTATAGAACATCTAGTAAGACGACCCGGAGGATATGGATACCGCGTGCGGAGGTGTCGCTATTGCACGAATATCGTTATTGGAGCCAATGAAGCGCGACAAACTCTGTCCACCGGTTTGGTGTACATAGACGTACGGTATGATCTGCGAGACGTTCGCGATGACAACAGGACTCTGTCTGCTCGGGTAGCCGGTGTGCTGTGTGGAGGGTCGGACAACACGTGTACACGGTGCGCGATGGATACTTCTGTATCCCTGGTGACTGACAAGGTTCCACCTATAGTGTGTGCAGAACTATATCCTCAAGGGCATCCGATGCACCTGGACATTGACCGCGAGCTTATGCTAAACGTGAACGGACGGTTGTGTAAGTGGTCGGTGCGAGGTCTTATCTATTGGGGAGCTGACCATTTTACCTGCAGGTTTGTCGATTTAGAGGGCCAGGTTTGGTATCACGATGGTATATCCACCGGTCGTAATTGTGCCAGGGAGTCGTCCTTAGCAGATGCTGACCTATGTCACGCGCGCGGACGTCAGCTGTCCCATGTTGTGTACTTTTTGGCGAGTGCGTGACGTGGGCGTACTATACCTGGTATGCGCAGTTTCGAGCCATTTATTCGCTGAGCCTATCGTTGTTGTAATACCTGATTGCCTTTCGATAGGTCGACTATGAAAGCTTTGGCGAACACGACGGTCTCGCGATAATCACAAACGTTAGTCCAACCTGTGCCGCCTATATTAAAGACTAATTGTTTTTCGCGTTCTAGTCTATACGCGAAAGTCAAATGCTACTCCCACGACCCTCTACGTCTGCATCGCATTCGGATCGTCTTGCTGTACGGAGGCCGTGCCCACTAAAGCGAAAATGTGAGCCGCTGCCTGCTGATCCGTGACGACTCGGTTGCTCGGGGGGGGCGGGTGCGCCATCTAGGTGGTATTTGTAAGCATGGTGCGTCGCGCGGGTTTTATTTGGTATGCTACTCACCTCTACCGTCGCCTTATCAGCTACGCGTATGACTTGTTGAACGCTCAGCCGAGCTTCTGTGGCCCATCCGCTGCGCTTGCGATATTTGATGATGTCGACAGAAGCGCTAACCTCGACGAAGTCACCCACTCGTATAATCGTGTAGGGCTTCTTCGTGGGCTTGCCTTGCTCGTCGTATAGGGCGGTGAAGATCTTGTGACCTACCACCCAGTCGTTCTGTATAGCGGAAGCCCACCCGTGCGGGTCGTCTCCATACACCAGCGCCGACTTAACTGCCGAAGGTGCGTCTCTCCGAACCTGTATAACGTATCACATCAGTGTCCACCGGTAACGCGATAACGCGACAGCGTGACGAACCTTCGTGAACACCAGGCGCTGGAAGTATATGGTGCCCGGGCGACGAGTTGTGTCTTCGACCGTACAGTTGAGCACCGTCCCGACGTACGCGCGGATATTCTCCAGAGAGCGGCGCTGGTCGTCGAACGGCAGGTTCCACGAAGAGCCGGTGAGTGATAGGAACTGGACCGCTCTCGGCGCCGCTTCCTTGCGGCTGATTCCATTCAGCGCGTTTACGTTGCCACTATACTTTCTGACTCACCCGTTATAATTGCCCGTAGGCGAAATATTCAGCGACTCTACCACCCCATGGAACCGCAACACAACGCGAACGTCCTCCCCTTTCACAGGGCATACCGTTGGAGAGTATAGAAGCACATACGGGTGCGTCGCCCTCACGCCCTCGTCTGTTCTGTTGACTAACATCCAGGAGCACAGCCCATCGTAGTCGTGGGGGACGCGTTGCCAATCGGCGAATACCGACGGCGGAGTGATAGCTGGCAGCCGCTCAGTTAGAAGTGGGGACCACAGGGTACGAGTCAGAACGTCGGCGTTGGCTACGCGGACAAAGTGAGCGTATGCGCTTCTGACTACGTGTGCCTGCAATGACTACGTACACATGAAGTATGACATCTTGCAACGCGAACGGTGAACAAGAACACGGAGTTTGCTCCTACGCAAAAATGCCATGCACAAGATTATATACCACTCTCAAGTGCAAGATCCTCCAGTGAGTCGCTGTATTCTGTCTCCCATGTGGCTATTTGAGGCAAGGCCCAGCATATCGCTGTCGTTCTTGCAATACTTAATCCGTCATGAACGTTTTAGCAGATCTCAATCTGGTGGCATGATGCCTCTGTACCATCGGGGGAGAGGATCTTTGTTATTGGAAATGTAACGCAACCCCACAACATCTCTATCGTGCGCGCGATAACGGTATGATATGTGAGGATCTGCTTCTTTGCCAACACGGTACTGGTTGCGGCCGATCGCATCTCGGGTCGTATCTGGCAGATTATATCAGGCAAATATGTCCTCTGGTGTGCTCACGTCACGGAGAAACTCATGTCCTGGCTGCTGCAGAAGTTGATGACACACTGCTGCGACGAAACGACGGCGCCGCGTATCCTAGGCGCCTCTGTGTCAGTTTAAAAAGGTGGTGGTCGATTCGGTAGGGTCCCAGAATCGCATCCGCTCCCCAACCCTTCTAATGGCCACCGGAGACTCTCGTGACAAGGGGCGAACGCCTTCCGCTGCATCCGAGCCTTCTAAACGCAAGAACACTTCCTCTGGTAGCAAACAGTAAGTCTCTGGTTCTGCAGCGCGTCATCTTGCTAATGCATACCGCTTCGTTGCAGACTCGCTAGTTCGGACGTGCCGTCAGTGCTTTCGTCTCGCGCTGATACATCAGCTGACCGATTTCTTTCGACGATAGACCCGCCCAGACGACGAGCTCCTCTTCCAACGACAGCTCGCCGTCTCAACCACCCCCTACGCAAAGATCATCTACACCCGATTCTGGGAGCGTTGCGTCTTCTACCACTCTCCCTGAGACCCGCAACACCCAAGACCCTCAGTCGGTGAATCCGAAGCCGGTCCGTCAAGTCGGCTCGAAGACCAAGCGAGCTCCTTCTCCAGAGTGGCCAACCAGTCCGTTTGGATTGGATTACCCTGACGAGTTGCTCGAGTAAGTGCGCACGTGTTGTATTCGCGTTCTAAGCTGACATCTGTTTATAGCCGTGTGCGGAATCTGTCCACGATGGCGGACGCTGCAAGCAACCGATACGGTCTTACTCGACTGCCTCGCTCGGCGAAGTGGGGTCCGAGGGACGACAAACTAGACGACGTCTTGTGTAACGACGGGAAGCCCATCGTGACCTTCATCCTCGGAGAGGTTGAGAACGCGTCCTTTTTCAACGAGCTCGAACAGCCTCAGAAGTTCGTAAGGGTCGCCGTGAAGCCGATGTTTCACGCAGACGTCGCGACTGGACACAGGATTATCAGAAGCCTAGCGGCCAATGTCAAGAAAGGTGAATTTCATGCGCCGCTGTTTTGTCTTGCTATATTGTTCTGATTTGTATTTGCTCTCAGCCGAGGAGCTGCAAGTCGGCATCATCGAGGCCGGCAGGCGTCAGACGCGCCGAGTTAAGAGCTCTCGGAACACTGTTGTGAGTCGCATCTTCTGCGCGATACACGCACCGTTCCTCACTCGGGTTTGCGCAGCCGTACGAGTTCGCCCGTGTTTACGACGCTTCAGAGCGTTACGGGCCGAAGAGCATCATGCGCAAGCTGTCAGCCAAAGACATCGGTTACCGCGACCTCGTTCTCGTCGAGTGCAAGATCGTGCGGTTCCGCGCTGACTCCGAGACAGGTAAGGCGCAATACTTCCTCACGGAATGGGGTAGCTGGAGGGTTCGCTTTGACATCGTGAGCGTTTGTCGTCTGCACGAGAGCGGCGACGACGTCGAGAGCGAGTCATCGTCTGATGGTGGGGACGCGCCCGTTGTGTAGAAAGCTTCGCGCTCCGAACATGTCTCGTGATTGTCATAAATTGTTTCTACCTCTTTTCCTTAGCATGTCATAGAGCTTCTGTATCCGGCCCTACCTGCGCCAAAACAAATAGATGTCATACACCGTTTATCTTGGTACCCATGCGTGCTGCAGGTGTGTGTGGACTGATTGGTTACTTTTCCGCTGATCTTGTTATGGACGTTGTCCTATAGCGCGCTGCCCTGAAACGAGCGCCTGCAACGAGCCTTGATAAGACGGCATATCGCCCCATGCCATTGCTGTTCACAGAACGCCCGTTACGATCGCGGATTATGACGCGGTCAGCGCATGCTTGCGTGTCGCAAGCGGCAAGGCGTCTGTAGCCCATCTCTGGTCCGACCGCGTCTCAACGAAGGATGTGGAAGGCTACGATACTGCCACGCTCGGTATGCATCACTACTACGTACATGTTGTATAACTAACATGTTTAATCATCTGCGAACAGTCTACCGGTCAGTTAGGATGAGTACGCTACTGCTGTAAACGTACCGCAATGAAGCTCACCTTTGTACGGCTCTTTTAATTGCCGGAACGTCCCCGTTCTCTACAGACACCAGGTCGAAGTTAGAGTCGACCCCGGCTACGATCAGCTTCCCATGGTAGATTGGGGAGCCGATAAGACTGTATACCCAGCGGTTAAGTGGGCCTCCCTGGCCTGCTGATACTGGCCATATCGCGAACGTTGCTACACGCCCGTAGGCACCTGGCCGCTGTACTGATATGGTGCGGGCCGCCGAACATGCTGATGCGCCCAGCGTCTGTGCTTCGCGACGTCCATCTGACAGTTGGGCCTTCAAGTTGTGGATATAAGGCTCCCCGATGGCGGGTATGACGAGAGCATCCACAGATTCCTGCATTCTGTTAGCCAGTGACAATTCCTGCACTTCGCACCTCACCTCTACGTCTTCTTCGTCCCACATTTTCTTGCCGGTATCGACACTGCGTTGCACAAAGGTCGCCGTCTGGGCTGTGTTTGAACGTAGACTGTGGCTGACATAAGTCACCGGCTAGGTATCCGCAACGACTGCGCTTACAGATATGAGCGGTCAGGTATGTTGGTTCGAGCCTCGCGTCCCGGAAAGAGCGGCCCTGATATGTGGTATGATCAGAGCACTGGCAGCGGATTCGAAGACGTAACATGGAGGCTATACAATTCGCCTCGGTATGGGATGTCGTACATCGGGCGCCTTCACACGAACGCGCTGGCCTTTTCGGAGACCGTGGCCGACCTCGTCATCCGCGTGGACTACGGGTACGAGGTGCGCATCCCGTGGAACATCCCCCGCTGTCCGATCAAGATTAGGATGAAGAGGATCGATGAAGAAGGCAGAGGGGTGAGATTTTATCCACGTCGTATCGGAGTGTTGATTGAGTTGACGATTACCTTCTAGTATGCTGTCATTCTGGTCGTATACGTCCGCGAAGCGTATGGCAGATGGTATCTCAGAACCGTGAGACGCACCACGCGGATCATCTCGACTTCGACGAGCACGAACGAGGGCGCCGATAGCAGCGTATCAGGCAGGGACAACGCTTGATATCAGGACCCATAGTCTTATCGGGTCGTGGCGTCAGAATGTATAGGTTACGTGAACGGCTTATCTTCACCTAGTTCATCTTTAGTTACGACTGTGTTTTTGCTGCGGCAAGTGAAGGCTGGGCCGTGCGTACGACCACCGCGCCCGCAAAGAAGGCAGGGCGAGTGACCTATGATAAGGCTATCGTCAGTATTGCGCCATGCATCATGGCTTCACACGACCTACTACAAAGTTCCAGGGTACAGGTTGTCAATCTGTGGCTGAGCAGGATGAAATTCTTATTACACGTTGCATCTTTAGAACGCGGATCGGGATCGTAGTCAGATCTAGATGTTGTGTGCGCGCCGGGAGAAATGTTTTCACTGCCATCCGCCCTTTCCCATATGCGGATATGGAGATCGCAACGCCGACTGTAAGAGGACCGTCAACATACGCTACTTCGATAACCGAAATAGTGGGAACGCTCGCCGACCATGTAGGCCGCCAGGCGACTCACCTGATGTACAGAGGGACTGCGAAGCCGACCCTCACATGCTGTGACGCGAGATTACAGCATGCGGTATGGATCATGTTCGCGGTTTAAGGTGCTAATAAGACGGTGAGGATAAAGTGATCATATAAATTGAGGGCGGATGCTCGACTTACTCTGCAACCTATTGTCGTACGCCCTTTCGCCGTCTCCTACTATGTCCTCCAACATCATATACGACACGCGTTTGCCGGTTCGGCCAGGTGCTGTCGTTACGCAGTCAGTATTGTTGTGCCTTCCCGTTCCGACGTGAGAGGTTGACTCTCTGTATCATAGGTCTCAAACACGTACGCGTACCGACAGTGGACAAGTGGTACCGCGCACCAGCCGTGCGGTCGGATGGCTGTTGGACCCGTACGCCATCAGCATGCCCGCGTGGACTTCCGAGGACATGCAGCGGTAAGCTACGGACTGTGAACCTATCTCTGAGTAGTTGATAACGAGGTTTGCAGACGAGTCCGACGCTTTCTCGAGTTCACCCATAACGAGCTAGCCATATACTCCGTATCTCAGATACCACGCGCATCTACTTGGGGAACACCGCCGAACGCTCACGTCCTCTGCCAGCCGGTTACGATGCGCCCGATCAAGATTTGGGTCGTCGGGACTGTCGCGGATATGTCGTGCAGCATATCTGGTCGAGCACCCTCGGCGGAGACGATCCTGAGGATCAGTTTCTTGCGTGCTATCGATAGCTCCTTCATGGTTAAGCTAATACAGATGGGGAGGCCTAGACCTTGTAAGTGTTTCACTAATTCGGAGATGCGTCGCTTACGTGCATGAAGGGTTTGATAGTGGCGTCTTCGAAGCATCGCGCAACGAGACGAGCGGGTTGCACGAGCCGGTATGCGTAACTGCTGTGTTCTTGTGAGTCGTCTGCTGACAATGCTTGATTTTGGCGGATCAGTGCTTCTTCAAAGACGTCTACGACGCGACCGAGAGCTTCGGCTCAAAGCAGGGCATGCGCCAGATAGGACTGTCTGGTCTAGCCATCGGGGATGTTGTGTTAGCGGAGAGCTATTGCGTGCGCATGCCCAGGAACGAAAGGGCGGTACCCCGTATCGGAGACAATTGGTACTGCAGTTTCCGTCTCACCTCTGTTTCTCTTCTTTTCAAATCTCCTCGTGCTGTTCTACACTCCTCGGAGGATAAGTTCACTGGCTCGTTGTAACCTGCCGTCTGCGTGTTTTCTATTAGCGTAGGAGTTGTATGGTTCCAAATGCAGACTCCCTATTTTCGCATTTTACGGTCTGGCGATTTGGCTGATCTTGGGGTATATCTGGCAACGCGCAACATATCTGATAACACAGACGGCCATCGGAGGGTTGACGAGACGATAAGCAGATGGACCCCGTGTTCGTAGCAGTCGTGGCGAGACGACGACGCGTACGGACGCGAGCGCCCCGTATCGTGTCTATGTTTGGTTATCTGCGCAACCATATGGCCAAATAGTTGCAAATTATCGGGCCGGCTTGAGCGATGCACTTTAGCGCTTGAATGCATTCGTCGTCTTCCCCTCTACCCTCTATGCCGTCTCATTTGCAAACCAGGCCCAGCGTTCTCGTCCCAAATTATGTCCTTTCCCGTGGGCATGGATACTATTGAGTCAGTATAAGTAGTCACCCGAGTGAGCAGCATATTCTTCTTACAGCAGCTCGAGTGTTACGATTTCGTTAAACCCTCTCCTCGGCTCTTTCGACTCGGACTCGGACATCATGATCACTACAGTACGTCTTGTCAGCAACACTCTTATGGTATAGCCGATGCAACTGATCATGTGCAGACTAGAAAAATAACGGGCGCATACTGCGTCAGCGGCAGCCGGCCCCGCGCTGTCTTCGTCACCCTACAACACTTCAACTTCGATGAAGGCTTCGAAGTGCCGCTTCTTGACGGCATAATGCGCGGATCTCAACTCGTTCACCGGCATCTCATGAAACTGTCCTCGTCCGCGGCCACCTACATCGTCTTTGTGTGCACCAAGACGCTGGATCGACGGGGGCGCTTACAACGACGCCATGACCGGAACGTTCCCTGGGAAGGGGATATGCTCGTATTACGCCGCGCGATGTTCAAACAGGGTTATGTGAACCTGACGAAGCATGACAAGCGGCTCGTTCCGTATATCGTCTCCCAGTATGTTTGTATCCGATTTGGTGAGATATTATACGCGGAGCTGACGCCGTTCCGTTAGCATCCTCAACCAGATCCGCCGCAGCAACAAAGTGTGCCGCTCTAGGAACTAGCTAGGCCCCTTGAACGAGTAGGAGGTCTTGGCAGATCGTACCGCGTTACCGTCGTCTTGTAAAACTCTAGAACGCGCGCAAAGCATTCATTCCTCCGTTTTGGTTAGGCTCTCATCGAACTTCGGCATGCATGCCTATCCTCCGATGCCGCACATTCAGCGGGATTAACATTCGTCCGCTGCTAATAATGCGACTCGCGCTCCTGTGTATCAACCGTTCCCATAATGGTCAGTTTTATTGCGATACCTCGTTCGCTGTTAATGACTCTCCTTTGTGTGTGACCGCGCAGGGACCTATAAGTTGAGGATGCCTCTAAGGCTTAGCGTTATCGCAGCACTACCACCTCGTCGCCCCACGTACCTCCGCCATGTCGCTTCCGCCAAGACACGGTGTTGTCCTCGAGCTCCCCATATACATCCAGCGACTGGCCGAACCTTCCGATCCGCTGTTCATGGCATGTATTGCGTGCACTTCTAGGTTGGGTACCGCTCACGCCTTACCTCGTTACAGCGCCACTTACTCGTCAACGTCGTCGTGAAAGTTTCCGACACCGATTCTGTATCCTCCGTGTTTACCTGGCACCAAGTGAAGTCGTCTGTCGCTCGACTGCCGTACTTGCAGCACGTAGTCATCGACGCGCCGCGGCGTCAAAACATGGAGTTCTATGGGCCGAGCGATCCGTTTGATCGTCCGATGTTCCTTTTCGTATCTCATCGCACCCTCAGCGGGGCACCGGTGCGTACACGCTCAGTCCCAGCTCGTGTTTACATCTCTCCTTACATAGCGTCACGCTGTTCAGTTCGTCATATGCATGGCCATATACCTATTCGAATGGCAGGGCAGTATTGTCGTCGACGCCGACATCCAGCAAGTCTTTACGCGAAACCGCCGCACCACCGAACCCCTTCAACTTATCCTCCCCCCGGAGTCTTCTCAAGCGAACAACGAAGACCAGGATCGCCCTCCCTCTACCCATGGCCAGTCCCAGCTCGTGCACCTGTCCAACTAGTGGCTGTTATGTCAGATTTGTACTTCTCGCGTGTACGCCGCTGAATCAATTCCTATTGTCTTGTCGTGTCCGCCCGAGCACGCGTTACCATCGGATCAGGGTAGCCAAGCCTCATCGATTCATCGCGTACCTTGCGTGGTTGGTGCGTGCATCTCGTAAGCGTTTACACTATTTCGCCTTATCGTCCTAGGCACAGTACTGCCCGTACTTCGCCAGCGTGACTTGAATCGTAGTGCGCGCACGGCCGCGGTATCACTGCGGAAATTGGGACTTCATTTACATGCACATGAGCTTGGTATTGTGTTAACGCGCAGGAAACTCGTAAGGTCTATCTAAACAAAAGCATACGTGTCTAAGTGTATCGTGGCGAGCGTATCATACATACATTGCGGTAGGATCGTGCATAGAGCGTAACTGGAAGGCATCGCCGACTATCACTACTGGGACAGTGAGTAGAGATTCCGGAACGATGGGGTCGAGCATGCTGCATGGTCCATCACAGGGTCGGTGGGATGTTAGGATACGCCAGGCTACTGTGACACCGTAAGGAGCTTGGTGTCGCTGCTTCATATACGAGTGGTTCGCGTTGACAAGATCGAACATCGTAAGGACAGATCCCGCGTCTCCGAAAAAGCGACCTTGAGATGGGCAGACGAACCACTGTCGTAGGCACGCACGCCAGGCTGGGTTCGGGGGTTGAGGTACCTTTGCGGCGTAGTCATCCCATGACGTAGGCTCCGATGCTATGTCGAACTGAAGGTTGTCCAGCTGTCGATAATACGCGCGGAGGGCCCAGTCGCGACGACGAAGGGGGGGAGCGAGCGTGCGCCGTCTCAATGTGAGCGTTGGATACCCGCATGCGAAGGCGTGGGGCGAGACCCAGTTGATGAGCGCGGTGAGAGGTGACATGGCTATGGGGTCAAAGGGGGATATGGATTTTGATGTGTGCACGGTGATAAAACGGTCGGCGGATACGGTAAATGTAGACGCCTTCGCGACGTTGCGTTGCAGCCTGTCCCACGTCTCCTCGACCGAAGTCAAGTGAAGGTCGAGGTCTTCTTCCAGCAGCTGCACCAGTCTGTCCCCATGGAGAGAAGAGACATAGATGTCCAGCGTAGCCGGTAACCCGTCTTGAGTTCGTAGAAGAAACAGCAGAGCGCTTCTCCCTCCGACGACCGCGTTCGTCTCGTCCATACTTTCCCACAGCAGCTCGGGGTTGGGCACGTAGTGAAGGAGCAGCTTGCGGCGATCAAGGCGGAGGACGTCGTGCACGTGCGCGTATAGATCGCGGTTGGTCTTCCGCAGTGCTAGTAAGGCGACAATGCCGCAAGATTGCACGATGTGACGCAGGAGTTCAGATGGGAAACTGTGAACGATGTGAGCCTCTGTCGCTGTGCAAGCTCGTGGATGACCTTACTTGTCAGGGTGCAGGGGAGAGCGACCGCTGTAGGCACTCATATTTGAGACCAGAGCGGGGGCGTAAGACGTGAGCGCGACCGGCGGCGAAAGCGTCAATAGACGTGGAGCTCGCAGGCTGAAATATAAGAGTGCGCCGGGTAATCGCGTGCAACGAGACAGTCTTATATAGTGCCTGCATTCGCGCGCGATCGAGTTCGTCGAGATTATATTATTTTCAAGTATTGTGTTCAAACATACGTGTAGCAGTGTTCTGCTATAGACACCCAGAACGGTCAAATGATATGTGCGGCCGATAATGAATGACGTCATCGTGTTTGTACACACTTCGGTGTCTTCGGCGTGCGCGCTCAGCAGACGGTCGCAGTAGTAAGCTCGTCGTCTTCCTCCTTGTCAAAGTGACACACCAGAGTACTCTTTCTCTTCAGTCGGCGAGTGCGAAATTGAGGACGCTCCTGCGTCAACCTGCGTTAATCCTGCGTGTATGTCGGCTGTCGCGCAGCATAATACCCAGTCTCAGCCGTCCGCGATGTGAGATTTGTGGATGTAAACACTTGCCATTTCCCGCTCTACCTGGGCGCGACGCTAACAAATGTCGTACAGCATCCGCTTCAAATAACCGCGGTAAAAAAGCATACATTTGAACCCTCTGATATACCGTCACGTAACATCCGCTGGCTCGACCTCCCCAACTTTCCGTGCCTTCTTATATCGCGTCACAGAGCGTAAGCGTCACCAACATACAAGCACCGAGTCGCAGCCATCACGCCCTCGGTCAGCAGCTTGATATCAGCTATGACCTCGAAGGTCGACCTATCGCCAGGCAACCACTCGATGAACGTGAGCTGAATAGCAATCCGTGTCTGCAAAAAAGCAAATGTAAGTGTAACCTCCCTCGATAGACCAATCTCTCTCACCTGCAGGATAAGCCCGCGAATTCTGCGCACTACCACATATACGGGCGCGTACATGATGTTGCTGGGCACGTAGATAGAAGCGTCGGTCGTCAGCGAGAGGTGGCGTGACACTCCGACGCGTGGAAAGGGAGGGTTGACTTCGTCGCACGTCGCCGTCGCTTGAACGAATTTGCCGTCCGCCGACATAGCCAGTACAACTTCGACGAGCATGTTGACTTGCACGGAGTTGTGCCTGGCGAGTTCTAAATAGACCGGTACGCGCAAAACCTCTTCCGGCATGTCGACGACCACGGGAGTCGACGGCGGCGTGGAAGGCAAGGCGTCTACAGCCCGTTCTGTAGGCTCTTGGTCTATTGAACCGGCGTCTGGCCCGGAAACGATATCGGATATGGGTATGCTGCAAATCATACGGTGAGCACGACGGGCCGTCTGTACGAGTGACTACTTACGCGTCCATGGGCATGCGGCTGTCGGTTTGATACAGGGTGCCACGAGAGGGTATCTGTCGCATTTTATATCAGTTCCGACACGCGGAACGCTACTGCTGCATGAGCGTGTAACGGGTATGCCGCCCGTTTCCTAATGTCATCTAAGGTGGTCCCGCCTTCAGTCGCCGAGTAACGCTGCTTGTGTGCGGGCTGTCTAAAAGAAGAAGCGACTCTATCGCGTCCTTACGCGATTGTCGTTCATCGCATCCTCCGCCCGACGGCGATCGTTCCTGTTCTCACAGATCTCGCGGATGAGCGGCCGGTTACTAACCAACGATGACATGGTCCTATCAGTTGTACGCCTTACGATAACAAGATAGCATCCTGTATCTCCTTGTATCGGCAGATACGCCGTACGATGTGGATCTCGATGCTATCAGCATACCTCAGAGATATCCAAATACTCGCCTCGTGTCCTACCGATCCTGGAAAGGATCGTCGCCTGTGTGCCCCTGTGAAGCAAGTGCGTCAAGTGGACGACCGACCGTATAGTGACGCTTCGACAGCGAAGACAGCTTTGTCCTACGGACAGGTTGTAGCATTTATAGTTCGTGCTATAAAATGAAGGGTTGTTTGCGTGTTCTCCGTCCGCTTCGCCGCTTTCGAATCTCTCGCAGCAGACGGTACGTTCGTTTACTCGCTCGCCTTCTATGCATTCCACTCACCATATACGAAAGCACAAGCGCATCGCTACCATGTCTGATCGCTCGGACTCTCCCCCTCCCTTGGAACCTGCCGACGCTGACTACTCATATGAACCCGATCAGTTCGGGGACATCTTCACGTACCGGGATAGACCGGTACGTTTGCACACTGTGTCCAAACTGTCTGTGGCTCACATCCCTACTTCAGCTCTCTATAACCATATGCATCGGCATCGGCGAGCAACCGCTCCCTCTCGTCTCGGTCCGAGTTTTCCATGACAGGGAATACCTCGACAGCGAGCAGGCTCTACACGCGTCTTGGATGGCGTACACGCGCGAGTTGGAGGCTCGACTCGCGCAGCGCTTGACTCTTGTCATCCGCGAAGTCCTCCTTCACAACCTGATGGTCGATATGGGCTTGCGTGTATGAAGTTGGCGTAGTTTCGCGGTGCCTCGTGTTCGCGTCAACAATATGATGCGCATGACTTTCAACGCTGCTCTCCAAAGGGCAACCAGTCTGAGTTCTCAACGTATCGGCGTATGGGCGCAGATTATCTACGCATAAGTCTTGCTTCTCAACGTCGGCGCCGACCGCAAAGTAGCAGAACGGATGCAAGATGCTTGACCGCTTCTCATGCGGTACCCAACGTCGCGCCCTCTCTCGTTTGTTGTACACATACATCACCCGCTACCTCGTGCCTCCATTTCGCAACGCCCTCTTGCTATGATAGCATGTTACGAGGAGCGCGGCGCTATGGCAGCAGGGGCCGTCACACTCTATTAGGAGAGAACACAGGACTCACCAACTGCGCTGAGTACCGAACACGACCGCGGGTTTACTCTAGGCCCGAATGTAACACTTTGCTCGCACCGCAGCAGCCCCGCCGTACTCTACACACTGTCTGGCGAGTCTGCTGAAATAGGCGAACCGCGCTGCGACTGGAGGCCGGGTCTTGAGGAAGCCGAGGTTGATACGAGACGTATACAAGAAGGTCATGGTACGGTCAAGAGGTGCGCAAAGCGAGCTATCTGTAGCATGTAGAAGCTTAAGCAGGTATATGCATATTGAGATGGTGAGCGGAGTGTCGCGAGGAGAACGCGTCGCAGCGCTTTGACAGAGTAGAGCAGAGTAGACGACCTAGACCCCGCTTCGAGTGCGAGAGCCTATTCTAGCACGTGTAGCAATTCAAGCGCCCTGATATTCACACGGCTGACCACTCGCGGTTTCTCCCGCGTACTCTCTCTCTCTCCTACATCCTGTTATTCCGTTCTGCATCAGGTCGCTTCTCTTATAAAGAATGTGATCGAGGTGTACGTGTCGCGCGACTTCATCCGTGATCTGGCACTCGAGCTGGAGGTGAGAATAGGCTGCATTAGACCTGATATCGTACTCACAGCGCCGTACATGGCATAGCACAACAAGGACGCGGATTATCAACCGCTACAGTCCGAGTCGCGAACGAACCACATGCTTACAAGAGGAGCAGATCCACAGGCTGCAAAACGAGATCGCGCACGAAATCAGCTTCGCGGGGGTGCGGCAGGGGTGTACCAAAGCGATCGAGCTGCCCGTCCGCTGAAGGCTAGGCACGATTAGAGGGCGTACCTCGACAACGAGGTCGTGAGCTTGGATGAGAAACACAAGAACGCTTTCGCTGCTCTGCGTGGCCGGTACAAGCTACGGCCCAGTCTGACCATCACGCCGCGCTCACGCGTGCAGCGCTCTCCCGCACGGTCAGTCGTCGCTCAGCCCGCGAGACATACAGTGCTCACTTCAACTGCGTTCAGATCTCAGGGTCTCGACGGACTCCCAGCCATCTCTCCCAACAGCGCCAACCACAGCAATGCCATGCGCGTTTCCAGTCTTTGTCGCTGATGCCTGCTTTACGTCCTCGGCGCTGACTTCAGTAACTTTGTTCTACATCTGCCCACCAGCGCTCGAAAGCAGAAGCTAGGCCTTCATACTGAAAGACATCCACGATATCGTCCTCCGTGAATCCCTTCTCCTTACTGCAGTCCCCTCGATGTGCGCTGCAGTGCAATAGTGCTCTCGCGTTTTATTTTTAACACCAGCTATTCCCGCCGTTTTCTTTGTAAGCGTGCGAAGACGTTGGGTGCTTCAGCGTAAGACGGGACGAGGTGGGTGTCGTAACATATCCAGCACACAGCGATGACTGACACGTTTGACAGCATATACGACGGACGCTGTCACGGTCTGCATACCCTCCGACAATTACAGCTACAACATAGACCTCAGACAGCGACGTGCGGGAACGTCTTCGGCCTATACTTCTTCGCTAGCGTTCACTGCAGGTGCTGGCACGACGCGCAGTCAGCAAGCCCACTCGCTGAACTCAGCTCAAGACGTCGCCGCCAACTGCCCCAAAGACACCGTATCTCGGCAAACACGTACAAGACGCGTTGAGGACGACCGCGAGTTGTTCTGAGCTAGCACGCCTAGGCCGCCTCGCTGGGTTTTGGCCCCTATAATACAACATTGTATACACGATTCTCAATGACCGGATCGCGTGAGACGTACAGTTGGAGCACCCGTACCTTGATGGCGAATCTACCTCGATTTTATCCCTGACGTCGCGTCGCAGCCTCTGTTCTCGGAGTTAAGATGGGTCACCTGAGCGGGTGCGGAGATGAGTGCTCGCCATAAACCTCGCAGAGTAGATGAAAGGGCGTTGAATGACTGGGCGGAGGAGTTGAAGCACGCGTAGCCTGCAGCTGGGGCATGTGCACTTTTTTGGCGCCAGAGACACACGACTAGTCACGACCACGCGACTCACTTCAGTCACACGTGTCGCCGCGCGCGCACGAGCGCTAACTCCTTCTCCGCTTCATCTTAGAACGCCTCTGTCCACGAATATTCTCGTGCAGCGAATACAAGACTCATATCCGCGATACCACTCTCAAACGTCCCTACACGACTAAAATACCTCGCTCGCCTTACTCCGCTGCTGTCACTCTCGCGTACTGGACCCTATCTCTGCGCGAATACCAGGAACGTTTCCGTATCCTATACTAAGTCTAAAACAGCCACAAAGACGACGTCAACGTATGCAAGCTGAGCGGAGGGCCATATAAGCATAATTTCTAATGTGCGTACCACATATGCGCTTCGACTGACACCCTATATAGCCATGAGGCACATACTATCAGCGCATTCTCTACGAAGACATAGAACTCTTCTCATACGTTAACACGATGCACAAGCGAGTACAAAATGCTAATCTACATTAGCCGTGCGCGTTGCCACTGTCCAAACCTCGCAAAATGTGCCGCGATGTTGCCCACGTCCGCCTGTTCCATGTCCTCGTATGCGGTACACAGGTTGCTGGAATACTTGAACACGACTACCGTACCAGGCCACAACAAGGTGAGTTCGTGGTTCGTGGTCTCCAACAGCGACGCGATAGCACGGTTTCCGCTCCCGTTCAGGATGAACGAACGAGTGCAGTAGAAGATATGGTACGGTTTGGTGAGATACTGATTTCTCTCGTCGTAGTGCAAGATATGCGCCCCGCGGCCGTAAGCGAAGTATCGCCCGAGGTGGGGGGCGGTATAGGACAGGTGTCCGTCGACCACCGCGGTGGAGCATTCGACAATCTTGAACACGCATTGATCTAAAAGGTGAGCGTTAGAGATATATTACCAAGCCATAACCGACACTCACCATGCTGTGCCTCCATTATGTAGCCCACCACGCCGTGTCGGTGGACCTCCACCAATGACGATGTCGCAGAGAACGACTCGATCACTTGCGGCACCTCTTCCTGGATGTAGCGACCCGTACTTGTCTCTTCGCACTCTCCTCGGTGAATGGGCCAGTACTAAATGTGAGCCGAGCGTAAAAAAACCATATAATTGTCGTATGTTGAAAAAATATGTAGCGTACCTCCCGGAAATGCGCGACAGAGCAAAAAGCGGGCCCATCAACGCATAAACAGCATCGTAACATGCAAGAGGTTCCGCATACAACGCAGAGAGGCAGGTGTCGAGCCATGATGAGAACGAGCGGTACGTCGCAATTATCTGTACGGCCGTCCACTCGCAGCCTTTATATACGTGCTCACCAAGCGCTTCCATCATGGCTCTGCTCACTGAAATCACAATAAAACATGCGGTACCGATGCCAGCCGCCTCGATCATTTCCGTACTCATCTAGATCTTGAACGCTCAATATCGGAATGGGTGTCGTCATCGGCTCCCTCCCACACTTTGCGATATGCTGGCGCTTTGTCGGAATTAACCTCACAGGGAATATTTTCCTCTCATTCGCGTGAAGATGCCTACCAAGCGCTGACGTATATCTACATATTTTCCATACGGTGCCGACGTCACGGCATCCACATCGAGCCAACGTTCTCCAGCATGATACCACCTCTCCGACAGCTGTCTGCTTGGAAATGTCGTAATGATATCACATCGGGTATAACACATAGCACCTAAAACTAGTCAGACTACAGTGAAGGGCGCCGTACACACCACTTACGGAAGTTTTATGTCCGCACCGCCAACAGTCCCGTTGGTTCTCCGTGTACTTCCATCTTCCACAACCCACACGAACTCCTGGCCCTAATGCCTGTTAGATCCAACAGACACCGCATTCCAACCACCACTCACTTCAATCGTCTCTGTTGACACTACAGTTGCGGTACGCGTCTTCGAACCCTCCAAATAAAGAACACGGTCGCCTGACTGTTATTGTTGGTTTGCAGTCAAGCCATAAAATTAGTGTTTTAGGACAGACCCACCTGAAACCGGCGAGCAGATCCAGGCATGTATAGAGCTGATTCGGTGAGGTTACCGTATAGGAAAATCTGGTGGATGGTCAATGGTTATAAACAGATTTAAAATTCAAACAATGCTCCTTTCCCAAGCACACGTCCCCTCAACTACGTAAAAACTATCGCCCTGCTCCAATCTCCGCTTTGCCAATTAATCTATGACGACTTCGGCTAATCTGTCCAATGCAAGCGCTCTGTTATCGCGCCCATGTGTGCACCCCAAAACCTGCTGATAGGCAATTGCCAAACCGCGTAAGCGGACTTCTCCATCATGCTAGGGTCTGCAGTACCTTCTTTCAAGCTATGCGATAGTCAATGCAAGATCAGATCTCATATTTTACGACATGCCGCACCACGGTGAACTCACCCAATACAAAAGTCGATGATCGCATGATACAAAAGTCGATGATCGCAGCACGCATATGCACCTGCGAGTTACGCATCATAGCTACTGTCAGCATGCAGACACGGACGTAACAGCGGATAACTTTTTAGTTGCGTACCATATTCCCGGACCTGTATCCGAATTTAGGGCGACCGACAGTCGTGTAGTAGAACTGAGCCATCAGGTGAAGCGGCGGTGTCTCAGGCTGACCCGTTTATCTTGGACTCGGTCCCCGACCTGCTCGCTATATGTATGGTCCAGTGAAATGGACACACGAAGGATCCACACACTGAGGAGGAATGTTCAGATGTCAGCGCCGTTAGCAGTATTCACTACGTCATACTCCTGGCTTCTATTACACACCGCAAAGCTTCCCCGAGATTCGCGCATACTTTGGTATTGCCACCGCCGCTATACGCCTGCACACTTCGTTGATGGGCTACCCCATTTCCCGCAACTGCGCCGCGTATCCCACGATCGGCCACCTCCCCCTGAGGTCTGGAACCGATCCGCGCATCTGAAGCATACATGTCTGTCCCGTGAGCAGGTCCCGATACCGGCCGCCTGATCGCTCAAAGTAAATACCTTGTTGCAGCTGCTGAAGTGCTGCACATTATCGTAATTGCTCTTCGTCACTCCGTCGACATGCTAGCATTATTCTTATCGCATTCCTAATTTGGAACAGGAACACCGCCACTGCGTGAGAACAGCGCTATCGGCTGCCTGCCCCAGTCCTTCCCCGACAGACGACTTCGCACCGAACATGCACAATTCGAATCTTCACAACTTCGAATCTGGCTAGATTCGTAACGTGTACGCGTGCAAACACCCTCAACACGCATAGGTGATCACCTGTACGCAATACTGATGTCCAACTTGATTGTCACTCACTCCTCACGCTCTCCCTGTCTCCGTGACCGCGATCGTACAGCAGGATTATCGTGCCTAGCGTGCTCAGCCCGTCACTGTCATCACTCCGTGCTTCTGAATCCTAAGACTTCGTACGCTAACGCTAACAGTTGAGCCGTCGCCAAGTGGTTCCCAAGAGGTGCTGCGGCTTAACGTGTTTTGTCGCTCCCCGCTGATTCCATATCACATCAGTATTCTTTGTAAACGGCATCTGCCTTCCCACCGACCACCCACAGCCCGCCACCCCACAGCCCAGCCTCCCACCGTACTTTTTTGTCCCCGCACTTGGTCGCCAGCTCGTCTGCCTTCTCGACATCGCCCTTGTTCACCATGCCCCCATCCACAGCCTCATCCGATCTCACTGATATCCTCGAGGTGGCATATGCCTCAAAGTCCATGCGGAAGGGCGCCCCAGACACGTTCATCATCTGCGACCAACCACGTTCCCTCATCAGCGTCGGGGACATCATCGATATCGACATCATCGACGGATACCGTTACCGCACCTGGTCCGTTCGTATCATATGCGTGCGCGTTCTGGAGAAGGAGATGGTTGAGCTTGCCGGCTACCTTCACGGCCCAATCGACGGCGCCTTGCCGACGTACATGCTTTTCCAATGCCCGCGCAGCTGGGTCCGCATCAAATGGTTCACCGCGCTCATCCTTCGTGTCTGTCGCCTCCCCACCATGAACACCATCCAACCCAGTCACCCTCTCCCTCCTTCCACCTGCAATATCAAGAAATTCCGTGAGCGCTACCGCGGCAGCGTTGACTCATTCAACCCCGAGCCTACCGAGCTTGTTGGCGGCGTATCCTTCAGTCTCCCATCCCACTCCATCAGTCTCCCGTCCCAATCCGTCTACTCCGACGACGCCAGCACTGGCACCACGGCCACCTTCGACCAGTGACGATGACGCCAAACGACGAGCTTCGTGCGCGTTCGGCATGCGGGAGGACAACAGACAGCTGTGTAGAAGAACTTGGATGCGACAGGCAGTACGTGCGCGTGGAGGAGGGCTCAGAGAAGGTGGGAAATGGTTCGCATGTTTTTTGAACTATTCTACTAGTTGTCTGCGTTTTTGTATCTCGAATCCAACGTCGTCGTGAGACACATGATCTTCCCCTCAAAGTTTGTGCACTTCATGAATCATGCATCACCCGCTTTCGCAACAAATGACACCGCCGCTTTCAATTCATACTCTCTCATTCCCGTGCTATCCATGCCGATGTCGTCACACGACCGTCGTGAATCGCCTCTGAGTTGTATTGGATTTGAATACAGATACCGTGTCCCTTTCGATTTCTCCGACGCTGATCATCCCTGACGGCCTGACTTAAATGATACCCCACACTCCCATTTTATAAGGATCTCAACGGCGCTGACACCGACGACCTGTCCTACCCGGGATTGTGAATCTTCACTGCTGCAAGTGGAATCGGCGTTGCGGGCTTTCGCCCGTGACTACTCCCAAGTTGTGTTTTCGTTGCAGGAACTCGGAAACCTGTTGGCTGCGTGCGCCGGAATAAGCCGGGAAGCAGCAGTTCCTGATTGGGTATGCGTGTTCACGCATCGATTGCAGCCATCATTTCACTCTCCGTCCCCAGCTTTGCTTCCTCCTCTGCTCTGCTCTCTGGACGATGGCTACCTTAAGCATGAAAATCACGGCACTATGTCTAGGCTACGTATATACTGCCACTTGCTTACGCATATTTTCCTGACTCTTGCCCTATGGCAGGGGCTTCTTCGATGCAGATCGCGGCTATGGCCTCACTTGGCTCGCTCACATCCGTCGACGCCCTTATCCACCACATTCAAGCACTCAAGGGGGTCCGGACCTCCCTCGAAGGGAAAATTTTTAGCAGCAAGCACGGTATGAAGTAGTGTTCCTTGACTAGTCACTACACGTCCCCACCTCTTGATCTGAGCCCTCGGGACTGCATCGCTGAGCTATGGGTTCATTTGACATAGCCGGAAAATGGTGCCCCATATATAGGAGCCCCGTATGCTGATGGCTCTTCCGCCGTCTTGTCGTGAGGTTCGGCCACCGAAAGAAGGTGCTCTTCCGGACGCGCACAACGACGTCGACGAGCTATCAGTGTCGGGAGACGGGGTAGCCGTCGAGGCCCTCGCGACAGCCGCAAAAACTAGGCTCACGGCTGTCGTACGTTCAAGCCGGAGTAAGGCCGGACATACGTACCATTAGCGAGTCACCATGCCAGACGATCGCCCTGAGGATGGCCCATCTGCGCCAGGTGCGGCTCTGATGACCAGATCGCCGCCAGCTCCTGTTGGCCACATCGGAGCTCGCGAGCTGGCGCCGCCTTCGAACATCCTGTGGTACTACTTATGAGCTATGGGTTCATGATTAGATCAAGAGCGATCTGAGCGTGAATCCATAGCCCAACAGATTACGGCTCGCAAACGCGTATGACGAGAGGCTGTCGCGCAGGCCAAATGCGTGGACGCTAGTGCTAAATTCTAAGGGAGGATTTCCATACATCGCGATGTTATCATGAAGTAGTGAGCGGCTTTGCGTTCGCAATCCTGATGCAAGATAACTGGCATCCAGCCACGGGTATGCTCGCTGCAATCGTGCTTTTTCGAGGGCAACTATGACGTTTAGCGTGCAAACTTCCGGGGAATACCTGTGCAGCACAGTACGTCTGCACCTGTACAGCGGGGATTCCAAGATCACCATAAGACGGGAATGCATCAGCAACTATGGGTTATCTTAAACGGAAAAGCTGCTGAATTCGGCACATAGATGGCTGGGAACACGCGCGCGCGCAGACATTTCCTTCGACTAACGCGTTGGAATTACACCGGCGGAGTGCGGCACTTGATGTATATACGGAAGTCTCGCGAGGAGATATAACCATGCACCGGGAATAGAACTGGCGCGCTATGGGTTGCACTGAGCATTGATAATGTGCAGCCCAGCTCATAGCACGCGGAGACCATGCTTCGGGCGAAGGCGGCAGACACAGATACGTTCCCATAACGTCTCCACTCTTGTGTGAGCGGCACTGCTGAGCTATGGGTCATGTTGAAAGCACAGGTTATCAGCCAAACCTGTAGCCCACAGGCACCGCGTCTCGACATGGATGTATACAATGTCCTTGGAAATGGGTGTTGTGCTGACCCTCGAGTAAACGAACCTTGTCATTGACTCGATCTCACACCCTTTTTGGGATTACGTATACGCAAATATTGATGTCATAGATGTGAAGTACGCCGGACTCAACACAGCGCCGCAAAGCACAGAGTACGTGAGCTCCTTTACTCGTGCTTGTGTCTCTTTAGCGGCTCTGTTCATGGAACGAACGCTCCGGAGTATCCATGCTCTTTCCAGCTTGGAGAGGTGGCTATACCGCAGGGCTGCACCGCCGAGCTATGGGTTTGACTAAATAGTTTTGACTATTCAGTGGGGCTCATAGCACGCTGGAAGCATGCTTCGAGCAAAGGCGGTACTGTATGCAGTGAAACAGTGTATGTGTTCTTCGTGAGAGCAGTCTGATTGGATGGTGCGTACACGTTGTGCTATTCGAGTTTATATAATGTCTGTTTAGGTGATTCTCTGATCGTAGTTCAACGGAACTCGCCAGTAGGGGAGTGTCTACGTTGTATGGGTTTGCTAGTTTTGACTGGGAACGACACTGCGTCTTGAAGTGCAGAGTACCTGCTAGTCGAGATATGGAAGGGGATGACAGCGTTAGCCACTAGTTGCTGATGCCTCGCCCTTGAAATGCTAGACGTCGGAGCAGACGGCGGAGACTGCGAGGGCCCAGGGTATTTTATTTGCCAACGAGGGGAATAGCCTTGATGGTGATACTCCGGCTAGATAGCGGAGGCATTGGCGAGTTCTTGCGCGTGCGGGAGCTCGTCGATGTGTGCGACATGATCGACTCCGGACGTCTGAGCATATGCGGAGGGAGCTCACGGTGCTATGCAATAGTCGACGTCTTCGGCTAGCGCGCCCGTGCGAGGAGCACTTTGCGAGTACGGGTTAACAAGGGGCGCCCGCGAAGAATGTCTCGCGACGTCGCGCGCGATGGTGAGACGGCCCTCGACTGAAGAGAAACGTCGTTGACGCTCTGGGGAGTCTTTTTGAGCAGAATTTCCCCCGCACAGCGCGGCCGTACGATATTGCGACTATGCTGCAGCTAAAAAGGTCCTGTTAAGATTTACGTTGTACCCCGGGCCCAGTATAAGCATCGCAAGAAACACTCACGAAGCGGCATATAGTCGACCGTGATCCTCATTGGCACCCGCTCTCCGGCAACGTCGTCAGAACATCACCTCCTGGGGAGCGTCGGGGAGACGCTGGCCGACCACCGAGTCACGACGCGCCCTGTCGGGATTGTAGGACGTAGGGTCTGGCAGAGGCGGCAATTCGTCCACCCTGTAGTCCGAAGACATGGGCGCTGTGGCGCTCGGGCCTGCGTTGTCCGCGCCATGTCTTTGCGGAATGCGGAGCAGTTTGACACTGCACCGAGCATGTGCTCTTTCATGATAACGAGTCAGCGGCAGACTTCGATATCACGATCGAGCAACGAACCGGAGCAGGCGCCTGTCATTGCGCAAGGGGCTCCAGGTTGATGGGCTTATGTTCGCAAGGAGAGCGACACATGAATCATCATAGAGCGCACGCATTTAGACGAAGCAAGGATTTGGATCGTGCAGGGGAGGCAAAGGCGACGAGCTCTAGAGCGCTGAGCATGAGGCAAGAGCGAGCGAGCCTAAAGTTCCAACAGCTCACCGCTGATATGTTTGCAGTATGAATGCGGACATACATGTCCCCTGCAGCTCAGGTGTACTTAGCAACGGTAATGATGACATCAGTACTTGGGCGAACAAGATGCTACTTACGCTCTGATACGCTTCGGGTCGTTTGGGAGAGGCTCGGCAGTTTGCGCGAGCGCCAATAAAAGTCCAGATTGTCCCAGGAAGATCGATTCGCAAATCTTGCACTGGCAATTGATCTAGGGGCTTCCCTCACTCCCTTCCGACTCTTGGCTCCTGTTCCTAGGATATCCCTTGCGCATGTCTATTCTCTTATGAAGCAAATCTTAACATGGGCCCCACTGCATGGATCTCTAGACGAGGTAGCGGGAAAGGACAATCAGGTGCGATACCAACATTCTCTTGATGACATAGTGGACTCGTCCGGGGAGCATTGTAACCGTCCCCACTGTACTCAATCGGAACAATCGAGAGTTGGAAGACAAGCTGTACACTTACAAAGGATACCATTTGATGCTTGTCCGGGGTCCTATGCCACGAGCTACTCTTGGAAAGATCGCTGTCAGGCTCAGATGCATGTGTGGGGCTTGTACTGCCTTCCAGGCTCCATGGACTCACACTTCGGGGATGCACCGGCGAGCTATGGGTTGATATAAACACTAGATGTTTATTTCGGCCCATAGCACACAGGGAGCATGTCTCAAGGACTATCATGCATCAATAAATGTGCGGCGATTCGTAAATGCAATTTGATTGTCCGATGTTTAGTGTGCTACTGAAGTGTACACTGTTGGGAGAAAGTGTCTGTTATGGGTTGATTACACTAGATCCAGGAAAAGACACCGCGTCCTCAAGTGCAGAGTACGTGCTGTTCCAGGATCCGGGGGATTGGGGGGCGTGGGTGACCGTCTTGCGTCTCGCGTCTGGTGAGCTCAATGTCGAAGCCGACTGTCGGGACCATGATGGCGAAGTGGCGTATAACTCTTCTGGGCGCGCGATGTAGGCTGGGGTAGGTTCGTACATCTGCGCCGTGAAGGTAGTGCCGGCGAGAAGTTGGACCTTGTCGGCGCGTGCGACACCGTCGGCTGCGGACGTCTGCGCATATGCGGGCGGAGCTAACGCGGCTACGGGATGTTGGACTTCTTCAGCCCAGCCACCCGTGTGAGCGGGGCTCTGCGAGTAAGGATGTATAAGGGGAGCCTGCGGAGGTTGTCTCGCGATGTTGCTCTTGCCGAAGGGCGGGAGGATATCCCTCAGTTGGGAAGAGACGCCTACGAGGCTCGGAGTCGTTGCCGGCGCATCCCGCACATCGTGGACGTACGTCAACATCGCACTGAAGTCCAAAATTATGTGCTCAGATTTACGTTGTATCGAGAATATCGCAGGAGGCACTCACGAAGCGGCAAATGATCGACCATGATCGGCATTGGCACGGTTTTGGTCCTCCAGCAGTATTTTAGAGCCTATAGCGCATCCTCGGACACGCTGACGAGATTCTGCTCGACCACGACGCACCCCTTCCGGCCTGTAGGACGTGGAATCTGGCAAGGGCGCTAATCGGCTCGAACCGTAGTCCAAAGACATGGGCGGTGTGGCGTCCGCGCCCGGGTGCGCCGAGCTGAACGTGGAGTGGGGTTCAGGACGCGACCCGCGGCGAAAGAGGATATTCGGATCCCAAACGTCTTGGCGGTTGGGCATTTGCGCGGGATCTTCATGCACTCCTCGACGCTCATAGGTGGCAGTGCGTAATGCGGAGCGTACCTGGAGCTTGGTGTGCGCCCGGAAATCAGAAGCGTCGCCCATGGTCAGGCGAAGGCCGGAATAGTCGTCCGATTCCGGGGCGCGGTATGCTGCGCAGCCGCCGCATTGCACATGAGTTCCTGTTGTGGGCGGTCCCCAGGGCGCGGGATGCTGCGATGCCCAGTCATCAGCGTGCTCTGGGTATATAGACGTATAGCCCCAGTCCCGTTGGAGGATATCGGCATAGGGCTGCGACGAAGACCGCTTGCGCGAGGACTGGTGCGGCGTGCGGGTATATGGTTGAAAGCGCGCGTGAGAAGGCGGACGGCGGGTAGGGTTCTGGTGGTCGCCGGAGACGGATGACCTGCTCGGGGCCGGGGCGACGTGAGGCGCCATCGGTGGGTGTTGCGCCACCTGTGCGTACGGCGGCACACCCAGGGCAGAGTGCGGGGCCGCAGGCGTCGGAGTAATGGGGTGCCAGGACGAACCATCGTTATACATCGGAGGCGGGCCCGGATGGGCGACTAGGTGAGGCCGTTCGTTCAAGGTAGGAACGGTGGCGTTGAAGAGAGTCGACTCGGTCTGCCAACCTTGCTGTCTTCCTATAGTACGAGGCTGTTGCTAATAAATGCGGGAGGTAAGAAACAGCCACTAGATGCCATCAGGAACGAATCTCATACACTTACATGTTGTGTGGCGGGATCGATGATTGAGAATGGGGTTTGGTCCCTCCAATGGGGGCCTCCAAGCGTACCAGGGCGATGTTCAAGAGAGTAACCCGCTGTCCCCGTCGGGCCTGTTGCGTGCGATGGGCCAGATGGGGCGGTGGGGGGCGGGGGTTTCGTCGTCGTCTGGGGTATGGTCGGGGTGATGCGAAGGTCGACTCCCGAGTCCCAAACGTCGAACGTGGGACCATCCGAGTCTCCATCCTACAGATCACCCAGAAAAAACCCCAGTTAGCTAAGACAGTATAACAACGAACTTGAAACGAACCTTAGGCTCCTTAATGTGTCGCAACAACATGTCTTGGTTCCCCTTGATGTACACGATCCTCTTCCTATCACCGGGGTTCACCCTGAATCCTCTCATTCTATCAGACAGTTTCGGGAGGTAACAGGATAAATCAGGTTGCAGGGGCGAACTATTGGACGGCTGGAGTGCTGTGGACAGATATGAGAGCCTCGCGCAGATGGGGGGAGGGGGGGGCAGAGACACACAAGGGGCTCGCTCTTGTGCTTTTCAACTACCCGTCGGAGTTGAGCTTCGAAGTCGAGAAGCCACAGCATCAGGGGCACACCCCGAATATTCGCACACAGTGCTCCCCGCACATGCATCAGGAGTGCCAGGCTAGAAGCTCGCTCCGAGCGAGTGGGTACGGGCGTGAGAGCCACATATATATGTGCAGGGTGGGGGCTATGATGTCTGCGCGAGCTCGTTCCGAATATACGCAACGGGGCAGCTCAGATGGTGCACGGGAGCACGCAGATGCGCCACCTGGCCGCCGAAGAAGCGCAGAACTTAGCGGGAGCTGATGACTCTCGCCGCCATCTCAGGACGCGGATACCCGAGGCCCATCACGGAACGCGCGCGCAGAACGTTCGGAGACCTCGAGGCGCAATTATGGCTAGATCTGTGTTCTCAGTGTTTTTCGGAGGAGAACCTGTGCTCCTGGGACGGTTCAGTTCATTCTTCCAGGAACATCTCGCTAATGATTGAAGAGAATAGGCTCACCGCTAACAGCCTGTGTATGCACCAGCTCTCGATGTGGCGAGGCCTCGCCCCTCCACTATCCGGGCCGTCGAAGGGGAACTGATGAGAGCATCTATAGTATTTTAGGAGACGCAAAGATTCCGGCCCAGTTTCGAAGATGTATCGCTGCATGAACACGCCTGCACCGAGAGGCATTGCGCACTGCCGAAGGACGTGGCGATGCTCTTCGGAGGCTGGAACAGGCGATTTGGATTCACACGACGCGCCAGGGCCGTAGGGCACACGTCTGACGGTCGTTCATGTGATTCCGCAGCTGGCAGGGAGCAGTCGCAGATCGCACAAATACGAAGAAGTCGTTTCCAAGGCGCAACGGTGGGCGGCGGGCGTCCCAGACAGAGTTCGGATTTGTTGGCGTCGTGGGAGTAGGCGAACAACAAGGGCTCCCGCTTTAGGAACCGGATCAGCAGCGTTTTAGGCGCTAAACCTGCAGGCTTCCGCTTGACACAAGGCTGCTCAAGTACTGAGTAGTCGTATCCTAGATCCAACCACTCTACTCGTTTGGAATGTATGAGGATTTTGGGGCGCACGCGCACACATTCTGAAGTACTACGTGTTGAACTGAGACGACCGGCGTGGCCGCCCTGCGAGCCCAGAATTACACCGGAAGGTGCCGAGACGCAGAAGGTCCCGATCGGGCCAAAAATGCATGTCTCTATCATCATCGATCTCTTCTGACTGCGTCTCACCGTCCTGCTGGCCTCCATCTGGTTTACGCTCTCTGGAAATAAGGGTCGCTGGATCAAACTTGCTCTAGAGGCGCTCAATATAGGCTATCCATCATGGGGTGGCATGGTCCACTTACGCTGATACCGCTTCCTCGGAAGCAGGCTTTGGGTCTTCTATCCGTGCTGCCAGGGACTTGCTCACGTTCACCGGTGCTGTGGTGTACTGCGTGACAAAGAGGCCTACCTACTTAGCTGAAGCGGCCGCTTGTAGACGTGAAGTGTCTCGTTGCTGAACGATCGCTAAGCTATGGGTTAATGCCGAAATGTATGACATTTTAGCATTTGTCCATAGCTCGGCGATGGAGCACCTGTAGATATTGGCGGACCGCGTTCAACCGGGAATCGATTCTCCGCTGGTACGGATACACGATACAGCTCTGATTGAAGCAAAAATATCAATGGATCCAATTTGGGTTTGGTATAAAGGGAAGGAAGAAACGGATCTTGAGAGAGGATATGGGTTAAAGTCGATATGTAGGTGAACGCGACGTAACGTGCGAAACACCACAGCCGAGGCTATCCGCCTGGAAGTGTGAGACGTCCGGCCAATGCACAGAGGTGCCCTGCGGAAATGCGTACTGCGGCTCGTAAGCTGTCGGCGGATCGTGTTGCAAGAGGGAGTAGTGATCGAGGCCCTCAGGACCGTCGTAGGTCTGTTCGTAAAACGGACCCATGGCTGAAGGAGGTTCAACCTGAGGTGAGACCGCACATGCCATGACCAAACCATTGTGAACGGTCGTTCCCGGAGAATGGCGCGTCTGGTCCAGGTGCGGCGCCGAATTGGGGAGTAGATCATCGCGAACCGGTGCCAGTGTCTGACCGGGGGCGACGTCGTAAAGGAAATGGGTGTGGACTCCTAAACGATCATGAGACGACGAGCTCTCTGACGCGAAAGCAAGTTCGTATCGGGGGCCAATGGGTAGGTTCAGGAACCCACCAGGGCCTAGATTGTCCCCCCGGCAAATGTTGTAAACTTGAGCGTGCGATGCAGTCGAGTGAGAGACGCTCGCATCCGGCACATAGCAAGAGTGTACGTCCAAGGAGTGGCAGAGCCCGAGTTCTGCTACATGCTCCGGCGCAAAGATGCTACCGTCGTCCAGGGGCGGCTGTTCCTGCTGCAAGAAGGTGACCTCGTGCGAGTTGCCGTTGAATGGCCGAATGCAGGCGGGGGTGTGCGAGGTATTGAGTTCGGCGGACGTCCACTCAGGCTGCTGCAGACTCGGCGTGCGACCTGCGATCGGGAAAACCCCATCCTGCTGATATACTGAAAGTTGAATCGGTGCGGGTGCGAGTCCGGGGCCAGTGAACGCGCGCCCCAAACCAATGTCGACCACCTCAGGCTCACCTCGCCCAAGCCCATAGGTAGAATCGATGGCTTCAATAAACTCGGACGACGCCGTAGACTCGGAGGCGGAGCTTGGGCGGTGCAGCGTAGCATCCGGGCGCGTCGTATCGCTATATGTTCGATGATGCATGGTGGCGATGTGCGGCGGACCGTAGGAAGCGTCGCGCTCGACGCGAGCGTCCACGTGTTGAAACTGAAGTTCCAGAGGATGGGAAGGCGCACTGAATTGTGTCGGATCGTCCATGATGAAGTTGGACGATTGCGAGCTTGTGGTTTGCAGCGTGAAGACGGGCTCTTCGTCATGGGGGACCATTTCCTGAAAGGCCACACTAGGGATGGCAAGCGGCAATGCGAAATGTTGACCGTCGTAGCCGCATCGCTCGGCATCGCGTTGCTCCAAGATGCTCGTCTGGGCCAAACCATCGGCAGCTAAGCCAATAGGGCGTTCGAACACCTCATATCCGGTGAGCGGCGGCCCTTGAGTATACTGCCTGGTCTCCTCTGCGAGGACGGGCAGGTTGAGGAAGTATAGGGTTGGATGGTGGTCAATAGTGCTGTTGGTGACAGCGGAGGACGAGACGCCACCGGCGTGAGCCCAGCGCATATGCTCCGCCGCTAAGAGATCATAGTGCTTGTCCGCGAGGGGCGGAGAGGGGGCATTCTCGGGCTCGACAAAATGGCGGAGGCGTGCGTTTTTATACGGATAGTTGACGTCCGAGTCGTGGCGGCGCTTAAGGGGCGAATACGTCGGTGATGACACAGTCGACACAGCGGGCATGCCAGATGGCGAGAGGAAGGACATTGATGAGCGAGCACCACTCAGCAACGCGCGGTCCAGCGTTTGAGTGGTGCGGTGCGATACGGGATGGGTGTGTGCCGAAGCGATGTTGGCGGAAGCGTCGACGATGTAAGAGTCTCTAGGGGCCTCAACTGACGACTTGTGGTCTACAACGACCTGGGCGGTCTTCTTGGGTCGCTTTGGCCGTTGTTTGCGCGCGTATGAAACGACGCTGGGAATCGCGAGCGAGTCGCGGCGATCCTGTCTCTGCTGATGCACAACCCTAATCAGGCTACAGACTCGCCCATCGCTCGGCAAAGACTCACTTGGGCAGGCGTCGGTGCGCCCCGACTTAGGGCGTCGCGTGTTGCAGGCACGGCATGCATATTGTGGAGAGGCTCAAAGGAAGGGGAAGGACGCGCCGTTGCGACTGTTGCGGCGCGGGCGTCATGGTCTGGAAGATAGGTGGGGGTTGTATCGTCCGTCGTTGTTCTCTCGCTCAGGCTGGTCATAGGTATCGGTGATGTGGCGTCTGCGCCACCATTCGCATCGCTGGCCGCCAACGCGTGCTGTTCGAGCCGTTCTTGTCTGTCTATCGCCGCCTTCCGTGCTTCAACGCCGTTGCAATCGAGCACAAGGATACGACCTGGAATCTGGACGGATGAATAGGTGCAATTTTCGGTGAGTGACATTGACCGCCACCATCCGCTCAGAAATAATCCAAACTCACCTTTTTATCGTACGACATGAGGCTCTTTGGGATTGGACGGTCGCATCGGCCAGTCTTGAAGGCATCTGGCTTGCGCCTGGGCAGAGTCATCGGCTGGGGATAGGTATGAGGGAGACAAGATACAAAGGGGATATCCGACGTGGGGTCAAAGACGCAGCCTGAGGAGGCCGGCCTTGTACTTTCCAACCACCTGGCGGAGTTCGACTCCTGATCGCGAGAAGACACGGCATCACCAGCATACTCCGCGGAGAATCAGCGGGCCGCGCTATCACAGCCAGAAGCTCTGAGCACATACCCCACTAGCGTGTGAATCCAGACCCAATGTGACGAGGTGCACAGGCCCTGGCTTGTTCGGATTCCTAGGACACTGCTGAACACGTTCCGATTTTGTTCCAGAGGGAAGGTCGGCCTCGGCTGTGCGAGAAATGTGGCGGCCGCGTGTACTCGTAATTATTCAACGCTCCCAGGGTATATTGTGACATGCAATATGATGCTCGGTGTTCGCCGCTGCGTGGGGCTCAGCTAGGACCCTGCGAGATAGTACGCGCCCCCAAATACCGCGAAGGGGGCTTCGGGGACAGTAATCCGGGCAAAAGAGAAGAGGCGATACTAGTGCACAATTCCGTCAATATGTCAGTACGTCTTCACCGTAAATGCGGGATCGCGGCATACTACTTGCAAATGGTCAGTGAATGCTCGAGCGCTCATGACCTGACAGTTTGGCAACGAAGACTCGACCGTTTGAGTCGCCGAAAGACACAAAAAAGGCTTACATGCAATATGGTACACTGTTTGCATAGCGGATGCTGTTGTCGTCGCTGGTGCTGTGGCAGGTTGGTCAGGAGGCCGGGCGGGCGGAGGCTCGGGGAACTTGAAGCTCTTGAAATCTGGCACTCACCATAAGTACGCTGTAAGTTGGAACGATTCCTGAACCGTTCACCAAGCGAAATTGATCCTGCGTCAATCTTCGTGGTTTGCGTCTCTTCTCAAAACTTGGCGTGAACAGAGCAGCGGCTCACTCCAGCTGCGCCCGCCGGCATCCGGCGGGCGGGCGGTGGGGCGCGCTACCACGTGATCGTCGCGTTCTGTCGCGTACGACCGGGCGCCAAAGTTGGGCGGCGCGCACCTCTCGACCACGACCATCTCGTTTCCGACCTCTTGTATATCCTCTTGCTTTTGCTATCTTTATTGTCATCCTGACTTCCGAGAAGTGACTCTACTTTCCTCATGATATTGGATGTCTTTGTCGTGGCGGAAACGGAAGACTCGCCTGAGCACCTTGATCGGCGCCAATGGTGGAGAAGATGCTGAAGCCCAAGTGCTGGATCAGCTCATGCATGGGCAGACTGTGATTGGGAAAACATGTGAGTGCATCTTTAAATGGGGGATGAAGTACATATTGCTTGCGTGAAGGTGCTGAGGGAATGTATGGCTTCGTCGGCGCTAACGGGCGCTTAGCCTCGTATGAGCGGAATCCATACATTTCCATGGCGAAAATGGGATGGTCAGTCAGCCTGTTGGCGATGGCGAGTCCACGCACTTGTGTGTGAACCCAGCTATTGACATTTTAAATCAATGTAGAGACGTCGTTGTCTTAGAGTCGCGTGGACCAATGCGGAGGAGTCTCAGACGGAGGCGATGGGAATTTGCGAGAGGGCATTCTTCGACGTCACAGCTCTCGCGTGAGCTCCCGCCACGTTCGTTCGAAGGCGGCCGAATTAAACCCACTGCACTCTTGAGGATATGGCTTACATGTTCGCCTGCCGCAAGGGGTTATCGTGAGCATAACTGACTTCAAATACTCAGCCAAGACCACGGAGATCGACTCTTTGCGGTTCACCGAGAAGGACTTAGACCTTGTAGGCACACTAGAGTACGGCCAGTTTGGTGTGGTATGTGATTTCTTCTCCCAGTATCATAGTCTAGAATTCACACATACGACCAGATCGACGTCGTGACCTGCAAGCTAGACGGAGGTCTTTATGTTCGTAAGTCGACAGACAAACACTTTGCTTTGAAGACACGGGACGTGAGTGTTCAGCGGATCATACAAGCTGACACACACTGATCATCCGTGCTCGCTGCCTCTAGCAATGTTCTCCCCAGACAGAGCGAGACATCTTGCTGCAAGCGCGGAAGTCCGACTCGCCTTGGGCACCGCACCTCCTATGTGCCTTCCAAACACCCACGCACTTGAATCTCGTTATGGACTATGTCGAGGGCGGGACCCTGTGGGACGTCCTTGAATCTAGTCCACACGATGGGAAGATACTGGACTCTGACTTGCAGTGGTGGGCGCCGCAGATTGTCAGCGCGGTGCACTGGTGCCACTTGCAGGGCTTCGCACATCGGTCCGGTATTTGCACTTAAGATTGACGGGTCGCATTGACTGATCGAGCATATAGCGACATCAAGCCGCATAACTTCGTGTTAACTAGCGATGCCCACCTTCGTCTGATCGACTTCGGCTCTGCTGCCCCTCTGCTGCCACCCAACCCCGATGGGAGCCAACGAATACCTTTGGAGCACTGCCTTGTCCCCTGTGGCACGTGCGACTACATCTCCCCTGAGATTCTGCAGGCGCATGAAGAAGCTCTCGTAGCGCTTGAGATGGAAGATGACGAACATTGGGCGAAGGAGCACAAGCCGTCAGGATACGGCCGCGAAACCGACTGGTGGAGCGTCGGCGCTATGCTTTACGAGATGGCATACGGCGTCGCACCGTTCTTCTCGAGGGAGATCCGGCATACATACGCGAGAATCATGGAGCACCATGTAAGTCCACTGACGGATGGCAGTTTACAATGGGCTCTAACGGTCTCCAGAGGTACCTTAAGTTCGATTCTTCTGCACCACTATCGGCGAACCTGCAGGACTTGCTACGCCGGTATGTCTTTCCTACTCTGCCCGTTAACGCCCCTGACACTTTCCATGTAGTCTACTAACGTCCGCAGAGTTGCGCCTAGGTCGCGATGATGTCAAGGAGATCATGGAGCACCCGTTCTTTACACCCGTAAACTTCGACGACCTTCACCTCAGTACGCGGACCCTCCTACCGTGCGACGTCGTCTGACATCCCTAACCCTCAGAGGAGAAACCCGTGGATTTACACGTCCCCGAGTTTGCCTACGCTGCCCCCGTGGTGCCCACCGCGCCCGCAGTCGCAGATTCCACAGGAGAGTCTCACTCGCGCGGCTTCGCGTTCTCCGCGCTGTTCGAGTCATCCCCGATGACGGCACCTAGCGGCGTCTCCGTCGTGCAGGCGACGCCCTCACAAGGCTCGAGTCGCTCGATACTTCGTGATCAATCCACCGCCGCGTTTATAGGCTTTTCATGGGGCCCACCCAAGGACGCGTTCGACAAGAAACCCTCTAGTCCACAAGCGAAAGCGGACCGCAGTACCCCTCGCCTCCTTCAACATCTCTTCGTCCCGCCCACACCCCTTGGCCTGACTCCGTCCAGCAACATCCACAGCACACCCATCGCAGCCCCACGCTATCCCTTCGCGACGCCCATCCGCCCGAGCGCACTGACGCCCTTCCAGACTCTACCCCGCGCAAGCACCGTCCGGCGCACGGCTCAGCGACGCGCGGTGTCCGATCGCGAAGCGATGAAGCAGCTCGTCGACTGCGTGGGCATGAGCGCGCGCAAGAAGGTGCTCGAGAGCGGCCGCAAGCCGCGCGTGTTACTCTCGCTCACGCGCTCGTCGGGCACGCTCAAGGAGCTGCGCTTCGACCGCTCCGTCGCGGTCGTCGGCGACGGCGGCGTGTCCTTCCGCGTCGACGCGCCCTCGCAGTCCGGCTCCCAGTCGCACGGCGACAGCATCCTCGGCGGCGCGTCGCTGCTCTCGGCGTCGTCCAGGGTGTCCGTCGCGGCGCCGGGTGGGGCGGCACAGGGCCTGACACAGGAGATCACGGTCGGCGACCTGAGCTTCTCGTCGGACCTTGACTCGGATGCGCCGCCCAGCCCGAGCCCCACCCCGCGCCCGGGCTCGGCGATGTCCATGCTGTCGCGGCGGAGCCAGACCCCGACGGGCTCGTACTTTCTGCGCACGGGCCAGAGTTCGCGCGAGGGCAAGCGGTCGGTGTCGCCCTCCGTCACTGGCTCGGAGTTCGCGCGCGCGGCTGCGTATGAGGATAAGAGCTCGTTCGCGGTGGGCGGGTCCGCCGACTTCTCGTACGAGTACATGGACCAGCTGGAGAGGCGGCATAGGCGGCTGATGGGAGACCTCGCCGTTGTAGAAGGACGTTTAGACGAGGTATCGAGTATATTGCGAGGTCATGTATGAGCCACGCGATTGCGGTAGAACACGATGATATATAGGTGTCAATTAACCCCCACTGGCGACATCTGTGTAGGTAGCAGTAAGCGATGGACATTGAGCGTACGCAAGACCACCTAAATATGCAGCTTACATCGTACTCGAGAAGTACTTATTGCGCACCGAAACGACCAGTCATCAGCCCGAATGGTTCTGCCACCATGTGGCCAGGTGCCACAGGAGGCCTTGGGCGGTTGCTCCCTGCTCCGGAATTGGATCGTTACCAACGGAAGGCACGAGCTGCTTTGGATGACTGGACAGCGGAGGGGAGGTGTGAGGATCACTGGCCGGTAACAAAGACTCGTGTTCGCCGTTTTGCGAAGCCGGAGCGGGGAGAGGGGGCGAGCTGGGTGGAGGCGGACTGGGAGGAGGCGGACTAGGTGAAGGCGCACGCGGCCGGGGATGGCCGGAGTATAGTGAACGATGTAGTTGGGGGGATGGTGGGGGGGAAGGCGGGGGCGGGGAAAGGGGAGTGACTTGGGATATAGGACTGGTACGAGGGGGACTTCCTGGAACGCTCTCGTCAGGTGGAAGTGCGCCCGTAGGTGGAGCAACGTCCGACATATTGGAAGTTTGTACGCCACTAGCATCCGACTGGTGAGCACCGGGTCCGTACAAGGAAGGATACGGTGGCACAGGAAGGTGAGCTGACTGTGGGTAGCCGGTGAGCGGCACCAGGTGGTGGGCCACGCCCGGATAGTAAAACAAAACAGAGGGATTAGAGGGCGTAAAAAACATCGCAGGGGAATGGCTACTTGTGGGCACGGCAGGTGTGGCAGACTGTGGCAGAAGCACCGGAGGCACTGAATTATGGTCGTTGCTGGGCGACGGAAAGGTCTGAGGCGCATCAGAGAAGCGAACAGAGTGGGGAGGTGGGGGTGGTAGACGTGCAGGTGAGCCAAGTGGCGGCGACGGGAACGGCACCAGCGGAGGACTTGCAAGTGTGTTGGGCGTAGAGGCTACTCGCACCGAATCGGTTTCGATGTACGCTCCAGCTGTGGGCTCGGGAGGTCGATGCAGCTCGGTGGGATAGGGAAACGGAGATGCTTGGTGTGATGCTTGCGGTTCAAGGACGCGAACATCCATGAGATATTCGCAGCTTGCCACGCCTTCCGACCGCACGGGATATCCGCACCAGGGCGAAACGCGGCATTCAAAGTCATAGTGGCCCCGCTTGAAACGTAGCTCAGAAGTGTCGCGCAATAGATGAGCCCGATTGCATCCACCTTTTGTGAGGCGGGCTACTCTCCGTTGAGGCGTTTCGACCAGTAGTTCGATATCGATCCAGATGTCCTCCACAGTGCCCCTGCGCGCGCAGCTGCACCCAATCCAGAACGATATTCGCATCGCAGTCGAAGTTGTCCAACCGGCTGCTGACCCCGAAGTTCCAGCTGCCCCTGTGTTCCAGAACAGTTGGGAGGTCATCATACGGGGGCCTGCTGTAGGTTGCTCGCTCCCGTCACGGCGCACCTCAGCAGAGATGCCCTCATGGACGGGGAGTGGCTGGATTCCCCACCGCGCACCCGTACTGACAGCCGGGATGAAGCCAGAGAGATGTAGGCGAGCCAGAACCCATATGGGAAAGAAGAAGAATATCGATATGGGGCCAGAGACTTGAAGGTTCTCCGGGACGGAGGCTTGGCTTAAAGGAAAGTAGGGCAACGCGGCGGTCGACGGGTGGCGGTGCATCACGTAGAAATCAATGATCTGCACTTCCTGTAGATGATAGGAAGGTCGATTCCACAGCGCAGCGCGGAGGTACTGATCTTCGGTGGGTAGGCCGACAGAGTATCCGTCCGAGTTCTCCGACTCTCGACGCAGGTAGAGAACCACCATGTTGTGACGTTCATCCTCGCAAGCAAGAACGGCGGAGGACACCGTTACGGCAGTACCAGGAATGAGAGGCGATGACCTCGGTTCGTCCAGAATGACCGGCATTTGTATGCGCAAGCCGCCGCTAGTGGGGTGATAGACCGGAACTGGCACTTGCAAGCCCAGCGCCTCAGAGAGCTTCCGAAAGGACATAGGGCGGATGTCACCTGAGTTCTCGAAGTCTTTGGGAGATTGTGCGAGAAGGCCTTGTAGCCCGCGATGACGTTCGAAAGCGAGTCGCGATTTGTAGGTCCGGGCAGAGAGTGGCCGCTGACGCACGTCCCGCATAGTGGTGTCGTGATCGAGTTGAATCTGGGGACCCCACGCGAAGATGCTCTGATCAGAGAGCTGCTTGAGGATCTCTTCTTGGAGTCGAATGAACGCGCGGACGCCCTCGCCGTAGACGGTTGGCATGAAGACGTTGAAGATACCCATGAGGGAATACGCGCGGTCTTCGATTCGAGTTGTCTCTCTTTGGGATGCCCAGGACATTCGACGGGCCACACTGACTTCGCGTAAGGGGAGCTGGTGGGTCAAAACCGCTTGGTCAATGTTCGTGATCTGCTCGATCACATCGGCGAGCGCATGGTTCGTGCCTATCGGCTGCCAGAGCGGGGACAGGAAGATGACTGCGTGTGGTGCAAGGAGCTCTTGTAGCGTCCACCCTCTCTTGAACCAGGAGCTCTTCCGGAACGTGGACGTAACTTCGCGAGGATCCTCGTCGCCGCGAATGTCGTCAAGCAGCGCAAAGCAGATGTCGGCCTTGGCGTAGTAAGAGTACATGGAGTTCAGCGCCTCAGATAGCTCGGCGCTACTGGTTTTGTCGATACAGCAAGTGTCGATCCACACCCACTTGTACCCACGTTTCCGCGCATAAACGCAAAAGTCGAGGATCTTGGGAGACAGACCCTGGGGAAATGTGCTACCCATATTGTGCGTGGTCGCGGAGCTGAGGGTTTTGACATCTTGAAAGGATTGCTCTTCTCCTCGCCAGACATGCGAAAGAATGGCATAAGGCGGCAGGGCTTTCCCTTCTTGATATTGGTGCAGTGTAGCATCGTCGACGCGTAGCAGCCACATCGCTCCTATCAGAAGCACAACGCGTGTTCAATAGCTATGTGCAGTATCGCCTAGGACGTCGTACCTGTTGCAGCTTCGAACGAGACTACACGCTCAAGTAGCGATCGTCGAGGTGAAGAAGCTGGGGGTGAAAGCGCTAGGCCGTGACGTGTAGGTGGGGGGAAAGGCCCTAGCCACTGCATCAGCCGCGCCTTTTATCCTCACGCTGGCAGGAAGATTGCCGCAGGTATGCCGTATGTAATTGGGCAGGGGACGCCCTGAGTTCACGCTTCTGTGGCTTGATCAAAAGTTAGTGCCTTCGCTATGCGAGGGTTTGTCGGGGCAGACTGTCCGAAAACGCACCTTTGCAAATTCCATGCGTTGGTGGAAAGACCTTGCGGATCCTAGCACATAGGAATCGTCCCTGTGTCGTTCCCACACGATCAACCTTCATGTAGTGGGTCTTAAGCTTGATGGGCTGCGCGCCTCGGCCAGCGATTGGGGTCTTCAGACGCATCACAGGGGAAACGCTATCTTGGAACTCTCCGGTCTTTCTCAGCGGGTGGCGGCATCTCCTATACAACACAGCTAGAATGGAATGGTTGACGTTGGATGGGAGGGGTGTCAATGTTGGGAAGCTCACATCATACATACATCAACCGTTTGCCTCATGGTGGATCATATTCTCCCACGATGACACCTTCTTCAAGCGTCTTTGGAGGGCCGACATGAACTCATTGCCGAGCCCGCTCTCTACAGTGAAAACATGTACTGTCAAGCATCTGGTCGCCACAAGAACAGCAACATGGTGGTTTTGCGATGTCTTCAAAGCGCCGATGCCTTAGAACAGTCACCTTGCGCTATTGACCGCTGCCGAACAGATAGTAGATGTGGAATGTGACGTACAGCCAAACAAGATACACACCGACCGCGAACTCCTCACCCGAATTTCTTCAGGGGATCCGACTTTTTCTTGCCTCCTCTGCCGCCCGCGCCGCCTCTGCCGCCACGCCCCCTCCCGCGTCCCCGCCCGCGCCCCCTAGCGCCATTTTTGTTGAACGGCACGAACCCGACCTCTCCCGCGACAGGAACAGGCTTCGCATCGCCTTCGCCCCCGCCCTCTGCACCCGGCACAGCCGCAAGACGCGGCAAGAGGTACTTCGGGATGTGCTTCATGTGCGACTGCACCCGTGTGGGATGCAGCGGCTTGTCGTGCCGCAAGTACTCAAGGTCGAGCGGATTGTCCTCGAAATGCGCCTGTGAACACGACAATAAGCAACCGGACGGTAGCGTTCACGAACAAGATACTTACCTTCAGCTTATCCGAGTTCAGGATCTCCGTCTTGAGCTCCTTGATGCGCGCCTCCTTGATCGCGCTCCGCGTAACCGCTCGCAGCGCATCCTCCATGCGGTACCGGAACGCCTCGACCTGCTTCATGTCGAACTGATACTCCTTCAGCTGGCTCCCGCGCGCAGCCTGCTCGCGCTCGATGCGCGCGAAAATCTCCTCATCGCGCAGAGCGCTCTCCACGCCGCCGACGACCTTATTCCGCCCCCACTGCTCCTTGGGCACGACGAACGAGAGCGCCATGCCTGTCCGCCCCGCGCGTGCGGTACGCCCGACGCGGTGCGTGTACGCACGCGAGGACGTGGGGAGGTCGAAGTTGATCACGCAGGAGACGTCTACAAAGTCCACGCCGCGCGAGACGCCGTACTCTGCGTCGGACGCGCCTTTACGCCGTTTGCGCTTGTTCGCCTTGCTTTTTGATGACGACGGCTCTGGTGTGGGCTCGCTCGTGGCCTTTTTGCGTTTCAGGGATTTGGGGGCGTCTTCGGGCGCAGGGTCGGCGGGAGCAGCAACAGCGGCATCTTCAGCCTCGCGTTGGGTGTCCATGACTAGTATATTTCTGTCAGCAAATCGGCGGCAATGTACGATGAAAGGCCATACAGTCGTCTTCGTTCTCCTCTGCAGCATCTTCCTCCTGCTCATCGTCCGAGTCCTGCTCTCCTCGGCCCGTGCTCTCGTCGGAAGCGATGATGTAGTCATACACGCCTTTGTTGAACTCCTGTACCGTATGGTACCTACGGCAGGTGTGAATAGTAGTCCATGGGAAGCCAAGTAAACACCGTACCTGGAGTTGAGAGGCAACTCAGAGTTCAACACACAACTCTTGATAGAGAACTGTTCCAAGAACAGCTTGAGGCGGTAGCACCGGTCGACATCGTTCACGAACAGGATGCACTTTCCCTTGATGAGCCTGAGCTTCAGAATGACATACGTCAGAAGGAATTTGTCCACTTCCGAACAGCTACGTTGGATTAGTTAGTTGAATCACGATATGGGCCGCTTCACGCACCGAACGGAGTACTGCGTCAAATTTGCCGCCTCGTCCTCGTCTTCCTCGAGCTTCAGAATGACCTGTTGAAACTGCGTCAATGCCGTGTGTGGCTTGAATCGGCATACAAGCTTACCGGGCTACGCAGCGCAAGACCTTTGAGTGCCTCGACATCCTCGGTCATCGTAGCGCTCATGAGGAACGACTGGAAAACCTTGGGGAGAAAGCCTCCGCTGAAAATTTGACGGACGTCTTCGTCGTGCCCGTACGACAGAATCAAATCTGCCTCGTCGATAACCAAAGACTCCAGGGCGTCCAGGGACATAGTCTGGTGCATACAGAGATCAGTTGCGCTCTAGTTTTAGCGTGGAACCACCTCACCTTCGCCTGCAGAAGTGCTAGTGCGCGCGAAGGAGTAGCAATGACGACATCAGGATTGTCCGACAGTAATGTTCTGATGAGAAGGTCAATACTAGTGGATGCTGATAATCACGGACGACTTACTCACTTCTGGAGGTGAGTGGTTGTACCCGAAGAGACGTTGGCGACCGAAACTTCGTCTTCGCAGTACGTTAACAGGCTGCGAAGATGCGCAGACACCTGTTCCGCCAATTCGCGGGTCGGTACCAGTATGAGTGCACGAGTGGCTTGTCGTTTCGGGTCGTCAATTGCAATGTTCTGCAATACGATATTAGCACAGATTTCACAGCGGCGAACGACGTCATTTAGAGCGTATTAATTCGGCGCACGCCGTGGGCGTATGCAAAGCGGTCACCGAAGGCAAAGCGAGTAGGACTAGCAAAGGGAGACGCAGCACGCGCCTGGGAAAGAACGTCGTGTGCTTTGCCGTTTGGCGAGCCAGCCTCCGTTCGTGCCGTGGGACATGTTTTGCTGGACACTTGCTCTGGAAGGCTAGATATCCTGAGAACCAGACGACCTTTCAAGCCCATTCCGGAGCAAAATCTGAGCCAAAGCGCTCCGTGGTAATGTGTACCATGCCATGCCAAGCTCGCAGAAGCAATAACGAATCAAACTCACCCCTTTGGTGTTCAAGACCTTCTGCACAACGGGGATGCAGTACGCCGCGGTCTTTCCACTTCCTGTTCGCGCCCGCGCCAGTATGTCACGGTTTTCAAGCGCTAGAGGTATCGCTTTTGTTTGAACGAGGGTAGGGCGAGCGAAGCCCATATCGGCCAGAGCTCTGAGGATGCGTCCATCGAGTAGATGGTTGAATGAGGCGAAGGTCGCCTTGGAGTCAACTAGGCGTGCCTCAGGCATAGCTGAGACTGCTGGGTGGGTCGTTTGATATAATTGTGTTCCCAGACCAGAAGATCAAAGAGCGCAGAGAGACAGGAAGCACAGCTCGAGGATAGGAACAGAGAGACGGAGAGGAGGATGAAGAGCAGAACGAAGCCGCCCTGCTGAAATTTCCGCGTAAGGAAACCAGTCCCACGTGGTTCATGGGCGCTACATGAAAGCATCGCGGCGTCTTCGCTTGTCCTCGCTCCGAGACTCCAAAATGTTTTTTCTCCTCTCTCAGAGCGCTCTTCTCCAACCACAGCATCGGTAGGATACAATTGAGGGGGTATGTTGTGCGCTTGCAAAACGGCTTCATGGGAGGCGATGAAGTGTTCCGCTACGGCGCATGCATCAGGCTGCGCCCCTCCAAACGGCGAACGCCGCAGACTACCGAAGATCATCTTGAGATCCCTCATGTTCCCTGAGAGCATTGGAATAATGCGGGAGCATGAGGCTGCAACATGTTCTACACAACCACCGAGCTGCCTTCTAGGGTATAGACGGCCCGTGCTCACCAGTGTCCTAGGAATACATTCAAGCCTAAACCTGTGCTGCCCGCCACATGGAAGTCTCAATTCACACACTCGCAGCTGCACGCACAGAAGCCATGTTCGTGGGGGCGCGGCGCGCAAGTTGTCCGTGGAGTATGCTTGTGTATGCGGTGCTGTGTGTGTTCCCGCGATTGAGAGCCTAACTCCGCCAGGCGGTTCAAAAGCACAAGGCTTGGCCGGCGTGCTTGCGTCTCTCCGGCCCCTAGTTGAACATCCACCTTAAGTGTCTTTCGGCCACCATTCACCATCCCAGACTACCCAGTCCATCTGTTTGTCCCCAATGCCGAGCTATGACGGAGCCCCGGGTAGGTGCAAAGAGTATGATAAATTGGTGCGTTCGAGTTATTTCTGAGCGGGTGGCGATTGTCCCCGTCGCTGACCTATGGGTGCACCCTTGGCTCCATCCAGATTCCGGGCCGTTGTATCACCTTGAATCTCCGAGATGTCGTGAAAGAAGCGGCGAAGCAAGAAAGACAGTTCTTGGCCAGGCTCCACGAGCAACGAATTGCGGGCGGCGTCCCAGGTGGCAGAGGATACGCCACAACACCGACCACCACCACTAGCCAGCGTACAACGACGAAGAGTACCACCCCCGCCTCACTTTCACTCCAGGACACCCGCATCGCAACAAAGGCATCGGCGTACCCTCCTTCCAGGCCCTATCCTAGTACACGTGCCTCGTCGGCCGCGACTCGGACACGCCACGCTCCGGGATCTGTTGCGCCAACTACTGCACTAGTAAGTCTTATACGAGCTGTAGGCACCTTATGCATGTCCTGACTGCGACTGCGCGCCAGTCTCAGGATGTCCGCCGCTCGGAACCAACTGAATCCAATCTCGTCGACTATGTGCGCGTTCCACAACACAAGAGGACCATCGGAGGCAAACTCGCTGCTAGAGAACCTATAGCCTCATATATCGCCGACACCACTGCCAACAGTGCCGCGACGCACACCCGTCTCGTATCGCATCACCTCGCTCAACCCCTGGACAGAACGTCGCCGAGCGGTTCTCGCTCGTCGTTGTCCGTCCCACTGATCGCCACCTGTCATACCCGCTGTGGCGACTGCAACATCCACGGCGACATATCCCTCGCTCAAACGCCACCGTGACCCTGACCTTGGCCATCCGTACAAGAACGCGCGACCCCGCCACGCTGTCGAACTCGAGAATAGCTATCCTCTGCACCGCGTCGGCGGACTCCACGATGTCCCTAGGGCGGAGTACATGCACCCCATCAACATGGGCGAACACGCGGTGCGCGGCGGCGCTCCAACTTTTGCGTCCTTCGGCGCGAACGCCAACGACACCAACCGCGACTACCGCCACACCGATCCGTACCACGCCGATCAGCCCGCCTCTGACGGGATAGCTGAGGAGTACAATCAAAGGACGTTGACCACCGCACATCAGGTCTTTGTCCGCCCTCAGATTGGCTTCCATGACCACTCTCAGGTGGTGTCTGAGCCAGCGGCCATCCAGGCCGACGCTTCTTACAATATAGGGTTACTAGGTGGCGACTTTGTCGGACCGCCTGCGTCTACGTCCGCTGAGAACGACGTCTCGTACTCTCCGTCTTTCCTCAACAATGAATTTTACCAACCTGTCGACGAGGGGGAAATCGCGCTTTTGATTCAGAACATCTTACAGCAAGTCGAAGACGTTCTCGGTGGCAAGGATGCGAATACTTCCGCATCGCAGCATCCGACATCCTATCCCCAGCATTCTCTGAGTGCGCCGGCGATACACCCTCATTCCGCGCTCTCGCCATCCCTGGATCCGCCGCCCGCTCATTTTTGGGGCGAGTCAGGGCCGCTTCAGTTCCCGTTCCCGTTCCCCACTCCATCCACTGCTTCGTTCGACGTCCTCCCAGACGTGGCATATGACCAACACCAGTATGCTCCTTTGGACGCACAGGGATCGCCTTCGCAGCACGTCGCACCAGCCAACGATCGAACGACCAATATAATGCCGCTCCTAGCAAAGATGAGCCATTATCCGGAGATGACGGTTTCTCGCCTCGGACCGTGGGGCACCCATAGCGATGTAGTCATGGAACATCCGGACGCATCCCATCTCGGCTATACATCCACCGCGAGCACCCACAGTTCCGAGTCTGACTTCTGCGGCGCCCTGACTGACGAACCTGGTTCGTCACCTACCGAGAGCCAACCGTCATACATCCTCTCGCCCGGGTCAAATGAGCGTGCGGCGTCCTACGATAACAGGACGCCAGCTAGCACAGCTCATCTATAACACCAACCCATATCTCCTCCAAAGCTGTATTCGTATTCCAAGTTCTCCTGCAATATTCCAGAGCACGTACGAGGGTAAACGGCTGTCCACCACGATGTAGCCTTCAGTGGAAGTACTAGTATCTGCGGTTTTGCTAATATATATGATATTGATTACAAAACGCACCATGTCAGCCCCATGACGGATGTTCCTGTGTATGGGGCCATTGTTGCCAAGCTATGAGTCTGTTCTGTTTTGGCATCTAAAACAAAACAACCCATAGCGTAGCAATAAAGCCTCAAGTGTCAGAGCGAACTCGGGCGTCCACGTGTTAACTCGCCGCCGTACGCGTTTCTCGTCGTCTATGGCAGCGTCAATCGGTTTTCGAGGGTTTCAAGCTTGCAGACGGCCGACCTCGACATTGACGTTTCACAAACCGACCCACCCACTCGCAAGATACTTAATCCATAATCCCCCCTCCAGCTCTGCTCCGCCCCTGCCTATAACCCAGAGCTGATACGAATGCCTGGAGCTATGTATTCACCGCGATCTTATGGTTGATGCGACACGCCGTCGTGTGAAACCTATATACGAACACGCCGATGTTCAGCTATGTATTAATCTCGAAGTATCAAGATACTGATATTAATCCATAGCGTAGCAACTTCGAGCTCCAAGAATCGGAGGGGCACGCGAAGCAGATGTCGCGGAGATGTACTATGGCAACAAAACATGATCTCGCACCATGGTTGCAATTTTCAACCGTTATCCTGCGGAGGATAGAGGGTCGTTGGACTCGCTCATGGTACTAAACTCCGGACTAGCAGGTGTATGGGCGCCGAGAGCAAGTAAGGGCATAGCTTGGCATCTGACAGAGCTGCACAAGCGTCACTGGAGTAAGCATGGTGGAGCAGCGGTTTTCCAAAGAGCGATAGGGAGGAACTGAGGTATGCGAGCGCATAGTAGTATGAGAAGAGGCAAGGTCAAAGAGATCGATCACGATCAATGTATGCCATTAGTAGATGCGGGCTAGTTGCGCGTCTCGGTAAGTCCCGGTGTATCATGTCAGTACTAAGTACTTCTGGCAGGCCTGCGCGCTAGTTCCCGTGCGACTCCTGCATACCAGCGACGACGACGGCTGAACAGCGACGTAGCGAGCATGAGGGGCCTGAGATCAACCCGAGACTACTATGTCGAGGATGGTGGCAGTCGCAACAGCCCTCCTTTCCCTCCAGACCTAGTCGCGATACACACGCCCATCCCCCGACACGCCATGTCCTAGCCTGTAGGTGTGCATCAGTGCCTGCCCAAATGAGTCTTTGGCGAACGATGAACGAGTCCGTGACTTGACTAGCAGGGTTTTGCGTCAGCGGCGGCTCGATCGCGGCGGCTCGCTGGAGACTACATGCATCCAGCGTCATTTCATACGCGCGCAAAGCACGGCCCGAGCGACCCAAGGAGACCGACCAGGTCATAGTAGAGCACGAGTCGTCAGTTGAGGCCCCTAGAGACCTTTACCTCGCCGATGCTTCCTTCAACATCCCTCCGGCACACCCAATCAGTATTTGCATCGCACCGCCTCGCTCGAAGACCGGACAGCGCATCGCTGCGCGAAGTACGCTCGTTGCTGTCCTCCCTCTCGCCGCCGGCAATGCCTGCTGTGGCGACTGCACCATCACCGAGTTCGCCCCTCAAGCGACTCGGACGCAGTCTGTCTCTCCCACGACAGACCGGGTACTGAATCGCCTTTGCCTCGCCTTCCGTGGCGGTCCTCAAGTGATTTTGGATTCCTCACGTTATTTGTGAGTGTTGGAATAATGCGGGGCAGGAGGGTGTCGCATGTCCTATACTTACAAGCACCGAGCTGCCCTCTACGGTATACCCGGAATGCTCACGGGTTTCCTAGGAACATGACCCTGTGCTCCTCGCCACACGCGAGCCTCGTTTTGCATAACAACAGCTGCACGCGCAGAGCTGCTAGTTCTAATGGCTCGAGCTTACTAGTTAGGACTTTACCGCAAGTCGTCTACTGGAGCGAGACACGTACGGTGGTCTCCAGAGGCTTGACATCTACCACGCGCTGGTGCCCGATCTGTTGCCCCGGGTACCCCCTTGCGGTCCCCAGGGATCTCTGGCAAACCGGTCTTCGTTGGGCAGTCCATGACGAGACCTGTATGGTTGACAGCCCATATCTTTTGTACACCTTTCCCCTTTCGTCCGTACTCTAGGCACATTCGACGAATGTATTTAAATGACCCTTTGTAGCGTAAATCAAATATTTGGCACTGTCACGTCGCTTCGGATGAATGATAGTACGCAATACAAGGTGTCCCCTGAGCACTGATCACTGGGTGCTTGGTGTATGAGCACGTACGCAGCTGTTCTATTGCTGAGCTATGAATCCACAATCAAATGCAAAAGATATGATTGAAAGCCCATAGCACATCGATAGAGCTATAGAGTTTCGAGGACGAGTAGAAGTGAGATGATTGAAAAGTGAGAGTGACACTCTTTGACACCATATCCTAGACGTAGTATCGTCGTCGAAGCTACATTTGATGCAGTACATTCTGTCAGACAAGACGGCAGCGTCATAAGAAGTAACGCCTATGCATGGGGGTTCTGTCGCCGAGCTATGGATACGCTCTGAAATAGCAACCATTTCAAAACAACCCATAGCTTTGCAATAGGGCCCCAGGTGATTGAACGTCGAACTTGGACCACTTGATGCAATCACAGGATTGATTCGTACCGTATTTTGTACTGATGATATCCTTTCAATTGAAACATAGATCCTTCGTACTGCTTGAGGGCGCGTGAGTGTGATGGCTTCGAGCCTTTGGTGCGACCATGGACGGATGCGAGCGAAGCATCACCAGCGGTAGGGCGAGAGAATGTGTACACTGCATGACTGCGTGTAGCATAGATGTGGTATCGCTGAAGCAGTCCCAGCGCAGGGTGATTTCGAGAGCGAAGGAGTGGAAGAGAGGAAAGGAAAAGACAAACTTACCGTAGCGATCGCTCGATCGCCCGGCGATCTAGTGGCGATCTGTGCCAATCTTGGGCGCCTGCGCTCGATCACCACAATTGCCGCCCACGCGCACAACCGTTCGGAATTGAGTTTGGCAGGCCTTGTTGTCGACGGTGACCCGACCGCGCTGCCAACCACTGGCCACGAGTCTAACCTTGTGTCCACCCACAGAAAATGCAGAATTGTGTTTATCTTACTTTGGGATCTTGCGGCGCCCTTGGAAAGACCCGGACTGGCATTAAATCCTCGACGTTCAAACACCACTTGCAGCCTGTGCGAAGTCTGGAGCTTGTATGGCATGGGCTTCGCATAATTAAGCACTTATGGACGCGCCAGAGGACTTACTCTTGAGGATGATGGGCTGAGATTATCCATAGCTTTTATGGGTCGGCAGAAGTACAGGTGAAGAGCCTCACTGATTCGATTCGTACTAGGTTTCGAAGAGTCATCAGACCGTCAGGATATCCAGGGGCCAACACGGTGGAGATACTGCAAGTCGCATGCATACGCTCGAAATAGAGCCGACGAAACGTCTCACTAGTGAGCTCTCCAGTATATCCACCTCATCACTCTCGGGCGGTGCTAGCTTCCTCGGATCTCCCACCATCGCACGCCCCAGCCCGAGCTACGCCTTGAGGCGTACGGAGGCTATTCCAAAAACCGTTCAATAAAACGCGACTAGAGCACATCTCAGCAGAGGTCCCAAGTAACCCCGTTTTGTGTACTCGGGGCGTGTCCATCAACCCATTCAGTAACCCTGCCTCGCTCTCCGTGGCTATTCACGTCCTGACACTCGCGCGGACCGAAGAGTCTCCTCGTTCTGATGCGTGCACGGAAGCAGTGCGGTGTGCGAAACTCCCCAGACGCGTGTTTTCATAACAAACAAAACTCCGCCTAGTGGTGAAAGTACAAGAGCGCTGTGTTTCTGCCTCTCTCATCCCTCACTTGAGCGCAGCTTCGATAACACACTCCTACCAGGCTATCATGCCAGAACTTCGCCTCATAATGCTCGACGACTCGACTCCGCCGCCTCCCGAAATAATCAATACCGACATGTTCACAACTCCAATGTCTGAAACTTGGGGAAAGCCTCAAGTGGTGATGCAGAATATTGGTGACGACGCGACCAAGGTATGCGACCATCTTCCGCTTGTTCGGGGATCCTCACTAATGATCGTATTTCCGCCACCGTTTGGAAGCAATGCGGAGTGTTCGATTCAAACATAAAGCGCATCAACAAAAAAACTGCTCAACTAGCAAGGTATGTGCGTCGAGGCTTGTTGGACGGCCGCGGTATCAACTTGAAGGGCCTGCCCGTACCTAAGGCTATGGGACCCGTGCGAGCGAAGGCGAGCATCTTGAACGGTGGGCCGTTCATCCGCTGACCTTGCCACCTGTAGAAAGGTGGCGTTCAGCGCGAAACGTCGTCAAAACATCGCCCCCTGGCGCCATCCAGACGTCCAGTCAAACAGCGGCCGAGCTCTCTATCGTCCATGATTCCGGCTGCAGCTCCAGCGGAGATCCGCCCTCCCGTTCCTGTCGCCTTCCATCCTCTCGCCACCACTGGCGTCCGCCCCGGAGCCCCGCCACACGTCCATCCCATGAACAACTATCAGCCGCCACGCTCGAATGAACCCACTCCTGTCACGAATGGGCCCCAGACGACGCCGCCGTCGGTGCGCGTTGACGAAAGGCAGACACCTACTCGCCACCACGCCGACGTTCGCCACCATGACGGCACCCGCGGTCACCCATATTATCGTCCACATGCAGCGCACGTCCTCGAATACAACGAGCACGATCGCTATGGCTATGCTGCCGCTCCGGACGAAAACACTCGACACGCCCGGAGGAACAAGTTATCCCAAGATATCTCGCGGCGGCGATATTTGATGACATTGGGCAGATTCGCTACGGGTATTTGCGCCGAAACGACGGTCGTATATCCCGGCCTTGATATCTCTCGGATGTCGACCAGCGGTTAACGCGTGAGATCGTGGCGTGGATACCATCCCGCTCTCTCGTCGAGACACGCAAGATATCTGCCATACAACAGGCGCCCACCGAAAGTCAGTAGCCGAAAATCCAGAATATTCATTGCTGGATTGCGGGGGCTGCAGGCATTGCATAGTAGGGATAAACGGTGTGTTATACAATTGACATCCAGTAGGTACTGTCTTACATGGGCACATACAGTAGGAGAGGGACGAGCTTGGACGGAGGCGGGGATGCACTGGCAGTATACGTGACAGCGGCGTGGGCAGAGGACGATAGCCTGGAAGTGGTGCAGGGACGAGCTCGTATATATGGGTGAACTTACCTTGGTGTTCTGGAGGTACGAGCACTGTAATGACGAATGCACGAGGCTGTTGGCATGAGCTGCCATTAATGAGCTGATAACTCACTCGAATGCGAGAACAGCCTCTGAAGTCGGCCTCAGAGGGTGAGCAAGAAGAAAGACGTTGGAGGAGTAAGGGAGGGCACAGTGACAGGTGGACACTGGACGTGCGGAGGGAAGTGACGGTCAGAGGCAGAGTACAGTGCCGCCCAAGTGCCGCCCGACAGCTCCCTCCATTGCGCGGCGCCGACGGGTGGCGCTTAGCACTTGGAGATTTCGACCTTCACATCCAAAGGGGCTTTGGCGCTGACGGGATGTCTCGACGAGCTCAGCCGTATGACCACCGAATATAGCGCCAGCACTGGGCTGGTCTCTAGCGCTGGATATCCTGAGATTTGCAGGGCAGAGAGCCGCCGGACATCTGCGCTCAGATGTCCGGGCAATGGTCGACTGACAACGGCGCGGCAGATGTCGGGTACACCGGCCGGATACTGGCCGCCGAGATATCATTCGGATAGCCTCTTGAACTGGGCGTGGACATGGACAAGTGGGAGGTGATATGCTCCAAACGCACACCTTCGAGCCGCGCGGCTACGGCGGTCGACCTCTCACGGGCTATCAGACGTATGGCAATATGATGGCGCGCGGAAACACTTTGCCGCACCGCCCGAACCCTGCCTCTACGGCGTCGTCCACGTCCACGTCCGTCGGGGCCATCGATGCGCCCTACGAGCTTAATAAGGTGGTCACCACCAATTTTGGGCACTCGTTTGCCGCGCCCGCGCCCGCGCCCATGCAGTACTCGGCAAATCAGTATCAGGACGTGTTTTTCCCCTCCGCAGACCGCCTGCTGAGTTTGCAACATCCTCAGCGGACGCCCTTCAACTTCGACGCTTCGCAAGCCACCATCTACGGTCGATCATCCAACCACAACTTGTACGGCAGTTTCTCGCAGCAGGAACAAGTCTACGACACTGGCTTTGGAGTGTCTGGACCGCAGGCGCCACTCGGACTCGACTACACAGGCACGGACCAGTGGCTCTATTCGCAGCGCGCGAGCATCTGTCACTCAACTGCGGCGCACGCTCAAGTGGCATACGACCCCAGTTTTGAGAATGATAATCTAGACCCGCGCGAGTGTTCGGTCTCGCCCTCTCGACGCCAACAGGAACATGCTTTTGGGTCGGAGGGCTTGCCGCCTTACCATCATCGAGGAGCCCACCATCGGTTCCTGTACGACGCCGGCCCTGTACAGACACTGCCGGCTCACGAGTTCTCCCTGTGGACCCCACGTGAAGCTGGCGACCCGCTCGCCATGTCAGCGCTGGAGTTGGCACAGCTGGCCCACCACCGGGAGGTCGTCCCTCCGGGTCGCCCTCGCTCGATGATCGCCCACGACGACTCGATCACGGCGTATCCGACGCTGAACCTCAGTCACTCTCCAATTACGAATCCTTGCAAACGTCGCCTCATACCCGCAGGCAACCAACCGCGGTCTTAGCCTCTTGTACAAACAGCGATAACCCATATTTCCACTAGCTGTTCCTCCCCGCCTCCTGTTCCGCAGATCTGAAACGAGCTTGGAATCTGATGTACCTATTGCAATGCGAGCATTGTGCGCCAATGTTTTCGTCCCCTATGATGGGGATGCGCTAATGGATACCGCAATGAACACGTTATTTCTCATATAGTGCTGCACTGCCGAGCTATGAGTTGAATCTGTATGCTCGATTCAAACAGTGACAACCCATAGCCTAGTAATGAGCTCCGAGAATAGATCGATTCGATCTCCTTGATCCACAGGCCAAGAACCGGCGGGAGTACACTGTAGTAACAGGATATGATCTCGCACCACGTTTTTGATTTCGAAAGTTTTCCACCGAGGATGTATGGTCATTGGACTTGCTGATGGTACGTATCAACTTGGGACGATATCGGCGCTACCAGTGCAATCGGCTATGGGCACGATTGGACATCCGAAACAGTAGCCACATCGATACTAGAGTGAGCCAGCGTAGCGAGTGACCGGAGAGACATGGAGCGGATGTATACGCTGAGGAGATAGGAGAAAAAGCAAAGGCAGATCAATGTGTTGATGCCAAAGTTGCCCGCATTTATACCCGGCAAATCCCGGGATAAGTACTGTTACCGCGCGCTGGTCCGACAAAGTCCGAGTCCAACTTGTTCAACTTTGGTTCATTTTGCTACTACTGCGGTCGGACTGTCGACTATGCGCGACTACTAGCCATAGCCAAAGATACTGGTATCGATCTTGACATTGTGTCTAATGAACGTACCAGCTGTCACGGACTCGGAAATCGCGCGGTTCCTGGCAGTGAGTGCTCTTATTCGAATAACGACTTATAGTGTTCCTAATACTGCATGAGGGAGCTTCCAGTATCGAGGGCTCCATGAACGCCTCCATAGGTGCCGCGAGGATCAAAGACGAAAAGGCCCTTCAGAGGGCTCGTTTATGACCGCCATTCGAAAAGGTAAGTCGGGATCCAGCTGCAGTACACTCCACACTGGGCGCTGCGCTGCCCCCGGCTCCGTGCCAGCGACCCAGTGGCGATGAAGTCAAGACACATCGGAAACCCTGTGCGGAGGTGCGCATCCGGATACAGACATAAAGCTTCTGAAGGCGTGGGCAGCTGCCAGTGTACCAGTGCCGCGGGCTCCGGACGAGGACGAGACTCCTGGATCGTCGGCCGGCTTGTTGTAGTTACTTTGGCCCCATCGGAAGCCGCACTAGCGTCGAAGGATGGGAGGAACGTGTATCAGAGAGCTAGATACTTCGAGAAGAAGACAGCGTGGCCCGGGAGCTATGTTGGGATTCGGAGGACTTTCTCATGGCAGATACCGCGCACTTGTAATCGCGCGGATGCGGTACAGCACCAGTCGCATTACCAATTGTATGTGTGTGTCTATAGGACGTGTGAGCTTGCAATACAATATATTGCCGCATGTACACTGCCCGAGTCAAGGAAGGCTCGCTCGGACTTCTGAGTCGAAACTGTCGCTTCAAGGACATCGGGAATTTCGGCTCATTCGCATAGCATAGGGCATATATTGCATAGGAAGGGCATAGATGATGGCATACTACATATCACGTACATACTACAATTCACGACAGCATACTCGAACTCGCAACGATCTAGCAGAACTCAGAACTCACAAGGTCATTCGAAAACTGGGCGCAAGGCACCATATGAGTAGGAATTACATTTGCGTCGGCGGAGCACTACACCTTTCGATGGAGTGGCGCGGGAGGCAGCCGCGACGTCCGCCTCACGGCTGCCTGTGGGAGATTATGGTGCAGGCAGCCGGACGCGGGCGCGGGCGCGAGCAAGCCTGCACGCAGCGATGCACGTGGGGGCCTGGCCGCGGCGCCGGAGGCGGAGGCGGGGGTCGAGACGGCTTGGCCCACTCAACGTCCATGCGAACATCGTCGTCGAGCGCGGGTTCTTCCTTCTTGACCGCCGCCCCGTTCACGAGGGCGTCGTGGAGACGCTGTAGCCCCACTGAATCGTGGGCAGCGGAATATGTGGTGGGCGTGGGAGGTTTGTCTGTAAGAGAGCGCTCCAACGGGTGCGCGCAGTATTTGGGACGGCTGTACTGGATATCGGGTCCGCGCTGGGAAAAGCCCTTGTGTTCCTTTGTGAAGCTCTCGGTATCCTGGTCGTAAAACATGTATTGCACCGGCACGTCCAGCTTGCGCTCGGGGAGCATGACGATGAGAGGTGGCTGATTCATGGGGGCAGGATGGGGTTTCGCCGGGTATTTGAGCTCCGGTGGCGCGGAGCGGCTGGCGACAACTACCCTCTCGGGATGCGGCGCACGAGCCACGATAGCTTGCGGCATGTGTATCCCGCGCGGGTCGTTCTCGTCGCGTCGATTCTCGCTCTCTGAAGCAACGGAGAACAAAAGAGTGCGCGATTCGGAATGTTTGGTGACAGCGGACAGAGAGCAGGGCGGGGCGGGCGGAGGGGCCGGAAAACAGGGATATTTGTACATCGAGTTACTTTGAACGTGTGGATTCGTGTTGGGCTGCGCGCAGTTTCTTGTAACAAAAACCGACGAAGTAGAGATACCCGGAAAGCCGGAATGACGAGGTCGCCTGCCAGAGCTGTCCAGCTTCCTCAAGTACCAGCGCTTGCGCCGCATCGGGACACCGCAGAGGGGCGGTAACCCCTTCCAGTACTTCTCGCCTATGACAGAAGACAAGGGAGGAAGGGTCGGGCGCTCGTGAGGATGGAGACGATCTCTGTCGCGGGGCTCTTCCTTGGCCGCACACGGTGGCGCAGAAGAGGGTCTGGACAAAACCACTGGCATATGAGTTATTAGATCGCGCATCGATGGCAACGATACGCGATCTACAGTAGAGGGGCGAATAGAAACGAAAGGATGCTTTGCGAAATGCCCGGGCTTCTTGGACGGGAGTCCGCGCGTATGCGCACTGATTGCACGTTTGAGAACTCCCTCCGAACGCCGAGTCGTTGGGAAGACGTGTACTACTTGAGCAGGCGGATCGGGGTTTGGCATGCCTGCATTCTTGGGGGTCGGAGGAGCACGGCTATCGAACACATTGAACTACAAGTTATGTGAGTGCATGTTGTGTGAACGCGGTGGCGTAGGACATACGCGACCCTCAGCATCATCGCCCAAAGCTTGGAGAACCTTTGATTTCCTCCCTTGCCAATAGGCAGAGCGATCATGGGTGCGCGTGGCTGCCTTGGTGGTCTCCTGGCGCATAGTGAAGGTCGGAAGATGGTACAGGGGAACGGGAGCAGGAGGGTCGTCGTAGAAAGGCCGAAAGATCGGTGTTATTTGGGTCGTGCGTAGGACTCTTTATCGGAGAGCCTATGCGCCACCTGGCCCATTGTGGGCGCAAAACCATACTGCGTCCTGCCTTGAGGCATCAGCCGAAGCACGCTCGTCTCCCGCAGTTTTGGGTGCAGCACGGGCCCACCTACCTATCTGGGCGAGGATGATTTGAAGACTTGCCAAAAGAGGGAGTCTGGAGAAAGGCGAGCCAGCGGCTACTGCCACGCGCCGGAGCAGCTGGTGGTTCGCGTGAGAACCCAACTATCACGAGGTGCGGCGGGCTGTGCGCGAGAACAAGGGCTCGCCTCGTATATGGAGAAGCCTTCGTCTGAGTCAGGGAGGGGCCCACCTCATTATCAGATCTGAGGGCGCATGTACCCATTAGTGGTTTACTCGAAGAAGCTCGGGCGGTGCGCCACCTGTGCGGCGCGGCGACTGCGCCGAGTGTTCCCTGCAACGTGTGCCCCTTGCGAAGGAGAGGTGGGACAACACGGTACTCACCCATTTCGGAATATCATTATATATGTCTCCCACGTGTCCGGCGGAGCCGCGGAAGCGACCCAGGCCATAATGATACCGCGTCGGAGCCAAGGATGCGAAACCTAGCACAAGGCGGATCCGAGTCGTCCTCGGAAAGGTATCTGCCAGAGAAGGATTAGTCGGAGGAGATACTAGCTGCGAAAGTGCGTCGATCAAGGCGCACAGTCCAGGTCTGCAAGTACTCAAGCCTTGATGCTCGAGCTTCACTGGCAGGCTTAGCTATTGAGACGAGCACCTATCAGCCAGATTTGAACCAGGCATCTCTCGGGTGATGCTATCGTATTCTGAGGGCGCAGGAGGCGGCATGAGAATCCGATATCGTCAGGAGGTTCGTCAAGGCAGGAAGAGAGTGAAGAGGGCGTCGTCGTTGATCCGTGCGCACGACGACTGGGAATTCCGTACTAGAGGTCCTAGATGAGTCCGAAAGTATATGTAAGTCGAGTGGTCAAACGTACGCCTTGTGTTGGTATCGCCGCTAGAGAACTTACATCAGAGTACGATTGCGCGAAGGTCCTCCATTCTGGTAAAAAGGTGGCTTGAGCTCCCCTGTTTTCTCGTGCCCGCCACTCTTCAAGATCTCCTCCTTTGGGAGCTGTGGAGGCGGGAGCGAAGGAATCATTTCGCCATGGAATGGGTGTTGCTCTGCGTCATAGTTATCGAGAAGCTGGCCGTCCCCGGCGATGGCCAGAGGTGACGCGTTGGGTATAGGAGGACCATCCAGGGCAAAAGAGTTGTCCTTGTCAGGCGGGTTCTCTAGAACTTCTACATGTGCACCTTGTCAGCAGCCATGGGTAATCGATTTAAATTTCTGGCATATACTCACCTCGCGAGCTAGCGATTTCGCGCCGTCTTCACTTCTCGACCAACTTAGGCTCAGGTGAGTCTAACGGGAGAGGGTAGGGTCTAACGAGCGAGGGTAGATATTGTCATACATGCACTGTCGGTCGTTTGGCCGGGCGACATCGTAGCTCCTGGTAGAGGACGAACCCGGACGAACTCGAAAGTACACGACGTGGCGTTAGGCGCCCGTCGCCAAATCAGTCTCTCCCGCGCTTCACCACCACGGGATCGAGTTCCCTCCTCCTTGACCAGAGCCATCAATCAAAACGGACCATATCCGACATATGCTCACGTTGTAGGCTTTCACTTGTGGTCCGGACCAAGTCGTGTCCTCGGGGATAGAATCAACTAGAACGGGCCCTTCAGTAGGGTGACTCTATACAGGTCTTCAGGGCGACGGGCGAGAAGTACGTACTCCTCCGCTACCTACTCAACGCTGATTCCGATCTCCGAAGGCCGGATGTCTGGTGACTAGCCTTCTATGTCATGGCTACTTTATTCATCTCACGAGGCAAAGAGCCAAGCGTGGAATACGTACCCCAGGTGAGTTATTTCGGACGCGGATCTGCGACTCACTTACACTTGAGACTTGAACGCTAATTATTCTGCTCAGTTTGCGTACACGTGCGTTTCCGGCGCACCGGGAGTCGAACATAACGCTCGTTGCTGGGTCTGACACCATTAGACAGGGTGTGTGAATGTTTGAAGCAGCTTTCGGGCACGTTCCCGCCGCAGGTACATCGGGCTTCCTTCTCGCACTGCTCGGCTGTTTCATCGTGACTCTCGAACGACCCCATGGTCTCACGCATATTCGCCACCACCCTTTCCCGCCCTCAAAGATATATAATTGCTCCACTTCAGTGAAGGCTAGTTGCTCATCGACAGGATGTTGTAAACGATAAGTATCCTAGCACAAGAGGTAAGCACTGAAGGAAATGTTATGATCTTCAGAGCTGTTCCCAACCAAAGTCTCATCCACTCCCTCCTTCTACACAAGCGCCATATATATCCTGCTGTCATCTGTACGTCCTCGCTGCTTTTCTGTGCCTTCTCATCGCTGCGGACCTTGAGACTGATGTCTCTGGCATGACAGGGTGGCAGCCTCGGAAGGCACCACTTCCCATGAAGCTGAACATCTTCGTCGAAGACTTCCATGAGAAATCGACTGTCTGGATATATAAAATTAGGTATACACTACTTGCATGATCAGACTCCATCCCCAGGTTAGCTCGACTTGTCCAAGACGCTCGCCATGAAGACATTCTTTACCCCATCCTCACTCATCACCGCTCTACTGGTGCTCTTGTCTCTAGCTGCCGATGCGCGTAGTACTCCTGTCGTGCCAGTCCGGAGCAATGGCGTACACCTGCCGGTCGCGAAACGCTTCAACTTCACCGGAGCTGCGAAAATCCTTGAACGGGACCAGGCGAGGGTGCGGAAATTGCGCGCTCGAGCGGCTGCTCGTCTCAGTGGCGAAACGCTGTCACCCGACGTCGGAGCGGCGAGCGTGCTGGCGCTAAACCAGGCTACTCAGTACGTTGTGACTGTGAGTAACGTCTTGTAAACTTGTGTTATAATCGCCGTTAATGTTCCACTCGCTCTCTACAGGCAGCCATAGGCACGCCACCCACAACGTGTACGTGTCCTGCTCTTAGAGCATGACCTATACGTACTACTATTGACCTGATACGCTGAACATCAGATGAGCTTGTCGTCGACACCGGGAGTGGGAACACATGGGTCGGGGCGGGACAAGTCTTCAGACAGACGTCGAGTACGCGTCAAACCCGAGACCATGTGGTCAGTATTCGTCTTGTCTCCGCGTTTGCCACCCATCTGATGCTCTAGCGTCACCCGGGCATAGACAATCGACTTCAATGATGGAACTAGGATGATAGGTAACTGTCACCTCGCCCTCGATATGCGCAAAGTACACTAACTGCACGATCCCTGTAGGTGTCATTTTCACCGACTCTTTCCAGTTGTCGTCCTCTCTGCCATTTTCGGGGCAGTCTTTTGGCGTTGCCTCAGAGCAAAACGTTGTTCAGGGCGTGGACGGAATTCTTGGGCGAGCATCCCCACACAGCGCGCAATTGCGGTCGCCACACTTACCATACACACAGGCTAGGTCCAGCAGCCCTCACCGTCGGGACGCTCAGCCCAGACTCCAACTTGGCGCTCGCGACGGGTCAGTAAGCTCTAATTATGCCTCGCATGAGCTGTCCTTGGTGCTGACTGTAGTGATTACGCAGTTACCGACAACCTCTTTTCCCAGGGTGTGATACCCCAGGATATGGTGGCGATATCCTTTCAGCCCACAGACACGCCGATGATCGTTAACGGCGAGCTTACTTTTGGGGGCACGGACACGAGTAAAATCACCGGAACGATCACATTTGCGTACGTGGTGTTCTCGTCCGCCATATAGTATGTTGTGCAGCGCTCACCTCTGTCTCTCGTATTATAGGCCTATCACGTCCACGAGCCCCTCGTCACTGTTCTTTGGGATCTCCCAAACTGTCAGATACGGAACATCCACAAGGCTCTTGAACAACGCCCCCGGGATCTTTGACAGCGGCACTACGCTTGTCCTGCTCGCCACAGGTAACTATCTACCTCGTCACTTGTTGGCACATCTCTGATTCCTAATTTGCCTCTAGACGCGTTGAAGACCTATACGCAAGCTGTCGGCGCGGTCTTCGATAACACTACGCAGCTCTACCGCATTACAAACACGCAATTCTCGAACCTGCAGAGCCTGTTCTTCACCATCAATGGGGTGCGTGTATATGGGTCAACACTGCCCGCCCGCGTACTGAACGTGTCTCACAGGTCGTCTTCGAGTTCACCGCCAATGCACAGATCTGGCCCGTACGTTACCGCGCCCACCCGAGTGCAATTTCTGCTGGTCACTAACTTTAAAATGTGCCCCTGCATCGTGATAGCGTGCTCTCAACGCTTTGATTGGAGGCAACACGGACAGCATCTACCTCATCATCGGCGACATCGGCTCCTACTCGGGCTCGGGTTTGGACTTCGTCAACGGTCAAACATTCATGGAGCGCTTCTATACCGTCTTCGACACGGAGAATCGCCGCGTCGGTGTCGCGAACACACCGTTTACGCGGGCTACGACCAACTGAGGCAGGCGCGGTGCCGGTCGGTGACCTGCTAGGCTGCTCGGATTCAGTGTTTGGGACGATGGGCACACGTATGTTTTGGCGTTTGGGGGATTGTAAAGTAGTACGTTTGTTATCAAATATCGTGTCCTCGATCGACATGCTGCATATAGGGACGTAAGCGACGAGCTTCTGGCTGCTGAGACGCGCACCCACGAGCAAGACACGAATCCACCATTGCTCGGGTGGTGCGTTCAAATCCTGTAAGCGCAGAAAGTGACATGTATAGAACATCGTCTGCAGCTGAGGCCCATTGGCATCAACTTGGCAGGAGTACTTGGGGGAATACGAGTCCGAGGACATCATCCGACGAGTCGGAGCTCGAGTCCGAGTCGTTCATCCGCCGAATGCATTCACTGCGGCTTGTGTAATCTAATCTTATCTGATAGTACCACTCGAGCCACACTACAAACGCGCGGGCGGCTCTCAAGTCTCTCTCTCTCTCCCAATCCACTCTCTGAATTCCTTCTACTCCGTGCCGTGCCTTCCGAGACGGAATCAACCAGGACCATCTTTAACAGCGACTGCAGACTCGAGTAATTGAAACGTGATGGGCCATGGCATACTTACTGCGTCCTCGAGCGTTTGCCAGGTACCGGCTCCTGAAGACATCCTCCGACTCGGAGTCCGACGCAGGCCGCTTCCAGTGACAGCACTGGACAAGATGTGTGAAAATTAGCGACCGCTATATCGAGTTCTCTTGTGCGTTTGCCGTAGATGCACCCGGCTTCCGACTTATTAGCTGTTTCACCACTCTGTCGTCCAACGTTAACATGAAGTTCAGCCCGCCATCGTACGCGCATTGGTTTTCCCATCCAGGTTGCCGTTCTCTCCTATTCTCGAGAAGTCAACGTTTTTCTTACCGTGATGAAGCCCGAATGTTCGTCCAGGTTGAGGCGAATTGACGGCTCAGGACGCAGCGTCTCTCACCGTGGTTCACCAACCGATTATCGACCCACTGACCTGGTGCTCTCCTGACCAAATATCAAGTCCGCTTGACACAAGCGCTGTTTATATTGTGCTGTCACCTGTGCGTACTCGCTGCTCCTCTGACCCTGTACCTGCTCGTCGCTGCGGACCTTGAGATTGATGCCTCTCTGGCATGATAGGGTGGCAGCTATAACAAGAGCCTCATCTCCATCTCTTGCATCGCAGGCCCATTACGTCTACAAGTCCCGCGTCACAATTCTTCGGAATTTTCCAATCGGTCAGATACGGCGCATCCACGAAGCTCTTAACCAACGCTCCCGGAATATTTGATACCGGCACCACACTTGTTCTGCTCGCCGCAGGTACCCACTCACCGGCCCTCTTCGCTAATCTTGGGTTTTTGACGCCTGATATGGTGTATCCAGACGTGCTGGCAACGTACGTAAATGCTGTTGGCGCGGTCTTCGACACGACAACCCAATTGTATGTACCGCATCACACCTGCGCAATACGCGAATCTGAACAGCCTATTCTTCACTATCAATGGAGTGTGTATATTCCGACCATTATCCCATACCCTCGTGCTAAGCACGCGTACCTCCCAGGTTGTCTTCGAGTTCACCGTCAATGCGCAGATTTGGCCTGTACGTCTTTGTGCTTCCACAAATGCGTTATCCCGCCAGTCACTAACTTAAAGGATTTACCCCTGCGCCGAAACAGCGTCCCTTCAACCTCTCGATTGGCGGTGATGAGGACTCCATTTACCTTATTGTCGGCGACTCTGGTACCCACTCGGGCTCGGGCCTCGACTTCATCAACGGCGTGGCGTTCATCGAGCGCTTCTATACCTTCTTCGACACCGAGAACAATCGTGTCGGGGTCGCGAACACGGAATTTACACGAGCGACAACGAATTGAACGAGGCGCGGTGACGGTCATCTGCCAGGGCGCGCTCATCTTCAGCACTTGGGACGACTGGCATGTAGGCTGGGATCGAAGAAAACCGTCTAGTAAGTAGGTTTCTTGGCTCGAGAAGGTGTTCTCATCATGCAGTGTCTAGGGATGAAATCGGAGGTGTAAAGTGTATTTGATGGCGCGATTACGGTTTGAACGTCGACCTCATAGTGCTTGTTGTACCGCTACTACTAACCCACGACCCGCGCAAATTATAAGCAATATTCAGGTGTGTAAATCTTCAACAAATATGCAACGAAATTGATGGCATATGGACGACAAACCAGATGCTATTAGCACAATAGCCGCGTTCCAGGCTACTTGGCTATTTGCATCAGCACCGTAGCGGGCACGCTTCTGGCCTTGCATCTCGACGCGCCCGAAATTGCCGCTCTGCTCTGCCCGCCCCTGTATCCCGAGAAACTCGACTATCAGCCCAGCATGCATGTCCCAGCACAGGCCGGGCGTCTCCCGTACTAGCTACCTCTCTGCCGACGAACAGCTGACCTCGTCATTGCAGGGCATACCGCAGACATATATTCAGGCAGCGAGCACCACGGAGCTATCGTCAACAGAAGGCCTGTTGACGTTCAGCACAATGTGCGCACTCGACAGAAGAAGCCACCTGCAGCGCATGAGGCAGAGTCGTGGCTTGATCCTGAGATCACGACTTCGTCCTCCTTGCAGGCGTGACCGCTCGCCCTGGCTGTCGTAGCCGAAGTGCTCATCGACTTCCCGCTCCTGTTGGACACGTTCCGATACCGAACCCGCACACGCCACCGCCACCCGTTCGGTATACAGGCCGGCTGGACGTCAATCCACATCCATTCTGATGCAGCACGCACACTCTGCTTCCGGCGGCTTCGTCCACCTTTGCGGACACCGACCATCAGCCCCATGTCTCTTCGACGGTACAACGCAGACGCAACGGAAGAAACACAATTTCCCAGATAGGTCGACTACATCGACGCCTCACATGCAGGATCCGCCTCTAGCGGGCGGGTATAAATGTGGGCAACGAACGGTTCGCTCTACCCCAGGCCTCATCGCTCACCCCGCTCTCCTCTACCCACCTGGAACCCGACGCAATGCAGATCTCCCCGGCCCTCTCCTCGCTCGTCGCCGCGCTATGGGTTCTCCTACCCCTCGCCGTCTGCACAGACGCCACACCCGTGGTGCGCGCGCAGACCAACAGCGTGCGCCTGCCGATGGCGAAGCGCATCAACGCGACGGGGTCCGCCAAGATCCTCGAGCACGACCAGGCGCGGGTGCGGGGCCTGCGCGCCCGTGCGGCGGCGCGCGCGAGTGGTCACAAACTGCCCACTCCCGGCGGGGATTCTGGGAATGTTCCCGCGACTAACCAGGTCGTCGACTACGTGGTGGACGTGAGTACTTCCGGACTCGTAGCTATCAGGTGTGGGCTCTACTAGACCGATTGGTGACGGGATTTTTCGGTTCCACAGGTGAACATTGGCACGCCGCCTACGACATGTGCGGCTCTCTTCGGCGCTGTATGACTCTCGCGGGAGAACTGACATTCTGATGTGCCTATAGACTCGCTCCTTGTCGATACAGGGAGCTCCAACACGTGGGTTGGGGCGGGACAGCCCTATGAGCAGACTGAATCTACGCGAGAGACCCACAACAGTGTGGTATGAACCCCTCTATCTCTTCTGATATGTATTCATTTCTAACGATTCGCAACCATCGCGCTGTAGGAGGTCATCTATGGTTCAGGGGGGTTCATTGGTGATCCCTTTCCCAGACATCCGCCTTCGTTGTCTGGGAAGCATGCTGACTACCGACCGTATTTTCTAGGCACCGAGTTCAATGACCTCGTGAGTTTAGACAGTGGGCTCACGATCTTTGGACAATCTATCGGCGGCGCGACGGATAGTTTTGGCTTCGATGGCGTCGACGGTATTCTGGGGTATGTAGTTGATCCAGCTTATAGCTCCGGTATTCATCCCAATCCCAAATACAGAATTGGCCCGGTAGGCCTCACACAAGGCACCCTTTCTCCCGACGCATCGGACACGATCCCAACCAGTGAGTCCTGACTCCCCTCGCTTAAGGTGCACCGGTTGCAGGAATACAGCTGATCGTGCTCGGTATACAGTTACAGACAACCTGTTCTCGCAGGGTGGGATCAATCAAAACCTCGTCGCGATATCCTTCGAGCCCACGCAGACCGACGGTAACCCAAACGGCGAGCTGACCTTTGGGGCCACGGACCACTCCAAATTCGTCGGCGCGATTAACTTTGCGTACGCCGCCTCCTTGCGAATGTCACGCACAGCGCTCACTCGCCCACCTGACGTATCACAGTCCTATCACGTCAACGTTCCCTTCGGCCGCATTCTTCGGAATCGACCAGTCGCTCAGATACGGTCCTTCCACGTTCCTCTTGAGCAACTCCGCGGGCATCGTCGACACCGGCACTACGCTCCTTTTGATTGCATCTGGTAAGGACCCACACCTTGAAGAATATCCCTTTTTCAATTGCTCATATCCGTTTAGATGCGGTGCAGAAGTACACGGCTGCCAACGGTGCGGTCTTCGACGACGACGTCGGACTTTACCGCCTCACCCCCGCGCAGTTCGCGAACCTGAAGAGCCTCTTCTTTACCATCCACGGAGTGCGTAATACACGGACGTGACATCCCACCCAGACGTACTGACCCATGCGCCGCAGGTGGTATTCGAGTTCACCGCGAACGCGCAGATCTGGCCCGTACGTCCGACCCGGGCCCGTCTTCGCACAAAAACGCCGCTAACTCTTAGCTCGGATTGTTCAACTTCTAGCGCGCACTCAACGGTGTCATCGGAGGCACCGCCGACTTCGTGTACCTCATCGTGGGCGACATCGGGTCGCCGTCGGGCTCGGGCCTGGACGTGATCAACGGCATGGCGTTCATCGAGCGCTTCTACACCGTGTTCGACACGGACAACAGCCGGGTCGGCATCGCGAACACGCCGTTCACGAGGGCGACCACGAACTGAGTACTGAGTCCTTACGAGGGCGTAATTTGCCGCAGCACCGCGCTGACGGTAACGTTTCAAGTTGACTTCCGATTTCGAGGGGCGTTGTCCGGGTTGCATTACAAATGTAGCTCCGGTTGTGAAGTAACTAGGTTTGAAATGTACGACGCTTGAGAGCGTCCTTTGCCAGGTTACCATGTTCTCGAAGTTCTCATGACGATGCTACAAGCGGGTCTAGTTCGAGGTAGATCGTCATGCCTAGGTTACGCAGCCAAGCGCTTCGCCGGCACCGGCCAAAGTTCAATAGCAGGGGTTTGAATTTGCAATTTGGTGAGCATGTCAGTAAATAGAATACAGCACTAGGTTGTTAAGTGGGTGGCGTTGAGTAGGAACTTCGCTGCGGCGGTGACGATCCGCGGTCGAAGCTGAGTAATCTTATCAGATAAGCCGCCCAATACCCAAGCTCTTCACAAGCGGGGCCGAGCTGAGAACCTTCCCCCCGTCGTCTCACACCCTCGCCTCGCCCGCCCACGTTTCCCTCCTCTTCACCACCTTCCACGTCTACACCCAGCCTCCCCGCCATGTCGTCAGAGGCCGTCAACACCGTCCCCGCGCCCGCGCCCGCCGCCGACGCAGCGCCCGCACAAGAACACACCGACGCGCCTGCAGCTACAGTTGCGCCACCGTCCGAGCCCGCTCCTGCTTCTGAGCCTGCGCCCGCGCCCGTGGCTGCACCCGTAGCGGAACCCACTCCCGAAGCCACGTCCGCCCCCGAGGCGGTTGCTGTAGCGCCGCCCACAACAGCGGCGGTGACCGAGGAGCCCAAGGAGGCGAAGACGGAAGAGCCCGCCACCGCGGCCGCCCCAGCGCCCGAATCGAGCGTCGTGGCGGAGAAAGTAGAGAAGAAGGACGCGCCGGCCGAGGAGCCGCAGAATGCGCTCACGCGCAAGTTCACCGACGCAGAGTGGGCCGCCGTCAAGGAGCTGCGCGTACGTCGTCCCACCCTCATCCCCCTGTGCGTTACTAATCCCTACTGGTGCCTGGTCCGCAGTCGAAGCTGCCCGAGGTGTTCGCCAAGGCGTACACGGAGACGACGCCCACCCCGACGTCGATCACGCTGTGGGGCGTGACGCTGGGCCCGACCCCAGACGCGAAGGCGTCCGTGCTCCTCGCGAAGTTCGTGCGCGCGCGCGAGCTGAACGTGGGCGCGGCGCAGGAGATGCTCGTCGCGACGCTGCGGTGGCGCGACGAGTTCAAGATCGGCGAGATCATGCAGGAGGAGTTCGACGCGGACGTGTTCGGGCGGCTCGGGAGGGTGTTCGGGAAGGACAAGGAGGGCCGCCCGGTCACGTACAACCTTTATGGCGCGGTGCAGGACATGAAGGCCGTGTTTGGGGACGTGCAGCGGTTTATTAGGTGGCGCGTGCAGTTCATGGAGCAGAGCATTGAGCTGCTGGACTTTGAGACTGTTGACCAGATGGTCCAGATTCACGGTACGTATTCTATGCTCAGTGCGATTGGGCGTTGATGAAACTGACGTGCCCGACTATCAGACTACGAGGGCGTGAGCATGACCCAGCGCGACGCGAGCCAGAAGGCCGCCGCGAAGGAGGCGACGAACATCTTCCAGAACCACTACCCCGAGTTCCTGGTATGTCCTTACTGCCTTTACTCCCGCAGCACGACCGCTCACTACTGGCACAGTCGCGCAAATTCTTCATCAACGTGCCGACGCTCCTCACATGGGTGTTCTGGCTGTTCAAGCCCCTCATCTCGGCAGCGACGCTGGCGAAGATGAGCGTGGTCGGCTCGGGCGCGAAGACGATCGGCGCGGAGCTCTCGCAGGTCATCCCCGTGGACGAGCTGCCGAAGCGGTATGGCGGCAAGGCGGAGGACTTCGCTTGAGCCTCTTCATCACTGTTACACTTTTGTTTGATGCTGAGTCTCGTTTTTGATTAATGGTGTACTCATAGTTCTACGATACCCCGCCCCGCTCAGTATACACTTAGCCACACCACTACTCGTTACCACCTGCGCGACTCTACGCTCGTTCACGTTCAATAACATCTCCTTCACCTGCTCACTTACTACCCATCCCGAAGACTCAGACGGATCACACAGTGCAGTGAGATGAAGGAAGAAATTACTAGTGAACAGTACAAATACACCCAGTACATATAGACAAAGACGAGTCCGAGACCACTACACCCCCTACGTGCGCTCGCCGCGCAACCGCCGGGCGAGGGCGAGGTCTTTGGGCTGGATGGTGACGCGCTTCGCGTGGATGGCCGCGAGGTTCGTGTCCTCGAAGAGCGAGACGAGGTACGCCTCGGACGCCTCCTGCAGCGCCATCACGGCGGAGGACTGGAAACGCAGGTCGGTCTGTGCGTCGCGGTGGTAAGCGTCGTATTCATGAAAGTAGGAGGTGAGTGAAGAAGACAAACCTTGAAGTCCTGCGCGATTTCACGGACGAGCCGCTGGAAGGGCAGCTTGCGGATGAGGAGCTCCGTCGACTTCTGGTACCGCCGGATCTCGCGGAGCGCGACGGTTCCCGGGCGGAAGCGATGGGGCTTCTTCACACCACCAGTTGCCGCCTATGTTCGAGTTGTGTGTGAGCATGAAGTTCGAAAGTTCGAAAGTGAAGTGTGGCTTACAGCAGCGGTCTTGCGGGCCTGGGACTTGGCAGCGAGCTGCTTGCGGGGCGCCTTGCCACCGGTGGACTTGCGGGCGGTTTGCTTAGTGCGAGCCATTGCTGGTGATGTGTTTGGTGTTGGTGAGAAGTGTGTAGTTGGTGGCGGAGGGCACGAGAGTTCGAGCGGATGGATGAGGGAGAGAGTGGCTGCCGCCCGGCGGCTCCTTATACACGCCCGCGCGACGCGCCAGGGTCACGTGCGCCACGCGTTGATCGGCGTTCAACAAGAATTAAGGTTCGCACACGTGATGGCGCCACAGGCGCGTCGTATATAGGTGGCGCGGGCCTTCTGCTGCTGCCCTCACTCACTCCCTCCAACCCTTCACTCCTCCGCCTCCGCCCGCAAGCAAACACTCCGCTTTTTAAGCACTTCTCCCCAGCAAACACTCCTCAGCACACATGTCTGGCCGCGGAAAGGGTGGAAAGGGACTCGGCAAGGGTGGTGCTAAGCGCCACCGCAAGATTCTCCGCGACAACATTCAGGGTGAGTCTTCGGTTTCTGCGCAGTGGGCGTCGGCGGTGGTGGGGACATGGAGTGGGGCGAGGCCCCGTCGGTAGCTTGCAGAGCTTGATATGCAGGGATGCGCTCGACTTCTGCCGTCGCCGACCCGCCTTCCTACCCTTCTCCGAGACGTCAACTGACGTCCTTCCTTTGTCTGCAGGTATCACGAAGCCCGCTATCCGTCGTCTCGCCCGTCGTGGGGGTGTCAAGCGTATCTCCGGCCTCATCTACGAGGAGACGCGCGGCGTGCTCAAGATCTTCCTCGAGAACGTGCGTCCACTCTCACTCCCGCTCCCCGCGCTCGACTGACGTTTCGCCTCAGGTCATCCGGGACTCCGTGACCTACACCGAGCACGCTAAGCGGAAAACGGTGACGGCGCTCGACGTCGTGTACGCGCTCAAGCGTTCTGGCCGCACGCTCTACGGTTTCGGCGCATAGGCTTGCGGTTGACTATATGGCTCGGACTATTCTCGGTGTATCATTATGTAGTGTACAACAGCAGTCTCGTAATCGACTCTCCTGACGCAGACTGGTGCCTTCTGTGGGCAGCGCGTGATGGCGGTGCGAACATCTTCGGAGGCGTGCTCGTGCGCGTCTCGCAGGTGGGTGCTTCTCCTTTCAACTTGTTCTCTCACCTCTGCTTGTGCTCTGGACGTGCGATGTCGCTGAGCCGCCGCTGGATGACACGATGCTGCAACTGTCGCTGATTGATAGCCAGCTACGACTCACGGCTGTGGGTGTGGGCGCGGACGGGCGATAGCGTGCGCGGAACGAGGCGATTGGGAGGGGGACGGTGATTCCTCTGCGATTCAACGCCTCGCCTGTGCAGCCACTTTGTTATATACATCCTCGCCCGGCCTTGGGAATCCCCCTCTGCCCTCGCCCCGGCATTCTCCCGCCTCCCATACACTCGCTGTCTGCTCCCCCTCCTCCCCGTTGCGACTCCCAGCAGCCAACCACGCTTCCCCGGACGCGACAGGTGCACCGCGCGGCCCCGGGCGACACGTCTCTTTCCAGAGTCTCACACTGAGCCGATCCGCGCTGCCCGTGCACGCGTGAGTGCGTTCCTCCGCGCCCACTTTAGACTCGGCCTTCCTTCGCCCCAGCGTACCTTCTTTCTCCTGCCCTCCCGTCCGCCTCCCTGCACCCTCCCTCCGCCCGCGACGCTCACCTCTCGTCTTCTCCCACCTCGCATCCAGCCCTGCCCCCGCCCCCCTCGCAAATATACCATCGTACGCCCGCCGAACAAGCCACGCCCACCCCCGATGTCCAGCAGCGTCAGCCAGCTGCCGAACGAGACGCTCCACGCCATCTTCGACAAGCTCGCCCCGGGCGCGCTCACCGCCGTCCTCCGCGCCTCGCACCGCTTCCGCCTCGTCGCCGAGCGCGTCCTCTACGCGCACATCAGCATCGTCGAGGCGCTCCCGCGCTCGGCCCCCACCGCCCAGTACACCGCGTGCTGCGCGCGCACGCTCCTCGCGCGCCCGCACCTCGCCGAGGGCGTCCGCCGCCTCGCCGTGCGCTGGCAGACCGACGCGGGCCCCCGAGATGACTATGTTACGGCCGCCGCGCCCGTGCTCGCGCTCCTGCACGCCGCGCTGCGCACGCTCGGCCACCTCGAGCACCTCGACCTCGCGCTCGGCCTCGCGGGCGGCACGCTCGACGCGCGCGCGGTGCTCGACGGGTGCGCCTTCCCCTTCCTGCGCGTGTTCGCGCTCTCCGGGGTCGGCCGCGGGAGCCTGTCGCCGAAGCTCTACCCGCCCCCGGCTTCGCCCCCAGCCCCAATTGGGTGGTTCCTCGCGGGGTGCGCGGCGCTCGAGCAGCTGCGGCTGCCCGACTGCTACGAGGGGCTCGCGCTGCCGCCGGGCGCGCTGCCGGCGCTCGCGGCGTTCCGCGGGAGCGCGGTCGCGGCGGCGTCGGTGCTGCCCGGGCGGCCGGTGCAGCTGCTCGGGCTCGTGGGGCACGAGTTCATCACGGAGCGCGACTTGGCGCGCATCGCGCAGGCGAGCGCGCCGGTGCGGTATTTGGATTTGAGCATGATGAGCGTGACGCCGATTTTGTTGAGGGATATTTCGCGGCATTTGACGGAGGTGGAGGTGTTGAAGGTGAAGCTGGCGTTGAGGCATACGCTGCATCATGCGCTTTCTGGTATCGTGAGTCTCCTGGCGTTTCTCCACGGCTGTACATCCATATCTCGATCTCAATCTGACGTACACCCCCACAGAGCCTGCTCGCAGGCCTCTCCCCCGTGCTCGGCGCCTTCCCCGGGCTGCACCAGCTCGACCTCTCCCCAACGTCCGTCGACGGCGTCGCGCGCGGCAACGCGCTCGAGGAGAGCTCGCTCTGCACGACCTGGGCGCGCGCCTGCCCCGCCCTGCGCTCCGTCGTCTTCCCCTCCCGCACCGAGTGGCGCCGCGAGGGCGCGGAGGACGTGTGGGTCGCGGCGCCGGGGGCGGCGACGGTATGGACGCGCTACTAGCGTGTGTCGTGTGTGGCGCGCTGACTGGAGCGCAGGGGCTGCTGCCACTGGACGGCGCGCCGGGGAGGGGGCCGCTGTGGAAGGGGCACGCTGGGTGTTGAATTGGAATGGGGCGGGGGGAGGGGAGGAATCTGCACAATGCTGATCTACACGAGGTGCGTCATGCCCCGTCTTCCACTCACTCCCCGCGTCGCACACTGACCGCATCGACGTCGACGTCGTGCAGGTGGCTATACCACGCACACCAGGACCTGTCATACGAACACCACGTCCGGAACCACGCAACAAGCCTGTAGTCCTACACGCACGCTGTATTTATGGCCGCTATCACCATCTATTCTGGTACACCCACCTCGTTGGCTCTCGTTGGTGCCATGCCAAGGCGTGCAGCTTATCAAGCCGCGGTGTCAGATTCACAAACCTGCGCCCGCTCTCACAAGCATATTGGCGTCGTATGTAGCTCTCTGTTTGCTCGCCGGCCCACACACACGTCGCACGCCACGCCCATAGCCTGAGAACCGGGCCCGCGGCCGCCACTGGATAGCGCAACTGCGTCCGGCAGTATACCCCGCCCCGTGGGCCGACCCATACCCATGGTATGCGTTGTGGCGGTAGTAGTTGCGGAGCATCGCACGCCACGAAGATCGCCAGATGCCCAAAACACGGTCAATAAGATAAGTAGGCGGGCGGGGGCGGTGAACTACTACACGAAGGCTGGGTCGACATACATACAACTACGTAGTGCTGCGTGCTGCCTGGGTAAATGTCCGTCTCGGCCGGCGCGGAGCCAGCTCCGGGTCCTTCAAGTTTGGCGCCGCAGAGGGTAAAGGAAGGGGGATATTAACGGCGGGGACGTTGGGTAACTATCGAGGACAGGAGAGGGGGGAGGGGGACGGTGGGGGAATAACCTTAAGCGGAGGGACGAACGGGGGAGAACATACGGGGGTAGGCTGTAAGGGATACATGCGGGGGATGCGGGTATACACGTAAACCGATGCAAGAGACAGACACAGCCGATATTGCACAGACGAAACAAAACTACGGCACAAACGACGGGGGGAGAGGCTTCGAGTTCTAATCATCGGCCTCGTCGACGAAGATGTCGGTGTAGTGCTCCAGAATGGTCTCAACAGCCTGCAGGCGCGATGAAGGATGTCGTCAGTCAGCCAATCGGTCTCTAAACCTCGGAATAATCGCTGCGTACCTTGTTCTGGAGCGACGCGTCCGCCATGCCGTTCAGCTGGCCGTTGAGGCCCGGCTGGCCCTGCCCGAACAGTGTCGGGCCGAACACGATCGCGAGGTTCTGCACGGACATAGCATTCTGTGCCTCGTGCTGGACCACTCTGTTTGACGCAGGAAGGAGAAAGCGTTAGCAATCACTTATCGTACGACACAAGCCAACTACGGATCAATAGCTACGTGACGTACTTGTGCAGGTGGCCCATGAGGTACTTGAGCGTCGAGTAGTTCGGGTCAGGCAGCGCGTTCACGCGTTCGTGCAGCCGGATGTGCCTGGCACGCTCATTCTCATTCCCTGTGGCGCGAAGAAACGGAGGCCCGTCAGTACCGCAGGATATGTAGCGAATCGGAAGGACAACGTACGTGCGGCATCGAGGAAGTCCGCGTGCTGACTCGAGGTGAATAGTGGGTCAGGGAGCTCGCGTAGCCACAACTTGAGCACACTCGTGACGTTGCTGATGTCCGACGACCACTCATCCGCGTCGAGATTCACCGAGTCGAGGTCTGTCAGGATCATGCATGCGGTCAGCGTCCAACGTCCAGCGTCATCAGACCAAGCGGTACCGAGCACATCCCACGATGAACGGAGCAATACACACCTCGGTCGAGCCGCTCCTTCAACTTTAGCACTTTGCTGTGCGTGCCGCCGATACGGTAGACGCCCTGCGTCGTGAGCCCGTACTTCTCGATCGCCTCGCAGCACTTGACAAGGATCGGCGGCACGTCGGCGTCGTCGCGCGACATCTGCTCTGACAGGTTGACGCCGAATGTTGGCCGGCCCTTGTCGGACAATGGCACGTGTGAGGGACTGGGAGAAGTGCCCGGGTGGTGGTGAGCGGCGGGCATGGGTGGCAGCTGGATTTTGTGCGTGAGCTCGCGTTAGGTTGAGAGGACTGGGCTAGGGAAGGGTGAACTTACAAAGCCCTCGTCCGCAGGACCTGTGCGGCGCGGTCCGCGAGTATTGGTGCCCCCATGTGCGTAGACGTACGCTTGCATGTAGGTCTTGAAGTCGGTGCGGTTGTCGATCGACTCCATTGTCGCCTTCAAACTTGGACCTAGAGGAAGTTCAGTTTCGGTAAACATATAGACGCCATAATCGACTTACTGTTGTCGTCGGGTGGTGTGATGGTGGTCGCATCACTATGTACAATACTCTCGCAGAGGAATGCGTATCGAGCGAGGTGGTACTGCGTGCCGAGATCAATCTCGTCCACGCATTCTTTGAATGCCTATGGGGTAACTTTGTCAGTCCGTTGGAAGGTGGCACGGCCAAATGGATACCCACTCGTAGGATCCGGGGTAATTGGAAGTTGAAGTATTCCTGTCTGATGGTCTGTGTCTCAGTGACAGCCTTCCTGTATGCATCCGACGCGGTTGACATCCGCGCCCGGACATCGTCTTCTTGTCGTTGAAGCTGTATTTCCGCGCACAATCAGCTGTCTTACCGTGTATGATGAAAGTCGCAACGTACATTTTGAGGGTTCTTGCCTTTCAGCAACATGCCTCCCTTCGCCACCGCCTTCCCCAGTACCCGCTTCCCATTTACCGGTGACCGGCCTTGCATCGCGTTGTCCTTCAAACTTTCGCCCTCCTTCTGCAAAAGCAACCGCTCGAGCTCTTCGGCGGTCATGTCAAAGCGCGACTTCGCCTTCTCCGTGATCGACTCTGATTCCTGCAGAGCACGCTCGTACCGAGTCGCCAAATCCTTCGTCTGCAATGTCGCGCGCGCACCCCACGTGTGAGATCAGCAATCATTAACAGAATCAAGGGCACCCACCGCCTTCCGGTTCTTGTCGACCTCCTTCGCGAGGTTCGCGAGCTCCTCGCTCATCTCGTTCAGCCGCAGCGCAAACTTGATCCTGTTCTCCGCCATAACCTCGTGGGTGCGCATCGACGACTGCCACGCGTTCACATACGACCTGTGGGCACCAACGCGACGTTCGCGACCCGCGCCTGAGATATAAATAGCGGGAAACAGGTGCTCACCCTGCCTTGGCCTCGCTCGTCGCGTATTCGTTCGCCGCCTGGCGCGCGAGCTTCTGCATCGACTTGCCGTACTCGTCCTCCACGCCCGCGCGTCGCTTCAAGAACGCCGCCGCTTCCTGAGTGGACGTCAACCATATCCCCGCGCACGCTCGCATAACTTACGCACCCTACACGATACCATGCTCTGCTTGATTCTGTCCATAAGAAGCGGAACGCCGCACTGCAACACCATCCGTCAGTCCCAAGCCAACCGCCAAGCAGCAGCAGCGGCCCCCGCCTCCTTAGCCACAAACGCAAGCCACTCACATCGGTCTCGCACAGCGCGCGCAGGATATTCTCGTCAAAGCTCGGCTCGACCAGCGTCGCCATCTCCGCCGCACTCGCCGCCGAGTCCAGATCGCCGCCCCCGCCGCTCCCCACGCTCTCCTCCACGCTCACCCGTGGCAGCGCCGTCCCGGGTCCCCCATGCCCCAGGTCGCTCGTCGGCCCAGCCTGCACGCTGTCCCGATAGCGCGGCCCCCCAGGGCGCTGCGCCGACTCCGCGCTCGAGCGCGGCGGGGACGTCGATTTCGTCGGGGTCGGCGGGGCGCCGCCGTTATACGCGTACCCGTGCCCCGTCTGACTCTGTGTTTGGTTCTGGGACTGGGCGGATTGGTGTGATTGGTGCGACTGCTGGTCGAGCGACTCCGCGGAGGTCACGTAGTGGTGCGTCTGCGGGATGCGCGGGTAGTGGCCCGGGGCGCGGGCGGGGTGCCCGAGGTCGGAGCCCCCGTCGCCGTTCGCGGCGTGGTCCCAGGACGGGCGGCCGTGCTGGTAGTTGTCCTCGACTTCGCTCATCGGGGTGTGTAAAGTGAACTGTGCAAGCCCTGGGGGCGGTGTGGCCCGGGCCCGGGGTGGTTACTGGGGTTGTGGGTATTTCCTGTTCGGTACACGTCCGCGGTGTTGTGCAGGGCGCGCTGGCGCTGGCGGCGTCGTTGCGGGGGCGTATACACTGGAGGACCTGCCGCACAAAGTATGGCCGTCGTCGAGAGCGGCGGGCTGGCGGTCGGGGCGGTAGGAGTGAGAAGAGGATGAGGGGAGTCGGGAAGGCTGGCGTCGGCTGCGCCCTGGGACGCGAAGGCCACTGCACAGGCGCCCATACACAGATCTGATCTGCTTATGTCACAATCAATCCCCGGTGCCTTTTATGGGCAACGTGGTTGCTCTGGCCACACCAACTTTTAGGACGAGCGTCCTGCTCAGTTTGTCGGCCTTGAGTGTTGCTCCCTGCGCGCCGCGCGCTGATATTTTTCCCTGACGGCAGCTCCTATGTCTCCTCGAACGAGCGCGAGTACGGGTCGGCCGCCGGATACCGCGCATACAACCGCGGCTTGTTCGCCCCTACGCCAGTGCTTCGTGACTCGCCTCTCCCTACTCCGCCAGCCGTTCGCTCTGATACTGGACGAATCTTCAATATCACCCCAGAGTTGACGGCTGAGCTTGGAACCTCTTTTGACATCATGCTCTCTCGTGCCGCAAGCAGACGGCCAGCAGCAGCATTGCAGCATCGGGTACCACCTCACACACTCACTCATACTTCTCGCTGGTCGATATCCACAAGCCCACGAGGATGGACCTAGGCAAACCCGCGCGTCTCCACGCTCTTCGGAGCGCTCATGGCCGTCGGAGTCGCGTCAACAGCATATGGCGTGTGGGTGCCTCGAGCGCGGGTCCGCGAGCGACGCTAAAGTATGTGCCGTTTCAAGGTACCAGTTTTACACCACATTCACCATGTAGCCGCCAGAGGTGCGCGACAATCTGCTTGCAGGCATTAAGGCGAAGCACCAGGGCGACCTTGACTTGAGCGTCCGGTATCTCCATCGGTGGGTCTTACAGAGATGCTCGCCATGCTGTCATCCTCTCAGAATGCTAGAGTGCATGGCAGACCGTGCAAAGTCTGCCAATTTCCGCGTTTGCGACCGAACCCCACCTGAAGCTCTCGGGTGTCGCTGTGGTCCTAGCGGAAGCACTCGAGGCCACCCGCAAGAGGCGTATGACACATACAGCGCCGCGCTCCTCCAGCTTCGCGCGACCAAAGACCTCACCAGCCGGGAGCGCATGCGCGCTGTCGCGATCGCACACAAGCTCGGTGAGATGGCAGAGGAGTACCAGCAGGGCCCGGAAGAGGCTGAGCCATGGCTCGCCTTCGCCGTCGAGGAGACACTGTGGGTCGTCAAGGATGAGTCCAACGCGAAGAAGTGGAAGGGCCCGGGAGAGTCCGCGGGCGAAGTCGATTCCATGCTGGTGGAGCTTGATCTGCCGCAGTGGGTGCAGAAGATCGATGCTGTTGTGCCGCTGGAGGTGCTCGGCCGGTTCTATGCGCGCGAGGGCAAAACCGAGTGAGTCTTCTCCCGCTTGGTACCAGGATAGCGGCTCAGTTTTGCCGTGGATATGCTGCTACGCTCTACACTCCAGGCCATCGGGATGCTCATGCAGCCCGCAGCAGGTGAAAAGAATGCTTCAGTTTAGGACCGTCACCGAGGTAATTTCCGGTTTTCTCCCCCGGCGTATTCGTAGCTTGGTCCGCTGACGATATTCACAGGAGCGCAACTGATGAACAATATGTCGGATCTCGTGGTCCGGGGCCCTCCGCCTACCAACCTCAAGTTCGCCGAGTCATGGGCACGCCAGGCGCAAGGCGTTATCGAGAAGACGTGTACGCTTCCTGGTGTACAGCAAGACGTGGAGAACTTCATGACACTCTGCGAGCAGACCCTCCCTGCTGTACTCTACGACTTGGGTGCGCTCCTGGAGAGTTCAATCAAGAGCGGTGGTCCATGAACGCACATTAGGGCGAGCAGATGGACGGCAGGTATGATGCAGCAAAGCAGTCGTTCCAGGAGAGCTTGGAGCAGTCGAAGCGTGTCGGGATGCATTCCGGCACGATGGAAGCGCGATCGGCCCTCCGAAGGCTGGAGCGTGCAACGAAGATCGAGTTAGGCGACTAGGCGTAAATTTGATGCCTAAAAGATTCATATGTACCGGGGGGGGGGTGATCCCGCGTCTTCACTGCGCAGAGATCTTGAGGTGACTGCGAGCCATCACATCCATGCATCGCTCACTTGTCTGTTTATTTGCAGCCGCTGTATCTGATTTGTAGTTCGTTCTTTCCAATCACCGATTGCTGAAGACACGACCTCAGCTTATAGTATTATGATCCCGTCGTTTGCGGTCCCTTCAATATACAAACCTCCGCCTCGGGAAATCTCGATATCTGGCACTCCGCTTTGCGTTGGGCCTTCCGCCTGCCTTCGGGTACATCCCGTACCTCCCATGAGATCTTCCCACTATCTCCGTCCAACCCCACTCTTCTAGCGACTCGGAGGCCATGAGCCCTGCATGTGGACGTCAGAAGACCGCCTGGAGGTACGATGGTCATTCGCAAAGCCACCCAGCTCTACCCTGGAGGCTATTACCTTACGGCCGGTTGAAGTCCGCCCGCTTTTCCACCCAGTCGTCCCACCGCTATCGGATCCGGGTTCGGCTTCATTATTGATTATCGTCCCTAGCCTACGTCCCCCGTCATTTTTGGGGTGCGTTGACGCCAACCCACACCGGTCGTGCGTGTCTTGTGAGCTTCAGCGACCCTCGGAGTCCGGACAGCCGGCGCGTCCGCGTCCGCGATTCGTGATTTGCCCTAGCCTCGTATGTGCGGGTTCTTTTGCGATGATCGTTCCTGCTCCTGCTCACTGGCCGCTGCGCTACACGGGGAGGGCGACTGCGGCGTCGAACTCTGCAGCAGTGTGCACTGTGAATTGATCGATCGAGCGCTCTCTCCATCACTGTCGAGGGTAGTTTTTTTGGACAAGCGGCCTCGGCGAAGCGGATCCTACCGGTAGCACTCCTCCTGGTGCCGCGATACATAGGAGCGTGTCCTTATCGTAAACAGATGGGCGCGCCGGAGCAGACAGCTAACACGGGTAGCCAAGCGGGGACCGTGACTGTGGCCGCGTTCAACGTACATATACGTTGACATAACATGCATCGTAAGCCCCAGGGCCTACTGGGAGAAGAATGAGTTAATGGGGTGCCCGTACTACGTAGAACCGAGAGTACTGGTGCGGTGCATCGCGCTCGAATACGTCGGGGAATGGCCCGGGGTATCGGTATCGTTCAACTTCTATAACGCCGTCCGCGTGTACGCACTGGCACTTGCAGGTCCGCCTTGGACTGTGCAGCGCGAAATGCTTCGCGTCATGCGCAGCCTTCCGGGGCCCAATGTGCGTTCGCCTCGCGGCGTTCATGGTGTGATCTGCGACGCTTCTGTCCATGCGGCCTGTCATGAGATGGGTATACACCGAGGAAGGAGAGCACCACCGTGGTGGGTCGAGAGAGGCGAGGCAGCCCGGACGCTCGGCGGACCGGCTGCCGGTGGGCGGAGTAGGAACGGGTTATGGGCGCCTCTTGCTCGCTGGACACGGTTCGCAGCTTCGCACATTCACTGGACGCTCCGAGGTCGCTCGGCGGGACTTGTTCGCGCTGCCAGACCAATCACTGCCCCATCGATAACCATCACGTCGACGCCCGCGAGTGAACTGTACATAGACCTCGCATCGCCATGTCTGTCCCCTGGTTCACCAAGCTCAAGTCGTTCATCCGCCGCGTACTGGGACTCCACATGCCTTCCATCCTCGATGCTGTGTTTGGTGGTCAAGGAGGCCGCTTCGAGACACTGTCTGTCCATCGCGCCTTGAACTCGTACATAATCACCGTGTCCCTCATAGTGGACGGCACCCTCTCTTACCCGGACTCTTCTCCGCGCATCCGCACCATACGGCTCAAGAAGTGCCTTTCAACCGCAGAACACGAGTATATCCTCGTCGAGCTCGTCAGCGGCAACGGACCGTTGGCGAGCGACGTTGTCATCGGCGAGCTCAAGGTCGAACGCTCATACGACCGGGTCAATGGCAATGCACTCATGAACTGTCTCGCGGACTCCTCCGCCTCCTCCTCCATTTCTACTCCTTCAGGCACCGACTCCTCCATCAAGGAACCTATTCCGGCGAGGGACTCGGCCACCTTCCAGCCCCAAAACACCCGCGCCGATACAACCGTGTTTTTACACACGTTCGACGAGGCGTCTGCGCCTTCCGTCTTGGACCTCCTTGTCGCCGCCAACACCCTCAACGTCCATTCGCCGCACTACATACTCTTTCAACGCCAATGTTATTGGTTCGCAGGGATGATCCTCCGCATACTTCTTGGCGACATCGACGCCGACCCTATAGTACTGCCCGAGGCGGCGGACACACCCTTCTCTCCTGCATACGTACCGCCCACGACGGTTTCGAATCCTGCCGAACCCGTCGAACCTGCCCAGCCTGTCGAGCCTGCCGAACCAGTCCTCGCGGGAGCGGCGGGGACGTTCAAGAAGCTGTTCACGATCGTCACGAAGAAAGAAATCGACTCATTGTACAACCGCGAAATCAAGCAATTCTACCAGTCGAAGCGAGCGGAAGTCGACGAGCAGCTGAGGGCCGCACACGAGCGCCCCGCACGCCAGTTGCAGGAAGCTGCGCGGGCGGCGCGCGAGGACACCGCACGCCAGGTGGAGGAAGCTAAGCGGGCGGTGCGTGAGGAGACCGCACGCCAGGTGGAGGAAGCTACGCGGGCAGCGCGCGAGGAGGCTACACGCCAGGTGGAGGAAGCTACGCGGGCAGCGCGCGAGGAGGCTACACAGGCGATGCTCGAGATCGCACGGATGCGTGACGAAATCGCTCGTCTCAAGGCGGCTTAGACTGAAAGGTGTGGGGCCCCGCCTCACGCTCGGTGAGACGGTGCTCCGCCCATTCGGCCCTCTTCCTGTGGTATGCATTCGTTCTTGCTGTACCTCACCGCCATCTCTGATCGACATTCTCCCCCCGCTTAGACCTCAAGCTGCTGCTACCCGCTACACAATGTGTTCCTCCGGGTCGTCGACACACTGCATCTATGCCCCAACGTCTATTTCCCATCTCCGTCGCATCCTGTGCTATGTTGAAGTCGGTACGCCGTTGCTCGTCGTCGTGTATATCCCAGTGCTGCTTCTCCTCGTTCCCTTTGCCCCCGACACGACTCATGTTCAAACAAGCTGCGTTCACTTGGTCGCCATGTTTCCCCTGATCCCCCCTGCTTTCTCGTTGTCTTGTTTTCCGAACTCCATATCCCGCACCCGTCGACGTCGCCATGCTCTACCTACTTACGTTTGCATACTTTCAACTTGGATATCATTGCGCATACCGTGACCTTTGCCCGCCGCCAGCGGTCCGCCGGGCCTGTCGCACCACGTCGACACCCTTGCCCCCGACATCAGTGTGTGCTGCCCTAGGGCTACTACGTCGACGAGCTACGTTCGCGCGCCCAGGTAAGCAGCGACACCAGCTTCACGATCGCGCAGATCGCGGGTTTTGCACGCTGGACTCGCCGGCGTATGACGGCTATAGCCTTCCCAGCGGTGTAGCTTATTCTTCGATTTGATGGTGACGCTCAGGTGATGTGAGCTGCGGTAGTGTTCTGTATGTCAACTCGATGGCTGAGAGCCACGGTTTGATAGTTTGCGGACGGAGAGCATCTGGCCAACACACAGCGTCTGAGGGGTGTCAATGAGGTCCGCCTGCGAGTCTTCTTGCTCAGCGTAGCTCGAATGTAACCCATACAGATTTCCATAGCCGCCAGCGTACAAAAATACCTCCCGCTGCTTCTCGCGCTCAAGACGCCCTCCCGGGGATGGACACCCAGACGCAGCCCACCCTCAGCGCAACTGACTTATTCATAGCACAAGCAGCACTCGCACACACCTCCCCCCATCCAGACACCCTCCGCACGCCTGAGGCTTCGCAAGATTCGGGCTTCTTCTCTATTCGTACCTAGGGTGGGAATCGTACACGCCCCCGGACAACACGACATTACACGCGGAGTCTATGTACTATGGTGGTGCGAAGCGTCCCAGCGGAGAGATACTGCACTGTGAGTCACTGGGCGAGATCGGCGGTGGGAATAATGATAGCATGTGCGTAAGCGTCGTAAAAGCAAGACGTGGTCACAAGATGTTGGATGAACAACGACGGAGTCCTAGCATGCGCAAGATGTGGCAATGGGGTAGCAGTGGGTATCCGAAACGACGAAACGACAAAGATCGGCGGCCGCTCGGATCGAAGACCGATCGCAGGGCTGATCAGCGCAAGGCTCACGCCCAGCGCCCGAGCAGCGCCATCAGGCCCGCGCCGGCGATCATGCAGCACAGCGCGTACGCCAGCTTCGCGTTCGAGCCGTTCAGCATGTCCTTGTTGAACAGGAACTCGTGCGCCATCAGCTACACACGACGGTCGTCAGCACACCCTCCTTGCGACGTCAAACGAAAACCTGCGCACCTCGACAAGTCCCGTGTAAAGCAGGATGCCGCTGCTGAACGCGTCGAGGATGCCGCTGACGATGCTCGCCGTCGTGCTGTCCGGGTTATACGTCGCGCGCACGCCGAGCCCGACGGCGATCCCGATGGGCGTGGTGATCCCGAACAGCAGGCCGCCGAGGATGGCGACGTAGTTGTACTTTGGTGGCAGACGGATGTACGCCAACCGCGAGCCCACACCGAGCCCCTCGAACATTTCTGGAGACCGCCAGGTCAGCGCTAGGACAGTATGCCAATAGGAGATACGACTCACGGTGGAAGACGAGGACGATGAAGAGGATTTTGAACTCGTCGTTGACCGCGAGCGTGAGGCCGATGAGCACGCTGTGCAGGAGCACACCGAACTCGAGCACCGCGATGCCGATGATCTGCGCCGACGGCGAGTCACCGAGCGCGTCTGGGGACCCGTGAGTGTGGTGCCCGCTGTGCTTCTGCACGTCCGAGTGTGCCTGTGGGTACGTCGGGTTGTCGTGCGTGTGCTCGGCAGAGTGCTGGCTCTCAATATCCGCGCTCTTCTCGCGCGTGAGCGAGCCGTCGGAGCCCTGCTGCTTCGCGATCGCGGCCTGGGTCATGCGGTCGGTCTCCGGGCCGTGGGCGGCGTGCGAGGCGAGCCCGTGCCCGTGCGCGTCGTGCGCGAAGCCGTGGCGGGCGAGCACGGCGGTGCCCCAGCGGAAGGCGACGAGCTCGACGATGAAGATCATGAAGATGCTGAGCAGGCAGATGCCGAGTGCGTAGGGCTAGACATAGCGGGCTCAGAAGCTGCGAGAAGAATGGCGCACAAAGAGCACTCACGTAGTTCTGCCATGCCGGATCCAAGCACGGGGAAGAGAGCTCGTCGATGGCAGGATCGAGCAGGTGGATGAGGGCGGTTGCGATCTTCGTGGGCTCGAGTCAGACGGAGGCCGAGAGCTGAGAAAGACGGAGACGCACGATGACACCGCTACCAAAGTACTTCGCCGTGTCGAAGACGCGAGTGGGAATGTGGGCACTCAGCCATTTTGTCCGCCGGGCGAGCACGGGGAAGAGGGCACCGAAGAGGGAGGTCGCGAGGATGACGAAGATGGAGGCAATGCGGAGGCCTGTGAACCTGGTGTCGCCGCCGCCCGAGCCGCAGTTGACATCGTCGTCGTCGCGAGCGAGGATGTGTGCACGGTGCATCTTGGTGACCGGAGAGGTGGGAAGTGGGTGGCGTGCTCGGAAGGGGAGGAGGGCGTCCGAGATGACTTTATACGGCCAGAAGGGGTGCCTGGAGCCGGGGGAGGGCCGAGGGAGGGGGACGGGTGAGAGTGGCAGACGGCGCGAGGAATGTGAGAGGGCGTCTCGCACAAACGGTATCTTTGACGTTTTCGCGACCGGGAGGGTACTCGCCCCAACGCCCCTTCTCCGATTGGCCCATCATTTTCCTCCCACCGCCACGTGCCTGCACCCACAGGAGTACCCTCCAGGTCGGCGTCTCTTTCATCCTGCCAAGTTCGTCTCTCTTTCGCTTCCGCGCCTCTACCTTCCTCCTCCCGCTCCCGCTGCTGCTGGATGTCTTTTCCTACTTGGGTCGAGCAGAGCTGTACAGTATCGTCTACGTTCTGAACACCGTCCGCTAGGGCGATCCCCTCGCTCCAGGAGCCGCCATTCTAGCGATGACTCAGTAGTATCACGCCGAAAGCATGCCGATATCGCAAGGCTGCCTCGATTCCGTATTACGGGTTTGAACAGCCCGGTCGCACAAGATGACAGCTGCTATCTGATGTCTATTATTTGCCATCCACTCGACACACAGCGGCAGGCGCCGGCGAGTACCTCCTCAGTCTCCCAGACGCACATCCCCCTCCTCTGGCTCTGCACCCTACGCAAATACGCGACTGACATCCTCGTATTTACGCTCAGGCAGCGTCCAATTATGGCGATGCGATTACCCGACTTGTGTAATCTGCTTCCGCACTGCTTTTGCTTCGCCGGCCTAGACCTGGATGCATGCCCGTGAGTTCGCTCCGACTCGCGAACTTTCATTCAGTGCCCCAACACACGTACTCGCACGTATACAGGGTTTGACAGGCGTACATGCGACCCCCCTTGCTTCTTACCTCGAAGATGACGCCGTTGTTCGCTCGCCCTTAATTATGGAATCCCGAGCCTCCGCAACCCACTCCGCTGTGCGACCGTCGCGTACATTCTCCCGCCGCCCGACCGTGCCGGAACGTCAAAGCGCCCCCGCCGTCGGTGCATCACCACCACCACCAGGAACCGCTCATCCAACGAGTGGGGACGAGTACCCTCCCGGTGTGCGTCTCGCCCTCAGTTGACAGCGCCCTCCACGCCTGCCAGGTTCACCCGCGTCGCCCGCGAACACCAGCCGCTCCACAGACCCAGCGAGGCACATGCAGCTGCACCGCACTCAGGTACGCATATAATAGCTTTTCGGCCGCCTGTTCGTTTCGCCTGAGTTGCCGGACTGAGGGGTCGTCGGTTGCGGTCGTTTGCCGTATTGGCCGGACTGGGCAGGTTATGCTGAACGGCCGGCGACCTCGGAGTCCCCAAGTCTACTGCTCGGCTGAATAGTGGGAAGGGGAGCCTGGTGCGTTCATATGAGGACACCCCATGGGTTTTCTGGCAGCGGCCCCATGGCTGCGCTTCTGAGAAGTTCTTGTGCTTGAGCAGCGGCTACAAGGTTCGTTCCCTAGAGGCTTTCAGGTACCGCGCACCACATATAGCTCCCACCTTCCTGCCTTCCCGTTGAAGCGGGTCCGAGTCATACATCGATCTTCCCTCCGCTATCCCGGTCACACGACCCGCAAACCAAGGATGCAGCCCCGTATCATGCCGTGTCCGACGCAATTACGTCCTACACTTCCATTGTTTAGCATTTGCTCCGCCGCTCGCGGGAGCTGACTCCTACGCCCTGTACCAGAGCTTCGAAGCAGAGATGAAGTACACCCGTCGTCGTACAGGAGCTCGATCCGACGCACATCAACTGCGGTCAGGCCCAGCGCCGTCCGGACGGCTATCATCATGATATTACGTCCTGACCCAGGAGCCTACTTACGCGCCTTGGACGCTGGAGAAGTGAAATTGGGCTCCACCGTAAAGAGTCGAGCCATCGCCTTCGCCAGTGGCGGCACCGTCTCCTCTCCTCCCTCCTCTCTCCCAAGGAGCCCTCGGGTTGCGACGTGGATGACGCCGCCGGAGCCAGCCGCTCTAAAGGATCTATCGCAGGATTGGGCATGGTGCGTGTCAAGAACGCTGTGCCAGTGTCACCCGGATTGCTTTACCGTTCGGTCCCCCGGTATGACGCTACTGCTACCCCTCCTCCTTTGTTGTTTCCGGAACGCGGAAACGTCTGCTCTCTTGCCTGACAGCGTATACGCGTGGCTACATGCAGTGGATGACCGGTCTTCGTCAGGACTTCACAGAACTCTGCATATCATAGAGCGTAACCGTCTTCCCAGTAGCCTCCCGGCGTTTGCGGCGGCCTGACCTCGGAGTGTAACGTATCTATATAAAATTGTCCCAACCCCCCTTGCCTGTGCCCAGGCTCCATCGCCAGTCAATATGAGCCGCCAAGCATATGGAACGACCGGAGGACTGCCAGGGCCACGGGACGCTCTCAGGAAAAGAGGGGCCGTGTCGATACGCAGTGCGTGCTATCGGTATGTTTTCGCACACGGTACATTTTTAAGACCTCCCCAGGGCCGCTACTCCTACATCTTTCGTCTCGCAATGTTCCTCTACTTCATCTACTCAAGAGGCGTTCATCTCAACATCCCGCGCCTCCGTCTCCGCAACCGCAGTCGCAGGCTCCTCGGCGGCGCTCTCCGACCGCGCCCTTTTGACCTCCCGCTCCGCCTCCGCCGTCCCCTCTCGACTCGCCGGTGCCTTCTGTTCCTGCTCCTGGATCTTCGCCAACAGAGCCTTCTTCTTCCTTAGCCTCCCGAGCTCGCGCTGCGTGAGCTGCTTGCCGTCCGCGCCTTCTACGGGGGCGGCCGCCACCTCGGACAGCGTGTCGCGGATGAGCGGGTCGTGCTCCGGGTCGACGTTCTTGGGCAGCGCCGAGAGCCCCGCGTAGAGGTCGAGCGCCTTGAGCTGCGCCGCGGTCGCTGTTGGAGTTAAGTGAGTATGGGATCAGCGGGCAGCCACAGGGGGCGGCTGTGGGAGGATTTACCGGGAGGGAGAGATTTTGAGTTGAGCGCGGTGAGAAGCGGCGTTTGGACGCCAGGGGACTCGGTCAGCTGGGAGGGGTTGTCAGCTCGTGGCAGACGTGAGAGTAGCTGCGGGGTGTCGTACCGTGGCGTCTTGCCATGCTAGCAGACGGATGGGAGACGTCTGTTCCGTTGGCGGTGCCTCCGGAGTGGTCTCCCACTCCGCGTCGAGTAGTGCCCAGACGTTTCCATCCCGAGCCACGGTGAAGTCGATTACGGGCTTTCCGAAGACCACGGACCGGACCGCAGAAGCGGGTAGTGTCTCGCCCTCGGCAGGGATGGGGGCGTAGAATACGGCAGTAGCACTATAGATATGATGAGAAGCGTCGACACCAGATGGGAGCATACCGCCTCACCCGATAACGCTCAGAACGACGAAACGGCCGTGCTCGCCACGATCGACGGATTGGATCCTGTGGACAGCAAAGACAAGTTGCGAGTCTTCTGACACACCCGGCGTGGCTTGTGGGGCGCTGGACACGGGTGTAGGCGCGCTCGCCTCCGTCATATGTACGTCCTCCGTTGATATTGCGGGTGGCGCCTCAGTATGGTCGCCCGACCCGCCCTCTGCTTGTTGGTCTGCCTCCGCCGTCTCCTCTGGAGTATCCGCAGTCCCTTTCTTGCCCTTTCCCCGCCGCTTTCCTTTTCCCTTGCCCTTCGCCTTGCTTTCAGACGGGCCGTCCTCGCCCTCGCCGTCATTCCAGCCGTGACGCCATTTCGGTGCCTTGACCTTGATGTGGGGTTTAACGGCATCGAAGATAGATACCTCGCCGGTGAGCTTGCCAGACATCCAGTCCCAGAACTTCAAAGTCGGGTCTCCGCCTCCGGACACCAGCAATGACGGGTCAAAAGACGGTATGTGCAATGCCGACACGAATCTGTCCACTAACTCGTGAATGCCGGACGGGAAACATTGTAACATGTAGAACGCACTTTTCCTGGCCTAGGCAATATCGCTCGATGACATAGCCTTTGGGGAACCAGCTGACGCGGATGTGTTCGTCCCGATCGGCAGTCAAGATGTATTTCCCATCCGGCGTGAGCAGGTATGTGGTGAGCATCGACGCATGACCCAGGATCAGCGTTCCGTTTGAAGGGTTCTCGTGAGCGGTCAGGGAACCGCGTTTTGACGCGCCGGCTTGACTTGTTGAAGGGGCGGGAGAAGGGTCCGGTTGTAGTGGATAGCTGAGCTCCCGTTTAGCGACGCGGCGAGACGAGTGTTTCGCTAGGACACACCTGAATACATCGCCGAATTTATCGCTTATAACGACCGTCTGGCCGTCAGGAGTGAACCCTATCTCCGTGGGCTTTTTTGGTAGTTCTCTGCGATTTATGTCGAGAAATTAAGCAGTGGATGCGGCAGAAAACGTGTACGGACGCACCGCTCGCTCAACAGCTCAAGAGAACCCCCTATGTGCCAGACTTTCAAGCGCTTGTCGTCCCCAGTAGTGATGAGATGCGCAAATCCCGAGTCCACCGCAACGCAGCGGATCGGTCCTGACTTCAACAACTTCTCCTGAGCATCCTCGTCAAGTTTGGTTGTTGAATGGATGATCTCGCCAGTGCTGACTCGGACAGACTTAGCCGACAAGATCATGCATCTGACCAAGAAAATACGTACTAGACGTTCAGGACATGGAAGTGGTGTCCTACTGTTGCAATGGCGTTGTTCTCTCCAATGAGGAGGCGCGTATAGGGGAAATGCGCCATGTTGTATCAAGCAAAGGCACAGAAGCAGGAGCGCGCATCGTAGAAATTAACCTGAAGACATCAGAAACTGAAGCTCGCCAATGCCGCGATATAAACATGGTAATAAGAGCACTGACATCTCTTTGTTAGTATATCGGTTAGTACACGCGCTTGTCATGTATAACTGATCGCGCGAAAGCCGGGTTCGACTCCCGGACAGAGAGCTCTTTTTGCACAGCAACGCTGCTGTATGTGGAGATTTACGGAGGTTCCTCGATACGCCGAGGCTCGCGGTACAATCGCGGGCACCCGATCCTATTCAATGATATTCGATTCTTATCGCTACATTGACAACTCTCACATCATGGAGAAAACACCTGTTCAGCATTGTCCCCCGTAGAATGATCGCCTTTCCCGAAACATGGCAGCCACTCATCTAGAGCCAGCTCAAAAAGACCCAACCCCGCGTAGAATGGCTCTTGGGAGACGGGGCTGTAGAAACCGACCGTTTTGAAGTCGGTGTGGTTCGCATCCGGCGTCAAGAGAACGCGGAGGTCCGACACATGGACCATGTTAGCATGCGTCAGTCCGAAGAAGGATGGATATTGAGGCGCGACGTTGCACCTGTGGGACACAGCACACATAACCGTCAATGCTGCTCAAGATAGCCAGCATTTAGAGGAGGATTAGCAACATACCGCGGCACCGCAACAGTAGGTGTCCGGCCGGGCGAGTTGGTCTCGATGGAGGCGAGCCCCATCGTTCTCCAGGGGTCGACTATCGACAGTTGTGAGTATCGTCTGAGTGAGTATCGTCTGAAGAAAGTATAAGGAATAACTTACATTCTCCGTTTGTGAATAGGACGTTGGAGGGTGTCATGTCCCATCCTCCGTACTTGTTCACCTTCTGCACGGCTGGCGAAGGCGGAAGTCCACGCGGGAATGTTGTGTTGCACTCATCCTGGAAGAGCTCTAGCGACAGGAAGGACGTTTCGATAGAGAGCGTATTGTTTGGATCTCCGCGCTGGTAGAAACCTGCATCGATATATCAGCGATCCGCGGGACTGGATCTACAATGACAAGCCCGTACCGTACTCAGAGCAGTACTGCCACATCCACGACCGGTCCTGGACGGGATCATCTGCGTCTCCGGGTATCGCATCGTAATTCACTTCGCGAATCGCAGACAAGAACGCGTCCAGAGCAACGTCGGTTCCTAGGTTCGCGGCCAAGCCTGTCTCGAACGGAGTTATAGTCGAGTTCCGGCTCTCGAGGACATTGCAAAAAGGCAGCAGGGAAGCCTCGAACCCGTAGTACTGCAAGCAAGCACACCGTCAATCCCCCATCGTCGTGGTCAAAAAAGCAGCATCCCCGTACCTGGTAGAAGTTGAGCGGATCCATAAGCACGCCGGCAGCGCTCACCGCACTCGTGTTCGCAGCGCGTTCCTTCGTGACCCCGTCCGACCGTGCGCTCAACAGCCTGAACTTGAGCTCCGCCGTCTCCTCGGCCGTACCGTTAGCGAGCGTGTCATCCACGAAGCGCGTGACGGCAACCCAGTCAGCGGAGCAGTTGCGCGTGAGGCTGCGCTCCGCGGCCTTGTAGTACGCGGCCATGTCGACTTGGGCGTGGACGGGGGCCGAGGACGCCCAGACCGCGAAGATGGTCTCTGGGTTGCGCACGCGGAGCAGCGCGCCGCGGACGCCGGGGTATGAGCCCCCGAGCCAGACCCAAGGCGTCTTGGAGGGGTGGAGAGGGTTGTCCGTCGCCGAAGTGCTGAGCGCGTGTCCGCCTGTGAGGGAGAATCGGTTGGCGAAGTAAACGACGTCCTCGAGGGCTTGCTCGGTATTCAGGAACTGCCACTGCTCGGCTGTAGTATTTCCCTACGAAGTCGTGAGGTGCTAAGAACATATTCTCTGAACGAACGGAAACGTACATTGACCGGGAAGGGCAACGAGTCGCCATAGAAGCGATGCTCCCATAAGATGGCGACACCGCTGTAGCGCTTGGCGAGACGCATCGTCGCAGAAAGCCCATGGTATTCTTGCAAGTAATACGGCAGGAGCGGTTCCGCGTTCTGCTCTCCCGAATCGAACACTTCCGACCTGGAAGTTAGCGACACTGCAAAGGCTAGATGAAGTGTGCTTACAAAACACTGGACCCCCCGGTTTATAGTACGTGTCGTTGACCCAAAATCTGTTTTTGAAGGTGCCCGTCGTGTTCCCGAAGTGATCTAGTGGCATCTGATCGTGGCAAAAAGCAGATGTTATGTAGTACGTCGACACGACTATGTGAAGCTCGACGGGCTTACCTCGAAGAAGTGGGCGTTATTCGTCGCTGTTTCATCATTCCTGGGCACTGGTAAAAGATGCTCTTTGAAGCGCATAGACGGTGCCATCCGCGCGCCCACAGACCACAACGCGCAAAGCAGCAAAACAACACGCATATAGCCTAAGCAGAACGACATAGCGCGCTTGCGGAGGTTGGACTGCCGACGTGCCCCACTCCTGTGTACGCGTTATATACGCAGGAATGATGCATGCGGGCGAAGGTCTTCTTGATAGCAGACGCGCTGCAAACCAGTGGAGAAGGAGATAAGCCAGGTAGCATGATCGCACTTCGCGACTTCTCATGCTGCAATAACGGAGCGGCGGCAAGACTGCGTCCACATGCCGGGCCGCCTTCCCGCAATACCTTCCCAGAACCCCACGTATGAACACGTCCCTGTAGCGGGAGGTTGACGTCCTCAGTATCCAAGCTATATTCGAGGAGCATGCTGTAGTATGTACGCGTTAGTTTACACATTAGTAGTAACTCGTGTGCGTGTGAGAGAGCGCAGCGTGGACGTATGCCCGGCTTATGAAATGCCGTATTTCTTCTTCTCCCAGTCTGCCCACTCAAACACGGGGAGCGGGTGCGCCTCGGTGTTGAACACCCAACGATCCAGCGGGATGAGCTCCTCGTCCGAGAACAGGAGATACAGATACTTGAGGCTAAAATGGGAAACATCAGCGTTCGAGCCCATGGGGGATCGTGCAAACAGGATGGTACGCACGTCTCTGCGGTGAAGAAACTGCGATCCCGTTGAAGCATGAGCTCGGTAAATCGCGCATATATCAAGAGCACGCACCTCGGCATCTCGTCCTTGAGCCGCGCAGGCGACTTCTCCACCGACGCAACGCTCGCGTACCCGCTCTTCGTCTTCGCCTCCTTCTCGATGGCGCGGAAGACCGCCCATCCGCGCTCCCGCCACACCTCGTCGCCCGTCGTACGCCACATGATATAGAAGCTCTCGACGGTCTACACCCCACATCAGCTTTGTACCCCACACCATCCAAACAAACACGCACCTCCGGCCTCAGCATATAATCGATCTTTGTCGCGCGATAGTCGCGGTCCCCCTCCAGCCTTGGCGGGGCCTCCGCCAACCCGGGGGGCACACGCCCCGGCCGCCCCTTCGCCTCCCACGCGTCGACGAGCTCCGCCCAGCGCCCCGGGTACGGGTGCGCCGCATCCGCGGGCGTGTGCGCCATGGCCATCTCGTCGGGCCCGAGCCCGGTCTCGTGGTCCGCGTACGTGATCCAGCACGTGTACGCGAGGCCCTGCGCGGCCCACTGGTGCCGCTCGCGGTCGCGTGCGGCGAGGGGGAGCGTGTGCGCGCCGAGCGCGAGCAGGCCTGGGAGGAAGCACGAGAGGTGCTCGAAGGTGTGGCTGGGGCTGGAGGAGGTCGTGTCGGTTACGTAGAGGAGGTTCCGGTTGGGGGTGACGTAGAGGAGGTTTGCGAGGATGGCTTCGACGTCGCGGAGGTCTGTCGGATATGTTAGCGCGTGGTATGAAGGAGAGGGGGGATTGCCTACATAGGTCGCGAGCTTTGGTCTCAGACTTCGCTGTCAGCAGCCATTGCTTCAGCAAGTACTCGTGTGCGCTATCAGCGAACGCGCCCACTGAGAAGTGGTCTAAAGCCGGCGCGGGAATGAGACCAATCGTTTACATGCAGACAGCCCAGGTTATGGACGTACCGTTGGACGGGTGCCCGGTGGTCACAGACCACTTCGTTGCGAACTGGTTGTCCTCGACCTTGGCTTCGTTCATGAGATCCATGATGCGCTCAACCTGCACTGCCCGGTCAAGTCTTGTATCGATAGGTAGTACCGCAACACACCCTGTCGAAGTATTCCTGGCGACCAGTGAGATGGGCGAGATATTTGTACTCCATCTGGCAGCTGAGGGCCTCTGCCCAAAGAATCTGCGGTCCTGTCCAGCCATTCCTAGTATCCCCACTATTGCCCCGATCATGAGAGGCGCAAGTCGAAAGGAAATGGAGTAAACTCACGACACAGTATTGACCGCATACATCGGAAGCCCGTGCGTAGTATTGAATGCAGGCAATAGCATGGTGCCCAGATCATCTGCACGAGTAAGCAAGATGGGCTCTCCGGATATGGCATAGGCGGACAAGAGACCACCAAGGTAACGAATGACGGTTTCAAAGAATGGTGCATATTTCCCCTGATTGACTTCATATCAACACTGGGTGTGCGCTACACTTCCCTTCAGCGCACCTTGGGCAGAGCGAAGGTCATGTTCGCGAGGATAGGTATTGTTTCGCGGAACTCGTCATGGAAACCCATGATGAGCATGGTATCCAAAGAGTCCACGAGCGTCAGACGCCAGCCGTTAAAGCTATTTACAGATAAGTACTGCGGACTCCGCGATCAACGCAGAGGGGGTACATACTTGTCCACATACGCATCCGAAACGGGCAGGAGCTCATCGTGTGACCCTGCATACTCCTGGTAGCCTCGGTATGCGTGGATAAACGCGCCCTTCACAGCGTCAGCGCGCTCTGACCATACTGTGGCTGGCCGCACGTGGGGCGGAGGACCTCCGGACGGGGGGCGCCCGCCGCCAAACGGTGGAGGGAAGTGGTGAGGCGGAGGTGGCGGAGGGTATAACTCATCGATTTGGTCAGGTCCGGGGCGGTATATTGAGTGATCGGTTGCGCCAAACCGGGCGAAGCCCCATAGCAAGAGTGTGGCAGCAGCGCCGAGGGGTATAAAGCGATATGCTCGCTTCGTCCTGAAGATATCCATTCCGAGCAGGACCCGAGAGTAGACAGAACAAAGTAGTTCACCCAAAGACCATGGAATACAAGCAAGACCAGGTTGGGTGGCCCGTCAGAGAGGCCGACGTCTGAGGGCAGGAGGAAAGGAGCGAGGACGCCGTCTCAGACAAGGGTAAGCGGGGTATATGAGAGCACGAGAGCAAGGAACAGCAGCGGCCGGGTGGGAACTGCATGGGGAGAGTGGTCGCCAGTGCCAGTGCCGGAGCCAAGCCGGGGCCATGCTGGCACTCCGTCGCTGCCAAGAGATCACTCTGCCGGAACAGCCACCGCTCCCCCCCTGATCATTCTTCGCCGCCTCGGCTGGCAGATCTGTCCTCGGCCTTCCGATTTGGCAACTGTTCAAGAACGAGCGCGTCCATCGTGCATTTGTGTATTCGTGTAGTACAATCGTCCTCTGAGGATATTCGTACTGGTGAACGTTGACATTGAGAGCGGGCCCAGAACCTCGTGCACGGAGGAAGCGTGCGTGGGAAATCTGAGCTTGAACGATTTCATGATGCATATATCTCATATCTGAGTGGTTGGCGAGGCTCACTTTCCTCATGTTGAACGGCTGGCTAGGATGTAGGTATCCATCAGCAGATTTGGGGGTTGATAATATCAGGAAGCATCACCTCGTCTGCGCCCTGCATAATTTCATCATCTGGAGAGGACCAACGGGCTGAGTCATCTGTGAGTGTTCTCTGCCGTTCACTAGGCCGTGCGCGGCGCAGCCTTATTCTGAGGCATAAAAAAACCTTTGGCACCTCCGGTTATGTATGGGCTTGGTAAATTTGTGATCAACTGCCGGGTGGAGGGAGGGAGAGACCCGAAAGATGTAGACGCGTGCTGAAACGCGAACTCCCGCGACGCGACTCGTCCTAATGCGGGCACGTTTCTCTCAAACGTTCCCACGGGCGACCTCTGCACTCTACTTCGGGAGTACCTAGCGATTGTCTCCTGGGCGTGAGGATGCTGTATGGGAGGTGCCAACCCATGATCGTTGATTGAGGGCAAACCTATGATATGTATCGTGCGGCGATGATCTCTGCCAAGCCGCCTTCTTAGCACGAACCACCTGCCACATAGGCTTTGCCGAAGCTTCCGATATGTCCCCGCTGCTTCAAGTCGCACAAATCAGCGTTCTACCTGCAAATATTGAGACATTAGTTTGGGGGATTTTAGCCTGAGGTCAAAGGGGTTGAAAAGGGAGAACATCTCGGCGAATTCCCCGTACTGGGAGCTAACGTGTGGTCATCAAAAGTCTATCATGTGGGACGGAATCTGGATGTACTTTTAATGAGCAGACGTATGGCGAGATGGCCGAGCGGTCTAAGGCGCCAGACTAAGGTCGTTCTCCGCAAGGAAAGCACTGATATCTGGTCCGAAAGGGCGTGGGTTCGAATCCCACTCTCGTCATTTTTGTTCCCCTTACCTTGAGTCAGCTGCAGAATGGATGTTCAAAGAGGACGATTGAGAGACAGAGTGCTGAACGGTTCTGAAACGTACATCCGAGTCGGAGCGCTAAGCGGCGGCGGTGAGTATAGAGTACTTGCAGGCGCCCGCGTGCCGACTCCGGAGTCGGGCATTACGCGAGTACCGCGGACTCTCGCCGTACCAACTTGATTTATAACTACACCTTGCCTTTTTGCACCTCCTCTGCCCCAAGCTACCTGTTACACAGGACCGGCCGCAATGTCTGCAACTGGCAATGCCTCAAGCCCTTCTGGCTCGCCCTCCAAGTCCTCTCTTCCCCCAGGCATGGTCATAGGCCCGGACGGGAAACCCTGCAAGATCTGCACCGCGTTCCGCAACTGGAAACCGCGCACCGAAAAGCCCAAGCAGCAAACACAGAGCTCATCGCAGGGCACAACAACACCTGGCCAGAAGACCGCCGCTATGATGGCAGCGTTCGCGACCGGCACGGGCTTCGCGTCCACCTCGCAGCAGACGACCACCCCCGCCCCCACGCCCGCGCCCGTCCAAGAACAGGAACAGGAATACACGCGTCCGGCGAACTGCCCACCAGATGTCGAGCAGCTCGGGAGCGCGACGTGGACGTTCCTGCACACGACGGCCGCGTACTACCCGGACGCGCCGACCATGGCGCACCGCGTGAACATGCTCTCGCTGCTGCGCGCGCTGCCCGTGCTCTATCCGTGCTCGACGTGTGCGACGCACCTCGGGGAGGAGATGAAGACGCGGCCCCCGGACGTGAGCAGCCGTGGGGCACTGAGCCGGTGGTTGTGCGAGCAGCACAATGCGGTGAATACGCGCCTGGGGAAGGAGCGCTTTGAGTGCATGGTGGAGAAGCTGGACGAGCGGTGGAAGGACGGGCCTAAGGACGGGAGCTGCGACTAGGAGGAGGTGCGTCTGGTTTGGGGGTTTCGTTTGGGGGGCTGAGTTCGAGTTGTGTTTAACCTGTAGACATATTCTGCATGCCGCCGTGCCCACAGCGGTCGGACACACCGTCACACCTCCGCTCAGCAACTGTATCATAGTACCTCTAGTGAGCTTTATAACGTCCTCACGCGGCTATACGAGTGTGCTACTGATTGGACTGCAACAGATCATGAACTCCCCACATGTTATACTAGACTACGCACACCACTCACTCGCGATATTCGCACTAGAACTACAACAACAGACATTCTACGAGTACTTTCACAGTCCTACGTCAACTCCTCAATTCTGGCCCCTCCCTGGCTGGGCCGCTGCCCGACCCTGTTGATGCTCTGACCACCACTCTGTGCCGCCTGCTTCGCCTCCTTCTCCAGCGCGTTCGCGCGCATGGTGGCTTCGTCCGCCAGAACCCGCAACATAGGCGCAGGGGTGCCCAGAAGATATGCCGCGTAGAACGTAAGCTTGTGAACGACATGGTTTGGTCTTGGGCGCGGCTTCGGTTGCGCGGAAGACGCCATCCTCTCGGACGCACGGTCTGGCGCTAGCGATTCGGTGAAGAACTCGGCGAAGTCGGAAAGGACGCGCAGCGCGTTCGCGCTGGGGTCCGCTTCGAGGTCCGCAGAAGAGAGCGCGGACTTGGGCTCGGGGATGACCGTCACGGTCGCGGGCCGTAATAGCAACGCGGTATCTTTCAGGAGGAGTGAGAAGAACTGCGGGTTCATGTGGCCCTATTTGAGGTGAGACGATTAGCAGCTGGCCAGCAGGGCTTCGGGGATATGTCGACGTACTGGCGGAAACCGCGACCATAGATCTGTTACGACCCCAGAGAGGGAGGAGTGCGCAAGTGTCGACTTGCGGTCTGTGAGAAAGGGCACGAGCCGTGATATCGACTGCGCAACTTCTGTGCGGTCCGGGTCGGTCTGCGCGAGTGAGGACAGCGAGGAGATCGCGAAATGGCGGACGATGTATGCATATGTAATGCTGCGGTACGTTTGTGTTAATGACAGAAGTGAACGATAACCGAGCGCTGGAAGTCGCTCACCATACGGCGCATATATTGTACAGGAGGAGCGGTCCACTGAGTGCGTTATTCGCTGCCTGCTTGACCAGGGGCGCGGGGATGGGCATAATGGGTGATGGCCGCGTGCGGTCTTTTCGTTCTGCCTCTCCGCCCGATAGGTCCTCTGATCCGGACGCGGTGGGGGCCTCCCACCACGGATTGACGCGTTCCCGCTCTAGCTCTTCGCTCGCCAGGAGCTGCTGCGCAAGCTCGCTGTTAGGATCTTCCAGTGCTTTCAGAAATTTGTCGCGTTCCGCCGGAGTTAGAGCCGCCCACAGCTCTTCGTAGGATGCCGAATCTGTCTCATTCGCGGTCAGCTTACGAGCAGAATAACACCCTTGGGGCAGCGCGCACCGAGGTTAACGTTCTGAAGGCGCCCCTCGAGGTCGTCCGCATCCTCATCCGCGCCATTGTCCGGGTCGCCCAAGAGTGGGCTGTCGTCGAGGGCGTCCTCCTCGAACCGCTTGAGGAGGTCCATCATGCGCCGCTTCTCCTCTGTTCCTGCGGACGGCGCGCTCTTCACATCGAGCTCGACCTCCTTCTTGTAAAACGACTCTGAGCAGTCCCCATGTTTCTGACGTACTTGTCAGTCAACGCGTCCCAGAAGAACCTGCGCGCACGCACCTCGGAACGGAAGCAGACTAGGGAGCAGTACGGGATGTTGCAGCGCGGGCAGGTGTAGCGAGAGAACTGTCTCCGACAACTGTGAGCGGTCTCAGGAAGTCCGGCCGAGGTCCGGGCAGGAAAAGGACTGACATTGCGCAGGGTATGGTGGTCACGGACTCCGTCTCCGGAGTGGACGCGATGATGGGCTCTCCTTGACCTGCCGTGTCTGTCATAGTGGTCCGCACAATTCTTCACGTCGGCTTGAGCTGCGCTGTATTTTCCCTCCTTGTTCGCGATCCTGGTACCAGCTACACGGCGAACGGTGAACTTGAGGGTGTGGGCGAAAGCTCGTAGGCGCGACTCCGCTAACCGAGACTCCGAATTCGTACGGGCGCTTGTTGAGAGTTGGCGTCACTGACCGCGACCACGCGAGTTGTACCATACCACCACTACCTCCTCCTCCACAAACTCGGTCCAGCCACCGTCCGCAATGAGTTTCAAGAAAAGGTCAGTATTGCTCACTTTTCCCATGCAATGCAGATGCTCACCGTCGTGGCAGCAAACTCGACTTGCTCATTCGGGTTCGTTACTCAAACCCACTCCCCGCCCCACCATGTCCACCCAAACTACTCAACATACCCACCGACCCCATGCGCTATGCGCGCCCCGAGTTTCTGGATGAGATTGCGGCGAGCACACCTCTACCAATGGTCGTAGACGGCGAGCTGGGCATGCCGCTCGACTTGTCGCAGTGGGACTGTCTGTGGGAGGAGAACGGGGATGATTCTGGTACGTCCTGTATACGTCTTTTCTGCCGCGGCATATGTTCAACTCCGCGTGCGGCTACTCCCACAGAACTAAACCCAGACCCAAGTTGTGTGTCGAAACTCGACCCTCTGGACCAGTTCCTCCTCGGAGACCCCGCGTCTACATCGACCCCCTTCCTTGGCCCGTCTACCCCAGGTATACCCACACCCTCTACTTCTATGCCACATGTGGCGTGGCTACGGAAGACGGAGTACCTCAGTCGAGAAAACGCTTCGCGCGCCTCGCTCTCGCAAGACATGTACGTACTTCCTGTCTCCTCTACATCTCCGAACATCTTCATTTTGCGCACGGGTGCTCACGCGCATGTTCCAGCAAACAAAATCAAGACCATACAATCGATATCTCGCGCGATGCCCAAGTGCGCGACATCGACGCGTCCTTTGCCGCGGTCGCGAACTCGGACCTCGCGTCCCTGCGGCATCCCACCAAGCCCGAGCTCACCGCTGTCGAGGAGTTTGAGATCTTCCCAGACGCAGAGATCTGGGCGAACGCGTACGACCTCTTCCGCTTCTCCGAGCGGCCGGGAGACAGGCCAGTTGATGTCAGCACTAACCCTGTCTGTATGCGGAATGTCACGACGCTGACACCCTGTACGATAGGTTGATGACCCGCGTCTGGACTGTGCTGTATTGCGCCCCATGGAGGCAGACGGGGATCATTTCCTCGCGTATTACCTCACGAAGGACGACGAAGACGCGCTCGAGTTCAAGCGCAATCGACTCGCGCGCTCGCCGGACGACCCTCCCGAAGACGAGGTACGTCCACTACACCGCGCCGTTGTTTCCTTTCTGACGATATCGCACGCATACGCACAGCCTACCCACTTCCACTTTGTGCGCGACTACGAGACTGTCAAGGTCGAGCAGGAGGTCCCGAACGAGTTCCTGCTCGTGCTCGACGACGGCATGTCTGCCGATCCGCCGCGCGCAAAGGGCGCGTACTACAAGAACATCGAGCGCAAGATGCTGCTCAAGAAGAAGCGCGTGAACGTACGTGTTTCCCCTGTGCTTTCCCTCTCGGAAGGCGTACCCCTGCTGACCTGGTGTGGTGCAGACGTACGAGGCGTACGGCGACAAGTGGGACGTCGTGAAGCTCACGCACACGCCGATGAGCGCGGAGGAGGCGCAGGAGCGCGAGGACGCACTCGCGGAGGTCGTCGACCCCATGTTCCCGCTCGCACGTGGGGACGCGGATGCGGACGCAGAGGGCGAGCTCGACGATGCGGCCGTCGCCGCTGCGCACGGCCTGAACGGCGCGGCAAATGGCGCGCGGCATGAGATCGTCGATGCCGTCGATGTGTTTGGGGAGGAGTAAGTGCGCGTGGGCGGGTCTCACCTGGCCTCTGTGTGATCTAGGGGATGTGTGTATGTTTACCGTGTGGTTATGTAGTGTGGTTATGTAGTCTGCTTTCGAAGTTATTCTAGCGTCATTGCACAACTTGCAACATGTGGCCAAGGCTACATATCCAGGGTGGGAAGCGTAGCATAACGCATCTGGCAGCTCTTCTAAGGAAACGAGACCGTAGGCCCAAGGGTATGTTTCGTTTCGACGTACCCGCCATGGTAGCGACGTAAGTACATGGAACTGGAGTTAGTGTGGACGTACTATCCAGACTAACACGACCGCGGCACTCAGCCTCTTGATGTTTAGAAACAATGACTACGCGAAAAACGGGGGCTTTACATGATAGTAAGGCCAACGAAAAAAGAGATATGAGATACGCGGCGCCATGATAAGTACATCGCTGGCACCGAGGTAGTAGTTACTACCTCCTATGACAGCCTCAGTCAAAGCCACTAATGGCCATTTGACAGGGCAGACAGAGACGGAAAGCTAGGAGCGTCCACGGTCAGGGACTTTCAGACGCATAGAGTGAAAGAAGAGACACCCACAGGCTGTCTGGGAGACCGCAATGCTCCTGTGGGCGGTGACCTTCGCGGATTCATTCACGCTGCGCGGAGGATTCCACACTGGCTGAGGCCTCCGACTTTGACGACGCCTGCGAGCCCGCACTTCCAAAGTCAACGTACGCGGCACTTCTGGCGTATCTGGACGACTGCATGTGAGTGGCGAAGAGGTCCACGCTCTTGACGTCGCCTTCCCAGGGTACGGTGCCGTAACATACCGCGAATGCCCGCAAGAGCGCCTGATGTGTCCTGAAGGGCGACGCCCCGTACAGGTCGTCGGGGTTGCTCGGGGGCGATGCCAAAGCAGGAACATTGGGTGCGGGCAGGCTGGAGGGAAGGGCGCGGGGGTGCTGTGCTAGGATTGCTGCTATGGCTGCATTGCCCGCGGGGGTCTTATTCATCGTCGGGGCAGGCGTAGATGCCTGGAGCATCTGGACAGAGAGAGGATCAGGGAATCCGTAGAGTTGGTCGAACGTCGAGAGAGCGATTTGGCGACGATGGTCGTTGCATAGCCCGGCCAGGTCTGCCAGGAGGCGTCCGAGCGTGGGGTTGCCGAGCGGAACGATAGGAGACAGCCTGTCGTTCATGTGCTTCAGCTTTGCGGCGCCGCCGACGTGTGCACCGTCGAGTTTGCGTAGGGTGCACTCGTCGTATGTAATTCTCACAAAGTCCCTGAGGTGGATTGTTTGATCGGTGATGGCGAATCGTAGGACAAGGTAGTGGAGGACGTGGATGAACGATTCGATGTCATCGGGGAGATCGTAGGGCTTGATTGGGTAGCGCAAAGATAGGGCGGACCGAAATTGCCAGGTGCCCTGAGGAGGGTACTTCAGTGTTTATGCGAAGGGAGCGCAGAAGCAAGCATACGTACGGTGGGATCCGGAGGACCTTTTCCCGTAGCCAGCTCGTCCTTATACTTGCAAAGGTCCCAATCACTGAGAAGAGCTGCGCATTGACCAGCGGAGTCCTCGTAAATGAGGATGTTTCCCACACTGATGTCGCGATGCAGAACACCTGCCTTCTCCCATGCCTGCTGGTGCGCTACAGAGTGTAATACTTCAGTTAGTACGATGTTGGCCGAAGAAGCCGGATTATGTACCTAGCAGAGCCGTGCACATGATATATGCGAGGTCACGAAAATTGCCGAACTCAGTCACCGGAAGGCAGACTTCTTTCAGAACGATGCGATAGTGGATGCGTTTCGCCGGTTTGCTGTCGAGAAACGACTGCACTTGAGTGGCTTGGGTAGCGGCATCCGACCCTGACCCGGTACGAACGTCCCCACCAACCTCGCAAGAGAGAACGAACTGGACGTCACTCTCGCGTAGCCTCTTGTATGTCAAATGTTCCGGATGGTAGGTCGCGCTGTCGTGCCGCCAGGAGTCCTTCAAGACGCAAAGACGATCCTGCTGGACATCGTGTGCGACATACGTGCGGGTGCACCGACCGACGGGGGAGGTATCGACATACAGCGGTCGGCCAACGAGGAACGTGCGCTCGGCGATGGTGATCTCGCAGAGCGGCCACTGGCTGTCCTTCTGGAAGGAACTCGTCGTCCCATCCCAGCCGATGGCGTCGTGAACCTGCTTCTGTACTCCGAGCGAGGCGGACTCTGCGCAGGCAAGCATCTTCTTGGCTTCTTCGGGCGAGGCACGGCGAGCAGTAGGGTCCAGACCCTGCTCCTCCGGAGTCATCCAAGTGAACCTGTAGAAGAAGTCCTGGAGTGTCGTGTCATTGCTCGTCCCGTACGGAAACCACTTGGAGACGATCGTCCCGACGCGATCGGAGTAGAGCAAACAAGCATAGCTCTTGAAGACGCAGAGGGAGAAGAGATGGGTGCGTTGTTGACGAGCGAAGACCTGGCCGATATATTCGTCGATTTGGCCTTCAGCAAAGACCTCTTGCGGCGTGGGTAGAGCGACATCCATCAAACCGGACGTGCAAACATCGTTTGCTTGGGAACTGGAAGCGACCGGCGCATGAGCAGACAACACCGTTATTTGAGCGGATGCGGAGTCGACAGACGGCCGCGACGCGGAGGTTGGAACGCTTGTCAGGTCGTCGGCAGAGGTGCTTGAGGTCTGCGTCATAGAGCCCTTAAGGCGGATTGCTTGTGAGGGTTGGAAGATGGGGATGAGGATGTTCGCGCAGGAAACACGGCGAAGCCATTTGCGGCGACCCTCGGTTGTGATAGTGGTCTCGACAATGGTCTCGATGTTGGAGAGGTCTTCGGAATAGAGCGGGCCACGCGTAGGATACACCCCGCAATGGGGGATGATGTCTTGGGAGTCACCACCTTGTTCTTTCCAGCGCGAGGTGTCTCGAAGGGCCATATCACCTTTCGAGCCATCATCCAAGGCCGCATAAGCCTCCTCTAGGTCTTGCTGAGGCGTTACGTGTTCGAGATATCGTGTCACCGCGCCCTCCGGATTGTCGCCGAACGTTTTCAGGACGGCAACAAGCCGGAAAACCGACTCGATCGTCGTGCACTATATTCACATGCGTCAGATGCAATGCAATAGCGAAGCGATCTAACCCTTACCAGGTTCGAGCATAGCTCAGACTTATTCGCCGGGGCATCCACTTCCGGCTCAAACATGAGATGATGTTTCATGCTGTCCGGAAGGGCGTGGCCTCGAACGATAATATCGAAGAAGCCCTTAACAGGCATACTACTCCAGTGACGCGCCATTCCGGAAGAACCGAGTGGTAACGGTGGGAGGTGTCCGATGTTGCCGTTCTGGGTTGCAAACGCTTTTCCGGTAGTCGCTGCGTGCCCTGCCTTCCGAGGGGGGTTCACTTCGATACGCGGGCTGGGAACCAAAATTAACGGACTGAGCCTTGTTGGAAGTAGTAACAGAGAAATTTTAGCCCCAAGAATTACCATTGCGGGAGAGAAAAATGCACTGTGCTACTGACCGCTATCGTTGGGACTGTATGATAATATTATGACGGTGTCGATGTCACTCAGTCATCGTGATAGAATACTGCCGGTATCGCCATGTCGAGCTACTTGCGGTGATGTTAGTGCGAAGTTGAACATCCCGTGTGACTTTGAGCAGGAATATTCGTACTCACCTTCAACGCCGTCGTGGTAGAAGACGAAGGTGCAGCTCAAACTCGCGCGGTGCAGAGGCGCGGTACGCCGGCTCACGTGGGTCGTGTCAGGCGCTTTAGCGCCTGCACCTCAAGGCTCGCGAGCGCAATATGGTCGCCCACGGTCCACCACAACACCTCACACCCCCGCGGGTTTGAACGGGGTACACGGTCACGATTAACTCGGTTCACAATTATCGATACTTCCAATATTCCAACTGCAGCAGGTAAAATTACATCATGCAAACCAAGAAGGTCGAACGGACACCACATACTAAGTAAGTTAGATCGAGACGCAAAACGAGCGAGCACACGGACCGTCCGACGCCGGAACCCCAGTCTGAATCTATCATACAGCCTCGCTCATCTCCACCGGCAGCTGGCTGTACCCCGACACATCCCGCCGCGAGCCCACCAGGCCGCGCACCGACTCCCACGCGTCGCGCACCGCCTCCCGCGCGCTGTCGAACATCGTCTCGTGCTGCACGCTCTCCCCGGGCATCAGGCTCTCCGCCGGGCGCACCCACCACTTCAGCGCGAGCGAGCTCGTCACGACGCTCACGGATGAGAACGCCATCGCCGCGGCCGCGCCCATCGGCGGCAGGCTCACGCCGAGCGGGAGGAAGAAGCCCATCGCGAGCGGGATGCCGAGCACGTTGTACAGGCACGCCCAGACGAGGTTGCGCCGGATCGTCGCGAAGATCGCACGCGAGAGGTGCAGCGCCGCGACGACGTCGAGCAGGTCGGAGCGCATGAGCACGATGTCCGCCGCCTCGATCGCGACGGACGTTCCGGAAGACAGAGCGATGCCGACAGACGCGGCGACGAGGGATGGGGAGTCGTTGATGCCGTCACCGACCTGCGCTTTCAGTCAGTAGACGCACATAGAGGTCGAAAGAGTAGTACGCACCATAGCCACGCCACCGCCGTACTTCTCCATGAGCTCAGTCACGACCGACGCCTTGCCCTTCGGGCTCATGCTCGCCCACACGTTCTCCGGCTTGATCCCGACCTGCTTCGCAACAGCGAGCGCCGTCGCCTTTGCGTCGCCCGTGAGCATGTTCACCTCGATGCCCATGTTCTGCAGCGCCCTGATCGCGTGTATCGACGACGGCCTCGGCGCATCCGCGAGCGCGATCGCCAGAATGGGCACCGGCGGCTTGCCAGACGTCGAGATCGAGACGAAGATGGACGTGCGGCCGCGGTGCGACTCCTCCGAGTCGAACGCCGCGAGCGTGGACGGGAGCTGCGCGTCGCCGGTCTGCAGGATGAACCGCGCATTTCCGACAAACAGCGTGCACTGGCCCTTTCCGCCCGGGAGCCCGATCTCGGCCTTCACACCTGCACCGGTGACGCTCTCGAACGTGTGGATCACGACCTCCGGGATGGGCACCATCGACTTGTTCAGCAGCTCCTTGCCGTGCACTGCGACCGCCTTCGCGAGCGGGTGCTCCGAGCGCGCCTCCGTCGCCGCAACCATCGCAATCACGTCCGCGCGCGTCGCGTTCCCGACGCACTTCGTGGTCAGCGGGACGTCGCCGTCGGCGGTATAGCCGTGCAGGTCGCTGTGATCGCTCGAGGGCGCCCACGCGAGCGCCGCGACAGTAAGCTTGCCCTCGGTGACCGTGCCCGTCTTGTCTAGAGCAATCCGCTTGATGAATCGGCTCGCCTCGAGTGCACGTCCGCCCTTAATCAGGATCCCGTTCTTCGCGCCCATCCCGGTCCCGACCATAATCGCGGTCGGCGTGCTCAGTCCGAGCGCACACGGGCACGCGACCACGACGACGGAGATGCACAGCTGCAGGCAGATCGCGAGCTTCGACGCGCCGTGCTTGTGGAACAGCGCGGGGAGCGCGTTCTCGTCCACGACGTGCGAGATCACCATCCACACCGCGAAGGTGATGAGCGAGAGCGAGATGACCATCGGCACGAAGTACCCCGCGACCTTGTCCGCGAACTCCTGGATCGGCGCCTTCGACGTCTGCGCGTCCTCGACCAGCTTCACGATCTGCGCGAGCGCGGTGTCCTTGCCCGCGCGCGTGACGACCATGTCGAACGTCCCGAGCCCGTTGACGGTGCCTCCAATGACGCTGTCTCCGATCTGCTTGAGCACGGGGACCGGCTCGCCCGTGACCGCGCTCTCGTCCACGGTAGAGGTCCCACGCAAGACTGTTCCGTCCGCGGGGACCTTGTCGCCAGGCACGAGTTTCACCGTGTCGCCGACTGAGACCAGCTCCGTGGGGATCTTCTTCTCCTGCGTGCACGCCGGAGCGTCGGTGTAGATTGTCGCCATAGACGGCGCAAGCGCCATGAGATCAGTCAGCGCGGCGCTCGTCTTGCCCTTCGCCCGGTTTTCGAGGTACCGGCCCAGCGACACGAACATGATCAGCATCGTGCTGGTGTCGAAGAAGACCATGGGGTGATAGTCCAGCTCCCGGTTGTACGCCGCGAAGCACATGGCGCCGATGGAGTAGATGTACGCGGACGACGTCCCAATGGCGATGAGCACGTCCATGGTGGCGCTCCCGTGCTTCAGCGACTTGTACGCGTTCCGGTAGAACTTCTGTCCGAGCCAGAACAGAGCCGGGGTCGTAAGGATGAACGCCACGACGTCACTGACGTAGATGCCGCGGCACAGCTGGTACTCGACAATTGGCGCGAGGAAGGGGATCTTCGGCGCGATCATAGTGACGAAGAAGACTGGAATCGCGAAGGCAAGACTCCACTGGAAGCGCGACCGCCACTCCTGGATCTCCTTCGTCCGGGTGAGCGACCGCAGCTGAGTCGCGTCTTCTTGATCGGAGACCATGGCGTCGAAGCCCATCTCTTCTATCCGCTCTACCAGCTCCCGAGGCCCGACCATTGTCCTGTCGAACTCTACTTTGCAGGTCTCCGTAGCGAGCGAGACGGCGACGCTGGTGACTCCGGGCATTGCTCCCAATTGCGTCTCTACCGTTGATGTGCATGATGAACATGTCATCCCGTATATGCGAAGGGTGATGGCATCCGCGCGTGTTGGGGGTATGAGAGTAGCATCGAAACCTATGTCAGATATTTCCTACGTACGAGTCAGCAATCGAATTCCTGAATTCTATTCCGGGTCGCTAGAGTCATTATATATGCACCAGTCCCGCTGGCACGCAGCGACGGACGTCGTTTGCTATTAATAACTCGTCCGACATGTCCAGCTGAGGGGGGGGCGGCACTCCGACCCGCAGAGCAACGCTCCGCCGTACGTACAGCACGTATATGCAGACTCTATTATGTGCGGCTGCCGAACGCGATTTGTAGCGCGTTGCGGGGCGTACACCAATGTCGTCAAGGGGGAAATGGAGGGTAGGACTCACCCCGATGATCTTGTCCGCATCCCAAACGGCTGGATCGTATTCCACTACGCCCCGTTCCGCGAGTAGTGCGACCTTGACCGACTGTATGCCGGGTTGTGTGCGCAGCATACCCTCTATAGACTGTCATACGCTCAGACGGATGCTGAATACCAACGCGGGGAAACACACACCTCGACGCATGCTCCGCAAGTCATGCCTTCGATTCTCAGCTCGCATTTCTCTGACGCAGGCCCGCCTGCAGCAACCAAAGGTTCATGTTCGCCCACAGGGAGCTCCAGTTTGCCAGACGTGGGCGTGCGAGGAGTCCCAAGGAGGCTGTTGAATGCGGCAGAAAGGCCCGCCATGATGGGGGTGATGGGTGTCCTGGGTGGCATGGCTGGGCCTAGTCGAAGAGATAAATAGGAAAGGTAGGGTGATGAAGAGCGCCTGCGCTGGTACCGGAGGATGTCGGCGGCGGCACCTGGAGGTGAGAGAGCGAAGTCAGGCCGAGCTTACGCAGCGACTCCCTCTTTCCGTCTCGCGCGGTATTCGGCTCCAGGGGCTGAGGCACTTCTGCGCGTCCCAATCCGGGCATATCTTCTCACGCTTCATCATTATGCACTGGACACAGCCGACCCACCGCAGCAGACGTGGCCTGTTATATGCCTCCGCGACATACTCTAACGTCGTCAAGCTGACTATACGGTTGTGCCTAGGTTGTGCCAACTGCGCGAACTGGCTGCGGGATCCGTTCCAACGGCCGCCACCGACCAGCGCACATAATATTGGAACACGGTCTCGGTATGTGGTCCACCATAAGTGCTGACAATGCAATGTCAACAGCGCTATTCAACAATGATAGCAAACCGGGAACCTCGAGCTCAATGTACACTAGCCCCGGTTTACCGTGATGTATAAATCTCACAGATGACCGACGCCCGCGTGCGTTCAAGTGATATCTCCGTACGACCGCGCGTCATCATCCAGAGACCGCAGGTGAGGACGCAGACTTGAAGCACCGCGCGACAGAACAGCAGCTGCGTGTAGAAGATCTAATCAGGCAGCGCAATAGCTGTGGCTTGAGGGCCGACACATATGAGAGACCCTTGGATACCGAGCGCAAGACTGCGACTATATGTGAGTCGTCTGTCAAATGTCTCCGACGCTGAGTTCAATATTACTGACTGTAGCCGCTGGACCCAGGTGTATATTGCATACAGGTGCAAGAAGCAACCGAAGTATCTTGGCTAGGTCAACCTGGTCTAGTATCACGGCCCCGCTTCTCCCGACTTCAGCATTCCATCTGAACGTCTCAGTTCCGCTTGCGCCTGTAAACTGGCTTTCTTTGGAGTTTTCGCCTCGAAGATGTGGTCGATCTCCTCCAGGTTTCTTCCCTTGGTCTCCACGAAGGTGAGGTATATCACCAGCGCACCCAACGCGTCCCACAGGATGTAGAAGATGTAGAACCGCCAGCTGGCCCGGGCGATCGCCACCGGAGGAACGTAGGTGTTGAACACGTTAGCGACGTTGACCAGCAGGTTCATGAACGCCAGGCCTTTTGCGCGCGTGTTGTACGCCAGGACCTCGGTCGGGTACAGCGACTGTGCAGGCGTCCAAGCGAAGGCGAAGACGACGAGGAAGACGTACACAAATGCGATGCCGACGCCTCCGACCACTGGCCTGCCCGCCTGCTGCGCGGTGCACGCCGTTATGACGGCCACCGAGATCGCCATGCCCGTGCTGGACGCGATGAGGAGCTTACGGCGACCGATTCGGTCCTGCCAACGCAGCCCGGACAGCGCCGCCGCCATCATGATCGGCGTCTGGAGGGCGTTCAGCAGCAGTTGCGTGCGCTCGCTCGTGATCCCCGCCGTTTTGGCTGCCACATCAATCTTGGTCAGTTCTTGTCAAGCTCGGATGACTGACGCTTACCCATCAGTGGAAAGTAGTAGCTGGTCGGCGGCAGGTCCCACTGTCCAAAGAACGCGATGCAAGCGACCAGGAAGGTGCGATAGCGGGCGGACCGCGAGTTGAAGAGCTCGCGGAAGTCCCACCACCGCTTGTCCGACCCGTCCGGGGAGATCGCTTGCTGCATCTCCTCAAGCTCGAGAGCGACGATGGGCGAGTTTGCGTCTCCGTCTCCGTGGTACTTCACCAGTATCTCTTTCGCCATGTCTACCCTGCCTTGACCCATATACCTACAGGTGATATTCTGAGCTACGTCTGCTGAGCGAGCCGAAGTGTGACGACCCACCATCGCGGCGTCTCCGGTATGAACCACACGAACGCGAGGACGAGAACGGACGGAAGCGCCTGTACCGCGAGCGGAAGCCGCCAAGTCCACTGCGGCGTGCCGACGATGAAGTTCAGCCCATACTCCAACCACGTCGACACGATCGTCCCCAGGAAGAAACACGCCTGGTACGCCCCAGTGAGCACCCCCCGGTACCGCGGGTACGCCATCTCCACCACATACGCCGGCCCCGCCGTCTGCACGAGCACCGCGCCCAGCCCCAGGATGAAGCGCCCGCCCATGAGCGTGCCGAGGTTGCGCGCGGTGGCCTGCATGACCGCCCCGGCGATGCACACCGTCGACCCGACGGCCATCCCGAAGCGGCGGCCGTAGCGGTCGGCGCACGGGCCTGCGAAGAGGCAGCCGGCGACGTTGCCGATGACGTAGAGCGCGGCGACGAGACCCTGGTTCTCGGGCGTGATGCCGAAGTAGGAGACGAAGGTGTCGATGGCGGTCAGTCCGCCTGGGCGGAGGGCGGCTTGGTGAGTACGGCTCGCTGCTCTTGCGCGGGAGTTGGGACTTACCGAAGGTGTTTGCGTCGAAGCCGTTGGTGGCTGAACATAGGTACGCGACGAACAGACAGCCGTACAGCTTCAGGAAACTCTTTCGCAAGGGATGGACTTGTGTCTCCGCTGCCCGCCACGGACGCACTTCGGGTGTTGACTCCTTGTCCTCATCGGACGGGGTGCTCACGAATTCGACGTTGTCGATGTGCGCTGAAATGCTGTCCTTGGAGCTAGGCATGACGTTCATCGACGTGCACGCGCTGACTGGGCCGATGCTGTATATATAACTCGGACGGAATGCCTGGGACCCCGTATCGCCACTCATGAGCGGCATGCACGGGCCTGCTGGAGTATGGTCGCCCTATATCGAAGTCAGGCGACCTGCCTAGGCTGCTATCGTCTGGCTGGTCACCTGAACCGGTACCAGTAGAAAGTGGTAAGGGGCACCTGATCTGCAGGTCGGCCTCCCGTATTCAACGTTCTCAGCAGATAGACAGGGACTTCTGAGAAGCAGTGTCTATTCGAAGGCGTTACAGCGCCTGCCGAGGATGGCCAGTTCCTCTATCCGACGAGCTTGTTTCTCAGGCAAGATGCGTTTCAACGGAAATCGATAGATCAGCAACAGTGTACTACGATACCATTCGATACGAAATTATCGCATCTGCGGATACAAGGCGACGTCAGATCTGGGAAGCCGTGTTGAGGGACGCCTTGAGGTAACGATGTACTCGGTTTGCTCAGACTTATGGGTACGTGTGCCGACTTCTATTTCCTATCTATCAACCCGGTGTCTTTATACCATAGGCAGTTTCTTTTGCGGCCTCGGGTTGGTTCTGCAGTGTCCCGAGTCTTCCACCAGACAATGGGTGTTCTAGGCTGTTGTGTATCTTGACATATTGACTTTGAGTTTAGCTGCAACCTAACACATGAGCAAGTACTTGCTAAGCCTGAAGATACTGGGTAACTACTCTACGACTACGAGAATTTATCCTGTCCGAATTCTCTCTACTGCTTTCTGAGGCCGTATGGATGTAAACAGCTCCACAGACGGTCGATGAATTGCGTCTCGGAAGTTGCCGAACACACGTTACTCTAGGCGAACGATCGACGCGGTAAGTAGTACTGCTCTCTCTTCTCTCACTCGACTACTCGTACTAACTCGGGCGGCTCTGAGTGGTATACACTCTGGTTGAAACCCACTAAGCTATGGGTGTTCTCATGAGATCACGAACTCACAGGTACGCCCATAGATTGCCAGCAGATCAATTGAAATTTGACTCATAAGTTACGTTTAAGTCTCTTGACTGGTTTGTGTCGTCTTGGCGGCACGCTGTAAACGACACACTGTGCTCCTTTCAGTGAATAAATGGCTACTTATTGGGTTTATGTATACTCGAAAGCATACATGCGCCCATAACTCGCCAGAAGAACGTTGTGATAACAGTGCCCGTTGTGACCTGTGCCCCTCTCGTCTGTACAACCGCCATCTATCGATTAGCTGTAGGTGTTTTTATGAGATATCGTCTCTCCTTTCTTCCAGCTAGTCGGAGCCGAATGGCATGCCCTTTACACTGAACTGTTTAGCTTCGGTGTATCAGCGGCGAGCCTGAGGGCTTGCTGACAAATGTTGCAGAAACACAGCAGACCTCAGGTAAGTACTCAAACTTCCCGGCCCCCGTTCTTCAAACCAAACATGTGCTGATGTGCTCCTGGTGATTTTGCCTAGCAGCTTTATTCTCACCTCCTATTACTCTCGAATGCTGCAGTACGTGCTCGAGGTTTTCGACGCAAATCGCTATACCTGCAACGAATGCACCCTCTGTACGTCAGCAGCCCGATCACGAGACAGACATAACTATACGTAGTGGTCGTAATGCCGACTACACTTAAGCTCACAGTGGCGGGGGGTCGGGTGTCGTAAGCCCGCCTGCTCCATTCCAATGAAGGCGATCGGCCATCATGAACGTTGCCCCTGGCCGTCGGTTGGCCGGATTTCCAAGCCATAATAAGGAGACGCCAGAAATCCATATCACTCCCCAAAGTTCTACCAACACGATGTTACCCATCGACCCCGAGCTTGCTGCCCTCCTCGGCCCCATCGACCCGCGTATCCAAGCTGAAGAGCCCACACATGTGCCTACGATTGCGGAAGCTCGCGCCTACTGCGAGGCATTTGAAGTCGCACCGTCCAAAGCTTACCACGAGCCCCTTCTTCCGTCAGGTAAGTTTCTTCGCCCGGAGCGAGCGCCACTAGTCTGTTTAGATTCTTTGGCTTTCTGCAGAGAACGCGTATGATGTGCAGGACAGGAAGGTTCCTGTCGATGATGGGGAAATTACCGTCAGGTGCATCGTTCCTGTGGTCGCAGATGAGCGTGAGACGTTCCCTGTGCTCGTGAATATGCATGGAGGAGGTTAGTACCCTGCGAGTTCGTGGGTTCCGGGTTGCTCACATATGATCTTATCTGCTAGGGTGGAGTGTTGGCAGCGTAGAGCTCGACGATTACTTCCTTCGCAAGGTGGCCGTCGATCTGAAATTGTCCATCGTAAACGTCGATTATCGGTGAATTGCGTCCTGCCATATCATTCAGTCCCTGCCGTCAGCGCTAATCCTCCGCGGTTCATGTTCAAGTCTTGCACCTGAATGTCCCTTCCCAACTGCTGTGATTGACTGCTTGGCAGCACTCAAATGGGTATGCCTTCTCTGCGTCTTCGCCTCCCAGAACTGAACTCATCCCCGCACCCCTTCCTGATTAGACGGCCTCGAACACCGCTCTCCTCAAAGGGGATCTCAGCAAGGGCTTTCTTGTCTGCGGACATTCCGCTGGCGCTAACCTTGCTGTGGTGCTCGCACACGAAGCACGAGACGACCCTTTCTTTCAAGGGCCCGGACGTCAACTCACAGGCCAAATCATTCGCGAGCCGCTTGTGATCCATCCCGATGCGTATCCCGAGAAGTAAGTCTACTTTCACCGTAATGCTAGGTCATCTGCTGCTACTTCTGGTTCAGCTGTACGGAACTGACGCTGTAACTAGATTGAAGTCTGAGATGCGTTCAATGGAGGAGAACAAGCACATGCCTCCACTCACGCGCGCCACCGCCGATTTTGTCGTTGGTTCGTTCCTCTATCTTCCCCCTCCCTCTTCGTCTCTTACGTGTATCAATCTCAGGCGTTTACAACCCCATCCGAAGCGACCCGCGGTTCTCGCCGCTCCTGTACGCTTCGCACCGCGGCCTGCCGCGTGCGTTCGTGCAGGGCATGGCGCTCGACATACTTCGCGACGATGCGCGCGTGTACGCCAAGGCGCTACGCGAAGCTGGGATTGAGTGTCGCCACATTGAGTGCGTCGTTCATCACACGCGCAGAAAGCAATGCCGCTGACGAGGCCATTGGGACGTTTGCTCTGGTGATTTGTTTGTCTATAGGTACCCTGGAGTCTCGCACGGATTCCACTACAACTACCCGGCGATCAAGACAGCTATCAAGGTCCGCGAAGACCTCGTACAGGGGATCAAATGGGTGCTTTCCAAGGACTCGGAGGCGTAGGGCCGTCAGGCTAAGGCTATAGCCGTGAAGACTGGATAGGATCAACTTGATCTTCAAGGATGCCGGGATTGTGCCGTGCCATTCAGGGCAAGGCGGTCCCGTCTTCGTTCGTGTCGCCAGCCCTTAGCTATAGGTATGAAAGTATATCCGCTCGTGAGTGCAATATGATCGCCGGTCTGTTGTATCATCTCCTTGTGTGCGTGCGCTGAGTTTTCGCGGGACGTCGGACATATGCACCCGAGGTCACGTTTACACCGTCCCCGGGTGCAACTGATAAGTCTCCCGCACGGAACCCCTGATCCGTCCGTAGCTGTTGACCCGAGAGGCCTTCCGAGGTGGATCAATGTATAGGAGTGGGACCCACATCGTCGCGGCGGCCGGAACACCTCGGGACACCCGCGGACCAAGGAGGTCCGCAATTCAAAACCCCAGCACCGCATGCCCCAACACCGGCAATCGCATCCCCGCACACAACCTCCTGCCAAAAAGCGCAACCACCAGGACACACAACCGGCCCGCGAGGGGTCACTTGGAACAGCGAGTGTATCACATTGGGCGAGGCAGCTGTTCGGAACAATACAAGACTCGATCCTCCTCGATCCCTTCCACGATTTGGTTTTCTGTAGCAACGCTCCTCCGATTCGCGACGATTCCGATCCAAGATCCGTGCGTTCCTGGGACACACACGCCCCGGGGAGCACACAACATCCTACAACCTCACATTCCCCCGGGGCTCCGAGTTTTCGCCGGTCATCTACCGGAAGGTGTCCGACTGCGTGAAGGTGCCGCTGGCGGGCGTAGTGATCTGGTTGTTGGGGTCGGACTCCCAGATGAGCTCGCCGGGGGCTTTGCGGATGAACTTGTACTGGACGCTGGTGCTCGCGGGCAGGTTCACGGTGACTGCGGGGGGAAATGTTAGACATGCGTGGCATGGCAGACGACGGAGCGCGACGTACTGCTCCAGATGGGGTAGTTAGCGGAGGAGAGAAGGAGAGCGTTGTCGGGGGACCAGTTCTGGAGCGCGTCGACGGAGCCAGTGATGTAGATGTTCTCTGGGAGGATGGATCGTCGTCAGTGCCGTTATTCTGAGACCATGTATGTACTGAATACTCACCCCCGAAGAAGGTTGTCGCCTGCACGTTGAAGGTGACCGCGACGGTGCCGGCGCCTCCACCACCGCTGCCGCTGCCGCTGGTCGAGCAGACTGCGGGGACGGTGAGACCAGCAGCACCCCAGCCAGGGTAGGTCAGGCCAGCGCGGGCGTGGAACGCGGTGAGGGTGGCAGCGTAGCTCCAAGTGAGGTCGACGGCGCTGACGGGCTGACCGTTGCTACGGCTGAACTGTTCGGCAAGGCCACCGTTCGAGGGAGTGAACTGAGCGTTCACCGCGATGAAGCCGTCGGCGAAGTTCCTGACGGCGGTAGTGAGAGTGGTGTACGTTGCGGAGGTCGAGGCGAAGGTGCCGGTGGTGACGGTAGAGGAGAACTGCTGGAAGAAGGGGAGGGAGGTGGTCGTGACGTTGATGCTGCCGAGCTGGTCCCAAACGATGAGCGCGTCGTAGAGCTGCTCAGCGACGGCAATGGTGGCGAGGTACCAGGGCTTTGAGTGGACGGCAACAAGTTAGTATGTTGTGATACTGGTCAATGTAGGTACACTTACGTTACCGCCCTGGTAGCTGTCTTCGGGGTAACGGCCGGTGGCGACTGCAGCGTTGGCGGCAATTCCCGAGTTGATGGTGTAGATGGAGCGGAACGCGTCGACGTAGACCTTCAAGTTGGAAAGCGCCTTGTCCGAGCAGGGCTGGAAGGTCGTAGCGTCACATCCCGCGGCGGGGTCGAAGGTGTGGATGGACGTTAGAACAGTGTTCGCGTCCCTGCCGGAGCGTCCACCGCCAGTGTTGGCGGTGACAAAGCCGCCGGAGGGGTTCCAGTACGACTAAAGGGCCCGGTACAGGATCAGCATGCTGTGTGAACGTACACAAACAACTGTAATCAGCTGACCTGGAGGAAGCACAGAACGTTGGCCGCCTGCGTGGTGTAGCCGCTGACTACCGAAGTTTGGCCGATGCGCGTAGCAAAGGCGGCACCTTCGCGGAGAGCGCGGTGCTGGACGGCAGTGGTGAAGAAAGAGGAAGAGTTGACCTCCTCCCAGAGGTCAAAGCTGTCAAGTGCGCATTAGCCTATGGTTTCCCCTCGCAGTGATCACAGATAGAGCGAAACATACCCAGTTTGGTTCCAGTTGGCCTCTACGTAGTCGAGGTCAAGCTTGATGACAGGCCAGAGAGTTTGAGTTACGTAGGTGGTGTTGCCGTTGTCGAGGAGCCAGTTAGCGTAAGAGATGAAGGCGGTGGACCGGAGAGCGGGGCCGTCTACAAAGTAAATATATCAGCTGGAGTTACACAGTAATTAGAGCGTCGAGATGCTTACCGCGCTGGGGGCGACCCCAGGCGCCAGTGAACGCGGACTCGTCGATGTTGAACTTCGGTTCGCCGAGGCCACCAGTGCTGACGGTTCCACTCGGGTTCGAGACCTGCTGAAGAGCAGCCTGCGAGCTGGTGAACATGTCGACGAGGCCGCGCAGCGAAGGGTCCTCGCCAGAGGTGAGCTGGTCGATGAGTGCCTTGAAGACGAGGGACGTGTCACGAGTCCAGGTGAAGAGGTAGTCCGGGTTCGTGGTGCTCGGGCTAGCGACTACGATACCGGCCTGTCAAATATACTTTCATGTTAGGACTTTCACAAAGGGAAAAGCGTGAGACGAGACACTCGCCTTCGCGCCCTGCGACTTGGAGCCGCTGGGGCCAATGTTGGCGAGCACACCGGCTTTGGCGATGGAGGATTCGGAAGCGACGTACGCGTCCGCGACACTAGACTGCGCGAACGCGCCGACCGCAAGGCCGACGACGGTGGCGAGGAAGGTGAAGCGCATGATGCCTGCAGTGGTATGACCGGGGTGGAAGGGTGTGAGAGACGGAGGCTCACGATGTCGAACAGGACGCTGCAGACCAGAGTACGTCCTGCACTGTATTTATACTACTTGCACTCTGTGAAAGCTACCGAGAGGATGCTTGCAGCATCTACGATGACGAAGTCCGTTGCACATGATGCGCCAGGCCCGCAAGGTCAGGCGGACATGTTGCATATGGAAGGCGGCCGAGCTGAGTTGGCTTGTGAGATTGATCATTGGCTCCGGCGTGCGCGCGTGGTTTCCTCGTTGGGCAACACAGTCGAAAAATGAGCGGTGACGCGACCCGCTTGAGAAACCGAGCGGGCTCAGCGAAGTTGACGAAGCCGCCCGTTGATTATTGAATACTTCGTACCAGGTAAAGAAAGACGCCTCGAGCGTCCAAGTAGGCGTCCCGCCATGTCTGTAGTCTTCGTTGCGCGGCTCTGGGGGCGCGTGCATTGTCCAATCGCGGGTCGAGAGGAGCGCGAAGAGACCGCATTGTGCGCCCCCGACCAATCCGAAGCCGCCCCTGGTCGGACTCGGACGGCGGGAGAGCGCAGAGCGGATCCGGAATTGCGCAGCGAAAGTTGCGCCCGTGCTTCTGATCATGCGCGTTGCCGTCTGATCGTCCCGAGCCCCGTGGGGGTCTCGCAGCCACCGGCGGTACCGCTCTCTCCCCCGCCGGCTTCCTAACAGATCGCGCCTGCACCTCAGATTCGAAGCCGATCGCCCATCGAGGCCATCGAGAGCCCTTTTGTGCCCTGAGTAGCCGGATACGGCGCGTGATGGCGACGAGTTTCCCCTGCTCAGGACGCTTTCTTGCTCGGAGTGCTTCTAGCGCGTCGGGTCCTGACGTCGGCAGCGCGCTCCTGCTGACCCCTCGTGCTTCTCAGTGTTGCGGCTCACGCCAACATATTCGAAGCCCGACGTGCGCGGGGCTGCCGAACGTGCAGGGTCTCCTTCGGTCATGGGTGCGCTGGGCTCGCCATATCCTGCCGATGTCGCAGGGGATCGCTCACGAGGGCTAGCTGAAGCATGAGGGAGGCGAACGCGGGGACCTGGCCGGAGTCGACGATCCTTCTGTTGTGTTCGGAGTGCGCAGTTATGACAGGTCCGCCGCCAACTGCGTCCGATCGCGCACGTTGTACTACGGAATTGTCGGATATCAGTGGCGGACCACTTGGCGACGGTGAACTTGGACCACTCACAACTTGATAAACGGCGGCGAGGGAGTGAGGCACTGCGCGTGCTCGCTTGCACTCCATCGCACCATACGTAGCTGTATCTCGAGGCTTGAGCGTGGGTGAAATCAGAACTGGCAGAAGTGCGAAGTGCTCGAACGCATGTGTTTACGAAACACAGGTTAGCATCTTTACGACCCTGATCTATGTGACCAGTGAGACAATCCTAACCGGTGGGAATACCGCTCCACGTCGGCACGAAATATCGATACGGCGCTCTCGAGTTTTTGAGGGGTGTATTCCCTATGCAGAAACTTTGCGTTCAACATCGGCATCGCCAAGTGTCATTGATAGTGCAACTTCTCACCGTTGAAATTTGTTCGTCCCGCGACCGCATCCTCGACGAATGACGGCTCGCCAGCGCGCGGCTGTACGGGTGGTCAGAAAAATCCGCGACGACGATCGGAAGCCGCGCACATCTGGGGTGCGGGGCGCAGAAGCTTGTCCGCCCATGGGGAGCATGGGGGCGGCGCGCTTCGACGCGGCAGAATTTGCGGAGAGACGCTGCGCTGCCACCTGCTACACACGGCGGCGGTTCCTTGCGGTGGCGCATGACACGGTAATCGGGCACGGCGGGAGAGGACAATGACAACATACACGTTTCCAGCGGCGCGAAGGCGGACGAAGCATCCCAGCAGCAAAAAACAAACTAGGGGTGGGACGAAACCGCGGATGAGCTCATCCGGAGCGCCGGGAACACAGGGTTGGAGGACTCACCAGCCTGTCAACCTATGAACTCCTAGCTCCCGCGCCCTCTTCCTCCTCCGACCGTGCCAATGTTGCAAGCATCGCAGACGCAGGGACGGCTGTTCGTCAGAGATTGTGCTACCTCAGATCAAATCGACCGTCTTCTTGCGGGGACGAACATGATGTGTACCGGTGTTAGTCGAACAACTCGTAGGCGAGACCGCGCTGGTCCTCTGCGACCGCGATAGCGAAACGTCAGCGTTAGACACGGCTATGAGCGGCGGGAGAGCCGCCACTAAGTGGGGAGAGCGGACGATGATGTTGTCTTCGATGTTGCTCGTTCCCGCGCTAGTACGCTCACGACCAACATTGGATAACTGAAGGGGCAGCCGGCTTCAAGGTGCTGACGCCATGACAGGCGAGACCACCCGTCGGGGCTGCCGCGAGCGGGGTACGTGTCCGCCGGGGTGAGCGTGAGCAGCTCCACGCAAAGTGGGACGACAGAATACGCCGTGTAGACGGGCTCCGAGGTGAGAATTATAGCGTGACGTGCACGTGGAACGGAGTAGACGTTTGGGACAGCGCCGAGGGCCCACCCGGCTCTATCTTCCTACTCGACGCCACTCGACGCTGCCGGCCACAGCTCTTGCATGCGCTTGACCAGCATCACCCGTTCGCGGAGCTTCCAATCGACCGAACGACGCTTCAACAGGGAAAATATGACAAAGGCTAGACGAAACCGTAAGTCATCATTTTGGATTGAGGTTGAGATTGTATCGCACTAGTCGGAAGACTTCGTCGTCAGAGACGACGTATAGCGCAACCTCGCGGATATTATCGCCGCAAGTACGTCCGAGCCATTGAAATGGTGGACAGGCATGGACGTAGTCGGGGCGGCCGCATCGTCGTCAAGTAAATCATCATCGTCGAGAGTTCCGAGGGTTGCACGTTCAGGTGAGAAATAAATCATATGCTGCGTATTGCTCACTGCTGCCTGTAAGCAAACGTTCAGTAAGTCATTATTCTAGCGAAGTACTGCGCGAAGAGTACGCCCCTAGCATCGCGTACCATTGGCAGTACTTGTCGGCAGTTCATTTTGCGACTGCGCCACGGAACATGAAGATGCTGCTTCCCACTCAAAGCCAATCCCTTGCGTTTGCCATCGGTTAACCTCCCGCAAGTCATTACTACGATTTGCCGGTAGCACTAAGGTGTATGCTATGCCCATGTTGCTGGCTGAATTTCTTCGCGCGTCTGGCAGTCGGAAGCCAAGTGCGTCCGGTGATCACTGATAGCTGTCACATAGATGAGCTTGTGAGCCAGGCCTTCATGCATTGCACTTTCACTCACCTCCAACGCGAATGAATCGGGGCGAGTGAGACAGACGTACGGGCTGCGAGAGTGTTGAAAGTCGCTGCAATTATTGATATCACAGGCCGCACGATGCAGTATCCGCGGCCTAGACTGTTATATACTTATCATCATTATTCATGCGTTCGGTCCCCCCATCTCTTCGCCCGGTGTTGGTCGGCGCGACATCGTAAACGTGGTCCACAACAGAGAGCAAAAGAGAGGTTGTCCAAGTCTGGCGGCTCGGCAACGGTGCAATGAGCTTCATGAGCGCTTAACTCCCTGATTGGGAATTATATTGGGCGTCTCACGGCTTCATCCCTCCCCTTCCTCCGCTTAGCACCAGCACGATATCTCGACACGAGGTAGCTGGAATATGCACTCAGTGTTGAGTTGGTCGACTAAATGTATCTGTCAGCAGCACGCAGTCACAACACCATCCTCTGATCGCGACTACGGCACTGTATTTCGGCTGTGAAGGCGGCAATACTCATTTATTGTTCTTTCCCCTCAAACATGCAACCGTCTACATTGGCCTCATACGCTTGAACCTTTACTACCACTACGACGACGATCCCAAGAGACGACTACCCTCTATCTCTCAATGGCTGCGCCGACCATCTCTGCTGCCCAGGCTGTTGGCGAGTATCTGCAGTCTCCCGACGATCTTGCAAAGGTCGCTGCCTTCCGGAAGAAGCTCGAGAAGGAGAAGGCCTCAATCGACGCGAGACTCAGGGGAGGCGTTAAAGAGCAGCTGGACGCAACACGAGAGGGCCTGCGAAAGCTGTTTGGCACGCGTGGCAATGTGCAGACCATCAAGGACGAAATGGAGACGGTGGACAGGATGTGCAACGACCCCACGTACGTCGTCACGACCTTCGACCAGATTAGCAGAGTGCGTCGCACGGCCATACTCCGTGGAATTGGCACAAAGTACTCACAAACACGCCTGCTCAGGTGTCGATGGTCCATCGCAACTTCGAGCAAACGGAGGAGATGGTCAATAACCTTCTCGAGATGAACTCGAAGCTGGAGATGCTGGAGCGCATGCTCGTTGAGGATAGCGATGACATCCTCGGCCCCGCCCCCAGCCTCCTCCGTATACATTTCCAGCTCAACCGACTCGAGGCGTTCCGGAATCAGACTATGCATCAGGCGAAGAAGTCTTCCGCGGATACTCGGAACACGCTCACGCGCTGGTTTGAACGGCTCACCAATCTCATCGAAGCATTCGACCAATATGTGCTTGAACTCGCCGGCAACATATTACCCATCGTGCGGGCCGGGAACCCGGATGTCATCGTTCGGTTGATGAAGGTCGTTGAGATGGAGGCCAGGGAGGATGAGAAGGTACGTACTCCTCGGTGGTAATGTGTAACAGTTTGCCAACGGTTGTCTCTAGGCTATAGCCATCAAGCTGGTCAAGAAGGCTGGGAAGATGGACGCCGCCTCCAAGTTCCGGTCGATGCAAGCCAATGCGCGCGTGATCAAGCACTACCGTTCGAAGGTCATGAAATGCATCACCGCGTCTATTATGGACAAGTTCAACGAGGTGTACGTGGCGAACGAGCGCGATCCTGCCGGGTTCCTGGACGATCTCGTCTTCATCTACAAGGACCTCATCCGAATTGAGAGCGATGTCGTTCCGTGCTTCCCCCCTTCCTACGACATCTGGCAGACATATGTGCGCGAGTACCACAAAGCGCTCAACAGCACCATCAACAGGCTGGTCAAGTCGGAACCCGAAGCGAGCGCCCTGCTCACCCTGCACGCGTGGATCAAGGAGTACAAGAAGAGCATGCGCGAACTCGGGATCGCGCCCGAATGGCTCGAGCCTCCGCTTCTGGAGGGCAAGGAGCAGAACCTCATCGAGGACTACCTGCAACTCATCATCAAGAAGCTGGACGAGTGGTCGGAGAACCTGATGAAGACCGAAGTCGCAGCGTTCACCGCGCGCGAGGAGCCGCCCGAGATCAGCAGCGACGGGCTCTACACGACCTCGGGCACGGTCATCTTCCTGGAGATGGTGAACCAGCAGATCGACCTCGCGCTCGACAGCGGGCAGGGCCTGGTGCTCGCGCGCGCAGTCGAGGAGGTGAACCGTGTGATGCGCAGCATCCAGGACCGCTGGGTGAAGCTCGTCGATACCGAGTTCAAGAAGCACACGGAGAAGCCGGAGGAGGTGCCCGGGGGACTCGTCGAGTACTGCATCGCGCTCGCGAACGACCAGATCAAGTCGGCGGACTTCACGGAGGGTCTGTCCGCGCGCATCGAGCCGCTGGTGTCGGAGAAGTACCAGGTGACGATCCACGACCGGTTCAACGACGCGCTGGACGGGTACCTCGACGTCGCGAAGAAGTACACGCAGACGCTGATCAACATCATCTTCAACGACCTGAAGCCCGCGATCAAGCAGCTCTTCCAGCCGGCGTGGTACGACGGGACGCACGCGGCGATCGTCGAGACGATGCGCGACTATCTGTCCGACTACCAGTCGTACCTGAACGAGTCGTTGTTCGAGGTGCTCCTCGAGGACCTCATCGACATGTACCTCGTCACGTACCTCACCGCACTTGCGAACAGCGGGAAGTTGAACATGCCTGCCGCGGCGGAGCGCATCCGGGCGGACATCGACGAGGTGTACAAGTTCTTCGGGACGTACAAGAAGATGAAGGAGCTCGAGCCGCAGATGGAGGTGCTCGACCAGGTGCTCTCGATGCTCGAGGCGTCGAAGAGCCTCGTCTTCCTCTCGTACTGGTCGTTCGCGAAAGTCCACGGGCCGTGCATCCAGTTTGTAGAGGCGCTCATGAAGGCGCGCAGCGACCTCGACCGCTCGGGCGTCAGCGAGGTCATGGACAGCATCAAGCGCAAGGTCAAGGACGAGAACCTCACAGATCGTACGTCGTCGCTTACCGGAAGTCTCGTAAAGTTCACTAACAAGCCTCGCAGCACCGGAACCTACCATCATGAAGAAGATCGTGATCCAAGGCGCGCTGTCCCGCTTCCTCGTACGGACGTAGAACCCGACCACTGCTCGCTCGCTTGCTATTTATCGCTCTACCATACCCCCCTCTACTGCATACAGGTTCTCGTTGTCTTCTGCTCTTCTGTAACGTATACGGGCGCCCCCGCCTACTGTATTTCTATCTCTTCTCCCTCACACTCAAACCGCGCTACGTTGTGACGGGCTGATCAGTCCACCTCGTGCGCCTTGATGGCCTCCTGGTCGCGCGCCGCCTGCGCATGCACAGTAGTCCTGTCCGCCCACCGTGCCGCCGCAGCGTCGATCTTCTTGAACTGCCACGGGAAGCGGGACGGGTACAGGAAGGGACGCAAGTCGAACCCTGGGTACAATTTGTGAACATCCACACACGCGGGGCGACAGAAACGGTAAGGACGCACGGTTATCGTCAGGACTGTATTGCTCCTGTAACGAGGGTCAGCGCCTCTGCCTCGGTGCCTTTTAGCTTTTGTGTTGAGAAGACGTACCGCGTGGTAGGACGGGGTTAGAGTGGTCATCTTGTGCCGGTTGCGCGCGTACTCGAAGAAGAAGAGCTTTACTTTCTCCGCGACCTAAACAGGAAGGAGCGTTAGTATCATGCGGCGAACTCGGGCAGAAGGCAGTTGTCGGGACGAACCTGTGGTGGGGAGAGGAAGGAACCCCATTCGTGGCAGAGCTTCGTGAACATGCTCCAGGGACCGCACTTCTCAACCTTGCGCAGCCGCCCGAAAACAGAGAGCTCGTCGTAGGTCATGCCCATGTCCGCCTAGGTCCCGTGAGCGCAGTTCCAGCAGGATGCGGATGTACGTACCTCATCAGCCTGGACGTAAGTCTCAGTGATCGGCTCGAGCTCGGCGGTGGGCACGGCGTCGAGGAAGCTTGTTTTACCGTCAGTGTGGCTGTCCAGCATTCACACAGAAATGTAAAACGCACTCGGTCAAGATTGGGAGATCGAAGGCGTCGCGTGCGTATGCGATGAACTTCTTCAGGTCGGTCTTGCTGATCGCGCCGATGGGGTTGACGTCGGCAGACGAGCAGTCGTACTTGGTAAAATAGCCACGCAAGCTGCCCACCCACCATAGTCAACATCACGACTGCCGCGCATAGTTGCGCACGGCTCACTCACCTCTCATCCACGTTCGCACTCCCGAGCACGAGCAGCCCACCCTGCCTGCCGCGCACCCACGGCATCAGCTGCGCGAACAGGTACGCGACGACCATCCTTAGGCGCGCCTGGATGTTCTGTAGTGCAAGGTTCTCCGCGCCCGTCCCGCCGTGCACCCGGAAGCGCGGCTTAACACCCGTCACGTACGCGAAGAGGTCGCGGATCGCAGTGACGAGCGTGTCCATGTTCAGGTCGATGTGGTAGCTGAGCCCCACTGCCGCTCAGTGAACCACCACGAAGGGGAGGGGAGGGGGCAACGCACCTGCCGATCGCGTTGGCGAGATCTTTGGCGCGCTTGCGCGTGTCTGGACTCGAGTTTTCCGTACCCATATAGCAGGTGTGGAAGATGCGGTTCGCGAACTCGCGGGGATCGTCTGGCACGTATGTGGACCCCGGCTCTTCGCCCGCGATGCGTCGCGCGTCCTCAATGACCTGTCCATCTGTAAGTTACATAGTCAGAGCGGGTTTGTGTGTTGAGAAGGCGAAGCCCACTTGCCTCCGTTCCGCGCTGCCTCGGCAACTAGACGGCACATGGAAAAGACTATCACAGACGTGGCGCAACTGTCGATGCCCCCACTGAGAGGAATAAAATACCCTTGCGTGCGCGATCTGCGCAGGTAGTCCCAGAGCCAGCACGCAGGGCCCAATCTGTAACAGTACCCGTCAGCACTGAATTTCTGCGTCCGCACTGAGAACGGCACCACTCACGCGATCTCCTCTTCGGGCCTGTGATAGCGCACTTCCTGCAGCTTCCCAACGACGAGCTCGCTGAAGTCCTTGATCTCATCCTGAAGACCGTCGGAGAGCGCGAAGTCGACCTCGATGCGCTGGTAACGCTCTGCCGCCGCAGCCTGATTGCTCCGGCTGCTCGTTGCACGGTGGGCACGTATGTCTTCGATATCGATGGTCGCTGTGACCACTTCGACGTCTTGCAGAGAAAACTGCGAACCTTGCGCGACGACGCGCCCGTTGACCACAATCATCGCGCATCCGTCGTAGTACAGGCGGTCGCCGTCGCAGCCTTGCTGGTTCGCGTACAGGTAGATGCCCCCAGCCTGCATGTGCTTGTTGTCAGAGAATGCGTGTCATGGCTTGGATAGCTACTCGCCTTCATTGTCGCCTCCTTCATGAGCTCGACACGCCGGTACAGCTTGCGCAATTCGTGGTGACTTCCGCTCGAGTTCGTGAATATTTCCACGCCATCGAGACCCATCAAGATGTGCGGACTGGGGCACTGTTAGCAAAACATGTCTCGTAAGAATGAAAATCTAGGCAAACCTCGCAGGTGTAAACAGCTCTTCGCACAGTTCAATTCCGATACAAGTGTCGATGGTGCTGATGACTGCATCTCCGAAAGGTACTTTGGTCTACACAGGTCAGCGAGCGTGCCATCATATGGCTCAGCGCACTCATACCTGGCCAGTAACCGCGTGAACTAAACGCGGCAGGTAATGGTCTTCCACCTGTCTATGTTTTGCCCAGGGCGTGAACCAACGCAGTTCGCGGTAGTTGCCATCATTTGCCATCCACATCTTGGGTCGGATGAGAAGGATTTTGCCATCGTGTATGACTACGCGACAGTTATAGATGACGTTCTTGTGAGTGATTGGCCTAAAGTGGAGTTAGTTCTCGGTCTGAGCGGGAAGGTTAGGGTGAAGTAGTCAAGGCGTGACCAAGGAACGCAGAGCGCCTTCCCCACCCATGACGATGTGGCCGCCGGGAGAGGTGACTGGCGGCCGGGAAGCGTCAGGACGGCCCCCGCGGGAACGGTGTGACCGACCCAACCTGAGGCAGCTCAAATAAAGCGGCGGGCGCCGCGATGCCCCATGACGAGGATCCGAAAGCGAGGCGGCGAGGGTCGGTGTGCCTGTAACCCGTCGGGCTGATCATGTAGTACGCGCGAACGCAGGAGACAACTGCGCTCATAGATGTGCCAGTAAGACGTAGACTGATACTCACATTCCGATATCGCACACGATCCCCTTGGCCTCATCTGACTTGAGTATTTCAGCTAGGACCTCCCACGCATGCAGTCCAGTATCCCCTGGTCTAGAGGATTAGCACGGTCGATAGCCGATGGTTTTGAAGGTTGAGTACCCTCTAGAAAATGGTCCATGCAGCCATAGCCGCTGGAGGAGCGCATGAGTATGAACCTCTCATATTGTACATGTACAATGACCTACGTGATCTCGAGCTCCGGGCCAACGCGAAGGGTCGCACCCTTCTCCTTGGCAATCCGGATACTCTCCAGGATGCGTTGGAGGTTCCCCTAGATTCCCATCAGCCCGTGATTTCGTGCGGCGAGAGATGTCGTGCGTGCCTCAAAGTCCAATGCCCATTGGTTCAGAGAGCTGGGTGTAGTCAAAATTATGTAGGTGTCCAATCATATGTACGCTAGAACAACGGGCGTACCATCTAGGACCCGACGCATTAGGCCATCTGCGCGAATCATGATATTGCGATGGACGTGGAGACTCACGTTGAGACTGTGATGAGATGGCCCATATCTGCGGTCCAAGGCCTGATTCCCCTGAGTTTCTCCAAGGAGACCTGTGGAGGATGTTGTGGTCGAGGTGAGTTGTGTACCTTCGGGATTCCAAGTCAGGGCGACTCCGGCCTCCCGGAATATTCTAATCCTGCGATTCGAAGAGGTGGCGTCATAGCAGAAGCGCCGAGGCGACGGGCGCCTGTGGAGGCTGCACTCTCTCTTCCGCCCGTCATGTCTAACAATCGCAACTGCTGTGGCGACTGTGTGTAGCGACCTTCATTGGTGAAAAACATACGCATTCATATGTTTTAAAACAAAGAGGACGTCCGCGGGCAGGACACAGAGTGGTACGGGCTCCCATACCTGCAACGATCTATGCTCAAGCTCACGCATCGGCTCAGGCTTACAGGATCCCTGTCCGCCGGTTCCTGACCTGTAAAGACATGAGGCAAGTCCCAATACCGCCTTTTAGGAAGACGGCAGCCTCTCGGAGCTCAATTCCGACAGAAGTACCGTCTCGTGCCACGGCTAACGCTTGCACATGGTTCATGTCGCCAGCAGCGGAGCCCGCTCACTCAACGTGGCTCCTCGCGGGTGCCGGTACTCTGCACAGCCATCACACACACCGTCCCCGTCCGCAGCATCACTGGGCCATCTCTCCGCTTCTTCCTCACTATCTGACGCTTGTACTGACGACTTCTCCCATGACCGATAATTAGACCGCGAGGTCTCTGCAAGAGACCAGGAACTAGTGCAATCTAGAATTGCTCCTTCGGGCATATATGCCATGCAACTTCGCCTATGGCCCATCAGTGAGGCGTGCGAGCTTCCGTTAGACGGTGTCTCCCGGCTTCCTGGGCGCGCGGGTCTCCCACAGCTTTCGGCGGCCTGTGATGTCTAATGACCTGGCGGCGGCCTCAACGAAACACTCCGATGTGGATCTTATCCTGATACGAAGCGTTGTGAACGGCCGCCGCAAAACGCAACAGCGCGAAACGCCTATGCGACGCATCCCTGATGAGAAACTATCACCCGGAGGAGCAGGCGTGCGGGGGCCGATGTAGGTTCAAGCGCCGAGGTGACCTTCTTCAGCGGCCAGAAACAGCGGCCACTGCAGTACCATTAGGTACTGTCGGTTAGTGTTGGCTCATCGTAATCACCGGAGGTAGGCCATGAGACCGCAGCCGCGCATGCTTGAGAGTTGTATAAAAGATGGCCATCGGGACGATCATGCTCTATCGTACGCCTCCCCCATCCTCTTCACTTAGGAATCTCGCACACCTCTCACTCCAAGTAACATGGTGCGTCTCCACACCATCTCTTCGAGAATGCTATCTAACACTCCATAGACTGCCTCCACCTTCGGCGCAAGCGCATCAGGCGCCTTCTCCATCTCGCCCAAAGAACGCGACCCCTACGAGTACCAGGCCGGCTTCGGGAACCGTTTTGCCTCCGAGGCGATGTAAGTGGTTCTCTCATTGACCGTGGGATGTAGCGAGGCTCATCAGCGTTCAGTCCCGGCGTGCTCCCCTATGGGCAGAACATGCCGCAGAAGATGAAGTACGACCTCTACACTGAAGGGGTGAGTGTCACCCATGCGCACCGCGAACGCTCGCTAACCGGCGGTCATAGATTAACGGCACCCCTTTCGTCACTCCGCGGAGGGACAACCAATCTACGTAAGTATGGCCGCGGCCTCATGAATACTCCCATTTAACGTCGTTCCTTCCATATATAGATGGATTTACCGCATCCGCCCTTCGGTCGCGCACCAAGGCTTCTCTCCTCTACCCGACAACCCGGACGTAAGTAACATACAGATTCAAGGATACGATGCCGTCCTGACGATATCGCGCAGACCGAGTCGTGCTTCTTTCCGCTCAACCCCAAGGTCCACTTCAGCCCGACCCAGCTGGCATGGCACCCGTTCGACATTCCCTCAGACAACACGAAGGTGGACTTCGTTTCTGGGTTGAAGACACTTGCTGGGAACGGCGACCCCACTCTGCGCGAGGGTCTCGCCGTGCATATCTACGCCGCGAACCAGTCGATGGGCAACAGCGCGTTCTGCAACAACGACGGCGACTTCCTCATCCTCGCGCAGCAGGGGCGTCTGGATATCCAGACCGAGTTCGGAAAGTGAGTCGCGACGGTGCCTTGTAAATCGGTGCGCTGCTCACAATGTGCTAGGTTGATGGTGCGGCCCGGGGAGCTCGTCGTTATCCAGCGCGGTATCAAGTACAAGGTAATGCGGCGTTTGAGGGGTGTTCGTGCTCAAGCTGAGCCGTTGTCTCACACAGATCGGCCTTCCTGACGGTCCTTCCCGCGGTTGTGAGTGAGCGGCAACCTGTTCCGTGGGTATACCGGCTGACCCGCAGTCTAGACATTCTCGAGATCTTCGGCTCCCACTTCGAGCTTCCGGACCTGGGCCCGCTCGGCAGTCACGGTCTTGCCAACACGCGTGACTTCGAGAGTCCTGTCGCGAGTTTCGACCTCGACCAGTCGCCCTGGGACAGTGAGTAGCTCCTGATCTACGCCGGGGATGCACAAGCTAACGTGCTGCAGTCACCTACAAGGTCGGCGGGAAGTTCTTCGCGTGTCACCAGGAGCACACTCCGTTCGACGTCGTGGCATGGGCGGGCAAGTAAGTACTCTTAGTCTCACATTGTCCCCGTATCCGCGATACTGATTTTTCCGAAGCTACGTGCCTTACAAGTACGCTATGGAGAAGTTCTCGCATGTCGGCAGCATCAACAAGGACCACATCGACCCCTCTATCTTCACCGTTCTCACCGCGCCGTCGAAGACGCCCGGGGCGCCGCTCGCGGACTTCGCTATCTTCAGCGAGCGCTGGGACGTCGCCTCGAACACCTTCCGCCCGCCCGTGCGTATCTTTCTTCCGCTCCATGATGCGCAGGGGGATGCTGACTCCGGGCCGGATTGTGCAGTACTATCACAGGAACTGCGCGAGCGAGATGATGGGTCTCATCTACGGTGGGTACAGCGGGCGCAGCGATGGGTTCACGCCCGGCGCGTTCAGCTACGAGAACGGGTTCTGCCCACATGGCGGTCAGTGGATCCCGGCTTGTTCTACTTTCTGTGCTGAAGGCTGACGTCCACCTCAGTCTCCTACGACGAGTTCAAGAAGGCGACCGAAGCGGAGCTGGTGCCCCAGAAGATCCACGTCGGCACCCTCGGTAAGTCCGCTCTGCTACATTCGCCTCAAACCATACGCTGACCATACTATTAGCATTTATGTTCGAGTCGAGCATGCAGATCCTGCTGACAGACTACGCGATGAAGAGGAGCGGGAAGCTGCACGGTACGCGTTTCGCATCTCACACCAGGCCTGGAGATGTCCCGTCGGAGCTGACATGCGCGTCTTCCTTTAGAGCACGAGCCGAAGATGTGGGACAACCTGAAGGGCCAGTTCATCAACCACCTCGACGAGGTCAACGCGGACCTGAAGGCGGCGGGCCGCCCGCCTCTGGGCAGCAAGGCATGAGGCCTATGCATGAGACCTTGGGAGTAGGCAGCTATGATGCACGGACTACGGTTACAGTGACGACCCGGATAGATCTTCCCATTTCAAGTGTTGTAGATGGATATGGTCAACGGACTAATATATACTGCAGCTTCGTGGCTGCTGGCGTAGTCGCGACTGCTGCTCTTCCGCAAATTGCCGGCACGGGCCCAACATGACACGCGCCGCACCTGTTCCACTCGCACTTGCGGGCGCTTCTGTTCCTCCTCCCCTCATTGACCTCCATGGTAGTTAGAGCCAGCGATCTCCCCCTGCCGCAGTATATGTCTATCTCCTTTGGCATATGTGCATAACTTGGACGGTGCGTGAGTTCATGGTTCTCACAACGCTACCCATGTACTACTTATCGGCAACTTCACCAACACATTGTCTTCATGACACCCCTCTCAGATGACCGAGGTACGCTTGCCAACTACTTCATGCTATTACCAATGTTTAGGAATTAACGACTATGCCTACAGGCACTCAACATCGCTATCGATGATATGTAATCTGGTCAGCGCTCGCAGATCGCTGCTGAGAACAATAAGCTCGTCGCTCTGGATCCTCGCACGCGCCGAGCGTGGTGATTTCCGAGAATCCTACATTGCACAACGCCGCCTGATCAATTGTGGTACAAAAAAGTGCCAACTCCACGTCATAGGCGAACGTCCAGACTTTCCGACGATGCCGAATCGTTACGTTACATCTACGGTGCGCCGAACCTCTTCATTGTATGGATGCGACGATTGCTCATCCGATCCGCAAGACGGCGTCAGCTGCTCTCCCCGCTTGTCTTTGCCTATAAAGCTTGCACAATCACAGGAGACCTCAGCGCGCGCCCCACAACCGCTGACCCCGAGGAGTCGTCTGCGCACCCACGCCGTTGCTGCACTCCCAGCCGTCTAGCTTACCGCCCTCGGAGTCCTGCGTCTCAGTAGGAAGTCTCAACCTGCCTCAACTCACTTTTGATCACTAGTTGCGGGTTAGCGGCTCTGGCTTCCGCTGCGCCCGCCCGCCCACTCGCATTGGTGTACCTTGGGCGTACCCCACATAAAGTTGCGAGTTGTCACAAAACCGCCGGCACCTTTCAGCTGCCGCCCGCCCCGGCGGATACCAGCTCGTGAAGGTATGACAACCTCTCATGATCAGGAAGCTAACTGCACCGGGATGCGCTACACTTAGGTCTGCAAGTGTGTTGACGAGAGTAGTCCGTCATGTGAGCGGGATCTCATGGCCATCTCATGATACCTTCTAGAGGGCGACCTGTAGTCGCTCATGAACTAGTACACGAAGCTCACCGTTGCGCTATGAGTCTTGTTAATGCTGGAAATGTGTTCATTTGACTCATAGCCTCACGGTGATGCAATTCTCGTGGCTCGTTCACTGGAGACGTTGATGTCGGAGTAGTATATTGGGATGTATCGTCTCTTCGAAGCCTAGGTCTCTTGCAATTGGTTTACTTTCCGTCTCGCGTACTCTAGCCTTTTTGATATTGGTCTTAAGACAGCGATATTCGGACACTTCGAATCATGACCCCACATAATGGTTGAGTGGTATGCTTGTGATAACAACGATGGTGACGAGCCGCAAGGACCGGGAGAGGTAAGACATAAACAAAAATCATCTGGAAGCGAGAAGGATGCTAAGGAAAGCATGATATCAAAGCAACAATGCCAAGACTTGTGCGAGTTACTGGCGACGAGGGGATAGAGCAAGGTATGTGAATGGCATAACGTGAAAGCGAACTGAGTGCAAAACAAGGGGATCGGAACTCGAAGAGAACGAAGTACCAGTAGTCAGGGTATATAGCCAACAGAGCAGGGCTTCATGGGCGCACTTGGGCCCAACGGCTTTGTAGTGGGTGGTCTGTAGGCAGGCGATATGAGTCTTGCTAGTATGGAAAGCGGTTGCTTCCTGATCAGGTAGCCTCATCGCGTGGACGCGAGTGGCTGCTATCCCCTCCAGGAATGTCTTGCATGGAGAGCTCCCACTTCTTCTCTGAAGGGACGTAAGGGGGGTCGGGCTGTGCAACTTCTCGACCGATTTCGGCGAACGACAACCACTGGGCGACTTCTAAGTTATACAGACTGGGAGAACCATCCAGACCGTCCATGAAGGCATCGGACGCAGACCCGGCGGAGTTCATGGTGGATGGGTCCCATGTAGAGTTCGTGGCTAGGGTCGTCGGCGTTGACGGCATCCAGGTTGCGGGGACGTCGAGGGATGAATCGTTCGAAGAATACTCATAGGCCGAGTATCCTGACGGCGACGAGGAGCCACTGTTGATGTCGAGAGGACTGAGGCGGGGAGAAGTTGCGTGGTTCTGGCTGACAAGGCTGGGATGGTCGGAGAACGCGAGCATGCCGTCGATCAAGCGAGGAAACAAAGAGGCGTCGTCCGATTTGTCCTCGTCAGCGGCGGTGGCGTCACGGGTATTTGTGGAGGAAAGGGGCAGATGCGCGAGGGGAGGAGAGAAACCTAGGGTGTTTTCGGCCGGCACTGTCCTGACCATGCAAGCTTCCACTAAGAGCACGTACCACTCAGAAAAGCTGCGGGGAGTTTGCGAGCGAAAAGGCAAGTGAAGGGGCGAGGAGTATTCTTGGTCGAGGGCGGATAAGTCATAGTCGATCAGCGGCGAAGGGCGATCGTACACGTCGGCGTACGCATGCACAATCGAGGGTGGCACATATTCATTGGCACCTGGCTGGTTGGACGATGGAAACGACGCTGAGAGTGCCGGGAGAGGTGTCGCGGACGGAGAATCGGGTGAAGGCCAGAAGTCGGAGGTACCTAGAGTTTCCGGCTTATCTCCCCCCAGCTCGAAGCGATCTATTCTTGCGTCGAAGATATTCCTACGGCGACTCCTTGTGATGAACTGCTCACCGACGCCACCATCAAGACGCGAAGCCAGGTTTGAGTCGCAAGGCGTGAAGATGAGTGAATGACTTTACAGTAGCACACAGAGCACGTACGCGCAGGCTGCGGAAGGGGCGAGTGGAGAGTGGAGCGAGCTGGATGCGAGGGGCTGCGGGGGGTTCGGAATTGAGGTTGACGTGCGCGGGCGATCCTGTGGCGGCGAGTAAAGATTCACCGTACATGGTCAGATCGCCTTGTATTTCCGCTTATGAGGTTTCCAGTGCGTTACCTTGTGTTTCCGTAGCATTGACTCGTTGCGCGCGGGGTTGACTGCCGTGGATGGTCGCCTACCAGGGTCAAGTCATGAGTGGAAATATCGCACAAGAGAGTGCAACTGACCGGCGCCCGGGAATTGTTCAATATGTAGAGGATAATATCGGTACGTCTCGGCGCGCATTTCTTATCAGTTTGTGGTTTGTTCTGAGTTTTGGCCATACTGGGCCAACAAGGGAGGACAAGGTGGCGGAGGCAGGAAAACAAGGGGGCCCTCTCTGGGAGTGGGGCGCACTCTTATATGTTCCCTCGCCTACGCGTCGAAGGGGCGTGGTGCGTCCGCATTCCCCCGAGCGTTCGTGCCCTGGTAGCAATGCCATCGAGCTCCGCGGCCCATGCCGTGCGTTCGGAATTTAGCAACAAGAGTCATGCGCACCGTTACCGGAGACGCGTCATCCTAGAACGCGTCCGGCTGGCACAGCTCATCGAAGCTGGCCTCGTGTTGATGAGCACTGGTATCTCAGCCTCGAGATGGAAAGTGACCATCATGCATCGATACTCCGGCCACCCACGACACGGCGTCGCAGAAACACGCACTGTGAGGGTGCATCGGAAGTTCGATGAGGAACTTGTCCGTACTAGAGATGACCGCTAGACATGGCACGCGCCACATCGCCGGCGTAAAATGCGGATACCGGCTCTTCTCGCTCATCTAGAGTTATGGAGAAGGCCCCGGAGACTAGTTGACTCGGACATGAGAGACGCTTTTGAGGATGTGAGATGCCCAAAATTGTGTCGTATGTGTAGGATACACCAATCACCTTCTGTAAAGTATTGCACAAGGGTAGTACATGCTGCGCTATGGCTGCAACGTTTTCCTGATTTGCATCGGTAAGATTTGGCGTAGAAGATCACAAGAAGAGGGTAGTACACACGCACCTTGCCATCTATTACCCCCACGTGATGCGGCATGCTGCAGTGATCTCAACCATATTCAGTGCCCTGCTTAGTAGACGGTCCGGGCATTCTGGCCAAGCCCACCACAGAACATATCTGTGAACGCCGATAAATCACACTCTCTATCAGCTTCTGGACGTCGAGTCCGAGATTAATGAGTACATAGTAGCTAACCATATAGCGCGTCGACAATGATCGTGAGTTACTTCTTCGCCTAGTTGAGAAAGATTCATAGGATTTTGTAGGCTTCCAGACCAAGAGAGAGTAGAAGATCCAGGATAGGTCAGTGAAGTCACAGTGCAAGAGAGTACTAAGAGAGTGGCGGGGGCCCTCGGGCTCGGGACGAGCACAGCCTCGTGCCGCAGCCTACTACGGGCGCTTCCGATTATCCGCGCTTACTAGCGGGCGCTCTCGTTCTTCTTTACATTTGACCTCCACGACTGCTTAGAGAGTCAGCGATCTCCCCCCCGCCGCGGTATACGCGTTCCAGTTTTTGACCGGTGTGCATCAGCGTGAGTTCAAGTTTTTCACCGCGTTATCCATGTGCTCATCGGCACTCAGATGACCACGATACCCTTGCCAAACAGTTCCGCCTACTTCATGCTTTCACCGGTGCTTTCTAGTCAACGATTATTCAAGCAGGCCTATAACATTGATGATGGCTGGCAGAGGTACTCAGTGAGTGTGTCAGCACTTGCAGACCCCTGCCGAAAACAATAGTAGGCTCGCTGCCCTTGGCTGGCGCGCGCGCGCGCACGGCGATTGCGTCTGGAAATGTTATATCGCACATCGTCGCGCCGATCAAATGCAGCATATGAGAGAGTGCAATGTCGTAGACATCCAGACCTTCCGATAGTGCCGGATTGGTTACGTCTGCTGCGCGGCGGGCGGTCAGTAATTGTGTATACGGCGTTAGCTGCCCTCGCCGCTTGTCGTTGTCCAAAAATCTGGCATGATCGATGGGGACCTCATCACGCACCCTCACTCCCCGACCCCGAGGAACCACTCGCGGCCATACGCTGCTTCTGTAGCTCTGCACCTAGTAAGTCTCACTCATTTTCAGCTCCGAGTTCACAATCACCTGTCACAAGCTAATATCAGCTTCAGAACATGCGCACGTCCAAACAGCGGACTAACTATTGGGCGTCGAATCCTGCGCAAGGCATGTGGAAATAACCAACAAATTACATCCTCCCGTTCCCGCCGGCGCCGAAATCCACGTCCAAAGGTTTGTCCCCCCTCCCCCGGCCCCTCGTGATCGGTGGGAGCTAACCGGGCCAAGAAGTATTACACAAGAGTGTAGGGGTGTCAACAAGACGAGATCGTCGTGCCATGTCTTCGGGCCGGTGCGAGGGCGTTATGCGAGTAGGTGTAAAGACGGAAATATCTTGGGCAGTGACCTGTGCATTGCAGCTCGGATCGGTCTCGCGATACCTCCATAGGGAGCGGTCTGGAGTTGTCCACGGGTTGGTGTACGAGGATCTCCGGTGCGCTATGAGTCGTTGTAAACAGAGTTTATCTCGACTCATAGCCTAACGGTGAGCCGTCGTAGTTTGTCGGCATGTTCAGTGTATCGGTCCACGGGCTTAGTGCACGTGCGCCGCCACGATCGCAGGTCGGGTGTCGACTCCTTGTCCTTAACGGACGGCGTGTTCGCGAAGTGGAAGATGTCGATGTGTGCTGCAATGCTGTTCTCATATCCGGGCATGACGCTCATCGAGTTGTATGTGCTGGATCATAATAATATATATGACGCGCCGGGCCCGTGGTATTGTTCCGTTCACGCGCGCGGGATCGCGGGCGCTTCCGTCACCTTTCTCTCCTTTGCGAACCTCCATGGCGAACTTGCATCACGAAGAGTTATCCATCTTTACGTACAAAATTTCTCATATCCAAGCGCTTCTGGGACCGTTATGAGCTCATGATGTTTGCCAAAACCTCTTTCGGCGACTGGCTCAAAGTGTTCTCATGAACACGGCAGACCTAGGTTAGTACTCCGAGTGGGCCCTCTTCTTCTCAGATGACTGCGGTATTCTTACTACATAATTGAGCCGATATTATGTCTTTGCTAAAGCCGGTGCCGGCTTTCATTCCCACAGTTTTGCACATCGATGAGAGCCGTCAGCGCTCGCCGACCCCTGCGGAGAACAATAAGCTCGCCGCTCCTGGCACGCGCGCGGAGATCACGATATCTGGTAACGTATTCTTTGGCGCATATAGCGCTGATTCATCGCAGTGCATAGAAGGATACATTGCCATATACGAACGTGGTCTTCCATCGATGACACCCTCCCAGTCACGCCTCGGCGCGGCGAACGACTCAATTGTGTCAGTGGGACGATCGCTCTGCACCTCGGCATCACCTGCCCTCGCCGCGTGCCATTTATCTCCATAAAGCTTGCACGGTCCAAGGGAACCCCAACATACACCCGCCCTTCGACCCTGAGGAACCACTGCTGGCCTGCACGCTCCCACTGTATTCCCCCTCGTCAAGTTCAATGCCCTCTTGCGCGTAGTCATCGATCTTTCTCAGCTTTAGGTTATGGACCTCCAGCCCCAAGTCAAGTCAGCGATTGCGGGGCGCGCGCCCGGCCCAACGACGTGTTGTACCTCAAGGCTTGCGCTCAATATCGGGAAAATACCAGTACGTCACCCCTCCTGATCTTGGCAGCATCGAAGGCCATCTATGAAAGGTGAGTCGCTCCTCGCGGTCAGCAAGAAGCTAACCGCGTGAGGTGGCGCTACTTTTTGGACTGCAGATGTCTTTAAAAGGCTGGACCGTCGCGTGCGTTCTCGGACCGATGCTGGGATCTTCGGCCGCAACTTGAAGTGGGCGCAAGGGCGGAAGTATGGTGTGCCGGGGAGTACTATGTTCATCTAAAGGCCATGTTGATCTGACGATACATACGGAGGGGGCGACCTTGAAGTTGTCCACACACGAGGGTGTGAGGATCGCCGTTGCGCTATGAGTCGATTAATCCAACGGATGTGTTTGATCGACTCATGGCCTGACGTTGAACTCTCGCGCTTCCTATTGATGCGATGGCGAGATAGTATATCTGACTATTCTGCCTGTTCGCTATGTGAAGGTGTTTCAATGCGCTCAGCGTCTAGGAACTACCAGCACATGGTTCCTCGTTCGCACCGGCGAGGGACCAATGCACGCATGGCTTAATCGCGTACTGTGCGTCAAGGCTTGCGCACTGTCGGGAAGATAACGGCACGTCACCCCCTCCTGATCTTTTCAGTGTCGCGAGCCAGCCATGAAAGGTGCGTCGCGCCTCGCGGTCAACAAGAGCTAATTGCGCGAACTTGCACTTGGACTATACAGGCTTTTGGAAGACGGGACCGGCGCCGCGTGCGTTATCGGACCGATGCTTGGGTCTTGCGGCCGCGAGTGGAGGGTGAGCGTAGGTGGGAGTATCGCGTGCCGGGGGGCACTTAGAGGTAATGTCCGTCCCAGGACCGGGTTCATCTCATGATACATTCAAAGGGGGCGGCCTGAAGTTGTCCACGGACTGGTGTACGAGGATCTCCGTTGTGCTATGAGTCAAAGTGTTCAAGTTTTTATTGACTCGAACAAATTGACTCATAGTCGGACGGTGAACTGTCGTGGTTCGTTGACATGTTCATGCGGAGCGGTATGTCTCAATATGATGTCTGTTCTCTGGATGAAAACGTACATACGTAGTTGAATCACTTCCTAACTACCTTGGCATGCAATTCTGTGTCTGAAGAACGGTGTGCGGAAACATTGAGTTGAAAGCAAAACAAAGAATCGAGCAACATGTCTGGTATAAAAACTTTGGTAGCGTGCAGCAAGGACTGAAAGGCGGGCGGAAAGCTAAGGCGAGTAACATTGGAGTAGCAGTGGGAAGAGTAGAACAAGATAGCAGAGAAGGAGGACCAAACAGCCTGAGGTGTCTGAATCCAAGCATGGTGATGTTGTGAGATCTGAGCGAGGATATAGATGTGTGAGCGATATATATACAAATTAATAGGTCCGAGGGAATTGCACGACGCAGTAGCCTATAGTCGGGTTTGAAGGAAACAGCCTGACAAGGCGTCATGAGAGCACCTTTGCAGGCTCCATAGAGGTGGTTGGCTCGCAGGTAGACAGTATGAGTCAGAGGGTACAAAGCTTCGTCATGTAGACGATGAGTGACTGTCGTCCGGGACGTCTTGCGCAAAACACTCCCACTTGCTTCGTGAGGGAGCGTACGTAGAGCTGTCCTCTGTAGCCTCTCGACAGAGGTCGCTGAATGAGAGCCATTGATCGGCCTCTAAGCTAGACAGAGACTCCGAGTCGTCCACTGAATCATCCGAGAGCGAAGACGGGGAGTACGTGGTGGTCTGGTCCCATGTAGTAGAGTCCGTGGCAAGGATCGTCGGCGTTGACGGCATTGAAGTCGCCGGGATGTCTAAGGATAAGCCAATCAAAGGATACTCATTGGCCGAGTATCCTGTGGACGACGAGGGGCCGCTGTTGATGTCGAGAGGACTGAGGCGGGGAGAACTTGCGGGGTTCTGGCCGATGAGGTCGGGATGGTCGGGGAATGTGAGCATGTCGCCAATCAAGCGAGGAGAGGTGGAGGCGTCGTCCGAGCTGTAGTCGTCGACAACGGTGGATTCGCGGGTGTTTGTGACGGAGGGGACCAGGTGTGCGAGGGGAGGAGAGAAGCCTAGAGTGTTTTCTACTGGCGGTGCACTGTCCACGTAATACGCAGAGGGAGCATAGGACTCCGACCAGCTGCGGGGAGTTGGCGAGCGGAGGAGTGAGGAGAGATATTGGTCGAGGGCGGTGCGGGCAGAATTCGGCGAAGGGCGATCGTACACCTCGATGTACGCATACATACCCGAGGATGACGCATCCTCACGGGCACCTGGCTGGTCGATCGAAGGAAACGACGGCGCGAGCGCCGGGAGAGAGGTGGTAGACGAGAGGTCGGGTGAGGGCACGATGATCACAGCATCTGGACTCGTCGACTCGACTCCCCCCAGGTCGAAGGTATCCATCCACGAATCAAAGCGATTCCTACGACGCGCCATTACGAACTGCCCATGCAACGCCACCATCGAGGCGCGAAGCCAGTTCGAGTCGCAAAGCGTGAAGATGAGCGGACGGGTTGACAGTAGCACACACAGAGCACGTACGCGGACCATGCGAACGCGGTAGGCATGAGGAGGAAGCGGAGCGGCCTGGATGCGGGGGGTTGCGGGGGGTGCGAAGTCCAGGTCGAGGTAGGCGGACGATCCTGTGGCGGCGAGTACAAATTCACCGTACATCAGATCGCCTTGTATTTCCGCTTAGGAGAATTCCGGTGCGTTACCTTGCGGCCCCGTAGCATCGAGCTGTCGCCCACGTACTCGGCGAACCTGACTGGCCGCCTACCAGGGTCAAGTCATGAGTGGAAATATTGTATAAGAGAGTGCAACGTACTGGTCCCCGAGAGATGTTCAGTATGGAGAGGATAATGTCGGTGCGTCTCGGCGCGCGTTTCTTGTCGCTACGTGGCTTGTTCTGAGCTTTCGCCATACTGGGCCCGCAAAGGAGGACAAGGTGGCGGAGACGGGAGAACAAGGGAGCCCTCCCTGGGAGTGGCGCGCCCCCTTATATATTACCTCGCCTAAGCGTCGAAGGGGCGTGGTGCCTTCGCCTTCCTCCAAAATTTCGTGCACTTGGGGCAATGCCGTCTAGCCCGCAGCCCCTGCCGCGCGTACTGAATTCAGCGGCCAGAGTCATGCGCACTCTCCCCGGAGCCGCGTCATCCTCAGAACGCGTCCGGCCACAGCTCATAGAAGCTGCCCTCGTGTTGATGAGCACTGGTATCCACCTCGGGATGGCAAGTAGCTGGCATCGTGCATCTGGCCCGGTCACCCACGGCGCGGCGGAGTTGCGACAGCATGCGATATGAGGGTGCATCGGAAGTTCGACACGGAATTTGTCCATATCAGGGATAGCAGATAGGCCTGGCACGTACCGCACTGCCCGTGTAAAACTCGGATGTCACCGGCAGTCTCGCTCATACGGAGAGGGCGGAGAACACCGGAAGGTCGACCAGAGACGTTGTCAAGGTTGCGATATTCCTAGAATTGTGGCGTATGGATAGGATACAGCATGTTTCGGCTTGTAGGAGCGTGCCAACAATGGCAGCCAAGTAGTACGAGGTTACAGTTGTATATACTGCGCTGCAGCTACGGCGTTTTCCTAAACTGCGCTGGTGAAGAAGCTGTCATGAGAATATCATAAGCGAAGGCGTGCACACGCACCTTTATATTATATTTGCGATTCAAGATGGGAAGAGAAGGATGCGTTGGCGATTCTGGTAATCTTCGGCGTAGCTGCATCCACTGATTCCCATGGTCGCACATGACATGTGTCAGTGGATGCCAATACAGACCTGGTGGTAGATGTTCAGCACTATCGGACTCAGCCTTGCCTGTGTTTTCTGCTGCCAAAGCGGTCGTATTGGAACTTCAGTATGTTAAGTACTAGTACGCAGAAAGAGCAATATAGAGAGAAAACAGAGCCGCTTCTGTCATAGATATCGTATGTCCTCGATTTCCTGTCCGTCTTCCGAGGTGTCTGACACCCGATGCGACGGTAAGAGGCCAAACGGGTGTTGTGTGGCTGGAGGTTTGGCTGTCATCTTCCCCATCACTTGGGTGAGAGAATCAGTGGGTCGCAAGACTAAGGGAGGAAGGAAGCCGAGCGACCAGCAGTGCAACTTGGAGGATGGCCGGCATGGAAAGAGCAGGACGATCGCGAGCACAGCATCGGATGCCCATTACAGGCGGGCGGCCCGGGGCCGGGCGCGTAAGTATTGACAATTTGACACTCCGCCGCGAGCGCTTCCGACGCCATGCTTTCTTTTGACCTCCGAGCGAGCCATGGCCTCTCCGAGTCGCTGTTTTCCTGGAAAGTGCCCGATATTGAAATCCTCCATGCACCAGCCTTCATGAGGTGCATTTTTGGATTCGTTGTGGGCTCGGGATATCCGACACCCAGTGTCGTAACCTAGATAGTAGGCAATTGTCTCGAACGACCACAGGTCGGACAATTTCCGAACAGCCAAACAGTTGAGCCCACTGCCCTCATCTTGTCACCGCTTGAAGCTAACAATAATACGCACAGTCTGACGACTCCAGTGAGCGTCGCCAGGGCTCGCAGGCCATCACCAATAACAATAAGTTCACCGAGTTACCTGGCGCCCGCACAGCAGATACAATTGCATTTAACGCCGATCACTCGTAGCACACAAAAGAGTGCTGTGTTACAGACAAGACATCAAGTTCCTGTAAATACCGACCTGGTTACGCGCGTACCGCCCTGCGGGCAGTTCAATTGTGTAGGCCGGTGTTATGGATGTGGCAGCAGCGCTCCATGTCCTCATTGCCTACACACAGCCGTGCGTCGGCCGCCTTCGCCGCCCGGGTATAAAGCTTGTAGGTCTGAAAGAGACTGAAGCTCGCCCCTAGTCACTCCATCTGCGCGATTAACTTGCTCTCCCTGCGCCGTTATGCTTCTCTAGCTTCTGGTCTTTGGGCGTTCAGCAGGCCACGTTTAGCGCGTATCAGGTGCTACCTTCGACTTTCGGCCTCAGGCCAGCACGCCCTACCCACGGAAAACATATATGTCTGGACGACGTATGAGTCAACCCCCGCTCCCTGTCTCGGGATATCGCCAGTACGTCTCCCTTCCTGTTCGTATCAGCGATGTACATAATAATCTCATGTTCATAACTTGCAATAACCAATTCTCGCACACTAACCTCAAGCATAAATTACGCCCCGCACATCACTTCGCCGTCGCAATTCCCGCAGCATGCAGGCGCCTGACAAACGTCTTCACTAGCTGTCAGAGTAGGAGCCTGTCTCTCTTCGAAGGCCGGGGCTTATATTTGCGCATCCGAGTCCGGGTCCCTGACCACATACGAGGTGAAAGTTGCTATCGCTCGCTCACTCCTTGTGTCGCTTCACCTGCACTTGCAAAGTGTGTCAGACTTCTGGCTACGCTATGAGTACTATTATTTTGTAAGCAGAAATGATTGTGCTCATAGCATGGCGAAAAACTCTCAATCATTCATAGCCGCGGGTAAGTGCGGCCGCTCACCGCTACCGCTGAACGTGCATAAGCGCGAAGGTGCCCGTTACTCCATGCAAGCTTGATATGAGACGGAGACTGCAAGCTTGTGTTAAGGTGACGTCCTTTGAATGCTAGACTTAGTTTACAACCCTACTCGCCTAGACCCTGATTCAATTTGTAACTCTACGAGGTAAGGTACGAGAATTCTCGCTGTGCTATGAGTGTTAGTACTTTGATTGCGAGTAAAAGTATTAACGCGCATAGCTTAGCGGAAAGCTCTCCTCAGTCGATTACTCCGTCGTATAATGATCAGGACTGAACTGTAACTTCGTAGCAGACACGCCGCCTTCCGAAGTCCAGTGATCGTGAATGAGCTTTTCGATGGCCATAGCCAGTCGTGCAGCGTATAACAGGTGCCCCATATCACTTATCGGTATGCCGTTCCAGAAATTTGTAGCCTTTACGAATGCATAAAATTTTGTACATAGTGACGTGAACAACAACAGCGTGTCGACAGTGCGGTCATAACAAGGACGGGAGGGATAGCTACACGGCAGCAGTGTACGAGAGGAGGCGAAAGCGAGTACTGAGAAAGACGTAGTCAAAACAACAAATCAGTATGAACCTGGGATCGTCCATAGGAAAACTCGAGGGGAACAGACGATACAAAGAGACAAAAATGCAGGAATGAAGATAGCACAGGAGATGGGGGCAAAACAACACTAGACGATCAGCTAGACGAGATGAGAAAATTTGGGCGATCTGAAGAGCGTGACGAGATACTATGTGGAACGTGCAGCGTAAACGTGTGTACTGCTTGCGGTGGTTGATATGAGTGTGGTTGCTTGCGGGTATGTGATTGTAGTCTTGTGGCTCCCTTTCAAGCCGGGGGCGCGCCGTCCAGCGCCCAATGCTCGCCGGAGAGCTCTTGCATCATGCAGAGCCACTCTTCCAGAGTGAGGTCATCTTCGTCGGAAGAGACCTGCTCGGCAGTCCCTTCGCGCGACGACGAACTACCAGCTTGATCCTGATAGTACACAGCAGGGTCGTACCAGTCCTCCGCTCCTGAGGCCGGGGCAGCGGATGGGGCCGGGGCATAGCTCGGGGCGACGGGTGGTTCGTCGAGCGCGTGCGCGAGCGTCGAATAGGTCGGCGCGAAGAGCAAGCTAGAGCTCGGGGGAGACGCTTCGGCCGGGGTGACGTACGACGCATTAGAACCACTCGGCCCGGGAGGAGAGAAGTAGGGGTCCGTGGCGTTGTTGACAGTCCTAGGAGTGGGGTAGGGAGCCTGGCGCGCGCGATTGGAAATGCGACGAGTCGTGCGCTGCGCGGTCGTCAACGGACGCCCCTCGCCCGATCCGCCTACCATGCCGTATCCGCCCGTCATGCCATACATGCGCGGCGAAGACGGAGGAGGATCATCGTAGCGGGCAGAGATGTTGGTGGTAGCGTTCTCGGCAGCGAAGGACGGCATGTCGGTCGTGTAAGGAGGCGTATCTGACAAGGCGTCATCAGGGGAGCGCTGGAGGGGGCCAGGGCCGGGGGCGATAGAACCGTGGTCGGACGGCGAGGGGAAGTACGTGTTGGGGGAGTTCGCGTAGAGATCGGATCTCGTTGCGTACTCTTGAGCGCCAGGCGCGTCGAATGAGGAAGACGGGGGAGGGTTCTCAGGCGGAAAGAACGGATGTTGATGCACAGGAGTCGATCCAGCCGCCCGCTCACGTTGCTCGGGGTCGAAGGGCTCCAGGGATGCACCAGAGACGGCTGTGCGAGGTTCCGCCACGAATTGCTGCTCTGATGGTGCTGTGATCGAAGAGCTGGAACCAGTCATCTGAGGCGTGCATATAAGTGGATCGCTCTACAACAGCGAAGACAAGCCACGCACCTGCACATCGTCGCCGGAGTCGTCTGGGGGCAGCGGGGATACCGAAATGCGTGGGGCGGGAGGTGGCGCGTCGATGTTCGAAGTTGAGCCTGCTCCAAAGCCTACATGATCCGCACGAATAGCCGGCGCGCGTTGTTCTTCTGTTGCCCGAACATCGTGTTGTGTACGAATGTTCCAACTAGTTCCTCGGGTGTCATCACCCCAATGTGATATCTAGTATTGTCAGACCATGAGAAGTTACCATATTATGCAAGCAGATACAACTCACAAAGCCCTTGTCCTTCGCTTCAGCAAGTTTGTCCGGTATACGGGATTTATGCCCTACGTTGGGCTTTTTGTCCTTCTTGACCGGTTCCTTGCTCTTCTCGCTCTGTTCCTCGCTCTTGTCGTCCGGCGCCTTACCCTTCTCGTTCTGTTTTGGGTTCTTCTTGTTGGGCTTCTTGGCCATATTGGGCCAACAAAGAAGACAAGGAGTAGCGAGGGAGCCTGAAGTGGGGGGAGGGACGAGAACAAGGATGCCCATCCTGGGCCAACCCGAACCCTTATATATGTTCGCTTGCCTGTGCGGTGTAGGAGCGCGGCGCATCCGCCCTCCCCCGACGGCCGGGTCCTCGTTGAGATGCCATCGAGCTCACACCTCGTGCTGGGAATCCAGCGGCGCCGACACAAGTCATGCGCACAGCTGCCGCGGCCGTGTCATCCTCGTATTGCATACGGCCACAGCCCATCGAAGCTGGCCTCGTGTTGATGCGCACCAGTGCCTGTCTCGAGATAGCAGGTTGCAATCGCTCTTCTGGTGAGCAGTGGGAAGCGAGCGAGAAGATGGCTTCCCGCAGCACGTTGACAGACCGTGATCAGGGCTGCATCGGAATTTCGGAAGGAATAATGACTTGATTGGGGATAGTTGTTCAACAGGACACTGCCGGTGGCACCCTGGTGTGACGAACGACCTGAAGTTTAGGGGTCAGAGTCTCGGGCCCTTGCGGATGCAAGAAACGAATGGACTGACCGAATATTCCACCGTGCCGAGGCTCGTTGTATATTGAAAACCGGAGGAAAATACGCCTGTGCAGCGGTTATTATAACCATTGTCTAGAAGACAAGTACCAGGTTGCGGCCGCCGTCGGGGCAGCGTGGGTATTGTCCTTGAACTGTTGTAAATACAGTTATCGCGCAAGGGATTTGAATCAACCGATGGACACCCACCGCGAACGTCTGTCTACGCGCGTTTAAACAAGAACAAGGATACATTGTCCCTTGCTGGAGACTGTGGTAAATCGTTGGCTTGACTACGTCGGCTGAGCTCAAGGTCGTCACATAAAATTGTCAAGGTATCCTACCTTGTCGCAGCTATGTGAAACCTTGTGTTATAGGCGGAAGATATCCTGGGTGAAGTATCACCACCGCACCATAACATAAGAATAAGGCTTACCTCTGCACATATCACCCTTCTACTCCTGGGCGCTATCAGACAACACATTCCAAATGCGGTCGACGGGGTGGATATCCGCGGTCTCCCAAAGGTCTTCTGTACGTTCGCACGGTCAGTTTATCGCATTATTCTTGAGAAAAACATGTGAGGTAGCGACAGCCATATGAAGCCCATTACGTTGTTACCGTGCATCGCCCAACGCCACATCGCCATCCGTGTTTTTCCGCTAGCTGGGTGCTGCAGCGATCACACCTGGAGCTTTCGATATGCTGTGCACGCAGACAGCGAGGAATGGAGAGCAATATGAGCTTTTTTGGGCCGCTTCTACGGGAGATACATCGTCGAGGATCGCTGTCGGTTTTTCGAGAAGTACAGCCGCGCTAGCAAGAGGTCACTGCCTGGCACGTCAATGGAGTTTCGGCTGGGGCTTCTCGAGCGGCAAAGTGAGACATTGAGAAGTCTAGTAGGCCGAGCGACAGCATCCTGGAGTGGGTAGGAGACCGGAGGACCTGAGCGCCGAGCTGCAGCAGCCTGAGGTCGGAGGATGGCGGCGGTACGAACACAACACATGCCTCTTCGGGATTGGCCGAGTAGACTGCAAATAGACGCCCATCTGTCGGGACGCGGAGCGCGTCTCGACCGCTGCACATTCGCTCCTCTTCCCATCCCACATCATGCTCCGCGGTCCTGCCCGCACACTGCGCCGGAATGTGAATCAGATCCATCTCGCACGACGCCGCGCAGCTTCTACAGCTGTGCCCCAGGAGAGCGACGTAGTCATCGTGGGCGGTGGCCCTGCCGGTCTAGCTCTTGCGGGCGCGCTGAGTACGTGTTTTCGCCGCTGAGTTGCTGTTCTTCAATTGTTCACGCTGTGCAGGCTCTACTTCCTCTGCTCGGCACGCGTTGCGCGTCGTGCTAGTCGAAGCAAGTGACTTGGACAAGGTGGGCAACTGGGCACCGCCGACCGGCACCTACTCCAACCGGGTCAGCTCCATCACGAACGCGTCCCAGAGTTTCCTACAAGGTGAGCGGCGTCCTATGTACACCTCCGCATGGGCTCCTCAACTCAGGAGGTGTAAGAGATTGGTGCTTGGGCGCACGTCGAAGAAGCTCGTACATGCCCGATAGAGGAGATGCAGGTCAGTCTCCTCTCCGCACCTGCGCGCACGCCGGACTGATGCGAACTCCTTGTAGATCTGGGACGGCCTGTCGGATGCACGCATAACGTTCTCAACACATGATGACAGCTCATGGGAAACGTCCAGAGCGGAACCGCTCTCCCAAATGGCGCGGCTCACGGAAAACCTAAACCTCCAGCGAGCACTGCTCCGGCAACTCCGCGGCACTTCCGCGGTTGAGGTGGTCGACAAGGTGAAAGTGGAATCTATCCAGCGAGAGGACCGCGAAGGCGGCGGATGGCCGCTTGTCCACCTCTCTGACGGCAGAGTCCTTCGCGCAAGATTACTGGCAAGTGGTGCTGCCTGATATGCACTCCTACGCGGCTCTAACAGTCGAGCAGGTCGGCGCCGACGGCTTCAACTCGCCTGTGCGAGCGTATGCGGGAATAGAATCCTACGGCTGGGCGTACGACACCACGGCCATTGTCGCGACGCTCTCCCACCACCCGCGAACACCCTACCAGGCGCCGAATACGATTGCCTATCAGCGCTTTCTCCCTACCGGACCAATCGCGTTCCTCCCTCTCTCCCCGACCACCTCCTCCATGGTCTGGTCGACCAAGCCGCATTTGGCCAAGACCCTCCTGTCCTCGGACCCGGCTGTCTTGACGAGTATGATCAACGCAGCGTTCCGGCTGCCGGACGTGTCCCTGCGGTACCTGCACAACGCCATACTGGAAGCAGCTAACTCCGGCGCATCGCTGGATGCACAGCAGCTCCAGCAAGAGATTGCCTGGCGAGAGCGCTCGCACGGAATCGACGCACGCTCGGCGTACTCCCTCGCAGCGGACGCTACGGGTGTGCCCCCTGCAGATGCGGACTCGCTCCCGCCGCTGGTCACCTCAATCCAACCGGGCACCGCTGCGTCCTTCCCGCTGCGCTTCAATCACGCGGACGAGTATATCGGAGACCGCACCGTGCTCGTGGGTGACGCCGCGCACACGATCCATCCGCTGGCGGGCCAGGGCCTGAATATGGGTCTCGGAGACGTTGAGGCGCTCTTCCGGTGTGTCAACCAGGCCGTACTCACCGGCAGTGACATCGGTGAGTCGTGTTCCCTTTAGCGGGGTGCATCTCCAGACTGACGTTCTCCGCCGCAGGCTCGCGCACGGCGCTCCTGCCCTACTCCCGCGCTCGCTACTTCGAGAACCACAAGATCATGGCCGCGTGCGACAAGCTGCACAAGCTCTACTCCGCCACCGCCGAGCCGATCGTCTGGGCGCGTTCCGTCGGCGTGGAGGTGCTCAACGAGCTCGACTCGGTGAAGGCCGCCATGATGCTCTCGGCCGGCAGTCGCCCATCGAGTACCAGGCCCTCTGGCGCACAGCTCGGGGCCAATATCGCTGCGACTGGCCTGGAGAATCTGGCGCGGGGCATCAGCCGCGTGCGGACGCTCACGGAGGGCGTTGCGAACATCGCGGGCGCGGGCGTGCAGCGGCTTCTGCAGAGCGTGATCAATTCCCAGCGTCGTTGAGCATACACTCACTATTACCGTGCGTTTTCGGGCGTGATGGTCCCAGCACTACTACGTATAGTTTGCAATAATATCAGGGCCTGAAGAGGTTGAATATATGATGTGGAATTTGATCACGCGGCTCGGACATTCTGCTTGTGTACGCTGTAGCAGGAAGACAGCACAGCTGGCACCAACGATCCGCTCGCACTGCGACGTAATGATATGCAATATGGCATAGCCCTTACTAGCTGGGTGCTTGAACATTAATGAGGACCGTAGAAATACTAGCTATGTACAGGCGTCGGGCCACATACGTCGGCGCCCAGCAAACTCGGCGTACTAGATACAGCCATGGCCAAACCACTTCTTCCGCGAGAAGCACGAACACCAGCAAGTCCCATAAGAATAACGCGACGCGGAAGAAGTCCACCGATCAACGAACGGCACGGTATATGTATATCAGCGCATTTTGGCGTGCCACGCGCAGCGCAGCGAGAGCGCGCGTTCCTCCCCACAAGCAACAACCCCACGCGCACCCCCTCATCGCTCATTGCCAGACGAGCTTGCCGTTCTCGTCCACGTACGCGGACATGCCGCCGCTCGGCTGCTTCTTGGACGCCTTCGCCTGCTCCGCCATACGCGTGCGCTCGAGCTCGCGCTTGTGCTGCGCGAGCAGGGCTAGCCGCGCCGCTTCGCCCTCCGCCTTCGCGGCCTTCTCTGCTTCGCGCTTCGCCGCGTGTTGGCGCTGCTTCTTCGTGAGCGTCTCCGATCCGCTCTGCGATGCAGGCGCCGGCGCGGACCCCGACGAGGTTGCAGGCTGCTTGGGTCCTGCGGAGCAATGCACGCATGTGAGATGTGGCGCTATGCAGATGCAACGGCAGACGTACGTGAACGGCGCGTTCTTACGACGCCCCACCCGTCGTCCTCGCCGTCGGCATCGTCGGCGGTCCCCCGTGCCCCCTCCACGTCTTCGTAGTCGCCCCACGAGAACCCGGCGGCGGGCTGCTCGTCGGCCCGAGGCTGGATCCTCATGACGCGCGCCACCTGGGGGTAGTCTGGCTCCTCCAAGAGACTGAGGACAAGCGCGCTGGCGTGAGCATACCGCAGCCCACTCGCGAGATAGTGACACGTACTCTTCCACCCCAGTCTTCCGTGGTTTCGGCAGCAGCTTCTCCGCCAGCGTGCGCCTGTTGCCGGAGGTGCTCGGGTCTGCGGGCTGTACGTGTGCCTCGTCCTCCGTGCGCTCCGTCACGGGCGAGGAGGTGCCGGTGACGGAGGTCGTGATCCCTGCGTCACTGGTCGAGATGTCTGGTGGCCGCTCCGACGTGCTCGTCCCCGCTGGTGCAGGCTGGACCGCCTTCTTCTTCGTCTCGACCCGCGTCCAGCCCTGGTCGTCGCCAGCGGGCTTCGGCGTCGCGCTCGCGCTCTTTCGCGGCTTACGGGCAGCCGAGGACTCGGGGGCGGTAGCAGATGACTCGGACTGCGCGTCCTGGGGCACAGGTGAGCTCGCCTTCTTGGCCTTCTTCTTCTTCTTCGACTTGGGTGCCGCGCCAGACTGCCCCTCGGGCTCAGGCGCGGAGGGCGCAGAGGGCGCGTCAAAGCCCCCGGGGACGACGGACGGGAATGACACGACGTGGGGCTCCACGTATGCGTCCTCTGCCGCGCTCGCGACGGCGCTGGCCTTCTTCTTCTGCTTCTTCTTGGTAGCGGGCGCGGACGAGGCAGCGGGTTGTGTGCCTGAGGACGTGACGGACGCTGAGGGGTCCCCTGGCTGGACGAAGCCGTACGCGATGGCGCCCGCAATGGCGAGCGCGGCGGCAGCGGAGACGACACTTTGCGCAGAACCCATGGTCGATGAGGATGAGGTGGATGAAGAACAAGGAGCGTAGGACGAAAGGAGGAAGGAGGAGGGCGTACGCAGCAAGAGGAACTGACGTGGTGTAATTATGAGAGCCTGAGATCGTTCCCTCAGGAACGCCTTCCCGTAGCCGAGACGCGTCAACACTCACAAACACCGCGTCCATACTTAGCGAAGCGCCCGCCCGGCCCGCTCCTCCATCATTCTGCGCGACGACCACCGCCGCCAAGGGTTGTCTCGACATCATGGATCCTCCGACCTCATTCACCCCTAGCGTATCTTTTGTTGGCCTCGAGACCTAGCTTTGTCTCTCAAAAAACTCCATGTTGGCGTCCTAGGCTGTGGTTTCTCACTGGTGGCTCACCTGGAATCCTCCGAGGGCCAACGGGGACTCGTCTCCGATGGTTATCTCTCCAGTGGAAGCGGCTCAAGAGTGCATATATTGCTGTGTGCTTTATATGTGTATCGTACATTTCGTGCCAGCCAGCTGCGACCGCTACGGCACGTAGCAACGAAAATATTAGGGGCGGTATGGTGGCGTCGAGATTTCGACAGCTGCAGCCGGCTGGCGTCGGTGCTTGAGATAATCATGCATGGTCCAGCGCGATACATATAACGAAGGTAACATGCTTCCTCCGTATCACTCCGTGTTGGCCATGTACTACGCTAAAACGGAAATAATGCACATATACCATAAACAATCACCAGAAGCCCGACCAACGCTGCCTTCACCGTAGCGCGGTATTAGCAGTCGCAAATCTGTACAACCTCGGGTGTTGCCACAGGCATACAAAATGGAACGTGCCACATCCCACTTACGCCACAATTCCATATTTCTAGGTATATAGTGTGGTCTTCTTCAGTCTCTCTAGGGTAAGTCATACTGGTTGACGTCTTCGTCGTCACCAGGATCTGGGTGACTGACATATAATCCGTATTTGCGGTGCGTGTTCATGCCCAGCGCTATCCCCGGTATGGTCAAATTCCATGTCGAACTTCCGATACATCCCCATATCGCGGGCCGTCGATGCGCTACGGGTGGCCTCGCCATCCTCAGACCTGGATGCTTCCAAGATGAACGATGGAGACTTGCCATCCTGAGGCAATTTCCAGACACATCAACACACGTTCAGCTCCGACGAGTGTGGCCGTACGCCTCTGAAGAATGGCGCGGACTCGGAATTCGGTGCACATGACTTGTGTCGCTGGATTTCCGACATGCGGCATAGGCCTGAGCTCCAATCCCATTGTTGGGACCGGCGCGGCACGGGTCTTTGTGGGAAAGGCGCGCCACGCCCTTTCAACGCGCACGACAAAGAATATAAGAGAGTCGCGTCGCGCCCCCAGAAAGGCAGTCTTGTTCTTCCACCCCCGCGACCTGGTGGCCTTTGTCGATCCGGTCGAGGCAAACATTCCAACCCAGTGCCGACAACACTCTTGATCGCTTGTCCACCAACTCTAACATGTTGCCGCCTCCGACCCCTCGCGTCTCTTCAATTCCGCTGCCCGCATGTGGCTGTTGCGGTCACGTAGAGGTTCATACTCTCCCACTGCTACTGTAGATCTATCCACTCACAACATCGTCTCAGAACACTCAATCTCGCTCCTTGACGGAAGACTTAATCAGCAAGGTGCATCGCGCAAAGGACCTGAACGTCTCGCCGGAATCCGTCGACCGAGAGCTTCGTGAGTGGGCATCGCCACCCGTTAGCTCTTTGTCCCGGCCCTCGATTTCCCCGCGTGGCCCCCCTCCCCTACACTCAGAATCCTCGTCTTCGTCCGGTTTCTTCGACATCGACGCGGCAAACCCGATCGTCCATACCGGCTCTTCCAACGTGCACGATCGTCCTGCATCTTTCGAAGACGGCTCTCACTACACCGTCGGCCATTCGTCTCCCCGGCCCTCCTCTCAACATCACTACAACGATCAGGTCCCTCGCAGCTGCCTGTCACCGGGCCCGTCATTCTCCTTGCCGGAGGTGCCTACGCTGAGGATGGAGAACGCGCTGGGGCTCTTCTATCACCCCTCATCCTACTCGAGCCCTCAGGTCATGATCCCGCCCTTCTCCTCGCCTCGATTGAGCGAAATCGGTGGTGGGTCTTTCCATCTGGCTAGCCTGCCCTTCGACGCGCCCCCAGTCCCTCTCATGGCCTTTACTCCATCCTCGCACCCGGCCACGGAAAAGTGGCACTACCCCACCTTCACTTATCCTGCAACCAATATCTCGACATCTTTTTCTACGTCGGAGGGCGGCGCCGAGAACTCATTGTTCTCCAAATTCAACACCCTGTCCCTGTCCGAGAGCGGTCACCGTCTCGCTACGAAGGACGTGCCCATGCTCGCCGCCGGTGTTTAGGTATTATCTCGGCCAGTCTCCTACGCAGGGCGTTGGCGGTCGGGCGAGGGATCCTCTGTATAGAGGGTTGGCGATCTACGATTGCTGCACAGGCAGCGTCATGCGGGATTGTAGTCTATGATCAGGTGCTCATATTGGTACTACTCGATACCCAGTCCATTGCTTTAGTTCGTCACGTCCCGCTCATCTATGCTATTGTTTTCCAAGTGTTGCTCATTTATCTTGCTCTTACGTTGTTCCCGTACATTTCCCGTTCTATTCGGACTCTCCGTTGTCCTTGTCGTCGCATACTGGTATGGCTGCTTTGATGAATCACTATCACTCGCATTGGTACTGGTGCATTCTCAACTTGTGTGATTGGATTTCTGAGGCGCAACGCAATCTTTAAACATTTTCAAGACCTCCCGATCTCTGTCGCTCCGTATGTGGACCCCTGTCAAAAAGCTCAGCTCTATAGGAGGAGCGAGCCCCAAAGTCCTTCCGTTAGGCTATGAGCAACAATGACGCAGTACATCCGTGATTAGATGCTCATAGCGTAGCGGAGATCTTCGCATGTTTTGATCCTCCCCGGGCCTGCAGAACCGTAGCCCTGGCACATGTTGATACCTCGCGGGTCTCTGCTCCGCATGTGAAGTAGCCACGGTCCGCGAGGTCCTTCAAACCGTTAGGCTATGTGCAACAACCACGTTATGGTACATGGTCCTGCTCAAAGGGCAGCGAGAACCCTCCCCGGGAGGAAGGGAGCGAGTCGCGAAGTCCTCCCGTTTGGCAGTGTGCAACAAAATCGCGATGCATTTGTCGCTTTTGCTTTGCCCACAGCGCAACGCGTGCGTCGGTAGGACCGTCTCAGAATCCCGCCTGCTGAGATAACACTCACAGTTTATTGCGTTTGGCTCGTATGAGGTGAATCCGCGTGGCACAGGCGAGCCACGACGTCGAACCCGCAGGGGTACTCGACCTATAGCCGTGAGGAAATCGCGCACAGGGATACACTGTGGAGCCCGAGGAACTAGCATGTACGACGCTCTCTCCTATATGGCGCAAGGTGTGCCATCAAATCATATGCCACTCAGCTTATGCGGATCCTCCTATATTAATCAAGGCTCACCTTGAACGGTCGGTATCCTAGAAAGCCTGCAGAGTTTGGAGGCCTCGAACGACTTCCAGCATAGCTAGACAGAGGTGTGAAAGAGGGGAGCTGGTACTCTGAGCGCTGAGCTGCGAGCGGTTGGCCGCAAGCTCGAGGGGATTGGTGTATCGGCTGCATGTGGCCATGCAGGCTTTATATGCAAGCAGCGAGCGGCGAGAGCACTGATGTCGTTGTGGGGATCACGAAGCCGTCGCGCTCCCAAGATCCGCCGACACAATTGAGCTATTCTCTGGAAGTAGATGCGTTATCGGCGCGACATCGGCAGGTACTCCGAAGGCTGGTTAATGCATTGCACCCTTTTGTATGCCACGATGCGTCGACGACGATTGCGATCTAACAGTACCGGCCGAATAACAGGCGCTCCGCTCGCGCACTGTGCTTTTATCTGCCGCATGATCTGTGAAGGTTCACATGCCTATACAATGAGCAGGTCCGCTACAGCAGCGCCCTCCCCAGCATTACGTTCTGTAATCGCCGTTGATCCTGACGTATTCCTGGAAGCCAATGAGATACCGCGAAGTGGGACTGGGGTGGGAGAAAGCACTCACATAACTGAAGTCGCACGTCCAGTACTTCGCGCTCTCGGACCCGATGCCGAGCTCAACCTTGATCTCCAGATCTTCCTGGGTGATGATTTCCGTTGCACGCGCTTCATTTACTTTCTCAGGCTCGCCATTCACAAGAAGCGGAAGAGAGGCGGTCCCGTCGGCGGGAATGAAGGACACGTTCACCCGCGTAGGGTCGAGAGGCGCCGAGAGTGGGATAGAGCCCGTCGCAGCGAGAATGCGGCCCCAGCTATCGCGGTGACATGTTTAGTACATACAAGTGAATCAGCGCGAACGTCACTCACTTAGCATCTTCGCCGAATAGCGCGGTTTTCACGAGCGCGGAAGTAGATATCCGCGACGCCACGCGATGAGCGTCCGCGTAGGTGGGAGCACCCTGTACAGTGCGTTAGACTTGCACTGTGCTATACAGGGCGGGACTTACCTCGACCGTAACGGTCACGAACTTGGTCGCGCCCTCGCCATCGCGTACAACAAGTTGAGCGAGGTCAGCTGCGAACGATGTGAGCTCCTGCTTGAACGCCTCGTATGCTTCGGGATGGTGTTCCTCGTCGATCTCAGCCTCCTCGGTTGCTACCGCGGCGCCATTGGCAAGCACGACGATCGTATCGTTCGTGGACATGTCGCCATCCACGCTGATCGAGTTGAAGCTCCTGTCCACCGCGTAGGTCAACGCGGACTGGAGACTCGGGGGTGATACTGCTGCGTCCGTGAGGATACATCCGAGAAGCGTTGCGTGCAGCTGTCCACTGGAGGAGGTCGGGGGGCCCATGTCGGGATGGATCATACCCGCACCCTTGTCCATGCCCGCCATCCGGTATTCCTTGCCGTTGATCGTGAAAGTACGCGCGCGCAGCTTGGGGAAAGTGTCCGTGGTCATGAACGCACGAGCAGCACGTTCCCATGCATCGAATGTGGACCCCAGCGACCTCTTCTCCCCGCTGCTCTGAGCGCGGATGCCGGCAAGAATCTTGGCGATGGGTAGGGTCTGCCCGATGACGCCGGTGGACATGACGAGTGTTTCGCTGGTGGCGCTGGGGTTGGAGAGGAGCGAGTCCGTTTCGCGAGCCATCGCCCACGCATCCTCCATGCCCTGCTTCCCCGTCACAGCGTTGGCGCATCCGCTGTTCACGACGATAGCGCGAGCACGACCATTTGTGTTCTTGATCACCTCTTGGGACACGATGACGGGGGCGGCCTTGAATGCATTACGCGTGAAGCATGCTGCGGCGCTGGTGGGGCGAGGAGATGTAGACAGGATGACGGCGAGGTCCAAGACGTCGGCTTTCTTCTTGACCCCAGAGTGCAGACCAGTCAAAGCATACCCTTGGGGGAAGACGGAGTCAGGGAGGGCCTTGTGGAGGTGGCTTTTGGAAGGGGTGGTTTTGGTGACGATGGTCGTGGTCGACGAGAAACGCTTCCACACCGCTGGCAGGCGGTTCACGGTCCAGGACATGATGGGCACTCACAACTGGTGGAAAGCAGTACGAGTCAGAGGCAGGCGGTGGAAGGATATCGACAAAGTTTAGCCAAAAAGGACGGTATATTTCCTGCGGATCGAGCTCGGACCAGAAGTAGGCTTGGTACGAGCAAAACGCGACTGGCTACCTACAAGAATAGACAGTCGCCCCGAGGATGACCTCGCTCTCCCACCGCTCCGTTACTCGCGTTCGTCGAGTGTTGCGACGACTGAGTGCAACGCTGGTCGCTGCGTCGGTGGTGAAGAAAAGAGGGGACGAGGACGAAAGACGATTTTGACGAAGGTCGTGTTCCCACGACGGGCGCCTGATTGCCCGAAATGGACCGCGCCCGGGTGTTGCCGAGGAGCGCTCTGCGAACGAGTGTGGCAAAACTTCAGCATAACGGACCGTAGCAGCTAGCCTTCAAGACCTCGACACCGGCCGACCGACGACACAATGGGCTCCACAAGGTGAGATTACGCTTCTACGGTGCAAGATGGTGCTCTGGGAGTTGTTGGAGGAATTTGGACGGCACAGGGCGAGAGGGACAGGATGGATGCTACTTCGACCGTTTGGATGACGGCGCTCTCTCGTGGATTCATTCGCCCCTCGACCCCCCTCCTCTCGACTGCCCTGCTCCTCTGGCGTGTTTCTCCCTTGCAATTTGCTCTCGTGAAACCTCTGGAATAGTCGGCTTACTGGGCTCCATGATTTCCTAGACTTTACTCCAAGGGTCGTGTCCTCGGCCACAAGCGCGCTAAGCGCAACACCCGCCCCAACACTTCGCTCGTCCAGATTGAGGGTGTAGCGACGAAGGAGGATGCGCAGTTCTACCTGGGCAAGGTACGTGCTTGTCTTTTCTTGACCTGGCAGACGACCAAACATTCGTTTTTCAGCGGGTTGCGTACATCTACCGTGCGAAGCGGGAGATCCAGGGCTCGAAGGTCCGTGTGATCTGGGGGTACGTCTTCCTCTCTTTCCTGTCGCGCACCTCTGTTTAACGTCGCTCTGCGCGTCTTAGCCGTGTTACTCGCCCTCACGGCAACAACGGTGTCGTAAAAGGCAAGTTCCGCTCGAACTTGCCCCCACACGCGTTCGGCGCGAGCGTCCGGGTGGTACGTGCTGCACGATTTCAACGGAGTATCTCGCTGGAGCTGATGCGTTTCATGTGGCACAGATGCTGTTCCCCTCCAACATCTGAGCCATTTCCCTCCGTCCATTTTAGTCGCTGGCATCGCTGTTACACGCTCATGTATTGCAAATACTATGACATGCCCCCATGATTGCATGCATCCTCTGGTTGTACGATTCTACACATAGATGTGGTGTGCTGCGTCTATCCTGCCCGACTGTATATTGCAGCGCCCAAGCCCGAAGCTTTCGATTGCAGGCTTATTCACGGTGTTCATTGTGCTCAACTCACCGCGAAAGTATAACCATCCTCATAGCTCGAGAACGGTAATACAGCCTTGGTGAAACGTACGAAAGAACCTGTGCTTGGTACCTGGTTATCGCTCGTACCACAATCTGCTACAAGGTGTACTGCCGCCATCACCGCCCGTTTCCTCTGGCGTTCATAGCAGCTCCCACACATTGCTTGCCAAACCTACGGCCAGGCGGGCATCAGTAACGTCTCCTGAGCTCGATGGGCTCACTATGGTGGGCGTCGTGCTCCCCAGATGGTTTTGACATCCAACGCGAATCCCCAGGCGGCGCTCTTACGTAAGCCCAATATGTTGGGGTGAAAGCGGTCGGGATCCTTCAGTTTGGCCCTTAGACTCCTTCCTCTACCTTCTCCTTTCTTACTCCCCTCCGTGCGGCCTGCGACGCTTCTTGTTCAGCCATGACCACTTACGATCACTCAAAAGTCGCCCAGTTTATCGGTGAGTCGCAGCACACAGCGCGGTGCAGCCAATAGAACGTGACACGGCTGTAACAGGCGGTAACACCCTCGACAAGGCCCCGACGGGCCCGGTCAGCGACTTCGTGAAGCAAAATGGGGGGCACACGGTTATCACGAAGGTGAGTACGCTGCGTATGCCTGCGCGGTAGGGAGCGGGCGCGGTGCTGGCGCTGTGTCTGCGGATGAGCGCGCTGGACGGGGGGCGGGATGGTCACTAAATGCTTTCGGCGCGTCGCGCGGGTCACGCTATACGCGCTCGCGATCGAGGTGCGCGTACGGCCATCGCTGCGTATTTTCCAAGGCTTCAGAGCACCTCTGCGCTCCGAGCCTTTGCTTATTCGTGGGGTGTGGCCTTTGCTGTCTCCCCAACGAAATGCACGCAAGCGGCGTCACGTACGGAAATGGCGGTTTCAAACGCGGAAAGCGCGTGGCTCGGCTCCTGCCCCGATCGCGCCCCTTCCTCCCCAAGCGCGTCTCTCGTCGCGCGTAACTTTGCTGACGCACACCCCTCCAGGTCCTGATCGCGAACAACGGTCTGTGAAGCCTGTTATTTGCCCCACGTGCACCAACTCACCAATGTCTAGGTATCGCTGCTGTTAAGGAAATCCGTTCCATTCGGCAATGGAGCTACGAGACGTTCGGCACGGAGCGTGCCATCGAGTTCACTGTCATGGCCACGCCAGAAGACATGAAGGTCAACGCGGAGTACATTCGGATGGCCGACCGGTATGTCGAGGTCCCCGGAGGCTCTAACAACAACAACTACGCCAACGTCGACCTCATCGTCGATGTCGCGGAACGCGCTGGTGTGCACGCGGTCTGGGCTGGTTGGGGTCACGCTTCGGAGAACCCTCGACTCCCTGAAACGCTCGCACAGAACAAGATCGTCTTCATTGGCCCTCCCGGGAGCGCCATGCGCAGTCTCGGCGACAAGATCTCGAGTACGATCGTTGCGCAGAGCGCGGACGTCCCCACCATGCCTTGGTCAGGCACTGGTATTACGAAGACGGAGCTATCTCCTGCGGGCTTCGTCACGGTCCCCGACGACGTGTACCAGGCGGCTTGCGTGACCACCGTAGAGGAGGGTCTGAGGAGGACGGCAGAGATTGGCTTCCCTGTCATGATCAAGGCTTCTGAGGGAGGCGGAGGCAAGGGTATCCGAAAGGTTGAGGCTCCAGATCAATTCAAGAACGCGTTCCACGCAGTCGCTGGAGAAATCCCTGGTTAGTGACATTTGACATGTCCCCATTCCAGTGAACAGCTAGCTCACCCCGCTGCAGGTTCCCCCATCTTCATTATGAAGCTTGCTGGTCAGGCGCGTCATTTGGAGGTCCAGCTCCTCGCCGACCAGTACGGCAATGCTATCTCCCTCTTCGGTCGTGACTGTTCCGTACAGCGGCGTCACCAGAAGATCATCGAGGAGGCGCCTGTGACGATCGCGAAGCAAGAGACGTTCGAGAAGATGGAACGTGCCGCAGTGCGGTTAGCCAAGCTTGTCGGATACGTGAGCGCAGGAACGGTGGAATGTACGTGTCTTTATGAGAGAAAAGGTTCACAACGCTCATAGTTTCGCAGACCTCTACAGCCACGCGGAGGATGTCTTCCACTTCCTAGAGCTGAACCCTCGTCTGCAGGTCGAGCATCCAACGACCGAGATGGTGTCCGGTGTCAACCTGCCTGCTGCCCAGCTTCAGGTTGCGATGGGCATTCCCCTCCACCGCATTCGTCATATCCGCCAGCTCTACGGCGTCGCTCCCAACGGCTCGTCCGAGATCGACTTTGATATGGTCAACCCCGACGTGAGCAAGCTGCAGCGCAAGCCCCGTCCCAAGGGGCACGTTGTTGCTGTCCGTATCACAGCGGAGAACCCGGATGCCGGCTTTAAGCCATCTTCTGGATCGCTGCAGGAGCTCAACTTCCGGTCTAGCACCAACGTCTGGGGCTACTTCTCAGTCGGCACTGCTGGTGGTCTCCACGAGTTCGCGGACTCGCAGTTCGGTCACATTTTCGCGTACGGCGAGGATCGTGGCGAGTCCAGGAAGAACATGGTTGTAGCGTTGAAGGAGCTGAGCATTCGTGGTGACTTCCGCACCACCGTCGAGTACTTGATCAAGCTCTTGGAGTTGCAGGCGTTCGAGGAGAACACCATCACTACCGGCTGGCTTGACTCACTCATCAGCGACAAGCTCACCGCCGAGCGCCCTGAGCAGAGTCTCGCGGTGATCTGTGGTGCCGTCACGAAGGCGTACCTCGCGTCGGAGGCATGCTGGACCGAGTACAAGCGTATCCTCGACAAGGGTCAGGTGCCCTCCCGCGATGTGCTCAAGACCGTCTTCGGGATCGACTTCATCTACGACAACGTCCGGTACTCCTTCACTGCCACGCGTTCCTCCCCGATGCTCTGGACGCTGTATCTCAACGGCGGCCGGACGATGGTGGGCGCGCGAGGCTTGGCTGATGGCGGCCTGTTGGTTCTGCTCGACGGCAAGAGCCATTCTGTCTACTGGAGAGAGGAAGTCGGCGCGTTACGTGTGTTAGTCGATTCGAAGACGTGCTTGATCGAGCAGGAGAACGACCCCACGCAGCTTAGGAGCCCTAGTCCTGGCAAGCTCGTTCGCTTCCTGGTCGAGAGCGGCGATCACATCAACGCCGGGGAGCAGTACGCCGAGATCGAGGTATGTCCCGTATAGTTCTGGTTTCACGGTGCTCAATTGACAATGCGTACGTCTATGTAGGTCATGAAGATGTACATGCCCCTGGTTGCCTCCGAGGACGGCATCGTGCAGTTCGTCAAGCAGCCCGGCGTCAGCCTTGAGCCCGGAGACATTCTGGGTATCCTTACTCTCGATGACCCCGCTCGCGTCAAGCACGCGAAGCCTTTCGAGGGTCTCCTTCCCCCGATGGGTACCCCCGCTGTGGTCGGCAACAAGTCCCACCAGCGCATGCACTTCTACCTTGACGTTCTCAACAACATCCTCGATGGCTACGACAACCAGGCCGTCATGGCTTCTACCCTCAAGGACCTCCTCGACGTCCTCCAGAACCCGGAGCTCCCCTTCTCTGAAGCCACTGCCATTCTCTCTACGCTTTCTGGTCGCCTGCCGGCGAAGCTCGAGGAGAGCATCCGCTCAGCCATCGATATGGCGAAGAGCAAGGGCGAGGGCGCCGAGTTCCCCGCCGTCCGCATCCGGAAGCTCATCGACCACTTCATGGAGGACAACATCCGCGCACAGGACCGCACCATGTTCCGTACTCAGCTCGGGCCGCTTCTGGACGCCGTCGAGCGTTACCAGGGTGGTCTGAAGGCGCACGAGACCAACGTCATCGCCGGTCTGCTCGCGCGTTACGAGGAGACCGAGATGCTGTTCGGTGGAAGCATGGAGGCGCGCGTGTTGACTCTTCGTGAGCAGCACAAGGACGACCTGGACAAGGTCGTCTCGCTCGTGCTCAGCCACGTCATGGCCCAGCGCAAGGGACGTCTTGTGATGGCGATCCTGGAGCACGTCAAGAACAGCGGTCTCACGGTCACCGATCCCAACTCGCGCCTGTACCAAGTGCTGCAGGGGCTCGCTGCTCTCGAGGCTAGGTATGTCAGAGTCTCATCGTTCACGCCAACTCAAAACTGAAAGGTTACCACAGGTCATCCACTCAAGTCGCTTTAAAGGCCCGTGAAGTCCTCATCGCGTGCCAGATGCCCTCGTACGAGGAGCGTCGCGCGCAGATGGAGGGTATCCTCAAGGCTTCCGTGACCAACAGCTACTACGGCGAGCCCGGCTCCCTTGCTCGGTTTGTCTTGACTAGTTTCTGTGCGAGCATACTCTGACTTGCCTACATAGCACTCCGTCGATCGACGTCCTGAGGGAGCTGATCGACTCGAGGTACACCGTCTACGACGTGCTTCCTACGTTCTGGAACTACGCCGACCAGGAGATCACGCACGGTAAGTCTCGCGACTTGATGTACCAGCAATTCGTCTCACTAAATGCCTATCTAGCTGCTCTCGACGTCTATGTGAGGCGCGCATACAAGGCGTACACACTGCTGTCTGTCGATTACGAAGAAGGTGACGGCATGGATGATGGTGAAGCGCCGAACGTCCTCCTTTGGCGATTCAACCTTGGCCAATCGCACTCTCCCCCGTCTACGCCTCGTATTTCGCAGGGGTGAGTCCCAGTAGAATGATGTGGCGGCCCGGTTTCTGACAACATAATATCGGTAGGGAGACTCCTCGCAGACAAGCCTCCGTGAGCGACTTGACCTACATGATCAACACGCACCACAAGCAGCCTCTGCGTACTGGTGCCATCGCGTCGTTCCCCACCCTCGGGGCCCTGGAGCGCGGCTTCGACAAGGTTGCGTCCTCGCTCCCCGTCTTCGAGCCTCTGGAATACCAGCAGCGTTACGGCGCCAACAACGAGCCGCCAAACGTTCTCAACATGGCCCTTCGTATCTTCAACGAAGCTGACGACATGTCTGAGGATGCCTGGTACGAGAAGATCGAGGAGCTTGTCAACGCTCACCGCGATGTCGTGACGCGTCGTGGCGTCCGCCGTATCTCGGTCCTCATCTGCCGTCCTGGCCAGTACCCGATCTACTACACTCTTCGCGAGATGAACGGCTCGTGGAAAGAGGAGCAGTCTATTCGTCACATCGAGCCCGCCCTGGCCTTCCAGCTCGAGCTGAGCCGTCTCTCGAGCTACAACCTGACGCCCTGCTTCACGGAGAGCAAGCAGCTTCACATCTACCACGCGGTCGCGCGGGAGAACCAGCTCGACAACCGTTTCTTCATTCGCGCCCTTGTTCGTCCTGGCCGTCTGCGCGGCACTATGGACATGGCGAACTACCTCATCTCGGAGACCGACCGACTCGTTACCACGATCCTGGACGCTCTCGAGGTCGTTTCTGCTCAACACCGGAACGCGGACTGCAACCACATCTTCATGAACTTCATCTACAACCTTCCCGTCACCTACGACGACGTCCTCGCTGCTATCTCAGGCTTCATTGAGCGTCACGGCAAGCGTCTCTGGCGTCTCCACGTCACTGGTTCTGAGATTCGCATGGTGCTCGAGGATAAGGACGGCAACGTCACTCCCATTCGTTGCATCATCGAGAACGTCTCCGGCTTCATCGTCAATTACCACGGCTACCAGGAGATCACGACCGACAAGGGGACGACCATCCTGAAGTCGATCGGCGAGAAGGGACCCCTCCACCTGCTGCCCGTTCACCAGCCGTACCCTACTAAGGAGTCCCTGCAGCCGAAGCGGTACCAGGCGCACCTGATTGGTACCACCTACGCCTACGACTTCCCGGACCTGTTCTCGAAGGCCCTCAGCAACGTCTGGTTGAAGGCCCGGACGATCAACTCCAGCTTGACCGTCCCGAAGAAGGTCTTCGAGTCCCGCGAGCTCGTTCTCGACGAGCACGACCAGCTCCAGGAGGTGGACCGCGCTCAGGGCAACAACACTGTCGGCATGATCGGCTGGGTCTTCACCATGAGGACCCCCGAGTACCCTGAAGGCCGTCGCGCTGTGGTCATCGCCAACGACATCACGTACAAGATTGGGTCTTTCGGCCCCGCCGAGGACCAGTTCTTCTTCCTCGCCTCTCAGTACGCCCGCCAGCAAGGTCTCCCTCGCATCTACCTGTCTGCCAACTCTGGCGCCCGCATCGGTGTCGCCGAGGAGGCCATGAACCTGTTCTCTGTCGCGTGGAACGATGCCGCGCACCCCGAGAAGGGCATTGAGTACCTCTACCTCACGCACGAGAACTACCTCAAGCTCCAGGAGAAGGCCGCCGCCGCCGTCCACACCGTAGAGATCGAGGACAACGGCGAAGTTCGTCACAAGATCACCGACATCATCGGTCTGCAGGACGGTATTGGCGTGGAGTGCTTGAAGGGATCTGGTCTCATCGCTGGCGAGACGTCTCGCGCCTACGACGACATCTTCACGATCACTCTCGTCACCGCTCGTTCCGTTGGTATCGGCGCGTACCTCGTGCGCCTCGGCGAACGGGCCGTCCAGGTCGAGGGCCAGCCCATCATCCTCACTGGCGCGGGTGCTCTCAACAAGGTGCTTGGCCGTGAGGTCTACACCTCCAACCTGCAGCTCGGTGGCACCCAAATCATGCACAAGAACGGCGTTTCGCATCTTACCGCCAGCAGTGATCTCGAGGGCGCCACGCACATCCTCGACTGGCTTGCCTATGTTCCCGAGCACAAGGGTGCTCCCCTCCCGGTCCTTGACCTCGCCGACCCTTGGGACCGCGACATTAGCTATGTGCCGCCGAAGGGCCCTTACGACCCGCGTTGGTTCATCGAGGGCAAGCAGGATGAGGCCACGCACGACTGGCTTTCCGGCTTCTTCGACCGTGGTTCATTCCAGGAGACGTTGAGTGGCTGGGCTCAGACGGTCGTCGTTGGGCGCGCTCGTCTCGGCGGTATCCCCATGGGTGTTATCGCTGTCGAGACGCGCACTATCGAGCGCGTGGTACCTGCCGATCCTGCCAACCCGACGTCGTTCGAGCAGCGCATCATGGAAGCTGGCCAGGTCTGGTACCCCAACTCCGCGTACAAGACCGCGCAGGCGATCTTCGACTTCAACCGGGAGGGTCTGCCCTTGATCATCTTCGCCAACTGGCGTGGTTTCTCGGGCGGACAGCAAGACATGTACGACGAGATCCTCAAGCAGGGCTCCAAGATCGTCGACGGCTTGTCAACGTACAAGCAGCCCGTCTTCGTCTACATCGTCCCTCACGGCGAGCTCCGCGGTGGCGCGTGGGTCGTCCTCGACCCGTCCATCAACTCAGCGCAGATGGAGATGTACGCCGACGTGGAGGCCCGCGCCGGTGTCCTCGAGCCTGAGGGTATCGTCGAGATCAAGATGCGCCGGGACAAGATCCTCAAGCTGATGGAGCGCCTCGACGCCCCCTACGCGGCCCTCAAGAAGGACAGCACGGATGAGTCCAAGACTGCTGAGGAGCGCGCCGCTGCCACGGAGGCCCTGACCCAGAGGGAGACCCTCTTGCAACCGACGTACAAGCAGATCGCCTTGCTGTACGCGGATCTTCACGAGTAAGCGTCGTTAGCTTCTCTATCGCTGTTGTGTAGACTGACATGTTCTGCCATAGCCGTACCGGTCGCATGGAGGCGAAGGGATGCGCGAAGTCGATGGTCTGGAAAGATGCGCGCAGGCGCTTCTACTGGGCTGTCCGCGCGAAGGTGGCTCGCTCTTCCGCCATGGCCCAACTCGCCGAAGCCAGCCCTGATTCGAGCTTCGAGTACCGCACGCGCCTCCTCGAAGACCTCGCGGAGATCGAGTCCACGAGCGAACCCCGCGAAACTGCACAAGCGCTCGAGGACCTCGACCTTACCAATACGCTGGCGCAGCTCAAGGCGGACCACTTGACCCACCAGATGCTTGCGCTCGCGCAAGAGGACAGGAAGGCCACCGTCGACGGTCTTGTCCGGCTCATCGACCACCTCGCCGACGACGAGAAGCTCGCACTGATCAGCGCTCTCCAGAACTCTACTCGCTCTTCCGGTGAGTCTCATGTTTCCTCCGTGCTACAAATTCGCTGACTCTGTGAATAGGTCCCCCATCATACGCCTCTAACTAGATCTTGCTCCCAAAGTACATATAAGCTCTTCGCTATCGCCGTAGTACCGTCGTAATGACTTCGACTCTCACGCATACACCGATGTTTTCTATACCATGTCCTGCTAGCCCAACACCGTGTCTCCATCCTCATCTGATTCTTGCTATAGACCCGAATACTAGACGATACTGACGATCTTAATGCATTTTCTTCACCGCCTGAATACGTTCGAGCACAAAATCCCAGCGTGAATACCCTCCGTTGCTGCACTATGTACATCTGACAATCAGGTGCGCTGCTATCGTACACAAGATTCCCTCTTAAACACTCTCCAACGACGAGGGTTGCTGCTTACTCGATTGTTTACAATCCGTAGTCGGCCTTGATGATATCGGCGGCTGTAACAACGCGAAGCGGTCAGTTCTAGAGGATTATAGCGTGCGGAAAGGAAACTTACCCTGCTCGGCGATTCCGTATGTAGTGGCTAGTCATCCTGTGTTATCACCGGTGGCAAGATGTGAAGGCGACCGGAAGTTACATACCTTGGGTATGCACAGACGGGATAATCGGGAGAATGGACAAGTCCGCGACGCGCAAGTTCTTTGTTCCATAGACCTTAAGCGGATCAAATGAGCAACTCCCTTGATTAGACGTCACAGCGTATGGCACCTTCAACTTCGTGTCGACCACACCGCCCTTGTCTTTGGGCATCATCGTACAGGTCCCGACCGAGTCTGAACGGACCGCGTTAGCTAGCGCGCACGACAAGCCACTATAATGAGACGGACGTACGCCAGGTCGTGGATAGGTTATGCTTCACATATTCTGTCACAGAGAACCCACGTTTCGGAAGTTAGTTCACGCTGAGCACGACCCATCTGGAATCTATACCTCGAATCTGCTCATCAGATGCAACACTTGGACCCGGGAGCACCTCCTGTTCAGCGGCGTCCTTCCACGGACCAGCCGCCGTAACCTTCCGCAGGAACTGGAGCGCGTCGACGAGAATCTCAAGGTCGATTTCCTCGGAAAAGTAGTTCGGTTCGATAGTCGGCTGGATGGCCGGGTCCACAGAAGAGGCATGCTGTGGCCAGTATGAGATCGAGCAGGACAAGACAGGATCAGTGAATGCATGAACGCACGATGGTCCCGCGAGAGAACGGATGTCCGATCGAGGGCAAGATCCCCACGTAGGGTTTCCCGGAGTCTACACATATAATGGCTGAGCGTGAGTGAAGAGGAGAGCGCCTTTATAATAGCTGACCGTTGGGCGGGATAGAGAAGGGAAATACAAGGATCTCGATATCGGGCACATTCGACTTCCGCAAGAGCTCCAATTGCATCTCGTACTGCTCTTTGAGGCCGGGAAGGAGCTTTGATGCATTCTCGGCGAGTCGATGCTCCTGAGCCTGAATCAGCGCGTCGGCGCGGTCGGAAAACGTGTGAAGGGGAAGGAAAGTCGCTCCGCTCAGCGCGAGGGAGAAAGGCCCGCTCGCGTCGCCGCTTGGACCTCGAAATTAGCCTCTGTCAAATGAAAGAAGGCAAACGAGCCATACTAAGCTTGACGCAGCTTGCTTTGAAATTCGGGCAATTTGATCGTATCACTGGTCATGAAGTCGTAGCCAACACGCATTTCTATGCAGCAGTATGAGGCGACGTGTTGGACAACCCATCACAAAAAGACGCACCAAATGCATAGGCGGAAAGGATAAGATGATCCTGCAAGTTCGTGCCGACTGACGGGAGGTCGAGTTGCACCGGAATGCCAAGAGGTGCGAGAATGGCGCGGTCGCCGATGCCACTGAGCTCCAAGATATGCGGCGACTTGACAGTGCTGTTAATAGCGACCGTGAGCACTGTGCGCTGTGGCATACGGGAATGCCGTACCCGGCGTTGAGGATGACTTCCTTGCCTGCGTTCACAATGTGAAAGTGGCCTCCGTGCTGGAACTCTACACCGGTGGCGACCAGCTCCTCCCCCTCTTGCTTCGTCAGCACACGCCGGACAAACGCTTCCGTTAGAACTTCGAAATTCGGGCGACCAAGAGCTGGGTAAATGTAGCCCTAAGACATGTGAGCCGAAACCGACTGTCATTAAGGGCTTGAACTCGCCTTCGCCGCATGACTGCGCGTCTGAACCTTAGGATCGATTATAGAAGCGGCCCTCCACGTCCCTGAGATCTGATAGCCGTAAGTACTTCAATGTGCGGGTTTGGGTAACTTTTACTACCTCGCCGCCCAGCTAAAATCGTAACCTATGATCAGTGTTGGCCCATCAGTCACAGTGAAAGAACCACTTACGGCGTCCGTAATCGTATTGATGCCCTGAGCTGCCAGAGCCTAGCACGCGAACAAATTGGATGTGCGCAACGTCACTCGGGGATGGTTACACACCTGTTGAAAAACCAGCTCGATTCCGGAGCTAGTCCTTGCAAACGAGACGGGGATCGGGCCTACAGGGTGGAGAGGTCAGCCGATGCACAAAGCCGAAGATGGCCAACAATTATCTCACCGTCGTGACCTACAGATTCAGCTTTGTACAGCGCGCGATATTCCTCTATAGCACTCCCAGAAGGAGCGCAGAACCTAGAATGATCTCAAGGTCACTTGATGCGTCCCGCTCCGAACGAGATCTTACCTCTCGGCTCTCTTGGATGCTTCGAAGAACCGCTCCCAGTTCCACCCTTGATTCCCCAGCTTCTCAACAGCTAGATGGGTCACCGTGAACAACCAGGCAATCCGCAGTGACGCCACCTTACCATCAATTTCCTCACGCTGAGGCCTGGTCCACAGCAAGAAGTTAATCAGGGTACTCCCGCCTAGGCCCTTGCCCCTAGAGATTCGCTATTAATTGCATTCATGTCACGGTGCCGAGGTCGATAGACATTCACCTGGACCAGTAGAAGCTGTGGGTAGGCTTTCCGTCTGGAGTGGTGACACTGTTGGCGATACCATCCTGTGGCGTCGTACGGAAGAGCCAATCGTACTCCGGGTTGAGCATGACTTGCATCCACCCATCTACTTGGTCTTACAAATCAATGTAGGATTAGCGCGATGCAAGTTCATCTCACGAGATACTTACCAACGAGAGGATCGTCGAAGTAGGCTTTCCCGGCCTCGAGGAGGGCTACGGAGACATCGGGATTTTCACTCAACCGCGAAGCAAGGACACAACCTGACAACTGCAACAAGACTATTCAGCCATGTTCTGCTGAAGAGTCGGTATACACCTACGCCACCACCTAAGGAAACCTCGCATGAGCCAAATGTCTGGGTACAGGGACCGTAGTGTAGCTCACCGACTATAACAAAGTCAAAGGTTTTGTCGGCGACGTCGCCGAGTTGGGCCAATTTCTGCTCCATAGTGAGTGGATGGTGGAAGTGGTAGTGGTGGGGATGAGCGAGGAAACGGGTTGTCAAGCGGCGGAGGGGTGCTCTATTATATCGTACTCCCTCTGATCACTCTCACGAAGTATACACATACGCCCACAACGACGGCTGCACGAGGTTCGAGGTCTTGTTTATACTTAGATGGGCGGTGTTCGTCGACTGTGTGGCTCTCGTAAACGTCTGTTTACAGTGTCGCCCGCACTCGGTGCTTGTCAATTGCGCCGTAGCCAGAGATGCGACGCGATACGGAATACTGATCCACCAGGTCCTGGACGTCCTGCATGATACATCATCAGCGCTCGAGTGCTTCCTGGGAGATAGTGACACATACCTCAATGCTCCCTGTATCGTGATAAGGGCGCGGTGGTCGAGTGTATGTGCTTCTCGACACGCGCGTGATGTACGGCATCTATGAAGATCAGCGGAGGAGCTCAATGGGGTCGAAGATAAATTAAGGCGCAAGTTGGTTTCCCTGCCAGCGTGCGAGATCGCGCGCGATGGTAGGTACTCATCCCGGAGACCAACGAAGAGGTCTGCGCCAGGACAGACACCGCGCAGGCCAGTGTCCACCCTTCCCCGGGACGTACCTTTGTTACTGGCAGTTTAGAGAGACCCATACACAAAACCCACAGAGCACCTGAAAGAGACCCAAAGTCGCGCAGCGAAAACCAGGAAAGCATAGTAGAGAGCGCAACCGAGGTCAGCACCAAGCGGCAGGCTGCTTAAAGAGAGAGGCCAGACGCGACGTACAGAGGAGAGAGAACGCACAGAGAGCCGAAGATGCCAGCGTCTACCAAGCATTCCGAAATGAGCATAGAATGACGAAGCATAGAGGTTGCCCAGAGAGCTCCAATGAACCCAGGAGACGAGCCACAAGGAGGTCCAGAAAGCTTTGCGAAAGCTCAGATGAAGTTACAGCCAAGGAAAGATCGCAGTGAGAGAATTGATAGCGAGTTAGCGAAAGTCATAAGGTACCAGATGAACAAGAGTCGCCAGAAGGTAGCCGAGCCCGAGCCACGAGCCTGGTGAAAACATGGAAGCAGAGAAGAGCACAAGCATGAATGTATAGCAGACAGCAAGAGAGGGCCGCTCGGTGGAGGAAGTGACAGTAGAGAATCAGGAGGACTAGCAGAGAGCGGTGCGAAGATATAGACCTGGTTGGAAAGAGGCTGACGATCGGTCAGCCTCCCCCAATCATGGCGGGTTGGTTCGGTGGTAGGTCTTGGGCCTCACCTCAATCTTATTCGGCTGTCTTCGTCAGCATCCAAAGCGTCAGGCCTCCGGTGATATCTGCTGTCGTCTGTGAGCTACGATTTCACTTCAGCCGGACTAACTGGAAAGGTGTCAACAACATGCGGAGGGATTTGAACTCGGTCCTGCGCTCACCAATCAATGTTTTCCGTACAACTCCACGCATCATCTCGGACACTCGTATGGATGTGTTTGACGCAGTCGAACTGGCAGACCAATATTGTGATCAGGAAGATTGCGGACTTGGAGTCGCATACACGTCACCGGGCAAGCACGTTGAAAACACATCATGGATCAGATAGAACAGTCAGACACTTATGGTGGCGGATGAAGGGATTGGATGAATGAATGCTCGCGCGAGTTGATAGTGGAGTGAAAGAGAGATGCAGTCACGAAGGTTGGTAGGATGTGACTGAGTCGCCGACGCGGTCTAGGCTCAAGGGCGCCACCGGCGTCTATCGATGCCGGAAAACAGGGTACCAGTTGAATGCACATGAATGCACAGCTGTATCATATATGCACACCGACGACCGCGCGCCCTGACTCGTCTATGCATGCATCCTGCGCCACCGATGCCTGTTCGGACGTCGGCGGAGGTCTTGCCTGAGACCTCGGAAGGTTCGATCCACAGACTCGGATGACGCGCCACGGGAGAGCCTGACTTTCGAGAGCGATGTGCCTGTGCCTCAGGTCATCGGGTGGAGGGTGCGCACTTACATCTACATGATCTCGATCTATAGACGTTCTGCTCCGATAGCACCTCATGTATGCAGGGCCTGCCTTTGCACATCTTATACTATGCCTCGATTGCGCTGATCACAGCAGGTTGGTGAGGGCGAGTGACCGATGTAAGGCAATACAGACTCAACTTATTGGCGGGCGCCCAGAGACACGTTGAGCAAACTCGAGGTGCAGTAGAACGAACGGATGAGAGCCCGGGGTCCGCCGACGTCCGCGCGCAACCCCACAACAAGCACGAGCCAGGAACATGCCACTGCATCATACCACCACTGATGACATCGTACAGGGGAACGTACTGATCACCACCGCACGGTCTGTCCCAGCACGCCGTATTCTGGTAACATATTGCGCCGAGTGGGCCGGGGGCTATACACCCCCGAGGCGACCAGCAGATGATATCTATCCGGCACCCGTCAGCATGCGCGTTTCCTGAGAAGAACTGGGATCCGCATGCGCGACTCACCTCCACGCTGCATACAAGAGGGTGGCGGGCTCGCATCGTTGGGTGGCCGATATCCAAGGAGGCGGTTTGTTTACGCGACGGAGCCGCCGCGTTCTCAGGACCTCGCACGCTTGTCCCGGCGGCGTGCGAGTCCTTCAGTGGCTTTGAGGCTATTTCCCTCTGCGAGACACCGAGTTCTCCTTTTAACCTTCGGACACTCCTTTTATACACCCTGGGTTGTCTATAACACGGCTACTGGGCAGCGGCGAGGTAGAGGTTGCAAGCAACGCGCCGATATGCCCGACTTCACCTTATGCAACACGGGAAGATGGCGGAATGAGTTGATGCCAAGATGCATGCGCTCCCACAAGACGGGATGCAGGTCCTATGCAATTAGCCCTGTCAATGCATATCTCTCTGGCCGAATGCTTTTGAGCGACAGCTGTATGCAGAACTTGAGAAGTGATGACATACCTGCTGAGTGTGGGCGTCCTATGTCTGACAGATGATTTATGGTTCGACAGCAAGCGCGCCGCCGGGCTCACACCTCTGGGAACATCTCGAGCGATGACGAGGTCTAGTACCTATAGTAGAAATTAGCTCGGAGGCAGACGTTTATAGTACACACCCCTGTACGTAGCTCCCTTGCACACGTTGACCGACGCCTCCGAGCACGCGCCGCGGTTAGTTCGCGCGCAGCAGGACTAGCTCTGCGAACCTCGGCTGAGATTCGTCGGGTGCTGACCTGTAGCATGTTCACGGGTTTTCGCGACGAGGGGGTTATGGCGGTGCCACGGTGCCCTCCCGCAGCCATTCTCAGATGACATGATGCTTCATCAGCTCTGCACAGTACACATCACTTCTGTTCGAGATGTCTGGGTTCGTGCTGGGCTGCTTATCAGCGTGCGAGTGGGAAGGCAGAAGTGACGGGGCGTATACTGACGCTGCTTCGAAAGGACAGAGCCCGAGGAATGCGCGCATGTGGGTGCGGAGCCGCGAGCATTGAACCTGGCATTACTTTGTAAAGATATGAGCGGATGGTAGCAGATTCGGCTGCAGCGTCATGCCCTCCCTCGTCATCCGCGACGATCGCTCGGGAATGGGATTTTGATCCCCGCCAAGGTGGTAGGTTATGCATTATGATTGAGCTATCAAAGAATTTGGACGGCGTACCCCTGAATGCAGGTGGCAGGAAGATGCAAGCTGCTTTTGGGCAACATCATCGCGCGCGCACCCGCCTGCGAATAGGAATGTGCTGCCCGAACGCTAGAAGCCGGCGGCGGATTATCAGAACGGAGCGCTTCCTCTGCTGGGCCTGCAAGCGAGTGTATTCAAAGTTCGTCAGCCGTTCTCTGATGCGTATGCGAACATCGCCCAGGTGGGAGTGCGGGAGATTGTGGCTCAGCTCACCGGCGAAGTCTGCTGGCATTCCGTGCGTCCGTGTGGCCTCCGTGCACGGCGGCGACTCAGGTGGGTAGATCAGGGTGTCTCGACGTCGATCACGACGTGCCACATTGCATTGCTGGATGGCCGCAGTGCTGGCTCGCTGTCAATATTGGGCTGTACATGGATGCGGTGGCTGGAATACGGCTGCACGCTCCAGGCCACGGGCGTGTGCAGGCGCGCAGAGCCAACTTTGATGGAACGCCGACGGGTGATGGGCAGATGCACCGTGGGAACACTGCGTCCGGCGGAGTGTGTGGATATTCCCATATACGGGTGCCTCGCCGCCGAGCCTGGGCCGCCAGGCCCCGGACGGCCGGCAGCAGTGTAGTTTCCCCGCCCGTGTTGTGCGCTGTTTGTACACGGTGAGGACGGCCGACAGCGTGCAATTGTGGGCTAGACGGGGGCACAGAGGCTTGACAGACATCGCTCGGACGCGCATGCACGGCCAGGAGAGACAATGGACGCGTCTGGTGGTCGCGGGGGCGCAGGGGAGGGAGGATTATGCGGAGAAGGGGTGAAAACAAGGGAGATCTGGATCGGTCGCTGGGGGGTAATTAACGACGGAGGGTTGGGCGGGGCAGCCTAACTCACTCTCGACCACCCCGCCCATCGACGACCGACTGGACGCCGTCCGCCCGCTCTTTTCCTCTCCCTTATATTTCTCCCGACGCCCCCGCGCGTGCGTCTCGGACCTGTATGAAGTCGGAATTCTCGACAAGTTGGGTTCCGATTCAGAAGAGTTCGACGGCCAGACATCAGACTGAACTTCATCAGTCCAACTCCCATCAGCTCCCTCCTTCCTCTCCTCTCCTCACCCCCCGCACCGCCGCAGGCCACAGAGCGAACTCCTTCGCCGCCTCCTTTCGCTCAGTCTTCCAGCGCACACCGCAGCGCGCGACATCCGCCTCGTCTCTCCACTCAGCCTACTCTGGGAACTCCTCCGCGAAGCCACCTTCGTATACGACTTCCGACAACGCAAGCCTACACCCCTACGCCGCCATGGTCGCCGCACCACTACCCGTAGTGTCAAGCCACGACACCTCAGACGATGAGGACGAGTGCCCCGTCTGCTTAGAGCCGCTGAGCTCCAGCTTCAGGCTGCCTGGAGAGAAGCCCCACATCGTCCCCGAGTGCGGTCACGCCCTTCACGAGGTGAGTTATCTTTCCCGCCATAGTTTTCCTGTCCCCCTCCGCCCTATACATGCACTTGCGCATCCTCGCGCTATCTGGCGCGTTTTCCTTGGGCGGGAATGCCCTTGTATCTGGCACCGCCGTGCCATTCCCACGTAGACTGCCTCCCCCACTCGCCGCTGTACCTGGCGCCACCTTGCTGTACAGCCTATGTGGACCCTGGAATGGTGCCTGCGCTCCCTGTCCGGGTCTCATTTGTCTCAGTGTTGCATTGCACGATACTTGTCGTGCGAGTATATGTCATTTCGAGCGTCCAGCGTGAACATTCGCGCTAGAAGGCTGTATACCATATATGGGCATGCTAGGTCGGTCTCTATATCGTGGCGCAGTCTATGTTTCGCACTCTGCAAAATTGGACTCTCGCGTTCGGGCATCGAAGGCCTTAGTTGGTGCGACCATCGCACGGCGACCTAACTGCGTCGTGTGGTATTGCCTGTACTTTTCTGCAGTCGCGTAACCGTACTATGGCTGTAGGTGACGTACCTAACGACGCGCTCGAACGCGACGAGTCAAGGATTGGAAAGTGGTCTTTCGTTCTGGCTGATCTTTTTGACGGATGTCATCTACAAACCGATGTTGACCAAGTAATTTGACTAGGCATGCTTTACCGCTGTATATGGTCCCCCACCTGGCCCTTCACGCGCTGGCGGTGTTATCCGCAAATCCAATCTCGGTGTATGCGGTGTATGCAGGCGTCCGATGAAAGTGGGTGACGGAGATGGCGGGAAATCGAATAGTGCGTACACTCATGAGCACTGGGGCCATGCACAACAACTGATCGATTCGCAGAGCTTGCCGCTCTTACGGGGATGGGTGATCCTGGAGGCGCACAGTTGTTTCCCGGACGCGACACTCCCTCATCTATGCGATCCTACGGCAGCCGCCCGCCACCACCTCCAAAGCCCTTCGACCCAACGGAAGACGATCCCGTCGAGCACAGGGCAGCATCGTCCTCGGATCAGTCGCACTACGTCGTCGCGCCCTCCATTCAGGTCCAATCTGAATTCGCATCCATCACGCGGACATCCGAGCCCAGCCAGCCACTGACGTGCCTGGTGGTAGTGGAGCTCCCTGGAAAGAGGACGAACACGCACGTTCCAGGTGCAGTGATGCCGAGGACAGACAACTACGCGCCAAATACAACACACGCGTATCGAGACAGCAGCAACCACTCTGTACACTCTGCGTCGCGCGACTACGCGATGATGTCCCCGCAGTCGCAACACATGCCATCCGACCAGCAATCACACTCCGGCAGATCACACAACCTATCCCCGTCCAACTCACGAGATCCACTGGTGTCATCGCCACTCGAACGCGAGATCATCCATGAAGAGGATGCAGACTCGCCGTTCGCTGCGATCACAGAGGATCTTCGGAACCGCATCATCGACTGGAAAGGACACCCGCTTTCTGGACTCGGCCCGCTCCAGATGTACGACCTCTTGTCAGTGCGACGAGACGCCCTGGTACGCGAGTTCTTCGTGTATCTCTTCAAGGAGGCGATCATTTGTGTCGTGGAAGAAAAGAAGCGCAGCCTTACGCGCCTTCTCTCTTCTGCTGGCGCAGCGTCGGCATTTGGTGACGGCACTGGGTCTGGATCCCTCAATGGCGGTGCGCAACGCGGGGTGCTCCGTCTGAAAGGCAGGATTTACATCCGCCACATCCGCCAAGTCACCGACACCTCGGTGGCTGGCGAGCTCAGCCTAACGATTGACATGGAAGACGAGCGCCTGGACTCGTTCATCCTGATCTTCAAGGACCGATCGTCGTTGGAAACCTGGAAGTCGCACGTCCAGGCGCTGGTCGCCAACAACCAGGAGCGCAACGGGCATCAACACCACCAGTCCGACTACATCCGCTCGCCCGACCTGGAGGAGTTCGGCGGGAGCCAGAAGGCGATGCGCATGCTCAGCGGGAGCACGACCGGCACCACGGTTAGTACCGCCGATAGCTTGTTGAATGAGTCGTCGCGCTCGACCGTGTCTTCTAACACGTCGTACGGCTCGGCCTCGCTCGGTCCGCGTGCGGGTCTCCACCAGAAACTCTCTACGCTGGACGAGGATGACGAGCTGAGCCGCTATGGGTCGCCCGCACCCCTCGTGGCGCCGCACATGTCCGCCGGCCCCTCCAACTCCCTCACTCCTCTCCCGCATGCCCCGCTGGACCTCATCCTGGTGATCTCCGTGCCGGGGCCCAACGCGACCCCGAGCACTGCTGCGCTCAAGATGCGCGTCATCAAAACCTCGCTGGACTTCATCCTGGGCTCTATGGCGCCCAAGGACCGCTTGAGTCTGGTCACGTTCGAGGTCGGTGTCGGCGGCAAGGTGCGGCGGACGCCGTTCCTCAACGTCGGGAAGCCGCAGAGCCGGGGTCGCCTGAGCAGGTTCATTGAGGACATCGCGCGCCGGGATGACTTCGACGACGAGTTCCTGGTGCGTGGCTCGCAGGAGGACAAAACGGACGTCGTGACAGCCGTCAACAATGGTGCGTGGCGTTCTGCATGCACGACCTGTCAGAGCTTCGCTGACATTTGTTTCGTGTAGGCCTCGACGTGGTGCTGCAGCGCAAGCAGCGGAACCCGGTGACCGGGTTCGTGCTTGTCAGCGACGCGTCCGACACCACTCGGCGCGCGCAGATGGACCTCGTCCTCGCGCGTGCCGAGGCGGCGAACGTTCCGATCCACTCGTTCGGCTACGGCCGCTCGCACGACCCGGCGTCACTCTGGCTCATGTCGAACCACACGAGCGGGACGTACACGTTCGTGAAAGACTGGTACGACCTCCGGGACTGCCTCGCCGGCTGCATTGGCGGCATGATGTCCATCGCGCTCATGAACATGAAGCTGCACCTGAAGATCGTGGACGGCAACCGCTTCCGCATCCGGAAGATCTCCGGCGGGCCGCTCGCGATCCTCTCCTCGGACGGCCGGGACGTGGACGTCGAGGTCGGCGAGCTGCGCTACGGCGAGCGCAAGGAGATGCTCGTCGAGCTGGAGCTCGACAACTCGGACGTGATGCACAGCCCGGCCCCTTCGCCACATCACACGCACTCACCCCGTGCGCTGAGTGCGACCGACGCCTTCAACCAACGCATGGGTCTCGATGCGCTTTCCATTGGAGACTACGCCGACCTCGCGGAGGGCATGATGGATCGCATGATTGACGAAGTGCCCGTGTTCGAGGTCGACGGCTCGTTCTTCGATCCGAACGCCGTCAAGCACGTCTCGCGCCTAGCGCACCCCGTCCTGCTTACCGTCACGCTCCTGCCGAACACAGGCAGCCGGCCGCGCACGCCCGCGTCGAACACCTCGGACCCGGTTATCGTGCGGAGGCGAATGGAGCTGCTCGCGTCAGACATGATGACGCGCATGCTCGTGCTCGTCTCGCGCCGCAACATCCCGCAGGCGCAAAAGCTGATGGGCGAAACGCGCCGCATTCTGCACACGGTGCTGCAGAATATCACGCAGACGCTCCCGCCGCCGAATAGAGACGGGAGCACGGCGACGCGGAACCGCAAGGAGGTGCTCACGCTCTCCGCGGTACGCGCGATCCAGGCGATCATGCAGGACATGCAGATCCTGTCGGAGGCGCTGGACGAGCATGCGGATACGTTTGCCTTGGACCAGCGTAACTTTGGCGCGCAACAGGTACGTGCGACGGCTGATTTGTTACCTGCGCAAGGACTAACCACTTCATTCACAGGCTAAAGTACTTCGTGACCAGAAGAGCTGGAGTGGGCGCAGTGCAATCGAACGCCTCTTCTGGACGATCGACAGCTCGATTGAGCTAGTCTCACGAAGTAACGACTGGGTCGCCCGCGAGTAATCGTGCCGTTGCTTCCTTTACTTCCCCATCTACCGCCCAATTCCCTTCTTCGCCATTTTTCCGCTTCACGTCTTGCCTCTCATCATGCGCTACCCCGGATCCCGCGATATCCCGAGCAGCCACGACAGGAAATACCGTCTGTTTTTATATCCACCCCTGGACCCCGATCTATTGTTTCGATATCCTCGCCTGCCTGCGCGCGTCGGTTCTCTCACCCATCTACGTCTACGTTTCCCCCTCGATCCCATTCCGGCTGTGTCCGCGCTTTCTGCTTTTTTTGACCAGTGTCTGTCGCCTCTCATTTGTCGTTTCATCTCGCTGCGTCTTGTCCGTACATGTATACCACGCTCGCGCACCGGGGCTATCCAGCTGGGCCGGGCTAATCCGTTGACCGCGGCGATGGAGGGTGGAGGGTGCTCTATTCTCATGGACCGTCGTCGCTGTCGTAGCCGCTATCGCCTTGGCGTTCGGTGTAATTCTGTGTAACGTTATTGGTAGACAGAAGATATGCAAATATGCACATGCCATTTCTCACTCGTACTGCTCACCTGTGTGTTGATGGTCTCCGTTGCTAGCAAGTTACAATTGCTGCGAAAGCGAAGATATATTCACAGGACACACTGATGTCACGATTCACGTCACGTATAGATATCCGGTATGTGTGCGCTCGTATACACATACATGCGCATGCGTGCCGAAGCTCTCGATTCCCACATGTGTCTGGTAGCAGTGCCGCGCCAAACGAGAGACCAGTTTACAAGTGGCACATTGCCGCGCACAACCGCAGACTTTCGACATGTCCGTGAAACTATGTGCTCCCGTTCTATGACCGCGCCAAGCAGGCTTCCTCTGACCGCGTCCAACCAATTCCTACTCCTCGCCGCCGCATGCCGCGCATGGTATTCGTGCAGGATACAGAGCCTCAGGAGTCGCCTCAGCGAGTGCGCTTCCGTGCTGTCTTTCTTTTATGTTTTTTTGTGTGGAGGGGAGGTCGGCGACGGTGCACGACGTCCAGTGCGGGCACTGATACGCAGCGGACCAGATGACGTGCGGCGAGTCGGGGTACACTCTAGGTGCGCGGCAACCGGCTCTGCAGTGAAGGTGAAGGTGGACGAAGAGCTCATATGGGGTGCACCATGACTGTCGGGGAGGGCCTCGGAGCCGAGTGCGCCAGCGAGCGAGGAGCCTGAGGCGGTGGCGGACGAGGAAGCGGGGTTGCCCCTATGCCGCGGTGGCGATTCGAGATGCTCAGGCATACTGTCGGTTCTGAAGCGCGGCTGCGTCTCTGGCGTGTCTATGGTTCGCAGCCATGTTGGAGGGTCGCTCGTAGGCGCAGATGCGAAGCGCTGTGCGTAGTCAGGCCAGGTCTGCGGGAGAGGCTGGGCATTCGGATATGCAGAGGCCCGGAAGTCCAGCGAAACCCTCGGATCGACTGACACGTCCAGGTTTCTAGGTTCCACCCAGGGATCGAAGTCTGTCGTCGCGGTGCTCCAATAGAGGTTCGAAGGGCCCGAAACAGCACTTTCGACAAATGAGTCCCGAGATCGAGTGCTCTCGTTGGGAGGTCGAACTCACTGAGAAGTGTTGCTGAGGTGGAACGGTGGCGCTGCCGACGGGTCCACATGAGAGGCACCAGAAACTCGTTGAAAATCGTGTGGGCCTCCAGCAGCGCGATGGGTGTAAGGTTCAGAGTACCATGCGTTAGAGAAGACGGGATACCCAGGGATGTAGGAAGCGGAGTCCATTGTGGCGTTTGTGGCGAATGTTCCGGGGAGGGCGTCTTGGTCATTTGGAGGCAATTCTGAGCGGGGAATCTACAGCAGTATCCCAGCCATGAGCACCAAGACAGTATGTCAATGGGCATGTGGTCATACCGCCGCCACACCGCTTGTAGAGGGCCCCGCGTTGTAGGCACTGTCCTGTGGGAGTGGTAGTGTCGCTGACTCCAGCGCTGAGCTATGTGCGACTGGTGCAAGTCGCCCAGGACCATTGGTGAAGTCCTCCAAGGAAGAACCCCAGTATGGGATCTAGAAAAACATGTGAGGGGACAGGCCGGACATGGAAGCAAGCATAATTCATACCATGTGGGACATGTGGTGCAACTCCGTTGGCAAAGATCGGGGCATGGCAGGCAACGGGGAGCTGTACAGAACGATGGTCCGATAAAGTGGCAAAACTACTCGCCGAACGTTGCGAGGACCTCAAGACCATCCTTTTAAACCGGAAGGCGAGGCACTGCCATATCCCATGCTGGAACGCATGTGAATAAGCCCTGCAGCGTCAATGGCCCATGCTCCGCATCCGTCTGAGAGGAAGCGCTACGGATCTGGGGCAGACAAGAATTCGAGAAACTCTCTACGCCCGCTCTTCACGCCTTTTCACTGGCGAAGGACAGTGCGATCCCTTCCGTTTGTGAGGACTTGGGCCGCGAAGGTACCGGCAGTGCAAAGTCTGTGCATTACCGCAATTAGTTACACCAACATGGCAGGTGAAAGCATGCGGACAGAAGATACGGCGAGCCTCGAGGTATGTGGGCGCGGTTCTCCTAGGATCCCCTTCGGCTCGGGTTGCAGGTACTGAAGAAAGTTATGTTAAAACCGACATGTAAAGCTGCGGAGCACACCTGTTCGAACAGCGACTTGGTACGCCGAGTCGCAACCTGAAAACCCAAAGCGCCTGTGTTCGTGGGTTGGCTATGCGAACATTGCTGGAGGACCCGGAGGCGTACAACCGTTACTAGGCTGTCGCGATCGAGACGGAGGTCATGGCAGGAAGCTGAAGCTGACTTTATATGAGGCTCGCCGCCTCGGCTTGAGGCGGGCGGGGTTCCCGGGGGACGGTCAGCCCCCTTCACGTGCATGACGCGTCGCGTGTCGGCGTCAGACGTCAATGTCGCGCTGTGGCGCACGCCCGTTGTGGCGTCCATCGTCCTGACTTCAGCCAACTATGCGGCTCGATCTCCGTCAGCCGAAGAGGCAAGAGCGATCGTGAAAGGAGAAGAAGCGCGAGGCGGTGGCGGCGGCGATGACCACATTACTCCAGAAGGGCTATATTGTCGGCGGAGGTGCCTGCGGGCCCGGCGCGAGTGGTCAGCCGGGTCCATGTCTTCGACGGAAACATTCGTAACGGTGGCTCACCGGAGACTAACCGCGCAGTGCGAACTGCTTCACATAGGTACAGACCCCTGGACGCACGTCCCTTGTCCCAGTCACCCCGGCTTGTCTTCCCCAATATCGCCGCAGGCTTCCATCTCCCTTGTCTCAGACGCCCTCATTCGGCCGGCGCACCGTCGTTTTCCAGTAGCATATCCTACGAAGTGAAGACAAGCCTAATCGATGTCGCCACCGCTCTAAAATTTCATCAAATGCATGTTGTATGCACCTAGCTGGACTGCTCATCTACATCCTCGTTCTCGCAGCGAGGAGCAGTGCATTTCACAATGCTGTTGTCGATCCCGGCTGGTAAAATATGAGCCCCATCAGAGTTGAATCCGATGAATAGGTTTGGAAGAGCTTCGCCTTTGAACGAGTCCTGGGAAAGACCAACACTGTCATACATCGCCATTCGACCCGAACACGAACATTCCGTCACATCATACCAAAGGCCGCTCAGTTGGCATCCCCATCGGCGCAAAGTGCGCGGCTTGTGGGCGCGAAGATCTGTACCGGGGTCAAGGCTGGCCGATGACAAGGCAGCAACTCTACGCCGTCGGGTAGTTGTCCCTTCGACCTTAGCGCGCCATTTGACAAATAAGTGTAGCGAGAACCGAGGCAACTCGATGACTGGGGACGTACCTGCACGCCGGGCACCGGCATCATAGAAATGCAGCCCATCTTAACAGGTGCCGGCAACCGTCAGGGGGCTCTTGCTCCAGCATCGTCAAGACGCCGGCACAAAGGGGCGAACAAACAGGCAATCTCGAAGGCCGGCGAAGAACGTCACTGCTATGCATGGAGTCTATGGTGACCTGCGTTCACAATGATTGTAACACAACTTATCCCTAGAGCAGAAGAAAAAGTATTAGGAATATGTCAACGGAGGCATCTCTGACGACATACCTCGATACTGTATACCGGCATCGCGGGTTAGCTGATGCCTCTGTAAACGAATGCTTGAGCAAAAACGACACGGCTGTTTGTTTATTGATATCCGCACCGAATAAAATAAGCCTCGCTTCATCATGCCAACATTGGATCGCCGGATGTAGGGCCGCGTCCCGACAGTTAATTCTGGCTTGAAGCATACCTGTCCTGAACGCAGCGAGCAAGTTGCCGTAGGCCTGAGATGCCTTGTTCTGCCCCCACGAGTGGTAAGGGCGTTCGTGTTGACCTGATAGGACATTGTATTGTCCAGGATAGAGGGGAGCCACCTGATGCGGCGAGGTTCGCCCACCCACGGGTATGGCGGGTAGCGAGCAGTCTTCGATGGTAGCAGTCGTAATGTGACATATACGATCCCGGGACGATGATTGCGAGCGTAGCGAGCATTACCTGGTAAAGACGATCCGGCCAAACAAAACCAAACTCACGTTTCGCAAACTGTGGCTGCGTGCCGGACATCGAGACAGCAATTTCGATGCATGTACATCGTTTATTGAGATTATAAAGCAATATTCGAGTTCTATACACATTGATACACGGAAAGTTTCGTGCCAGTAGTACCGGTCGTTGTCGAGATCTCCGCCGTACGCCCTTCAGAAGGCGAACAGGAATTAGGCGCCGACGCGCCGACTTCAAGCCACAGCGCGCGGTCGCCGTTACGGTCGAGCATTGACCGCTGTGGCTCGCCCTGTGGCTCAATCCACAATAGAACAATGTGTCAGTATTTAAACTGTGCTAGCGTACTTCAAAATTCACCTCGACATATCTTGCCGACGTTGAAGTAGGCTACACTCAGATGCATCCGGCATGCTCAACTCGGATGAAGCCTGCGCGCTCAACTCGGATGCAGCCTGTGTGCTCACGTGCGTAGCGAGCAACCTCGTCACTGACGATCGCTAGTATTGTAACTTTCCGCAGAGGAGATGTTCCCTAAATGACCTCCGAGGGTGGAATCCTAAGGTCTCGTAAACAGAAAATGGTTAGATCAGGCGTGCATGACGAAGAAGCAGAGTTTTCTCTTCAAGACTAAGACTTACGCCCTGAAAAAAGGAAATGAGATGAGTCTTGTTGTAGAACACCACGCGCGATGACAAGATAGAGAAAGCGAACGAAAAGAACGCGAAAAGCAGCATGCGTCCAGCCGAGTACGCCGCGATCAACTTTAGCGCCTGTCGAGATTGGATGCCAGCTTTCCCGGAGCATGGAATCGCGCCGGTAAACGTATACCACAAGGAAATATGCTTGGTTGATCCTAAAAACACAGTACTCATCGTAACGAGATGTACACAGCTGGTTCTGAGTCATGCGATTATAGCGTCCGTTGATTGATCAGAAAGTGCTGCCCTCGGGTGGCTGAGGGAGCTTGCGGTTGTTGAACGATGCCATCTCCCTATGTAAGCACATGAGAATCTCATATGTGGATGATGGTCAAAGAGCAACATCACCTCCTGATTTCTACCAGAACTGTTTCAATACTATGGTTCCTGTTCCAGTGCGCGAGTACGGAGAGCTTGCTGGGGTCGACTTTGCCATCTACTTGGTTGACGAAGGGAAGGTTGACGCGAGAGATGAACTGGACAGAGGGTGGGTGGTCGGGGTAGTTCTCGCCACAAGTGATCTTCAGGCTGTAGATGCGGTTCTCGTGCACGGTCTAACGAGCGGAGGCGTCAGTTCCGCGACGCGTTGCGATAGCCCCGATCAGCTCATGAAGGCACAGGATGCGTTACTGACATGTCCAGGGCCAATAATGGTGCCGTTCCAGTGGCTCATCATGATATCGTCCGAGTCCTCGAGACCGTACGAACATGAGCCATCGCCGATGCCCTTCTCGCCCTTCTCGAGCTCTTCAAGCAGGCGAAAATTGCGTGGGACTGGAGGGAAAGCATGAGTTTACTTCGCAGCGCGTGCCGAGATACTTTACGCACTCTTGGCCATGGCGAGGGTCGTGGAAAGGGTGAAAGGTGCGAGAGAGCGGTGCACTGAGGCAGCGTTGCAGGCGCAGTGGCGTCGCTTCCGAATACAGCGAGGCCGGCGTTCCCCGGGCCGCGCCGTCACCGCCTCGCCTATTGCCTTCGCGTCGCTCTCGGCGTCGGTCATCGCTGCTCGCCATAACTGCGCAGTTGCCTACGCAGCTCCCACCATCGTCAGCCTTTCTTTCCCCCACAACCACTACACTCCCACCTTGATCAGACATGTTTCGAGGCGGACAACCCAACGCATACGACGAGATTGTTGGTGAGTGATAATTACCGCAGATTGCGCGCTTACAGATCCTGACGTACTCCGCTCCTTCAGCAAAGACCACAGATGAGAACTTGACAGGCGAGAACTGGGAGCTCATCCTGAATCTTTGCGATAAAGTGCAGGAGGAGGGTGAACAAGGGTACGCACCCGACACGCTCGTATGGATCTCGCAGAGACCAACCCCTCCATCGCAGTGCTCGGAATGTGATCGCAGCCTCGCTGAAGCGGTTAGCGCATCGCAACCCCAACGTCCAGCTCTATACCCTCGCTTTAGTCGAAGCACTATCCAAGAACTGCGGCATTGAAGTGCATCGGGAGATAGCTTCGCGAGCGTTCACGCAGGGCTTGGAGAAGCTAGTAACCGATAGGGTGCATACATACTTCTTGCATGTTTCCTTGCATCTCTTACTAACTACTTTGGTCACTCTCAGACAACACACGATAAAGTGCGCAAGCGTGTGCTAAGCTCAGTCGCAACATGGACGGCCGAGTTTGAGAAAGACCCCACGCTCGGTCTTATGGAAGAGTGCTACGAGACCCTCAAGGGCAAAGGTGTGTAACATCTGTTGTTCGTCGCAGCTCATTCCCCGACCTTTCTTAGGCTACAAGTTTGTGACACCGGATGAGCCACCGCCGCCAGATGTCGACGATGATGTGCGTCGGCGGGAAGAAGAGGAGCTCCAGCGGGCGTTGGAGATATCCATGCAGGATAAGGGTGGTAGGTCGCAATGGGAGGCGTACTCCCTTGCCTCTTCGAGTGGCGCCAGTGGATCTGGGGCTGGCGGTTCTAGACAAGGGGCGTCCGCCACGCCCGGCCCTTCCGGTTCCTCATCCCGTCCTGCTCAGAGCTCTACGCAAGTGCCGACGTATGGTGGATATGTGCCTTCACAGGCTACGCCGGCTGTGTCAGCCGTCACTCAACCAACGTCGATTCCCTCTGCAGCTACCAATGCCCCGCCCGCGAGCAGTTCACCAGTGTCCGTGCACTCTACCCAGGACAACATACCCATCGTGACCCGCGTTCGTGCACTCCACACCTTCGAGCCATCCGAACCTGGAGAACTTGCCTTCGAAAAAGGCGACATCATCAAGGTCGTAGACCGCAACTACAAGGATTGGTGGCGTGGTCAGCTGAAAGGTCGGACTGGTATCTTTCCGGTCAATTATGTGGTACGTTGCACCCACTGCGCAGGTCAGTTGCACACTAAGGGGCCATCATGTAGGAACCCCTTCCAGAACCCACGGCGGCAGAGATCGCACGGGAGGCTGAACAGGAAGCGGCTGTCTTCTCCCAGGCAGCGAATGTGGACAAGCTGTTGACGATGTTGCGCACGATGGACCCCGCGCGTGACAACCTGGCTGACAACGAAGAGATCCAGGTATGTCGTCGCTCTCTCGTGGACCTACGCGGCGCTAAATATCCACTCGCAGGAACTGTACCGGTCCTGCATGTCGCTCCGGCCTAAGATCGTGAAGTTGATTGATAAGTACAGCCAGAAGCGAGGTTTGTTTGCTGTCATGTTCCAAAGCAACCCCGTTCCTGAACATTCGTCTCCAGCTGACCTCGTGTCGATGAACGAGACGTTCGTGAAGGCTAGGACCATCTTCGACAGAATGATGGAAGACAGTCTTGCTCGTCACACAGGAGGTATGCTCACTTCCATTTTCTTGCACATAAAGAAAGTGGTATTGACACAATCTGCAGTATACGATGGTCGTCCACCATACGTTCAGGCACCCAGTCAGTCCTACATCGCCCGTCCAGATTCGCGCGCCCGCCAGGAATACCTCCCCCCTGGAGGTCCTCAAGTGGCGCCAGGCGCGCCCCAAGCGTACGGGTGGAATCCCAACGTGTACGAGCAGCCGGGATACAACGCCTACCCCGCCTCTCCTGCCGCATACCCCCCTGAGAACCAGTACCCGCCCCCTGTTCAGCCTCACCCGCCCGCGCAGCCCCAACAGTATGGCGATCCGAATGCGTATGGTGCCCGCCAGCAGTCTGTGTACGGTCAGCCTCCAGCCCAAGGGTACCCTGGCGCGACGCCGTACGCCCCTACCCAGGAGCCGCAAGGCTATCCCGGAGGCCCGGCTATGCAGCCACAGTCGCAGCAGCCGCTCCAGCATCATCAGCCCCAGCAGCCGCTCCAACCCCAGCAGCCTCAACAGCCCCATCAGCCTCAGCAACCGTTCCAGCCCCAGCAGGTGCAGCAGGCATATTCGCCCCAGCAACAAGCTCAGCCTGCACCTCAGCCTCAGGCGGAGCCTGCACCCCAGCCTCAGTACCAGCCGCAGGCTCAGCCGCAAATCCAGCCTCATGCTCAGCCGCAGGTGCAGCCACAAGTCCAGGCAGAGCCGCAGAGTCAGCCTCAGGCACAAGCTCAGCCCGAGCCGCAACAGCAAAGTCAGCCTCAGGAGCAGCCTCAAGAGTCCGCGCCTACCCCCACCCAGCAACAGAGCGGCCCGCCGTACGTGTACGACCCGAACGGGACATACGCGGACCCCAACGCGCAAGCATGGGCACAATACTACGCGCATGGCGGTACGGACCCCACCGGGGCGGTCTACTTCATCTCCGTCCCGGGCGTGAAGGAAGGCCCACCCGCTCCCGTCGCCCACCATCCTGCGGTCGCGCGCACGCAGTCTAGCGACTCCATCGGACAGGCTGCGACCCCCGTCGAGCAAACGCAGCTCGTCCAGGTTGCCCCGCTGCACATCCAGAAGCAGTCCGCTCCGGACGGCCAGGTAGCACAGCAGCCTCACGTCGCTGTCGGGCAGCCTGGGGTATACGGCGCGTCGCCCTACGCGCCTGAAGGCCTGGGCTCTCCAGGCGCTGGGGCTGGTCAGCCCGCTCCCGGTCAACAATTCTACGGATTGCCGACCCAGTTTGCGGGGATGGACATCAGTGCGAACGGCGAGCATAGTGCACCAGCTGGGCCTCAGGGAGTGGGTGCGCCTGCGTGATGAACCGGGGTGCATTCACTGGGAGGAGTATTGTAGGACTGGCGGACAGGAATGTATGTCATGTGGTCGATTATCTATGCGTCTTGTACTCTTGTCAATGTCCTTGGTGCCGTCGAGTGTTTTACTATCACGAACACCTCAGCGCAGCCCATCGACGTTGGTGGCTGGCCGCCGGGCCAATCGAGCCTAAACTAACCAAAAAGCTGCTCGGAATGAGGATCGAACTCATGACCTCAGGATTACCCATCAGGTGGTGGTCATATGTGGAAATATGAGACCTGCGCTCTAACCAACTGAGCCATCCAAGCTTGACAAATTGACAAATCATAACATTTATAGCTATTGCAAAAGGATAGACTTTGAATTGAATGATGGCGTCACGGATGCAGGCAGCAGCCGTTGTGCCTCTAGCCGGCAAGACTGCCGCATACACTCACTCCCCTTCTTCCCCTTTCTCCTCCCGGCACCCCCTTCTCGACCTAGGTTTGACATAACACGCTGCGAGATTGTGACGAACGCGTACTCCCTTTGCTTAATCTGTCTAGATAACTATACGCCACTTGGTCGTCTGTCGACATATCGGAGCCTCGTGTAGTCCGGCGTACCTGTGAAGTCATACGCAGCTCCGCCAGCCGGTGTGGACAACAAGCGGTCCCTACGTCCTCCTATCGCATCTCTGGACCTCCGCTCATCATACCCAATGGCGCCACAAGTCGACCTCGTCCTAATATTCCGCTCGTCTCCCGGGAAGGTGCTCTCTAAGCCGCAAGCGCGCGAGAACGCACGACAGGCTACCCAGCAATACACGCGCCTCCTCGAGGTGCTGAAGAACGGGAGGCTGCATGTTGTGGGGAAGCGTGGCGAGAAGGAGGGGCAGTTGCTGGTACTCGTCCAGTGCCCACAGAGCACGCTCACCCGTCTTGTGCAGCGAGAACGGTATGTCATACGTCCATCCAGAGGTGCACTTGCTTCAGTCATACCCCACCTGACCCCAAGTCGTACCCGGAAAGGTTCGACTTGGGGTCTGGGTCATTGCGCGGAGAGGTGCGAAACGCCTGCGGCGTAATTCAGGTCGATAGACCGCAGCTATATGGTGCTCCTTGAAAGTGGATAGGGCCAACCACCCACGGCCGGCAGGGTTTAATTACTCTGGGCTACAGATAGCTCGCTCTCCGAATTTTCCGCGGGGATGTGTTAGAAGGAGAGCACTCTGTTGGCTTGCATCATATGCACCACCAACCCCAGCGCGTTCCCATCTCGGAATGATTAATGAGCAGACTTGTTGCGGCGGTTTACATTGCGGCCACCCGTTTCAGCCTCTCACAACTGTACCCATAGATACTCTGACTTCCTCTGCGGCTTGCCAACGACAAATCCTACGGGCACCAGAGATCTAGCCGAAGAACCGCTCACCCCGGCGGACCGACTTCGTCTGGTGCATACATATGTCACCTCTACTCCGACCGACGGCGGGCTCGGCGTGGTTCCTGGCTCTTCCAACTGGGATCGCGTCGAGTCTGTGTTGGTGCTGCACGACCATACTTTTAACGAGTCCTGGATCCGAGCGTGGACGACTCGTCAGCTCGGGTTCGTCAAATTTCACAAGATTCGCGAGCAGGTACGTTACATTGCATGTAGTGGCGTTGCTTCTCGCATTCTGACATGCTATCATAGTTTGGGGAAGCTGTGGCGTTGTACTTCCATTTCCTCTCTTTCTACACCAAGCACCTCCTGTTCATCTCCGGCGTCGGCGTTCTCTGCTACTTCTTGTCAATGCCCTATTCGACTTGGTACTCCTCCATCCTGCTCCTCTGGTCGATCACCTTCGTAGAATGGTGGCGAATCAAGCAAAGGATTTTGTCTGTGCGATGGGGCACAAAGGGCTCGTTCCGTGTGGAGAAGCGGCGCGCCCAATATGTCCATGTGTCATGGTGGCGGAAAGACCTGAGGATGCTCGCAAGCCTGCCTGTAATCCTGCTATTCGCTTCGGTGCTTGCCGTAACCCTCACCGGCATCTTCATCTTCGAGGCCTTTGTAACTCAGCTCTACACGGGACCAGGGCACAGATTCATCGTGAGTTTGATCGGTTGATTTGAAAGCACATAGCTGACATTGATTCACCCAGGGCTTCAGTCCTACTGTCCTCTTTGTTGCGCTCGTACCTAGGCTTCTTGCCGTCTACCACTCGTATGCTGTGCGCCTCACCAACTGGGAGAATCACGGCCATCAGTCGACTCACGATGGGTCGCTAACGGTGAAGACGTTCAGCCTGTCGGCCATTGTGGCCTACCTTGGCATTGCGCTGTCTGCTTTCGTCTATGTGCCTTTCGGGGAGGAGGTGATGGCCTCTGTCCAGTACTACCTCTTCCACGGCGATACGCCCCTTCGCACAACCGCCAAGACATGGCTCTCATCCGTCTTCACCGCCTTGCCTGCAAACATCACAGGCTCATTCAACGCGACGTCGGATGCGAAGGGCGCCGCCGGAAACTCTACCCGCACGTTCTGGGAGCGAGACAGCGGCAGCGCTCGAGGCAAGCTCAGCTCCACGCGTCTTCAGGACCAGATGTTCGCGTTCACCGTGACGAACCAGGTCATCAACACGTTCCTCGAGATTGGCCTACCGTTCGTCTTGCGCGCGGTGGCGTCAGTGCGGAGCGGCCGAGGGCTTTCGCTTGCAGCACCTGCGGCCGGTGCAAACGGAGGTAACGGCAACGGCAAGAAGAAGCGTGTGATGTTCGAGGACCAGACCGCAGAGGCAGACGGGGAGCGTCTGGCCGAGTTGGAGGAAGAGCGGGAGTTCTTGGACCGGATCAACAGGGAGGTTGCCCTTCCAGACTACGACCTGTTCGCCGACTACAGTGAAATGGTCACGCAGTTCGGCTACGTTGCCTTGTGGTCCACGATCTGGCCACTCGCGCCTGGTAAGCCCATACAGTTGCAATGTTCTTCACGCCGCTCATAGTGGACCGGTTGCAGTCATGTCACTCGTAAACAATTGGCTTGAGCTGCGGTCAGACGCGTTCAAGATCACCGTGCACGTCCGGCGACCAATTCCTACGCGCACCGATACCATTGGCCCGTGGCTCGACACCCTTACGTTCCTGACGTGGCTCGGAGCGCTCACGAACTCTGCGCTCGTCTACCTTTTCCGGCCGCGCGACCACTGCAAGCCGGTCGGCACGTCGCTGTCCCACGCGCACCACCACCTCAGCAGCCCGCGCGCGCCCGCGCAAGAATATCTGATGTCGGCGCTGCTCGTTGCCCTCGGAGCGTCGCATGGGTACATTCTCCTGCGCATGGTCGTGCGCCACACGCTCGAGCGTGTGCTGTGGCGCGGAAGCACCGAGGAACTGGAGGCGGAACGGACGGAGACTGTCGTGAAGGAGCAATATCTTCGGAGCCTCGGAGTCGCGGACGTCGTTAATGCGGAGGATAGCGGCGCGGTCGCGGCCACAGACGGCGGTCAGGAGGGCAAATTATCGGCATTCTGGAGTCAAGACGAGGGATTGGATGAGCTGACGCGCGGGACGAAGGAAGCGTAGGTACGCGGTGGGCCGCCCTGTTTTGACGTGTGCGAGTGGAGAAAGGCGGCCGTGGGACCTGGCGAGTAAGGGGGTACATGGGGTGGACGCTTTTCCGTGAGGAACAGGTGCTATTTACGTGAGGGGTGATGTGTGTGGTCGGGTCGTGATTTGCTGGAGTATTACCAACCATGATATGTACTAGCTAGTAGCTACTGTAGGCCTACCTTGCCCAGAGTACTTCGACGTGTTGCACGACGAGCAGCGGAGGAGCGACCGTCGGGGACTTGGGCTGCAGTGATGACCAGTAAATGACCAGAAATGACGTCGGGAATTGCCTTTTGGGGCGCGGGGCCGGAAACCGGCGTATAATATATTATTTACAGGCACGCGGGCCGGGAAAACTCCTCTTGCTCATCGACGACGACGACGCCAGCGCGCCGCGCGGTCGCACACACTCCTTTGCACGTTCGCTCACTCCACTCAACGCTCTTTTCGTCCGCCCAACCGTCCTTAACCTCATCGCCGTCGCCGCGCGTCGCTCTCTGTCCTCTCCCTTTCTTGCTGTCGCTGGTCCAAGAAAGAAAAACGCATCACTTCGCCACACGGATTGCCATACCTACCTGCACGTGGTGATTCTGCACGACTCCGTGCACGCCTCGCTGCATTACGCGCCCCGTTCTCGGCCTCAGTGAGACGTCTTTCATTTTGTTGTAATTATGTATGCACCCTCGTCTGTCTCGGCCACGTCTGTCCCTCTCACGCTGCCTCCACTAGGATTCATTAGCCGTGCTGGATTGTCTCGACGACCTCCGCTTTGCTTTGCTCTGTATCTGAACGTGAGTGAGACCCAGTGAGTTCGGGCGCTGCGGTGGCGCAACCTTTGCTTATTTCCCCGTGCAGTTTTCAAACCCCCAGCATGTCGACGCAGTACGACTATCCAACAGCAAACCACCCCCGCACCATGGACTCCACCCACCTGAAAATGAGCAGCACACCCTCCTCCCGGCCTGCGCACACGACCCACACGACCCAGCCCCCGTCGTCGCGTCGCGTGCCAGTGCCCTCCGCCTCTATGCCCCAGAGCTCGTGGCTCTCCGACGTGGGGGACTTCTCCTCGTCCTCCCTCGTCCCGGACTACCTCAGCGTGTCCATTCCATCGGCGGGGTCGTTTCTGAGCACCGGTTCGTTGTCGGACTCAGGCTCGCCTTTACGTTCGTCACCCCGCGCACGGTCGCGAGATCCTTTCCCTCCCTCCAACATTTCTCCGCAAGCGTCGGGCTCTCGCTCCCCGTCGCGTCATAGTCCCATTCCGCCAGCACGCACGCTCCACAACTCCCGCTCTTTTTCTGCCACTAGCCCCTTGAAACCGTCTGCTTTCAATGACCGCGATGCAAGCGGGCACCTCGACTTCAAACGGCTCATGAGCAAACCTGCCAAGCAAAGTGCTTCCGCCTCTTCGATGGTCTCCCTGCCCTCCGACTCTGAACGGTCCGCATCAGCGCTGTCTACTCGATTCCCAACGGCAGGGCGTCGCCCAAGCGAGCCGCTCGTTCGTCCACCCGCACTAAAAAGTGCCAGCCCCTCACGTGAGAAGCTGTCACTTCACGTCAATACTTCGGGGCTACGGCCGAGTTCCGCAACGACACGCGCAGTGCAAGGCTCGACGCCAGAACGCAGACCAGGGACGAGCGACGGTCAAACTTCAAAGTCGTCGCGCAATGTTCTCAAGCGAAGACCGAGCTCCCGTTCAAATCCCAGTACGCCGACTGCCAGTCACTTCCAAATCCCTACCGATGAGAGCTACCCACCGCCCCGGTCTACGCCGTCGAAACGTGTCTCTCGTTCGGAGCGCCTCACTTCCTCATTCTCTGCCAGGCCGACTACGTCTCCTGCCACCAACCGCGCCGCTACTCTGCCCCGTAAAATGTCGCTGACAGCGGCTACCAGGAGTCAGCAATATTCTCCATTGGGTTTAACCCCTGCGGGCGCAGTCGCCTTGGCATACAAGCAGCAGGAGCAGCGCCGAGAGGAGCTAGCAGAAACCGCGTCATTCAACGACGCATACAGGCCGGCCTCGGCCAACCCATCGGTCCTATCTATGCGCCGACCCGATATGGGCGAGACCGACGAGGAAGGTGGGGAACCGTATTACACGGTTTTCGGCAGTCCCTCTGGCAAGCTGGTAGCCGTGGGGAGTCCTGTGGACGACGACTGGCATGTCACCGCCGGCTGGGAAACACGTGGAAGTGTGGCGGCACCCAAATCTGTGTCAACGAGTTCGCGGAGTCTCTCCCGGAAAGTGTCAGGGTCTTTCAAGCGCGTAGCAGGGTCGATGAAGAGGGAGCGGGAGGTACGAGATCCGTTAGCACGGGCAAGAGGTGTGGACGACTGGACACCATACGACGGCTCGCGGAGTGTCGGCGGCCGCGAGAGCCCCACGCGACATAAAGTAGGGCGGAAGCCGCCTACTTTGGACACGCGCCTGGAAGAGCGGAGCAGCCCACGCGCGTCGCCCGTACCCTCGCGGGGCAGCCCGCCCGCAGGGAGCCCTTCCCCGCAAGAAGATGGGCGTGGATCGCGCTCACCGAAGCCGAAGACTAAGGAAGAGCTGTCGCCTGGCGGCATGTGGTCGAAGCTCATGAAGCGGATCAGCACGGGCGGGCTCCGCGACAAGTACACCCAGAGCGACGAGCCGCCACCCCCGGTGCCCGCGCTCCCGCAAAACCTTGTCAAGACTGCCGCGGCGCGCACTACGATGGACATATCCCATGCCGCCCCGGGAGAGGTCAGCGAGAACGGAGTGTTGCTGAAACGTTTCATGCAGTCGCGCTCGTCATTATCTGGGGTCCGGCCTTCGGCCGCTTCTACGAAAGCGGCCTCGTCGTCGTCGTCGCGCCCGAGCACGGGTACGGCTGGCCGCCCGTCCACCGGAAATACTACGAAGAGCCGTGGCAGCCTAGGCCAGCGGCCTAGTACCAGGACACGCTCGTCGTCGCCGGTCTCAAGCGAGGTCGCCTCGTCCGGCTTCTTCAACCATAATCGCACGCCCTCCACCCGATCGTCCTTTTCCTCCCTCGGCGAGGAGCTCCCGCCTATGCCCAAGAACTTGGGACGATACATCGTGCCTCCTGGGGAGCTTTCTCGCATGGCGAAGGCGTCGGAACAGAGCACACCTACGCCGAGCACGCGTTCGCGGAAATCCAGCCGGTCGCAGTCTGCCCCCGTGGAAGAGCGTGCTCAGCGCGCCTCCCCTTCCGACGGCATGCCTTCATTACCTCTCCCTCCCCGCCGCGCGACGCACGAAGGCGCTTCACCTATGAGCCCCTCCTTCCACGCCGATGCCCCCATTTCACCTCCTTGCGCGCATCCGCCTCCCCTGGCAGAGTTCGGCATGGCAGAACCACCTCCTCGTCCAAAGCGCAGCTCGCGCCGGATGCCGCCGCCCAACGTCAATGTTCCTCCGCGCTCGCAGTCTATGTCTGCGACGATGCCACGCTCACCCGCGACGCCCCGCGGGCAGCCGCCCGTAGTCCGCGTCGACGTGAGCCTCGCTCGAAGCCCGTCGACCGGCGCACTGAGCTATGCGTCAACCGCACGCCAGGTATCCGCGACCTCGTCAACGTCACCCTCATCTGGCGCGTCGCATCCGACGTCACCCGCATCTGCGGTGTCATCCCGGCGCTCTCCGCTCACGTTCCGCGAGCTCGAAAGCCCGCGGCAGAGGCTGTCCGAGCGCGAGAAGGCCGCAAAGTGGGAGGACCTCCTCGAGCGCAGCGCGCAGGCAGGCGGAACGCTGCACATCGGCGAGCCGGGGCTGCTCTCCGAGCACCCTGACGTCGAGGGCGCGTCTGTACTTACGTTCGACGATCTGTGACATGCACGAGGGCGAAGATTGACGTTGACGATGCTATGGTCTTGGATAAAGTCTCGGTCTGTATGTACGTCCTCCCTCCTACCACTCCCCTAATAGCGTTCGGCCGCGCTGTGTGCGCCTGCGCTGGCCCCGGCAGCGCCGTAATATTGCCGGTCAGTTGTCACCCTCTCCAGTAGCCTCCTGCTTCGCTCATAGATACCCAGACGCACCGTACATACGCACGCCCGCACGCACGCACGCGCTTGATTCCTACTGCAATTTTCTCTACCGTCGTCGTCTCATGTTTTCCGCACATGCAGTCCTTGCAATAAACACCATTTAGTATCTATGAGAGGGACATCGGCACGCTTACGAGTTTCTGTACCCCGTTTTACTCACCGCCTTTCGTAGCCGTGTTGACATTTTCGAGTAAGGTATGACTCGGATATAGGCGCATTTCATAGGAAGGTGCGTCATTCTTTTGTTGCCTTTTATATTGCAACTGAACGGAACATTCACGCTCGGTTTGCGTAGTAGTTCGACCCTTAAGCTCAAGAGCGGGCCCTGGTAGGTTTGAATACACCCATGCCGCCAGTAAGTTGACCACATTATCCGCTATTGATGTTTGTCGTGTACCTAGGTTATTGATGGCTCCCAATTTTCGGCCCTCGTATTTGGTTTGGTGCCGGATCTTCACCTGTAGGCCTCCAGCTGTTAGACGTGCTTCAGGTTGTCGCCGGCTCAGTCGTCTACACAGGTCTTTTGACTGGACCTTGCCATAACTGCCAGGTTGTTTTCTTCTATCAATCGCCTTTGTGTGTGTTTTTCGGCCATGAACTGATCCTTCTTCTCCAGGATATGCAGTGTTATACCAAAGCGCGGTGCTTCCATTTCGATCGCATATTGGCCACCGGTCTCGAGATATGTCGTCCAATATCCCCTTGATCCTGCTTTGATCATCCTTATTGATTGGGTTTTCCGGGCCATAGCAAATAGTCGCCAGTCGGTGGCCTCGCATGTGGTCGTCGTCCAGATTGTCCTTGAGGGATTTATGCACAGAAATATTGCGATCTGCTCTGTGTTCAACTTGACGCACATGTTCGTGAGCGACCTTTCCGTGACTTCGAATGCCTCGTCCGCTGACGGTACTGGTGCAATAACTCGGTCACGGTCGCCTTCGGGTCGCCCGCATCTGCCAATATGCATTGCTCTTCCATGAGGTTGGCCTTCGGCGTTCAGGTGCGTTCCAAACCTTCAGCTTGATTCGCCTCTTGTTAGGCCTGTTGTTCGACAACTTGGCCCGAGAAAAGAAGATAGCTCACGGTTCAGCGTGGGCCATCGACGTGCATCGCACATTTAACGTCTTGAATATGTCCTATGTTCTTGTGCGGTGGCGACGCCGTCAAGGCCTGGTCTTCTACTCTGTCGGACAAGGTGGCAGGTTCGTGCCACTGTAGGAGGGTGGCAACGTGCCCTTTGAATGAGGATGTCTGGGATAAGTAGCGGCGCGGAGGCCACTCAAGTGCGGGAGGGTGCAGGGGGAGGGTCGCAGGGGGTAACAACGTGGGAGAGGACAAGGGGCGACTGGAACATGGGACGTGCGTCCGGGGATTTATACCTGTGCGCGGGTTCGCACTCCGCCGCGACTTTCCGGTAGGCAGCTATTGTGATTCGATCTAGACCTTATGCCAGCCTCTTGTACCTTGCTTCTAGCCTCGATCGTGGACACCACCAGCTTCACAAATGTCTCCGTCGAAGACATGGGGCTGACAGCTCGCGCCGGACCCGAAGCCGCCCTCCGCCGACATGGCCCCTCCGGAGCGATGTGGCGCACGCCGGACCCGGCGTTGTTCGCTTCCTTTTAGTCTTTGTGCTATCACTTGCTGACAGCGAACTAGCTACGAAGTCGGTGGACGTGACGGTGGACGACGCCACAACGGCGTTGTGGCGGGCGCGCGCCACTGCCCGACATTGACGCCGATGCGCGACGCGCCGTGCACGTGAAGGGCGCTGACTGACCCCCGGGAACCCCGTTTCGCCACTCCTCATAAATTCTCTCTCGTTAACTCGCTGCCTGTTATACCTCACTACTATACGCATGAAATCGCTTGAGAGACGCTGCCTAAAAAGTGTCACCTTGTATATAGTTCTTTGAGAAGATGTGCGATGTTCTTCAAAGATCAGGCCGTATCACTAACTTCATCTAGGCTCTGAACCTCAGGCTATAGTAACTTTGAGTCTCAACTTCTCGATGTTCACCGCCAGTTCGCCTGGAAACCAATTACTTATTTTTGTGCGCTGAGATACGGTGGGCTCCGATTATATTGCACCCGCCGGCATTTAATGGATCGCGCTGTGGAGACCGAGGTCAGGGTTGTCCCAGGCCCCGAGTACGCGGATGTGCCTCTATGTGCCTCGACCGTTCTGCGAGTGGCTGTTCGAAAGATCGACAATTCGAGCCCGCGGCACTCCGACCCTTGGCTTCTTGTATCTCTCACATTCCGCGGGGAGGTCCAAGTCATCTCGGACGGCTGACTCTGAGCAGTGGACATTACAGGCGTATACCGACACACCAAGAGCCGTGTGTTCCTGCTCCGCACTTGTTGTGCTCAGCCCATTTGGCGTTCCCATGAACGTGTTCGGACCGATTAGCGAAGGGCCGCGGATCAGACACGCGATCGTGCTCGTCCAACCTGCCCTCGCTCACGCCCGTTTTGGGACCTGCGTCAACCTTTCCTACGACCCGAATTCACCCGCGCGCGGTTTCACGGGCAGCTACCCTAGAGGGAAGACGGTTGGTCGATGGGCTTCCTCCACTTCAAATTGCCGACCACTTTCACCGTTGAATTTTCACGAATGCCCGTTTTGGAGGCCGGCCCTCCAAATACGCGCAGGAGCGGCTTCCCACACTCTCTGCAAGAAGCCCCTATTGATTCAGCTCGGAGGACAATGAAAATACACCTCGAGTACGAAGGCTATTGTCCCGGGGTCGATGCAGATAGCGTACAATGCCCATGCCGTGAACTGTGCTGATCTGTCCCTTCCGCGCTGTGTCCGCACATGCCTCGCCGGCGGGTGGGCCGCCAAGCGAGCGACAGATGAAAGGCTGCACCCAGAGCCCTGTCGGCAGCTCCTGCCGAAGCGACCGGGAGCATGTGGTCGAGTAGTGGGGCGGCCGCACTCGTAGCACGAGGCAGCAACCCCAAGAAGATCACATCCCGCTGCGCGCTGAGTCGGAGGCCGTCGCTGCCGTGCCGCGCTGGCTAGGAAGCACGGGAGAAGATTCATAGGTTGTATTCTTGGGAGTGTCATTACTGCTGGCACGCCGCCTCCACGAGAATGCGAAACGTACCGGGAGCATGTCAAATGGCACGGCGGCGAGTGGACAAGGAAGCGGGATGGGCTAGGGCATGGAAGCGGTCCCCGAGACCGCTTGTTTGCAGCGAATATTCAGCGGGGATGAACAGAGGCATCCTCCGGGGGGCACGAACGCGGAGGATGCCAGTTCAGGGTACCGTGAGATGTACCTCGTAGGTAGGACTCGATGACCTTCCTCGGAAAGCGGAAGATGCGATACGCGAGGTTCGAATGAGACCAGTACCTGGCTGAGGCCGCTGGAGTTGAAGTTCGGATGCTTTGTAATGCGGCGTCCTCTGGCGGAGGCGGACCTCGCTTAGTGCGTTCGGTCGCCATGCGTCGGGTGGCTAAAACCAACGGTGAAAAAGGCGTTCAGCTAAGGGGCAGAAAGCGCACCTATGAAGTGAAGCGAGTGGACCGTACAGTGCGAATCCTAATGCGAGTAGGAGAGCAATTGACAACGGGCTTCTGCTGAGCAGGGGTGCTATTGATAATTCGCGTTTAGCCACCGCACAAATCGAAGCACCTCCGACGGGAGATTAAATCGCATTTGATGGGATGCTGCATGGCCAGAGGGTCTTCGGCTACACGAGGATCTAGAGGCTTCTTCTACGCGTACTCCTGCCATCCGCAGCTGTCCGTACGCGTGCGGGGTGTCTGTGCGCAACATCAGCCTTTTGTCCTGGGGGTACAAAAGCGGGGGGCGCGCCGAGGTCCACTCACCAGTCCCTTGACTCTCCTACCTCCATTCACGTCCGTCCAGTGAGTCCCGTGACCGCGCGCCATGTTGAGTTAGCCACTCCTGCTCACCTCTGGCTCTGGCTCTAGCCACTAAAACGCCCAACGATGCCATTGAGAGTAGTCATCGCACACTTCCACAGCGGCATCGGACCATACGGCGTCCGCCCATACCAGTGGCACCTCTGCATCGAGACAGGGCACGACCGCCACGGGTTCGTCGAGGCCACCACGTTCTACATCCGAGGCTCGTCCGCAGGTGGCTTCCGGTACGAGTGGCGCGAGCGCGTACGCTACAAGAAGCTCGAACAATATCGTGGGTCGGTCTGCATCGGGATGATCAGCTCTAGGCGGTACCTGGACGCGGTAGCTCTCATGGAGGAGGTCAGGACGGCGGACGGGAGCGAGCGTGCGACGCAGAGTTGGGCGTATGCAGCGGCGCGCAAGCTGTCGGCGCACGGCTTGATGGGGGAGTTGTGCGCGTTGGAATTTATTTGGGACCAGCTGCAGCGGGGGGAGCGCGCTTGGGAGAGGGGCGATGACTAGAGAGATACACGGGCAAGGCGCCGGGCGTCCGAAGCTGAGGTATCCGGATCGGCGGGGTTCGTTCGGGCAGGGATCGATGGAGCGGAGGACGGCATCAGCAACACGAGTCGGCAGGAACAGGGGAGAGATACCAGCGGTGACGGGCAGGACTGGTCGCCAACCGTAGGGATGATATGACTCCCGACTTCAAAAGGGACCGACCTCGAGGGTACAGTGTACTGTGGTTGGCTTGTAGATTATGTGTCTTCTAGTGTAATATGCGGCGCCATGTTGCTACAGAACGTTAGCTAGCAGTGGCGCAATATCCGTACAGTGTAGCGATCTACTTACATACCCTCTTCGGCTATATAGTCCACAGCGCGAGGAGTAGCAACGCGACTTTTGGGTTCTGTGGACGGCGGAAAAGGTGCTCTTACGGTGTCTGCAGAACACAGGGACTTTCGTGTATGAGGCGCAATGCAATGCGTCCACGTTGGCAAGGTTCGGATACATAGGAAGACGCCTAGCAGCGGTCTTCTATTCGAGAGGTGAATGTAGCAGTACAGCAAAATCAATAACTTAATCGCACCAAAGTGATACACGAAGTCTAATCCGGGGATATCATACGGTCATCTCCTGCTCGGGAGCAGTATTCGTCGGTGTCGGACGTTTTCCTTCTTTTCCAAGACCCGCAGCCCGCTCGGCTTCCTCGATTGTGTACGCAGGGTCCTTGAGAAGCTTGCATTGGCGCTTGTGTACTTTGCCCTTCCAATGTGCTCGCAAAGCGTGGTCTGACTCGAAGTACCTGCGGACTGTTAGATGGACCCTGAAGACAAAAGGGTAGCACGACGCTCACTTCGCGCACTCCACGCAGTAATGCTGTGCAAGACCGGGCTTTTCGTAGTCGAGCGGTTGTGCTTCAAGCGCAGCGCGGTTCTGGAAGACATGAGGAACAGCGCACGCAGGGACACGAGGGTTTGGCACACCTTGGGGTCGAGATCTATCAACTGTATCTGGTCCAAATCGCGCGTCCGGGCCTATACAGCGTTCCCGCATCAGGGGTAAGGTCGTGCAGGTTTTGAAATGAGCGTACCCTTGTCCGCGCTGCTCTGTGTACGTCTCTTTGGGCGTGATGTGTGCGAGAACGACGAAGACGACCCATGTTGGCAAGCTAGAGCTGCCAGATGATGGAATGGAGATGAGGAGAGCGAGGCGTCGAGTGCAAAGGGTGCAGAACGGCGGAGACTGCTTTAGCAAAATGTGCTCCGAAATATTTGCTGACATAAGCAGTGTATGCGGGGTCAGACGGGCGCTTGCGCTCTACACGCGTCGATCATTCGCAGACGCGTCTTGACGCGCTTCCGCCACCATCCTCCACCAAATTCTTTCAGTCACTCCATAGAGTCCTCTGCACACATAACCTGCGAGAATATAGCGTATAAGGAGCTCATACATTGCTCGTAAGAGTCTCAGTAAGTATTGACACGCGTCGCGGGGTGCACTGGCATTCGTGCATATCCCACAAACGTTTGCAGGCTTCTCGATCAGTCGCACTCAGTTGATGAAGCATGAGGATACTCTCATGGAATATCGTGAGAATGCCTCAGCATGATGCATTTATATCTGTTGCTGACGATGATTGAACCAGAATGGCATCAGGACGCTGCCCAAATACCATCCGTGAGCAACGCCGTTCAAGATATAGACGCGGTCCTCAATAAACCTCTGTAGATGGAACACATTCGAATCATGCGAAGGTATTCTAGATGAACTGAAGGCAGATATCATCTGCTTCCAAGGTAATATACAACATGAACTCATCCATATGAAGCTGACATAGATGTTAGAGATGAAGTCATCCCGTGAGAGCCTACCACGCGACGTCGCGCTCCCAGGGCATTATCACTCCTTCTTTTCTTTTCCAGTCAGCAAAGGCGGATATAGCGGTGTTGCTGTCTACGCGAATTCGCGCACTGCAGCCCCTCTCAAAGCCGAGGAAGGACTGTCGGGCAGGCTACAGCTTCAGCCCCCACTCTCCCCCGAGGAACGCGTCTCGCCTTCGTATCCCTATCCACACGATATCACTGCATATCCTGATGAGCAGGGCGAGGTTCCGGCAACATTCGAGGGCCTAGACGCTGAGGGACGCGGCCTCGTCGTCGACTTCGGGCTCTTCGTCCTCATCAACGTCTACTGTCCGAACGAGACTTCGGATGCGAGGCTGTCGTTCAAGATGAACTACCATCTCATGCTACAGGAGCGCGTGCGAAAACTTATTGAAGAGGAGCATCGTGAGGTCATCGTCCTCGGCGACATTAACGTCTGCGCGACGCCCCTCGATCACGCTGAGGGACACTTCGCGAGCAGCCAAGACACCTTCTACGACCACCCTGCGCGCGCATGGTTTCACAAGTGGCGAAGTCCCAACGGCCCTATGATTGACGTCATCAGGACGTTTTGGCCGGAGCGGAAAGGCCTATACACATGTAAGCCGCATCGACGCTAAAACATGCATATTTTGCTGACAACCACATCATAGGTTGGAACACGAAGCTGCAAGCTCGCGAGACGAACTATGGCGGTCGCATCGACTACATCCTCGTCACCAAAGGCCTGCTCCCATGGATTAGCCATGGCGACATTCAGCCTTCACTGAAAGGCTCAGACCACTGTCCAATCTACATCGATCTACGCGACGAGATTGTGCTCGAATCTGGGGAGACCGTCACACTCCGCGACGCGATGCAGCAGACAGACGTTGCTCGGGACCCTCCCCGGCTCGCTGCCAAGTTCTGGGACGAGTTCTCTGGGAAGCAAACCGTCCTGTCGGCATTTTTTGGCAAGCGCGCAGTGTCGAAGGATGCGTCCAACAACGAACAGCAGACCCCTCCAATACTATCCGGTTCTCAGCGAGCTGACCCGCCCGGCAACAGCAGTGCTGTGATGGACGTGGACGTTCAACTTTCGGCGACCCAATCCGCCTCTCAGCCTATCGCCTCCACACCCGCACCATCCCCTGAAGTCTCGAAGAAGATTAAGCCTCCACAACCGTCGAAACTTGCACCTACATCAGCCACAAACAAGCGGAAGCCTCTCGAACCCACCGCTAGCTCGTCCAAGAAGCGGAAACAAGTCAAAGGGCAGGCGAGCCTCGCGTCCTTCTTTTCCAAGCCGGCCGCAGCCTCCCCCTCCAAATCGCGCGAAGTCATCGAGATTGAGGACGACGCCCCCACAGCCTCCACCTCCGCACTTGCCCCCGACACCCCACCCCTCAGCCAAGCAGAACAGGACCAGCTCGACGCGGACTACCGCCTCGCTTGCGAGCTCGCGCAGGAGGACGCAGAACCTTCGCCCACGCCATCGTCCTCCCAGGATCCCACACAGAAGAAGGCGGCGTGGTCGGAGCTTTTCGCGCCTATACAGCCGCCGCACTGCACCGTGCACGGCGAGCCGACGAAGATGTACACCGTGAACAAGCCGGGCCCGAATAAGGGCAAGACGTTCTTCATCTGCTCGAGGTGCGTTGTTTTGTTGGATATATGCGTCGGCTGTGGCTAACGATCTCGCATGGATATGTAGACCCGTTGGGCCTGGGTATGACAAGGGCAAGAGCGAGCGGTTGAGGGAAGAGGTCGACCACCGCTACCGTTGCAACTACTTCAAGTGGACCAGCGATGTCAAGAAAGCGTCTCTCCGGGAGCGAGAGCGGACACGCACATTGTCGCAGGGCCCTTGAAACCCCTTCTCCCGCAACCTCACTTCACTGGATCCCTTCCACGCCATGTTTTCGTTGTTGTCGCACCCGTACATACGTTTAGGATTCATTTGTACCATACCATGCCACGTCTTGTTGCACTATAGCCAGCTCTCGGGAGTGGAGCGTAATCTGCTTGTATACACTGGAACGTACAGATGGATAGACTAAAGTCCGATACATACGACAGCAAGGCACGCAGCAGCAGAAGAATTGAAAAACAGTGCGTGAAGTAAGCTAAGAGGAATGTATACCGAAACTATGCGATCTGCTTGGCCTGCTTCTTGGCAGTGCCGATCGTCGTGTTGTTGACCTGGAAGGCACATATAAGTAATGAGAGCCACAAGGATGGTCGTGCAGAGCTCACCTTGGTCGCGAAACGCAGAGAGCAGAGACTCTCGTTGAGATGGGTGGCAAGGGGGGACAAGTTGAGGAACATAAGTGTCTTCGAGTTCCCGCTCAACGAGTTTTGGAGCAGGAAAGTCAACTATATGCGGCCATTTAATCAGTACCTGGTCCACAAATACCGCACATCCCAGCACACGCACCTTCGAATTCCGGTACGGGATGTGCTTATCGCCCTTCCCCTCGCCCTTCTCCCCAAGGGCTGCGATCACGTCGCCCAGCGCACTCAAGCTCTTGTTGATGTTCTGCGTCTCCTTCAGTCGCTCCCGGTCTCCGCCCGCGCCGCTCTTCTCGAGCCGCTCGCTGCCGGCAAGGTCGACGAGGTTCAGCGAGCCCTCGCACGTCTCACCCGTGAGCGTGTTCTCGCCGCGGATGCGGAGCGTGAACACGGAGTGCGAGCGCGAGGAGCGCTCGTTCATGAGCGTCGCGGCGACGGTGCGCCGGCCCTGTGCGAGCGCGAGCAGCGTGCGGACCTGCGTGGCGGACGCGAGTGGGACGACGTTCACGTCGGTGACAGTCGTGCGCCCGGTCTTGGGGTCGTGCTTGATCTCGTGCTTCTTCTTATCGAACTCGCCCTTGCCGAGGAGGTCGTTGATTGTCTCGTTATACTGTGAGGAGTTTGGTTAGCGGCGGTGTGGAGAGATAAAACAGGGGTGTGGGCGCACGATCTCGAGGAATTGACCGTCCATCTTGTACTGCCAGCCTTTGCTCTTGAGCTCGTCCGCGACCCTGAAGACCTGCTCGACCGCTCGAGGGATCATACCAGCACTAGTCTCAGACTAGACATAGGTCGTCAGAGTTTTGCATCCGATAAGCAAGTATAGTGAGAGCACGTACAGCACCGCCTTCCATCGTGAACGACTTGCCAGAGCCGGTCTGACCATAGGCGAACACGCAGACGTTGTAACCATCCGTGCAGCTCTGCGCGAGTTGTGAGATCTCCTCGAAGACTTCAGCCTGGGAGGAATGGGGCTCAAAGACCTGTATACAACGTGAGAATTCTGTCGCACTACATCGATCTGGATACTGACCCTGTCAAACGCAAACTGCCACTCGTCCTTGCGCTCCTGCCCAGTCGCGCTCTCGCTGGAAGATTTCAGCACGATCTCCCGGTGGTCCATCTTGTCGGGGTAGACCAGCTGCGCCATCGCCTCCTCGCGCCGCTTGGCCTCTTCTTGCAGATCGGGGCTGTCCGTCCCGTCCGTGATGGCGCCCACTGAGCTGCCCGACGAGTGCAGTGTCGACGAGACTATATCGGAGCGCAGCACCGGCCGCACGCGCACAAACACGCGGATGTTACCCTTCAGCTCCTGCACCATGTTGTGCAGCTTGCGCCGCACCATCTCGCCCTCGCGCGTCTCACACTCCAGCTCGGCGATCCGTTTCTGCGCACGCTCGAATTGCAACGCCAGGTCCGCTTTCGATCCGCAAGTACGGTCGAACTCCACCTGCACTGCAGCTTTCTCGGCCTGGAGTGCGCCCAGCTGCGCGGTGAGGCTGACTTGTGCGGTCGCCTGCTGGGTGATAGTCGCCTTGAGACCCCGAACGGTCTCGCGCTCGCGTTCGAGGTCGGACTGGTACATGCGAAGGTCCTCGTTGAGCTCGCGCAGTTCGCGGTCTTTCCTTCGCAGGTCCGCCTGCAGCTCGGAGATCTCGCGCTCATGTCGCTGTCGGAGGCTGTTGAGTTCGTCGGAGGCGATGAAGAGCTCCTGTCGCTGTGCAAGTTCTTGCGTCTTGGCGTTGGTGAGCTCGCGGGAGAGGGCTTCGTGCGAGGCTTGGAGGTCGGATCGTTTGGCGCGTTCTTGCGCGAGTTCGGCATCGAGGCGGGCGGCGTCGGCGGCGCGTGCTTCTTCGATCTTGGATATTTGCTGCTGTATGGAGTCGAACCGTTCGTCGTTGGCAGCAGATGCTGTTGTCGGTCGAGCCCTGGATATGATGCATTGGGTAAGAATCTCAAGCGAACTACACACCGCATAATTGGGAAGTGTATCAGACGGAACCGGTATTTGATTATCACATAGTGTTCATAGTGTTGAGGTAGGACTGGCACCCATAGCCGTCTCCACAGGCAACTTTCACAAATCTTGTGTCTTCACATACGTGCCGGAAACGGCAACGCCATATCAAGCAGAACAAGCACTCACGTAGTGGTAGCCCTCGACGTAGGCCTAGCGGGAGGTCTCACTGGCGCCGTCTTCGGTGGCGCACTCGTTGCGCGCATCGTCCTCCTCGTCCCATTCGCCGCGGTGGAAGTGCTCAGCGTCGGCGCACGCGGCTTCGTCAGCGGTGGCGGCCCCTTCCCCAGCCTACTCGCCGCCGTATTCGGCGCGAACTTCGACGGCCTCAAGGGCTGGTTCGTGTCCGCCTCCGCGATAGCCGCGAGCTTGCGCGGGTGTTCGTTCTCTTGTGTCGGGGCCTTGCGCTTGAGCGACGTCGTCGTCCCGGTGGACGACGACGCGATGTTGGGTCCGGCCATGGTGCTGGTGAATATCGGAGGGTGGTGTGGCCTGTCGGGGGAGGAAGAGCGCAACCGTGGGAGACGGGACATGGCTGTCGGCTAGTAGGCGGTGCAGACGCCCAAACGCGTCCCTTGGAGGTTTCAAACCACACGCAGGCGCCCGCCGCGACGCGTCTGTCAGGTGACCGTTTAGCCACAGATGCAGGACTTTTGAGCACCCCCAGCTGCGAGCAGGGAAGTAATTACGGTCTAGTATAGGTACTAGGGTAGATATATGCGCGACAGATGGGTCTATAGCGTCGCGGTCTGCAGGATGCCCTTCTTCACAAACTCCCGCGCATTCCCTCCCGACTCCGTGTACTTCGCAAGGAAGATCTCGTCGCCGCGAGCTGCACATTCGCGTCAGTTGGACGTGTTACTTACAGGCTACTGAGGTGCTCACGTATGTGCAAGGCCTTGGTCTGGTGCCACAGGTCGAAGAGAGACGCCGCCTCGTCAATGCTCAACCGCTCAGGCACAGGGAATGTCTTCAGGCCCTTCGCGTACTCGATCAGCTCCGCTTCCCGGCGGACATAGGCGTTTGTCGGGACCGACGGCACTAAGTTTAGAGACTCGACCAGCTCGAGCGGTGCGCGGAAGGTCGTGTTTTGTGTCGAAAGTGCTCCCAGGACCGCACCTCGCGCCTTAAAACAGCATGTTAGTCGAGTCCAGCGATTGAAAAGCCACGAAGGCATACAAAGGACTTCTTCCCGCTCGCGAACTCAAGCAGCGTCCGAGGGAACGTAAGGTGGTACGCCTTGATTGACTTGAATAACGGGTCGCGGTACTGCGACATGCAGAACAGCGCCTGGAAGTCGTCGATAGCGAGCAATACCGGGTACCTTCGCATATGTGTGAGCCTCCGCGAGTGCAATGATGCATAGATGTTGCTCACTTTGTCTGCTTCGCTAGCTCGTCCAGAAGCGCGGTGAGCACGGCGGGTGCGTGGTTCTGGTTCTCAAGCCCCAAGTTGATGAGGTCCATCAACTGCGCGCCGCTGCTAAATTCCCGCTCGTCGAACGTGTATGCTGCCTGCGTTGCCAACGACCGGACAAGAGCCTCGTTCACGTCGACAAATCGCTTCAGCAACTGCTGTGCAAATGCAGGCTGGCCGTAAGTCTGGGTGCGAGCGTCGTACGCGTACGATGATGAGGAGTTGACCAAGCTAATGGCTGAGGACACCAGCTCAGTGGTGACACAACTGTAGATTTGCGCTACAATGCTGCTTACCTCTGGGAATGTACAGGCTAATCCAGTCCTTCTGAATGGAGTACTGCACTGCTTGCAGTAGAAGGTAGCTCTTCCCGCACCCAGTCTTGCCAGCTAAAGTCATGACATCAATACGCGGGAAAGAGTATCGAACCTGTAAACTCACTCAACACAAGCCTCGTATCCTTGCTAGACGACCCAGACGCCTTGTCGAGTTGATCCAGCAGGTCTACGGTCGCTTCCCGAATGACCGAGCATGGTTTCGTCAACAGCAGGTGCTACAAGGCAAGTACCAGTGTTAGGGGATGCCGTGCGACAAGCTTGTTGAGAGCAGTGACATACATCGACCAAGATATTCCTCGGCAAACCGTAGGCCTTGAGCGCTTTGGACTCGCCTTGCGGAAAAGCCATAGGCTTCGCCACCGCTGAGGGAGTGATGGCTTCCTGTAGACATACCCCCAGTATCAGTGCACACGTTCAGTAGCCTTTGCCAACAATAATTACTCACAGGACGGAAGGTGGGCAATTGCAGCGAGGTTATGTTCTCGGTTTGGAAGACAGGATTCGCGAGGCTGTTCACGGGCATGGGATGGTAGGCCTGACAGGACCCAGCAAACCATGTTCAGCGGCGTTATATTGGCCTCCAATAACACCGTGAAGACGTACACCAGCATCCCGGGGCCCCTGCTTCTCCTTGTCATCTCTGCCCGCATTCGCCTTGAACTTTGCTAGAGTACGGTAGCCTCGTCAACACGACCAGAGTCTCGCGCTTCAGCGCAGTAAAGGCTACGCACATGAGACCTTCTTCGCGGGCTTCACGGCGGCAGCATAACCCCTCGAATGGACAAGGACACCGGCAGAAGAAGCAAGCGTAGCAGGGGTAGAGTGGACAGCACGCCCGGTCCGGAGAGCAGCAACCAAAGACATCCTCACGTCAGGCTCCCAGAGCGCGTCAAATTAGCCAAGATATAGGGGATTAACGCCGAGAGTACGAGAAACCAGAGGCTGCCGTGAAGCCTACACGACCGAGTGAGTGAGCGCGAGTGGGCCGGGTGTAACGGCGTGGGCGTCTGCCACCGCTGGACGAATTTGCGAGGTTGTGACTGCATGTGACTTCTGTGACAGGTACGTGACTATTTGGTCGGACCGCGAGTTCCGCGCGGTGCGAGGCGGGGCGCCAATTACCCCGCTCCCGCTTGAACGCGACCCTTACTCTGAAGCACAACCGCGACAACGACGGCAATTCTATCGAGTTCCACTGCAGTTACGCGCGAGAAGGTGATAGAGTGGACGCTCAACGGGAATATGTGAGGCACGGGGAGTTGTATGCGCTGCATGTGTGTATGTCTGGCCTTTGCAATATCCGCCTGGAATCGCATTCACCCTGATAAGACGGCCGTATGGACGGCATCTCACGTTTGTCTTCTCTTCCGAACGTTGTGAACAACCTTTCATCCAAACCACCACGAAAGGATCCCCCAGCTCTCCTCGTCTCGTCCGCCCCGCAAGCATCCCCGGTACTTGCGTCAATATGCGGCAAACCGAGAAAGCCGGCCATTTGTACGAGGGCAGGACCGTGGAAGGCCTGCAGGTGGATGAGAAGGTCAACCCGTACGACACCCATCCCTTCCATGACTCCGCAGACCAGCACAAGCGCGGCCTCAAGACGAAGAGATTCTTCGCCGTCGCGCTTTGCTCTGCACTCGGGCTGTCTGTCTTCTACCTCGGAGCGCAAAGCCCCCATCTCCGCGCGTGCGGCACCGCTGCACGCGCGGGAGTGCAAGAGCACCTGTCGTCTCTCTCATGGGGCGGCCACGCCGAGGCTAGCGCTGTGTGCCCGCAAACCACGGCAATCGCCCCGCAGAAGAATAGCCCGTTCCTGGATGCCTTGGAGGCTGAGTTCGCTACGGACGCGTTCAAACTGAAGGCATACGAATCCCTCGGAGGAGCGATCAGAGTTCCGTACGTCGCGTATATCGTATATCAAACGCGTCGATACGCAGTGCTCACGCCATGTTTTGAAGGACTGTCGCGTATGACGACCTAAAGCCTCCAGGCCAGGACGAGCGCTGGGAGATATTTGGTGACTTGCACGCCTACCTTGAGCAGCACTTCCCGTTATTGTGAGTACGAATCCGTAAAGCTTCTGAGCAACCTCATAATTCCGGGCACAGGCACCAGAACCTCAAGAAGACACATGTGAACAAATACGCCCTAGTGTACCACTGGCAGGGAAGCGATGACTCGCTCAAGCCTGCACTCCTGACGGCGCACCAAGGTTTGTGGGTGCGCACACAAGCCTTGCTAGCTCGCTGAATTGGTTATCGCAGATGTTGTGCCTGTTGAACCTCTGACGATCGACGTGTGGCAGCACCCACCCTTCTCCGGGTTTTATGATGGTAAACGCCACGCTCCTGCATCATTCATCGGACCTAATGTTGAATCGTTATCAGGTGAATATATCTGGGGTCGAGGCAGTTGCGACGACAAACCCGGCTTGATCGGTACCTTGTGAGTTTACACACTATCACTAATTTACTCGTCAAAGGCCGTACTAACTCTCTACGCAGGACGGCCGTCGAGGAGTTGTTGCGCATAGGTTTCAAGCCTACGCGTTCGATCGTGCTTGCATATGGCATTGACGAAGAACGCGGTGGCATTTCGGTAGGACTTATCTTCTCACTCGCTGGTCAAGTTAATGTTAACTGTGTCCACAGGGCGCTACTGCTATTCGTGACTACCTGCTGGGTGCGTACGGCGAAAATGCATTCTCGATCCTCATCGACGAAGGAGGTAATGATGCCTCGCCATTTCCTTGTGTCATCCATTTTGCTTAGCGCGGCATGACAGGCGGCTATGAAGTCGGTGAAGACGCGATCACGTCCTCCCCCGCTGTAGCGGAGAAGGGCAAGTTCGACGTTCGTTTCGAGATCTCCGCACCGGGAGGCCATTCTAGTGTTCCGCCTGAACACACCGTCAGTTTAGCGCCCTCAACTGAACCCTGTACCTCTCGCTAACGCCGGATCTTTCAGAGTATTGGCATGATCGCCGCCGTGATCAAGCAGCTTGAAGCGAACCCGCACGTCGCGCACCTCAACCGCTCTGGCATCTACTACTCGCTCCTCCAGTGCCAGGCCGAGCACGACCCCGCCCTCCCCTCTCATCTCCGCAAGCTCATCACGCACTCGCGCAAATCCGACAAGGCCCTGAGCGCGCTCGAGGCGGAGCTCGCACGCACGGACAGAAAGTTCCGCGCGCTCGCGGGCACGACACAGGCCGCGGACGTCGTGCGCGGCGGCGTGAAGACGAACGCGCTCCCGGAGCTCGCGTCCGTGATCGTGAACCACCGCATCGATGTTCATAGCTCCGTCGGGTTCCTCAAGGAGCGCATCACCCGTGTCGTGTCGCCCGTTGCGGAGCGCTTTGGGCTGGATGTGGACGCGTTTGGCGCGAAGACGACCGCGGCGAGCGCGAGCGCGGGGCTGCTACGGATCTCTGACGCATTTGGGACGGCGTTGGAGCCTGCGCCTGTCACGCCGCTAGGGGATAGCGGACCGTTCCAGCTGCTGTCGGGGACGATTATTGGCGTGCTCGGATCGTCCAACCGGACGGGCTACGACAAAAAGACTTTCATTGCGCCGGGGATGTCGACTGGAAACACAGGTGCGCCATCTTCTTTCATAGCAGTATTCCCTATTAAAGCCGCCTGTCTCGCTTCAGACACGAAGCATTACTGGAAGTTGACGAAGCACATTTTCCGTTACGGCCACATCAACGCTGGAGACTCGTTCAACGGAGCGCACACCGTCAACGAAGGTGCGTCACGGTTCTTCGTGTATGAAAGTCGAGGCTTATTGACAACGTGTTTGCATTGACAGCTCTTCGTGCTGAAGGGTTCATTGAGGCGATTCGTTTCTTTACCTGGGTCATCTTGAACGCGGACGAATCTCCGCTGTTGGAGTGAGTTCGAGTGGAGGTCATTTGTAACGCATCGAAACGCGTAGGGCAGGTCCGAAATGTGTACGTTCTCCTGCCTCACAACGAATTCTATATTTTGTACAACACAGCACCCGTGGCATTCGTTCCTCGGGGGTACAACAACACATACAACAAATTGAACTAGAAGTTCAGAACTCAGAAAACAAAGGCCGATTGACCCTCCTCGAATCCCATCTCCTTCAAAGCTGGCAGTACCACTTCGTCAATCATACCCTCGGGCCCACAGACAAATGTCGCAACCCTCTTCCCGCACGGGTAGATATGCTCCTCCCTAGCACGAGACTGTAAGTCATACCTCCAACTGTGAGGAACTAAGTCGCAACGTACAGCATAGTCTTGCTGACCCTCCCTGTCGAATACTGTAGACACTTCTTAGTGCGAGATTCCCTTAGAAGAGAGTGCGGCACTCACCTGCCACCCCTTGGGCGGGCTTGTGAGGACGTGCCATAGCTTGAACTGCGTCGAGTGCTTCTGGGAGTACTGCTGCAAGGTATCGCGCATCCAGATGTCGTCGTACGTCTTGTTACTAAGAGATGGACATGTCAGAGCACTACGATGATGCCGAGCGCGCTGACGGAGCATCTTACCTGTCGAGTAGGGAGATCAGAGTCTTGTCCTCGGGGTCTGACAAGATGGCGTGAATGAGCTGCCAGTGCGGGGTCAAGCCACTCCCGCCGGCGATGAGGTTGATCTGTGGGTGGTGGTGTGAGCAAAGATGATACCGTCGGGAGGGCGACCTTACCTTGTCGAAGTGGAAGGTCGTGCCCTGGATCTTGAACTTGCCGCGCCCGAGGTAGCAGATGCCGCCCGACGGTCCTCGGATATCGATCTCCTCGCCTAGGCGCAGTCTTATCACCAATCCTCGAGAAATCACAAACACCATACCTTCTTCCATGCAATCTAGGTAGTTTGAGATAGTACCCCCGGGCGAAAACGCCTCGCCCTCCACCGGAAGGTATGTCTTGACGAGCAGGTCGAACGTGCCATCGTCCTCGGTAGGGAGAACAGGCCGAACGGGGGTGTAGCTGCGCTGGACAGCTTGATCCTTGAAGTGCAGCGAAATCTGAACATGCTGCCCCACGGGAAGGCCAAGTCTGCCCGGACTGCCGTCGCGCTGTCGAGGAAGCTCGAACGTATATAGCCTGATTGCAGACACCCACACGATGAGAACGATTTGAGGACGTGGGCGTTCCTGGTTCGTACCTTGAGTCATGCGATATGTCGGCGCGTTTCACAAGCTTTGCGGCGGTGAAAGCATCAGGTTGCAGCGCGAGTCCCTTGCGTGCCTCCTTGAGCTCCTGAAGTTCCTTCGCCGCTCGTGCAGCATCTTGCTCCATGACCTTGACGGCTTCGGCCGATAGTACCCCGAGAAGGCATTCATCTCGCTTGCCGTGGGCGACTGTCGGTTTAATCAAGAATCTGAGCACTAGTCGAGAACGTCAACCTTTGGACACTTACAGTTGTCGTGGATGTTCTTGTACTGGCAATGTCCATCGAGTCAGCGTGCGTCTACGAATGCTGTACAAGCGACGAACCTCGATTGAAGGTGCGATAGAAGCCTTGCCTGCATACATGAGGATGGATCGCGGGCCGCCTATGGAGAAACGCGGGACGCGTTAAAGATAGCAGGCTTATGAAACACCGATGAGTCTGACCAGGATGCCACGACAGGACAGGGGTAACGTCGTAGACTTTGTTGTCTAAGATGATCCAAGCATCGTTCTGGATGACACGAATGAGCGAAGGAGAGGTACAGGCAACACTGTCTCTTACAATCTTGTCGTGTTTCGCTATTTCATCGAGCGAGAACGTCGGCAGCGTATGGGCAGGACTGTCATGGCTATCAAGTCGTGGAGCCTCCGAAGGCACCATCCAGCCGCCATCCTCATCCAAAGGAGCGACGGGATGTTGGAAGCGAACGGTGCAGCTAGACGTTTTAGGGTCGCGGTTAGTGACGTTGGGGCGGACTCGATACCACGAGTTACTAGTAGTGACAGTAGTCAGCAGCATCAAACATGGCTACTTTATATTCAGTTTACCGACTTCATCATGCCCTGTATATACTCATCCTTAGCACAGAGAAGCACACGCGAGCGTACGATGGTAACGTACTGTCAATGTCCTGAGTCAAGAATTAGACCCGGAGTATTTGGTCACGGTCTCAACAAAATCTCGCACCAGGTGATATGCTCCGGCTGGTACATCTTCTTGTTGTCCTGAGCCCGCACGATGATCTCCAACGCATTCACTAGCTCCTTCAGTTTCACGTCGCATGACCTGTTTGATTTTACGTCAGCCGTGTGAGGGAGAGTGATGTCTTTAAATCGAGACATGTATACCAGAATAACCAAGCCCAGTACTTCGTGCCATGTCTGTCAAATCACGACGATAATCAGTCCTCCAAACCCGAAAGCGCAAACGTACAAACGCATACCTTAGAGGCGCATCCAAGAAATGTCGGAAGCACCATCGCCAAGTCTTTCCGCCATCGAGGCTGAGCTCGACACGTTCGATGCGATCACCGCCACCATTGAACGCGAATCCTTGAACAGTATACATACCCTCCATGGCACTTTGATTCTGAATTTCGATGACCTCTTCATGTGCCGGCTTGCAGATAATCGACTGCAGAATCTGTGACAATTGAGTAGAATCCCATGAGCTCGGCACCTGAGCTTCAAAACTTGAAGTATCGCAGTACCTGCTCCCAGCAGGCCGTGCTCTCGTCTCCGAAAAAGGTCTTCGCAAGAGGATGAGACTTCGAGTCAATGAACGATGGCACCACCTTGTTGTCCCAGATGTCTGTCACAATGTTAGGCGTGGAACGTGGCAAGCTTCCGACATTACTGACGGTAATGGGATTTATTGGGCTCCTTTGAGACCCAGATCTATATACGTATGTCAGATATGGCTATAAACTATAGGTAGCCATAGGACTCATACACACCTTGCTAAGCCACTTGATCTGGCGGCCGCCCACATATCCCTGATACGCAAAGTCAACGTTGAAGACTGTGACCAGGTGAGTGTTCGTCATACGTACAGGGATAATAACACGCAATGGCTACGCGAGAAGTAGCATCAGCGACTTGTAACCTATATCCACTCAGTGAAACGCACATAGCCGTGATCAGGATGCAGAACGCGGCCATTCATGCCGAACGCGAGCATGACGTCGTTGGTAGGGTCCATAGCATGGCTGAGCGGTATCGAGGTCGCATAACGTCCCGAGGATGGCAGATCGGCGCCCTCAAAATGCAAGTACCTGTTTGAATTGTAAGACAAGTCACAGTTCCAGGATTGGCACTTTTGACTGAACATACCAACGTTCCTCTACGGGAGGCTCTCGAAGACGGCAAGCCTGCAGAACGTCGCGCACCGGAACACCGCGCCACACCGCGGTAGACACTCCTGATGCGGTCCAGTTGAACCCAACGGTTCGCTTGACCATGTTGACTTCCCTGCGACGATCTGACACCACAGTCAGTACGTCGATCGATGTTGACAAGAGACTAGGAACTTACTGCCGTCGCAGCCCAGAGTGACGGGAATTTCGAAGACCTCGAACTCGCCGGACGTGAGCTCGTCCATTGACCACTCCTTCGGCTTCACCAATAGGTTAGGAGGGTCAGAGTATACGGAGACCGTATGCGTCTCCCAGTGAAGTTGCGGCACCGCGGCATGGTTGCGGACAAAGTGGAGTCTTGATAAGTACATTAGTACAGTAAGTAGTGGCGGGCGTTGGCGAAGGACGTACTTGGTCGGGGTAATCATACCCCCTTCATACAGCTTCAAAAGATCGGGCTCGGCATTGAGAGGATGTTTTCCTGTCAGACGGCGCAGGTATGCAGATCGCGGAATCCAAGAGTCTGGCGTGTCCCTGTTGTGCGGCGTCCTTTAAGTGGCAGACTGCTGAAGTATTACAAATACGCACTGATCATCGACGCTGAGACGACTCTCAAGCTGATCGAGGGCATCGCCATCCAGAAGCTTGAGCTCACCCTTCGGCACGCCGGGATTATGCGCGAAGGATTTGATCGTGCGGAACTCCTCCAGGAGCTTACTGAGGAATTGTTGCTGCTCATCAGGTTGTACGGCTTCGACGTTGTCGCCGCCCTCCTTGGGTGAGGCAACAGGAGGGGCCAAAGTGGTCCCCGAAGAAACGGAAGATTCACTATCAGAGGGAGAGTCGGGTGCATGTTTTCCTCTCCAATCTTGTTCTTTGATATCTGCCTCGCTGACAGGCAGAACATAGCGGGCGTAGTCGTGATGCTATGAGCGCATGAGGAATGACTAGAACGGACAGCGTACAGAGAACACTGACTCTCGGATACTTGGCTTTGTAGCTATGAGATTAACGGAGTGATTAAGGTCCGCGCCATATGCACATGACCCAGTACTCACTTTGGAGAGGATACCTTGACGTCTCGCACGGAAACCAAGTGGTCGACACTAACCAGCCGGTCGCGCCAGCTTGGAGCTTCCGGATTCCCATACGTCTTCTTTTCGTCCGACTTCATAAGTGCCGCACTATCCTCCGGAAGGCCCGTCGTGGGACTTTGCTTGGAAGAGGCAACGAGAGAGACTGTTGCCGTATGTGCGTGCTTAGAAGCGAACGGCGGAGCGAGGGGTGCAGCTTGTTCGACGGGGTCGTATGCCATCGCAACTGGTGGACTGAAGGAGTTGGCATCGTCCTTTGTATCGAGTAGCGAGCACATCCATCGTCTTCTCCACGGCCCCTGCCGCGAATGCTCCGTCTGCGGAGAGAAGCCCCCGTGAGACTTGCACGGGACGCGCAGCGCCCTTTTTCAGTGCGCCAAGGTCCTATTCGTGCTGCTGCTGCTGCCTAGAGTCTGCTTATCTCGGTGAGTATAGATTTCCGTCCTTATCTGCCGCCGTAAGATCAAGTCCAAGTGACTGAGCTCCGGGTCCCTAAGCTTCTGCCATACTAGCGGTCGCGTATAGCGCTTCGAGACGGGTCCTTGCGAACCCGTCAACGTACGCCCAAGCGGCCCTTTTGAGTACGGCGTATTGGGACGTCCCCACATAGGTGATGGTATCTAGTGGTGGCCACTCAAGTCACTCTTCTACGATGGAAATGAGCCGAGTAGGTAGGCAAGTGGACCGGTGGACTCACGATACTTCAGGCTCATGTCAAGCTGGTGATGGGCTCGTCTCTATTTACGTCCCCATAGAAGATGTGGCGAATATCTCAATGATTAACGGACAGGCTAATCATAGCGGAACCATGTTCAATTGTGTGGTAAGCTTCTTGGAGGGCTTCGCCGCGCGCGTTCTCACATTGCGCAGCTATCTGCGGTGACCGGTAGGCAAAGCACATGAGCAACGATGAGACAGACAGTATGACAAAATTGGAGGCTTACCGGTACTACCAGTCGCCATCGAGTATGAAGTACTAGTACGCCCTCAACGAAGACGATGACGGGAACACCACCGAGAAGCCCTGTCTGTAGAGTCGTGTAGTATTGTGGGCGAGCTAGCAGGAGTCTGCTCGCGATTATATGGTCATACAGATGCACAAAAACAAGGCACGATTCTTACGTGCCAGACCGCGAGCCCGCGCCCTAAGAAAAGAAAGTCGCAGCTACGGCGACAGCCGCAGTAGTGCACTCGGCGGATCTAAGAATCCCGGGTGTGCCAGCAGAATGTAATGTAGAACGGGCGGCTCGTGGTACCGGTAGCAACATCCGAAGGGTCCTCGAGGCAAAACGACATGCGCGATGTACATGGAAGGAAGGTTCGGGGAGGGAGACGGGGAGGAGCGACTGTGATCGGGCGTCGGGATGTATGTGGTGTGTCATTGAGTCATTCGCGAATAGGGTGAGCGTCCGGAGAAAGGCAAAACAGGACTGATGCATGCGAGCGGGACAAATGCTATGATGGATGGGACGAACGGAGTGAGTGGGTGGATGGCGTGATGGACGGATGTGTAGATGGGAGAGTGCATGGTGCGAAGGTAAGAAGGGAGCGAACCGGGAGCGATTACTACGTAGTGCATGAACGTCTAGATGGGGGACGACTCGGAAGGAAACGAAAGCGCGGAGGGGCGGACGCAGAAGAGTGATGTACAGCGAAGACTAAATGAGGGTGGCCGGCCGCTCAATACTCCTTTCTCCGCTGTTGCTGCTGATACACGGCTAGCGGGACGTCCTCGTCCTCGCTCGACTGTCGTGCGGGCATGGCATGTGCGCTCATCACCTTCTTCACCTTCCCGTTCATCGGGGCCATTGGCTGCGACGGCGCGGCAGTCGCAGAGAGCGACCGCCCCGCAATCCGAGCGCCGCCGCCCGCACCCACACCGCTGTACGGCTGCTTCTCCTGTGCAGGCGTATAGCGGTTAGCCGACGGTGGTGACCGTGGTCGCCGCGATCCTGGCGATGAGGGAGATGTTGGTGGCGAACCTGATCGCGGCGGGGGCGACGTGGAGTGGTTGCGCAACGCCGGTGACCCCGAATTCGCTATCCAAGTCTGCTCAACGGCGACCGGCGGCATAGCGCCTGGGGGTAATTGGGGCGCACCAGTGACAATGAGTGGGTATTGTTGCGCGTTCAGCGTTGACGGCTCCCCGATCTCGTAAAACTGGTTGTTCGCTGAGCCTGGCGAATCCGCAGGTCGAGGCTGAGGTTGGACGAGCTGCACCGAGTACTGTGACGCTTGCTTTGGTGAGCGAGGCGCGTTGGCCATTGGTGGCGGCGGTGCCGATGATGTCCGCGGGGGCGGCGGTCCACCACCACCCGGCGGCTGGTTATACCCACCGTAGCCCTGCTCCATCGCACGATGCTGCATCTCGTACTGCGGGCCTCTTACCGGCGTCTCTGCTCTTCGTGCCCCGCCCGCCGCCGGTTTCGTGAGACTCCCTCGCTTTTGGCTCTCCTTCTTTTCCGCCTTCTCGCGCTCACGCTCGGCACGCTCCCTCTCCTCCTGCTCCTTCCTCTCCCGGTCTGCCCGCTCTTTCTCCGCAGGGGAGGGCATACCAGGCGGACTGGGTTGCTGCTCCGCTGCGCCAGTAGCGGCGCCGTTCTGGCCAGGGGCTTGCCCCTGGGCCTGGGTCTTGTTGATGACGCCCAGGTACCAGAACATGAGGTTGCTGATGAGTACCTGTTCGTAAAGGGGCCGCCTGGGATTTGCGAGCTTGATGTGACTGAGCCGGTAAATTGCGCGCTCGACGTGGATCGGGTACCGCGCATACATGCCGAGCTGAGGTGACGGTGGGGGGATGTAGCCCTTGGACGACTTGGAGGCTCCGAGCAAGGCAGCGGCTGTCTCCCGGCCAGCAGCACTGTTAGATACGGACTGCGGCTCCTCCTGCTTCTTCTTCGAACCGAAGAGAGACCCGAAAAAGCCACTCTCCTTCTCCTTCTCCTTTTCGCGCTCGCGCTGCTCCTTCTCCTTCTCCTTTTGCTTCTTGCCGCCCTTGTCGCCGCCCCACTTGCCGAAGAGACCTTTCTTCTCCTTTTCGCGCCGATGGTGCTCTGACCGCTCAGACGGGCTTGGTGAGGGTGGGAGGTATGCGGACCCACCCTGCAGGGAAGGACGCGACTGGTGTACACTTTCGGATGTAGATGGCGATGTGGTGAGGTCAGGTGTGGAAGGGGAAGGCGTTCGTTGCGGCATCGGCGAGTCGGGAGTGGGAGGCGCAAGGGCGCGCTGCGGCTGGGGATGGTGGAGAACGGGAATGGCAGAGGCGGCGTCGGTATCGAGCTCGGCTTCTCGGGGGACAGGGGTATCATCGTCGACCAGCTCTGTGACAATCTCAGGGCTTCTGGACATGGGTGGCGCCTCGATGGACTCATGGTCAGCTTCTTCTTGGGCATATGCGTCGTAAATGGCCGTCTCGACGCTGTACGACTCCGGCCGAGGCAGTGGCGGCACCTCGGGAATGTCATCTGTTGACCGACCGACGCGCCGGATGGTGTCTACGTCGCCATGATCGCTTGAGGAAAGATCACTGGAGGAGCGGGGCTCCAGGGTGGCGGCTCGCCCAACAAGCGACTTCCTCCGACTTCGGGTCGTAGTGAAGCGATGCGCACCTTCGCCCGTCCCAGCCTTGCGAATCTTGGTGCGCGCGGTACGCTTCAAGATCTGGTTGCCTATTGGCACGACGATCGGGGAGTCCATGTCATCTCCAGGATCCCGGAGATCATCCATCTGGTCGATGACTGGAACACAGTTGACGCCATGTGCGCAACAGAGAGTAAGCAGGACGTACCTGAAGGCGCAATGTTCAGACTGAGGCTTCGCCGGAGGACACTCCGCAACCTCGAGGGATCATCGCTGTTGGACGCCTCCTCCGCCAGTTCCTCGAGCTTTTGCAGATCGCCGATAGTTAGCTGCGGCACGTTGGCGTAGATACTCGTCCGGTTCCGCCGTAAGGGTAGCACATGTTCCTCTCCGTCCAACGTGCCAGGGTGCGCATTCGGGTCGTATTGCCGGCTGAGCATGGACTTCTTGCGGCCGAGCCCTCCCCCTCCCACAGAGGTTATCGAGTTGGAGCGTCCCGGCGGGGGAACGGTGCTGTCGGTGCGTGCATGTTCCTTGAGAAACTCCTTGAACTCCTTCGGGGCAAGCTCTGGATGCACGCGAGCAGGGACCCAAAATAGATGGAAGGGATCGTCTTGCGCCGCGACAGAACTGTGCTCAGAGTGGCTGTCGTGCGAGCTGCTGCTCGAGTCGTCCGGGGGTGTCCAGTATGCTGCCTGCGCCTGTGCAGCCTCGCTGGGAAGATCGGGGTCGAGGATAAGAGAGCCGGGGCCGCCTTGGGCGGTGGACCTCCGCCTGATGTCGCGGAGGGCTTCGACCTCCCGTTCAATCTCAAGCTGGGAGGGCTGCATTGTGTGCTGTGCGCATTTGATCAGAGGTGCCGAGAAGGGGTACGCGCAGGGCACCAGGGCACATACCCGCGATAGACGTCGTGGCGGACGGTGTAGAGGGTAGGGCGGACAGCGGAGACGAGGATGAGATGGAGGACGAGGCGAGGCGAAGGCTCGTAGCGGCTGCGTTACAGAACCTCCGGCCGGCCGATCCAAATGTCGCCTTGCGCGGGTGTGACTCACACCGGCAGTAAAGTGTGACCCACTCTTTCCTTGTCTGGGTCAACAGTTTGTGCCGATGGGTTGAAGTGGTGTTAACATTTTCTGCTAACTCCTGCCGTTGACCATCCTTACTGCGTGACAGACATGTAAGGCGCACGGCCGGCCGGCGGCCACACGCGGTTCCATCTGAGCGTTCTCTCGGCCATTTCGGCCCCTGCCGGTGCGGTCCCCTGCATCGGAGCCGTCGGCAGCTTCGCGCTCCGCCCCGTCCTGCTCTTCCCGCCACCGTCCGTTGCAACCCCGTCCGTCGAGCTCACAGCTTCAAACGCATGTCGGAATGCCAGGCACAGCTGCAAATAGTGTTCCTGCGGCTGGGTTGTGGCGGCAGGTACAGCAAGCATCCCCTTTTGCCTGCTACTACCTACGAAAGGAATACAGCGCGGCCGCTTTCCCCGCGAGCCTTACCAAGTCCGGCAAAACACAGAAATGTTTCGTAAACATCCGCTGTCACTGGAAAATGTCATCGCCCGATCCAAGCCATCGCTCGGCCCGCGCACGCAATGTTTTCGTGGGGCCTCCAAGCAAATCCAACCATCCGCTTCCGCGGGGCTTGGCAGAAGGACTCCGGGGAACATTCGAACAGTGGACATGCGCACAACAAATCACAGGAAATCACGCGGGAGCACTAGGATGACTTTTATAGCATCCTTGTTGACACAAAGTGTTCGCTGAGCGCACTGCTTTGATCGAAGCCGGCCGGCACGAGAAGCGTGCAGTGCAGCAGTGAATGATCTACACAGTCGGAGCCGCACAGTATACTTCGGAGTTGGTCCAAGTTGCAACAGCGCGAAGAGCGGAGCGATACCTAGGGACCTCCCTAGCGGATCGTTCAAGTTGTTCATACGAAAGCTATGAACATCACCACAAAGTAGGCACTCAGACGCTCTCCCAATCTGCGGTCATGTTACGCCACAAATGGGCTCAAGTTTCAGAGTGACGATGAGTATTGACATGTCGCTGCGATCTGTCTTGAAGTACCCATGATATATAATATGGGGTTCACTACTACTGTCTACATGGCACCATGGAACTCAACAGGGACTCAGTTGTTCTCCTAGGACGTTTCATAACGGCCACGCGTTGCCTATGTTCGATCCCGGCTTTGAAAGGTTAGATGATAATGGTTACATTATGATACACTACAGTACTGTGCCTCAAGCCAGTGTCCATTTTCTATCTAGATTAAACCGCACCGGAAATTAGCGTCCAAGGCCTAACAACCCCCACAATATATCACTGCTCATCCGCGAGCAACTCCGGGGCATGCCAACGGTACAGCCGCTCGAGCCCGACGCCCCGAGCATCCGGCTTCCCGAGTTGTGCGGAGAGGATTTCGAGCACGGCAGGAATATCGGCCTCCATGTCCGTCGATTTTTCTCTGACGGGCTCGAGGAGGATATTCGCATATGTCTGACCGAGCATCCCGGCCTCCTCCCAGAACATGTGCGATGTCCATGAGCGCGGCATGAGCTCGAGCAAGAGGGTGTCGCGGCCGGTCCTGTCGAGGATATATCGTCAGTTCATGTACAGAATTGCGGCGGGACCCAAGCACTATTCCCAACAAAACTAGCGGCAGGGGAGTTGAGAGGGAACATCACTCACCATCGATGGTGGTACAGTCCACCGCCATGCGGCCCGATTACGGCACGGACGTTTTCGTGGAACCAGGCCATGATCTGCGGCTGCGACGAGATGCCAAGCTCGTGGAACAGCACGAGCTCCTCGCCCTGGTCGCGCATGGCCAGCAAAGCCCGCACGCCCTCGAGCATCTGGTCCTCGTTGCGCACACGCCGGCCGCTGTTGGACGTCGACCCATGGGAGCGGCTGATATACACGACCTAGCAGATAACATATCCGGCCACAGGTGAGATGCCGACGGATATGCAGGAGAGGACACATCACGCACCTTTTTTCTCCGGTCGATCGGGATACCGGCTGGGTCCAGCCCGAACATCTCGAGCGAGCGGAGGGACAGCCATGGGTGGACGAGCGGGGAGCGGCATGAGAAGACGACTTTCTTCGCTGCGACGCGCGGCGAGCGGAAGTGCACCTTCCCGCCACCGAGACCAAGCATATCGTACATCTCAGAAACGGCGCCGCCGGGTGGCCGGCCAGCGACGACCTCAGGCGCAGATTCACCGAACGTAAAGTGGTGGCCCTGTGCCACAATATGCCTGTGCCCAGCGGTGTGAGCCTCGGCAAATGAGTACTAAGGAGGCTAGCGTCGCTGAGACCTACGTGATTCGGTCTAGGAAATGCTGGAAGGACCACGAGTCCGGAGTGGTCGCGATCAGCAATGTGTCCACAGGAAACGCGGCGTCGTACTCCGCCTGGGTCGCGAGCGTGTTGATGGCGGCGTCGGCGGGCGCAGTCGCAAGGCCCGCAGTCGTCACGCCGTCGCTCATGCACGCGTCGTCGACCCAGAGGTCGGCGGGAGGGTTGCCCTTGAACGTCGCATTGGCGAGGACCTGAATTATGTAGAGTCTCAGCGTACTGTCTCACCGCATGCCTGCATACCAGAGATTTAAATGCACTGACGACGTTCTGTCCGGTCTGCCCCCGGTAGCACACCCAGCGCTTGTCCTTGCAGAACGACGCGCGCTCCATGATACCATCGAGCTTGCGGCGCCATTCTGGCCGATCGCCATCGGCGCGGCTGGGCGCGAAGAGCGGCTCGTGCAAGCGGAAATCGGGGTAGATGAGTTCCTCGCCGTATACCGCGCCCTCTCGCCGCTGTGCCAGACAGGGGGCGAGGTAGGATGGTGTTCCAGGAGGGCAAGTGTTCAGCGATGCGGGCGCCCATTGTCGCGAGGCAAAGTTCGGGCTGCTGGTAAGGAAGGAGGGTAGGGCGTCTGCGAGACGCTGGCTGGCCGCTAACTGCGATGTGGTTTCAGACGACGACGATGGCGATAACCTGTAGGTCCATCGTGTGTCGATGCGGAGGAGAATAAGAATAAGAAGCACGACGGAGGCTAGCAGGGAGCCAAGAAGGGAGATGATTGAACAGCTGCGTTTGTGCAAGGCCGGAGTCTTTGCGGGTTCGGTGCCGTCCTCCAAGTCGAGGCGCTGGTACAGCGGGGGACGAGAGGGAAAGGAAAATCGCCAGGATAGCAGTCGCATAGTGTGTGGACGAGAAGTATGAAGGAGGGGAGTGGTGGGGCGAGGCGAGGCGACCGATCGCTTATTTGTTAGACTGCCTCAAGGTATGTCCGGTCATGGATTGCCGCACAAATGTGGCATGGGAGGGCCCGGAGTTGCCCTTCACGCCCGTCAGGTATGTAGCTGTGCTTGACACCGTCTATCGGTCGTTCCGTCAGGGTTCTTCTCCACGCAGCGTCACCCATCTGACTCCATTTAGGGTACTCCCGCAGTCAGATGTTTAACGGAACAACAATCTGGCCTAGAATGCGGTATCCTCTGCTGCAGGAATAATCGCATCCGCTGTGGGCGTTCAACATTCAGCAACGGGCGCGGGACATGGAACGAGTGCCTTACTGCGCTCATTGCCTCAGTGCAGGTTCGGAATGACCGAGACGCGGATATGTTGATACGATCAGACTTAACCAGCCATTCCTAAATCGCCGGCGGCGCTGCGGTTTGGTCATTCGTCTGCCTGCACTCTGGGGGAATTCAAGACGGGACTGACCTGTTCTCCAGAGAATCGATCGACGAATCTCGGATCGACGACTGCGCACGAGAGACTCGGTCTTTTGGAGGCCGTCTATTGCAACGCGGTATTAGTTCTAGCTGCCCGTCCTTCGCGGATCCGCAGCGAGGCGGTGAATGAGCCCGCTGCGGACCGTAGTGGTCGGTAAAAATCAAATGTAGATGCTGGGGTCATGGTGGTATACGTCTGAGTCGTGGGGATGGGCGCCTGCTGTCATCCAGCGGAGATGTGTTTCGGCGTCTGTGTAACCTTGTTTGACATACGCACTTCAATGTTCGAAGTTTCGGAGTCGTCGCGACATCGTCACAGTACGTGTACATAGCTTCGAGCACAACAGTAGTATTGAATCTTTGAAAGTGGCCCCAGCTTGCAGAATAATATGTGGTGTCCGATATCACATCCCACCTCATAGTGCATCGTGCATGTCATCAGGTCGATGGACGGATACTGAGTACTGAGTCCCAAGGGGTCAGGGCAGGCTCTACACATCACAATACGCATGCGCATAGCGACTGCACCGCCAATGATTATTCACCGTCATGCGGAAGCAGCCGACATGCATACAGCCCCATGCTGAACCTCCTGCGAGCTCACGGGTATCAATACACTGCCCCAGGGGCGACCGGTAACCTGCGATGCGTACCCCGCAACATAGTCGACCTTCGACGAGGAAGTGATGTCGGTGCGCAGCAGACCTACATCCATGCTGCAAAGCATGCGCAGCGTCTTGCACTGCCAGGCCGCAGATCGTGGTCATAGACCTTGCATAGGACGCCGTCGAGTTTGATTTTTCATAAACAGCAAACGTTGTGAGATCCTGACAAGGGGGGTTTGAGTGTGTCCACATTCCATTAGTTCGAACCTGTCAGATACTGATTCAATTCCGGATATATTGAATAGATGCGTAGATGCCCAGTGAGAATACAAGCAATGGCCCGCGAAACGAAAACGTCCAGCGACCGACGAACGGAGGTGCGAGACAGTGTCCTTGCGTACGCTATCGCCGTCGCGCAGCATCCATATCCAGCAGCATAAAGCCGGCAAGCCGCATGGCCGGGAGTCAACGTTACAACCCGTGATGTCCGTGGACCCGCGACGCGCGTTCAGAGCACGGCCGCGAACGTGAACGCGGCAGCACCGAGCGCGACGGCAGCGCGGAAGAACTGGCCGTCGACCGCGAGCGCGCTAACGGCCGCGTTGGTGCCGGTGGAGTTGGTCGAGGTGCCGTTGACGGTCGCGCCGGCAGTCGACGGCGTGCCGCTGCTCTTCGCGGCGGAGGCGGTGGAGGACACCTTGGAGGTGGTCAAGGACGCGGTGCCAGCCGCAGTAGAGGCCGCAGCGGCGCTGGAGGTCGCGGCGAGTGCGCCAGTCGCGCTGGCAGCCGCGGTCGAGGCACCACTGGTGAGGTATGAGGGGGCCGCGACGGCCGTAGAGGGGTCGACGAGCGCGCCGACACCCCAGGGGATGGCCTGACCGTCGGGCTGCGTAGTGTTGGGCGCAGCGACGACGTTTCCGTCGGTGTTGCCGATGGCGAACCGAGTGGTCCAGGTGCGGTTAGCGGCACCATTGGCCGTGAACTGGTAGAAGTAAATGGCGGCGTTCGGGGTGACCTGTTTAAGAGCGGTGATCAGACTTGAGCAGATTGAGGACTTTCTGCGAGACGGTCTTAGTGATATTGAATCGTAGGAAGTGCTTACCTGAGGGCAGTCATAGCTAAAAGTGGTCGTGGTAGCATCGGTACCGTCAAGGGTCGCTACGGCTGGAGTGCCTACTCAGTGGCGGTACCAGCATAATCGCTGATGAACATACTGGTGAGATGGACCATGTTCCAGTTGTCACCGGTCATAAGCTCGACATTCATCTCTTTCCAGGTGCCGGTGGTGTCCACATCCCAGGCAAAGGTGCACTGACCGCCTTCCCTGAAGACGTCACCCGGCCCGGGGGCGGAAGGGGTGGGATCGGCGTGCACAAAGGCAGCACCTGCAATGAGGGCAACAAGGGTAGCGTATGGGAACATCGTGAGGGGTATTTTGGAGGTGTGGGTGCGTAGGGGTAAGTTGTTTGAGCTGGCATATTGTTAGACCGGGGTGCGAGCATACTTCCACGCGAATAGCGTACCTTGAAGTCTACCGACTGAGCAGAGCAAAAGAGCGACGGGGGTAAAGAGAGACTGTACGACGACCGGGAGGCTGAGAGGGGGCCAAAGAGCGCACCGAGGACGACGGGATGGAGAAAGAGCAAGCAACAAGGCACACGGCCATCTAGCCCTTGTACCAGCGTCTGTTCTGTCAGTCTCAGCGTCTATCCCCACCGCTCTGATCGACGCGGAGGCTATCTTTAGCGCAAGCCTCTACCACCATCTCCTTTGCCACCTCCCTTGTGCGTATTCAGGTTGGGTTTGCCGCAAGCTCTATTTCGACCTGCTAAGGGAGATATCGCTAATGCTTGGAGCCAAGACGACCTTTGTGCATGCGATCGCGAGTCTGGTCGGAGATCCAACAGACAGAGCCAGACTCAGCTTGAGAATCCGCTACTTGATACAACCTCCATATCGTCTCCTACTAATACAGCCCAATAGCAATACAACAGAAAAGACTCTTCGCGAATATAGTGCGTACATACTGCACACCTGCAACACAGCGCGGCCGAAAGCGACTCCGGTGGCCATCTGGCACTGGTAAATCTCCAGATGCGTGAGTATTCAAACCTGCCGTGGTGTCCCATCACTCACCTCGTGCAAAGGGCAGATCCTCAAGGAAAAAATAAGAGAAGACTCAGAGGTCCGCTTCGTAGTACAGCCTCCAGAGCTGGTGAGGGTCGAGGTCCGTCAAAGGCCGCTGCCTCGGCGGCATTCTGGACGCCAAATAGTCCCACTCCCACCGCCAGCCCTCTTCCCGCACCCACTCCCACTTTTTCTTCCACCGGACAAGGGTGCCGACATCCGGTACGTCGTCCGTAGGTCCCGGCCTGAGGACGTATCCTGCATTCATAGCGTCCATGCACATGGCGGATACATCCTGGATGACCGCGCGCCAGCGTTCTCCGACGATCCTGCAGTGGTACGTCCTGTTGATATGGCAGTTGCTGGTATAGAACAGCCCGGTATTCACCATGAGGGACACGCTGGGGAGTACGCCGGAGAACGAGGGATCCATAGTGGATGGCAGCAGCGTGCGCATGTGCGCTTGCTCTTGTTTGGCCGATTCGACCATGCTGGCCTTGTACTTCTGTGCAAAGGGGCCGAGCTCGGACTGGGGTACAAGGGACGAAAACGATATTTGGAACGCGCGGGCGGGGTTATCTTCCCCACGATTCTTCATCGGCACCAGATGGAAGATGAGGACTTTCTCGGAGACAACGGGATTGCTGAAGCCGAAGCTGCCCTCCAGGTGTATGGCGACACTGCCTATAACTGTGCGCGCCATCTGGTGCACCCCTGACCACTCCGCGACGGCGGCATTGAGGGCGATGAGGGCCGGATATCCTGCTAGGCGGTTGGTGTCGAAGACATCTTCCGGCTTGGTGGAGTTGCTGTTAGGACGACACTGCCGCCTTGGTAAATCATCACCAAGTCAGAACCGGTGGTACGCGTTAACATTACGCGGCAAGACGGTGCTATCATAAGGAGCGTACCTGTGCGCGGACCACCCGTTCTTTTGACAGTCCTTACCACAATACATCGCGATTGAACAACCTTTACATCGCTTCAGCTTCACCGATGGCGACTCCTCCTTGCCGCAGTGGGTGCAACATGGGGTGTTGCGGGAAGGGATAGTGGTCGAAGACCCGGCCCGGGCCTGGGAGTTCATGGTTTAGAACAAGAAACAATCGCGATGAGGATGCGATTATCGAACTTCTCTGCTGCTCCCCGGATATGGATGAGTACTGGCGCTATGTCAGTCCCTGTATCCGATCCGGGTCAAGTCTGCTGTTCATTCTTATGTTTGGACGTGTTGGCCCGTGTACGCACTACTGTTTGTTCTCGTTAAGATTGCTACAACGTGTTCAAGTCATTGCATTCCATCAGGTATCCCACGCTGGAAAAATCCGATGTCGCCAGAAGGGAAAGGTACCAGAGTCCACTGTGCTAGTTCCGCTCAGCCTCACGAATCCTTAGGCCTTAGGATCCTAGGATCCTGGGTATGGAAAGTTTGAACTTGCAAAGCCACGTGGAAATATCAGCACCGCCCCCGACACGTTATATCGGATAAGTTGTGCCTGCAAATCTCAGCGCGATACCACGACTACTTAGCGAGGATCCAGAGGCAAACCTGTCTCGAGCTCGGGAACACAAGCAGACCAGATATTGGAATGGACCGCCTCCCAGCAGAACTCCATGACCTGATCTTCTCCGAGGCCTGCAACGACGGCGGCTACACCGGCCGCTCGCTCTCGCTCGTATCCAAGAGCATCCGCGCCGTATCCGCCCCCTACGTCCTGCACTCCATCGCCCTTTACGGGTCCTACCAACTCGCCGCCTTCGCCGCGTTCCTCGCCCAGCGAGCCCCGGAGCACACCCTCATCCGCCACCTCTTCCTCACCGACCGCCGGCGCGTGTGGATGGAGCGCGGGACCGGGCAGGACAAGGCCGCTTGGGTCACCAAGCGCATGAAGGAGGAGTTGCATCTCAAGGACCCAATGCGCCGCGCAGACGCGCAGCCCATCGCGCAGATCATGTCCGCCGCCGCCCCGCATCTGCGCACGCTCGCCTTCCTCCTCTTCGACCTCTACGACGAGCGCACGCTCCCCACCTCCTTCCCGGTGCTGCGCGAGTTCACTCTCCATGCGTCCTCACTCACATGGCGCGGCGCGCCCAGCATGGACCCGTGCGATGCTTTGCGCCGGTTGCACGTCATCCAGGACTTCTCGTTCCCCCGCGCGGCGGTGAAGACGATCGCCGCGCTCGGGCCGCGCCTCACGCACCTGCGCATCTCGCGCCTCACGACTTCGCGCCTCGCGATGGGCGACCTCCTCGCGGGCCTGGAGAGGATGCTCGAGGAACAGGCCGACGCTGCCGCCGCGCCGCCAGCCTTCCCGCCGTCGCTCGAACGGGCCATCGTGGAGATGGGCCAGCAAGCGCTGTACGACGCTGATGGTGCCCTGCAGGTATGTTCACCCGTCTCGGTTGTCTCCCGGCGTGCGCTCATCCAGGCATGTGCAGGTTCTGACGTCGCCGATAGCGTACGAGCTGCGCGATGTCGCGCTGCGTGACACCCGCCAACGCATCGTCATGCTGCATCCGGCGCTGTGGGACGCGGCGGCGTTCACGAGCTATGATGGGGACATCGAATACTACATGGGAGTGAAATTGGACTGGGAGGAACGTCTCGTCGGGGAAGAGGGCGCGTGGGCACTCGATCCTGCGGACATTTTCGCGATGAACGGGGTGGATGGGGAATAACGCACGCACACCCGCAACGTCGACTTCCACTTGGAAACACAAGGCGGATCCCCCATCCCATTACGCAAATATACATTACGAGCGCGCTCAACCACAACAAAAAGTCCGGCTCGCACCCCAATAACGATACCACGACCCACCGATCCGCTCAGAACGCCACGGCGAACCCGACCGCCGCCAGAACCAACGCGAGCACAGCAGGCCCAAGCCTCGCGCGCACACCGACCGCGCCGTTCTGCCCACTGCCGCTGGTGCCGTTCCCTGCGCTGCTGCTCGTCGGCGCCGCAGGCACAGTCGACACCGTGCTCGTCTGCGTGATCGCAGCCGTGGTCGTCGATCCTTGCGTCGTCGTCACCACGCTGGAGCTGCCCACCGATGCCGTCATAGACGCCGCGCCGCTCCCCGAAGAGGCCGACGCGCTCGCACTCGCGCTCGCGGTCGAGTTCGCGGTAACGCTCGCGGTGACACTCACAGTCCCGCTCCCGCTCGCCCCGGGGGCGCTGGGGATGCCGAGGTAGCTGGGCGCGGCGACCACCTTGGACGGGTCCGCGAGTGCCCCAGTGCCCCACGGGATCGCCGCGCCGCCCGGCTGCGTCGCGTTCGTGGGCGGGGTCGTGGCGCCCGAGGCGTCCGCGATCGTGAAGCGCGTCGTCCACTGGCGGTCGGGCACCGCGGGGGAGCTGAACTGGTAGAAGTAGATCGCGGAGTTCGGCGTGACCTAGAGGGGCGCGCGCACGGGTGAGCGATCGGATGCGTGGCGGAAGAGCGGGGGCAAAGGGAGCAAAAATTTGAGAGGAGAGGGGCTCACTTCGGGACAGGGGTAACTGAACGTCGTCTTCGACGCGTCCGTGCCGTCAAACGACGTGATCGCTATAGAGCGCCGTCAGCATCGCCTACACTTGCTATCCATCTCGCACCGAGCGCGCGCGTTGCGCAGAGACATACTCGTGATGAACACCATGTTGAAGTTGTCGCCCGTCATGAGCTCGACGTCCGTCTGCTTCCAGGTGCCGGACGGGTCGGGCGTCCACGAGAGCGTGCAGTCGCCGCCCTGCTTGAAGACGTCGCCCGGGCCGGGCGCGGTGGGGATGACCATGCCGGGCGTCGTGGCGGCGGCCGCGCGAACGAGGCCCTGGCCGGCGAACATGTTGGTGAAGATGGCGTGGAGCCCGCGCATGATGGTAGTTGAAAGGGTATGAGGGGGCTCTGCATGGCGCGGAGGCGTTGTCAGTATTGGCGGGTGGGGCAGAGGAGGCGCGAGACTCACAGACTAGCAGGTAAGTTAGGGTTTTGAGAACGAGCAAGTGCGCGGGCGGAGGGAGCGTAATGGAACAGGAAACTGAGAGGAAAAGAGAGCGCGAAGAAGGGAGATGGGAGGGAGGGAAGACCCGCCCCGCGCGACAGATCGCAGGCCTATGTACCCCGCCAGGGGCGGCCATGGCGTCCACCTTGTGAAGCACCGCCCCCGAGATCATCGCAATGCGCATAATTCATCAACGACGTGCGCGGGGACTGTATATTCGTTGCTACTTCCGAATTGATGGCATGTGTCCGCGCGGTTCCGACCTGCGAACTTGTGCACCGCCCCACGGTGTACTTTGCAATACGCGTCGCAGTACTAGACACTAGTGCGGTAGCACTGGTCACCGATTCGAAGGCGTTGCTTCACCGTGCGGGGAGGGATTTAGGAGTGTCCTCGTGCACGATGCGGTGTGAAAACACTGCCGCCGGCCGTCGGATCGCAAGTGTTTGGGGCGCTTTGGAGGCGTCGACGCTGGACAGACACCTGCAACGCCCGTCGAACAGATTCAAAGCCGGCGCGTGTCTCGACAGCAAGCGTCGCGCTCATGCTGTAGTGTGGTCATCACAACGTGCTATAATATAAAGAGTCTAAACGTACAGTCGGGACATGGATTTAGCAATCGTCCACTCGATGGATCTGTGAGCGGTAACGCACGCAGTCAGCTGTAAGTTACGAGGTCATAGGGCGTATGCAGGCGCACCTCTGCAGACAGCCGCGTCCACTCTGTGAGCGAGCGCATATACTCGTCGCGCGATTCGTCCACGGGTATGTCGGGGTGCCACAGCACGAAGGACGAGAACATCGCCGCAGGGGTGAGCACGCGCGCCGGTCCTGCGTCCTGACCTCCAGCGGCGCCCTCCTCTTCCGCCTCATCCTCCACCGGCTCTGCAGCGCGTTTCGCCTGCCGCGTCGTGCGCCCAGCCCCTTTTGATTTCGCCTTCGCGCGCGCCTTAGAATCCTGCTCCTCCGCGACCCTGGAGGGCGGGGCTGTGCTCTTGCGCTTGCGGTCGTCTGGCGCGCGCAGGACGACGCCGGCATACCCTTCGGGCAGGGCGACCTCGAGGCCGTGCATCGTCCGTCCTCGGAACGCAGAGGCAAAGTGGCGTGGGCGGGGTTTGTCGCTCCCGAGCTCTTGCATATTTACATCCGTGATAGTGGCGGACGAGCTCGAGGGGCCTAGCGATCCAGAGAAGGTAGACGAGCTGGCCACAAGGGTGGTCTGGGAGTCAGAAATATCTTGAGACTGCGCAAGATCTCGGTCGGGTATAGTGGATTTTGTTTCGCGTCCAAAGGTAGGTTCTGGGGCATCGCGAACGAGGAAGTAGGTGGAGATGGGTGCTGGGCCGGAGTACGCGATGTGGAATGGCATGAGGTGGGGCGTCGTCTGAGGCAAAGGGCGTTCAGAGGCAGCAATCTTGAGCGGGGACGCGGAGGAGGCCATGATGGTCAAGTGGGCACTGGGAGGGAGGAAACGCTTAGGTGTTCTCCAGCCACAGGAGCGCATCCTTCATGCCCTCAACGCGAAATAGCCGGCCCTAAAGCAGGGTCGGCCATCGCAGCAAAATGACGACAGTGGGATTCGAACCCACGCCCGTGAAGACCAGATAGAACAGTGTCCTGATTCTGGCGCCTTAGACCGCTCGGCCATATCGCCTTGCTGCATTTCCTCCAACACGGCACCAAAGTCTGTATGACTTGCTGTCGCTATTCGATAGCACTGCCGCGGTGGCCCAACTTGATGATGATATGTTTGAGAGGCTTGTCTCTGTACAGCGACGGTGCACTACTTCAATCACCTCCCTGTACATCTCGCAGCGGTGGCAGCTTCCCGGTGAATGAAGAGGTGAAGTAGCATAGAAGGTGGGAACGCGGACGCACCAATACACGAAGGCTTCCCTTCAGCGAGTGCGCACATAGCCCGGGACCTAGTACTGTAGGCATCCTGGAACTTTGCCCGACCACCCCCTCGCTCATCTCACGTTCAGACTGACCGCGATCAGACCATGCCGCTACAAGGTCTCCCGGAGGATATCCTCCTCGACATCTTCGAACGACTACACGTGTACGACATCTTATCTTTGCGACAAGTAAGTGAAGCTCTGCGTGCTTTATGATACAATGATCATAGCTATAAGCCCAAGCTCACAGCGACGCCGCACTAGACATGTCGAACCCTCGAGTTAGCGACACGCGAGCGTGCCGTATGGCACGAAGCCTTGTCAAGACACGCCCGGCAAAGTGGACTGCCCATACCTCGTCTTCAAGGAGCGGAGCAGTCTGCCTTGTCGGCCAACGAACTGGAGAGACTCACTCTGCGGACTTTACGCTTCTGGTCGAACTGGCAGGCTCCCCAGCCAAAGGAATGCCAGCAAATCAGCATACGGCCATACAGGCCGACTACGCCCACCCGTGGCGCCCGCAACCTCGCTTTCAACTTCCTACCTGACAGTCCTGGCTACATCCTCGTTTTGACGTTGTACGATGACGTTTCGCACAACAGGCGGTATTGCTTCGAGCTTTGGGACATCTCCTGCACATCGAGTGCCGTGTTTGTGGACGATATCCAAGTAGAGGCCTTGCTTGGGTATGCTGTAAATCGCGTCCGTGGCAGCTCTAACGCCATGATTGTCACACGTCGGGATCCGACTTCGCAACAGTCAGCCGTTTTTCCCTTAGCTCCCTGCTTGCCTATGAGATTCACTACAGTCATCATAGGTGCATAACGGAGCTTTACAGGATCGATCTGCCTCGCACCGAAGGCTCCTCATGCTTTCAGCGAGTTAACCATTTCCCGGGGTACAAGAACACCATCGGCCTGCATGGCTCGCGATTAATAGCCACGGACGCCGACCAAGACGTTCGTGTGCTCGATGTCGATGCGGGCCGTCTGGAGTTTACGCTCAAGCCACCCGTCATGCTTGACGACCCGACCTTACGTTTCGCAGTATGCAATCTCTCGAAGCTTACACCCATTCGGACGCTCACACTCGCACGATGCAGGAACGTCAATGCATGGACGCCGTCATCGTAGACGACTTTTTGCTCAGCTTCTGCAAGCAATTCATATACCTCTACCATCTCCCTCCTCGCTCGCACGATAACTCGAACTCTCAGGAACCCCCACAGCTAGACGCTATCGCAGCGTACAAATGGCGCTGGCGCATAGACACGCTCGTCGCCCAGCCGCGCCTCCATCTCTCCCGAAGTCTCGGCCACGGGACTCCCTCTGCCCCCGCGCCGCCCCCACTCATCGACATCCTCATCCGCTTCGACACCTGGTTCCCCTGGCCCGTCAACATCCTGCACCACTTCGTGCTCGCCCCCAACCCCGCCTACCACTCCGCTGCCTATCCCGCCGACCCTACAGCGATCCCATACCTGCTCGCTCAGGACGGCCCGTTCATGGTGCACGCGCTCCCGTCCCCGCTGCGCATCTTCACCCCCTCGGACGTCGCGCTCGGTGCGCACGGCACTGCGCTCTGGATCGATGCGGCCACGGATGGCGGCGCGGCGGCACAGGCAGGCGACCACGGCCAGCGCGTCGCGGGCAAGGTGCTCACGCGCGCGCCGCTGCCGGGGCTCCGCGCGCGGGTGCGTCCGGGAGACGACGCAGTGAGCCCGGGGCTGGCGGCGGAGGTGGAGGGCGAGGGCGAGGAGGCACACGAGACGGGGGCGGACGGGGTGAGGGAGGCGCCCGGGCCGACGATGCGTGGGGGGACCACGGTGTCGGTGTTTCAGGCGCATGAGGGGGAGGCGAGGTGGAATAGGGTGGCGGTGGACGAGGAGGGCGGGCGGGTGGCGGTGGGGCATGTTGATGGGACGGTGACGGTGATGTCGTACGTTCCGCTGTGAACATTTGCTCTGCGCTCGGACAAGGCTGGGTAGAAGGTTGGAAGCACTGGACTTGGCATGGATATTCGTGATGGATTGCATCGACCCTTCAACAAAGTCTGTGACGAGTTGGACAGGGCCTATTTGAATAATTATACCTTGATCTGTGGACATACAACGGGTGTTCACGTTCGCCTTAAGAAGGTCTCCTGAGCGCGAGTCCATGAGATTTTGAAGCCTTGCAAAATGGAGCATAAATATTGAGATCCGTAGATCTACCACTCCGGGAAAGCGTGTCATCCTTGTGCAGGGGCCATGCTAATCTTCTCTGTATCGTTCCAATTTTTTCGTATGTCACCCCGAAGGTGACATTAGTGGTGGCGGTGACAAGCGTAGTGGGAGCCCATCTTGTGCATAACGCTCAAATCCCGGGTAGCGGACAGGCGTCTGTGGATATCCACATGGTCGCAGCCTCAAGTACGCCATCACATATTCAGACAGAAATTATGGCACGACAGCGCAGCGGACTAGTACTAACAGTGTACACTTCTTACAAAGGAACAGACATAGCATGGGAACGATGTCAGAGCTTCACGCATCACATTCCTGTGGCTCGGCCAGGAACGCCTGGAGGACGCGCTCGGGATCATCCCATTGAGCCTGCGTAGAGTGGCCTGATGAGCCTACGACGAACCCAAGACGAGGCGAAAACACGTACGAAGTGGTTCGTCCCCTTCACGCACAGCGAAGTGAATTTCCTCATCGGTCTCCCCTCCCTCACTCCGTCGGCAACCTCCTGGCGCAGCAGCAACGCTGCGTATGGGACGTCCCACACCGACCGGTCGCCCCAGACATAGCGCACTTCAACATCGCGCCACTCCTCACCGGACGTCTCCTTCTCTCCTTCCGGCGGGAGGAAGAGTGTTCCCTTGCGCAACGGTTCGTATACGCCAAATGCAGTGCAGCCATACATCAGCCTCCAGTCGGCGCCGCTCCGGGGGACGCCGGGCGGGACGTGCACGGTCGCCTCGAAGTCCTCCTTCGTCTGCGTCGCGAGGGTCGACGGGGGCGTCTCCAGCGCGTGGCGCCGCTCGAAGGTCTCTACGGTGTCGCCATGCGCGAAGTAGGAGGTAATCCAATTGGTGAAGACTTTGCCCCGCTCCTCGTACGTGAGCGAGGTGTCGAAGAGTGGGTTCCACCGGTTGTGGGCGGGATAGGGATACCCGAGGAGGAAGGACGGAGGGTCTGAGTGAGAGAAGTCAACCGATGAAGAGGACGTTGAATGGCAAGTCAAATGTGTACCAGACAAGACGACCCGTCGCACGTAGTCGCGCAGGTTGACGGCTCCGACGGGAAATTCCGCGATGTGCGCGAGGAGCGACGTCATCCATGTTGCGCCCAAGGACCACCCTACAAGCACAACCCCGCTGGTCTGGGACCCGGTGCTTGCCGGAGGGAGGTTGCGCTCAACAACCAGGCCCTCGACGGTCTGGTACAGCTCGCGCGCGCGGTCCCGCATGAACGTCTCGAGCATCTGCTGACCGGAGCGGATCTGATCGGCGTCGGTGAGAGGCTTGTCGGGCACGGGTGGGAGAAGGGCGCGCTCTTCCGCAGTGTATGGAACCGATCCGGGGTATTCTCGCCGGTTGAGCGCAATGATGCGGACCCCATATGTAGCCGCGAGGGGCTGCAGCTTCACGAAGGTTCCTGAGAGTTGTATGTCGGTATGAACATGATGTACCACAGAGGTACGACTTGATACACCGACCTGCGTGCCAGACATATCCGTGCACGATAATGAGGGTGGTATAATCGTCGCGGCCCGCTGGGGCTCCGGAGTCCGAGTGTACGTAGAGGCCGCCGGCGGTCGCCATCGTTCTTCAGTGTAAGGGTGGCGAAGGAGGGGGTTTGTGCAATCGTGACATGCAGGATGTCCGTGATTTATAGGCACTCGGAGGAGAACAACGGCGCTCTTTCTGGCAGGGAAGGCGTATGAGCTGGACCGCGGGGTTCCCAACTACAGGTTGATGAAACCTAGTTCCGGCGCAGCAGATGAGAGAGACGGTGCCATAAGAAGTGCCAACGGCGTGGAGACTTGCTTGCCGTATGACATGCGTGTCATTGAGCTCCTGGCACGAGAAGAAGCGGTAAGCTGAGCATAGTGATGTGGAGAAAACCGATGCGGCGACACGTCCAACAAACTCTACGAAAGCACCGAGGCCTCATGTACTGCAAGCGGTCGAAGAGGCACAGGCTCTCGGTTGCTGGTGACCCTTGAATCTTGTGCGTATGCACCAGCTTCCTGTAGAGGAGCAAAATCACGGCATGAGTGTGCGCATCGCGATCGGCGCGCACCTTGCCCGCATGCGGATGAGATCATGCTCCCTGCTTGTCCGCTCAAACCGCTAACGCTCACGTTCAATAGATAGCGATAGGTGCCTGCGCATTCTTATGCAGAGCGTCAAAGCAACCACTGGGGCGCCTGAAGCGTGATCTGCGAAGAATCGGACATGATCCTATGCAGGAGGTTGTAGTAGCCGCTAAGGCGTGCCTCGAACTTAACTACCAGATGAAGTTATCTCCGTGCATCCCGGGGGAAAAGAAGACGTTGCTCACCGTATGAGGTTTTAATACCGGCGCCACAGTGAATGGAACGGGAGCGAACGCCGTAGTAGAGTCCGAAACCTACTCAGGAACATCCAAGCCAAGGTACGCCGCGTCTCGTCTCCATCCTACAAATCTCAGCAGCCGGACAAACATTTCTGGTGACGTGTTCAACGGATCACTTTGAGTGTAGACACGTTGTTCGACACTGGCAACCGAGAATAGTAGTGATCCATCCACACATGCTGCAGCGGCCGCCGCAAACCCAGTATGTGCGATAACGTCGGGCCTATGCAAGAGATGGCAAGGACTTTATTCCGTCACGGTGGCGGCGCATGACAGTTACGACATAGGGCGTTCGTCCTAGGCATGATCAGCTGGACTGGCAATCGGAAAAGGCGCAGCTTGCGCTTACCTTTGTTCGTACCCTCGTCGAACCCCCAGATTTGAGCGGTAAAAGCAACGCAGTGACGCACATGTTCGAAGACCAAGAAGCCCGTTCTGGCTGAGGCCGGTTGATATCGTCTGACGGCGCAGCAGACTGATACTAACGATATCTACACTTTACCAAGGGACATACATAAGTTGGGAACGTTGTCAAAACTTCAAGCATCACATCCCTGTGGCTCGGCTAGGAACGCCTGGAGCGTGCGCTCGGGAGCGTCCCACTGTGCCTGTGGATAGTAACCCGATCAGTATACGGCGGGCCGAGAACAGCACGCTCGAACGTACGAAATGGTTCGTCCCCTTGACGCACAACGAGGTGAATTTCCTGATCGGCTTCCCCTCCCTCGCCCCGTCCGCCACCTCCTGGCGCAACAGCTGGGCCGCATACGGGACCTCCCAGACCGATTGATCGCCCCACACATAGCGCAATTCGACATCGCGCCATTCGTCGCCAATTGTCTTTTCCCCGCTATCATCCGGCTGCGAGAGGAAGAGCGCGCCTTCGCGGAGCGTGCCGTAGACACCGTATGCAGCGCAGCCGTGGAGAAGCGTCCAGTCCGAGCCGCCCGGGACACCGGGCGGGACGTGCACGGTCGCCTCGAAGTCCTCCTTAGTCTGGGCTGCGATGGTGGAGGGGGGCGTCTGCAGCGCGTGGCGCCGCTCATATGTGTCCAGCGTGGGTCCGTGCGCGAAGTAGGAAGTGATCCAGTTAGTGAAGACCTGACCGCGTTCCTCGTACGTGAGCGAAGTATCGAAGAATGGGTTCCAAGGATCCTGGGCCGGATAAGGGTACCCGAGAAGACAGGAAGGAGGGTCTAAGTGGCAGCGTTCAGCCAATGAAGAGGCGCGGACATTTTGGATAAACGTTATATACATACCGGATAAGATGACCCGCCGAACATAGTCGCGCAGGTTGACAGCGCCAATAGGGAACTCTGCGATGTGCTTGAGAAGCGACATCATCCACGTTGCGCCGAGGGACCACCCCACGAGTACTATGCCGCCAGTCTGGGACGCAGCGGGGAGGTTGTGTTCGACGACGAGGCCCTCGATGGACTGGTACAACTCGTACCCGCGATCGCGCATAAACATCTGCAGCATCTGCTGGTTGGAGCGGATCTGCGCCACGTCGGTGAGCGGCTCGTCGGGCACGGGCGGTAGGAGAGCGCGCTCCTCGGCGGTGTATGGGACCGATCCTGGATATTCTCGGCGGTTGAGCGCGATGATACGGACTCCGTGCGTAGCTGCAAGCGGCTGCAGCTTAGCGAAGGTGCCTGCAATTTATAAACCCAGAAATAAGTATAATATGGCCGAGCAACTCGCCATGATACACTGACCTGCGTGCCAGACATATCCGTGTACTATGATGAGGGTCGTATAGTCATCGCAGCCGGCCGGAGCCCCGGAGTCCGAGTGCACGTAGAGGCCGCCAGCAGTTGCCATCGTTCTTCAGTGCGAGGGTGCCGAAAGAGGTGGTTTGTGCATTCATGTACGTTGGATGGCCCTCGCTTTATAGGTACGAGCAGGAGAGCCAGGGCGCTTTGTTTGACAGCAGGGCGCACAAGCTAGTCCAGGGGATTACTGACTGCAGTTTGATGAAACCTAGTCAGTGCGCAGCGGATGAGAGAACATACCGTAAGAAGTGCTAGTGGCATTGGAAACCTATTGCCGTATGACACAAACGTCGTTAGACTCCTGGCGCAGGAACGAATGGTGAGGTAGTCACGTTGTGGAGAAAGCCGGCGTGGCGACACGTCGAACAGCCTCGACGAAACCTCCGAGGCCGTATGCGTTGGAAGCGGCTGAATTGACATGCATTTCCGGTTGCGGATGGCGCTTGATTCCCGCGCGCATCGACCAGTTTCCTGCAGAGGAGCCATATCACGGCATAAGACCGCGCATCGCGATCGTCGCGCACCTTACCCACCTGCAGATGAAGTCATGCTCCGAGCCTTTCCGCCTGAACAGCTCACGCTCCGCGTTCCCCGCGCATTAGAAGACGGTATGCACCTATCTGCTACCGTGCAGGAACCTGAAGAGAACCATAAGGGCGCCTGAAGCCCGACCTGTAAGGAAGACGAGATCCCCGTGTGGGACCTGCATCAGTCGCCAAGACGTGGCCCGGGATGAGCCACGGCCTACATAGAGTCATCTGCGCCCGTGCATCCCGAGCAGGTAGAAGGAGCTGCTCACCTCGGGCTTCGAACGTCGTGGCCACAGCGGAGGAAGCTGCAGTAAACGCCCTAGGAAGCGCGCGGTGGTAAAACTGTCCAGGAACGCTTCCATCCAAGGTACGCCCTTCTGCGTCTCATATCCGTCCTGCAAATGTCAGCGACTGCTAAAACGCTTCCCGGTACCAGTATGGCTTCCGTAAGTGATCGTACTTGTCGGGAATTCGCCCGCCCAGGTCTTCCGATGAAGTTTTGAGCGGGACCCGTCGATTGTGTACGCGTCGTTGAACAGTCCAGACCGGTTTCATCGCAACAGCGGCAGATCCTTGGGGCGCACTGAACATATGCTGCATCGGCCGCCGATAGCCCAGTATGTGCGAAAACGTCGGCACCTGCTCCTGGGCGTATCTGCAGCATGGTGATTACGGTGCAAATTTCGTCACGGTGGCGGCGCCATGACAGATACAACATAGACCTTTTGTCCCGGGCACAATCAGCTGGACTGGCAATGAGAAAAGCGCAGCTTGCGCTCACCTGTGTTCGTACCCTCGGCGAATTCGAGGGATCTTGATTGCAACAGAGAAACGCGCATACTTGCAGACCGAGGAGCCCCTTCGGCCTGAGCCCGATTAAGTGCGCCCAGTACGATCACACACGGACCGCTGGGGAGCTCGTCGTTCTCGGGGATGCAAGCGCTCAGAGGAGCTTTTCGGGTGCAGAAGGGAGGAGCCGCTTCGCCGCGCGCTTTTTGCACTCGGCACCCTGTTTCTGCCGCACATTATCGCCATCGTGGAGGCTGAATGTCGGAGAGAGCTTCCGACCGCATAGCTTCCTAGGACGGGAGCGGTTAGGCTCATCCAGTATGTTATGAGAAGCGCATCGCCCACCTGCAGGAAGCCTCCAGGCAACATCCGCCCGAAATCAGCGGCGGGTGCTCCATGCGCGGTGACCGCGTATTCAGCGAAGCGACATTAGTAAATTATATATCGAGGGGAGGCCCCCTTAGAACAGTGTATCTTGCACAACAACATCCGGTTCTACTCAAACAACACATATCAGGGTCATATTTACAGGCGCGCGGCCTCAGTCGTCATCGTCGCCGATGACGTGTGTTCCGGGCTCGACGTCCGCCGCGGGCACGCGCGCGTACCATTTATTGCTCGGGGTGAGCTCGATTGCACCGTCGCCGGGTGACGCTGGGACCGCGTTCCGCCCGCTCGTGGCGTAGAGACTGATGAGGGAGACGATGAGGGCGTAGAGGATGAACGCCGTACTGTGAGTACAGCGTGAGTGATGTGGCGCTTGAATGAGGGAGAGGTAGCGCACCTGAACATGATCAGGATGTACGTGACGTGGTCCATCTTGTTGTCGTTGACGAAGTGCAGCTCTTCGTCCGTGGCGGACATGAAGAGCAGCCTGAAAAGCAACTGGTGAGCGGCGGAACATCGAGGGATCGCACTGAGCTTACCCTGACGAGACGAGGAGCTACGAGCTAGTGTTAGCCAAGTCTCGATGGTCAATAATGAATCATACATACGAAAGGCGGTAAATGCCTGAATGCACGCGCCGGGCTGGAGGAGGCCACCGCATGATCCTCGCGACTACCGTCGAGAGTATGCTCGCTATGACTATCACCCTCGACGATATCTGGCGTATACTTCGGCGCAACAAAGCAGACTTCGATGAGGCGTGCCAAACCCGCAGCCATCAGCGTGTACCCGAAGAGGGCGTGGACCTGGTCGCTCGTCAGCGTACCGCATATATAACGAATGTAGCTGTGTTCAACCTTAGTAGAAAGCATGAGTGCCTGCGCGTGATCAGACATTGCCCACCCGGTGAGAATGATGCTGTTAAACTGCATTTAGAAAACAATCGACGGAGGAGACATTGTCGCTTACATGAGCGCAGGAACCACGGTTCGCTATAGAGGAACGCAGATCACCGAGGTTAGGAGTCATGTCTACTTGTTGGGAGGATTGATACTGACCTGGTTATTCCTGGAGAGAAATATCCCAAGAATTCCTCCAGCCCACCCTGATGGAGTATGAGCTCTGGTCAATCATCGCTATGAAAACGAACATACAGAGAACGCCAAGGATACTGTGTTCCATCTCAATATGGATGACGTGAATAAACGAGTGTAGAGCAGACGTACGTATGTTGCATATCCTTCACTGACCACCCAGAGCCGTGATGCTCCGTGAACGTGTTGACTGTGTACGTATACGGATCAGAAGAAAGTCATCGGTTCGTCGACGATGCTTACCGATTCCCTACGCGTAATATCATTTGTACTCAGAAACAGAAAGCAGAGGTGCTCGGTTTGGGCAACTCACCCAAAGCATGATTATCCATGAATCCCACCAGTCGGGACTGCGTCCACTCCGCCGTACCCATGCCTCGCCGACGAGCAACAGGATGGCCATAATGGTGCCGTATGCGATAAATCCACTCCCCTGGGATAGATATGTTCGAATTACGAAGAGGTACTGGAAGCTCCTGACGTACCATGATATAATGAGCAAGGCATTGCCCCAAATTGTCGCCCCGGCAGTAACCCCCGAAGACGATCGCGCCGAACAACATCTGCACCCAGGCAAGAATCGGATACGACTTGCCTACTACGCCATGGAAGCGTACTGCCCATGGCCTGAGAGTTTGTTCGTGTATGTGTAGCTTGAGATATATCCCGAGGAAGAGTTGCAGAGCCATAGGGATGAAAAGGATGTTGGCTGTTTTGCCATGCGGGCCGGCAAGGAAAGCTCTTCCTTTATGCTTGTGACCGAGCACATATCCAGCAACAGTCAAAACAAAGCCGGCACTCTGCGCAAGCATGAGCAGGTACAACTCAAGACGACAGGGATTCTGCATACCTGCAGTGGAACGTGCCATCGACTTCGGGAGAGTCCCAAGACCATCCCAGTGGGGAAGAGCACACCCCAGACGGCCGCTTGGAGGAATATGTGTAACCATAGAATGGTATCTACCGGTGCGTTCGCCTGTTCTTCCGTAAGTTCATCGTGATGTTTATGGGCCGCGACGGAGTAAGCGAGGAGCAAGATGAGACCGGAGGTCAAAGCAAGACGTTGGACCATAGCTCTAGAACCAGAATACAAGACTCGTGGAAGATGGACACCTGCAACTGGCAAGCAAAGCCAGGCTGAGCGTGGAGGCGGTGGCCGAGGAGGTCGAGGAACGGGACCAAGCTTGGGACCGCCCGCGAGCGCCCGACGTCCATAATCGCATTCGGTCTATTCGGCCGGAAGGAGCCGGGCCGTATATAGACGCCCACCATATTTGCGATGCGTTCGTGCGCCCTTCCGTTGACCATCCACCACGTTCTACCCAGTACTTGCCACGCTAGCTGGGAGGCCTCTCTTCTCCTTCGTCCAACCTGTAAAATAATCATCATTGGCCCGGTTTTCGATTGCTGTGTCTTGTACGTCTCCCGCTGCGGCCGCGGGTGCTATCACATCTGGGTACTAAGCAACGCTGACTTTTCATAACGCTAGATCCGTTCTCGCCGTTCGGTGTACGTCCATAGCGTTATGGCACCATCGCTTCCGGGGGAGGTTACCGACCGTATCATCCGCTTTGTATGGCCATACAAGACTACGCTTTGTAGCTGCGCACTGGTCTGTCGCGACTGGTTGCCGGCAAGCAGAGTAAACCTGTTCTACGAAGTCCAAATCAACTCCGCCGCGTCTTACGATTCATGGGTCGCCCAAGTCCTTCGAAGGCGGGAGATGAAGCCGTGGCTGTCCTTTGTGCGAAGGCTCATCATAAGTGATCCGCGTCCAGATCATCATCTGAGCGAACCACCTCGCAGGTTGGCCCCCGAGATCTCCAGCGTCGGCGAGGCCAGCGCTTTCTTCACGAATTCGCCAACCAGCTGCCCGACCTCCAGAACATGACTGCAAGTGCAAGCTAAGTGAAGCAACTTCGACGTTGATCATCGCAAGAATCAAGCATTTGATATCGATCTGATCACGTTCATTGATGTTCTACTAGCTCAGTTTAATGTCCGCTCGCTCTTTGCTCAACAAGACTTAGCATGGCCTTCGCCTCTCTTAGAAATTCATTGATAGGATCGACAATACATATACTACTCGCTAAGTACTAGCTTATTCTTAGTGCTCAAGTTTTGAACTGACCCGCACCGGTTGCGCCAGCAGTCACTGGCACAAGTAGCAGGACGAGCCAACTTCGCATGTTAAGATTATCACTCGAGCAGTGGCAAGTGAATATGTTTCGGACGGGCCTGTCGGTCTCAGGGTCACTATTGAAACTGCAGACAGCTACGTCCCATCGCGAACGCATAATCTATCGCCGGTTGCCGAGGGCGCCCTTCAAGCCATCCGCATCGAGCGGTTCCGTTGCGGATGGTCTCCTTCCCCGATACCTATGAGGTCTACAGTCGAACTAACAGTCAGGATAGCCCACAAAACCGATACCAGGGAAGCGCAGCTATACATCGAGCAGAGTTGTATCCACCGCAGAAGTCATGCGACGCGAACGCCAATGTCGCGGCGACGAAGCGCTGCACCGTCCGATGGACCGTCCCGCGTCAGAAAATGACCTAAAGAGTAGAAAGGACGCGCTCAACCTGTCTGACCATGAAGGCGGCCGAACACTGCCGAGGCTCACCTCCGAGATCCGCCGGTCCACCTCGCTTGCGAGCTCCTCCAGGAAACCCGGCAGGTCCTTCCACGCGCGCGTTCCGCATCGCTCGTCACCCTTTGAGCTGCACCGCCCGGCTTCCTTGAGGGCATCCTCCATTCCACTGTCCTTCATCGATCTCACAGTGTCCGGATGTGGCGTCATTTGCAACGCCGAGTGACGCGTAGACCCTAGCGAACCATGGCGCAAGACAACGGGGTTTCCAAGCGCTGCACCCGCACGTTCGCCACACCCATTTCCGGTCGTCCACGGCCCCGTAGGATGCAATATCGGCCATCTTGGCAGCGCACGCCCCGCGGTAGGTGAGGAGACGGCGGTAGGCACGCGTGCTGATAGCGTCGAGCTCCTCGTGGTCGGCCAGTGTGCCTGCGAGGCGCAGGCTCGCCCTCGCTGCCACCGCCATCAACTCCAGCTTGTCCTCCTCCACCGCAAACACGTACAGCCGCACGGGCTCCGTCTCGAGCCACGGCTCAAGCGCCCGTGCCACACGATCGCGCGCGCCCCCGCGCAGCTCGTACTCCCAGCCGAGAGTGAGGGCACCCTTCATCGCGTCGAGGGTGGGGAAGTGCGGCGCGGGCGCGAGGGGGTGACACAGGCGGAGCAACGTCTCGACCATTTCGCCCGTCGGCAATTCTATGATGGACACCGGGTCTTTGCGCCCGGGCGAAGGGGCCGTCCAATTCTCCATCAGCGGCGATGCTTCTGCGAGGAGCTGGCGCGGTACGTGGAATTCGGCGCCGCGTGAGTTACGGATCGTGATGGGCCTCACGGCGAATTTGCTGAAAAGCTCTAGGCGTAGTGGCTCGGGTGGAAGTGACCTTGAGTCGTTGGTTTCGAGCTCGGGCGCGGAGGAAGGCGGGGTGGAGACGCGGGTGGTGCAAGAGCCCGAGGAAGCTGCGACAAGAACCATTTGTCAGTGTCGAGTCCAGTTTGTGCCTAGCTGAGAATCACTCACAAGACGTCGTTGAACTCATCTTGGTCGCAGGCTGAGACAGAATGGTCGAAGAGAGACTCCGTGTCGTGGTATTCAGAGACTTTCCAGGCCATTATGAAGCTGGTGCTGCGGTAGAGCCGATATTGCACCGCGTCCGCCGCATGGAATCCTTGATGCCCGGGAGACCTTCATGTAGCGTCGTGGAGGCGCGGGCCGTGCAAGAGCCCGAGGAAGCTGTGCAGGAAACGTACGTCACTCAGCAGTGTCGAGTCCGGTGTACAATACACGGGGATCACTCATCAGACGTGTGTGAACTCATCTTGGTCGCTGGCCGGATGTGAGCGATGAAGCTTGAAGGCTCGGGGCAGTAAGCCTATCATTTGTACGGCTGCTGTAGTAATCGAAATTGTGCCGTACCTGCTGCAGGGATTCCTCGACGTCAACATCGGACAGGGAGTATTGACCTACATCATAGCTGCTGCGGTATTAATAGCTCGTGCGAAGGGACGTAAACCCGTTACCAGACTGTAGACATTGTTAGTACTAGTCTTTTGCGCTGTCATGCTAGAAGTCTCATCACGACCTTACCTGAATATGTGGAGGCGTACTCAGGCTACTGCAACCATGCGGACATGCACAGACGCCTGTCCGCGACCCGGGGTTTGAGCGTTATGCACAAGATGGACCCGCGCTAAGCTTGCGACCGCCACAGCTAATGTCCCCTTCGGGGTGACATACGAAAAAATTGGAACGATACAGAGAAGATTAGCATGGCCCCTGCACAAGGATGACACGCTTTCCCGGAGTGGTAGATCTACGGATCTCAATATTTATGCTCTTTTTTGCTAGGTTCTGAAATTCCCGTTATGAGGACCGAAGGCGAGGGCGAATATCCCTTTGCATGTCTACAGATAGAGGCATAATTATTTAAACGAAGGCTGTTCATCCCGTCATAGGCATTGTCGAAGGTGTCGGCGCAATTCATTCATGTATATCCCTGCGTTGAAGTCCAATGCCTTCAACCATCTACGCGAAAGCTTCCACCCTACTCGAACCTTCGCGGGGGAAATATTCATGGCAATACGTATGTACGAGATCACCGTCACCGTTCCATCGACGTGCTTAACCGCGAATCGTCCGACGCACATCGCCGCATTAGGCTACAATGAGACCTATGGGAGCATCAGCGGTAAGCATCGAGAGGCTAATGCAGAGCATTCAAGACCATCCAACTTCACCTTTGAGATGAGGCGTTCCACCTCCGGGGCCAGCAGCTCCAAGAAGCGGCTCACTTCCTTAACCGCGTAGGAAGCGCATGGCTTGCAGTTTGCGCTCGCCTGTGCAACACCCTCCAGGCGCATCGCCTCCTCCCGCAGCTTGTCGGGTGGGGGGTCTTCCCCAGCGTATCCCACACGTGGTCATAGTACCCGTAAAACCAGGGTACCCTTCTGAAACCATGCCGCACATGTAGGAGACAAGCCCGGCCGAAGGCGGTGTAGACCTCCTCCACAGATCCTGGAAGATTGCCCACAATGGCATCCACGCACGCCTGTCGGTAGAGCAGCAGCCGCCGGTACGTGCGCGTACTGATCGCGTCCAGCTCCGGGGCGTCCACGAGCGCGTCTTCATGGCGGAGATACGCCCGTGCCGCCTCCTGCATGAGCTCGGGCTCGCCATGCTGCGCCGCGAGCACGTACACCCGGAGGGGCTCCCGCGCGAGGGCCGGCGTGAGCGCCGCCTGCACGCACGCACGCGCTGCACCGCGCAGCTTGTACTTCCAGCACATGCGCAGGAGAGGCTTCAGCGCGTCGAAGTCGGTGCTGACCCGCACCGGGTCGAACGCGAAGGGGTAGCACAGCTCGAGCAGCGTCTCGACCATGTCGCTCGTCTCCGGGAGGTCGATGGACACCGTCGAGGGCGCCGACGGGCAGATGTTGCACATGCTCTCCAGCACGGGCGACGCGTCCACAAGGAACTGACGCGGCACGTAGAATTCAGTTCCGTCCGCGCTGCAGACCGCCACTTCCACCGCGGGCCTGCTGAAGAGCGAGGACCGAGGAGGTTGGGGAGGCGGCTGCTGTGAGTCGATAGTCTTTGGCTCGGGTTCGGGCTCGTCGGAGACTGGGGTCGATCCACGGGTCGTGCCAGGACCTGAGGAAGCTTCAAGGATAATCGTAGGTTGTCAGTGTTAAGACTGATATAGCGCGAGCTGTGATCACTCACCAGACGTCGTTGAGCTCATCTTGGTCGCTTGCTGAGTGGGACAATGGGACAGAGACGGCGTATGGATCAGACTGAGTCGTAGTGTTGATAGGCTCATTATGCCTATATTAATCTGCTGCTGCTGCGGTAGAGTCAACATTAGACCGCTCCTGCTGCAGGGCTCTTCGACGCCTGCGGGAGCTTCAACCTATGCTCAGAAGCGTCAGTGTCATCCGTACCGATTCTTTGCTCTCCTTGAGCATTCCTCTCGCACGAGCATGCCGCAGCAGGAGCACACTTGATCAGACCTCCCGCCAAAGATAGGCATTCCAAGCCAAAGTTGTGGACGAACACAAGATTGTGCTGCCGCAGCGCACCTAGGACGAAAGTGAATGGGGCTCCCGCGGCCGAGTCGGATCGCTGCGACCTGCTGATGCTCGACGTCAACCCTTGAAGCTCGATCCATTCCTGCTCTTCCCAGCGAAGCTGGCTCGTCCTAGATGCCCTAGAAAACATGATGGGCCAGCTGCACGTACGACCTCGTATCGGACACGCTTTACCCAAGCCACGAGTCCCCATACTAAGGAGTTTCAGCGAGCATATTCTTCGCCATGCGGCGAGATATTTCCCCGGGCTGCGGCCGCCTTGCTATGCTGCATCTCATTCGCGCGCATATTTTGGTTGTGCTTGGATTCCTATGTCAATGATGCTTACATTTGAGAGGAGCCAGAATCGCCTACAACGCCCATACCGGAGAAACGCAGCGTTATACCAAGCCCGAGAAAATCGTACCGATAACCACCACTGAGGTCGTGCATTGCATTTCCCCCGGCGTCGCACCACCACCTGATGGGCCGTCTTGTGTCAAAAGGTGACCTAGGTATACGTGTTTGCGCAACCGCTTAGAAGGTGTAGCGTTGTTGTAAAGAGTAGGAAGACACAACTCACCTCCGAAATCCACAGCTCCACCCGGTCCGCAATTTCTACAAGAAAAGAGCGGAGGTCTTCGTCTGCATCTTCTCCGCATCGCGATGAATAGCACACGTTGTCGGAAGGGCATCGTGCTGCGCTTTTGAGCGCGTTCCGGACCTGATGCTCGAACCGGTTCCCTCTGATAGCGTCCGGATGGGGCGTAGTGCGCAGCGTCTCAACGAGCCGCACATAGAAGGCGTCGAACCATTCTGCCCTCTCACGCCGATAATCAATATGGAACTCCTTGCCATCGACCTTGCGTAGACAATTGCACTTTTTCCAAACCCAGGGCGCACTGCTCGAGCGCCGGTCCGGTTCGTCCTTCGTGGTGTCAGACGCGAGCAGCGTCATCTTGACCATGCACGCCTCGCGGTACGCGACGAGGCGGCGATAGGTGCGCGTGCTGATCGCGTCCAGCTCTTCGTGGTCGGCCAGCACGTCCTCGCGGAGGAGGCACGCACACGCAGCCTCCTCCAAGAGCTCCGGCCTGTCGTTCTGCACCGTAAAGACGTACACCCGCACAGGCTCCTCCCGCAGCCAGGCCTCGAGTACGTGCCTGACGCGCTCGTGCGCCCGGCCGCGCAGCTCGTACTTCCAGCCGAGCAGGATGGCGGGCTTCGACGCGTCGAAGGAGGGGAAGTGTGGGTCGGACGCGAGGGGGTGGCAGAGCTCGAGCAGCGTCTCGGCCACCTCGCTCGTCCCTGGAAGGTCTATACCCACCGCTGGGGCGGCCGCGTTGCACATGGCCTCCAGCACGGGCGAGGCGTCTACGAGGAACTGGCGGGGTATGTAGTATTCGGCGCCGTCCGCGCTGCGCACCACGGCCAGTCCACGGCCTCTACCGCGGGCTTGCTGAAGAGGGCGGAGCGGGAAGGCCGAGGAGGGGGCGGCTTCGGCTCGATGGTCTCTGCTTTATTGATTTCGAAGCCAGTGAAGTGGAATGGTGGAGTAGAGGCGCGGGTCGTGCAGGGACCCTCGGAGGGAGCTGCGAGATGCACCACAGCTCGTCAGTGTCGAGGCTGTAGAACAACTCGGCATCACTCACTCGACAGCGTCGAGCTCATCTTAATCGCTGGCGGAGTGTGAGCGAAGGCGAGAGCTGGGGTTCGTAGGCCTGAACTTTGCGGCCTGGCGCTTTTGTGCTTTTGTAGCTGCTGCTGCTGCGGCAGAGTGGATATTGCATCGTGTGCGTGCTGCAGGGAGTCTTCAGCGGGCTTCGAGAAGCGTCAAAGTGGTCACTGGCAGGAGCCATATGCCTAGGTCAGGCGGCCTGACGCACGTATTGACGATTGTACCGGGCCTGTCGCGACCACGCGAATGATTTTGCTACCGCAGGCAGTGACTTGCAAAACTTACGGGTGCGAGGTCGAGCTGCCGCAGCGCAGACAAAACTGGAGTGAAAGTGATGTAATATACACACGCCTTTGAGTGATTGAAAAAACTCAACACGGTGCACCGGCAGATAGCAGCTATTGCTACGCCCTCATGGCCCGCATAGTACGGACGAGTCCACCGGCCGGAGAGCATGAGGGGATCCGGGCTGAAGGCCAGACTTCTGCGGCAGTAATATCACCCTATAATTCGTGGAACGCGAGCGGCTTACAAGTGTTTAGTATACTCGTACGTGATCTGCATATAACCCATGATGCATGCTGGCAGCTGTATGACACAGTAGCTAGAGCTTTCAAGCCGAAGAATTGCGATTGGGTGGACGAGAATGGTGCCAAACTCGGTCACAGCGGTATGGTGAAAGATCGTTCGCGAGGAGCGGGACAAACCGGGACAGCTGAGGACGAGAAGAAAGAAATCAGAAGGAGGTTGTGTCGAGGCGGTCGATCGTCAAGGCACGCCGCGGAAGGAAACGAAGCGAGATAGATTGGCGAGGGTGACGGTCACAGTCAGGTGACCGCGTTGGGAGGAGGGGGTTTGAGTTGTTGCGTACCTTTACGCCTTCACTCTCTTTTACCACCTGCGCCCCCTCCCCCGTCGTTCGCGTCGTCCACTCCTTACTGCTTCCTTCTCTCCGCCGCGTCCGTCTGCGACGGACAGGATACCTCTTCCTCCTCCCGCCCCGGCGCGATCCCCCGCCAAAATGGACGCTCTCACGTGCGGCATCTGCCTCGACCAACTCAAGGTCCCCGTCGCCACGCCCTGCGGTCCGTTCCCACCCCTCAAACACCTCTCCTGCCTCGTGCTGATCCCATCCCAGGCCACCTCTGCTGCGAGGCCTGCCTCACCTCCTACATCGAGGCTAGCGCAGACGCCCTCAACGCCTCCTGCCCCACCTGCAGAGCCTCCTTCAGCATAGGTACGTTCCCTGATCGATTTCATTAACGTCGTCCCTGAGCCCCGCACCAGCAATACCCGACCTTCGTTTCGTACCGAAAAAGTACCACTCCTACATCCTCCCCAGCATCCGCCGCGTCTTCATCTCCCCCAACGCCCATGCCGACCCTGATGTTGCCGCTGAGTCCCAGCGGGAGCTCCGCGCCCAGGTCGCCCGCCTCACCGACAAGATCGACGCCCTCGTCCAGGACAAGGCCCTTCTCATGGACCGCTGCGAGGCCGCCATCCGCGCGAGCCAGGCCCATGCCCAGGGTGAGCGCGACGAGCGTCTCGCCAAGGAGCGCCTCGACCGCGACATGCGCGACCTCCGCAAGAAGTACGATGGGCTCAAGGGCAAATACAAGACTTTGCGGGCGATGTGAGTTCATCAAGGGCTGCTCAGAGCAGCTCTATACACCCTCCAAAGGACGCTGCGCTAACAACTATGGTTGCGACGTAGCCATGACAATCCGTCGTCGTCCGCGGCCCTGCACATGAAGCGCACCAGCAGCCAGGCCGCACTCGACAACGTATCCTTCAGCGCATCCTCCAGCACCGACTCCCTCACCCTCCCCGGCGGCGATCCTGCGGCGGGATCGTCGTCGGATGCCGCAGCCGCGGCGCCCCGGCCGATCCTCCGCATCCCGAAGCGCCCGCGTCTCCTCGGCTCCCCGTTCGACCTCTCAAAGCGCATCGAGTCGCGCCGCGTCCCCGGCGCCCCCCGCATCCGCCGCACTGCGAACAGCAGCGACTACAGCCTGCAAGAAGAGGACGAAGACGACGACGAGGACGACCACAGCATGCTGCGCGCGTCGGACCTCAGCTCGAGCGTCGGCTCGAGCATGAGCATGAGCAGCGGCGGGGGCCCGCAGCGCTCGGGCCTGCCGATGGGCGACATCTTCTCGCCGCGGCGGCGCGGGGGAGGCGTGGAGGCGCCCGCGCGCCTGTCGTATGCGGGGCGGCCGCGGCCGTTCAACGCGGGGTGGCTGCTCTCGCCCGAGGACGCATAGGCGTTCGTCGTGGGCGGGACGGCAGGGCAGGGCGCGCGCGTGGGGGCGCTGCGCTGCAGCGTACTGTGCACAGTGCTGAGTTTTTGTTTTATTGTATTAATGTACCCTAATGCGTGCTCTGAATTACTTTTGGAGGGCGCCACTTTTACTCTTGGGTGCGGGCGTTCGTGCACGGCTTTGGATTCGCAATATCTGCGGTAACTTCAAGAAGCGTTGACGTGGGTGCTGATAACGATTCTACGCCCTCTCTGTACCCACTTTTGGCACAAGATTACCGCAGCAGCTATGTCGGTCAATATTCCCTGTCCAGTGTTGACGTCGAGGAATCCCTGCAGCAGATACGACACAATTTCTACTGCCGCAGTAGCCGTTTAAATACCAGGCGGAGGAGACGAACCCTCTGTGTGACTTCCTCTTCGCTCACATCCACTTAGCGACCAAGAGGAGCTCAATGACAACTCGTAAGTAATTCCCTGTTGCCTTATACTAGATGCGACACTAACCAGATATCTTGCAGCTTCCTCGTGTGCCCCCACGTCCCGCCCCTCCACCCCGCAATCTGACGAGCCAGAGTCAGACGGCGACCAATCGAAACTGGATGCGCCCGAGACCCCCCGCTCGTCACTCTTCAGCCGTCCCACCATAGAGGTCGCGGTTCGCAGCGCCGACGGCACCGAGTTCTACGTGCCCCGCCAGTTCCTCGTGGACGCCTCGCCCGTGCTGGAGGCCCTGTGCACCGCGGCCGCCCCAGCGCTGGCCGTGGACCTCCCGGAGGTGCGCGACGCGGTCGAGACGCTGCTCGTGCTCTGCCACCCGCACGCGCCCGAACCAGCCTTCCCCGAGTCCTTCGATGCGTCGAAGCCCGCGCTGCTCCTCGGCTGGAAGTACGAGCTGCGGGGCGAGGCGCAGGCGCGCGCGAGGCGCGTGCTCGAGTACTGGCTGGCGGAGGCCCCGGTGGTGGTGTATGTGTTTGCGGCGCAGCCTGAGGACGAGCGGCCGGAGCTGTTGGCGGAGGCGGCGCGGGCGTGCCTCCTCGAGGACTGGTCCTACCTGGCCCGCCGTAAAGCGCTGGACGCCATCAGTACTCGCGTGTACCGCCGCCTCGTTGCTTACCGCGAGGCGTGCGTGGGCAAGATGCGGCTGCTCGAGCGTCTGGGCCATGGGCCGAAGAACGAGAAGAAGTGGGTCTGGCAAAGTTGCCATTGTCTGTACAAAGATCGCTGCAGCTCGGCCGCGGGGTGCAAGGCGGCGCTTGCTCGGGCGGAGTGGTTCGACAAGTTCTACGCGGGCGTGCTGCGCACGCTGCAGGCGACCCCGCACCCGGACGCTATCAGAGGGGGCCGGTTCGAGGATTCCCTGAAGATGGCACTCCAGATGGCAGCGCGGTGCCCGTCCACCCACCAGTACTTTTCGCCACGATGCTCAGTAAATGCATCCCACGATCTCCCGCGTTACCTCGAGGGCCTTGCGCAGAAGGTGGACGAGATGATTTCAGAGGTGAGTGTTATCGTCCAGCCGCCTTCATGCAGGCGGCCCCTGGGTCGGTGCGTTGAGCGAGTCGTTTCCGCCCTAGGTCACTTTCTGACGTCGACGCATTCGGGCGGTCTATCGGGATGGTGCAGCATTTTGTCTTTGGGCGGCGTTGACATCTGTATCGCATGACTTCTGCGGTGCCATTTCTAGTTACGCTACCGGTGTAGGCTGCTCAGGCTAGCTCTTGGATATAAACATTGTAGGCGTGAGGATTGTAATATGCAGACGTTCGCGACGAACGCACAGGTGCGACGTAGACGAAGCTTGTCAGAACAAGTCGACCCGCACTGGTGACGATGGGGGAAGGCTTATACAATTTCTACGGGGGAAACTGCCGCGAGATATTGTTTGTACATATGAACTCTTCCCTTTGATTCACGCCCATCGATCCTTTGCAGCAGCCGCGAGGCCTAAGTAGTTATGCGCCGATGGCGCACCGAGCCTTCGGCATCGGATCCTTCCTAATCGCGCAGACAGATATGTGGTAGCACTGCGCTCGAGCGTGTCGGTCGACCGCCGCACAGCTGCCTGTCGGACATCCTTACCGCGGCAGGTCCGGGACACATACCTTGAGGCGCTATGCGGGGAGCTTCTGGCGGGGTCGGGGAGGGGAAGAGCGACCGCAAACCTGTATTGAATCATTGTTTGTAGAAAGTGCTCCCCTGCATTTGACATCCATCCTTTGCAGTGGGGACCGGGCCCTGCCGGTGAGCCGAGTCTGGCCTCTCGGTAGCACCGCCTTGACCGTCACGTACGAGATCGTCGGGCCACGCACATTGCTTTTTTGCAAGCCTTTGTCATACCGTAAGCAGACATACACCAGATTCTCCTATGAAACCTCATTGTATCACTTCCGCCAACATACGTGAAAAACGCCAAACATTGAACTGGTGCCCCGGATGCTACTGGCGTCGAGGGCCGATACGGACCCCCGGTGTGTGAACTCGAACCCGCCCGACATCATTCACAGCCGCGCGGAGATGTGCGCTGTAGCAGACGGTGCCCCGCTCGAGTGTAGCGGCCCCTTAGGCGTGGACACCCTTTCGTATCCGTGAGGCTCGTCCTGAAGCGTCTTGACGCTGATGCCGTGCAGGGCGAGGTGCTGCAGGTCCAGAAGAACCCAGTCAATGGGCGAACACAGATGGATGATACATCGAGGGGCAGGGACGTACCTGCGCAACTGGGTTAGACTCGGAAGCACGTCGGCCGGAGTGTTCCCCAGCAGAGGAAATCTTGAAGGGCTCGCCGTAGCACTCGGCGACGGTGCTGAAGAGAAGCGGCTGCGAGGGGTGAACGTCCATTTCGGCGACGCGGTATCGGAGGACGAAGGTACCCTCGCTCTGGACGGCCAGGTCCTAGGGGACAGCGTCAGACGGGGTGACAACGCGGTAGACGAGGGGCCCTGGTACTCACGAAGAAGATGAACATGGTCGCCGGCCTGCCGTGGTGCTCCCCGCTCTCCGCTTGCGTGAAGGTCGCGCCGGAGAGCATGTCGGTGCATCTGGAGCTTTCACGGATGGGGAAAGACCCGAACCATGCGATCACGTCGTCGTCGAGCAGAGCATGGGTAGAGTTGACAATCTGGGCACCGCCCCGCAGCGAGGGAGAGTTGGAAGACGGCACGGCGTCTTCGGTTTGTCCCGGGGTGAACGTCGAGCGGACATTGACCCCGGCGACACCCGAAGGAGGACCGAGGTTTGGGGCTTGAGGTGGCATACGTGATACGAACGTGTCTTGTTGCCCATCTTATTGCAGCGTGGAAGTTTGCATCAGAGATGACCGCTCAAGAGTCTGAGCCGTAACTGCACTCACCCGCATCCGGGACCCGGAAAAGATCTACATGGCACAGCGCTGGCAGAGTCTGCGAGGGGTCGGTGGGCCGAACGAGATAAATCAACACGCAGAACTGCTCACGAAGGATTGGGCATGGGCATTTCTGGAGGGGTCGGAGTTTCCGATTTTGTTAACTTGAACGGCGTTGATAAAACGGCCGGAAACCGTAGAGGCGCCGTCTTTGACGTGCGTTCTGTACATCGGCCAGTCAGTATGCGACCTCGGCGGGGGGACGGCTTATGACATACTTGCTGCGACCGAGATCGGCTTCCCGGATTTCTTCGAGTTCAAGGCAGGCCGTGCTGATAGTCGATGTCTCGCCTGCAGCCGACACCGCCAGCTGGCTAAGCAGAGACAGTATAGCGTCCGGTCGCTGAGTCGAGAGTGAGCGTCGGCTTTAAGAAATGCGAAGTGCACGGTCAGGCACGTACTGCTAATCCAAAGGTGCCTGCCATTGATATCTGAGGACGGTGTAGGCGAAGGCGAGGGCGTCGGTGGAAGCGAGGAGATGCGGTCAGGACGAGGGGTGCCCAAACACTCCATCTGTGTGCGCCCATTATAACTGGCCGTGCATGGCCCCGTTCCAGCGCAGCCGCGACTCCCAGCCCCCTGAGCTACGCGTTCGTGTGCAGTAGCTTTGCGCCGCGTCACACTGCATTCGAGGCTCTCGTATCGTTCCAGCTATAGTTATTCCGTTTCTGCGTCCCCAAGGTATGAGGCCACAGCAAGCCAATGATCATCTGCCCAAGATAGCGTCTTCTTCTGCGGGAACTTGCGCCCACCTCCGCACACGCAAACTGCCCCACCTCGCCTCACAACGCAACTTTGCCGCGCGAAGCGGGGCCGGTAAGTCATTGTAGTGCCGACTCGAAGAAAGCCTCTTTGCGTTGTGCTGGCCTGGGCTGCGAGAAGGGATGTTTATTCGACTGTTCAGCATGCTTTCTGCTCGACGGCATGTCCCAAGTGGACGGCGCAGATCTCACCGGCGTCCGGGGCGTTCCCGTCTAGATGCGATCGCGCGCCGCCCTCTCCCGGGACGAAGGTTTGAACCAGAAGTCTGCGCCAAGCTCCCGGGGCTCCTTCGCCCGTGAGATTGGCGCCTTTCTAGGGTCGGTGCTGTCACAGCAGGCTTCAGTATGATGTACTGAAGCAGCACGAATTTTCTGAGCCCCCTTGGCGGCGGAGGCTTCGTAAAAATACGCAGATATATAATGTTGTACTTTTGCCTGCACGGGACTCTCACGATGCGCTTTGCGCGGCGTGCGGCCTAGCTGAGCGAGGCCCAGGCCACACGACGGTACTCCACTCCAGACGTAGAAGTACTCGCACTTCCTTTCACCGACATCTATCGGCGGCGACACAAGGCTGTGTGAGCGCAATCGACGGGGAACTGCTTTGAAGTGATGAGGCACGCTCCAAGGGCCTGGACGGAGCGCGAGCAGGTCATCTGCGCATCGTGCGCCATTTAATTGGCCGCGTCCAATGCATGCACGGGGAATAGTGAGGCCTTGAGGCGCGAGACGCGAGGGGCGACATGTCGCCGCGCAAGGAAGATCATAGGACCAGGCCCGACGTGGGGCAAAGAAGAGCGTGTGTCTGGAGATGCGTGAAAATGGAGACGGCGACCGCGGTACGTACAAGTCGGAACCACGGGGGCATTCCTGTCGCAGAGGGTTGCATCGGCCAGCTTCTGCCGTGAGCGCCCTGAGCAGTCGCAGGCAGAAAGGGTACATACCTTGTTCCAAGCTTCGTCCTGTAATACTGCTCCACTGGCCGATCACTGGGAAGCGTATGCTTAGGCCTATCGCCATGCCTCGCTGGGCACGCCGAAAGCCTGGGCACTGGGTGCACTAGACGATGAATGCTCGGCGGTGAGCCCAGGTGTCGCCGGAGAGGGAATGTACGCGACGGGAGCGTTGGGATGGGAGTGCATGCCGACAGAACCTACCTGCCATACATGCAACCGTCGAAATCCCATACGATCGGCACAGGCTCCTGGGAGTTCGAGAAGCCACTCCCCGCCGGAACCCAGATAGCTAGGGGCTTCCCGAACGAGCCTGCGACGATGCGGACGGCGACGGGGAACTGCACGATTTTGTCGAAGCGGGGCGATTGTGATGTTGTTTTCGGAACTTGTTCTCCCCTTCCTGCCCTGGAAACTCTCATTAGCAAGTCAGCTGCAGCGCGGCGCTGAGTGACGTGCTTGAGAACGATACCATAACCGGCACGAGGCAGCGCGCATCGCGGTTCAATCCGGCCCACGGACTAAGGAAGGTTTGCGCGCAACTATGCATGGTAAATCTGAGGTTTCCTTGTACGAGCCGACGGACCAATGACCGCAGATCGTCCGAGCGTTTAGAGCAATGAGGCCTAGAGTGTGGCTGCTGTAACACGTTGAGAAGTCAGATATTTGGACAAGTGATGTAAACGCGTGGAAACGCACGCCTGTGTGATATGTTATATATATTACCGTAACGTCACAGTAATGGCTGCTGCTTAGTCTGGTCTACATCTGTGTCGCGCAGGAAGGTTGTTGGCCACGTTGTACCTGTCGCTCTGGAGATTTAGTCGTTCGGTAATGGGGGAGGGGGGAGGGGGACATTTGATGCAGGGAACTCACGGATACCTTATCAGAGCGGGTGTAACTTTGAGCGATCTATTCCTGAGCAGCAGCGACAGTGAGCGGCCCGGTTGCGGATTGTATGGACGTTCCTGAGTACTACTCCCGTCCGTCCAGGTTTACGCTCAGCGCCGTAGATGCCTGGTGAGCATGCTATGAACGACTGTACGTTCAGACCCCTCAAGTCGACACGTGTTGCGAGAGCACACGTCTTAGAGCGTGTGTGTGCAACACGCTTGAACGTCACGACTGTTTGATGATGGGCGGGAATGGCCGTACGTATATGCGGCGAACTCCTCAATGAGGACAGAAGCGCCTGGGCCGCCATTGTGGTCGTGAGCGTTGTACTTTGATTTTGTGCCCACGATTCTGCGGCGGGAGTATGTCTATCATTAACGTGTATCCTGTAGACCTGTAGTCGTGAGTGTCGCGTGACGGCGACTCGGCCGGTAGGGCTGCGCATCATGAAAAATGTAGACCGCCCCGGCAACACCTCCCATACTTTTAGAGAAGCAGGCGTGCAAATCAGCGTCGTAGGCTTTTAGCTAGGAAACATGATGGATATGCTGACCTTGCGCATCTGTGTCGGCGTATTTGCATCGTGCAGCTATTTGCCAGTGCGACATTCTCGGGACGATTGCAGGCCTACTTCTCAGTTCAAAGGAGTTATCCAAGCCACTGCGAGCCCATAATTCGATACGCATATCTCTAGCGTATGTTTTTCTGATTTGGGAAGAAGTGACGAACCTGCATTGGGACCAGGAGTGTTGGCCACAGTGGGCGCTGTCGACAAGGGCGTCCAGCCGGAATAGGCGTCTAATGTGGCATCGTTTCGCGATCACGTGTAACAGATTAGACGCACGCGGAAGACGCGACGCGTTGTTGACTCCGCGCCACCACCTCCTTCCTCCGCCCGCCGTCCTGCTTCACCCCCACTCTGCATCGCACCCATACTGAAAGGCAAAATATCACTCTATAAAGCCTACAACCCGCACAAATAAGACGACATAGTCAAGCAACTAGCTGCACCTATCGCTCGCTGCGTACATGGGCCCGTTTCTGTGCAGTATCTGCCAGGAACTCCACCGATTGGATAAACTACGCTGTCTCCCTTGTGGTATGTGGCTATTTTGCAGAAATTTGCCTGTGTATAGACCGTAACACGGCCGGGATAATACGAGTCATGATCCCGACGGACTAATTGCCCCGGCGGGTTGCAAGTTGACCGCATACACGTACCTTTGCGCGTCTTCAAATTCAGTATAATGGCGCTAAGAGTTATGCCAATTGGACGACCATACACAGTTTATGATCTACAGCTTCTCAATATCAAAGAGTTTAATATGTCGTCAACTCACACGTACCTCTACAGGCCACACCTTCTGCGCCAAGTGCATCGATCGTTGCATTGAAGTCAATGCGAGACCCGCCATCGGCGGCGGGAGGCGTCCTCTAACGTGTCCCAGTTGTCGCGTGGTGTTCAGGCGCAATGATCCGCATTCCATCTACCTCGACTATGGAGACTCACAGTCTCAGAAGACTACCTGTCATACGGATGCGGTTCATCAGCGTATGCAAGCCGCCACACGGGTGGTCAACCTCGTCGAGCACGACCTGCGCCACCAGACCATACAGAAGGCGGCACAGGAGATGGAAAAGGTTGTTGAGCTGAGTGATGGTCAGCAGGAGTGCTTGTTGGTGCGTATAACCTTCGTATATGCTTTCGTGCTCATTTACTGACGTGGTTCGATCCTTGTTACAGAGTCTCCTGGCGGCTGTCGCGGCACGGTGGCGAGGGATGCTTCCGATGTTCTCTACGATGGCTGACCAGCGCAACCAACTGTCAGCATTACAAGAGCGACAGCGACGGACAGAACGAGAGAGAGACACGGCGGTCGCAGCTACTTCGCATGCAGAGCAGATTGCAACTGAGGCAGTTCGCACGACCGAACAGGTCCACGGGGCGCTCCAGGCAGCGAAGACGCAGGTGGAAACCTTGCAGCAGGCTACAGAGCGCTCCAAAGAAGCATACAAGGGGGAACTAGCCGTCAAACAGGAGAGAATCGATCGGCTATTCGACAGCCTCAACGCCTTGAAGGCCAAGGCATGGACATTCACTTTGCTTTGTCATAGACCGTCGCTCACACTCGAAGTATAGGAAGCGAAGCAGAAGGCGGAGATTGAAGAGCTGCGAGGGAAAGTACAGGAGGCCACCAGACTTCGCGAAGCGGCTGAGTCACAACTGGTAGACCTGGAAGTAGACTATGGACCTGCTGGTGAACAGTCCTTGGTGGTCCTACCAGATGATAGCCAGGTTGGTCGTTTCATCACCGGTGTCACGAACATGTATTGATTCCTGTTCTGCATAGGCGGCGTTCGATTTGTCCGGATCGCAGGCTACATTCGAGCGACTTCCCGGAACGACGCGCAAACGCAAGGGGTCTGAAGAAGACCTGGCGTGGCACAACACGGAGCAAGCTTCAGACGCTGATGACTCGCCTCCCCGTGCAGCTCCTTCGGCGCGCAAGCAGGTGTTGAAGGCGGTCAAGCCCAAAGCGCCATCCTTCTTCTCCGACTGGTCTCTACCCACCGGGCAAGTCCAAGCGAAGGGGGCGCCGCGTATGCTGCAACCATCCACGTCTGCGAACTCCGCAAATCCCATCGCCTTGGACCGCAGCGGGAAACCCTTGAAGCCGGTGCAAGTCGGGTCGAGGAAGCGCATGCGAGGCATCTCCTGAACGCTAAGCTGGACTCGCCTCGAAACCCTCCAGCCTTCTATCTGTACACTCCTATCCTGTGGTTGTGATTTCCTTCTTGCAATGCCATCGTATGTCCGACGATCCCGGTTGCCCCGGTGGAAGCATGGACACGTTGCTGCCTGGACATGACAGCGTGCTGCTTCCCAGCCTGAACGCAGGGACCATCACTATTCCATTCTATTTCGACGTGCGGCGGTGCAAGCTCGCATTCACCGACGTTTTCATGTTTACGTTCTGTGGCGAAAAGGCCTCTTGAGGACAGGTTGGTCTAGTCGTTCACGGCGCGCTGAGCGCTGAGCACCAGCCGCACGTATTCCTATGGCTTTTATTCCGTATCTTCCGTCGAGAGCTCGTAAACACTGCGCCATACGAGATAGATACCACTCAAACATCATGCTGGCGAAATGTCGAAATGAGAATGAGTGGGCAGGTCTCAGCATCATCATCCTGCCTTGCGGACGGCTTCGTCACTGTTGGCATCGTGGGAAAGCGTGTGCCGCCCATCGAGCTCGCCGTGCACAGCGTTCCCGACGCTAAACATGCGACCCCCATCGCCGTCACTCCCTCATCGTGCTTGAAGACCCCCGGGACGACGCCCACTCCTTCCGTTCATCGCTCGTTTCCACCAAGTAAATGTCCAACGGCTACCTCGCCTCACCACTCTCCCCACCCCGCCCCACATCTCGCCCGTCCTCGCGCGGCTCGATCCGCTCCGCCGGACGCTCGAGCAGCCCCAGTGTATCATTAGGCGACGACCACGGTGCGTGCCGTACGCCTCTCTCGAAGGCTCACGACCGTTGACAGGCCGATATCACTCGGACGCACGTATCTCCTTCGGACATCCCGCCCGCAGTGGCCATCCGCACGCAGATGTCCACGCTGAAGCACAACATCCGCCACCAACAAGCCCAGCTCGCGACGCTCGAGAAGGAAGTCCTCCGCGGCCCCCGCCCGCTCCCTCCAGGCATATTCAACTCGCCTCCGATGTCCCCCGCCGAGCTCGACGCCGCAGCGCCCCCGAGCTCGTACACGCCCCGGATCGCGCGCCGGAGCAGCTACGACGCGCTGCAGGGCCTCGCAGGGCCCGATTCCAGCCTTCCGCTGCCCCGGAGAGAGAGCGAGAACAGCATTAGGGAGGGTATCCCGACGTCATCCGGGTCAGGGCAGCGAGCGTCAAGTCCTACGCGGACACTTAGCCGTACGTCCTGTTCTTTCATCTCCCCTATCGGACCATCGTGCTGAGGCCCGCTAGGCATCCCTGTCTCATCCGTAGGTATGTTGGACCCTATTGCATGACGTAGTACCGCACTGGTACCGTCGATCTACATCTACCTCGTCCTCGGGGCAAACTGCCAATTAGCTGACGCGCCGTCCGCAGGAAACGCACGTGCACTAGCCGAGGAGGACAGCGGGAACACGTCCCACCATTCGAATCACTTGTCCGTGTCGACGTCGTCTATGGGCGGTGGATCCTCACCGCGACGACAGTCATTCGCACCGGGTAACACGACGAAGGTGCTCGCGGATCTGCAGGCGGGCGTCCTAAACGCCAAGAATGCGCTGGAGAACACGAAGGCGCAGCTGCGCGTGAGCCAGCGGCAGGTCAGCCAGCTCACGCGGCAGACGGAGGACCTGAAGGAGGTGCGGGAGCGGTTGAGGCTGGAGAATGAGGGCCTGAACAACGTTGTGGCGAGGAAGGAGCGGTTACTGCAAGAGGTGTGTTCTACCACTGTGCCGTAATGTCGTGTGCTCAACCTGTCGGGTTAGGTGCTTGACCGAGCACGGAAAGCGGAGGCGGAGGTAATCACGCTGAGGTCGTCGCTGAAGAGCGAGACATCGACGTCGAAGAAGACTATCCGCGACATGGAGGCCTCCCTCACCGAGTGCACGGCGCGCACGCAGAAGGCGGAACGGGAGTACACGGTGCTACGGGACTCGATCAAGGGCCTCGTGGAGTCGTTCCAGACCGACGCGGTGAACCTCCGAGAGGAGATGAAACGACGCGAAGACAAGCTAAAGGGCGAAGCAGAGGAGATGGGCCGCAAGTATCGTTTGCTACTGGAGGAGATCCAGAAGGAACGAGAGGACGGCGGAGAGGGTATCGGCGAGCTGCGGCGCCTGACAAGAGAGAACGAACGAATAGGCAAGGAGATCGAGGACGGCCTGCGGACGGAAATGCGGCAACTGCGGGCGGAGGTCGACCGGTCGACGACGGAGAGCGAGGAGGCGACACAGACCGCAAAGTGAGTCCCATACCCACTAACCGTCTGTTTTCCGCCGTCTGACCTGTTTCGCGCAGAAATCTTGCCGCCGAGCTCGGTCGTCTACGCAGGCTCATGCGACAAGCGGGTGCCGCTGCAGCGCAGGACGCGCGTGGCGGACCGTCATGACCGCCCCATCCTTCCGCTCCCATTCGTTTCGTACATCGCACCTCACATGTTGTTTATCGGCCTCGTCGCTTTGCTGTCTAATTTTATACCCAGGACGCAGGATCCTGACACTCCGATATCCAGGACACTCCGACTAAGCACACATCCTATCGCATTTCCCTGTATCGCCATTGGTTTGAGCACCTGCGGACATCTGGACGCTACCAGTTAGTTACGGGATACGCAGTGACAGTATTATATATGCACAGATTCCGGTCATCATGATGCTGCTCTCGTTATCCCGCGGAGCGATACGCACCTCCACCACTTGGCACGGCGCCCTCGGGTATGTTCCTGGGCCACAGAATTCGGGTCGAATATTTTTACAAGTCCAGACGGCTCTGTACAGTGTATGTTGCACAAAGTACATGTCACCATTGCGTCAGATGGACGCTGGATTGCACGAAGCGCCGGATTGGGCGCGACGCACGTGGCGGCGGAGGAGTCGCGTCAGCTCGCGTGATGGCACCCCGGATCTAAGCCGTATGGAACGCGTCCGAGCCCCCACCCGGCCTATATAACTCTTCGCTCAAATTGGAGAGCCCAGCCTTTCTTCCTGACCACCACCTCGACCCATTCCCGTGCCCGAACACAGAACGACGCCATGGCACACGCAGCACATATCATAGACAGCGCACTCGGAGCGGTGGGCAACACCCCAATTGTAAGGTTGGAACGGATAGCGAAACAGGAGGGCCTGCAATGCAATCTTTGTGAGTATATGCGCCTAGTCCGTTGCGTTTTCGGTGGCTAAAAATTGTCGTGCAGTGGGCAAGGTTGAATACACCTCCGCCGGTGGGTCCGTCAAAGACAGGATAGCGAAGCGCATGGTGGAGGAAGCCGAGCGGGAGGGCAAGCTCATCCCCGGATACAGTGTTGTCATTGAACCGACGTCTGGAAACACCGGTCAGTAACACTGCTGCCTTGGACGCAATTCTCTCATACTCATGCAGTGGCTCCTCAGGTATCGGTCTTGCAATGGCGTGTGCTATCAAGGTCAAACGGTCCTCCTACGACTACAGGACATGTGCTGAATACTACAGATAAGGGATATTCGGTGATCATCACCTTGCCTAACAAGATGTCTCTCGTGAGTCCATGATCTACACACCTATCATCTAAGCCAAATCTGACACCACTTTCGCGCCTTGTAGGAGAAGGAAGCTGCACTTCGCGCACTAGGCGCGGAGGTCGTCCGCACGCCCACCGAGGCGGCATTTGACTCCCCCGAGTCCCACATAGGTAGAGCACCCCATTCACAGTCTGGCACGCCTCGTGGCTGAATTCCTTAACGATCGCAGGAGTGGCGAACAGACTGCAACGTGAAATTCCGGGCGGCATCATCCTCGACCAATATCGCAACGTACGTTCTCTATTGAATTGGTATCCATTCACCTAGTAACGATTGTTCGTGCAGGTGAACAACCCGCTTGCGCACGAGTACACCACTGGGCCGGAGATTGTGGAAGCCGTTGTGTCTACACCTCCCACTGGCGACCGCTCCTCCTCAGGCAAGGTCGACGTCTTCGTCGCTGGCGCAGGCACGGGCGGGACCATCACCGGGATCTCGCGCGCGATCAAGAAGAAGCACAACAAGGACTGCATCGTCGTCGGTGTGGATCCCGTTCGTACTCTGCTCTGCCTATTTGCATGCACCGACGCTAACATCACGACCCGTCCTATAGAAAGGCAGCATCCTCGCCTTCCCGGACACCCTGAACGAGGACGGCTCCGGCGAGCAGTACGTCGTCGAGGGCATCGGCTACGACTTCGTCCCGGACGTCCTCTCGCGCGATCCCGCCGACGTCGACCAGTGGATCAAGACCTCGGACGACGAGGCCTTCGCCGCCGTGCGCCAGCTCATGCGCCACGAGGGCCTGCTGGTCGGTGGCAGCAGCGGCAGCGCGCTGAGCGGCGCGCTCCGCTGGCTGCACAGCGATAAGGGCCGCGCTATCGCGCAGACGGAGGGCGCGAACGTCGTGGTGTTGCTCCCTGACGGGTATGTTTTCGCCCATTTCGAGCGTTGTGCGTATGGCTGATGGTCATGTTTTTCGATAGCATCCGGAACTACATGAGCAAGCCGTGGTTCCTCAAGATGGCGCTCGAGGCGGAGCCGACGCCGCTCGCGCACCGCATCGCGGAGGTCCTGAAGACGTCCAAGAGCGACGTGCAGACGAACGGCGCAGCGTCCAAATGAAGACTGAGAGTGTCGAGGACAATCGTAGAAGCGTACTAGATGACAATGGATTGTATAGCATCGTCGGACTGCGTTGTAGTGTTGCAATTGCCGACGTGAATAAGTGCAAAGTTTCGTTCCGTTCCTAACAGAATCGCGTTGACAAGCTTGAGAGGCCGCACACTTCATGTGGATTGCGTATGATCAGAGTGGAATATTATGGATAATGCTACAGAGTACACCGGTTCAGAAACGATAGCAATGCGCGACAAAGTCAATGAATGTGATGCGGCCGCCTTCCCCTCCACCCTGCGGCCTTACGCTTAATATATATCTAGTCCTCCCCCTCCCCCTCTCCTTCGCCGTCCACTTCGCCGTCGCCCTCAGCATCCGCTGCTGCGACCGCCGCAGCCGCAGCGGCGACCTGCCGCGCATCCGCCTTCGCCGCGTTGTCCGCCGCCTCCTGCTCCTCGAGGTTGCGCAGGCGCATCTCGACGAGGAACTCCTTGTCGCGGATCGTCTGCGACCACGAGCGCGTGACCTTGGACAGCACCCACGCGCCGTGTCCGAGCCCCGCGAGCGTGAATATGCCGGGGTAGACGTGCACGACTGCCATGCACCGTATGTCAGCGATCTGCTCGCGATCCGGGGGTGAGGGGAGAGACGGGTGCTTACAGAGGAAGTCGCCGTCCATGGGCAGCGTGACGAGGCGGGAAGCGGACCACAGGATGGCCGCGGGGAAGACGATCATGCCTAGCAGCCCTGCACAGACTGGGGCGATGACCTCTGTCGTTGCGCGCATAGGATCGAGGTGGGCTAGTCCGTTGCGAATCAGCTATAAGAATGAGGGTCAGCGCACGGTTAGCCTCCCACATGAAACATACGCACCCGGTCGACACCACGCATCTGATCATGCCCAGGCTGGTGCACGCGCATCGAGCGCACGATGATCTTCAAGTAGAGCAGGCCGAGCGCCCACATGTCGACCATGCGTATACGGGGCTCCCCAAGCGGGTTCGCCGCGTGCTTGATCGGCTGGATGATGTACAGCTCGACGACAACCCCAAGGAGCGTCGGGATCACGACGCCGAGCGCCCCAAGCATGTACGACGCCTGCCCGACCCAGAGCAGACCGCGCTTGAGCACGAAGAGCGACCACTCCGCCCGCGCGCCGTCGGACCAGCGGCGCTGGCGGCGCTTGTCCATGCGATCGAGCGCGGTGCCGACGAGCCAGCAGCCCCAGAGGAGGTAGAACCCGAGGATGAATGCGTACCCGTCGTGCACGTCGTACGGGAGGAAGAGCCGAAACACGCCCCGGCCGAGCAGGATGGGCGCGGCGAGCACGGCGGCGAGCAGCGCGGAGCCGACGGTCCAGATGCAGACGAGGAAGGTGATGACGCGGTAGCGGAACTGCGGGGGGAAGTAGACGACGGTGTAGTCTTCCTTTACGATACGCTTCGCCTTCTCCGCCTCGAGGTTCTGCGCGATGATCAGCCGGGAGCCGTTTGCGTCGATGGGGTGGCCTTCCTCGTCGACTTCGACGGTCGCCGGGGCGTCTTTGACGAGAGCTACGTTGTCGCTGTTGGGGACGCGGCGGAAGGTGCCGTCGTGGACGGCCTCGGCGTCGTCCATCTGCATGCCGTCGTCGTTCAAGAGAGACCGCCAAGTCCAATGCTCTGATGTGTACTCTTCTGAGGGGAAGCGTCCGCCGAACATGTAGGATGAGAGACGAAGTTGCCGAGCCAAGTATTTCCAGATAGATGTTCCAAGTTTTCGGAGAGCTTTACGAGGGCGGAAGTATTCCATAGTGTAGGGTAGAACCAATTGGATGAAGATCAGGTCTATTGGCACCTCGGAGAGCGGTTCCCTGAACAAACAACAATCAGAGCAAACACTGGCAGTCGTTTAAGTCTTTATCGCTTACCGAATTTTCCACCTGAAAGGCATGATGGTACCGCGGAATAGCCGCAGAATCCCGGAAACGGTTGCAACACCACTGGCAACCACGACCCCATACATGGCCGCGCTCAGCAGCAGTTTGCGCAGCTGCACGAATGTCGGGCGTTCGAGGATGTCGCGGATAGGATGGAAGTTCTGGTCCTGAGGATCTTTGATGAACCACATCGCACCAGGACGCATAATCCCACGGCATCCGGAAAGGAGCACAGCGAACTGGTACCTACAGCATTACGATTGTGAGTGAACTTGGTAAGAGAAGGAGGAGCACAGACGTACATAAACATGGTTCCTAATACCCAGTGGTAAAAGGTCGCCCGCAAGGGAGCGAAAAGCAAGAAGGCAGCTCGTGAGCGGAAAGTACCATGAGGGAACATCCACACCGAGCATACGTCCAGCATCATGCCGCAGCCGAGGGGAAAGATGATCAGCTCGATGACAATGAATGCAGCGACCTTTACACGAAGTCAGCATGGGGGTCGACGTGAAGAAAATTCATCTACCTTCACGACAAGGAGCTGCTGTCGGATGGCACTCCGGACAGCCCTGCCAGCGCTCCGCATAGTACCCACCGTCAGGATGTTCAGGTAGATAGCTAGCAAGAGCCCGACGACGGCATAACCGAGGGAAACGGCGAAGACCCTGTCCTGGCGGTCGTCGCCTACGGCCATCTCAACCCAGGTCTCCTTGCCTTGTTCACTCCATTGGCGAACACTTTGGCCCAGAGGCGCAAAGTACGGCTCGGCCATACGCATCACGGTCGTGTCCTCTTCTAGAAGCCGATACAGGTAAGAGGGAGTCGGCTCGACTTTCGCGGCTTCGGATGGAGTGGACGTCGCGGCGCTATCCATGACCTTCATAGCGACGTCCATGACACTGTGATACTGCAGAGACTGTTAGACACGTACTGCCTGTGCACGAGATCAAAAAATGCTAACCACTGTCGTAACCACGTCTGCGAGCTTCTCGGCGCGCTCAGGGCCAGCGAAAGATGACAGTACGCCCAGAGCCCAAGTCAAAGCCAGTTGGGTCAGGACAGCCAGAGGAGTAATAAGTAGCCGCGAGACAACCAGTAGGACGGTGTCGACTATAGGGTCGGTCACAATACGGATGGCGCGTAGCGGCAGATGCAGAATCTGCATGGCTCTCCGAGGATTTAGCTAAAACGAGTAGCTTAGTATGCGGTGTGTGTTTTCTGAGTATGCATGCGAACTCACACTTAGCAATGCGGTCGTTTTGCCGATAGTGAACGGAAGCCATATACCCAGACCGATCGTGGTGTCAAGGATGAAGGTCATGAGAATGGCCTGTGATACATGTGAGTATGCGTGGTTCTGTTATATGATAAACTCAACGTACGTTCTGGAGCACACCATACAGTGGCCCTCGTAGACCGATGGCTGGGCACGAATTCCATGTCAGTGTCCCATAACGCTAATTTTGGGATCAGTCCTACCTTCTAGGGCACCGTCCATGTCATCCTCAATATTGATGTCATTCTCGAAATCCTCCGGGATTGGTGGAGGCGGCTCGACCCTCTGGATTGCCCCGGCTTCAGGCGGAGCATCGTCCTCGACCTCCTCCAACTGGTCCGCGTCGTCTTCGTGCACATCATCCTCCGGGCCTGCAACCTCCTCTTCTTCCTCCTCTTCCTCTTCGACCTCGGCGACAACTTCCTCATCGGTCCACCGGACATCGTCCGCATCATCGTCCATCTCCCCATCCAGCTCAACATCCGCCATCTCTGCCCTCTCTGCGCGCTCCGCCTCGGCCTCCTCAAGTTCGCGCTGACGCTCCTCCGGATCGCGGAAGTATTTACGGTGCGCCTCCTCGAGATCGTTCGCGTCCATGAGGTCCGCATACCATTGCTCCACGAAGTAGTCGACCTGTCCGTCCGGCACAACAGCGTCGAGGTCCTCTGGCGCACGGTATGTTGCCAAACTGGGCGACGCGAGCGGAGTCTGCTTGCGGCTTTGCGCTGCGCTCGCCGAGGCGGACGCGAGGGCTGGGGAAGGCGGGAGCGTCATGGTGGGTAACGGTGGACGACGTAGACCTGAGGGCGTGCTCGGACCAGGGGAAGGGAAAGGCTGTATGCCCACAACATCTCCGGGGAATTCAGCATCAAGATGTAACGCCACCTTGTCTGACGGGCCGGGTAGTGAGGCGTTCACAGATTTCGGTGTTAGCTCCCGCTCGTCTTCCTCTGTGCTACTTGATTCGTGGAGAGGCGGCGAGGGCGATGCGAATGGATTGTGAGATGGGGGCTCGCCGTACCCGCTCCCCCGCTGTGAGGCGGTACCGTTCTCCGACGACGAAGGCACGTCGGTGCGTGGCGACGACACAGACGGCGGAGGCACGGTGAAGGTGAACTCCGCAAATGTCGGTAGCGTTTGTGTTGCGCGGTCGTGCTTGCGCCCCGGGGACCACTCTTCATGGTCCGCGCCTTCGTCCCTATCACTAGGTCCAGGTATCGCAGACTCTAGTGGGTACATGGTCCGCATGATCTCAAGTCTCCGGAACTCTTTCGTCTTTAGAGCGCGTGCATACCCATCTTCTTCGCTATCCTCATCGACTGGAAGTGGCGGGGCCCTCAGTCTTGCCTTCTCCGCAGCGCGACTCGATCGCCGGCCTTTTCCCTTGGCTGCCTCCCGCCCAGGGGTGTGCCCTCTGCTTCTCGGTCGTATATGCCGAGAGGGCCCCGCCTCGAGCGTGTCGGTTGGGGCCGTCGCGTCGCTCCTGGTCCGCTGCTTCTTTGTCCTCGCGCGCGCAACGTCTTCCCTATGCACCCCGTCGTAACGCGCCCGACCAACCGGAATCCTATTCCGTGGGGCCTCCTCGTTCACAACCATTGGGCGTACAGGAACCGGAGGTGCTTCTTGGACCACAATGGCCGGAGGCGCCACCTCTGGGGCGGGTGGTACTGCCTCGGGCGCGTCCTCTTCGGCGGGAATATCTCCATCCTCGAAGATACCTGGCCGCGCGTTCTGCGTGATCCACTCACGTAGTAGGAAGATTGCAACAAACGCGATCACAATCATGGACGCAATTATCTGGCCCGCGACGATGTCCGACGAGACTTGCAAGACTACTGGATGCGTCAATATTCCGTGAGGGTGGGGCGTGTGACTGCTAGGGGAGGTGGCGTTGGTGGCGGTAGCATTCGCGGGGATGTCATCAAAGAGGTCGGGCTCGTGTTCTGGCCTTTTGAGAGCGCTGATCCACCATGCGCTGCATTTCGAGTTAGCAGAGGCCGAGGCATGAGGAACAGCTGAACGTACGCATGATTGCCCATCGCAAAGTACATCCTCCATGTCCATATCGTGACCCACGGCAACGCGGCGAGCCATATTGACGCGACGAGAATGGCACGGAGACCGAAGAGGACCGCGGATGCTAACTGCCGCGAGAATTGGCGCAGTATTAGGAACAAGGGCAACCGCTCTGGCATATCCTTCGAGTACACTGCAAACGTACGGTCAAATAGACACTTTCCACACGCTAGATGCGGACTCACCCTTGGTGAAGGAGTATGGATATTTGCAGACATCGCAGGTCTTCTTCTTGCTGTGTGCCAGCCATTCCTGCAGACTGATGGGGTAGGCGTCAGAGTGTGGCGTGCGGTGGCTGTTTCTGTGCAACTCACCAGTCCTGGTGTATATACCTGATCGTACCCGAGCATTTACATGGGTGAAATAGAGGCTGGTCGGGCTCTGCTGGCGCACTGCATATGCGGCATGTGTCTGGAGGATATGATGAGCTTTGGTAGGGTCATTTGTCATGCTGTGGCAGACCTTGCTCTTCCAGCATTGATGATGTTGCTGCCCGTTAGCTTGTGCTGATTCCCAGACGCTTTCCTGGACGGTGAGACAGTCAAGTCGTCGCCAGAGGTCTGGAGTGTGTGTGTTAAGAGGCCAAGAGATGGACGCTGTGGAAGTTGACCGCGGCCTGACGCATGGATATAGGCGCCCATAGCGGCAGGCGCCACGCGCGCTTCCTCCGAATCGCCGGCATTCCCGGCCCGCAGATCGGCTGGTCAGCGCCGGTACTATGAGCGCTAATTACTGCACTTGACTACGACGCCGAGTTCGATCGTTTTGTGCGCGTACCACTCCGACTTCATCCACCTTCTCAAATCTCTCTTCACCTGAATGCGTGCGTGACTTATCTTCGGAGCATAGCATTGGTAGTGGCATGACGCTGCTTCTCATTTGCGCTGCGGCAGCGCAATTATGTCGTCAAGAAACTGCCAGTGGCTGAGAAGTTGCGTATCCGGTGTAGATGCTGCGGAAATTAGTGCTAAGAGGTGGACATAGAGTTGGTGAGTTACTGGTACTGGTGACCACGTTGACGCTTCTTGGGGCAGTATCGCAGGCGTTCTGCCGTAGGCACGGAGCAATATCAGCTCTACCGTAGCAGCAGCTATATAATCGTCAAGCGATGTAGTACCTCAAGCATCACGCACCTTCCCCCGACCCCTCTGTCTTGCACACCGTTACACAGAACTCACGGCTAAGATGAGCTCAACGGCGTCTGGTAAGTAATTGTTACTAGTCTGCACTATCAAATAGGTTTTTAATAGTGTGTAATCCATTGTTCAGTTTGCTCGGGACGCACGGCCGGCTCCCCCGCTTCCTTCCTTGGCGAATCCGAAGGAGTACCTTATCCTTGTGGTACACCTCGCTCCAAAAGACCCGCAGAAGTGGCGATCCGCAGCGCAGACGGCGCCGAGTTCTTTGTGCCACGACAGTTCGTCCTGGATGCGCTCCAGGACATGTACAGTCCCCGGTCGTCTGCCCCCGCGGCCCCTCCATCGGACTTGCGGGAGATGCTGAACGACACGGTCCAGACGATGATCGAGCTAACCTCCCCCGACGCGTCTGTCTCAGGGCGCAGCCTCACCTTCAGCTCCCTCAAGCCTGTCCTACGCTTGTTCTGGCACCACAATTTGAGCTGTCCGTCATTCGTGCAGGCGGCCCTAGGCCCCGTCCTCGCGCGAGAGCCTCTGCGAGTATACGCGTTAGCGGCGCAATACGACCAGGTGGAGCCCATGCAGGAGGCCGCCCGCGCGTGTCTCCGCCACACGGACGCGCTCGCCGACGCCCCGGAGCTAGACGAAGTCGCCTCACGGCCGTACCGACGACTGCTGCTCTATCGGCGGGCGTGCGTCCTTGCGTTGAGCGGCCTCCCCTCTTCCTATCACGACATATACGAGACCTTCGGCCGCGACTGGGCGTGGCTTTCCTGTTCGGAATGTCTCCACAAGGCCCGGTGCGATCGCGAGGCATCCTGGTTCCTCGAGTACTACGACTATGTGCTAGCCGTCCTGGAGAACACCCCTCATCCTGATGCGCTCCGCGAGAAGGATTTGCGCGCGGAAGGCATCGCACGGGCGGCCACAAGCTGTACCCAATGCGCATCCTCTGCGGAGGCCGAAGTGGATCGCTTCCTGGAGCTGTTGATTCGACGAGTGGATCGAAGGATCTCAAAGGTGGGTAGAAATACCTCGCCTGCGTGTTTGTCGTTGTGATGTTTAACTAAATTGCCGTGATAGGTCACCTTGTAGCCTTAGGTTGCATGCAGTGGTGTGCTCTTGCAAGTTCAGAGAATATGCAACAGTGTTCGCTAGCGCCCACTGCCAAATGGCGGTTGTGTATTTGTATACTTTCAAGGCTCCTTGAAAACTCCTACGTATATGTGCGTCACCAAATTATAGCTTGGATATCATATCCCGTAGGCGGGTTGGTACTGCTCAGGGGCCGTGTCTTCAGGTCACTCGACTGAAACGGCCATCCTGCATGCCATTAATTCGCGAGGCGCACCAATGGGAAGATCTCCCATTGACACGTATTCCTGTGAAATTCAGCATACAAACAACTGGATGTATCAAGCTGACGACGTGAGCATCACAGCACCTGGCCCCATTTCCATTTTGACAGGTGTCGTCCAAGTCTCCGATGCCTTTCGAGAGACGTGGTCAACCTGGACTAAGACTGGGGCTGTGGGAATATTAATATGTACGTCGACACTACCCGAATTAAATTATTCTGCGTGACTTACTGTTTTCCGCATATTCCTTCCACGTAGTCCTTCGTTGGACTTGAAGGCGTTGCAGAGCAGGTCCGGCTAGGCAGGGCTAGGTGAGGTCGGGAGATGCGCGTCTATTGGCCGGCGCTTGCCGAGGCGTTCAGTATCGTGCGCTTCGGATTCGGTGGGTGCTGGCAGCCCATTTCATCCTCTCCTCTCTCTGTATCATGATGCTCTGTAATTCGGGACTCCCGGGAACACTTTTTCTCGACTGCGGTAATAGGGGCATGATATCGAAGGTGATATAAGAGCTCACTAGATGTCACGTACAATCTGAACCACCGGTACCGCAGTCGCGGCGGCCATGATATTATTTACCAACTCCGAGTCGGAACTTCTCCAGGCTTCCTGCGCGCGTCCACTCGGTATGCATCAGCGCTCTGGTGAACGCACCCCACGCTTCCCGGAGACACACGCCTGTCAAAGTTCAACATGACTATGGGGTTCGCATCGACGTCCGCACCGGGAGAAGCTGTTGGCGGTGGGCGGCCGCGCGCGTAGACTCTGCATCTGTCGACTGCGCCATATCTGGGGACTGAGATGTTGGCTTCCGAATATTAGTAGTGCTCGGGTACTGTGGGCCCTGCCAGCTTTGACTGCGCCCTCTCTCCGACGTCGTCCACAACGCCACCAAACGATGCGCAGTTTGCGGTTGGCAGCCTCTCAAATCTCTCCACGACGGTTGTCGACGGCCGTGCCACCACCCGCCTCCTCAACCCGCCGCCTCGCCCTCTCGATAGTCGAAGGACCCTCGGAGCCGCTACTCATCTCAAAAACACTCCCCGCCTACTTCCGCGAAGATATCCTGCAAGTCTATGGCGAACGCCCTGCGCTCATTTCACCTCAAGAGCACCCGCGCCCGCACGGGGGCCCACCCTCGCGTCTGATGGGTGATGCGCGATACCTCAGATGGGATTTCGCCGAGTTCGACTGGCACTCCGGGACTTCCAAAATTTTCGGTCCCCCAGAAAGGGTTCCAAAACATGATTGCAGAAATGCAATTTCTGTGAGCGATTCTAGGGACAATAGAAAGATATCGAAAAACGTGCCTAGAAAGTTGACCGAAAGTTAGCTTTTCGCGATTCATTCTCTTACCCATTTAATGACCATTTTGGGTCTCCCGAGAATTTTTTTAATTCTTCCCCTTTTCCGGACCGAGAGAAATTGTACAACTAGCTTCCTTTCTGGGAAGTCTATGACATCCTTTTTCGTAACTGTTTTTGGACGGCCTAAAAGTTATTGTTTCGTGTATACCGGAACAGGAATGTGCGCGCCCGCTCATCGCCCACCCGTCGCCCGCCGTAAGCACGCTCATCGCCCGCTACGAACATTTTTCTCGCCCATCCACAGCACGTGAAAGGGCGCATGCATTCGAGCTGCGACAATGTACAGTAGTCATTACATAGTACAGTAATACATGCAAGGTGCGGTGGTTAACCGGAGGGAATGCGCAGAACGTCCAACAGGAACCTCTCGCTGGCGACTTCGACGGCGCGCTTTACCTTGCGCGCACCTTGGTGGAAAGTGATCTTGTTCCGCCATTCCTTGCCACTGTGCGGTGCGGCGTTTGAGTCCCGAATCGCTTGCAGACGGAGCTGGAACCAGTCCTCGCAGAATTGAGTCCAGTAGCCCACGTTCATCCCGGAGTAGCTCCACTGCGCCGGTCGAGGCCACCATGAGAAATACACCACATCCTTGTGCCCGGAATCTGCAAGCAGTGTTAGATATTGTTGCAGCATGAAGTCAGAAGCTTACATACCCATGATCTTGTACGTGCCGCAGATAATGTCGATCTCTTCTTGCGACAGGCCGTCGTCATAATACGGAGGCCCATGCCGGGGTTGGATGGCCTGGCTGTGAACGAAGACGTCCGTCGAGGGCCCCGTGTTGGCGAGCTGTTGAGGATGCCCTCCGAGGATCTCCATGGCCAAACGCCAGACGATACCACCATGAAGAACCGCTGCGCGTCCCCGAGGCGAGCTGAGAATCTCATATGCGCGAGCCTCATATGCCCGATAATCCCACTCAGTTGGCCTGAATGAGGGCGGGCGCCAACCCAAACACTTTTCCGTCGGCGACATGACACCTCGGGGACGCACATCACGGGGATCAAGTTCATACGCCGTACGGAAAGGAATACCTTTGGAGGAGAGAAAGTCGACGACGGTCCACCGCGACGTGATGGAGTGGCGGCGGTAGAGCTCTACAGCGGTCGCAACATCAACGAGGACGTCGAACCAACAAGGAGCTTCCCCGATATAGTGAACAGCGTAGCGGAGTGTGTCGTTCACATCCCATCTGGTGATCCTCAAGCACGGATGTCGGAACATTGGAAGGTCCAGGTAGCACGACGAACGGGGATCAAGATCCCAGACCTGTCCCGACACAGCGGTGCTGGGGGCCTTCTCCAATACGAGGGCAATGAATGCACTCACCGCGTAGACGGGAAAGTCGGGCACGTCATCTGAAGATGTACTTGCAAGAGGGAGCGCGAAGTGTTTCCTGATGACATTGACCGGGTGCATGGTGTAGGGACTCGCCGAGAAAAGCTCCTGTTCGCTCGGCTGGACTGGGTAAACCCCGTACCGCTTGTAGAACACCGTTTCGTTGTCGTCGAAGGTCAGCTCAAAGAACGAGTGCTCAGCTTCTGCCTGATAGAGCGCACTCAGCTCAGAAGCTACGCTGTCCTTTTGCGCCGAGATCGCCACAGGTTCCGAATAGCGCACGTCCTTCGGGATAGGATCAGGATATCCTGCCGCAAGCGCCTCAAAAGCGTCCTCGGTCATCTCGCCAACGATATCCCATTCGTTGTGCCAGGGGTCGTAGTGCTTGGCTTCATTTGGATACTGGTTCCACACCTCCCCGGCCTTCCCGTGACCGACGAGCGTCCGGAGTGGCATGGAAAGGAGCGAGTAGGGCACGTAGGGATCCGTATCCCCGACGGTCGTCCAGAGGTATATCGTCGTGCCACTACGACGCGTAGGACGCTTGTACGTGGCCGCTTCCGCCTGCCGAGCCAAGCGCAGCTTCTTCCGCTCCTCAGTCTCCTTCTCCAGTATTATCTTGGCCTGAGCAGCACGACGGGCTTGGAAGTCGCTGAACGACTCTCCAGGTCGCTGGCCGGGGCCGTGAGGGATGGTCTGCGGAAGAGCCGTGAACTCATCCGGAACTACGAAGGACCAGGAAGCATCCGAGGCCACGGAGGTCATGGGAGGAGAAGGAGGAAGATCTTCCCAGCGGAAGCTGTTCTGGGGGTTCACGGCTTGAATGCGACCACGGCGATCACGAGAGAGGTACTCGTCATTCGACACATGCACCTCAATGACGTCGGTGGAAGGAGGGCGGTATGGAAGAAGGAAAGGAAAACCCTTGACAATCTTCTCCCAGGTCGTCTGAGGATACTCGTTCGGCAGGACCGGCCAGTAAATATACACAGGAAGGTTCGCTTTGATCATACACGGGACGTGTTGTACCCATTGGGATTGACGCGGTCCATCGGCAGGATCGAAGAACGCCCCGACGCGCAAGCCTGGAGATAAGTCCGGGATGAGGGATTGATCGAGCTCGTCGATCCAGGTGTATGTAACGCCAGCATTGATGAGGATTTGCTGCCAGCGGGGAGGAGCATTGGGCGAAGGGGACGGAAGCAGGTTCGTGAGGGCGATCGCCATGCTACATCGCGCAGCAAGGAGGAAGAGCGCATCGCGGGCCTTCCAGAGGGCGCGCGCAGCAGCGCCATGGGTCTTGTGGTAATGCAGGTATCCTATCTCACGAGGAAAAGGCCAGTGCGCGTCGAGTGGAAATTTCGCTTCCGGGAGGGTGTCCACTGAACGGAAGAGAATGTTGCAGATATACGTAAGACTGTTCTCTAAGCGTGCCCACTGGTCCTGCATCCCGCGCTCTACAGACCATACGCCATCTTTCTCGACGACGGGCAGTTTGCGTGGGTCGAAATTGAGTCGCGCGAAGAAACGGCCATCGGGATGAGAGCTGCGCAGCATGTAAGCCATCTCTGGGCCACGGTTCACAGCCCACAAGGCTTTGCGAAGATCGCGGAGGTCGAGATTGGCTTCTGGATCGGCGACGGGGATCCCAGGTAGCCATTCAACCGGAGAGGGGTTGATGACGGTGTAGATGCGCCCCTCGAACGCGAACCAACGGTGCGATCTGGATGGAATGTCAGCAACCCGAGCCTGACAGCTAGAACCTCTTGAATGGAACTCACGCGGGCTGCGACATCCCGAGGTGTTATAGTGGCCCGAATGTACAGGTCTAACGCGGCAAGTTAGCATACGTTTTATTAGGATGATTAGTTATAAACGTACGCGACGCGGTGCCCAACTGATAAATTTTGCGGATAGAATTGCAGGCGCCGTTGACGAGGGCGAACGCAGATAGGCTACTTGTATACGAGAGGATGAGACCGCGTTGAACGCCAGTCAAGTCCTACAGTAGGAGGGGTGGGGATCGACAAGGAGCTAGGAGGGAACATTAAGTGTCAGAAAGCGACAGCGAGCGCCGCACATACAATACCTATGTGTCAATGCCTTACGCGTAAGCGTACGAGATCTGAGGAGGACAGCAAGAGCGCGTTGAACGCCACTCAAGTGCCAGAGGGTGATTAGAGACCAGAAGGAACGGCGAGAGCGCGTTGAACGCCACTCAAAGCCAGATACTCCAGTCGGTGCGGCGGATTGAGAACTCAAGAGATGTTTCGTAAAGTAGCGCAAGGGCCAAGAAGGTGGTGAGAGCGCAGTAGTGAGGGCAGTGGAGAGACGTGGAATTGGGCCACGACGGGCGCCGATGTTGTGGGCGCTTAGGCATGTGGCAAGCGCTTAGTGACCCTCGCACAGCGGGCGATCTTAAACTTAGACATTCGAAGCAGTGGGCGATCTCATTGCCATGGTCACACATAATATAGTATATTAAAATCAACGCTAGTCAGCTCAAACTACTGGTAATATGATGACTGCCACTCGCCTGCAAGTGGGCCAGTCCGATATAGAATACATGTATGTAGATGTGCTATAAACGCGATCACCGAGTACTACGAGTAATACCCCGGAACGCTTCAAAGATCCAGTCGTACCGGTCGTCGGGGAGAGCGCCAAGAACCGCCTTCCGGTAGGGCGTGAGGTGATCGTACCAATCACGGTCGTAGAAGCTGATAGGAAGCCCGCGCGGCGGGTCTCGTCTGCTTTCATTGAAGCCCGGTACGCTCGTAGCGGGTAGTGTGCCGCGGCCGGAGTACAACCCAGGGATACTTCGCAGCGAATCCGTGACCGCCATAGCGTGGTTGACTTCCTTGGGACGCCAAGGTTGAACTCTCTTGCGACGAACTGTTCTTCCGAGGTTGTCGACGCAGTCATCGTCGGAGCTCATGCACGCGTCTCCTCCAATGTCCAGATATACAGCAACGGCTCGGCGCAAGCGACCTTTGAGACGTCCAGGAGAAGTCTTCTGCTTCTGGCACCTGTCGATGGTAGTAACGCGTCGGGAGTATTTCTAGGACATGTCTATGTTAGATGGTGATGTCCCTCTACAATGAACTCCTAGACTCACGTTGCGGCGATTGACCTGCACCCGCGCCTTCTCTAATGAATCGTCGTACTCCTGGACATTGCGCGCATGGGTAGCCTCAGGTGTCTCTCCCGGCTTTGGCTGCTGCTTCTTCCATCTCTGGAAGCCGCGGTCGAACTTGTCTACCACGAGGCCAAGGAGATAGTCTGTATCGTCCCCCGACCTCCCTCGCATCTCGCACTCGGCGATGAAGTCCCGTAACGCGATTTCGAAGATGGTATTGTTCCACCGGCATGTCTTCCAACCTGGCCCGATGTAGGCACACGTAACGGAACTTGGGCCAGTATTCTGTTCGTTCTCGTATGCCTCCATCTCTTCCTTCGTCGCAGGAACGTATTTGTACCAGTCGATGTCCGTGTCGAGCCCATAGTTCTCGCGGAAGACATGCCGCAGTATAGCCTGCAGAAGGTTGAGTTAACGCGCGATAGCAGTAAGATCTGCACATACCAAGTATTCCTTTCTCTCCTGATCTGTCGGAATAGCCACGTCAATCCGCTCGGGGAGATTTTTCCGTTTGCGGCGTTTCCCCCCTACAAAGGATACCTGGCAATCACAGCCTCTGTCAGGGCGCCGCCCTCCCCTATAGGATGGTTACATACGTGAGTGCCCCTCGCCTTACTCGACCGGGACGGAGCAGCTGGCTCCATGACTACATCTTCTTCGCTGTCGTATACAACAGACGACGCCGGATGCCCTCCCACAGAGCGCCCGCCGCCTCCGAAAGATATCTGTCGTGAATACTACTGTTAGGGTGGCGGTAATCTCTACAACATGGTGAAGATACACACCTGAGCGTACCGATCCTGGGAAGACCGCGGTAGCGGAGCTGACTCGTCATCCATGGATTCATCTGTATCGCCGACATGTAGGATGGATGAAACTTCTATCTCGTCGTCATCCTCGTTCTCTCGGTAATGCGGTGTGGCATGGATATCGTTCACGACATAGTCGTCGTTGCCCTACCGTCACACGAACGTTAGCGATGATATGTAGAGGTAATTGAAACTTACCGAGTCTAAGTCGTCAGCAGAGTCCATGCGATATGGCGCGTTATCGAGCAGAGACGTCGTAGGCTCTCTAGACTTGTCATCCCGCTACAGTTTGTCAGCATCTGCAACAAACATTGTAAGAGAGACCTACCTGTTGCACGGTGGGCGGCTCCCACCGGAAGACGGTACGACGCGGGGCTTCGCGCAGCTCGAGAGGCGAAAGGAACGATCCCGGCATCAGGGCGGCGTAGTCAGTGAACATGATTGCGGGGTAAACTCCAGGATCGCACTGTCGTGCCCCCCCAAAGCCGAAAACTGCAGGCTGTACAGGCTGTACATGCTCAGACGCAATCTACGCATTTTAGTCAACGAGAGTTCATGGTAAGCGTCGTATTACAAACTCACTTTACGCGGTAGACGGGGATACAGCGGATGGTCCACTTCCATAGAAGAGATTGAAGCATGAGAACGAGCAGGAGTGCAATTGGGAAGGCTAGCAGGGTCTCGATCAGCAGGACGAGTAGGAGGACGAGTAGGAGGACGAGTAGGAGGACGAGTCGGAGGACGAGCAGGGGCAGGAACAGGAACAGGAGCAGGAGCAGGAGCAGGAGCAGGAGCAGGAGCAGGAGCAGGAGCAGGAGCAGGAGCAGGAGCAGGAGCAGGAGCAGGAGCAGGAGCAGGAGCAGGAGCAGGAGTAGGAGCAGGAAGACGAGCAGGAGGACGAGCAGGAGGACGAGCAGGAGGACGAGCAGGAGGACGAGTAGGAGGACGAGCAGGAGCTGGAACTGATGGAGCTGGAGCTGGAGCTGGAGCTGGAGCAGGGGAAGGACTAAGGGAAGGACCGGGACTAGAACTCCCGTGGACAGATGGTACCGAGCGCAGTGTTGATGACACCGACGCCTTCTGGGTCGACTCCATCTGACGAATGCGGGCGTGCAGCTTTGCTCTGTCCGCTTCGATCTCGTTACGTGCCTTCTCCATCTCGGTGCGTGCCTTCTCCATCTCGTCGTGTTCCTTGGCTAACAGTTCGCGTCGCTCCTCTAGTTCCTTCAACTTGTCGTCGCACTCCGTGGACCGAGCCTGAAGGGCTGCCTCATGCCGCCTCGTCATCTCATTGAGCTCGAGCATCCCCTTCTCCTGCTCACGGTGGATAGCGTCGCGTTCTTCATGCAAGCGTCGTTCGGCATCCCGGTACCGTTGCTCGTAAGCATCAGCGAGATTCGCGAGCTCGATGTTCCGCTGCTTCTCCAATGAATCGATGAACACCTTTTCCCTCTCGGAACACCGCTTAACGACTTCTTCCTCCAATCCCTGGCGCATAGCGGAGACTTCTTGCTGCAGGTGGATGACATTCGCTTGCAGATCTAAGCGTGCCTGCTGATTCTGCACTAGCTCTGCATTCAGAGCTTCGACCCTCTAAGTTAATGCGGGATGAGTGAAGGACAAGCGGAAAGTTAACATGAAACGTACCGCCCAGAGTCCAGTAGCTTGTTCTCGTAAGGCAGAAGAGGAATCCACCTCGACAATCCGCAACACCGAGCGAACCCCGTTGCTTGTTAGGGGTTCGTCTTCGGTCTATACCAAATGGGAAAGATAAAGCAAATTAGTCAGAGTCCACGCCATGAATACAAGATAGTAAACTTACGTCGTGCCTACGTCTCCGACGGAAGTTATCCGCGTATTGAGCCCGTGGTGTTGCATCACTATCCCCGAGGACGTAGCTGGAGGAAGTATTCGTCGTAGATGTGACATTCAACCCAAGCGTGTTGCCATGGTGGAATGGGTGAGGGAGAGGAGACAACATAGGCGTTCGAGCAGCTTGGGCATGTACGTTCGGCGGTCCTGCGTTTGAGCGACGTATGGATGGCGAAGAAGACGAGTACGATGGTGCAGGGCTCGACTCCGGTACGTCGATGTACGGCGGCACCGGGGTGAGGCTCGGAAGATGCACAGAGCCTTGAGAAACCACTGTCGACATGGCAGGAGTCGGAAGCAGATCGACGGAGGACATGATGTTGGTGAGACCTGACGAAGACGCTTCGCAGGAGTGGAAGGAAGCCGTCGACGATGCTGGGCTAGGCATTGTGCCTTCCGCGGAGAGGCGTGCGTGTGGGCTTAGCATGCCGTCGGGGAGTAAAGAGGGGGTTGTATAGGGGGTAGCGAGTGGAGGAGGGGTGGACTCAGCAGAGAAGTACTCCTCTTCGGATCTGTCGTCTTCGTCCATCACAAAATCTCCTACAGTGACTACAAAGTCTTTCTCAGAGGATTTGGGCCTGCCGGACATGCACTGCAAGACGGCGCACAGTCGGTGCCTGGCCTGCTAAGGGTTGAACAACGAAGGCGAATACAACTAGACCCAAGCCTGCGAGAGGGAAGGAAGGAGGATGGACTAGCGGAATGGACAGACGACGAGAAAGTGTAGATAGATTGCTTGGCCTGCCAAGCTTCGGACGGCGAGGGCGAGTTCAACTACGCCCAAACCTGAGACACGGAAGGAAAGAGCGGAGGTCGACAAGGGGGGTGGAGATATTGACGCGCGCTCTTCCAAAGCGAGTGTTTTAAAGTCGGGAGGATGAGTATACCCGACTCCGAGCGTGTCGTCAGAGGTCTGGATGAGCGCAAGCCGCTCAATGTTCTGGATCTCTCAGCAATCATGCGCCTACCAATTCTGGGCACCCACTGACAATTGTTCGGGGTTGAGCCCCAGGCGATGATACGGGCACATGCTCTCGTCCAGGCTTGACATGGCCGCACGGGATCCCACATTTTTGTCTGCTCGAGGTAGCATCGGCAATAAACAATTGCCAGCATTGTCTCGAGGGCGGAGAGCGTGGATTGTTGACGCTTCTCGAAGTTCGGCCAGGTTATAACTAAAACGTCGCCCGCCGTCGCCCGCTTTCATTATCTTCGCATCCTCTACACCTCTGCGCGCCGGTCGCGTCAATTCCTGCTCGATACGTAACCGTTATTGCTGTACGACTTCTGCACACGTCTACTCGACATGGTTAATTCCCGGTCTTACGTCGTACCTGGATGTCGCGTAAGATTTCAGCTCTACCTCTGTTCTATCGTGGCCGAGACTGAGAGGAATACAGACCACGTACAGACCTCTCCTGTCACGCTTTTACGGCGCAGGGCAGCAGAAATCAAGACCCCTAACCTTGATGGCGCGCTGCGATGGCCACCATCGCTATCCGTTGGTAGAGGGCGTCTTGGACGACATGTCAATTCAACCTTACGTGCACAACTGCTCCGTCTCGGTCCTCCACAAGAACCGCTGGTCCCGGTACATCGTCTTCTTTAAAGTTCACCGTCGTCTTCCTGTCAACCGCGCCGTGTCTCTCGTCGCACGCACGCGTTCTATTCGCGGAGACGTTGTCGTTATGCGCACCGGTGTCGACGGTCGTGTCGTCGGTATGCGCCACGGAGACGCGGTCGTCGCTGATCAAATTGTGACGAGGTGAGTATCTCGTCTTTAACAAAGTATCGCCCCTCTAACTCACGCTTACAGACTGGGTGAAACTATGGTTTCCTCGCGCTACCGCAAGAAGAGGACGATCCCTACAGAGTTGTTGATCGTCACGAGAGTGTCCAAGTCGCGGCGCCAGTGGGAGGCGGAGTTAGGGAGGCGATGCGAGGAGACACCGGCGGTGGTTCGTAGGCGATGAAGTCTGTAGCGAGTGTAGCAGGCGCAGCAGCTCCGGCGAATGTATCCTTCTTGTTACCGTGAGGAGATCGTGACGACGGGATCTTGTGGTCAGCGTTTGACTGTCCTTCGTCGCGAGAATGACCGAGCATGGATGACGGGAAGAGATAGACAAATGGAGAGAGGTGGGCGGAGTGGGAGGGTGGGTGGAATGAGCGGGCGCCGAGGGCACCGAGCGATACCTCTTACGCGAAGGGGATGAGCAGACACCGAGCACCGGCGAAGCGATACTCGGACAGGATCAATTCTTGGTTCCTACATACACAATTCAGACAAGTGAATGCTTTACATAGCCTCATGCCGATACTCTGAGAGGTGTTGAGCGCGTAGGCTTGTTAACGAATGTCGAGAAACGTACGCCATTATCTACGCTGCATGCGTGCCTTCTTCTGCGCCGTCAGAGACACCGCCTCGTGGGCATGCTGGCGGGCCTTCGAGGATGTGTACTTGAGGCGCTGCTTCACTGCGTCGATGAGGGGCCATTCCTGATCGTACATCGCCAGATCGGGGAGACGTTTGATGGCCTACGCAAAAACGTGAGTCGTCGGATCCTACGCAAGCAAACGAGGGCATACCTCATCGCGTACTAGGCGCATTCGCCTTTCCGACTGGCCCGCCATCGAGAGCGTAGGGTCAAGATGTTCGTCAACCAGCTGGTGGATCAAACTCTGTGAAACAAACGTCAGCAGAGTGCGTAAGGCGATAGACACAAGACATACCTTGAACACCCGCATTCGCGCAGTGTTCCATTGTAAGGCGTCCTCCAGCTTGTATCCGCCTCGATTGGGACGGCCGACTTCGCCGGCTGGTTTGGGAATCTTCACGACGTCCTCGCCTGCGGGTTGCTGTTCGTCGTCGGACCCGGAATCGTCCTCGTCTGTGACAGATGACAGAGCCGACGAGTCATCGTCAGAACCCAGATTGTTCTCTACGGGAGCCACGGAACTAGCTCTCGATCGAGCAGGACCGACAGACACTGAACGACGACGCGGAGGCGGAGTCGCGACGCGAACAGTTCGACGGAGAGGTTTGGCCATATCTATGTCTTGTAGGAGGAGAGGAACCATGTCGGGGGAGATGTCATCTATGTCGGTTTCGACTATGAGATGCGGGATGAGGCGGGGAGGAGCACCGGGCTCGAAGAAAGGCGGCACTGGTACAGTAACGATAGGCGCCATGAGTGCACGTGAGGAGGTACAGACGAGGATGAGGAATGAGAGAGCGGGCGACGATAAAAGAGCGGGCGACGATAAAAAAGTGGGCAACGACTGTGGACCGACCAGCGGGCGACGTTTGCAGTTGCAGGGATGGACAGCACACCGTCTGACTGATATGCTAGGCGACTTCAGTGAGGTAGAGGTCGGACGCCGGATCCCAGTGTGACAATAAGGCTCAGGCCGGTGGGATAAGGGAAGCTTCAAAGACAATAAGCACGGACAGTGCCCGCCGGTCGCTACAAGCAGAAGGAACGGCGGGCGCCCTACATCTAAAAGACAATAGGCGTATTGTATTGCATCGCGCAGAAACGTGTCTGCTGACCTCCGGTAATCCCATGCGCCCACAATACGAGCGCCCGCTGTACGAGGTGAAGCGCGACCAAGGATGGATTATATAGCCACGATAGCGCATGAGTGCTCGAACACCGTTCTCCACACCCACTGCCTCTTCCGTCCACTGTAACACCTGTGCTATGTGGTTCACGCTATTCTCTTCGACCAGGGGTCGATACCGTGTGGTCAGCACTCTCCACGGCCATACGAAGGGCGTCTTCTCGCTCGATTTCTCATCAGACGGAAGATATTTGGCCAGCGGGGGTACGTGTTGATCCAATCCCAAGTGTGCACCTGGTCTAACACTAAGGAAGGGGGCGATGGTGTCAGGCTTTGGGATATGAAAACGAACGCTGCAATCCGTACCCCGGAGTATCGCAGTGCCTTCGGTCCGGTCTCGCAAGTCCTATGGATTCCGATCCGCTCAGGGATTCCGACAGTGTGCAGTGGGACCGGACTGGGGTACTTGTGTCTGTGGGCGCAGAATGCAGGTAACGTCAGTAGCCGCATCTCATGCATGAGAACGTAGCTAACCGGACGTAGGGCGCTTTCACGGAGGTCTTCGCCAAACGATTGGGCGGCGGAGCTGAGATCTTGGGGCTCGCGTACGAAACTGTGAGTCCGACGGAGACGCGTATCGCTGTCTCGGACCGAAGTTGTTTCGTGGGGGTGTACTCCTACGACGGTCGGACTGAGTTACTCCCCATCTTCACCACTCGTATCAACAACTCCATCCCTATATCGATCTCCTTCGCGAATGCGAAGGGACGAGAGGTCTATGTTTTCGGACTGCACGACGGTACCATGTGAGTTTTGGTTATTGCCAGCACAGTTTCGCCACACAGCTTACGGTGTCCAGGTACAAACTTTCTGGCACAGATGGGAAGATGATTTCGTCCAGAAATCTGAGCGATAAGATGTGAGTCACTTCTCTGCACGGAAAAGAGAGCATTGCTTACCGTCATCCTAGCGGGCATGCTGCCATCCACGCCAAACAGCAGCTCGTGGTGGTCGACAACGTCGGCAGCGGGTTCGATGTCTGGAACCTGAACGGAGGGACGCACCAGCGCACCTTCCCCACCGGAAAGCCGACTCGCTTTCTACCAAGACAAGTTGGCTTTGCCGATGATGCGAAGGCCATCGTGGGCGGAAGTGATCACGGCGCCGTCTACGTCTTCGATCGCAAGACCGGAGCCCCTCTGGACGTGTTGCGCCATGCTCAGCAAGGCCTAGTGCAGACGATAGCGGTACGTGTGCTTACTACTTCAACGCGAGATGTCGGACGTTCATCGTTTGCCAGACAACCGAACGAGATGGCTACGCTGTGATTGCGAGCGGAACATCCTGCGGGACAGGATTGATCCTGGTGTGGCGCGCGAAGAAAACGGCTATGGCTCCACCAAAGCCACATCTGGCACTCACTCTGGGGAGCGTCGCGCAGTTTTGCATCCAGTTGCTGATGCTAGCGGCCGCCGCTGCTTTCGTCTGGCAAAATCTGGGAGATTGGGTAAGGGGACTGCCCTGTCAGGATTGGAATCTAACTTACCACATCGACATTCAGCCAGAGGTTTCGACATGGGTGCAATCTGTAGAGGCTGCAGCTCGCGGCGCCAAAGTCCCGATGCCGATGGTCGAGGTCGCGCCAAGTCGCCGCGGCGCATACGACGATGCAGTGAATAGCGAACTTATCACCAGTCAGTCCTCGTCGAGCGTCGGGAATGGCCGTGGCGCAACCCGCTGGAAAGAGTGGCGGACTTACGTGGAACCTCACGAAGCAGCGGAGACATTCGCCAGCGACGCATCGCGGCTGCAGAACACGCAGGAGGGGCGTAAGGAGCGGGGGACCTTGAAGTCGCGGGCGACTCTGGACAGCGCCGTCATCGTGTTGTAGGATATTCGCATAATTGAAAGTTCATTGGCATGAGGAGCGAGCGTAGCTCGCGCGCAAGCAATCTGTCGGCATGGAAAGTAAGAGCAGGTCCTGAGGGACGGCAGGAATATACCGGGATCCAGGTTCGTAGTCACCTAACATGCGTTGAAATATTATGCTGATCGCGCTGTGTCGGAGACCTCACCGGTGATAGAGCAAAGAGAACCAAGTCAGCACGAGGGTCTATAAAGTGAGAACGTTCGATTCACCTCAACAGCGCACAAGATTTAACTTTCATTCTAAACGGAGTATGCTAGGTTACTGCCCAGGAGGGTGGTCCAGCAAAGTAGGGAAGTACTCCAGTCGTGGTGCGGGTTGAACCACGCACTGACATGGACCGAAGGTCGAGCGTAGAGTCAGAGCCAGGGATCGACTTCTGCCAACGTACGTCCCTCAGAACGACAGATATGATTCATACTGATATGATGTTGTTCGTGGGCGCCGTCGAGAAAGCAGACTCCGTCACGGTGCGGGTTCAACCACGCACAGACATCGTGATGTTGGTCTTGAGGTTCGTCGTCCAGTTGTTGTCATGGTGCGGGTTCAACCACGCACAGACATTTGATCCGTACTGAGTTAGTCACAAGAACAACTGAGGCGGAGGCGGGGAGGGAGGAAAGGAGCATGGCGGAGAGGAACAAGGGAGCGAGCGAGGACAAGGGAGGGCACGAATGTGGGACAAAGTGAGTGAGCGGGCGCCCCATGGCGGACTCTACGGCTGAGATTTCATGGTCAGCGGGCAGCGAAAATCGTCAATGACGAGAAACGGAGCGCGCGCAGATTTGTAACTCCGGTGGAAACCCAGAACAAAGCCAGTTAGTAAGAAACGATGCTTTAGCGCCCGTTTCGACCCCGGCTGATCGTCCACCAATTCGGTCGTTCGCCAGCCTTGTCCTCGACTCCTCGCCCTGGTTCTTCCCTCCACTTAAAATTCGCCGTCATGGGTTCTTCCTCGCCATACCATCCCCTTTACCTCCTCAAGACGCGTAAGTTCTATCTGCCGTAGCTCTTTTTACTTATCTAACCCATTTGCTTGCGCTCGCAGTGAACTCATTGGCAATCTCACCTCTTTTCAGATCAATATTCTTGGGCGTGGTTAAACCCGCTCTCGACACTATCGGTTACCTCCATTACCACGACGCCGCAAGAACTCCCTCGCTGCGTAAACTTGGGCGTGGTTGAACCCGCTCTCGACGCCCTTCTTGCTCTCCGTCGCTAGGACTCCCATTCCGACACTGCGTAAACTAGGGTGTGGTTGAACCCACTCTCGACGCCTGACTAGTTTGGTTCCAACACTCCGGTGTATCCCTGTGCATTGGTACGTCTAGCATATCTCGTGTGTGTTTAAATCCTGACTTGGACTACAGGTCTTCCCGACGTTGAACTTGCAGCCAATAATTCGACAGAGTTACTAGCACACTCGTGGCTTTGAAGGTCAGTCCTTCCTTGTATACACTGCGATGTCCGTCAGACTTGCTCACGCGAACTTGACCTATAGAACAGTAGTTGCTGTAGGGTGTCCACCGTCCTTTATCCCTGTTTCCATCCCTTTGCCAGCTGTCTACTCAGCGATGTTCGTCAAGTTTTGCACCTGTGCAACCTGCATTGGCGAATCTCGCAGCGCCGCAGGGAAGAGATGGGAACATAGAATGGAGTATAATGGTCATGTAGCTGCGCTGCGCCGTGCACGGTCATCAGAAGAGCCTACTTCAACTCACACCTCACTTGGGAGCCTCCCTTCTGTTCCGTCCGCGGATGAACGGTCGAATGACCTCTTCTTCGCAACCATTGTCGACGACACCCGAGATCCTCGTCATCTTGTGTTAACGTCACGATCAAACATGCAGCCAGAGCCGTCGGCGTTGCCGTCTGAGCCTCTCGATGTGAAAGCCGTCCTTGCCAGCGTTTCTACTATTCGGGCGTCGTTTCCTCCTCGTCCCTCTGCCATCGACAAGCGAGAAGCAAATCACAAGACCACCGTCGCGGCCGCGCAGCTCTCTCGTATCGAGGAACAGCTGCAGGCATTGCGCATCTCCCTCGCGTCGCCTTCGAAGGACACTTTGCTCGATGCGGAGCGTACTTTCAGCGAGCTTCTCGAAGTCTTCGGCTCAATACGACGCACCACCTCTTCCCTTGAGCAGCGCAAAAAGTCCGTCGGCGACTATCTTGAGCGAGTTCAGGCTCGTATCTTTGAACTTCGGAATCTGTACCCGAAGGACATGGACTCCGAGCCGATGTTTCATGATGCCAGTAAGTCGCACGTCGTCATATCCCTCTGCGTATGCTGAACATATTGTAGGTAACCATTACGAAGTGCCCGCGGACCAGTACCACGTTGTGGCGCAGATTGCGATGTTTCTAGGGATATCCTTGAATGTCCTCGGGAAGTTGAGCCGCGCCGGGAGCGAATTCCTTCTCTGCGGCATGTCCCTCCTTGTCGGAGTATCGTTCGAGTCGTCTTCCTCGTCCTCATCCGATTTGACTCCCGAGCAAGAGAGTATCCTCGCCCAAATCCCTTGTACTCTCAAGGCAGCTCTAGAGCGATTCAATCTATCTGCTAAGACGACCACCTACGCCGCCTGCACCGAATGCCACTTCGTATACGACCCGATCGTCGATGTCCGCACTGGGGCTTACACATATCCGAAGCGATGTACGAATATCCCTAAACCGGGTGCGACGCAATGCGGAGAGCTCCTACTTGATCCCACGGAGGCAAGGCCCAAACGACCGTATGTCGTCCACGACTTCAACGACTACGTGAGCGGAGTGTTATCCTCGGAGATGAACGTGAGGTACCTGGAGGCCTCATGCAAGCGCGCCCTCGCCGCCATCAAGGACAATGCCCCTGTAGACGAAGTGTCTGATATCTATCAGGCCGAGTTCGTTCGGACTTTCATGCATGATGGGGAACGCAGAGTATTGTTCATCGACGGGAAGAACGAGTACCATCTCCTCTTCGCACTCCATGTAGACTCGTTCAACATCGAAGGATTACGACTGCGTGGGGCGACATCTTCCGCCACTGTCATCTCCATGGCCCCTCTCTTCCTTCCAGTCGAGATCCGCTACAAGGCAGAGAACATGTATCTTGCGGCCATCATCCCTGGTCCCTGCGAACCGTCCCTTGAAGCGCTCAACTACTATCTTCGCCCCATAATGGATGCGCTTGTGATCTCTTGGGAACGAGGAGTCTATCACTCTCGCGTTGCGACGAAGGCCGGCGGGTGTGTCTCTCGATCGGCGGTTGCTGCTGCGGTCATGGACCTGGTCGCTGCTCGCAAAACCTCCCAGCTTGCGTCTCATTCGGCTCACATATATTGCACTGTCTGCACTTGTTCTACTTTGAACACCCGGGGTCGTACGGACTACCAGAATTGGACACGCCGAGATCCGGCTGAAATGCGCAAACAGGCGGAGAGTTGGAGGGACGCTGCAAGCAACGCCGAACGAGAGAAGCTATTCCAGCTTCACGGAGTGCGATGGTCGGAGCTCTGGCGACTACCCTACTGGGACCCCACTCGTCAGCTCGTGGTGGACTCGATGCATTGCATCTTCGAAGGGCTCGTCCCATATCATTTCCGCGAGCTTCTCGGTCTTACTGCTGCTAACGCGAATGCGAGGGTTGAGTCACAACCAGCTTTTGCGCAGACGTTCGTCGCCGTCGACGTTGAGGCCAACGGCCAGCTGGATATCAAGGACGAGAGGAAGCTGTCGGACAAGGCGATCAAAGATGTTCAAGCCATCCATCGCGCTCTCTGTCTTCCTGTTGACGGCGATGCGGAGGCCGGCCTGAAGAAGCTCCACAAAGCACTCAGCGGGAAGAACCTGAAGGCCCTGCAATTTGTAGGCACCAGTCTCAACGTTCCGCATGCGAAGCCGAAGATGTACAGGAGTGATTGGGCTGACGGCTTAGTGGAATGGGTGAGTATACATCTGATCTCAATTGTACATTGTGGCCGGTGTTGATACTGGTTTCAGCGACGCCGCAAGCCTCTCTCTTCAAGCGGTCCGCCAGCTGAGAAGCTATCCACCCCCGAAGTTATCGCGCGGATTCAAGAAGTCATTCGGGATGCCGCAACTCCTTCCTGGTTGAGTTCTGTGCCCAAGAATTTCGGTGAGGCCAGGGCGGGTACACTCAAGGCCGACGAATGGCGAATCCTCTGCACAGTCTATCTCCCTCTTGCACTGGTTAGCTTGTGGGGATCAGGAGCAACGTATGCGGCGTCACGCGATGCCGAGTTCCTCCTTAAGGTCCTCGATAATACTATGATGCTCGTTTCCGCCGTCCTCGTTCTGTGCAAAAGAACGATGTCCAGCCGCCGAGCTCGGAAGTACCGCGAATACCTCGCCAGGTGGCTAGATGGAGTGCAAAAACTTCATCCAGAGCGGTACTCTGATCGCACCAACAACCACATGGCCTTCCACATCTTCGACTTCCTCAAGCTCTTCGGCCCCGTATATTCCTGGTGGTGCTTCCCTTTCGAGCGACTGATCGGACATCTACAACGGCTGCCGCATAATGACAAGTGCGGTGAGTATGAAGTGCTCTGTAATCTATCACCCACTGACAGCCACTCTTTGTTGGACAGGCGAAGCAGAGGCGACCATGCTCACTTCCTATCTGAGAGCTTCCAAGCTGCGAAGGTGGTTCCAGCGTCCGGATTGTCCGCCTGCCCTCCGTCAAGTCAAGTGCTTTTTCGACAAAGCGTTTGGGACCGGGAATTTTGTTCACTCAGAGGAGGCGCTTGAAGCTGAGGAGAACGTCGAGGTTTCCCGGCACCGCCCTCCAGTTCCCGAGGATCTCAAGAGTCTCTTGACATATGCCGAGTGCAAGAGGGTTATTGTTCTCGCCAGGTGCAAACATGACGGCTTCGTGTTCGCCAGATCGACTACACATCTTGGCAACAGCCTTGTTCGGTACTATGCGAAGGACAGAACTGCGCAGTACGGCTGTATCAAGTACATTTACAACGTCGACGGTCGCATCCAGCTAGTCGTGCAGCGGCACCTGCCCGCGAAAGGTGGAGACCCATTTGAGCGTTATGCGGACTTCCCGGCCACCGTCAAATCCCCCGAACTCTCTCCCCGCCTGGAATGTATCCCGCTCGGGCATGTCATTTGCCATTTTGCACGTTGGACAATGCCGTCCGGCGATGTCGCTGTAGTGCCGTTGTACAAGGTATGTAAGTTGTCCACCTCGCGCCAGAAACAGCCTCACAGGATGATTGATTACAGGACTAAGTATGTTTTGGTTATGATAGATTTTTGGTTCACGAGTCTGAGTCATGACTATGTCCACCTCGACGCGTATTGTCGACTCTAGAGGTGAGTGGACGGAATGATATGCGCGAATGTACCGCCAGTCGCTAGTTCTCGATGATGCCTTAACCGCAGGTGTCCACGAGCACTTTCTCCTCTGGCCGCTCTCGAAGAAGTCGACATCATCCACGCTAAGCTCAGTGGTCGAGCGAACGCAGGACCGACGCTCGTGATGCGCGGGGGCACCCCACGGACACGAACCTGCCGACGATCGGGGCGCCTCCGTGTCTTCTCCTGACCGCGCCCGTCGCCCTCCGCTCCTCGTTCCTCGCTATTCGCGCTGCGCTCAGCTGAAGACCTCTTGCCATCATGTTCTTTGCTCCCATCTTACGTTTGTCACGTCATTGGCGTTGTAGCCGATCTTCTCAGCGCTTTTACATTGCGTTACTGTACCTTTTCCTGACTTGTTCCTTGCGCTTGCCCGCCCTCCCACACGCCTAGGCCTTCTGCGCTTGGCTCGGGCAGGTCGCTGACCTAGCGACCCGTCTGGTTATATAGTCAGCAGCAGGTCCTTGGTCCTCCAGAGATTCGCGCACCTGCCATGAAAGCTCCCGTCGTCGCCGCTCCACCTCTCAACCCCCCTTCCGTCCTTGTGTTAGGCTACACTCGAGGGCGCGGCCTCGACCTCCTCCCGAACACGTACTGCATCACCCCCGTGTACACCAAGAAGATCGGCGTCGGGGATCGCCTGCGCATGCTGGTCCTCAATCGCGACGACAACTCCATCCTCTCCCAAATCACCGTGACCTTGACGGCAATCCGGCTTCGAGGAGCCGATGTAACAGAGTTTCGAGGCGAATGCGTCCAGCTCCCTCTTAACCTCGTCTACGTTCAGGCTCCTACGTACCACGCCCGCGTCAGCCGGTTCGCGCTCTGGGACCTTCTGCGGGGTCGGCTCTCACTTACCGACCCCATCCCCCGATGGCACAACTTTGAAGTGAACGTCGTTCACTTCCCGCTACCCACGCCGGTCAGCGACGAAGACTACTCGCCCAAGATCGAGGTGCGGGTTAGTGTCGACGCCTGCGTATCAGACAATTAGGGCAAGTGTAACACCGCTTTGTGGGTGAGTTTTGGCGTTCACCGAGGCTGTTGCCTCGGTACAGATAGTGCATGTGCTGATCATTCCGCAGGGCATACCCTCACGCTGGAGTCACATCCGGGCGAGCCGTCTACTAGATGCCTGCATTCAATCCACATCCCCGGCTGTTGCGGCAGTCCTCACGCTCAACCTTACGCCCCCCCTTCCTTTGGTTTTTCTTATCCTTCCTTCCCGGCAGGCCGGAGACGAGTGGTTCCGCACCGGAGGGCCCTACCGCGCGGTCGGCGGTCGAGAGCCTTCGCCCACCTTCCTCTTGCCTACCATATCTCGTCCACAGCTTCCCATACTGTCATGTACCCCTGCGCCCATGCTATGTATTGCTCGCCTCTGTCGCCTACAAAGTGTGAAGTCTACGCCACAAGATGCATAGCAGCGGGCGCGTTGAGATCTATGACGTGTGACCTATGTGTAGTAGTTGGTGTTGAGTCCCTCGGCAGAAAGCCAAACACGACAACGTACCTACGTGTGTTGTGCCATGCCTCCCGAATGCAGCCTGCACCGTCTCTGTGGAGACGATTCTTCGGGGCGCCCATCCTTCAATACGTCCACGTTTGTAATACGACGTGGTCAGACTATCGCCAAGCCTTTTTATAGCGTTCTCGCGACTGGTTGCACTATCGTCCTTGCGGAACGCGGTGGCGACGACGAGGAGATCCCGCGATCAACGCAGCGGAGATCGATAAGTTCGTATCATGCTAGAGGGCAGTCCTGGCGTTGGGAAGACCAGTCTCGTCACCGCTCTAGCCAACATGTGTGACCATCATCTGTGCCGTGCCAGCCTCTCCGACCAGACCGATCTTGTTGATCCGTTAGGCTCGGATCTGCCAGTCGAGGGAGGTGAACCAGGACAGTTTGCAAGGAAGGATGCGGAGTTCTGGCGCGCCCTGCAGGAGGGTTACTGGGTTCTCTTGGACGAGATGAACTTGGCACCACAGTCCGTTTGAAGGGGCGGAACGTCGTCCTCGACCATTGCGGCGCGGTCCGGAGCTCGGTCGATCCTTCGTTCGTCGCCCGTCCTTCCGCATTTTCGCGGCGCAGAATTCCCTTCATCAAGGTGGAGGTCGAAAAGGCTTGCCTAAGTCTTTCCTCGATCGTTTCACCCAGGTTCACGTCCACGAGATGTCATCCGCGGACTTACTCCTTATCTGTCGGAACCTCTTCCCGAACTATCCTCCCGCTCTCCTGAAGGAGATGATCGCATACATGAATGTATTGAATGAGGAGATCGTGGTCAAGCGGTCGTTTACCCGACAAGGGGCGCCTTGAGAGTTCAATCTTCGGGACGTCATCAGGTGGACCACACTGTTATGCGATTCCCATTCGCCTGCGCATCCGTCTCAGCACCTATCTTCCACCGTCCTCCAGCGGTTCGGGACACCGGAGGACCGCACCCATGCACGCAAGCTCTTCTCCGACATCTTCTCTGAGCAATACGACATCGATCGCCCTCCTATCACTGTCATCCCGTCCCATCTTCGGGTAGGACACCATCGTTCGAGGCGAACAGGCCGTCTTTCCACCTCCCGCAGCGGGTGTATTCTTCAAGAGTCCCAGTCACTCATCCCAAACACCGTGTGATATGTTACTCGCGCAGGTGAGTAGTGTACATATAAGTCGTCGACAACGCTCATATCACATCGTATGCGGCTGGAACTCTTGCGGTGTTTTCTTTGAATCGAATAACGCTGTCCCACCGCAATACCTCCGTCTGTACGCTGCGACGATCTCGGACTATGATGGCCATGCCTATGTGGAGTATCGGTCAGCACTCGGTCGTGCTAAGGGGTGTGATGAGGTTCGCCTTGAAAAGAAGGCAGCGGCGTCCTCCAATGGCCAATGCCACAAGCTCTCGCTCTCGCAGTTACTTTCCGCTCGCGAGAATCAAGAGCGGGGCGTGGCGCTCTGAGGGATTCTTTTGCGCCGTTCACGGGTTCCTCAGGAGGATGTCGGCTCATTACTGAGTACAGTCGTATCGCCGGATGGCGTCCAGCCATCGTATAGCGAATTCGACAACATTAATTACCTACAGCTTTCTCGCGCTGCTTTAGCCCTCTCTCAACCTCCACCCTCCACCCTCCATCTTCCATCCTCAATCCTCCATCCTACATCCTCCTACCCTCTCATCTCGCATCTTTACATCCTCACTGCGCCATCATCACTTCTCTGCACGAGCTCTCATGGCACGAACCGTCACTCGGCGATGCATCCCACCGAATCTCAGGGCTGAACGCCGCGGTATGTTGAACTTTGCCGTGCGCGAGAAGTACGTCTTCACGAGTTTTGAACAGCTGCATTCAAGAATGGCAAATGGCCGTCTGAGGAGGAGTACGAGGCGCTGTTCAACAAGATTTACAATGCCGGGTGCCGCTGGTACACGCGCAAGGTCCACCACAACTTTCGAAGTCGTCAGCGCAACAATACTCGCGCGCCCGCGCTTCCCTTGACTATGGGACGCGACTTAAATGAATCGCCCACGCCCGCGCCGATTGACGATCAACCCGCCGGCAGGCATACTATCGAAGTGGGTGGTTCCGGTATGGGCAACGACTCGGACGTACCGCCCATGTCCGCGGTCAACGACGACCACGCCACTGTGATCCCCACCACCGAATCCTCTCCTTCCGTTGCCGGTACCCTCGACGCTGCCGGAATCGCCGACATCATGCTCGCCTTGAACGGCTGTAGCCCAGCCATCCACGGAGAAATCCAAGGCGCGCAGAACCCGACCGCCGCGCACTTCAGGCAATGGGCCTCTAGTTCAAACGTGCCCGCCGTCGCGGTTTTTCGTCTTTGGGAGGTCATACATCCAATCGCCGAGTAGCTACATAGTGATGTACATGTAGGAACTTCACCGGCGCGCGCCCGAGTTGCGAAACAGTGCGCCGAGGGCGGGCGACGAGTGGGCGACGAGTGGGCACTGGACTACTATAATATCCTTTTCTATGACAACACTTTCAATAGAACCTGAAAAGCGAATTTCCGAGGTTCACGGGCTTCGATTTTCGCGAGTCCCGATAATGCCGGATATAATATGTTTTTTCCGTTCCCAGAAAAATCGAACTTTGGGACATTTTTCCATGCCACCTTGAAAAGGAAATTCTCCTATCCCCAGAATGGGTACCGAAAAGCGAACTTTTGGTAAACTTTCTAGGTTTCATTTTTGTGGCCCTTGTAAAAGCATACAGAATATGTATTTCTACTATCGCATTTTGTAACCATTTCTAGGGGACCGAAAATTTTCGAAGTCCCGGAGTGTGGCATATCCAGGCCCTTGCGCGCGGCCTTCTTGGCTTGGGCGTCAAGAAGGGCGATAGGGTGGGAGTGATCATGGGCAATAATAGGTGCGCGGAGACCCAGTGGGAAGGTAAGTTGCGGAGGAAGTAAGCTTACATTGCGAATAGTGCATATGCGTGCCTGCAGTGGGCGTGCGCCAGTATAGGTGCCATCCTCGTGACGCTGAACCCCGCGTATCGGCTGCCAGAACTGGTATGTATATTTTCGTGAACCTCCGCGAGCAATAACTGATCATGATGCATATGCGGGTAGCTCGGGACCCTAAACCTCGTTGGCGTGAGCCACCTCTTCGTGTCCCCGCGTATTCGCGCCTCCGCACATGTTCGCATGCTATGCGATGCATTCCCGGCACTCGCGAGCTCGTCTCCGGGCGATATTCAGGAGCCCGCGCTGCCCCACCTACGACATTTAGTCGTGGTAGACAACGTCGGAGTGCGCGACCAGTTCGAGCGTGAGATAGAGGGCGCAAAGCCTGCAGTGGACTTTCGTGAAGTCATGTTATGGAGGGAGGACACAGAAGAGCGTAGACGAGTGGAAGACATTGCAGCTGGGCTCGATGTGCACGATATAATCAACTTGCAGTTCACAAGGTATGTGATTTCAACAAGGGTCGTAGTGCCCTTGTATCGACACTCTCCTCTGTAGTGGGACCACCGGCTTGCCGAAGGCCGCATCTGTACGTGTTCGTTTCATTAAGTTCGCAGGCATACAAACCAACAGAATCACGCTTGCAGCTTACACACTACAACTTGCTCAACAACGCCCTGTCAATCGGTCGTTGCATGCACTTCACCCCGTCAGATATATTATGTAAGGACAGTATGCACTCGGCGATCCCTCCAAGTCTGACTTTGCGCCGCAGGCAACGTGCCACCTCTTTTTCATTGCATGGATAAGTCGATCTGGACCCGCACTGTGTTTCTCTCATGACTAACCTCGTTGCGCAACATACGCCTCGTTATAGGAAACCTTGCCGCTTGGACACATGGAGCATGCATCGTCTACGCATCCGAGGTATACGACCCCTCTGCGATTGTGGATGCTATCACTCAGGAGAGGTGCACCGCCCTCCACGGCGTGCCTACGCATCTGCTCGGCGTGCTCGGCGAAGCACAGAAGCGCAGAGAGGAGGGCAAGGTGGTCGACACTAGTTGCCTGCGGTATGTGCAACTTTTGTGTATCGCACAGAGGCTGCAAAGCTCTGATCACTGTGGGCTGCAGAACGGGCGTTGCTGCGGGATCTCCGGTCCCAATTGAGCTGATGAAGCAGCTTTCGCAAAAACTGCATTTGACAGAGCTGACAGTGGCCTACGGCATGAGTACGTGCGGTCCGTTCATCTTATTGCTGTTCCAAACTGACCTAACACTTTTCGCCCTAGCGGAATTCAGGTAGGCTTCCATACTCGCGTCGACCAAGTAGCTGTAATTAACCCAGCATCTTGCGAAGTCCCGTCGCGTTCCAGACCACGCCGGACGATCCCGTTGACAAACGTGAAGAGACGGTGGGCAGAATATTTCCTCACGCCAAGGCGAAGGTAGTAGATCCCGAAGGGCGGACCGTTCCGGTCGGTACGCCTGGGGAAGTCCTCGTCGCTGGGTATCTCTTGCAAAAAGGGTCAGTTTCTCGCGTGACATGCATACCGTAAAGGCACTGAATGATCTTTAAGGTACTATAACGACCCCGAGCAGACCGCCCTTGCGATGCAAGCGGACGAGGAAGGAGTTGTTTGGATGCGGTCAGGAGACGAAGGCATTATGGACGAAGAGGGGTACCTGAGGAGTGAGTCGAAGCTCCAACTTTATAGTTCCGACATCCGCTGACCCTCGCGCCCTCAGTCGTTGGACGGATCAAGGATATCATTATCCGCGGCGGAGAGGTGGGCGAGCCCGGTGGCTCTTGTCCTTTGCGTCTCGATGCTGAGCTCTCCACAGAACCTCTTCCCCGTACAGATCGAGAATCTCTTGACCGCCCAACCCCATATTCGCGAAGCGGTGGTGGTCTCCGTCCCCGATCCGAAGTACGGCGAAGTCGTGGGGGCATGGATTTCGCGCGAGCCACACATGGATCCCATCTCCAAGGACGCAGTTCGCCGTATCGTGGCAGAAGGAATGAATCCCCAGGTACGTGCTCGGAGTTCGGATCTCCTGTGTTCGGGACCGTGTGGGAACACGCGTTGTCGACGGGAAACGGAGTACCTCTCCATTGCTGCTATGGCAGTTACTGATCTTACCCAATCTGCTGCATTAGAACTCGCCGGCGTGGGTGTGGTTCATTGGGGAGGACGGAGTGCCGGAGGGATTCCCGAAGACGGCGAGCGGGAAGATACAGAAGCACATTTTGCGGGCCTGGTCTAAGGAACTAGCACAGAAGGGAGTTGGTCGTACGTCTTCTGACGGGCGATAGTCCTTGAATGTACGCGCGCGAGGCTTGGTAACGCCGTAATGGACGGCTGAGGTTCATCAAGCTAGATTCAGATTTCCAGTAGCAGCGTTCCAAACGTTATGCGGCACGAACAAGTAGCATTCAGAACAGTCAAGGAAGTGATATTAGTTCAAATTGGTTCGCTGAAGGTGATAAGAGGCCAATATTCAAATTCGGTGTGGCGAGAGACGGAGTTGTTGGTGGTCGCGACAAGACAATAAGCTGAGGCCGAGCCAATTAGCGCCCAATTCGCTCTTCCTCGAACCACCACCACCGTATGCACAGGCTCTCATTCCGAATCGCAAACATCTTTCAGACACGCGGGATTCCTCAAGCAAAAGTCACAATCCACAGACAAATTACAGCAGCGCAAATGTCCACCAATACGTCACCTAGCGCTACGCGGGCTTTTCCTCCGCTCTACAAATCTTCCGGGGTTGCCTCTGAGGACAGACTCGCTTTTTTCCACATCTTGGAAAGGCTCAAGGTATGCTATGCCCTCTGTGAGTATCCTTTGTGCACGTTCACACTCAACGACGTCAAAGACACAGAAGAGGACGGGATGGGTGGATCACAACGTACGAAGATACCGCATTTCATGGCATGCAGTCGCTGACGGACAGTTGTCCAGTAGGTTCCTTCACCCGAAAGGTCAGACCACTCCTGCGATAGTGCATTTTTCCCAATTAAATGCGACGACTTGCCGTCGTTAGCATCTCCGACCACATGTACCGCATGGCTGTCCTTGCGATGTGTACATCCGACTCCGACCTCGACGTCCCTAAGTAAATACGTCTATCAGGGGAATCGCGTTCCTTTTTGATGAGCGCGACATGTAGGTGTGTCATGATGGCGATAGTTCACGACCTAGCGGAGGCCCAGGGTACAGTACTTAACCGCTCGGGTTTGATTTTGAATGCTCACTTTCTCCAGTGGGAGACATCGCGCCACGCGAAGGCATCCCTAAGTCCGAGAAGCGACGTCTGGAAGCTGTGAGTGTATAGGAGCTTTTGAGGTCTTGTATACTGAACGCGAGCTCTAGGAAGCTATGCATAACTTCGTACACGAGATGCTGCACAACAGTCCTGCCGCTCAGCGAATTGAGGCGCTGTGGCAGGTATGCCCGGTCCGGCCCAACTTGCCATCTTCACTAACAGAAAGATACTTTCTCAGGAGTACGAAGTGGGTGAAAGCAAAGAGGCTAAATTCGTCAAGGGTACGCACACTTGAATTCTGATCTCACTTGTGGTGCGCAGTTCTGATGGACGCCGAAGACCTCGATAGGTTCGAGATGGCCTGTCAAGGTAGGTCATGACAGCTCGTTTGGGGTGCGTAACACTCATCAGCATCACTTGGTCTTCTAGCATCAGAGTATGAGCGCAACCATGGGATGCAGACTTTGCAGCCCTTCTTCGATAGCAGTCTTCCTCTTATCAGACATCCAGAAGTGCAGGGATGGGGACAGGCCCTCGCAACGGAACGGCAGCACTCGCAATCGAAACACGACGAAACGTCCTCTTCATAGAGCTACTCTACATTTTGGGTATACATCGACCAGACGGCGAAGCTTTTACAACAACAGGTCTTTGGGGCGAGCTCGAAATAACAGAATAACTTACACAGTCCGAGGTGGAGTGCCTACATCATGTCAATCCACATGCTGACCCGCTTCAGCGTATCGGTGCGCTCTGGCTCATGCCATGTGAACACGACGAAGTCGTGTACGGCATCGGGGGAGATGTCGGCGATGACCTTGACCCCGTCCGCTCGCATCATCTCGATGAGCGCCGTCGAGTCGTCCATCAGGCGTTCCGGTGCACCAGCGACGACGTACGTCTCCGGGAACCCTTGGAACAGACCCCCCTCCGATTTCACGTGCAGCGACACGGGCGAGAGGTAACGGTTCGTCCGCGCCACCTCGAAGTCCATCGGCCCAAGGAGGGAGACGACCGCGTACTCCTCGAAGAGCTCTCCGGGCTTCAGCTGGAAGATGTCGGTCGTTGCGCTGAGCGTGGCAGACGAAGTCGGGCCATGACGGGACATCGACAGGTCCAGCCACGGGGACACCGCGAGAATGTGCCCTGGCGGCGGAAGACTCGGGATAGGGTTTTCGATGAGGTACCGCGCAAGTCCGATGGCGAGGTTCCCACCCGCGGAATCCCCGGCGACAGTGATGTTCTGCGGCTCGAAGCCCGCCTCCTGGACGAGGTAGCGGTATCCCGCGATCGTGTCAAGGAGTGCGGTGGGGAAGGGGTTCGCGACCGGGTTGGGCGCAGACGAGGTCAGTCGGTAGTCGATGGCGAACGTGCGGTCGAGCGAGTGTGAGTGCTTCAGGATTCCACGCGTGAAGTTCGCCGTGACGTCTGACGGGTTTGCAGTGCCGATCTATAGAGAAAGAAAGGGCGTCGTCAGATCAGACGCGTCGAGGGGAGCGCAGCGGCGCAGCTTACGCGGAACCCGCCGCCGTGCATGTGCAGCACCGTCTTCTCGCCCGGCTTCGCCCTGGGCCCGGTCCAGGGCGCGCCCTGCTTGAGCAGCCAGTAGCCTGCTATGCGGGCGGGCTCTGCGCCAGTGATCTCGGCGACGCGGCGGACCTCGCCGCAGAGCAGCTTGTCGGGAAGCGGTGCGACCCAAGTGAACTTCGCGTCTGTCAGCTCGCTATCGGCCACCTCGACTACTGGGGCAGGTTGGCCACGGACGTCGACCTTGAGCGTCCAGAGCTCCTGCAGCGTGCGCACGATGAGACTGCGTCCGAGCGTCCAGGCGGTGCGCGGCCTCCGCGAGCGCGGGAGGTAGTTGAGGGTCCATACGGGGAGTTTGATGAGGAGAAGAATGAGTGTGAAGAGAAGGAGGTAGATGGCCTTCAATGGCTGGTACTCGAGAATGTTGGTCATCGCTCGGTGTCGATCTGGAGGTCTGCCTGTCTGCGGAAGGCGGGGTAGGAGGAGACGGGGTCAGGTATCGTTCCTTCTCTCAGCTCCCCCCGGGGCTTTTGATCCTACCGCTGATCACGGCATACGGAGTATGGCACACGGAGAACACTCCTGCATTCGCAGGACTCGTTGGCAGAACGCGCGCAAACCCCTTCGACAGTGCACATTCCAATGCAATGGCGCTATAGATAGATCAGTTGTAGAAGACGCGGTTCTGATGATAGATGGTGGAGGAGTCCACGTCAGATGATGGCTCCTTAGAGGGTGGGTAAGTAGATACCACGGCCAGGGGTGGCACCATCCTAATCCTTTCACTCCGCTCAGCTTCGCGCCCACAGTTGCATATGTAATGCATGTAATGCATGTGCGCACCGGAGACCGCGCTGGCAGCAACCCGGCGCCAAGACGCCATACTGCCTGGCGTGACGGGGAACCCAAACACGAGCTACGAACGCGCAGTGGACTTTGCTCTGGTGGAACGTCCACGGTGGAAAATCTCGAAAACGGCGAACGCGCTGGCGATTGCAACCGCGGAAGCAGAAGCACTCGTCGGTGGGGCCGGGAGCATTGATGACCTCCGTTCGCCTGGTAACCCAGGCACGGCGTTCCAGAAGCCCTCCAGCAGTTAACACAGTCGGGCCCGAACACGGCACGCTCATTGAGCAAAATTTGGCAATTCAATCCTCGACATGCGGTACCCTCCCGCGGCGTTCTCATCTCTTCAGCCCGCCCCGCCGCCGCCGGGGGAGAGGTCACCGACGTTCCGTGCGTATGTACATCTGTCTTGTAAATCCAATGTCGAGCAGGAAAATCATACGCTGATGTGTGCCTGCAGCAGCGCGACGGCCTCCCTGGAGCGCGGCACGATCGTGCACATGAAAGGTGCTGGGCGGCTACTCGGTCCATGGCCCACGGAGGACGGAAGGCGGGACGGAGGGAACGGAGGTATTGGTGAGCACTTCGCACTTCTAGCTGCAGATACGCTCGCGCGATGCGCACCTCGTATAACCCGAAACGAACTCCGCAGGGGGCGTGACCTCGCGCCCCGCGCTGTCCACGGGCTTGCGGACGTCGAAGAGCGCAATGATGTGCGCGATAGCGAGCCAAACGCTCGCGGACGCAAATGCTTGGCCTGGGCAGACCCTGCGCAGGGTAAATGAATGTCACATGAGATACAGGTAGGGCGCAGCTACGGAGGGCGCGAGAGCTCACCTGCGCCCGAAACCGAAGATGAAGCTGCTGGGGAGGAGCTTCCCGCTGGCCTCGCCGCCGAGGTGGCGCTCGGGGCGGAACTCCTCAGGCTCCGGGTAGTAGCGCGTATCGCGGGACATGGCCCTGCGCAAGAGCGGTCAGCCGACGTTCACTGCTGCGCTGGGAGAACATGCGCGACGACTTGCCAGACGTTGGGGATCACCATGCAGCCTCCTGGGATGTCGTACTCGCGGTAGCGGTCGTCCTCCGTGTTGCGGTGGGGTACACCTGTAGGGACGTTGAGCACGGGAACATGTTTAGATCGCGCGCGTGTGCTCACCCAAGGGCAACGCGGGCTTCCAACTGCGACGGGAGTGAATAGTGTGAGATGTGTCTCACCTCTGCGCCAGGAAACACACGCTTACCGGAAAACCTCTTCTAGCAGCGCATCGAGATATGGCAGCGACTCGCGGTCGCTGAAGTCCGGAAGCCGCTCGCGGCCGACGACTCTATCTATCTCTTCTTGGGCTTTCTTGTACACGTCGGTGTTCCTTACCATGGCGAGGAAGAACACGGCCAGGGTTCCGCGGCTCGTCTCGACTCCAGCTACGCGCAAGCAGAGCACTTAGGTGAGCCGTCCGGTCTAAGGGACATCTGGCTATGTAATACTCACCTCCATAGACATTGAACGCAACGTACTTGATGTCATGCGCCTCAGCAGGCGTGGGCGCCTCGCCGTGTTCTTCCAGCACCGTGGTCATGATGCACGGAGCTACTGTTCCCGCCGCCTAGTGCGCGATGGTGAGCATTGTCGGGGTAAGTCGAAGGCATGGGGCGGAGAGCGCACCATTGCAGACACGACCGCGTCGTAGCCCTTGTTCAGCCATTCCCTAATTTGGCCGCGGACGATCAGAGAGTGTTTCTTGAAGCGTATGCCTGGAGTCCACGCGGGTATGTGCCGTACTATGTTCGGGCGCTCAGCTTCTCGAAGTATAGGACTCAGCAGGTCATGACTCACGCCACGGCAGGAAGTCGACGGGGACAGCGCCCGGCCTCCCCGCTTCGTTCGCGCCGATTATAGCGCGATCGGCGAGGCGGACCAGCTCGTCATCGAGGGACTTGACGGGCATGCCGTACGCGATCTCCAGTAGTATGGAGGCGAGGTAGCTAACACGATCCAAGAGCCAATTTGTCAGTATCAAGACACGGACAGGCAACGGAGCGCGCACGTACAGGTGGACGTGGTCGGTGAACTTCTCTGGCTGCTGGTACAGATTCTGCATGAAGTTCAGCACCTCCCGGCGCTGGATGTGTCGGTAGCCCTCGAGCGTGGACTTCTTGCCCATAAAATCCGCCATCCACCGCCGGTGCTTTCGGTACAGGTCGCCATACGGGAGGCTGCCTAAAGTGCTCGCCTCAATCCTGTTTCGGTCACAATACAGTAAGTGAGATGTCCACGTGCGAGCTGATGGATAACTTGCATTTCATTCTGCATCACCATCCGAGGTCGGTCGGAGTAGTTGGCGCTGCGCTTGTCCAAAAGCTCCGCCGCGACCTCTATGGTGTTCAGCATGATGATCCTGGTTCCGAACACCCTGTAGAACACCACATCGCCTGTATGGGACGTCTCCGGTGTTAGCTATCGAGGGAGCTCTGGATGACATTCTAACACCAACCGTATTGCTTGGACCATTTGAACAAGGTTCGTTCAAGCTCGGAGAACGAGACAGGAAGCTGATGGGCGTTCCCCAGAACAGGAAGGCCTTTTGGGCCAGGAGGAAGAGCACGCTGTTCACCCCGGAACAGACAAAGGACAAGGAGCAAAAGCACAGCGACAGCGGCAGCAGATAGCCAGGAGACTGGAAGGTGAGTAAACATCACGTCAAAGCGATACGTGGCGGGGACCATCGTCGCTGGGATATCGTGTCATGGATGGGCTGTCCTATATAAAACGACGAGAAAGCTGGAGGAGCTGGATTCGGCGTCCTAGGCCCCGGGGTGTGCCAGCCTGAGGCCCGGCCGCTGGCGTGGAGGGCACCGGAATTCTAATGGCTGATCATCGCGCACCACAGAACTTCCCGGATAAGTGACAGCGACATAACTTTGGCAGAGAGTGACAAAGGCAGTCTGAGTGGTAGGACGCTCGAGGCGAGCGCACATCTCGGTGGCGGCCGATAGACCACCCCATTGGGCAGCTGCCACGTGTGCGCCCGCAACCAAGCACAAGTACCGACGCCTTCCGATGAGTCGACACATCATGCGGCCGACTGGACTTCTTGCTCGTTGTATGTATTATTTCTGGCGACCATGGCAGACAGCAGATCGTTCGGCTTGCTCAAAATTTCCATGTTTGTCTACATGTGGAGCGCACCCGGCCAGCGGCGCAGTGCTTCTCTCCACCTCATCATGTCCGGACTATTCTCAGATCGAAGTGAGCGCCGCGGAAGAGCCAGCGCCGCAGGAACGCCGCTATCCGAGTCCAATGGTGCGAAGGGACTGCCCTAGGCGATGCAGCCAAGCTGACTTCTCAAATCTGCCCGCAGTGAATATCTCCATATGTATCGATCGTCTCCCGCGAGCCCATATGTTGACATCGAAAAAAGCACTACGTATACTACGTATGCTTCTCCCGCACCCCCGAAGTCTGAGGGCTCCTTCTGCTTGAACCGCCTGGGGCCTACCAGTGAGGTACCGACGGAGCTTCCTCCGATAACGGAGAGTTCGCAGCATCAAGCAGAACGAATGCTGCCGTGTTCACATGCGAATGATTGACCGAGAGCGGCGGTGCGCGTCTTTTCGGGCGCGAATACACCGCTGTCAGCGCTGGCCATATTGATCTTCCAGAGGTCTTTCACCCTTGTAATCAGGAGAGAGCCCATAATATCCTCCGGCGGCCTCTCACTAGTTGCTTCTTCAAAGCTGCTTCTTGCACTTCGCTTGGACCCTCCGCCACGGTACGGTCAACACGCCGGTGCTACTTTAAAAGACAACTCGTCCTGAAGGCACCGTGCCAGCACAGAAGTCTCAACCTGAAGCTAAGTTGGTCCGAGATAACCCCATAAATTGACGCAGGCAATCCACAACCCTCATACACCCAAGTGTTTGCTTCGACACCATGCGGCCGCCTAGGGTTATCCTCCCTCACAAACGGGTTGTTCTCACCAAGCAGCCGCTGTACAAGCTCAACAAGAACGACCTGCTCATCAACTTTACCGTGAGTGCCATCGAAGCCACGTCCCACGCTACCCGTAGCTCACGGTCTCGCCAGGGTGACTTTGCGTTCGCGGTTCCCGCAAAGCTAGACGTCTCTCGCCTCGCCTCCGCCCTATCGCGCACCCTCGCCTCCTTCCCACTCTTCTCTGGCCGCCTCGTCCGCGAACCAGAGTGGGCGGTCAGTCGTCTGTACATCTCCGCGCGCCTGCCCTGACGTTCTCGCCCTGTTACGTAGATATCGCTGGACCCGCAGCCGGTCCCGTTCTTCGTCCGAGAAGGTGCGGGACCATGGTGGCGCGAGCGCGAAGGCAATGCGGTCCTCCGCATCCAGCCGGGGCCGCCCATCGAGAAAATTAACCCGCTGCGGCTTCTCCGCGGCGAAGACCCCGCGCTGTTCAAGGCGACTGTGGAAACGAGCGCGGACTCGACGCTCGTCGGCATGTCGCACTCGCACATCGTAGGTACGACTGCACCCGTCTCTTCTCCTTCTCTCTCCGGTACCCCCACGCTCCCTACCCCGGACTGCCAAAGTTAGTGATGATGTGCTGATGAGATGTCGGCGCGCCTTCTCCGCAGCCGACCTCTCTGTCGCGATGCAGTTCATGCGGACGTGGTCGCAGAACTTCCTGCGCGACACACCCGAGCCCGCTCCCATCTACCGCAACTGCGACGATCTGCAGCCGCCCGCGGACGCTGAGCGCGCGCGGTACATCCGGTCGAAGGTCCCGGGGCTTCTGTATGACACCTTCCCGCTGGACGACATCCCGCCCTCCCTATTCAGCCCATTCCCCATCACGCGCGTGGACGTGCGTCTCAGCGGCGCCCAGGTCGCTGCCCTGCATGCGGCGCTCACGGGGCTCGTCGCGGGTGACTCGGGGCCGCGCTTGACTGCGCAGGATGCCCTTACCGCGTTCGTCGTCTCTGCTATCAGCGCGAGCGGGGAGCATCCGATAACCCAAATCCACAATGTGGTAAACGTGAGTACGCCGCGCGCCATCTGCCGACATCCTTCCTAACCTTCTCTTGCGTGTGTCTAGTGCAGGGGCATCGTCCCCGAGCTCGTCCCCCTCAACTCCGGGGCAAATGGCCTGATATACGCGACGACGGACCCCGTCGTGCCAGCTTCCCCACGCTCTCCCACTGAGACGTTCCTCGCGTACGCGCGCGCAATCCGCACGTCCATACGCGAGGCGCGCGACCCGCTGTACGTGCGCGACTTCCTCGCCATCTCCGGGGAAGCGTGGCACGGGCCCGCCGTCGCGAAGCGCGGGCACTACATCGCCCCCACCCCCGGGCAGATCATCATCAACTCAAGCTACAGGAGCAACTGGGGTGGGGCGCACTTCGGGTACCCCGGGCAGGTGTGCTGGCTGCAGCCGGACACGGTGCCGACGGACAACTACGTGCTCATGTACCCGTCGAACGCGGTCCCGACGGAGGAGGGCGTGTGGATCGCGGATGCTGGGGCGTGCGAGGTGGCGTTCAATGTGAGGAAGGGCCGGGAGGCTGCGTTTGAGGCTGCTTTGGGGGAGATTTGGGCTGATTTGGTGCCGGGCGGGGAGGGCGCGCCTCGCGTTCTTACTTATGTATGAAGGGCTGGAAGTGTTGTACATTATGCCAGGTATCATCATTCAGGGATTACAGACTACAGTTCCAAACACAGCGGAGGCCCATCACAGTACAAGTTCCAAGAGAGGCATACGAAGAGCAAGCAGGACAAAGTTCAAGCGACCATAGCAAGACAGCAGAACGTTTACATCTCGTCGATCCACTTCGCGATCCTCTTCAGGGTGTCCGTATGCTCCGGCTCGTGCCAGGTGAACACCACGAAGTCGTGTATCGCGTCCGGAGAGATATCCGACACGACCTTCACCCCCTCCTCCGTCATCTTCTCCACCATCGCGACCGAGTCGTCCAGCAGCCGCTCCGCCCCACCGGCCACAATGTACGTCTGCGGAAATCCCTTGAACACGCTCCCGTCCGGCCCAGGCTTCACATACAGCGACATCGGCGAGATGTACCTGTTCGTGCGGATCTCCTCGAAGTCGAGCGGACCCTGGTACCCACGCACGCCGTACAGCGCGAACGGGTCCTCGTCGCTCACCCCAAAGATATCGATCGGCCCGTTGAGCGTCTCCGACGTCCCCGGCCCGCGGCGCGACATGCACAAGTCGAGCCACGCCGACGCGGTGAGCAGCGCTCCAGGCGGCGGCAGCGCGGGGATCGGGTTGTCGATGAGATGGCGCGCGAGCGCGAGCACGAGGCTGCCCCCAGCTGAGTCCCCAACGACGATGACGTTCCGCGGCTCGAAGCCCGCGTCCTGCACGAGGAAGCGGTACGCGGCGAGCGTGTCGAGGAGCGCGGCGGGGAACGGATTCGCGGGCGCGAAGGGCGCGGCGTTGCAGAGGCGATACTCGACCGCGAAGGTGCGCTGCAGCGCGGTGGAGTGCTTCAGCAGCCCGCGCGTGAAGTTCGCTGTGATGTCGGACGGGTTCGCGCTGGAGATCTGCGGGAGCGCGCGCGGGGGAAGGATAAGCAGGATGACGGGGAGATGCGGCGGGGGCGGGACGTACGTGGAAGGCGCCGCCGTGCAGGTGCAGGACGGTCTTCTCGCCTGGCTGCGCCTTCAGGCCCTTCCAGGGCGTGTTCGCCTTGAGGAGCCAGAACCCACCAACTCTGGCGGGCTTGACCCCAGTGAGCTCAGCGATGCGGCGCACCTCGCCGACGAAGAGGTCGTCGGAGACGCCCTCGACCCAGGTGAACTTCGCGTCCTTGAGCTTGCTGTCCGGCACTGGCTCCTCACTGGGTGGCTTGTTCTCGGTCGTGAGGTCGACCTTGCAGGAGAACGCCTCCTGCGCGGCGCGCACGATGAGGGCGCGCTTGATGGACCATGAGCGGCGCGACCTGTTCGAGCGGGGGATGTACCAGACGGTCCAAGCGGGGATCTTGACGAGGAAGGAGAGCGTGAAGTAGGCGAGGTAGAGGCCCTTGAACGGTTGGCGGTTGAGGATGGGGCTGTCCCTCGCCATTGCGCTATTGCTGCCTGAGCCCGGGGTGGCGTGAGGAGACCTGGCGACTTAAGCTTCGGGGCGGGTACGTTCAAGCTGATCGCTTGCCTCAAGCAGGCATGTTGGTCCAGATGCTCAGTCAAGGTGAGAGTATACAGAATATAGCCCCCTGATTCCCGCTTCGCGGGGGCTCTGCGCGTGGCCGGGGTCACTGCGGGCACACGCTGTCTACTTGCGGTGCGATAAGTGTATAATTACGGCCAGGAACTGACCATGGAGGACGCGCCCGCGAACTTTGGAAGGCGTTTGGGAGGAAGATGGGATGTACAAATGCCGATCTGTGCTTGGGTAATTCGCCGCAGCCGGTCGGGGTGTCGGAGTCCGAAGCGGGGCTGTACACAACCACACACATTCTCTTCTTGCTATGCATGATGGTCTCCTCGAGTTCCTCAACAAGCTTCCCTCACGCTTACTCTGGTTTAAGTCTGCTTTGGGGAAGGACGTTTCCTGCAATGTTGCATCTCTGACGAGCCGTCGCTGTGGTCTAAGATTTGACAGGTCAAGGGAAAGCGCATTGCGATTCGCTCATTCTTATTTTTGAACACCGTACACCTCAGCCTCTGGAACCCAAGATACCAACCCTTGCTGTTCCAAGTGGTTTTACTACGAGCACAGGAAGATACTGAGCCACATATCTCTGATGGTTAGCGTCTTCGTTGGATGGAGCTTGACAGGACATCGCCCGGCTGGGTCAGCGGTCAAGTTGATTCATCGAAGTTACTTTTTAGCTCGAACGATGCGCGGCGAAGATCCTTTTTGAGCTAACCTATTCCTCATCGCAGACTCCAGAGATGAGCAGCTGACCCTCCGTCGCGACAACACCGTCGCGACTTCGAAGGTATCACCCTCGCCACTCAACTGATCATTGTACTTTCGAGGGTAGAAGGCTCGCACGTTTGCCGTCACTTGCTGACCAGACTGTAAAGTCAATCATGGCATTTATCCCCCTCATATATCGTCAAGCCATGCCCGACACTCGAACTCCCACTTGCTAGCGGCATGGCCATCGCGACGTTCCCCATCGACGAGGCCTATCTCATCGGAGACTGGCTAGAGTCGTTCATGTGGGGTAAGCACTCTTCTACATTTTCGGGATGCTGAACTATGATCTCATTAACATGCATACTATTACCAGGTGTATACACCATCATGTTCGTGATGACCATGTTCGCCATCTACAAAAAACGACTCAAGGAGGGCGGCGTTAACAAGTTCACAACAATCATGTTAATCCTCTTGTAAGTCGCTCATATACCTCGCACATGCATTCTGTGCCGACAAAGCTGCTGACTACGTACGCGGGCAGATATATCCTTGCCACTGCACACATCTCACTCTCCTTGACTCGTCTCATCCAAGGCTTCATCAAGTTACGCGATGTAATCGACCCGGTTGACTACTTCGCGAGCATCTTCATTCGACTGAACATGGCGAAGGACTACCTGTACATCACAAATGTTCGTGTCTCGCTCGCTGATTACGACTTCCGCCGTTTCACCGCCGTCTCACGCAGCTGTTTTTGGGAGATATGGTCATTGTCTGGAGGCTATACGTTGTGTATGGCAAGAACCCATACATAGCTGCCCTCCCTGTTCTTATGTGTTTCGCCGAGTTGTGTGCGTATATCTCCGTCGTCTCCGTGCAAGGATAATGACTAATATTACGCTGTCACTGGAATTCTAGCGGTCGGATATGCGTCTATCTCCTCGTGGCTTGCCCCCACGCAGAACTTCACCATCATGGCCCGGCTCGGGGCGGCGATGTACATCATGTCCCTCGTCGTAAATGTCCTCCTCACACTCGTCATCGTCGCCCGCATCTGGTAAGTCTGTGTGACCTAGCCAATGAACGTCTCCGAGTCGACGCTGACGCATGCTCCGGCCGCAGGTTCGTAACCAGGCGCACCCGGGAAGTCCTCAGCGTGTCCGGCGGGCAGTACACGCGCGTGCTGCTCCTGCTCATCGAGTCCGGCGCGTTCATCGCAGTCGCGAAGATCTCCGAGTTCGTCCTATACGAGCTCGAGCCCGACGACGGCCTCTCGGGCATGAACGCAATCGAGATCGTGTTCGAGTGCATGCCGCAGATCACGGTGCGTCGCGGCCCACGGTCGTCTTCTGCCCGCGCATGCTTCGCTTACGCTGTAATTACACCCTGGCAGGGCCTCGTGCCGACCTGCATCATCTACGCGGTCATTAACGGCTACACACATCAGGACAGTGATTATTCTGCGAAGTCGAAGTCGTCCATGGTGGTGTTCGCCACACCCGAGAGAGCTGTGGGTGGCACGGACTCCACGCTGTCTGTGGAGAGGCTTGCGTCTGATGAGGAAATGGGGGGCACCCCGCTCGTGAAACAGTATGAAGATGATCAAACTGTCGGAGAGAAGTGCAGGAGCTCACCGGTCAGGCTCGCTGCTTGATGCATCTGGGTACTTGGGACGCTTGCGTAGGATTGTTGATAAATTATTTATAGTTTGTATAAGAGCAGGTCTTCACTGGCCAAAAGAGATTATCTCTACATATTATTCACCGTATACCATGCTTGCATACTATGAAGGCACTCAAGCCGTAAGCGGTCGCGAAAGCGTTACGGTCTTCTACAGTCTCTTATTTGTTCGGAATTTGCTCTGAGCGAAATGCTAATCTCCCTCGCTCGATGATCGTTGCCAGAGCGGCCTGGGGGCACAGATGGGTTGCCTTTGGACCCGTATTCGGCGCCGAGGGCTTCGTGGCGTTAGGGTCTACGAGATCGCGTTCTTGTTGGGAAGATGGTGGCCGCAGGCGTTCGCAGCTTCACTGCTCTGGTACCATCAGCGCTGGTAGAATGGTTCGCATGGCACCCTTTTGCCACTTTGTCATGAAAGAGCCAAAAAGGGGCGGTACGGCGGTACGCCATGTATACTCCCGCGTGAGACCGACGCTCCTCCGGCCTCCATTTTTGTCGGCAGTACACAGGCTCGCGCATCCATGGTCTGCGCGCATGGTCGGAGCCACTGCGGGCACACGCTGTCAAGTTACGGCGCGATAAGTGAGTAATTAGGTTCAGAAACTGATCATGCGTAACTGGGGGTGCGTCTGGGACGCGGCGACGAACGTTCGAAGGCGTTTGGGCGAACGAAGGGATGCAGGTACTGGCAGTTGTATAGATGCCGGGCGGGGCTGCGCCTGGCTGCGCTCAGGTAATTCGCCGCCACCGGTCGGGGCTTCGGAGTCCGAACTGATCGCGCGGCATAAGCGGCGCCATACCCTTCCTTGCCGTCCGCCCACTCCCGCGACCAGTTAGATCTGTTCCTCTGCTTTGCCAGACTTGGGGCCTTTTCTATATGCTATTACCTGTTGTATCGATGGATTCTATGTCGCCACCACCGCTGTTCACCGGAATAGCCAACGCGCACATGAGAAGAATAATGCGGCAATATTCTCGGCTTGTCAAGTTGACATCGTGGGCTTTAGCACTTAGACATGGAAACTATCGGACCGTTGCTGCGTCTGGGGCCGCTGCGAGCTCAGACAGGTACCGACTCGTATATCACCGGTTGCATGTCTCCTTCGCCGGATCGTGATGTCTCCGTTGTTCGTATGCGGTACGAACCCAATGAAAGATCGAGCCTACACTGAAACAACGAACTCACCGCCGAGCTCCTCGCCATATGCGCGCGACGAACATCATCGTTTGGAGCTCTCACAGCCCGTATCGCAGTGTTCAAAGATAACCTGCTGACCCCCGGTGACCACGAGGCCTTCGCGAATTCGAAGAGACAATTTCCGCTCAAGCAGCGCCTCCGAGCGTGTTTCTATCCATGAGGGCAATACACTCGGCTGTTGCCTGCCCCTCGCTGACCTCATGAACGCTAATTATGAGCTCTTATAGTACAGTCTGCCCCCTTCGGACGTCTCCCGCGATCCTCTTACCAGCTAGCAACATGGCTATCGCGACCTTCGCTATTGACGAGGCTTACCTCGTTGGAGACTGGCTGGAGTCGTTCATGTGGGGTGAGCAGAGTTACTCTGTTGCCGCTCAGCCTAAAATCTGTTATCAATCGTGAACTGACTTGGATATTACCAGGGGTGTATACGATAATGTTTTCAATGACCATGTACACCATCTACCAGAAACGGCGAGAGGGCGTCAACAAGTTTACAACGACCACACTAATTCTCCTGTAAGTCGGCCATACCTCGTTCACCGCTCGTGTTTGTAAATTAATGTGTTAATTTGCTGCACTCGCAGATACGTTCTCGCCACTGGGCACATTTCGCTCTCCTTGACGCGCCTCATCCAAGGCTTCATCAAGCTCCGCAATGTGATGGATCCGGTGGAATACTTCGCAAGCATCTTTATCCGGTTGAACATGGCCAAGGACTACCTGTACATCACCAACGTACGCGCCTCGCTCATACGTCAGGTCGGCCCTAGACTGACTCACCGCCCGGTTTCGCAGCTGTTCCTGGGAGACCTCATCATTGTCTGGCGGCTCTACGTGGTGTACGGCAAGAACGTGTACATCGCCGCTCTCCCGGTACTCATGTGTCTCGGAGAGCTCGGTGTGTTCCTCTCCGCTGTCCGCGACCTTCTTCATTAAACTCACCGTTAACGCCTCAGCGGTTGGCTATGCGTCCATCTCGTCGTGGCTAGCCCCCAAGCAGAATTTCACCGTGATGAGTCGCCTCGGGTCGGCCATGTTCATCATGTCGCTCGTCGTCAACATCCTCCTGACACTCATCATTGTCGCGCGTATCTGGTAAGTCCATCCGACGCAGCCGCAGCCGAAGGTTTAGAACCGAACGCTGAGGCGCTCCGTCGTCTTAGGGTTGTGACTAGGCGTTCCCGGAAGGCTCTCGGCGTGTCTGGCGGGCAGTACACGCGCGTCCTGCTGCTGCTCATCGAGTCAGGCGCGTTCGTTGCGGCCGCGAAGCTGACAGAGTTCATCCTGTACGAGCTTGCGCCCGTCGACGGCCTCGAGGGCATGAACGCAATCGAGGTCGTCTTCGAGTGCATGCCCCAGATCACAGTGCGTCCCCATCCCATCTGCCCCGCCCCCGCGCTGGCTGTCTACTACGCCCAACACGCTTTGCTGACGGCGTCCTGTGTGGCCTGACAGGGTCTCGCGCCGACGTGTATCATCTTCGCGATCAACAAGGGGTACACGAAGCCGGACAGCGACTACTCCGCGAAGCCGAAGTCGTCTATGGTGTTTTACTCGCCCGATGGGACAGCCGCGGCGCGTGGCACGGAGACGTCGGTGTTCATGTCTGGCGGTGCCGGGGGCAGTACGACGTTCGTGAAGCAGTACGGCAGCGAGAAGGGTTCCGAGGAGAAGCTCAAGGAGTCGCCGACGGCGTCGATGGTTTGATATCTCTGGACGTCTGCCAAAGACGGTTTTGTTCTGAGGACAACTTGTGGCTTATGAGTGGAGTAGATTATGCAGTGTGGCGTGACGGTAGTCGGTAGGCGGTCGTCGATGGTCAGCTACCCTCTCTGTCCCGAGGAGTGTATTGTAAAATATATATATCAACTTATGTTCTTGCATACTACAGTCGGCATCAATCGTGGCAATTTCTATTATGATAAGCAAAACCCCTTCCGCCCGTGAGTGCCTAAGCTCGACGATAGAGACCCTAGTATAAGGCCACCTGTCCTAATCACGAACTCGCGCGGTGGCTTTTGCTCACCCGGCGCTAGCCATGACAGGGTACTAGGCGGTCCGCTTTACGGCCTGATTCGGCGGCGAGAGCATCGTGGCGTTAGAATCGCACCCTTCGACAGGGGCGCCAGTTTAACGGATGGTGTCCGCATCGGACGTGTGCAGCGTCTCTGCCGTGCAACTATCAGTGTTCGAACGGTCTCGAACGGTGTCATGATAAACCTTATCCACCCCCAACGTTCGCCGGTGGGCGTGCAGCTCTTGAGAATAGCAGAGCTGTACGGCAAGCCGTTGAGAAGAGACCGAAAAGAAGAGAGGATTTCGCGCGCGCCCCATGCACGTCACCGAGTGAGACCGAACCGCCGGGATCTATTGTGGCTCCGAATCTGGTCCTGTTCAGCCTCGGAACGCGCACGATCATCATTGAGCGAGCGTTGGTACCAGTGTCGATGATGAGAGGGTGTCTTCCTAAATTTCATCCCATTTGTTTATCGGCAGGCGCGGTAGGGACTTTGGCGACGAGCCGGGGCTAGATGATGGGATTGAAAAGGCACACTTTCGCCGTGGCAGGTTTTCGCAGTTTTAGTGTGCGACGTCCAGCTGAATTGACAGGACTCAGCCTCCGCGAGGGCGACGTGCTCTTCGTCCGTCCGTCGTTAGCTTGCGGGATGCCGTAACAAGCCACAGTCCGTAATAGTAGAAAAATCTCAACGGTGATCATATACCCTACTTACTTGGATGCTTTGATTTGCACGTCTGAGATATGATGAGCATTGCAAATCTCTGGGAGTTTGCATTAATGTTTGCATATCAAGATGGAAATGACCGCTAGAGGCTCCATTTGTTAGATGGAAGCCGGATGGAGGTTTCAGTGGTTGAAGCAGATATCGAGGTAGGCGCTTAGACGCCGACGCGGTAAGTACGTGGCTTAAGCACTGCCACTGGGTCTAAACGTTTTCGGCAGTGACCGGAGTTGTCGCTGCGTCCTTTTCTCTCGAACCACCTTGCACTAGTTCGTTCATTTCCTACCTCCTACGAAGACCGCCCGCAGGTTACAGCCTAATCTTGCTAGCGATGGATATACTATCGGCACTCCTTAGACGACGCGAATCTGGTGTGAAAATCCTCAAGCCGGCTTGCCGCTGGTATCTTGATTACAACCACCACGGCGCTGGGATCTCGTGGACTTGTCGGATCGTATCTGTGACAGCCTGGGAGCAGCATCAAGAGAACGTATCCAGCTGATGCAGATTCTGCTCTCTAGCTCGCGCATCCGCCTCATATCGCCCATGTCTTCGCGAAGCCGAAGCGTTGGCGTTTCGCTCCAGCCGTGAGTACGATCTTAGCTACGCACCAGCGGCACGGTCACATCGCGGAGACCTGAGGCTGCCTCATCTACTGGGCGTACTATGAAGCTATATGCTCTGCGTATCCAGTCCCTTCTCTCTTGGTAGCTGCTACTACGACGACTCGGTCTGAGACATGGCTGTTGCGACATTCCCCATCGACGAGGCCTACCTCATCGGAGGCTGGCTCGAATCCTTCATGTGGGGTGCGTAGCTTGATCCTTCCTACGATTGCCGATATCGGCTACGGGCTGACTGACGTACGTCCAGGGGTGTACACCATAATGTTCGCCATGACCATGTACACCATCTACCAGAAGCGTCGCGATGGTGTTAACAAGTTCACGACTGTCACTCTTGTTCTGCTGTAAGTCCGCGATCTATCAGCGGCCGGTTTGCTGCGGGTAGAACAAGCACATTGACATCGCTTAATGACAGATACGTCCTGGCCACCGGACACATGTCGCTCGCCCTGGCTCGCTTGGTGCAAGGATTCGTCCTGTTCCGTAACATCATCGACCCGGTTGAGTACTTCGCTAATATCTCCCTCCGCATCAACATGGCGAAGGATTATTTGTACATCACCAACGTGAGCGGCCGGCCCGCTGTACATTGCGTCCGCATATCTTACGTGTCCACTACCTGTGCAGCTTTTCCTCGGAGACCTGATCATCGTATGGCGACTTTACGTAGTCTACGGCAAGAATCTGTACATTGCTTTCTTCCCGACGCTCATGTGTCTGGCAGAACTTTGTGAGCACCTCACAGTTAACAACGCCGTTTGATTGTTCCTCACGCTTTCCCCCACAGCTGTCGGATACGCGTCTATCTCCGAGTGGCTGGCCCCTACGCAGAATTTCGTAGTGATGGACCAACTGGGCTCCACTATGTTCAGTCTCTCCCTGGCCGCGAACATTATTTTGACGTTCGTCATTGTAGCCCGTATCTGGTGAGTATTTTAAAACAGCGGCTATGTTATATGCTATAGTAGTTGTGCTAGAGCTGACCAATAGAGCCTCAGGTACATGACCTACCGATCACGCAAGGTCCTCGGGGTTCCGGGCGGAAATTATACCCGCGTTCTGCTGCTGCTCATCGAGTCCGGCGCGCTCGTCGCGGCGGCGAAGCTGACCGAATTCGTGCTGTTCGAACTCGCGCCAGATGACGGCATCAGCGGCCTCAACGCCATCGACGTCGTGTACGAGTGCATGCCGCAAATTACTGTGAGTGCCCCTCCGGCGCATCCTATCCCGGGCCTACATTTTTGACATGCATTCCGCGCCCGTGCTTTCAGGGCCTGGCTCCGACGTGTATCATCTACGCGGTCAACAAGGGCTTCACGCAGCCGGACAGCTACTACTCGTCCAGCCCGAAAGACTCGCTCGTTTTTGGCTCGCCGGAGAACACCAATCCCTCCGGACGCACAGGCACCACGCTGTTCACGAGCGCGTTTGGATCTAGCGGTCTTGACAGCTCTAAGGAAGGGACGCGGCGCGGCGGGAACGATTCCGAAACGACCATCGAGAAATTGGGCGGCGGTGCGTTGTCGACGTCGGTCGTTTGATTCGCTGCCCTACGGTATTTGGCCTGCCTTCGCGCCCGGATCTAGCGGCTAAGTGTTCTGTATTTGCGTCTTGGATTGTGTTTGCAATATGCCGTTTTGTCATTCCTTGATCCCATTATCATATTCCTTCCGGAGCTAAGTAGCGACCGAACGGCGGGCTAGAATTTTTTTCAGAACGAAGCAAGGCAAACCTGCTCCGATCTACAAGAGGGGTTGGGAAAACGAAGGTATGTTAACCACGGTCGGGGCTCAGTTTGGACGAGGACTGGCACATGCACCCCGCGGCGCGTGAGGCCGATCCCAAGCCGCTGTATATATAACCAGCATAGAGCGGCTTCGGAACGGTTTCCGCCCGCCCGCGCCCAATGCTTCCGTGAGTGTCGAGCGAACGCACACCAGTGATGAAATACTCACTTTGATGACATCTCTAGTATGCACGAACTATTTCATGGCCAATAGCATGACAAGGCTCCTGCACAGTGCGCGCAGCTTCGAAGTCGTTCTGCCGCGTCAGCGTATCGCACCAGATCCCACCCTCCCCAGGCTCATCTTCTTCTCGTCTTCGGTCTGCGGGATGCCGTACTGCGTTACGGAGCGCGCATCGATCATCCTGGTTTCTATCCTGCATATAGGTGCCTGGACGCGTCGAGGGTGAGGGCGATTCGTGAGGCAGTTCGCGCGGGAGTACCCCAGATGTCCATTCATGTGAGAAGACGATGGTGTGGTTCCTCCGCTCGGAGAGAGCCCTCTAGATTTGAAGAGCCTTCAAGTCGGATAGCCTTCAAACCGCGCAAGATCGCCGTTTATAGCAAATTATTCAGGAATCTACGCAGGTAATCCTATACCTTCGTGGACACAGTGCGAGAATCAATACAACGTACCAGAGGCCCTGGAGAAAGCAAATGAAGGTACGCAGAAGAGGGCAAATGATGTGAGCCGGCGGCCGCCGTAGAATTTTGGGCGCTTCCGGGGTTGCATCCTCCGGCGATCGTGACTGACTGTGGTCTGCTCTGCGGATTCTCTTCGGCACTCTGATATTCTTGTCCTCCATCAGCGCCCTGGCAGAACTCTACCGATGACGCCGAGGCACACCTCTGCCCTCATGCACTTCTACCACTTGCTTGCTCTCGTCCACCAGACTCACGACAATCCCATCATGATTGCCTGGCCTTCGTGAGCTACAGAAGCTACGACATTGCACACACGAAGCACACGCATCAAGAAAGAAGTGGCAAGACATGATAACAATGCATGCGCCCTGACTGGGTATCGGTCGACATGAGCGTCGCCGCTCTCGGGATTTGTATCATCATCGTACGGCGAGGGCTGCCCCCGGCGACTGACATGAGTACTCGACGCTGAACATGGCCACCCTTTGCCCAACTACGTGGTGCATCGACATCGCTTTCAAGTCCACTTGACGCTTTGTGGCACAAGCTTAACCAATGGCAGCGACAGCGGACAGCACGGAGATCGCCCCAAACTGCGCATTGTCAGCTTGACATCACATCATCGGCCAGCCCTCCCCCAGCGCAAACGGGGCCCTATCAAAAGATATCCAGCTGACGTAGCTTCTGTGTCTAGCCTCGGGTTGCGCGGTTGTCCAATACTTACGCTTTCAGCAGCTGTCGTGTCTCCCAGGCTGTCTCGCCATCAGCGTCATTCAGTCCATGGGAGCGGTACTCCGGATGTCTCCCGTCGCTCGCCGTCCTCATATACGTTAATCTGCTGGACGATCCGCTGTGCATAGCGCCGTGCTCTCCTCTTCCCCGCAATCCAGCCACCACTGCCAACATGGCCGTCGCATCGTTCCCCATCGACAAGGCCTACCTGATCGGAGGCTGGCTGGAGTCCTTCATGTGGGGTGAGTGCTTCTAAGGAGCTGGGAAGTCGATCCTCATACTGATCCGGATGTCGGCAGGGGTGTACACCACCATGTTCGCGATGACCATGTACACCATCTACCAGAAGCGGCGAGAAGGTGTGAATAGGTTCACCACCGTCGCGCTCCTCTTGCTGTGAGTTTCGGGTGCAGTCACACCCCAAATGTTGTAGAATGTAGCGAAGTGAAGCTGACCTCATGCATCCGCAGTTATGTTCTCGCCACCGGTCACGTATCGCTCGCACTTGTCCGCTTGATTCAGGGATTCATCCTATACCGCGACATCCTGGACCCAATTCTCTACTTCGCGAACATTTCGGTCCGTCTCAACATGGCGAAGGACTACCTGTACATTACCAACGTGCGCGTCTTTCTCGCGAACGATCCTGCCGCGTCTGGAGCTCACCGCTCCGCCCCGATAGCTGTTCTTGGGAGATCTCGTCATTGTGTGGCGATTGTATGTAGTATGGGGAAACAATTTCTACATTGCCTTCATTCCATTCCTTATGTGTATCGGCGAACTCGGTGAGCGCGATCCTCATTGCCTACGCTCCCAGTCTCTGATCCACACTGGTTGATGCAGGGGTCGGGTACAGTTCCATCTCCCAGTGGCTCGCGCCCACGCAGAACTTCACTGTCATGAGCCGTCTGGGCTCCGCACAATTCATCATCTCCCTCGTCGTCAACATCCTCGTCACCATGATTATCGCTGGGCGCATCTGGTGAGCCCCCGCCCTCCCGCCTTTTCGCAGTGGACAGCAGCTCACACGCGCGCATCACAGGTTCGTATCGCGGCGCACGCGCAAGGCCCTCGGCGTCGCTGGCGGGAACTACACCCGCGTGCTGCTCCTGATCATCGAGTCCGGCGCGCTCGTCGCCGCCGCGAAGCTCACCGAGTTCACGCTGTACGAGCTCGCGCCCGTGAACGGGCTCGACGGCCTGAACGCGATGTACATCGTGTACGAGTGCATGCCGCAGATCACGGGGCTCGCGCCGACGTGCATCATCTACGCGGTCAACAAGGGCTTCACGCAGCAGGACAGCGCGTACTCGAGCCGCGGCCAGAAGACGACGCTGATGTTCAACTCGCCCGTGGACTCGGACCCAACCGCGCACACGAGCACGACGCTCTCCACCGCCGTGTTCGCGCCGAGTGGGTTGCAGGGCGGCGCGGCGCACGCGAAGCAGTACAGCGCGGAGAAGGACCCGCTGGAAAGGCTGAACAGCTCGTCGACGTCGGTAGTGTGATTCCCGCTGATACCTCTCTTTTCGACGGCCGATGGGTCAACTATCATGTATATATTATTGCACTGTGTGCGGTGGACTACGGGCGGAGGTGTCGTGTTCGTGCATTGTAAATATTATCCGAGGCCATGAGTAATCCAAGGCGTCTCCGCTAATGCGCACTGCAGGTGCATGAATCGCGACGAGCGGACGAGTGAAAAAACGTGTGCGGTACACGTTCTACACCACCATCCTACCAGTCCTATTTTGTCCGAGTCGGTATTCCGTATGGCAGGGCTTGGTAAGGCTAGTGCGCCCAAGAGTACTCCGCGATCGCAGTTCCTCCCCAGTGGAGTGTCTTCGACTTTACTCGATTTGCGAACATCAGCCCACGGGCCGCGCCCGTCGCCCACAACCCCGCAACAGAACGCTGATCTGGCGATGCCACCGCCCGACGTCGTGCTACGATCTGATATCCGGGCCCAAGATTCAATTGTCGTACACCACATCTCCCTTATCTATAGTAAAGGATCTCCGCCGCCGATGCGTACGGATATCACTCACTCAGCCTATCGTATACACGTTCCCTTAGTAGCTTAGTATTTACGAGCCCGGCGCGATCGGCGCCTCCGCCTTAACCCACTTGACCCAGCCCGCGGCGTTCACCATGTAGTTGGGGCGACCATCGTTGAGCGCGGGATCGGCCCCGAAGAAGTTGTACGGGAAACCGGGCACGAACGGCACGGCCGCCTCCAGCGCCTGCACCTGCGCGGGCGTGAGCGCGGTTTCCAGGCCCTGTTCACACATGTCAGCGCCGCGCGCTCAGGCGGGAGAAGAGGCGGCACTAGCCTTGATGACGTCGTCGAGCTGCGCGGGGCTGCGACCACCAATGACGGGGAAGACGTACGGGGCCTTTGCGAGCGCCCAGGCGACGGCGACGGAGACGAGCGTCGCGCCGTTGCCTACCTCGCCCGCGACGGCTTCAAGTGCGGCGCTGATCTTCTTCTCGGCCTCGGTCTGCGGCATGCCGTAGCGCACCGCGGTGCGCGCCTTGATCTCGGCCTCCGTCTTGTACTTGCCCTGCGAGATTTTCAGTGAGTCATACTTACGTTTGCCGTAGTGGCAGCGCCGGGCGCGTTTTAAGGTGGTTGAAACGTACCTGGCCGAGGACGCCATATGGGACGATGCCCATGCCCTCCGCGCGGCACATCGGCACTATGTCGCGCTCCAGGTCGCGCGTTCCGATGCACCAGAGACCCTGGTCTGCGGATGATGGAGTCTGTCAGCCGAGCACAACAGGTATGCGCTTGACAGATACATACAGACGACGAATTGCGCCATGCCGTGGGCCCGCGCGTACTCATTTGCTTTGACGACTAGCCAGGCTTTCATGTGGAGCGTGCTCCAGTAAATATTTACACATGAGGTTGGCACACGGAAGGCTTACCAGGGGTGTCAGAGATGCCCAAGTAGAGGACCTTGTTCGATTTCACGAGAGAATCGAGTGCTTGCATGAGCTCCGGGATGGAGGTGGAGTAGTCCCACCTGCACTCCATGAGCACCGAGCGATCGAACTCCGCAAGCACACATACCAGTGCACATAGAGGATGTCGATGTAGCTCGTCTGGAGCTTTTCGAGACTATCTTGCACCTGTGGTCGTGATCACTCGTATAGTGCGGTCATGAAATGCCCTCAGGCCGAGCTATACCCACAGAAAGTATCAGACTCTTTCGGTGGTTGCCCTGGTAGTTGACCTGCGTTGTACATCAGCGCCTGTTGCGTGCGGATATGCGATCTCTGCATAACTGACCTTGAGCTTGATATCCTGCCTGTGGTGCTGGTAGCCAAAGGTGTACTTGGTAGCGATCACTAGCTCATCACGGTTCTTCCTAGCCGCGACCCACGCTCCGACGAGGGTCTCGCTCTGTGCGCCGCAGCTCAAGATGCGTTAAGCAGGGTCGCGTCGAGGAAACACATACCTCTCCGTTCTGATAGTTGTTAGCTGTGTCGATGAAGTTGCCTCCGCCCTCGTAGTACTTGTCAAGAAACTGCTCGCCTTCGGCATCAGAACAAGTGACAAATTCTACAGCACGCGTTTACCTTGAAAGCCTCTTCCTGTGTCGTGCCTGATAGAGAGAACATTCAAACAGCGCCCCATGAGCTCGGTAAATATGACATACCACCCGCCATCTCAGGGGTCCACGACTGGCCAAGCGACATGGTTCCGAGGCATATCGGGGACACGCGTACTATCGGCGAAGAGACATTGAAATGAGCACGGGGAATCAGAGATCAGAGGAGCCTAATGCGAAAGGACTCGCCGCCTGCAGAAGGCGAGAGCAGCTGCCACACGGGCGTTCAGTTAAAGTACAGGGCATACGCGGACAATCGCGACTCACTCTGTAACGACCTAGCTCGGTGGTGGGCTGGGGCTGGGGCGCGAACGAGCTCATGGTGATCGATGTGCAGGATGTCGAGGCTCCCTGAGGTTCGTTCCGGGGTGGTCTGCCAGCGTCGAGCGAATGCAGTTTAAAACTGTCACCCTCCTTGATGAACTGGTTCCAGCGCTCGGCAGTCGCACGTCGCTCCGCGTCTTCTGCTTCTTTGCCGGCGCACCTCCTCGACAGGCCTGATAGGGCATGGCCCGTGACCTAGTCCGGTGCAGTGACCCGAGGCGTCCATTCGGCAGGCGATAATGGTTTGGCTTCGTGCCGCGTTGAAATCACGCATACCAAAGGATGGCGTACGTCGGGGAGCTGCATCATTTCACCGCAGTGAACGTAGGTCTCTAGCACTTTTGCCACCCGCGTTCTTGGACGGAAAAGAAATATTTTCACCTCCACAAAGGATATTGTAAGACTGAGCGATGCGGCTAAGGGTAGTTCAGCCAGATTTACATGAGGCTTAGGAGCATACTGTGGAGCATACCTGTATCTCTGCGGCGCCGATAATAAACTATGCGCTTGTTTCCTCCGGCTGAGACGCACGTCTAAGAAAGTTCAGCCTCAACGTCTATGTAATTAGAACCAAAATTAGTAGAGGACAATCGCGGGTTTCGTGAGGCGGTTCTGGAGCACATGGGGCCAGTGCTAATGCCGGAGCCATTCGAATCTTGAGTTCTCCCGCTTTTGATCGGGTTGCAGATGCGCATGCATCATGCGTCACCACCGACCACAAATAAGACACCTTGAGGTTGCAAAGGGCATATTGACAACCACTACAGGCTCGACAGTGTACTTGGTTGTAGAGAGAGAGAGAGGGCGAGCCACGCACAGTACCGCACTGTCGAGCCGACCCGAGTGAGCCGTGCTGGTGGTCGTCGTGAGAAAGATAAGATAAGATAAGATGCCGACCGTCCTCACCGTCTCTCCGTCCATGACCAGCAGTATCGAAGCTTGAAGCAGAACTATGAACTTCTCCCGCAACGAGGCGATGGCACGTTGTCCTGCATGCAGAGAAATGCCTACCAAAGCTTCCCAGCTCGGGGGAGCCCTCGCAAAACACTCCGACGCACCACACTGTCAGCCCCCTCCTCTCATTCCGGAATCGCTGTACTTTTAGCTTTGTCGAGGAACGCTGTGAGTACTACTATAGTATTCAAATTCCTCCAGGAGATGTCTTTTCACATGTATCTATACTGAGATTTTTTTGCATATAGGATGCCGCGCTTCTTGAATACCTTGACGGGGGAGTTCGAGTGGTATAACGACCCGCGAAAAGTCATCTACGCGATTCTGTCTCACACTTGGCGGTCCTCCGAAGATGGTGGCGAACAGTCCTTTGGCGATGTTCAAAATATTCAATCTACCGTGGCTGAGGGGGTCCGGAAACAGCAAGTCGCCGTCTTGCAGGAGTTGCAGAGTCTCCAGTCCCACCAACCTTCGATGGTTCCCCGCACATCCAACTACTCAGTGAAAGGGTCTACACATTCCACCATCATCACTCATCCCAAGCTCTCGGACAAGATCAAGGGCATCTGCACAGTCGCGCGCAAGGCCGGTTTCCGCCTCATCTGGAGCGACGCATGCTGCATCGACAAGACGAGCAGTGCGGAGCTTTCCGAAGCCATCAACTCAATGTACGAGTGGTATAGGCTCTCGGACATGTGCTACGTCTATCTCGAAGATGTCCCCGACGACGACGTCCCAACAGACTCCACTTCCTATTTCTGTATCAGCCGATGGCACGACCGTGGATGGACGTTGCAGGAGCTCATTGCGCCCGAGCGCGTGGAGTTCTTGACGCGAACATGGCACTTTCTCGGCACGAAGATTGGGCTTGCATCGACTCTGGAGAATATCACGGGGGTCAATTTCGATATCCTGACGGGCCGTGCGCCTGTGGACTCGGTGAGCGTTGCGCGGAGGATGTCCTGGGCCGCAGAGCGAGAGACGACGCGCATCGAGGACAGGGCGTACTCGCTCATGGGCTTATTCGGTGTCCACATGTCACCAATATACGGCGAAGGCAACAACGCGTTCCTCCGTCTCCAGGAGGAAATCATCAGGAAGGTTCCCGATCAAAGCATCTTCGCCTGGGGAAACAAGTGTTTGTTGCGGTCTCTGCATCTAGCGCGTGGTTTCAAGCGCTTCGGTGGACTACCAGACGATCCTGGCCTTCTCGCGAGTTCTCCCTCCGACTTTCAATGTTGCCGCACTACTACCCCTGTCATGCCCTCCGATCTCGCATCGCGCCTACGTTTGAACGGGAGCGAGGACATCCCACCCCTCCACTGCGTCTTTACTCCGCAGGGTGTCCGCGTGCATCTTTTGTGCCTCTCGCTGGCGAAGATCCCTCAGGTGTCGCACGCATTTTGGAAAGGACTGGGGCGGGACATATGCCCCGATTGTAAGCCACTCCGCAAGACCGACGTACTCGCACTCCTACAGTGCGAAGACACGGACGGCTCCCTGGTCGCTCTTCCTCTGTACCAACTCCGAGGAGGAGCCCGGAATATCGGGGGTGGCTCGCTGATCGGAACACACATCCAATGCACCAACTGGCGTCATAAACCATTCCACGTGGTTCGCTTGACCAAGGAAGCGTTGGAGGAAGCCCTGGAGTACGTCGCACCCGTGGCCATGGAGGTATCTCTTCTCCGCCAACACTCGCGCCCTCCGATGCCCAAGTCGCTTCTACCGGGGAACCCTGTCCTTAGGTCCACTATATCCCTCTGGCCTGGGGATCGCCCTGACGGCGTCGCCTTTCGCCTCACTCCTCGGAGCATCGAAGCTCTGCAAAAGCTTGGCTTCTCCCCCTCACCTTTACGGGATGTGCGTTCTGAGCGGGAGATTCTCTTGGTGACGGACCTTGCACATAGTGTCGGCAGCGGAACACCTCCGGGCGGCGCCCTCCAACCCACCGTGCAGCTACGCCTCACCCTGACGTGGCGTAAGACCTCTGTGGTGCAGGATAGGGATACGAAGGCTTGCTTCTCTATTGTGAACATCCAAAGCGGTGACTCCTCTTGCGAAACCCATACCGTGAGCTCTTTGCATCATTTTCCTTGGGGCACCCCAAGTCCTCACATATCGCAGGAACAGCCCATTGATGAGAGTACCATGGGAAGATGGAGGACTAAATTCAACTCGCGCTTTACGTCTGGACGCACATTCGTCCAAGTAGAGTTCGTAATACCCTCTCTCCCAGATCGGCAAGAGTATACCCGCGAAGTCTGGCTGGTGCGGCTCACCCTTGAACGCTCCCTTGAGCTTTCGAATCTGGCTATTCCCAACACCAAGACCATCTGGCTGTCAATTGAAGCCTCGGAGAAGTATCGCTACAATCACTTGACTAAGAGGGTCTCGAGCAGCGCTCACTCAGTCCAGGCTGGAGACGTCTGCGAGCCCACAGTGGCAGCTGCCTCGAACAGTTCATGCGAGGATGGTAAGGCAGTGCCACGCGCTAGTAGCCCCCTGACTGCTGCAGTGAGTCCAGCTTTCTCTCCATCACTATGTTCTGAATCCAATGTAAATCGTACAGATGCTCTCTGCGCACTCGGCGCAGTACGCCGCAGACCTGACTTGCGAACCCACATCCGGTCGAGTACCGTTCCGGGTTGAGGCTTCCGGCACGGCGCCAGATGCCAGCAGAAAATCACACACACTTCAAACAAGCTTGGAAGGGGAGCTACTGTCTGCCCGCAGCCGCATGGAGGAGAGTCCTCGCCCCGTTAGCGCGCCGCCGGGACATGCGCGTTATTCACCCACCCAAGAACGGTCCTCGAATCCCGAACGCTCCGAGCTAGTCACGCACGCATGCATTGGAACAACCGATGCGGATTTCGTTGCTATGGACGTGGGCGGTAGCAGGCAGGATGGCAGAAACGCGAAAGAGGCAGACGCCTCCCCATGGGAGCTCGTGCGGTTTTCAACTGGTTCTGTTTCACCAAAGCTAATCCTCCCTTTAAAACAGCGCTCCCAAAACATGGTCGGCGCGGAGGGCGTACACCGACGCCACCCAAATGCAGCCGCCCTCGAATACGCGAGTCATGACAGCGTTGACGCGTTGCGGCGCGAGAACGACGCACTGCTCGCGCGGACTTCCTCGATGAGCTCGCAGATCGCGGAGCTGACGTTGAACAACGCGATCGCCTTGACCCAGAACATCAACCTGTCTTCTAAAGTGGCTGCCCTCTCCGCTCAAAATGCCGTGTTGTCTTCGCAGATGGCGACGGTACTCGCTCGGCTGGACGCTCTCGCTGCGTCCGAATGTAAGCATCATTTCCTGTCACACCCTGCAGACATCGTTTACTAACCTGGCGCGTAGTGCCGCCTTACCGTGACTAGCGTTGACTGCAACTGGTGGTGAAGTTCCCTCACCAGTCGGATTGTTGCTAGCATTTCTCGCAAGCCCGAGATCATGATAATATTGTGCTCGTCTGACCGAGCTGTCGACTTTTGAAGCCTGCAGAGTGAGTTGGTTGCAACTTGTGCGCAACTTGGAGGGAATTCTGGGTCGTCGCGCAAGAGGTTAGATTAGATAAGATCCCCGGACTTATCGCGGCCGCGACGCTGTCCGACTCGTCTGCCAGTGGCTAGCGAAGGTCTCAACATCATACCACCAGGTCCAAGCACCTTCGGATACAGGTATATACACACAACTATCACTTCTACAAGTATCGGACGTATTCGAAGACTATGAACCACATGGCGGGCTAGGTAAGCTTCACGATATCAATGTCAACGTCGTAGGGTAGGCTGAGCGCGAACGGAGAGAACGCGTTCTTGATATAGTCGTGATGTACAGTGTCCTTAGGGATCCACCACCTATACTCCCGAAGTAGCATGCTGACTAGGACCTTTTGCTCATACAGAGAGAACGCGCGAGCGGGGCACTGCCGCGGCCCGAGCCCGAAGGGGATCCAACTGGCGTCCGCGGTAGACTTGTCCGAATTCAAGAAGCGGTCCGGGTCGAACGCGTCGGGATCTGCCCAAGACGTGCTGTTGTGCAGGATGGCGCACATGTTGATGATAAAGGGGGTATCGGGTGGAATGACGTGCGCGCCGACCTGCAACGGGTCGTCCGAGAGACGGGGGATGAGAACGTTCGACGGGTTGTTGAAGCGCATCGACTCTCGGATGACAGCGTTGAGATATGGCATCCTCGAGAAATGTTCCAGGCGTGGCTCATCGGAACCCATGATGCTGGCGACCTCTGCGCGGAGGCGGGCCTGGACGTCCTGATACTGGCCCAACAAGAACACGATAGTCGACAACGACCCTGCCGTGGTATCCTGAGCCGCATTCAGTCTCTGTTATGCAGATGTTTGGACATGGAAGCACTTACATGCCCGCCCATGAAAGTCACGATGATGTTGTCCCTCAGCTCTGTCTCCGACATCTCCGGATTCTCCAGCATGTACGTGATCATATCGGGTCCGGGATGATCTCTCTTCTTTTGCAGGAGGACGCGGAACTCTTCGACCAAGGAATCGACCATATCCCGAATCGCGGGGCGCGGCATCCACCGCTCGAGTGCGGGAAGGAAGATGTACGCGGGACTCGAGATGGCGGCCATCACCTCATGATACCTCTCCACGAACGCTCCGTGCGGCTTGTCCAGCGCTTCGAAGTCGTACCCGATGACGGTGGTCCCGACCGCGTCAAGACTGAAGCGGTGCGTGTAGTCGTTCCATTGGACTCGCCCGCCGTCTCCTATGAGCGCGAACGTCTTGCGCGAGAGGGCTGCGAACTGCTCGATCGGGATGGTGCGGTGCAGGGCCTCGTGCATAATCTTCGCGTGGCGCTTCCACATCTCGCCCTCCGCTGTGAAGACGTTCTGGCGCCCCGTTAGCCGCCACAGCAGCATCTCCGCGGGGAGCTCTTGCTTCCTGAGCCCGCGCTGCTCCATGATCCGTTTTGCGGCCTGACTCATCGCGACGTCAGCTCGTCTTCCGACAGCACTCAAGGCGAAAATACGCACATTAGCTTCGACGATATGGACTACCCACTCGCCGAGGCAGAACACCAGCACGACGTCAGTGCCGGCCTTCTGTGCGAAAGGGATAATGATACGCTTGACCCGCCGCTCCTCGACTTCTCCGGACAGGTAGCTGAGCAGGAGTGGCATAACTGGCACCTTGGGGAGGTGCCGCAGGTGCGCAGGTACGCGGACCCATCGATAGACGGCAACTACGAAGAAGGCAAGTACTGCGGCGATGACTTTCTGCAACATGGCAGCAGGAGTGAGTGTGTTTTGCTCTGGCACACCCGTCCTAGAGTATAATAACTCATCTGTGACTAGCTGCCAAATATCGACTGCGACGCTGTTCCCGATTCCAGCGCGAAGCGCTATGCTGCCGCGAATGCACACCTGTGCGTTCTTTCGCCGGTTCCACGCGCCTAGGATACACCCGACCGCAGTCGGAGGCTGCCAGGCTCAGGACAGCGGGCGCTATAAGAAGCTGCGCTGCGAGTTGATATCATCCCAACATCCCGGTGAGTTTTGAGTTCTGTCAGCGCTCGAACCTCCCGCCTGATATGATGGAAGATACCAGGGCTGAGCCTGCCATTCTAGCGCGAGCATACCTCCGGCGCAGCCCATGGGATGCGCGCGCCACGACGGCGACCACCTGGTGGCGGGCCCCGGGGCAGCATCAGCTTCCCTATTGCACCTTCTCCATGATAGAAGCCATGCGCAATGTTCGTGAACCCGTGATGATCGTTTGAAAGAAGCCCACAGCTGCCTGCACAAGGTTGTAGCTGACCTCGCCTCCGACGACAGCTCCGTTTTGCCCGCTCGGGACCGAAGTGAGTGTTTTTGTACACACTACTCTCACACCTGCGGGCGCCCCGCTCGCCGACCCAAGCCCCCGCGCAGGCCTACTCGGGCTAGGTATAGCTACCGACGCTATCCCCGTGTTATCCAAACCCGCAACGTTGCCAGGCCGGTGGCATACCGACAATCCAAATTTTGGCATTGGCTGGTCGCCGGCGCCGGTTGAAGCTTCGCACTGGCGTGTCGGCGGCAGAAATAGCACCCCGGACGCGCGAGAGCCCGTGTTTCAAGGTACCGGCATGCAATGGTTATACACTTCCCCCAGCTCGCAGAAACACGGTACATAGCTATGTACATACTGCAGCCTCCATTGCACGTACTCACTATGGACTTCAGATACCTTACACATGTGTAGTGTACTTGCTCCCATTCCGAAGAGCGGCTGAATCGTAAGGGTCCCATGTACCCAATGAAGTGCGCCCCAAGTGTGGTCACTGCCGCGATACTAACTCTAAGTAACTCTAAGCTCGGACGTTGCCTGGTTGCCATGTCTTCCGGCGCAGAATGTAGGCACATAGCGGTTCAACTCGTTCCTGAACGACCGACCAGGGCCTTGATCCCGATGCGTGTGGCCTGAGTTAGCCGAGGGACGAGGGGTTTTCGCAGTTTGCAACTGCACGGCTCGACCTGGCTCGACACGGCCGCCGGAAGTGAGTGAGGATTTATGCACGCATGCCGGATGGTGACATGGCAACGGTTCCTTGTACAGTTTGTGCCTCGTCAAATTCGTCACCTTTCGAAGTTAGATCTGCCACTTTGATACGTTAGTGGCCTCGTCCTAAATGCTGTTGACGCTGACCCCCGTACTGTACAAAAAGTACTGGCACTCCAGCACGACTGTACGCCCGTTCGTTCTCTCGAGCCTGGACCGCAGCGTACACACAACTCAGTCATATTCGCCGACGTTCGGCCTGCGCAAGTCAACGCACGGCGGAGATTCGCCCATCTCTTCCCCCCCTGGTCAATCTACAAGATCAGGATTGGCGTGCCCCGACGATGACGGCGGATCGCGCGGCACCCTGCGGCGGGGCGCGGCGCCTCGGAAACGCTGCGCCTTGAAAGCGGTGCATCGATCGACGCTAGTCGGTGCAAGCACGCGTCGGCGTCTGATCAAACCGCCATCGAGGCGTCCTGGTGGCTTGCCTGCGCTACGAAAGGCAGGTCAGTTCTGTTTTGGAAGACGGGGGCAGGCTTGGGGAGGTCGCTTATACTGATCCAGTCTGACCACAGACAGCGGTAGAGTGTTGACACGTTCGATAGAGGCGTACTCATCGTATGGAGGTTGTCACTGAGCATGACCAGGGATGACCCCGGCTCGGCAGGCGCGGGCCTCTCGGACATGTGGCGGCGGCCCCGAGCCGAGGAACTGGGTGGTTTACTCAACGCAAGTGAGGTGAGGAGGGCTGGAACCAATCGCGGAGATGGGACTTACACGTTACACATCTGATCAGCTCATAAGCCTCGGCCTCGCTCAGCAGTCTGGTTCGACGCAGTACTGTACTCCAACTGGACGTATGAGCGGCTCGAAGCCCACTTACACATCGATACTGAGGCCCGAGCCCCTTAGTCGAGGACGACCTACGGAGCCGACAGGCACGGGTGCATCGGTTCGGAGTCGACATACTACCCGGTACGCCCTGTAACTGGAAAGTCGTATGCACGCCTAAAAGGTGATCCGGGGCCACGAACAGTGCACTGGCTCCCGATGGTGTCCCCCGCGCGACACGAGGCAGCGAATAGAAATCACAGATTTCTTCCCATCTCGCGCGCATCTTGGGGTCGATGCCCGCCCTGCTGTGCCCGGACTAGTTTAGTGGCGCAAGCTCGCGATAATTAAGAAGAGGCTTCAGACGTGCCTTCGAGTCCAGCTAGCAAGCGCGTTCCCCCGAGTCGATCTCCCCGCAATGATTTCTCGCATCTGGCCGTCGGTCTCGATTCCCGAGGTCTTGATATTCCTCTCCTTGGCGCTGCTTCTTGTCATCTACCGCGCCCTACGTGTCCCTTCGCATTTGCGACACATCCCGACTGTGCCTCTATGGCCTCTGCTATACAGCTACTTGTCGGGGGAGGTCGAAGAACAACGCGTCAAACGGCTCGTACTGCCGTTCGCGAAGGCGCAGGGGACGGACGTTGTGTTGATGTACTGTCTGGGGGACTGGATGGTCCAGGTGGTCGAGCCTAAGGTAAGCAACCCGAGACATCGTCATCATATGAAGTATGACTTACTTTACGACAGGTTGGCAAACGGCTTCTAGAAGACCCGTCCATGCGAAAGCAGCAGCAGCCCGACGACATGCTCCTATGGAGGCTCATCGGACGCAACAACATCTTCATGTCCGACGGCGAGACGTGGAAGCGGCACTCCCGCATTATGCACGAGGCGCTGCGACAGACGGTCCCCATGGAACGCTTCGTCTCGCTCGTGCAGACGACATTCGACATCATCGGGGACGGCGGGCGCGTCTGCTGGAGCGAGCTCAGCCACCGCTACACGCTCGACGCGGTCGCCACCACAGTCATGGGTTACGACTTCGAGGCGCTCGCGAAACCAGAAGGGTCTTTCGTGCAGAAGTACCACAAGGTCATGGCGGCGATCGCGAGCCCGGCGTATGTTGCATTCCCGTCATTGGAGAGGTGGCTGCCCCGGCGGGCCGTGCGTGCGATGGTGGACGACTTCATCGGAGACTTCTGCACGATCCTGGACGAGAAGCGCAGAAACCCGGGAAACGACGTCATCACGTACATGTTCCAGGAACCGGAGATGACCCAGGACGACTTCCGAGACAACACCATCGTTCTCTTTATTGGAGGACATGTAAGTGTACCCGCTAGCTGCCGTGGGTGATATTCTGACGATGATTTCGACGCAGGACACTACGGCGGGCGCGCTCTCCTCCGCCGTCTATTTCCTCGCTCGATACCCCGACCTCCAGGAGAAGGTTAGGCAGGAGATCTTCGCCGTTTTGGGCAACGAGGAACCTCGCATCGCGCACTTCGCGAACACCCCATACCTCAACGCCGTCATCCGCGAGTCAATGCGGTACAACACCCCTACGAACGTCACCGTCCCTCGCATCTCCGACGATTCGCTGACGGTCGGAGATATCGTCATCCCGCCCAACACGCCCATCGCGCTCAACATGGCCGCGGCGCATCACAACGAGGAGGTCTGGCGTAGCCCGGGCGCATTCGACCCCGAGCGATTCCTCCGCATTGCAAAGGACGACGCGAACAACTGGGTGTCGTTCGGCGTCGGCCCGCGCAGGTGCCCCGCGCGCAACTTCTCGTTGTACGAGCAGCGCGTGCTGATCAGCATGCTCCTGAGGGAGTACCGGTGCACGCTCCCGGAGGACTCGATACACCGCGACCACCTCAAAAACGGCTTCTCGGCGTTCGCGCTCAGTTTGCCCGAGGGCGTGGACATAGACTTTGCCAGAATTGCCTGCTCGAATACCCTTTGACGAACCCCCTTATGATCCCCTTACGATTCCTTCATGATCTTGTAGACATCTGATATGCTCTGTATGTTGTACGGCTAGTGGACACTGTGTCATTAGGAGGCTATATGAAAATGCGATGAGACCTTAAGCGTAACACGCAACTTCGCGAATTTATCGCGCCCTGTCGTCGTGCACCACGATATGATGATGACGTGGTTACGAAAGTCAAACCTGCTCATGTCAGCATAAAAGATGTCGGCGTAAAAGACGGTCAGACCTGGGTAAGAGTCTAAGACCGCATGCTCGTGGGTTGCTACCACAAATTTGAACCAAGTTCACTCTGTCAGACCCCAGAGTCCATTCCCTAAGTGCGATTGGAGCACTTGCAAGCCGTGAATAATGCAGACTCACCGCCGTGATGAGGAGACCATCAGGCCTCAAGACCCCTTCGCAGAGGGTTGGGAAACAAGTACTGGGAGTAACTGGGGAACGTTTCGACACCCTGGGGCCATTCCCAGGACTGAAACCTCCTCACTTTCTCCAGTGGTGTTTCGCAGCAGCATAGAACGACTTCTGCAGAAGATGTTTCCTAGGGAGTAGTTCCGATGAAGACAAAGGATGAAGAGGAAGGTGAAAAGGGACGCAGGGGCAGCGCCGCTCGATCGGTACTACCGATGCAACGTGCGAATCTAATCTTATCTAGTTCCGAGAGCTCTAGTGGGCGCTCATTAATATTCATGGCATTTCTGTCTTTCTCGTCCTCTGCTCTGATTTCCATCTTCCAGCCATGAATCATCTTGACAACCTCGGGGACTCTACCACAGACGATGAGGCAGGCTCTCAGACGACCGAAGACGACATGCCCGAGCGACAGGCACCTCCTGCCGCCCCTCTTCCGCCAGTGCCTCCCGTGCCTGCGCCAGCCACTGCTACCGGCCGCGAGCGACCTCATTACGAGCTGAGGCATACCCTTCGAGGTCATACAGAATCCATATCTGCGGTTAAATTTAGTCCAGATGGGACGTTGCTTGCATCTTGTGGTACGTCCTTGCGCGTGAAGCAGACTGGCCATATCTGAAGATGCAGATGGGTAGCGAACGATCGCGTCGTGAAGATCTGGTCTCCATTCACTGGAGAGCTCATACGGAACCTGAACGGCCACACGAAGGGCCTATCAGACATTGCATGGACGTCAGACAGCGTGCATCTCGCTTCTGCCTCCGACGACACCACTATTCGGATATGGGAGGTCGATACAGTACGCCTAGTGGTCAATCCTCATTTCACGAATGCTGGTGACAGACGACGCGCTTTAGGGAATGACTTTGAAAACGCTGAAGGGGCATACAAGCTATGTCTTCTGTGTGAACTACAACAACGCGTCGAATCTTCTCGTTTCCGGTGGATGTGAAGGGGAGATTCGGATATGGAATGTCGACAAGGGTACGCAGACTGCCTCATCATATTATCTGCATACTTATCGCGCGGGACACAGGGAAGTGCACTAAGAAGATCCTTGCACATTTGGACTATGTTACCGCGGTTCACTTCAACCGGGACGCCTCACTGATCGTCTCGTGCGCTCTCGATGGTCTAATGTGAGCACTCCGCACATATGAGTCCTACAGTTCTGACTCCAAAGCAGCCGAATATGGAACACGACCACCGGGCAGTGCTTGAAAACCCTCGCAGAGAGCCACGACGCGATCTGGTACGCCCTCTTCGCCTCACAATTAATACTCCGCGCGCCACCTCTGATATCGCATATAGTCAACACGTACAGTTCTCACCCAACTCTAAGTACATCCTCTCCACCGCGCACGACAGCGCGATCCGCCTCTGGGACTACCAGACCTCGCGCTGCCTAAAGACGTACGTCGGGCACACGAACCAGAAGTTCTGCATCGCCGCGTGCTTCAGCGTCACGGGCGGAAAGTGGATCATTTCCGGCAGCGAGGACAACAAGGTGTTCCTGTGGGACCTCCAGAGCCGCGAGATCGTGCAGACGCTCGAGGGGCACACGGATGTTGTGGTCGCAGTCGCGGTACGTCCTGTGTGTTTTTTGTCTGCGTGCGGGGAACGACTGACGGGGCCGCATGTAGACGCATCCACAGCAGAACATGATAGCCTCGGGCTCTATCGACACGGACCTCACAATCCGACTATGGGCGGACCGCGGAGGCCCATAAGATTTTCAAGATTTGTATCGCGCATTCGGTTTCCTTCAAATTCTCGAGCGCTCTGGCGCCATGTTGTATTATTGTGTACTTTTGGGCTTGTGCGGCTTCAAGGATCCTGTGCAATTATCACCGAGTTGTCTAGACTCATAGTCTGATTCGTTTACAGTCCCCAACATCCGCTCTTTAAACGACTCGCGCGAATTTCTGACGTGGACTAGCCGATCACCAGATACACAGGGCAGTCATCGAACACAGCAACTTCTCTCCTCCGTCAAGGGCTATGCAGTCGTCCGGGAAGCAAGATGCGAGTATATCACGGAACTGCTTTGTGTGCGGGGCGCTTGGGCAGAGTTGCGCGTGGTTCGCTCTCAGAAGTTCACTCACGTCCCCCGACTCGACGCCGTCGGGGGCTCAGCCCACCGGTGGCTTAGAAGCTCGTTCTCCTTACAATGCCGGATGCTCCTGTAAGTTCTGCCGCCACATTTGTGTTCCAAACCGGTACGAACTATAACTCCACTGCGTCTAGGCTCTCTAAATCTTACATACTCTTGGTCCCATCACCGTTCATCCTGCTCAAGACTTTGGGCCTCAAGGAGAAATATCATTTTGATAGGACAGGTATTTGTCATACCTACTGAATTTCTCATGATGCTCATATCGTCCGGGCCCATAGACCCCAGAAGATCATTAGTGCTGTATGGCTCTCCTCAACCTCTCCGTTACCATCTTCATGCCCCCCTCATTTCGCCTGTGGATCCTTCCCTCATGAACATACCCCTCCTCTCAGAGGGCTCAGCCCCCGAAGGGGGTACCCTTCCGCCAAGGCCCGCTTCAATTTGCCACGCGTGCTGGCAAGGTCCCTTCGCGATACACTTTGGGCTATTACCTTGTCAGGTACTCGACAATGAGGGGCAGTACTACAGGCGATGGAATGATTCACATTCGTACTTGACCTCATTCCCGGAACTGAAGTCTCGTGCTCTCGCAGGCTGCGCGTGGTGCCAACTCCTAGTCGCAATATTGGAGGAACTGCGCACCCGCAATTCTGCTGGAGAGCCGGAGGATCCATTGAATATCACGGTGCGGGGTGTTTTGGACCATCACTCTGAGCGGACCCCCGAAAAGTATCAAACGTTGGAGGTGGCTACTAACAGCAATCATCCAATATTTGCAGGAGTTGTGCACACCGCTCCAGGTATGTTTGCATCTCGTTCCATGGGTATAGTGCTGGCGCTAAAAGAAGTGCTTAGACGACAACGCCGCGCCTTATATCATTTTGCGAAGTCCTCTGCTCGAAGTCGGCTCTCCTCGTGCCTTGGCCCTTGCCAAAGAGTGTATCGACGAGTGCGTCCAGAGACATAAATCTTGCATGTCTTCGAACCTCCCCGATTCCCGCCGCCTTCCCACACACGTTATCGACTGCACAAACCTCGCCCATCCGCGTCTAGTCTCTACCGATGGCCGCTCTGGCAAATACCTCACACTCAGCTACGTTTGGGGCTTGGACCAGATACACAAAACCACGACATCCAACGTATCACAGTACGAATGCGGTATCGACCTCTCCCTCCTCCCTGCGACCATCCGCGACGCGATCTACGTTACCCACGCGCTGGGCCTTCAGTTTCTCTGGGTTGACAGCTTGTGCATTATCCAAGACTCGAACGAGGACAAGCGACATGAGATTAGGCGCATGCATCATATCTACCGCCATTCCCACCTTACAATCATCGCCGCCAGCGCCGAGACAGTCGCAGAGGGTTTCCTCCATGATCGTTTGCCCACGCCACCAATGCTGATGAGTGACATTAGCTCGGGTGGTGACATCCTCTTACCCTTCATCTGTCCTCCAGACCCTCTCGCCCCCGGTGAGGCCCGCCAACTGGACGACTCTCGAAGCGAACCATTGCCCAAGGTTGGCACGCTACGCATCACACCTAAGCCATACCGTATAGGCAGAATATACTCAGGAAAACCACTGGCCATACAGCAACAGCTTTGGACATCTCGGAACCCGCGGCTGGTGCATGCAAGAGGACCTACTGTCCTCGCGCGCGCTCATCTTCACCACCAGGACGCTGCAGTTCAGGTGCCTCACCGCCACGCAAAATGTCGGCCGCTCGCTCTGCGACACGACCATAGAGCGGCGGCTTCCCCTCATCCTCCTCCGCCCAAACCCGCCGGTCGTGCTACACGACTCCAAGGAGTGGGAGCGCGTGTACGGCGCGTGTACGGCGCGTGGCTCGGGATCGTGGACGACTACAGCCGCCGCACGACGAGCTTCCCGGCGGACAAGCTTCCCGCGTGCGCCGCAATCGCGGAGCAGTTCAATCGCGTCCTGCGCTCCGACTACCTCGCGGGGCTCTGGCGCGCCACGCTCCTCTTTGGCCTGCTATGGCGCGAGGGATGGGAGGGACATCTGCGGCGTCCGGACGGGTACCGTGCGCCATCGTGGTCGCGGGCGGCAATCGACGGCGCAATCTCCTGGGACCAGGAGCGTCGCTCGGTGGCGTTGATGTCCAGAAACGCGCTCGCGAAGATTGTGCGGTGCGAGGTCACCCTCGAGGATGATGCGCTTCCGTTTGGGCGGGTGACAGGCGGGACTCTCGCACTGCGCGCGGCGGCGTTTCGGTGCCAGATCCGCCCTTCGATGGTCGCTGGAAGACACGAAGTTTTACTGCAGGCCACCGACGAACTTCAAGCATGGCGGAAGAAAAGGGGGGTCGGCGGCGCGGGTGGTGACGATACACTTGAGGATGGGTTGCCAATATCCGGACGCACGGTAATCGACGGCGGCGGGGATGGGGTGGAAAACGAGATGCAAGTATGGGCTGTTCCGCTGCTGCAGTGGGGTGAGGGCTCGCTGGAGGGCCTTGTGGTTACTCTAGCTGGTACGAGCGGCGCTGAAGGCGAAGGGCCTGAGTGCGGGACAAATAGGTACTATCGAAGAGTCGGGTGGTTCCAGCTGGTAGGCTCTCTGCCTCTCTCCTCGAACGATCGCAACCCGGGGACGGAGGTGTACGAGCTGGGGAGTATCCGTCGACGGATATCCAGATTGTATGAGTATCACACCTTGAGACCATCTGCATCGGACTCCGTACATACTACACCGACGATGCTCAGCGCCTACTACTACGCCTATCACGTGCACGTTTCCTCGAGATCCGAGTCGAAAGTTTGAACGTTGAACCTCTTCCACTTACCACACGCGTACACACTACGACCGGTACCACAGACGACTCATCGCACTGGAGGTCTACTACGCCGTTACAGCTTACAAGACGCCCTTGCCACCCTCAACAATGAACATCTACATCTTTTCTAACCCACGTACACGCCTACTATGCTCTGATCTCATTCGACTCAGGGACAGCTGTGCACCCCGCCCGGACGCCTCCCAGAGGTCTACGATGCACGTGTATTGGAAGGCATACCTGCCTATGTCTTGCGGCTGGGTCGTCGCACTGGTCGAACCTCCACATGCGTCATCGACTTCTCTAACTTAACGTCATGCTTGTCTAGATCTGCGAAGAGCCCGGAAGAATTCTCCATGGTCATGTCAAGTATTGAACGTTGAACGTTGAATCGTAATCACGCGGACGGGTATGCGTTCGCCGCGGTACAGACGTAGTGCTAAATGGATTGCAGCCTCGCCTCTCGCTCGGCGTTGCGTTTTATATTGCATCGCGTGCGCACCCTAACTTGGATTATCATAGTGGGCACCGGAAAGTAGGAGCCTCGTGAGCACATTGCTGCACACGAATAAGCACCTCGCTGTATTGTTGACCCCCTGTGAACAGTCGAACTGCACGCCCCATCGCAATCGACGGCTTCCGACTAGTCCATACGCCGGTATGCCCTCATCGCGTGTATAAATTTCTACACAGTGTGCTTCTTGACGCCCTTGCGGAGGCTGCGCGGCGCTGTACACGTCTAAAGGACTCGCTAGTTAGACACGGTGCCTCGAACTGGCAATGGTAGACGACCGTGTCTTTGGGTCGGCGGAGTTACGCCGGACGACCTAGACGTACTACAGTCAGTAGGGACGGAGGTTCAGCAAGTAAGTACTCCGGCAGTGACAGATTGATGAATGACTACTTATGCGATCACTATAGTACAGCCCGCCCGCTGCGAGCTCGCGGCAACAAATGAGGGCGGCACTCCACAGACGTCTACTATGCCGTATCGTTCTCATGGGATCGGACTCTTATTAAGTTCCATTCCTCCCAACCATCAGGCCATAAACTTCCGTCGCATGTGGCCAAACCTTAACATTCGCCTCTTATTAAGGTGGGAGGGATTCATCCGCCCTTTTGGCCTTCTCTTCCGCTAGGCTCTGATCTCCTTGTCGACGTTCAAGGGACTTCCCCCGCTAGCCTGTGACGAAACACAGGGCTGACTGGGATCCCCAAAAACTTCGCATATCGTCGTATTTCAAGTTGGTAAACTGGCATCATCGAGGTCAGCTTGTTTCGCACTTTAATCTTTACCTCGTAATGACAACGCCTCTTCAGGAAGTATGATCCCCATGTCGCCTCGTTCAAGTTCCTTTCCTCGGGAGAGGAGTCCGAGGATGACATCCCCTCCCCCAGGACACGCCGCTTTCCGGAGTCGGTCCCGTAGTCCGAGGGGGCGGCAACGCCAGTCTAGCGGCAGAACCAATGATCGGGCATCCTGGCGCCGAAGTGTCTCCCCACCCTACCGTTCAACCACACGAAGTTTTACACCTGCAGCGCCTTACAACCTAGCCATCCTCACTCGGACTGCCACCGAACCAATTCCGGCCGAAACACGCGCTTCCAGCCCCGCAGAGTCTGTCTCCTCACAAGGCTGGTACAGCGACTCGGGGATACCGACACCTTACAATGAGAAAATCGTCAGCTTGGAGGTGACGGAGGTGACCTCCCCTAACCGAGCCCAGAAGGCTAGCAAGCGTCGTACCGCAAATGCTGAGAAGGGAATCTTGACTCAGACTACTAAACAAGTGCGCAAGTGCACCCCTGCTCATCAGAGATGATACACTTACAATTAGCACAGCGCGTAGACGAAGCTCTTCACGAAGTCCTCGGCATCACCATCGATATCGCGCATGAGCTACTGGTCTTGGGCAGTGATCTCCTCGGCTTCGCGCCCATTCCGGGCCTCGGAGGTGCTGCACGCACACTACTGCACATATGGGATGCCGCGCTGAAGGTCACAGTACGTGCAAACCTCGTGATTATAAAAAGCGTGTTTGCCTGACCCTGAGATGAAGAACAACCAGATGGCATGCTTGAGCCTCACCGAAAAGTGTGCGGATACACTCCTAATCATCTACGAGGAGATATCGCAGGCAGGAGACGAGGTTTCCTCGGAACTTCGGGGTCCCCTCGATCGATTAACCAAGTACGTCCATGTTGCATCCTCTGCGAATTTTCGCCATTCCAATGTTGGGCTAGATCCTTCGACGCGGTGCGGAACTTCGTCGACAAACAGTCCCTTAAGACGGCGTTCACGAAGTACTTCCAGCGTGAAAAGATCGAGCGAGCTGTTCGTAAACACCAAAACAGCCTAAACGACGCGGTCATCCTCTTCAATGTACATCTCAACTTGTCTTTCCGCTGTGTATGCTGACCATCGGCCTCGTAGCTGACCATTCAGATCCGTACTTTGACCAAGGTCATCAAAGCTGGCAACCTAAATGATGAGACATACAACAAGTTACGGACTTTGTTCGAGCCTCACTTGCCCTCCTCCTCTCCATTGAAGATACCTCAGCAGGCCAACGATACTAGCCCCTTATCTGGAGCGAATGCAGAGCACACGCAGCCTGCCTCCACTCCGGCGCGGGACATCAAATACGATGCAGTACACAAAGCGACGGACCTACGGCAGGTGATGAACGATGCGCTACAGATGGACAGCGACCCCGACATGGTCCGCGTCCTCCAGGCCGGGCTAGCACAGACACCCGAGGCGATGAAGATGCTGAAAATAGCTATCCAGGTGGAATATCGCACTGTAGCCACTCAATCCGATCCGGGGAACCTCTCGGAAGACTCCTCCTACCACAATGCAGTAAAAGAAAAATCCATATCGCACGACGCGATGACCGGCGGAGCTGAGGTGGCATCCTTGGGCCACAATGCGTCTGGGCCTTCTGGAGCGAACGAGCAAGCGCAGTCCATGCAGATCGCACAGCTGTATAGAATGCTTCTACAGCACGAGTTCCATCCCTCGTGTAAGCTCTCCGCCGCTTTTTATGTCTTCGTCGACATGGGAAATGCACTAAACGCGTTATTTATGCAGTGACGCTGCCGCTCTGGACGCCATCTCCGATCCCAATCGGCGCAGTCGGTTACTATACTGACAGCGAAGGCGGGTCATTCGTCACATTGTTCGACTCATTCGATCCCGCAAGGTCGTCGAGAGGACGCGCAAAGGACGTCACGCCGCTGGGACACGATTCCGTGAGCCAAGTGAGCCGTTGGCAGGATCGGCGTACTGTCATTCAACGCGGTTTGGACATCATGTGGCGGTCCTGGTGGAGCCTGACGTGGCGCAGCGAGCAATGCTTGTGAGTGTTCTTGTAATCCTGACAAGATCAGTCGATATCCTAGCTAACAGCGATGGGACAGGCGAAGTTACTCATCGTCACTGGGCGTGACCAACGGGGCTGCGATGTTGTTCACGCAAACGACACACCACCGTTATATCGAGGACTTGAAGGTACCGCGACAGTGGTTCAAGGAGAATGCAGAACAGGTCCTCGCCATCTATGGTGCTGAATATTCTATATCAAGAGAGGATCTGTGCCTGGGTGAGTACTATAACTTGCTCCTGCTGCCAGGTATTCTGCACTTGTTCTTCGCCAAAACTGAATGCTCTACAACACAGTGATAGGGACACTCGAGGCGCAGGAGCACGCCCTATTGGTCAGCCAGAAACACCCGACCGGTCAGGTGCATTTCAACGTTTTCTCTGCGGCGAAAGCGGAAGAGCCGTGGGGCAAGTTTTCATTTTCGACCGACCGAACCCTACCGTCCGTCGGTGGACCAAATTGGGACGATAGCGGGCGGACTACAGAACCTCTTCGGACGTTCAAGGTCTCCAGCTGCAGATACGGCGGACCGTGGGACACCGTGCTACTCTCCTGTCTTCGTTTCACGTCCGGAGACACTGAACCTACGCTCTTTTGAGTATGTGGAGCTATGCCCGCACAGCCGTGTACGTTGTTGCCGCCCATTTTGAGATCTATACGCACTAAAGACATGGTGAACGCTTGCTGATAGGAAATCCCCCCTCTTGGATATGATGCCTGCACTCAGTCCCTCCAATTGCTTACCAAATCTACGTTTCTTCTGTATCAGTATCTTTTTACCTAGCCCTTTCATCCGCTCTTGGGAACACACATCGCGGCTTCTCTACTTCGCGTACCACCATCTAGTAGCTGCGTAGGATCTGTACATGTCAAACAACAAACGATGTGTTTCAGATTCCTGGATTGCACAAACAGTTGCCATGATAGCGATACAAAGCGACGACATTAACTACAATAGTACAGATGCCACTGACTGCATCTCCCCGATAGATGTTACATCGCTGCATTCCAAGACAGCTCACAGCTTCATAAAAGAGAAAAGAGCGCTCATCTGGATCCACCGTCGCCCGCACTGGTCCATATACTTGTCCACAGTCCCCTTCATCATATCGAGGAACTCGCTTCGGAGTCCTTCGACGACCTTGATGTCGGCTGCACTCGCATACGTTAGTCGCTGTTTACAGCGGTCCACTGTCTGCACGCACCTATCGTTGCTGGAGAGGCGGAGTTCTTCGCCCTCTCCGCATCGAACAACGAGAAGTAGTATCGCAGTTGGTTATACAGTTGCGCGTCCGAATACTGGAAGATATCAGTCAGCATCGCCGGACGGACGCCGAGTGCAAGGGCAAGTCACCTCGAACGAGACCGCACCCCGGCAGCCAGGCCGCAAGCACCGACGGCCATATACGCCCATCATGCGCGTGCGGTTCCCGCACGTCGGGTCGTCGCACACCGTCCAGCTCTCGTAATAGCGTGCGATGTGCGTGCGGATCTGCACCTCAAGTTGTGTCTGCACGCTGGCGACGCTGAGTTCGCCACGGCATTGGGTGCACATCACGCCTGCAGATTTGATGGGCGATTTCTGTGTGGGCCGTTAGTACGTGGGCGGATCAGGGAACACTGGGGGACGCACCTCCCGGTCGGCGAATGGAGCGAAGGTGACGTCGCCATTGCATGACCGGCAGCGGACAACGAACGGGTCGGTGTCTTGGAACCGCTCCGCATCGGACATGAGCGAGTCGAGGGTCCCGAAGTACCGTTCCTCGGCATCGCCTCCGGCGGATGTACGGTAACGATTAGGATCGAGGCCTGAGATTCTCGTGATTAGCGTGCGCTGAATCAAGGGAAATGAGAGGGACTCACCGAGACATTCCGCTAGTCGCGACTTGTCGGTACCCTCGATGGGCTCGCACAGACGCTCGATGGGCGGCAGGATTTGCTGAGACAGGTAGTGCTCGTAGTCTAGCACGGAGGTGAGCGACGCGACGCAAAGTCACCGGCGCTAGGCTTACCGATTTTCAGCTTGTCGCTTTCTCTGCGGACTTCGTCGGGGTGCTTCGCCTTGTCGGCTTGCGCGGTCTTCGAAGACTCGCCGCCCTCGCCGAGGCAGAACACGTAGGGAATGACGTCGCCCGCACGGGCGGTGATACCCCTTGCCTTCATCCGCAACGCGACTTGCACATGCGGTTGGCTCTTGGCGTCAGGGTAGTCCTCGGGGTTCTTGCCCAGTCGCTGTGTTGCGTGTAAACATCGGCGCATTCTAAAGGCTAGGGCCGGGACGCACCTTGAAGACAATGAACTCGTCCAACTTGATCTTGCCTGCACGCACGTTCTCGCTGACGGTAGACAAGTATTCGTGGATGTTCTCGACGACGTTCTCCGTTGCCTCCCCGGAGAGGATCTGCTCGAGGACGAATCTGACAAGAATAATTAGCGCGGAGCACACACAGCAGCAGTAGGGGGTAACTCACTGTGATACAGTCTTAGACAGAGCACAATACTCTCTGCGCTTCATGTCCAAACCCTTAACCTCAGTCGACGTACGCGTGCCGTCCTCGACCTTGACGGCTGCGTACTTCTTCTTCTGCAGAAGAAGCAGCCGCTGGAAGATACCATCGAGGTCGATCTCGAGCAACTTGTACCGGTCATTGACTGCCTTCTTGAACTCTGCTGAGATCTTCAGCGCCTCGGCGAGATCCGTGACGTTCGAGTTCACGAAGACCGAGTCAGTGTCACCGTATACGACCTAGGCAAGGGTTAGAGTATGATAAAGTGAAGGTGGTGTCCGCGACGTACGTCGAGCTGCATGCTCTCCGCGAGTTCGCGAGTATGCGTCAGAATCTCACGACCCTTGAACGTCGTGAGGGCGGCGAGCGGGCGGGCGTAGAACCGCGAGTATTCAAATCCGAGACACCCATACATACTGTTAGCAGTGAGCTTCAGAGCCATCTGCTTGATGTCCCACTGTAACGAAGACAAGTCAGATCTTGCGGCTGGGGTGGAACAGCCCGGGGGCGACTTGCCTGGAGCAATTGACCAGCAGTGGCCTTCTTGTCCTTCATGAGACTCTTCACCTGTCGTCGACGATTGACGAGTGTTGCAATGAGACGCGGGAGAACACCCAGCGCAACCTCCGAGCTCGGAGGTTCCGGGATCTTCTCTTCGCCATCCTGTGCAAATGTTAACTATAAGTTCTAGTGTGTCATCGTAAGCCGCAGTACACGCACCTCATCCTCGACCGCCTCCACAGTCGTGAAGTCGATGTTGTACTCTTGGATGATGCTCGGGTACAGCGAGTTGAAGTCCATGACGAGAATGTACTTGTCCCACAGGCCGCGCTTGGGCTCGAAGACGAGACCACCCTTGTACTTGTCCCGCTTGCCCTTCGTAGCCTTCGTGCCCGCACCTTCCGCGTCCTCGTCCTCCTTCTCGGCTTTGACTGCCGTCGCGGCCTTCTTGCCGTACAGTTTGTCCGGGCAGAGGTACTTGAGCCGGTGGAACTCGTGCAACAGAATGTACTCGTTCCGCTCGGCACGGCCTCCGTTCAGGGTCTTGTTCCTACATTGACGCATGAGTCTAGTTCGAAAACCATAAGTTCGCACACATACCAGGAGTTCCCGGCAAGGTTCGTCAACTGCCGGGTCAAGGGCAAGAGCTGGACCTTGGCCGCAAGTGCCATCTGGTAGTGCGCATCCAGCTCGCAGTGCCGTACGAACGTCAGAAGGCGGTCGGGCGTGCTGACGCTCCCGTCAAAGTAACTAGCGGTATCATCAGGGTCAATCTCTTGGCGTTCACTCTTCAGGTGCGTCTTGCACATCTCAGTGAGCGACCATGTTGTCGAAGTGATCATGCCCTGCCGACCAATGTCAGCGCGGACCGTTCTACATATGGACATCAGAGGGAATATACCTTCGCACCGTCGCTGGCGAGGTCGCAGAGCAAACGTCCGCTCAAGAAGCGCATGTTCGTGCCCTGTCGCCCAATGTTGGGCCACTTAGATCGTCGGAACCGGCCGATACGTGACCAGTGGTCGGCCTTCAGTTCGCGCATGCGATGGAGCAAGACGTCCAGGGAATCCCCGAGGAATTCGTGACCGACGATGACGTCTGGATCAGCCTTATGCAGGGTCACTGGTAAGGATAATGTATAAGCGTCGCGAAAAGCAGCTTCGTCGGGGTAAGCTGACCGAGCAAGTTGTTGAGCAGCATACGCTCGTTCTTCATCGCGGAAATGACGCCCTTCCCATTGTGGCCCGCACGGGCCTCGAAGTTGGGCGGGAATCGGTCTAGAGGGCGGACGAATGTCCGAACAGTGCACGGGAGGGATTCGGGTGGTGTAGTACCATCAATGTCCACTACGGGGCATGTGTAAGCACAACTCTCGTAATTAAGGTCACAGCTTACGGTTTGTCCACAACCGAGCCGTTGCGCAGACGATCTCACGAATGTTCTCCCTGTGGTTCACAATCGTGCGCATGCTTAGCGACACGACGGTAAGTGGGGGCATCTCTCGTGGTGCATCCGAGTCTGTTTCGGGGAACGGGTTGATGTCCTTCGGATCGGACACGGTGGCCTCCACTTTGCACCATGATACCTAGCGCGGCAAGGTTGGTCTGGTTGCGAGTCAGATGCAGATACCATTACTCACGCCCTTGTTATCGATTTCGGGGTGCTTGACCTGCAACCAGCACGGGCCCATGATCTTGCGTTTGAGAACGAGGAGTTCAAAAGCGCTCGTATTTGTCCCGAATATGCGCGAAAAGTTAGGACTGGACGCAGTATTAGGCAGTTGTGGCTCTGAACGTCAAAGTCAATGCGCGCTCTATGCCGCTTGCGATAGCCACTTACCGTTGAAGCCATACACCACCTTCAGCCACTGCTTCTCCTCCCGTGGTACGTCTTTCTCACCAAACGCGTACTTGCGCTTGACGAACTTCCCCTTGAATGCCTTGATCCCAGCCTTCCTCCGCAGACGGTCGAAGTCCGAGTAGATTTCCGGCAGCTCGGGAACTTGGTCCGTCTCGTACATCTCCCCCGTGTCCTCGTCTTCCTCCATGCGGCGCTCACGGGGAAGAACGAACAGGTTGCGCTGGAGGTTCTCGACGGTCACGCTGATCGAGACCCATGTCTTGGTCTTCTTGTCCTGCGTCTTACCGATGAAGTACAGCTTCCCGTCGTGCTCAAGATAGTCAAGCCAGTAGAAGCGCAGTGAACCGTCCTCCTCCAAGACTGAGAGGTTCGTCGGCGCGGCGGTACGCGCAGGAGTAGTCGGCCCAGAACCTAGTGAGTCGTCGGTTGTGACCTTTAGCGAGTCGTATATCGACAGCCAGGATGGTGTGTCGTCTAGCTTCTTCTTGCCACCGGCGTTCGTGTTTAGTGGCTTCAGCGGTTTAGCTTCAGCATCGACCTCTATCTTCGCCCTTGGTTTTGGCTTGAGGTCCTCCAGTTCGTCCTCGTCGATCTCCATGAACGCGTCCATGTCGATATCGTCGAACGAAGCATCGGCGTCTTCACCGCCGCTCTCTACTCCCAACTTGCCCATACGTTCGATAGCCGGCGTGATTCCTGGAGCCTCCGTCCTTGGCTTCTTCTTGGGGCTCAAGAAATAGTCATCACCGCTAGACGCCCCGACACCATCGTCGTAGGGGCCGTCTGAGGAATTGTCGGCATCGGCATACCCGGTGGGCTTTGCTTTGGTCCGATAGCTGCTGGTAAAGGGGTTGGGAGAGGAGCCGCCATCATCGTACCCGGGTTCTGGCTCTGGCTTGCGCTTGCGGGACTTCACTGGTGCGGGCTTCGCCGAAATGTTGTCCATGTCTCCTAGAAGAGACGCCATGAAGTCTGTCTCTTGCTCCGCGGACACGGCAGGACGGTAGGCAGCAATGGAAGGAGTCACGGCGGGAGGCGGGGGCTTCACCTTTGCCTTCGTCTTGCCCTTTGCGTCCGCCTTGCTCTTCTTGGCTACTCAGCGACTTGACATTAGACACAAGTCGCGAATATAACGGAGATACGCGTACCCTTGCTCTTAGAACGTTCCTCTTCACTCTCCTCGTCTGCTTCCGGTTCCTCGAAGTCATCCACGCCGGTGTCCATGTAGCCGCCGACGCCATCGTCGACCACGAAGTCGTCCTGCGCAAGGCGACCGCGCACTACGCTCTTGTATTGGTCCTCCGTGACTTCATCGTAAAGTCTATCATCCTCCTCGACCTGAAAACGCGTCCGTTCGCGATCAACACCTCGCGTTAGCCACGCGCGCCCAGGACGTACCTTGTATGATCTCCCGCCACCTTCGCGCGCCCGCTTGAGCTCTGCAAGCTTGGATAGTTTTGCCTGTTTCTCCCGACGCGCCCTTTCAGACATAGTTTCACAGGTGTGGGAGCAGAAAAGGTGTGGATCGGTGAACGCGACGGTGCAGCAATGAGACGCGCCTGGCTGGACATGCGACACGCTTTCGGGCGGAGATGCAAAGCGTGGCATGCACGTGCCTAAGACCTAACCCCAGCACCCGGGCACCTAACCCCACCCTGACGCTCCCGAGTTTCCGAGCCCGGGACTCTCACTCAGCACCAGACCTCATCCTGCCACGCACCTTCCCTCTCACCACCATGTTCAGCTCCGTTCTGCGCACCTCGGTACGTCTGCATGCACCCCCCGAACGCACGCTGTGATGTCTGACACTTGTGCAGTTCACCGCTCTCCGTGCACCGGCTCGTGCACCGGCTCTCGCCCTCGCATCTCCGTCTGCAGCCTTCGCACGGCGGTACATCACCCAGGAGGCTCGCAGTAAGATCCAGAAGGCGGTGACGTCTACGCCAGTCGTTCTGTTCATGAAGGGAAACCCCGAGGCTCCCCAGTGCGGTTTCTCGAGGGCCGCGGTGCAAGTTCTTGACATCCACGGCGTACCACCGGAGAAGATGCAGACGTTTGACGTTTTGGAGGACAGCGAGCTTCGGCAGAGCATTAAGGAGTTCTCGTATGTTCCCTTTCCATCTGCGTTCCGTACCCTGTGCTGACATTGTCGCGCTCAGCGATTGGCCAACCATCCCTCAGCTCTATGTTAACGGCGAGTTTGTTGGCGGTTGCGACATCCTGCTAAACAGTACGTGTCCGGCGCTTGTTCGTGGCACATCTGTGTTCACCGATCTTTACAGTGCACCAGTCCGGCGAATTGGCTGAGCTCTTCGTCAAGGCCGGCATTGTACCACCGGAAGAGCCCCAAGAGACTCAGAGCCAAAGCCAAAATTAGAGGCAGGCCACGTCGCATGGGAAGTCCGGTGTATAGGAACCCCTGCTCTGTACATAAGGGTTCTCAAGCATGCTGCTTCGACCCCGGGTCCGTGTGTCCTCCCCCTTTTATGACTCGTATTGGAGGGCCCGCCCATTATCATGCTGTATCAATATGCACACGTAATTCACCCGCCTCTTTACTGTAATGCTGCACGCTAAACCACACCTCTTCGAATAACAGACAGTACTGCCGTAGGGTGCTCACTCACCTCCGTGCCACTCTTCTGCAGCACCATAACATCTGTGCGATTTGAGTGGCTCCCTTCCGCCACCCTGCCATGTATACGACAGAGGGGGCGGCGTGAACGATTCTCGGCGAACAACAGCCTACCTGTCGTTTGGGTGATATCTCTGCATGGTCTCTACCGAAATCTGTCGTCTAGCCTGAGTAAGTAGTGAATGTTGCATTAGGAGGGCATGTATGATGTATAGTAGCGAGAGGGTACTCCATGTCGATCATTCCGGCGTGTATTCCACAACACCACCCTCGCCTACCGTGCCTCTCTTCACCTTCTCGCCCTTCGCGCGCACCAGGTCCTCCACCGTCTTAAGCTTGCCGTCCTCTGTGCTCTCCTTGAACCACCCCAAATGGTCCGCGATGAGATGCCTGACATGTCAAGTGAGTACGCATAACGCACGGCGAGAGCAAGATGTAGTGCGCACCGGTTTTTGCACCCCGGACATTGCACAATGACAATGCCTTTCTCATAACTCCGCTTCGTGAACTGGTGAGTAGAACGCGTATCGCACGCCTCTACTGTGCAGGTGAACGTTATGGACAGCTTTGGTTCTGGCATTTGGAATGAGAGGTGCTTTTGGGGATTCGAAGACATTTCTGATGATTCTGCGCTACTCGCATGCTGATGTGGGGGTGTAGGAGGAGTAGAGGGTGTTTCTTTCGCAGCACGCGGAGATAAGGACAGGGCGCGAGTGCTTGCAGGGAATCGCAGTGCTCGCAATGCCCATGGCAGAGGTGGCCGGGGTGTTACGCGGGTGATAGCAGTGACTGGTTGCCAAAGAAGAGCGGTGGCCTGGCGTATAGAGGCCATTGTGTATGCTATGTTCAAGTGGGAGAGAGCGTCGAGGAAGAGCAAGAGAAAGAAGTTCGGGACAGCGCCTGCTCCGTCATACTCAAACCCACGTGGGATGCAGATTAGATCTGAATGGTCGATCAAGCGAGCCTCGAGGTACTCGACTTCGCGGAGACCTCCTCCGAGTTGACACACACAACGCTCTGTACATTCATGTTAGTATACGGCGGTACCCAGTCGTAGACCTATTCATGTCTTCCCTTTGCATGCTATAGCTCGAAATTGAGCCGCACAAGATGTCGCAAGTCCTCTGTAAACAGCAGCCTATCGCAGGGCAATCAATTCTCGAGATAGCGATCGGCAGCTGTGGCGGCGATTTTTTGAGTTCCATAGCAGCCCCACATTCCTTCCCCACTTACCTCGACCATGTCTGCACCCATCGGTGGGCTTTCGCAGCAGCCCCGCGCGCGACCTCAGGATTACTGACTGCTCGATCTTTCAAAGCATTACTATCGGTTTACGACAAGACCAACCTTCTCGATCTCGCAAGCGGGCTGCATAGCGCCGGCGTGCGCCTCCTCGGCTCTGGCGGTACCGCGAAGAAGATCAGAGAGGCGGGCATTCCTATCGAGTGCGTAGACCGTTCCTGCTGCGCGCACCGACTGCTCACTGTGTTTCCAGAGATGTTTCGGACATCACGAAGGCCCCTGAGATGCTCGGTGGTCGGGTAAAGACCCTGCACCCCGCAGTTCACGGAGGCAAGCGACACACAGAAGTACACATCCATTCCAATTTGCTCACGGCACAAATAATCAGGTATCCTTGCGCGTTCCATTCCCTCGGACGAGGCGGACCTCAAGGCGCAGGACATCTCGCCCATCTCGATCGTTGTCTGCAACCTGTACCCGTTCACAGAGACCATTGCAAAGCCGAGCTGCACGCTCGCTGACGCCGTCGAGGAGATCGACATTGGCGGCGTCACTCTGCTCCGCGCCGCCGCGAAGAACCACGCCCGCGTCTCCATCCTCTCCGACCCGGCGGATTACGCGGAGTTCCTCGCCGCCTGGAAGGAGAGCAAAGGCGACATCAGCCAGGCTATCCGCAGCAAGCTTGCCTTGAAGGCGTTCGAGCAGACGGCCAAATATGACGACGCGATCAGCGGGTACTTCAGGCAGCAGTACGCGTCCTCAGACCTACCGGCTGAGCAGCTGGCGGGCCCCGTTCAGCGCACGGCCCTCCGCTATGGCGCGAACCCGCACCAGAAGCCCGCACAGGCTTTCGTAACGGAGGGAGAACTGCCTTTCAAGGGTACATCGCCGGCACCCGCCCATCATACCGTTCCTCGCTAAGTTATTTGTCTTTATAGCGTTGTGCGGTTCCCCTGGATACATCAACCTTCTCGATGCACTCAATTCATGGGGGCTCGTCAAGGAGCTTTCGGAGGCGCTGAACCTTCCGGCGGCCGCATCGTTCAAGCATGTTTCGCCCGCGGGCGCTGCCGTCGGTCTTGAGTTGAACGAAGTGGAGAAGCAGGTGTATGGTGTGGATGATCTAAAGGAGCCGTTGACTCCTCTTGCATGCGCATATGCTCGTGCTCGTGGTATGCTAGCGCTTCTATCCACATGGACTCGATTTAACCGCTAGAAATATAGGTGCTGACCGCATGTCCTCCTTCGGCGACTTCATTGCCCTGTCCGCACCTTGCGACCTCGCAACTGCGCGCATCATCTCACGGGAGGTCTCGGACGGCATTATTGCACCGGGCTACTCGCCCGAAGCCTTCGAGGTCCTCAAGAAAAAGAAGGGCGGCAAGTACTGCGTTCTCCAGGTGCGTATCAGAATGTCCGGCCCCGAACGTTCTTACCCGTTATTCTTACCCGTTATCCCCGCTTCCGCGTGCAGATCGATCCCGCGTACACGCCCTCGGAAATTGAAACGCGCCAGGTGTACGGCGTGTCCCTGCAGCAACGTCGTAACGACGCGAAGATAGACGCGAGCCTCTTCTCCAACATCGTGACTAAAAACCAAGAGGTGGGTGCTTGGCCCCACACACCCGCACCCTGCGTGCCTGACCGCAGCACGCACCCACAGCTCAACAGCCAGGCCGTGACAGATCTCATTGTCGCGACGCTCGCGCTCAAGTACACGCAGTCAAACAGCGTCGCGTACGCGTACCGCGGCGCGACGGTCGGCATCGGCGCGGGCCAGCAGTCGCGCATCCACTGCACGCGTCTCGCGGGCACGAAGGCGGACCTCTGGTGGCTGCGACACCACGCGCGCGTGCTCGCGCTCCCGTTTAAGAAGGGCGTGAAGCGCGCGGAGAAGGCGAACGCGATCGACCTCTTCGTCGCGGCCGAGCCGCTCGCGGGCTCCGAGCGCGCGCAGTGGGAGGCGCTCTTCGACGCGCCGCCCGTGCTGCTCACGGAGGAGGAGCGCGCGGCGCACATGGCGCAGCTCGACGGCGTCGCGTGCTCGAGCGACGCGTTCTTCCCGTTCCCGGACAACGTGCACCGCGCGCGGCGGAGCGGCGTGCGCTACCTGGCTGCGCCGAGCGGGAGCGTTATGGACGCGGAGTGCATCAAGGCGGCGGACGAGCACGAGATCGTGTTCGCGCACACCGCGCTGCGGCTCTTCCACCACTGAGCGGGCCCTGGCCTCGCCCGTCCCCTGGCCGCGGGAGCGATCGGGCCCCGGAGGGCGAATATTTGCTATGGGTCGTTAGCCCGATGCGCCGCCAGAACAAAAGAGTTGTGGACGGGGGCGGAGGGACTCAGACCGGCGGTGGGAGGCCCATGGGGTCAAAATATTGACGGGCGGGTTTCCGATGGGAAGCGGCGACCGCGTTCTTAGAAGTCAGCTCGAGAAATCTGTTGTATCAGCACACGTAAAGCAGGCCATGGCATGAGAGGTTCATGCCGACCGCTGCGCCCACTGCGAGCCCCGAAGACCGAGCTGGACCGAGGTACGTGCGGGCTCGGCAATGTCAGACGCGTTAGACTGGATGACGCGCTGACAGCAGATCGAAGCGGTATCTCCTATCCGTGCGCGAGAACGAATCATGGGGTCGCACTGGACTCGCACATATCAAGAGCACGACTCGGCCGTTCCATCATCCCGGTGTAAATTTTTGTTGGACAGGGGGGCACCGAGGGTGTACAGGGAGCGCGCGCGGGGGCGGCCGTTTCGATAAGTGGTAATATAACGTATGTGAACGGTTAGTATTCCGGGTCCGGGAGCATGTACGACTAGGACGGCGGGTATGGCAACGACTGAATTGCAGTATTAGGCGGCGTAGATGGAGGGCAGCGTCGAGCCGTAGATATGGATCCAGAAATAAGGAAGTATATGGCAGCATGGGAAGTGGAAAGGGACGAGTAAACATAAATCTGACATAATGTCTACGGGAGACGTAATAAATGGTGTTGCTGTGCGTGGCGATCCGTGAGCAGAGCAGGGCGATAGCGAGCAGAGGAGATGGACGATCATGGCGTGGGGTTCATGTGGGTCGTAATGCGGGAGACTGGTCCAGGGTCTATACGCCAAGCGGATAAGGAATGAGCACGCCGTGAACACAAAAAGGCAGGCAGGGAAAGACAGCGTGCGCAGGTAGGGAACACGCACCATATACAGGGCTGCCAGCGCGGACGCTAGCGGCGCGCGCCGGCCGCTCAGTCCTCCGAGACCGTGACGGTCGCGAAGTTGCTGAAGTTGACGATATTGTGCGGCTGCTCGCGCGCGACCTCACTGAAGCGGCCCCAGTTCACCCACCACTCTTCTGCCGCGTCGCCCGCGTCGTACAGGAAGATCTCGGCGATCTCCTCGAACTGCGCCTTCAGGGTACCCTCGTCCCACTCGTCCTTGCGCCGCCGCATGTCTTCGTCGCGCGCGTCCGCATTCGGGCCATCTGGCATCGAGACCATCTGCGCGTTCGCGATGTCCGCGAGCTTCACCAGCTCACAGCGCCGCTGTCGCAGCTCTTGGTACGCCGAGGTGAACGAGCCGATCTGGTCGAACGTGCGCAGGTGTGAGAAGAGCGAGCCGAGCACGACCGCGTCTTCGATCGCCATCGCTGCTGGGTGCGAGCCGCCGGGCTGCATGCGGGGTTAGCGCATGGAAGCACGCGTCGGCCTTTTGGACTCACGAAGGAGGGGTGTGCAGCGTCGCCTAGCAGAACGATTCGCCCAGTCGCGTCAACCCAGTCGTCGATCCCGTCTGGGCGCGTCATGAATCGCGTGCGGATGACATGCGGGGCGAACTTTATGAGCCGCTGTACTCTGCGGTCACGGAAGCACGCGTCAGTGGTAGCCGATGTGATACAGACGCGCGCGACGCACTGGGGTCCATGTCCCTCAATGTTCAGCTTCTCGGTGGGGATGAGGTCCTCCCAGTTCTCCTCGCCCTCCTGGTCCTGACCATCCTTGTTGAACCACGAGTACACGTGGAAGAAATACTCTTTCTTGGCGCGCTGCACACACAAGGGCGCCTCCTGTCAGCGCATGTCCCCGGGACAAGGTACGCGGGAGGACGTACCACGGGGTGTCCTGGGAAGCGAGATAGGATCAGAGAAGTGCGGAACGGGGATCACGCAAACGCACGTACCACAGATACTTCGGTGTGATCCCATCCAGATGGCCCACTATATACGGCGCCCGCGCTGAGCACTGCGTCCGGAAAACGGCGGGCGAACAAAGCAAGGGTGCTCACCTCGTCCGATAGCGCGTACGGCCGGAGCTCCGGGTCCTTGAGCATCTCCTCCGCGTCAACGACGCCGGTGTACAGAGTCAGGCCGCCCGGCTTCACATTGTCCTCCTCTTCGAGCACAACCTCACGGACGATACTTTGGTAGCCGTCCGCGCCCACAAGCATGTCTGCCGTGAGCACATCACCGTTCGCGAGCGTCACGCTCGGGTTCGGAATCTCATCCGACCCTTGTTGTATTGATGTGACCTCGGTGTGGTAGTCGACCGTCGCGCCCGCGCCCGTAGCGAGTTTGTAGAGGATGCCGACGATGTCGTCGTGCTGAGTTGCGTGTATGTCAGTGGATCATCGTGGGCATGGCGGTCGGATGTGCACGTACATGCATCATGAGGAAGTCACCCCCGGTTTCGGCCATAACGGCCGGCTTCCAGTGGAGGTAGCCGACGAGCTCGCCCGTTCGTACTGGTAGAGCATGGCGCGGTTAGTACCGGGTTCAAAGCAAGCAAGAAGGAAGGGAAGACGGGTTAATGTCCGGCGCCGGTCAATTACGCAAGAAGAAGCAGGACGCCGGACGTGAATGAAGTCGATCAGAGCGCAGCGCCGCACGCGATCGGCTGCACGTCCAGATTTACGCGGGCTGTCGTGGCAACTGCTTCCGGCAGTCCCTTTCCCCCAGCCGCTGTGAAACGCGACGCGGGAGCGCCGTGCATATCGGCGCATGCTCGGCCTCGGTCCCCGCGTCCGCGCGTTGACACACAGTGGACGACTATAGAACGCCATGCCGCCGCGCTCGCGTCCGCGGAGGATGGGGATGTCGTCGTCGACAACGTCGCGGAGGGAAGTGCATCGGGAGAATCGAGAGGTGCCAGTAGAGCGGGACCGCTGCGAGAAGCTCGGGAGGGGCGCGTCACAGATGAACGCGTTCGCGTCGAGTGGGGAAAGAGTCGAGCTAGAGCAGACTAGTAGAGAGACTCACGATGGTGAAAGGGCGTCCCGACACATCGCGTGGAGACCGCGCGCAGCTCTTCTTCCGATATCCACTGTCGCAATATCTTGCTCATGTTCGGAGGAACTCGATGTCCGCCTCCAGGGACATCCCGACCGTGTTTTTCGAGCACCCTGACGCGGTGCCCTGCCTTGGAGAGCACATAGGCGATGGCGAGGCCCCCAATTCCTGCGCGAAGAGAGAGGGTGGTCAGCAGCGAACGGCGATACGGTCTTCCCCACCGAGCCCGACGCCCCCACAGAGGCACACAGTAAGTGTTCAGGCTACGATCGTGTTTAAGGGATAATGATGGGGGGCGTTGATCGGGTTTGGCAGGGGGACTTGGTGGCGTTATCCTCGGACTGACCTCCACCGATCACCAAAAAGTCGAGCGTGAGCGGGGCCAAGCGGTCCACCTGGGGCATTGCTGGCGAGGACGAGGAAGATGCGAGAGCTGGGGTTGGGAGGAAATGAAGACGATGTGAGTGTCGAATAGCCGACAGAAGAGTTATACATACGAGCCATGCCTGTCTAGGTCAGATGGTAGACCAGCACAGAGGGAGAGGAGATGGTGGGAAGTTGAGAAGGGGGGCAATCAGGAAGAAGACGGGCAAGCGGGAGATGCGGGCAAGGGTCAGGGCGTGGACCGTCGCTTAAGTGTGTTGCTCGGTTAGGTGGTGGACGACAGGGATGCTAAGCTACGGTATGCACAATAATGATATTTGTATCTGCCGCTGACAGTGAGCGAGCTGTAGGCCGAGCCCCGGCGGCGGCGGAGGACATACATATAAACTGGGGGGACTGCGCCGTCTTGTGTTGTGAACCCCGGCATGGGCTAGTCGCGTCCCCTCCTGCGCCCGACTCCCGCGGCAGCCTCAGGCAGCTCGCGCGCCGTCTCGCAGTCGTCTCGCGCGGCGACAAAAGGGGTAGGCCGCGACCGAGATCATGCTGGCGAATCCCAATCCCGGAAGAGCTTGTTCTAATCAGCGTTGCTCGAGCGCCACCCGCGCTTCCTGGAAAATCCTCATTTGCTTCCGCGACTTTCCGGCCCCGGCGGTCTCTTCAACTTGCAAAATTTGCCCGCCCCCCGCCCCGCCGCTCCGTCCAGCGCTCGGCCTTCGCCGGCGGTCCCCACGGCCGGCTGACGTCCGGTGCCGGCCGCGCTCGGTCCGTGCGGGACAAGGTTGGTTGTCCATGCGCGAGCCATGTTTTGTCTGCAGCGAGCTCGAAGGTGTTGCCGTCCTCAAGCCCTTGCCTGCTCACCTCTCGACGACCACCTCTGCTCTCTCACCATGCCGTTCCCCTTCAGCTTCAGCCTCGCTGCGCCCGGCATCACCAACCCGTTCGCTGTTACTGAACAGCCGGCGCCTCCTTTCCATTATAGCACTGACGTCCAGCATACTTCCGTTCCGCATCGCCGGCCACCCTCTCCATCGCTGCTTCCCCCACGATCCCGGAAAAGGGGATGGGTGCCTTCCTCTGCTGAACCCAGTCGACCGACATCCTTTCATACGTCCACCAGTGGCTATCTCGACACCCCCGCAAAGTACAGAGACATGGCTTCCGAATCAGCGGAGCAGGACGAGGTAGAGGATATGGTTGCAGGTGAGTTTTTCGCGCTCGAATCCTTTCCCTCTTCCTCAGAAACCTTGAACCATTTGTGCGAATATCGAGCCTTTGATTTGCCGCCTTGGACACGCTGCATTTGCGCTCAAAAGTGCGCTCGCTCTACTTTGCATCCTCAGCGGCTTTAGGCACATGAAGGGTGTCATCTCTTGCGATACCGCACGGATGTCAGCCTTCGTGCTTCACCACGCACACAATATGCATAACCTCCAGCAGGCAGCAGCGTGCCCAAGATCGCGCACCCTCAGCCCTATGTTGCCGGGCACGTGTATCAGCGCACAGACCGCCTCGCACCGATCCCGCCGGTATGTTCTCGGTACCCTGCCAAGGTCCGCGCTTCGACGAGCAACTCGTGAGACGGAGGGAAGCGATCTACACGCATACAGTCGCCCTTTTGCCTCAGGCTGCTCCACAGATACGCCGTTTGATATCGCATATGAAGCGGGAGGCTGCGGCGTGGCAGCTTGCCTTCGCACCTCGTACAGCTCCCACACACTGCCGCAGACGGACGCCGATGTGCATGTACGGCGCGTGTTGAGCCCTCGTACCGTCATGCCCGATACACGTGCACTTCGTTATGCCCTTCATAAGTGGATCGCCCTGCGGCTTCTCATCCTCACCATGCTCATGACCACCCAACTCAACTTTTATGTATCGATAGACCTTCCTCCCCCCAAGCGCCGGAGAACGCTTGCTGGCTCTATTGTCTCGACTGCGCTGAGCGCTGCTCTCATCGGGACCGCTGTTGGCCTTACTGTGTATCGCCTGTGAGTATATGCGCTTGTTATTTAACCTTTTGCTCCCTGTGCTCATTCATATCTAGGTGGAGAGATCGTGGCAAGCACCCCGAGATTCTTCCACCGCCTTATGAACAAGGAGGCTGGGTACCACCACAGGTACGTGTCATGTTTCCGCAGAAACAGTATGTATGCTAACTGCGTATTTTAGTCCGAACAGGCACCCGCCCCGGAAACACCGAAAGTGGTAGTCACCGCGCCGACGACTCCTCGCTCCAAGAAGTCTCGTCACGTTGCCGGTCGACGCACTGTCCCGCGTCACCGCAAGACGCCCTCTCGTGTACAAGGGTCGACCTCTCATTATGCCACCGCCTCCTCTTCCTATGCCTCCCGTGCCCCCATTCCCGCCGAGTTCAGCTTCGCCAGCGGCTCGCGGTCAAGTCCGCCGCAACCTGAAGAGGAACCTGACGTCGACGACCAGATGTCCTGGATCGGCGACAAACTCGCACATCTCATCGCGGAGGGTCAAAAGGCGCTCGGCAAGGAGATTGTCATCATGAGCGAGGACAAGGAGGACGAGGTCGACGACGGCTCCGGCGCATGGGTCGAGGAGGACGAGCCGGTTCAGGGCTCGAGCCGCTCCCCCGGCTTGCCACCGTACTCCCCCACTCCGTCATCAAGAAGCTTCGCCCGGGGTGTCTCGGTCGACTCCGATTCGCGGTCCGTCCGGAGTGCATTTGCGGAGGACGATTCCGCGTGGGCAAGTCCGGAGATGCGCGAGAGCATGGAGCGTGCGCGCATGCGGTACAGGCAGAAGCGGGGACTCTAGTCCTGATGGAGTCCTCCGTTTCTGCCGTTTTTACGCACGCCGTGGCTCCCCGCCCTCCGTCAGGGCCGTGCTTCTGGCGGGTTTCATTCCGCCCTCTTCCTTTGTGGACTCGCCGCATTCAACCTGACGCTTCTTGTTACGACACGATTAGATACGACCCCCCACGCCCCCCTCTGCCCGTCCATTGCATCGCTTATCGTATTCGCACTTACCACATACAGCTCCTCCCCGCTCTCGCGGCCACACCATCACTTGCATTCTTTAGCGTTAAAGTAGTAGGATTAGGTTATTCTGTGTTATCTATGTAGCAACAACAACCCGCTTCCCGGCTCTGCGCACTTGTGCTGCAGCTTGCCTTGTTTTACCTAGCTGTTCTCTCTGTCTGATATGCGAGTTTACGCCTGTCCGGACAGCGAGCGGAGAGAATATCCAGCACGAAGTTGAGGCGGGGTTGATCAAGAGACGCCCATAGAGTATGATCGAGTGACGAGCGGTGCGCGCCCACAGCCTCCGATTCAGAGAGGCGACTACCACCACGCCCTCAGTCTGTGCATCTCTCGTTCTGGAGAACCCTTTTCTCGTTCTAGGACACGTTCGCTTTCTTGCTTTGAACGGGCAGCGCTCGATCTAGGTCCTACGCTCAGCCCCACGGGACGATACTTGGGAATAGCCGCAGTAGCAGCAGCTGAGAACGGTGCAATCAACCCCTAGTGCGACAGTGCGGCCAGGATGTCGACGATATCGACGCACCTGCGGAACTTCAAGGAGCCGACGCGGGACCAGCTCACGCAGCTCTTCTTCGCGCTCCCGTCGAGCGTGAACGGCGCGTCGTCCGCGTCCGGCTCCGCGCTCGGGGCGGAGAGCGCGCTCCCGCAGCCCCAACGGGAGAAGGCGGGCGCAGGAGAGAAGAGCGTCGGCGCGGCGGAGACGGAGCTCGAGAAGATGGAGATCAACGCGGTGCTCAGCCTTGGGGTGCAGGGTGAGGAGGACTCGTATGTGAGTGCCCTACTTGTGGTTTAGGGCTTTGGGTGGACCACAGGGTGCTGAACCGGGGTGGGGATATAGGCTGGCAAGCTGTACTTGTTCCCGCCGTACCTGGCGTTTGCGTCGCTCGACCGCAAGTCTGTGCGGTTCACGATCCCGCTGTGTACAATCCGCAGAGTCGAGCGGCTTAATGCACGCGCGGGGATTTATGCGCTGAGCCTTTCGCTATGGCATGGCATGAAGATCGTACGTCCACTATGACCTTACATCTCGTATAGGAAATGCTGACATGCTGCTCCGGTTATTCCGTAGGTAGTGCAGCTGACGTCTTTGCGGCCAACTGCGGACCTTTTTTGCTCGCTTCTGCGCGACGCGCTCAAAGTCGAGCTGCAGAAGGGCAAGATGAAGGCCGTGAAGCCTTTCATCAAGACATGCTACTCGGAGCTCCTTGTTGCGAACGCGAGCGCGCCCGAGAACGCCGAGGAGAAGGACGGCGGCGGCGCATCCAAACACGCCGCGAACGAGGACGGCGGCCCGTCCAGCCCCGCCGCAGACTCGATGTACCTCGGCGGACTGGGCCTGAAGTTCAAGTTCCCAGGCGATGCGAAAAAGTGAGTGCGTCCGTGCTAGGAGGGCGCTGCTGCTTCACGCCTGACGCTCGCTAGGCTCCGGGAGGCGTCGAAGACGAAGCTGTGGACAAACTATCTTCGGTGTAGGTGGTGCATCGGTGCCGGCGCATTTTTGTGCTCCTAGTTCTGACGTATTACGTGCGCAGCACACGGACGCAACCTCACCCTTCTTCGCTACCCGCAATGCACGCGGCTCATCCAGGTCGGTCTTCCGAACCGTCTGCGCGGCGAGATGTGGGAGACGCTCTCCGGATCCCTGTACCTCCGCTTCGAGAACCCTGGGTTCTACGAGCAGATCCTGGTCGAAAATGCGGGGCGGACAAATACTAGCACGGAAGAGATCGAGAAGGACTTGCACCGCAGCTTGCCCGAATACTCCGCGTACCAGTCGGAGGAAGGCATCGGTGCGCTACGGAGGGTGCTCTCAGCATATTCTTTCAAGAACCCAGAAACGGGGTACTGTCAGGTACGTCGTGCGTATTTTGCAGCAGCTGGAGCCGGCACGATGATTTTGTAGGCCATGAACATTCTGGCGGCTGCAATCCTCATGTGAGTGACCAGTGGAGAGTGGCGGTTGCGTGGGTCCTGATCGCCTGCTTTAGATACATGTCCGAGGAACAAGCATTTTGGCTCCTGGAGGTTGTCTGCGATCGTCTCCTCCCCGGTTACTACAGGTCTGACACGCCATCTCCCTTCGTCTGAAAGGATATGTCTGACAGCTTGTCCTAGCCCTTCTATGCACGGGACACTGCTGGACCAGCGCGTCTTTGAGTCACTCGTGCAGCGCTGTCTGCCCATATTGCATGATCACTTCCAAGAAGTCGATGTGCAGATGTCCGTGGCGTCCCTTCCCTGGTTCCTGAGTTTGTAGGGTTTGCCAACTTCATCGCGCGCGACTGAAATTTGACGGGCTCGCCATCGCAGGTTCATCAACAGCATGCCTATGGTGTTCGCTTTCCGGATCATGGACTGCTTCTTCTGCATGGGCCCCAAAGTTCTCTTCCAAGTGGGGTGAGTTTCTTTCTCGTTCGGGCCCTCCGAGGAGTTCTAACTCATTCCGCTAGGCTGGGTTCGTCAAAGCTATGATTTACCATTCGTACGCAGCTCATGTGAGAAATAGCTATCCTCAAGATCAACGGCGAGAAGTTGCTTCAGATCCAAGATGACGGGCAATTTATCCAGTAGGTCGTGTCCTGTATCCATGGTGCTCCGTGCGATTAACTTGAGTCATGACGACAGCCTCATGCGGGAATACTTCGCCTCTCTTGGGGACTCGGCGCACCCGGGTTCTACGGACCCTCGCGCCCGGGCGATCACGCGCTTCCAAGAGCTTCTCCTCGTCTCCTTCCGCGAGTTCGCGGTCATCACCGACGAGACTATCCAGTCTGAGCGGCGCAAGTACCGCTCTGAGATTGTCCACAGCATCGAGTCGTTCTCGAAGCGCTCGGCGATCCGGAACCTGCGCACACTGGAGCGCTTCTCGAAGGAGCAGGCCGGCCTCATCTACGATGCGTTGTTCAAGGCTATTTGCATCGAGCCGCCCCCGGCGGTGGCGCAGCCGCCTCCGACATTGCTGACCACGAAGGGCGAGGCGGAGGAGCGGCCAGAGACGAGGATTGGGCTGAAGACGTTCCGTGTGTTCTTGAGCGAGATTTGCACATGGGCGCGGACAGAGAAGATTGTCCGCAATGGTTTCCAGGTCAGTACTTTTATCGGCTTCTTGCTGTTCAAAGCCTGACCGCTTCATTAGCAAAGAATAGACCGCGAAGTCGCCGAGCACGAGCTCATCGACCGCTTGTTTTACTTCTGGGATACCGCTTTCAGAGGCGCGCTCTCATTCCAAGTACGTACTGTCGTTTTCGGCCATTTATTGATTGAGCTAATAAGTAGTGCAGGACGTTGTCTTGGGCCTCGATGGTGTCATGTTCAATGATCTAATGGAAAACATCGAGTGGTTCTTCAATCTTCACGACAAGAACAAGGACAGTTATCTGACAAAGGACGAAGTGCTCACCTTGTCGGAGTCCCTTCTGGTAAGTAAATGGGAGTATCGCTACGCCGCTACCGTCACTGATCATCGGGTCTAGTTCATCTTCCGCCACGAGATCGGGGATGCATACCTCGGAGCCGTCAGTCGGTTTATGTCAAATGCGTTCGAGTACGGCGACGCACTTCTTCCTCGGCCAGAGGGCGCCGATCCCAATTCCGAGCCGCCACCGATCGAGTCAAACCAGCCGTACATGAACCTTGCAACGTCAGTGCCTGATGACACATTTGCAGGATAACGGGCTGATCCGTGGCATAGATTCCGCATGGTTGTGTTGGCGGACGAAATTCTGGAGTCGTTCTTCGAGTTGGACTTTTCGGCGACATTCAGGCTGGAGCCAGTCCCGATTCAAGACATTCCGAACTCAAACACTGGGCTCCTCGGGGACCTGTGGCACAACATCGCAAGCGATGACAACCGCAAGATCTTCAATAGGTTCACCGACGGGATCGGAAAGACCATCGGAAAGCACCAGGTATGCCGTACTAAACACACATTTTCTGCCGTCGTGTTTGGCCTCTTATCATTGTATAGGTCTTCACGCGCCCTGCCATCGGCAAGTACACTGCGCTAGAAGAGCCAAAGGCACGCGAGTCACTCCTCACGCCCACTATGCGTCGCTCAGCGTCCAAGGCGAGCCTCCAAAGCCCTACCGACACTCCGGCAAGCGACTCTTCCTCCTCGGTCTCCGCTCCCGCGCAGTCTGCATCAACCCTTAGCGTGGACCAGCCCGAGGTGTCCTCCGCGACGTCCGCGGAGTTCTCGCCCATGCCGATGCCAAGCATGTTCCATGCCGCGGCGAACGCGGCGGCGCTCATGGAGCGCACGCCATTTGCGATTGACGATGCGAAGGATGATGATGACGAGTCTGATATTGAGACAGACGTAGAGGACGACGGGGTCATGGATGAAGTGCGTCAAACCGAGCCCGCTTGTCGTTCTGGTAGACTAACGTTTGTGGTTAGGTGGACGCATTCCTCGAGGCCCACGACTCTGGGCTGACAGAGGCTGAGCGAGAGCTCGCACAAGGTTCGTGTAGTAGCGCCTCTCGTATGATGGCCGCTTGCTGACCGTAAATCACAGACCTTATCAACGCAGAGCCCGTGAAGTAGGCGTGATAAACGTGCTGAGCGGCTGGTGCCGGTTTCGCAGAAGGGCATTCTATGGCATTCACGCGCAAGTTCGTCGGTGTACATCTATCTATTCTCTGTCGCACTGTATTCGGAGGAACATGAACAGACCTGCTGCCTAGGCAGTGGATACCAATCGCACCCATTGTGGACAGCTTGCGGGCCACTCTGACCCCTCATGGTGCCCATTCTTTCGAAGGACATGCGCAAACCTACGCAGATGGCTCATCCCGCCAAGGAAAGTGCGTTGATACTCGTGGTCGTGTTCCGCAGGACCTTCAAATCCGCCGACTCCAATGTTTCTCATGTCAAGTGTGAGGAACCGAGGCGGTGAGTGATCTTCGTCCGAGTCATCGACCACAAAGCTGGCAGATTTGCTTTCTAATCGCAGACAATCGACGGTCCGAAGGAAGGCCCGCGAGTTTCACTGGTATCACGCTGCTCATGGCTTGGAATAGCTCGTGTCCTTGGGACATTCCGAGATGTAACGGGAAATCCCCTCGCCGCAACTGCAAGACGCCGCTAACAGAAGCTCTTGAATGCTTCTCGTCTTCGGACAATGTCGTCCGTTCAAGCCCTTGTACATCCTCTTTGGTACGACGGTTCTTCCGACCGCCACTTCCCGTTGTTATTCAGCTTAACCGCACGCTTCTTTGCTCTCAGGCCGGTCCACCGCCCTACGAATATTCTCCCTGCTCATGTTAGCGGTGCGACGTCGGCCCAATCATGTCAATCTGACATGACCCTTCTTCAGAATTGGTCTGATGATTCACGAAACTCGCTCAGCCACCCCACCGGACCCCTACCTGGGTACAAGGGTCTCCCAGCTATCTCACCCGAGTCGCCTCATCTGCTTACCTCGACAGCGCGAAGGACCGTACCAGTACGTACAGTCTAGCTCCGATGCGCTGATCAGCCAGTGACAGCACGCCGACATACCAGCTTGTAGCACGATACGACACACTGAACCTCTTCTTGAGTAGCGGTACGTCCGTATTACGCTTGTGCATGTCTCCCGGGTATATCTGAAATACGCGATGGTTGACATAGCTACATCTTCTAGGTTTGACCAATATACTCCTGAACATCTTCCCTCAGACTGAGGTGGCTGGGGAAGTTAACAAGCTATGGTGAACTTGACGCATGATAATACCAGGTGTTATCCGATGAATATCCTTCGGCCGTCATTGAGAGAAATGTTTAATCCCGGTGCAAGCAAATACCGCGATGCTTCCTAGCGGCTCCAGTACCCAGTACCACCGAACGACATCTCAGGAACATGTGACGCAACCGCCGACGTACGCTCTCGGAAGAAGGTCCTTCCGCCCACACCGCTCGCATCAACTTCCTGGGACCTCGGTCCAGGAACTATGAAACCGTAGGGACCCTCATATGGCCGTTTGCTCTCCAAGATAGTATGCAGGTACATGACTTGGACTAGATGAGCTCGCTGATCACCGGTATATGGTGGTAGAATGTCAACATGCGATACCCACCAACGCCTATTTGATGGCGATTCCGACAAGCCCGCAACACCGTCAGGTATTCCGTCTCTCGAGGTGGTGAGTGGGCATTCTTTGACAGCACCGGCGGAATGATTACATCTGCTTGAAAGCTTCTCTATACCCTCATGCATATACAGAGCCTAGGCGGTCTACTCCCATTGATCTTCTGTCCACGGCTCTATATAACGCGGCGCAGTCTCGTTCAATCTAAGCTACCTCTCTGTCGATTCTCCACCCACGCCATGCCACTCCCTCTTCTCAAGCCGGCCTCATCTGAGTCGGAGCGGCCCGCAAGACACAGGCTGTCGGCTGCATCAGACAGCGATGGCCTCCCACCGATGTCCTCTGCGCGCAACCAGCGTGGTTCACTGGACGATGCCAGCGACGACAGCCACGGCCCTCCAAGTTCCACCATCTACGAGGACTCCGCCCCACCTCATTCCGCGCCAGCGAGCGTCGTCAGCTTCAGCGGAAGTGCCTTCTTCTCGGATGAGCCTTTGTACCTTCGGAACGACAGCCGCGCCTCCGTGCATTCCGTGCTACGCCAGACGGCTACCAACGCCCCCGAACAGTCCGAGGACGATGACAGCGTGAGGAGCTTAGCCGTAGACCGCGCTCCTGTACGCAACTCATTCAACGCTCCCCGTGCCCGCCGTCGCACTCCCCTTCATGAATCGATCACCGCGCCGTCCTTGTCCGATCCACCCCTGGAGCTCCCTAGACGGAGGCTGATGCGCTCCTCGATGCTCATGGGCCCGATTGAGAAGCCGTGGCTGTCGGAGAAAGACAGGATGGAGTCGTTCTCGAACTGGATCGTCTACTTCATCGCGTTCCTGGGCATCGCTGGGAGTGCTGTTCGCTGCTATTTCGGGTACGTGCAGACGCCGTTGCTTGGGAAGGTCTGTCTCGTCCTGGAGGATAACTTCGACACGTTCGACACCGAGAACGTCTGGCAGCGCGAGGTTAGCATGAGCGGATTTGGGTGCGTTTTTCCGTTATTATTGTTTTCTCCACTACGCTTGCTAACACTCAAACTTGCACAGAAATGGAGAGTTCGAGATGACGACCGCGTCCGAGAACAACTCCTTCGTGCGCGATGGACAGCTCTACATCGTCCCGACGCTCACATCGGACGTGATCGGGTACAATAATATCTTCGACGGGTACACGTATAACCTCACTGGCTGTACGGACGCCAACTCTACCAGTTGCGGCACGGTCTCCAACGCGACGCTCAAGACTGTCATCCCACCCGTCATGAGCGCGCGCGTGCACACGCGACAGCCGTACTCCATCCAGTACGGCCGCGTCGAGATAACCGCGAAGCTCCCCCGCGGCGACTGGCTCTGGCCGGCGCTGTGGATGCTCCCAGTAAATGAGACGTACGGCGCGTGGCCGCGCTCGGGCGAGATCGACATCATGGAGGCTCGCGGGAACAGCCCCAAATATCCAGCGCAGTGAGTACCCCACTACTTCCCCTCTACATTTCCGTTTAACTCCTTGTGTGCAGGGGCATCGACTACGTGCGCGGCTCCCTGAATTGGGGCCCATTCTCGTGGCTAAACGGGGTGAGCAAGACGTACGGGTGGTGGACGAACCGGCGCAAGACCTACGCAGACGCCTTCCACACGTATGCGATCGAGTGGAGCCCGCAGTTCCTGCGCATCTACGTCGATTCGCGCCTAACGTACATGCTTAATCTCAAGTTCGACGAGCCGTTCTTCGCGCGCGGCGCGTTCCCCGCAGTCGTCGCGAACGGCTCGCAGTTCATCGAGACGCCAAATCCGTGGAAGCACAGCGCGACGGCGAACGTCGCGCCGTTCGACCAGCCGTTCTACCTCATCATGAACGTCGCGGTCGGGGGCACGAATGGGTGGTTCCCGGATAACGCGGGGAACAAATCGTGGTTCGATGGTTCTTTGAGTGAGCAGCGACCCTCTTTCCCAGTAGCTGGAACGGCCTGGCTGACGTTCTTGTGCAGCGGCGATGCGCGACTTTGCGAAGGCCCAAAACCAATGGTACGCGACCTGGCCCGAGAGTGTTGAAGACAGGGCGTTGGTAATAGACTCTGTGAAGATGTGGCAACTGTGTTGACCGTTCGATGTAGACGTATGATCTGTTCCTGTCCCTTCCCATTGGATATTGCATGGGTTCGGGGCCCATATTATATTATACACGTCATGTTCTGAGCTCTTAGCACTCTGTAGTCTTGAGCACTTCGAGGGCACATCAACAGCTGAATCTAGCAGGAGCAACGTTATGCGTAAGTGCGCAATACGAAGCGGCTCATCTGCCCGCCTTGTGCCGTTGTTCACGTAGGCGCCTACTCAAATATTAACAAGACAGTCCTATTGCAGATACGTGACCCAACACTTCGGAATCGGTATTGATTATGTCGAGAACATGCGAAGCACCGTGAGCGATAGAGGGTATTCTACGACACGCCCTTGGGGCCGGCGATGCTGGCGTCTCTGCCGCATTCTACAAAAACACGTATTAATTCAGATGTGTTCGTCGGACCGCATCCGACGAGTGACACGCACCTCCACTGTAGTTGGTCAGAGCCTCGAGCCTCGCGAGTATGGCAGACATTTGGGCCGACATTGCTGCCGTCTGCGATGACAACATCGCATTTTGCAACGATACTTCGGCGTTTTTGAACGCCAGGTCGGCGATCTGGGAGCTCATAACGGACGTTTGCGCCCGCAGGGCATCGTTCTCGCGCCGGAACGTATGCTGAAGCTCCCGTGGTGTGCTAGTCAGATCGGGATTCTCGACGAGCTCGGAAACGCCCTCCGAGCCAGAGCGCGTTTACCATACGGGAGAAAGACAGGACGCGGGGGGCTGTCCGCCGTGAAGCTCCACCTGGGGATAGTATCTTGCGGTCTTCGAGGGCGACGTGCGGAATATCGGTATGGGCTCGGTCGCAAATTCCGTGCTCGGGGCTGGTGGCTGCGAATGCCTTCGTACAGCTCTTGCAACGGCAGGGGCGTCTGGGGACAATGTACGAGTCGACCTTGCATGGTGTGTCCCAATCCACGTCATTGCAGCGGAGTCTGTACGTACCCAATGTGCGCCGGTACCTTTCTAAGACACGATATTGCGTATGTTAGCCCATAGATCGTTGCATAACGGCAGACCGGAATCAAAGCCGCCGGATAGTACTAGACTCACCGCATACTTATCAGACCCAAACCGAGACGCAGACTCGGAGAGCATATCCATGGGTGCGGAGGATAGTTCGCTCTCGCCATATGTCCACGAGTCGTGATGGGGCGGGGTGCTGGGGTCGCAACGGTCACTGGTCGCTCCCGAGGAGGAAATGACAGAAGGGCTGCCGACAGTAGTGAACGAATACCTCTCTGAGACATCGATGGAGAGCCAAAAGACCCCGGAATCGCCGGCGCTGGGATATTCATCTGAGGATCGGTGCCCCGATAGCTCAGCCCGCAGCAGCCGTACCATGTATGTACCCTCCTCCCCGTGCGTGTCGGAATGGACCATGAACTCAGCGCGAGTGAGACTGCGCGGTCGGTAGGTACTTGGTGTGTCGCCGATCTGGCGTACCGGTGCTTCCTTCCAAAGGTGGGTGAGAGGGTCGATAGGGGGAATGTGTGGAGATTGGACGAGGGGACCCGTGTCGGAAGGGATACCGACGAGATTCAAGATGGAAAACTGGGCCTTCACGATGTTGGGGTGATCCAGCGGGTGCATGCTCTGTTGTGTGAGAGAAAGACGTAGATGTATGGTCTGCTGAGGACCGCCACCCCCAGCAAGACGGTCCCTGTCGCCGAAAGCAAGCGTGGTCTCCACAGTGATGTCCTGCTGTGAGAGCGTAACCTGCAGAGGGGAAGGAGAAAAGCCTCGGGCCCCCAAGACATCGACGGTATGAGGGGCGAAACGGAATGCGGTGGCCTGGAGGCGGATTTGAGATACAATAACGTGGACTCCTGGCATCGGGGCGACATCGGTAACAAGGCAAACGAGTGGTGACGGAGGAGGGAGACCTCGACAGGCGTCGGAGAGACGCGGTGCAAAGCCTCGGTCAACGCCTTCTTTGCGAGACGGACGGTATGGAACGGCCTGGTACAAGACTGGTCAGAGCATTGGACGTGAGTCCCGATGAACAGCCCTCGCCCATCGCGCGCTCCTTCTCTAGGCTGGCGCAGAGGAAGAGCGATGATTGAGCCGTCCTCGTCTTCGCACTGTAGAAGGGCCAATGTGTATGCCAAGTCGAGCTCCAAACAGCCATCACATAGAGTGCCCCTGCTGTTTCGAATTGCCTCCATGACGTCTGGGATCTCTGCAAGATTGACACAAATAAGCCTCAGGCGGATGCCTTGCGGAGTGACAACACAGAGTAGTGGTGGAACATCCTCGTCTTCTTCCAAGCATAAGCGTGATGCGAAATGGGAGGGCGTGATTGGTGTGATGTTGCGGCAATTCATGAAAGAGAGTGGAGAGCTCGCGAGTAGACCGGGGCAGTCAGCCCCGTAGGACTCGGAGTTCCTGAGAACGTGATATTCCGTCAGGGATGGCAGGGTGCACCCGTTCCCCCAAGCGAAGATGCTTTGATCAGGAATGGTCCTCATGATCTCCTCCTGTAGTCGTAAGAATGCATTGGTGCCCTCCCCATAGATCGGCGGTATATGAACATCAAAGATGCCCATAAGCGAGTAGGCCGCGTCCTCGACCTGCGTCGTCGTTCGCCTCGCCGCCCACGACATCCTCTGTGCCACGCTCACGGAGTGCACGGTGGCCGCGCCTGTGAGGATATCGAAGTTGACGCCAGTGACCTCAGCCAGGATCGAAGCAAGCCCCAACTTGGTGCCCAAGACGCTCCATGCCCTCGTCATGAATACGACGTGTTCCGGCGCAACGAGTTCTTGCAGCGTCCAGCCCCGTGAGTGCCACCTGCTCAGACAGAAAGCGCGTCGAAGGGCATCGGGGTCACAGCTGTCATGGACGTCGTCGAGGTAGACGTAACAGATGGTCGAGAGCATGTACCATTCGTACATCGAGGTGATGGCCGGAGGGAGCTCCGCGCCATTGTACTTGTCTATGCAGCAGGAATCGATCCAGACAAGCCGGAAACCAGCCTTTCGCGCGATCTTGCAGACCCCCCGGATCTTGTCTGAGAGCTGAGGATGTGACATGATGGAGGAGTGCGTGGAACCCCAAGGAAGCGTCTTCCCGGAGGACATTCGTGCAATGAGCGTGGGCTTCACGCTTCCGAGGGTCTTCAACTCGCCCAGTACAGCAGCTTTCTGTCTCTGAAGCTCCGCGGCCACGGTAGCTTGAAGCGTTTGGATGTCTTGGTACGATTGTTCCCCACCGTGTTCCGTTGAACGCCAGGTGTGAGATAGAATGGCGTAGGTGATGTCTTTCGGATCGTCGTGCCACTCAAACTCGCCTGACATCGTGTTCAAGAAGCGGGGCATGCTAGTGGTCGCAATTGCAAGTCAGTGAGTACTCTCCTAGGAAGAGAATGTATTCATACCTACGTTCTTGACTGGTACAATAGATTGAGCAAGAATGAGAGGGATGGAGGAGGGGCTGACAACGTGCCCGATACGTGTTCAAGGCTTCTTGGGAGGGGGGGGGTTACATTTATACATATAGCACTGGGGTCAACGACCCGCTTCTGTGCCCCCGCGGTAACAGCCTACCTGCTATTCTTACTCTGGCGTGTGTTGAAGGCTCTGCCGTTGACATGATGTAGCCGCCTTCGATGTGATTGGGTTTCCTCGTCACTGGATTGCAGATGGAACCGCTCTTTCGCCGACAGGTAGCAGATCGCTGTGAAAATGACCGTGGCGACGAGGCCGTTCATGGAGCCAAGGGCGGACGATGGAGTGCGCAGCCGCAGTCGGGAGGGCATCGGTATCGAACGTAAAAGTCGTGGAGCCTCTATGTGGGACCACGCAGTAGACGGGACCCAGGAGCTCAAGCTGGGTGACACCTTGGACACCTTATACTCCGGGTTGGATCAAGCCGCGTGAATACGACCTGTTCTCACCAGATTGAGCGGACGTTGTGGCGTCCGGCAGCGGTCCCTCCGGAGTCACCGCCCTCTCCGAGGCAGACGACATGACGGAGACACTGCCGTATCACAGGGATTGCGCTTAATGGCGAGGCTCGCAGGCGGAGCCTTCGACAGTGCGAGCTTTACGATCTGGCAGCGGCTTGAACGTCTAAACCCTGGTGGGCCCTATTTCTGAGACTTCGCGACTTGTTTCGCCAGATAGCTCTTCGTGAATAGAGCGGCAGGGCAGTGGTAATGGGAGGTCATGGGCAGGGGATGGCAGAGAAGTGGATTGCTCAGCTCGACGGCTTCGTGTCTGACTGTGATTCGATTCCGCAAGTAGTCACGTACCCGCGACGATGATACAGCAACGGGCGCACCCCATTCCCAGAATCCGGCGCGTGCTCGACGCGTATGACTTGCGCGATGAACAGCTCCGACGCAACCCCTTCTCCCTTCCACTCAGGTGCTCCGTCCTTCCCATCTCCCGTGAGCGACTCCAAGTCGTGCAGCGGCCATGACGCGGCGACAAGGCGGCAGGACAGGGCACCAACCGCACCGTCCAACACCGGCAAGCCCTCTTCCGTGAGCGAGTGCGGCAAAGATACGAAGGGCTCAGGATAGAGGTCCGCACGCGAGAAGCGCATGGCTGTGTGTGCTTGGTGTTCAGAGAGGATATTGATGACCATGTGAGAGTAGAGGCTTGTGGACGAGTGCGCAGACGTCAAAGAGGTGGCCATGCGGGAGGGTATTCGCAGGGAGAAGGCAACAAGCGGATGTGGGTCCATGGAGATGGAGCTGAAGGAGGAGAGGGTTGCGCCGTGGAAGCGGCTTGGGTGCGTAGTCGCTTGTGACGTTGTGGGGTCCATGAAGGAGGTGACAACTGCCACGGGCTGGGCCGTCTCTCGTAGGAGTGCACGGAGATCGTCTCGTACTGTGCTTGCACTGCCAGAGAAACCGCGCCTAACTCGCGGCAATTTCACCCTACGCAAGGACGTCGAGCACGATGCGAGTGACATAGAGAGCCCTATGGAGACCGTGAGCCTGCGCAAGGAGGTTTCTGGCTTAGCCTAGTGGGAGAACAACAAACCTACGGAATTTTTTAGGGTGGAAGCAAGAGTCTATGGATCGGGTTAAAAATAGCAGAGCATGAAGGTTAGGAGGCCTAGTAAGAGGACGAGAGCTATGACGTGCACGCAATCGCAGGCGGTTGTGTGCGGATGTTTGATTCTAAGGCTGTTGGACAACAAGGACAAGCAGACCGGTCCGCGGAGAGCCGGAGAGAGCCGAGGGGCGCTTCTACCTGTGCGCCAATCCTAGGATCCGACGCAAGCTTCTACGGCCGCCATCGCATCACCTGGGACGGAGGAGCGTTTTGATCTGTGCCAGGGCTCCTCGGCCTCCGACTGGGGATATCACAGCGCGGAAAAACGAGAGGCGACAGCAGCAGCAGCACCCGCAGGCACATGTGCAATATGACTCGTTGGCGCCACGGTAAAGCACACGCGCTGTGGTACGAACGGTTTTCGCGGGGAGCCGATGGGACTGGCACCAGGGAAGGCAGTGCCAGTATAGGCCCGGCGGGCGTTCGGCAATTGGCATGCACAAGTCTTCGCCCGTTCATGTCGTTGGCCGCCGTGCGTCCGGCCGCCACTGCTTAAGATTATTGATGACTGATTCAGCGCAGGGCACTTGCTGGGATGACTCTTATTCAGCGCGGGGCGTCATTAAAGCTCAGATCAACGAATACAGGCGTATCCTTAGGGCTATTTTCGTGCCGGGAGCCACTCCCTCCGCCGGCTTTCTTTCTCCAACCACCACGTCCAGCTCCGCCATGAAGCCCACCGACGAAGAGTCCACCATCGTCGAGGACGTGGTCGTGACTGAGACCGGCAGTCTTGCCAGGAGGTCCCTCGCGAGTGTCCATGACGCTGTGGACCCCCGCATCCGTCCGTCTGACAGACCGACAGACGATGTTCTAGATGAGGGTTATGCCCGCCAGTTGAGCGACTACATCGGGCACAAGCACCATCACGAGAAGAGCCCAAGCGAGAAGGAAGGCTCACAAAAGGACTCGGATGAGCCCATCTATGTGAGTTTGAGACTTCTCTGAACATTCTCTGATCGTCCTCGGTGCCCCGGTTCTTCGACACTCGCTGATTGCACACATGTCAGGTCGAATTCGAGGAGGTCGACTCAAGAGATCCCATGAACTTCTCCTACACGCGTAAATGGCTCATCACCTTTACCGCGTCCTTCTTCTCCATCATCGTCGGTGCGTATAGTTGTCTAGTGTGCGGAGAATGCGTCTAAACGGTTATCCGGCAGCTTCCTCGTCCTCCGCATACGCTCTGGGAGTTCCCTCCATGATCCGCGACCTCAACGCGACTCAGTTCCAGGCCACGATCGGGCTCTCCATGTACACGCTCGGCTTCGCCATCGTCCCCCTTGTCTCAGCCTCATTCAGCGAGGAGTTCGGCAGACAGCCGCTCTACTTCTGCAGCGGCGTCGGCTGTCTCTTGATGCACCTGATGATTGCACTGTACGTCCCGTCCCCCTCTGCGCCCTCCGTGCATACTGATCCCAGACATAGCGCCCCGAATATCCAGACCGTCATCGTCGGCCGATTTTTGGCCGGGGCGTTCGGCTCGACCGGCTCGACTATGGTCGGCGGCACGATAGCGGACATTTGGGCCCCGCATGAGTACGCCAGTCCGCACTCAGGATCGTCTGATTCGCGTCTGACGCAGTTTCCGCAGGCGCGGCATGCCGATGTCCCTCTTCGCAATCATGGCGCTCACCGGGCCCGGCATAGGCTGCGTCGCCTCGGGCTGGATCGAACAGGATCCGCGCCTCGAATGGCGCTGGATCCAGTGGATTCATGTCATGTATGTTTGCGATGCGCGGCGTGGAATGGTTTGCGGGCGTGCTGCTGACGTTCCGTGCATTTAGCTGGACCGGCATTTTCGTCATCGCGGTGCCGATATGCATGAAGGAGACGCGCTCGGGCGTCCTCCTGACCAGGCTGGCTAAGAAGCTGCGCAAGGATACTGGCAACCATCACTACCGTGCGCGCGTAGAGGACGAGCGCGCGAGCCTGCGGACGCTCATCTATATCTCGTGCACACGACCCATTTGTAAGGGCGCCATGTATGTGGTGCGGGAGCGTTCTAACCGGTTATGTGCGGTTCTGTAGACCTACTCATTACCGAACCCGTGGTTGCGGCCTTCAGTGTAAGTTGTGCGTTTTTGTGTTCCTATCGTACGACCGCTTATATCCTGTATCTAGCTTTGGGTGGGCTTTGCCTGGGGTATTCTCTATGTGCTCGTAGAGTATGTGGTCACCCTTCGTTGATCCTGATTCAGCGGACTGACGAACGGTGTCCAGGTCGATCGCGCCGGCGTTCCGGACGATCCACCACTTCAACACTGGACAAACGGGTACCGTATTCGCTACGATGATGTACGTTGTTCATGCCCGTGCCGCATACGCCATATCTGACACGCGGATCAGTGTTGGCTGCTTCGCAGGACTGGCTATACAGCTATACCAAGAGAAGCTCTATACGTATGTCCTATTTTTCCCATCCTTTACTTGGTATACGTCGGGCTGAACATTTTTCTTCACAGAAAACATGCGCCGAAACGTGGCCCAGAAGCACGTCTCTTCAGTGCCTGCCTAGGCGCGGTCCTCTTCCCCGCCGGCATCTTCATCTACGCATGGTCCACGTTCGAGTCCGTGCACTGGATGGGAATGGCCATGGGCGTTTTCGTGAGTACCGACAGCCAGGTTATACCATTCCAACCCTTGCACCCACGCTAACCATCGGTGCCTGCACTAGGTGATCATGACCGCCCTCTTCGTCCTGTATGTCGCGGTATTCACATACCTCGCCGACTGGTACGTGTGCCTGTCCCGACTCCCGGTATCCCCGACGCGCGCTGACGGCCCCTGCCCCTGGTAGCTATGGCATCTTCGCGTCCTCCGCGCTCGCCGGACAGAGTCTCTGCCGTACGTCGCGCCCTTCCTCTCCCTCCTCCTCTTCCTCTTCCCTTTCCGCTCCCGCCTTCCCCGCTGCCTTCCTTTTCCCGCGCTCCCACTGAAGCCTGATGGTCGCTGACGCCCCCGTTCCGTCCCCCCGTCGTGCAGGCAACCTCATGGGGATGGCGTTCCCGCTGTTCACCGAGCAGATGTTCGCGCGGCTCACGTACCACTGGGGCAACACGCTCTTCGGGTGCATTGCGATCGCCATGATCCCCATACCGTTCGTACGTCGTCGTCTTCTATGTGGTCATTCGTTGTCCTTGGTGCATGTATTGACTTCCCACGGGAATATAGGTATTGATGTGGAAAGGGCCCGTCATTCGGGCGAGCAGCAAGTTTGCGTCGCAGACCGTGCACAAGTTCTAAAGTACTGCGCGTGGCTGGTAAAACATTCTTTGATTTCGCTGTCGTTAACACACATAGATTTCGTTATGGGAAGCTCAGAAATTACACCGCACGCAGATCCTTGTAGTATATTCTATGAAGATCACGCATCAATAATGTCGCACGTCGTATACGCCTGTCGTTAGCATCTCACTCGAGTCTCGCACCGTCCCTTTCGCTATGGCAGCTGTAACCGATTGTTACTGTACGATACACTACAAATTTTACACCGCATTCTTTCTTTCTGCACCTACAGGCCCGACCCAGTCAACATCTCCAACGCCTCCAAGTACCGCTTCCGCGTCCCCTCCACCACGCTCTCCTCCATGACCCATCCCTCGCCCTCCCTCCCCTCCGGCCCACCCTCTAGGCCCTTCCGGAATCCCGTCTGCGTGAGCCAGTCGCGCAGGTACTGCTTGTCGAAGCTCGCCTGCGGCCCGCCCGGCTTGTACTCCGCCGCGGGCCAGTAACGCGACGAGTCGGGCGTGAGCAGCTCGTCGACGAGGATGAGCTCGTCGCCGACAAGCCCAAACTCGAACTTGGTGTCCGCGAGGATGAGCCCGCGCGTAAGCGCGTAGGAGGCGGCTTCTTTGTAGAGTGCGAGCGCGGCGCGCTCGACCTTGGCGCAGAGCTCCGCGCCGACGATGGTGGCGGCTGCGGGGCGGCACAGAGTGAGCATGACGTCCCTCCCAGATGCAGAACAAAATAAGGGGAGTGGTGCAGGCGGGTATCACGGTCGCGCACCTTGTTCGGGAGAGATGTTTTCGTCATGCTGACCCTGCTCGGCCTTGGTGGACGGTGTGAACAGCGGCTCGGGCAGTTGTTGCGACTCAACCAAGCCCGCCGGGAGCGGAATGCCATGGACGGTACCGGATTTCTTGTACTCGGACCATCCGGAACCTGCAATGCGGTTGTTCACAATCACGGTCCATTAAACGCGGAGAGTAACACGACGTACCCGTGATATATCCACGGACGATCGCCTCGAGCGGAACGACCTTGGCCTTTTTCACGAGCATCGCGCGCCCCTCGAGCGTCTCCCGGTGCACCTGGACCTCGGCGGGCATCTCGCTGATGTCCGCCGTGACGAAGTGTGTGGGGATGACATGCCCGAGCTTCTTGAACCAGAACAGCGAAATTTGCGTGAGCACCTTGCCCTTGTCCGGTACGCCCTAGATGTTCCGTTCCGGCGGTGTGTTCGTGCAGTTGCGCAGCGGGCGTGGTGTCATATTGGCAGCGGTAGCGGTGGGGGAGGGCCGTGAGCGTGTTTGCGGCAGAAAAACACGGGGACCGGACGAACGTTGCGCAGAATAACGTCGTAGGCGGAGATGCGATCCGAGGCGACGAAGAGAAGGAGGTTCGGGTCGGAGGTGGCGTAGACGTCGCGGACCTTGCCCCTGTTGAGCAGCTGCAGGCCGTGCAGATTGCTGTCTATCAGTGCGCCAGCCATATTGTACAGAGGATAATTGGGCGGATGAGGGTCACCGGCAAGCGCAAGCACTCGGAGTCATCAAATGCTTTCCATCTCATTTTGAAGATCGGGCCGCGTTCGTCCCGATTTGGTAGGTCTCGTGGTTGGGCCTGCCGTGCTAAGGGTTGTCTCCGCATCTTCAGTCCCATCTCAACGCCCTCTTACACAAGCCAAAGCGTGCCGGCCATAAAGCAGCCGTATGTTCACAAACCCCTAAAAGAGAGGTCGACTCTGAGCAAGCAAAAACACTAGCCCACCGCGAGGGTCGAACTCGCAGCCTTCAGATCACCCGCTAGTAAGAGTCTGACGCTCTATCCGATTGAGCTAGGCGGGCGATACGCTGTCCAAAATCTGAGGTAATAGGAGTTGTTTGATGCTTTCTCCCTTTCGCTTGGTTTCTCCGGGCCCAGTCCGGGGTGCTCGTCGGATACACCCCCGCCGTCATTCAATATTCAACGCGGCTTACATCTATATTCAAAACATTGGTTAGACATAAATAGCCGGTGTTTTACTCAGAGTACACCGTAGCAGACCTTAGCAGACGCGTAGGCGTGCCGGTATTCTTCGCTTCTATCCTGTTTCTCTCAGAATGTCCGCTGTCCGCGTTCCAGAAGAGCGGGCGTTGGGCGATCCTCCATGATTGAAGACACAGCCTCCACGCGCTGCAGGGCCGTCGAAATTGGGTGAATGGTTCTGAAGCTTGTTTGCTTACTTCGAGTTGTCATACCTTGGACGGGATTGGCCAGCACCCCTAGTGAGGTCCTCGCGGTTGTCGGACATGCCCGCGTTTGTCCATGACGCCGTCGACGCATGAACTATCAAAGCCTAGAAGCACACATCGGACGACGGAGATACTGGAGTGATCAATACAGTCGTTTGCAAATTAAACTGCAGTGTCCGCGCGCGCGCGCGCCTGTTTGCTTCTATTTGTACCAGGCCAGATCTAGAGATAAACCCATATTAGGGAGGCGCATCTACTAGAAATTCCACTTTTGGGCAGTCCCTTTACCAGGCGATCTAAGAAGATGATGTCATGCGCTAAGAAGCCATGCCTCCCTAGTGGCGCTCCGCGCACCGTCTACTCGACATCCACCAGGACTGCCCTCTCTCGACGTCTTTCCTCCTCCTTTCCGCCACCAGACGAAGACGAGCAGGCAGATTCTGCACATGCATGGTCAAATCATGTACGTTGTGTGGTTTCCGTATGCAAAAATCCCCTGATCTAGCAGTCAGGCTTCAGGGACAGGGATTTCACCGTCATTAACTGACCCTGCTCTGCTATCAGACGGCGGGGTTCGCGCCAACCTCGGGGCCGGTCAGCGGGCAAGGGGCAGCGGCGCGGCACCTGCCTAGGGCAGGTCGAGCAGCGACGAGGGACTCCCCCGGCGGGTATAAAAGGGCTCCCAGTGAGTCCGCTTTCCTCCATCCCCTTTCACTCCTTTCTTTCCTTCTCTATCGCTCACTGCCCGCGCCGGCCACTCTCTTTTCTTCCTGTTCACTCTCATCTACCTCTCCCCATACCCCGTACCCCTACCCGCTATGGCACGCATCCACGCTAGCGACGGCGACCGCCATGAGCAAGCTATGCCCGGGGGATGACCCTCTGAGCACTGGCTTCGCCATCCAGCATGGATGGGTAAGTCCCATCTGACCGTTTGTATCCGTGTACTTATGTGCTTGTCAGATGGCGCCAGATATCCGCCACGCTTCTATGTGAGTCTCGACGAGATGAACAGCGACCGCGTCGCAGCAGGATACCCCCCTATCCCGCCCTACATGGAGCCCCCTCCACCTCAAGTTCGCGCCGCCGCACCAGCCGTAGCCGCTCAACCTGCCGCCGCCGCCGCCGTCGCTCATCCCCCTGCCGCCGCTCATCCCCCTGCCGCCGCTCAGCCCCCTGCCGTCGCTCATGGTCTCCCTCGCCACCCTCTTGCCAATATCGCTGAACAAGAGGTCGCCGGCGGTCCTCCCCCTCCTGCAGCGTTGCTCGTCCATGGAGCAGTTGCGCCACCCGCTGCAGATGCATCTGGCGCTGCCATTCCTGTAGCGGCCGAGTCTGGCGTCGTCGACGCCGAGCCACTGGAAGGTCAGTAATGGCCCGTCCGCTTCGTCTGCTTGATGCTCACTTGTTTCTGTATCAGTACCCGTGCACAGCGCAGGGCATCTGGTCTCTGTCACGATACTATACGTTAGTACAGTACCGGTGGCCGGGAGCCGGGCCTCCCGAGGTGTGACGAAGAAAGTCAAGGAGAAAATGGTCAAGTCGGACCATATTCTCGTTGACGGTGCTTCACGCGTCAACTTCATCCATGCTGCCCTCGCTGTCCATGACCTAGCTGACCAGTACTGCGCTGGTGCGATGACTGGGCCCCCCGTGAAAATATGGTGGCCAGGTTCGAGGTGCGTCTGGTCACTGTATCTAACATCCACATCAGCCTTACTAACTATCCGTTAGCGGTGGAAAGTCAGGTGCATCGACTGTCGACACTGACCACGACTTCGAAGTTACGAAGGTGGCCATCCTGCGAAAGAACAGGGCTAGCTGTAACGTGAACATCGAGTTCGATCTCGATCTAATGGATGGCTATCGTATTCGCAAGCGAGTAAGTCACCCAAGCACGCCACAATGGGACATATTTGCCTTACTGAACGCCCCCATGGCAGGCCATTCCGCCCATGCTGGCGTTGCAGGATGATGAGGAAGAGCTTCATCGTGGAGACAAGGTATTCGCCTTTCTGCGTCATCTCTAATATGCGCTCACATTGCGATAGGTGCCTCGTCTGGAGCTGTTCAGTGAAGAAGCTCAGATCAATGGGCAAATGATCTTGCAGCTTAAGGCAAAGTGGGCCTGTGAACGCCATCAAGGCGAGCATGGCGAGCCGGGGTTCTGCTACGTCGATGAAGCAGGCGTCCACCTTGGTTTGAACAGCCGTAAGTTGAAGTTATGGGCAGCGGCAATTGTGAGTGCTTTTGTGCAGCGAAGGATACGCTCTTACTCACGCAATCATCTAGTCAGCTGCAGATGCGACGAAGCATCAGCCACCTACTACGGTCGACTTTGATGGCTTGCGCGACGGTCGAATGAACGTCAACCGGCCGCGCGGTCGTCCACCCACTGCAAGCGGCTCAGCGTCGACATCTAACGATCTCACTGCATTGCTCATGGCTGCAATGATTCCCCTCATCACGAGCCAGCTTGCGCCCAAGGTCCCATCCGCACCTATTGATACCGCCTCTGTCTCTGCTCCGTCCACTCCAAAGCGCATTCGACCCATTCCTCCCCCGCCTCAGTCCCCGTCCCCGGCACCAGGCACAGAGCTTCATGTCTGCATCGCAGACTTCCTTGCTGCAAAGAATATCGATATGGGCGGAGCAGAGATGGCGCTGATGGAGTTAGAACTGACGCCTGACATCATGAATGAGGTCCCCGTCGCTCGCCTCTGTGATGTTCTTGGGGCAGTCGAGGGTCGGGTTCGGAAGTTCCAGCTATTCTGCAAGGAGTGGGTGGCTCGTGTGGAGGATAAGAAGCGTCGGGGTTTGTGATGCTTTCAGGTTTCGTCAATGGTGCATGTGCCCGTTACTCACTCCTTATAATATTCCACGTAGCATATGATATGTTCATTACATTACTTGAGGACAAACTGTAATTGACTCGCTCATGAATACCCGCAGTTATGCACCCATCCTTCAGCGTCCTCTGGCGTTACAGACATAGCGGCCTGATGGATCAACCAAGGTCGAGCATCCGGATTGAGTGCCTGCACTTCATGGCGCCGCAACCAAGCCTTGATGGAATGAAATGCTTGCTCGATGGGATTGAGATCGGGGGAGTATGGCGGCAGGTAGATGAGCCGGGCCCCTGCGAGCCAGCAGTGCAGTCAGTCAACCGTCCAAGGAACCCCAAAACATGATTTATGCGCACCACATTCAACCTCCACAATCTGGCGGATTTCTTCATCGTGGTGGATAGCACAGTTATCCATGACCACCACACTGCGTGGTCCCGGATAGGGGGTCAACTTGGGAGCCTGAGGAAGGCATGGTCAGCGGCGAAGAGCTCCCAGCACAATGAACATGGTACTCACCAGTTCCCCATGCACGAAGGCAATGAAGCGCTCCTTATTCACTGATCCTTCGAAGATATCCAATGCAATAATACCGTCCAGTGAAAGTGCAGGTAAGAGCGAAAATCGTTCGCCACGGATGAATGTTGCACGCCGGACGCAGGCGACCCCGCGAGGTGCCCATCCCTCTGTCCTCTGGCTTGTTCGATTGTCGATGCTCGACTCGTCAAGCCAAACGAATGATTCTGCGGGGATGTCTCCGTATTCCGCTTGCCAGGTAGCCCTGACGAGCTCGTCACGCTCGATGGCAGACTTCGCGACGCGCTTGTGAGTGATGTCGAGGCGGCGCAAGACACGGGAAAGCGTAGCCAGAGAGGCTTCGACACCGCGAGCCTCCGCCAGTCGCTCCTGGATCTCGTCAAGGTAGAGAGTGGGATTGGCCTGTAAGAGAGAGGCGACATAGGTGATGTCGCCCTGGTCGAGAATCCGTGCGCGACCTCGCGTGCGCGCGAAAGGGTTCCCTGTTTGCTGATAGTCTCGGTGATTGCGCAAGACTGTATACACCGTACGCTCCGAGCAGCCAGCTAGTTCAGCGATTTCAGAAGCAGATTTGTCGTGTACATAGCGCCATTCCACCATACGCTCCTTAAGCTGGTCGCCAAGAGGGGGGGCCATGGAGGTGCGATATTAATATTGGGACACTAACCCTAGCGTAACCCTAGACATTTCTTGGGGAGCCAAACACAACCAAGCAGGTTTTCGCGCGCGCGGACACTGCAGTTTAATTTGCAAACGACTGTAAGGTCAGTGCGTGTCCCAGCGTGGACGACCCTGACGGGAAGTCCAAACGGCCATGCAGCACACACACCTTTCCGTGAGATATTGAGGCCGCTCACATGTGGGGATCACCACGTTCTGGCAAGCGACAAAAATCATTTGCACACACCTCCGGCTTGTCGTGTCTGATTCGGACGCCGTGCTGAAGTACGCGCGCGGTAATCAGCGCGTTATGGTGACTTCATACAATACACAAGCGAGGTATGCATGTTCGGCGCCGTATTAAGCCCGCGGACTCCGGTGCTGATGGTTGACACTGTAGGAAAAGGCTAGACGTTAGCATGACATGATCATACGTTCCGTGCTCTGTGCTGTGCTGATTCGACAATAACACATGGGTCAGCGCTTTGAGGACGTCTGACCTCGTTGAACTTACGACTATTTCTCGAGGAGCACTAGCTTGAAGTGGTACAAGACAAACTTCTGACCGCTTCGGCAGCTGTAGAAAACGGGATTGTGTCCTGTAAATTTCGCAACTTGCACGCACCAAACTCTCAGACATTCCGTAGGGACATCCTGAGCATGCTCCTACCACCACGGTAGTTACGCCTCGTTGGCAACGGCTGGAGCTCGGGTTCCTGGTCAGGGGCCTGCAAACTGCATGTTGAGTCGCATCGTCTCGCGTCTGGCCAACGCACGGGATATGCATTCCGCCACCATTTTCTCAAGGTACCCGATGTTGGCCAGGCTTGCTTGCGTTTGCCTCTGATGATATCGTGATAGTTTGTGCGCTTCGGTAAAAATGAGGGTGTGGCACCGACGTCATCTGAAATAAATCAACAAGACCATGCCGTCCGACACTGTGCCACTGTCTTAGAGCCCCGAAAGCACGCTTACTTACCCTAGTATGTGACAGGCGCAGCATGCTTTGGACGAGCGTTACGCCCCTGATACACTATCATTCGGGGCCGCCGTATGGATAGCAACGGTCAGCAACACTCCACGGTCAGCGGGCCAACAGCGTGCTTACTACAAGCCATTATACGAGCTCATCAGCACTTTGTGCGTGGCTGGATCCCCTCCGGGCTACGGTCGGCCCGGCTCGAGGAGGCTTTTGCGGGGCGATGCAGGCGCCGGATCTGGGGAAGGTTTGCCCATACTGAGTAGGATCTCGCGGTAAATTCAGTAGATCGGCGTCGCACATGGCACAAACTCGCAGAAGCCCGACACATACGTTCTGGGCACGAGCGACCCAACGGGCCACCACGTATCGCAGATTCCGAAACACGAGATGCAGCCGACCCCGAATAATCCTCGCGTCTAGCCCGCGCGGGCGTCGAGGGACTGCATGGTGCGCGCATCAGCGGGCGCGCTCGAATGGCGTCGCAGCGTGCTCAGATGACATCCGGCCAGGTCGCTGTGGGGAGCCAGCTAGAAGAACAGATGGAAACAACTGCGACCGAAGCCAGCCTCGGGGAAACGACCAGAAGCACACGATGTTCGGGCTTCCCAGCGCCTCGGCCTCGGACAAGCTGCTAGTGCCTGCCACTAGCGCCAAGCAGCACGAGCCCCCTGGTCAGCCAAGTTTGTGCTGCACCTGCGTCCGTGCTTGGGTCCAGCATATCGCCGCTTGGCGCAAGCATGCTGACTCCAAGCACGGTCGTGGGCGCACTCACGGTGCTCGCACATGCACCAGACGGACCCACACACCGCCCCGTCATCCGTCTTTGTTAACGCATGCAATGATGCACAGTGACCCCAGTTATCTTCCTCCAGGTTCTCTTCTCTTCCTTCTCCCGCCCCGAGATTGCGCATTGCGCAAGCGGGGGAAGGCGTTCGCGCGGTGCGTCGCTGCAATAAGAGCATATCTGGCGTGCGTCATACGCGAGTTAACCATGGTGCGGCCGACAATCGGTAAACGCAGCGCATCGCTCCCCACCGTGGGAGCGCGAAGCTCGAGAGCGTCCTCCTGCAGGCCCCCGTGTGCAGCTTGTTGTAAAATTTGGGCGCGAGGCGGCGGAAGGGTGCAGCACGAGCTCGGCGCAGCTCCGGGCGCAGGCCGCAGCATGGGAGCGGGCCCGACGAATATAGCCATGCTCACAGCTATCAATGTATTAGCATGGCGCTTGCCCCGCTTGGACGATCGTGCGGGATGCGGCCGTGCACGCACGCACCTGCAGGCGGAAAAGCAGGCTGACAGCTTGCTTCAATTCTTTCATTAAGGCCGTCAAGTTGTGTCCTGCCGCCTTCGGGTGGGCCCCTGGGAGCACATTCATTTCCGTGCCGGGACGACTGCAACGCAACAAGCGTCAGACCGCAGACGGCCAAGGTTACGCCGAGCAGGAAGATGAGAGAATGCGGGTCTATCACGTACGTAGCTGCCTGTCACCATCGGTACGGCGCATGCGATCCACTTCTCCTTGACCACAGTGAGGGCGTTGTACCCAGGAGGCGTGGACGTGCGGGGGAACCGTCATGGAAATATCGTCGAATTCTCGGGCGAACCTAAAGATGCGGGGTGCGGGGTAATGCAGGAGCCAAGACGTACTTGTGAAACTGGCAGCACTGAGATCATCAGCCAAGTTTGCGTATCGTGAGAGCGGGAGGGTGCTCCCCTCACGTGGGAGCAGAGACGCCTACGAACCTAAGGATAGAGCTCAGCATGCCCAGAATCGTGCAAACGGTCGCGCGCAGGTGCCGGCGGACGAAGCATATGCTCTCCGAGGCAGAGCACAAGTCTACACGAGACAGGAACCATGTCGGAATGTGTCATAAAGCGAAACGCCGCGAGCATGCTGGCGTTCCACGGTGAGGGGAATTCGTTTACGGATATGCCCATGTGTTGATCATGCATCATCGTTGTTCGGTGACGATTGAGACATGCGTAGACGTGTCCCCTTTCCCAGCAAGGAGAGGCAGCGCGAGGAGAGACCGCTTCTCGCGATCGCCGAACACGTCGGGAGACTGAGGTACCATGGCGGATAGCATCAGCAGCTAGGAGAGCGGTCGGGTGAGCTGCCGATGTGTGCAGACGAGAGAACTGCTGATGCTCACTGAAAACAGCGGGATGCACATCAACGGTGGCATGATCGCTCCCATGGGCATCTCATGTCGGCGGGTACGGGCCTGGAGGGGCGAGCTGATAATCGAGCTCCCTTGCGCGAGATGTTGGTCCGGAGATTGGCACATCCGTACGAAACAAGACAGTGGGTGCTGGGCCGCGAACCGTCCGTGGGACGACGGAGGGGTCATCATCGGGAAACATCGACAGTTTATCGCATCTCGAGAACGAAAGGGGGCAGTCCCGAGTCCAGGGTAGCTGTCTATGGGAGCGCCAGAACGATGCCGCCGATGAGGGCACAATCCGAAACGCGCGGTAGCATTGGTAGCCCGTCCCACGTCGCGGCGAAGACCGTCGGGACGAGGGCAACATACGCTGGTGGAGCGGGATCAGAACTGGTCTCGTTACATGGGCTTCTTGCTCGCGGAGACTGGCACAGAACATCATGAGAGGCAGCTCCGCGTGGCATATGGTGTGAACGGGGCTGCGATGGCGGTGTATTTTGGTAGTCGGCTTCCTCCCACGAGAGCCCCAGTTGCATGGCAGAACAAGGTATCCAGGTGGTTCATCTTGTCCAGCATCGCTCCTGGTTACGCCGTGAGTACAGAAAAATTCTAGGCAGTCATCTGTGGGATCCGTTGCGGTGCCATTGAGTTGTGGTTGGCACGATGTCGGTGCACCACAACCGGTGCGCGGTGGTTCGAATCAGCAGGGTGAAACCATTCTCAGGTGTGGTGATTCTTGCCCCATCTTTAGATTCCTATGAACAAAGCGCTTCATACGACAGCAGCAGACATGATGTGGGCACAAGAGATGCTCGAGGCGAGGGACTGTGGAATAGCGATGAGGAGGGAAGAGAGTTGCAGTACTTGCACGCGAGCGGCCTCGCTGCAGCCTCAATAGCAGCTTACGTAAGCCCGCCGCCGTCGCTGCTTCTCGACGTCGTCGCTGTGTTCAACGCTCTCAGTCCCGTCCCGCACAGCATCCCCTCCGCAAAACGCTCATTCTTCTCCTGTAGCATACGATGCCCATAAAGCACCTGGATAGTAAGCACAACCTCCGCTCAGATTGAACCGCGGTCGAGCGCGATGAACGCGAGCAACACATCTTACAATCATGCACTCTAACAGGCTACTTGTCCGAGCGCAAGCACCTCCAGAACCAACCCTTGTCTGTCCTCTCCGACTCGCGTCTTGGCATTGATGCGTCCTACTACCTCACCACTCTGATCGAGAACCCGCCCTCGCGGGAGTCTCTTCTCGCTGCCACGGGCGGCCTCCCTCTCGCACTCAGCACGCGCATCGAATCAGACCTCCGCGCTCTCGAAAAATATCGCATTAAGCCAGTGTTCGTCTTCAATGGCCTCCTCCCAAGCCGTCGTACGAAGCAGCAGCAACAGCAGCAGTTCGAGCAGACCGAGGCATGCAAGGACAGGCGCGAGGCGTGGTCCAAGTACGAGGCAGGCCAGGAGGACGCGGCGACGAAGCTATTTGAGGGACGGAGCAACCTCCACACGTGGGATCTGTGGAAGATTGTGCTGAGGATTTTCAAGCACCGGAACGTCGAGTTCGTGGTCGCGCCATATGTAGCATGGGCCCAAGTACGTCCTCGTCAACTGACGTGTCCAGCGTCTCGCGAACGCGTCCAGTCGCGGTGCTAACATTTGTGTGTGCACTACCAGTTGATTTACCTGCAACGTCACCCGAAAGCGTATATCCACGCTATTTACGGACCCACGGACACCTTCCTCTACCCCGGCGTGGACAAGGTCATCACGTCCGTGGACTTGCTCTCCGCGAACCCCACGTTTTCCTATGTCTCGAAGCGGTCAATTACGAACGACCTGGGTGTCACAGAAGACCAGTTTTTGGACATTGGCATCTTGCTCGGGTTCGAGCACTCGCCCCCATTCCCGGCAACCGTTCATGAGCAGGCTCTGAAGGCGACCGTCGACATGGTCAAGTACTACAAGTCCGGCTACGCAGCGGTTTCCGCACTCGCAGACCAACCGCACGTCAAGGCCATGCAATATCCCGAAATCTACGCGCGTACGCGCTCCATGATCAAGTACTCCCTTATCCTCTCCTCCGATGGGGCCGTCACGCCTCTACCGATCGCCATCTCCACTCCTGCGCACGGACATCAGAACCACCATAACCACCATCCGACTGCGGGGGACATCCCGTCGGACCTCCACGAGATCTTCACGCACCGACTACCTGACGAAGTGTACTTCTACCTCTCGCGTGGCCTGCTCGGGCCGCAGGCACTCATCTGGCTTACCACTGGCCAAATCATCGAAAGCCCGCCTCTTGACAACGGCGAGACGACGGAATACAGGCGGTTTGTGAAGGAGGTGATCACGGATGGGCAGACCGGCCCCCGTGCAACCACCCTGGCCCTCGTCATGAGCGTGCTCCATCCGTTCTGGCAGTCGCGGAAAGTAACGGGCCAGTTCTGGTTCGAGCAGTCTGCGCCGCAGAAGCCCATCTCCCACAACTCGCAGCAGACCACGCAGCTCGCGGAGCGCGTGGCCAGCTGGAACGTCCCCTACGCGGTTATTGAGGAAGAGCTGCGACGACAGAACGTGAGTGCTCCACTCCGGAAACCTGCTGCGGCCGCGAGCTAATAAACGCTTGTCGCTAATTTTGCGGACCCGAACCTTCGTGCGCAGTCGTCCACGATCGACTTCTCCCTATGCCTCGGCGCGACCGTGTCGGAGAAGCTCGCTGCGCGGACAAAGATCAAGGCCACACAGGGGTTGGACAAGAAAGACGAGATCGTGGCGAATGTCATCTGGCGCTTCCTGGAGCTGCGCGGGTACGTGTTGTTTTGTTCAGGCGACATGTTGCAGGCACGTCCGCTAAGGCTTGGCTAACCGGCGATCTGTCCGATAGGTTTTTGCTGAACACGCACGTCCACTCGCACCTGGCCCGGGCCATGCATACCGCGCTCCGCAACGCACGGCTCACGGACAAGTTCCAGGACCCACTGTACCTGTTCTTGGAGCTCGTGCGGGCGGGCGTGATGCACGGGCACCTGTGGTCAGGCCGCGCCTTCAGCGGTGGCCCGAGTTTCGGTACCGGTACGCTTTTGTTCCCACGGATCGTAGCGACCGCCGCGCGAGCCCCGCTGATGATTGTCTTTCCTTTGGCATCCTGGTCCAGATGACGAAAAGTCTTGCATGCTGCTGGTGATGCGCGTGCTGAGCATATTGCCGCTCAACTTCAAGGTATGCGGTCTCTCGTCGCGTATCACCGCTCGGCGCGCTGTTGCTCACGGACCGTGCTCAATTGCTCGCATCTTGGCTCCCGCCTCCGCTCGCTCCGTTCCGGCCGCAACTATCTGATCTCGTGGTGGATCGCCCGCGCCTGATCGTCGCCCGCCCCGTGAAAAGGCTCAACCGTGGTCCGCGCCTCTGTCACGGGAGCTGCTCGTGTTCAACTCCTTCGTGCGGTCGCTCACACGCGCCCTGCGCGCGCTGCTGGAGGTGACCTCACTGAACATGCTTCTGCGTCACGATGCGCGGCGCGCGCGGGACGACCTGCTGGACGTGAACCTGTCGCTGCCGTTCCAGACGGAGGTGAACACGGGGTTCGGTGTGCTCGCGAAGGTGTACCTCGACGCGCTCACGCACCTCAACGGGCGGCAGCGCGTGCGCGACCCGAACGCGGACGGCGTGCGCGAGGCGAAGCAGATGGCGCTCGAGATCTGCGAGGAGACGTTCCCCGGCGTGAAGTACCCCAAGCTCGAGGTCGAGCGCGGGTTCCGGTTCTGGGATGTGGTGAGCGCCTGCCTGCCTCTTTCTTGCGCCCCGGAGCGGTGCTGACCACGCGTCATGCGTCCCGAAATTTTTTCTTTGACATGCTTCGCCACCCTCCGCCGTGCCGTTCCTGCGTACGCGCGCGCACAGACGCTCACGGCCATGCGGCAGCTGCACTCTGAGGGCGCTGTCCTGCGCGAGCTGATCGACCAATTTGAAGCGGCTGAGGCGTGGCTGGCGCCGATGCGGCCGTAAGGGCTCTCACGGGCTGGGGTAGTGGCACATTCGCAATTAGCATGCAGGGCGGAACACGGCGGGCAGCCTGCGATGGGCAGGTCGGCTGCACTGGCGCCGGCGGGGCGGGGCGGGCGGACGGACGGCGACAATTAGCAGACGGCGTGGTCATGTTCGCGGTCAGGCGTAGGGACAGTGTAGCGTCACTGGCGCATGTGCAGCGCGGGGATGTATCATCATGTGATGCAGCGAATGTGGAGCGGGAGGCTGGAATATTGTTTGCAGTGCGTGTGAGGGCCGGAGATGGGTCGGGGCGAGGGAAGGAGGGGTGCGGCGGCTGTGGGCAGGGCAGGAGCGTCCGCCAAAACGCCGATGAGAAGGATGCGAAGCTCGGGGCGTCTGAATGCGGAGGAGGGGAAAATAGGGCGTGGGAAGGGCTGGGAAGGCGCGCGCGATCGAGATCGCATTTTATCTTGATTCGGCGCAGCGGATCTGGGGCGTCCCTCCTGCCGCTTCGAGAAGGTCCGAATCCGGATGGGCCAGTCCTGAGAGTTTCCCTTCCTCTCCCATCCAACGCCTCATAAAATGCCTCCAGCCCCCGCCCAGCCCATCCCACCGCCCCCCTCCGCCCCGCCGACGCTCAGGCTGCTCGCCGCCCCCCATGTTCGCCAACCAAGCCCTGCACCCCTTCGCGCTCCCCACGCCCGCCTTCGCCGCCAAGGACGCGCACCCCCACCTCTACCTCCACCAGCAGCGCACCGTCGAGGTCATCCAACTCATCGAGGTCCCCGCGCCCCCGCCCCGCTCCCACATCTCCAGCTTCGCCTCTAGCTCCTTCGCGTCGTCCTCGTACGACTCCTCCGAGTCCTCCTCCGAGGAGGACGAGTCCGTCTGCTCGTCCTACTGCTCCTCCGAAGAGGATGCAGACGCGGACGCGGACGTAGACATGAACCAGGCGCCGGTCTATGACGACACGTACAAGACCCGCTACAACAGGGTGCTCGCATGGAGAGAGGGATTCGCAAAGGTGTTCGACGACGACGAGGAGTCCATGCCAGGTTCGTACTCACACCCAGTGGCGCGCCCCGCCCGTCCTCATTGTGCCCCCAGTGCCACCGCCCTCGCCCGTGTCCTCCTCCCCCTCTTCTTCCCGCAAACGAAAAGCCAGCAGTGATGTCGAGTTCGACTCCGATGACGATGCAGTGAGCAGCCGCCTTTTTATATCCCCTTTGTTCTCATGCTCACCGCATGCAGTCCTCGCAGTCCTCGAAGCGTTCGCGCTCAATATCCCCGCTGGAGCGCCCCGCGTGGTCACAACGGCGGCTGAGCGCGCACTCCTGTCCCGCGTGCGACGCCGGCTTCACCACGCTCGAGAGCCTCCAGCAGCACGGGCGGGAGCTCGCAGCAAACGACGCGTGCCGCGAGGCCGTCATGTACGACTCCGAGCCCTGACTCCGCCGCGCGCACTCCCATTGCCCGCGCTAGCCTCCACCACCGCACGCCTCCCGCACCGCACGAACTCCCCTGCCTCGCTCTCGCGCCCTGTCGATCGCAACTTCTCTGACGTCCTCATCACATACATACCCACCCGCACCCACGCATCGCTTGCCCATTCCGCGCATTTTTTTTATTCCTCGCATCTTTCGACGCCCTGCACCTCATCCTTCCCGCCCCATTCATCCGTCCATCCATCGACATCGCTCCCAGGGCGCGCCTTCGATACAGCCCGCTCCATTGCAAGTGTTTTGCCGCATGCCCGCGTACGTATGCGTAGTAGACTTCCCGCCTAATCTGTTACATTACGTGCGTATAGTGTCCCGCCTGAATTCATACGTACACTACGTTATTATCGTCTGCCCGCCCCATCACCCCGTGTATCTAGTAATGCCCTCCGAGGAGGCATGTAACTTAGTCGGAATACACGGATCGTTGCCACAAATAATGCCTATCGTGTGCTCTGCCGTGATCTGGTCTCGGGTACGCGGCGTTCTGGACTTCTTGCGCCGCGCACCCTTAGCAGCCACATGGACCCTGCGCGCGAGCTCGAGGGTGCGTGGGTTCGCGGGCGGGGGACAGCATGCGCCGACGTTTCGCCTACGAGGATGGCAAGTGGCTAGCCGCGCGCGGTGTGCTGTCTCGCGCTGCATCCGCGCACCCTTGGGAACTGCCAGGTCTCGCGCGGACGGGTTTGTTGAACAAATACAGCGGGATCGGATTCCATTGCCAAGGGCGCAGATGTGGCCCAGCCCCCGCCGCGCGTCGAGGCCTGCGCACTGAGCCGTTCGCAAGTTCCACAGAGACACCCTCCGCGTTCGAATTTCCATGCCCTCTGCAGGCCAGACCGCACCCGCGCGGCGCGCGAGGGAAAAACACGGGTGCGCGCATCAGCTCGCGGTATGCCCGAGGGCCGAGGGCCCGACCGCCATCGTCGACATGATGATCCCGTCGTCGAATTCAGGGAGGGGGGCGATGCGGCGTGTGCGATCTGTCCCTCCCGCCGGCGGGACTCACGGGCGCGCGGTGTGCTGTGCTGTGCTGCACGCCCGCACGTGGCCGCGTGCCTGTCGCATCCGGCCGGCCAGCGCGGACGGCCCTCAGCCTCCAGGGCGTGCCACCAGCAGTGCCCAGGAGACTGCCCATCGAACCTTCAACTCTGCCAGTCGTGCGATCACGATGCGGCCGCGCGCGAGCAACAGGAGACAGGGCAGGGCCACCGCCGCGCGCGCGACACCCATGGGAACGCCCCGGCGGCACGCGCGCGGCGAACAGCTGCTCGCGCAGCCCATCCGGGGAACGTGTGCCCTGGGCTCAGGAGTGTGCAGCAGCGGGACTTGGAAGGCCTGCTCGCGGCGGGAACACGGCCAGCTCCTCACGCCACACGCCGCGGTGCGCTGCTGGGTTCCCAGGCTGCACGTACACTCTGCCTGAGTGAACGCGAACCCCCTGGCCCGGGGGAGGGGTATGCGTCGCTCAAGACCGTCGTGCACTGACAACGACCACTGACAGCCCACCTCCGCGTCCGGGGGAGCGTCAGATCACGCCCTGGGCCAGGACGGACACCTTGCGCCCCTCCAAACGCCCTGCGTCGTGTCGCCGGTGTTGCAAGTGAGTGCCAGTGCAGAGTTCGCCAGGACCGAGACCTGAGCCTGTCTCCCAGCCATGCCAAGTAGCTACTGTCTCCGGAGCCGCGCCCGTGCCCCCCGGTGTTGCAGTTTGGCTGTTCACGTCCTGGTCTGTACACTTGCGTCTGCATTCCGACGCGTCGTTCTCTCACACACTCGCACAGGTGCAGCAACAGCTTACTACGCACCGAGATGGGCGTTGCGGATTCGGACGCCCGTTTGAGCCTGCCACCTGAATCTGCTGCCCGTTTGGGCGATGCTGTTGTGTGCGTGTCGCAGGTGGTTCGCAGGGAGGCCCGCCACAGACGCGCGCTGCAGATGCACTCGCAGGCGCAACAACAGCCCTCCCCGATTTAGCGAGCGGGTTCTCAGTGTGGATGCCTCAGCGCGTCCGGGGCGGCTACAGTGCCTCGCCCGTCCCATCCTTCTCCGTGAGTCCGAGCCGTCCCTCTCCTCTCCCCAAACCCCCGTTTCCGCCAAGTCCCGCCGCGAAGCCGCATTCATGAACCGCTATGTACAGACCCGCCCCGGGTGACAAAGCGCGACGCGACGTCGGGCGAACGCCCGGCCATACGGCCGTACGACCCGCGCGAGAGCCCGCCCTATACCACATACGCCCCCTGGGCCTGCGCCCTTGGACGTGCACAGACACGCTCCCACTCCCTGTGTGTATGCGCATACCGCGGACCACCACCCAGCAGCCCGCGCACTCGCGCTGTGGGTATGCCGTCACGGTCCTGCGCCCGAAATACGCCTCCCGCGTAGAGCACGCCTTCCTTGCTACGTACGAACGACGCGTCGCGTCTCACCGTGCCACACGCGCGTGCCGCATTTAGGCGTGGGCCCCGAGCTTTCGCCCCTCACTCGATGGCGGCGCGCCCGGCCCCCAGCGCGTTCTCACCCGCATTTGGCCCCCCATACGAGCACTTGGCTTCGCGGTTTCGCGAGCGTAACACCGGGCGCTTGGCAGGCGTAACACCTGTCGGCGTGCACACGCTCGCGCGTCGACCGCGAAAACGCCGTGCTGCAAGGATGCGAATCGTAATGTAGCCTGGACGTCCCGCGTATCTGCGGCGCGCACACGCGCACTCAACGGGGCTCGCGTTCGCGGATCTGCAGGTACGTACGGTCCTCGACCCGATGTGTTTCCCCGCGTACGTAGGATCGACGGTCGTCCTCGCGCCCCTGCAGATGCGCCCGTGTTATTGTGCGGGGCACCCGCCGGTGTGCCCCGCACTCGTCCTCGGCGGGCTCCTCCGACAGCACCGTGCTCTCAGCTGCACCGTACACCTCCCGCGTTTCCTGCTCGATCCCGAGCCCGTGCGTGGCCACAACCCGCATACGCTGATCCTACCGAGCCATCGCCGATATGAAGCGCCAGCCACGCACTGGGCGCGAAGCAGGACGGACGTACGGCTATCGCCCCGCAATCGCTGCATTCCTGCCGAATGCGATAGGTGCTCCCCGCGCGGGCGGAGTCTTCCCATAGACCCGCTGCGCAGGCGCTAGCCGATGCATCGACGCATCGGTGCGTGCGGCCTGGCAGGGGCGTGCCCTTCTCCGCCGTGGATTCCCCGGCTGCAGCCAAGTTCTTTGTGTTTTCCGCCGCGTTGCTGCTGCTGATGCGCGCGACACGGGGGCGTCCAGGACGTCGGTGCTCTATCAGTGCCATCTCGCGGGCCACCGCGGCGGCTCGTGCTACGGCGCTCGGAGGACTTCTGGCTGCACGCACCTGTGCCGGGCACCGGGCCTGCATGCCGTCACCGCCTTCGCAGCACTTTGTCTCTCGCCGCAAGTACGGGTCACGTCCGTCACTGGCAAGTCATGTCACGGCAGCACGCAGGGTGCAGTAGAAGACAAACGAGCACGTCTCCCGCGCGGTGGGGCGCAGAAGGCCGCCCTCTGAGCTTGACTCGTCACGGACGTCATTCATCTGCGCCCCGAAGCCGCAAAATTTCTGGTGACGCCGCCTGCGACGCCCTCGCGCACCCCGCCGTCCCCACGGTGGGCACCCGGAACCACGCCAGCGTTCATGGAAAGTGGCTGCGCCGCGACGCCGCGTCCCCCACCCGTCGCCCGCGCTCCACCGGCCTCTCCCCGTCCGTCCTCGCACGCCGTGGAGGGACGCGCACTAACGCTACGCTCGCCTCTCCTCGCCTCCTCCTGCGCGGCTCGCTGTTTCGGTATGGGAGCAGCAGCCACGGTACAGTGCCCAGGCGCGCTTCCAGAGCACGGGCGTGCGCACGCGCAGCGCCACCGTACCCATGCCCACACCGCCGCAGTGCGCGCGCGAGCCCCCGGCGCGCAGAGGACCGCGCGCGGACGCAGTACTCGATCGCGAACGAACGAACGCACAAACACGGTGCGCGCAGGGCTTCCAGAGGGAGGGGGCAACGCGCGACCATGGTTTCGCCGCGACAACGACGAGGAACCCACGGGCGGGCCCTGGCTGCCCCAGGCCGGTGCGCGGGTGGCCTGGGGCGTGCTTCCCAGCGCAGAGGCCCAGCGCGCCTCCTCTGGGCCCCCAGAGGGTGGGGAGGACGCTGGGCGCGTTCCCGTGGAGGGCCGTGCGACGAACATACCGTCGCTTGGGCCATGGGAGCCCGAGCGCGATCGGGCTCACAGCGCCTCTCATGGCGCAGGGTCGTTTCTCCGCTGGACTGGCGAGGTACCCACGACGTCCACCGCGAACTTCTGAGGACGTGCGTTCGGGTTCCGCGCGTCTGTGGTTGGTGATGCCAGCCTGGAGATGTGGATGCGAAGCCGCAAGCCTGCGCCGCGGCGGGAATCCTGCAACGAGGCAGAGGACAAAGGGTGCGTCGTGTATTTTGCATAGGGCCACACGCCGCCTGAGAAAGGCGAAAGACGAGGCTGATGGACCCACGAGCCCTTTTCGAACCTCCGTTCGCTCAGTGGCTGCTGCTCCATATGGGATGGGGCGCGCGAGCTCGTCCTCTCATGATATTTCGCCGCAGCACCCACAAAACACCCACGCTGATGCGGGGAGCTGCGCATACGCTGGTGTTTTGCTCCAGCCAAGCCTCCGCTGGCTGCACAACTTAACAATGCATAATAGTGGCAGCGGTAAGCGCCACCGTGAGTCCCGGGGTGATATGTTTTGAATTGGCCACCCATTTCCGTGCTAGTCTGGAATTCATACTATTGCTGCCGGCATTTCGATCTCTTTTAGTCCGTAACGCCGAACGCGACTCCCCAGAGCGCTGCTGTGCAAGCACAGATCGCGATTTCGGAGAAGCACTTTCAATCGTCACATCGTTCGGCCGCGGTGGTACCAGCAATATTTGTTTGATGTTTCGAGTTGACCGCTCATGGCGCTTGTGCATGTACGTGTGGCTTGCACGTCGAAACACGCCCTGACCGACTGTACCTCGAGTTTACCGTAGGCGGGTTCATGGAGGCCCACGAAAATTTCCATTGATAATAGCGAGGGCGGTAGAGTGCCCGCCAAGCGCGAGCTTGTACGCCCCGCCGCCTTATGCGGCCTAGCCTACACACGCATTCACCACGCTCGGACAGGCGGACCTGCGGAAAGTACACTGGTGCAGGGGCGCTATTTGACAGCGACAGGCCGGCAATCGTGCACGCGCGACAGGATCAATTGCCCCCCACAGGCGTGCCAACGCCAACGCCAACGCCAACGCCAACGCTGTCGGCCCCGCGCACGGGAGGCTGGACTGCGCGATCTGGGCCCCCCGGATATCTGCATCTGCAGGCACTCTGCAGCGGATTTGCTGGATGGGGCCCGCTGCTACCCCACGCCTCATCACCGTCGAGCGGCGCGTGGCCGTGCCGCGCTGGCGCGCGCGACGAAAAGTCGAATCATTTATCTGCTTCTGGCGCGCTGGGGGCAGGCAGGCGGGAGGGCCTGAGAACGCTTGGGAACATCACGCAACGGCGCGGGGCCAGCTGAGCATTATCCCCAGCCACAGCATCTGCGCACGTTGCAACGCGCGCGTACGTACGGGTGTCCGGGCGTTGGGATATCTGGATATTACAGTGCGGAAGGCGCGTGAAGAAGGGGGAGAAGGAGGCGGGCTCGGGCTCTGTTGCGCTTCACCTGCCCGATCCTCTGGTACGGGAGAAGGGAGAAGGCGTCTCGGAGCGGAAGGCGTCCTGCGCTAGCTGCACGCGCGTCCCGAAATGGAGACATTGCGGAATGCTATCGATGGTGGCATGAGAGCGGGGGGCACCGCACGCTGGGCGGAGGGGGGCCAGCTGATGCGACGGAGGACAAAGGGCGGACCGCGCGCATAATGGAAGAAGAGCGATCACTTGGGGCTCTCTCACACCGACCACCACCTGGTCTAGGTATTCCCACGGTTGGGAAGAGAGAGTTCCCCCCCTCTCCTGCGTTAAAACGACCTGAAATGTGGTCAAGGAGAGCCAAAAGGCGAGCAAGTGCGAGCCCGGAAGTGTCTGCGACATACAGATAATGTTCCATGCAGAAGCAAAGGCGTTGGACGAGGAAATGAACTCGAGAGGGTGACGTGGCAATAGACGCTGGATGCAATGGCGCAGCCCGCCGACCCCACCCTCCCTCGCCGGTTGCGCCAGCCAACGAAGCGTGAGCAGCACGTCGAGAAGGCAAACGACAGAGTCGGTGACGAACAGGAAGCACGGACACTCCAATGTACGAGGAGCGGTAGCCACATCCCTGAGGATCCCAGCACGCAACAAGAACTGCGAAACAGCGCCAATACTTCACCGCAGAGAGTAACATAGCGCCAGCGGCGTTCGCCAGCGGCGTTCGCCAATTCTCATCGCCGGCTCATCGCCGGCCTCAATCACCGAACCGAAACGCTCAAATGCTGTATAAGAGGCGCAACCACCCATGCATACAGCACAAAACCACCCACAACCGACATGGAGACCACTGTCTATGCTAGAGAAACGTCCTGCATCCCCTCTGAGAACCCGTACCACCCAGACACCTTCGTTCAACACTTTGACGTCCCACTCGTCCCACGAGTCCCTCTCCACGTCGGCCAGCGAGTGAAGATTGTAACGTTAACCCTCCACGCCCGGGACCTGCCAGCCAATGGAGGATACACCCCACCCTGCTACTCGGCGCAGGACTCAGGTGTTGTCGGAGAAGTAACGAGGGTCAGGTCGACGAACTCTGCCGTCACGGAGTTCATCGTCCAGAACGAGAACGACACGTCTCCCATCATCTTCGCATGCCTGGCGATCCAGCACATCCAAGGGCAAACGGTCAGAATGGGCCTCTGGGAGTCGATCATCCGTCAAATCGTACGCCCACCCGCACCGGAGCGGTGCATCCCACTCGAACTCGACGCAACGGTCGTCAGGGAAGGCGAAGTACCGCGCCAGCAGCGAACGGGGAACGGCCGCACGGAGTAACCGCAGGAGACGCACGAGCTGCATTGCCCAACTCGACCTGGAGACGCACGGCGAGGGGCTACATGCCTGGACGCTTTGGGAAAGGCGGGCAAAGGGTAGGGCGGCGAGATCTGAGAAAGGCGGGATGCGGGATAGGAAATGTACGTGCTGTATGGGAGTGCGCGGAGAATGCCGATTGTCGAGCCAAAGGCGTCCACACAAACCAGCCACAGCTGCGGCGAGTGCCGAACGAACGGCATAGCCCCGCCGCACCGGGTGATGACTAAGCGGCAAGCGCGAGCAAACAGCAAGAACGGCAACAGACTGCCCGTGAGGAGCGCGCGCGAGTAGCAGACACCTGAACATTCAACAGACTACTCGGAGCGTCCCAAACTGGCCACCCAGCATCTGAAGCTGAAGGTGCTCGGGTGCCGAACAGGTGGCAGAGGCGAACAAAAGGGGAGGGGGAGAGAGAGAGCGTCCTGCCCCTCCCTGACCTCCCCCTGCCAACCCCACCCGACAACACCTACCTGCCTCTACGATGGACCGCCCCCCGCAAACGCCGCAGTTCCCCCCGCTGGCGCAAGTCCCGCCCAGGACCAGCGCGAGCCTGCGCACGTCGCCGCGGCCCGCAGGCAAAACACGCTATGTAGCGCCGAAAAACCAGCTACTCCCGGCCTACGAGGGTGGAGAGTTAGGCGGCACGTTCAGGACGTTCACGAGAGACTTCCAGAACGTCGAGCAGCAGGTGCGTACTACCGAAATGCGGCCGCGGCGAGTACTAACCGCGGTGCGCATGAAGAGCGAGTACGGCTCGGGCCAGAGTACGGCAAACGAGTACTTCCCCGGCGGCCTATCCTCATGGGAGCCAACCCCGTCACCGTCCCCGCGCCCGTACGAGCAGACGGTCGACTTCAGCGAGTTCATGCACCTCGCGGGTCTCGCTCAGCAGCAGCAGCAGTCCGGGGAGGTGGAAAACTACGGCATCTCGAACGACGGCGTGGGCTACGGGAGCACCGGTGACGCGCTCGACGGTTTCGACCTAAGCAGCTCCTCCTCGTTCGTCACATCCTCCCCGAAGCGCCAGATGGGCTACCAGCAGCAGGAGCTCGAGATGAACTACCCCCCGCTGCCGCTCCCTAGTTACGACCACGCCGTGACGTCGTTGGAGAACTACATCAACCCCCAGATGAACGCGCAGCCTGCCCGTAAGCGGCAGAGGGTGGACACGTCACTAGACGGCGACCTAGAGCTCTCGAACCAGCACGACACGATCAACCCCGCCCTCTTGCAACCTCCGTACCAACCAACGGAGCAGCACGACGTCCCCATGGAGGACGACGAGGGCTCGGACGACCCGGACCAATCGGAGATCGACCGGATCGATCGGGCGTGCGGAGGGTATGCGAACCTGAAGCAGCAAGAGGTACCCCCTCCGTACCCGGCGGCGCTCCAGAACGCACGAACGGAGCGCGAATTCGTAATTGAATTCATCGTGCTAGCCATGGCGCGCAACTGTCGCAAGCAGCTCGAGGCGTGCATCGTCGACATCCCCGGCCAGCCGCTCGCCGACAACCCGATTGTCGTCAAGCTACTCGGAGAAGAAGGCGTCCAGGCGCTGCACATCTTCCCGGCGAGACAACAGGCCGCCGCTATCACCGAGGGCGCTCCCCCTGCCCCGCGGATGCCGACGCCCCAGCAGCAACCCGCGATGTCGGACCGAGCACGCGCGAAGCAACCCGCGGCGGCGCTCCCCCAGCTGCAGCACCAGCCGATGATGCCAACGGCGCCAATCCCCTCCACCCAGACGACGAGTCTTGCGATGAGAATGCGGGCCAACGCGACGAGCCTGAGTGTTGCGACGCCGAGCGTTGTGCACGAGTGGCCGGAGCAGCAAGCGCAGGACGCGTGGCAGCAAGTCCGACAGGATATGCACCCCCCCGTCGCATCCTCCTCGCGCATGCGAACGCCTGCGCAGGTGATCTACCCCCCGCCGATGAACGCCCCCAGGACCTACCACCCGGCGGCGCGCAACCTCCTGAGTCAATTCAACCAGCAGGCGGACCCCGGGGCAGCGGCGCGCCCGAGGGAGGAAGCGCCGTTCGTCCGGACGCAGAACTTACGCCAACCGACACCGAACATGGACCCGTCGATGTGGAACCAGGGCAGCGCGAACGGCGCGCCGGTGGCGGGCTTGTCGTCGATGGCTCAGACGAGCGTCTCGCACCCCGCTCACCCCTCGGCCCAGGCGACGAACGCGGCCAAGTGGCCGATGGACGTCGACTGGTCAAAGGTGCCGAAGCTGCCGCCGGCGCCGATGAAGCAGGACAACTCGATGAGTGCGTCGGTCGCGCAGCTCTGGAACAGCAGGCGCGCCCACTTCGCCGCGCTGGGAATGCCCCCGAACCCGCAGGGGGGCTACCCGGAGATCCATCTGCGTGACCCGGACGACAAACTCAGAAACGTCCACAAGGCCACCGTCGCGAGCTGGAGGCAGAAACCGGAGCGGGTGGCGCTGGAACCCTTCGGTCAGGACCACATCTCGGACGCGAAGGCGAGCGAGACGCACGGCGCCCTCAACCGGACCCTCAAGGCGGCCTTCGGCGACGTCCCGTTCGGCATCATCCCGCCGACGCGCACTCAGAACGGCGTCCAGCGATGGGAGGCAGCCACGGCCTGGATGAGCCACAGCTGGCCGCCCGTCGTCGCGATGCTCCTGATCGTCCAGCGCATCTGGATTTTCAGAGACATCTCGTTCGTCGCGACGGCCGATGCCTCCACCCCTCCGAAGCTGCTGCTGCCCCTCATCGGCCTAACCCGCTGGGAGGTGTACGCGATCAGAGAGCTCGTGATGGAGGAATTCACCAAGGACAAGGTGTACGAAGACCTGAAGACGCTAGTCTCCGCGAACCAGGACTATGCATCGTTCGCAGACAAGAACGTAGCGACGTGCAAGGTCATCGACTCCCTCGACGTCGTCGTGCGCGACGTGGTCACCAAGACTAAGACTACGAAGGTGGCGTACATCTACATGGACCCCCCGACGAAGTCTTCGAAGTTCTGGGTGGACTGGCGTGACAACCTCAAGGTGTCCCCCTTCTCCGGCGAGACCGTCCGCGCGACCGTCTCGCGCCGCCAGACGCGGTGCGAGATGTGCCACGGAGCAGACCACCAGACCGACCAGTGCCCCTTCCCGCATGTTGCAGGATGGCAGACGGTCATCGAGAAGCGCGGCGGGTACAAGGGCCACGGCGGACGTGACGACGAGTCAGGCGACGACAACGGCGACCGCGCCAGCGGGAAGCGCAAGGCTGCGCCGCCTAAGTCGCTGGGCACCCGCCGTTGACAACGAGCACTACGTCTGTTGGACTACGATATCTTGATCATGTAACGAACACGCAGTAGGAATGAATGCCATCTGTGACTGAGCGAATCGACTGTCCCCTCCCCGAACGCGACTGACCACCGCGCTCCAAGGAAGACTGCTCATATCTAGCGTAGCCGGCCTAGTACGGTGCAAGCGGGATGAGCAGTGTCCGTCCTCGGCCCAAATATACTGGCCTCCGGGCGCAGGAAAGCTGAGGACGTCTGTCCCTACAACGGCGGCCTATTTAGGCCTCGACGTGCCGTGCCGAGAGGCTGAAGCCAGCAGAGGAAGAATCAAACTAGGCTGAGGACACCTCTGCGAAGTGCATAGTCGCCCTTGGGGCGGGGATATGCCCCTCACTGCATGGACTTGGTTGCAAACATGTAGGACATCTAAGCAACTCCCAATTCATTACAAACAAATCATACACAACGGGTTAACAGCACTGGCTACGGTGACATGCGCACTGGTAGAGCGCGAGGGTGTGAGAGCCCACCCGCCGAACCCAGACCTGATGAACGCTCTACCGGAATCGGTGGCGGCGCCGGGGTCCAGCAAAGGCGCGACGTATGTAGTAATGCGGGACTCCCGAGCGACGGGCAGCAGCGAAATGAGCGAAGAATGCGAAATGAGAGAAACGGAAACGACCAGAACGGGACAAATGAAGAAAGCGACAGGCAAACGCGGGGAAATGCCCGCCGAAGGCAGCGGGACGAACACCTTGCTCAGAAAACCGCGATAAGAGTGGCGACGCTGAATATCAACGGTTTCGGGACGTTAGTCTGTGACCATGAGAACAACAAATGGGGCAAGATGTACCGTGTATTGACGGCGTCACGCATCGGAGTGATGCTGATGCAAGAAACGCACCTAACGGAAGAGAGGAAAGCGGAGTTGCACAGAATGTTTGCAAACAGGATAAAGATATTTTACTCACCTCACCCTGAGGCGCCAACGCAGAAGGAAGGCGTGGCAATCGTGCTAAACAAGAAGATAATAAACACGGAGGGAGCAAGAATGACGGTTGTGGTCCCAGGAAGGGCAATGCAACTCTCCCTCCCCTGGCGAGGGGGGGAACAGAGAGAGATCCTCTGTATCTACGCCCCAACGTCGGCGGGGGTGGCAGAGAGGAGAGCGTTCTACCAGCAAGTTAGAGATTTCTACCGCACGAGACCGACCGTCCCAAAGCCCGACCTCATGGCAGGTGACTTCAACAATGTCGAAGACGTCCTGGATCGGTCGCCGGCCACCGAAGACGCTGTGGACGCGTCAGCCGAAGACTTGGATGAGCTGAAAGCGGACCTCGGACTAATGATGGTCGACGGCTGGCGTGCAGTACACCCGGACACGAGAGACTTCACCTTCCAGAGAGGTGTAGGCGATGCGAGAACGATGTCGAGGCTTGATAGGATATATGTCACTAGAGATCTCGCCAGGTGGGCTAGAGACTGGAAAATAGAACCAGTAGGAGTTAAGACTGACCACAATATGGTCTCTGTCATGCTAACGGCCCCGAGTGAACCGGCGGTGGGGAAAGGAAGGCCTGTCTTCCCGCTGCACCTACTCAAGGACAAGAAGTTGGCGGCGAAAATGAAGTCAAAAGGACTAGAAGCAATGAAAGATCTTGAGGACGTTACACGGGATGGTAGGACTCAGGTGTCAAACCCGCAAGTAATCCTGCACAAGTTGAAGGGAGAATGGCTTGCGATGGCGAGGCAACGAGAGAAGGAAACGGTCCCGAAGCTAATCCAGGAGATCGGCTTGCTTGAAGCAAGGCTAGCAGAGGTAACGAATGACAAGGAAAGCGGCGAGGCAGTACGGGCGGCCGAGGCGATGGCCCTGACAGAGCAGATAAGGAAGCTGAAAGAGAAGAGACACAAGCAGCAGCAGGCGAACGCGAGAGCAAAGCACAGGATGGACGGGGAGAGACCAACGAAGTACTGGACGCGATTGCACAGGAAGCAAGCGCCGAGAGAACTCATCCCTGCCTTTGAGAGAGAGGGCATCCTGACACCTCAGGGTGAGAAAGTCTATGAATCCGACCCAGTTAGGATGGCCGAAATGGCGAGACAGCACCACGACAACATCCAGGATGACGGAGCGGATGTAACGGCAGCTGCGCAGAGAGAAAAGGACATCGCGACCGCGCTAGAAAGTATAACGAGCAGGATTGAAGGAGATCAAGCTGAACTCATGGGTGCTGCGATAACCAGGGAGGACGTCGAACTCTCGTTGCGTTTCGCGAAGACCGGAACGGCCCCGGGACTAGATGGAATACAGTATGAAGTGTGGAAGACGGTCCAGGCCCGCTATGTGGAAGACTCCAGGCACCAAGGGCGTGCAACGCTCGACATAGTCAAACTCCTGACGGCGGCATATGAAGACGTACGCGTACACGGAGTGTCCCCGAGCACGAACCTTGCGGAGGGATGGATGTCGCCAATCTATAAGGAGAAGGGCGACCGGACGAAAGTAGTTAATTACAGACCTATAACGCTCTTGAACACAGACTACAAGCTGCTGAGTAAGACGCTGGCGATACGCCTTGCGGATGTCGCCCCGGAAATAGTGCACCCAGCACAAGCGGGTTTTGTCCCTGGGCGGAGGCTACGTAACCACACCCAATTAGCCAAAATGATGATAACCTGGGCCGAGGCGAAAGAGGTCAACGGGACGATCGTAGCACTGGACCAAGAGAAGGCGTACGACAAGATTGCGCACGACTATCTGTGGAAAGTCCTGGAAGCGTTCGGGATACCGGACACATTCACGAACATAATCAAGTCCCTATACGGGGAGGCGAGGACGTCAGTGGTGATAAACGGCGTAACGAGCAAGACGTACAAGATCTATAGAGGGGTGAGGCAAGGCGACCCATTGTCGTGCCTCCTCTTCGACCTTGCAATCGAGCCGCTGTCCGCGATGATAAGAAACTCGCCGCTGAAGGGCATGAACATACCCACCAGTGGAAGCGCACTTAAAGCGACGCTGTTCGCGGATGACACAACGGTATACTTGTCAGAGGAGGACGACTTCCAAGTCTTGCAGAGCGTCCTTGACACGTGGTGCTCGGCAGCCAAGGCGCGTTTCAATATCGGGAAGACAGAGATAATCCCGTTGGGCTCGAGGGAGTTCCGAAGGGAAATGATTGAGGTGTACGAGAGGACTGGGAAGTGGCGGAACTACCCCACGGGGGTGCATGTGGCGAAGGAAGGAGAGGCGGTGAGAATTCTGGGAGCATTCATGGGAAATGGAGTGGAACAGTGTGCGGTATGGACTCCGAAGATCGAGAAAGTACAAGCAGTGCTGGAACGATGGAAGATGGGGCACGCCACCGTCCTAGGCAAAGCGCAGACCGTGCAAATGATGGCGGGCGGCATGACACAGTTCCTGACCGATGTCCAGCGGATGCCAGGCGCGATAGTGAAGAGGCTCAACAAAATAATACGCAACTATGTATGGAGTGATAAGCCACACGTCCCGATAGCAACAGAACACCTGTACCTTCCGATAAGTGAGGGGGGCATTGGTCTGCTAGACCTGGAAGCAAGAAATGAAGCGATAGATATAATGTGGCTGAAAGAGTATCTAAAATATGGTGAGGATCGGCCGGACTGGGCGAGAGTGGTGGATGACCTACTTGCCATAAACGTCCCAAAGGATGTGCACCTAAAAGAGAAGGAGCTAAGGATCAGTACGTTCCTACAGCACTGGAAGCCTGCAGCAAGAAAACTCGCACCTGACTTGAAAGCCATGATCGACGCGGGTAAGAAGTATGGCGTCCGGCAAGAAGCGATCGCCTTCAGCAGGTCTGCGCTTCGAGCGATGCCCATGTGGGACCACAACCAAACAGAGCGGAAGAGAATGGGGAGGCTCTCGGCGAAGTCAGTAACAACAATATGCATGAAAAGAAATCATGGACTACGCACGGTGGGCGACTTCGAGGGGCTGGCAAAGGCGCTTGAGAACCCGGCCCACAAACCGACAATGCGATGTGTATGCACAGATTGTGAAGCTCAGGTAACCCAGAGTAGATGCGCCAACCCGCACCGCTGCTACATCAGAGCGAAGCAAATCCTTGACCTCCTCCCTCCAAAATGGGACCCGAGGAAAGAACAACCGGAAGACTACGAAGACGAGGATGACGCCTGGGCAAAAGAGCTGGGTATAGAGGCTGAAGTAGTGGACAGAAGAGTGACAACGAAGGGCCAGCTGAGCGAGACGTTCAGAGTATTCACGGATGGCAGACCGTTATCCAGGACGCCGCCGAGCCTGATTCTGCAGAGAACTAGTGAGTTCAAGACAATCGGAACAGACGGATCGTGCTCACAGAACGGCGACGCGAACGCCAGAGCGGGGGCGGGAGTGTACGTTGCGGCAGAGAGCACGGAGAACATTGCTATGAGGCTACCACGGACAATGCTGCAAACAAACCAGACGGCGGAGATGACTGCAACGCTGCTGGCGACGACAAAGCTTGATGGTCGGCGGCCGCTTGTCCATGAAACGGACTCAAGGACTGTAATCAAAGCGTTAACGAGAGACAGGAAGAGGCACGAAGACGAGGGATACGTCACGCAGAAGAATAGCTACCTTGCGAGAGCGACTGTTGCGGCACTACGCGCTAGGACAACGGTGACGGCGATGCGATGGGTGAAAGGACACAGCGGCCTTGAACTCAACGAAGGGGCGGACAGACTGGCGGCCAAGGGAGCCGAAATGGGCCAGATGGAAGACCTAGATTTCACGATACCGCATGAGCTATGGCTGTCGGGCGCAAAGCTGAGCGCAATGACGCAAAAGCTGGCATATAAGGCAATAAGGCAGAGGAAAGCACGTACAGCGAAACAGAGACCGAGCACGGTTAGAAATCTCGCAGTAATCAAGACAGAGATTAGCGAGAAATTTGGCAGGGAAGTAACGAATGAAATGATATGGCTGTCACTCACAAATGATAGCATCTCGAGAGAGTGCAGACAGTTCATGTGGAGAGCAATACACGACAGCTTCATGGTCGGAAGACACTGGCAACGGGCGAGCATGTCGAATGAGCTGCAAGAAAGAGCAACATGCGGTACTTGCGGCGAGCTCGAGTCAATGGAGCACATCCTCACCGAATGCAAGGCCGAGGGTAGAGAGTTAATCTGGAGATTGCTGCGAGAGCTGTGGGAGAACGCTGGCCATACTTGGAAATCGCAAACGATGGGGACGATGCTCGGAGTGGCGTGTGCGTCCTTCGCGACTGAAAATGGCGAGCGGAGGACATGGCAAGAGAAGCTATGGACGATCCTGTGCTCGGAATCAACGTACCTGGTGTGGAAGCTTCGCTGCGAGCGCGTAATCAAGAACGAGGGAATCCAATTCACGGCACAGGAAGTGAAGCAGAGATGGTATGCAACGATTAATAGAAGACTGACGCTTGATAGAAATGTAGCAAAAGTGAGTAAAGTGAAAAGGAAGGAGAAGATAAGGAAAGTACAGAATACCTGGTGCTCGGTCCTGGCGGACGTGAACATGCTGCCGGTGAACTGGGTTGTTAATAGCGAGGTTTTAGTGGGTATTAGGTAGGGCTAACGGGTGCTATCGGGAGTCCCACACGCTGTGCGTAAAGGCATTTCCTCGGGGGTAGGAGGTGGAGGGGTGATGAGATGTATCTACCTGGCTCGAGTTCCGGAGAGTAAACTCCGAAAATCTAGCGTCACCAGCGTGCCCGACGGGCTGCATGACAAGCCCCTATGGGGACCATCGCAGCTCGCGGGTAAACGCTCAACCCGAAGAAGAGCGATCACTTCATATTCGCAGGCAAGTCAACCGTCCAGAGCGCAGAGAACACGCCGCTAAGAATAGCGGGGTCGCGGCTGGCTGCACGCCGAAGGTTCAGTCGCGGCAGGCCGCTAAGGCGTAAGGCCGACAGACGAGCGAGATATCTCGCCAGACGGCAGACGGCAGGGACGTCGAACATCGGCCGCAAGGCGCGGACAGTGGCAGCGTGTTGGCGGTGTGGCTGCATGCATCTGGCAAGCGGCGCGTTTGAATGTTGAGTCCTGCCTGGGGTTCCGTACTCGTGGGATCGTCGGGATAACCTAGCTGGTCTCAAGAAGTACTCCAGTGCTTTCACGCTTTCAGCGCTCTCTGTACGCCCGATCGTGGATGGTACAGCGGCTCTTCGGGCCTGACGGGTCTTGTAGACCCTGTCGCCCGATCCATCCGTTTGCGTTCGACAAGTGTATGTGATCTGCAACTGTGGCCAGGGGCCATACCTCGGTAAAACGTGATGCTCCTGGGGAACATTGCTTCGGTGTGAACGAGTAGACGGAGAGGTACCATCTGCGACCTGTACTTGGTAGGAGTCGAACAGTGCGAGCGACAATCGAGGTTTCGCCGCGGGCGAGAGAGAATACGTCCCGATCATGGGTTGATTGCTCCTGTTACCTTCCCAACCGTGGACGAGGCCCTGGTACCTCTGTCCAGCGTGATGAGCAACGGGCGGCGGTCGGCTGAAGCCAAGAAGGACCAAGTGACATACCTACAACAACGTCGGCGGGACCGGAGGCAGTACAGAGGCGCGCCCTGTCTGCGGGACCGAACCTAGCCCACAGAAAGTACACGCCCTCCGGGTACGCCACGTCCCGGCGGGCGGAATCAGCACTGCAGGCGTTGTTTGGTAGCACGCGGACATCGGCCGGTGCGTCATCTGGCAGACTAGCTCTGCATGCCATCATATGCCACCGACCTGGAGGCTTCTCCTAACCTGTTTCGCAAAACACAGGAGATGGTTGCGCACATCCGCATCAGTCGGCGGTCGGACTGCTCTCACGGGGAGGGTATCTTTAGGGGGCTGTAGAAGATGCGCACTGGCACGAATCTAGAGTAGGTCGGTATGATACAGCACTGGTCATGAGGGGTATCACAACACGCTCGCACAGGGGTGTGCCCACGGCCAGCGACACGGCAGGCGACAGATGTGTTCATATGATGTCGATGACGGTAGGCCAGAGACTGGGTGAGGGGCATGATCAGCGACCGTGTTCACGCATCAGCAGCCCTGGCTGCGTAACGGCCGTACGTACCCAAGAAATCCCACAAGCGTCTGCAGCAACCCTCCGATGAACGGAATCCAGCTAGGAGGGCCGTCAGTCCCGCTGACATAACGCGTAATGAATTGCACTGCACTCACGTTGACATGTTGTACTTCGACGCCTTGAATAGACCGGCCATTACATAGCCGATAATTGCAGATCCAACTACGGCTCCGGCCAGCGCCGCCACCGCGAACACGAAGAGCACCAGCAGAGCGAAGGTCAGCCGCGATCTTGTCTCGTTCTGCTTCGCACGAGAGCGCGATGGCGCAGGGGCTTGACTCTGCGTGTCGGGGCCTAGCTGCCGGTCGTATCGCCGCATGGGAATGTCGTCCCGACCCTCGACGCTGCGGTACGAGGGGCCCGAGTCCGCCCTGATGGCTTTCGGCTTGCGTGACTTCAGGGGCGCGTGGAACGGAGGGAAGGCCAGGTTCAAGAACGCGTAGGTTCCGCATAGAATATACAGGGGAATGTAGAAGATGAGCGTCCAATAAAGCGTAAAACGGAAGACGTCTAATATGCTGCGTGTCAGCCACGTCTGGGCCATTCATTACATGTTGCAGGAACGCACCGTGGGGGTCGTGCAAGTATCTCCCTATTGGCTGTTCAGGATCCCTATGCTGCAGCGGAAAGAGCTCCACGACGATATTGTAGAGAGATGGCCAGGACGGCACGTCGTCAGACATCGCGGCTGAAGTGTGGTGCGGACCGCGGAAGCATCACAGCATGAATATACAGCGCGAGTCAACCAGAAGAAGGTATTTCAGGTCGAAGCAGACGTCGCCGAGGGGATCAGCCGGTAGACAGAGGAACGAATGCACGTCGAAGACCCGCGGAGACCCAAACTGCGACTCGTAATCGGCGGTCAGTCGGTGGCGCCCGGCGGGTGTAGTTCCAGAATAGGCAAGTGTCGCTGTTCGCTCTACAGCCGCTCAATTCCGCTATCGCAAATGCCCCCGGCGTCGACGTTCGATTTCTCAGACAAAGTGTGCATTTAGAACATATGAGGTGACATCCATCGCATACAGAGATATTTTGGGAAACATCGCTTCGCTGCATAGTACCATACATGCCACTTAACCGAATCGACAGATGGCCCGGCTCTCCCACTCCTCCACCGTCGCCGTCTCCGTGAGCGCGTCATGCGCGAGCATCGTCATACTGAGCAGGAATACCGGCTTGCACGCCGCCGCCTTACCCGCATTCAGCGCTGCCGCTCTTAACGCCGCCAGCTCCTTCATGGTCTCTTGGAGCGACCACGCGCCGCCGTCCTGGGAGTCGTCCACGAACACGACGCCGCGTGCCGCCCATGCACAAGCGAGTGTCTCACTCCACCCACACGCGAGCACCACCGCCTCCAGCGTGTTGACCCTGCTGCTCGGGGGAATGATCGCCTGGGACGCCGCGCGCCAAGCGGGGCGCGGGGCACCGTCTGGACGGGCCAGCCAGACTACGGAGTTGTGCAGGAACTGGTAGAGGGTGCGTGCTGTAGGAATGAATGGGACAGGATCAAGAGGCCGTTCCTGCACACTTGGGTAGTAAAGCTCATCCGGAGTCGGCGCGCGGGCGGACGGATCTTGCGGTTGGGGGGCGTCCATCCCTTCGTTGGAGTGTGTTAGAACTATCAGCCTATCAGTGGGGGTGCCCGAGTACCCGGGAGCGTTCAGGGAGAACGGCTGGTTGGTGTTCTCCATATGTGCTGGGGGTTGACTGGGTATGGGGTTATTTAAGCGTGGTGGCGAAGAAGGAGGGCTCTGCGGCCTATTTGAGGGCTCAGGAGCACAAGGGTCTTTGTTGCGACGTCGCGACAAAGGCGATGTCGAAGGAGGGGCTAGCGGTGGTGGGAACGACACCACGTTCGTGACAGAGTCTAAACGCAGCATTCCAACCCTTTGTCTTGGGCTGCCACTTGCACCTGCGGCTGCCACAGAGGCGGAAGGTCCTGTCTCGTTCTCAGCATTCTCCCGACGCACCCCCTGCGTGACCCGTGTAGGAGGGACGTCGATGCGCATCCGCTTCGTGGGGCTTCGCGAGCCCACCTTGGCGTCGACGAGCGCGAGGCGTTCTACCCACATGTCCTCCGTGCGCTTCCGCTTCACCGGACAATGCAGACCGGGCGAGGGAGGCACGTCGGGGCGAAATATGGAATGTGCCCAGTCGTCCTCAGCCTTGCCGGTGCGGTCGCGCCCAACGGAGGTGCGGGCAATTTGCTGGAACTCTGGGAGCGTTGTGCCGTCCAGCCACGGGCGATCGGATGGACGGAAGATCTTAGCTATCCGCGGGAAACGTAGCTCGTAGAACTGTTACATGAGTTCAGACCTAACGATATGCGACCGTGATGGGCAATGGGACATACGCGGTTGCCAGGGGACTTGGTGAAGCCTGCCCCAAAGAGCTCGGCCAGCAGCGGCTCCCGAAGGAGAACGGTAGGAGGAGAGAGGCTCCGGCTAAGCGTATGAGTGTATGATAGACTGGCAGCCGCCTGGAGTATGTGGGCTTTAGGGATTAATCTACAGCGTGTAGCGACATACCTGATGGCGATATGGTGCAGAGTCCGAATTTTGAATCAAGAAGATCAACTCTTCCAGTTGCGCCCGGTCGAGGCCGTACGACGACGTGAATATTATTTCGAAGTGTGGTAGGCGGTTGGGCTGTGGTACGCACGCATGAGGATCACTATAGCATTTGCAACGGGATTTCAGCAACCGACGTACATGTTTTTTAAGCTCATCCGCATTAGAGAGCGCGCCGAAGTAAAAAGTTGTATAGGCCGTCGGGGGAACTGAGTGCTGTGAGACCCCATCATCATGTAACACATTTCAGGCTCACCTCTTAATTCTCTCGCACGCTCCTTCTCCCACGATGCCCCAAGGAGGACAAGATCCACGGCATCGCCATGACCAGGGATGTAGTCCTGCTTTAACTAAAAATCACACCGTTAGTGCAATGTTCTTGCCTGTGACTTAGCAGGGCGTACCTTGACCCACGGCCATCGCTTCTCCGCATACCCTGCGTCGTCCGCCTTGATCACCACACCTTCCTGGTGGTCCGCCACAACACGCGCGAACGCCCTTCTAAGCATTTCCTCCCCATTCGGAAGTGTTGTGTCGATACAAGTACGCTCGGCGAGCATCGCGTACCCGGGTTTCACGTTGATGAGGCGTTCTAGAACCTCGCGTCGCTGACCGTATGGAACAGGGAGGAGGGAGGCGTCGTCGAGAAGCAGGATGTCGAAGAACACGAGAGCGAGATGGCGTGTGCCGCCGTCTGTTCCATTAGAGATTAAGGAGCACTGGGTTTCCCTGTCCGGTAGACGAGGTATTAGTAGGCGTCAGGGAAAAAACATGGATCAGTCGCACATAACCTCCTCCTGAGTGGATGGTCCAGGCGGCGGACTTCTATGGCGCACGCCGATAGCAGTTCTTGCGATGAGACTCCGTATGCGCCAAAATTCTGTAAAATGTAAGTCAAGGGTTCGTATGGTGAGTTCATTTCGGAAAGCTCACCATCTATGCGCCCGAGTGCATCACTATATGCGACCATCTCAGCCTCGACTACGATGCCACGTTTGAAGGGTAGTGTGTCAGAGCTCTGCGCATCCGCTTCAGCGTATGAACCTGGGTATGGGATCCCGAGCGCAGCATATACGATGCTGACATGCTGATTCAGTATGCCGTGTACTCTCAGGATGCATTGTTAACTCACGAATGGATGCCCGCTCTATCTAGGGTGGAGTCCCGCCCGCTTTTGCTGAAGATACGGATGCGCGGGTCGCCGTCGTCATCGAACCATACGTGGATCTGGGCACGTTCTCCGTCGTACTTGGTCTCTACCCAAACTTTATCCGCTCCTTTCAGAGACTTGAGAGACTGGGCGGGTCCTTGACCCTTGACACATTTCGGAATCTGCAGCTAATGCTCAATATATGCGGCCTTCTGGTATACTGTTCACACGCACTTGAATTTGCACTCCCACTGTGGGCTGAGGAAACACTTCGCCGTTGTTGAGTCCTTCGAAAGCGGTTGCAGCCTCTTCTAGGTTTGCCCTCGTCTTGAAGATCAACGACATGCGACCGGAAGAGTCCCATGCATGCATGGCAGACTCTTTCGTGAGCATCGCCACAGCGTTACTTTTATACTCCAGGAGCGCGGACGTGTAATGACATGCAGATTGTGGGATGGGGTATAACAAGGGACGGAGGTCCTTTAGGATGATCTGCGTCATGACCGCGCTCTTTGCCGGAGTTAAGGAAGTGTATAGCTCGGAGAGAATGGCTTCTCTCGAGCGACGGCTCATGTGCGTGCCTTCTCTGTACACTTCAGCGGAGTACGCGCATTTACCTGCGAGCTCCGAGAGAAGCGAATCCACTCGACAGAGGCTTATGCTGCTTACGCTAGCCTATATGCGCATTGTTAGTGATGTCCCATACAGTCCGAGGAAAACTCACTATCGAGCGGCCGTCCATGACCCTTTCGACTTCATTGCCAAGACAACCGAGGGCATCCTCGCCTTTCCACTTCCTCAGTCGTTCACCTCTCCCACCAGCGGCGGTAGAGACTCCAAGGATCTTTGTAAGGTACTGTGCCATGCGAATTTCCTGCAACCCATACTTGCGGCGGACATCCTCTTCGGGGAAAAGCAGGCGGAAGACGATGGTGGTCATACCGGCAGGCAGCGGTGCGTACCGCTCGCGTAGAGCACCGAGCCATCGTTTGAAGGTCTTGTATGTGGGTGTGTCGACCCAGCGCGTACTGCGTGGCTGCTTGTCTGCGGCCCTATGGGGTTTGATCGCTGCAATTGCTTGCACAAGCTCAACGAAGCTGGCGGTTGCGGAAGGGTTTGCACACGTCCTGTTTTTCCGTGCCGTGAACGAACTCACAATGAGAAAGGAACCTCTGTTTCCTTCGCGGGAGAGGACATTGCCACGGGCTGCCAAAGAGGCAATCAAGCTGACTGCAAGAGTCACGACCCAGAAGTAGATTGGTCTGCCAGCAGGAAAGCTGCCTATTTACAACTTATGGTGAATCTTCAGGCCAGCGGTGTGCGCACTGCACGGGAGGAGGGACGGCGAGCAGGAGGAGGTGTTTAGGGGAGATACATCGCAGCTGGGAAGGACCGACGAGTCGGTCAGAGCCAGAAACCTCACAAGACGCGACAAGAGTGTGACACGGTCACGGTCACAAACGCGTTAACGCGACGCGTCTCGATCACATGCGCGCGATGCACATAACTGGCGTCCCCAGCGGACACCAGCATGAACTAAGTTGCGAGTGAACAGAGGTCCTGAAAATTAGGGAGAATAGGTAGGTAGGATATCGTTACAGAGATGTTGATGTAAACCGGAGAGCAAGCAGCATTGGCCCAAACACCTCACTCCATGTCAAAGAATACCACCTCCGCAGCCGTCTCCCCAGCGTTCTCTACCGTCACTTCCTCGCCAGGAGTAGCCATGATGTATGCACCGTCGCCCTCCCGCAGGTCCACAGGACCGCCCTCTGCTCCGAGGACACGAACGCGCGCCCCGCTCGCCTCCTTCGGGTTGTAGCCCGACGTCTGGATCACATGCACGTATCCCTTCCGCGCCGCACTTCCGGACTTGAAGGTGTGGCCCAGAGATTTTCCAGGGGAAAGGATGGTCGCGAAGAGGTCGAGAGGTGAGTGGACAGGTGCAGGTCCCGATGCTTCGCGCTTCTCCAGAACGCCCGGAGCGTTGACTGGCGCGACGATGTGCGCCCACTGGTCCTTCTTCTCCTCGTCGGTGAAGTGCCGAGTGAAATATTGGGGCGTGAGCCCCCTTGTCGACGGGACACTCCAGATTTGCAAGAAGTGGACTTGTTTTGAGCCGTGGCTGTGTTCGCTATGGCGGATGCCAGTGCCCGCGGAGGTCATCTGCAGGTCACCGCGCTTCATGATCTCGACATTGCCCATCGAGTCGCGACTATCGAATAGAAAGGTCAGTATTTTGCGGACACAAATACGGGGAGGATGACATACTGCTCGAGCTCGCCGTTCACGATGTACGAGAAGATCTCGAACTCCCGGTGTGCATGCGTGCCGAAGCCGGTCTTGGGATCGACGCGGTCCTCGTTGATGACTCGCAGAGGGCCAAACTGCTCGTGCTGCGGATCATGATATCTACTCAGGAGTTAGTACGACTATCCCGTCGCCCGGCGGGTCTAACGACTTACCCGGCAAAGCTGAATGTGTGGAAGGTCTTGAGCCAACCATGGTCGGCTTGACCACGCTCATTGCTGGGGCGAGGGACAACCTTCATTGCGGTAGATGGTGAGGATGAAAAGTGTCTGAAAGTGGCAGCTGGGCGCGAGATGCGTAGAGGCCTCAAGATGCTGGACTGGATGAGTTTAGACAGGATGTCGAGTGGTTTCGTGCAGGAGCTGTCGGGAGGCGAAGTGAGGAGACAGCTCGGCCTTACCCCCTGCTTTTATAGGAGGCCGCAGAACGAGCATGAATCATCAAGCAGCCCATGTCGTGCAAGCCGTTACAGACGGAGGCGCAGATGTCCTCGCCGATTTCCCTTTGGGGGGTGTCCGGTACCCACGAGGTCGCACGCCCCCGCAAGCGCCCCGACGCTTATCTAACCCGATTTTGGCAAGCGCTTCTCATCTATGGGCGCCTCACCATTTTCGGTGCTTGATCTTGCACGCTCTTCGAGCTCCTCACAAACTGCACGACAATCCTCGTAAACCTCACGACACACCTATAGCTGCTGACTGGGACGCATAATGGCGACGCTACTTCCACCCCCAAAACGACAGAAGGTCTACCACGGCATCGCGCCGCCAGAGCCAGAGCTGCTTCAGCCTTCGCCGCACATCGTAGTGCAATTTGTTAGTGAAGAGGACGGGCAGCCGCTTGCGCCTGCCGTCAATCTCCCGGCAAACGTCTCGCGAGAGGGCCTCGAGGCGATTGTAAACAAGCTCAACACAAAAGTGTGTAAGTCCACGCCGTGTGACGCCGCTCGTTCGCATAACTGAGGACCGTTGCAATAGGACGAGGACCCGGTCCCCTTCGCGTTCCACATAGCACTCCCCGCAGACGCAACAACGCCCGGCGCGCCCACCCGCATCGCGATCGCGAAATCCATCGAAGAGGATATCCTCTCGCATCCCTCGCACGCTTTCACGTCCGAAGACGTCTTCGTTATACACTGTTCTCCGCAAGCCGTCTTCAAAGTTCGGCCGGCAACACGGTGCTCATCTACGCTCTCGGGGCACACCTCCCCCATTCTATGTGCCTCATTTTCTCCCACTGGCAACCTTCTGGCGACAGGTTCCGGCGACTGCAATGCTCGGCTATGGGATCTTGGCACGGAGACGCCGTCTCATGTTCTTTCGGGGCACAAGGGATGGGTTCTTTGCGTCGAGTGGGAAGCTATGGAGCGGAAGCTCGCTACGGGTGGGCATGATGGACATGTGAGTACCTCCACTTGAAATTGAGAGGCGCTCTGTATGCGTGCGGCCGAGTCCGTCTGAACATGGCGAAGAGCATATACCGTGTTCCCGAGCACCGGAGAAGAAGGGTCGGGTGGGGCGCCAGTTTGCGCTAAACATAAGTCACGAACTGGCGTTGCATCTACTCTCACTGGTGAAGTGGCCGCCGTACAGGAAGCGTTGCAGGATCGGGTTTCGAGGTCTACTATCCCACGTGAAGCGTTCTAGATGCACAAATGTACTCGCGACACTTCACGGAGATCTGCGACGAGATGAGTGCAGGGCGAGACGTTCGTGCTGTATCTCGTTTTGTATACCCCGTCGTGTGCGAAGTAGAGAACTTACAGGTATCGCCGATATTTCACTGTACACACGCTCCTCCTGGAGACAGAGTGCGAGTGTGCAATTTGAATGCATGATTGAACCTGACTGCGGACAAATCTTCGGCGCAAGACCTATTTGTTTTTATTTTCGCATCGCTTGAGTCGATACTGAAACACGGATGTTTTCTAGGTCAGACTATGGGATCCCAAGACCGGCACGGCAATAGGCGACGCCCTCAAGGGCCACACAAAATGGGTGACTTCCCTCTCCTGGGAGCCAATACACCTGTGCGCGCCTTTTCTAGCCTGTAACATCTCATATCGGTAGCTGATGCGTCGCAGGAACCCCTCTGCTCCACGACTAGCTTCTTCATCGAAGGATGGCACTGTCCGCGTATGGTCCACACTTACCCGAAGGTGTGAGTACACCCTCGGTGGTCACACCGCTAGTGTGAACGTCGTTCGATGGGGTGGCGGCGGGCTGAATGGAAAGGGCGTGCTCTACACTGCGTCCAGCGACCGGACAGTCCGGATATGGGACGCCGAGAGCGTGAGTACCGCTCCCCACGCTAGTGGACTCTCGTCGCTAACGCCTATGGGATCCGCAGGGACGACCATTGCACACGCTCAAAGATCATGCACACTGGGTGACGACACTCACGCTCAACACCGACTTCGTGCTGCGCACTGGTCCGTTCGACCATTTAGGGAAAAAGACGAGTTCGGACACCGAAGGTGCGTTTCTCTATCAGTCGTGCGTGAGAGCGAGGCGGGGCAGCTCCACCCCGGGACGTCCGCCACATCGAAGCCGTACATTCGTCTTTGGAAGATGGACGTACTGCTGCGGGGTTATCTCTCCTCGCACGGGCGTGCGACTCCGACCAGACAAGCAAACAACCTCGCTAACGACTTCCATTAGCCCAGGAGCTCGCGCTGAAACGCTACAACGCACTCGTCGCGACCGCCGGCGAGCTGCTTATCACCGGCTCGGACGACCACACGCTCTTCCTGTGGTCGCTCTTCCCTTCGCGCACCGCGTCTGCCGATGCGTCGGGCGACGCGGCTGAGCGTGGAGGGAAGCTGAAGCCTCTCGCGCGCTTGACAGGCCACCAGAGGCAGGTCTCGCACGTCGCATTCAGCCCCGACGGACGGTGGGCGGCGAGTGCGGCGTGGGACAACAGCGTGCGCGTGTGGGATGGGCGCACGGGTAAGTTCGTCGCCACGCTGCGCGGGCACGTCGCGGCAGTGTACCGCCTTGCGTGGAGCGCGGACTCAAGACTGCTCGTCAGTGCGAGCAAAGATAGCACGTTGAAGGTGAGTGTCGGGAGCTGGGTCTATTTTGTGGGCGCGTGTGCATGCTTTTGTGGCGGCACTACTTCTTGCGACACTTTGTTTCTGGCGTGATGTCACCGAGGGGAAGAATACGGTGGCATCGCTCGATTTGCCGTCCCTGGAATGAAGGTGAGTTTTCATCGCGTGCGTTGAGTTTGAATGAAGAGACGGCGAACACGAGGCGTGGAGTTATGGAGGGCTCACGTGTGGGAGGGCGATCTAGGCGATAGTAGGAGAGGATCACCCCGACGACTTTCTGGCCTTTGGGACGAAGACAGCGTCTCATACCAAGGACACTCACGGAAGGAAGGGCTCGCTGATTTTGATGCATACTCTCTGCATTCAGCCCGATGTCTTCCCGCTTGGCTTCGCTGCGTCGTGTACACACGGTAGCAGGTACCGGCTGAATAATATATCTCCTGACTTCATATCTCTACTCAAGCCCAGGTGTCCTTTCGCCTACGTCAATTCTGCCTGAGCGTGTAAGTACGTCCTTTGTCGATGTCCTCGCGCTCAACGAGATGACCCCCTTCCTCCGCCGATGAATCTCGGCGGGCGGGCAGCATCGAGGGACCGACTCTGCCGACAAGACATGATCTGAATATTATACAACTTTACAGAACGACATGAGCGCGAGATGCTAACATTGACTGCCGCAGCTGTTTTTGGTCAAGACTACTGTATGGCACACTGTCCCTTCCTGCGAGCCTTCGAGGAGGCGAAACGATACGAAGGAGGCTTTTCCCAGTCGGTGCCCATTACTAAAAGTTGCAAGAGCGCATACGTGAGCAAACAGTGTAGGCATACCTTACCAATACACGAGATGCATACCTTGCGATGTGGAGGGAGCGTTGGGTCGAGCGAGTATGGCCGCGGTCTGTGACGATTGAGCAGTATTTTGTCTCGGTGTCCCAAGATTCTTGGCCATCGGCTCAGCGACCTGCATCGTCGGGACTTGCGCTCGGAGAGTGGAGTCCTCGCGGTAGCACACGTCAGAGCGCTCGTGTCTTTCGTGGGTGATGCCGGGATCTTCTGGTACGAGCTCGCAGACTCCTTCCGGCAGTGGCCTGGGCGGCCACGAGCAGAGAGGAAACGTTGAATATAGCGACCCGCTGCCTGACTCCGTGGAGTATATGTCCGAGTCGCGTAATGTCCCTGGGCGCACATCGTAGGGCGTTGGCGCAAGCTGGGTGGAGATGTCTGGAGCCTGTGCGGTCGTGTCTTCGTACACATCGCGCTGATCGTACGTGTAAAGTGAAACGCTCCGCTATAGATGTGGAAAGTCAGATTTCTCAACGAAAACTATCGACCAGACGCATCAGGCGACCGACTCACCGACGGTCCTCCAAATTCCGTCGGTGTGTGGTGTTCCTTGGAAAGTGGTGCTAGGGAGGACACGTAGCTTCTTCTTGTCGAGTCTTCCGGCCGCTCTAACTTAGCTAAGATGGCCTGTGGGATTCGTAGTTTGTCAGCTGATTAGACACACGATGTACGTCTAGTTCAAGCTTGGCAGACTCACCGCAGCTGTCGCGCGACTGGTAGAGGAGAGCAGTGCCAGTCCGTCGACATCTTCGCTTGAGCTACCGGAAGAGGACTGGCTTGAAGTACCGTGTTCCCAGACGTCGCTATTTTGTGACGACAGATGTTCGCCAGGCAAAGTTATGTCCGCGATGACCCGAGGGTGTCGGTACTTCTCCGAGATTTGAACGGATAGCCATATGTGATTCGTGTTGGACGTGACTACACCTTCTGAGGGGTACTCCAATGCAATGCGCAGAAAACGAACCGTGCACGTATCCTGCTCCCAATCGGTGTCGGAACAGACTGTGAACTCAGCATTGGCAATGACGCGATCACGGATAGATTGTAGACGTATTACAATCGGGGGGCTGTGATCTCCGTTACCGTCGATGCAGGGAGTTCGCCTCATGACATAAGGAGGGTTGGTGACTCCTCCGTGGGTGGCGGCGGGTGAAGAGGATGAAGAGGGTGAATCAAGTTGGGCTAGAACACCAACGGAGTTTGCGATGGAGAATGTGGCAATAGTTTGCTTGAGGATGCCAATGGCCGAGGAGTTGAGGGCGAGAGTGAGCTCGATGATCTGCGGGCATTCTTCTGCCCGAGAGGAAAGATTCCCGCCACTGAAAGCGAGAGACGTTCTGACAGTGACCTCCTTCTCCGAGCGTAGCACCTGCAAAGGAGTCTCTACAACGAAGCCAAGAATGCCTAGAGCTTCGATGTCCCGGGGAGGAATACGAAAGGCTACTGCGTCCTCACGGCCGTAGGCTGGGGGCCAGGCCCAAAGCTCGATCCTCGGTGTTGGCTGTCGAAACGAGTCCTTGTCCTCACAGCCTACCGCATTGATCCGTGGGAGTCGCTTCGTGGAGGTAGGTTTCGGGTAGTGCCTGAGGAGAGAGACCTCGATCAGCGTAGGAGTGACATGCTCTAGGATTTCAGGCAACGCCTCTTTGGTTAGACGAACAGTGCGATATGGATGATGTGTTCGGGCAGTAAAGAAACCAGCTGCAGGGCTCCGGTGGCACGCGATGTGGGTCCCGATGAACAACCCGCGTCCGCTTCCGACGGTGTCTTCCAGAGGCTGACACAGAGGGAGCGCGATGAGCGACCCGCTCTCGTCTTCGCACTGTAGGAGTGCAAGTGTGTCGGCTTGGGTGCGCCTACAGTCGGGGCATCGCATCCGCAACACCAGGTTTCCAACGTGCCTTTGAATACCCTTCAGGGATGCGATCTTGAGGGAGAGAAGGTGCACACGGACACCCTGCGGAGTAAAGACGCAATGCACTGGCGGGACCTTCTGGCTCCTCCTCAGCTGTAGTCGCGAAGCGAGAGCAGACGGTGCGATTGGAGTGATATCAGCACATCCCTCAAAAGATGCGGCCCTACTCGCGACCAGACCTGGGTCCGGCGAAGTAAAGAGCCTGAGGTCCTCGAAGGTTTTGGCCTTGTCTTCGTCACGTCGAGACATCCTCATCGGGATATAGCTGCTGCCCCAGGCGAAGATGCTTTGATCCGGGACGGTCCTGACGATCTCCTCCTGGAGACGGAGAAACGCGTTGTCGCCCTCGCCATGGATCGGGGACATATGGACGCCGAAGATGCCCAACAAACAGTAAGCGCGGTCCTCAACGCGCGTCGTCTGTCGCGGCGCTGCCCACGACATCCTCCGTGCAACACTAGCGGACTGCACAGTGGCCTGGCCTGTGAGAATCTTGAAGTCGACCCCAGTGATCTCCTCCAGCGTCGCGGCGAGTCCCATCTTCGTGCCTAGCAAGCGCCACGTCTTCGTTAGAAACTCGACCGTCTCCGGTGCGATGAGTTCCTGCAGTGTCCAACCGCGTCTGTGCCATCTACTTCGCCTGAAGTGGGAATCTGGGTCCTGGGGATCATTGCCGTCGGGAACGTCCTCGAGATAGACGTAGCAGACTTGCGATAGCCTATACAGCTCGTACATCGAGTTGATCGCCTCGGAGAGCTCGGCGCTACTCGATTTGTCGATGCAGCACGCGTCGTTCCACACGAGCCGGAAACGGGCCTCGCGTGCGACCTTGCAGACGCCCTTGATCTTGTCTGAGAGCTTTGGATGAGAGAGAACACAGGAGGGCGTGGATCCCAAACGCTCGAGAATATCGACTGAAAAGCGGGGAATGAGCGATGGGGTGAGGTTTGCGAGAGCCTTCAACTCGGCCAGAACAGCGATTTGCTGTTTCCGAATATCCTCGGCTACCGCAGCTTGGAGCGCGCAGACGTCGTCGAAGGTCTGCTCGCCACCGTCCTCGGGGTCACGCCAAGTATGGGATAGAATGGCGTAGACGATCTCTGCAGGATCATTGTGCCATTCGAACTCGCCTGACGAGGTGTTCAAGAACCGTGGCATCCTGTCAACATCACTGGTCAATAGCAGTTTCTCCTCGCAAGATCACTCCCACACACACCTTGCTTCTGGTAGTGCTGAGAGACGCGGTCCAACCAAGCAAACAGGGGGAAGGTAGAGAAGAATATGGGGGAAGCGCTGACAGCGTGCCCGATACGCGTACGTGAAGTAAATGAAATTCAGCAAAGGAGCATTTACATACCTCAAGTGATGGTTGCATCAGCGCATGACAGTCGGCGGTCAGGCGTCCTCGTGTGTATAAGATTCTCTTGAACACATCCTTACCATCCTTGTCACTGGGGTGAGCCACGTACATCTCGGAATACTCCCCATCCTACACTCCGCGGATTTGTATGACCCGATGCCGCCCGCCGGTGGCGTTTTTTCTTCGTCCAGGCCTGAACTCGAGGCCGGGCATGTTGCTGTTTCGAGCTGACACCTGGAACAAGGGAGTATTACGAACTTTTGAGGACCGGGTTTCTGCGATGACAAACTCGACATAGTACGAACTATGCACAAACTATGCACCATACGTCATGAGCATTCTTCTGTCTCGCACTCCTGCGGGTACGACCTGAGCCTCCTCCAGACATCGTGCAGCTCGGACAGGTCCACGCGTGACGGGCCAGGAATTTCCGCGTGCGCCTCAGCTTGGCAGGCATCGTTCGCGTCCAGCGAGCACTAGACACGTTCTCAGTATTCTCGCTTTCCCGCCGTACCTCCCCTTCCCCACGCGCAAACGGCGCACTATTGAGGTTGCTCTTCGGCTTCCGCGGCATGTCGAAACAAGCGCGGCCGCAGCTGGCCGCAGTCGCCTGCCCTTTTTCGAAGCGCTCCGAGCTCTTTTCAGCAGCCCACCGGCGGGGAAAACAATCCTCAACTTGATCGGCGTGTCCCGGCTAGATCTCTACGAGTTTGCACCAGCCCACGGTCGGCGAAGTATCCTGCTCGAGCTGGATGGCAGCGAAAGATACCGCTGAGCCCGACGGAGAAGCTCGCACCACCGCTACTGTGGTCATAATTGAGCGATAGAGGATAAGAATAGTTTAATGAAACGAAATAGCTACCACTATGCTAAACGTGTTTCGGGCATGCAACGTTATAGCTTAGGACGTATGATCGCTGGGAAGACATTCACGAGAGGCTCGACCAACCTCAGGACACTAGCAGGATATGCTTTCGCGTCGTTTTTCTCGGAGTTGACGCCGATGCAGTAAGTTCATTTGCGGGAGCGAGCGTCGCGATCGACCACCGAAGAGCTTTAGACCCGGATCCTAGAACCGACTTTCCTGAGTACGGTCGACCGCCAGCGTGCTTTGGGGCCCTGAAATGAGTTGCCAGCAGGAGAAAACCATATACAGAATTCAGCAAGTCCTCTTGATTACTGAGCCAGGTCCGATGTAGTGTGCGAATGTCGGCCCCTGAAGGCCTGACACTGAGAGATGCATCATGGCGGCCACGACGATCAGAGAGCGCTGTCAGAGGACGGACTGCAACTTGTTGGACGCGACAGAGTCAAGATATTGTGACGGTCACACACGAGTCAACACGACGCGTCGCAAGTTGTCGCAATCGGGTGACGCAGTTCCAAGCGAATTTACTGTGCCCCGGGCCCTCCACGTTCAAGCTAGTGGAATGCACTGCAGCCCTCCTCCTCGAGGCCGCTGAGATAGCTAAGTCACGCATAGCTCGTGAATTTACCTTAGTTGCGCCCCCACCCCCACAGCGTATGACCGCCTCCCCGGCCCTCACTCCATGTCGAAAAACACCGCCTCCGCGAGTGTCTCCCCCGCATTCGCTATCGTGACCTCCTCTCCAGGCGTAGCCATGATATACGCCCCATCGCCTTCCCTCAGATCCACAGGCCCGCCCTCGGCGCCGAGGACACGAACACGCGCGCCGCTCGCCTCCTTCGGGTTGTAGCCCGACGTCTGAATCACATGCACGTAGCCCTTCCGCGCGGCGCTTCCAGACTGGAAGGTGTGTCCCAAAGACTTCCCGGGCGACAGGATGGTCGCAAAGAGGTCGAGCGGTGAGTGGACGGGCGCGGGTCCTGATGCTTCGCGTTTTTCCAGGACTCCTGGGGCATTGACAGGCGCAACGACGTGTGCCCACCGGTCCTGCTTCTCCTCGTCGGTGAAGTGCCGCGTGAAGTACTGAGGAGTGAGACCTCTTGTCGACGGGAAGCTCCATATCTGCAGGAAGTGCACTTGCTCCGCGCCGTGGCTGTGTTCGCTATGGCGGATCCCAGTGCCCGCGGAGGTCATTTGCAGGTCACCGCGCTTCATGATCTCGACGTTCCCCATCGAGTCGCGGCTATACAAAGAAGAGGGTCAGACTTTTAGGTGCGTACACTCACGACGGGCGACGCACTGCTCGAGTTCGCCGCTCACGATGTACGAAAAGATCTCGAACTCCCGGTGCTCGTGCGTGCCGAAGCCGGTCTTGGGGTCGACGCGGTCCTCGTTGATGATACGAAGAGGGCCGAATCGTTCGTGGTGGGGGTCCTGATGTCTGGGCGAGATTCAGCACCATTGTTCTGCCGATTCACGAGATTGGAATGACATACCCCGCGACGCTGAAGGTGTGGAACGTCTTAAGCCAGCCGAGGTCGGCTTGGCCACGCTCGTGGCTTCGGCGAGAGATAACCTTCATCGAGAGAGACGGTGAAGATAAAAGGTGTCTGAACAGTGTGGTGCGTAGAGATTCGAAGACCCTGCACTGTCAGAGAGGTCGAGCGGTGTCCGAGTCGTGCAGAAGTTGGGAACAGGCGAAGTGAACTTTAAGGACACCACAGCCTGTTCCCCAGCTTTTACAAAATACCGCCTGATGAACATGAATCATCAGGCTGCCCATGTTGTGCAAGCCGTTACAGAGAGAGATGCAGATGACGATGGCGGTATGACCGGTACCTCGCCGATTTCCTTTTGGGGGGTGTCCGGTACCCACGAGGCGCAGCGTCCCGCCGCTTATAAGATGATCCATTTTGGGCGCTTCGTCATATTCGGTGCGCTGTCCTGACGAACTCCGAAGTTCGAACTCTTCATAAAACCCAGTCAAACCCCCAGCCGAACGATATCTACGCCATCCGAGCTGGGACCAGTGCCTGGGCCGCGGCGCCGTAAGCAGAGAGAACTTCAGTAACAGTGATGGAGCCGGCGTAACAAAACCAGGTCATACAGCCGAACGAGAACAGCAAAGGGCAGCACGCACGCACATGCCCGCATATATAGAACGCATAGTAAACAAAATGCAATAAGTATTCAGCAAGAATAGCACAGCGCGCGAATCGCCGCGCGCTCTATGCACGAAGTAGTAGGCGAGGGTGGTAGAGATACACGGGAACCAAGCGAGGCGTCTAGGATTACACTTCCAAGAAAGCTGGGGAGTAGTGCGTACGAAGTAGCGGGCGCGGCCCCTCACGAGCAGGCGCAGAGAAGGAAAGAGCGGGGAACGAAGAACGAAGAGCGCGACAGAACAAAGAGCGACGGGGTAAGACAAGACGACGTGGAGACCAGAGGAAACGAAGAAAGGGCTTCGCCGGAGGGCAGCTACAGGACTATGGACAGCAGGTCGCGGCGCCCGCCGCGAGGCATAGCGTGCCTCGAACGCCCCTACCGCTACAACGAACGCCACGCGCCGGGACGGTGCTTCGCCATGCCTTGACGCAAAGCAGAGCGCCGGGACGTTCGCCAGGCGGCCGGGAAATTTTTGATACAGGAATGAAGGAGTGTAGTGTGCGGGTGTGCGAGGACGACGAGAACGTCCGATGTGCGTGCAGCGTGCAGCGGATGGGCAGATATTGATACTATGGACAGACGGGCTATGTTGATACAGGGGCGCGGAGGCGTTGATAGTGGTTCAGAGTTGTAGGCTGCAGAGGGACCGTGCGGTCGATGCTGTGTTCCGGTTTTGAACGAGCTTCACCGGGGGATGCTCGCGGACGAAGTCCCCAAGCAGGGTTAGAGGCGGGGGAGGGGTCGATGCGCGTTCACCACGCCTGTCCGTAGTGCGTCGGAGGCATCGCTGCTACAGGCTACCGTGTCCCGTCTACTCAGCACAGACGAGTATGGTATAACGCGAGAAGACCCACCGGCTCCCGAGGTACCTCGATCCTCGGCGAATACTCGCTATGTCCGTACGAGCGGTTCGACACCGTGTGCTGTTGCTGCTGCTTCATGTCCCCAGCCATGTCGAGGAAGTCGTCCGATCCGTTCGCGGCCCGAGAAGCGGATGGAAGGTCGAGCTGCGTGCCCGCGCGGACGGCCGAGTAGACGGGGTCGACGTGCACCTCCTGCTTCGTCGTCTGGCCGATCATGAGGAAGGTCGGCACAGTCGTGTGCTCGCCCTCTGTGCCGCGCCCGCGGATCGAGCGGCGCGTGTTGAGCGCGGCGAAGAACGAGTTCGCGTACACTGCGCAAGAGATGGACGTATTAGCTTCCATGTTCGGGTATTATAGAATGCAGCTGAACGCACCCTTGCTGAGAACGAAGTAGAACGCCATGAAGATGAAGTTCGTCGGCATCAGGTCGTACTACGCCCGCCGTCAGCTTCGCTCAGCACGAAGAACGTTGCATAACAGCACGCACCAAGATCAGGGTGCTCAAACTGATCGCACTGCACACCCACAACGTCAACATCAGCCGCTGTCAAACATGCGCAGTAGGAACGTGGTGGAGCCGACGAACCTGGTAATCACGCCGGTGTTGATGGCGTACAGCGTGAGCGTGTTCACGATCGAGTCGTCCCTGTACGTGCACCGCAACGCAATTAAGACACTGTCGATCTCCACGCCAACTTGCGGGCATGCCGTACGCACCTCTGATATCCGGTCTTAAGCCCGCGCAGGAAGAAGCAGAGCGACGCGGCAGTGATGACGTCTGTGGCCATGCCCAGTCCGATTGCGATACTCCCCACAAGCTAGAACGAAAGGCCTGTTTAGCTACATGGCGTCATGGGGAAAACTGAACGACAACGGACCTTGAGGTCGCCCACGCGAGCGATAGAGGGAATGTGGAAACTTTGTTATACAAACGTCAATATAACGCACGCTAAGCCGAATATGGGGGACTTACGCCCTGACGGTGAACACTGAATTTGAATGCAGGGTCAGTTCATGACGGTTGTCTTGGCGCACGCGGCTGAATGGAACGCACCGAAGGCCGCCGCTGCGAATCGGGGGAACGCGTTAGCTATGTATAGGACAGCGTCTTCCCCGCGGGAACTTCCACTTACCCAGTTGCGCTAGGGTGCCGAGCATCTGTGCGTCAGGCAAAAAATTGAGCGGGCGGCCGGAAGGGGGCGTAACCTTACTTACGATGAGCATCGTTACGGGTACGTTGTGCTTGCTGACTGGAAGGATGCACATGAGGCGGATATGATACGCGGTTGCTGTCGGCACTTACACCTCCATACGCGCAGGCCGAAGCACCTGGCAAAAGAGATATCAGGATTCCATACCCAGACGGAGATTTTGCGCCGACATACAGTTTTACGATGGCACCCACAACAGCCTGGAAAAAAGACGGTCAGGGAAGATTTTGTGTGGGAATAATTATCCGACATACGCCGACGGTGACTTGGACCTTGCGACATTGAATGTTCAGTGGACATGGAATGCCGCGCATGATTTGACACTCACTATCAACGACCTGGATACGTAGATAAGTCAGACTCGGGAACTATGGAGGACGCGATGGAAACGTACCATTTGGGCCCCTCTAGGAGGGCCAGAAGCTGCCCCCATTCACTGCGAGCGGGTCGTTATAAGAGCGCTCCAGCTCGGCGATCGGGGACGTACGTGACAACATAGAAATACACCGCGTGCCCAATAAGTGCTTGATCAACAAGCTCTAGTATCCTGGAAGGACTTAGAGAATTGTAAGCGGCAATGAGGCACGATAAATGCGTACCACAACGCGGCAACCTGGCGCAGTAAGCGCGGGATGTGAGCGCGGTCTCAAGAGAAAAATATAGACGGGCACGCACGAGACACTTGTACCACCAGACGTCAGACGGGTACCGTCTGAAGTAGCTGTAGGCCTGCATGCATAGAACTCCGAACGCGCTGAGTGCGCCTATGAGAAACGGCCGCCGGTTGCTCGTTCCGAGGGGACTCACAGGGAGGACGCGCCAAAGCCTATGAAGAGGGCTCCGAAAGTGCTGTTGATGTCGATGAAAGCCGAGATGGGGGACGCCATGGTGGGCTGCAGCGGGCGCGGGTCCGGCGCGCTGCAGTAGTCGGGCTAGTGGAGGGGATGTCCGGCGGAAGGGGGAGGGGAAGGGGGTGGTCGGAGGAGGGAGAAGGAAGAAAAGGACGGCGGGGGGCGCGGCAGCGGACTGGGCAGCTTCTGCCCGTTCTGTTCGAATACACATAGTTCCCTTGAGATGATCGCGGTGGCGGGTAGACGCCATGAGCGCAGGAAAGAAGCCCGAGCCCTCGTCCATCCCTGATCCTTCTCGGCAAGCGCCCTTCCCCGATTTGGACTCCTACCCCACATTTCTGCCATCAAACGGCGCGATCGAGCCCCACTCGTCCCTGCTCTTCGTTCTTCCCGCCATAATGAACGCCGGCCTCGACGACCTCTGCGGCGAACGATACATGGGTACGGCGGCGACATACTGCACGGAGCCGTTTGCGGATATCATACGGCACGCCGGGTGATGTGCGGACTCACTCCGGACCCTCGACCCTCCCTAGAAACCAGCCCGACCGTGCGACCGCGCCCTGTCTGGGTGCAATCACCCACTTCCATCTCCTCCCACCCGCCCAGAGGCCAAGCGAGTCCTTCTCCAAGCCCACCTCATCTTTCATTTTCTCCCATCTCCGGCCGGCGCCGGCATCCTTTCTGTGTATATCCGCTCAGTGGCACGCGCGCATCTCCCTGCCCTCGAACTCTCCTCTTGGATTGCCTACTCCGCTGACGTCTCGGCGACCGCTGTTAGTCTGACACGCCGGACACCGACGTCTCGCCTGACAGCCCCGACGGAACCTGTCCCTCGCTCCCCTCGCCGTGCCTCGGTCCCCGCGCGACGTACCTCACCCGCCGCCCGCACCGCAACTCCCCGCCGCCCACACGCAACTCCCCGCTACCCACTTCGCAGCTCCCGCTAGAACCCCGGCCCTGCGAACGGCGCACCACACCATCTCGACGAACCACCTTCCGCCCGGTCCCGTCGTGGGCGTGCTCCCAGCCCCTGCCGTACAACGCTCCTGCGCGAAGCGGAAGAACACGCCGGTCTATCGCCCTCGGGCGCAGCGCGCCCGCACGTCACCCTGCTCCAGCTGTCACCCTTCTCGCATGTTCCCATACCGGGACGCGTGCTTGTGCTTCACTCGTACATGCGTGAGCTCCCCCGAAGATTTTGGGTAGGGTTTGGATGCTCGTAAGGTGAAGTACCTGCGCACGCACCGCCCACCCGGTGTTATACGGCTCGCCACAGATTTCAGCACGGCGGCGTTGATACGGTGCACCGCACAATGTATACAAACATGTCCGTCCGGCGAACTTTAATCTGGCACCTCTGGCCTTCCTCTGGTCGTCGCCGGGGACTGCGCTTCCCGAGCTGCACGGAGTTTACGGAGGTACGCGCACGGCTGCGCACCTGCGAGTGCCTGCCGTTGCAGCATCGACGGAACGTGCCTGATCGATTTGCCTGGATCCCGAAAGAAGCTGCAAGGCTCCAGGACCGGGGGCGCGTCGTGCACTTCATCAACGCGCTCACGTAACGGTGGTCTCACTGCCCGCTGGCATCACGCAACCGCGAAGTCGAAGGGAGTCGCGCGAAGCGAGCTACGCGGTCACGAGCGGATGAGCGGCACCCGCAGGCAGCGGCGGGCGGGATGATCACCGTGTCCGTAGAGCAGAAAACGAGGGCGGTTGGTCTATCCTGGACATATCGCAGGGAACGTCGGGCGCGACGTCCTGGTCGTTCACACTCGCTGTATGTATTGCAGGGTCTCCAGACCAGCTCACGGGTCGCGTGCCGCTCTGCCATTGGACTAGTTGGCGGGTTCGATCATCCCAGCACGAGTGACCGGGACCCGTGTCCAGATACTACTGACGTTCGCTCAAAATTCGAGGGATGTGTCCGGGACCGAGTGGGTCAGAGGTTAGCAGCACGCAGACCCAGGTGAACTACGTGGGTAGCGACGGGCGGCGAAATTTAAACTCACCCGCTCATCCGCTCATCCACTCGATCGACAGAGAGTCGATGAGCAGGTGCGAAATTCTGATGGACGCATGCTGAGTGGCAAGTGCTAGCATGCAGGATAATATTGCAGTTCGCCGTCGGATGCACTAGCGGGGGGCAACTCGGTACGGAACGGGACAAGGCGGGATACCAAGCCAACACCGGACGCGCCATGACGTGCGACGCCCGGAATCCCCAACGTCTCACCGCGATCCTGCACGCCAACCGCGTCGCGCCGTCGCGAGCACTACCGAGCGCCACACGTCCGTCTGCGAGCACCCTGTGGCGGGCTGCTTCACGACCGCACCGAACGTCCTTGCGCGGGTGGCGAAATCACGCTCAATTTTTCCATCTATGAATGCGAACCAGTCAGCGTCGGGCGACAAATGAGTGGAGGGCGCAGCATGGGAAGCCTGCGGGGGAGGGGAAGGGCGGCAGGTGGACACAACCAACTCACATCTTCACCGTGCGGTCGCGCCCGCCGCTGACGAGCTTGTCCGCGACGAAGTCGACGCAGTAGACCTCGTCCGCGTGCCCGGGCAGGTCCGTTTTGATTTTGTACGTCTTGAGGTCCCAGAGCTGTCGCAGACAAATTGGTCAGCGTCGGGATCGCCGCTGTCAAACAAACGCGCGGAACGGCGAGAAGACGGATGAAGTGTGATGTAACAGGGATAAAAACACAGCGCGAAGATGTGCACCGGAGGAATAGCAAATCAAACTCCCGACGCCACCGCAATCTTCCCCTCGGTGACATCACGCCAGAAACAAAGTGTCGCAGGAAGTGGTGCCGCCACAAAAGCATGTACACGCGCCCACAAAATAGACACAGCTTCCGACACTCACCTTCAGCGTGCTATCTTTGCTCGCACTGACGAGCAGTCTTGAGTCCGCGCTCCACGCAAGGCGGTACACCGCCGCGACGTGCCCGCGGAGCGTGGCGACGAACTTGCCCGTGCGCCCATCCCACACGCGCACGCTGTTGTCCCACGCCGCACTCGCCGCCCACCGTCCGTCGGGGCTGAAAGCGACGTGCGAGACCTGCCGCTGGTGCCCCGTCAGCCGCGCGAGAGGCTTCAGCTTTCCCCCGCGCTCCGCCGCGGCGCCCGCTGCGTCATTGGACGCGGTGCGTGAAGGGAAGAGCGACCACAGGAAGAGCGTGTGGTCGTCCGAGCCGGTGATAAGCAGCTCGCCGGCGGTCGCGACGAGTGCGTTGTATCGTTTCTGCGCGAGCTCCTGGGCTAATGGAAGTCGTTAGCGAGGTTGTTTGCTTGTCTGGTCGGAGTCGCACGCGCGTGAAGAGATAATCCCGCAGCAGCACATCCATCTTCCAAGGACGAATGGGCAGCTTCGATGTGGCGGACGTCCCGGGGTGGAGCTACCCCGCCTCGCTCTCACGCGCGACTGATAGAGAAACGCACCTTCGGTGTCCGAGCTCGTCTTTTTCCCTAAATGGTCGAACGGACCAGTGCGCAGCACGAAGTCGGTGTTGAGCGTGAGTGTCGTCACCCAGTGTGCGTGGTCCTTCAGCGTGTGCAATGGTCGTCCCTGCGGATCCCATAGGCGTTAGCGACGAGAGCAGAGCCACTAGCGTGGGGAGCGGTACTCACGCTCTCGGCGTCCCATATCCGGACTGTCCGGTCGCTGGACGCAGTGTAGAGCACGCCCTTTCCATTCAATCCGCCGCCACCCCATCGAACCACGTTCACACTTGCGGTGTGACCACCGAGAGTGTATTCACACCTTCGGGTAAGTGTCGACCATACGCGGACAGTGCCATCCTTCGATGAAGATGCAAGTCGTGGAGCAGAGGGATTCCTGCAACGCATCAACTACCGATATGAGGTGTTAAAGGCTAGAAAAGGCGCGTACAGGTGTATTGGCTCCCAGGAGAGGGAAGTCACCCATTTTGTGTGGCCCTTGAGAGCGTCGCCTATTGCCGTGCCGGTCTTGGGATCCCATAGTCTGACCTAGAAAGGATCCACGTTTCAGGATCGACTCAAGCCATGCGGAAAATATGTAGATCTCGCCCCCACAACGCTCGTCCGCAGTCAGGTTCGATCATGCATTGCACACTAGCACTCTGTTTCCAGCAGGAACGTGTGTCGAGTGCTATGTAGGCAATATCCATAAAAGCTCCACTATCACACACGACAGGAAATTCCAACAGAGAGAGGTAACGCAAATATCGCGTGCTCGTCCGGGATGCTCGCAAGATGTGGTGAACACGTTTAAACACCTCGATTGCTTCTCCCTTGCGAGTTTGATGCCAAACAGTGCTCGGCGGACGAGAATGAGGAGGTGTGCATATGCTGTCTTACGATAGATGTCTTGTCGTGAAATAGTGGACACCAGAGGTGACTATACAGCACCACCATTTTCCCGTGGAGCATGCCTATATCGCAAAGCTGCCGATAGCTACGGGGCGTACACCGTCCCATGACGGGATATACAAAACGAGACGCCACACCAACGTCCCGTGCTGTACCTCATCTCGTCGCAGATCCCCGCGAAGTGTTACGAGTGCATTTGTGCATTTCGAACGCTTCACGTGAGATAGTAGACATCGGAACCCGACTTTGCAACACTTCCTACACAGCGGCCATTTCGCCTGTGAGAATGTAGGTACAACGCCAGTTCATACGCGAACTGACGCTCCACCCAAACATCGTCTCAGAAACTCGGGAACATGGCGTATGTTCTTCACCATATTTAAACCCATTCGCCGCACGCACAGGGCGCCTCTTCAATTTAGGTGGAGGTACTCACATGTCCATCATGCCCGCCCGTAGCGAGCTTCCGCTCCATAGCTTCCCACTCGACACAAAGCACCCATCCCTTGTGCCCCGAAAGAACATGCGACGGCGTCTCCGTGCCCAGATCCCATAGCCGAGCATTACAGTCGCCGGACCCAGTCGCCAGAAGGTTGCCAGTGGGAGAAAACGAAGCGCAGAGAATGGGGGAGGTGTGCCCGGAGAGCGTAGATGAACACCGTGTTGCCGGCCGAACTTTGAAGACGGCTTGCGGAGAGCAGTGTATAACGAAGACGTCTTCAGACGTGAAGGCGTGCGAGGGATGCGAGAGGACATCCTCTTCGATGGATTTTGCGATCGCGATGCGGGTGGGCGCGCCGGGTGTCGTTGCGTCTGCCGGGAGCGCTATGTGGAACGCGAACGGGACGGGGTCCTCATCCTATTACACCGATCTTCAGTAGGGTGCGCGCTCCGCATCGTCTATCGTAGACTCACACACTTTTATGTTGAGCTTGTTTACGATCGCCTCGAGACCCTCACGCGAGACGTTCGCGGGTAAGTTCACTGCGGGTGCAAGAGGTTGGCCGTCCTCTTCACTGACAAATTGCACTACGATATGCGGCGAAGGCTGAGGCAGCTTCGGCTCTGGCGGCGCAATGCCATGGTAGACCTTCTGTCGTTTTGGGGGCGGGAGTAGCGTCGCCATTATGCGTCCCAGTCAGCAGCGAGAGGTTTGTCGTGAGTTTTATGAGGTACTCGGAGTTGGCGCGGAGAGCGTGCAGGACGAAGCACCGAAAATGGCGAAGCGCCCATAGATGCTGAAAATCGGATTATCTAAGCGGCGGTGCGCTTGCGCCTCGTGGGTACCGGACACCCCCCAAAGGGAAATCGGCAAGGACATCTGCGCCTCCGTCCGCAACAGCTTGCACGACATGACCTGCTTGATGATTCATGCTCGTTTTGCGGTCTCCTATAAAAGCGGGTGGGACAGGCTGAATAGTTTTCTCACATCTCCTTTCTCAACCTTGCACAACCTCGACGGTTAACATCCTGTCCAAACTCATACAATCCAACATTTTCAGGCCTCTACGCATTTCGCGACCAACTGCTACTCCCAGACGTTTTTCATCTTCAACATCTACGACAATGAAGGTTATCCCTCGCCCCAGCAATGAGCGTGGTCAAGCCGACCATGGTTGGCTCAAGACCTTCCACACATTCAGCTTCGCGGGGTAAGTCGCCAGATCCGCCAAGCGACAGGACAGCCGTCCTAACTCTTGAATAGATATCATGACCCGCAGCACGAGCAATTTGGACCCCTGCGAGTCATCAACGAGGACCGCGTCGACCCTAAGACCGGCTTCGGCACGCATGCGCACCGGGAGTTCGAGATCTTCTCCTACATCGTAGACGGCGAGCTCGAGCAGTATGTCATTTCCATAGTATGCGTGTTCGCAAAATCCTGACAATTCTTTCTTCAATAGTCGCGACTCGATGGGCAACGTCGAGATCATGAAGCGCGGCGACTTGCAGATGACCTCCGCGGGCACTGGCATCCGCCATAGCGAACACAGCCACGGCTCAAAACAAGTCCACTTCTTGCAAATATGGAGTGTCCCGTCGACAAGGGGGCTCACGCCCCAATATTTCACTCGTCACTTCACCGACGAGGAGAAGAAGGACCAGTGGGCACACATCGTCGCGCCAGTCAACGCTCCGGGCGTTCTGGAGAAGCGCGAAGCATCGGGTCCGGCGCCCGTACACTCCCCTCTCGACCTCTTCGCGACCATCCTCTCCCCCGGAAAATCTCTGGGTCACACCTTCAAGTCCGGAAGCGCCGCGCGGAAGGGATACGTGCATGTGATCCAGACGTCGGGCTACAACCCGAAGGAGGCGAGTGGGGCGCGCGTCCGTGTTCTCGGAGCAGAAGGCGGACCTATGGGCCTGCGGGAGGGCGATGGTGCATACATCTTGGCCACTCCTGGCGAGGAAGTGACGGTGGAGAACGCTGGGGAGACGGCTGCGGAGGTCGTTTTCTTTGACATGGAGTGAGGTGTTTGGACCAAGGCTGTTTGCTTTGCCATTTTCATCAACATGTTGGTTACGATACGTACGTGAGCAACGATCAAGTAAACGACAAACACAGTACAAGGAGCTCAAACCAGGCGTCCACGAGACTAAGCGACCTGAGCGACAGGTGTTCGAGTATTTCAATCAGTACTTATAGTGAGAAAGAAATGTGTGGCTGAGCGAGTCGACTACAAACGAGCGGCCGGACAGGTCGGGGGTGGGGTGGTTGACAAGGCGCAGAATGTACTGCATACTTAATCTAGAGAAACCGTACGCGTTGAGGGATGCTAGTCACCAAGTATCACGAGACTCAAGTTGCAGCCTTACGTCCGAGGCCATGCGGTAAGCCTCAGAGAGCTCGACAGAGAGCCAAAGCACAGGAGTCCCGGGGCTGGCATTCTCGTCAAACGCCTCCCACGGACACTCGAGCGCGAGCCGCATGTCCCGCACGACATGCTTGTCGAGCAGATGCATCCACCGCGTGTACTGCCTATTCCAGTAACCGTGGATGATATGCTGTGTGCGCACGATTGTCCGGCGAGTCTTCGTCACATACTGGGAGACGGATAGCGTGCGACTACCGTCCCTACTAGCACTGTCAGCGGAGGGTGCGTCCACGATCGTGCAAAGAGGCGGCTGGAAGTCGAATGCGCAGATGTCGGCGGCTGCAATCTTCCATAGATCTATGGGGCTCCCTTCCTGGACGTCTCCTTCAAGGCCGGTATGGTCCTGCTCTGGAGGAAAATGGAAGTTGTTTGCTACAGAGAGTTGGAGTCTCAGGCTGCCAAATACACCAGCAGGGCGACTGATGACGAGTTTGATTCGAATGTGTTGCCGGAACGGCTCGCGTGACGTCCCCTCGAGTAAGCCCGATGACAGCACGGTCTCTACAAGGACCTCATTCTGGCCCCGCGAGCATACGAAAGTCAAGGGGGACACCTGGAACCCGAGGAGGAGCAATTCTTCCTCGCATGCAGGCGCAAGCTGGACTCGCTGGGACGGCGTGGGCGGTTGGGGGGACTCGGAATCGGAATCGGAGGGGCCCGAACGGGTCATGCTTCGCTTATCCCACAACTTCTCCGAAAGATCAATGTAGTTGGATCTGAGCGCAGGTAGCGCAGAGAAAATTTCCGATCCTGAGTTGTGAAGGAAGAATACCGTGGCGGGCTGGCGTGACAGGAGGTGGCGGTCTCGTATGGTCTCTAGTGCGAAGGCCGATAGACGGATGAGACGGAAGGACGGATTTCCAGCACACGAGCTGCTGCATCGCATGTGGGTGGCGATGGATACGCCATGCTGCTTGCCGGAGCTGGACGTCGCATTGCTGGAGCTGGACGTCGGATGAAAGAGGGGGATAGCCATGAGTCTTCCCACACCGTCTTTACAGCGGAGGACAGCAAGGGATCGGGTACGGCCTCGCTGCAGGCAGTGGTCGACAGCATATGCATCGAGCCATGTATTGTGTTCGGTGTACCGAATAGCGATGTCGGAGATTTTGGGGTATTGAGCAAGATCAATGCACAGGACGTCGAGCCGGACACCTTCCGGAGTGAACATGCAATGGAGTAAGGGCACCGCGAAGCCCTGTTGGTCAAATCCTGCCGATTTAGCCTCGCCCACGAGACACGACAGGAAGTCCTCTGGTGACAGCGGTTCCACATCGTCCGAGTTCGAGAACGCACTAGGGGATGGTGCCAAGAGGCCAGTGGGCTCCCTGCTCGACCTGTGGTTCCTATAGCTCCCGGGAGGCCCGTCCAACAACGTGAGCGTGATGCTCGATCCCCACGCGAATATCGACTGGTCCGGAATGTTTTTAATGATCTCCTCCTGGAGGCGGAGGAAGGCGTGGCGACCTTCACCGTATATCGGAGACAGGTGAACTCCGAAGATACCTAGCAGCGAGTATGCCTCGTCTTCGACACGCGTTGTCTCGCGGCCCGCAGCCCACGACATCCTGCGTGCCACGCTAAAGGAATCCAAAGAAGCCCTGCCTGTCAAGAGGGCAACGTCGATCCCCGTTATTTTCTGGAGCGTCGCTGCGAGGCCGACCTTCGTGCCAAGAAGGTTCCACTGCGAGGACAGAAAAACGACGCGAGCGGGCGCGATGAGTTCCTGGAGCGTCCAGCCGCGCGTGTGCCATCTACTCTTTGCGAAGCTCGACTCCTTGTCCTGCACGCGTGTTCCGTCTGGGACATCTGAGAGGTAAACAAAGCACACCGTCGCGAGGCGGTAGAGGTCGAACATGGAATTGATCGCCTCCGCGAGTTCGGCACTGCTTGTCTTGTCGATGCAGCACGAATCGATCCACACGTACTTGTACCCGGCCTTGCGGGCGACATCGCAGATGCCCTTGATCTTGTCAGATAGTTCGGGGTGGGAGAGGATCGACTCGGAGTCCACATCTTCGATAGATGTGAGCCGATGACTGGCGGATAATGTGCCCGGGACGCAGTATGACGTACTGAGCTGGGTGGAGGCGCGAGCTTCCTGTCGGATGCGCTTCCTCAGCTCCTCGACTTGCATGCCCGACTGCTCGCCGCCCTCTTCCTTAGATCTCCACGTGTGCGAGAGGATGGCGTAGACGATTGAGCTGGGATCCTCAACCCAAACGAATACGCCTGTACTAGTGTCCAGGAAACGTGGCATGCTCCAGGGCTATGTGCTTGAAACCTGGTAATCGTTAGCTATGGTACACGCTCGATTCTAAGAGATCGAGCGATATGCGTTGCAAGAACCGACTAGTATTGACCAATGCAGTCGCAGTTGGGAGACGGACAGCTAGAACCTGAAGGACGGGTTGCAAGCTGAGTGAGCCCGATAGGTCGATAGCCAGTTAAGTGAGTGGAATCTGGATGAACCGTGTCCCTGGGAGACACTCTGAGACACTAGGCTCGGCTAGACGCCTCACGGCGGGGATGAGCGCGTTTTCTTCTTCGGAAAACCTGTAGAAAAGGCGCAGCATGCAGTTACCTTTTTGTAAGTTTATCACGTGCATGAGCCTTTTCAAAGGCTTTTCGTCGAAAAAGGAGAACATACGAAAAGGTAACTACGCCGGTGGGATTTTTGCTCCCTTTTCTGCCAAAGGAAACGAGCGAATCCCCGTCGTGGTTATGACCACGGTTATGGCCCACTCCTTGAGACAACCCCACGGTGTCCCAGCCCGAGATGTACATACCCTTCAACTCAACCTCTCCACCCGCCACCTCCGGAGGAACTGGCAACAACCCTTCTTATATCATAAAGCAAGCTCCCAGCGTCGTGACCGTGGCGAAGATTGCTGCCCTCCAATTGTACTTGGATCGAACTCCGCGTCATCGCCAGTGCCAGATTCATTGGGAGAAGAACTCGTGCACGATGCATGTTCTGCGCGTATCATTGGCATATCCTCTAGAAGGCGTAGTCGACTCCGACGTCAACCACAGCCTGTCACAAGATGAAAACATCTCCGAACACAGTCTTCCAAGTCAGCTCTCTTCCGGCGACCCAAGCCATGAGGCCGAGACACTGGCTCTCTCACCCCCATCCTCTGACGTGTGCCGCCGCTGCGAGAACGACGCCCTCCGGACGCAGGTGTCGACGATGCAAACTCAGATCGCCGATCTGATGTACAATGTCTAACAATGCTGGACAGTGAAATGTGGACGCAAATGCCGTTCAGTCGGCCAAGATTGCAAACATACTCGCTCGACTCGATGCTCCCTCCGCCCGGCAAGGTATGCATCTGGCATGTCAGATAGGCATTATTTATGCTTACCGAGTGCGCTTCCTTGCATCTTCAAGTGACGTTGGCGGGGTCGACATGTAGGTGCCTGGCTTTCTCGAAGGCTCGTAGGGAGGGATGTTGTGTGATACAGTAATCCTCACTGAACGATAGCCATCGCATAATCTCCCATAAGAAATTCCTTTGATCTTCTGTGCCTTTGGTGCTGGCTCGATGGGTGAGCCGAGGACAACAGGTGCATGCGGACAGGATTGGGTGAATGTTCTACGTTGCGGCGGTATCCCACCTGACCCGGGCCGGTACACGGTGCGCGGGCCAAAGACATTCTTTGCACACAAGTCTGGTTCTACTGGACAAACCCAAACGTCGAACCTGTATTAGCAGGGGGTAGAATCCAAGAGTTGAGGCCGACATCATGCATCGCTGATGCAATAGAGCGTGCATTGGGCACTGGAAATTGAATACATGGCTCTGAGCTTCATGCCTCTCATAAATCTGGTACCGACTTGACCAGCGGGCCTTGCAGTGGATGTGCTCTATCAACCGGATCGTACGTTGTTGGAATGGTCCCTTGGTTCTACTCTGACCACTTACTGGCGGAGGAAGTGAGTCATTCCCTGGAGGCTTAGCGGATCTGTGCACACCATGGCGGTCAGCGATCGCAGCTACGACGCATGAGAGCCCCAGGCCTCGCGCTCACCAATCGGGATGTTCGCCATGCGCGCGGCGCCCGCGATGTCGAGGCTGAACGTCTTGCGCGCCTTGCCCGGCCCGTCGAGCGTGAGGACGTCGACAGAGGCTGAAGTGGCCCCCATCACCAAGAGGAAGCTGTGTGAGGGCGCGCGATGAGCTGACATCCTGTATGCACATGAGGAGCACGGCGGACGCACTCTTTGCCGTCTATGGTCGCGACGTCGTTGTCGATCGTGCCCGCGTTCGCCCCGAGCGGGTATTGCTGAGCAGCCCAGAACGTCAAACACAGCCTTACTTAGACAGAGGCAAGTCCGAGCGGCAGCACGTACCTTAACAATGGACGCCTGCAGGTCGTCGTCCACGCGCACCTCGGTGATTATCCCCGTTCCCACGTCCGAGAGGAAGAACGAGCCCGTGCTCGGGCTGAAGCTCGACCAGCACGTCGCGCCCTGGCCCGCGATCGGCACCGCGGACGAGCGCGCAAAGTCGTCCAGGTTGAACACCGTGAACCCGACGCCCGGGTCCGTCGACACGAACGCGTTCTTCCCCGGGACGGGCGTGAGCGAGAACGTGAGACTTCCCCCAGGGACGGTCGCGATATGCGTGGCCGTGGGGGAGAGCGCGCCGCTGGCGGGCTGCACGTCCCAGACCGCGAGGAAGCCGACGGAGGCGGGCGGGACGCCCTTGACGGACGCGATGAGCTTGCTGCCGTCGTCGTTGAACGTGAGCTGGCTGGCCGTGCCCGGCGGCCCGGCTGGGGGCGTCGTCTGGTTCAGGCTGAGCGTGCGGAGCGAGTTCGGGATGGACACGAGGCCGAGCGTCTTGTCTACGGTGAAGCAGCTGCGGGCGGGTATGTTAACGTTGGGTACTGATAGCGGACGTTGGACGCGACGAACTTTACACTGGCGACGGCCCCGCCGTTGAGGACGCAGAGGCGAGTGCCGTTGCTGTTGAACGCGAAGGACATCGGGAACTCTCCTTCGGAAGACACGGGGTCGCCGATGGGCGTGATGTCGGTCGGCAGCTTTGGGTTGATAGAGAAGAGAGACACTGTATTCGAGCCGGCCTGCGTGTCAGAGGTCAGCGCTGGGCATGTACTCCTCATGCTATGGAGGCACCCACATTGACTGTCGCCAGCACCTGGCCTGCCGCGGACGCCTGAATACTTGACTAGAGCGGACGTTACTATGTGCTGTAACGGGTGTGTTCAAAACTGCTCAACGTACCTGGGAGAATAATCCGTCCGCGCCCGCAGGTGTGGCGATCCCGTGGAGTCCTCGCCCGCCAGCTGCAACGGCCTTCTCGAGGTTCTAGAACCCCATACAAAAGGTCAGCCGTGAACTCCTCGCCAGACCGAAGTTGCGAACGAAACTTACCAGCGAACCGTCTTTACCAAAGCTGGCGGCCATGACGACATTCTCGGTCGCTTCATTGGTGATAACTAGAAGATGAACGCGTTCAGTGTCAGATACAATCGTGCAGAGACTAGCGGGGAACGCACAGTAGATTGCGCCGGCCCCATCGAGACGACTCTCAGCCAATTGGACGATCCGCTCCAAAACCTGGAAGGGCCCAGCCGAGGCGGCAATAGACATAGCGAGCACCGCCGTGATAGCGGTGATTGGGGACTTCAGCATGATTGCAGGAAAGTGTGGAACGTCTTGGTAGAGCACTGGAGGTGGACCACGGCGTAGCTTAAAGCATCGTCAATTCCCGCTCTTTATACTCCCGTGTCCAAGTGCGTAGTAGTGGCCCTTCGAATTCGGACAGCGGACATTTTACCTGCCCCGTGAGATAACCGTTAGCCTTCGATCGCGAAGTCCGCGTAAATAGAACCGCTGTCTGATATTGTGAGTAAGATGGTCACTTCCGGGCACTCCATATGTGTTTCAGGTAAGCACCTCCGAGGAAGTCCGCACCGGTGTCCACATACCTGGGAAGCTACCTCAACCTTGCAGATACACGCGCGCAGTGTCAATGCCCCCGTCAACGCTCTCGGCACTCATGCACAACCGACACGGAGTCGGAATGGCAAGCCAGGCTCATCAACCTGGCGCAAAATTGCAATTGTATACATGAACACTGAATCTGCCACAACGAGAGATCAGTGCATATATACGCCAGGGAGAAATAAAACACGCGCTACTACCATTGTAAGGACAAGGGATGCAAGGATGAGCGTCGGACGCCCTCCAGGCTGACATTAGCTTTCGACGAACATCACGCCGAGTTGAGCCAAAGCAGCAGGCGTCGCATAGCCACCACCCATGTTCACACCGCGCTGGCGACGCCGCCGCGGGTAGGGAATGCGGTGTGTATGGGCTTGCTCAGCGACGCAGCAAGACCACTCAGCAGATGGGCTTTTTACAGCCCTTGTGGCCGGCACGCGCCTCGAGCTGACTCACCTGGTAATAGAGTCACCGACGTCGCCGACATGCCGTCGAGCGGTAACTTCGAGTGTGGGCGTGGGCTAATGTATCACCTATGTAGCCCATGGGAAGAGAAGATCATTTGGGCTGTGCGAGGGATGCATATATGAAGCCTGCAACGCCACGTGTCCGGACACTTTCAAGAGTAGCCATGGGTGCGACTCAGGGTTGGGTGCAGCTTCGGAGGGTGTAGTTGTGTAGTGCCCTCAAGGACGTCGTCCGTGCGCGTGAAGAGCCATCCTTTCCTGCGATACCCATCGTATCGTTTCCTCCTCCTGCCGGCCACCTTCAGTCTGCTCAGTGATCAGTGAACAGCAAGAACACATGAAAGAAAGGGGAGACCTGCCACCAACCTGCCACCTCGGACACCGAGTCGCAGAGAAGGAATGAGGAAAGACGAAGCGCTCGGCGGCCCGGGCCCGGAGCTCGTACAGCCACCTCCACGTGATCGCGTTGGGCATCGCGGCGATGGCGCGCGGGCCGCGTTTTCCTCTTCTTCCACCACAACGCGCCAGCCGGTGGTCCACACAGCCTCGGTGAACACCCCAGAACAAAATAGATATGCACGCTCAAGATCCTAAGCTGCCAAACGGGCTGCTCATCATCCTCCACCTCCACCTCCTTGATTTCCCGCTGCAAGACGTCACGGGCTACGATGAACGTCTCTTCGATGCCGCCCGCGGCATGCGAGAGCGAAACAAGGCCATGGAAGATATATCATACTTCCTCGTCGGGAAAGTAGAGCGCAGCAAAGAACGTGCCAAGTCGGCGAGTCAGTTTCTTATCCAGAGACTGGGCTAGAACTGACCTCAGATCAGATCCTGCCCACCTACCCATGTCTGCAGCCGTCAGACACGACCGCCTTCCGGATCGCCCTGGCGAAATACGTCGAGACAATACGGAACAGCATCGTTCATACCACCCATGCCGGTGAGAAGCCGGCGGAGCAGAAGGCGAAGCAGCCCGCTTCGCCAGCCCGAGATGAGATCCCCGCCTGGTGGTGGAGAGACGTCGTCGTCCGCAAATCCATCCTCGACGAGTGTTGCGGAGAACGGTAGGACGCCGCGCGCGCACCTCCCATGAGCCGGCCGTAGTGCTAAATCGTTCCTCCTGGGCCAGATTTGAGCGCCTGATCCTGGCGTTGTCTAGTCATGCGATCCTCAAGAACACGAACACGTCCCAGCCGCCGTCCACATTGCACCCTCTTCCCGCACAGGGCCATGCGGTAGGCTGCCAAATGAACACCCCCTCTTTCATCTCCGCCCTCTGACGCCTTCTTTCGGTACATGACAGATCCTGGGCACGCTCCCCAAGGCATACACGGCACGACTCGTAGCAGCCCAGAGCGAACGGCTCGAGTGGGAGCGATCGGCGGCACTCCTGCTCCAGAGGCAGGCCGACCTCACTGTGATTCGTGTGCGTGATCTCCCGCTGCGTTAGGGCCGTATACGCCCTGGTTGTGTCTGACTGCCTTTCCGGACAGGCCAGGCTAGCAGATCCGCGGCACGCTTCCTCCTCCAAGTATGATGCACTCGACACGGCGAGGCTTCTCGCACAGCGCGACTCGCGGCTACAGGACCTTATCCGCGGGACCTGGGTGGGCGATGAAGGCCGGAGAGCTCTTCGACTCGTCACGAATCTTGCTGGCCTCGTTGATCCTGCGACAAGCACTGCCAATGCTTCCGCATCTACTGCTGGCGAGAGCGGGGACTCGGATGAGCCGTCGACCCGGGCTGATCATCAGCCGCAGGTAAGTCGATCCTCCCTCTCTGGTGTCCTCTGCATGTTGCATCGTAGGCATCGTGCTGATGCACAGACACTTCACTCCCTACGCAGGCTTCTATTGCGGTCGAAACGTCTCCGCTGCCCATCGCTGCGGCGCGCCACCCGTCACATCTTCATGCACTCGGCGCACCGCTGTTCCCCGACAAGAAGGCACCTTCGTCCCTAGCCAACGAAGCAGAGGACGCTTCCGTGCACCCACACGCAATCGAAGAGCGGCTCGCAGCGGTGCAGGATGTCCATCGATCGCTCCAGGAGGCTCTGTTGGCGGCACAAGGCATCCACACGCAATTGCAGCGCCGTCTACAGAAAGCAAAGGAGCGCGAGGCCGCGTCGCGTGCGCCGAAAAACCGCGCGCTAGATCTCAACTCGAGTTTGTGGGCGCCGAGGGCGGGGGAGGGTGTTGTATTCAAGGTATGCACATGTGCCCGTGTATCTTCGCCTCGTGCGTCGGATCTCAACCTAGTCGATCCGCTTGGCAGTCGCCTGAGGACGCCGCTACTCTACTGCAACGGTTAGGGCTCGAATCTCCCCCATCGGAGACCGCAATCGAAGAGCGCATCGCGCACATCCGCACCGCCATCCTACCGCCATTTGTCGCCGAGCCCCTCCCCTCACCCGACCCGGAGCTCGAGGTCGTCCACCCGGTGTCCCGGCTTCCTCAGCCGTCCTCTCGCGTGCAGCAAACCAGCAGGCCATCAGGGCGGGACCAACCCATCCAAAGACACGCCTCCCAGCCCGGTAAATCGAAGCAGCGGGCACGTCTCCCGGATGCTCCGCCCCAAGCGAGCCTCGCGCACGGAGGGCACAGGGACGAGAAAGCACGGGCGGCGTCGCGCAGGCTTTCTCGCCGCGCCTCGGCTGCGCGGACACGGCGGTCGACGGTATTCGGGCGTGGCGAGGATGCAGAGCTCCTCCGGGTGCGTTCCTATCTGCCCTTCCATTCTTATATCGCATTATAACTGTGCGCATATATAAGATTGTCGCCTCCATTGAGGACCGTTCGGACTCGGAGGACGATGGCGCAGACGTAGAGCAAAACGTAGGGCTCGCTCGCACGCCAGCGCGTAAACAGCAACAACACATGGGTACGCGGGGCACGCTGCTCTCGAGCGTGAAGAAGGGCGGGCCGCGGCAGTCGTACGACATCGCCGTGCACGAACGTGCAGCGCACGTCCCGCGCCTGCCCAGCCTTCGCCTGAGCGGTGCACCTGAGCTCGATGAAGGCGAAGATGAAGGCGGTGAGGACCCAGGGGTCAGGCCGGATGAGATGGAAGAAGACGTGGAGGGCGAAGACGAAGAGGTGTACGAAGGGAACAGCATGACCCTTGCGGATATTTTGATGCACGCGGGGCAGCAGGGGAACACCTCTTTGCAGATACTTGGAGAAGAGCTAGAAGACGAAATGTCCGATTGGGAATAAAGCTTTGGTCCATACTTGACACAATTTCATGCAGTAGCACTCGCCAGACGGTACAGAAACCTTCGAGAGACATGTGGTACGCTGTCATTCAATCAATCCGCGTATGCGTCCACAACCGATGTTTGTGAAAGAACGAAGGTCGTCACAGCCACATCCTAAAATTTGTCATGTGGGCATGGCATAGCTCATGTATTTTGTGCGGTGTGGGGCCAGTCTGGCCGGTTCTCGTAGAGCAGTATACAGGGTGCAAGACATATACGGAGGGGCTGATGCGATGCGGGAGGGAGAGAAACCACCGGCTCGTATGGGGCAGGCAACCAGGCGTGTCAGTCCGCTCATGCCTCCGTCGTCGTCTTAGTGCGCTTGACGGCGCGCGTGTTCTCCCTGCGTACAGGCGACTTTAGGTAAAGTTTCTACGCAAAATTAAGCTGAACGCACCTGAAGCCGTTCTTGAACCGCCGGGAGACCTCCTTGAGGTAGCGCATGCGGCCGGTACCGGTGGTCTTTCTGCGCTTAGCCTTCTGGCCCCACTCGAACGACCGCAGCTTTGCGCTGGGGTAGCCGCACTGAGCGCACTCTGGAAGTAGTTTGTCAGGATTCGTATCTCTTCAGTTATCGTTCTATGTGGGATTTGTTGATGGCAGATTGCGCGAAAGGGTGTTTGGAGGGGAGTGCGAGAGGAAGAGATACGCACCCTTGTGCTGCTTGTGGAAGGCGCGGTTGCCACACCGCCTGCAGAGGGTGTGGGACTTGGTGTGCCGCTTACTGTAAATCGAAAGACGCCGTTTAGATCAGAGCGCATGAAGAGAGGATCAATGCGACGTACCCGAAGGAGGTGGTACCTATAAGTCGTTACAGAGCACGCAGGGATACCAAAATCAGTTCTATCGCCATTTGTATACGCTCCTGCAGTTACGAACCTTTCGTCTACGAAGCAAAGGGATCGTCAGCATTCAAACGGACGCAGGGGTGCAACGCCAGTGGGACACGCCAGAGGGACCCTCCCGCCAAAAGACCGTCATCCGACCGAGCTCCGTCCCATCCACCCCTTCAACTCCGCCAATCCGTCCCGTTGAAACGCAGATAGGCGTCCTCTCGTCGTGTATGTCCCTCTGGCGTGCAGAATACGGGCATGGACTCACCATGGTGTCTTGAAACTTGAGGGGGGCCGGTCGGGTGTCTTGTGCAAACTCGCCTGTATGGACGAGCAGCCACCCTGATTTGGCATCCACGTGGCATAGACGCCGGCCGCGGGCAGGACGCGGGCGCTTCAATCTCAAGATCGCTCTTTGCACTCTTCCTTCGATCCGGCTGCCATCGTCTCTTCCGCCTCGGATTACACTGCTAGCTGTGTTTGATGAAGCGTACGGCCAATTACCTCTGGGGAACGTTGATTATGAGCTCTTTGAGCCGCTACACATGCGCTCCTGGGAGCATTGATCGAGTGCTAGTACTACCGCTCAAACTCTACTCTCCATGATACTGAAGTCACTTCGTGGATGGGGGATTACTCCTTGTAGGACCCATTGCGTAGAAACTTGATCCCAAGCGGAACTCGACGCCATTTATTGGAAATATCGACGATGTAATGGTATTGCTTCAGAGTCCAGTCGCTGTATTCGTTTCTCCGTTACCTCGGGCGTCGGGAACACACGTTTGGGAAGATCTTGACGCTACCCGTTGGCTGGCTCACCTGTCTATTCCATCTGGTCACATCGTTCCACCATCCTCACCGTCGATGATGGTGGATAGACGGGCGGCATTTGGACAACCGAGCGCGCCTCGAGGCAGCAGACTGTAGCTCCTCAGAGCTCCTTCCGGTCGTGTTATCATTATATGCGGAACTTGGCAAAGCATGCCTGACAACGTGCGCCCTCGTCGAATTTTCGCTGCTGGTTGGCGCTGTTACCGGTTTATAATCCACAGGTTGCTCGTTCGAGCCTGTCCTAGACTCCTAGCCTCCCCCAGGCGCACGGCCGGGCGCGCCGAGGTGTATGTGTACCATCGTGGGGCGTCGGGGACCCTGAAAAATGTCGGTCTAAATGCAGAGGTGAGCCCATTCCCATAGTGTTCTGAATCTTTATCCTGCGGCTGGATATCTACGTTTGCGGGAGGGACGTTGCTCCGCGTAGACTCGTCGTGCCCTGCATCACTTGTGCATGCGGTAGCCTCGGTGGCGGCGCCACGCCTCTATGGTTATTGACCTGAGCTCCTGGCCTAGGAACGCGCTTCTCCCTGTCCGCATGCACGTCAAAATAAGTCAAGACTAGAGCAGAGGACGCTCTTCTCGTTTGAGGCGTGATGGCCGTCCTACGTCTAACTTACGAACTAAGGCACTTGTGTGCGGGTGACCACCTCACCTGTCCAGTTCGAAGATCACGAGTGTTTGTAGAATGCAGATCTCTCACTCTGTTCCTGCTGCGAAGTTGCCATGCTTAGTTTGTTTCGCTCGCCGCGCAGCAGACTGCAGGGGTTTTGTGCACACGGTGGCCGGTGTGTTTCACAGAGCTGGGAGATTCACGCGGCGCCTGGACCTCGGATAAGCGGTTATCTAGACAGCGGGATAGGACCGATTACCCAACGCGTCGCCGTAAGCCCCGAGAGATCCTCAACAGGCGCGCAAAATGGTTCCACGGCCAGGGGCCTAGGCACACCTCATTGGACGATCGCGCGGCCTTCGTCATGATGCGGGGAAATTGTGCAGATTCGCAATCGCCGTGTAGCGACCGCGGAACAACGGGGGACGCGTGTCGCGCGCTGCGTCCAAAACTGTTTTGTGCAGAGGCCGCGAATGAAAGAGCTGCCAAACGTTCTTTCTGGGCTGTCCCATGCGGGTCTATTCACGGCTGTTCTATATCCAGATCCCGAGGCCGGGAAGGGGCGGATGTACCATGGCCGAGAGGACTCGGGAGAGCTGTGGCAGCGGTGCATATCCGGAAGAGTGGACAGATAAGATCTGTCTTGCCACCCCCCGAAACAAGCGATCATCTCTCCGCTCCGGAGCATACCAGCTGCCAATGAAGGCCATCTCCGCACCGTCGATGAACACCGTCCGAAACCACCACAGAGCGCACACTCTTGCGCTCGACGTCGGCCCAGGGGGTGCGTGCTATCGGTGTGCCAGGCAGCCAGCAGGATGCTCGGCAACAAGGCACAGTGGGAGTTCACACTTAGCGGAAGCGCCGAGGGGCGGATAAGATAAAGATACACACAAGCAATCTTGGTGATAGACGCCGGGGTACACTGCCCCCTAATGCGCGGGCTGCGATTGGCTGGGCTCGGGATAGATGGATGTGCGTTATCAGCCTTTTTATCAAGAGACGGTTCCGTCCTCCTAACTTTTTGCCTCTTTACTGTCATCACTCCTCCCCGGCCGTACACCCGTCCAGCACACCTCCGTCGTCGTCTGCCCCGTCCTCGCCGTCGCTGCCCCAGCGAACTCGCTGTTTCTCTAGTCCTGGCGCCATAGCTGAATACGCATCGCTAATCCTCCCCCGCAACCTTACTCTCGCGTAATCTCATCTCGTATAATGGCCCCGGTCGTGCTGGAGTCCCCCGTCATGAACATGCACAATCCCGCCCTCTCGCCCATGTCGAGGTTACAGTTCAACGGTCACATTCACACACCGCCTGCGTCCGATCACTCTAGGAATGACGACGCTTCTCCTCTCGCCTCTACTGCCCCTCTTCCGCCCATCCAAGGCCGGAACCCAAATTCTCCCTTCCCCTTGGACCCAGCGCTGAGGGAGCGCAACGGAGAGAACGTCGACCCCACCGGTAACCAGAGCAGTCCATCCGCTAATTCGGAGCTGGCATGTACCAACTGTGGCACCGTTACCACCCCTCAGTGGCGGCGCGGCGACGACGGCAAGTCCATCTGTAATGCATGTGGTGAGTACCATCTTCTGTGACGTGCTTGTGTTCCGCGGAGAGTTGGCGCTTTGGTTTCATCTTGGCCATGGGCCAGGAGATCGGGCGGACTCACCTCACGGGCCACGTGTCCTAGGCGTTCGCCTCGTAGCCTCGGGGGCAATCATATCGATTCCTCGCCGCATCTATGCGTCGAGCGCATGTAGTGGGTTAGGCATGCGGATATCGCTCGTCCGTCGCGCATCGCCATGTTTCGTGCCCTATCACGAAGCGCATTGCGCTAGGGGCGCCGCTGGGATCACCTTTGGCGGCTGGGATCCCTTGCTCAACCGTCTGCTCCGTCTGGATTATCTCTCCAGCGATGTACCTGCACTTTGACTCATGTTCCGCTGCCTGCAACGATAATACCGTCGTCCGCGTTTCAAACACCCCCGCTAACTTATCGCCCGCCTCCTCTTCAGGCCTCTACTATAGGACAAAGCACGTCCCTCGTCCACTATCCCTCGGCCGTACTTCGACCGCACAGTCAGCCACACATCCGAACGCAAAGCCTTCGGTCCCTCCTAGTCCCTTCCAATCGCCGGCACCCGCTCAAGGCGCGCTACAGGATCCCAACCGCCGCAATACAGCATCTCCTCCCTCGATGCCCACTCCTGCAGCCTCTCCCTCGCTTCAGCAAGCCAGAGCCCAGCCTAGCGATGGTCATGCGCCCAAAGCGCCCGCCCAGAAGCACCATAGTGGTACATGTCCGGGAGACGGCCGCTGCGATGGCACTGGAGGCACGTCAGCTTGCAACGGCTGTCCCACTTATAACAACGCCATTCAAGCAGGACTGGCGGACACCGCGAACGGGCAGACACCGCAGAAGGTCGATCCGGCCCCGTCCACTGCACCCGCTCCAGCAAACGAGCCGTCGACCGAGACATCTGGCCCGGACTCCTCCCCCGTCATCAGCTCTCAGACCCCAGGCGGCAGTCGGTCCAGGGTACGCAGTGCGGTGGGTGCGCTCAGCTGCGCTAACTGTGGCACGAGCACTACACCCCTCTGGCGGAGAGATGACGTTGGCAACAACATTTGCAATGCATGTGGTACGTCTTTACTCCCTTCTCGCTCCGGACTGCTGGGATTCGTGCACCACGGGGGAGATTTGGACCAGGTCCTCGCTGGATTCTCGGTGCCTATACACGGGCGCTTGGGCTCACGGCGGGTGACAGAAGGGGCGCTTGCCGCTTATCTTGGTTTGATATCTTATCAGATAGTGTGGGGGCACTTGATCTCTCATTGGCCCGACCCCTCCGGCTATGCGTTAGTCGTGAGTGTCCGCGACAACGCAAGTGATCGCGAGCGCGCCGAAAGAGCGGCGGCGCATGACGGGACGAGCCCCTGTCTGAGCGAGGGACATTGCGCCGGATTCGGGCGAACTCCGCGCCCGTCATCGACCCTGGTCATCCCCCGTGCTCTTCGAATTTTCGTCTGCCCGCCCGTCTTGACAGCTCTGTCTCACCGCATCGTCTTTTTTCTCCCCTCCCTCTCTGTGCGCTGGGCGAACAGGTCTCTATTTCAAGCTCCACGGAACGCACCGTCCGAACTCGATGAAGAAGACCGTCATCAAGCGCAGGAAGCGCGTCCCCGCAGCGCCCGGGTCTCCCAGCCAGCATGACCGCATGACGGACCAGGCGGCCGCAGAGGTCCTGGCTAGCGTAGGACGCGCCGTTCCCTCCGGCTCAGCTGGCGCCCCAGAGGAGAGCGAGGAGGAGCGTCCGAAGAAGCGTACGCGCCGCCCGCGGGTATCGAAGGCTCGTGAACGGGACGCAGAGGGGATGGACGTTGACGAGGATGAAGAGGAGGAGGGAAAGCCACGGAAGACGCGTCGCACCACGGGTGGACGCGCTCGCGGATCCCGGGAAAGCAGCAACGTCACGCAGGCGGGCCAGTGGGGTGAGCAGATGATGCAAGGCATGGGCGACCCGCAAATGCTCGAGCATCGACCTGGCAGCGCTGGCCAGCAGGACCATGGCTATGGTGCTGGCGCCCCTCGCGGCAACCCGTTCCCCCCGGCGCACGCCAACCAGGCGCTCCCAGGGCTCATCGCCGCGCTCGGCCCCGACGTCGTTACGAGCCTCATGAACTCGCAGTACGCCGGTGTTCCCCCTCCCCCGCCCAGCTACATGCGCTCCGGATCCGCCGGCGGTAACGTCGGTCCTGGCGGCGTGCCGAGCAGGACGCACTCGCCTCTCGCTGGCCACCAGATGAATGCGCCCCCCGGTGCGCACTACCTCCCCCCGCCATTACACGTCCCCACGGCCTTCCCCGGGCCAGTGGGCCCTTCGTTCTACCACAGCGGCGGTTCGCAGGCGATGCTGCCCCCGCCGCAGATTATGGACGGCCTGCCGCACGTCCCGAGCGCGGCCGAGCTCGACCACCACTACCGGGAGCTAGCGGAGGAGCGGAAGCGGTTAGAGGAGATGCTGCAGCGGACGGACAGGATGATGGCGGGCGTGAAGCGCGGGCTTGACGAGATGCGTGGTGCGTCCAGCAGCAGCCAGCAGGCTCCGTCCCAGGAGCCATCAAAGCAGCAACAACCGTCGCCGCAATCGTCGCAGTCCCAGCAACAGCAGGGTGAAGGTGCAGCTGCCGCCCCCGCAGTCCCGTTGGCGAGGCAGGAGAAGGGCAGCAGAGAAGGTGCGCCGGTGTGGCACGTCGCTCCGCCGCCCGCGTCGCAGGCGGGCGGACGTGATTGAGCGTGGCGGCGAGGATTGAGCGCGCTGGTGCGATATGTTATGGACATGTGCAAAATGCCCGTTCCCCCTCCCCTCCCCTCCCCTCCTCACTCCGTTCCTCTGGGTTTTCGGTTTCGGTCGTGTCTAGCAGCGCTGCGCCTGTGCTCTTCTCGCTCCTCCTGCTTTCCTTGCTCCCTGCTCCCTGCTCGTGGTTGTCGGACTGTGTTATTGTGCGCCGGATATTGTATAGGCGGCTGCTGTATGCCCGCCGCCGTCGCCCTTCTATTATGCGTGTATGTATATAGCTGTGATGGTAGTGTAGAGCGCTTTATTCGTATATCCCGTGTCCCTCCAGACCACCTCGAACGACGTCGAGACCCGAGCGGTGTGTGCGGGCGCAAGATGCGGGGAGAGCGTGGGAGAGGCGATAAGATTGAATGGGGGAGGGGAGGGGCACGTGAAAGTGATCGCGCGGCGAAATGCATGTGCTTTTGTGGACTGTCTGAGCGAGTTTGAGTGTGCGCGCTGAGATCCATCGGTGCGCATCCCCAACACATCTTCGTCCCTCTCCGCACGCCCCTCCGACCCCGCCATCCCCTCTCTGCCCCCTCCCATCGCCCCCAGCTGCCCAGCCATGGCCCTCGCCGACCAGGACGAGTCGGTGCGCATCGCAGTGCGCGCCCTCGGTGACATGCGAAATAGCGCGCACGCCTCTTCGCCCTCCACTTGTGCGTCCAGCGATTTTATGCATCGCGTACAGCCCCCCTGACGATTCCACACCCGCCACTATTTGACCTGGTCTGGTGCGCCTCGATGGGCATTCTATGTTACAGCATTCCAACCGACACCCGCGCTGTCTATTACCTCCGGCACATCGTCCCCATCGCTCCCGTCCCCGTCCCTGATGGGGCAGGATCTGCGCGCGGAGGCGTCGAGCACGGAGGAGGACGAGGGCGGGCAGCCGCGCGCGCAGGGCGCCGGGGCGCTCGCGGAGGGCAGCGACGAGTGGAAGTCGCTCTCGCGCGTGTCGAACATCCCGCTCGTGAACAGCGCGCTGCGCGCGTACGAGCAGAGCAAGGCGAGCTCGCGCGTCATGAAGGTGCGTCCCCCCCTGGCCCCTCCGCCACCCCTCGCCACCGACTGACGCATCCCTGGGCTCTGGGCATCTCATCTAGTACGGCGCGGAGATGATGGAGTCCTCCGTGAAGTCCATCTCGCGGCCGGTGATCGACCGCCTGCCTGTGGGGCAGCTGGACGACTTTGCGTGCAGGCAGCTGGACAGGGTGAGTGCTCAGCAGCGTCTTCGCCGTGTATTTGTTGGGGCGCAGGGGGGTCATCTGGCGCACTGCGCGTGCCTCGCGGTCCGCGCGAGGGCAGGGCTGCTTCCCGTCCACGGCGGACACCCTAGGACGCCGGCGACTATGCTCTTGCACCTAAATGTCAGATAGGGCTCGGGGGAGCGCGCAGTGACGTCCCGGCGTGCCCCCCGCATGACCGCCCTCGCGGCCAAATATACGCCTCCTGAGTGGCTGCGGGGAAGCGCCTATGGCGGCGGTTCCTTCTGCAACGCAGTTCCGCTCAGCGAAGGAAGTCGTGAATGCACAGAACTGTTCGCTGATGCTTCGACTCTGTACAGCTTGGCAACTATGCGCGGCGGGCATCCAGTAGCAGTCGTTCCCGGAACGATTCCCCAGATCCGCGGAGGCCATGGGAAGAGACAAGGGATCGGGACGTGTCCATGACCCGCGGCGACAGCGACCGGGCCCAGCGACCACGAGAAGAGGATGGGATGCGCGACGCCGACAGTAAGGGGCTCAGCAGGACGCCCACCCCACATTCGTCTACCAGTTCCCAGCCCGAGAAGCCCGTCCTTCCCCCAGCTTCGACTTTGACACAACATGCAGACGCACAGGAGAGCCAGCAGGTGGCGCAACGGAGCCGATGGCAGGCCATGATGCTGGAAGCGGGCGGCCTGAGCGCCGCCATCAGCGAGGAGAGCATGCGACGGCTTAAATACTGTTTGCAATGGCTCCAGGTGCGCTCATCCTTAAAATTTTTATCCACAAGCATCCGTGCTCATCCGCACTCCGTTCCAGTACGCCACCGCGCAAATCGACGCGCAGATCCTCGTCCTTCGCAACTTCATCACTTCGCTGCAGCAACACGGCGGCTCGCCACACGTCTCCGCGCAACATCTACGAACACTACAGGCTGCGAAGCGGGATGTTGTGGACACGATCCGCCAGGTCGTCGAAGTCGTCAGTCGCTACGCGGGCGGGGCGCTCCCCGAACCCGCGCGTTCGCGCGTCCGCACATTCATTCTGTGCCTCCCGCGGCGGTGGGCGACGGCGTCCGGTGGTGAGGGTCCTGCGCTGGGTGCTGGGCCGGTGCACGAAGTCCGTGGGGAGAGCTCGGGGGCCGCAACCACTACTGGCAGGGGGCGGCATCGCGCCACGGCCCCATACAGTTATGGGCCTGGAGAGGCGGGCCCGTCCCCGCGCTCACGTCCGGCTTCGCGCGCGACGTCCCCCGTGCGGGGTGCTGTCCGGGGCCATGGACGCCAGACCAGCGGGAGTGCGGCCGCCGGGGCTGTGCCGACTGCAGATTCTGCGACACAAGCGGCTCAGAAGATCTTAACGTTGGCTACGGAAAGCCTGGATATGCTCCGGAGCGTGACGAGCGTGTTCAAGGATAGCTTGGACCGAGCAGACATGTCAGTACCTCATTCCTTACCGTGTTTGGTGCAAACTGCTGACGTTCTGTCTCTAGCTGGGTCGAGCGGCTGCGCGTCGTCGGCCTGCAGCGCCAGCAAAATCCGAACGCGGAAATTGACCCCGAGAACGACCCGATGCTCGACTTCCGGGACGCGCACCTCCCGCCCCTGCGCTCGCACACGCACTCACCGTCCACGCCGCTCTCCCCCTTCATGCCTGGTGCCTCGCTCGCTCCCGGTACCGCGCCGAGCTCGGGCTACACGACTCCGTACTACACACACCTTCCGCGCTCCTCGTCGACGGGCTCCGTGTCGAGTCTCAATCTGAACGTCCCCGCATTCCCCGGTCCGCTAAGCATGGGCCCGTACGACGCGCCGTCCCCCAGCATGAGCTTCGACAAGCTGTCGCTGTCGTCCGCGCACTCCGCCGCGGGCTCGCGCTTCACGACGCCGAAGAGCGTGCTGCTCGGGTTGCCGCCGGAGGGCGAGCCTGGCGGAGGCGGGGGAGGGACGCGTGGCGAGAAGCGGCGGAGCGTTGCCGACGAGAGCGATGCGGCGGTCCTTGCTGCAACCGCGCTGGCGGGTATGGCGGGGTCGGCGGGTGTGGGTGGAGGTAGCGGTGCGGCGGGGCTGCCGCTAAAACGCGTGAAGCAGGAGGAGCGGGAGGTTAAGATGGACGTCGACGGATAATGACTAGAGAGGCCGCGCGCGCATCGGGGGGTCCACGACGAGTCCTATGAACGGGATATATACGATGACGCGCCGGCTTCTTCTTCCTCGGGCTTTCTACACCTCCGATGGTCCGGCTGCGTATCCGGGACGCGTGCGTCATGCGTTATGACTTGTATGTGCCCGCGCGACGCGGTCCTCTGCGAGCACCTTGCAAGCAGACGTCAGCGGCTCTTCTCTTTCCCTAGCGGTTCTCTCTCCTTCGCTGCACTCACATACTCTCTGGCGGGGACACACACGCACCCTGGACGATCTCGATCTTTGTTTTTCCCGACAATCCATTCGTCCGACGTCCAGTGACCACTCGCGGCGGAATACGCTCATCATCATATGGCCATCAGTCATAGGGCTGGTGGCCCTCCTCCCTCCTCCCCTTTCCAATTGATTCTTCCCCCAGCGTCTTCCGCTCCACCTACTCATCCCCTCGGCTCTCGGTATCCATGGAAATTTATGACTGTCCTTGTGATGTCTCTGTCCTAGCTCGCGCATCTCCGGCGGCTTTTTTCTACTACATCCGATTTGGAATCTGCGGACATTGGCGATCTACGGCCCCGATGCGCTGGGTCTGTGTAATTTAGCTAGTACACCTGTTGAGATAGATCCACTTCATAGTACTGTACGTCTCTGGTCTTTGCTGCAGCAACATCTTGGCTGCGTCTGAGTTGCCGTGTACACGCGTCCGCTCGCATCATAACGCGTCCATCGATGAGTATCTTGACCGAACACCTGTGAAGCGGCCATGGTCCGCCTTCACCGTCTAGGACCGCCACGTTACAGACGTGCGGGATGTTAAGCACTATGAGTATGTAACTAGTAAGTCCTACCATGTACTGCTTGCGTGTCCTAAAATAAATCTATACTGTTACAACTGCGGAGAAAACATGAGAGCGCGATAGCAGACTCGGAGGCTGTATAACTGTAGTGGCACGGAAACGCAGCGAAGAATAGCAAACACGACATAACAGCACAGGTAAGTAACTTGAAGCATAGCAAAGAAACCGTTCGGGAGCTGCAGAGTCCAACCTACCCTTCACGCCCACAAGGTTCCAAGGCTCAACAACCACGTCGCGACCGTGAACGACTGGAAAGAGTACGTGGTTTGCCTTCCTCCCTCCTTGTCGAAGCACGCGATGATAGTAATATTATCTGCAGTGGCCATCGTGTAGCTGCGATTACTGAATTACACACCATCCCTTCCCACGAGCCTCTGAAAAGGCGAGACGACGTGAGGACGGTTCCTCCCCGTATGTTCTATGTGCGTACCTTGAGATGTTGAGGGCTCGGCGTTGAGCCGAGCGAGTATGTCCTCCATCTGCGACAAGATCTTGGCATTATCGGATTTTAGATCACCGATCTGAGCTTTCAAGGTCGACACTTCTTCCCGCAGAGCGTCGCGCTCGCTGAGGCCAACATCAGAACGCTCGCCTCCCTCGTGGGTATTGTTGGGACCCGGGTCGCCCGAGACAGGTTCTTGGTCCTGCCATTCCGACACAGCCGAGCGAAGAGAGGTGGGAGGCGACAACCTGTTTTCCATCTCCGCGGCGGGCCCCTCGCTCGACGCCCTCAGAGGACGCGCATCGCCGGGGGATGGCGCGAGCTGGATCGGGGTTCCCGGGGCCTCGGCAGTTCCGTCATCGTGCGCCTCGGTGCGCTCAGAATCGTGCTGGTCGGGTGTGGTGCGTCGCTGCAGATTTACCAATTCGGATTTTTCAAGGACGAACTATCAATGCGACATACTTACCGACGATTCAACGTTTTCCGGTTCGGCAGGTTCATTCAAATCTGAAAGCGGCGCTTGAGACGCCGCGCCGCTCAGTGGTACCGATTCCCCCGGCTGCTTTGACGTAGCAACGGAGACGGTCTGTGCAATTCATATCTTGTCAGCTGATTGGACGAGCGACAGTCCAGTACAAGCTTTGCGGACTTACAGGTCCTGGGTCGGTCACTTTCAGCACCTCGGCGTCCTGGCTAGTACAATCATTGTCGGAAGAGGGTTGGTTCGGAGTAGTGGGCTCGCAGATGTCGCCTGCAGCTTGTGACGGCGGAGGATCGCCTGGCAAGGTCCTGTCCGCGATGCGCCGAGTGTGGCGGTACTTCTCCGAGAGTTGAATGGACAGGTAGATCAGGTGCTTGGGGTCGTCCCCGGACGTGGCTACGTATCCCAAGGCGTTGCTAAATGCCAATGATACGCGCAAAAAACGAACAGTGCAAGCCTCCTTCTCCCAATCGGGGTCGGCATAGATCGTAAACCCAGCGTCTGCGATGACGCGATTCCCGGAATATCTGTTGATCGCAATCTCGGGGCTGAAATCTTTGTTACCGTCGACACAGGGAGCTCGCGTCATGACATAGGAAGGGTTGTTGACTTCTTCCGGGCTGGGGATAGTAGGTGGAGAGGTTGGACAGGGGAAGTCGCCGGCTGGGACACCAATGGAGTTCACGATGCAGAACTGGGCAGTCATGCGCCTTATGCCGATAATGCCTTCCATAGGGACATTAATTAAAGTCAAGGTGAGCTGGATGGTCTGTGGGCATTCTTTTGTGCGAGAAGGAATGTTTCCGCCATTGAAAGCAAGAGAAGTTTCCACACTGAACGACTTTCCTCTGGCAGTCTCCACGGGTGGAGCCAAAGAGGTCTCGGCAACGAAGCCAAGGATGCCTAGGGCTTCGATGTCGCGGGGAGGGATGCGAATAATGGCAAGTGGCTCCTTTCGATCACCTGCAAAGAAAAGCTCGGTTTCTTTGAACCTCGGATATGTGTTCCCGATCGCCAGCTTCGTGGAAGCAGGTTTCGAGTGGTGCCGAAGGAGGGAGACGTCGATTATCGTCGGAGTGACGTGTTCTAGAATTTCGGCCAACGCCACCTTCGGCAGACGAACAGTGTGGAATGGATAATGCACCTCATCGGAGAGCATCTGCCAGATCCCGTGAGGGCTCTTGTTGCATTGGATGTGCGTCCCGATGAACATTCCGCGTCCACTTCCGCCTGCTTCATCGCGAGGCTGACGCAAAGGGAGGGCGATGAGCGACCCGCTCTCGTCTTCGCATTGTAGGAGGGCGAGTGTGTCGGCTTTCATGCGGAGACAGTCTGAACAGGAGCCTAGAAGGTACTCCCAATGCACGGATAGCGATGCGAGGTTGAGAGACAGAAGCTGCACACGGACACCATGCGGGGTGAAAACGCAATGCAATGACGGGACCTCCTTCAAGCGTAGGCGCAATGCGAGAGCAGACGGTGCGATTGGAGTGATATGAGCACCTTCCTGAAAGACCGTGAGATCGCTAGCGAGCAGACTTGGATTATCAAAAAAGTAGAGACAGATGGAATCAGAGGAGTTTTGGGGGCGAATCTGGACATGGATATCGTGCTGAGACACCGTGACCTGCACGGGGACATGACCAGTGCTGCCCCATGCGAAGATGCTTTGATCGGGGATGGTCCTGACGATCTCCTCCTGGAGACGGAGAAACGCGTTGTCGCCCTCGCCATAGATAGGAGACATGTGGATGCCGAAGATGCCCATGAGAGAGTACGCCCGGTCCTCGATGCGCGTTGTCTCTCGCAACGAAGCCCATGACAACCTCCGCGCGACGCTAGCGGAGTACACAGTGGCCTGGCCTGTGAGAATCTTGAAGTCGATCCCAGTGATCTCCTCCAGCGTCACGGCGAGCCCCATCTTCGTGCCTAGCAAGCGCCACGTCTTCGTGAGGAACTCGACGGCCTCCGGTGCGATGAGCTCCTGCAGGGTCCAACCGCGCGTGTGCCATCTACTCCGCCTGAAGCGCGAGTCTTGGTCTCCGGGATCATCGTCGTCGGAAACATCCTCGAGGTAGACATAGCACACTTGTGAGAGCCGATAGAGCTCGTACATCGAGTTGATCGCCTCGGAGAGCTCGGCGCTGCTCGATTTGTCGATGCAGCATGCATCGTTCCATACGAGCCGGATACCGGCCTCGCGCGCGACCTTGCAGACGCCCTTGATCTTGTCTGAGATCTTTGGATGAGAGAGAATACACGAGGGCGGAGACCTCTCGTGCGCAGACGTTCTGGAGACACGAAGAATAGGCGATGGTGTCAGGGTTTCATGGACCCTCAACTCGATTAGGATAGCAACTTACTGTTTCCGAAGGCCATCGGCGACCTCAGCTTGCAGTGCGCAGACGGCGTCGTAGGACTGCTCGCCGCCCCCCTTCTCGGATCGCCAGGTATGCGACAGAATGGCATAAACGATCCCTTCCAGACGATTGTGCCACTCGAATTCGCCCGTCGAGGTGTTCAAGAAGCGTGGCATTCTATCAATATCACAAGTCAGTGGCATATACCACACGTAAAGCAATTCACACACGCACCTTGTCCCTTTGTAGCACTCGGGGAGACACGACTTACGCCGTCAGACAGGGGGGGTGGTCGATGTGGGAGGGGGGAAGGGGCTGACAGCGTGCCCAATACGCATACGTTGCTTTTCGAAACCGAGCGCAAGGGTATTTATGTATACGCCTCAGGTAGCCCATGCGCATGGCAATCTGAGACTGGGCGCCTTCATGTGTATAAGGTTGTGTCGGACGCTTTGGAGCCGCCTCCGCCTCGAGGGTGAGGCACAGCTCAGAAGTCCCTCCTTCCTGTGCACCTTGAAAGGCGAGAAAAGTCGAAACCAGCGGTGTCCCTTCGTGCGTGCCGACTACTCGAGGTCTGAACGTGTCGTTGTTCGTACCTAAAATCTGGGGGCTGAAATGAACTATTTCTGCTTGAGAATTGGTTCCGTCGACTCTCAGTGGCGTACACAATATAGCACGAGCCCTGGAAACGAGATTGACAGAACGGAACTGTGACGTACAGATGAACAACGCCTCTGATGATGTTGCCTCAATGGAGGTACATGACGCTAAGGGCAGACGCGGCAAGCCAGCCAGATTTCCCTAGTTGGAATCACTTGAAGACAGGTGGACTGGCAGCTGACACGACAGCAAGCGGGGAAGTTAGTCCAATGGGGGAGAGAACTCGAAAGAGTCGGGGAGCTCCCGTTCAGAAACATCACGGGCTGCGGGACATCTTGCAGTATAGCGGTGATGTGAGGCGAGTGCGAGATAGGATGTTTTCGCGCAGAGCGTTGTGGGAACAAGGGGGGACCAGGGCTTGCCTCCGCTGGTGCTGAGTCCGAATTTCGAAGCGCGGGGGTCAGGCGACGGAAAGCCGTTTGGCACCGTCGACGGGAACGGCAAGGGAAGGTCGCATAGCGGGGGTGCGTGCAGATATATAGCGACTAGGCGCGTAGACGACTTCCATGTAGGTCGAGCTGCTCCTTCCAGATTGCGCGGAGTCGGGGCGCCACGACAGAGCAGCTGACCATGAGCTGGAGCAGGCCGAACAAGCCCCCCACTGGATCAGGAAGATGTACTACTACCGTTGTGTTGAGCGTGATTGATTGTGGCTGTTCCACCGCAAGCGCAGGCGGCGCATACCCTAAAATGAGTGGCAGGCCCCGCAATACATGGCGCCCCTTTGGTGAGCGTACGTATACGGGGAGCCAACGTCAATCGCACCTCGACTGCCTTTCTCCCTCTCCCTCTTATGAGCGTGAACATCTTGAACGTCAGCTTCATCTGCAAGTTCAGCAGCCCGACGAACTCGTCCGTCGTCGACAGCGCCACCGGGGAGCGCCTATTCGAGTTCGCGACCCCCTTCGGCCTCCACTGGCGCACTGTGACGACACTACGGGACGCAGACAGGAGGATGGTCGCCGAGTATAAGACCGGCTGGACGCGCGACGAGGTGACCTACCTGGGACGGACGATGCTTATGTCAGACTGGCTCGTCAAGAAGAGCGTATTGTCGAGGTACGTACCGCAAAGTTTTCTCTGTGACCCGCATACAGGGGGCGCTAATCCGCGGCCAGCAATCGAATCTTCGTGGCACCCGATGGGCGGTCGTACGAGTGGGAGAAGGATGGGATGGCCCAGGGAGGTAATGAATACAAGGTGCGCACGCGGCCAGGCGTTATGGGCTTCCCGGGGTTTCGGGTGGATAAGTAGGAGCAACATCCATACATTGACCTTATGGCGATACGTACTACAGCTCCTCGACTGCCAAACAGGAGAGCTGGTCGCGCAGGGGCACCGCAAGCGTGCACGCCGGCTGTTCTCGTCTTCGGAAAAGTTGAACATCGACGTCCTCCCGGACGGACTTCCGATCCTGGATGCCATCGTCTTCTCCTTCTTCCTCTGCGAGCTGATGGCGAGACGTAGGGAAAGTGCGAACAACAGACTTGGCGTGGGCGGGGCCGGTATGCAGGGACCTCCTATCTCTGGGTAGAGCTACTAGGACTTCCGCAAATCCGCAACCTGATACCTTCAAGCGACACTACCAGTATGTGACCCAGCGGAGGGTGTGTGTCGTAGCAAGAATGTCGAGGTTCGCCCTGTAAGACCGCGGTGGCGAGGAAAACACTGTTTTGGACCGCACAGGTGGAGACGCTGTGACATTGGTGTATTCTTCCCATCGAGAGTAAGGTGGCATAGAGGCCAAAGACATGTCGAACGACATTGGAGCAACCAGAATGCGAGAGACTCGGAGGGAGGACCACGAACTTCGCGAGCCACGCTCGACTAGCGCCGGTAGCAGTACGGGCGCTCCGAGTGGAACGGGCTGCCTCGACGTGTTTCTCTCCCTCTTCCTCACATCTGGGCACGATCATCCCACCGGCCCATGGTTATATAGCTCTAACATGTACAAACGTTGTGGGACAAGACATAGGACAAGTCACGCGATCGTGCGTGCCGTTGCGAAGCTGGAAACGTAAGAAATCGCACACATCCGACTCCAGCACGCGATGGAAACATTCACTGCCCTATGGCACCGCCCGGAGCCTCCTCGAGTGTAGGGAGTCCGTATGGAGGCGAATTTATTTCATGAGTGGTGAGATATGCCTTGGATAAGGATGAGTGGAGGTGTTTGGAGATTAAGTGCTATACTTATACCGTAATTCGACGAGTGAGTCCTCAATTCTCTATACCTCAACGGCTCGGGCGTCATGGAACGCTTGCACCATCGACTGGGCACTATTGGCCCCGAGGGTCATCTCGACGTTCCTCAGCGTAATCGCGGCAAACTTCTCCACCGTCACGAACATCTTCTCCTCCCACGCAGCAACCGCCGCCTCCCGCTCCTCCCGCCCCCAACCCTTCGACACCGCCTCCGCGAGAACACGACCGAGGTCCAGCCCGTCCCGCATGGCCAGATTCGCGCCCGCACCCGCGTACGGGCTCATCAGGTGAGCAGCGTCGCCGATGAGCGTGACCCCAGACTTGTGGTCCCAGCGGTGCCCAACGGGGAGGTAGTACAGCGGCCGCAGGTAGATCGCCCGCTCGTCACTCCGCTCGATGAAGTCGTGCACCCACGGCGCCCAGCCCGCGTAGATGCCGTGCAGGACCGTCTTCGCCGCCTTCGGGTCGCGCGGCAGCGTCCAGTCCTCGCCCTCGCGGTGCCACGCGTACGCGCGGATGCGCCCGTCGCCGTTGCGCTGGAAGCCCATCACCTTCGCGTCCTCGATGAGGTAGCAGCTGCCCCGCCCGACGCGCTCGCTGATCTCGCGGTTCTCGGGGAGGGCGGCGACCGCGGGCGGGAAGGAGATCTCTGCGCCGCTGACGCCGTGGTAGAGCGGGACGGCCGAGGAGAGGAGGGGCCGGATGCGGGAACGCGCACCGTCTGCGCCAACGACGACGTCCACGACGGTCACAAGTCCGTGGGCGAACGTAAGCTCGTGCTGGCCGTCCTCGAGCGGGCGGATGGCGGTGAGCGCGTGGCCCCACTTGATCGCGTCCGGGGGCACCGCGTCGAGCAGCATCTCGCGCAGCACCCGACGGTCGATCTCAGGACGCGCGTGCTTCAAGTCTCCGTCGGCCGGCTCGGAGCCGCCCTCGTGGAAGAAGGGGACGCCGTCTTTGCCGCAGAGCCTCGTCTCCTCGGCCTCGCGCCGCGCAAACTTCCGGAAGGCGTCTTCCATGCCGTTCTCGCGCAGCGCGCGCTGGCCGGTCTCCCACTCGAGGTCGAGGATCCCGCCGAGGAAGGCGCGGGAGTCCTTGTCGGCCTCGCGCTCGTACAGCGTCGCGGGGATGCCGCGCTTGGAGAGCGTCAGAAGCAGGGCGAGGCCTCCGGGGCCGCCACCGACGATGGCGATGCGAGGGTGCGTCTGGCTGGGGGAGGCGTTGGACATGGCGTCGAGGAAGTACTTGATGACTGAAGAGACGGCGGAGCCCGTGGCAAGCGGTCGGTGGGTGCTGTGGATTGCACCTAAAGTCTTACTCGGCGCTGACGGAATTATATAGCACTAGCCTCGCCATGATCTGCCGGGGAAAGTCGTCAGCACAAAGGTAGAGTCTCACAGACATCGGCATACCAGGGTAGACCATGACCATTGGGAGAAGTTGGGCCACACCGTCTCGGCTTGCGACTACATAGTGATTGTGCTATGTCCGGTGAGCTGCCATAGCTACGCGTGTTGCAATGCCGCATCGTTTGACGTGTTCGAAGCTGCTATATCCGAAGGTTAGCATTCCACGGTTCAGACGCAGTCGATGGCAGTTAAGCTTGGCTCTTGAGGAAGTTCTGATACAAAGTTGATCCCGTGAGCCGTCAGCGCCACGACAGTATTCTCAGAGCAAACTTGTTTCTGAAGTCTACATGGTCCGACGACATGGAGTGGACAGGCCTCCTCGACATCTCCTCTCATTACCCACGTTGAAGGTATCCGAGAGCTCAATTCGGAGAAAACAGACGCCGCCCACGAAAAACAGATGAGTGCGCCTGCGCATGACACCATGAGTGCCATCTACGTCGCACTCACCAAGCGGTCATGGGCGGCGCGATGAGGTGGGAGATACAGAATGCCCCTGCGAAAGTTCAAGCAACGACTGTTTCGGATGGATGAGTACCAGCGACCTTCCCAAATTGATAATGTGATACGTACAGCTCATCAACTGCCAAACAGTCGCACTGGTTGCGCGGGGGCAACGCAAGCATGCAGGGCTGCTGTCGCCCTCGGAGACCCGAACGGGCTTCCGGTCCTGGATGTCATCGTATCGTCTTGCTTTCTCTGTGAGTCGATGATGATATGCAAGGATATTACTACTAACGGGTTTGGCACGGCGGCGGTATGAAGGGTCTCCCTGTCTCCAGGTTGAACGTCTTCGACAAGTCCCTAAAATTGATACATTCGACTGCGCTGTCGTTTCTGGCACAGCGGGGGAGCACGTTTGTCGTAGCAAGAATGTCGAGTCGGCCCTGGGGGATCACGAGATCGAGGATTGAAAAAGCTCATTTACTATGTCGTAAAACTTGAAGTCGAGACGCACACTGTTGGTTTGTCTAGCGAGAGTTCATGGTATATAGAACGATAAAACTCGGCTAAGATTCAAAAGAACCAGACCCGGGATGACGGGACTCGGAGTGTCACAAGAGACATAGACCAAGGACGTGAAGCAGCGAGAATGCGAGAGTGCAACACGCCGCCGGATAGCGCCGGCGCCAACGGTACACCAGACCAGCGCTCCGAACGGAACGGACCGTTTGGCCGCGTGGTTCCTTGATCATGTACTCTCTCTCCTCCTCGTCCGCCACATCCAGACATCTGCTACTGGTATATGTCTATCTCTGGGGCTCCGAGTGTCAATATTTCTGTGGTCTTTTGGTGAGAGCTACTCGGAGCATCCCTGACTTCCCTATTCACCAGTGCACCACTGCAATACTACTCACTGCATGGCATGTCCTCTCCCAGTATCCCTTGTATCGGTCGCGCCGGACACGCAGCCGCGTTGACCCACTGGGAAAGCCTACTCACCTGCATAAGAACGTTGTGTCTGTAACGACATTCGATAATGACGCACTCGAAACTGGCACCGGCGTGGCCGTAGAAGACATCCTGGAAGGCTCTGATGGCAAGTGCGTATAGCTACATCGCATTAACTAGGAACGCTGGCATGCGGTTTTAAGGTTCACCAGAAGATAGCCCCAGGCCACATTCTCGTAACCAAGTCCGGATCCCTTGCGCTGACGGGCAAGGACGTGCGCCGCTGTAGGCGCCATTCGAGTACTTGAATATGCATCCGTACAATTGGGTACGCCATCAGATCCCCATTGACTCTGTAGCCCAAGGACTCCCCGGGCCGGCACAGTAAATCCTCCCCTTCCCCCGTAGACCTCGCTGTCGAAGTACCCTGAAGGTGATTGTCCCAATTGCCTTGGCCGTAAAGGGCAGAACGCTAATACATATGTTCTGGATGCAAACTAGCATGTCGCGGTTTCCGGACACAGTCACGGGCGAATTCGTCTGGAAGGACAACGTAGAGGACGTTGTCTATGCCATTCTATCTCACACATGGAGGTCGGAAGGCGAACAGTCCTACGCCGACGTCCTGAAGCTCCAGGCTGAAGTAGATGCGGAGAAGAAGTTACACTCACCTACCACTCCGTCCGCTACCACACTTGGCACCCCCCCCCTGTCTCATGCCGCGCTCCCGGGTCCTACTCTCTTGTCTCACCCCAGGCTATCGGCCAAAATTAAGGGCATTTGCAAGGTCGCACGCGCTGCCAGATACCGGCTGGTCCAAAACGACGCCTGCTGCATCGATAAGTCGAGCAGTGCGGAGCTCTCACTCGTCAATCCACGTTGTCGGGCAGGAGTCGTCTCTATTGCAGGGTGGCAGGGCGATCTTCTATAACTACAGGTCCACCTCCCGTGGATCCTTCTCCGGCAACCGCCGCCTTCCGCACATGACGCCACCTTCAAACAAATACCTATGATCGACTTCGACGACCCGCCATGTTCAGAAACATAGCGGATATCAGAGCCTGTTCACGAAGGATCCGGTCCCTGTAATGAAATATACCTGCTATTACTGGTACTCGTGGCATGTGCACACAGCCCTTGAGGCGCGCTGTCAACGTGATGTCAAAATGTGTGCCCCATAAGCAATGGGTCGGTTGCCTTGAACATTCATTACATGCCTGTCTACAAAGTGCGTCCAGATATCCCACAATAGTCCAACCCCAGCACATCGATCACGGAGGAAGAGACTCATTCTAAACAGTGCTGTTATTCTTCGTGGAACCCACCCGCAGCCCTCACAGCCTCTACAAGTCGTTTGTACTCCCTTAGCAGCTCGCCGACTTCCGACACCTTGATATCATCCTCGCTGCAGTTCAAGAATCGACTGTTGGGGGGCGATATCCGAATCGCAATAGGGGACTGCGGCCGCGAAGACACAGGCGACTCGACTTGCTTGGAACTGCCCGCCCCGTGGGGAGGCACCATTAATGACGAGCGGCGAGAGCCCGTCGGCGACATCTGGATGTCTGTGTCAGTATTTGTCTGCAGGGGACGACGAAGTGGCGCACCTTTGGTGGCTCGCCGGGAGCGGACTGAGACAACCGCGATAGCCCAGGGACACTCGCAAGACGGTCTGCGAGCGTTTTTCGCCCACTCGCAGACGCAGCTTTGCGCTTCCGGGCTTGCCGGCTACGCTGGCTCATCATGCTCTCGAAGCTCCGGATGCTCCGCGTATCGTGTCCTTCCTCCTCTTCCTCCTCCTCTTCATCATCCTCGTCGTCCTCCTCATCCTCATCCTCGGATGTCGTCCCGTCTTCCGGGAGCATCGAGCGGCTCGAGCCTGGCCGCGAAGGGACATCCATCATCTGCTGTCCCGCCTCCTCCGTTGGCGCCGACTTCGAGCGCCCCGGCAGAGATGCTGCGATGCTTGCGATCGAGAAGTGCGTGTCGCGCCGCAGAAGACCGAAGCGCGGCTGTGCGATGTTCCATGGGGCTGCGCCCTGGTCGGCGTCGACGGGCGGCGTGGCGACGCCCTCCGGGTTCGTGTCCGACGTCTGCCCAGGGAGGAACGCACGCAAGACACCGAAGGACGTGTCGACGACGCCCGTGAGCACCTTGTTCGCGGAGCCTGCGAGCGCGTCGACTTGCTGCTCTACGCGGCCGCGCAAGCTCGCTTGGGGCATGCGCGGCGAGCCCGACTCCGAGCCCGCGCGGTTGATAGGGATGGGAGAGAGTTCTGCGGTGCTGTCGGTGGCAGTCATCAGTACTAGTGCGCGTGGTGTGGGGGAGAAGGCAAGAGCAAGAGACTCGTGGACTTTGCGAGGTCTGGCCCCTGCTACGCGAGGGTCCACAAATAACAAATCCGAAGATGGAAAAGAAGCAGCACAAGAAGGGCGCAAGCGAATGGCCGCAGCTGAGAACAGGAGCGTCTACGCACCTAATCACCATCTTCTCGCTTTCGCCCAGGCCCAGCGCGGCGAGGTCGACGTTCTCCAGGAACTCGGCAACGGCCATGAGATTTACGAGACAATAGCCCTCCTCGCCTCCGGCGGCCCGCTCGCGCCTGAAGCGTTGGGTGAAAAGGAGGTGCGACACGAGGTGAGGCGGGTTCGCCTTCACCACGGCGAATATCAATAGCGGGAGAATGATATCGCCTGAGACGGGCGTCGGCGTCGTGACAGGGGACAGTGGGCGCGACGGGGCCTCGGGCGGCGGGGAGACGGTCAGAATGGGAGAGGGTGTCCGTATTGAGTCGGAGTTGGCAGAGGCATTGTCGGGCGTGAGCAGTCCTGGGTGATCGCTGGGGGCCAAGGGTTGCAATTCGGCAGCTGGGCTTTCGCTATCGGGGGAGACGATGACTGCAGGCGGAGGAGAGACAGCCCTGTCCGAATCGTCGTCGTCGGACCCCTGGTTGCGATTGAACGAACTCGCACGGGGTGTTTTCTCGTCCGCCATTTCGTCCTCCGCCCTCAGGCGCAAAGGCGGCAGCTTCGAAAGGCCATCTACGAACGCGTTAGACCGTCTAGGGAGGGAAAAACTACACGCGTAGGCTTACCTACGAGGATCTTATGCACCGATACCAGCACTCCAGCTTTGTCGGCTGGAGCGCGGCATACGGAGTCAAGTTGCATAAGGGCTGTCGTAGAGGTCTTTTGTCAGGATGTGAGATGTTTGGCAACTCTGCCAAAAGACCTACTCTGCCCACATGCCTTGACCAATGCCTCAACCTCTCTCGTAGCGCGGCCTACCTCGACGCCCAAATGACCAAGTCCAAGGTCCAGCAAGTTGACTGCTGCAATGCGACTAGACAGCGCCTCGTCGTGAGACACATCGTCTGAACCAGGCGGTAGGAAAAGTCTAAAGTGATGGCAGTTAGCACCATAGAGCACGAAAACCTGTCAAAGGCACCAACCTGTCGTAGAAGAGCGAGCAAATCACCCTCTCCACGGCGTCCATGACGCGCGTCACATGCAGCGACTTCGGACTGTCTCGCTCCTCGTCCGTGTTGCCCTCTTTCTCCTGCTGCTCGCTCGCATCCCGCTCGGTCTCCTTCTCCTCCTTGTCTCTCTCGCTCTCACCCTCGCTTCCGCTGCCAGCTTTCGGGTGCCTACGCCACCGCCTGCCTTTCTGGCGCTCTCGAGCAACGTCCTCTGCCCACCGCTTGCCGACCTCATCCTCGAGCTCGTACCAGAACTCCTGCATCTTGCGCGCGACCTCCTCAGTTCCGCCCTCTACGACGGCGGCTGTCAGGTCGCCCGCGATCTCCCATGTCGGTGTGTCTGAGGCCTTCCGTCCTGGACTTCCAGTGGGACCGAGTCCGCTGACACGCCTCGCGCCCGTTACTGGCGCAGGCTTGCCCGGGACCACCGGCGCTAGGAAGTGGGACCATGCGATGACCTTCTCCCTGGCCCACAGCGGCACCCCCTCGCTCGTCAAGACGTCCTCGAGCTCTCCTTTCAGGGCATTCGCAATCCCAGCTAGCACCTGCGCGCGCTGTATGCGTGCGCTTATGACATATGCCGGAACGTTGTGTGGCGTGCTATGCTCAGTGCTAGGAACAGGAGGAGTACCGGCGGGCGAGGTCGACAAACCAGGTGACGTCGCCGGGCTCTCGGTGGGAAGCGCCAAAGGCCCCGTCGTCGGACTTGCGGGAGGAGTCGGCGTGCTCACATTAGCACGGCCGAAAAGTGACGCGAAGGGGTTGGAGAGTCGCGCTGCAGTACTTGTGCTGCCAGCGGGTTGGGTGGAGATGCCGGGTCGCACCGGAGGGCGTGGAGGAAGCGGGGGACCCTTAGAATGCGGTGCAGGCCGGGGTGGGAGCGGGAGGTTAGCGACGTGCGCGTGTACTGCGAAAGAAGGGTATGGATGTGCAGTTCTGGCGGGATGGATGGTGTGATGGCCTTGTACGGGAGATGACGACGGCGAAGACGACAGGGGTCGCGGGAGCGGAGCGAGGGCTGCGTACGCCGACGCTCGTGTAGATGGACTCAGCAATGCTTGAAATGGCTTTGAGGCCGGTGATAAGGTCGACCGGAATGTCAGTGCATTCCTACTCGTATCACAGGACGCAAATAAGGCAATTCCACATTCAAATAAGAACCCGGCTCCGCGCAGAAAGAACATCAAGCACATACTCTGTGATTGAGCCGCGAAGCCCTGATAGAGTTGTGACACTCGTGGTCCGGGATGCCGCGCTTGCATCGCAGAACGCGACGTGGTCCTTGATGAAATCTGGCGTGATGGACACATTCGCCGGATGCTGGTCGCGGGGCAGCAAGAGTGTGGCCTGCGGCACAATTCGGACGCTACATCAGCCTGCCAAATAACCCTGACGACCCATTGCGAAACTGACCTTGCCGTCTACGACAGCGTTCCACACCTCGTTCCATTCGGGCAAACGCTCCGCCTCCAGCGCGAACTTCTCCAGTATGAGCCAGCCTGTACTTGCCGCATCAAGCCCATCCTTCTGCGCCGCGGCTTTAAGGTTCATCAGCTGTAACCTGTTCGCTGCGTCACGATCTGGAGGTGCCGCCGGATGCATAGACGCGCCCGTGGTGGTGGTAGTGGTTGCCGGGGATGGTGCTCCCCGTTGTCTAGGTGTGTATGGCACATACCGCGGCCCCGGTGCCACGGCACCAGCAAGCGGCGTATCAACCGTAGTCGAAACGGCTGCAGTAGAGGGCGATGTGGAGGGCGAGGGTGAAATTGCCGGGGCGGGGGAGAGGAGAGGATGGGCAGTCAAGCTTTCGTGAGAGGTATCGCGCTGGATGGCAAGGCCGGAGCGACCGATGGAGCCCGCAGGGAAGAGAGGGTCGCGTCTAGACATGACCTATAATGCGGTGAAGAGTCGATATTGCTAGATTCTGGGTGCCAGTCTACACGGCTTCTGTGGTCGGGCTACGGGTATTAGGTACTGTCAATCGTGTCTGTGCGGCCCTGCATTAGCGGCTCCAATGGATGTGAAACAGAGAAGTGAGCCACACAGAAATCCACGAACCCTAGTATTGCGAACTCGTCTTCCATAGGCTACAAGACAGCAACTAGAAGATGTCTAAATGCAAATATAGCAAGTCAGCACTGTGGCACATTCACAAACCGTCGATATCCAGTTATTTCCGAGCGGAGACTGCTAGGGGTTACATGGAAGAGGCAGAAGGGCATGTCAACGTTCATTGGGAACCATAGCATAGAGGACTGCCTCCACTTCCAACAGAACGTGCGCACGATGCTACGCTCTTCGGACGCGCATGTGCGGTGCAGCACTGCATGCCCGCGGAGTAGCAGACATGGAAAGTCGACCACTCCTCGAGTCCCACTACGCACCGCGCAATGCACAGTCACATGGGGGACTTCCAGAATACGTGGCTATAGCACTGGTACGAGCGCGATCCTCTGCGGAACGTAGAAGACACGGCAACACTCACCAAATGTCCCAAAGACTGCCTGATTACGCTCCCTGCGCGACCAGAAGCTGATGGCTTCACTTCAAACGTCGGAGTATCGTAGTCTGACCCCAGTAGCGTAATAATGAAGTACTAGTCCAGAGTGAAGCGCCCCAGGCTCAGGCTGCAAGACCAAGAACGAGATGGCCGGCTGATGTCGGAGTGAGCTTGTGAAGACGGTCCGCGCGGCACCCCTTGATAGATGCGACAGTTCAAAGACTTGACGAATGCAGAGAGAAAGGCGACAAGAGTGCTCAGTGGATAAGAGCGCGAAGCAGAGGACGGTGCAGCATAACAAGCGTCGCAACGCCGCGGCTGCATGCGTCGAGCTAATCGGAAGACGCCCAAAGCAGACATACTTAAGCGCGCGTCGGGGGGCGCGAGAAAGTTGATGGCGCATCAATCCTTCCCAAAAGGGAAGGCGACTCGCTTGAAGTTCGACTCACTCACCTCGAACTCATCTCTCTCTCTCTCTCTCTTGGCTGCCTGCAGCCGTCTAGTGGATCGACACGCGAAAACATATCTCTTTCATTCACCCAGTGCCTGCACGATCATACGATGCTCACCCCTCCGACCGGTCTCCGGACCCTCGGACGACCATCGGGACGAAAGCTCGCCTCATGTCGCACTGACGCTTACCCGTCCGCGCCAGAAAACGTCGTAGGACGCGTCGCCTCTCAAGTAGTCTCCAGAAGCACTCCCGCCAACCGCCCGAGCCCGCACTGTCGTTCGCAGAATAACCACGCCCAGCGACGAGCGCGCCGTTCCATTCGGCCTCCCCGTGTCGAGCGAACTTTCCATCCCGGTCGGTTTCAATGTGGCGGCAATTCCAAGCCTATGCCGTACCACTTATGTCAGGACGGGCCGAAGCGGAGCACCCAAACGCAGGACGCGCACACTCCGCTCAATGCGCGTCCTACGCGACGGGCGTGTCGTGAAGACCGCCTCGCGAGTCGTACGCGAGCAGCGAGGCCCGGGGCCGCGACGTCCGGACCCCGCAACGCGCGTCGGGAGCGGCGGGATCCTATTCGGGCACAAGGGTCGCGCGCACGCCTCGCAAGCGAGCCAATTCGAGCCCGCCGCGCCGCGCCGCATCCGGACGTCGCGCACCTGCAACCCTGCGCTACATTCACGCGTCGGCGTTCCGTGCCCCTGCGTTCGCTGTCCGTCCAATCCGCGCGACTGCGCAGGGTTGCGCTCGGGATCGTCTCAGCAATATTCGGATTTTTAGGCTGCAGCTCGAACAGGGTCGCGTGTGTTGTGCGCGCGCGTCCGTGTATCCGCGGACACACCGGAGTGGGCTAAGCTTCTAGTGCACGGCGGCGCCGCCCGACACCGGAGTTGTTGGGTACGTGGCGCGCTGACGACGCGCACGGACAAGGGCGGCATTCCCCCCGCCGCGCCGCCGCCCAGTTGCAGCCCGCCGACGCCGCGCCGTAGCAACTACGGTGCATTTGCAATCCAGGTGGAGTTGATGCGCTCGCGGTCGGGGATACCGGCGGCGAGGGGGTGGGTGTGCAATGTCTGAGGCGGTCTGTAGTCAATGATGCAGCGCGACGACATCAGCATGAGCGCGGTAATGTGTCCGCACGGGGAATAGCGCGGGACGTGTTGCAGCGCGTCGGGGAATGTGTATGTGCATTACGGCCGGTGGGATCACGGACCGGGTTCTTACATGTCGCATATGTATCGTTCTGTGCTACGTACTTACGGCAGGACTCACCGACGAGATCAGGATCTGCGAGCCACGCAAGCCCTCTTCCTCGGTGCGCCCAGATGACAAACGACACAGAGATTGGAAGACATCCCCGAGGCTGCTATCGCGCACCGCGGAGTAGAGAAGGTGTAAGTAAGCAGTCGCTTGGTCACCAAGGACGACGCGCCGCCGCAGGATTAGTAGCGTCGCACGAAGCCTATTCAGTCGCAGCGCTGCGCATCATCAGCATTAATACTGCACAACTGGCAGGGAAGCGGCACACGCCGCACGCGTCGTCATATCACCTGCCACGACTCGACTCGCGCCGTGCGCCGTGGCCGTCTGGCAGGCGTGTACGCACGCCATGCGGCCACGCCCGGTGCCGGCGCACGACGTGTGCAGCCTCGCGCTGCCAGGGGGAGACGAGGACGCTGTACGCGCCGCGTGAACTGCGGTGGGGCGACGGCGAGGACTCCAGGGTTCCATATCTTGTCTCATCCGCGTGGTACTGACCGGTGGTATGCGGGAACGCCGTGGCGTATTCGCAATAGGCTCAGGGAGCGGTTCCCGGGCTCGGAGGGTGGTAGACGCGGTGCGGTGCCAATGGTTAGGGGATAGCTCGAACGGTGAGACGTGGGCCCGGTCAGCGACTTGGGACGGAGGAGGCGGGGAGAAGTGCCGAAGTCACGTCGACTCAGAGCGGTGCCTAATCCGGATAGACCCATATCGCGGGAGCAGAGGACGAGCATCGAAGAGGACAGTGTGGGAGGCTGTATCATGATGCTGATGGCTTCGTGCTCGAGATAGAGCTTCGTGAATGGATTGCTCATCAAGTTATCTGGTGCACGACCTTCTTCTGCAGGACCACAGCTGTGTTAGCAATGCCAGGAATGCAGAGGGGTGGATAGGAGCATACCTGTGAGGTACCGATAAGCCGCTGAGGTGCACATGGTGTGCCGGAGGAGGAGTTGGTGCGGTGCTGGGATAATGGGCGCTCGGGGTCAGGGACGATTGCCCAATTGCGGGGAAGGCGCGCGCTGGGGAAGCGTGCGAGTCGAATGCCGGTGGCCCCGTGTGCGGACGCGGCAGAGCGCGAAGTGACTGCCGACCTCAGCTGGGAGGCGCCCTGGCGACATGGTGGGATTCTTCGATGCCTTGTGCACTTGCTTGTCGTCGGGAGAAACCCGCCGGTGTTCTGGAAAGCCACAGCGGTGAATGCAGTCAATTTAGGCAAGCGTGCCGGGCGCAGCAGGTTGTAGTCCGGCGTGGGGTCCCCGTGAAGTTCCCCCACCTCCGCAGACGGCTGGAACGACGCCGGAGAGCAGCGGGGGAGTCGGGCGCGGGCTGGGCGGTGAAACGGGTGAGACGAGGGAGAGCCATGTGGGAGGGCGCTGAGGCCGGTGCGGTGGAGGATTAGGTAAGGCGAAGAGCGAAGCGTTGTGGCGGCGGCAACCCCGGCGGCAGCGTCGAAGCCGATTACTATATGAGTCCGCCCGCATAGAGCGCTAGAAGGGCCTTAGTCCCCGGTCTTGACGGACTCCGTTCGCTCCTTAGTCTCGATTCCATCGCACCCGGCCTCCTTATATCATAGCCGCACCCTACATATATCCTATCCCACCCTCCCTCCTCCCCACCACTCTGCTCATCCCATCCTCGACGCTAGTCGCCATGCAGGTCCACATCCACCCCAGTAGCTTCGTCGTCGGACAGCCCATCACGCCTGTCTCATGGCCCCGCAAGCTGCCCAGGCCCTCCCACATCAGTGTTAACGTGAGCTCGCCTCGCATCCGAGTCTGTTGTTGCGTCCTCTAACCAGTCCACAGACTTCTCGCCGGCCTGCTTCTGCAGACTCGACATGCACCGTATCCTCTACCTCCTCATTACCCCCCTCACCATCTCCCATCTCGCCATCCTCATCCACAAGCTCCCTCCCATCCCCGCATTCCTCGCGCTCCGAGTCTGAAGTACACCGCGCTGTGTCGCGGTTACTCAGTCTCACGAAGCAGCTCCAGGAGGTGATCACGCTATGGGCAAACGGGTCGGCGGATGAGGCGAAAGTGAGCGACGCCTTCGTCCTCGTCGGGAGCCAGTTCGACTCCACGGTACATGCATTCTGGCATGTAGGCATTGACATGAGGTGAGTTCTCGTCTCCTCCTGCAAACTTCACTTCTTTTGCACGCATTCTCTGTTACTTTCCTTTTCGGGATACATACCATTATCGCCACCCCTCCGCCGCAACACATTCTCCGCGTCTTGTTCTTCCTCTTCCTCTGTCTTGTGCTGTCGCGCACTGTTGTCTGCGCGCTGCCGCCGCCCCGCGGCGCCCGGCACGCCCTGCGGCACAGCAGCTCACGTCACTCGCCGTCGCCCTTGGCTCGGCGTTCCCTCCGGAGTGGTCGGACTGCGGACGTGGGCCGGGTAGTTTCTCTTCGCTTCATCGTACCCGACCCTTCCGGCTGCCCTGAGTCAACCTTGTTTGCTCCCGAGTCTTATCCGGCGTGCGCTGCGCCGAAGGGCACGCGTTCCTCGTGTCTATTCTCGGCTTCCCCACTTCCTATTGTTGGTTCTTTTGCCTTATTCGCCCTTCTTACCCTTACTACCTTCCTGTTTAATTTCGTTTTTGAATACACCATTTTCTCGATTTTCATCGCAAGGACATGCCGCTCATTGCTATTCGACGCTGCAGCGACCTCTACGACGTGCCTACATCTCTTCGGACGGTCCTCGAGGGACTGCTCGCAGAAGACCCCTCTCCCGCGGTCCTTGCGCGGTATTCGCCGAGGATACGCAAAATCATCGTGGAGCTCCTCCAGGGTCTCCAGCGGAAGCAGACGCCCTACTGGTCTGCTATCGGCCGGAACAAGGACAACGGCTACCTGTCTCCCGTACCTGCGACGAGTATGCGCGACAGGTGAACTCGCCAAGTCACCTCTCCATCTCTTGCAACCCGAGGCTTTCCTCGCTGCAGTACATATTCAACGGCCCTCGCGCCCTAGCCGCGCCGGCCTCCCACCGCTCTACGGGCGATTGCGTCCCGCTGTATCATCCGAACGACCCGCCTCCGCCGCCGCGGGCACACCCAATGTATCCATAGATCCATCGCAATTCTCTGCCATCTGGGACCACGGGTTCCGGACGTGGACGCGCTCTCCCGAGCTCCCCCTTGGTTCTTCCGGGAGTCTCTTCGGTCTCGCCTGCCCCGCGTGGCGACGCTTCCGCATTCCACAGTCCGCCAACCCCGCCTCTGCAACGTGCGCCATTACCCTACCGTTCCTCGCAGTAATCCGGTTTCCACGTCGATCCCCGCTTCTTTTTTTCGCATCACGCGCGCCGCCCGCTCGCGCCCGCCCTTCGCATCCTCGTACGTACGACTTAGCAACCGCTGACATTACACGTCGCGCCCATGTTTCCCTTCACGCACATCCCGCTTCCCCCAATTGTTTCGTGCACAATTAGTCCACTCCCCCGGCTCTCGGTCCCGGCTTACTTCACCCATTCCACATGTGTATCCGTACGTTACGCACTCGATCGCCTCTGCCTGCCCGCCTGCCCTTGCTCTCGCCCGCATCGTGTCGACTCGATTCTAATCCGCTTACAAATACGCACCCTCCTTGCTGTCCAGCTTATTACATCGCAACTTGAACGTGTACTCCACAGTCGTCTTACGCTCTTCCCCATCTGCTTCGTGTCTCAATTGCAGACGTTCCCGGTATCTGGTTTTTAAGGGCGTGCATATTTAGTGTACCTCATGGACTTGCCTGGGACGCGCTTAGTGTGGTCGTGCAAATTGAATGCAATATCTGCGCTTCGAACTTCGCAACTTTCTGTGTGGACGTTCCTCGAGGACCGCATGGCGCGCGCAGCCCACATAATTTAACGTAGCAGTGCACGTCGTGGTAAGTACACCGATACAAGTGGCCTGCATACTATGTAACGTCTAGCCCACATTCCATATTGACGCGTATAAGGTTCAGTCGACGTCGCGCGGCGCTCCGCGGTGCCAGTGCACGCGGCGCGTTCACCTCCTAGAACGCATGAAGCCGTATGCACACGGGCGGAGGAAGCTTCCGCGCGGAAACGCGCGCCGCGCAGGCCTACCGCCCGCGAAGGCGGCGTATTCACCGTTCAGCCACCTGAGGCTCAGAGGGGTCGCTTCTCCGGATACGCCACGCCGCCGGAGGAGCGTGTCGTGCCCCCGAGTACACCCTGCCACCCACACCCACCCCAGTGCATAGAAGGCTCCCAGTCGAATTTGCGCCGTGGAAGCAGCCGCAGCCCGGGAGCCCCTGTCAGTGTCATTGCAGAGGATATCAGTGTTGCGCACACATATACGCATGTGATCATCTGCCACTGCCACGCGGGGCTCGCGGGATGTCGCTGTCAGGTACGTGACTCCACGGGGATACAGGTTCGACGGTGCGGCGTGCTCAGAATACAAGGGAGTCATCATGATCGCGAACAGACGTCGGCGCAGTGAGGTCGATTGCTGTGCTCGCGACTCAACTCAGACATCCCGCGCGGGAGAGAAGCTTCGTGCCCTGTCGTGGCGGTATCCTGGCCATGGAGCGCACGTCGCCGAGGAATGCGGACGTCGACGTGTCTGGTGGGGACGCGATCGCCTGGCGGTGGCCAGATACGCACCGCGTGGTGCGCGCGCAGTCGCGGTGACAACACGGTGTTGTTGTACTCGTGGAGGTACGACGGCGGCGCCGTGTCCAGATAGCACTGAGCGTGCAGGCTGGAGCGCACCCAGTGACACCACCTAGTACTCTAGCTCGCGGCGTTACGTATGGCGCTGATATTCAGGGACGGCCTGCGCCGCACAGGTATCCGGATTGGAAGGAAGTGTGTTTCCGACGGGGAGCGAGGTCGGGCGTATGCAGGGCGGAGTCTTCGTGCATCTGGCCGGAGAGCTTGAAGGAACATGTCTCCGGGGCGATCTGGAGCGCGCGAGAGGGCGGGACGGGATGGGAAGGCGAGTCCGTCATCGACTGCTAGACGTCTCGATGAGCGCGACCGAGCGAGGCCCGCGGACGCGTGACGCGAATGTTCCGTCTACATAGACCATGTTGACTTGCAAAGACGTCTGATATTTGCTACTCGTGCAGTGTGCATAGTTTGTGTTTGCACTGGAAAAAATAGAGAGACGTACGGTCGTCACTAGTTGTCAACACGAGGAATGGCGTGTCATAATCCACCACGGACCCGAACATCCCGCACCCCGCGCGCTCAGCCTGACCTCCGGCGCGCGGAGGCGAGCAGCACGAACGATCTAGCAGAACGCGTCAACGCGCCGAGCGCGGGCACGTCTCCGACGCGGGGCGCCCGGGGCGCGCATGCGTGCTCCCGAGTATCCCTGCGCCCGGAGTGGACCTACAACCATCCACGTCAGCGCGCGGGGCGCCCACCGGAGGAGAGAGTCGTCACCGTGCGGGATCCGCATCCGCAAGAGATTGCTTGCTTGGTTTGGAAGCATGCCGCCACGGTGACGCGCCCGAGCGCGCGCACTTACTTGGAATGCAAGGACGCGCTTGCTGCGCCGGACGCCACGGTAGCGTGGCCTGTTTTGGGGCGAAGCGTTCTGGAGGTAAGGCTGCTGTTGCGCTATGTGCGCGGCGATGCACACAAAAGTAAGCTCTTCCTGACGAGCGCAGCCGCAGCGCACGGCTTGAGCTGCCCTTCACGAGAGCTCTGCGTTGCCGCGGTTCACAAAGTTCGCAGAAGGACGCACCGCAGCAGCCACCGGCGATTATAATTTAGGCCTTGGAGAAAGTGCGCATGCTGCGCAAAGCCGGTATCCTTGGACATTCGTAAGTCAGTAGAGTCATACCACTTCGGTGCTACGCCGGCTCGGATCGAAGGTACCAAAATGAACCTTGCTGGTATAGAACGCGAGAGTCCCAATATAGGTATGTTGCGAGCTCCGCGTACTAGGAAGGGCGTGGCCCAGCCACCGTATATTTTCAGCATAGATGACATAGGATTAGTGAGCCGCGCAGGTGTCTTTTCCGCACATCCACTGAAAAGGTGAACATAGGCCTGTGGCTCTACGAGTGCCCTCCCGGAAACTGACCCAAGGTTGTTCCAGCCGTCGCCCGTCATGGGTAAACTTCCGCTCGGAGTGTTCCACTATTCAGTTATTCATAACGGAGTTCACGACATCACTCGTCACCTCCTGTATGAAAGCCTACCCCTCCCTTCTCTCCCCCGCACTCTGGTATAGGGGTGTTGGGTGGGAGAAGGGGCGCGACAGCGAAGATGGTCAACCGAGGCGACACCTCAACACCACGAAGCATCTTAGGTTCCGCTTTGCAGCCCGCCCTGGCCAGCCTGCGGGCGCACCTACTCACGCGCGCTTCTTAAGGTTCCTCGCCCGGGAACACCTGCCGCCCCGTGCTCCCGTGCTTCGGGACGAGAGGTGCTTCCGAGGTTCGAGAGCCACAGCTGAGCGAGCAGATGTTCGCTGAGTGCTGCGTCAAGCCCTCGACATCATGTCGCTATGATACTGCTCTATGTTCGCCGCTGCAGCTCCCCGACTTCCGTGCGCACTTCTACCTGAGTTGAAACACGGAAGTATTGGGCGTGATACACCGAGCGTCTAGTGTTGGCAAACACGAGCCTCTAGGCCGCTCCTGCTGCGGCGCGCGCTGAGGAGTTTGCTCGGAGATGTCACCCAAAGGATCAGGATAATCTGCCGCTGGTATTACGATGCTGACAGTCTGAAACGGCGACGTACTAAGCTGGCAACAGTGCGATGGTGCGATGTTCCGCACTCCCGTATTGCACGACTACTAAGAGAGTACGCGCCCAAAGGGGTGTGCAAAGCTGTCCGAGGAAGAACGGGGCCTTCGGGGCAAAGTGTCGCGGGAATGAGGCAGTACCGATCGTGCCCCAAGGGTTCCGGCGATGCAGAGGTGCCCCCGCTGGGCGAGCGCGAACAGTAGCTGGAAGACCGGACAGGATGGCGCCTGCACGAGAGTTAATGTTCATACCGGTTGGACGCGCCGATATGCCTCCGGCAAACGATTACCTCCGAAGGATATGGTGCTGGCAGAGCGGTTTGAGGAGCAAGCTCACCACACGCACGCGCTCGGCGGCAGCCGCGAGCCACTACGGAGGATCGGGTTGAAGAGGTAGCGGATGTATTGCGGCCGGGCACAAGACCGTGATTGAAGTCCGTGTAATTCACCGATGTACATCGAAGTGAAGGTCGCTAGCCGATTACATGCGCTGTCCACCAGGCGTAAAGTGAGGCTAAAAGTCGGGAAGGAACGTCAAGTACGCACCCTAGCATGGCTTTCCGCTCTCTTTCATGTCTCGTCGCGCCGTGATTCCGAGCTAGGCGTAAGCAGGACCTGTTGGCGCACAACAGCCTCGATGATGAAGGCCCAGGCATGCTACGCTCTGCCACCATGGAGGATACGTACTGGGGATATTGCGGATCGCTGTTCCCAGGGATGTCTACACATTCGCGGGTAAGGTCGCCGGGCGGAACATGGCATTGTTGGTGCAGTGAGCAATATTAAGTGTAATGTGCAGTCACAGGGCCGACGCCGAGCGCAGGAACGACAGGTCAGACGGCGAAGGGCGCGTGAACGAGGACCAGGATCATTTCGCGATGGTGAGTACGTCAAGACCGCTCGTTTGAGGCTCGTGAGAGGTCAGCAGAGCACGGAGGTGGGGTAGGCGGGTTTGAGAGCACCCAGAGAAGAGCGAGCCGGCGAAGGAAGCAGAGCGGACCACTGGATGGATGCCGCGGCGCCGACGAGCTCGACGATGACGAGGGCGGGAATAAAGGGGTAGGGGTTCGGCGACGAGGACGGAAATGACGACGAGGGCGGGCGGTGGGCTCGTGATGAGCGCGGGGCGGGGGCGGGGAACGAGCCAATCGGAGGGCACGGCACGAAGGAAGGAGGAGCGGGCGGAGAGCCGCTCCGGGAATACACGGGGCACGTGGCGGGAAAGGGCATTTTCCAGGCGCAGAGAGAGGCCCGTGGCAAAGCGCACTGGATCGCCCGAGTCACCGTCCAATCCACGACGAGACACAACCAGGTCCACCGATGCTGCCCAACGTCTCATAACAAGCCCCTGCCACCGAGCCTCGCCCACCCCTCCCCTCTCTTCCCGTCCTTTCTGCTCCACTGCCGCCTCTGACGACCGCACGACTCCGCCTAGAAGACTTACGACACCCCTAGTCATTCAGAACACGCCGCGGATTGAGCATCATGCGCACACGACCAGGCCTCAAGAGCTGTCTCAAGATCACACCCCCGATCACCCCCGACCTCAGCGCGGCCTCCAGCCCTTGTGGGTCGGGGCGCACGTCGCCCGCACCGCACAGCGATGGCGGCTCATCCGTCGGGAGCGGCGGGCGCAAGACCGTCTCGTTCTGCTCCCAGGAAGAGCTCGAGGAGATTTACTTTGCGGACGAGTGGGACCGGAGCCCCGCCGCCGTCACCCCGAAGTTATCCTACCAGTACGTGCCTGTCTCCCTGTTCCTATTTTTCCTGCAGCGGTGCTCCCCTCCTCTCCCTGCTTTGTTGCCTAGTCGCATGGTGCGGTGCCTGTTTGTGGTGAAAGAGCCGGCGTGCGAGGAGTTTGCACAGTGCCCTGGCGCCTTCGAAATGTTCTGTTCTGGTGCTCGCCGGATTTGGGGCTTTGGAGGCGATTCTGGTCCGCGTCATGCGTATGGCTTTGGTCCTGAGGACCCCCCTCCATGAGCTGTGTAAGGCCATCAGAATATGGGGATTTTGCTCGCGTTCGCACCTATTTTTCGATTCTACAGCGACGTCATCGTGACGGAGGCGAGCTTTCGCACTGTGTTACCGGCGGTTTGCTACGATCATGTTCCTGCGCCGGCTCCCGCTCAGCAGACCACTTTACGCTTATATGCTCCGAGTTCCAATCCCGCTGTATATTCTTGCTGACCGCCGCCGCAGAGATATCCTCGAGCTCAAGCAGCTTCGCATCTCTCTCCCGTACACCCCTCCTCCGCCGACTTCCCGTCAACCCTTCACTACCTCCTCGCCCTCGGCCGCCGCGAACGCTTCAAATAAGCCCCCATTCCCCGTCTCGAGGTTCGCCACAGGCCCCTCGTTCACGCCTTCCAAGTGGAGGAATCGCTCACAACCTCAGCACGCGGACCCCGAGATCCTACCTTACCTTGACGCGGTTCCCATCCGTTTGCTGCCCCTCCTACCTCAGTCTTCTCCGCCACCTTCTCCGCCATCGCACGGCTCTTCCTTACCGGAACCACATCCGCAGACCCCGACCCCCACTGCGTCACCTGAGAGGAGACCTATCCAGCCGCCACCAAGAGAACCGCCGGAAATAAAGATAGAGCCTGCCGTCACTTCGCCCACCTCTCCTCCCTCCCCAGTAAACGCGAGAATGGCGAATTTCGCCTTCATGCCTCTGCTCCCAGTCCAGGACCCGGTTCCGGCTCCGCCACCACCCGTGTTGCCTCCGAGCGGGCCTGTTCGTCCGAAGCGGACATTTAACATGACATTCCTCCCCGTTAACGCCGTCTCCGAAAGCGAACCTTTGATGCTGTCAGACGCAGGGTCGGTGGGAACAGACGCCCCGTTACCATCGTCATCGTCGTTCGCCAGTGGGAATGATCCGCGGTCAAATGACGCTGGCCAGCAGGCATCTTCAGCACCAAATACCTCTTCCTCTCCTCCCCACGCACCTAGTCAGCTTCCGCCGTCGTCCAATATGTCCCCGACAATATTCGCTCTGTCGCTCTCGTCATCTACGTCGCAGGGTTCCGCCTTGGAGTCAGACGGAGAGACCGACACTACCGACACCTACGCTTCCGACACGGATGCAGAGAGTGACGCTCCGAGCACGAGCACTCTGGGCAGTTCTCTGCACTCTCCGCCATTGGACGACGACATCGACGCTCAGGCGCGGCTTGAGGAGATCAAGCTCGGGACATCCGACTTCGAGTTCGAGCAGGCGGGATACGCCCCGCGCATACACACGCAGGATCCGGGTTCGTATTTTCCGCCAGTCGTTCTCGCAGACGTAGTCCCTCTGCCCATCCCGATCCCCGCGCACACCCAGCCCGCCGACGACTCGCCCTCCAGCGGCGCCGGGCAAACGCCTCCGCTCTCAGTGCTTTACCCATCCCCTACCTCGCAGCAGAGAGCACTGCCGTCGCGTGATGTACTCTCTGTCATCACCGACGAATCTTCTGACAACGTCGTGCCGTCATCACATCCGGAGCCTCCATCTACGGAACGCGCCGAGGTTGACGTCCCGTCAATACCCACCCTTTCATCCGTCCCGCTCTCCATTATGACAGGGCGGGGTCAGGATTCTATGCCAAATACGCCCCTCGCCATGAGCCTCGCGCTCAGGAAGAAGATCATGCTCGAGGCGCTGCCCAGCCCGGCGCTCGCCCCGCCGTCTCCCTTCGAACTAGACCCTTTGGACACCCTCGGTGCTGGTTCGGCCTCCGCGAATCGCGCACCTTCGAAAGGGCGGATACTCCTGGAGACGTCTCAGACCGAGCTCGACCTTCTCTCGGGTGCGACCAATGCCCTGGAGGCGCTCGCTGCGTCGAACCTGACTGAGGAGTCTACCAGGACGCCTCTTCCGGGCACGGCGGAGACCCCGAAGGACTCGCCGATGCTCACCCTGGAGAGCATGCGAGCGTCGTGGGACGCGAACGCGCGGGTCGGACTCGGTGTCGAGGCGGGCGTCGCTGGCGCGAGCAGCGCGCTGGGACCGAGCCTCAGCCGGAGACGCATGTCATAAGGATTTCGACGGCGTGTAGGCGGCCTCCGGAGACGATGACGATGGTTTTATGGTCAGTATGGACAGGCGCATGAGCACTTCTTGGTGTGTTTCTGGCCTGGCCCTTGGCTGCACCGTTCTCCTTACCATCGCTTTATTCTCCCCTTTCTTCTTCTATATTGTTCGCCTGCATCATTTATCGGGACATTCTCCTTTTTGCAAGCTCGCGCATTACATCCACCCCATCCTCGTCTCCGCCACCGCCACATACACCTGCACTATCCGATCCCGAGCTCGTCCCCTACCATCTTCCGCACCCTCTATCTTATCGTCCATACATTATACACCTTCAATCTTGTACGACGCCTCGCGTCTTATGCATAGGATTCCGGCTCGTCCCATCCCACGCCCCCGCTTGCCCCGCCACACTGCAACGCCCCGCATGTTGTCATCTACATATCTCCCGCATACAATATCTCGCCCACACTTCGTAGTTCCCTCACGCATGCCTCGCGCGGGGCTGGTCGGCGGGCCGTTCGGACATCTGCATGCATCTTCGCTCGTAGCCATAGACGGATCGCTCTCGCTCTCTTGTGCGCTGTACATACTTGTGAATATAGACGTCCTGCACTTCCCGTCCGCACCGCCCGGCCGCCCGCAGATCCTCACCGCCTCGACCCTTCGCTGTGCACAATCTGCATGTCCTCCGCGTGTCCTCCGACGTGCACACCGCCCCGCTCGTGCCTCTCCCCATTCCGGCTTGGGGCCCAGCGGAGGACCCGTCTCGCCCGCGCACGTGCGGCCCCCGGGAGGCACGGCGCCCCGCGTTTCCTTTCGCGCGCGCGACGATCCGTCCACCACATGGCGGGCAGCTGGTGCGCGCGGCCTGCCCGCCCGGACACGCGCCGCGCAGGAGGCAGCCCGGGCGAGTGGGCGGCCCATACATGGAAGGAGGCGGCAGGGCACGCGGCGCCCATCGATGGGCCGCGTTCGCAGGCGCGGGCGCAGATGACGGCCTGGGGGCCTGGTTTCTCAGGCGAGCACGGATTCGGCGCGTGCTGGAGTCATAGCGGGAGCGCCCGGTGGCGAGTGCGCGCGAGGGGGTGAGCGAGGTCTCTTGCGGTTCGTAAAGGGAGTATAAGGCGTCGCGCCGTCGAGAGGGGCGTTATACTGCCAACAAGGGAATTGTCAGAGGTGTTGAGCGGCGTACGACCGCGAAATGCCACTCACCGCTGGCGTTGTACCGCTGGGCGCCCGGGCTGAAAAGGGAGGAGCTAGGCTTGATTTGGACGGATTTGGGACTGACCCGGTATGGCAGGGCAGCATGTTCGCGCCTGCCCGATCCGTTGAGAAGCAGCGGCGGAGTTCGAGTGGTCCTTGTCCGCCACTGCGTGCAGCGTATAAAAGGCTGCAGAACGCGACATACCCTCTCTCCTCAGCTCCCTCATCGCCTCTCGTCTAACCTCATCTCTCCCAGCAGATTCGTCTGTCCCCTCGGGGATGCCTTCGCATGAGACGCAACGTGGTACGTGAGCTCGCCACAACTGATGTGTGTGCGGTCGAGTGTTGACGCCACATCTGCTCTCGCCACAGGGCACTCCGACATCGTATGCCTGAAGACGCGGTTGGGAGCGGCCTGATAGTGCGTCGGCGTTCCTGAAGACTCTGGGCAGCATCGGTGGCGACTTACTTCTCTTCCGGCTCTGGTCGACGGTGGCGCCACACTGGTTAGCAGCTTCTCTTGCGGTCTCTCTGGGTTGGGCGTACTCACCGTCGTGCCCGATTCCGTCCTCCGCGGGGGCGGGGTTGGGCATGGCAGCGTTGGTAGCTCACAACTTCTCGGCGGCTCCTCTGGCGACGTTATTCCTGGGCGACATCGACATGCGTTAGGGCTCCTGGATCATCTGTTAGTCTTCTCGTTCTTGTTGTTGCTCTGCTCTTCTGTTTTAGTTAGGCTTCCATGCTTCGCGCTGGGGCAGGTACGTGCTCCACACCCATGCTTCGCGCTGGATACTGGGGTACTCGGGACGTTTGTTTGGGTTGCTCGCATGTACGGCTCATATGGGCTGGAGTGGTGGCTTGCTCTCGGACGTTGGTGGGACCGGGTTCAACCCCGGTCTCGGGGGGAGTTTTGGCCGCCGCTGGGGCAACCGGCGGCGGCATGCCTGCGACCTTCGAAGACCCCGAGAGGGCAGGGCGGACGTATGTTATCTACGACGCACCAAAGGCCAGGTTATACCCCGCGTCCACCCTTCAGTGGGCGGAGAGTGAGTGCACGCTTCAGTTACCCATCTCTTAAAAAATAAATTCAAAGGACAAACGACTTGTGGGACGCGTGCTGCAACATCAACATGGCCGTGGTCGATACTGGTCCCGCTGTCTTGAGGCGATATGGATATTCGACGCTATTGGCACGCCTGCCGGTACCTGGAGATGGAGGAGAGAGTCAAGATCCCTGAAGTTGTCCCAGGCCTCAGCCAGTCGGTGGAAAGCAAGGAAAGCGCAGACAACGGCAGCACATGTTCACGCAACCTGACGGTGAGAGGGTGAGCTGGAGAGCGATGCCGGGAAGCCGGAGGAGAGGCCGCAGGCACGGAGGGGAGTTGGCGCTCCGATCAGCGAGGGTACCGCACCGGTGACGGGTCGCCCTCAAAGCCAAAGCCTGCCTCGCCTCTCTCATCCTCCTCATCTTCGTTCCTTCTCACCACCACGAACTCTGTCTGCTGCTGCTTTCTTGACAACTTTACCGACACTTTCAGGACTTCTGTCGACGCCCTGCTCGCTCTCATGCACGGCAACAGTGTTCTGTAGTGCCCCTCGTACCTCGGTGCTCTGTTTAAAATATGCGACTTCCGTGGAACTACTCTAGCAATGCAATCCCTTTTCTTCACCCTCATCGTCCATCTCGTTGACGTCGCCGGACCCCACCTCGACGTCGTTGCCCGCTCTGCTGGTCTAGCATGACTCAGCGCCAGTCGGCACAACCGGCTCAAGCCAACCGGGTGCGTGTACACTCTGCGCCGCTATCGGTTGCGGTCCGTGCGCGGCTCCGGCAAGGCTTCTGCATTCCCTGCACCGCGGCTGACACACGCCGCGCAGAGCCCTGCATAATCCGCGAAAAGCCTGCGGTTTTGCGAGCAGCATGATCTTCGTCATAGCTGGGTTCGAACGCAGGCGCTGTCGACGATTCAATCCCGGTGGAAATACAGGGTCGAGCTGCCCGGCAGCGTAACTCATTGCGCCGCCGACTTGCATGGTCCGTGCGCGGTGGCGGGAACGCCGTTGCGTTCTAGGTGCATCGCCGCTGACACGTAAAGCGTGCGGAACCCTATATATGCGGGCGCGTGGCCCTGAGTTTCTCGCGAGGCAGCACTTGTCGTTCGATCATTCTCGCTTGCCTCTTGACTTCTTACCACCACCACTACCACAACTTCAACCATGGGCGGGTGCTGCAACGATTGCGCTAGCGATTCCGACGCTCAGAGCGTAAAGAGCCAGATTACGGACCCCGGGGTGGATGTAAAGGATGGCGCTGGGCCCGGAGAGACTGGATGTTGCGAGGGGTCGACCTGTGGGTGCAACGGTCAGTCCCCACCACGTCTCACGGCCCTTCCCCCGCTTAGTCTGTGTCTGGCTCCCTTACCCCTCACCATCTGCAGATGCATGTTTTGATCAGCTCGCCCGGGTTATATGCGCCGACGATGACAACCACCTCCATCTTCAAGCCCCAACGAACCTCGACGACGGCGCTACTCACAGCGGCGAGGCTTCCACGGCTTGCCATGACAGCGACACTCAGTGTGAGTACATCTCCCCCGTTATCTGTTACTCGCCACTAACTCGTTCTATTCTTTAGCGGTCACTTCGGATTGCACTTGCTGCGATAAGGATGCGATGGCCACGGATTCTGCAAACAACGAGGATAAAGCCGAGGCCGTTCCGACTTCCCCAGGGCCCGCCAAGACCTGCCAGCAATCCGGCCTTCGCAAGAGAACTTCCGCGAAGCATGCTACCTCGTCCGCCACCTATCCCAAGGAGGCCTGTGGCGAGCATCGCTCTATTGCTCGCAGCCGCTATAACGACACCCTCGCCGCGTTTGGATGCGTCTGCAAGGCGCTGCTCGCTCGCGGCCTAAACTCATGCTGCAGCACGCCCTTGAGCGGTAAGACCGCCGCCCGGTCCACCTCGAGCAGGCAGAGCACACGCCGCGCCCCTCGCGGCCGACCGTCGGCCGAGAGTTCCCGAAGGCCGTCTCTCGACTCATGCTGCGGGAAGAGCGACTGTGGCAAGCCGGCCCTCAGTATCCGCAGTCTGTCTTACCGTGGGCACGCTGACGTTCAGTCCTTGCAACCGGCGGCGGCGAGGTCTCGTGCTTCGGTTGACTCCTGCTGCCAAGACTCCTGCTGCGCTGGGGGGTCCGCCGAGGACGACAAGGAGAGCGTCCATGACGAGAAGCGGGAGCATGTCGCAATCGAGATGGCCGAGAAGTCTACAGGAACCACGGAGCATGCTGTCCTGGCCATCAAGGGTATGACCTGCACTGGGTGTGAGAACAAGCTCATTCGCACCCTGCGCGGAATCACGACTATCCGAAACGCTAAGACCAGCCTCGTCCTCTGTCGTGCCGAGTTCGACTTGGACACCAGCGCCGTAGACCTCTCTTCCATCGTGCAGCTCATCGAGAAACGGTCTGGGTTCTCGGCGGAGGTCGTCAAGGCCGGCTCTACGCGCGAGCTCCTGCTCACCGTCGCACGCCCCTTCCAGGAGAAGTTCTTGTGCGCGTCCCTGCCCAACGGCGTCGACGCCACTACCCTGTCTGACAAAGACACCGTCGTCGTGCTCTATGACCCGCGCATCATTGGCGCACGCGATGTCCTGGAGGCGTACGAATCTTTCACGCCCACCCTCGCGCCAGAGCCGCTGGACCCCTCGATCACTGCGGGAGCGAAACACATCCGCTCACTGCTCCTCCGTACCGCGCTTTCTGCCGCCCTCACCATCCCGGTCCTTGTGATGACCTGGGCGCCGCTCCCTCCGCACCCGCGCGCGTACGCCATCGCGTCGCTCATCCTGGCTACAATTGTGCAGACCGTGATCACCGGCCCATTCTACCTCAGCTCGTTCAAGAGCCTGATGTTTTCGCACTTGGTCGAGACGGAGCTGCTGATCGTCCTGAGCACGACCACGGCGTATGTTTATTCCGTCGTCGCGTTCGCATTCGACATGCTTGGGCGCCCGCTTTCGACTGGGCAGTTCTTCGAAACTAGCACGCTCCTCGTCACGCTCATCATGGTCGGCCAGGTAGTCAGCGCCATCGCCCGCCAGCGCGCTATCGAAGCCATCTCCATCCGTTCCCTGCAGGAGCGTAACGCGCGGATCGTCCTTCCGGATGGCACCGAGCAGGACGTCGACGTTCGGCTTCTCCACTACGACGACCAGTTCAAAGTCCTCCCCGACTCGGCTATCATCACAGACGGGGTGGTCGTATCCGGTACAAGCACTGTCGACGAGTCCATGATGACGGGCGAGTCCCGTCCGGTCGAGAAGGCCCCCGGGAGCGCTACCATCGCAGGCACTCTCAACGGACCTAGCACGCTCATCGTGAAGGCAACCCGCCTCCCCGGGGAGAACACGATCAGCGACATCGCAGGCATGGTCGACCACGCGCGCTTTTCCCGCGCCCACGTGCAAGAGGCCGTCGACATCATCTGCGGGTGGTTCGTCCCTGTGGTGCTCCTGCTCGCCACGATCACCTTCGTCGTCTGGCTCGCGGTCGGCATCGCGGTGCGCGGCCAGTCCGCGGGCGTAGCCGCCGTCGCCGCGCTCACCTACGCGATCTCGGTGCTCGCGATCTCGTGCCCGTGCGCGATCGGGCTCGCGGTGCCGATGGTCATCCTCATCGCAGGCGGGGTCGGCGCGAAGCTCGGGCTCGTGTTCAAGGCGGCGACCACGATCGAGCAGGCGCGCAAGGTCACGCACGTCGTGCTCGACAAGACTGGGACGGTCACCCAGGGGCGGCTGTCCGTCACCAGCCGCTTCATGGAGGAATCCTCCGTGTTCAACGTGGCTGCCGTTGTGGCTGCGCTCGTTTCGTCCAGTCGCCACCCAGTCGCCCGTGCAGTCGCTGCTGACTTGGAAGCCGCCTCAGTTGACACCGCACTCGTCGAGAACGTAGAGATGGTCGTCGGGAAGGGCGTGCAGGCCACTCTCCTTGGCCAAACGTTGCGCGGTGGAAGCGCTGCTTGGCTGGCGTTGGAGTCGCACTCCGCCATCCAGCCGCTGCTTGCCCAAGGCCTCACCACCTTCTGCGTCGTCCACGGCAGCCGCCTCATCGCCGCATTTGGCCTCTCCGACACTCTTCGCCCCGAAGCGCTTTCAGTCGTACATGCCCTCACCGCGCGCAAGATTCGCGTCTCCATTCTCAGCGGCGACCACCCCGCCGCGGTGTTCAGCACTGCGGCCGCCCTCGGTATCCCCACCGAACTCGTACGCGCGGGCTGTCTGCCCGCAGACAAGCAGGCGTACCTCCAGGAGCTCGCCGCGCAGGGCGAGACTGCCCTCTTCTGCGGCGACGGCACCAACGACGCCATCGCGCTCGCGCAGGCCGCAGTCGGGGTGCACCTGCACACGGGCGACGGCGCGGGCGTGGCCGCAGCGAGCGCGGCGGACGTGGTGCTCACGCACCCGTCGCTCGTGGGCATCCTGACGCTGCTCGAGCTGAGCGACGCGGTGACGCGCCGGATCGCGCTCAACTTCGCGTGGTCGGCCGTGTACAACTTCGTCGCGGTGCTGTTCGCGGCGGGGGCGTTCGTGCATGCGCGCATCCCGCCCGCGTATGCGGGGCTGGGCGAGCTCGTGAGCGTGCTGCCGGTCGTGCTCGTTGCGGTGCAGCTGAAGTGGTTCAAGCCGTCTGTGCGGGTCTGATCGTGCCCTTTGCTCCTAGATGCGTGGCTGTGTGTTGTGTCCCAAACGTTTCTCCTTCTCTATTCGATGTCATGATGTCCCGATATGTTGCCGTGTCTATCGAGTGTAGTGTTGGTGCGACTAGAGCCGCCTCGAAGTGACCTGTGTCTCGGGCTGCCGTCTATGTCACATGTATGTATTCTCCTTACGTCTCTCACGTCTCTCACGACCCCTGGATGCCAATGAACGAGTATGTGTTTTCGAATCTGAGTGATTGGTAGAAGGGAGAAAGCTACAGGCACAGTGCGCGAAGTGTTAGAAGTGTTGGAATGTGTTTTGATGCAATATAACATAACTGGGTCAAAGTCCATGGAACTCCTCTCGGGATACGATACACAAGAAAACAGAGAACTGCCAGCCGCGCTGCGGCCGTGCAGGCGCGCGAGCGTCACCGCTCCTCCTCGCCCTCCAGCACGCACTCTCCATAGCCCGAGTAGCTGTGGCGCGAGGGCGGGGGCGGTTCGATCTTCATGGCCTCCGCACACGCTTCTGTGGACAAGGGCACTTTGTCAACCGCGATGATACGAACAGACAACCAAAAAAACGCACTGAAGAGGCGCACGAACTGCTTGCGGGCCTGCTTGTGCAGCGGGTCCGTGATGGGGTAAAACACGCGCACGTCGTCGTCCTCGCAGAAGCTCACGGACTTCGCGCGCGGGCGCCGGGTGGTCGTGGGGGGCGTGCCTGGGCACGACGACGCCTGCGACCCAGACCCGGAAGCGCTGTCGCTCGCGCTCGAGTCGGAGTCTGACTCGAAGACCGCGCTGAAGGGGCTGGCGGAGCGCGGGGCGTCGAAGAAGACGGGGCGCGGGGAGGAGGGGAAGGAGTTGCGCTTGAGACAGCTCTTGGGCGGGGAGGCTATGGCGGGCGATGATGTGGACGGGAGGGAGTTTCGTTTGAAGGGGCTCTTGGGGGAGGACGCGAATAATGCGGCGGCCATGGTGGGAAGGGGTGGTGGGAAGGAGGTGGTGAGGGCGCGTCGTACTTGGACGGTGTTGTGTGGTGGCTGGGTGGGTGTACGAAGAGCTGAGGAAGAGCACGAGCGTATGCTGTGACAAGCGCAGAGTGGATGTAGCTGCGGGGCTGGGTTGACTGCGGTGAAAAATAGGTGGTGGTCGCAAGTGAGGTGTGCCAAACGAACGAAGTGCAAACGGGCGAGCCTTATAGACAGCGCAGCCCCTCCGCGCATCCGAGCAAACAGTTTTCGAGAAAAATGGCACAGCGCAACCGACGCCCACGCTAGCCCACGCGAGAACCGACGCCGCAGGACTCGTGAGCGGACATGGACAGCGGATGTAGGCGGATGTGATCGGCTGTGGGGTACGTCACCTCCATGCAGCTCTTCCCCACACCCACCGCGCGGGGTAGGGAAGGATATCGTATGCGATCCGACTCAAAAGCCTCGCAACCGCTATTTGGAAGGAGATCCAGTCTTTCCGCCTCAAATCCCCTAGCTTTCGGGTCAGTGGGTACAGCGGAGACCCGAAGCTGTCGGTCGGTACATCGTGGTTCGAATCGAAACGTCGTGCAATAGGCGCCTAGCCCGCACCGGATATCCGCGCGGGCGTCTATAAGCTGGACCCACAAGCGCAAGCGCCCGAGTCTAGCTCTGTCATTCCGTCATCCATGCCAAGTTCGATCGTTCTCGCCCACCACTGCGCACCCTAACGCTACTTGCTCTTCATCGAGGCTGTGCAGCTCTGGTATGCTTGGGTCTCTGCCAGCTCCGTATGCTGCGGCCTGCAGGCGCAGCGCCGCCCAGCGATTCCGTCAGCCATCGACACGACGACACGCGTCGGCATCGGCGCCAACGTCGAAAGTCTTTTCAGATTCGAAATCGGCCGAGTTCCTCGCGGCGGCGGGATCGGCTGAGTCTATCCCGCGTTTGGAAGGCCTTCCTGAGGTACTTCGACTTTTTCTATGCGGATGTGCGGATGTCTTACTCTGGCGGGTACCCTACAGGTCATAGTCACCGGTTGGTTGCTATTTTCGTCAATGATGATGCTCAATTGGCTGATACGGACTCGCAGGTCGTGCCAATGTGGGAAAGTCCACGCTACTGAACGCTGTTCTTGGTCGGCGGAGTTTGCTGCACACCAGTAAAAAACCGGTATAGTTTTTGTCGTTGTTATTGACCTCGTCATGCTTAAACACCTTGGGCAGGGTCGGACACAGACGCTAAATTACTATCGCGTTGGACCACCTCCTGGTCATCTCGTTCTGGTTGACGCACCAGGATATGGCTCGCGCGGTCGCCCAGAGTGGGGTGCGCTGTTCGATCATTACGTTCAAACACGTGCAGAGTGAGCATCACAGCGATGGCATTCATTTTCTGGCACTGAAAATGTTACAGATTGCGAAGAGTGTACATCTTGTTCCACGCAAAACACGGCCTGAACGATGTCGACCGCATGATGCTCAGCTCGCTCGACGAGCAGTGTCGCGCGTCAAGCGGGTTGCAGTTCACGGTGCAGGGCATCATCACGAAGACGGACACTCTCCGCGCTGACGAGGTCGCGAAAACCATCAAGAGGATACAGGCGGAAATATTCGAGACCGCGCCGACGTGCTTGCCGGCCATCGTCACCTCGGCGCTGGAGAGCCCGCACTTCGGTGTCGACCAGGTCAGGCAGAGTATTGAGGAAGCGTGCGGACTGGGACGGGCGGAGATGAAGGTGTTCCGCTCTCCATAATACCATTGCTTCTAGCCTCGAGCGTGTGCCTAGGCTTATTTATGAGGTCTACTATGGCCATGCGCCGCGATAGTTGTGCGCTATGTAAAGGACCGCCACTCTTCTAACACAACGCTTCATTGGCTACTTGGACAGCGACTTATGTCCGAAGCTTCACCCGTCATTTCCGCTCTGACATCTCGGGGAATATCGATTATCCTAGGCCATGTGGGTGATCTACGGGGAGCATCTTCGTGACTCTTCTTGATTGCGTCGTTATCACTGTGCAAGACCGGTTCACGGTTGTTGCACGAGCAGCAGACACTAGTGTGGCGGGCAGTCCTGGGAGGCAGATGACCTGAGAGGGCAGAGAAAGGCTGAGAAGGGCATGGAACGTGTATGAACGACGACGAGAATGGTGAGGACGGTGTGAACGTTCGTTATCTTCGCCGTCTTGAGTGACTGTGGACGGGCGCCAATGCGCACGTGCTACGGCCGGCGTTTTGGAGGCGTCGAGGAAGACGGGACCGATGACGGCGAGAGCCTGAATCACTCGCTGAGCTCACCCACATCCTCCATATCCCTTCGGCCTTAACTTATTCCTCTTTGCTTTCCACCACCACCCCCTCGCACCCCGCTGCCCCGCCCTCTGCTGCTGCACCGACTGCCCGCGAGCTCCGTCTGCTGTACTTCTAGCCTCAGCCTTATCGTTGCGCACCAACTTCGCGCAACTCCCTACGAACAGCTCGACCTGCAAGGGAGTCGCTAGGACTCCTGGTCGCTGTTTGTGCCCACCCCCGCTGCATGACCGCTCTCCATGCCCACTTCCACCAACGCAACCAGCAGGCCTTCCAGCGCCTGCTGGACTCCGGCCGGACCCCGCACTCCGGACCCAGCACCAGCGGAGGCAAGTCCTGGTCGCGCCCCAGTCCGCTAAGTGCCGCCTCGTCTGTGGATGTGAACGCGAGGGACCATTTGGGGAGGACCGTCCTCCACCTGGCCGCGTCCGCGCAGGATGCCGCCGCGACCGAGTACGTCCGGATGCTGCTCGCGCACCCTACCATCAGCGTGAACGTCGCCGATGCGGAGAGTCACTGGACGCCCCTGCACCGCGCGCTCTACCATGGCAATCTCGCGACGGCGTTGCTCCTGCTGCAACGACAGGACATCGATACGTCCGTACGAGACACCGAGGGGTACACGCCCTTTGACCTATACAACTCCACCATCGAAGGGACCATGCCCGAGAAAGACGCGAATGAGCGCGGCGACGAACTGTACACCTGGGGTTCGAATAGGAACGCCGCGCTCGGCGTGGGGGATGGAGACGACAGGACATACCCGGAACTGCTGTCCTTGCGCATCTCCCCTGTGCCGGAGACGGAGCCCATTGACAGCCGGTTCACACCCATCCGTGTGAGGCAAATCGTAATGTCCAGGCTGCACACCGGTACGCGTTTTCATTCAGTGTTGCATGTGCGCGCGCCTGAACCTCGCACAGTGATCGTAACAGACGAGCCCAGGGCAAACCTTCGTGTATGCGGGTTCGGCAGCGGCGGGCGGTATGTCTATTGCTTCCATCACTGTCGCGCCCTGGTACTCAGCGCGTGTATAGTTTGGGGCCCGGTCAACATACCCAATACGCCCCAATTCCCCTGCCGGGATTCAACCAGACCGTCAAGTCCGTCGCGCCTGGGCAGGATCATACCCTTATTCTCACCAAGACCGGAGAGGTCTACAGCTGGGGATTGAACAGGTTCTCGCAGTTGGGATATGTTGTCGAGACTGCCACTGGTGCGCGGAGCGAAGAACCCATCCAGGCGACTCCGCGAAGGATTTCCGGGGCTATCAGAAACAGGACCGTCCTCGGCGTCGCTGCATGCAAGACCGCATCAGTGTGTTGGACTGCCGACGAAGTCTTCACCTGGGGCACCAACAACGGGCAACTTGGTTCGTACGGCGCTGTATCGTATGCGAAGCTCTATTTATTCGGGTATATGCAGGGTATGATCGGGCAGCACATCCTGTGCAACTCCAGCCTCGAGTAGTTACCAAAATTACTAAACCAGTAACCTCGGTCTCCATAACAGTACGCCTCCTTCTTTCGCAGCATACCCCCCTCTAACATTCCGCAGGACTCCGCTCTAGCGTGTCTCGTGGATACTCAGGAAGTGATTTGCCTATGGAACGATGGTCATTTCAAAGTCAAGTAGGTCTCGTCCTTTCTGCTACCTCCACGTGTCGATATCTATTTACGACGTGCTTCAGCTTCCCTGCCTATTCATTCCCGTCCGAGTTCGTCGCATACCGCCCTCCACAGGCTGCTACTCGGAACAGCGCCAGCATCGACAAGATCACAAGCTGCGAAGATACTTTCGCTGCTCTATCTTCCAGCGGAGAGGTCTTTACCTTTTCCCTTCCGCCCCCACCAGACGTTGGAGCCAGCGCAACGAAGTCCCGCTTCGTAGTGCAGCCGCAGCGCGTTTGGGCACTCCGAAAGCAGTTCAGTGCCGTCCGCGTATGTGCTCCTTTCCTGCACCGCTGCGCTTGTTCTGACTCGAGTGTCGCAGGATGTTGCCCTCGGCGTTGACGGCTCCATCATCATCTGCACTGAGTCTGGTCATGTCTTCGTGCGCTCGCGCAACTTGAAGGCCGGCCAAAGCAGCTCGGCAAAGACCTTCCGGTTCCAGCGTATCCCCTACATACAGCGCGTTACGCAGGTCTGCGCGAACGCTACTGGGGCATTCGCTGCCCTGCGTTCTGACTGGGTTCCAGAAGAAGTCAAAGTCGTTGGTCATCGGCTTCCCCAGGACCTCGCGACGATCCAGCCCTACTTCCATCTGTTGTCGCGCACTACCAAGGAGGATGTCGCTCCTGTTCCCATCGTTACTTCTGCCGAAGCTTCCCCTGCTACGGTGTCTCCACCGGACGCGGAGTCGGACGGGGAAGAAGAGGATGCCGCCGTGCAGCACGACATCAGGCAGCTGAAGTCCCTATGCGAGGTCATCCTTCGTCTCAAGGAGGCTCGCAAAGGGACAGAAGCAAAGCCTGTGCTCGATCTGGAGGACATGCCTTTTGGCGCAGACCTGCTCGTCCACGTCCAGTCCTCCGGCATCGAGCTTCCGGCCCACCGCGCGATCCTCGCTGCCCGTTCTACGGTACTATGCCAGGTCTTGGCAGACGGCAAGACGGTGCGGGATCCGCGCTCCAGCCTCTCCGTGCAGGGCCACGCCAATAAAGCTGCGTCGCGCCGGTCTCGCCTAACGTTCACTGGATGGCACCCGCTCTCGGTGCTCATCCTGTTCGTCTACCTATATGCGGACGAGCCCTTGGCGCTATGGGACCACCGCATCGGGCACGCAGTCCTGCACCAGCTGGAGCGGGTGAAGGCCAAACCTGCCCAGATCAAGACAGAGCTGCAGTCCCTTGCGTCAGTCCTGGACCTGCCTGCGTTGTTGGACGTCCTCGACGCGCCGGTCAAGCGCGCCCCGAAGGCAACACTGTCGCGCGACTTGCAACAGCTCTTCGCCGTGAACCAGGCCGAGGGTGTAAGCTCCGCGCGACCACTGTCTGGGGACCTGGTCTTGCAGCTTGCCGAGCGCAAGGTCTACTGCCATTCGGTAATTCTACGCGCGCGCTCTCCGTTCTTTGCTGCCTTCTTCGACGACAAGGATTGGACGTCGAAGCGGTGGACGCCAGAGGGCACCGTCATCGTCGACCTCAAGCATCTGAAGTGGCGCGCGATGGAGCCGGTCCTGAAGTACTTGTGCGGCGGCGACGACAAGGAGATGTTCGACGTCGTCACGGACGTGCGGTCGGTGGACGAGCTGCTCGACTTCATGTTCCAGGTCATGGCCGTGGCGGTACGTTTTCTGGCTGGCCTGCTCAGATGGTATACTAAACCTGTGTCATAGAATGAACTACACATCGACCGGCTCATGCTAATCTGCTCCTGGGTCATCATGCGTCGCGTTTGGATCAACAATGTCTGTTCTATCCTGACGGACGCCACCCACTACCACGCGAGGCCGCTCGTCCGGCTCCTGCATGAATACCTTGCGATCAACATGGAAGTGTTCCTAGAGAGCCGCATGCTCGAGGACCTCGCCGCGGAGCATATCAAGCAACTTTCCGCGTACGTGCGCGCCGAGCAGACGCGCAAGTACCCCGTCTCGCGCTCGACGCGCATCGTCGACAAGGCGATGGAGACATGGGGCGCGTGGCTCGCGTTACAGGACTTCCCGCAGCCGATCGTCCCGTCTGCGCGCTCTGCAGCCTTCAGGGACTCCGCCAAGCTATCGCCCCCAGGCCCGAGCAAGCGGGGGAACAGACAGTCGTCGGTCCCTAGCAGCCCGATGCTGCGTCCGACGTTCTCTGCGCGCCCGGTCACGACGGGCATTCCGGACGACGAGATGTTCCTGATGGACGAGCCGGAGTCTGCACCGCAGCCGTCGCCCACGCCCCCGCGCGTGTCGGGTGGCGAGTCGTCGTCCGCAAAGGCCGCCAGCGGATGGAAGTCAATCACATCCCCACCGAAAGTGGACATGAAGGCGATCATGGCTGAGGCCTCCACCAAGGTCGGCGTTGCGCGTCCCCCTGCCGCTCGTGGTCCTACCAGCAGTCTTGAAGCCATCTCACGAGGACCCCCTCCCGCTCGACCTTCGGCAGAGGGCATGTCCAAGGCCGTGCCTCTACCTCGTGCGCCTTCAGGTGGCCAGTCATGGAGGACTCCGCCGCAAGGCGCTACACCCAGCGGTACGCCTGCGACCGCATCCGTCTCGCTGCCTCCTGCGAAGGAAGTGCGACCTCAGCCAAGCGGGCTGCCGTCCACACCTACTGTTGTACCAGCAGCGGGCCCATCTACCCCCCGGTCCCAACCAGGAACGCCGCGCAAGCCTGTCGCTCCCGGTCTGGGCCCAGTGTTCACGCCGACGAAGCAGGCGTCAACATCGTCTGGCGCGTCGTCAATCCGCCGCGTATCGTAAGTCTATTTTCCCATCTTCACATGTGTTATTTCTCAATATAAGTACAGGAGCGGCAGTGTGTGGACACCGCCTCCCGTCCAGCCCGTCCAACCCGTTGTGCGGGCATCCTCCTCGAACTCCGCCGTGTCCTTCGCCGCGATCCAGCTGTCCCAGCTCGAGCAGGACGCTGCTCCCGCGAAGGACAAGCGCACGCTCGTCGAGATCCAGGAGGAGGAGCGTGCTCGCCAGGTCGAGGATGACTTCCTCCGTTGGTGGACGGCCGAAGAGGAGCGCTTGAAGGGGGAGCAGGCGGCCGTCGCTGCGCTCGTCTCGGGCAAGCCGCAGAAGCCAAAGAGGGTGCGCGCGCCGAAGAGCAAGCCGCCGGCGCCTGGGGGAGGGGAGGCGCCGCGGGGCGGCGGCAAGGCGAAGAACGCGGACGGGCCTAAGCCGCAGCGGACGAAGCCCGCTGAGCGAAGTCGCGGGGGCGAGGCTCTAGCCCAGCAGGTGCCGGAGCAGGGCCAGGGCGGGAAGCCGCGTCGACGACGTCCTATACCAGGCGCTACCAGGGAGGAGGTCCGCAAGTCAGAGGCCTAGCCATGATGCGTCACGCCGCGGTATGTACCATTTGACGTAGAATTTGCGTAGATGTGTACATGTACAGCATATGCATATTGATCGGGTAGAGCAGCGAATACCAACAAGATCGGTGGTTATTGTGGATGCTGCATCCTTCGTGGTTCGTCTGTATAGGTACAATATAGATTACATGGACATAGCTTCTGGGTGTAACACGTCGTACGCAACGAAGGAATCAGAGCGTAGGGCCGCTCAAAGTTGACGGAGCTACGGAAGCGCGCGTAGCTGGGAGGCGCCGTAGCGCGTTATCTCCCAGAGATAATTCGCGCCTTCCCTGCGTCTCGTCATCAGCTCGCAGAGGAAGAATGAGAAAACGATGGAATCCAGGAGCGGAAGTCCGTCCGGGAGCACGTCGATGTTCAAAATTATCGAGGACGAGAACAGCCGGCGTGCACGCTTGCGGCGCCCCCGCGCGACTAGTCCACCTGTTTGACAGTCGAGAAGCTGTACGTGTCGTCATATGGTCAATGCATGGATGTTGCAGCTACTCATCCATCTGAAACTCCAGGCACTCCATGAATGCCTGGCGGCGTGCCCAATTTGTATTCCCCGCCTCCATGGGCCATCCCATCTCTCTCCCACTCGTACGACTGCCCATTGGGTGCCACGAAGACTCGATTACTGTCGCCTATCAGCGCGCCCTGCATGCCGGTAACAGCAAAAAACCACGCGGTACGTACCTCGACAATATGCTCTTCTTGACGAGCCAGTCTGACAATAACATCGTCCGTCCCTGGTACATCACCTCGTCGCGAGTCCAGCCGGTCTCATACTCGGCGACCATCCTCCTGTCTGCGTCCCGTAGTATTGTCACAGTGCGCCAATGGAGGCCGAAGGGGGTCGCGAACTCGAACAGGTGCTCTCCGGTGGCGCTGTTCACGACGACCGAGTTCGTCGGGCTGCTGAACACGCGAATAAAGCTGACGTTCATGAGGTTCACGGTTCAGAAGGGAGAGGGCGAAAGACAGCTGAGGTGCGATGGACGTTGGCTCCCCGTATACGTACGCTCACCAAAGGGGCGCCATGTATTGCGGGGCCTGCCACTCACTTTAGGATATGCGCCGCCTGGGCTTGCGGTGGAATAGCCACAATCAATCACGCTCAGCACAACGGTAGTATGTAGTACATCTTCCTAATCCAGTGAGGGGTTTATTCAACTTACTCCAGCTCATGGTCAGCTGCTCTGTCGTGGTGCCCCGACTCCGCGCAATCTGGAAGGAGCAGCTCGACCTACATGGAAGTCGTCTACGCGCCTAGTCGCTATCTGCACGCACCCCCGCTATACGACCTCCCCTTGCCGCTCCCGTCGACGGTGCCAAACGGCTTTCCGTCGCCTGACCCCCGCACTTCGAAATCCGGACACAGCACCCGTGGAGGCAAGCCCTGGTCACCCCTTGGTCCCACAGCTCTCTGCGCGAAAACATCCTATCTCGCACGCTCCTCACATCACCGCTATACTGCAAGATGCCCCGCAGTCCATGATGTTTCTGAACGGGAGCTCCCCGACTCTTTCGAGTTCTCTCCCCCATTGGACTAACTTCCCCGCTTGCTGTCGTGTCAGCTGCCGGTCCAGCTGCCCTCAAGTGATTCCGACTAGGGAAATCTGGCTGGCTTGCTGCGTCTGCCCTTAGCCTCATGTACCTCCAATGAGGCAACGTCGTCAGAGGCGTTGTTCATCTGTACGTCACAACTCCGTTCTGTCAATCTCGTCTCCAGGGCTCGTGCTATATTGTGTACGCCACTGTGAGCCGCCGGAATCAATCCCAAGCAGAAATTCGTTTATCTAAGTCCCCAGATTTTAGGTACGAACAACAACACGTTCAGAACTCGAGTAGTCGGCACGGACGAAGGGACACTGCTGGTTTTGACTTTGCTCGCATTATAGGGTGCACAGGAAGGAGGGACTTCTGAGCTGTGCCTCAGCCTCGAGGCGGAGGCGGCTACAAAGCGTCCGACACAACCTTATACACATGAAGGCGCCCAGTCTCAGATTGCCATGCGCATGGGCTACCTGAGACGTATACATAAATACCCTTGCGCTCGGTTTCGAAAAGCGATGTACGCGTATCGGGCACGCTGTCAGCCCTTTCCCCCTCCCCTCTCACATCGACTCCCCCACTGTCTGCCTGCGTACGTCGTGTCTTCAGAGTGCTGCAAAGAGACAAGGTGCGTGTGCGAAATATTTTACGTGTGGTGTTTGCCACTGACTTGTGATATTGATAGAATGCCGCGCTTCTTGAACACCTGGACGGGCGAATTCGAGTGGCACAATCATCCGGAAGAGATCGTATACGCCATTCTCTCACATACCTGGCGATCCGACGCGGAGGGTGGCGAGCAGTCCTACGAGGATGTCCGCGCGCTTCAAGCTGCGGCTTTCGAAGATCTTCGGAAACGGAAAACCGCTGTTTTGGGCGAGTTGAAGGCTCTCAAAATCCCGACGCCATCGCTCATCCCTCGTGTCTCCAATTCTCTTGCGAACTTGGGATCCATTCCCTTCTTTGTTCTCGCTCATCCAAGCGTCTCGGACAAGATCAAGGGCGTCTGCAAGGTCGCCCGCGAGGCTGGTATTCGGCTTGTATGGAACGATGCGTGCTGCATCGACAAGTCGAGTAGCGCCGAGCTCTCCGAGGCGATCAACTCGATGTACGAGCTGTATAGGCTCTCACAAGTTTGCTATGTCTACCTCGAAGACGTCCCCGACGGCGTTGAACCCAGAAACCGGTTCTCGTGCTTCTGGAGGAGTAGATGGCACACGCGCGGTTGGACGCTGCAGGAGCTCATCGCGCCGGAGGCCGTCGAGTTCCTAACGAACACCTGGCACTTGCTAGGCACGAAGATGGGGCTCGCCGTGACGCTGGAGGAGATCACTGGGATCGACTTCAAGATTCTCACAGGCCAGACTACTGTGCACTCGGCTAGTGTCGCGCGGAGGATGTCCTGGGCTTCGCGCCGAGAGACGACGCGCATTGAGGACCGGGCGTACTCTCTCATGGGCATCTTCGGCATCCACTTGTCTCCCATCTATGGCGAGGGCCACAACGCGTTTCTCCGTCTCCAGGAGGAGATCGTCAGGACCATCCCCGATCAAAGCATCCTCGCATGGGGCAGCAGTCATGTCCCCGTGCAGGTCACGGTGTCTCAGCACGATATCCATGTCCAGATTCGCCCCAAACTCTCCTCTGATTCCATCTATCTCCACTTTTTTTATAATCCAAGTCTGCTCGCTAGCGGTCTCAGGGCCTTTCGGGAAGGTGCTCATATCACTCCAATCGCACCGTCTGCTCTCGCATTGCGCCTACGCTTGAAGGAGGTCCCGTCATTGCATTGCGTTTTCACCCCGCATGGTGTCCGTGTGCAGCTTCTGTCTCTCAACCTCGCATCGCTATCCGTGCATTGGGAGGACCTTGGATGCTGGGACTCCTGTTCAGACTGTCTCCGCATGAAAGCCGACACACTCGCCCTCCTACAATGCGAAGACGAGAGCGGGTCGCTCATCGCCCTCCCTTTGCGTCAGCCTCGCGATGAAGCAGGCGGAAGTGGATGCGGAATACTCATCGGGACACACATCCAATGCAACATGAGCCGTCACGAGATGCATGAGTTGTACGCGTTCTACGAGAATCATTTGCCATTCCACACTGTTCGTCTGCCGAAGGTGGCGTTGGCCGAGATTCTAGAACACGTCACTCCGGCGATAATCGACGTCTCCCTCCTTCGGCACCACTCGCAACCTGCTTCCACGAAGCTGGCGATCGGGAACACATATTCGAGGTTCAAAGAAACCGAGCTTTTCTTTGCAGGTGATCGAAAGGAGCCACTTGCCATTAATATTATTCGCATCCCTCCCCGCGACATCGAAGCCCTAGGCATCCTTGGCTTCGTTGCCGAGACCTCTTTGGCTCCACCCATGGAGACTGCCAGAGGAAAGTCGTTCAGTGTGGAAACTTCTCTTGCTTTCAATGGCGGAAACATTCCTTCTCGCACAAAAGAATGCCCACAGACCATCCAGCTCACCTTGACTTTCACTTCCGTTACCGAACGCACTATAGCTGACTTCATGCTCGGGAAGCCCATGATAGCCCGTTTCTGCATCGTGAACTCCATTGGTGTCCCGGCCGGCGACTTCCCCTGTCAAACCTCTCCATCTGCTATCCCCGGCCCGGAAGAAGTCAACAACCCTTCCTATGTCATGACACGAGCTCCCTGTGTCGACGGTAACAAAGATATCAGCCCCGAGATCGAGATCTACAGATATCCCGGGAATCGCGTCATCGCAGACGCTGGGTTTACGATCTATGCCGACCCCGATTGGGAGAAGGAGACTTGCACTGTTCGTTTTCTGCGCGTATCATTGGCATTTAGCAACGCCTTGGGACACGTAGCCACGTCCGGGGACGACCCCGAGCGCCTGATCTACCTGTCCATTCAACTCTCGGAGAAGTACCGCCACACTCGGCGCATTGCGGACAGGACCTTGCCAGGCGATCTCCCGCCGTCGCAAACTGCAGGCGACATCTGCGAACCCGCTACTCCCTCTTCCGACAACGATGGTACTAGCCAGGATGCCGAGGTGCTGAAGGTGACCGACCCTGTGAGTCTGCAAAGCCTGAATCGCACTGTCGCTCGACCAATAAGCTGACGAGATATCTGTCTGCATTGCCACGTCGGAGCAGCCGGAAAACTCGGTACCACTGAGCGAGGCGTCGTCTCAAACGCCGCTTTCCGATTTGAATGAACCTACCGCACCGGAAAATGGTGAATCGTCGGTAAGCTGGTCTGCCCACATTGATATGTAGTTCACCGTCGACAAATCTGACTCTCCAAATTTGCAGCGGCGCACCCCACCCGACCAGCACGCCGATCCTGAGCGCACCGCTGAGCCGCATGATGATGGAGCCGCAGAGGCTCCGGGTACTGCCATCCAGCCCGCGTCATTTCCGAGCGATATGCGTCCTCGGAGAGCGGAGAGCGAACGACCCGCCGCGGAGCTGGAAGGCAGGGCTTCGTGTCGAACGTCTCTGTCCTCGGTTTCGTCGGATCGCCAGGACCAAGCACTGCCTATATCGGGCGACCCAGATCCCGACAATGTCCACGAAGGAGGCGAGCGTTCAGATGTGGGGCACAGCGAGCGCGACGCTCTGCGGGAAGAAGTGTCGACCTTGAAAGCTCAGGTCGCTGATCTGACATCCAAGATGTCGTCGCAGATGGAGGAGATACGCGCTAGGTTCAATGCCGAGCCCTCACCAGTTCCAGGTACGCACACTACACGCTAATCATACACACTTATACTTTGCTTACCGCATCCGCGTCTGTGTTCTCGCATGTTTAAGCTGCTGGAACCGACAGGAAGGAGCGGCCCTCTCGTCGTCTTGTCTTCTCCAAGGCTCGTAGGAAGGGATTGTGTGTAATACAGTAATCGCCGCTACACGACGGCCACTGCAGACAATGCAATTATCTCGTGCTCATTCTTGTACCCTCTGCTCAATTGAAATCTGCAAGGATAGAATGAGCAGCCGGATTGCCCACCTCTGATAGCTTGGACAGACACAGTATGATCAAACATCGTTCTCGAGACTGAACAACTGTCAAGCATTGAGCTTCGAGCTTCAACTTGACCAAAGATATAGCAGGTGCCTAAGCGATCAGGGCTGAGGAAGGCTTGAATGCAATTAATTTAGAGATGTAGCTGCCAGTATAGTGCTTACCTTGCAAGTTGGTGCACTCGCAACGCACTACAGTCGGCTATCTCCTTTGTTCTCCACTCCATGCGCCGTTTAGTACTTGCTACCACGGAGTACAGCCGTCTGGGCTCTTAAAGAGCACCATCCGCTCACCTCGGGCCAATGTCAAACAGGCAACACCCTGCCTTCCACGATTTATTCCGCTATCCGAATGGCATTGTGACCCCGTCGTGATGACAATATAGGGGTGCTCGCGCCGAGCGTTGAAGTTCGCGCCTAGAAGGCTGACTTGAAGATATTGATCGTCGCTCAGACTTGAACACCCTACTCTGCGAGTAACTTCTTGGTGCCAAACTCACAGGGCGCACAGCACGCCCGCGAGTATGAACAGTACCTCTGGGTGGATGATGCATTCCGTATGATACAGCGAGGTAGTGTGTGGGGATATTGATATAGTAGTGTAGTCCGCCATGCCATATTAGGGCTGGAATAAAGAAAGAGGAGTAAGCTGCGGTTATGACGCCATAACCGTAGGTTGCGGTGCGCGTCTCGCCTTGCGAGGGTCCGGGACTTCAATGTCCCGCAACAGGGTTTTTATCTCGGCCTTGAACGAGTCCTGTTGCACGCGGGGAACGAGAGGGGCATGTGAGCGCGGACGAGAGCTAGTATCTAGAAGCATACTAACGGTACGGGCGTACTCGGAGATGAGAGGCATGACTTGTCGCCATACCCACTTGAACTCGTCCTGCATGCGTTCCCGCACGGTATCATCAGCCTCGAGGAATCTCGCGATGCGTATCTTGAACGCAGGGTAGTCCGTCAGTGATATATTCCGACGTGCGAGAAGTGTTGTGCGCGCATTCACCTGAACGTCTTTGTTACGGATCATGCGGAAGTCGGCAATGGTTGTTGGGAATTGTTGGTCTCGGCGTCGTTGTACTGCGTCTTCGCGTTGTTTATGCATATTCTTCTCCCTGAGCAGCGGAGTAATGCTAGATATATGTGCAAGATTGAGACGGTCCAAATTGTCATCGAACGAGTCCGCGAGGGCGTAATTTGTTCGAGCATCCTTGTAAAAAGCCTGCGTGTGGCGTAAGCGAGCTGTCTCAGACATGCGTCGAGCCCGCAGCGACTCAGTCAAAAGGGCGCGGGCGCCTTTGCGGGGAGCTATAGTACGGTGCACGATGACATTTTGTGCGTACCTCTGCGCCTGGGTCTCCTATGTCCGGTTTAGACTGTGCGAGGTCGAGCATTTCATCATAATAATCTTGCGCCTGCCATTGGTAGAGCGTGCGGACATCTTGAATATGCCGCTTCTGCATCTCCTGTACGCGTTCGTTCAGCGTAACTGAGTTATCATGGGTCTCGTTCGCCTTCTTGATGGCGTCCAACCTGCATGCCGCAGGGGCTCGGGTCAGGGTGCACGCGTCCGCGGTGTATGTTGCCAGGCTCACGCACCCAGGAAAGAACGCGCCTTTGAGCTCCATCACGTCCTCCACGAGTTGCCGCCTTTGAATCGCGTCGCGGAGCTCGCGCAGGTCTGCGGGCGATGCCTTCTCTGGGTGCGCCGCGACGGCGTGCAGGTTCAACGCGGGTTGAGGCGCGGTTCCGGACATCTTCTGGAGCACACGCCCTGTGAATCCTTTATGGTCGTTGTAGACATCCTTGGGTCGTCTCTGGGCACCGTCAGCCATGATTCCGGGAATGCGCGTATACGGTTCTTCGTGGTCGGCTTGAGGGAAGGTAGCGGGAATACGTCCGCGTCTAGGGTCGAAGCCGATAGGCGCGCGTGCCGCAGACCGCGGCGCGACTCGCGCGTGAACCGCTCTCGCTCTCACCGCTGCCACCAACCGGACGCTCATTGCTGCACTCGAGCGGTCATGTCCTTACCCACTCGCGGACGCGTCATAATTGAAACAACAGCTGGAGAAATCGATATTGAGCTATGGTCCAAGGTGCGTGCACTGCTTAACACAGTGCCAGCCATCGCTCAAGCCTGCTCTAGGAAACACCCAAAACATGTCGGAACTTCCTGGCACTGGCTATGGAAGGTGTGTCTTTCACCATGCGCGAAGGGAATATGGCGTTGATGTTGCTTCAGGCTACTATGATGGTGTTATATTCCACCGGTGCGCGTGGTTATGATGCCGGGTCAGAGAGTGCATGCTCACACCGCACAGAATCGTCCCGGACTTCCTGGTGCAGACGGGCGACAGGACGGGGACGGGTGGTGGAGGAGAATCGTTCTACGGAGGTGCGCGGATACACTTCACTCAGCAACTCTCGGTGCTCATGCGACATAGAGCCCTTCGAGGATGAGATCCACCCGCGTCTTCGCTTCGCGCACCGTGGGCTAGTGGCTATGGCGAACAACGGTGCCAAGAACTCGAACGACTCCCAATTCTTCATCACGCTGGGTGAGTATCTCGCTCGCGCTATCTCATGGGAACCAAATCATGACCCTGTGCGCCGTCGCAGACCGTGCGGACGAGCTGCATGGCAAGCACACCCTGTTTGGGCGCGTCATCGGAGACACCATTTACAGTACGTTACTTCCCCCCAACCGTCGGTGCGCATGCTGACGTTCCGTAGATGTACTCAAGATCGGAGAGATGGGTGCGCTTGTATTCCCATCCCTCCGTCTCAATAACTTAGGTGCCTCCGCTAGAGATTGACGCCAACGAACGGCCGCTCTAGTGAGCATCATTATTACGCTCAACAAATTTCGGCCAGAGCTGACCTGCGTACTCGCAGCCCGCCCAAGATCAAGCGGATACGCATTATCGAAAATCCCTTCGAAGATATCGTGCCGCGTATAACCGCAGAGGAAAAGCGTGCTCAGCAGCGCGCACGCGAACAGGCTCAACGCGAGCGCGAGAACGAGCAGCGTCTGCGAGGGGCGAAGAAGTACGTTACACTGGGGACGGTGGAGACGTGTACGTATACTAATGGCATTGCAGGGATGTGAAGCTGTTGAGCTTCGGTGGCGACGAGGACGCGGAAGAAGAACCGGTGGTGTTCAAGAAGAAACCTATCGTGCGCCCAGACCGTAAGTCGTGCAGCGTGGCTCTCGACAGCGCAAGAGCGGGAAGCTGAATGAAACCCCGCAGTCATAGACAACCCTGAGCTGCCTGCGTCACTTTCGGGGCCCATTCCAGAGCCGCCGGCGCCGAAAGCGAAGCCCCCAAAACGCGACCGCACAGAAGAGCCAGAAAGCCGGCCCGTAAGTTCATTTGTGTTAAGCGCGAGTATAGAGCCCTTAGAAGTATGACCAGACCGAAAAGAAAGCTAAAAAGGACGAAACGGAGATCACAAAGATCCGCGAAAAGCACGAGCGCGAGAAGGCGGCGCAGAGGTACGTCCCCCGCGTCTTTTCGTGCAATATCCGTAAATAACGCGCCCATCTGCAGTAACTCGCGCCAGTCCCAGATCGAGAAGATGGAGGCGGATATCCGGAAGCTCTCGCGGCGTGGCGCGGACAGCGACGACGAGCTCACAAAAAAGAAGCCGAAGAAGTCGCTACTCGAAGAGGAGATGGCCAAGTACGCTAAAGGGCGTGGCGCACACAAGAAGGGCAAGGGCAAAAAAGACGAGGGCGACGTGCTCGCCGCGCTCAGCAGCTTCCGCAGCAAGCTCAAGGGCACCGCGCGTGAGGAGTCGCCGCCCCCCGCCGAGCTGCCGGATGGCGCAGAGGAGGGGGAGGAGAAGCCGGCGGGTGAGGACGAGGGCATGGAGGTTGACGACGATACCGGCTTCTTGGGGCACAAACTGAGTTTCCCGAAGGGGAACGAAGAGGAGGTTGCGAAGGCGGAGCGGGATTACGAGGTCATCGATCCCAGGCAGCGCGGTGCGCGCGCGAAGGAGGAGGAGCGCGAGCGGAAGCGGGTACTGAAGCAGAAGGACATCACGCAGGGACGGGGGTTCCGACGGTAGTCTGCAGATCATTTGCTCTTTTTGCCTGTGTATTCCCTAGCTACTTGTACATTGCTGACTGACTTCGTGCACGTCCGCCCCCGCGCTAGATGTACAGATGCGAGTTCCTCACTCGCTCATCCAGTTCCTCCCAAAGCCTCTGAAGCGGCCGCTCCGTGCCCTGCGCGTGCGGCTGGATGCGCATCCACAGCTCGTCCGTGACCGCGCCCTGCTCCTGATCCGCATCGACGGCGAACCAGCGCGAGCCGTCGCCCATCTCGACGCCGATGCGCTCGAACACGTGCTGGACGCGCTCCTGCATGTCCGCGCTCTCGTAGCGCTCGGCCCCGAACCCGCCGCGCTCGCGGGCCTTCTCGGGCGAGACGTCGAGGAAGAGCGTGAGGTCGGGCGCGGGGAGGCCGATGTCGGGGGCGCGGCACCACTCGTAGGACATGCCGGGCTTGTTCTTCGCCGCGGAGAAGGCGATGCCCGAGAAGGCGTAGCGGTCGCAGATCACGGTGGTGCCCGCGTTGAGTGAGTCGATGATGGATGGTCTGGAGGTCATGCGATCAGGGTGAGGGGAAGCTGGGGTGAGAGTGAGGGTGGACTCACGCGAGCTCCCAGCGGTTGGCGGAGAAGAGGAGATGGATGGCGTGGTCGTCCATCTCGGACTGGGAGCGGAGATACGCGTCGATCATCTTGCCAATGGGTGTTGTGCGGTCTTGCATGTGTGATCTGCATGAGACTGCATGACCTCGCGCATGGACGAGAACACTGCTCACCAGGGAATTTGACGAGTCTTACGGGACGCCCCTCGGCTTTGAAGCGCTGTTCGAGGAGGGCGACCTGGGTGCTCTTGCCCGACCTGTCGAGGCCTTCGATGACAACAAATGCTCCGCGAGGTTTGCGCTCAGGCATGTTGAGTACGAGGGATGGAGGACGGGGTGGTGGGAGTGTGGAGGAGAGAGATGCGTTTGAGAGGCTGGACGCGTACGCGATCGACGAGGACGCGTCCAGCCATTCCGCCCCGTTCGGAGCGCTCGTCTGCTCAGCTGCAGTCGCGGGAGTCTGTCCCGGATCTCTCTTTGCTTGCCACCACCACCATCTCCTGCCTCCACAGTGCTCTGCGGTTTTTGGATCGAATTTTGCGGCGATACAAATACGGAGATGCTCTGACCGCTCGCCTTTCCCTCTGCCTTTCATGCTCCCGCAACCATGTCATTCAATTCACGCTTTCCTACTGAGCATCACCGGAGATGGCACCACGGGAACGGCCCTCGATTTCCACAAGCAGCACCAGCTAAGGCTGAAGATGCGCAGCCAAATGAGCTACTGAGCAAGCGCAACGTCGCCGGTCCTCCAGTCATCCGTACGTCCGTACCCATCCCCCGCAACATCGGCAGAGGTACGTATATAGGCAAAGGTGCTCCGGCCTCCTTTAGGGGGAGAGGCGGTCTTCATACAGCAGCGCCCGTATCACGCACAGGCTGGGGTACCGACGGGTCCTACGACCAGGCTGGTAGTGCCGTCCCTGGATCGTCGGCGAGACCTAGCAGAGAGGTCGGTGGGCGAAACATCCAGGCGAACGCTTCAACACACTTCATCCCCACCCCTCGGCCTCCCCATACTCCCTCTCAACAACGAGATGTCTCAAATTACTCGCGCGCATCTGTACGTGTCACCGCTTGACATCCCAGCTCCGTTTGGCTAGGTCTGAACCTGACCTTACCCTGCAGCACCGCGCGGAGCGCTCAAACGATGAGAACCCGCCCGCCGCTCAGAACGGGGTCCCTCCTATAGGTTTCGGAAGCGTATCCGCGGCGCTCAACCAGAAGCATGCCCTAGATGCTGCCTCTGCGTCAACTCTGTCCCCTGATTTTTCGAAGCGCAAGGGTCATCATCGCCCGGCCATTCCTCCGCGTTTCCAACCACCAATCCCCCGCCGCCAGACACTCGCTGCGAACTTGAGAGAACCTCCTCCCCATCTCAGTGGCCTTGGGCATGCCAGCATCTCTGGTACAGAAGCGCGCAACTCCGAACAGGCCAATTCAGTCGCAAGCAGGCCTGCCATGGAAAACGTTTCTAGCGCAGGCAGCAGCAGAGCGTCTTCGTCGGACGGGACTCCCTTGAGCTTGCGGTCACATGCAAAGCCCGCAAACGCGACCAAGTCGCTGGCCTCGGCGTCCGATCTCCTGTTGGCCGATATCAACAAACCCTCGACCTCTACAGAGACGTTGCGCAGCCACTTGCCTCCTCCAGCAAAGCGTCGCAGACTGTCTCCACCTGCTCTTACTCGTACGCGTCCCGCCTCTCCCCCGCTTCAACCACCTCGCGTCAAATCCCTCGAATATTCCAATGCACCTGCCCACGCCGTATCGCGCTCCAACGTTTCTCCACCCTTGGAACCGCCAGCATCAACAGTACCGTCGTCGAATGTCAAGCGAGAACGCAGCCCTTCCCCGGCAATAAGCGACGATTCTGCACCGCAGCTAGTCACCGAAGGGTGTGTCCGCATCGCGCCCTTGCCGCCGGAGTGCAAAAACACGCGCCCCGGGCACAAGGAGGCGCGAAAGATTTGGACTACCCGTGAGGTGACGAGACTCCGCGGCCTAGGTGTGCAGCCTACGCGCATCTTCGTGCGGTGAGTACGTACCGCGGGGATAACAGTATGGATTGGCTAATTCTACCGTGCGAGGTTAGTGAGGACGGGATGGTGATAGATTGGTATGTCCTTCTGAGTCACCTACACTCGTGCACCTAGGCGGTACTTTTTGACGCTGCTGCATGTAGGAAGAGCAAGGTTCCCGTAATGTCGGATACTTTACGTCCCCCGCCCACCTCGGCGAGTCCAGCGAAGGCGGCTCCTCTCTCCGACGGACCAAGTTCACCACCGACGAAGAAACAGAAGCTTCAATCCACTCCAACCGGCGAGACGGCGCGTCGTGAACATGAAGTGGACGGTATCGAAACCCGCAAACAAGGGCCCGCTCCCCCTACTCGACGGCCTGGGCAACCCACTTCACGGGGGGAAATACCTGCGCCCGGCGAGACGATCTGGCGACGAGTTCTCCCTCCGCCCCGTCCGTCCGCTGCGGACCTCGGGGAAAACGTACCGCGCCACGCGGTGTCATACGCGCGAAGTGGATGCCCGTCGCCGGCGATCGGTCCCTCCACAGGGGGTCAACCTGCCGCAGACATCGTCGACCTCACCGACAGTGGCGAAAACGCTGAAGTGGAGATCATAGACCTCACAGACGAGCCTGACACACAACCCGACAGTTCGCCAGCACCGCACGCCGCTGCGCAGACGGAGCTGTCCTCTACTCTGACAGCGGATGGAGAAGAGATGGAAGCCGCTGCGCTGCGCTTTCTGCAACGGTCCGTCCGCTCTCAGCTACCTGGGTCCCTGAGGACCCACGCTATGCAACCCACTCACGCTTCTATCGTATCTCCTGTCAGCTACGTCGCAGACTTCGCGACGGACCGCGCCGCGCTCGCGAGCGCGTACTCCCGCGCCGCCACGTTCTCCACCCAAACCCTCCCGTCGTCGCCGCATTTAATGTCCGGCGCCGCCGCCCCCAGCACACCTCTGGCCCGACACCACGGGCGCGTCGAGATCATCGCGGCGCTGCTCGATCTGCCGGACGACGAGGCGTCGGCCGCGGCCCGCAAGGTTGAGTGGGACTTCGTGTACGCGCGGGAGGCCGGCGACGCCCTGCTCATTTGCTACACCACCGCCTGTATCCCCGAATGTGCCGGTACGCGCATGAAAGGGAAAGAGAAGGAAAAGGCCGTCGCGGAACTACGGGGGCTCTGCGAGCAGCGCTTTATACTGCGGCCAAGGGAGTGGGACGAGGAGGACAGGTGAGTGCTGTAGTTGCCCATGCGGTAATGGATGTCATGACCATCACGCATTCTTCAGGTCGACGCCGGGGGTGTGGCCGCTAGTTGCGGTGGCTCACCAGATGCTCTTCAGGCCGCTGCCAAGGTGATGTTGTACGCATACGATTGGTTGTATGATGGTCTGTATGCACCTCTCTCCATCCGTCCATGAGTGCCCGATAATGGTGTGTGTAGGTTCCCTACACATCCAAAACAGAGCTTGTCTTCTAGAAGACTTTCCGTTTTGCTTTTTCGACACTATTGATATCTCCATCTGTTGTTCGAGATCCTGACGGACCGCCACTGACTTACATGTAGCTTTAACGATGGACTCTCCGAGCGATATATAGCTTACGCATTCAAGGAAAGGTCGTCCTTCATCGAGTCTGAAATAGTTTACTGAACAGTATTCGTCATTTATGCAGTATCCGCCACAGCCTCAAGACGAAAGCGGCTGTATCAGGTTCCACGGAACCTTGTATACATGAAGAGGACTCTTCGATTCTCAGCCACGTTGCTTCCGCGAGGGCGCTGGCACTGGCGCTACCTGAGGTATAAAAACTCCCCTATCCTCGCATGTAGAGTGCCTCATACGCGTATCGGGCACGCTGTCAGCCCTCCTCCTTCCCCAATCGCTGTTCAGCTCATAACGGTGTCGATCGGAGTACTGCTAGAGAACAAGAGTGCGTATGAGAGGCAAGCCATGTGAGTGAGTTTCGCTGACCCACCAATCCTAGAATGCCGCGTTTCTTGAACACCTGTACGGGCGAATTCGAGTGGCATGACGATCCAAGACGCGTAGATTATGCCATTCTGTCGCATACCTGGCGTTCCTCGGAAGACGGTGGTGAACAGTCCTACGGCGAAGTGCGTGCGCTCCAGACCACAGTTGACGAGGCGGTTCGCAAGCAGCAACTCGCTATCCTGGCCGAATTGGACGATCTCAAAATCATCAAACCATCGCTCATCCCTCGGCGCATCTCTCCTGCAAAGGGGTTCACGCGCTCCACTATCCTGACACATCCGAAGCTATCACCGAAGATCAAAGCCGCATGCCAAGTCGCTCGCGAGGACGGGTTCCTCCTCCTGTGGATCGATACCTGCTGCATCGACAAGTCGAGCAGTACAGAGCTCTCCGAAGCGATCAACTCCATGTTCGAGTGGTACGAACTAGCCGACATCTGCTACGCCTATCTCGCGGATGTCCCCGGTGACGACGATCCTACTCAAGCCGTCTCCCTCTTTTGGCAAAGCAGGTGGCACACGCGGGGCTGGACTTTGCAGGAGCTCATCGCCCCGACGCGCGTCGTCTTCCTGACTCGCTCGTGGGGCTTTCTAGGGACGAAGGCGGGGCTCGCATCCACGCTGGAGAAGATCACGGGAGTTGACTTCAGCATACTCACGGGCCACGCCACTGTACACTCGGCCAGTGTCGCGCGGAGGATGTCGTGGGCCGCCTGCCGGGAGACAACGCGCATCGAGGACCGGGCGTACTCATTGCTGGGCATTTTCGGCATGCACATGTCTCCGATATACGGGGAGGGCGAAAACGCGTTCCTCCGTCTTCAGGAGGAGATTGTGAAGACCATCCCTGACCACAGCATCTTTGCATGGGGTCCTAGCTGTACCCTTCCTAGGTTGACAGAGGGCGAGTGCGTATTCACGGGCCAACCAAAGGGCGATAATGGTATCGGGCTCCTAGCCGGGTCACCGTTAGCCTTCGAAGGGCTGGCTGACATCACACCGCTATCGCCCACCGACTTTGCAGCTCGACTTGGACTTAGAACAGAGGATCTCCCTCCTATGCTCTGTCTCTTCGCTCCCCAAGGCGTCCGTGTCAAGCTCCCCTGCATAGACCTCGAACAGACACCGCAGCTATCCAAAGCTCTCCAAATTCGTCTCGCTTCAGAGGATCAAGCTCTGGTTCCCGGCGATCCCTGTTCCGCTTCCCAGCGGACGAGGGAAGATTGCCCCGAGTGTACGCAGATGCGCTTTGCCTTCAACGTCTTAGCACTTCTACAGTGTGAAGATAGGGCGGGTTCTATCATCGCTCTCCCTGTGTATGGGCCAATGTCACCCCAGTTGCGGCAAACGTCCACCCAGCGGTCTGACGTGGGGTTGTACGTCCATTTTGGAAGCCGGTGCTCATGTTGCGCTCAAAGATCCGGACCATCTGCGCCCCCTATCAGTCGTGGACATTGCGGCTTTGGGACGCGACCCTCATGTCATATGGTTCGTCTAAGTAGAGCGTCCTTGTCGGCGATACTAAAGCAAACCTCGAGGCCGCCACCCATCCTGGAACTCTCCATCCTCCGGCACAAGCCACGACCTGTAGACAGGGTCTCTCCTTCTCTGCACACCAAGAAGGCGCCAATGGAGGCAATTGAACTCTGGCCTGGAGACAGGGGGGATGGGCCCATCTTCTCTCTCGCTCCTCGTATCATCGATGAACTGGGCGCGCTTGGTTTCCACGTCTCCCCTCTGCGGTGCGAGCGGCGCTCAGCAAAGATCGTTCTGAAGACCTCGCTCACTCCGATTCCCCATCACCGTGACTCGAGGCAGCGAGTAAAACTTGAGCCACACGTGGAGCTTCATTTTGTGCTCAGTCCGCCGAAGGCCCCTCTCTATAAGGATTATGTGCTTTTTGATTATACCGCCTGGGTGCGCTTCCCCTCTGAGTGCATAAAAGACACTGGAAGTTGCGAAGAGCAAGAGGGGTGCGTTCAATTCTGCAGTAGCTTAGTACTACGCGCTAACGCTAGTGTTAGGACATATCAGTTGCTACCGATAATGTCGAACTCGACCCCGTTTAAGAATGGACACATTGCGGCCCAAACCCGGTTCGTCATCCATGCCAACCCCGACTCGGAACAGCCGATACGTGACTGGCCGGTTCAATACCTGCGACTCGCACTAGAGCGTCCAGCATGCGGCAGGGATCGCAAGAACGTCTGGGTCGTCATCGAACTCTCAGACAAGTTTGTAAAGACCATACCCTCGCACGAGTCAGATACTGTGAGCAGGCCATTGCTTCCGTTCCTCGAGGATAAAGGTTGACGCGTTGGGGTTCACTGCAGTACTCATCTATGCGGGAAGAAGATTACTCCGAATCTTCGCTGTGTAGTACATTCCCTTCGGATTCGGGGGACATTGTCGGTGAAGGCCAGTATCCATCTCCGTCCAAGGTGAGTTCAGCTCTCTGCCTGTGCATTTTCAGGTATTTATCGAACTTCCCTACGCTCCGGCGGCGTAAACCTCGTTTCTTCCTCTATGCAGAGCCAAGGAGGTACTGGGACTCCACCGTTGAGAGATAATCCAAATACGGGAGAAGATTTCGTGCCCCTGCGAGCCAACTCCGCCTCTCCTTCGCCATCTGGCGAGGGCAACCGCGAGCTAATGGACGACTCAGGGGTGACGTGCGGGTGTTGGCACAGCGTCGAAGTGCTGCGGCGCGAAAACGAGATTCTCCGTGCCGCACTATCAACGCAAGATGATCGCATATCCACCCTAGTGTCCCAGGTGGCCACAATGATGTCTCGGCTCGAGGCATTAACTGCACCACAAGGTGCGTACCGACCTCGCGCTCCCGCCATTTCCGGGCGAGGATGTATCTCAAGACTCGGACTGAGTCGGTCATCGTAGAAGAGTCGTTGGGCGCCTCCGGGCAAATGGGCTCTAGGAATTTCTAGAGCTCACTTGGGCGAAGTCGCGGCGCTTCTCTCGGTCTGCCAGACGAGGCGCCGGACGCGGCCCGCAAGGTCAAGTGGGACTTTGTGTACGCGCGGGAGGCGGGCAACGTCCTGCTTGTCTGCTACGCCGCCGGCCTCCCAGAACGTACCACCGCTCGCAGGAATGGTATAAACAAGGTTAAGAGGGGAGAAGCTTAGTGCGCGGCAGCGAGGGTTATGCGAGCAGCGTTTCATACTGCAGCCGCGGGAGTACTTGGGACGAGGAGGACAGGTAAGTGCTCTGTTCGTGTTTGTGTGGAACTGAGGTAGTGATAGACGTGTTCTTCAGGGCGACGCCGGGCGTGTGGCCGCTGGTCGCGGTGGCTCACCAGATGCTGTTTCCAAACGTGGCCGCGCCGCGTTGGGTGTGCAAGCGAGAACGAAGCCCTTCCCCGACAATAGGTGGCGATTCTGTACCGCAGCTAATCACCGAAGGGTGTGTCCGCATCGCACCCCTGCCGCCGGAATGCAAAAACACCCGCCCGGGGCATAAGGAGGCGCGAAAGATTTGGACTACACGCGAAGTGACGAGGCTCCGTGGCCTGGGTGTGCAGCCAACGCGCATCTTCGTGCGGTGAGCACGTCTTGAAGTAACAGCAGGACACATTAGCTAACGATATTGCAATTCCAGTGAGGATGGGATGGTGATAGACTGGTATGTATGCCTTCCCGTGTACCTGAATGGTGTTCTTGACGCTGCTACATACAGGAAGAGCAAGGTTCCCGTCATGTCGGATATACTACGTCCTCCGTCCACCTCAACTAGTCCAGCAAAGGCGGCTCCTGTCTCCAACGGACCAAGTTCGCCACCGACGAAGAAGCAGAAGCTTCAAGCTACTTCGACCGGCGAGACGGAGAGTCGCGAACATGAAGGGGACGGTAGAGCCCGCAAACACGGACCCGCTTCCCCTAGCCGACGGCCTGTGCAATCCACTTCATGGGGCGAATTACCTGCGCCGGGCGAGACAATCTGGCGACAAGTCCTTCCCCCGCCCCGTCCGTCTGTTGCGAACCTCGGGGAAAACGTGCTGCGCGATGCGGTGCCTTACGCGCGAAGTGGATGCCCGTCGCCAGCAGTCGGTCCGTCCACGGGCGATGAACCTGCGGCGGACCTCATCGACCTCACTGAAGGAGACAACGCCGAAGTGGAGGTCATAGACCTCACATGCACAGACAAGCCTGACATACAACCCGAAGACTCGGCGCCACAGTACGGCGCATCGCAAACGGAGCTCTCCACCAATGTGAGTGCGGACGGGGATGTGATGGAAGCAGATGCGCTGCGCTTCCTGCAACGGTCCGTCCGATCTCAGCTACCTGGGTCCCTGAGGGCCCATGCTGTGTCGCCCACTCACGCTCGTATTGTATCTCCTGTCAGCTACATCGCAGACTTCGCAACAGACCGCGCGGCTCTCGCGAGCGCGTACTCCCGCGCGGCGACGTTTTCTACCCAGACTCTCCCACCACCTCATCAGGATGTCGGCACTGCCGCCCGACACTACGGGCGGCTCGAAATCATCGCAGCCCTGCTCGATCTGCCGGACGACGAAGCGCCACTCGCAGCCCGCAAGGTCGAGTATGACTTCGTGTATGCGAGCAAGGCGGGGGACGTCCTGCTCATCTGCTACACCGCCGCGCGCGTACCAGAACAGACCGTTGCGCGTGGGAAGGGAAAGCAGAAGGAGAAGGCCACTGCAAAACTGCTTGATGGACTTTGTGAGCAGCGCTTCATACTCCGGCCGAGGGAGTGGGACGAAGAGGACAGGTGAGTGCTTTGCTCGTGCCTGTGGAGAGTCGAGGTAGTGACAGACATGTATTTTCCAGCGCGACCCCGGGAGTGTGGCCGCTGGTCGCGGTGGCCCACCAGATGCTGTTCCGGCCGCTACCATCCTAACGTGGGCGTGCTGCGTTGGCCGTGCGAGGAGTTGTATGCGTATCAGCTTGTGATCGCCCAGCAATGAAGCCTGCATGGTTCTCCCGATACACCTGCTTGGCCCAACGCAGGTTTATAAATATCCATTTCGGCCGGCTGAAATGAACTATGAAGAATCGCAGCATTCAGACCACGGGTTACAATTGATAGAAGGTATGTTTGCAAATTTCTTCTGATACTTACAGCTAGTAGATGACGCAGCTCTAGTCAGACAACAGGCGTACCCGGAGGTACTTTGTCGCCGCTGTATCATGCAGTACACTCAGCCTTGTAATCGGGAAACGAGTGTGGGTCGGTGGGCCAGGAAGCATTGCACGGATGCACAATCGAGAAGATCACCGCCGCCTAGGAACACACTGCGCGCGCTCCGGAGAGCATTGTAAGAGGCAAAAGCGCCGGCGAAGGCTCGATCGGCCTGAACAACGTTCACCTTCTGCGTCTCCTTCCGGGGGATCCTTGCTCTCACTCCACAGAGAACCCGTCGACTGTATCGAGCATTTCATGGCCGCCATACGCTGTATACCACCACGCGCCGGGTAGGGCGTGCGGGTAGGGCGTGCGTGACGTCGTCAGAAGAGCTGCAGCGTCCGACCCAGGCTTCCCGCATTCGCCCGTCCGATGACATAGTTGTTGAAAGAAGGAAAAGAAGACGTCGCAGGACGTGCCTACACGGGAGGTGCTTCTCAGTTATCAAACCTTCTCTCGTACTGTAGGGCCGTTTGTCAATCCTGGACATGGTGCGTACTCAAGATCCCCGCCGAGTCCGAGCGCTCCACGGCTACTAGGAGCATACACCATGGCTCGTCCGAACAGGTTTGTATACTATGTCATCAGTGACGCATTGCTGACTACAGGTGACAGGAATTGTACCCTATACAGTTACCGATGGGCGATTCGTGTAGCGTCGAACAGCGTGCGCAAATGGTCAGGGTAGCGCTGCAGAATCGCTACCGTACGGGGACCACCGTGGGTGCCCGCTCTCGCTCTCTATTACAGTATAAAGTGTCGTTCACTGTGCCCTCACCGACTCGGACATTCTCCATCCAATCCACTCGCATTCACAACACCACATCCTCAATGGCTATCTTCGAACTTCTTGCCTCTCTCGACCTCCCTTCATGGGCAGCAATTGTACTAGCAGCCGTCGTCCTCGTACACCTCGTGCCCTATGTACTCGACCCGCACGGCATACGAGCTTATCCGGGGCCCTTCTGGGCCAAGCTTACCGACCTCTGGCTGGGCAAGATTGCGGCGGATGGGCACCGTTCTGAACGGGTGCATGATCTGCACAAGAAATACGGCAAGTAATAATAATATGCACCACATGGAACAATTCATTCATTCAACTCCGCTGTACAGGCCCCTTCGTCCGCATCGCACCCAACCACCTCTCCATCTCGGACCCGGACGCGCTGCCGGTTGTCTACGGACACGGCACGGGCACGCTCAAGTCGGACTTCTACGACGCGTTCGTGTCCGTCCAGCGCGGCCTCTTCAGCACGCGCTCGCGCCCGGAGCATACGCGCAAGCGCAAGATCGTCGCGCACAGCTTCTCGCAGAAGAGCGTGCACGAGTTCGAGCCCCATGTGCGCGAGAACCTCTCGAAGCTCTTCAAGCAGTGGGACACGCTCTGCGAGGGTGGCGCTAAGGGCCTTTCTGGCAACGAAGGAGAGGGCGGCTGGCAGGGGCGCGAGGGCCGTGTGTGGTACGACTGCTTGCCGTGGTACAACTACCTCGCCTTCGATATCATCGGTAAGTACACGAGCAGCTGCATGTTCAGCGAGTCTAATGCGCCCGTCTATACGCAGGCGACCTCGCGTTCGGCGCACCCTTTGGCATGCTCACCTCGGGCAAGGACTCCGCACCCATCGCAGTATCGCAGGTGGACGCGATGGCAGCGTACGGCCAAGGCGGCACCCTCAAGGTTAAGCATGTTCCCGCCATCCAGGTTATCAACGATCGCGGCGAGTACGCTGCGTCGGTAGGCGTTCTCCCGCCACACTGGCGTCCATTTGTCAAGCGCTTGCCCTGGTACAACACTGGAGACAAGGCCGTGCAGAACCTGACGGGAATGGCTATCGCCGCCGTGGCACGCCGCATGGAGGAATCCGACAGCGACCACCGGGACCTCCTCGCGAAGCTCCGGGAGGCACGCGACGAAGACGGGAACCCCATGGGTCGCGAGGAGCTCACCGCCGAGGCGCTCGCGCAACTCGTTGCAGGCTCAGACACGACTTCGAAGTGCGTATTTTACGCCATCATCTGTCCCTCGGGCGACATGCTCATGTGCTTTTTCTACAGCTCCTCTTGCGCGATCACCTACTATCTCGCGAAGCACCAGCGCGTACAGGAAAAGCTCCAGCAGGAGCTCGACGAGGCGCTCGCCTCGGAGGAGGACGAGGTGGCGCTGTTCGAGCGGGTGAAGCACCTTCCCTACCTCGAGGCGGTGATCAATGAGGCCCTACGCATCCACTCGACCGCGGGTGTCGGCCTACCGCGCGTCGTTCCCGCTGGAGGCCTCGAGGTCTGCGGCAAGTTCTTTCCAGAAGGCACCGTGCTGTCCGTGCCGGGTTACACTATCCACCGCGACAAGGCCGTGTGGGGGGACGACGCGGACGAGTTCAGACCCGAGCGCTGGTTTGGGAAGGACAAAGCTGCGCTGCAGAAGGCGTTTGCTCCGTTCTCCGTTGGCCCTAGGTTAGTTGGGGTGATCCTCTCGCTTCTAGAACAGATCACTGAACGGGGCTTTCTTGATCTGTGCAGGAGCTGCGTCGGTCGGAACCTCGCCCACTTGGAGCTGCTCACTTTCGTCGCCTCGATATTCCGCCGCTATAGCTTTGTGCTTGAGAACCCGGATGAGCCCGTACGTGTCCTCTTCCATGCAGAGTGACCGCATCTGATTGAACGCCACCGCGTCATAGCTTCCGACCAACGAAGGTTTCTTGCGCAAGCCGCTGAAGTGCAATGTTGGCATGCAGCGCAGAAACGTGTAAGACGGCTGTGAATAAGGCGGCTGTCTTGAGATGCTTTTCGCTCTTCTAGGAGGTGCCATAGCACACCCACTAACAGACAGAGGCGTCCCCGGCGTGATATGCATCCAAGTAGCTTGTTGCACATATTATCAGTACATGTACGCCATTAATATCAAGTCAGCGGTAGACTAGTAAAAACGAACAGAGCATGACTAGTACTGTGAGGTGGTCCATGCGCCGTCAAGAAAACAACGCTGGAGCTGTACCAATCGGCTCACGAACGTGAAATCCGGCCCACCGTCCGCATATGCGAATCAGAGCCATCGGGCTTGGGCGCGAGGGATCACGAACGCTGTAAGATAGTCTGTGATTATATCCGTCAACTAGGTGTGGCCAAACACGCCGGCCGAGAGAATATCTCAGTCGCTCGCTGAAGAGCGCTCAACGCAAACGCAAAACTTGTTCATCCTGTCATGAATCCATAGTCAGCGAGCCCATGTCATGTTTTGGGAAGGAGAGGCGCTGTGAATAATCATGAGAAGTAGTACCCACCATCGATGGTGCCATCCACCGCCGTACAACCCAATCATAGCGAACACATCGTATGATCAGGTCATAACTGGGAGATGATAAACTGCACAGGTTTCGCGCTCTGGTTGCGCGAAGATGAGTTTACGAGGGTGCCGTACAGGGTAGTTATATTGTCCCTGTTGAGCTCCCCAACACTACAACTTCCCTCCCCTATACGGTGGCTAGTGCAAAGTCCAAGATATCAGCAACGTCCGTGCGCGCGTCTTTGATGCGGCGACATGTAGGTGTGATGAAATCTCACCACCATGATGCATTCGAAAGAACCCGTATAACGGGCAGCTTTCATCACCCGTTGGTGTTGGGAAATATCCCAGCGAGGATACGGGAGCTTTCGCAGTTCCCGGCCGGCAACTGAATATATGCCGGCGTCCAAAGCTTCTCCAGAAAAGGTGTGGTTCATCTGGCCTCGACGCCAATCCTGAGATACCGGCTCAGATCGCAAGAAGGAACGATTTGTTCCGCATGAGCCGCAATGGTTCGTTGGATGCGTCCAGGAGATACCGATAGCTAGGAGGTGACGAATATCCGGACGCAGGCTTCACATGTACCGCCTGGCCCCGCCGGCGAGATCTGAGGAAGCAGATAGTTGGACGCTCTGGCGCAGATGGCTGGGAACAGATGAGGCCGGCGATTCAGCAGAGACCGCCTTGAGCAGCAGATGGAGGTGAAAAGGGAAGAAAGGAGATTCGGAGACAAGAGAGCGGTGGGAGGGCAACCGTTTGTTGTGTCGCCGGCTGGTCAAAGCCACGTGAGCCACATGGGCACTGCACCCCACACTTCCCGCCCAGACTCTGCAACCTTCGCTTCCACCACCACCGCCCTCCTTCCTCTCACCTCACTCGCCCCTCCAGTCCGCCGATCGAACGTCGAGATGGCTTCCAAGGCAGCGTACAGACGGGTGCGTACATCTCCTGAGCAGGCAGCGGACAAATGGCTCATCGGCGCGCAGCTCAGCAAGGAGTACATCGCCATGCAGAAGGAGCCGCCTCCGTTCGTCTGGGCCGCCCCAGATGAGAAGAACATCCTGACTTGTGAGTTGTGTGGACTAGGAGCAGAAACAGGTGGGCTCACGACCACTGTTAACAGGGAATTTCATCATCGTATGTCGGCTGCAGAGTACTGGTCCCCGGTCCTTGCAATGCTCATATACTGCCGCAGCGAGGTCCCCCTGATTCCCCCTATGCGGGCGGAGAGTTCCATGGCGTCCTTCTCTTCCCGTCGGAATACCCCTTCAAGCCACCAGGCATCAAGGTACGTTATCACTTTCACGCCGGGCATTCGGACATACCATACCGGACAAACCCCACTCAATAGTGGCGACACGCGGTACCCTTTGGGATAGTTCTCCCCATCAACCGTGCATAGCTCCTGCGGAATGCCCGACGTGTTGTCAAACAACAGCATGTTACTGACTCCCACCCGTAGATGTTCACACCCTCTGGTCGCTTCCAACCAGACAAGAAGATCTGCTTCTCCATGTCTGATTTCCACCCAGGCTCTGTAAGTATCACAGTCTTGTGAATGACGGCGAGCGCCGTTCTTACGTCTTGCTGCTGTGACAGTGGAATCCTGCATGGAGCGTAGCAACAATGTGAGTAGCCCGCCTAATCTGCGTCCAGCCTGCTGCAACGTACCCATCCTTGCTTCGACCCTCAGATTGACCGGGCTTCTCTCCTTCATGCTCGCGGATGAGATGACGACGGGATCTGTCACGACAACCGACGCTGAGAAGCGCGTCTATGCCGCCCGCAGCCACTCCTGGAACCTCCAACAGAAGCGATTCAAAGATGCGTTCCCCGAGGTAAGCCTCCTTCTCCCGATCTAGATGCCCCACCTTCAAGATGGTGGAGCCGGCGAGCAAACATGAACGCGAAATCGCGTGTTACCTCAGCTGCGGCCACCCCGCACCGTCATGCGCGTAGACAGACGCCCAGACGTGTGTTCGTGTGATACAGCGCTGATATTCGCTATTCCTGCAGTACTGCACACCCACCCTGCGCGATGTGCCCAATATGGCGCAGAAGGAGCGCGGCATTTCCCCATCCCCCTCTCCCAAGACCTCGGCGTCGTCTACAGCATGCAGCGCGGTTCCTACGCCCACACCAACACCGGCGCCCGTGCCAAAGGACAAGGCAATTGCGCGAGCGCCGAACGGTGGCATCCCATCTACAGACGGCTCGAACGGCGTTGGCCAGAGTTGGGCGGCATCGCTGCGCCAGATGGTTTGGGAGAAATGGCGCTGGGGCGTCATCCTCGCGCTCGCGCTCGTCGTCTCCCGCATGTCGTCCAGCAACTGACCGCGGTTGCACTGCCTGCGCTTGATTCGTCGCTATGCCCAAACGCTCACGTCTCGCCCCCGCGTCACTCGTCGTGCACATGCGGCGGGCAGCGGGGGAGGCAGGTGGGTTGATGGTGCTGTCGCGGATGCGAGGTTGTGCAATGTCTGTCTCGTCTCTATTATCCCCTCACCCTCCTTCTAGTTGTCATATTAATGGACTCGCGCGTGTTGAATACCACCATCACCTCCTCCGTCGCCCTCCTTTCTCGTTCTTTGGTTTTAGGAATCCCGCTCTCCTCGTCCTCGCCACTCTTTCCTATGTTCCCGCTCCCAGCGTAGTGTGTACGTCTAGAATCGTCAGAATGCATCCGGGCGGCTTGCGCTCTCATATCAGGCTCCATCGGCCACCGCTCTTCGTCTCTCCTGAACACGGAGTACCTGAGCATTCGCTATCTTGACAGGTAGGTAGGTTACACACTATCCGTGCAACATGCCTTCGGCCCGCAAGTCAAACACAATCGAAGCTTCAAGCTGAAGCGCAATGCGGCAACATAGCACCAGGCTGGTCGGTGCCAATCCACCACTTCTACGATACTGCCAATGAGGCAAGACGCGGCCACCGGCCCGTCCTCGAACTCGCAAGCACTTAGATGCCGTATATACCTCCACCAGATATCTACGAGTGCGTAGTCTTCGCTCTCGCATTGATGCCCCCGCGTTTGCAGCGGTCAAGACCGTGTACTAAGACCGTGTACCACGTCTCAAGTTATAATTCAAGCTGTGGGCCCGGCAATGCGGGGAAAGATAGGAGTATGCCATTCGTTGTGTCCGATATGTACTGATCCTTGGTACGGTTCAAGTACGGTTGCCCCCCTTTGCCAACGCTGTTACAGAAGATGAGTTATGAATTATCTTCTCGTCGATTAAATTGAACGCTTGCCTCCGGCCATGTAGTGCGTATGGCGCACTCGGATGCTAGGATTTACCCAACGCACGATCTGCAGTTATCGAACCGGTCTTACACGGGCGCTTATGGCTTGGAAGATGCGTCGGAAGATACGTCGGAAGATGCAAACCTGCTCGGGACCCGAAAAAGTCCTGCCACCTGTCTCATCATTTTCAGGACCAGCTGTAAAGCGTATGTCCGCGGAATACGCGAAGTCCGTACGCACCTTGTGCTGCATCCAAAGCTTCGAGTCGAGACATCACGGCTGCCATCTGCGACTCCAGGGTGGACACGCGATCGGTTTGCAGCGATAGCGCGGTGCGAAGGGACTCGTTCTCGCGCCGCAGCGCTTCGACGCTGTGCGAGCACGCAAACTCCGCGCTTGCCTCATCCGCTGGCTTGGGATCCTCCTCGGAAGACGAAGAAGGGATGACGTCTTCTCGCGAGTCTGGATCGCCTTGGTCCTACATAGAGAACAGCGTCAGCATTTACACGTCCGAACCGCGAGCCCCCGGCCCTATGCTCTGGTACTACTACCGGCACAAGGGTATCAGCAGAGCGTTGCGCTCACCGATGGAATAGTAGAATGCCGGCGTGTGTTGGCACCGTCTTCTGCAAGTAAAGAGGGTGCATGCAGAGGCGCCTGAGACTCGGCTTCGGACTGCCAATGTCCTTTTGATTCCACGGGCGAGTAGTGCTGCAGTCAAACGCCACACGTCAGTACTCGCGGAATGGATATAACAACCCACGCACATCTTGTAGCATGTGTGCGGGCCTAGCGTCTGTGAATTTGTCCGAAAGCTCGATGACGACCCAGACGTTCTTGCAATCCCTGATAGTGGAACTCCATGCCGGACGCTCTAGTGCAAGCCGTAGGTGTCGGAATGGCCAGTCTTGTTTTGGTTTCTCCAAGTCGTATTCGGCGCGAACGACACTATACTCCTCCATTACGATGCGCCCCTCGATACAGCCCCCGCCATAAGAACTGCCTCTTGGGATCAAGTACAACCTGCTACTTGCGTTAATGTGTGTTTGAAACTGATACATTTACGAGTGTTTTACGCACTCGGCTTCATCTACCAACATGTCTCTTCCATATCCAAAGGGGGGCAAGCCTTGATTATAAGCCCCTACCCATGTGGAGGAGGAGGCGAAGCGGAGGTTCCCGTTCTCCAAGCCAACCGTAGTAATCCAGCTCAAGTCATTAGTCCTGAGCTCGATATCAAATAGAATCACTATGGTCGGCTTTAGTTTTGGTGGTTGCTGCGAGTCAGGGTGTTGCGGATGAGGTCTAGGAGCGAGCAAGGTCTTCAATATTATCTTGGCTGAGCGCCGCTCGCACCGCAAAGGGGCGACATAGAAACCGAGTGCACCCAGTTCATCGATGGTACGAGGAGCGAAAGAAAAGACAGGCTCATCCTCCCGATCGTCAGGCCAGTATTGGATTTGTTCCTTGATGGGTTCCTGACTGCAGTACTGGAAGGCTCGCGAGAATTCGCTGTCCTCATGTCTGATTTGATTGTAGCGGAGGATAGTGAGTTCTAAGACTCGGAGTGACGTCTTTGAGTTTTGCTCCAGTGTTTCCGACAAGGCCGGTATACTGAGACGGACTACGCGAAATGACTCGCGATGTCTACCAGATTACTCGCATCGACTTCCGAACTCGACGTACAACCCCAGGTCGGATCGCGGTGTGGGCGTTCCTCGATGTGATTCCGACGCATGGATAGGGAGAGCTATGAGACAACCCGACTTGTCCTCGCACTGCAGAAATGCTAGCACATCGCAGGCAAACTGAATTTGAATACAATCAGGACAAACTTCCGTCGGCTGTGGTGAGGGGGACTCAGGTTTGCGTGCCAGAAGAGCTTTGAATAGCTGCGGTGTTTGTGCAAGGTCGATGCAGGGGAGCTTAACACGGACACCCTGGGAAGCGAAAAGGCAGTCGAGGGTAGGCACATCCTCTGCTCTAAGCCCAAGGCGAGTTGCAAACGCGACAGAGGATAGCGGTGTGATGTCGGCGAGCCCCTTGAAGGCTAACGGTGTTTCGGCCAGGAGCCCGATACTAGTCCATCGGTATGTGACTTTGCCCTCGCTCTCTGTCAGATTAGGAAGGGCGCAGCTAGAACCCCATGCGAAGATGCTGTGGTCGGGAATGGTCCTTACAATCTCTTCTTGTAGACGGAGGAACGCGTTTTGGCCCTCTCCGTAGATTGGAGACATGTGGATACCGAAAATGCCCAGCAATGAGTACGCCTGGTCCTCAATGCGCGTTGTCTCCCGGCAGGCGGCCCACGACATCCTTCGCGCGACACTCTGAGAGTGAATAGAGATATGGCCAGTGAGGATGTTGAAGTCGACTCCGGTGATCTTCTCCAGCGAGGATGCGAGTCCAGCCTTCGTCCCCAGACAGCCCCACGTGCGAGTCAGGAAGACGACACGCTTTGGGGCGATGAGCTCCTGCAGCGTCCAGCCCCGTTTGTGCCACCTGCTCCGCGAGAAGTAGGAATTGGCTTGAGTCGGATCGTCGTCATCGGGAACATCCTCGAGATAGGCGTAGCAGACGTCGGCTAGTCTGTACCACTCGAACATCGAGTTGATCGCCTCGGAGAGCTCTGCACTGCTCGACTTGTCGATGCAGCAGGTATCGATCCACAGGAGGAGGTACCCGTCTCTGCGCGCGACCTTGCATGCGTATTTGATTTTGTGGGACAGCTCGGGGTGGTAGAGGACGAATGAGGGGAGGGCGGCCGCACCTTTTGGAAGGAGGAAGTGAGGGGAGACCCGTTTTGCCTGGGAAAGGGTTGTTATCTGGTGGCATCGGATGATGTCTACGGTCGCAGCGTAGAGTCTCCGCTGGCGCTGCTCGGGCTCCGCATTGACCGACATCTGAAGCCTGCGCACATCGCTGTACGACTGCTCTCCGCCTTCGTCTGGGGATCGCCAAGTGTGAGATAGAATCGCGTACGTGATCTTGCGTGGATCGGCATGCCACTCGAACTCGCCCGTCCAGGTGTTCAGGAAGTGCGGCATTCTATTGCACATAGGATGGTCAACCGGGGGTGGTGGTGGGAGTCTTCCGCCCGTTTCGATACGCACCTGAGAGTAGAGTGGGCAGAGTGGTTTGCAGTACAGTACATAGGGCGCCGGTTTACATACATGCAATTCCAGGCGCTCATTCCCGCCAGTTGCTGCTTTGACCACGACCACCATCTGTCTACGGCTGGCGACGAGTATCCACTCAATACTCAGGCTCTGTCGTGCTATAATTGCTGGTCTGCACACGCTCAAACTTGCGTTCCCTGCGGCGGTGCGATTGCACACACAGGCGAAGGTCCCTCGAAGGACATTCGACCGCGCCCCGTCCGACTCTCTTAGTACCCTCTGCCTGCCTCCTCCTACCTGCGGACGTCAATAACACATCTCTTTCGCCGCAGCGAGTAAGCACCCGTCAAACAGATCTCTTACCATCCTCTCCCTATAATTCGCCATCTCTACATTCCCCATGGACCCGCAGCAGCCCCCACATTCAGCGAGCACTGAGCTCCGCACGTCAACCCTTGACTCGCAACTGACCGCGTCGATGGAGCTCCCACGTGCAGAGCCGCTCTTCAGTCCCCCCGCGCCCGTCGGCGAACCTGATGTCCCAGACCCTTTCCTGAAGGAGCCGGTCGACTCCGAAGACGAATCTGTTTCGGACACGGCAGAGGAGGGTCTCTCTCCGTCTGCAACGCCTGCCATAGAGGAGGTCACCCTTGCCCCGGCTGAACCCGCTACCCCCTCATTGCCCCGCTCACCAAATCTTGACAAGTCGGTGCCCCCGACCCCGCTGCCCCCAGCGAGTGACGACGAAGACGAGGATGAGGCTCCAGAGTTCTATTTGCCTGGTCTGACGCTGCCGACCATGTTCTTGCCAATACCCAACGTACGCTACCCAGTCTCATACATAACACGTTGGCTATCTAAGAGTTTGATGTTCAATCATGTGTACCTTAGACAGACCCGCTAAGCACACTCTTGACCAAATATGTTCCCGCTGAGAAGCGACCACCACGAGACTTGACAGGAGATTACTCCCGTGCAGGAGGAGAGCTGCATCCGTTGATTGTAAGTAGGCAGGCTAGATGCAATGGTCACAGTCTTACGATGGCGACGTGCAGATGACGAATAGTTGGAGGGCGGTCGCGCGGCAGGCGCGAGATCGCATTGTCGAAGCCGACCCAGAAGAAGTCCCGTACATCCTCTCCGTAAGTGCGATCCCCTCACCAACCCCCGCGCGCGGTCTAACATATGGATGGATTGACACCGTAGCTGTGGTACCTCCGCCTCTCCTCCCTCGCGCGCATGCGCCTCTTCAACCAGACCTCCGCCGAGTGCACGAACCTCTTCGCCGTCCTGCACGCTCTGGAGCCGCGCGAGACACGCACGTATCTCTTCGACCGCGTGCTCCCATTCGAGCTCGAGGTGCTCTACGCAAAGCTCAAGTACTGGGCGGGCGACCACGTCGGCTACCTCGATGCGCTCGCCGCGCTCCTCCGCCGCTGCAAGGCGAAGGCGCGGGCGGCCAAGCACGACCAGGCCGCCGCTGGGATGTGGGTAGAGCGCGGCGCGCGCATCGTTCTCATTATCGCGTCGCAGTTCGTCGAGATGCGGGTGCGTCGTGACATTTGTTTTCTTCGTGCGTTTACATAGCGTTTCCACCTAAATTCGCGTGGCGGTAGGATTATACGGCGGCGGCGAGGCTCCTCGAACCTCTCTGCATGCAACCTGGGGGCGTGTCCTCGCCTGCACTCCGCTCCGCCGTGGCCCGCATCTACCTGCAGGGCGGGTACGTCGCGATGGCAGCGAAGCACCTCGCGGCCGTTGCGGAGGACCCGACCGCGGACCCTGTGCAGAAGGGCATGAACGCAGCGCTGTTTGCGTCTGCGGAGGGCGACTGGTCCCGTGCGACTGTTGAGCTGCAGCGCATCATCGCGGCGGATCCGGAGAACTTCGTCGCCGTGAACAACCTCGCGGTCGCGCTGCTCAACCAAGGGCGGTTGCAAGAGGTAAGTGGACGCGATGAGGTGAATGCATCATAGAGCTCATTGTGCTTTGCGGGACAGGCGATCCAGCTGCTCGAGGACGCGCTCCGGACGTCCCCCGCCACAATCGTGACGGCTGAGCCGTTCCTTTTCAATCTCTGTGAGTGTCACCATTCATACCTTGTGTTCATGACTGACGTTCCTATAGCTACGCTGTACGAACTGCGCTCGGCGGCCGGCGCGGACAAGAAACGCGAGCTCCTCGTCGAAGTCGCGAAGTGGGCCGGGGATGGCCTGCGCACGACTTGCCTGAAGTTGCCTACCACGTAGTCCATAAAGCTTTCTCATCATGTGATCGCACCGCATCCAGCGATTATAGGAATGCAATGGGCATGTTGCATAAACGAACGTGGGACACGGACATACGCCAAGGATTAGGGTGCGGACGGTCGTGGCTAGTAGTGTATCTCGTCGATTACTGTCTGTCGGCTGGTCCATATCCCACACCTTCCCGGGCGCCCTAATCGTCGTCGTCGTCGCCTACACATCTTCATACCGCGGATTGGCGGGTCATAACATACAGTTGTAGGTCCTGCCAGCCTATGAACAGCTCATGAGCGCTGTCCCCACATCATTGAAGACACGAAGTGCGAACTCACCTCCACCAACGCGGCACATCACCTTCTTGGACGTGCCCTTCCCGCCGGAACGCGTCATGGTCGTCAGCTTGCATGTTATGACCTTGCGCCCGAGCATGTTCGAGAACGCATACTGCGCGCGCAGCTCCTCGCCCTCCTTCGGCGCGCTCCGCAGCGGCGGGTCGACGCGCTCCACGAGTAGTCCGTGCGGGATCGAGTTCACAATTGCGGCGACCTCGACGTCGAGCGGGTCACGCGTGCTCGCAGGCGTGTAGATATGCAGTGGGCTGTCGTAAGGGCCGTCGCGGGTAGGTGTCGCCGCGCCCGTGCGTGATGCGGGTCGCGACCCCGGGGTGCGGGGGGACGCGCCGTCGCGAAAGCTGGAGGGGGGGAGGCGCATCTGCGAGCCGCGTGGGGTCATGCGCAGAGCGTTCTCGGGGGTTTGTGCGCGCTGGGCGTAGCCATGGAAGGACATTGCGCTGTCCGGGCGGTAGGACATCGCGGTGCCGGGCCGCGACGCAGAGGAGACGTGCACGCTGGGGATGGGGATCATAGAGCGGCTGGGCGGGCGCACCGGGATGCCCGTGACGGACTGGGTGGGGGACAGCGCGCGCGAGGGGGAGAAGGCGCGTTGCATGTACGAGGTGGGACTCACGTCGCCCGCCGCGGACATGGAACGGAAGTGACTTTTCGACGGCGCGGGGATGTGGCTCGGCGTCTTCGGGCGCGTCCGGGGGGAGACCGCTGTAGAAGAGATGGCGGAAGGGAGTCCTGGAGTATAGGAACGTGATGGTGGCCGATACAGGGAGAAGGGTGTGGTCGAAGACTGTGCGGTGGAGACAGAAGAGGTGACAGGGGACCACGGACGCGAGGACGCCATGGAGCTACGCGATAGACTTCGCTTGTACAGGGTGGGAACGGGGGGTATATCGTCAGAGAAAGAGTGCGACAGGCCAGCAACCGACGGGCTCCGTGATGATTTCTTGACAGTGCCCGATCGGTCGTCAGTCTGAACCTTTGTCGAGCTATTCCATGCTCTCTCTCGTGATTTCATCACTGGGTTTATGTCGGGTCTCCTAGCTGGGGATGACTCCGGAGTGACACTGTTGCTGTACTTGTGAGACGGACGCTCGGGGGTAGTCGGCGTTGGGGGTTGGCCGCCATTGAGGAAGTTGAACATGGATGTCCTGTGGCGAAGGGTACGCGTCGGCTCTGAGGAAGGCGTCCGTGTAGAAGCAGGACTCCTTGCCGGTACAGGGGTCGCTTTGCCTGGTAGAGGGGACTTGGCGCCAGATCCGGCTGCCCTGAGCTTCCGGGCGATCTTGCGGAATGGGGATATCGACCTCGAAAGCGTGTTTGCAGCGCTGGGAGATCGTCCTTTGGACTTCCCACCACTAGGCGGGGTGGCAAGATACCCGTTCTTGGACATGGTGGTCTGTCCTGACTGACTCGAACCTCCTTCGCTTATGGCGGAATCGCCCTGCAAGAAGACGCGCCGCAGATTCTCCATGTCGGTGTCTGTTCTCGATATACGCTCCTTGAGATTTCGCCAGCGCTGCGTGCACTCTGCATGGCGTCGTAGACATTCGCCATTCTTCGTCACGCGATCCTGCACGCCCTTGTCAATGATCGACAACACTTTGGTGGTGGCCGGCATATAGTGCCTAAAATTTTTGTCAGTTCGAGTATATGAACTGGCCCGAAGAAGATCGACGCGTACTTCTTCTTGGCCTCATAGGAATCGACGATGGTATCAAAAACATCAAGTGTAAGAGGCTTGTCGGAACGGCCCGAGGACGATGAATTGGAAGCTGTGAGTGAATCGTCCAGCCCTCGTTTCTGCACCTGCCAAAGGAAGTCCTGCATGGGATGTCAGTGGCCGTGCCCCGCGTATATCCCGCGACAGGTTCGCGCCCGTACCTGACATCGATTGACAGCCTTCTCCAGGCTGGACATCATACCATCTGCTTGCTCCGTCACGGTGCGGAATACGGTCAGCCACTTGTCCTCCTTCAGCTCCTCTCGCAACACCTGAGACTCCTTCTGCACGGCGTCCCACTCAATCATGAGGTCTGCATGTTTTCGCAGAAGACCGGCCTCTTCACCGGATGTGAAGGCAACGGATATCGGCGTCTTCTCGGCGCGTTTCAGCAGCGGTTCGAGGGATTCATTCACGGTCTTGACACCTTTCGAGACGGATTCTATCCGCTCGTCCAGACTGATGAGGGACGTATCAATGGTGCTGGAAGCGTTGCTCGAGTCGCCTGCAGACTGCGACTTGTGCCGTAACTCCTGGATTTCTGGACGCGCCACGCGGTCGAGGCGTATTCATTGAGTGCAGATAGGCGACAGGCTTACCGAAAATGCGCGTCTGGATATCCGAGATGGCGTACGAAAGTTCCGTCATATGGGTCGAGACGGCGAGGAGGCGAATATCCCTGTACCCTGATCAGCACCGCAGACGGCGCGAGTCGCAGACGGAGACGTACTCCTGTGTCCTTCCCTTCCCATTGGACATATTCGATATGAGAGATACGCGGTTGACCGTGACCGTGGCGTCCTCTGTCCAAGGTTTGTCAACCATGGGGTCGTGCGACTGGGCATATAGACGCGAAGCATACCGTCGTCAGCTCCGCTCAAACGGCCATCGGAGGAGCTCGATGTGGATCCGGCGGACATGGAGGGCGATGGAGATGGTGGTACATGGCTGAGGCTGTTCTTGGACGAAGAAGAGTGTATGCTAGATGACCGGGAGGGCGTGAGGGTGAGAGAGACCATAACAAGGAGCGAGACAGTGCGACAGCAAGAGCAGCAGACAAGATACGAGAGGGTCGTACAGGTCACGGAGGGGAGGAATTGTGAGGGGGAAGGGGTGGTGAGGAGGGCAGAGAATCTGAGACGAACGAGATTCGGGCCTCAGAGGATCCGCCGGGTCGAAACTGATGTCGCAGGTTATCCAGGGGTATATGCAACAAGTTAAGGAAGGAGACGCGACGGATCCTCTGCTCGTCGACGACCAGCAGGGAGGGCAGGGACAAAAAGGATTTCGGTGGTCGGAGTGGTCAACAGTTGAGTTGGCTGGTCCAGCGCACGCCCAGAGACGCACTATGATAGTGTAACAAAGTTGAACAAACATTACTGATCGGAACTATAAGCGCATAATGACCGAGTCTATACCGCATTACACTCGGTTACAGGTTACATATAGCCCCCGCGCCCCGCGACGATGAGAGCACAACGCCGGCCCACGCTTTTGTTCGCTATATCTGTCAAAGCACAACAGAGCACAACCTATTACGGTGGTAGTCAAGCACACCGCTGCCTAGTCGACCTCCATCGCCGCGCTCCCCTCGCCTGTTTCCCACTCAGGTCGTCCCGGATGCAGCCGCGCCATCTTCGTCTCCTCCCACCGTTCCCGGAAGCGGTCTCGCGCCTCCCTGTCCGCTTCCTGAAGCATTGTCAACCGAGACTTCCGCCACTGTCTCGGGTCCATGGACTGGTGGATCCCCGGCAGTAGTCCCTCCATAGCCCACAGGTGTCGGTGCTGGTACAGTCCGCCCTCGTCGGAAGAAAGCGACAGCGCGTGCGCGACCGTTGGCGCCATGAGCGGATGGTGGAAGAGGCCTGGGAAGTATCTCCCGCTGATCAGCGACAGCGAGACGACGGCTTCGTGGCCGGGAGGGAGGATGGGGCGAAATCGGAACCCCTTCGTGGCTGGAGGTAGTGGGTACGACTCCGACAGTACAGGGCGCGAGAGTTGCACGCTGAGACTGACAGCTTGCTCTTTGCCTTTCGCCACGGCGGCCGCTTCTGGCGATGTCTGGGCGAGAATTGCTGATGCTGTCTCGGTCATTGGAATGGAAGGATCGGGATTTGGCAACGGCGGGGGTTTGAGGGGGGATGGTTGCATCATGAATGGCGGCGCACCATTCGGGCCCTCCGCAAGATGCTCGCTATGACCTGTGCAAGACTTTTAGTAAACGCTACACTTTAAGCGCAGACGGACTCACCATTCGGCAGGTCTACCGCCTTCTCCTTACCCTTGCCCTTACCGTTCACTTCCGCAGCTCGTGCCGCGTCCTCCCAGTCATCGTCGGCAAGCTCATAGACCATACCGCTCGCCCGGCACTCCCTCGTGAGGCCCGTCCCCTCCGCGTTGGGCACGTCCACAACAAACAGGCCCTCCATCCTCAAGAAGAGCCCCTTCTCGCTCGCACCCAGTCGCTCCGGGTCCGCGGCCACGGCCTCCGGGTTGTCCTTCATGCTCTCCAGCGTCGACGCGGATGGGCCTGCGGGCGGGAAGATCATATCCGTGCCCTGCGGCGCGAACTGGCACCGCGCAATCTTGAGCCGCACAAGCTCGTCCGTCCAGACGCGTTCCGTGCCCCACCACAGACCCTGAAAGCGTGTCTGCACGACAGTTTGCGCAGCAAGAGTTGAGGAGCGCGGCAACCGTGCGTGCGTGCTGATGCTCTCATGCTGACCTGAGGCGCCATTCATCGTCGGGAGATGCGCGTTCTGTGAGAGTGACTGTGTGATAAGCGAGTGGAGGCTGGTTGACTCGGCGGGGATCTGCGACGGAGGAGGGAGGGGCGCCTGAGAAGCGGACGGTTCTGATGGTGGTGAGGAAGCAGCGCCGGGGGGAGGAATGGTGAACTTGCACTCCCACTCGTCTGTGGGGAGCCAGTATTGTGCGACGTTAGCGGCGATCTGGATGGCCAGTGTGTACGGCGCCGTAGCGCGCTTGTACTTCTCGTAGTAGCGCTCCGGGTTACCGTCCTCGGGCCACGCCTCCATAGGGTCACCATCTTCGGGCGTCACCTCCATTGGATCGAAGGTGGACATGAGTTCTATGTCCCGGTCCATCTGGTCTATAGATATCGTCTGCAAGAAGTCGGAGAGATCCTCCCGGATGCGGTCGAGCAGATGGTCTGACGGCGCGTACGCAAGATAAGGCAGCACTTGCTCGTCGGTGACCAGACAATGTTGAGACGTGCCAAGGAGCTTCATCTTGTAGACATACCACTGTTGCACTTTCCAGGGCACCTTGCCCTCAGCCTCAAGCGGTGGTTCCGTTGCCCTCGAGGATCCCGCAGGAGAAGGGTTGTCGGTAGAGCCTCCGAGCGCTGGGTTATCGTCTGCTGCCTCCTGATAGAGACACTGCATGTCGGGGTCCTGCGCACCACCGTCCAAAGGAAGAAGAATGGGTTCCGACTTGACGTGGAAATCCTCGACGAGTGCGGGCCAAAACTGGATGTCCTCATCCGGCGTACGTCCCCGTATTGACGGCTCGAGGTGGCACCAGAGTAGCTCGCCCTTCCTAAACCACCGAGGTCGTTGGTTCTCTCCAGATATGAGTGCCGCGCGGGTATCGAGGTCGCGTTCCGGGAGAATGTATTGCTCTGGACCGATGATGACTTTCGGTGGCTTGGGCGCGCGCCGGACGGCTGCGTAAGGTTTCGGAGGGACACGCCCTTGCCTGGTCTCCCTGACCTCGCGGCGCGGCCGAGAAGCCTTGACGCTTGGAGGGAGAGCGCCCGCCACCGACGCAGAGCGCCTGGCACCAGCGCTGCTGAGACCCATGGTGTCCGAGATAATACGCTGGGGCTGTTTCGTGCAGTACTTGCAGGAGCAATTCGAGCGGTTCAGGGTAGGATCTTGCATGAGCCATAGCGCATGTGGTATGAACTCGTTGGTCGAGCGGAATCGGTTGACGTGCGAAGACCCTACGTTCAGTCAGCCCACCGCATGTTGCAGATGCAAAGTTCGCGACGCACCGCACAAGTAGGGGTCGTGCCGTGGGGCCTTCACAGGACCCTTGTTATGGTCGTAGAGTTGGTATCCATCCGGGAAGGACTTCAGTACGTATTTCCGCCCCTCTAGCACGCAGCGCCGTCAGCTACGGGGTACCAGCGCTCACGCGAGGCTTACCTGGGAGCCCCATGCGAATGGCAAGCTGGGCGCCGACGGCGACACGCCAACCTATAGCCAGGCCCTCGTCCAACGGCACAGGTCGCATGAAGTTGACCTGACCCTCGCCATCTACAACCTGTTTCGTGTTCTTGGGCAGGTTGCTCGAGTTCCCATCGGACCGTTCGAACTCAAGCCATTCAGGATTCTCCGGGAGGGTGTGTGAACCCGCAAGTCTCCTAGACATTCAAGCAAGACACTGAGATCCCAGGAAAGTGACCAGAGCGAGAGGTTGCGAGAGGACCAAGAACCTGGACACCTTATGTATGCCGTAGCCTACTCGACCCTGGTGCTCGAGGCGCAAGAGGAAGTCCGCCGACCTCCCACTAAACGACCCTGCCATGCTCACCGTGCGACTTGATTACATAATTGAGTTTCGAAGTATATTAGCAGCGTCAGGCCCGACACTCCCGTTCACACCGTCTCCCAGTGACCCTCCATTGAATTTAAACATTGCTCCGTCTATCTGTTTTTCTGCCCCTGACTCTTAGTGTCTTCTCGAAACCTATACGCTGCTGTTTTGCTCGCTATACGCATATGTTCTAATCTGGAGCTCGACGTCAGGTTTTTCCTACTATCGCCGTAATTATCTACGTCTCATGCGGTCATTCCTCTACCGTTGAGTCGTTAAACGATACGGCAAAATCGACTGCGACCCCTTCGTGGGTCGCCTCGTCCTGCAGATCATCCGACTTTCAACATCTACGAGTCGGGTGTTTTGAAAGGACGGGACATATTCACGTCATCCTTCTGTATCGACTAGCTTGTTACTACCTCTGCGTCGCGACAGCGTGGGTACGTCTTCGTACCATAGCAGTGTAGCATTGTACGTAGGTGATTGGCACTTTCTTGTTTTGACGTATGTATTTTCAAACTAAACATTTGCTGTATTGCGCTTGTCCGCGCAGCCTTGCTCTGCCCCAGAGCGCGTAAGCTCATACGAGTGTCCGATCTTCCATCTCCACCGGCTTCTCAAGCACTCGTGGAGGCGCAGTGCCCTGTCTTTCCACGTCGCCCACTCTAACATCATCGTCAGGAGCGTTTTCAGCGACAGTCGACATCTTCCTGTGGCGTTTCGCTACAGGGTTGAGGACCAGTGCACATATAATGATCGCGGCGTCCATGACCTGCCACATAGTGGGCGTAAGCAGAAGCCACACAAGGAACGAAACCAGTGGACGTACCACAACAATCGAATACGTGACGCCCGCGATGATGTCAAAGTCTTCCTTGAACGCGAGGGACAGATCGCTGAAGATGCCCCCGAGCATATCGACGAGCATGAAGAGGACGGAAATGCCGATGACCTCCTTGTACTTGTAGATTTCCCAGTATTGCGGTCTGCGTATGCCAGATGTCAGCTCCAGGACGATGCGTTAAACAGACAGCTAGCTCAGGCAGCGTACATTAGAGCAGTTGAGATGAGCACAGAGCTGAAGATGCCGAAAAATTGCACGGGACGTATGTTTCCGTGATGGTATGCGGGCTAATGCGAAGGATTCCACAATGTTCAGTGTAGAGCCTAGGGTGTAATACGAGCTGCACAGACCTTGACAGCATAAATCATGCCAACCTCAAATCCGGCAGAGAAGGCCATCACTGCGACATACATGGCTATGGAGGTCCATTTAGATCGCTTACGGCCGTAATACTGGCACTGGTGAGATAGAAAGTCATGTGAGTCTTACTACGAACGTTCGCTGGGCAGGATGAGGACGACGGACCTGCGCCCAACCAATGAACGAAAGAGTGCCGAATAATTGTGGTTGCAGGATTAGAGGTATATTCAAGTTCTTGACGATCGCGTACACCCCTAATGTTGCGCCCGAGAACCCCCATAGCAGCCTAGAGGTACACAGAAAGCAATGATCAGTGATGAATCCACTGTATAGCACAGCGAACCTACATCAACCATTCAGACAGCCCTTCTGTCGACTTGGCCCTCCAGCTCTTCCATATTTGTGGTACAAGTTGTATCGTCCAGCACACAGTACCTGCAGCATAACGTGGTGAGTGCGCGCCCTCCACGAGACATCATCGTCCAGAGAAAAGAGCGTCGATGGGGCCATTTTGAAAATCAGATCCGCTCTTACCGATTGTTCCTAGAGCGTTTTCGGCGACCGAGTTCACCGGCATTTTGCGTTATCCTGGGCTTGAGGGAAGCTCAGCGGGACTTTTTGATATATCACTAGCACTGGCAGGAGTTTGGTGGTCAAGAGAGAACATGACGAACGCTCTCAGGGGCAAGCCATAGACGGACATGAGTCGATGAAGGACTCCTCGGGATGGCGTATACGCTTACCCGGCCGGGCCGCGAAGGAGTAGCTCCGCCCACTGTGGCGTCACAGCGGTCCCAAGAAAACGCATGGTGAGCGAACGGAAGAGAATCTTCGAGTTGAACGGGGGTGAAAAGCAGGAGTTGCTGGAATATGTGATACTAGTGCAATCCGGACGGTCCCACCCGCGGGGGAAGCTGGAAAACATCCCGAACGCGTCACGCCTGCGCGAGTATCAGTCCTGCCAAGCTACCCACACTTCAATACGTCCAAGATACAGAGCCTGGGGCACGGTACAACGCACAAAGTCTATACACTATTTCTTTTGCTTCTTCCTATCCTACTCCATATTTCGTCCGTTCGTGAATGAGTATGACCTATCGCTATCCTTCCCGTAGAGCAAACCACAAGGTCCAAGAAAACAAAAAGAGAGGTTCGAGACACCTACTCGGCCCCGCTCACGCTACCAGTGCTCGCAGTAGTGACCGCGTACTCGTGCTTTGTCGGGTCCCAGCTACGAGCCCACTCCGGACGCGCCATCCGCGCCGCACGACCGGCACCAATGTCGATACTATTGGTCCGGTGTACACCCCCGCGAATGGAGTGAGGGCTGAGGTATGCCGGTCTCGGTGGGTAGGACATGCTCATCGTGCGTTTGCTACAAATGATCATGAGCACTAGTACGAACTCGACAAGGCAAAACAGGGCTTACCTCGGCTGCAGCGTGGGCCCTATACTGAGCTGGGCGAAATTGCTCGGGAACAGGGGGTGCCCTGGACCCCGCTCACGGAGGACGTCGTACGCGAATTCTCCGCTGCTCTGCGAGCCGGGCATCCCTATGGGCTGTCGAACGGCAGGGCTTCCGAGGCCGACCATAGGCGACATAGAGAGTGGCTGGTCGCCCAGGGCCGATGGAGCGCTCGGGGACGTGATGAAGCGGATCCCATGGACTTCCGGCTCTTCCCCGCCCTTGCCCTCGTTGCCCTCGTTCTCATCCTCCTCTCGCAGGTCTGATAGCGATGATCCAAGACCACCTGCAGGCTCCGTCGCCCCTAAGGGTGGCGTCTGATTCGCAAAGACCGGCTCGATCATGATTTCTTCACCGACAGAGTCCGCGAACGTCTCATGGGCGACGATGGGAGAATCGGGTTCAAAGACGGCCGAATCGAGCGCAGCGGAGGTCAGAGGCTCGGTCTGCGGGAGTTCGAGACCTTCCTCCTCGACGTCCAGCTCAGGCGGGACACCCAATGCACCCTTGACACGCTCCCAGATTAGCTCGCTGTGCGACATGACGCAACGGCGCGTCTTGCGGATCCAGTTGACGTCTTCCGCAACATCCCGGTCAACCTTCTTCAGCCAGAACTCCAGGTCCGCAAATGTCCAGTCCTTGGGGTCAGGCGACGCCGTCGAAGGATCGTATTCGGAACCCATGGGGGCTCGTGCATCAGGCGGGAACGTCTGCTGCAGGAGAGCGAACAAACGTGCGTTGGGAAGCGCCTGAATGAGGGCGGTGACCTCCTCCGGCCGGTCAATGAAGGGGAGATAGATGGAGTCCGGGAGTGGAGTGAATGACACGGGGGAGGGAGCTACTTGCTGTACATTGGGGCCATTGGGAGACGGCAGAGGGGATCGAGGGTTCACCGAGTTGCGCGCGATGTCCACGATCTGCTCCGGGGACAGCTTGCTGTGACTCGGGAAAGTGCTCGAGAATCGCGACGTGCTAGGGGAGGATGGGCGAAGCCTGGGAGAACCCGAGGGGCTCGCAGGGCGGCCGGAAGGCGAGCCGGAGGGGCCAGTGGGGGAAAAGGACGTGAAGGCGAAGCTGAGCCTTCCTCCCGGCCCGTCACTCTTCCCAGACGCGTTGGAGTTCAATGAGGCATTGCTACCGTGCCGTCTGTGCCGTCTCGGGGGCTCTTCGATGTCTGTCTGCGGCACGCGGACGATAGTGAGGCGGCTAGTGAGAGACCGCGCGGGATTCATGTTGACGTCGTTGTGTTCACCCCATGGGTCGGCTGCTGCGACGGAGCCGCGTCGGGCGGACAGCCTGCGGGCGCGAGCGTTTGGGCCAAGGACGGGGCTAAGCTCTGGGGAGGTGACGGCGCTCATCTTGGGCTGTGATGCGGGGCGCCGTGGGGAACGCGATGAGTACTGCGAGCCGATCGATGCCGACGAGGAGACATACCTAGGCAGCGACGAGGCCGGCGACGCGTTTTGCTGGCCGATGTGGGCGTGTGGGGAGGTGGTGGTAAGAGGAAGAGAGTGGAGAAGGCCCCCGGCCGCTGGGCTCTGGTCATGGAGTCCATCTCGAATCCTCTGCGAATCGCCGAGTACGTCAAGTCTCCCTTTCCCCGGGCGGCGGTCTAGATCATAATCAGTCACACCTCGCACCCCTGTGACACGCTTGCCTGTTTAGGCTGTGAAGGAACGACTTGCCCCCTACAGCTCCCGGCGTCTCTCCACCTCTTCTCCTATTCAGCCCCCCTCTCGTCCTAGCACCTGTGGAAAAACCCCACCATCAATCATCTGCGCACGTCGGTGTGCGACACGTATGTAACAAGTATCCAAGGATCGCACTCGGCCTTTGATGGCCCAGATGCTTAGATGAGCTAGTCGTGTGCGGGGGAGTGCCCTGCTTCGCAGTTATACGTACTCGAACGCCGGACCTAGGCTGAGCCGAATCAAACAGACCATCAAGTGTAGAGAGTATCTTCGATAACACCCGCTAATGCCTGATCCAAAAAGCGACGGAGAAACTGGGCCCCTAGTGCGGGCCGTGCTTGCCTGTATAACATGTCCTCGACCGCTAAAAACATCAGGCTTGAACATGCGGGCCGTTGTCCGAACGAATCAGCATAACGGTGCGCCAGCTTCGACGCGTTCCAGAAATCCGTCAGGCGCAGCGGTCACAGGTCGAGTAAAGCATAATTTCGTCGCGGGAGAGCTGATATCCTCGTGGCACAGACAGACGGGTACAACAGAGACACGTAATAGGTATCGTACATGGATCAGCGTTGGCAGGGGAGCACAGATGTGAACGTAACAGCAGACAGTAACGGAGCGCAGCAATAGGTAAATGAATCGTAGTAGATCTGGAGGATAGATATTCTGGCGCAGGAAAGCGATGACGGCGGAGGTTCGTGAAGCCATCTAAGCAAGCGTGACAGTCAAGAAGACGCGGCGGCCCCGGTCTTGCCAGGGCGCAGGATGATGATCTTCAACCGGGAGCAGAGACCAGTCTTCGGCCAGGTCGAGCATCTCCCCTCTCCCCTCCCCTCCCCACCGCCGCTCAGTGCGCGGCCCTAGCCAGCCGCTCACTCAACAAGCTTGTCGGCGACGTTCAGCAGCTGGTCGAGCGTGATGAACTGCACCCACGACTCGAGCTCCTTCGCGTCGTTCTGCCAGATGAAGCGCGTGTCGCGCGTGCGCCGGAAGAACGCGACCGCGCACTGGTACTTCTGCTCCGTGTGCTCCTCCGAGTCCGGAATCGGCCACCCCAGCTCGGCCGTCCACACGCGGAACTCCCAGCCAGCCAGCGGCCGTCCGTCGCCCGTCGCGATCTTCTCGGGGATGTTGAACTCGAGCCGCGACCAGTCGAAGCCCATCGGCTGCCCGATCGCCTTGATGTACGCCTGCTTGAGCGCGAGCAGGAGGCATAGTCGCCGCATCACGATCTCCTCGCCCTGCTCGGGCGCGATGAAGGCTTGCTCGGTCGGTGTGAGCTGCGATGATCAAACAGAGTTAGCTCTCCGTCTTGTGCGTGATAGCTGTTATGAGATCGAAAGGCCCCTCTCAGACGGTCTTTTACGCTCAGACGTGGCTTGGGTTAGGTATTTAGGAGGTAGCGAGTACCGCGAGCAGGTGCGCACGCCTGAGCGAGTAAGTACACACACGTCTTTCCCGCATTGCCGTCCAAAACAGTGGCGCATGTTTTCATTCGCGAGAGGAGCCCATTGTTCTGATAACAGCTAGAAGGAGAGACAGACACGGCGTACCTTGTGGTACAGAGAGATCGCGAAGTCGTTGGCACTCATTCCTGGGGGTGCAGTGAGTTCTTTGATGCCGACACCGATGTTCACAACGTCCTCGCGGCGTCCTTGCGTCATGGCCATCCCGACCAGGTTATGGTCGTAGGAGGTATGGTACCCGATCATGGAGCGTGCGCGGCTCGCTGCCGCGACCGGATTATCATCTTGTACATGCTGGACCTGCATGGCGCACGGAGGCGGCACGTCAGAACGAGGGGTAGACAGGGGCGGTCTACGATGAGTCTTAAAAGGGAGGTACGCGCCTGCTCTATCCAATGCTTCCCAACGTTGGACATCTGGTCCCTCCAGCGGTTCCGCGGGACACGGCGATGACGCATCATGAGCAGGGGTAAGAGATATGCTACCAATTGTCCTGGAAGGCGGGCGCGTGTTCGTCATCGGTCGCCACAGGACTGATACGGGACGAGGTACTCACTCATCGTCTCAGGCTCGTTTGGGGCATTGCGTACGGGTGCATGTGGCACACATTCGCGCAGGACTGCGTGACATTTGGCGTACTCCTGTAAGTGTGCGCCGCACAGTAGTGAGCTCGTGTGTGCGTGATAGGAGTAGCTTAAGGTGTAACACACTCACCTCCTTCGTCATCTCGCGGTTGGTGAAGAGCATCCATACTAGAATAGGGCAGTCCATCTGCGTGCATGAAGCTGGATGTACGCGATGAAGGGGGGTGCGGGGAAGACGCAGTAGTGGCTGAGCTGGCGGACGTATTCAGTGAGATCGGAGACACTTCAGAAGGACACGATGGCGGTGGGTATGCGGCAGTAGAACAAGGATATTTATACACAAGCTGGCGGAGAGAAGGCTGAGTTGCTCTGGGACCAAGCTGAACATTGCAGGACACGTTTTGGCGATTGCCGCTCACGAAAATCCTCAAACATGGCTCATCCGCGCCGACCATGCGTAGGCGCCCATGCTTCTCTCTGTCCTTCCTCCTCATCCGTATATTCGTGTGTCTTGCTTGTTCACCTCTCCTTGGGCATCTCCACATATTTGCTTGTTGTTCGTAGCTGAACGTGGCCCACGCGTTACTTGGCCCCTCACGACGCCCAAGAAGCTACACAAGGGTGGTTCTGTCATGGAGACGGCGCCCACAACAGATCGTATACACGGTTTGTTCCCCCGCATGGCGGTACATGCCATTCTGCGATATCGGGGATTCTATCCGCCAGATTGTGCCTCTTGTAATCCAATGCAATTCCGCCCAAAGAGCATTAGTTGGAGAGAAGAGGCCGGGGTGAGTGTAACAGGTATAGGCCCCGAATATACACAAATGTTCACTCGGCTCTCCGTGCTCTGGCTCTTACTCGGCCTCCGTCATGGGGATGGCATCCACAATACGTCGTATGTGGTTTGTTTGTTCTCTCACATGCCATTCTGCGATATCAGGAATTCCAGTCACTCTGACTGTGGCCCGTCATATCGCTATTGTGATGGCGAAGGAATGCGCCAAACGCCAGCTGGAGGGAAGAAGCCGAGATGAGGGTACCTGTGCAATTACGGACATCATCTGTGGTATAGCTAAGTGTGCTCCGAATATACGCAAATGTCTGCTACGTGATCGTCTGACTCCCGAGACCTGTGTATTGAGTTCTACGCCCCGTGCCCTGCGTCTACCCGCCTTCGAACAGCATATACCCCTCCGAACACGACTCACTCCCTGCTCCTGCTCGGCCTCCGGCTATGTGAGGAGGGCCCCGACGGGGTCATCAGCGGCACCCTATCCTCCGGCCTTGCATCCGCAGCACCTGCAGCATCCGCCTCCTCGTCGAACAATACCTCCGCGCCGTCGGCGCCGCCCTTCGCCTTGACACTGACGCTGAGGTTCGACCTGCCCGGCTTCCCGCGTCGCGTCCGACCGGGTGCGCTCACAAAGTCGGCAAAGCTAGAGTGGGAGGACGTGGGGGTGTGTCCGATGTGGGCGTTGCCGTTGGGTGGTGCTTGCTGGGCTGGCGCCCGTACAGGGAGACGGTAGAACTCCTCGACGTCGTCGTCGTCGCCGTCAGGGAGGGCGGAAGCTGCGTACGCGCCGCCGTTCGCGGAGGTGTTTGCCTGGTATGGCCGGGACCGCGGCAAGGCGCGGTACGAGCCTTTCCGGAGGTGAATGGCGTACGAGTATAACAGAGCAGAGAAGTAGATCTGGACACCGGTTACGACAACGGAGAGGACCACACGGGCGTGTCGCGTACCTTGGCGATCCAGCCAATGATGATCATTGCGCTCGCAATCCCTTTCTCCGCGTTCCAGAGAGTCATGGCCGCTGCCGCGCGCTCCTCGTCGGTCATGTTGTGTCCGGCGCCGCTCTCCATGACCTCCTTCTGGGCATCGGAGTTCGCAATCACGCGGCCGTCATGCAGGGTATAGAACCACCAGAGTACGCCGAAGTAAACGAGCCAGGCCGTCGAGAGAATGTGGTCGGCGAAGAACAGGTGGGCGAAGTAAAGTGTCCGTTTTGCGTCCTCCTGCAGGTCCATGTGCATATTAGCGGTGGCGTCAGCGGGGATAGGAGCGGCATACGTGGAGAATAGCTTTCAAACCCCACGTCAGGGCGACTAGACCGAGGACTGAGTAGAGATACAGGCTGAGCTGCGCGGCGGACCCGCCTGCGCCAGTGAGGACAGCAATGAGGCCATACACGCCAGCAACCTTGTTGAGGAGCTGTTCGAATGGTCTCGCATGTTAATTCATGTCGTAAATCGCGCTCAAGATAGCTCACGGCAAAGAGGAGCGCGATGGTGACCCCGGTCTTGATGTCGAGGAAGCCAAGGAAGGTGGAGAGCGGCCGGAGGCGCCACTCTGGACGGAGCGTGAGTTTCATGGGCGACGGAAGAGACGGTGATTAGGCGTTCATGAACTACGGGTAGCTGGGCGAAGTAGAGGGTGCGAGGCGGCCGCGACGAGCGATGAGGGGAGAGGTTGCGGACAAGAAGGGGCTGCGGTGATCCTGGCGGGCGAGCTGAGGTCGGTCGGCCGCGCGCGGCGCGACTTGAGTTTTGCAACTTTGCAGCGGCCGACCATCTCACGCCCTCTCCGCCATCTCCTCATCGTCCAGCTCGCGCCATCCTCTCCGCCCCACGCAGCACGCTTGCCTCTTTTTATTGCTAAGTTGTACTCTGCTCTGTGTTGCGTGCACGCCCATCCCGCAAATAACGCCCGACATTCCTGCGACTGGACTGTATTGATCTGCGCGGTCGCTTGCGTCCATGGCTGGCTACTTCTCTAACCACTCCCAGTCCCGCTTCCTCGCCAACTCCACTCCGAACGCGGCCACCACGACCACGACAACAACGACGGCGCAGAACCCCCCGCCCGTCACTCCGCCCGTGCAGCCCCGCTCACGCGTTACGTCCTCCAAGCACTTTTCCACCTTTGTGTCCAACGCTCCTGGGGACGAGAAGGCCCAGGGGAAGGACAAGGCCGCTGGAAACGGCGCTGCTAACGGCTCTCTGTCCGTGCACCCCCTCCGAAATACGTATGTTCGTACGCTGTCGTGGTCGCCTGCCGCCCCTCGCTCACTGCGTTCCACCTTGCCCTTTGTGTCTTCCGCGCGAGTAGCTGGGTCTTCTGGTTCCGCCAGCAGCGCGCGCCAGGGAACAAAATCACGAACTATGAGGAGGGCATCAAGAAAATCTCCGCCTTCAGTTCCGTGAGTTGTCTCGTCCTCTTCGTACTTTGCTGCCCACCCATATCCCTGTCTGTGCAGGTGGAATCCTTCTGGTCTCTCTGGACGCATGTCCACCAACCATCCTCGCTTCTGCCCACCACGGATTACCTCCTCTTCCATTCCGGTATCCGACGGCCGGTTTGGGAGGACCCCCTGAACCTGTCAGGGGGTAAATGGATCATCCGCCTCCGGAAGGGCGTCGCGGACCGCCTCTGGGAGGACCTTGTGCTCGCTGTCATCGGTGACCAGTTTGACGGCGTGGACGACGGCGAGGGCTCTCAACCAGACGCCGCGGCCTTGGAGGGCGTCCCGCCAGGCGAGTGGCCCGAGATCTGCGGGTGCACGATCAGTGTGCGCCAGAACGAGGACATCATCTCGCTGTGGAACCGCAGCGACGGCAATCCCAAGTCGAAGGAGAAGATCAAGTGCGCACCTATCAAGATCTCCTCTTGCCCTGATCCAGAGCTGACCTGCATCATCGCTTCACAGGGAGACGATTCGGAGAGTGCTGAACCTCCCACCGGCGACCATCATGGAGTACAAATCCAACAACGGTATTATACTCTCCATACGCACTAGATGGGATCCACTCACCCTGCTTTTTTCTTATAGACTCGATGCAGGACAAGTCCAGCTTCCGTGTCAACCAGACTGACCGTACGCCGCTGTCATGACCCTGCCCGCCGGCCGCCGGCGCGCCCCCGTGTTTGCATATGCTCGAATAATCTCCTTGGCTTCTCGGTGCACCTGTAATAGCGTACGATGGCGCGCGAACGCGCGCGCGAGCCCGGCAATGCGACATCTTCTGTAGCCCTACCCCCATTCCGCCCAATGTTGGCAATGCATCCCAGTTCGGACACTGGCACTGGTGTGTCCTCTGTCATTTTGGCTTGATTTTCGAAAATATACTGTCCATCTCAGTGCAGGATCATTACATACGTTCGGTGAGAGTGCCTGGTAGTTGAAGATTCGGAGATATGTCGACGTTGTCTTCTTTCGCTTGCTAACGATTTCCGGAGGTAGCCCTAGGAATCGAGAAATCGGTATCGTGTGTATGGAACAAACATAAGTCAGCGACGTGAGGCGGGAGTGGTTTATCCAGTAAGCCATCACACCTTCGTATTTGAGAATGCCCGCGCGTAACTCTAACACATAGTCTCATGCACAGTGTCAGAGCGGCCGCCGATGGAAAACCATAATCTGGCTAACTCATGGATCTGGATAGCCCTAGAGTCGAACAGAAAAGCAGTGAAGACGCGCTCCTGATCGCCCTCGCGCGACACAACTCAGACTGGGGCGTAGTCCTGCGCACCGAAGAGCGCAAATTCCAGGCTCAAGTAAGAGGCAAGGTAGAAGGCGCATCCATACTCCATACACGCACATGGCGGTAGAAGGACAAGAGGGTACCAAAGACGCGCTTTGTCCGGACAATGGATAACATGCCCTGTGGCTTAGACCGCAACAGACAATAGGCGCTTGTGGCCCTCTCCGCGACAAATACCGCTCTAACCAGGACCACATTCAAGGCTCTCTTGCCTTCACTCCCTGCGCTACCATTTCTACCGCGACACCCACACTCTACCCACATTTTCCCATCACTCACTCCACGACACGATGACGACCACGGCGACTCGCTTTGGCCCGACTCGCATTGACCCGACCGGTCAGGACGTCACGCAGATGGGGGTAGCAGACCTCCGTAGCTTCTTTGACCGACTAGCCACAGGCGACTACCACAACCTCGCAAAGGACCTTAACATTACCGGCACCCCCAAGACGCTCGCGCGCCCAACCGTTGCGGCCGCCCCACCCCAAGACCTCCTCGGGCCCGACGGGGAGATCTCGCTCGACTCGCTCGACGCGCTCACCTTCGAGCCCACCGTGGAGGGTCTCGAGCGCGCCGTTTCGCTCCTTCACGCACCTGCGTCGCCGACGCGACAGACGGCCGAACAAGAGGAGGCGTTTCAGTTCACCTTCCGGCTCATGATCCACAAGCTGTACTCGATCCGAGAGTTCGCGGCGATGGTCGACGACGTCGTGCGGACGTCACAGGAGCGTTTTAAGTCGCTTCCCCCCTCACCCACCCCCAGCGCGCGCCGCGCGTCGTACTCGAACTCGTACGCTTCCGCGTACCCAAGCGACGGCGAGTCTTTCATATCCGCTAGATCCCCGGCGTCCCCATCCGAGGCGACGCTGCCGTCGTCTCCGTCGCTACGGAGCGTGGACCAGATGTCGGAGCTCGGAAAGGAGCAGGACGACTTGAGGGCGCTGAAGAAGAGGTGCATCGGCAGGAGGATGTCCGTCTTCGACCCCGAAGCAGATGCGGATGCGGACAAGAGCGATGGGGCGGGGTGGGTGTACGACTCCGCAGTCGCGTCCGTAGAGTCGCCGACGTTCTCTGGCTCCTACGCAGCCTTCATCGCAGGGCTGCCCCCCATGTCTCCCGCGGCGGAGTCGCCATCCATGTATGGCTACGACGAGGCCGACGGCAGCTCACGCAAACGCCGGTATTCGCTGCTCGCCGCCAGGGGCTTCTGAACGTACGTTTGTCTGCTGCCGATGTACTTGCGGATACTGACGAACCTCTGTCTTCCTCTTTAGACGATCGTCATCATACCATGAATGCTTTCTGTATAGTATCTTCACCGGAATCACTTTTTACTTCGAGAAACCCCCCCTCCTCCCGTCACTCCCTCCGGCCATTCACGCTGTGTCTATATCATTGTACCATTTACATCTACCTGCCTCAGATTTCGACTTCCGACTGCTCTGGCGCACTAGCGTTCATTGCAAGTTTGATACCTACCACCCATTGTCACTGCGATACCTCTGGACTGTACTGCGCTCCCCATGTCTCTACCCTGTTATCGAATAGCTATCAATTGCTCGTCACACGCATGCTCTAGGCCCCACAGAAGTATATTCTGCAACATGTCTGCTAGAGGGTAATCCAGCCTTGAATTTTGATCCAGCCAGCCATCTATCATCGCGATGAAGGGAATGACGTACAGAAGGAAGATAGAGGCGGGGTAGGTTGAACTGCTCACTCTACCGTAGGGTCCACTTTCACCACAACTTTCCCCGTTGCCCGCTTCGTCATTACCCGTTCGTATGCCTTCAGCACATCTTCGAATGCGTATACGGAATCCACTAGAGGGCGAATCTTGCCTACCCGAACGTCAGATCGCAGGACAGCAAGTACCACATACGAAGCACGCACCATTCTCGACTAGCGCTGCAAAGCCCTCCAGGTCAGCCGGCTTCGGCGTTATCGTCACAAGCCTAGTCAAAGCAATGCGTTGTAAATCCTCAGAACATCCCGGTCATTTGTGAATGCACACTCACTTCCACTTGCGCCTCACTCCTCCGAGAAACGGCGGCCTCAGAAGCACGTTCCACGCGAAGCTCGCGATAGTACCGATGCCCGAGCCCTGCGGGCCGACGGACAAGAAGACCCCGTCGGGTGCGAGATACGCCGGGCTGTGTATGAACAGCGCTGGGTCCAGGATGCCGACCGCCTCAAGGAAGACATGGTACTTTGGCGTCACATCCGCCGCGGCGAGTTGTTCATGCAGCGGCGCCTTCGTATAGTCAAAGAACTGGGCGTGCACCATCAGCAATCCCGTTAGCCTCTGGGTGTATGCACTCTGCGCGTGCGCATGCCACACAGACCTCATCTGCGCCCAGGCCGCGCACGTATTGCTCGTTCTTCGCGGAGGCGCTCGCGGAAACGCGGGCGCCCTTGGCTTTTGCGATCTGGATCGCGAACGCGCCGACTGCGGTGCTTCCGCCGTTGACGAACACGGATTGGCCTGCCTCGAGTGCTGCGAGACCGAGCAGCGCATGGTATGCGGTCTGACCTGCGACGCCGAATCCGGCGGCTTGCGTGGGCGTCGTGTTCTTTGGCCGCAGAGTGAAGCCAGCGGCGGGTAGCCGTGCGTACTGCGCGAGTGCGCCTTGTCCGCTCCGGATGTATTGCGCTGCTGGAGTATGAGGAAGGCTGAGGGTAGAGCGTGGGGAATTGGACCCACAGAGCAGGATCCAGCCAAACACCTCGTCGCCCTCCTTGAACGCCGTGCCGTTTCCGTCTGTAACTGTTCCAGCGAGGTCGAGGTCGACACCGATCAGGCGTCTGAGGAGGAATCCAGGAAGAGCGCCCATAGTCTTGTACCCCCTACATCACGGCAGTCAGCGAGATGTTCGTCGACGGGTTTCGACGGATATCGAAAGTGATGCTCCCCCGGCACCCAGCACGTTCGATGGGCACGAGAGACACTCACGCGGGGTTAAGCGCGGCTGCTTGCACCTTGATGAACACTTCGCCCTTCTTCAGCGTTCTGGGATTGGGTGCGTCGGTCAAAGTGAGCACTTCAGCTGGTGTTCCTTTACGCGTTACACGCCATGCTTTCTGCGTTGTCGGGATCTCCCTTCCAGCTATCTCTGCATCGGCTTGTGCGAAGGATGCGACCTCACCTCGGGTAGGCGAGGTAGTAGAGAGGGATGGTGCGGCAGCCATAATGCAATGAGAAGGGCAGAACGTGAGGAAAGTTCAGTAGTCGGCCAGCTGGCGAATGGCGGTTTTATTCTCCAGTTTCACCACAGGCTAGCCTGGATGTATCCCAGCGCCCGCAAGGCGCCACCTGCGACATTGTCAGCCCGCAGATAGCCTAGAGTCCAAAGTAAGCAAAAGCATGGGCGCATTGGTCGAACGCCTACATTATAGCCCGCGCTGCGCCGATGAGCGGTCGCAACATAGCAGATGATCGCGCGCATGTGGAGGGTATTGAGCCCGGTGACAGCTGGCGCTGAGTGCTATGGGGTTCGATGTATTGGACGGGGTGTGTGTCATGAAGTACTCGAGCACAACTGACTTGGACGCTCGCAAAACGCGCCGCTGGCAAGCTTTCGATCGTTAGAAGGGGGAAACAGGGCAGTATCCATCACGGAGCTCGTTATGGATGGCCACCCATCCTCGCCATACAGATGCACACACCGCATATCAGCCCTCGCACATTGCATGGCTTCATATTGCAGGGGTGCAAGGGCGGCCATCTGGGTGCATCCATCGGGTCACGATATATGGACGGGGAGAGATCAAGCCCTCGACCACACGCTGCAGTCTTGGCAGTACCTACAAAGCCGCAGTGACAGTCAGTCAAAGAAATATTTTAAGACCTTCAGTGCAGCTACAAACTCCGAACAGTAGTACCAATTTCAGATGATGCTCAGATGCAAAAACCTGAGTCTGGGATCGTCCCGTGACAATACTAGCGGTAGCTGTGCGGAGTTTGAGTGAGCCGTTCATGTGTGCAGAAAGCTCTAATAGCTCACAGAGATGGTCAAGAAGATTGTCGTGTTGGGCGTTCACAAACTTCAGCACTGCGTTGAAGCCTAGTGTAAAGACTGCGTTCGGCGCTAAGAGTAGTGCGCGAAGGAGTTTAGGGATCCCCGATAGATCTGGTAATCAGGCCTACGTAGACGCCAATGATCGTAGACGCCGGCAGGCATGAGTGCTCCGACTCCGAGTACACTCGCCGTGCTACGTTCACCTCATCCACCTCAGTCATGGACCAAACATCTTTCCGCAAGCTCCTCCAAACTCCTAACGCTTCCTCGTCCTCTGCTGGGGCATCCTCGGCGCATGTACGCGGCTCACTGCTCGTCGCCGCCACAGCAGGCAAGAGCAAGAAGGCGAAGACGATCGACGCGTCGCAGCCTGCGTTTAAGCCGCGGCAGCTGAAGAAAGGCACAAAGGGCGAGACGTACAGGAATCGCGCAGAGGAGCGGCGCATAGGCGCACCCAACGACTATGCGCAGGTGAGCATACGCAATACGTTCGCCCTGCGCGATGCACTGCTCACACGGTGCCGCATAGGTAGAAGCGCTTGCGGACGAGTTTGAGAAGCGCAACGCGGACAACGAGGATCGCGACGCGGTACGTCGTTAGCCGCGATCTCCTACACCATGACGTATTGACGTTCCGCCTACGCCAGGTCGAAGAGCAGCGCAAATACCTAGGCGGCGACAGCGAGCACACCGTCCTCGTCAAAGGTCTCGACTTCGCGCTCCTCGAGCAGGCGCGCGCACGCGTTGCCGCGGAGTCTGCCGCGACCGACGACGTCTCGCTCGAGCAGGCCTTCCTCGAGTCCGCCGCACAGCCCAAGAAGCGCACGCGCGCGGAGATCCTCAGCGAGCTCAAGAGCAAGCGCGGCTCTGGCACGGCGGCGGCGGCGGACGTGCCTATACCGAGCGTAGTAGACCCCGCTCTTGAGGCGGCGAAGAAGGCGGGCAAGTTCAAGCCTATTGGGTTTAAGCCTGTTGGAGGAGCAGCGGAGAAGGTGAAGCGGAAGAAGAAGGTGAAGGCGGGCGAGCCGGAGGAGAATGCGGAGCGCAAAAAGAAGCGCAAGGTCGTGCCTGCTTCCACCACCACAAAGGCTGTGGAGGAGCACCTCGAACAGCATACGTCCAACGCTGCAGCCTCCCCGGAACGCGAAACAGTGAAGCAGTCCGAGGCCGGTCCGTCATCCCCGGTGACAAAGCCGCCACCAGAACCGGAGCCGGTCGACGAGAACTTTGACATATTCGCCGACGCGGGGGAGTACACCGGCGTAGACCTCGGCGACTCAGACGAAGAAGACAAGCCAGGCACGTCGGCCCCGGTGCGGGACGCAGACGAAGAGGGCGAGGTGCAGGACGGCGGCGCGCCCCGTCCCCGCAAATGGCTCGCGACCTCGGACGACGAACGTGAAGAGGGCCGAGCGGCCTCTCACCCGCCAGAACGCGCACGCTCGAACGAGTCCCGGTCGCGTTCTGGGTCGCCCCAGCGGCGGCCCGAGGAAGACGGGGAACTACAGGACGAGGAGGAGGAAGAGGAGAGGCCGATGCGTCTGCAGCCGCTCGCGTCGTCGGTGATGCCGTCCATCAAGGACTTGCTGGCGATGAACGAAGAGGCAGAGAAGGCTGATAAACGGAGAGCAAGGAAGGAGAAGAAGAAGGGTGGAGGCGGCGGCGGCGGCGCAGGAGAAGGTGCTACGGGTGGTAGTGCCGGCGGTAGGAGCGAGAAGGAGACGAAGGCAAAAGTGGATCGGGACTATCAGAAGTGAGTCCTTGCTCTTATTGCTTGCCCTGTGCGCGGATACTGATGCATGCATCCCGCACAGATTGAAGGCCTACACGGACAAGAAGGCGAAGTCATGAACTCCCGATGCTGCTGCTCGCGTATAGTGTACATTATGCCTCATCAAAACCACATGCTAAATTTACGTTGCACTTCAAGGGCTGCACAGCTGGAAATGCCACTATACGAGGGTCCGCTGGCGGATGCAAGACATTTCTCAGGGCGTGATCGTGCAATACGAAGGCGTTCTCCAAGACATACTTTTCACAAAGTATCACAGATCTTGCACACATCTTCACCAAACCTCTGCGGACCCTTTCGTCGAATGCTCCACGGCAAACTGCGGCCCAGGGTAGTTTGACACAACAGGCACCGCCAGACACGTTTATCGATGATGTGTTCAAACCCCCCTTCGACGACCCCGTCGTGCAAACCTACCTCGACGTCGGTATCGTCACACTGAAGTCCCCGCTAATTCCAGTCATCCCAAACGCTCATTCGACGATCCCTCGAATCCTCCACGACGGTATGTACGCTCAGGGGGATCGCCCTCATTAATACTGCGCTGTGCACGGACATTCGGTAATCTCGTGGATGCGACACATCCATCTCGGACCGATATATATACGACGCCCTCAAGGGACGTCCGGTCAGTGGATGCTTGGTGCTGACGCGCCGGACACCCGTAACCCCGGTGAGTGCCCAGGAAAGTTCAATCTACGGTTGCAGGGATGGATGTCAAGAAGACGTCGTACTATACTAAGTTTGCTCACTTGTCGGTGTGAAGGGCATATGGACGCTTCTCGGCTCTTGTAGAGCTCATAGGGTCCTCCGGTGAGTTGGTGCGCAGGCCTGAGGTCATCGTGCAATTAACACAGCTGTGCTGATTTCTGCAGATAAAGCTCGAGATGAGTTGGTCGAGCAGAGTCTCGTACGAAGGCCTAGGCGCCTGGACCGGTCCTCGATACCCCCTGTTTGACGCTTCCAGCATCCACCCGGCGCGCCCCACGCTCGAGTCGGAAGATGTGCGGGGTATCGCGCGGGGAGTTAGACTGTGCCACGGGTGCGAGGAACAGGAACATTGCAGGGCACAGATCATTCATGGGTGCCATCCGGTAGGGGCATGGAGCGGACGACCGGGCGTGAAGCGATGTCGAAGGCGTGTCTAATCGGCCTGCGGCGTGGCAGGCGCGATATTGGGGCGAAGAGACATGACAGGCGTGGCCGATGGGCGCCGTGCAGTATGTCGTGGCCAGATCGCTCGCGGCCGCACTGCAAACACGCCGGACGGGCACGAGTGGCGCGCGGACCCCGTTGTGCTCGTGTTCCGTCTATAAAACCTGCATTCCACGCCTCCGCCCCGCGCATCGTCCATGTAACGCCTCCCATGCCGCACTTCACCCTCCCTAGAACCCACTCCTCCCCGGCCAAGCCGTCCCCGACGACGGCCCCGCCGTCGACGCCAGGTGCGTCGGGCCCAGCCCCCGCCAGCCCGCCCAAAGGCGTCAAGCGGATCGTATCGGGCCTCAAGCGCCGGATCAGCCACACCTTCCTTCGCGGTCACCGCCACCACGCGAGCACCGACGCTCTCGACCCTGCCCACCCCTCGCCCCGCATCCTCGACGACCACGAACCCATCCTCTCTCTCTTCGTCTCTGCCGACCAGCCGACGCCCATTTCCATCTCTGTTTCTCCGCACCATGACCCCAGCGTCGACACGCTTACGCGCGGCGTCGCCGACGGCGGCCTCGGCAAGCATGTCGCTGATTGCTCAGACTCGTCGGACGCGACCTCGGACTACAGCGTCGCGTCGTCGTTCCGGGGACGGGGGCACGGTACAGAATTTTCGGGCTCAGGTTCGTTCTCATATACCGCGCCTGGAGGTCTGCAGGACGTGACGGGCGATGAACCTCTTGTAGCGCCTCTCCCAGAGATCGCAGAGAGCCCGTCTAGCCCAGAGCAGACCGAGGCACCTGCCCCGTCCGCAGGCTCCGACTCTGAGGCGCTTGACCCACCCGTTCCGGTCGACAACCTAGCGCTCGCACTGTCTATCCCCTTGCCGGAAGACGCCGAGGGCGAACTTGGTGCAGAGGGGGCTGCTTCGGATCTGAGCCCAGAACCTCCAGCAGTCGACTCAGTCGACTCGGACAAGCGCAGCATCGAGAGTCTTTGCTCTCGCTTGTCTCCCGAGTACATCGGCGCAACCATCTCCGAAGAAACCCCTTCCGAGTTCACGAGGGGGAGGACACTCTCGTTGGCATCCGTCGAGTCTCTGACGGCCCCTCTCGAGACCCTCGTCCTTCCGGAGGATGTGTCTCCTTCGGCCGCACCATCCGAGCCTCAGTCGGATGCCGCCTCCACCCATCTCCCCCTTGTCCTCAGTACGTCAGCCGACGTGCCCCTTCCACCCGCGGAGCTCGATGTCCTCGAAGAGCCTCGGCAGCGGAAGATATCTATGCTCTCAATAGAGTCCCTCACGGCTCCTCTCGAGTCACTCGTCCTACCGGACGATGAAACCTCACCTTATACATCACCGGACTCAGAGTCGGAGTCTTCTCCATTTGACATCTTCCTGTCAATACCGCTCCCTCCATCCACTCCCGACTCTCCCTCGATACTTCCCGTGGAATCGCAGCAACTGCCAGAGCCCGAAGACGAGCATCCGGTTAGTCTTGGCTCGCAGCCGATAAAGCCAATCGAGCTGCCGCCTGCGCAGTCTCCGGCAGCGCCTTCTGCGCCCACTGGCGGCGATGACGCTCCGATCTCGCTCTCCTGGGTGCTGGAATACTTCACAGCGGAGTCCGCACCGAGCGAAACGACACCGAGCGAGCTAGAGGAAGCTCCCGCTGCCTCTGTCCTCGCCGCTGCCGAGCAATCCCTCACCCCATCCGAACCCTTCCAGATCACTCCCCTCCCACCTTCCTCGCCAGTTCTGGTGCATTCGGCGCCCCCGACACCACCACTGGCCGCGAGCGACGAGTACGGGAGCGAGAGCGAGGAGGAGGATTTCGAGTTCGACCCACAAGGGCTCACGATGGCGATGCCGATGTTGTTCTTTCCGTCTTCGAAAGTGCGTTATCCGGCCTTCTCCTCGTTGACGTGGTGGCTGCCGCACGCAACGTTGTAAATTATTCATCTTGTAGTGATAGACGGACCGTACTTAAGTCGATCAAATGTATATCAGCTGTAATTTACACTCGCAGGCCCTTACCGCCGCTCGGATGGAGTGCATGTTGAAAGTGAGTCGTGGTATCAATGAATAGGCCGTGCGCGTGTACTGACGGAACGGATACTCAGCGCTCAGCGCTCATTCAAGTTCGTTAATCATGACGACTGCGTATCGCGCTCACAGTACTACCGTTGAAGTACTACGGACGAGAACTGATACACTCAACACTTCGCTCAGGAACTGCGCTCGCTCGATGTCCATCTCCCCGTCAAGCTGCGTATTGCCCGTAGCCCGTTTGCGTTAGTCAGGAACACTCTCGGCAGCACTTGGGCAGTACTGCGCCGCGGCGCGAAGCTGATATGAAGGGGCCATTTAATGGTCCCGTAGCCTCGTAGCACCCTTGCGTTTCCTAATACCGCGACCACCGCCATGTCCGCGAACAAGGTCTCCCTAAAGGCATCTGAAGTGCCCGTGAAGTCCGTGACTGTATTCCAGTCGTCGATTGCAGAAGTGACGCGTGTGCTTTCCGTGGAACTAAAGGTGCGTCGTCGAGTTCCCTTCCCGTGTATTCTGAATCCCCTCCCGACACTGACACGCATCGCACCCCCGGTGACCCTAGAGCGGAACGAACATCATCGAGATCTCTGGGATATCCGACAGCGCCGACCCCAGCACCCCCAGGATATACGGCCCAGCAGACGACTCCGTCCGCGTGCTCGACATCGTCTGCCGCCGCCCCGCGCCCGATGCCCCTCCCCTCCCGTCCGCGGAGGCCGCCGCGCTGCTCGCCAAGAGCCACGCCCTGCAGTCCCAATGGATCGTCTGCCAGGAAGAGATGGGGCTGCTCGACAGCGCCGCGCGCCTGGCGACAACCCCCGCGGGCGGCATTGCGACGGACCACGCGGGGCTGCTTGCGTTCGTCGAGGGGTTTGCGCAGAAGAAGCTGGCGGCGCACGTGGTCGTGCGGGCTCTCGATGCGCAGATCGCGGCGATCGAGGAGGAGCTAAGGGCGGTGCGGAGCGCGCGGAAGGGCGAGGCGCGGACCGTCGTTGCTGCGAGTGTTTTCGCGGAGAAGGAGGGCGTGGCGGAGTTGCGGCTGACGTATCGTGAGTGATCAGAGGTCGCGCTTGGTGTGGGGGCTTGCATGGGCTGATGTTCTCCCTGTATAGTGGTCAGCGGGGTCCACTGGACGCCATGCTACGACCTGCACGTCCCGATGACCGACGGGCAGCCGTCCGCGGAAGTGTCTCTGCGCTGCTGCGCTACGGTATCCCAGAGCACGGGCGAAGACTGGACAAACACGACGCTCACACTGAGCACCGCGACCGTGCAAACCCAGAAAGAGCTGTCTGTCCCCTCCATAACGCCGCTCAGAATCAAGCTTGGTACTCCTCCCACAGCCCCTCGACGCCGGCCGCCGCCTCCGCCTCCGCCCCCTCATCCTGGGAACCCGCGCGAGCCTCCTCCGCCGCCGCGGCCATTGCCTTGTGGCGGATACCTAAGCGGGCCACTGGTGCCCCACCCACCGTCGATGGCGGCGGTTCCAGCACCCGCGCCGCCGCCCGCCCACGCCCAACCACAGCAGAAGCCTACGGCCGCAGCGGACGTGTCCGACTGGAGCGACTCAGAGAGCGAAAGCGACCCAGTACTGGTCGAGCCGCCGGTACCCCAGCCGCTGGTCGAGGCCGCCCCGATGCGCAACGCGTTGTCGGTAGGGTACAGCGTGCCGGGCGTGCTCTCGCTCCAGAGCGACGGGCAAGAACACAGGGTGACGTTTGCGACGCTGAACTTGAAGGTGGTACTGAGTCACGAGTGCGTACCGCGGAAGAGCGAGGCGGCGTTCGTCGTGGCGACGGTGGAGAACACGGGCGCATATCCTCTGCTTGCAGGGCCCGTGAGCGTGCTCGTGGACGAGAGCTTCGTGTCACAGGCAGCTATAAAGGTGCATTCACCGGTTGTACGCTATTTTCACTTGCTGACCTCGGGGCTTGTAGTGCATCGCGGTCAAGGAGAGCTTCCGATGTGTGCTCGGGGTGGACGCCGCACTGAGGGTGACCTACCGGCAACACTCAACGACGGAGGATCAGCCGCAGGTCAGCACGTTACCGCGCAAGGTGGTGGTGCGGTCGACGACAACGACGATCGCGAACCAGCACACGCACGCTGTGGCGGGGCTCGTTGTGCGCGACGCCATCCCGCTTTGCAACGAGGCGGGGAAGGTCGCGGTCGCCCTCCGCAAACCTGCGGGGCTCGCGGAGGTAGCGGTTGGCGAGGATGTCCCGGTGAAGGTTGGCGAGGGGGAGGGCGGCGTGACGGCGAAGGCACGCTGGATAAAGGGTGATGGTGGGAATGGCGGTGAAAAGGATGGGCTGTATGAATGGGAGTGTGCGATTCCGGCCGGGAAGACAATCACGCTCGAGGCGCAATGGGATGTTAACGCGGAGAACGATGAGGAGTGGTATGAGGCACCCTAGTATTGCGAGACCCGGTGTGGTTTACTGTCGTTGTAAAATACCAAGAGTACAGCTCTTCCTGTACTCAACATTTGGACCACTTTATGTATGAACTAGAAGCTGACTGTCCTTCGTAAGTTTCGTGATACTGTTCGCGTGCACTCCCAACCTCAGTGTGTACAAAAAGAATGCTCTCTGTCGGGGAGTCGAACCCCGCTTTCGCGCGACCCGCAATAGGTGACAGGCGCGTGTACTAACCGATATACTAACAGAGATGTTCATCTTTACGCCTATGGTACATTATGACTAGAAGGGGGAGGGTATGACGTTGCGCTGCAACTAATTATGACGGGCGCTAACATGCATACTTGCCGGGCCGTGCCAGTGCATACATAGCGCGGCGGTGGCGACGAGCTCACCCTCATCTCCGAGCATATCGGTCTGGCGCATGAAGGAATCAGGACGCGCAGGGTACGCGATGGCCTTGAGCGCCGCCAATTATTCCGCTCTGCCTCCCAGAGCGGCCCTATGTTGTACGTTCATGTGTCGACAACTCTGTCACTATGGTCGCCCTACTGACTGTGTCCTATCATTATTTTGAACAGTCAACGCCTTCCATATACGCTTGATACAGGAGATCCTTGCCAATCCCGGCGCGGATTCTTTCGACAGCTTCGCCGAATACATGAAGCAAATCGAGGTTTACTTGGACGCTGTCCGAATCATTCTTCCAGCACCTTCAGCCGGAGAGGGTGACCTCCTGAAGTCCGAACGTCAACTTGTCTGTGCTTGGCTCCGCCGCGTACTCTTGGATCTGCTCTGCGCACTAAGGCATTACGCGGTCGCCAGTCCTACGACAAGCGGAGCGAATGGTCCGGTGAGGCTGGCACAGACTGCACGCCGTGGGCGGCCACTGGAGCACCGAGACTCACACAACCGAGTCTTCCGGTCGACGATCGACAGTATAGTACAAACTATCGCTAGCCAGCCCCTGCTCTTCGGCCCGCTCTTACCCCAAGACATTCCCGCTATACCCGACCCCTCCGAGGACGAGTCCTCCGTGAGCGTTCGCGTTGCGTATCTCGCGTACGGAGATCTAAAGCGTTTGTCGGACCACGCTCGAGAGGCCGCGGCCACACCAGCTCATCCAAACGAAACGCAGTACGTTGCGCTCGTGTTCGTTTCTGGCGGCCGAATGAGCACCGTATACTAACTACGCTGCTATCGCGACCCTCAGGACTCAATCGACAGACTTCCATGAATCACCCGCACCTTCCAGCTTACTGGGCGGCCTTCCAAGCTCGGGTTCCAATGGCCCGGGGATGAGACCGGCAAATCCACCAAGCGATGACGGGCTACCGCAGCCGTGGCGGTCTACTCAAATTGTTGCCCATGGCGCTGCAGCGGGACATGAGCCCACACCGACACTACCGGGGCCCGCGACGGGTCCGAAACGGCTTTGAGTGGCCGCCCGACAGTACGCAGGACGTCAATCTTCACTAACACGAGACCAGATAGAGACATCTGTTAACTACCTTGCCCTTGAGCGAGGTACGATCTGCACGGCACACCAGACGCCCCACATTCCGACCGCGGGTATCGGGTTTGCGATCCTGAATCAACTATACATTCTTCTTCTACTGGGACTGCCTACGCCCGCTTCTTCTTTGTATGTACGTACGGAATGCAACGATCACGGGCCACGCACGCGCGCGCGCAGCTCGTCCGCGGGAGGAGTGAGGGCGACGATGGGGGTGAGGGTGAGAGTGCGGAGGAAAGAGGTGAGAGATAAGATGATACAGACGCGGCCGCTGCCGACACGAGACGCAAGAGTTCACCGGATGGACGACGACGAGGACGGAGAGCGAGGGAGAAAGACATGCGCGGGGAATCAGGGGGACATGGCTATAGTACGGGCTGACGTCCAATGGGGCGTGGAAGCGAGGGGGGATGGGGGTGCAAGGATTAGTGCGGGGGCTACGGCCCGGCAAGCCGGGTGGCGCATAGCGTGAAGACGAGCTGCGCGGCGGCGCGTATATATAGTATCGAGAGGATAGCGAGCGGTCGTGAAGGTGGGGAGGCCGGGCTTGTCGTGAGGAGTATGATGGCGGGCGAATGAAGGGCGTGAGGAAGGGTGGGGATGTCCGTCTTTGAGTCTCGGTATCTCGGGTCGTCAGTCGCGGCTCTGCCGGTGAAAACTGTGCGTGTCGTGTAGCAGGGGCAAGGAGGAAATGGTATGTGCGGGGAATGGGGAGATCATGATGTGGGGGAGGGTGAAGTCGGGGTGTGAGCGGGTGGAGGCGTGGACAAATGGCGGGTGGCAGGTGGCAGGCGCACGGGCAACACGGGCAGGACGACACACGCTTATGCCGCGCTGTACAGGAACAGGTTGTTCGTCGCGGCAATCTAAAGGGGTATGCAACGAACACACGGCTCAGTATGAGGTCATAGACATATGACAAAAGCGCCGATAACGTACCGCGATGGTGCTCTCCCGCGGATGCCAGCTCGCGTGCAAGATCTTCTTGTTGAAGTCCAGCGTCTCGAGCGCCATGTTCTCCCGCATGCCTCCTGGGCGCACGCCGTTCTTCATGCCTGGCTTGTTCCCTGGAAGAGGACCCCCGATCTTCTTTGCCTTGAACGCGGACTTGTCCGCTTGTAGCACCACGTCGTTTAGCGTGTCCGTGTCGAATATCCGGAAATAGTTGTGGTACGAGCCAGTGAGGACGTGCCTACGTCATAGCAAGCCGCGGTGAGGAAATACAACGTGATCGCAGGCATTATAGGGACTCACTTGTCTTCGCCGCTCCAAACACACTCGAACTTGTCGAAGATACAGTCGTTCTCGTACAGATCGCAAAGCTTCCCCCGCAAGTGGTCGTGAATTGGAATCGTCTTCACTGGCTTGCTCTCCATGTTGATGTCCCAGATCTTGAGGTTCAAGTAGTCGCGCGACAAGATGTATCGTCCATCGTGGCTAAACTTGACGTCTGAGATGGACGATATGATCTCCGAGAAGAAGGAGCGGTTTGTTGGGTCCTCTTCCTCCTCGAACACTAATCCGGGGACACCGCCACAATGTCAGCGCCTCCGCGATGACAGAGATGGAGGACTCACTCTTCGCATGCTTATCACAGAGCGCGGAGTCTCTCATGTCAGCAAGCTTGATGTTGCTTTTCGAGCTGCTGTACATGAAGAGGTTGCAATGTACTGGGTGGAACTCCGCCGCAGTGATGACTTCTGTCAGCTCTTCCATGTTTGCGGGCTTGATGTCGACGATGTCTTGAAATGTGTTCAGCTACTCTACGAACAGAGACTGCATACAAGGGCACTCACTGAAGCTGCGGTCGCTGATGTCCAGATTCCATAGGTTAATCCGGAGGTCGTCCGCAGAAACGTATGTCTCCTGGTCGGAGTTGACAGAGATCGAGTGAATGTGATATGCGTGCGCGTTCGCATACACTTTCCGAGGCACAGCGGCGATGATGTTGTCTTGTACGGACATGCGGGGGAGTCGGAGATTCTGCTGGACGATTGGCGCGGGTAGTGATCTCTGGCCCTCGAGGAGGTTGCTCTCGGACACCACCCGTAATGACTTTTCGAACACTTTCCATAGCTTGATCGTCTTGTCTGTGGATGGGCGATATGGGCACATAGGACACCGGGGGAGATGGGTGATGACGTACCGTTAGTGGACAAGAGGAAGTGTGCAGAGTTCTGTCGCTTGCACCACTTGATCTTGTTGATCTTCTCCTCGATCTCCAATGACTTGAGGTAGTCGAATTCGGGCTCATGCGACTGGAACTCCGTGTAGAACTTATATTCGCAGCCCTTTTTCTATTTTGGGTCAGATGGGGTGAGTGAGCACCGCACGATTGATTGGATGAGCGAGCGGGTGCGGTCAGACGCGCGACATACCATCTCATTGCGCTCGAACAAGACGACGCGGCCACCCTTATCACCTGTGGCGAGGTAGTTTCCTGTCGAGTCAAACTCGACGGTCGAGATGATGTCGGCTGAGGGGTATGGAGAAGGCGATAAGACGCTAAGCCGAAGGTGGCTACTGGAGAGAATGAGCCCGACCGACCTTCAGTGATATCCTCGACTTCGCCCTTGTCGCCGAAGCACTGCGCAAAGCGCCAGCCACCTGAAGAGGACGCGTCTTGATCCATGATCAACGTGCACGAGTGAAGCGCGATGGAGAGTGTGGGGTGGTATGCAAGAGCGTGTGGCTAAGCGTGAGCGATGTGCGAGCTGAGCGCTGAAGGGGCGATGTGCGAGCGAGGTCAGCGCGGTCGTGGGGGGACAGGGCGGGTGTGAGAGCGATGGGGACGGGTAGACACGAGGTGGTGGATGGGTGCGTGCAGGAGCTCGAGTCGGCGGAGGCGAGTGACAGACTCCAGTCCTCGGCAGGCCTCCCTGTGTACGCGTGTTTGGCCCCTAGCCCCGTCCTCCCGCCGGCGCCTCGCCCACTCCTTCATCCCGACTTCGCCCTCCTCCCCGTCGCCCACCCCCTCTCCGCCGTCGAGCACGCCGTACGCCATGCCTAACATCGCGCCCATTACCGGAAAGCTCAGGAAGCGCTTCTGGCTCGACCTCACCACCGCCCTCGGCCTCGGCGTCAGCGCCGGCTACACTTTCTGGTCAGTCCCGTCCGCATTTCTCCTGCGTCATTCCAACTCACACCCTCGCGACAGGTATGGCGTGCACCTCAAGCATGGTGAGCACCCCTCCATCTTCCTGCGTCAGCGGGTGCAACATCTGCCTGGCATGGCGCACCCGTGCCACATGCCTCTGGTTTCTTATCCACGCGCTGACATGTTGCTTTTTCTCTTTGCCCACAGTCCAGCGCCAGGAGGAGCTTTACCTGAGGCTCGAGCGGGCCAGGCAGCAGGAGCAGTAAACATGGGGACGTTCTGTATCACTTCCACAATCCCATCGAGTTCTCTGCCCTATCCTCCGCGACACGTCTCGCAGCGGTCGCTGCTGTGTACGCGCTTGAGCCGAGCCGCGACCCCTAGTCTGGACCGGACCGGACGTGATCTGGTGCAATTCCTACCTCTACATCACGAATCTCGTCAAACGTCTCGTCCTTGCTGGCCGGACGCCTTCAACCGCACGATGCATAAGAGCGTGATAGAACAGAGATAAATACGTGATTAGCTGGTGTATCGTCCGCTGTGCGGAGGTATCGCATATCATATATCGCATACAAGACATGACTGCCGTCCATCAATTCAACAAACCCAAGCTCTTCAGCTTGTTACAGCTGTCTATCGGCTCCTCGTCGATCTTCCGTACCTTCGCCCAGTCCGTCCCGATCCCAAACAACCCCACCTCTTGGTCTTTCCTCCGTTGTTTGTGGTCAAGCCCTCGTTGACACTGGGCGAACAAATCTTGCGTGTACGCCCGCTCGACATTGCTTTCGAATTTCTGTAGTTGCGGCCCAGGTTTGTTCTCGTTCCTCGCAAGTTCTGCCGCCAGAGGGTGTCCCGAGAACTCCGCAGCGTTTACGTGGTATTTGATGTGCATGCCGCCGGTGGTACGCTCGACGTTGTATCGTGGTGAAGGGTTGAAGGCGAAGCGGGGGTCGGGGGTCGGTGTTGAGGCGAAGAGATTGGGTAGCGCGTTGAGGAGCGAGAAGGCAAAGAGCAGGAACAACGGAAGGAGTTGCACCCATATTGACCGCGACTCCGCGGCAGGCTGCTGCTCTCGCCGGGCGTTGGTGCGCGCGCGTGTTGTGCGAAAACCGCCAGGGCCAAATGTTGCCGTGAACACTTCGTGTTACATGAGTAGCTGCACACGAAGACGATGTGTGGGCGCGACTTACTGGGACCGCCAAACGGACCGCCGCCGAACGAGCCGCCGTTCATGGGCATACCGCCGCCACCGAAGAACATATTGAACAAGTCTTCGGGGCTCATCTCGCCCTCGAACCCACCACCTCCACCGAAGGAGCCCCGGGAGAACGCTGGTGAGCCCCGACCAGAACCGGACGACATGCCGCTGAAGCGTGACTCGGGGTCTGAGCCGTGCTGATCAAAGGCACTTCGCTTTTGTGGGTCTAAACGTGCGTTTTGCAGAGGCGGTAACGGTCAGCATCACCTAGCACGGGCAGCGAAGATCGCAGCGAGGCGCTCACCTGACAGGACCTGGAACGCTTTCGACACCACTTCACAACCGGCTCAGCGAGAAGCTACGCAGGAGAAGGCGGGGGCCACTCACTCTTGAACGCCTCATCAGCACCCGGCGCCCCGTTCTTGTCTGGGTGCAACGCCAGAGCAAGCTGCCGTGCGGGGACGGATCAGAGATGCAGCACGGGAGACAAGACCAGAGCGGAGGCACACACCTTGCGGTACGCCTTCTTGACTTCAGCCTCGTCGCAGTCGCGCTTGAGCGCGAGGATCTCGTAGTACTCCGTGACCTTGCACTTGCGCACGCGCTCCACGACCGCAACGTTCTCGGGGGTATAGTCCCGCTTCTTCTGTGCCCCGCCCGCACCAGCATCCCCATTCGCCTTCGCCTTACCCTCCGCCTTGGACGATTCGGCGCCATGCCGCTGTCGGGCGCCCGCAGCAGACGGATGCGCCTCTGCCGCCGACGAAGAGCCGGCTGGTTGCGCAGATGACGAAGACCCCTCGCTCTCCTGAACCTCAACCTCAATAACCTGCAACAACTTCACGGCCTCGGCGGTGGAGAAGAGAGTGAGCGACTTCTGGCAGAACCGCTTTGCGGAGGGGAAGTTCCCAGCGTTCCGGTGCTTCTGCGCGATCGCGAGGCACTTGAGGGCCTCGTCCTTGTTGCTCTCCATGATCACCGAGATTGGGACAGATAGAGCACGACACCGTCGGCGGGTAGGGAGGGAGGAGGGGAGGAGGATGGGTCGAGCTGAGAGGGGTTAACGTGGTCGTGGGTAGAGTGGTGACGAGCCCAATGATGCAAGGGAGTTCAGGCACTAACGCGGTAAGTAGGCCTTAATTATGAGCACTACAACTGGGAGCTTACCTGCTTAGCCTTCGTATAAGTACACGCTGAGCGGCTACTCTACTGACAGCGGAAGGATAAGAAATGCCGGCCCAGGCACGCTAGATGTCGTAATAAATGAGGTAGATAGTAAGCACGCATTGGGCGCTACACTCCTTACCCCGGCCCTTTGTACTCGGACGTTCGCTCACCTCTGCTCCCCCTCTCATCGCCCAGCATGCCCGTTTCCTCACAGGTAGCGTCCGAAGAACCAGAAGAGCTCGTACGCTTCAGAGAACAGTGGCTCGCGGAAGTGCGTAGCAAGAAGAAGGAGCCCCAGAGCCAGGACGGCAGCGCCGCGCCCGCCGCCGCCTCCGAGGCACCCGTTTCTCAGGCACCCCGGCCGCTTCACCCTCTACATACGTCCTCCGTACCCGTACACCACTCGCGGACACCTCATGGCGTTCCATCGTCCCCGCCAGCTGTCCGAAGGCTGCCGTCATCGGTCGGACCCGCACCGCTCGGCCCCGCGTTACAGAGGGCGGTCGAGGTATACCGGAAGGCCGTCCAGCACGAGCAGCAGAGCGAGCTCGACGACGCGCTGCGTCTCTACCGGACAGCATTCCGAATGGACCCCAACGTGGATCGCGCGTACCAGATGGTTGAGGACCAGCTCCAAGCGGCGGCACTTGCCTCGGCTCCGGCCAAGACACACCACCGCAAGACTTCGTCTGCAGCTGCCAATGTAGACGCGATCGTGGAGGGGCTTCAGAACGTGGACCTCGCCGCCGTCCATATTCCTGTCGCTCGCATTCGCGGAGAAGGCCTCGTTACTGGGACGCTTGCCACTTTGATCTCGTCCTGGCCTGAAGAGCTTTCGTTCGAAGCCGAAGACGAGCAAGAAGGCGTGCCGATCAGGCTCCTGCCTAACGAGCTGCTCACTATGATACTCCGACTGCTAGACCACTCATCCATCGAACGATTTGCTCAAGTTAACCGTAAGGCACGTGTCGTCACCTTAGATGGCTCTATATGGAGGTGCGTTGCAGTATAAGTCATCATTCACCTTCGCATTCATCCACTCACGCGAACTTAGACCGATGGTACAAAGCGTGCTCAAGCCGCCACAAATACCAACCGAGGAGGATTTCGAGGCTTTGGTGCTGAAATATATGACGGATTACCGGTGCATATATATCGAGCACCCGCGTATCCGGTACGACGGGGTCTATATCGCTGTCTGTCACTACATGTACGTACCCCGTTTACCAATGTTAATTTTTTACCCATTAAGAGGACCGTCTGTCTGCACAATGCAGACGTAACGGTGTCGGGCCGAACGCTTGGATCAACGTGCGTACCCTGCGCTCATGAATGCAACCTGTGTATTAAGGGTGACAACATATGGAACTACAGTACAGCCATCTGGTCACATACTACCGGTACCTGTATGTGCGGCATGTATACGCCTCACTCGATGCACTAATCACGGTTCCCGCAGACGATTCCTGCCCGACGGCCAGGTCCTGTCCCTCCTCGCGAACGAAGGGCTTAGTCCGCAACAAGCAATTCCACTGCTCAATTCCTCCTTGCAAATGAAGGTCAGTCTCCTTCTCCCTTTGCGCGACCACGCATAACGCTAACAACGCCCAGGGGTTCTACATCGGCACCTGGTACCTCGACGGCACGACCGTGCACATCGAAGACCTCCTCGAGCCCGCGGGCGCCGACACCCGATACTCGTTCCAGATGATCCTCGACCTGCGCTCCCGCCCGCTCGGGCGGTGGAACCGGCTTGATTTTCGGGAGTACGACTCAGTGTACATCGAGAGCGGCGAGGCGACCCCTCTCGCGCTCAAGAACGAGCGGCCGTTCTGGTTCTCGAAGGTCCGATCGTATGTGTAAATGCGACTCCTGCGCGGGTGCCCAGTGCCATGGGAGTGAGGCTCGTAACTGGTATGGTACAATTATGTTTTGTGCAGGCCATGGAAAAGGGCGACTGATACGTATTCAGGTTCCGACCGGTGTCTCTCTTCCGAGCTTGTAATTTTATCACGGAACGGATGGTAATCCATAGATGCATGCCCTTCGGAACAAGGTGTTCACTAAGCCGGGCGAGGATTTCGATGTCTAAAAATGATATATTGATCGTCATTGTTTGGCGTGGTATATGTACGGTGAAATGCCACCCACAACAGCACTGACACGACAATTGCGCTTCCCTCCACGGCTGTAAGGGGTTGTAGCACTCGGGCGGCATCTAAGTAGCATTGAAGCTCAAAGCTTCCCACAAATTCGCATCGGCTTCGGCGTGCACGATTCATTATCCATCGACTCCGTTAGCACCGCTATATTCCTTTAAATTAAGCGAGCTGCCCGCAGGCGGCGGCTTGAACTGGGATGACGCATATATCAGTCTCTTCGAGTATGTTTGATAGTACGCCGCCTTTACAAGTACTTCGACTGCTCCGGACGCTGTGTTATCCGGTAACTCGCAAACCATGAAGCAAGCTCACGGACGACGCTTCAAAAGCCAACTATCCAATCGTATTCATCGACGCCAAGCCCGCCGTCCGCGCGTATGAGCGCCTCCACCGCAGCGAGCGGCGATACATCGCCATGCCCGCGCAGTCGCATGCCTACAGCGCAAACGGCCGACGCCACCGGCGGGCGGCGGCAGCAGCTACGTGGATTGATAGTACACGATCCGGACAGACACAGCTGCTACACGGTGCTCGAGGGCGGGGTAGGAGGAAAAACAAGCAAGAAAGACAACAAGGATGGTGTGAGGGGCCGATGCGGCGCATCGTTATCCGGGGAGAAAGCACACGACAACAAGGGGGAGACATGGGGAGGGAGAGGGGGATGGTTATTTCAGCAAATAATGCCGAGGGTGAGGAGAGGGGTGAGAGGGGTGGGTTCGGTAGATGAGGGTTGGAGGATGGGAATATCGAGATGACAAGGGGTGCCAAAGACGACGGGAATGAGGTCTTCGATCATAGGCGGGTGACGGCCTTGGCGTCGAGTGGCATGCCTATTTGCAAGGACAAGGGGAGCATGTAAGGCCCACGGCGGGCTACGTTAGAATACGGATGACTGACCTGAAGGGTCGATGCCATGCGCAGCAAGGATGCGGTTCTGGCGAATCAGCCTCGCCTGGTCGAAGCTGGGAGGAAAGTAGCACCGTCAGACCGAGTACCTTCTCGCGCAGAATCTGCCTTGCATCCCACGCCCCTCCCACGAGAAGCACTCCGGAGAGGAAGAGACTCACTTTACACGCTCCCGGCGCATGATGTCCAGCACCTCCTGAGTACCACGATCGTCGAGACCAGCCCGAGAGTCGCCGTCACGGATGTTCGCCTCGATGTCGAACGTCGAGGAGGACAGGCCGGCGTCGGCCTGCTCCGCGAACGTCGCCACGGGCTGGTAGTGCGCGACACGGGGCCCAAAGAGGGACCGCATGGGGTTGATGAGCGCAGCTCGGTACCGGAACGTCACTGTGCGCGGTCAGTCTAGGGACACAGGGAGCGAGGAGGCGGAGGAGGCGGAGGACGTACACATTACCAGCAATGTCGAGATGGCGAACACGGACAACCAGAAGAACATCGGGGGGCGGGCGGGGATTTATGCAATCGGTTGCGGGGGCGCGCGTAGGAGACTGGCGCTCCTCATTGGCCCAGCCTGCCATCATATACCCCCGCCCACGTGCCCCGTGCGCCTCGCCCTCTGTCCGCAGGCCGCGGCTTGCTCCCGCCCACCGCCCTTGCTTCCGCCCTCCGTCTCGGCTTTCGCGATCGTATATTCACCTGCCCTCACTGCTTGACGACGCGACCATGCTCGGCCAGGTTATGCTTCTCGTCGCGACGGCTACGCTCCTCCACGGTCAGCCCCATCTCCCCGAGTCTGGACCGTGACGCTGACGCGCGGACGCGTCTTTCTGTCCAGCCGCATTTTCCACATACGAACGTGAGTCGCGGTCATATATCATCACGCGTGCATAGTGTGCCCAACGGATGCTAATATATGTTGTTCAGACCTCTCCCATTTGAAGGCACTGGGACGGCCGGAGGGCGCGCTCCCGAGCGATGTCAGTTGCATCCGCTCGTCTTCCACATTGCGGCACAGTGTTCACCCCGCGTTCCTTCACCCAGATTGTCCTCGAGGCTCTTGCGTCGTTATTCCTGGCTATCGTCGGTGCGACGCTGCGCAGCTCGCCATTACGAGAGGTAACTTGGCGGAGCGAGATGAAGCGTCGGTGCGTGCAGTTCTTCCCCTGCCCACCCATGCGTGCTCACTAGCGTGCTGCAGCGCCCAAGAGGAGGACCAGGATCCACGGCTGTCATTTGCCACCTTCGCGCAGCGAGCAGGGATTGTGCCGCAAGCTCCTTCATCGTCATCATTGTGATACAGTTGTCTATCCTGCCCTTTGATCTATCGCACCGCCTGCATGTGTACTCGACCCTGCACCGTGGTGCACTCCAGGCATTCGTCAAGTAACCGGAGGAAGTTCTGTCGACCGGTTAACGCCGTCAATCGACACACAGACGGTAGTGCCTCAAGTGCGTGTAATTCACACGGGCTCGCGACGTATACACAAGGTGTGATCCATGCAGGTACGCATGCGTCTATGCAGTCTGGATTTTGCAATCTGATCAGTCGTGTTGGCATGCAGTCATCGCCCCATCACGACCTTAGTATGTGAACAGACAATGCAATGCACCTGCGATCCCGAGTTCGAAGTTCAAGCTAAATGATACTGCAAGAGAGCCACAAAAGGTGAAGTAGCAGCGCTTGGCGGCTTAGTCGAAGATAAGCTCTGGTGTCAGTCCTCGCCCGGACGTCACGATGCCATCAATGACAATTCGCTTCGGCGATATGGTGATGACCTATCTCGAAACCGTATGAAGAGGACATTTTCCGCAGAAATACGCCAAATGAATGAGTTTCTGCGATGCCTCATGCTGCAGTGCTTGCCTTCTGACCTTCGGCTTCCATCCGCTGCACTGGGGTACCGAGAAGCTTCGGATGTGACGGTGTGTCGCTGTTCACACGTTTCGTACCTGCCTCTCACTTCCGTGGCTCGATCCCAGCCAGCATGCCCATCGGCCTGGATGTAGGCGCACATTGAAGAAGCTCATGTGACACGTTTGTCGCTCTTGGGCCCGAATGTGCGTCATATGCATGTCGTATGCGCCATACTCGGGGGTGGCACTCGGAACTGCGCCGGCATCTACATCGGATGTTCACGGAATGCTTCCTCTTCAACCTCTCCATGCAGGCACGGCCAGCACACAACAGGTTGGCGTGTACTCGCAACGCGGGCTCTTTTGACACGTTGCTGGGGTTGACAGTTTACCGTTTCTTATGAAAGGCTTCTCGCCATCTATGTTTCATGTCAGTCGTACCAAATCCGCGGGCGCACGAGCGGAAGCGATGACTGGACGCTGTGGGGCGTTTGCCAGCCCTTCAAGGGACCCTCCAGGTGCGTGGTTACTGCCGCAATGCATGCTCGAGAACCTGATGATGCTGCAGGACTGCCTTGCTATCCAGGCGATGCGTGTCAATACTGATAGAGTTTTTCCCAATGTGGTCGGATCGACTGCGTGCGAGTTCAAAGAGGTTGCGGATGCTTGCTTGCGCTCGGGGCCCATCTTTTCACTGCGGCGGGAGTGGCAAAGGGCACATCAGCAAGTCACGCCTGACGGGCCACAGCCCGATCGACTCTGCAGGTGGCCTGAGAAGCCTGGCAGCGGACCAGAAAGGTATATGTGATCGTCCGGTGCTTGTTCAGCGCCGTTGCATATCTGCAGCTCGTCTGGGAGGCCGACGCCATAAGTGGACAAATCGGCGGTGCAGTCCGTGAGGCCCGATGCTTGACGTCGAGCTTCGTGGAGCCACAATGCGTACATACGCACCTAGCCCCTAGCTATCCGGATATCCACAACACTCTCCACGCGCTATACCTAGGATGCTCTCGAAAGGGAGAGATCCTGAATGACCGTTCTTTGGATAGCGCAGACAACGTCCCACACTGCCCTCGCATCGTGAGCAATGTTGAAGAGAGGGCACGACGCCCGACAACACGCTCTCAACCCCCCTCTCGCTCCTCGCTCCTCGTTCATCACTTCCCCCCCCCTCATTTTATATTTCACCAGTCGTTCCTCAGTCTTTACTCCCTTTCCACTCCTCTCCGCCATTTCCTATATCTATCTGTATCCGTCGCCACCGGTCATGAACGGTCAATCCGTTGTGCCACTTTCAGTGAGTCCAAGCCCTGACCTCGAACGCCATATTTGCGAGGAGCTAACCGTTCCCCATCGATCTTTAGCTGCTACTTTCGGATACAAGACCTCAGTTCTTCTTACCCAAGCCTAACAATATCAGCCTTATTTACGAATCCTATCCGGCGGACTACCCGGCAGGCACCATTGTGGTCACGTCCACAGCAGATATATATGTCAAGCTCTTCGCGAGCCCTGACTGGGCCTTCGTTATAAGGCTCACAGCCAGCAAAGAACCTATGTACAATATTCCTCATGTCTCGAGCGCATCACCTACGGGAACTCCGCTACAGGTAGGTGCTTTCAATATTCTCCTGGTAGTACGGCTAATCGAACACTCGTGGCCTCGTAGACGTTGCCGCAATACAACTATCGACATCATTCGCGCGCCCGCGCCCCCCAAATAGAACTCACGATACCGTACCATTATGTACCGTTACTATCCGCTCTCGACGAGCGCAGCATTTCTTCCCCGGATGAGCCGGCCTTTGCTCGAGACGCCCCAATTGGCGAGAAGCTGAGCGTCTGCCTTTGGGTGAGGATCTCGTTCCATAGCAGCTATTCAATGCCGCTCACTTACAGATCACAGCTGAAAGGCATTTGCCCGCGGCGCAAACGCACAAACGGCTTTTCCCACAAGCAGTACCGCGTGCGTGGCAGCAGCGACTCGGACGGCAGAAAGGGTCGGCCGATCACCCGCGCGAAACTCGCACGCCTATTAGCCCTCGACGTATATGATTTCATGGTATGTATGACGTACCTCATAGCTCGCACCTTCGTGCATCATGACCTCACGCTGTTCTCGCAGAACCGCCGCCGGGTGGTCTATCACGGCAGCGCCGTCGCGTTTCCCCAGTTGTGTCTCAAGGAGGTACGCCTGGAGTCCAAGGCGACGATCCAACCGGTCTTATGTATTCTCCCTTCCACTGTCGGTGCGTCCAGCGCCCGGGGCTCGGCTCCTGAGCGGTAGACGGGGAGGCTGGTACATTGAATCAGGATGCCCTCGGACGCTTCTTAGCGTTTGTATTCTTGCTCGTGCTGGCTGCTGGGGCGCGAATGCATTCAACGGCCTTCACGCTGCGTCTTAATGTGCCCCGCGCAGGCTATGTGGTATAGTGCGGCTGCGCTCATTCGAATCACTCTCGCACGTATGCTTGGACTGCCAGTGGCGCTCGCTGCACACGGCCCTTAGGCCTTATGCCGCATGCTCTGTTGATGCTATCTGGACCTACAAGCGCCCACACTGGCATCACGATTCACCGGCACAGTCGATCACCAAGAGCGCTCGATCGCAGGACCCCCGACATTGCCGCCAAAGGCCTGATCCACAAAGTTGAAAAAAGGCAATGCCTGTCCGGTGGATCAGGCCTTTGGCGCCCTGATTTTGTCCGGGAATACACCAGGCCTACCCGAGTTTTCGTGAATTTGTCCGGGCCAGATCAGGCCTAATCGAGCACGTGCTTCGAATAGACGCCGAATTTCGACTTTCGCGGGTCTAAAAGGCTACAAATCGGGGCAAATGTCCGGTTTGGCACCAGGCCTCACCCAGCCTGGCGTCAGTATGTCCGGAAAATGGCATCAGGCATAGGCGATTTTCGGGTCTTTTTTGTCCGGTTTTGCACCAGGCATAAGGGTTGCGGTCCTCAAATTTTGTCCGAAAACGGATCAGGCCCTTGGCAGAAATGTCGGGGGTCCTTCGATCGCGGCCGAAGACGTGAAATTGCCAAGGCCAGACTCGAATCCTCTCCAACGTGCATGCCCATCGCATGGCTACCACCCGTCGGCGGATCGCAACTTTGCCTGCCAACGTTGTAAGTACTATAGCGGTGTGCGGTTTGGCGTTCAACGTTCAACGTTCAAAGGCGACACAACGTCTCACCTCCGTTCGCCACTCCGCGGCCGGCCTAATATATGCTTCGAGAGCACACATGTCTTGCAGCCACACCGTCAATTGCAACGGTAGTGTATACGTGGAAACAAATCCGGGTATCTACTCACAGACGTTGCAAGCAGACATCAAACATCTCTTCTTTGAGGCGCGCCCTGCTCCCGAAGTTCTCCGCTGCCCAGACGTCCATTATCCAACTCACCTAGAACTCATTGCATATAACTGCGCTCATGTCACTCTGTACCGTATGCTAGTATCCGAGTCCTCTTCGACGTCGGCTTGCCCACATCGGAGAGTTTGGTGGCCGAAATCTCTGCAGCATATATAGTCGTCCAAAACAAGCTGGGCAGGACGTTCAAACGTTCAAGTTCACCCTGACGCGCTCACGCTGGAGTGGGCCGAGAGAAGAGGGTGAGCTGAGCATGCTGACAAGCGCGTCGTCCGAGCGTGACGGAGGAGTGCGCGCGTGGGCGCTGGCGCTAGACAGGAGCGATGACGTCCGCCGGCGGAGAGCCGGTGCAGTGGGCCCAAAGACGGACCCGGTCGTGATCTGCTCAGCTGTGCGCCGCGCGCGTATAAATCCATCATCTCTCTCTCTCCCCACTCGTCTCATTTCTACGCCGCCATGGCTTCCCGCTCGGCACCATCAGCTGCCTCCACCACGCAGCCAGCCAGCGATGCCTCTTCGACCACGACCAACTCCGTCGCAGCAGAGGGCACGCTCTACGTCTCCCAACCATACCGCTCCTCCTCCAACAAGCTACGCGCCATGGTCACCTTCGCCCCCCGCAAGTCCCACTTCGACATCTCCAACGAGCACAGCGGCGCCAACGAGTTCCGCGGCTTCTTCACTCTCTTCTGGATCTCCCTCTTCCTCTTCGTCGTCAGCACATATGTCCGCAGCGTCGAGACAAACGGCTACATCCTCGACTTTGAGTTCGCCACCATGTTCTCGCGCGACGCAATCACCCTCGCCATCTCCGACGCTGTCCTCGTTCTCAACACCGGCCTCTGCGTCCCTTTCGCGTACGCCATCTCCAAGGGCTGGATCCGCTACTACTACTTCGGCATCGTCCTCCAGCACCTCTGGCAGGCAGCTGTTCTGGGCATGGCCATTACATGGACCTTCAACCGGTGCGTCTCTTGCTTCTCCATCACCGAATGCAGCTAATACTGGTCCTTCGCCCCCAGCCAATGGCCATGGGTCCAGTCCGGCTTCTTCACTCTCCACTCTTTCGTAAGCACCTCCTCTTGTCCTCCGTGTCGGAAATTGCGAATCCCGTTTGCGTGCCTTGGTAAGAGCGGTAAGGGACGTTCTGCATATCAGTGACATAGCAGCAGCGACCCGATGTGTTTACGCTGGCTGGCGACTCGTTATTCAGCGGCGTTCGGGATATGCGACATGTTTATTTGTCACAGCCTCCCCTGACTGGTAACCCAACAGGTCATGATGATGAAGATGCACTCCTATCTGAGCACCAACGGACAACTTGCCTACACCTACCACAAGGCCGAGAAGGTCCTCGCCCAGCTGAAGGAGGCCGCGGAAGCCGAAGGCGGCTGGGACGCGGCCCTAAACAAGGCAGAAGCGGCAATGCTCCAGCAAGATGCGGCTGTCCCCCAAGGCACGCCCGCTGAGCTGGAGGACACGCCAGCGGGAAGCACGACATCGTACGTTGATGCGCGCACGGCCGTGACGCTCCGCCAGCGGCTCGCCGCGCGCGCTGCGGCTGGCGCAAACGCTGAAGGCCCGTCCGTGAAGACGACGGGCACGCGCGTATTGCCCCCTGGCGCGACCGCGATCCCAACGCATCCCCCTACTCCGTCAGAGGTCCTCGTCCATCACCCCTCGCAGAAGATCGCGGAGCTCGCGAGGACGCACGCGGAACTCGAGCGCGAGCTGCGGGGCCCCGTCGAAGGGCGCGTACGCTGGCCGGCGAACATCACGCTCCGCGCGTTTGCGTGGTACCAGCTCACGCCGACGCTCGTATACGAGCTGGAGTACCCGCGCACGGATCGTATCCGGCCGCTATACGTGTTCGAGAAGACGGTCGCGTTTTTCGGGACGTTCGCGCTGCTGTACACGATCGTGGAGACGTTCATCATCCCGCTCACGCCGACGAAGGAGCAGAGCTTCGCGCGCAGCTTGTTGGATCTTGCACTGCCGTTCATGATCTCATATCTGCTCTTGTTCTACATCATCTTCGGTGGGTCGCGTTTACTATCTATCACACGACACAGGCGCTAATGACATTTCGCAGAGTGCATATGCAACGGTTTTGCGGAACTTAGCTAGTAAGTCGAAATCAGCTACTCTTATCGTCTGATGACTTACGCTGCCGCCCCTAGCTTCGCGGACAGGCAGTTCTACGACGACTGGTGGAACTCGACGTCCTGGGACGAGTTCTCGCGCAAGTGGAACCGGCCGGTGCACACCTTCCTCCTCCGCCACGTGTACGCGTCGACGATGAGCAGCTACAAGCTCACGCGCCAGAGCGCGATGTTCGTCACGTTCCTGCTCTCCGCGGCCGCGCACGAGCTCGTCATGGCCATCGTCACGAAGAAGATCCGGTGTGTCCTTCTCCTTCCTCTTCGGTCCCCTTGCGCTTGCGTGTTGTGTGCTGACTCGGATGTGCTCTTTTCGTAGATTCTACCTGTTCGCTCTGCAGGTACGTCCGCTCTTGTACTTTTAGTAGAGCAGCACCACTGACCGTGTATGGCAGATCGCACAAATTCCGCTCATCGCGATCGGCCGCATCCCCGCGATCCGGCGGAACAAGCTGCTCGGGAACATCGTCTTCTGGATCGGGCTCTACGCCGGCTTCCCGCTGCTCTGCGTCGCGTACTGCGCGTACTGAACGTCCCTCCCCTACCTCTCTCTCCGCATTCGCACACCTCCCTCCGCGCCCCTCCTTCCGCACTCCGCACTCCGCTCCCCGCTTCCGTCTCGGTCAAAACACGGACCGAGGCAGGAAGAACCCGACCAGCCTACATACGACGACGACACCACTCATTCACGATCACGACCCCCCATCTCGGTTCCCGCTTGGTTTGCGCATGGTTCCCGCACCGCACTGGAGTAGATATCGGCATGCATCGGGTCCGCTGTAGCTTACGTTCGGGGCGCGGTTCCCTACGATGGGAGCTGCGTCCTACATAATGATAGATACCATACGTTATTTGACTTGCGAGTCTGACAGTGATCAGGCTGGGGCGATCCCGATGGCCACGCGGGTACGCACACAGGTGTGTACGTTTGCTCTCCTGTCCGGAAGATCGAAGACTGCACCCGACGATATGTGCATTTTGTCATCGGAGAGACGTGTCCCGTTCCATGTTTGCCTAATATCCCGGTGCCGCGTTCTTGGCGACTGTAAGTAGGTGTACGCGCACAGGGGCACGGGCCACACATGCTTTGCAACGCAGGGGCTGCGCTCAGGGGAACTGTGCGTGGCGCATCGGCCTATGCTCAGTCAGTGCTGAGTCTGCGCATATCAAATGCGCAGAGACGTACGCGCGCATGACTCTACGTGGATAATCCGAGCAGTGTCATCCGAGGTCTTATACAACGACGAACGCGAAAGCCGACAGCGCGACGCTATACGTCGATGACACTCGGCAAGTCGAGGAGGTGCATCGTCTCCGGCCCCTGCGGCGCCCGATACCGCACGCTCTGCATCCCCGGGCGGGACTGGCCTTGTTGTAGCAACGTGCCGTAGGTCTTGGTGTCTTGGGAGCTTGGCAGTCCAAAGTTTAAACACTGTTTGTCATTTGAGCGACTGTGTACCTGACCCTAACCCGAGGCCGGCTTCTCGCGAACCAAGGTGTGCTTGACTGCGCTTTAGTCCAGAACTCCCTCGATAGTGAGAATCACTTCCAGCAGTGTCTGAAGCCTCTGTCAGATAGATAGGCTGGTAATGTACATTGTATCGGAAATGTCCTTCTAGATAGTCCGCATTCTTCTCTAAGACCCAAGAACCGTATGGGCACCGTATGCACCCCCAGTAGTAGCATACCGCCGCGGCAAAGATGCCACAATCAATCAGCGCACGTCCAAAGGGTCCTGCCCCTCACGACTTCATCATCTTCTCCCACTTGCGCAAACACGACTCCCCGCGATAATCTGCATACACAAACACACGTCAGAGAACACCTCGTGTGCGAGTACGAGGCGACTCACCGTAGCTGCGCCAAGGCAGACACGAGCACTTCATCGCGCGCCGCACCCTAGCGTCACGCGGGCAGTGTTGTAGAGGGTCGTGCTGGTACCCGATGTTGTCGAAGAAGTGGATCTGGTCCTTTGGCGCGAAGAGGCCCGCGCCGATGCTGTGGACGGGCGCGTCGCCCCAGCGCTGCAAAGGGTCCAGTTGTGTTAGCCTTCGTGACGCGTCGCGCGGAGACGTAGACGATAAGATGCGGGGATGCAGGAGGGGGGGAGGGGGCGGTGGCATGAATCGAGAGACGCACCTCGTAGTAGAAGCCGCCTTTCGACTCTAAGTGGTCGAAGAACTTGCTGTATGCTTCGCCTCGCCAGAACTCCATGTTCGCGATTTCGAAGTTACTCCAGACTACGAAGGGTGAATGCCGTCAGCACAGGAGGGTCAACGCGTCACTGGGGCGGGACGGCACGTACAATGACACATATTGTAGGTATCGCCGCTGTCGGCCGAGAGATAGTCCATGGAGTTGTTTGCAGCGATGTACTGCGGGTTCTGGTCGACGAATTCTGTAGACGCCGAGGTCAGCTGGCGTGTCCATTGTCGAGGCGCGAGCCGCACCTTTCACGGCATCCCACAGCGTCGTCACTGTCTTCGGCCACTCATGTGGTGAGATGGTCCATCCTGCATGGCACGACGGGGGTCAGACCTTCGATCGGAGTATTGAAAGGCAGCGTGGAATCTCACCGTAGATCTTGTTGTTGTCCTCCATGTAGACGAACGGATCGTACTCGATGTTGCAAGTGAAGTGTACGCCCGGCCTTTGTCAGTGTAAGCGACGCCAAGTTTCAGGATATGCGGACAAATGGGACGTACTCGACGCGCCAATACCACTTGTACTTTTGCACTAGTGGATGGTGGTAGAAGAACTGGGGCGCAGTGAGTGACGGAAAGACAACGAGAGATGAGGGTGACTTACACCTGAGTTGAACCTGCACATATTGCGGTAGCTGTACAAACTGCGTTAGCGCGACGCAAACGCAAAAACACCGCTGCTCCACGTACGAAACGCTGCCTAAAGCGAGAACGCTCAGTAAAACGCGACAGGATCAGAAAATGGTATGCATACCGCCGTAGATGACATTCTCTGCCACCATCTGGTTCCTACTCTGCGTCGCTTTCTCTTCATCTATCCATTCTGGTTGATACCAGTGTTCTGGTGGGATGAGCCCAAAGGACAGGGATCCCGAGACCACGCTGCTCATATTCCTATCCAAATGGTCAGTGGACGGACGCAATTCAACTCGTCGCGAGAAACCCACCCTTTGAATTCCTCTGTAAAAGGCACCTCGTTGAGGAACAGCCAGGAGTAGCCGTAGTGCTGGTTGAAGCGCTCCTCCAGCTCCTTCACGCTAGCGACAGCGTTCTCGAGCTCGGAGTTGCGCACCAACATAAGGATGACGGCGTTCGCCCTGCGCGTGCCGTTGAATGTGACCACATCCTCGCTGGCGACGACTGTAGAAGTGTCCTGCGAGGCCTTCCCGCTCCATCCCAGACGGGAAGTGATGGCACGAAAGGGCGAGAGGCCCGGACGCGTGTAAAGTAATATAGAGGAGAGAGAGATCTGCAAGAGACATGTTTCAGCCCAATCGCTGACGGCCGTACTGTCAAGGCGGACTTACAATGAGCGTGCCGACGATAGATACCCAGAGCATCGTCCGGGTTATCGCACATACGCGCCACCGCCGTTTCGGCGAGTAGCACGTTCTACCGTGTGCGACGGGCAATGTGCCGGGAGGACATGTCGATGACATTTGACCACGAGAGACTTGGAGGGGTGAAGGTAGGGTGAACGAAGGAAGAGCGGTCCTGTATCAATTTCGAGCGGGGCCATACGATGCACCGCGCAGTAAATATCGCGTGTGGGGGCTGCCGCCGCCGCCGCCGACTCCTCCTGGGGGCCTAGCGGTGCTCGCTACTGCGGGCTGACAGATCGCCATCGGCGTCGGATGTATTTTCGTCGCGTATACGCTGGAAATACGGGGTTAAGCAGTTCAGACGATACAGCCCAGACTGCGGGTGGGTTCTGGAGGCTGCGGTGGGCCTGCGGCGTTGCTGGGTGTCTGGTCGACGGACTTCATTGAGAACAGCGAGAACACGCAGGCGGTGTCTGTGTGGAACAACATACCCATTCGGAGCTGCACGCACCACACATCGTGTGTTGCGAGGGGCATCATATTGCGGCGAAAGACGAAGAGGCACTCCAGTAGCCGCCGATCCGTTTGAACGCTCAGGCAGACGCCCAAACTTATTCGGTCCGATCGCCGGACCCGAGTTCGCCGGCGGTTCACTCCTTCCACTCACTCTAGTTTTGCAAAGTTTGCATGCGCACAGGCTTTCATTCTTTCGTTCATTATGCGAAGCTCTGGCATTGGGACCTAAAAGTCTTCCTCAATATAGCTGTGAGACGCTAGGACTTCGTCTTGGAGGTTTCTGAACCGCGACGTTCGATCGTAGTGCCTGCAGTCTGGCCCAACGACATCATGCTTGCTGGAGGGTGCCCCTGGGTGCTCTAGCCCACCGAGCAGAACGAGTCAAGATATTGATAAAGGTGAAGGATGGACTATCGTGCATACCGGCCAATGACACTCCTTGCTTCATTCGAGCCAAAACAACCTGGGGATCTCCGGATCTGTCGTGATGGCTACTAGTGTGGTTCAGTCTCAGCCTGTACCTTTTGAAGTGAATATAAACAATCTCAACTTCGCCCCAGATATCCACAACGTAGAAGGCACGTCGCGAAGTCGTTCTGGAAATGGCGGATCTCCTTTCAGCGCTACCCGTCGAGCTGGTGAGCATCATCGGTTGTACGTCCACCCCAAGCGACCTGGCAGCACTCCTCCTCGCCAACAAGACACTCAACGAACACCTCACGCCGACACTCTACGCCTCCATCGACATCCAGTACTACAACCACGCGCAATTCTGCATCCGGACGCTTTCTGCAGAGCCTTCTACCCTCGCGTTCGGTCGGGACCTTGCTGCGCTCGTCCGTTCCTTCTCGCTGCGGTACGAGTACTATGGTAACCCGACGGGAAAGGCGAAGCTCACACGGCGTCTGGCTCGCGCGGTGGGGCGCATGACCGGCCTCCGATACTTCGCGCTTGTCGTAGATGATATCTTCACCCCCAATGTCTGCGCGGCGCTCGCGCGGTCAGCCGCACCAACTCTGCGCTCTCTCACCGTCAGGGCAGACCTGCCGTCGAGGTGGCCAGACGGGAGCGACCCAGGGGTATTGCGCAACGTCCGTCCGGTGTTCCCGGAGCTCACCTCCGTCTCGCTCGTGCTTGCGGACGAGTCGCTTTGGCTAGACTTCTTCGAGAAGATCCTCACGCCGCGCGCGGGACACCTGTGCAACCTATCCCTCAAATTCTCGGCGACATTCTCGGCGCCCCTGCTCTTGTCCTTAGTGCGCAACACCCCATCGTGGGCGCAGCTGCAAGAACTCGAACTCGACGTTCCGGACGTACCCCTCGCCATCCTTCCCTCTACGCCAAATGTACGCAAGCTCACCCTGTCCTCGTCGATAGAAGCAGACGCACTGGCACAGCTCGTCCTCCCTCCGCACGCGTTTCCCGTCCTTGAAGTCCTTGCTTGCCCTTACCAGCTCCTGCCAAAATTCCTCCCCGAGGATGCGCAGACGCAGCGCCCGATCCGCACCGTACGCCTGAACAATGCGTCCTACGATGAGGCCGGCGGCATTGGAGACTTCGACCGCTACGAGTCCTATCCCCAATGGGAGGAGCTGCTCGAGGTGCTGCGCTGCCTTCCGCGCTCGGCGGGCCCGGTGATGGACCTCAGTTTCTACGTTGACTGGTTCGATGCGTCAGCGTTTGGCGAGGACCTGGCGCCGTATGCGGCGACGCTGGAGCGGCTGGTCGTCGTCCTGCGCCAGGACCCGGGTCGCGTGAGTTCCTGCTAGTATTATGCTTATGAATGCGCATGGGCTGACATCGTGTCGTCCCGCAGCAGTCTGCAATCGCGACCTTCGGGGAGACGCTATTTGCGCGTACGCCCAAGCTGCACACATTCCTGCTGTCGGACGCGCCCATCAAGGCGGACGACTATGAGTTCTTGTTCGCGGGGCATCGGCACACACATCTCCGCTGGCTCGAGGAGTGGGACGAGCACCCCAATGCGCTGAAGAAGGTTGCATTTGCGACCGACCTCGTGTGGGCGAGGACGGAGGATGGGTGGCAGGCGCCCCCCAGGAACGAGGACAGCGATGACGGAGGTGATGATGATGATGATGAGGAGGAGGAGGAGGAGGACAGCGAGGACGACGGCGCAGTGGAGAGCGACGGAAGCGTCATGGTCGAATCCAACTAGCGAGACCACAGAATGCCATAGACCAGGAGCTTCTGCGCTCGCAACACAACGCGTTAGTACGGTGACGTTATCAGCCTGAGGCGAACCTCCGCACGTGTCTCGCTGTCTATGCAATCATAAGCATACGGGAACGCGGAGGCGCTACGCTTCTCCATGACATGTCCTCCCTTCAAGTGGTTCTGTTCTATGGCCTCTTCTCGCTATCCAGTATTTCGATGCTTTAGCAATGAAATGTCCAAATGTCCAAACACCACTCTATATTTCACTTTCCATGAGACAGGTCGGTAAACGGCCAGCTGCACAGTGCACTCTACTCCCGTAGGAACGGCGGAGTATGAACGGACGAGTCGCGTCGCGCCGCCGCATATACCCAACGCGTTTGACTTTCTCAAGTTCTCCTGCCATGAGCAACATCCTGTCGTCGCACTTTGCGCTGGCTATTATAATGCCTTCAGAAGGAGAAGCGAACTCTGAAGAAAGTACTGCGAGATAGATGTATGTCCGGCATGGTCGATTGCGAGAAACATGTCACTTACCGCCGTAAAGTTTCAGAACGCGCAGATGGGAAGCCGAGTAGAGAATATCCTGAGTACCGCGCACTGGGTGATCATTTGAAGTTAGTTCCAGACTCTAGTCAGAAGTGGGGATTCCCCCGGATCTGTCGTGATGGAAATCACTGTCAGCGGGCACGTTGAGACAGCTGTGTACCTTTTCAAATGAAGGTGAGGCCAATTTCGAATTGATATCGCACACAAAAGGCACCCCGGGCACATACGACGGATCTCGAAGTCTTCTCCTAACTACCGTTGGGCCCACAGCACGCTATACGCTATACGTTCGACGCAGCAACAGACACCCCGGGGCGGTGTATATGTACCTGAAGATGGCCGACCTTCTGTCCGCGCTGCCTGTCGAGCTGGTAAGCATCATCGGTCATACGTCCGCCCCAAGCGACCTGGCAGCACTCCTCCTCGCCAACAAGACACTCAACGAACACCTCACGCCGACACTCTATGCCTCCGTCGACATCCAGCACTACAACCACGCGCAATCCTGCATCCGGACGCTTTCTGCAGAGGCTTCTACCCTCGCGTTCGGTCGGGACCTTGCTGCGCTGGTCCGCTTCTTCTCGCTGCGGTACGCGTACTCCATCTATAGCAAACCACCGGGAGTGGCGGAACTCGCACGCCGTCTGTCTCGCGCGGTGGGGCGCATGACCGGTCTCCAACACTTCACGCTCGCCGCAACTGCCACATGTACCACAAACGTCTGTGCAGCGCTCGCGCGGTCAGCCGCACCAACCTTGCGCTCTCTCACCATCGCGGCAGACTCGCAGTCAAGGTGGGCACACGGGAGCGACGTAGGGATGCTGCGCGACGTCCGCACGGTGTTTCCGGAGCTCATCTCCGTCTCGCTCGTACTCTCGAAAGAGGCGCAATGGCTCGACTTTTTCGAGCGCATTCTCACACCCCGCGCGGGACACCTGCGCCATCTATCCTTCAAAGTAGGCTCGGCGCCCCTGCTCTTGTCCTTAGTGCGCAACACCCCATCGTGGGCGCAGCTGCAAGAGCTCGAACTTGATGTTCCGAACGTGCCCCTGGCCAACCTCCCGTCTACGCCAAATGTGCGCAAGCTCACCCTATCCTCGCCGAAGGCTTCAGACGCACTAGCACAGCTCGTCCTCCCTTCGGACGCGTTTCCCGCCCTCGAGGTCCTCGCGTGCCCTTACCAGTTCCTGCCGACATTCCTCCCCGAGGACGCGCAGCCACAGCGCCCGATCCGTACTGTACGCTTGAACAATGCGTGCTACGATGAGGTCGACGGCATCGGGGATTTCCCGCTCCACGAGCCCTACCCGAGGTGGGAAGAGCTGCTCGAGGTGCTGTGCTGCCTCCCGCGCTCTGCGGGCCCCGTGACGGACCTCAGTTTCTACGTCGACTGGTTCGATGCGTCGGTGTTTGGCGTGGACCTGGCGCCGTACACGGCGACACTGGAGCGGCTCGTCGTCATGCTGCACGAGGACCTGGGCGGGGTGAGTGAGTATCATGCTTGCGAACGCACATGGACTGACTCGCTAGCGCCATCCCGCAGGAGTCCGCGATCGCGACTTTCGGGGAGACGTTGTTCGCGCATACGCCGAAATTGCACACGTTCTTGCTGTCTGATGGGCCGATGAGGGCGGACGACTTCAAGACCATCTTCAGGGGCGATCCCGAATGGCTCGAGGAGTGGGACAAACACCCTAATGCACTGAAGAATGTCGCGTTCACGACCGGCGAGGGTGTGTGGACAAAAACGGACGACGGATGGCAGGCGCCCCCGAGGAACGAGGACAGCGATGATGAAGGTGACGATGATGAGGATGAGGACGAGGATGAGGAGGATGAGGATGAGGACGACGACGACGAAGACGATGACGATGACGACGACGACGCAGTGGAGAGCGACGGAAGTGTCGTAGGCGAATCCAACTAGCGGGACCACGCATCACCATGTCTAGACCACTGGCAGGACTCGGAGATTCCGCGCACGCAACAAAATGTATTACAATGACGTTATCAGGCGTACCTTCGTCTCTGTCTGTCTATGTAATGATAAACATACAGTAATGCGTAGGCTCTACGCTTCTCCATGACATATTCTCCCTTCGAGAGATTCCGTCCTACTATCACTCTGGGCGGGCCGATTCGTGTGGACGCGCAAATCCTATCTGCAAATGCCTGTCCCGCGCTCGAAACCCTCGCGTGCCCGTACCAGCTTCTGCCAATACTGTAGCTATATGACCAATCCGGCGGGTCACCGGTCACATCGACCTCCGCCGCGCCGCTTTCGGGCCCTCGTCCTAGGTCACCGGGCCCTCCCGCCGCTTTGTCCGGTGGGCCGCCGCCGGTCACACTGTTCTTAGGGCCCGCCGGCGGCCCCTGCGGGGCCGCCACGCCGCTTCGTGCCCGCCGGTCACAGTCCGCAGGCGGTCGCGCCGCCTTCGGCGGCGGCGCCGCTTTCGGTCCCGCCGGTCACACGAAAACCCCTCACCGGAATGATCATATAGCTACAGTATTCCTGCCCGCGGATGGGCCTACGTGGCAGCGGCACCATGCGCCTGGACCAAGCATACTACGGCTCGGCGCCCGGTGGACAGTCCTTGTTAAAGTTCACGACCGCTACAAGTAGGCGGGTGTGCTCGGGGCGTCGAGCTTTGGAGGGACGCTCTTCGCGCACGCGCCGAGGCTGCACACGTTCCTGCTGTCGGACGCAACATACAAGTGGCGCGCCCCCAAGATGCCGTTCGCGTTCGCGGCCGAGCGGGACAAACAGCTCAGCTGGCTCGAGGAGTGGGACAAGCACACATCCGCGCTGGAGAGTGTCGCGAATCGCGTGGACAAAGACGGAGAACGGTTGGCAAGCGCCCCCGAGGCAACCGAGGCAACCGAGGCGCAGTGGAGAGCCATAGAAGCGTCAGTTCACTGGCTTGCATAATGGTATGAGCACTGGACCAAAAGAAGCCTTTGCATACAATATTGCTCCGACTAATGAATCACTCGTGCATACTAGTGACCTCTTGTCTACTACGGGCCAAACTTGACAGGAGGGGGGTACGTCCGCGCCCGCGAGAGTTCCGCATACACCCACCACAGCTGCTCCACCATCAAGTACAATACCACGCACGCCACGCCCAGCAAGCCGCTGTACACCCGCCCCAGCCACGTCCATTTGTCCCACACGCTGCCGCGGATCTCCAGGTCCCGCCGCATGAGCATAGCCCACAGGTCCGCCGCGGCCCACTGCTCGTGCTCCATCTCAGCGAGATGCATGTGTTCGCTGCGCACGTTGAGCAGGATGACCGCCTTGCAGAGCTCGTCGTCCGCCGCCCACCGCTCGTGCGCCGTGTGGTCCGTGCCGAGCGCGGTCGGGCACCCCGGGGTGCACTTGAGATGAGTGAGCGGCAGCCCCTTCGCGCGGAGGATGGTTTCAATCGCGAGCTTGAACTCCAGCCAGTTGTCCGATCCGAGGCGCAGGTGGTTGGGGAGGAACAGTTCGGAGGTGAGTATGCTGGAGGTGATTGGCGTGTATAAGGGGTAGCTCGTCGCCCTGTTGTAGTATCCTCGGTCAATCTTGGTCATATCTGCGCGATGGAATGGTCAGCGTGGGCTGTGCGATATAGAAAACATTTATGCGCTCGTACCCATAACCTCTGAATAAGATTCAAGTGCGGTATTGATGGGGTGGAAAATCGGCGGGACGCAGCGTGCGGTGTGAGAGCTTCGCACTCGCCGCATCTGCTATTATACCGAGTATCGAGAACACCCGGTTCTACGAAGTTGTGCCACTGCGCTGAAAGACCGTTTATAACCTTCTGATAACCTCCATTGTGAGTTTTGCGTAAAAGTTTCAAACCTGTGATAAGATTGAGACGAGGATAAAGGGAGACATTAACCAAGCGAGCGCAGACTTGCACGTTTGTCTCTCAAAGTTGAACTCCAACCAAAGGCGATTTGATTCGCGATCACGTGTAATAATGAGACGCGTCGCGACGCGCTTTCATCTACGTAGTGATGATCTCACCGTCGCTCCTATGACCATCCGTCATCATGGGGCTGAACGAAGAAGAGCGGGAGTCACAACATACGACACCGGCGGCATGCTCAATACCCGAAGATCGTCCTGCCGTCCTCGAATCCCATCTCTTTGAGGCCTGGTACGGCGGCCTTCTCAATGAGGCCGGGAGGTCCGCACAAGAAAGCTGCGACGTTGTCGGCAGCCGGATAGAAATGTTCCTCCCTAGAAGTTCGATCGTCAGCGGTATACTATCTTAGAAACGCCGCGGCGTACGTACATGATGTCTTTATTGAGGCGACCTTCCGTGAACTGTAACCATCTGCGGTCAGTAGCTGGGTGGGGCCTATAACAATCATATCGTCTACCTTGACGTTGGTCTTCTCCTTTGGCGGATCAGAGATGACATGCCATATCTTGAATTTATCTGAATGCTCCTCTGCATACTTCTGTAGCTCGTCTCGCATCAAGATATCGTCGTAAGTCTTGTTGCTATCACTAGAATGTAAGTCGATGGCTTTGACGAGACGACGAGTTCTCGGACCTGTCAATGAGAGACACGAGGGTGTTGTCCGAGGGATCCATTAGAACAGCATGGACAAGCTGCCAATGGGGAGTCAGCCCGCTCCCGCCTGCGACGAGGTTGACCTGCACATCGCAGACTATAGATCAGCAAACGAAAGAAACCGATTCTTGACGGATACGGCACCTTGTCGAAGTGGTATTCGATTCCTTCGATATCAAAATCACCGTGACCCTTGTACGTGATACCGCCGGACGGGCCGCGAATATCGATTTCTTCGCCTATGAACCGGCAAGAAATTTATACCAATCCAGTCACGAAGATGTCGTTCGCGAAATCCCACGTACCTTCTTTCATGCAGTCCAAGTAGTTCGACACGGTTCCCCCTGGCGGGAAGGGGCTATCGGTTGACGGCAAGTAGGTCTTCACGAGCAGGTCGAAAGTGCCATCCTCCTCGCTGGGAAGAACGGGCCGGGTAGGCGTATAGCTCCGCAAGACAGCTTGGTCCTTGAAATGCACGGAGATCTGGACATGGCGGCCAACAGGTAGCCCGAGCACACCCGGGCTGCCGTCCTCCTTACGCGGGAGTTCGAACGTGTACACCCTGCGTACGCCCTCAAGTCGTAAGCATATGCTAGTTGAAGTGGTCGACCACGTACCTAGTATCGGAGGAAAGCTCCTTTCGTTTCACAAGCTTCGCAAGCGTGAACACGTCTGGCTGAAGCGCGGCGCCATGACGCTCGGCTTTGATCTTGGCCAGCTCTTCGGCCGCACGTACTGCGTCCTCTTCCATCGCTTTAATGCCCTCGTCTGAGAGCATGCCGATGAGGCATTCGTCGCGCTTGCCATTCGCATCTGACAAGTCGGTCAGAACTGTAAGCTGCTTCAGGCTGACGAACTTACAGTTGTCATGGATGCCCTTGTACTGCATGGCGACTTCGTTAGATCTCACCGAGGGCACAACAATCCTCAGAAACTCGCACCTCGTTGGTAACGTCGACCGTGGCCTTCCCGGCATATGATAAGATCGCGTTCGCGCCTCCAGGATGCCAAGATAAAACAGAAGTTACGTCGTACACCTGGTTCTCCAGGATGAGCCACGCGTCGTCCTGTAGGGCGGATCAGCACCCTGCGTGACGCCGAGTCACAAGAAGTGGTTGTATACCTTGGTGCTATGCTTTGAAATCTCCTCGAGCGAGAACGTCTTTAGATTTTCATTCCGTTGCGACGTACTTTCTTCAACTTTAGGAGGCTTCATCCAACCGCCTTCGTCATTTCCTGGCGCGACCGGGTGCTGAAACTGCAATACTGGTAGCGCAGTCTCCTCATCCTGCACTACTCGATGCCGCACGCGATACCACGCGTTACTAGGAGGGCGCATTCAGGCCCGGGTTAGAACGGGGCAGCCAAAGAATACACGTACTTCATCATGCCCTGTGCGCAGCAGGATATATGCGTAAAGTGCCAGGAATTGAAACTGGGCAGTACGTACCATGAGGTTCCTTTGTGGTTCCACAGAGGAGCTCTCAGCACTGAATTTTGAGCTGCAAAATCAGACAGCGTACCAAGAGATATTTTCGGGCTGGTAGTTCTTTCTACTATCCTGAGCGCGTACGATGATCTCGTATGCGTCGACAAGCTCCTGTACCTTCACTTCGCACGACCTGTGCCTTGTGAGCAGGCTTGCGTTCCAACTCGGAAGTGAAGATGCTTACCAGAATATCCATGCCCAATACTTCTCGCCGTGACTACCGACCAGCCCGTAAGAGACACGCAGCGCGCAAGACTTGAGACATAAACATACCGAAGAGGCGAGTCCGTGAAGCGACGGAAACAGTACTTCCAGGTCTTCCCACCGTCCAAAGACAACTCGACCCGTTCGACGCGATCTCCGCCGCCGCCGTACGCGTAGCCTTCGAACAAGTATGTAGCGTCGAGGCTCCCCTTGCCGGAGAGCGGGATACATTCGTCGTGCGCTGGCTTCACGATGGCTGATTGTAAGGCCTGCTTCTCTGTCAGAAAATGCCATGATTGCCCACGGGTACAATAGCCTACCTGCTCCCAACACGCAGTGCTCTCGTGGTGAAAGAATACGTTTGCATAAGGGTGGTCGCGAGAATCAATGAACGTGGGGACCACTCGGTTGTCCCAAATATCTATTAGTGTACGGTAATCAGCCTCGCGGCGAGCCTGTTCTAGCGATTACACGTACGATAATGGGAGCGGTTTGGCTCCTTCGTCACCCATATCTGCGTTTGGTGTGAATGTATGCCCTTCGGTAGTGTACGCATGCCTACCTTCTTAAGCCATTTGACTTGTCGCCCGCCGACGTATCCCGGTATAATGAGACGTAACGGCTTCGAAAGTATCGCTGTCAGAAGAATATCTGCGAATATCATAGGGGGCTCCTCACATATCCATGGTCGGGATGCAAGACGCGCCCGTTCATACCGAAGGCGAGCATGACGTCGTTGGCGGGATTCATTGCGTGCATCAGGGGAATGGATGTCTCGTACGGCCCTTCAGAGGGCTCGTCTGCACCCGCGAAGTTGAGGTACCTGCGGATGCATGAGTGATGTTCCATCGCCCTACAGACCACATCATGACATACCATCGCTCTTCGTCCGGCTGGTCTTGAAGGCCGCATGCAAGTAGTACATCGCGAACGAGAACCCCGCGCCACAAACAAGTCGACATGCTTGCTGCAGACCAGTGGAACGCTGAGGTTTTCTTGATCATGTTCATTTCCTTCCGACGATCTGAGGCGACGATATATGTGTTAATGATCCCCAACCCCATACTATATGCGGTGTGTCCGTACTTCCGTCGCATCCAAAAGTGATAGGCATCTCGACAACCTTGAGATTGCCGGAGCTGAGCTCGTCCATTGACCAATCCTTAGGTTGAGCTATAATTTGTGGAGGGTCCGAGAAGACGGAGAGTGTATGCGTCTCCCACATCAGCTGAGGAACAGACCCATGGCTGCGAACGTAGTGGAGCCTGGTAAGATGGTAATCACAACAAAATGCCTTAGCATGCAAACGATCATCGTAGAACTGAACATACTTCGTAGGAGTAATCATGCCGGCTTCAAATAGTCTTGATAGGTTAGCTTCTGCGTTGAGAGGATGCTTCCCCGTCAAGCGTAGAAGCTCTGCGGATCGCGGTATCCAGGAGTCGGGCGTGCTCCTGAGAATATATGCGGTGAGTGCTCAGGAAACGCATACAGGGAGGCATACTGGTCATCAATGCTCAGACGGCTCTCGAGCTGCTGGAGAGCGTCGTGATCGAGCAGTTTTAGCTCCCCCGTCGGACGGCCGGGGTTGTTCTTGAAGGAAGCCACCATGTCCATTTCTGCGAGGAGTTTGTCGATGAACATGCGTTGCTCGTCAGAAAGCTCGGGCTCTTTCGGTTTGTCCTCGGTCTCGTGCGCCTCGTCGCCGCTCTTCTGCTCGTCCGATGAAGCCATCCCAGATGAGATAGACGAGGCGGATGTCGAAGTAGAGGGTGAAGTCTTGTCGTCGCCATGCTTCTTTCCTGGCCACTCTTGTTCTTTGATTTCGCTCTCAGCTACGGGTAGTACGTATCGCGCGAACGCGTGGTTCTATTGATTCGATTAGGTATGGAATGCGTATGACATGATGAACGTGTTTACCCTGGGATACATGACTTTGAAGCTGCAAAAGACGGGGTCATCAGTGCAGCTCGAGCGATATAGAGAGAAACCGCAGATGACGCACTTGGCGGACGCATTCTTGACGTCCCGGACACTCGCAAATGTGTCGTTTTTGTGCAGCTTCTCGCGCCAATCCACGTCCTCGCCATCCTCGCTTTCAGCCGCGTTGACTGTGTCCTTAGGTACGACAGGCGAATAATCGTCTGTTTCCATCATCCCATACACGCCCGCTCGACGATTCGTTTCGCCTCCACTCTGCTCCACGAGACCGCCGGGTCTGTGCTTGTCAAGACGGTTCGAGCCATGAGCGCGATGGGCAGCCTCGTATGCTTCTGGAGTGCAAAGCTGAACGCCATGGGGCTTCGGCCAGGGAGGCGACAGAGTTTCTTTCGTCCAGGTAGGCATTGCGAGTAGAGGATAGGGAGTGGGCGAAAGGGCAATTGGGGGCGACACGCCGACAAGCCATCTCGTAACGGCGAGTTATATAGCGAGCTAGACGGCAGGGAACATGTGAAGTTTGTGAAGTAGAAAGAAGGAATGACGCACCCAGTACTTGCGATGCCTTGCCCGACACTCCATCAGGAAGGTGCATGCCCTTATTCAGCTTAACGCATATATTCCGATCCTATCCTCATCGTACTCTTCGTGAGTTCAGAGCTCTCTATAGCAGGTTCGTTGGTAGGATAAGACCGAATGTGTGATCACGGCGCTCGCAGACTCCGAAGTGAACAGTCGTGAGGTTACAGCTACACGACGGCCCAAGAGAGGCACATTTGGAGCTCAAAGCCGTGCAAGTCTGTAAGAGCACATACAGGTGGGATACGAGGGAGAAAAAGCTCAGTAGAGAGTTCACGCAGTTATATTGTGTCCACGATGGTGGAAGAGAAGGAGTTCGAACGCCGAGCGGTCCGCGAGGGCGCTTGCAGTTCAGTAGCGATAGGCGCCTATGCGTTGGACGCGCTCACGTGACAGTCGCGTTCATTAGTCGGTCGCCAACGCGCCCAAATTCCGACGCATCTTCTCTTCCGACAAGCTCAAAGACTGGAATGTTGTTGTGCGCATCCGCTAGTAATTGTATTCGAACTAGGTACGTGCACCTCAGGCCCCAGGTCTCATATCTAAGTTATCGTTTGCATCTTCTCCATGCCGATAACGCGTGGCGATTTCATCTAGGTAACATACGTGTACAATTGCCGGCTAGGAAGCCCATACATCTACAACCCTAGTACGACCTCCGCATACCCCCTCTGAGCTCTGAGGCCACCATGAACAGATGCCACAGCAAAGCCATCACGACGAACAAGAGCAGCTTCTCCAGCCCCGTCAGCGGCCGCACCCACGCGAAGAGTCCCTCCCAGCAGCGCCGCTTCTTCGTGTGCATCTCCACCAGGCGCCTCCAGATCGTATTCGCGTCGAACCCCCGGCCTGCCTGTATGCCGAAGCGTGGAAAGTCCCTGATGTTGAGCGTGATGATCGCCTTGCATAGCTCCTCCTTCCGGAGCCACTCGTCGCGCTCCTTCGCGCGCTCGTCAGAGGTCGGGCATGTAGTCGGAGACTCAGCCCACGCCTGGGAAAACAGGAGGTTTTGGTCGACGCCGTGCAGACGACAGATCGTCTCCACCGCGTGCCGGTATTCGTGCCAGTTCGTCTGCCCTAGACGGAGATGGGCAGGCAGGAAGAGGCCGGGGATATCGATGTTTTGGCTCATCGTGTGGTGCGGCACTGAACGTCAAGCTTCAGCTAGAGCTCCACGAGAGGGATACAGAAGGACTCACGTTGTGGTAGTTGTTGGAAGAGAATGCAAGTACTGCGACCCTGTCCATGATGGCGCTCCTATATATCCTCGCGTACTTGACAAGGACGCTTGGAACACGGACGCATAGCCGTCAGGATGGATTGACGTAGAGGCCGGGTACAAAGAGTTTATTGGGGTCGAACAAAGGTTTTAACAAACTTAGCAATCAACAGCAGCAACGACGCCAGAGCCAATCCCAACATGACCGACAGGAACTTCGTGCAGATCACCCTTACCCACTTCGCCCCCACCGGTCCTTCATGAAGTGCAGCCAGCCTCTGCCAGTAAAACCCAATATGCTCCCGATCCTTCGGATAAAGATGCTCCATGTCGTGGATGTTCAGGAAAATGATTGCGCGGCACAACTTCTCCTCCTCGTCCCACCGGCTCCCGCTGGACTCGCAGACCGCCGGCAGCTTCAGGTGCCGCTCCAAGCCTTTCAGCTTGAACACAGCCTCCACAGCGCGTTTGTACGTCTTCCACGTTCCGCGGCCCCGGAGTTGTAGGTGATCAGGGAAGATGAGTTCGGAGAGAGGCAAGGTGCGGAATCGCGTCACGACCTCCCGTGAGAGCTCGGGGGGAGGCGAGGGTGGTTCGTCGCATAGAAACCGAGTGTATCTGTTGTCCGGTGGGGTGTCTGAGTACATTCTTTGGCTGTGTTCGAAGGGCACACGGATGCTTCCGTTTGCGCACCTATTAGCTCCTATGTTATCTTGGATGTGGGGCTCACTTACAGTTCTTGTGCGGGGTGGCGCTCTTGCTGACGGCGACGCGTTGGAATGGGTTCAGCTCTCGTCGCGCAGATGCGCCGAATTTTATATGAGCTTGAAGAAGGATTAAGCTCAGTGGCGCAGATGGAGGATAAAGAGAAAGACAGGACAGCGTCTTTGAATACGACCGGTCCGCATGGCACCTCCTTGTGCCACTCGGGTCGCGTGTCTGCCGCATGTTGCAGGACCCAGTTGAATATCAACGGAACGTTGTCGCAATGCCTTGTACTTAGTGACTGGCAATATGTACCCTAATAGACGTGTTCTTCCAGTCTTGTGGCATAGCCGAAGGCCGTCCGATTGAACCTGTCGGCGGTTTCTATCATACGCGATCACGTGTTCGTAATGATACATCGCCGACGCGTCGCGTTCAACGCGACCTGATCTCATACATGTTTAAACGTTCACCGGTTACAACACAGAGTTCCGGACATCTGTACAAATATTCAATCCGCCTTGCCCCGCGTCAAAGGCTTTTCCTCCCCACCCACCTCAGCACGACTCCTTGCGTTTCTTGCACCCGGGGTAGTGGCCCTCATACCGCACGACGAGGTCCCACAGGTACGCCGCGCCGCGCTCCCTCGAATGATACGCCTCGCGAATCTCGCACGCGCGCCCGAGCATCTCCGGCTGGATGTTCAGGATGATGAGCGCCTTGCACAACTGGTCGTCGTCGCCCCACTTGCGGCGCGCCTCCTCGTCCTGCGGGCCGCCGCAAAGGCGGCCCTCGTATGCGTGTTTCGCGAGGTGCTCCTGCAGGTCGTTCGCGTAGCAGAGCGCGTGGATCGCGATCTTGTAGACTTCCCAATTGTACGAGTTGAGGCGGAGGGGTTCGGGGAGGAAGAGCTGGGCGTTGACGATGGTTCTGTCCTGCTGTACGGGAGAGCGGGCGAGAAGGGGCCATGGTGAGCGTGACAGGCCGGACGGTGGGTAGATTGGAACGAACCATGATGGTGGCGCGATTGGAAGTGGTGCGAAGGTAGATCGTGGGGGCCGTGGTGGCAACCTATCCCGAGTGAATGAGAAATGAGAAAACGACTAAAAGGTGTCCCGAGATTGCTCACAGGTGAGGCTGAGAGAATGAGAGACTGGTAGGAATCCTCCGCTCGATGAGGGCTGTTAAAGCACTGTACGCGGTTTATATACCACAGAGCTCTCGCTTATCGAATGAATTAGTATACATATTGCAATATAATCGTCAGCGGCTGGAACTCACCGTGAGCGACATCGGCCGATGACTTGCGGTACGTCGAGCCATCGTACACCCTGCAGGTCTGCCATGCATGGTATGGCGTTCACTGCTACTCAATACACTCGCGGTGCAAGGAGCATGCGTTGCACCAGTTGCACGTACAACTAGAGTCAATGCCCAGCCCATATGATCAGCAAAGCACTGGCCAGGCGTCCAGGAAGACAGCGCATACTCACAAGGAATGCTTCGCTTGTCCACGTCTGTCTCACAACATATGCGCCACGGGCCCAATCGCAGTCCTCGCTGTTCGAAGGTATCGGACCTTCCTGGACAGATGGATTGGAAGACCTCGGATCACCCACAACACGCCTCCATCGGTCCACCACGCTGCCGTCACGCTGCCGCAGTTCCGGGCGTGCAAGGGCTTGCTTCCACGCTCTCCGCTAAACCCGAATCCGGTCTTCCTTCTAGGTCCCTCGACTAGGACTGCGGGAGGCCGAAAGGAAGTGTCTGCGAATCCTCGAGAGTTCCCGAACGCATGCAGGAAGCAACGTTGCACACGCGTTCGTTGCTCAAAAATCGTGCCGGTCGACGCCGGAGGTCAGTATATGCATACCAAGCGGCCGCTCGGAACACATGCGCTTGCATATAGGCCTTGTTGACACTATCGGAACCCGCACACGGGTCAGGGGAAGACACGAGAGACGTAAGTATGCCCACCTTGTTTGGGCATCGTGCTTTTGCACGCGGTGGCTGCACGCAGCTGCCTGCCGTGCTTCGCCTTCGGTCGGCACGTCTTCCGCGTGAATGCAGGTACGCGTTGGGTAGCGTAGGCTCCTTTTGAAGTTCTATGTAGGCACTTACACTCATCTGTCAAAAACAAAGATCATGGAACGGTCGATACTAGAACAGTGGTATTTTGTCACCCATGGACACCAGAGAGGCCCACGCGTACGATGTTCTGATTCTACGCTTGGGACATGCTGAAGTGACATGCCGTGCACACCTTCCTTTAAGCGATGTCAGCCAGATGGCGTTATTGGATAACGCGAGCAGATCCCTGGCGGGATGCGATATCACCGAAACGAGCTGGTTCTTCGTACTGCGAACTCACTCGTGTTGGGGCGAAGGCTTGACACGCATTGCCCCCGCTGCGTTCGATCAGGGACGACAACCGTCATCTTTGCTCTTTCGGAATGCGCCGGTGACTTGAGATGATATTGTCCGGTTGCTTCAGCACAGTGCTTTATACATGTGCGTCGAAGTACATGCTGACGTGCGCATACAACCCATCCTGATATAGACGTCAATAAACCGCCAGGCCCTTGGATACTGGACACGCTCACCTTTATCATAGCATTTCATGCTTGAGTTTAACATCTACATTGACCCCATTCAGCACAAGGTCGACTAAAGTGGTACATGAGGCCAGTTAGTACTGAGTACTGAGTACACAGTACTGAGCCATGTGCATGAAGGCTCTGGACACGGCACAAACGTTTGGCACTTGACGCGCCGATGAGGTGATGAGTTTTTCGGAGTATGTAGTCGGGATGATTATCACTATCTGGGTTACAATGAGCTGCTTTCGGGGTTGGTGATCAGACTTCCCGCCCTCTCCGTCTCGAGCATGCGACCACTTGCTCCGTCCCTCCATGCCTTCTATCGGCCTCGACTCCAATTCTTGCACAAAACCATGCTGCGGCATCCAAGCCACGGCTAATGCCAATGGTGGGACAATAAGCACTGCGCGCGGCGCGCTTTGCGATCAGCGGGTCTTAGATCAGGCGGCGCGTCGCGTCGCGTCGGTGGCTGACACTTGGCTAAGCCTGAGGCACCATTGTCCGCCGTGCCGCTTATAAGACTGGCTCTTCGACTTCGACCCCCACTTCGCCCTCTAGCTTCGACCTCCTCCTAGCTGTCCCGGTGGTCTACACTTGAATCGCGGCAACAACATCATGTCCGGACAAAACCAGCAGCTCACGCTGTTATCGAAGCACTGTCTCTTGGGAATACCGGAAGAGTTGCAAGTTTATACTCTCCTCGAGCTTACAGCGGAGGACATTTTGGCTATCACGAAGGTGAGTCTTCTTTGACTGTCGCGGCCGCACTGAAGGTGACATGCTGCCGCACCAGGTCTGCCACGCTCTCAATGACCTTGTCAAGCGTACGCCTGCCGTGCAGTACAAGCTAGAGCTCGGACTCGCCGGGATGGTAGACGGACCCGCCCAAGGAGTACCTGTCGGGAAGCGTCTCGGGAATCTGCGTATGTATCAGGCTGCTTGGCGCGACAACGACATCCCCATGCAAACCGTCGTGATCCCCCACGGTGCCCCCCGCCCCTACTTCAAGATGCTGAGGCCTGCGTCTGTCTTTTCTGGCATAACGGAAGAGAGTAAAGTGATGAAAATCAAGGAGAACCTCATCGACGAAGGTTACATACAAGGATGCGCCGTTGATGTCGCGCAGGACTTGGTTGTCGTAACGAAGCTGGAGCTTGGCGAGTGAGTACAAATCCTCTGCTACCCTTGATAATTATGACTCACGGGTGCTCTTCTATGGACAGGCTTCCAGAGTTATACATCCTATCGCAAGACGGAACGTTTCACCCACTCGCAGCGCAACCGCACATTGAAGGAGACGAGGAACTCTCTGAATGCATAGACCCTGAGGAGAAGCTCGAGATCTGTGGAGACCTGATCGCGTGGTCAGTAGCCACCGACTCTACAAATATTACCGTGATCAACTGGAAGACGGGCCGCACGGTTTGGTCTAGTGGAGAATGGGTGAGTGTACGTCTATTACACTGAAGAACATCTACTAACGCCTCGGTGGTGGTAGCATGACGGTAATCCGATGTTTTACCTGCGCTGCCACTTCCTCGACCCCACGCATCTCTTGATCGTCGAGAACTTGAACCTACACATCCATGAGGTCGACCCGGCGCAGCCTCACTGCAACGCTTCGTACGACAATGCGTTGTGCACCTTGAAGTTGCCCGCACTTGCCGGACAGAAGAGCCCTCACGACGTGAAGAGTGCCATGGAGATCCCGCCTGTGTACCCCGGCGCCGCAGCGCTCTTCCAGCGCGATCCTGCACTCACCCTGCTCGCGCTCAGGTTTTCGGCGTGTAATGACCCCGTGTATCGGCGCTCCTCCACGGTGTGCAAGTCCTTCGTCGCTCTGATACCCATCGCCACCTTATTCGCTCAGCTTGAACGCACTCGCAACAAGGAGAAGACTCCGCCGCCACAGGGAGGAAAGGGTCGCAAGGCGCCCAAGGCCAACGTCGCTTCATGGGAAGAGTGGAGCCCGCTCGGAGCACGCTTCATGGAGGTCAAAGACGACGGCTGCCGCATGCGTGCAATGGGCTCCCAGTGCCTGATCGTGCCGCGCAAGGGGCCCGATGACAAGCCGGAGGCGTATCTGTTCGACGCGCACCCGCTCGCCGGGGACGCTCCGCATGCGAAGGTCGACTTGAACGAGTCCAAAGTGCGCGCGGACGAGTACATCACAGAGCCCGAGTGGTTCGTCAACCCGGTGCACAGCACTCTGCCGTATCGTGTCGCGCACAAGACGTATGACAGGAAGTTGGAGCCCGAAGCCCACCAATACCTCGGCTCGATGTCGATATCGCATGACGGGCTCATTGGTGTGAGCTACCAGCTACCGCCTCCGAAGTCGAAGTGAAGTACGGATTCGTGTCCCGTTCAGCTGTCCCAGTGCTCACTTCTTCTCACAGTGACGCCCCCCTTGTTTGAACGCTTATCTCCTCTTGCTCTTGAATTTCCCTAGTAGGCTCCGCTCATGATTGTGGATGCATGTGTATCCACGAGCCATGATCTGATAGCCCTGTACGTACTCGCAACCTGACTGAAATGAACATTACATTGCATCTACAAAGTCTGTACCACCGCCGTCCTACCCGAAGCTTGACAGAGCTTAGGCATATCAATAATGCTGCACCGCACCTGATTACATTCAAATTGATGACGCGTCGGCGTGCGGCTGTGTACCGTGCGCCCATTCCCAGAGTTGCAACGCCGTCTCAGCAAGCAGCCCGGCCGGGAGCAAAAGGCTTACCAAGGCTTGGGCCGCAGGCTGAAACAGGATTTGTGAGCGGTTGACAGGGCCACAGGAGAATACAAGGCGTGCAGCGACAGGTGCGGCGGGGGCCCTGTTCGTCGCCAAGTACATTGGCGTACATAACGACGGGCGACGACGAGTACAAAGTCTCCAGGCGGTTGCCACGCGATGGCGCAGTGGCGTGCTGTCCCCTCCCCGCACACGTGGCTACGCGAAGCTTCTTGCTGACCAGGAACGCACAGGGGCTGTACATCCTTCTCGCGTGGCTAGGCGCTCCGTGGCGGGGAGCAAGATCAGTGCGCCAGACGCCGTCTCCTTCCCACTCGGCGTCGCGGCGGGGACCGTGCTCTGCGATTACTGGCTCGCCATCAGCACACATGGTTCGTTTCTGCAACCCCAACAGGAACTCGGCAGCTGTAACCGCCCTCGCATTCGCGTCGACGCCTCGAATGCGCACAGGCCGTACACCAATCCATCGAACTTATAAAAGACGCTTTCCAGGCACGACGTTCCCTCACCCCCCACTTCCCAGTTCTCTTTCGTTCCTTCGGTCATACAGAGCAGTGCTCGCCCTTTGCGTTCTTGAATTCTCATTTCACTTCAGGCGTCGTATTACCGGTTCAGTCAACTCTTGATCACGACTAGCACCATGCATTTCTCCATCGCTGCCCTTGCTTCCGCCTTCTTGGCCTCTGGTTTGGCCAGCGCTGTGCCTTTGCAGAGCCGCGGCACGAAGATGATGTCTTCGAAGCCGCTCACCAACTCCGCCGGCGCTGTGTACTGTGAGCTCCACAAAATAATTTACACGGAGCCGACCTCACCTTTTATCAAGTCATCACAAACGAGCCCGATGAGAACAGGATCATCGCCGCAAGCATCAACACGGACGGCACCCTGGTAAGGGCCATGTCCCGAGCGTTCCGAGCGTCGCTCACATTAATCTGCAGACCCTGGACCGCGCTGTCTCCACCCGCGGCGTGGGTGCTCATGGACTGACCGACCCGCTCGGGCCAGATGCGCTTTTCTCCCAGGTGTGTACAGGGCACACGCGGATAAAAATGCAAACCGACTGATCGGATGTCGTAGGGTGCCATCAAGGCGTCTGCCAAGGGCCAGGTTCTCGCGACCGTCAATGTGAGCGCATAGGTTCTCCCCTCATACCGATGGACGCTGACGAGTCCTGCAGGCGGGCTCCAACACCATCTCGCTGTTCTCGATCGACCCGAACGCGCCCACCCACATCGCGCGCGTCGGCGAGGCCGTGTCGTCCGAGGGCGAGTTCCCGATGTCGCTCGCGTTCTCCAGCGACGGCAGCCGCCTCTGCGTGCTCAACGGCGGCACCGTGAACGGCGTCAAGTACGTCCCCGCGCCCGGCTGCACATAGCACCCCCGCCCTAACGCGCCTGCCACACAGCTGCTACGCGGTCGACAAGAAGGCCGGGCTGAAGGCGCTCCCGAACACGCTGCGCTCGCTCGGGCTGAACCAGACGACGCCCGCGTCGGGCCCCGCCGGCTCCGCGAGCCACCTCGTGTTCAGCGAGGACGGCAAGCAGCTGATGGCGTCCGTGAAGGGCGTGCCGCCCACCCCCGGCATGATCGCAGTCTGGGACGTCGCGGACGACGGCTCGCTCTCGGCGGACTTCAAGCCGCTCGCGCCGCCCACCGGGGGGCTGCTCCCGTTCTCGATGACGATCATCCCTGGCAAGAACGCGGTGCTCACGACGGACCCGGGCGTCGGCTTCGACGTGTTTGACCTGAGCGGCGGGAACTCGAGCTCGGCGGTCACGATCGACGGGCAGAACGCGACGTGCTGGTCAAGCTTCAGCACGAAGACCGGCAACTTCTACTTGACGGACATCGGCACTGCGATTGTGACGGAGGTGAACGTCGACGACAACCTCAAGGCGTCGATTGTGAAGGTGGGCAGTCATCCGCACTACCTGTACATTGTCGAGGAGTATTGACGGTGCGATGCTCCCTTAGCAATACCCGCAGACAAAGGGAGCCGCCACGATCGACAACGACATCGCCACCGTCAACGGCAAAGAGTATGTGCGCTGTGCCCTCGTGCGACTTGAACTTTACTGAACCTCCTATAGCTTCATGTTCGTGCTCGCACCAGGCGCACAGACCGTGGAGGTCCTGTCTCTCGACTCTCCCGGAAATGCACAGCACGTCCAGACCCTGGATCTGGCCGGCCCCACCAAGGCTGCGGGTGTGACGATTAGTATGTCCGCTATGCTGCCTTCAATCGAATTCACGCTAATCCGCTGCTTTTTCTCAGACACCAACAACTTGCAGGGCATGACGGCTTTCATCCGCGAGTGATCGTCCGTGTTCTCTTCCGCCCTCATTAGACCAATTTCACATCTGTAGATCGGATATCTTACCATATTGTTTATCTATATGCAGTCTACATGTTCCGCTCGTTGCTCTGATTGTACCGTAGACGTTGTCAATGGTATCTTAGTGTGGGCTGTATGTGTCGCTGTGTGGTTTCGTGGTCCGCCTAGCAAAGACAAGTGAACACTTCCTCAGGTTGTGCGATGGTCAATAATTCCCTGGCACCATACGGAGCGAGGGAACTGAAAGTTGCCGCCACTGTCACAAATGAGGTCCGTCCAAAACCAATCCTATGCTCCAGACAAATACACAGCATACTGTCTATATGCTCATCCGTAATCATCTTACACGTCGCCACCATCGACCGACCTCTACGGCCTCAAGGCTCGCCCTCATACGGCTTTGGCGCGCCCCGCCCCGCGACGACCATCTCGTCCACGATCTCGTCGTGCTCCGTGCGCTTGTACGTCCGGATCGTCTCGCCGTAGTCCGAGATGTCGTATATGCGGAAACGACGGTCGAACCCGACTTTGCCGTAGCCCGAATACGATCTACATGCCACCACGCGTAAGCTCAGGTACACGTTAGTGTTCAGCGAAGAGCACGTACCCGCCACCGCCGAAACAGAGCCACACGCCCTTCACACGTCTGCAGTTCTCGGTGACTGTGCGCCCTTGGTTAGATTGTGCGCGCGCAAGCAACGAAACGAACACGTACGATGGCAGTGCCCGTTCGAGACGACTTTCACTTCTGTCGCGCGTCCCCCAGCAGTATGGTCGCTCTCAGTAGCCTGCAACAGCCCCTTGTGGAAGAAGCCGTCCTGCCGCTTCGCGTTACCGGGCTCCTCCAGGTCGTGCTCGCCCACATCGAGGGTGCGGCCGGTGACGGGGTCGATGTCCGCGGCGGCGTAGCTTTCTGCCCTGTGTTCGCAGAAACCGTCACGCGTGAGAACGATATTGGCAGGAGGGAAGTTGCGGGACGTACATGGGAATGTGGAAGAACATGAGCGCGTTGGGCTTCGCGAGCCGCCGCGTGCTCGGGACGACCTGGTCGGCGGACTGGCGCGCCCAGATGTCTCCCAGGTCCTTTCCGGTGTCTGGCGTGAATGGCCGCTGGATGGCGTCGATGGCAGCTGTAGAATAGTGAGTGGGCTGCGCCCATGGCGACTGGTAGGCGGGAGACATACAGGACTCTTGGAGGAACCAGTCAATCTGGTCTTGTCGTATGAAGTCGTACTCTGTCGGCTGGAAGCCGAACCAGCCCATGATGCCGGCGTAGTAAGCTCCAGAATCCAAGAAGTAGAGGGTCAACAAGTGCGTTTTCGAGCTGTTGCTTGGGGTTAGCATGGCTCCAAGTATTATGAATGGTTGAAGGAGGCTGCTCACGGATCCGCACTCCACACTTTGAGGACGTAGTTCCCAACACCGTGGATGTCCTTCGGACCAGTCTCGACCAAGCTGTACGGCAGACCCTTCATGTATTTGATTTGCGTCTCTCTGCTCAAACCATCTTCGTCATCGTGGTTTCCGAAGACCGCTGCCCACGGAATACCCCGCTGAGTGAGAGCCTTCGAGAACTTCGCAAGCACAGACTGTTCGTCCCATGACGTGCCCTGGCCGTTGAGCTGGTCACCGGTGAAGACGACAAGGTCCGGCTTCTCCGCGTCGAGCATACGTCCGAGCAGTGTAGAGGTGAGGTTGTCCGAGCCGGTGCAGGGATTCATGATGGTGTCTCTGCAAGAGCCGACGCTGACGGAGTAGTGGAGGTCCGCGACCTGCATGATTTTGAACTTTCCGTCGCGAGAGAAGTGCAGCGGCGGCGCGCGCGGAGGAGCTGCGCGACATGTGAGCCAAACCGCATTAGCGAGGAGACATGGCACACACGTTTGACACCCTTCCGGTACGTCAACCATACTGGCTCCTTCTTGTCTGTCCCATCGAAGGTCGCGGCGTTTGTCCTCTCGAATCCATACCAGGGCTCGTCGGAGCCAAACAGCACGTCGATTTCGGTTACAATGTCGGTCCGACGCTCAGCTTCTGTCATGTCGCGCCACGTCCGGTCGGTCTTGTACCACAGGTAGCGTTTCTCTCCTGCGGGGTTGATGGGATGCGCGACTCTGTTCCACGCACTGCTGAACGGGGAGGGGGTCTCCTTGTCCGGCAGGACCCGGAGCTCTGACACAAGGGGAATATCATGTCTCCGCGTTCGGCGGTAGAACACGTTCTATGTGCCGTTAGGACCACGGCGAGCGTTCGCTGATACAGTCGACTCACCAGGCTCTTGAGGCTCAGTTGCTCCTTGAGGTTGCGCTCAACGCGCACCCATTTGCCCTTCAGCGCATCGTCCTGCTTCGTCGACGAGGGATAGCATAGGTCTGGTGCAATGTACGGGACGAAGAAAGGGTCGACCATGCATTCCGTGACATGTATCTCGGATACTAGTCTTGTTTCAGCATTGCAGTAGCAGAACATGCTCTGTACTCACGTCCGGTGTCATGTTGCATCAACGGATCCCAAATGTCGAGAGGTAGACTGGCGGTGTCTACTGTGTCCGACCCGGTCGTGACATTCCACCAATCCACGCCGTCTGGGATACTGTTCCCTACGGTGGGATATTCCAAGTCTTCCGAGGCACCTTGCGCAGTCGAAGCCTGACCCACATACTCGTTAACGACCTCCCAAGACTGCCAGCCAAGTCGTTGTATGCTTCCGGGCCCAGGTGTCGGTTGGTACAGGATGAAGACGAATGAGAGAATGCAAGAGAAGGCGATGATGGACGCCGTGGGTACGAAGATAGAGCGTATGAATCGAGCTAGACGGAAGAGTGTGAAGTTGGCCATGGTTGGCAACGGCGACCACGAAGGTCAGAGCGTTGTGCGCGGCGCTGGTGTAGTGGTCGAGGGCAAGCAGGAGAGGAGAGTACTGAGCTTGTCGCCACCGCGCGGCGCGACCGTACACACGGCCCGGCTGCACAGCGCGCTCATTAAAGATAACAACCCTAACCTTTACTACACCTACACCGCGCATATGGGGCAGTCGGTATACAGACGAGAGGACACAAACGTTGACGTTGAGCATTCGACATCAGGAACACCGTATATCCTCTCTAACAGCTAGCGTATAGTATCCTCCGACTTGCCACGGGTAGTACCGTACTACCCGTGTGACACGTATGCGTTTTGCAGGGTCCATAGGTAAACAGGCCACTATGCTCACGCTCTGTCAGATGCACGTTGACCGACGGAACACCGCTAAGAAAGAGAACAACTCACGTGCAAAGCTATCATTCCTGGCTCCATTCCGTGGCTGACGACGGGGACTTATAACGTAGACTCAGCGTCTTCGGCATCGTCGTCATCTTCGTCGTTGAGCGGTATAAACCGCTTGCCCTCGTCGCGCTACAAACCGCGGTTTCATGTTAGCTATCACAGCTCGTCGTTACTGATTACTTACCTGCTGCGCTTCCGCGAACATAGCACGCCTCTCCTTGAGGCTCATCGGCTTGCCAACGCTGTAGGGTGGCGGCATGGGCGAGGTACCTTCCGCGTTGACAACAGGTGTGCCACATCCGGGGATATGCGTGGTAGACGTCTTCGGTGTAAGGGAAAGGTGCGCCAAGCGAACGAGGTTTTCATGTTTGATATGAACCGTGTCGACAGGCCCTGTGGATCCAAAATTGTTCCCGAGGACCACAGGGTCGCAAGAAAGGGGTCGAGCACCAGACGAGGACGTGGACGTGCGAGCTAGCTGATGTTCCTCGAAGCGCAACAGTGAATTGAGATCTCCAGCAGGGATATGAGGCAGGGCCTCAGAGGGTGCTGCGCGGTGGGTTGTATGCGCATGCGATGGCTGACGCGATGGGCGTGTAGGGGTACGCGGAACGGTAGCAGTGGAAATAGCACGAGACGTTCGGGACCTGGAAGAGACGGAACGCGAGATACGAGTAGCAAATCCATGAGTCACAGCAGTAGGAGAGACGCTGACAACGTGAGATCTAAGTCTTCCAAGAGATTGAGGAGGCGTCTGAGCAGAGGACTGGGAGGCTGTCACCGCCAGTGGGATGTCCGAGGACGCCAGAGGCGCTATAGACTGATCGACAGTCGGGCCGTCAAGCGGCGGAGGGTGCGCATGCATAGTGATGTCAACAGAGCTGACGTCCTTGGCAGGACGGTTTTCCGTGCCGTCTAGCGTAGCATCCAGTCGGCGCCTCTTGCGACTAGTGGGAGTAGAGGTCGAATCACAGGATGCAGAGGGGCCAGAAGAGCGTGCACGGGAGCGTCTAGAGCCTGTAGTGTAGCCAGGTCCAGAAGCGATAGCCCTGGATGAAGAGTCGCGAGCAAGAGCCTCCTGACGTAGTTCCAGAATGCTGTCTTTGACGCGATCCCGTGCATTCTCGATTTGTACAGGCACGTTCTGTAGGAGAGGAAGGATTGGCACGAGCGCTGCCAACAGCTGGCTTTGCTGCTGCTGCATAACCTGAAGGGCTTGAGATTGCATCTGGTTGAGCTGAACAATCCAAGGCGCGAGATGAGCTACAGAGATGGCCCAGGATGCATTCGAGCATACCGAGCTGAGAGTATCAATCTTCCCGTCTAGAGCCTCGAGTTTGATCGACAGATGAGAGAGATCCTTGGTGACTTCGCGGACGTCCGTGCTTTGAGCAGGGCTACCGATGCTCTTCTGAAGCTCCGTCTGACACCGGTTTGCTATTTGGCGCCACGAAAGTCAGATGTACCGATGCCACCGCGCATATATGCACAACGAACGTACCGAGACCACTGATCTTGTCTATGACCTGCTCGTGGTCGTCTTGGTATAGCTTCTGCGCCATGATAAGCTCACGTTTGGCAGAGTCCAGGCCAGTGGTGAGCAGCGCTACGCGGTCCGTGAACTTTTCCAAGTGTGCCTGAGTATCATGGAGGAGTATACGTGTAGAAGCACCAGCTTTGTCTATCGGCGCAACCGCGGGTGTATGTTTGCCTAGAGTGGACGTGCTTGCCAAACTGGAAGGTGGGACCTGCGAAGATCCGGTCTTGCGAAGGAGATGTCCCCAGAGTGCAGTGGAGGCAGTCAGGCGTCCCTGAGTCCTCTGGAAGGATAAGTTTGACCCTTTTTCAAACGGGTGATCCATGATGGCTAAAAGTGCTCGTTGCCACGGTGCGAGGGACAAAACTTTCCGCGAGTGGTGGTGGTACCCGGAGGGGAGGTGTCGGACCTTGGTCGGACCGCGAGAGGGCGAGGTTAATGCCATGCCACAATATGTACCTAGAGAATATTTCATAGCTCTTGTTACTTTGTTTGTAATTCGTTACAAGTCTCTGTTAGTATATCGGTTAGTACACGCGCCTGTCATCGACCTGGCCGCGCGAAAGCGGGGTTCGACTCCCCGACAGAGAGTCCTTTTGCACCGTTTTGCCATTCGCAATCGCCGCAGGTCTTTTACAAGATTCACGTCATCAAGGGTACAAGTACAACACTCTTTTACACAGCATATATAGCACGTAGCTACGGGGAGTCCCTAGGCCTTGCTCCCCGCAGATTCAGCAGTTGTAAGAGCCCATGTCTGCATTTCCTCGAGGGGTAACTGGCTCCACTTCGCAAATGCCTGTCGAGGGTCATGATAAATAAGCGAGTGGGCGAGCGAAGTCGGCGCAGAATAAGTTACCCGGTCCAAAACGTCAAGGAGTTTTGCAGCATCAGCGTCGGCTTCTTCTTTGGCCTGCACGTTGCGATGCATCTGCGATTGCAGTTCAGAGTTCTCCTCGGTGAGCTAGGATATCGGGAGATCAGCGGACATGCACAAAACTCGTGGTGTCAGGGCTGGCAGGTACCTGGGACAGCTCCGCGCGAAGGCGGTCGCGTTCCATCTCCAGTAAGGGCACGGTTCTAGCCCTGACTGCGCCTCGAGGTTGGAGGTCCTCTCTCCATACGTCCCTTCCGTCGTAGCCTGTCTGCCTTCTCGCGCGTGCGGCGTTCACGACAGCGTGCAGGTTGTCAAGGTTCTCTTTCACGTTGTATTTCTTGAACAATTCCTCGCAGTTCTCCTGTTGTCAACAGCGTGAGTGCGACGAACGCCCTATAACGCGTCGTATTGTGGCCGTACAGTGATGGATGACTCAAGCCGACTGGAGACGAGGTTGAATATAGTCGCCGCGTTCTCCGGTTGTTCGTCACACCAGAGTGAGAAACACTCGGCGAAGTCCTCATAACTGTCCGAGACACCCGTCAGCCGCGCTGCAACGCCCACAATCGATGGTGGGGACTCACGTCCATTTATGTGCAGACCGCTGTATGGCGAGCTGCAGCGCAGAATGAAAGTACGTCCACCTCTTGCTGCCTGCCTGTGTCGACGCGTTGGACGCCATGTTCGAGGCGCGTTGCGGAGTTTGAACGCGGCTGTGGCCTGTGGGCGACGGGCGTTGTGGCGTGGGCGTCTAAGGACTCCCGCCCACGCTAGCGCCCAGCGCCCATGCTCGGATTTCCGGCTCAGCCTGTTTCAGTCCTCGACGACGACCTACGCCACACGACGCCCGTACACACTCAAGCACAGAACCGCGAGCAAAATACCGGGTGTGCAACCATCGTCTTGTTGTGCTGGCCTCGGAGCTTGACGACTAGGTCGTTTTATACCCGGGCCAGGCCTCAGGCTTCCCACATAACCCGTAATGTGGACGTCAGTAGATCCTTACCGGGACCTATCCGCAGGGCTTCCACCTCACAGTAGCTGACTGTTTGGCGTATTCCATAGGAATCGTAGGCAGCGGAGTTGCCTTTTCCACCGCAACACCGACAATAACCGCCTTGTTTCTACTACGAGCGCCCTCATGTTCGATGCAACTTGCCTAATGTCGACGACCCATCATGCTCGTGAAAAGCATCCGTGTAGCATAGGTTATATGGCTCACGTCCGTATCTGGTTATTCCGATGCACCGGACGCCGCTCATCTGGCGTTATACAGTCCTGGCGACGCCTTGCGACGCAAGGGCGGCGGCATTTGCAAGCCCGCCGTGATTAAATACGGCACTCGGATTGTTTAGGCAAGGTACAACCAACGCATGGGATACAGAAACCGACATCCTCCCTAGGACCGGCGATATCACTTCAGGATCCGTCGTTTCTCTCAGTCCTTGTGAGCTCACCCCACCGCCATGCCTTTGTTGCAACACCATGTAATAGTTTCCAGAACAAGACGTACCAGTGCCTCGGGCGCGCACTACTCGTATGTCTGTTACGCCCGTGCGGGAGAAGCTCGGCGCGATTTAACTAGATACTCGGTTTAGGCAGGAGTGGCACGCCCTCAGGCCACGTAGCGGCGAAGGCCGTGCTTGCCTCTTTCCTCCTGTATTGAGTGCTGCCCTACAGCCACACCCAGGTTTCCTCATCAGAGGTGTGTAAGGTCCCGCAAGATGGCTCTGACTTTCAATAGAGGCGTATATATCTGCCTCGAATTCCCGAAACCCGCCATCTTCCCCCACGTACAGGCCTCAGCGATCTTGTTCCCTTCCCCCAAAGCTTGTCCCAGGTGTGGCGTCCATCCGTTTCTCTCTACAACGCTTTTACTCACCCTTTTCTGCAAATATAGGCGATGCCTGACGACGTCCTCGACACATCTTTAGACTCTGGATCACTCGCCGTGATGGGTTCCGCTTCATCTTGCAATGTCAACAAAGATTATCCGGGCCCCGCCACCGAGGATCCCAACTACATAGCACCAACCCCGAAGCCTTCATCTCTTCCCCCTGATGCGCAGGACGTCGAGTACTCCTCCGTCGACGACCACACAGTGAAGGAGCACCATGACGTAAACACCGCCGCCAGTGCCAACGATATCATCAGTGAACACCCTGCACACCACTCTAGCAGGCCTCCAAATATCGCGCGGCTCATATCCTCATGCGACTCTCTAGAATGTTCCCCTTTACGCCTGGAGTGTATATATCGCGGACCGGGACCCTTCCAATGTCTCCTCCCAGGGAATGCAGGAGCTGAAGAATACGCGGATGCGTCCTACGCCACGCTGGACGCAATCCTTCGGCAGTACAAAGGTCAGATTACCTCCATGGTCTTCGACGCATCATCTCTACCAAACCCCAATGATCCCGCGGAAAAGACGTATCCCATCCACCTTCCCCTCACCCGTTCCGCAGTGACGCATGGTGAACACGCAGATGACCATCCCGGTCCCGCGTTTGTCATGCCTGAACTGCTCAGCCTCAAGATCCACACCAGTCGCCGGATTTCTCTCAGATCGCTGTTTCAATTCCTGCAATGCACCCCCGTGCTCCAAACGCTCTCTATCCACGCCGCCACCCTCCATTGCCCACCCATATATGCCGAGACATGCGAAGACCTGCCGAAGGTCAGCCTGCCATACATGCAGCAAGTGGACCTCCAAGGCTTTTTCGCCGACACGGCCGACCAGCTGCTCTCTAAGCTCGTCATGAACGCCGGCACGCATGCCAACATCCACCTCAACCCGGGTTTCCCTTCCCAGCACATCTCCGGACTGCGCCCCATGCTGTCCCGCGTGCGCTACGCATGCCTCTCCTACACCGCGCTGGAACGCGGCCGCGACGCAGGGAGCCGCGATCGCTATGTATTCTCCTTCTCCGACGTCGACGCGCGCGTCGCGGTGCACTGGGACTGGGACATGGCCGCGGGCGACCCCGCGAGCCTCTTCCTCGTCACGCTCGACCCTGGGGGCGCTGCGCTCGCGCGCGTACACACGCTCACCGTCGCCGTCCGCGGCGTCGCCCTCCCGAGCTTCTCCGACTGGTACACCGTCCTCAGGCCGTTCCCCTCGCTGCGGCACCTGGACCTACATGTCACGCCGCGGCCAGGACAGGGACCCGACGCAGCGGACCCGCTCGCCTGCGACGTGCGCACAGCCACGTTTCGCCTCCGGGGCGCCGCGCTGCTGGGGCGAGTCGCGAATGTGCCGCTGGTGTTCGCGCTCGGGCTCGCCGAATACTGTCATCCGGAGGGGGCGTTTCCTGGGGGTGTTCCGGTGATCTTTGGGCCCTTCAAGTGGCTCTACTCGTTTACTTGGAGGTGTATGGTGCGCCAATTGGCCGAGTGAACGCAGAGAGTGAGGAGGGTACTATGTGTGAACACCCTTTCCCTCGCTACGGCCAACATCTTGAACGTGACTTCGTGCAATTCAGTCGCGTATGTGTATCTCGTCTTCCATTACCTCAGTCATGCTATGTAGAAGAACCCGGTGATTACCATACTCGTCTTATGCTAGCTCTTTTCTTGATCTGCTATAGATGTCTGTGTGCCGTTTGTAGTAAGTATACGTTTAGTTCCGAACTCTGCACACCAATAACACTACGTGATCGCGCGAGCAGGACAAAGGGCTTGCGATAGGGTATAAATATTGCAACACACAAGATATACAGCAGTGCGATCTACACAATACAGCATTTACATATAATATTCCTAGTCAGAGCGTACACGACCCCGTACAGCTACCATCAACGTTCACATATCCTCATCCTCGCTCTCGGCAGTCCACATCTCCGAGTCCGTGTTGTCGTACGGCTCCTCAGCCTCATCGCGCGGCGCGAGCCTGTGCGCGACCCACGACCCGTCCATGTCGTGGATCATGCGCCACCGCTCCGGCCGGTCGTACATGTCCGCGAGCGCCCAGTCCATGTACTCCTCGCCCGTCTCGTCGTCCGGGTGCAGCTCGATGTTCCACCCGAGGTACACAACGTTGTCTTCCTCAACGACCGCGGTCAGACCTGTGTCATGCGCATAGTTCATCTGGAAGAGCTCGATCATCTGCAGCGTCGCGCCGCGGCGGAGCATCTTGAACTCCTCCGAGTCCGCGTCCAGGAACGGGTAGTCCTCGGCGGACACGTGTGCGGAGGGCGGGGTCCAGCGCGCGGGCACGTACGGCCCGTCGTACCCCTCTTCGTCTTCGCCAGTGCCGTACCCGTCCAGCGACCAGTAGCCGTCCTCGGCATCGTAGTCGTAGTCTTCGTGGTCGTCGTCATCATCGTCGTCGTCCATTTCCTCGCCCTCGTCATCGTCGTCTGTGCTCCAGTAGCCCTCGAACTCGGTAGGGTCGCGGAAGATGCCGGCCCAAGGATCACCATCGTCGGGAGGAGGGGACGCACGCACAGCACCGGCGGGCGCCTTGGATTTGTCGAGCGCGGATGCCAGGGACTTGACCAAGTAAAGCGGTATCGGCCGCGTAGTCACAGTGGCACGACAGCATGGGCAGGTCTTCTTCCGAAACAGTACAGCACCCGGGAAATCGTCTTCGAGCATGTCGTCCTCTCCAGCGGGGGCGGTCTTGAACCACTCTAGAAGGCACGTCATGCAAAGTATATGGCCGCATGGTGAAAGGCTAGAAGACGTCAGCGATACCAAACCAGTTTCGCATGCTATGACACATACCCGTAAGGTTTAAGCAGGAGGTCCATGCAAATCTGGCACGTCAGGTTGCTCTCGACAGTCGCGACAAGCTATTCGGGGCGTTGTGAGCTGCGTACGCGGCCTCATAGCGACATAGGCCATACCTCTTCAGATTTCTTGCACTGACGTTTGAGTTTATCGACTTCTGTACGTTGGGTGCGATGCGACTGTTGCCTCCTCAATACTGGGATATCTCTGAGGGGTAATTTTCGTACCTCATTCGTTGTTGTCAACTCAGTTCTAAGCTCATCAATGACCTATAAGAACCGTTCAGACTGGTTTCGTCAGAACGATGGAGTCGCCTGACCTTGCTCTGCTTGTGAATCGTCTTCTTTGACATTGCCACTTGCTACTCGTCGACGTCCGTCAATCTTCCTTCGTTCAAGCGTAAGGGCAAAAGATCTCACCTTCCGAAGATTCTCGACTTCCTGCTTCATCCGCTGATAGTCGGCGTGCGCCAAGGGTCCCGTATACGTGGGCTCCTCCTCGTCGCCCGAGATGTCTGGAGTTGCCGTCTTTCTAGTACGCCGCAGAGCCGCGTCACGCGATCGCGACCGCTCTTTCCGCTTCGACCTGGCAGACTGCATGCTTCCCGACGAGTCTAAGTTCTGCACGATGTTCGTCACAATGGCAGGATCATCGCCGTCGATCCACACCGTCTGCGGCCGCGACCTCGGCTTGGCCTTGTTTCGACTACGCTCTGCGGCATCTTCATGCAAGGACGAACGCACGACCACTAGGTTTGACGAGGAAGGCAGCAAGGTTGACCCCGCGACGGTTGCAGGCCGCTTGGCGCGCGCCTCGGGTGAGCGCGACTTGCGACGACGAGCGGACGCTGCAGTTGACTGCGCTTGTACGTTGTGCACCCTACCTTCCCGATGCCGGAGAGAACCGACTGGGCGACGAGGTGGAGGATTGGCGACTTGTGGAGGTGGCATATGTGACACGATGGAAGTTGCACACGAGTGAAGTAGGTGTTCTGCGCTCTGCTGCACGGCACGATTCGTTCATCGGAGTATCTGACATAGATTTACAGCCCACCACTCACAAGGCCTTGTCGCGTATTTGTCTGGACGATCTCAGCGATGCTGTATGTGGTGTAGCTGGTGGTCGGGATTAGAGGCTCAGACCAGTGCTGCAGCATTGACCGGCGTCGATAGTGTCTTATTATGGACTGATTACGTAACCGACTACATGGGGTATCGCGCTCATCCGAGCGCCTAATCTCGATACACCGAGGCTAATTTACGTAGGTCTGCCTCTCTTCCGTCCATCCTTTGGCCTTAGACTCTTATAATCAACGCGAACACCATTGATCTGCAAGACGTAGAGTTGAAGGTGACACAGTCAGTTGTCGATAACGGGGCGCATTCACATGTATGTAGCATTTTTGAAGTTGCTGATGATTCAATGGTGATATTATGACTTACATCATGGGCTTGCCGCATTCGTCGTTCGCTCGAGCATTGCGACGCGCCCATGGCTCACTGGCAGCGCTCAACTTGAATTGGCGTCGCCGCCATCGGACCGAGGGAGTGATCAGGCATTGTCAATGGCTAAGCGTAGGGCCGCTGCGACATTCACCGCGCCAAGTAGTCGGGCGTGCGCGCTTGGGGACCGATCGATAGCAAAGTTGCGGGAATTACTCCAGGACATCCGAAAATGATGATAACACGGTTAATGACCGGCGTTAATAACTGGAAGGTAGTTATTCGCGGTGTAGACAACGCCGGCGCTTCCAATGGTGCTTCGGCCTCTGTAGGGTAGAGGCGCCGACGCGATCTGTCCAATTTTTGAGATCCTCGGACACGCGAGAGGTATCAATAAGTCTGCACACGTACGAGTCGCTGGAACTCGAAAGCCCCCGCAAGTAGATCGTACACTCGACGGTCTCTTGTACGCTAGGCGCCCGAAGAACAACTGATTTGCGAATAGTAACTCGCTCCCGTGGGCACGGTAATAATGACACGGCTGATAACCCGCCACAGAGTTATTCCCGCGGACCTAGCGTCCTCCCGCCGAGATGAACGGCGTGAAGCAGCATCGAACCATGGTGGAGTTACCACGAATCCACGAAGTCCCATCGCTCGCCGCAACAGTTCCGCCAGAATAGCGCAACATCCTTCTTGACTTTGTTTTCCGGCTGCGTCCGACGCCTGCAAACTTAAAACGTCAATCTTCTATACTCTCCATGAGAAGATGAGGCTTACCGGGGTGAAGCTGGGAGCCCAATGCGGGGCCCTCTGAGACTGGTATTAGCGGAGCGTTGTCGACGGCTGGGAGATGTCCACACGGCGCGGATCATACCGTCCCTGGGGACCCTTCCATGGCTGAGGCTCGTAACCGTGCGCAGTAGTGGGGTCCAGTAGACCGTGGTCGACTGCGAGACGCCATGTCCAACGACGTCGACGGAATCGGTATTCGGTTACCCATTTTGAGATGATACTAGCGCGGGAGGCGGCATATGTATGCGCGCGTACTAGGCGCCTTCTTGTCTACTAGTCATCAGTCGCCTTGCCCGTGACATTAATTCCCCGCTGACATCGAGGGCATTTTCGCGCCTAGGCCATACTTGGTTGGAGCTCGGCGTCAACGTGTTGAATCTACTTGGTAATTTGCGGGATTGGTTCGCTCGGTTCTATGTGGGAACGCAGATCGATCCTCTAGGCCCGGTCGAGCTGCCCGCGCCTCAGGGTGCCTGTCCGTCGGGATTGCAACTTTGCGCGTTGGGTATAAGTAAGGGTGTGGACGTCCGTATAGACCAGGCTCGTACATACCGATCCTGCCCTGCAACCCCGCTCCCCTGTCCTACACCACCTTCGCCCTCATGTGTTTTTATGTCGTCACGTACGCCGACTGGCTGTGTAGCTACCGCCAGAACACTGGGAGACACCGCGTGAGTATTGTGGTCACGGATTTTGTCAATATATAATAACCGTCGGGGATCGATAGGTGGAGTGCGCCCGACCGAACTGCCGCATGAGCAACCGCCACCCCATCGACGGCCATGACTGCCACCTTCGCGGGTGCATTTCTGCCGTGTAGGTGACACGCTCTTATCGTGTCTGGAAGCGTACTGACCGTTAGACGCAGACAACAGCCCGAGCAGCACCTTATCATGGAAGATAATAGGGTTGTCTGTCCCGAGTGTCGTGCGGCGGGGCGGGGAGCGGGAGAGCATCCGGCGGCAACGAACGGAGCGAACGGAGGGGCCATAAATTACCGGCGCATGATCTCCTAGCTTTCAACCCCCTCCGCGACGACGACCATTGCATCGATAGAGAGGAGCGAGGACGGAAGGGTCAGCACGACTTGCAGATGTGTACGGCTCGGATTTCTCTTACCGACTGGGAACTGATAATGATCATGCCGAATGTGCGCGGACATGCACCGATCGTGTGCCTGGCCAACGTTTGAGGAGATTCGTGCCGTGTCCTGTCACCGGCGGGTTCACCGGAAGAATGTCAGCAGATGTTCTTCTCGATCCTGCGGCTGCCGCACGTGTGGGTAGAAGGTAGTCCTCGCATACGTCCTCGACTTGATCAGCGGCTCTTATGACCCAAAGTGGAGACGTGGTCTGAGGTCGGTTATGCGTGAATACGAAGGTTAAGCTTTTTGTATGGCGTAGACATTGCTCGGTATACTTATATGGTAGGTGCATTGTACGACGAGGGGTTGCGGCGTGTCCAGTCCTGGCTCTGCTTCGTCGGAGTGTATGTTTGTAAGTTCCCAACATACTAGCTACGTCGTGCTAGAAATGCAGTGAGCTCTCTGATAATTCACGACGAACAACTCCAGTCCGAAGTTTAGATTCGGACACAGGTCGTGTTTCGATACGAGAACGCGCCGCTTGGTGTCAGGTACCTAGGTGGGTCCATCGCGAAGGTCATCACGGTGCAGGAGGAACGACGAGAACACTCTCCCTAAAACAGCCTGAGCCAAACCGCAAGTCTAGATCGATTCTCGCGAAAGCCTAAACAAAGTCGAACAGAGTGTCACCGGTGACGCATATATTAAGCGCCCGAGTCACACGCCTCGACGCGCATCGAGGACGCGCTCGCGCCACACCGTGTCTTGCTCCCAACCTCCTCCTCCTCGTTGTTGTCTCGCGGATTGGGACTTCTTGCTGCGACGCTAGACACCTGTGTGCGAGGTAGACTCTACTAGCAAGCATCATGCCCACCGCATATCACCCCGCACACCTTGTGCCTCCTCTGTTCGAGCAGAACGCTGCCGAAGACTTTCAGCGAACCGGGAGGACCGTCTCCCTGGCCGTGTCTCCAAGAGATGATAGCATTGCGGTTCACGCCGCGCCAAACGTACGCTCCGTTTCACGAGGCGCTACGGGGCGCCATCGCTGACGGGAGGTGGCAGGCGGAGCCTCATGTATTGAGGTCACAGGGCGCGTCATATACCAAGGAGCAACAGGTCTATCTGGCGGGAAGGAGTCAGGCGCCATTATCTGAGCGAAGAGTGGTATGTGGCCTAGGTTCTGCCGAGGAATGCGTGTCAAATGACGCGCACTGCAGTTCGTTACAGACACCTCCGTGATCTTCGCGGCGGTCCAAAATCTGCTCAAGGTTACCGGCGACAAGAAGGTCAAGCTGTCAGTATGCATGTGGTAACAGGCACTTACCGAAAATATACTTAACTAATCTGATAGGGTGCAGAGCGAGGAGGACACGAGAGCAGTCAGCAAGTTGGCCAATGACTACGTCAATTTCTGCAAAGAGTGCTGCTTGTATGCATCCGTGAGTCTCGCTACATTCTCGAAACCGAGCGTATGTCTGACGAACCTGAGTATCAGCAAAACATATTGCGCGCAGAGCAGTTGCAATATGATGCAGAACACTATCGTTGCCTGTGGACATGCTTCTCCCTCTTTGCCGTATTGTACCTTCCAGAACCGGGTTTTGATGACGCCCCCGTGGGTGATGAACTAATGGAGTGGCTGAATACACACTTCATTCAGCCTTCCACACAGGAAGGGGACGAACTCAGTGGCCAAGACAGGCCATGGGAAGATCCCGCGTTTTGGCCCTATCTCACGAGGTACGTATGCTAGAGAGACGATCCAGAGGAACTCAGCTGACTGAGGTACAGAACAGTGCTGCGAGGCCTCTCCAAAGCCTCCGCGTTTTTTCTGAACACCCTCTCCGAACATCCTTCCGCATATTTACAGAACCTCGCCCAGCAAATATCCCCCCTAATAACCAACCACCCTCGTCTGCACCAATTTTCCGCCGAGCGTGACTTTGCAGTCGCCTCCCGGCGCTGGAAAGATAAGGTGAAGACGCTCCGGCTCGAGCTTGACCGTGTGCCCGAGAGAGCGCGAGATGACGGGTTTGAAAACTGGTGGGACCGATTTAGCGACATCGTCGGCATTCTGGAAGGGAGAGGGGACGTTATGAAGAAGGTGTGCATGGAACTAGACGCGGACTGGAAGGAGGTCTGTTCTGCATGGGGCGTCTTTATCGACACGCGGTTGCGAAGACAGGACCTGCCGTGAGTTCCCCCTGCATGTCCCCGTGCCCACGTTTGGCTAACAGCACTACCAGAGAGGTTGTCGCTGAGGTTCTAGACGAGTTGCCGCCTGACCCAACGGACCGGGAAGATATGGTTCACTCTGCGTTCTTCCTTGGCAAACCCGCCCAGGCGCTTTCAGAATGTGCCCTCCTGGACGGCTGGCTCGCGGCGCACCTCGCAGACCTGATGGAACTCATGGAATTGATCGACGCAGAGCCAGACGAGTAAGTTTGCTGTATTCTTACCGTCCAACCGTCATTAACAGCTGCCGTGAATAGCTCCGAGCTGACGCTGCGTCAACACCATGTTCTGGGGTACGCCGAATATTTGCACACGGACCCCGCTCTATGGCGCATTACAGTGGACTACATGTACTCCTGCGGCGAAGTCGGGCGGGAGATGGCTGACCAGGTCCTGATGCGTGTGCCGCTCCGCCTGGAGACGCCGAACGAGGCCGATGCAATTGGAGACGAGGCCGCGCGCATACGAGCTGGCCACCTGGCTGGCGTGCTGAAGGACATCAACGAAACCTGCTTTGAATACAAAAGAGAGGAAATCCGGCGAATGGTGTGCAGGGTGCGCCCTGGATTTAAAGTCGTAGGCAGAGCGTTCCGACTGACCCGCGGATATAGATAGCCACGCAGACGTTCATCAAGGAAAGGAAATATGGCTTAGCCATCTCCTATTGCACATCGGCGGAGGACTGGGTTGGCCTGGGGCGTGTGGTCGATCTCGTCCTGGAAGAGTACATAGGAGAAGGTCAGTTGACACCATCCTGCGCGCAGCTCTATGACAAAACTCACCACCACGCCCCCTCCCATCTCCAGGCTCCGAGCAGTTTGCGCAGCTGGTCGCCAACATCGCGCCGTCCCTTCAAAGCCTCCGCGCGGATGCCGGGGCGAAGATCCCTGCACCAGGCGTCTTCCTACACCGCCTGATGTTCGTGATACGGTTTGCGGAGTTTCACCAGCGGCGCGCGAGCGGCGACGGCCAGGGTGCGGCGACGGATGTCGTCGCGATGTTCCGGGAAGACATCGTCCCCCAGGCGTGGTGGGCGGTCCTTCTCTGCGACACGGTGGAGCTTCTCCAAAATGGTGCGTCTGTGCCGCGCGACGGCGCGAAGAAGTAACGGCTGACGAAGCGCGGCGCGCAGCACTCTCTGCAGGCGGCGCGATGTTCTTCACGTCGGAAGACGCCTGCCTGCTAATGCAGCGGCTGGAGAGCATCCATATCATGGCTGGGCAGGGCTGCAGCGACGACTATCTGCCGGTGCTCTGTCGGGTAACAAAGCGGGGCGAAAAACATGCGCTGCAGCGGCTCGAAGTGGTCAGATTGTCGCTGGCGCGATACTACGCCCGCTGCGGCGCCATTGGCGTTGGCGGGCGACCGAACGGCTGGGGCTACTAGTACTAGAGCGGTCTGGCGAACCTTGTCTGCTGGCCAACTTGTCGGGCTTATGACGAGATACGGAGAGCGAATATATATATTGTGGAGTGTCCGACCCGCCGACAAACCCAAGATGAGCCGTACGTTGTTCCGCCTGCATCGTGCCCGTTGGTCGTGGATCACACAGATGGCATAGCGGCGGGGGACGGGAAGAGATTGTGCTATCGAACGCGCCGCTAGTCGCGCTGGAAGAACGCGGGGAAGCCCGAAGCGGGTCAAGGTTTCCTCGGCATCGTCAGCAGGCTTTGCCCTGGGGCGCGTTCGCAAGACACCGCCCGAAGCGAGAAGATGTCTGCGGTGCCGACATGCCACAGGGTGTTGAATGGGGTGGCTGCGGCACAGAGGCCTCAGGCCTCGGGCCCAGGGCCTTGTCTAGCCCTGCGATAGGGTGAAAGACGGGACGAGGACTGGGGCGAGGAATATTGAGGGGAATGAGTGGAGTGTCGGTATGTTGTGTTGGAGGCCAACTTGCACGATCTGTTCTCGCTGGTCCGCCCGCCAGTGTCTTCAGTAGAAGCTCATACCATGTCCCGACCGAACCACCGCTCGGATTTGACGGCTGAACCCCGTGACTCGTCCCAAACCCTCCTGAATAGCGGCGAGTGAGGCTGCACAGATGTTGCCGGGTCCGAGCGAGATTGGCCGCGTTGGCTAGCGGGTGAGAAGCGTGCGATTGACCGCGTTGGCAAGCGGGTGAGAAGCGTGCACGCGGGCGGCGGGAGGCCTCTCCATGGCAGGCAAGTGGCAGTTGTCGAGCAAAAGCATGAGGCGCCGCAGGGGGGTCGGGGTGAGAGGAGGAGTCCATCGATGTCTCCACTTCCCAAACGAGTGAGGCGGCGCGTGAGAGATGGCGGACGCCACGCGCATACGCCCAGGTACGCCCACCCCGCCCTGCTTCTGGCGGCGTGCTCGGCGCGCCTGCCATATTCTCCTTGACGCGCACTACTGCGCCCTCGACGCCGGGATGCAGCCCGCGATCGTCAACGACCCGCTTCCACCCCCTCCTAACTGGATATTGCCTTCGCAGTGGTCGCTTTATTGAAGCACGCCTGCAGGTCGCTGCACGCACTTCTGCGCCTCCTTGGCCGGCCACAACGGCTTCTGCAGCTCATTCGACCGCCAGGAGATCGTTCTGCGGCCCAGGACGATGTCACCCAAGTTACGCCGTCTCCTCCGCTGCGTATACGGGTCTTGTCGCATCTTGACCCATTTCACGTAAATTTCGGTGCGGTGGGGGGCCCGCGCCATAGATCCCCCGCCGGCCCATGTGTGGTCCCGTCTTGACGTGGAGCCCGAGGTGCGGCCGGGCGGCGGGCGGGCCCCATCGCCTTCCCTTCGTAGCGACAGGTAGCGACACTTGCGAGACTCCGTGAATAACGACGGCCACGACGCCAGTTCCAACGTCCAGCTCCGGCGCCAGATACGCACTTTGCATCGGTGCGGTCGCGATCGCGGGATTTCGGCGCAGCTCTGTCTAGTGAGCAGACGCCATCTTCCAGACACTGTAATGCCGCTGATTCACATCACCGACAAAGGATGGTGTATTGCTTTTCGTTGCTGGATCGCTTGCGCGGATCTGTGCCCAACGGACGTAGGTGTAAGGGACATTCCACGAAGGTGCGAGTTAGATTCCAGACTTCGCAAAGAACTCGCCTCTGATTCAGGTATCAAACGCAGCGTCCGACATGTTATGACGGCTTGCATATGTTGCACGGAGACGTCCAGCGGTCTGGGAGTGGTGCGTCCAGCGAGCCTCCGAACTTCTTGCCTGTGAAATGCTTTACTGTCATTGTGAATTCAGCTACCAGAAACGGACTGCACTAACTGCGCACTTACATATGGTTGATAGGACAGTGCACCGGAGGGTGGCTCGTGTCGCCCATGGGAGAGGCGCCGCCGCCTCAAACAGAGCGCGAACCAGCCACACTGGGGCCTGAGGACAGCGCGAGGGCGGGGAAGCCATGCACTTATAGTGCGGGACGGACGCCAAACCTAAAACCGGCGGAAGGAGAAGAGTGCGGCGCTGGCACGGATTGTGGACAGGTGTGTATGTGTGTTGGTCAATGCGAGATGGATCTGATACAGCATCTGCATCTCTGAGCTCAATCGTGGGGCTATCTGGGATTGGTAGCTCCTCCCGATCGCAGGGAACCGAGACGAGGGATCGGGAATTGCCCTGGAGCTCGCATATGCCCAGGAAGGACCCCGCGATATTCCCCACGGACATATTGGGCGTGGCCTGGGGTCAAGCCGCGCTCAGAATGCAGCGTTAGACCGCCTCCGGAGTCCGAGCGGCCGACTAGGCCAACGGCGGCTCCGGCCGTGTCATGCCAGCAGCCTCCACGGCATGCGCCTCTAACGCCCACGTCGTGGTCTCTACTCAGCCCTCGGAGGGGCGCTCTCGGCTACTGCGCAACGTACGCCTCCGACACCCACCCCCTCCTCCAACAACTGCCTGGGTTCTGGTGCAGCCAGAATAGCCAGAATCCGATCTTCCGCCTGTACTATCCATTAGCCGAGGTCCCGGACTCACCTATTGCCTGCTGTGCTATATCTTCACCAACGCTCGCCTTCTACCTCTCCCTATGCTTCACCCCTCTGCCCCTCGTCCAGGCCCAATTTGTGCGCAGCACGAGATTCGCCGTGCCGAGGTTTCCTTGGCTGCTATTTCTGCTATTTCTTACTATTCGAGAGGACGATGGAGGACGCACGTAGCGGGGTTGGTTTGAGATGGGAGGGTCGCTTGTAATCGGTGAGTCGTTTACGCTTCGTCGTCGTGTAATTCGACGGCGCGTGCTCGAGCACGGATGATGGGGTCGCTCCGGTAGAGACGGCGTTGACGCGATACTTGGCGGGACCCTGCATGCTTGAGGCTCCGCTGTGGTGTCCTACGCTATCAGATGGAGGCTCCTCGCATCGCTACCACTTCTCACCAAGTGCGAGGGTGGCTGCCGCTGCACAGCGAGTTATCTTTCCCTTTACAGCATTCCCTGTCATCGCAGACACGTTTTTCTATATGTTCCCTCGGCTGAAATGCACAAGACGGCGGCTTCTGCGTTACGCCGTGTTACTAGCAGCTGCGATGGGGGGATTATGGCAGCACACCACGCCCATGGCCCATGCCACGGCTATGTCTGCTACGCCTTCGCCCGGCAAATCGAGTGTGTCGCCTCGTCGTCTAAGATTTGTCAACAGTGAGTCACTCCCTTTGTATGGCACATCTTATCTCCGCAGCTAACTAAACTGCTGGCACGCAGGCGATCTCACGCCGAGAAGTCGGAGGCGCATGGGGTGGTTTCGGACTAATGTGAGGAAGCATAGTTGGATCGTGCTCGAAGGCCAGGTGGCGGCGGATTTGATGCATGTAGGGGTGTGGCAGCCCAATGATTGAAGACATTGTACGGCAAGGTATAAGTAATACCCATACTCTCTACCTGTCTTGATTGTGGGCGTGGCTGGCTGGCTTGAAGTAATGCCGGTGGGACATCTGAGCGCCGTGCGAGGTCGCACGGCGACCCGCAGCCCGCCTGCAATGCGGGGTTATATTGATCCAGTTGGACACTAGTCTTAGCTGTTCTGTTTAGCGGCCATTCTTGAAGTCTGAATACCCGTCGATGAGGCCGTTACCCGCGGGATGTAGCTGTTGGAAACACTGTCCAAGAGACGGAACCCGCGGCCACCGCGTCTAACGTCGTGTCTGTGCTAAGCTGCACTGCGGCAGTCGCCTCAACCGCACAGGCGTGGTTGCTTCGGGCGTCCGCTGGCCATTCTTCGGTCTGATACTAGACGACCTCTCCGTGTGTCTCGCCCACAACTTGAGGATCTATGGCGACCGGACACCGCAATAACGACACCGAAGAACTGTAGGCACGCCGTGCGAAGTTCAGAAGTTACTCCACACGTCTAGCCGTCGGTCAAACCGGTCGGTGACCAACTCTGATAAATTCCACTACATATCCCTCCAATGACCATCCCCGCCGACCGCCTCTTTTGCGGTCTGCTCCCTTGACTCCCAACGCTTTCAACAGGTTCCCATTCTCTATCATCCTAACGACGTCGCCGCCGCAAAAATCCCTCGATTACTAGGCTCCCGACGCTTTATTCTTCCACCCTGCCAAACTCAAGAATCTGTCCGCGGACTGGTGTGGATGTCGTGTCGTGGACCTGCTGACCGATCGTCCGTTCCAATAGTTTACGGGCGGTACCAGGATTCCATCGGAGGGAGAGGACGAGGAGGCCCCCCAGGTACGCCCCCCGCTTTTGCTTCCACCCTGTATCCCTTGCCGCCTACAACCACCCAACGCCCAGATCAATATAGGGTGCATGTGGCCTCCGTCGAACCTCCGCTGTCAACTACCATCATTTCCGGCTCCTAGTCGATAGTCTGGGCTACGACTCCCCACTGGTGTGCCAGACCCTTCGTGCGGCGGTCATCACGCCAACGAGTTCAAACTTGGTGGTCGGGCGGTATCCACCAGCTTCAACGACGCTCGCGGAGTATAGGGCAGGGTTCCTGTGCTCAACAAGGGGCGCACACTTCCGTGAGTCCTCTATTCAACCCGCGGTGCTGAACTGCACGGTAATGCTGACCCGGATCGCGACCCGTCCCTTGGCGCGATTATAGGCTGGCACACGACTAAAACCTACAGGTACGAGATTTATTACAGCCTGCGTCCCTTCCACTGTGAGCTAACGCATCTGCAGCGCAGGAAGCCTATTTTCCGTCCCGCCTAGGGTGGATGCAGCTTTTTCCGCGGGGCGAAGAAGGCGCAGTTTCAGGGTAGGTAGCCCTTCCCCTTAGAGCCTCAGTCGTGATAGGCCACCGCGCGTTCGCGATCGGACGCGGGCAGCCGCCCCAGGCCCTCCCCCACTGTGCCCCACAAGTGCCCCGCAAATGCCCCGAGACGAGCGTGTATTCAAGTTCGCAACAAACCGAGTGCGCATATTCGGCGCTGTTACTGGAGGAAGCCATACGAAGCGTGCTTTGCGCGAGAGTCGCGCCGCGCTTCTAGCCGCACCTCCCGGATGGACAGCGCCCAAAATCCTTTGCAGACGCGGTCCTCGTCCAAGAGCCGACATGCGAGGCCCAGCCTTCAGGGAGAAGCTGTCTGGGCTCGGCAGCTCGAGACGTCGTTGAGGCGCCGCCCGGTGCGGACGAGACTGACTACATGCGCTCAAACCGCTGATTGGTGCCGAACCGCGACCAGTTTGAACGGGGGTCATCTCTTGTGGTGTAAGGAGTGTGGTTGAAGCATGCGAAACGCGTGCGCCGATCCACGAGGACAAGACAAGCTCGCCATCCACACGACGCGGCGCGACCCATGTCGGTCCATGTAGGTCCTTTATGATCAGGCACCGAGCACGCCTAAGATCGCTGAGATCGACCATACAGTATATGCGGCGGGATGTCTAAGCACAGAGGAGCAAGTGGCGGGATTGGGGCTACTGCTCTCTGCTGCCGCTACGCCGCTCATGTTTCTATCGCATTCGCATTTCACAGACGGTGTTGATGTAGCTGGTACGGATGCTGTGCCACCGCGACGCCTTCCCGCATGAACCGTTCTCGCAGGCCCGGACGGCACGGGGTATTGCGCGTGTCGATGGAGGGCTACGACACGTATACGTCGTTGGGTGCAAGCAGTACGTCTCCCGTTCTCGTATGTCCCGAATGAGTGCACTACGAATACTTATCGCGATTTTGTGATTGTCATGCCTAGACCGTCGGCCCGGGTGCCAGAATTCTGAGCGTGTCTCACAGATCCTCGCAACGGTGCGCTCGTCGTCTGACACCTCCATCGCCGTGCGACAGTGCCTCGATCTGCCAGATGGTCTTCGGCTGGAAAGCGCGGCAGAGCAGGCTACCCAGCTCTCGCACCATAGGCGAGCATCTCGAGCTCGCACCTCCTGTGACCGCTGCGGGACGACTTCGGTTGCCGTTGATGACCACCGCTCGTTCGAGAAATCCAACCACCGGCTCCCAGGCTTTTGGCGGCGCCAGCTCCCGGGGCATTGGTCGACGCTTACCTCGTCGCGCGCCTAGACAATCAATGTTCATTCGCGGAGCCCCCCGGTCGGCTGGGCGAATCGCTTCGATCCGTTGCTGGGCGGCGTCGTTGCATGTGTTTGTGGGCAACGGTGCCTTCTCGAACCGCGTATGGAACGCCTCGACGTCGTTCGGTCGCAGCCTGCGATGTTGTCGCGGCTTCCTGGCTCAGCGACCCACGTTCGAGATGCCCCATGACGGCGGAATGGATCGCGGGGCTATATGAGGCGCGGTGTGTTTGCACAATCATATACAGACAGGACGGGGACTAATGGTACATTGTTAGCAGTGCGGACCCCTCCGGGCATAACATCGACTCGCGTTCATCTCCAATGGCATTGGCAGCCTCCAAATCCCCGCACCAAGGCCCGACCTCGCACCTCAGACGGCGGAAGCGACTCCATCCCCAGGCGCCTGAGCGTCCTCTGTGGCTGGGGGTGCCTCGCCACTGTCGCGGCTGTCGTGCGTGCGCTAGACTGGCACGTCTGCATCCTGGGCGTGGATCTGCGCCAGCGCCGACTCGCGCAGTTGCTAGAAACAGATCAGGGGGGGTCCGCTGGTGCACACGCCGCGCCTGACCCACAGAGATGCAGGCGTGGCAGGGGAATCAGAGGGCGTACGTCGTTCTGTGCCTTGCGCTGCTGGAGGTCGTCGAGGTGCCCGGCCTTCTGTGCGAGGTTCAGCCCCAGGCGGGCTTCGCGCTGCTGGTTCGTCTGCGGGGAGGGAGGGTGAGTGCTGGCCGCGGCGGTGGGATAGTGCGGCAGGGTGGGTGGGGGGTTGGCGTACCTTGGCGGTCTCCGCGGCCTCGTCGACGGCGCGCTGGGAGTTCACTGCGTCCTATGGACGGCGGTGAGGATAGATGTGCGTGGAGGATGGCAGGTGCGCACCTTGGTGCTCTTGTCGTGCGTCTCCACGGCGTCGGCAAGGTCCCGCAGAGTGTGGTCGATGTGCTTCTGCTCCGCGCCGGCCTCGCTTATTATCGACGCCTCGAGTTTCCGGTTCTCTGGATTCGGGGAGGGCGTGCAGGGACTTCCGAAGTGCGGCATGGTGAGGGGGCTGAGCGAGAGGAGAGCGAGAGGAGAGGCGTCATGCTAACTAAGTAGTACTAGTACATGCAATTATAGAGATGACGACGTCGTGTTACATATGTGGATAGACGGACCTAGAGGCTAAATCCAGCCCGCGGAGTGAGGAATAGGAGCGTCATGGCCATCACATTCATGGTGACGCGGTTCGGACCTGCCCCCGAAGTGCACGGCGCTAAACGAGCGCTAAGTGCTGCTCTCACGCGTCATAACCAGTAACCAGTCCGAGCCTGAGCGCCGCGGAACGGTACGTGAGCAGCTGCAGACATCGGGCAAATACAGAGAATGCCTTTTCTTCATGGTATCTTATGCTGAATATCTTCGGGGGCCTCTGATACATCGCCATATATGTTTTATTATGATATACAGGACGTGGCATAGGCTGATCATACAGTTGCTGCACACTGAGAGAATGCTCGGTGATATACCTAGGACCGCATAAATCATGGTGTCATCACTCGATGCCGCCACATAGCTAGCTGCCATCTGGCACACCTAGGCAGTAGCAGCGTCTTCCGTGCCAATCGCAGCAATAGCAAGCGCGGCAGTCTCCCAAGTAGGCGTTGCGTCCGGTGCGCTCGCGCGGCCCTCGTCGGGACTCGCGGCAGCGGTTTGGACGTGGGGCTGCGGACTGGTGGACTCGCGCAGTTGCTAGAAGGATGTCAGAGTTTGGGCGCACACGCGTCACAGGAGACGATATCAGCACGACTGAGGCGGGGCACGTACATCGTTGTGCGCCTTGCGCTGGTGCAATTCATCGAGGTGCCGGCCCTTCTGCTCGAGGCCTTGTTGGAGGTGGGCTTCGTACTGCTGGTTAATCTACAACAAGGAGGCGGTCAGACTGTAAGCTGCAACGAGACTCGGATCGGCCTACCTCCGCGGTGATCCTCGCGTTCTGCTCGTTGGATATGGCGACCTCGTGGTTGTGGGTAGCGCGGTTAAGGGCCTTGGCAGTTTCATACTCGTTCTCGATGGCCTGGTCGACGGCGCGATGGGCGTTGTATGCAGCCTGAGAGCGAGAGTGGGGTTAGTGGCGACCGTGGATGTGCCCGGACAGCGCGCCCTTGTACGCACCTTGACGCTTTTGTCATGGGCCTTCTCGGCGGCGGTGAGGTCCTTGATAGAGTGGTCAAGGTCCCTCTGGTCTTCGCGAGACTGGAGGTCTGCTAGGACCGGACTGGGCGTCTTGGTGGCGGCGCTGTCTTGCTTCCCGAAAAGCAGCATAGCGGGGGATGGACTGGCGCTGGAGTGGTAGCGGCTTGCGAGGATACTGTGATGCCGGCATGATGGATGCACTTTATAGACGGGGAGCACAGCACTATGAGAGGGGGCCTGGCGGACTCGCAGACGGGAAGATCATTGAGCTGAGGAGGAGCAGAGATGACGGCGCCCCACCGTGGAGTCGCTCAGAGTCGCTCTTGCATAGCGGGAGAGCCACACTGGAGTCCTTCTATCGACTGCACCCGGGCTTCAGCTCAGCGGGGCCTTGAATGACGTCGTGAGCGCGCGAAAACAGAAGGGATGGTCGATATACCTGGGGCCTCATTACAGGTAAAACGTGAGCCCGTTGTACCATATGCAGAGGTCTGAAGTCAAGAAAAGAGCAGATCAGCCAAAGCTGTTGCATGACGCGTACGGTACGAGTCCAAGAGGGTTGCGGGCGTCTAGCGGGCGGCTCGCACTCTGGGCATCGCGGGCCGGCGCGTAGAAGTGGATGCTCGCGGTGAGGAGCTCGAATGCTCTTGCTGCTGCCACCACCGCGTCTTGCCCTCGCCTGCTCTCTGGCCCTGGACGCGTCGTGCTCATCTCCGGAAGGCGACACACGGCAGTGGGCGAAGCATCCAATCCGCTCGCGGGCATTACTCAAACTCCCTTTGCCTTGTTACGACCCAATCACGACTCTCACGACTTCGCGTTCCGTACTGCTCTCTGCTGTGACCTCTCTTTGCGACCTTTGTACGACTGTAGCATCTGACCTACTTGAACTTGCCCTGGACGATATTCGATTATGGCGGAGATCGTGAATGGTCGCTGCCATGCAGAGCGAGCCCCCCAGAATACCCCGCCCTTGATTCAGAACGGAAAACTGGTGCTGCAAGGTATGTCTAGAGCATTACTCGGCGGCCAGAGTGTTACTGAGCAAAACCGCACCACAAGCACATCACGTACGCACCCTGCTCCCATACGATTGAAGCTGTATCTCATGCCGCCTTGGTCAGATCGGATGGATAGTGTCTTCGGCCTTCACTGTCGTGGCAATGGCAGTCTCATTCTGGCTTATCAACAAGCACACCCAGTCGTACCACAATGTGAGTGAGACTTGCTGCATTGGCAAGGAAGAGCCGTAACTGACAGGCACAATCTACCAGAAATACGAACAACGCTGTAGGTTGCCAATCCTCGTGAAGGGTTATGGACGTTGACACGTTCTAAGACATTGTCCGGATCCTGTTCATGGTGCCGTTGTATGCGCTCATCAGCACAGCGTCATACTTCTGGTGGGTGCGTACAGTTCTCCGTTGCTATTACCTTGTAGCCGACAGGAGTTAACAAGTATCGCCTAACTCAGAACCATTCGACGCCTTTGCTCCTCATCCGCGACTGCTACGAGTCCACTGTGTTGACAGCGTTCTTCTATCTGCTTCTGCTCTACGTGTCCCCCGACGTGAATGTGCAGAAAGAGATCTTCCGCAAGGTAAGCTTGAACCGCTCGCTCAAGATGATATGGCACAATTAATGCACCCATCCAGAACGGCTTGTCGCGAGAACATGACAGGCGGAGACGTAAACGGGGCGAGCCTCCGCAGAAGTGGATGTTGCCGCTTGGTTTCATGCGCTGGAGACCGGAGGTATGTGCATCCTGGTTCACGAGTATATGGTACTAGCTGACGATCGTGGCACAGGACGGTTTACACTTCCTGCAGATCATGAAATGGGGTGTATTGCAATACTGTGTCATTAGGCCGACGTTCGTCGCCGCCCATTATTCTACGTCGTATGCTTGTCTCATTGGTACTATATTCAGGACTACCCTCGCTGCGGTGATCCTCGACTACGCGGGTTTGTACTGTGAGGACTCCTGGGGCCCCGGCTGGGGTCACATATATGCGAGTCATACCCTTTTGTCAGCGGCACCCTGGCTAACTTGTCACACAACAGATCACTATAGTCGTGTCCGTATCTGTCTCAGTCGCGATGTACTGCTTGATCCAATTGTACATGGCCGTCAAAGTAGAGCTCGCACCGCAGAAGCCGCTTCTCAAGTTGGTCGCCATCAAGGCAGTCGGTCAGTATACTTGCCAGTACTGGAGATTTGTCCTGCTGACTTTTCATTCCATCGCCCATTATCGATAGTCTTCCTCACGTTCTGGCAGGCAACGTTCCTCTCTGTGCTCACGTTGTTCGGAGTGGTCAAGGACGTAGGTTGCTCGTTGACTGTGTGCGTGAGTCACTCGCTGACGACAACGCTGTGCCTATCTAGACCCCGTACATGACCGCCGACAACATCAACATCGGCATAGGTGCTATCCTCGAGACCGTTGAGATGGCGTAAGTACTCCTAGTCAACGGATCCCAGGCAACGCTAACCCGTCCACGATAGTTGCTTTGCAGTCCTGCACATCAAAGCCTTCTCGTACAAGCCCTACTACGACCCGGAGAACCCCACCCCGCGCTGGCGCTCGCTCGTGCACGCGATGAGCTTCAAGGAGACGGGCCGTGAGATCTGGGCGGGGCTGGTGTATATGGTGCACCGTAGCCGCGGTCGTGAGACAGACCCCCAGGCGCGCCGCGAAGCAGCCCTCGAGGACGTCTTTGGCCGTTCGAGGATCGCGATCCGTCGCGAAGCCAACATGTCCGCCTCCGGCCAGCCGATGAGGCCGCCTGAGAAGGAGCTCAGCGTTAGCGTGGACGTAGAGAAGGAGGTACATGTCAACAACGAGCGTCAATGGCTCGGCGTCGGCGATGACTACATCTACGGACTTGGGTACCAGGCGAAGCCGCGCCGGGAGAAGAGCGATGGGCTGGAAGAGCAGATCGACAGGGAATTGGCGAAGCGCGGTTATACCCTACGGAGTAGGTCACTCCTCGCCCGTTGCCCCACGTTTGACTGACCGACATGTGGTAGACAAACACGCAAGCAGCGCACAATACAGCCCCGTCGTCGATGCCGAGGCTGCAGGTCACGAGCAACGGCAAACGTCGTGGTGGCGCCGCGTTTACAACCGGCTCTCCCAGTCCGGGCCTGATGTCGACACGGAGCAGCCTCTGCACAACGGCCCACATGGCGGTCTTCCCAACGCTCTCCGTCGCCTGTCAACCCGTCGGCGCTCAAAAGACATACCCACGAGATTTGGTGCGACTCCGCTCTCACGCGACGTGCATGAGGACGACTACAACGATCCGCCACCCCCATCTGCCATCCGCACATACCGCGAGAGCAAGCAGAAGCAGGGTGTCAAGCGCGAGCCTCCTCCCGTTATGTCCTCGCCTCTGCTTTCCGCGTCGTTCGCGGACGTCCCCAGCCCACTGAGTTCTCCAGACATGGGAGGTCCCATTCCGCTCACGCCGCAATACAGTCCCGCCGCGATGCAACATGCATGGGCGGCGCGACAACATCTGATGGTCCCTTCGCCGACTCCCCCGTTACCGACCCCCGCTACGGAGTCAACCCGGGACAGCTTCCTCGAGCGCGCGTTCGCCGCCTCCATCGAGCCGGCCTCCTCAGCCGAGGTGCTCTCTGCAGCGCCCTCTTCGTCACAGTCGCACCACAACCACGTCAGGCTCGGACCCCACCCCGAGATCGCGATGAGGACGAAAGCGCTCCCGCAGGCGCCTCTTGTGCACGAACCCACTGTCGTTGCAGGCCCCTCGAATCCGCGTTCTGCAGGATCACTTGCATCCCCGACGGCCGCACTGGATGGTCGCTTCCCGCCTGTTCCACCTGCAGACACGTCCTCGCCACCAACGCGACCGTCTCCGCAGCGCATAGTACCGCCTATCTGGACGCAGGACGACACTCGTGGCCGAACACGCTCTTCGCGCCGGCACGACTCCGCCCAGTTTTCTCCAGGGTACCCCGGCCAGTTCCCTTCTTCACACTCGCCACCTCAGCTACAGCGCGCCGAGGTCGCGTACTCGCGCGGTGCGCCAAGAAGGAACTCAACGGCGGCACCGCAGTACGTCGCCCCGCCGAATCGTTTCGTGCCGACGAGAGGAAGGATCGTGCTGCCCGCGCCTCTGGCGCCCCCAAGCCCTAGTTCTGCGAGGGACTCGTTTGCCTCCTCGCGGTACAGCCCTCCGGGGCTGCCTACTGGCCCGCTTCCGCCATTGCAGAATCGACGGTCGACCGCGCCATATCCCGGGCCACACATCGGTTCGCAGAGGTAGCCATATCCAAGCCATCGGCTGATGCCTCTTTTTCCTACTCTTTTCGTGCTTCCCCCTATTGCTGAATTTATGACCTATTTAGTACCAGTGTCTGTTGTCCCGCTGTCACGAACTCCTCACGACCTCGCACGTTTCACTCTTACGACCCTCACGACTGGTGTAGTACCCTGGCTCCCAGGACATCGGATGTATTTCTTGCTATCCAACGCGGCTGTTGTTACTCTGACTACTGTGTGTGCAGGTAAGCGGCAAACAGGCGGCAGTAGGCCGTATATCTAAGCAACCGTGCGTTAGTTGCTCCTTCATCTCGAGGTCCTCGATTGTTGTTGCAGGCTTCGAGCGCATCGCTCAGGCGGTGACCCACAGTGCTGGCGGCGGCAAGCGTATCCTTGGCGGCAATTGAATGACACTCGCAAGCTTGTATACAGTGAAGCACTCAGCCTTCTGAGTAACCTGCCGCTGTTTTACGTTCGACATGCAAGAGCTATTGTGTGGCCGGCGCGTGTGGCCCTGTTGGATGCAAACATTCCCGCTTTGGGCGAGAGGACAATGTCGCGAGATAGGCGCCCGTCCTCTGCTATTGTTCTCTGCGGCCGCCGTTTGTTCTTCCCCTTCGGCATCCACTGTCGTCCTATGTTTGGCTACCGGTGGCAACCAACGCGCTCGAAAACGGCAGCCATTGTACTATGCGGAGTGCACGCAAACACGCCGCGCGCCGGTCGTGATGTTCCATTCTCTGGCGTACAGACGTACGACGGGATGGCATGCATGCTCCGGGGAGGTATAAAGCATGTGCATGGACGCTTGACTTCAGCGGAACCCTGCGCTCTGCCATCCTCCGCTTTTTCCCAGCTTGGTCTCCTTCCTTGTGCATATCTAACCTCTCGTCTGTGACGATCATATCCTACGGCCATCGTCTTATTGCCCGCCTCTGACTCGCACAACCGCACCGCGCCACATCACACCATCGCCACCTACCGCACATCCTCCCACCCAACTATCGACAATATGTCCTCTCGCGTTATTGCCGTTGCTTTCGCCCCCCGCGAGCACGCTCGGTGAGTACACTCGCCCCACCATACCCGCAGAACCTTCGCTGACCGAATCTATTCAGCCCTTCGTGCACAAAGTACATCGAGCGCCGCATTATCCGCGCTTGGAAGGCGATCAGCCAGCGCAGCCGCAGGCACCACCGCGCGTCGCTCCTCCCCGAGGACTTCGTCATGCTCACCCAGCGCCGCCGCAGCGTGCGCTTCAACTGAACGCGCGCCGCCCACGCCGACCCCGGCGTATCCATTGCGCCTTCATCTTCTCCCGCACGACCTCTCACGTCTTGATGACGTTCCCCACACGGACACATCTATCCTACTCCCTCTTATTTGAGCCCACGGTGGCTTCGGACACTTCGCGACACACAACTGTAGCTTATCACACACATCACTGGGTACGAGCTGTAGTATTTAATGGGACTCTGGCGTCGGATCCTTGTACGGGCTTATGTATCGTTGGCGCTTATTAATTCAGATGACTATTCTACTACCACTGTGCAAGGTCAAACAACACGATATGCAGTATCTAATACAATGGCTACCAGTACAGATTAAGTGAGTATAAGAGCAAGGCACAGGCGACGACTTGGCTCTACCGAGCAGCAGGCCACTTCATGCACCTTAATCAGCGCACATCCACAGGATAAGCTTTCAGTACGGCATCGTACTCACCTGGCCCCCCAAATCCTGCGCGAACTGCTCCACGTTCGCGCTGACCCACTGTGCGAGGTGCAGTGTGGCCACCTTGAGCATATCGAGCGAGTCGAGGCCGTCGACAACCTCCGCGGTGAGCTCCGCGACGCGCGTGTTCGCGAACGTCAGCACCCCCGCGTTCGCCTCGACGATGCGCACGACTTGGCTGCTCAGCGCGGCCGTGCGCCGGCGCAGGTACGCGACTTCCCCGCGCGCCTCGTGGCACTCGAGCATCTGCTCCTCGCGCCGGGCCTCGCTCCATGTGAACTGCCGCATGCAGTCTGCGAGCGCGCGCTCGTGCTGGGATGGAACGGGGCGTCGTTAACATCTAGGGATAGGACATGCGGATTGGTACGTACCTCGGCGATTTGGTTTCGAAGCGCGTGGAACGCGCGCTCGAGCCGTTCCTTCTCCTTGCTTTCCGCGACGAGCCGCTGACCTATCGCGTACGCATTCGCTTTGGCAGCGGCGAGCTGCTCCGACAACTCCATCTCTTTTCTGTCGCGTTCCTGGTCTCTTCGGTCGCGCTCTTGTTCCTGAGCATGAACCGCATGTTAGCTTATCTGCGGCGAAGGCGGAGGTATAACGGAATGACCGACCCTTTGCGCATGCTGCGCCTCAAGAGCATACAGCATCTGGTGTGCGTCGGCGAACGTGACAGCGTACTCATCTGCGTGCGCAGACGTGGTCGCGGGTGGCGACTGCACAAAATGTGAATGAGTACCTAGCCCCGACATTACTGAACCGTTCTTGCATAGGACATACCGTGTACCGCTGCTGCGGGGAAGGCGTCTCCGGACTGGCATCCAGACGGTGGTACTGCCCCGGCATGCTGTTCATTAGCAGCCCACTTGGCTGCTCTTCCGGGTCGAGATATGAGATTAGAGAGGGAGTGCGTCCCAGTGGGGGGTGACTCTGCACCTCCGTGGGTGGTGGTGTCAAGAAAGATTGTTGCGAGCGACTGCACACGGGCGTTGCAGCCCCCCGGGTGGCAGAAGGAAAAGAAGAGCCTGCATCTTCAGCGAAGGACTGTCTATATAACGGGCGCTAGTGTGCTCTGACGCGATAAAGTGGACAATAGACAATTTGGTCGGCGGGGATGCCAAATCGGGCTGAGGGCGGGAGTATTACAATAAAGGCAGTGTGGCCTCGGCACTCTGTCTAAGATGGAGGATGAGATGGCGGTCCTAAGTTGCCCAATCAGCCCGTAACTCTCACGCGGCGGTACATACCGTGAGCTTCGTGCAGCGGAGCGCCGATGCGGAGAGCATCCGGTCGCGAGGGAAGAGTCAAAAGTGCTCAACTCTATCAAATCAGGCTGTGATAGCTTGGAATACAATAACGGGCGGAGGACGGGGATCGCATATGACCAAGCACGCGAGAGAGAAGCTTGTGCCGATACGGACGAGAGCGGGGGCTGCGAAGGTTGTTACAGACGTGCAAGCCCTGGTGAATGAATGGTAGCAGGAAGCGGGGAACAAAGCACACACCGAGACGGGTCGGGATGTGTAGCATTTATCTTGTCGGTTATCCCTACAAAGCGAAGGCGCATGCCTGTTTCTGGAGTGAGAGGCTTGATTGCTGCGGGTCTGATAGTGCCAAATTCGTAAGAAGGTGGGTCACGGAGGGTGATGACAAACCGCACATGACATAACAGGTGAGAGTCGGAAGGGGCCACAGTGCCAGTATGATTGATCTAAAAGGGTTGAAAAGAGGGGTGATTTGGAAAGATCACGAACTCATGGGGACATTGAGAGGATTCAAGAGACGGGTTCGGCCCGGGTGCGGATAGCGAATACGAGAGATTGTAGCTGAGCCAGGGGAGCTAGTGACGATGTGGGATACATTCACTGCTAGTCGTACATAGCAGCGACTTTGCAAGAACCTATGTTTGACATACGACTCATTAGAAGAGCCAGAGTGACGAACGAAGGGATACTAGACGTACCGAAGCGGCCAATACGTATCCCCGACCCAGACGCTGGAGTATTTCAATGGCCGCGAATGGAATAGACGGCGAGTCTCCGGGGGAGGGACAGGGACCCGGTCGGCAAATGGACGCAGCATCAAGATCTCGTTTATATGAGCTCTATGTCCTCCAAGGACCCGTAAGCTTGTAGTGCATCCCACGAGGACTCCGCCGAGAACGTCCCCAGCCGTCGGTATACCATCCCCCTCTCCCTATGCGAGTCGGAGTACAGGTTAATTTGCCCGACGATAAGGCCGTAAACCTGCGAATGTGGACTTTCCCGCTGCAAAAGTGGGACGATCCACTTGGACTCCCCCTCCGAGGTCTGCGCATCAAGGATGTACCAGCCAGGAACCTTTGTGTCAGGCTCTCGCATGGCGTCATCCTCGTCAGCAGAGCCGCCGTGAACGCTGGGGCACCGTTCGCGCCGAGGATGCGGCAGTAGGATGTGATTATTAGCCAAAATACCGTGGCGACTGCTAGGGAGATGCAACCTGCAAGATATCAACGTTGCGCGCAGAACAAGGCACCCAGCTGTCACTTCTCCAAATGGCAAATCCTGGTCTTTGAGAGTGACTTCGCAACGAATCACCTCTGCCACCGCGGTCTTGTCCGCGTAGGCAGTAGCGTGCCACTGCATCCCAATGTGTCGGTGACTTCCGTCGGCAGTGGAGGCCCAAGACCAAGATGGTGCACGGTATTCCGCTGGGCGGCGCCAGCTCACTACGCGACTCTGCAGTCGGGCCGCGACGTACCAAAGCAAGTCGTGGAGGAGAGTGTCGCGCCATAGGCCCGCAAGATAGTCCACGCGTAGGACGCGGTGGCATGCCTCCGCGAGCGCGCCACATGCAACGAGCTTGTCCGACGGTTGGCTAATGGCGCGCTTGGTGTACATGGCCACGATCTGGCTCCATCCGCCATGTACTTCCGACCATTCGCTAGAGCCGTACTCTGCGTGGGGTGGGGTTGGATGGAGGAGGATATCGGGCAGCTGCACATCGGCGATCGTGTTGTAAAAGGAGTCGCCGATATTCCGCGTATCGTTTTGGCACCGGAATTGGAGTGTTCGACCCGAGAAGATGAGTGTACGTGGGGAGAGGTAGAACTCTTGCAAACACCAACCCCGCTCGTGGATGGGATCCGAGTCGTACGAGCATTCTGAGGGCTGCTGTATGAGATGAGAGAAAGACGCGTGCACTTTGCCCACTTGCCGCACCACGGGAGGCAGTGAGGCCCTAGGTGAGGGACTCGGTAGGGTGGTATCGATGTCCGCAAACGAGGAGCTCCAAGGGTATAGGGAACAGAGCGAGGAGAGAGAGGGGCTAGGGCGCGGGGGACAGAGGAATGGAAGTGTGATTTGTACGACGTCCTCCGCCAAGCGATCCTGGAGGAAGCCATCGCTGACCTTCCCAGCGCTGGCAGCTATGATAGTCAAGTGCGCATAGCGGTAAACAAGATGCATCCACCTTATTTCGTGCACTCTGTCCTTGTCCTCGTCCTGGATTATGCACAGGCTATCGACCCAAAGGTACTGGAATCCAAGCGCGTGTGTGACACGGATCGCATCGCGGAGGGTTTGGGGGAGATGAGAGGCGTCCATTCCATCCATATAGACGGATACGTTGGATGAAGTGGTTTGATGAGGTTGGGGCTCACCCCATACGTAGCTGAGCGCGAGGTATCTGCCGTAGCCACCCTCAGTCGAGACCAGGCGCATGCGATTGGGGTCCGTGCAGTCAATCAGGCGGGTCGGGAGGCGAACGTCGGAGGATGGCGAAACATGAATGCACCGCTCGTGTCCATGCAAACAATCCCCGATGTAGGATTTTGCGAGAGAGAGCGCGTGAGCAGACCCGACATCTAGGATAGGGGGCCGCGCGATGATAAATGGTGCTGCCAGATCGTCTAATCAACCATGTCAATATCATGTGTAACCGTGTGCGATACTGCGACAGCCTACCTGCCGAGGTATGCAAAAGCATTGTGCAGAGTGATGCACTGCAGTTGATGACTATCTGCAATGCTTGTACGTTGGCGGGTGTACCGTGTACGTCTTCAGTCAAGCCGACTGAGATCTTCCAGACTGGACCGTCCGACCGCCACGCGACTCGTCGCTGGACATTTTCCGTGAGCAGTGCAAGCAGAAGTTTACACCAAGCGCAGCCGGCAGCGGCGCTGTCTTTGATCGCTGGCTCGGAGGCAGAGTACGAATACCCTCCATCGTAACTCAGACCTTCTCCACTCCACTTCGAGCTGATCGGAGCGTGGAAGAGGCCAAGATGCGCAGAAAAGGGCCCCACTCGGCAAGCTTCGCAAATCGAAGACGGTTCGAGTAACCTAGCATTCCTCCGGTTATCTTGTGCAGGCGGGACTGGAGGGACGTTTGAGGCCATGTTCCGGAGCAAGTGGATGGGGACAGTCGGCGTCGGCGTGTGGGGATGGGACGTGCGATGATGGAATGCAGACTGCTGCCAGCAGTGGACTTCGAACTGCAAGTTATAGTTCGTCGCCGCAGAGGGCCCGTGCACACATATCCGCGCAATCTATCTGTCAACGGTAACCTGGAAACCACCAAAGTATGAGTATGCACCGTACTATGAGATGGGCTCGACGAGATGTGCGCTCCTGTAGTCGGCGGTGCCGCATGGTTGTGGCGTAGACGCACCGTCGTCTTACGTCGTCTTCCACTTGGGATGTATCGGCAGCAGCGCTCCGAGTGTCTTCGCTGCCGCTCGCTGTCATGTTGAGGCAGCGATATGTTGCCATCGGTGATGCTGTGATGAACTTACTTGAGAACGCGCTCAAGGCGAGGCACGAGGGAAGCTTTAGTACTTAGTACACAAGGAACGCATACGAGCTCTCTCACCTGTAATACATATGTTGCTCGTGGAGTGCTGATAGATTAAATTGAGCGGACCGTTCACCAGAGCGTCAGATTGGGGGGAGAAATTTTGAGGAGGTCAGTGGTCACTCGAGTGCGCCAGAGACGATCGCGCTAGTTGTGGTTGCTCGTAACTCAAGCACCTGGCGCTTAGCGCTTAATGCCCGGCACTTGCCGAAGTAATTGGCATCCGAGTCCGTCCGCCTTCGACGCTACATACGGGATGAACACAATGCCACCTTTATCTACTTCTATCATCTGGGCTTGCGTGTCAACCACAACGGCCTTGGTGTTCTCGACTTTTCGTGTAGGCTGGAATTGGCATAGCAGTCACCTCTAGACTCACTAGCGCTCGCTACTGAACTAGGTCGACGACACACTCATCTGTCTCTGGAGCGATTATCTGCCACTGAGAAAGACACTTTGGCGTGTGTCGTAAGGGAGGAGGTAAGTAGAACATTTGACCTCATCCCCCAAATTAAGCCCCGCGACGTTCAGAGTACATTTGCTCAGACCGTTTTGAATACAGGTCCATGCTCCCGCCCATGGCCAGTTTCAATCCTGACTGCAATGCGGATACGCTCCACCAAACAACACTTCTAGACTGGATGCACTGGCATAGCTGTGGGCTACACTGGTATGAACTTCAAGTACAGAGAGATACATACGCGAGCGAATGCGCGAACTCCCATCATATGTACATATATATTACAGCGTTGATTAAACATAGCCCCCTATCGAGGCTCCACGCCTCCTAAGAGCATAACATACAATACAGGGCTCTAATATAGATACGGTCAAGGATACGTGTAAGCGGCCAACGTGAGGCGACGAAGAGGGAGATGATTGATGAAGAGGGAGGCGGTAAGAAAGCAGTCTTGGGACGAATCTTCCTACCAAGCCACAGGCCACTTCGCTCGGACGTCAGCTCGCACTCTCCAGTCGGCATTGTAAGCGCAGACTCACCTGGCTTGTCATGTTCTGTGCGAAGGAGGTGGCAGTCGTCACGATCCCTTGCACAAAAGCCTGCGCCTTGTGCGTAGCTTGATAGACCATATCGAGGCTGCTGACAACCTCCGCGCTGAGCTCTGCAATGCGCACGTTCGCGAGCGTGGACACGCTCCCGCTCTGCTCAACTGCCTGCACCAGCCGGCGGTTGAGCATGGCGCAGTTCTGGCGCATGTATGCGGCTTTCGCCCGCGCTTCTTGGGTGAGCAGCGACTGCTCAAGGCACTCGGCCTTGCTCTGCTCGAGCCGCCGCTCGTAGTCGGCGACCTGAAGGTTGTGCTGTGGCGATCGTGAGTGAGGGGAAAGCGATCGGCGCAAGGTACAATGCGTCGGGGAGATGAAGTCGCACGCACCTGTGCAATATCGTCCAGCAATTTAGCCTCCAAAATTGCCTTCGCTGCATCCGAGGCGGCCGCTCTTTGCTCAGCGGCTTCCGCCCGCTCTTCAGCACCCGCAGCCCGCTCTTCAGCACCCAAAGCTCGCTCCTCAGCACTCACAGCCCGCTGTGTGGCGACTGCAACTTTTTGCTTTAGGTCTTCCTCCCTAACGCTGTGATCATGCTCCTAGTACCCGAACCGAGGTGTCAGTCTCACGCCCACGCTACATGGCGGCGACCAACCTTCCGAGCCGTCTGGTCCGCCAATCTACTCAGCCTCCGCTGGATGTCGTCGAACGACTCCTCGCCAGTGTCAGCAGCCCCAGCTGATAGAATAGTGGCGCCCTGCTACGCAGATTGTAAGTCCCGCAACCACGCAAACATACAGCCTTCAGCAGACGACGTACGAGCTGTATGCGGGACTCGGACGCCTCGCTGGAGGCCCCATGCGCCACGGACTGCCCAGACGCGTCCATAGGGCGTCCCTCGGCTTGCTCGTCAAAGTCGCGATACGAGAGCGAAGCGGAAGTACGCGCGAGCCGGCGCCGAGTCGGCTCGCGATCGTCCGTCGCAGGAGGCGTCAGCAGCTGGGCCGTGGATTTGCGCCTCGGCGTAAACGGCTCGTTAACAGCGAAGTTGGGCATGCTGTACAGGGTGCGCGTCAGTCGATTCGGGAAAAGGGGGGCAAAAGCGATGGAAATGAGTGTACGTACGTCGGTACCCGTTGTAAGCTATGTCCGCTGTGCTGCGTCGCGGCCGACGAGTGCGCACCCTCATCCGTGTCCACCTCCATGGGCTGGTGCTCGTTCCCGGTGCCGTTGGACGGCGTCATTTGCAGCGTTGCGCGTAGGCTGCGTAGCGTCTCTAAGGCCTTGTCACGCTCCTGCCAAGCCGCGTCGCGTTCTTCTACGGTGGTGCTGAAGCTTTCTATGATATTGTTAAGCCTCGCAACGGTCGCTTCCGACATGTCGAGCTTCTCTTGCAGCTCCGCGTTTTCATCGTACAGCTGCGACGAGGGCGCGATTAGAGACGCGCGACAGTATACGCCCGAACACGAGCACACCTCTTTCTTTGTGGTGTTCTTTGCGCGAAACACCTTCAGGTCGATGAGCGCCTTGTTCTTCAGCAGGCTGTGCTCGGTGAACGTGGGGTCCTTCGACAGCTGCTCGACCCTACCGCACACAGCGACCGTTCTCAATAGGGCAGCCAACGTAGCAAAGGAGAGCGGCGTACACTTCTGCGAAACGAGCACTGAGTGCTAGCTCTCCATCCGGCCCGCGGATGAGGAGACGTTGTCTTTTCTGGGTGGCGCGTTGTATGAGCACGGACCGACAGTGAAGAGGGCGCGTGAAGATACTCAACGAGTTGCTGAAAGTGGCTCATGATGCATCCACGGGAGCACCTAGTGATCTTGGCCCCGGTGTCGGCCATCCGTTCGAACACTGCGCGGGCGTCGTTGTCAGCTTTATGCCCTAGAGGCGACTGCAGACCGGGTGCAAAATGACAACACACCATCATCGATGAGTTTAGACATCTTGAAGGATTCGATCCCGTGCCTACAGATTTGGTACACGACACCTGTGGGGGATGGGGCGGTGGTAGTCCTTGTTAGCTGTTCGCGCTGCATAGATGTCAATTCGACTCACGATCGCTATATCTTAATTTGGCCATCCTGAGGCTTGGTAGAGGTTGGCTGCTTTAAATGACAGAACGGAGGTCGAGGAGGTGAAGGGCGCAGAGGGGGTGCGAGGAAGAAGGTGCAGCAGGAGCGCGACCGGCGAAGCAGCGTAGAAGAACGTGAAGGGACAAAGAAACATCCATGAGGCAAAGGCCTAGCAGCCCCGGGTTGACACACGCTGTGAATCGAGATTGCGAAGAGGAGATTGACAGGCACATGTCCTCGAGATGGAGTGAGGGCGTTGGCGAGGTTACGGCAGAACACAAAGGGACATCGCCTACAGCTTAGGACAGGCCCTCGCTGGGGAACTTGACTGCACGAACTCTATTACCGCGGCCCTCCGCCTGAGATGCACAACGAGATCACGGTACCTCTTCGTCTTATTGAGTCATACACGAGCACTCCGCGTGTTCTTGAGTTCGGGCCGCGTAGTGCGAATCTTGTGCACCGGAACCAAGGGAAGGAGCGCGATGATGCCTGGCTACGAGGGCGGCGGGGACGAGGACCTACGCGCTTTGCGGCGCAACATGAGCCATACGCATATACTGGATATAAAGCGGAAGGAGGTTGGTTGTGGACCCAAATACACAGACGATGTAGGACCAAGGCTGCTTGCTATAGCAGCCACCTGGTGAACGAGCTCCAGTGTCAGCTTGGCACAGTCCATACAAGGCGCACGACACTCGCAGCTGAGAGGGCTTGCTAGTCGGCTTCGAGCGAAGAGGAAACAATGAGGTGCTCACCGTGTATGCGATACTACTCGCAAGGTTCGCCGCTTCTCCATCCATCTGCGCAACCTATCTCTGTGAGCCCTTAGGAGAACCGCGGCAGCGTTGTGGGCTTCCGCTAGCAGAGGGACTACTGCATTCAGCACTTCGTTCTTCTGACGAGCTTCAAAAAGCTCTGCATGTCGCGCAAGCGACTCCACCGCGGCCGCCTAAAGCTCCCCTTCCGACGCTGCAAGCCTCCGTAGAACCCGATCGACTCACGGAGTACGCAACTGGTGGGTGTTGCAAGAGGATCTCCGAAGTGAACAGAACGAACGTTGTGTATAGTGTATATTTTCCCGTATATTAAGCCAATGGTATCTGCGCGATTAGAGTGAGCACAACGCCGCGATGCCAAAGATCAAGACACTTACAAGTTACAAACAAACGCTCTAAATCTCTAACAAACCCAAACTAACCGCGGCTCAGATGATAAAGTGGTCCGCCCAATGCCTGAGAACGCCCTCGCCGATCTTGTGCGACGGGAAGCGCTTCACGTCCCGCGCGATGATGGTCCCATGCGCGTTTCTCACCGGGTCGATGAACGCAAGCTCCTTCTTCAAGCCCGGTAGCGTGTTGAGCCAAGTCACAAGCTTGCGCTGTGTCTCGTTCAGCACGAGGCCCGGCTCGCGCGGCGCCTGGGCCTCGCTCTTCGGGCTATCAGTGGCGGCCACGGCAAGGGTTGGTGCGGAGGAAGACGGGGTAGACGCGTGCGTGTCCGCGCCCGCGCCTGCGCCTGCGTCGGTGCCGTCGAACATGTCAACGACGGCCTCCTCGACCTCGCGCTCGAGGCGCCCGATAATGTGCACGAGGCGCTCCGTGCTGGACTCGTCCTTCTCGAGCTTCTTGATGCGCGTCCGGGATGCGCGGGAAGCGAGCGAGAGGCGGGTGATGATCAGGGTCAGGACTAGCGGAATGAGGACGGGGGTAAGGACATAGATGAGCTAGAGTCCTCGGAGTGAGTTCGTGGACGGAGGTGGTGCGGGAGCGATATACGTACGACGTTGTAAGGGAAGCCGAACTGTAACGCGGGTGGAAGGAGGGGACGGCTGGGCTTCTTCTGTTTGAACCACTGCGCGGAGAGGAGTCGTGGCTTTGGTGGCTGGACGATCGAAGTCGGGTAGGTATATGACTTCATTATAGGGGAGTATTCTTCGTCAAACTCTCTGTAAATCAAAGTGAGCGCATGGGCGGGAATCTATTACGCCTTGACACGTACACTTGGATGCCGTTCTTTTCGTGGTTGATGAAATGGTCATCTTGCTCTATCGCCGCAGTGGGATACGGCACAGTGACGTCATTCACCGCGTTGGCATATATACGGACATGTTGGAAAAGAGTGAGGGCCTGGTAAAACAGGCGGTCTACAAGGGGGTCAGCGTGTGAAACAAGTATAGTACACTGGAGAGACGCACTTGGATCTGCCATGACCTCGAGGAGCGGTCGGCCATTTTTCGACCACTTGTCGACCTGAAGAGCCCGTATGTTAGAATTGCTCATAGAACTTGTATCGGGGGAGATGTGCATACTACGTAGAACTGCTCCCCCGTTCGCGAGAGGAGTTTGGGTCCAAAGAAGGCGAATAGTGAAGAGATCGTAGTCGGGTATTTAGGGAGACCGATATGAGGCGTTGCAATTGTGTTGAAGTTGACGGGTGTTACTGAGGTAAAGAAGCCTCGTTGGTGCAAGATACTGGCGAACAAGAGAATGGTTGAGCATAGTAGAAGCAGTCAGCGGACAAAGTAACGTACCCGACCACATAACGCGAGATGAGACCGCCTAGACTGTATCCAGTCACGGAGAAGCGGGTCACCTTCTTGCCATTCTTCTCCAACTTCTTGACCTCCTCTGTGATCTGGAGACGGATTGGTATCGCCAAGACCTATAACTGAGCACAAGTGGCGTGCGGCAAGGCTCACCTCTTCAGCTACCCGCTCGCCTCCCCAGTCGATTCCATCGTACGTCGAGTCGTCTTTGTTGGTCTCCGCAACGAGTACGTGCAACTGCTCGCCGCCGGGGCCCTTCTCAGACTCGGCCTGGCCGCGGCGCTCCTCCATGACCCGGCGCATTTCAGAGAGGTGGACTGGGTTGCCCCACATGCCGTGAATTAGCACCAGCAGGTGAACGCATGTTGAGCCAGAATCGAGGTCGGCCGACATTAGGGAGAGATTTACGGAGGGTGAAGAACGAGCAGGACAATATGTGAGACCGGGCGGGCGAGGGAGAGCATGGTATATAAGTGGAGGACTGGTGAGAACGCTGCGGGCCAGATCTCGGCGGCGGAGTCTGACGCATCCGGGTGCATGGCGGCATCATCTCCGCGCGCTATCGCTATCCCCGCTCGGCCTCTCTTTCGGACGTTCTCCTGCCTCTGCTCAAATCTGTCGCTCCAGGGCGATGCATCTGTACAACGTCGACGGCAACACCTCCGCTCGGAATACACCACCCCTTGCTTGAAACGATTGATGCAGACTTTGCGACGTCAGAGGAGCAACGCATCGTGCAATGCGGCAGTTGGCGCATTGCCTCGCGCGCGCACCGTTGCGTCCGGATGATGGGTCCATATCGTATCGCAGCAAGGCAGGACCGCCCCGGGTGTCTAGCTACCGGTACATTTTTCCAATTTACGTACGCTGTACTTCCTTGACCAGCCTTCCTCGCAGTACCTGGTCACTCAAACATCACGAAGTCGATCCCCGATCGGCATTGAAGTTTAAGTACCGAAACTTCAGAAGGTGAGCGCTCGGGTGAGTACTTGATATATTCGCCTAGTCCATGCAACCGTCGAGCAGCGTACCCGGATGTTAATCCTATACACCGTATATACAATCTTTGCAGGTACGAGACCTAGACAAAACGCCTAGGCGAGCCTACGTCAGGCTAAACACGCCATTAGGCCTGGAAGCACATTATCGATAGCAGGCTAGCAGCGACAGAACTCTACGCACGCCCAAACGCACGCACCTAAGTACGGTACAAGTGGTACGCCCACAAAAACTGTCGTCTCTGTTCTATCTGGGCTCTCACGATCTCGACTCGAATCAGAGTCGCGACTGCCGTCTGTTCTCTAACACGCACAATATTACAATTAATGACATTCTGTTACGAGGCTTTGTCGGTGTACAAGCGTATACAATGTTCGGATACCCATGCTATTCATTGAAGCTCACGGTGCCTTCGGCACGTACGGGGGCGGTTGCTCGTCCTCGGTGTTCGTATCGGTGCCCATCGTTCGCTCTGACCCACTTGCCGACACCGCCAATGAATCTACATCTCCCGCGTTCACAGCGGCCTTGTGACACCCGCACTCAACGTTCACTTTCACGTTCACGGAGATCGGGGAAGACGACTTAGTCCCGCCTTGAGATGCACCGCCAGGCTGGTCGTCCTGCACATGCCGATGCGCGATGCGCCCCGGGTGCTCTACGCGTCCCTCGAGTAAGGACGCCCGTGATTCAGGTGTACCGCTGAGGTCGGAGGTGGAGATGTTGTATGGGTGGTCTGCGCCCTCACTATGCCAGCGATGCTGGTTGCGTGTGCCAGATCCCTGTAGGACGGGAGGCGCGCCCTTCGTCGCGACGTACGCCCCAGCTGCCGGTACCCAGTTGTAGTTCACTGCGCGTGCAAGACCCTGCGCCGGTGAGGTGAGAGACGGGGGAAATGGATGTGCGACTCGCGAGTCCGGAGTCGAGTCCGTCGTGGACTGCGCGGAGTCTGCATCTGCTTCTTCGTGCTTTATGTTCCCGAGTAGAACATGTGTAGGTCGAGAACGACGCGCCGACCGCGCCCTCCGTCGGCAGAGGAATACGCCCGCTGCGACGGCGAACAGGCCGACCACAACAAGAGAGACGGCGAGGGCGATGTCGCCTGTGGTAGACAGGGAGCTGTGAGCGGTAGACCCGCCGGATGTCTGAGCTGTTGGCAGAGGCGACGACCCTGTTACGGGGGTAGGAGAAGCATCCACACCAACTTCCTGACTGTAGCCATGCCGAAGTGAGCTTTGGGAATGCGGTCTTGATTAATAATGTCATACGCACGTGAACATGAAATAGTCCAGCAACGCGACCGCGGATGAGCCTCCAGAATGCCCAACGACCATCGTGAAGATGTGCGTGCCGGGCGTAAGAGAAGTGTTCGCGTACACGAGGACACCGTATTGGTAGGTCGTATCTCCGTTCGGGGCGAGCGTGAACGAGCCCGCATGCTCGCCGTCTATGAGGAACGACATGTCCGAGTTCCCGTTGGGGTCCGAGAATGCCCGTGTGATAACGCAGAAAGCGTACACAGCGACACCTGTTCTCCTCCCGTCAACAACCGGTATAAAATTGCGGCGGTCGACCAGCACTTACCGTCGAACGTGAGCGTCGCGCTGATTGGGCTGCTCGGCGGGTTGTCCGATATGTAGCTCACGTCGTGCCACGTTCCATCGAGTACCTGGCTCTTGTCGACCTTCGCCTCGCAGGTCGTGCAGTTCTGGCCGGCGCTCCATACGCCAGGCGGCTCGTACACGATGTGAATGTCGCCGGTAGGGCTACCTGCGGTGTCGTCCACGGTAACGTTCTGTAATTTGCTAGATGCGAAAGCCGTAGGGAAGTCCCCTAGATAGATCAAGACCAGGATGGCGAGGACTCCAAAATATAGTAGAGCGGGCATAGTAGGTGGAGTGGAGGTGGAAAGAGTTGGCGAGAGTGGGGGATAAGCGAGGCTTGTGTGGGGCAATGGGAATGCCTACGCAAGCGGCTGCTTGGGCGCGATGGAGACGAGCACGATTGCATATGCACTGGCGTGACGTCTGTCTGCGCCCTGCGAAAGTGGTTGCCCGAGGCCACACATCGGCCGCCACTCTGTCGAAAAGAATGGGCATTAGTATCGTGTGCGTTCAAAAACTGACGCCGCCGCCATAATTGACGATAAACGTACCACATCCGATGCATGCTGCCAATAGAGCGTTTGATGAAGAGTCCAACCTTGAGCTTGCAGAACCAGTGTGTGAGTGATGCACCCATCCACGTAGATTTGATCATCTGCATCCAGCTAAGAGACCCTCCGATGTGCAGCGCAGCACACCTGCCCGGACAGCGCGATTCGGAGCAACCGGACGAGGGTATGAATGCGGTTTCTGGGAGCGTATGCATGGCAGTCACACACCAACCAGACGTCTTGCATTCATGACCCCGGGACACGTGTGCGGTCGTACATCTACTCGACCTACAGGTGACCTTTGGCGTATCCGGTAGCGAGCAATTCCTCCACCACCCTCCATGCTGGCGCCGTCGAGAGCAGGCGCTGTCGCATGTTCTGAAGTGCAGTATGTCTCGACTAAACGTACGGCGAGTCTGAGCATAAGACGAAACAAAGATGAACACATGAGTTACTCACCGCGCCTGGATAGGCTTTGAAGCTCTCTGCAGCCAGCAGGTACGCATCAACCTCGTTCAGCAGCTACACAGACGAAACACCGCATATTGAGCGAGGGAAAACGACATTGGAAGTGGCCGGCGGCGTACCTGCTTTCGGAGCTCGGGTAGGGCGCTCATTTCCTTCCGCTCTTTCTCTAGGTAGCGCAGGACCGTACTAAAGCGAGTAGTCGCCGTCTCCCAGTCTATCCCGTCGTAAATCCGCACAGCAGTCTGGGCAGCATTGAGACGCTTCTGGGCATCGACCAGTTTGTCTTGCACCACTGCAAAGATAGTTTGTGTGTATTCGTCTGAGCGAGGACTACAACACTCACGGCGGATCTCACGCTCCTCGGAGGAGCGGCTGTCACTGCGGTCGCGAGTGGTTGATTTCTTCTGAGTGTCCGTTCCATAGTGAGCACTGCTGTTTCTCGTATGGGCGGGGGTGGGCGGCGGGCGTTCCCGAGATTGCCCTGGCCCAGGCGATGGCATCCAGGCCCGGGCATATGCAAGACCCGCTGCGGCCACATCGTATACAAAGGCGGTCGCATAGCCAGCGCGTGATTGATTGTCTTGCGCATCGGGAGTGCACTATCCAGTCGATTAGCAAGCTATGTTATGTACGCCGACTTGGGACCCGGGTTTTGCGAGTACCTTCGTGTCACTAAGTCTTCAGACGTAGTCAGATACCGTGTTCCCTACGCGATCACAGAGGGTTGAATGTTACGTACTCTTGCAACTGCTTCTGAAGAGCTGATACCTCGGCATTGGCGTGCTCGACCTTTTGTGATACTAATGCGAAGCGCTCCTGGACAGCCTCGGCGTGCTGTTTTCCCACCTGTGAGGCATGAGCAATCATGATCCTGAGCGAATCATGCTGGTCAAGCCGGTATCCGTTCAGCTCCTACGTGTCGAGGACATGTTAGTGCACTGAATTGACATAACGGCTGCTTCCTGACCGTCTTGAGAGCGTCAAGTTCGACAATCAGATCGCCGACCTCTTCGGCTGAGACTTCATCGTGCATGGTGAGGTAGACTATGCAAGACGCATAAGAGGAGGTAAGGCGAGCCGAATAGCCTATACGTACTGTCGATAGCTGACGAAAGCTGCACAGCAGCCTGGTGGGCTTCTTCCTGAATCTTCCCGTTGAGCTTCGGCGAAGTCAGTGAGACGACACGAGATGGGATGAGGTCGCGAGAATCCTATTGCACCTTGTCGACTTTGGACCACTCTGTTTCGTCCTGTCGCTGTGTGAAGCTGTCTGAGCGCATGGCGCTCGCTCTGAGGTCGGTCATAGCGACACGCAGGAGCTTCTCGGTGTTGACGAGCTGGCGGATTTCGTTGCCGCAGTGCGTGACTAGTCTTTGCGGGTCGGACATGGTCGAGAAAAGTGTCGAGGGCGAAACAGTCGGTATGCGCGTAAGGGGAAGCGCACCAGTCGGTCAACAAAACCGAACCTGCATTATAATAACTCACCGATCCGAGAGTCTCTCAGAATAGGCAAGGACGAATGAAGTGCGGCGTTCCTTCGGCTGGGCCGATCTCAGACGATGCGCGGCATGCGTTCAGCATGCTTGGCTTCTCTGCAACGCGGTTTCCTGGCGTGCCTAGCATGATGAGGATCTCCGCAGTGCGGAAATGACAGCCTGGCTCACGGTTGCTCACAGCGGTTTGAGCGATCGGCACTGCGCCGGCGGAATTGCGTCTGGCCACGACGCTGTTCCAAACCTTGGGCGTATCGTCCCCACGATGCGCTCATATGGTCTCTCTTCGAGATGCTTATACTGTTCGAAGTTGACGAAGCGTCAAGTGCGGTGTTGCAAGGTTCGAGGGACAACGTACTACTGAGCCCGGGCGGCGGCAACGTTTCATACTAGTAAGTAACTCTATATGCACCGGAATGAATCGCCCTTGAACGTGTGTACGAGCTGCTTTTCGGATACAATCGGCGAGGTTTGTTTTTATCTTCCTTTTCGTGCCAGTCGATTACAGAGTAGAAGACAAGGACAGCAGGTGGGGAGAGAACAGCTGATGACCGTGACTTCGAGGCGCTGCTCGTGCCGTGAGAGACCCGGGAGCGCCCGTGCGTCGCAGAATTCGAATTACGCGCACGCGCGCTTGTCGTACTTCGTTATTCCCCTCACTCGAACCACACACCAGGTTTGAAATCGACGTCTTTTTAAACTGTGAGGATGGATCCAACGGAGAGCTATCTAAAGACTTCTAGGGGTAGGCCATGGTTTTCCAGGACATTCTTTAAGCTAACTTGAATACACCCTTCAGACTGATCTCCGAAGCGCTACCGACGGTATTTCGCAGTCACTGGTCGTTCATGCATTAGTTGCGGAATTGCTCTTTCTCTCGCTCTTCCTCTTTCTCTCGCTCTTCCTCTTTCTCTCGCTCTTCAAGACGCCGCTCTCTCCTCATTCAAGGGGAGAAATCATGTGAACAACGCCTTCGCTTCTCTCAGACACCCTCAGACTTGAGGCTCGCAGGTTCAGCGCAGTGTCGGACGTGCCCGTGCCGGGCTCCAGCGCGCTCAGGCGTGCGGCAACACTTGACTAAATCTGCCGAACACTTCACAGAATGCACCGAATCCAATAAACCTCATGTAAGGTGTCAAACGCACGGTCCCAAGACATACACAACTCGGAAAACGTGAATTGCTGTGCTTCAAAGTTCAATGAACTCTACCCGGCCGTCCACCATGAGGCTTGAGGTGATGCCATGCTAAAGTAAAGCAAAGCATCCCTGGACAGTGACAGTCCCTGTCGTACTCGGCGCCGTTGCGGTAAGTCGACACTGGGACCTAAAATGTCCTTGAGCTCGAATCGTTGACAAGTATCGCAGTCCGTTACTCAGGCTCCTCCGAAGCGACTGCTCGCTGCTTTTGCGTCCCACTCACCCTCACCATGTCGACCGCCACTGCTACCTCTGTCGAAGTTGACTACTACACGTTGCTGCTGACTGGCAGGCTGCGTAGCGACCTCGACGAGCCACCGAATGAGCAAGAACCTTTCAGCAACGGCTTTCAACAGGAAGAAAACACGTCGCAGACGTACCATGACATACGTCAGCTCCGACAGGCGGTCAACGATATCAACAGTGTCTTCCAGAGAGTCAGAAACGACCTGGAGGGCTTCGACCAGAGTGGGTTCCCCACCCAGGACGGACACCCGATGGTTACCTATCACTGGACCCAGGTTCGCCACGATGTGAGTCCTCACATTTGCTCAGATTTTCGTCTATGTATACGCTCAAATATATTGCAGCTCTTCAGGCAGACCATGCAGCAGAGCTACAACAACGCGGTAGCCGCTTCGGAATTCATGAGCCGTCAGTGTCATTCGCCACCAATCGACTGTTCCTACTTAGCACTGACCGTTTTGAGAACAGGTTACTGCAGGCTTCTGCCAGACTCGGGTAACGATATCAACGTCGACGATGTACCAAACTTGGCGATCGAGCTCGGATCGTTTCTGCAGGTTAGTGGTGAATCTTCGACTGAGCCGTTCTCCGGATGATGATTCCTGCGACTTGGGGTTACACTAGGAACTCAAAGCGAAGGAAGACGTCTCTTACGGGACGCAGAACAGCTTCAAGACGCTCGCGGAGCATGTCCGTTTCTATGCGGCCGTTTTTGCGGACCATCTACAAAGAGCCTGTGGACAAGTCGCGGCTGAGCTCACCAACACTCGGGCCCATCTGGCCGATCTTCAGCACCGTCTCAATGTGTATGTACACCCTGATATATTCTGATGCCCTCACTGACGCTCCCATCCTCCAGGACCCATGCTAAGGTAGCGCGTCGCTAGTAGTCTTCAACAAACTGCATCCTTACTGCAAATGCCGTTCTAGATAGAAGAATGGAAGAGCGACCGCGATGCTGCTACGGCTGCTATGGCATTCACCGGTGTAGCCTTCTTCATCATTCCATTTGTCGGCGCGGCAATGACGGGGGTGCGTGTTCATCGATGCGCACTCAGTTTATTATTGGCCCTGATCCCGTGTCTTTACTACTAGGGGGCCATACATGCCAGGAATCTGGCGTTGGAACGCCTCGACAACTCCAGGAGACAGGCATCTTGTATGCTTTCCTCTTGTCGCATGCGAACTGCACTGACGACATCATTTGTTATTTTCAGCTCTGGAGAGAGAGATCAACGAATGCATGCATCATCTGGACCCGCTGCAGGACAAAGAGCGACTCCTCAATCATTACCAACAATCGCGTAACGCCACCGAGGCCGAGATCGCCGCCCTGGCGGACAAGATTGAGATCATCTCGAACATCTGGCAATGCGTAAGTCGACTCGAACGTTGACCCCGCCTGGCGACGCTCGTACTCATTCGTAGCATTGGCATCTTTTTCTAGCTCAAGGCTGACATGCAGAAGCTGCACGAAGAATTGCGGCTAGCCCTTGGGATCAAGACTATCCCGGTGAGTTTCTCGGCGCTTGGTGATTCGATATGACTATTATTCGATACTGAAGCCTGCGATGCAGCGTCGGTTTGTGGTGAGGCTGCGGAATGCGCGTAAGGTATACTCGAACCTCGCTGTGCTCCTCGAGGAGTACGCGAAGCAGTCGTAGTGGGTTTCGATTGCTGGTGTATTAATCGTACACGACGCCCTCGTCCACCTAGAGACTCCGATCGCCCTCTCGGACTCCATCGTGCATAGTAGCTGCTGTCTAATCCTGTATCGATTCCCCTGTTGTCGCTGTTGTATCACATTTGTAGTACTTATTCACTGTCGAATATCCACTTATATGGACCATGGTAATATACACCAGCGTGTGCTATGATGCCGGAGACGCCTTCGAATCCGCGGCGCCAAGTTATAAAGCGGCGATCACGTCTCTCGGCGGGCGCCTGGCGAACTGCCAGGCTGGAACGCGCAAGAAGTGTATTTCGGCGCTCGTTCTTTCAAGTTCCTTCCTTCTCCACCATCATCACTCTGGGTTACGACTTCTCTTCTGCCTCGCGCGGGCCGCAAGGTTGATCGTGACGGATCCGCACCGGTGGCAGGAGCGGAAGCCTGAAGTAAAGTGCGATGCAGCGGAAGTGTGCCGCAGCATTTGACTCAGGCTACCGAGCACTTCACAGAATACGTCGAAGACTATTGATGCGTAGCACCGATGAGCTCTGTGAAGACTGCCACCGCTCGACAGTGCACGGCCGTGCTTCAAAGTTCGCAGACCTCTGCTAGGCCATCCACCATGAGGCTCGACTGATCGGAAACGAAGCGCTTTCACAGACAGAAGGCAATGATCCTCTCCATGACGAAGTGCCAGTGATCTTATGCTTATGGCCGGGGTCGGGGGGAGTAAGCACAAAGGGCAACAGCAACGGCTATCCATGTGCAGTGTCGGCTGGAGCCGAACGGAACAAAACCGTGTAGGTGAGTTTCAGTTCCCTTATTCCTAGTGGTTGCGTGCGTGCACTGGCAGACTTGCAGACGGGGATGCCCGAATTGCCCGAGTACCAGGGTGTATTTCGATTCCCGAGCTCCCCTTTGCCCAGAACAGGGCTCGATCTCTTGATACATGATACATGTAATCATGACCTACGATGTTGCTTCCCAATATGCTGAACTTTTCTAACTCGCACAGGCCGCAAGGCCGACAAGAAGCATAGGCACCAGCAGGCACCCCAGAGTCTAAACTTCGATGCAGCGGTGGCAACGTATGAGGGTGTGCCGCAGCATTTGGCTCAGCTACCGAGCATTTCATAGAACTCTCCGAATACCGCTACGAATTGCGGAAGTTGCATGGCCGCGCTTCAAAGTTTACATAGCTCTACCAGGCCGTCTACCATGAGGCCGTTGGTCCGAAGCGAAGCGCCCCTGGCGGCGGAAGGCTTTTCTTCAAAGCGAAGACGTGCCCGGGGTCTCATGCTCGTAGTGGCTGCGGGAGGGCGGTTTCGGGAGGTCCGCACTCGGGCACGACTCGCTTTAAAGTATCACGTCTTCACTCACTTCTCCTCAGCGACTGCCTCTCCTGCTTTTGCACTGCACTTCATCCGGCCATGTCGACTACCACCACTACCACCGCTGTCGAGGATGAGTACACGCTGCTGCTGCGCAGTAAGCTCGGGGACGAGCCAGCGATGGACAGAATGTCGACATCTTTCGAGAGCGTCTTTCAACGGGTAGACGTCAAGTCGCAGACATTCCGTGACATCCACCAGCTCAGTCAAGCAGTCAACGACATCGACATGGATTTCCAGAAGATCCGAAGCGATCTTTGGCGCTTTGACCAGCAGGGATTTCGCGACCAGAACGGCCAAGTTCTCCAGCTCACCCCTCGCTGGATTGGGTATCATGATGTACGTCTGCTCTATAGTATGGCTTCGCCGACGAAGACACTCAGAGATGTTGCAGCGTTTCAAACAGATCATGGAGCACAGCTATAGGAGCGCAGTGGACGCTTCGGCATTCATGGATCGTCAGTATCATTTTCCGCTAATGATGCATGTCTACTGATCATCTCGGGCGCAGAATACTGCTCGCTCCTGCCAGACTCAGGGGAAAATATCAGGGTCGATGACATACCGGACATGCAGCTCGAGCTCGAGATTTTCATGAAGGTCCGTGCTGGTTTTTGGCTCGACAGTTCTAAGCACGCTGAGGTCCGAGACATGCGCGTACATTAGGAGCTGGAGGGCAAGACGGAAGCTGCGCAAATGACGCAGAACAGCTTCAAGACGCTCGCAGAGGACGTCCGTCTCTTCGCCGGCGTTCTCAAGGACGCCCTGGTGAGAGCCGGTGCGCGACTCATTTTCGAGCTCAATGAATGTCAAGCCCGCCTGGCCGATCTTCAGCGGCGTCTCGACGTGTATGCACACGCACATTTTCCTAATGCATTCGCTGATTTCCTCATCTATCAGGGTCAATGCTAAGGTAGGATGACACTAGTACTTTGTCAATTATCTCCTCATTGCGGACATCACGTCAGGCACAAGCTATGGGGCTCGCCTGTGCCAAAGTTGCGACTGCTGGAGCTGACCGTGGTTTTTCCGCCGCAATTACTGTGTGTCCGATACTTGGCTTTCTGGTTATAGTATGCGTTTATCCATCTATAACTTTTGAAATGTATCTCTAACGTTTCTTCTACTGCTAGGGCGCCTTTTTTGGGAGTATCATCGTGGGCGTCTGCAAAGCGGATGCATACGCGAAAGAGGCAGCCTGTATGCTCATTGTTATCCCGCATGAACCTCGCTAATGGCATTGCTTGTATCCGTAAGCTCTTGAAAAGCAGATCAACTACTGCAAACGTGATCTTCGCGAGCTGCAAGGCAAAGAGCAGCTCCTCAAGGAGTATCAAGATTTGTTCAAGACGACCCAGGATGACATCGCCGTCCTGGCGAACAAGATCGACGCCATTTCGAACATATGGCAATGCGTGAGTAAACTCGAACTATGGCCTGGACGGGTCCCGTGCTCACTCGTAGCGATATCGGCGCTCTTCTCTAGCTCAAAGCTGATATGCAGAAGCTCCACGAAGAGTTGCGGCTCGCCCTGAAGGCGAGGGCTCTCCCGGTGAGTTACTCGACGCTTGCACGAGGTGTTGGGGTGAATGCCCCTGACGGAGTCGATACAGAGCCGGTTCCTGGTGAAACTGCGGACCGCGCGCAAAGTATACTCGCGCCTTGCTGAGCTCTTCGAGGAGTATGCGAAGGGACGGGCGTAGGTGCCGGTGCGCACAGCACCGCGCCGCTGATAGTGATTTCGTACATGGCGTGCATCATTTATCCACTATGCCAGGCTCTAGTTTGCACACTCTCCGCCGTGACCTCTAGCTACCCGACTCTATCGTGATAGTTCCCTAGTCACCTGTCCTGTACTCGTCATCGTTGCTGTATTCATTTTTGACACTCTCGGACGACGACGCTTACGCGCGGGCGACCAGTATATCGCCTAACCTACCTCCTACAGATCTCCGGGGGAGTCGTCACCGCAGGTCGCCGAATCACGCACTGGAGGCGTGCTATGGACGGTTCTCGCGGGCGGGTCCGCTCTTGTGGTGTGTGTGCAACGTACGGGTGGTGTATGTGCTTCATAAGGAGGACTTATGTATGACAGGATAACTTACTAATGGTTTTATTCTACCCGGGGAGTTAACTAGTTACGACTTGCAGGGGTTCCTACTGTAACAACGTTCAGCACATAACTCTGAGGATCCTTTTTATATTCCAGCCTTCAGACGAGTAGGAGCCGGTGCGTAGCACGGGTCCAACCCCTAGTGTGCATGTTACATGATGGTAAATCGAAGACCATACGGTATATACAACTCGGGCTCGAGAGCAAACACAAGAATTGCGGAAAACTACATGAAGTACCAAGATCGGTGCTAGACATCGTGCAGTAATCAGAACCGTATAGCTCCAGCCTCGCACTGCAGAAACCGCGCCACTGAAGATGTTGTCACGGTCAACGTCTACGCGCACAATCCCAAAACGAACGACGACCCACCCGCCACACCTCAGACGCGATACTGTGACGGAGGAGCGCGGTTAGCCCGAGGAAGCGGCGACATGGTGTGAAACCCGTAAGTCACCTGAACCACCATCGACGTCGCCCACGGGCAGAGGTGCTGGTCGGAACCCAGGTACGACCATCTGCTCGTCATGGCGGAGTCCTCTTCGTACCTAAAGATATAGAACACGCGACATTAGAGGCGGTGCGGTATGGTGCGTACGTTTGGGGGACACATACCGCTTGAGCATGCCGGAGTTCCCAGGCCCCCGCGCGACAGACGGGAAGCTGTACACCGCCCGCAAGGCTTCGCCAACGATCTGCACGATCAAACGCATTAAGTGCCAACTCGAGGGCCGGAGTAGGTCTAACTCACCTTAGAACTCAGATCAAGCCCGAGGCATCTATAATGTAAGCGGTCATTAGCAGATCATTACCAGAACTCTGACAGTACACCCACCTTGCAGCGCCGTCGCCAACCAGATACTTTTCAAGGCCCCTGTTGGCGTTGACGTCGTCCGGATTAGAGAATGCCTGGCTCTGTAGATGCGCTCTCAGTCAGATAAACGAATCCACATCCTGCCCCAGCCATACACATACGCTACTGTTTGCGGTGGCAATGTCCACGAAGACGCGTTGTTTCGCCTGAAGTGAGCCCTGACTCAAGCGCACCGCGGTCACGCTGTCGCCTGCGTTGCATCACTATCAGCGTACGATGTCATGTCGGTGGCGGGAGGACATACGGTAGACTCCACGGAAAGTCGGGTCGAGGCCTATGCTATGCGTCAGACTCTAACTCTAAGCATTGAGTGCATGCGAACGCGGGACTCACGCAGCGCCTCCAGGACGTATCCCTGCAGCAGCGCATCGTCGCGCGGGTCGCGCTTTGGCTTAGACACCAGCGCCTGCACGTCCGCCGGCTTCAGCGGATCGAGGTAGTAGTTCAGCACGTGCACCATCTCTGCATATCAAGCAGCAAATGAGAATGAGCCTTTTGCGCACATCGAGCAAGGAGGCGCACCTTGCGAGAGCTCGACCGTAGCCCCGACGAGCAGCGCGAGCACCGCGTTCGCCTGCGTCTCGGCGTCGTATCCTAGCGCATGCAGGCGTTCCGTGAACGTGTCGTGACTGTTCTTCGGCTGCCGCGTGAAGATCTGCGAGACGGTCTCGAAGATATTGGCGAGTGAGAGCTAGGGTAGCGTCAATCACAGGTTCTGCGGGACTGGCCGAGGAGAAATTGACATACGCGCGAGCCGCCGAACTGCTGGCGGATGTGCCCGAGGAGGGTGTTGACCTCCGCAGTAACCTTTCTCTGCAGCTTGGTCAGGTGCTCGGCACCGACGTCGAGGAAGAGGTACCTAGGAGGCGCATCCGAGTCAGCCGGCTGCAACGGCCACAATCCCGAGAATCGACTTACGTGTAGACGTCCGCCAAGATGTCGAACAACTGCGCAGGCGTGTAGTCACCGTGGCTGTCGGAGTCGTTGGTCTTCAGCTTGATGCCCGTCTGCCTCACAACAATCAGACCTTCGGCGCATTAGGTCCACTCAGACCGCACGCACCAGCTCGCACACCCAGTGTATGGGGACCGCCTTGAAGACGTCCCGCACAATGTCGACGCTCCGGACTGGGGACGCGACCGCGGTGTACGACTCGCGCAGGATGAGCTCACGCGTCTTCTCGAAGAAGAACCTGCGGATCGCGCTCTCGCCGCCCTCACCCCCGACCAGCACGTCGAGCATCGCACGCTGCTCGCGCGCCGCCCGCGCAGGGTCGGCCGACGCTATAAAGAACCTGACCGCGTGCTATCAGTAAGGATTATCCTGGCTATGATGGCGCACGCGCATACGCACCCATTTGCACGCACGAGCCGCCCGGCGCGGTCCGCAAAGCCCGTCGCAAAGCTCTTCTCGTCCTTCAGCACCTGCCGCGCGTCCACATACGTGCCGAGCACCTTCACAGGCTCTGGTCCCCCGGGGCGTGCACACGAATACAATTTGGTGTCGCCCAACTTCGTGAGGATCGTCTGCATCGCAGGCGGCGTCATGAGCGGGAACCACGTGTACGTGCTGTCGCTCGTGTAGTGCTCGGGCAGCGCGCGGAGGAGCAGGCGGCCAAGGATGCTGCCGTTGCCGGGCCCGTCGGGGTCGCGCTGGCAGTCCGCGAAGCCCCAGGAGGTCATGTTGAAGGGCGTGTAGTCCGCGGTGAAGAAGCGGTCGCCGCGCGTGAGTGCAATGGCGTCGCTGAGGATCGCGCGGCTGATCGTGTATGCTATGTAAGGGTTATGTGAGCATCAAGCGAGAGGGAGTGGGGACTGCGTTGAGACTTACCTGGGCAAAGACCCGCGCCCGGAACGACGGGCTTGGACTCTTCGGCTTGGAGGCCGACGTAGAGCTCCAGGCGATCGATGTTCCCGTATAGCTTCTCAGCCGCAGCCGCGATGGTTGGGTCGGAGTTCCACTCGATGAAACTGGAATAGGCTGTGACATCCTCGGAGGTCAGTTCCTGAACGTAATCTGGAAGTTTTCAATACGCACTCTTCAAGCCCAGGAACTTGCGGAAGTCGTTCAGGGAGCAGACACCCCACTGCCTGTTTTGCTCGATGCCCATGATCTCATGCAGCCGCATGACGTAGGGCGTGCCGCGGGCCTTGAACTTACCCGCGGGGTGCTCCGTGCTATATAATTGGGTCAGTGCACGTTTAGTAGCTGCATATGCGATTTGCGATGCTCACGCGTTCTTTAGGATATCCGCGAGCGCTCCATCGTCGAACTTGTTCGTCTTCGCGTCGCGCTGTAGGCTAGTGCAGAGGAAGGTCAGTTCAGCAAAGGCATCCCCAGGTGAACCGTACGAGCTCACCCGCCGAACGTCCAATGTGAGACGTCGGGCTCCTTCGCCGACATAGTCTTCGCGAGACTTTTGAAGTCCTCGATCGTCACCTGTGCGATGTTAGGCAACAGCGGAAGCGGAGGCATCACGTCTACGCACCTGCTCGACGGTGCGGCCCGGGAACAGCTGCTCCGACAGCTGCTCGACCCACTTCTCATCCGCCTCAGACGTCGTTGCGTGCCACCGGTACAGGCAGTTGAACTCGACGCTGCACACATTCCCGCGCCCGCGCTCGAAGAGCGAGTGGTCCGCGTTCCGGATCTCCTCGAACGGGTTCAGACTCCAGCTGTTCCCCTCACGCACCAAGCCCAGGATCGCGGAAAAGTAGTCCGAGAATACCGCGGATGCGAACCACGCGCAGTTGATCAGCCGCGCAGTCTGGAAGAGATCCTCCTCCTGAGCGCGCAGCTGATCGCTAGCCTGTGAGAGGGTGTTCGGGTCGTTGTATGTGCCACGCTCGTTCAGCTCGAGCAGCTTGCGAGCGATATACTGTGGGGCGGGACAGGATGAGCGCGTGCACGAGTAGGAAGAGGTAGGGTTTACGTTATGGTTCCGGTTGAAAAGCACGAGAAGCACGCAGACGGCAGGCGGGAGGAGCAAGAGGCGGTCCTCCGCGAAGGTGTCGGGCTTCAACAGCCCGCGCCCGTCGAATACCCGAATCTTAGCCTGCGCGTCTTCGTTATGGCCGTACAGCGGCGCAAGGTCAACGTACGACGACGTCTCGTTGATGTTCACATCCTTGTGCGACGTGCGGAAGACGCTGCAGGCCGTGATATACGTAAGTACATGAAGCGCGGGAGGGGAAGGTACCGAGCAGACGCACGTGTGGATAACAAGGGCGGCGAAGGAGAACATCATGCTGGAAAGGCCGGCGGGATGCGGCACGAACTGTGGCGAAGCGCTGTGAGTGACATCATGCGCCCTTCGCAGGACCCTTGGCGCGTACCTTTTCGCGGCGTAGAAGCGTGTCAAAGACGAGCCCCGCGTCTGGCATCTCGTTACGCGGGAGCGGATGTGTCTGTTGCACGCTGCGTGCGTAGGGCATACCAGCCTTGCCCAAGTCGGGCATGTCCGGGTTGTTGTACGAGCCATCGGCGGTGCGATACGCATACTTGGGACCAATTGATGTGCTCGGGGGGTGCGGAAGGTCCAGGTACACTGATAGTTAGAGTTCGTGTGAGCGCAGAGTGCTACTGTGAACTCAGGCGGACTTACAGAGCTGGACAGTGGCCGTCTCCAGCTTCTTGGCCAGCGGGTGCCCGGAGTTTTGGGACAGGTACACCAGGACGTGTTCGAGCTAAAAGTGGACGTCAGTAAGGCTCCTGAATGTCGGTAGGCGTACGCACGAGCATCTTGCGGTCGTCGATGGAGTTCAAGTGCTTGATCCCGTCGATGATGCTCTCCTGTTGACCACCGCTATGTTAGGCGGCGATATGGGCACATTCCTGTGTACTGACGATTGTAGACACATCTTCCGCAAACGGCATGTGTTTCTTGATCTGTGAGGGATTGTTATTGAGTACACAAACCACAGAAGCGCGTCTCGAACTGACCTGATCACGAAACTCGGCAAAGCCCTTCAAGGTCGCAGAACCAGCGTGGGACGAAGCATCGCCGATATCGCTGCGGACGTCGGAGAGGAACTGGGACATGGCTAGAGGGGGCGAGATGGACGAGCGGGAGGAGTGAGGGCAGCTCCCTCTCCTCGCCGAGTATATATACACGGCGGAGGGCGGGGCGAGTATGACGTGGGATGAGCATGGTAAACTCATCAGCGACTAGCGTCCGATATAGTTCGGGCACACAACTCGGCGATGAGATGCCATAGTTGAGAGCGGAGGCAGGGTGGAATGCACGAAGAAGGCGGCGACGCCAGGTCAGACGACCGGCGCGTCGCCCAAGTAGTCATGCAGCGTGCCTCCTGTGTGTACGGCGTTGTCGATGGACAGACGGTGATTGGCAGAGTGCCGAGGAGGGGCGAGGACGAGGCAGAATGGGGGCGCCTGAGTACAGTTCTGGTGCGCGTTCTGGCGGCTTCCATGCGTGCCGTGTATGGGTGGCATTGCAGGGAAGTAGAACGCTTGCTTCGTGCGCTCGCTAACCTACGGATCCGCGCCCCTCGTGCGCTGCTCTATCAATATTGTCAACTCCGGCCGACAGTCTCGACAGTCTCGCAACCGAATTCACCTTGTTTGGCGGCGCAATCACCGCCCTTGAGCCACACTGTCGTAGTCCATGCACTGTCAATCCAATGTCAGTAACGCGCACACGGAATATGTACTCGCAACTCGTAGATTCAAACCTGCGAACCCAGGAACTGTTCGTTACTACCTCGCGCTGCACACGAAGTACCGGGCCGCGATGCTTTTGGTGTTTCAACACCAAACGTCGTAGTAGACGTAAGATCATGCTGCTCCCGAGCTCGGCTTTGCGGTATCCGTGACAGGTTTGATGAGAGCTCTGAGAACCTGCATGGAAGACATAAGGATATATGCAATCCGGCAGAGGTGGTCGCGGTCGCTGCGAGAGTGTACCTTGAGATCGGAGGTCGGCCAAATGCAGAACGTGGTCGCCGGAAAAGCGGTGACATTTTGGGCGCCTACGGTACAATCCTGCTTTCTCCAGACCTCCTCCTCGCCCGCGTCCGATCTCGCCTTGTGCACATATTCTCGTGTTCTCGACAACAATGGATTCACCCGAACTGTACCACATCAAACAACAGTTCATTCTTGGTCAGTGTCCCCCCAGCTTCTCCGCGTGCTCCTCGATCTGACACCTCATCCCATCCCCACACAGGCGCCTACAAGAGCCTTGTCGAGCGCACTCTCCCGGACCCAGAATCTCCGGAATACACCCCCACCCTCGTCTACCAGGCACGCGCCCACCTCGCGCTCGGGAATACAACTGCCGCGTCTGCGCTTGTCCCCGCTGCCACGGAAAATGTCGCCCTCAAGGCCGTAGCCGCCCTTGCGCGCTTCATTGCTGCCGAGACGGACGCGGCGAAGGAAGCGGCGCTCGAGGAGCTGAGGGATGTGTCCGTGGAGATCGAGGGCGAGGACGCGGATGCGTCCGAGTGGGAGCGGGGTACCGTGCGCGTGCTTGCGGGCACCGCGTTTGCGCGCGCCGGGGAGATCGAGGAGGCCCTCGAGACTCTGGGTGCAGGGAACGACACTCGAAACCTCGAAGCGTAAGTCCTCACATACCCCTCCGACCTCTGGCTCCACCCCATCTCCACCGCGATATTACCACGCTGCCATGTTACACCTCTGCCTTTGCTAACACCATCTCCAGCGTCGCATACACTGTCCAAGTCTACCTCTCCATCAACAGGCCCGACCTCGCGCGCAAAGAGTTTGAGCGCGCGAAACGTTGGGCAGAAGACGACCTGCTCCTGCAGCAGATCGAGGCCGCCCTCGGGCTCGCGACCGGGCGCGATGCATACGCGGACGCCGCCGCCTTCTTCGCTGAGCAGCTCGCGAACCCCTCGCTGTCCTCCCCGCGCCTTCTCACTGCGCGCGGTGCTGCGAGGTTGTTGCGTGGGGAGCTCGCTGCCGCGAAGAGCGACCTGGAGGAGGCGCAGGCGCAGATGGGCGGCAAGCCAGACGCGGAGACGCTTGCGGCGCAGGTCGTCGCGGCAGGCTTGGGGCCAGGCGCGGCGAAGCCGGCAGAAGCGGAGCTGCTTTTCAGGTGAGCCGAAATCGTTTCTGAGCGGACGGTTGGTGTGGGCGAAGGTACTCATCTGTCGTGTTTACAGCCAGTTGGCGGCGGAGTACCCTGCGTTCCCGCTTGTGGTGGATCTGCAGCAAAAGGCGGACCTTTTCGACGAACTGGCGGCCAAATTCACCGTGCCGCCATTGGCCACTGCTTCTGCATGAGGGTGTAGATGATGCACGTGTGGATTTTGTATGCATATCATGGAACCATGGAGCGATTCTGGAATGCAGGCTGTGCATGTGAGCACTCATCAGGCAGAGGCGCCGGGTATGTTTGCGTTGGATTCTGGCGTTGGGGGTTGACTGGGGGCGTTACGGCAGGCCATTCCCGCAAGATCTGCTTTGCTCGTTCGTTTCGCGCGAAAATACGTGCAGCGATAATCATGTTGTATCGTTAACTTGGCCTCAAGGCCTCCCTCACGCGCACTGAGGTCTCCAGTTGTTCTTTCAAGCTGGAACCGAGACAGGAGCGGCCCCGCGATAATCTGATCGACATACCCGTGAACGGACACCATCACCTGGCGGCCACCCCGTATCTTGAGGCTTGTGGACACTCAAGGTGGGTTGAGCACATTAATCTACTGGTGCGACTCACGGCATCGGGTATGTACCAGCTCCATCATAGGACGCTCGCTGTTGCCTACTGTTGCTCGCAAGTACAGCACAAACAAGCTGCGCGGCCGTAGCGTGACCGCGACCAAAATCTGCTACCTCCGACCACCATCACCTTCCTGTCGATCTTCATCCCCTTCTCAAGATGTGCTTACAGACGTCGCGGCATGCCGCCTCAGCTGGGCTCACGGCACACCATCTTAGACTTCAGACCTTTGCTGTGGACGCTCTCGGAGGAGCTGCCGAGACGTCCGAACGCGATGTCAGCGTCAACACTCCGAGCCCCCGCGCATCTGCGTCGCATCCGTTCATGGTATTCATGGTGCTGCGCCCATCATAGCACTCCACGATGCTCGCGCATCCAAGAACGCTGCTATATCCGACGTGGTTTATAAAGTGAGGTTCAACATCCCAAGGATGAGCAGTACCACAAACGTTCTTCACCAGTGCCAAGCCTCACCAATCGACAACACTACCTATCAGCCACAATGTCCATTCCTACCACCCAGAAGGCGGTTCTTCTTCACAAGGAGAGCATCCCATACGTGCTTGGGGAGCGACCCGTCCCGCAGCCCGGCCCGCAGGATGTGCTCGTCAAGCTCATGGCGTGCGCCTTGAACCCGGCCGACCATTTCATCGTCAACCCGCCGTTCTCTGCAAGGCTCATCAAGCAGTGGCCCCACGTCCCCGGCGTCGATGGCGCTGGGGTAGTCGTCGGGGTGGGCGCCGACGTCTCCCAACTCAAGGAAGGCGACAAGGTGTACGTGGACGTCAACTGACGCTGCTTCCGTTTTCGCTGACATATCGATACCGCAGCTTCTTCCAGGGAACCGTCGCTGCTGACGGGGCGACTTGTCAGCAGTACGCCATAGTGCCTGCGAAGTTGACTTCAATTGTGCGTCGTCTTCACGTCGTACCTGCACCGAGTGGGATGTTTCACTGACCCGAGCTCTGTGCGCTGTAGATCCCGGATAACATTACGTTCGAGCAAGCCGCGACCATCCCGCTCGGTTTTTACACCGCTGCGATGTCGTTGTACAATCAGAACCCTCCCGGTCCCACGAACCTCAGCCTGCGCCTGAAGCCGATCTGGGAGCCCGAGGGCGCGACCGCCTACGCAGGCACGCCCATCCTCATCCTTGCCGGTGCCTCGTCGGTCGGCCAGTACGGTACGCTATCCTCTATTATGCCTCTATCCTTACGCTGAACTTGACCATCCTTTCTCCGCCCCACAGCTATTCAGCTCGCCCGCATCGCCGGGCACACCCCCATTATCACGACCGCGTCCCTCCACAACGCGCCCCTACTCACCTCCCTCGGCGCGACGCACGTGCTCGACCGCCACCGCTCCAAGGAGTCGATCCTCGCCGAGCTCCCTGCGCTCATGGGCGGCAAGCCGCTCGAGCTTGCGGTCGTCGCGATGGGCGACGCTGAGGCGATGCGCCTCGGGCGTGACGCGCTCGCCCCCGGGGGCGGGCTCGCGACGGTCGCGCCTGGGCCGGCGCTCGGGCTCGTGCCCGAGGATGTGGTGAACCCCGGCGATGGCAAGCGCGTTGGGTACGCGTTCGGCAGCGTGCGCCTGCCGTTCACGGAGGAGATGGGTGTGGTTTTGTACAAGCAGCTGCACGGATGGCTCGAGAAGGGACTACTGAAGGTATGCGAGAGCTGAATGGTCGGTATGCGATGTACACCGCTCACATGGTTTGTTTTTCATCAGCCGAACCCGGTGGAGGTGTTGCCGAATGGGCTGGCGGGGGTCAGTGACGGGCTGGAGCGCATGAAGGCCAAGAAGGTGTCGGGCATGAAGCTTGTCGCGCGCCCGCAGGAGACGCCGTGAAGGAGTCGTGGCGATGATCCCAGTCGCAACACTTTGCGTGCGCCATGGACAGGAAATGCCTCGGTCTAGATGGGACGCGTATGGCCGGATTATATATCCGCATGTCACGTCGCGCGAAATTATATACTACCAAGAGCTCGATAGCCTTTGAGTGGAAATGCCGGGCGAGAGGAACTTGGCTATGCCAACGGGGGCAGCGAGGAGTAACGGTGCGGACATCTCGAGCGTGCTCGCATTCTAGAGTCATCTGACCGACACCACGTTTAATTACACTCCCGCTATCCAAAGGCCCTTGTATCACGAATAGAAGTACCGACAAATCACGATGATAAGTCCTACGATCAGCCCGGCTCCTAGGAGAGGCGTGCGGAATTCCTGAGACCCGCCGACGGTGCGACTCGGAGGCAAGACGTCGGTCGTCGATGAAGTCCCGGAGTCGGCCGCGCTCATGCTCGTGGACCGCGGCCGGGCCTCGCGATGGGTGCGCCTGTCCTCGCTAACGTCGATGCGACGCGATGCGACGCCGGTGCGCTGTGACGAGCAAATTAAATAGCATTGTTCGCTCACAGTATGCTCATTAGCGCCGATCCAGAAAAACGCTTACCGTTGCTGACAGGAGTTTGTCGGGGTGGCGGACTGACAGCCTCGCCCATTGTGGTGTGTTCGAGATCTCGACAGAGAGCCATAATACGCGGTGCGGGAGGACCTCTGAGATGTTTGGGGGGTGACGTAGTGCAATCCGCAGGAGCCCGGGTCGTGTTTGGAGTAGTTGTTAAGAGTGCATGCACTATGTATCTGCTTTCTATGCATCAGAGACACTCGGGCACTGAAGCGGGCCAAGATGTGCGTTGGGTCCTACTCGTTTGCCATATGGAAGTGCGCTCCATTTGTACCACGGATATAAACCCCTGGCACTCTCTCGCGCTCTATGCGGCAGCTACAGAGCATACACGCACTCATAAAAGTCCAAAACTCGATTGTACACGCCATCATCCTCACGGCCCAAACTACAACCCGCCCTTGTCAAGCTCCGTCAAGGCGGTCCCTCCCGATGCCGCACGCACACCGTCACCCGCTGGCCCTTGATGCCCTTCCGCGCAAGCGGATGCGAAAAGTCTGTCACCGCATCCACCCCAATGGTCCCGCCACAGACCCCACGGCCCGGCGCGTCCTCTTCGGCCCCACTGCGGCCGCCTTGTGTGCTGGGGCGCACAGCCGCAAGCCAGGTCGTCAAGGTGCTCTGGCTGCGCTTGAGCGGCGCCCCGGATTTAGGGATAGCGTCGAGTGGCTGTGAGGGGACAGGGCTGGCAGCGGCAGCGGGGGCATTTGGAGGCTTCGACGGTGGGGTTGCTACGCCTGCACATATGCACCAGTACTCCCGGGAATGCCGCTCCGACGCACCGTTGAAGCGCCTCACCAGCTTCCTATAGATACGTGAAGTGTGAGCATGTCACTTGCCTGCCGGTGGAGGTTTGAATGGAGGACTAGATAGTGTACGTACCCGATCGGAATCCTTTTGCTTGAAGCTTTGCACGCGCCAGTGAGTTGCTCGACGCGGGTCTCTGACGAGACGGAGGGGTCGAGTACAACGGTGTATCCTCCCATGAAGTTCACATGGGCTTGCGCTGTCGATGAAGACGCGTCCCTGGTGGCTCGGGGACCCTGCCACTGCGCGGCCAGCGCATCGAGCAGCGCGTCCCCCGTCTGATACTCCTTCCCCTTGTGCGCGGTCACTTTGAAGGGGCGCGAGTCTTCCTCGCCCGTCTGTGTCCCAGACACCTCCTCCAACTTTCGCTTCGGAGGCTGCGGCGCCGACGTCGCCCCCGTGGTTGCCTTTGACTTGACGACAATCGGCGGCTTCGGAGGCTCCACTGCCAACTTGAAGGCTGGCACGCTCGCACTGTGCTGGACCACCGCGGGCACGGCGGCGGCGCGCATCTTCGCGAGAGCTTTGTTTGCATCCTTCTTGAGCTTCGCGTTCACTTTCGCGCCGATGATCTTGTGGCACACGTCGCAGGTGTGCTTGTATGCGCCGTTGGGAGCGAGAGCGGTGTGGCACCGCATACACCGCGTCGCGGGTTGCTGTGATTCCGACTCCTTGTTTTGCGCAAAAGCTGCATTGTCTTCGGGTATTGACATCGGGTTGGCGGGTTCGGGGATTTGTGATCAGAATGGAGAAACACGACGCGTGTGCCCGTGGTGGTGCCTGCGGTAGGCAAGGCCTTGAAACTGAAGCTGAAGACGGTACTAAGGACTGAACATTCTTGAGTTGAGCGCGGATAGAAGGGTTGAAAAAGGCCTGTTCTTACCAGTGCTGGCCGTCGTTACGATCACTGCTACAGGTCGAAGTGCAAGGTAGTACGGCTCGCTAGTACCAGTCCAGGGTGTCGCGTTCAAGAGGCGCCCATGGAGGCCGTCACGTCAACGCGTCGGGTAACGTGTTAGTCACGCGTCTGTCACGGTAGGTACGTCGATAAGGACCGAGGACGTCGCTAGTCTCCGTAGCTGACTATATAAGAGATGACAGTCGATCTTAGTCTCCGTAGCTGACTATATACCATGATGTTAGTCGCGGACGCTCTGCAATTCTTAAGACCCAATTTGACGACCCACAGAGGCTTATATGCCAAACAGAAGGCATTATGAATTTAAACCATGCCGAAACATTGATGTCTTGCAGCAACACGAAGGCCGAAATTCCGGCGCACACGTCGAGTGATCATGTTGTAGAGGGATACACGAGCCTTACACCATATCAGGAGCCCTCGCGATGAACATGCAGCGGCGATGAGGAGCAACTTGCATGTTCGGAGCCGGCGCCTGAAGATGTGCACGACTGATTGGCTGTGATTGGGTTCAATCGCCGCACGAACCTCGGTGAGCCCGGGAAGCGTCGCCGGAGAAGCCGCGGAGTCGCGGACCTTGCGAAGTGTCAACGGCAAAGAAGCACCCGCGCGTCTGCCACGGCAAGAATCTGGGCACCTTCCTTACCACTCTCGTTCAACCACTCCGGTCGTCTTCGCCGCTTCCTGCTCGCACCGCACGTACTTACACCGCAGAGTCCCCCTGCGTGCTGCAGTCGTGCGGCGCGCATACATATTTACTGTGGTTCCTGCCCAGGTGAGTCGCCACCGGCGTATAATACTACCCAGTCTGACAGTCTTCTTGAAGCTACAGGTACCGCGCCGGCACAGCGTGTCTGCGCATCACTTCTGCGAAGACACCCCACGCCTTCCGGTGGCGAAGGGCCTTGCGAAACACGCGTAGAGAGCTGCGGTAATGAACGTATGTGGTGGTATCTTCCTCATCCAATCGCCTTCTTGAGCCTGATGATTTTTGGTTACACGCTGGTCAATAGCGCTCACCTGTCCCGCCTGTGGCCGCACGAACCGCCGGTCCAGCTACGCTTACGTGCCGCTAAGATGTCTCGACGGTTCTACGAGTCCACCGTCTGTCCAGCGGCGTATGTGCCGGCAGGAGACAGTCCACCATGCGCATGATGTCCGGTGCGGCGCCGAGTGGAGATGGCATTCCCGCACTACGAGCCCTCTATTCAGCCGCCGTGGATGACAGGCTTTTTTCCCGGTGCCAGCGGGGTACGACCGGTGCGACAACGTTTACGTCCTCTAGTCCTCGAGCGCGCATAGCCGACAGCTGCACTGGGTCGGTACGCTGGTTCCCGCTCGCACCATACGTGAATACGCCGGGGAGCCCCCCTACGTGCTGCAATCGTGCGACGCACAAATGTCTGTGGCTCCTATCCGGGTCTCTAACGTATACTACTACCCGATCTGACAGTCTTCTTACAGTGAAGCTACATCACGCGGGCACATCGTGTCTGCACATCATTTCTGTGACAGTGCAAAGACGCTTCGCATCTCCTTGGGTAGGTTTACGGGAATACATGTGATAAGGTGTGTAATGGTATCTACCTACTAGCACTGCGTTTTCTGAGCCTTACATCTCCACCTGTGTTATGTCTAGAGCGTGTCCAGCGGGTGTGGTAATGCTTTCCTAAGCAAGAAGAATATACAGCCCTTTTGATTACACAGCGGGCACTAGCGCTTAGCTGTCCCGCCTGAACCTATCGCTGAATCGAAGGCCTGGCACGAACAGGTCCCGGGGCAGCGCTACGTTCCGCTAAGGTATCTTGACGCTTGTAGAAGTCTCTCGTACACCTAACGGCATCTGTGCCCGCAGGCACTAATAGTCCACCATGCGCCTGGTGTTCGGCGCGGCGAGTTGCGGTGGATCTCCACCCTAGGACCACTCTATTCAGTTGCCGTATGGCAGGCGTTTTTGTGGCGTCAGAGAGGCATGAAGCGCGAGCTGGTTCGCTCGCTTGACGAAGGGAGTATCGTTTTCAGCCATATTCATCTCGCCCTCAATGAGAGCAGCCAGTATAAAAGCGAGCGGGAACGGCTCTCAGGCTGCCTGACCATACAGACTCTCTCCCTTGCACCACATCGACCGACATCGCTCACCCCCACATCTCACCGTCACAATGGTCACCAAAAAACTGTCTTTCAGGGGGTACGTGCCTCCTGCCGTAAGGGCCCGCATGACCCAGCTGACCCCCGCTCTTAGGTTCAACCTGGGAAAGGCTATCACGCTCAGCCTCTATTTCACCGCGCGCTCCGACCCGTCCACAACTGACGTGTCGTCGTACACAACGGCAGCGACGGTTCCATGGAAGTGAGTCGACATCGCCGACGTGTAACAGGCCAATGCTCACCGCAATCTCCCCGTACAGAGTTATCACTATGCCCGCGACGGGTAAGTCAAGCTGTCGACCAATCGCGTTTGCTGAACCTCCGCTGACGTCTCCGATGCTCAGGGCGCTATGAGTCCGAAGTCACTTGGACGAGCAAGTCAGTATTTTCCCTTGAACATAGGGAGCCCAGATTTTGCTAACCTTCATATACCGGCACGGCTAGGTTTGGCTTTTCCAACACTCAAAGCGGCGGCGGCGTAGCGGGCGGACAGACCACGTCGTCTGGGCTGACGTACATTCCCATCGAGGCAAGTGTCCCAGTGGTTCGACGCGCTGGGGGGACTTTGCTTCTGACTGCCTTCTACTTCAAATAGGCCGGTCAGGTCACCACGCTCGGCGTCACGCCAAACAACCCGACCGGGCAGCTGAGCTACTCCTTCACTGCAAGTCGCCATTCCCTCTTGACGTGAACCTGTGTCATTGACGCGCCTTCAGGAGCCCGTTCCCGGCTCCCCGCATCTCGGCAGCCAGGTCCAAGCGATCAACAACATCGGGCGTCCCGCGACCATCTCGCTCGGTACGCCCAGCCCTTTCACCGCAGTCGCTTCTACTCAGGAGTTCGCCCCGCGTTGTCCGCAGGGTTCATCGAGGAGCTCGACACAGATCGCGAGTACATGCACCCCGTCCTGACCTACCCCAACGTCGGGTTCGTGCCCCATCCCCCCACGCTCCTATAACGCAGTCAGCCCACTAACAGTCATCTGTAGGAACGGCCTCTCCGTCGTCGGCAGCCCCGCGCGGATGCTCAGCGTGCACGTCTCGCTCAACCACCAGGAGGCCGCGCGCGACGGGCTGAGCGGCGGCATCGCGAGCCCGACCGACCAGCCGATCTGGGAGGTCGATCTGCTCAGCCTGAACCCGAGCACGGTCATCCGCATCTCGCAGGACCCGACCACCGGCGCGTTCGTCGCGAGCAACACGAGCGCCGATGCTGTGCCGGCGCCGCTGAACGTGCATGACTTCGGCAGGATCACGGTGCGTCTCGGACAGGGCTCTGGTGCTCGGTGGTGCGATCAGGTCGCTTACGGCGGGTTTGTTTGCGGCTGTTGCAGGGAGTCGTGACTCCAGCCATCGGCAGTGGTCACGGTGCGAACAATGGGGGGGCGAGGGACGATGCCAACGCCGCCAGCGCAGCGGCCGCCGCCCCTTCTGCCAGTGCCAATGCCAGTCGCCGGCCTGGTGACTACCGGTGCGAGTGCTCGGGCCCCTCCTGGCCGGCCTGGTGGCGATCGGAGTGAGACGGACGGCTCTTCCGGGAGGAGGATGCCCACCGCCCTTCCTTGAACGTCTGGCATGCTGCGGTGAGGTGACGGCTCTTCGATTCGATTTTCTCTCTGCTTGTGTCTCGAACTTGCTCCGTAGTACATCGCGCGCGATTGATTGTCATAGCAGGCTTCGTGTCCCTGGATCGGTATTTAGTAGCGTAATTTAGTATCAGGTCCACGCCAATATTCATTTCGATGCCCGGGGCATCGTGAATCATGTCTATAGCCTAGTGGAGAGGACGGTGGCTTCTCGCCAACCTATCGGACACAAATTAAGTAACCTTATTTCAACGCTTGGGGGGTCCGATCTGCGTTGTATCGTGGCAGTGGCACTGCTACTGCGCTCGTTGTCATTTCAATTTGCCACTGTCTGCAAGTCTGACCGGGGCACACTCGCATACTAAAAGCGCGCTCAATTAAATATTCAAGCTACAAATGCGTGCAGCAATCTTACTTCAAGGTGTCCGCCTGACGGAGGCAAACGGCGGCCGACTTTCCCAGCCTTGCACGTACTTCCAGGTACCTCCGCGCTCATCGGTGTACCGGCCTGGCAACGCTGTTTCCCGGAGGAGCTTCCGTGGAGCCCCTTGGGCTGCAGTACATATGCGCCGATGCGGACAGTGGGCAGATTGGACGCTGAAAAATGCCCTGCCCGCCTGTGCTGTTGGTCAACAGATATCGGTAGTACGTATTCCAGGCACGGCTGCAGCGAGCCCACAACTAGAGAATATCAGCGAGGGATTCAAACAGAGTGGGCGGATTTACGAGCGTTGTAAACTTTGACGGAGGGCTTGCCCGGCTTGGGCGGGTGACGCATGTGGTCGAAGGCCAATCGCGGGAGCATATGCATGTTGCACACGAAGAGGATGTCATTGGGTGCCCTGAGGGGCGCTGGAATGGACTGTGGAAGGACGTGGAGCTGCGCACTATGCAACAGATGGCGCGCCGCGGCAGTTCAGCCGACGATTTGGAAGGTAGTCACCCACGGACGGGCCCCGGAGCCTTTTGTTCGCGTGAACCCTTCCGTGCGGCGTGTACACTACCTAAGGTGAATGTAGGACCTAGATCAGTACCTAGATGATGTTTCGAGGGCCAGGTCGTACACACCCGTAACAGTACTCACCAGTTGGAAGGGGGGTAGTCGGCGCCCACCGCCCAGTGAGTTCATTCTCGTTGCGAATCCTCATTGGCACGACGGGCAGCTGCGCGCAACGCCTACACGGCTCTTGCGCGCGCCACCACGAAATGGCGAATGGAACACGCGCTGAATGAGAGGGGGCTGCGCAATTACAAGGCCCAGACTCGCAAACGGACCCCAACATTGTTGAACGGTGAGCGCCATTTCTGCTGCTGAACAGCTTAAACTAGCCATACAAGATCGTTGTTGAGTCTAATCGTAGAGGAACGTTGAGCACCATCTCTGCTGCTGGACAGCCTGAAGTAGCCATACGAAATCAGAGTTGGGCCAATCGTAGACAGACACGCACATGTCATACCTGCACTGCCTGCACCTGTTTAAGCTGGGCTCTAGTACCACTGTAGCTCAAGGAGATCGAGGGTCCCACGCGCGTTGCGCGCGAACTCCGCATCTGCCGATGGTGCACGCAACCCTGGGCCATCGAGGACGAGACCCACGTACTCCTAGAGTGCGACGCCGACGCCCCGCGCGGCCTCCGCGAGGTCTTCCTCCAAGCCGTCTTCACGGCGGTGCCCTCCTTACGAAAGGCGCATTTTCGCCTATCAAGTGTCGTTCTCCTCGACATGCTCCTCCGCGGCTCGACAACGCTCCCCATACTGGCGAGCTACGTCGCCGACATCTTCGAGCTGTGCGACACAACCCCACCCCTACTACCCCAAGACAACGCGCCCGAACAGGACGTGGCTGGGAGGGCCTGACATAGTCGGGCGAATTCCGAATGCCTTCCGGATGGCAACCGGTGGCGCCATACATTGGCACAAGGTGTGTGCTTCCGTTCACGTCTATCATTAGACTGGCGCAGGAGCGCCGCGGACAGGACTGCGAGTGGTTGCCTTGTTGGGGCGCCGCCGGTCCCGATCACCTGTGACCTACCCCCGGAGTCTAAACCCTTGCTGACTGCATCTTTTGTTAGTTGTTGCTCTGGGTTGCGTGTGCGTGTCGAGACGCTGTCTGTGTCTGCAGCAGTGGCTCTCCTGGCCGAGGTTTCCCGCGAGCTACGCGGCTTTCCCCTCCCATCATGCGAGGTTTACGCACGCAACCTGCCGATGTGCCGCAGAGCGACTAGGACTACAGAAGATGTGAACAGCGTGTGGGTATAGGCTACGACGGGGTCAAATGTATTGCGCTCTCGGGGCTGTCTATGTTGGATTCGAGGTCTACGAGTTACGTATTATTACCTAGTTTAGGGCCGGTTTAGCGTAAAACGACGTCAATAGATCAAACCCCTTAGCTCTCTCTCCCGCGGCCGCCCAGACTGCCGCGGCGATGGTCAGCGCAGCCGGAAGAACACAAGGTACAGATGAGATAGACGCCTCCGCATTATCCCTTCATGGGCGCCTCTCGTGCCGCCGCCACACGTCCGCTGCATCGGGCCCCGCATGACTTTCTTCGCACTCCCTACCTTACTCCTCCTCCGCTCCTCCAGCGTGATCAAACCGCACTCACACGGCCTGGGTGCACTCGTGCACCCGTGGTCCTCCATTGCAGCGAAAACAAAAAGTGCGCACTTAATAAGTATGCTAGAAGGCTGAAAAAGGGGGCCGTCGGTGACGGAGGCCGAGGCTGTGCCTGTGCAAGGCCTACCCCCGCCCTCGCGCACTCCAAGGACCCCAACTGGGACCCGGCCGCGGTGCGCTCGAATCACTCGGTCTTGGGTCGCGGGTCGGTGACGTCCAGGGGCCAGAGCCCCACCGGCGTCCCTGGAGCAGTGGCTAACGCCGGTTCTTGCGCTTTGCATTCCACCTCGCGCTCAGGTCCGGGCTCAATGGCTCTCCACGCTCCAGAGCGCGATATAAACTGCGCCGCCGATCCGTCGGGAGGCCTCCCTTCCTCTCATCTTCCCGCACGTCCCGCCCTCCACCAACTCGTCCACCAAACACGCTTTCCGTAACTTCATCTCCCTCGACCGCAAGACACCACACTATACGCTCCATGCCTGACAGCACGCCAACCTGGGACTTCACCGGCACCTCCGCCTTCCCCGCCGCCTCCTCGAAACCCCCGCATATGCCCATGCGCGCCCTCTCCAAGCGCCGCGGCGTGCACTGGGTCCAGTACTCCCCTCCCTCTGCCTCCGCGCACGCGCACGCGCACCCCGACACCTCCTCCGCATACCTGCAGTTGCACAGCGATACCCCCTTCCCGCGCAAGTGCGCGTCCGACGATGCGCTGCGCGGCCGCACGCAGGACGGCTCCTCGACGCCTGACGCGTTCGCGCAGACGCAGCGCGCAGTCCGGAGGAAAAAAAGCTCGTTCGACCTGCGGGACTTGTTCCTCACCGGGGGCGTGCCTCCCGGCCACCGCGCGCCCTCTGCATCTGAATCATAGGACCACTGGCGGGCTTCTTGGTGCGTGGGCCCTCGACGTGCTGTCGCTTGCTGCTTCTGACATCGCGTCCGATAGTTACGACTGTCATGACCTTCACGACCACCATGCGGACATTTCTTGCTGCTGTCCGACTACAGAATGAGGTTATATTGCGGGCGTTGTAGAGCGTTGGGCTCACGGACTTGGGCTCATGGACTAGAAGTGTATGACGTCACTAAAAGACATGTAATGTAGTATGCATATATGCGCCGGACTGACCGGTTTTCTTGTTCAACGGTTTGCTCCGTGGCTGGCACCAAGTGCTGATATATGTCGCCACACCGAATGCGATGGCAGATGTCACGGCTCGGCTGTCGTAGGCAGGTGTCATAACGTAGGGACTGCTGCAGCATTTGGCGACAGCGAGTCAAGTGATGCGAAGCCTCACCCTCGCATTGAATCCTATAGGGCTTACGGTAACATCCGTACGATAGGCACAGCAATAATACATGTACAACAGGTTTGGAGACCTATTGACAGACCGTGAGCGTGCTTTCTATGAAGCGTCTGTGTTCGGACATACCTCGAGCAAGAGAGCGGTGGCAAAGCAGTGATACTAATCCTCGAACAGCGGCCGGAACACCTATTGGACCCATCTATCAGTACGCCGCGTGAAGCCCCCGCCAAGTCACGCACCTTCGTCCCCCCATCGTTCTGCGTCGGCGCCATCTCCACGTCCTCGATGAGCTCGAGGCTGTTCTCCCTCTGCTGGCCGTATCCCCCGTCCCCAAAGACCATATCGTCGTCGATCTGCCAGTCCTCCGCCTCGTCCTCGCGCGATGGGGGGCTCGCCACATCTCCCGCGTCTGCTTGGCTGTCAGGAACCACGCTCCGCTGCGAGACGAACTCGACCTCCTCCGCGTCGCCCTCTAACATGTCCTCCAGCTCCTCGGCCGTCATATGTTCGATCCCCAGCCCCGACTCGATAATCGCCGCCTCCGCTGCAGGAGGGAGCTGCGACAGCTGCGAACTCGGCAAGAACAGCGGCTCCCGTGCCCCGGCCGCGCGCCGGTACGGCTGCGAAGCTTCCCCGAATAACAACGGCTGCGAGGGGCCCCCGTACAGCGGCTGTGACGGCGCCGCGCCCTGCTCCTCCTCGAGTGGGTCCTCGTACTGCTGTTGCTGCTGGGCAGCAGTGAGGATCGCCCACGACGGCTGGGGCATGCGCGCGGACGGCGCCGGGAGATGCATCTCGCGCGCGATGTCTGCGCGGTCCGCTTTGTGTACGACCTTCATCGGCTTCACGGGCCTGTTCGCGTGTCCGCTGTGTGTCCGCTCGCGCTGGCGCTCGACCGCCTGCGCGTTGCCATGGTATGTGTCCTCTTCGAGAGGGCGTTTCTTGCCCTTTGATTGTGCGCGGGCGTCGGCCTGTCGATTCTGCGAGTTCTGCGGGGAGAAGGACTGGAGGTGGCTGGTCGCGATGACGAACATGGTGTCGGCGAGGTCGCCGCCGACGTCGATGTAGAGCGGGGCATCGGGGTCTGTGAAGCGGATTTCTAGCGACAGGCTTGACGCCTCTGCAAACGCTATCGTGGCCTGGGACGTGTTAGCATGGTGTGTGGAAAGGATGTGGAGACATACGTTGAATTCACGAAGATGGAAGGCGATCGTCATGGGAGTACTCTGTAGATCGTATTCCTCGAACTCTTCCGAGCTGATGGTGAGTTCCGTTGTCAGCTGAGCGCGACCTGCATACTCATGAGCACAGCGCACATGTTGCTATGTGGGTATATGCGTACCTTTCGCATCAACCGATGACTCGAGGCTGCGTAGCTGAACGTCTGTGTCGTGAAAGTTCCAGATGAGCTGGGGGTCTACCTTGCTGCCTTTGCCAAAAGGGAAGTGCTCGAGCATATGCCTAAGCCCCTTCGGTCCGATCGTCAGGCGGGACTCTGATGCGGCGTCGGGTAGGGAGGGTGACATGAGTTTGTTGGCCGCGTTCAATGGGAGACGATGTGTCTTCACAACACCTAGCCGCGGGAAGCAAAACACGGCACACTCAGTACGTATATGCGGTCTGGATCGAGAAAGTGAGCAAGGCAGTACCATGCTTGCAGTGTAGACGCACAGTCAGTCTGCTCTCCAGCGTGTCGCGGTCCTCCGCGTTGTCGTCCATTTGGGGTATCTGGGACGCGCCGTCGGAGATGAGGAATTCGCACTTCTCGCATGACTTCTCAATCGTCTTGTGCTTCATGATCTGCAGAAGAGGCTGTATGCGATACCAGGCTTAACGCGGGGGAAAACAGCTGAGAAGATGCACGGACCTTTATGGCGACTTGATAAGTGATCGTGGTCACTTCCTCGGCCTCATACTCCGCCGGACCGCCACTGACGCGGTACTTGCTGAAGAAAGACCGCGCATACTTGAAACGTCCATACGCGGTTTGGGCTTGATTGGTGGATGATAGTGCGAACGTCTCTGGTGTGGCCACTATAATTAGGTCTTCCCCGAACTTTGACAGACATGTCAGGGCTCTAGTCAAGTCTGGCGAATATGAGCAGAGCGAAGGTGATATGGAAAGCCAGCATGCGTACGCCGTAGCCCAATCGAGTCCACTGTCGCCTGCATTGACGAGAGTTCGCGGCGAGGCTTGCGAGGGGTCGTTGCGGCGCTGTAGGTAGCAGGAGTGTGAGTTGAGGATGATGGTACGGAGCAAGCCCGAGCTTGGGGCCTCGCAGGCGGGCGGCTGCAGGCACTGTGAACGCGTAGGTCACACATCTCGTGCCAGTGTCACGCGCATATGTATACGCGCCGTGATGTTCGGCGCCTGAGGGAGATGGATCGATACATGTAGGTGCCATCAACTGAGCTCAAGTACTTGTGGGAATGGACAGAGTCGGGTATGTGCAGGTGAAAACGGCGGGAAAATCTGGGTAACCAAAGCATGGCTCAGTATCATGAAGGAAGGGCCGTGCGCAAGTACCGGCGCAGCACGAGAACGCAAGACGCGCGCGGAGTAGCATACGTAAGTGCCCATAGCGCTCTTGATCCTCTCCCCTTCCTCTATATTCTGATCGTCTATATTTCTAGTCATGTCTGCGGAAACCTCGAGCAACCAGCAAGATCCCATGCCCCCAGCCAAGGCGGATCTCGCGACAATGTGGGCGTATATCGAGAAAGGCATTGACCAGATCATGTCCGGCGGTGCATCGCACCACACGATCACAAGCCTCCACAACGTCGTATACAACTACTGCACTTGCAGTCGCATAATCACACAACGTGAATACTGTTCATGACTTCTGCACCGTTGTGTACTGATGTTGGCGCAGCAGACACAGTGCCGACTCTACCATCTCCGGATCTGTATAACCATCTCATCCGCTACTTCGACAACCATCTCAAAGCTCTCCGCATGGTAGGAATATACGTGTACTACTGCGCTGAACGTCTGATCATCCAAGCGTTTTCCCTGTTCATGCTACGCAGGAATCGGACTCGCTGCAAGACGAGGCTCTCCTCCAGTATTACGCAGCGCAATGGGGCAGATACACTACAGCTGCACGATCCACCAACCGTATCTTCGCATATCTCGACCGTCACTGGATCACGCAACAACGGAAGAAGGGCCGCAAGGACCTCTATCCCGTATACACGGTATGTTACCCGCATCAACATATCCTAGTGCAGACTCGGCTAATGAACATACCTTAGCTCGCGCTTGTACAATGGAAGTCCGAGTTCTTCCTTCCCGTGCAGGGTCCGAACCAGAAGCTTTCCAGTGCTATCTTGCAGGTCATCGAGCGGGAACGGAACGGCGAGACCATCGACCAAGACCTCCTGAAAAAGGTGGTCGACTCCTTCGTCTCGCTTGGTCTCGACGAAAGCGACATCGGCAAAATCTCGTACGATGTCTACCACGAACACCTCGAGGCGCCGTTCCTCGACGCGACCGAGAGGTACTATCGCCATGAATCGGAGAAGTTCCTCGCGGAGAACAGCGCAGCTGATTACCGCAAGAAGGCCGAGGGATGGCTGCGCGAGGAGCAGGACCGTGTGGAGCGGTACATGAACCCAAACACTCGCGCCGCACTCGTCCGGAAATGCAAGGACGTCCTCTTCGGCGAGCACGCGGAGCTCATTGGCGAGGGCACTCCTGGCGCCGCGGCGGCCGACTCGGAGGCTGATCAGAAGTCCTGATCACGGATATCTCGCAATGATTAACGTCCAAGGGCCCCAACACGAAGCAGGTGGGTCACGATCTGCACGACCTGCGTCGCCTTATTTGTTGCTGATATTCTTGGTGGTTGACCATTTATTTCATAGGAAGTATATTCTTCGACTTGGGGACGCCTACGCCCACGCCCTGTGATCGCGCGTGTCGTCTTTCTCTCGCCGGACTAAAATGCTCTGTCTGTCATCATCACTTCCCCGTCTCTTGTTTCCACCCCACCTCGCCTTCGTCATACAGGTAACTGATCTATATTGTATCTCTATGAAATCTTTGGATCGTTCATTCGGATGTCGACTACACGCGATTGTCCTTTTGTGACAAACCACTTGAAGCAATATCTCTTGTTTTGTGGTAAGCATTGCTTCCGGGGCACTGGGCGGGAACGTTATTCCCTAGCCTAGTATTTAATCATTAGCGCAACGCATTAGTCTGACCACTCAGTACTGCTCAATACTCATCCGGTACGGTGAGCTGCAGTCGGATGATCGTCACTGTGGCATTGCGAGTCTGTGGGTACGAGGACTTAGCTCGCTGCAGCACACAGCGCTCAGTCTCCGTACAAACGGGCTTTGTTTGTGATTTGCTGAAAGCATGCGCCACCGCGGCGTATAAAGAACGCGACATGCGAACTTTAAGCAGCCTAGTGCCCTTGATCCTCTCCGCCGCCTTGCCCTCTTCCACCATCCCTCCTCTATATTCGGATATTCTATTTTTCTAATCATGGCTGTGGAATACGCGAGCGAAAGGCAAGACCCCATGCCCCTACCCGACGCGGCGGATCTTACGACAACTTGGGCGTATCTCGAGGAAGGCATCGACCAGACCATGTCCGGCGGCGATATCCCTTCGTACTACACGTTCATGAGCCTCACCACCGCCGTCTACAACTACTGCACTTTCTTCCCCCCTCCAGGCACAAGCAGCGAGCCGGACGGCCTCGAAGCACGAAGTAAGTGCTGAGTGTGACTTCTGTACTACGGCTGTGTACTGAAGCAGCAGTGCTAACTCTGCTAGGGTCCGCTCTGTACGACAGCCTCGTGCGCTACTTTGACAATCATCTCAAGCCGCTCCAGATGGTCAGCATATTCGTGAACTACTCCGTTTATCATCTACTGATTTCAGTGGTTTCCTTACTCGTGCTATGCAGACATCGGACTCGCTGCACGACGAGGCTCTCCTCCAGTATTACGCGGCTGAGTGGGAGAGATACGCTACAGGCGCATACTCTGTCAACCGTCTCTTCATACATTTCGACAAGATCTGGATCCAGCCGGAACGAGGCAATGGCCGCAAGGACGTATATCCCATATACGAGGTAGTGACATATTTCCCCCATCAACACAAGTGAGCACAAAGGCTCATATATATTCCTTGACTCCTTAGCTTGCGCTTGTACAATGGAAGTCCGAGCTCTTCCTCCATCTGCAGAGCAAGAACCAGATGCTGTCCGGCGCCATCTTGCAGCTCGTCGAGCGGGAACGGAACGGGGAGACGATCGACGGGGACCTGGTCAAGAAAGTGGTCGACTCCTTCCTCTTCCTCGGTCTCGACCGCGGCGGCATCAAACATCTCTCATATGATGTCTACCATGAGCACCTCGAGGTGCCGTTCCTCGAAGCGACGGAGACGTACTATCGCGAGATATCAGAGAAGTTCCTCGCAGAGCACGGCGCGGCCGAGTACTGCAAGAAGGCCGAGGAGTGGCTGCGCGAAGAGCAGGACCGCGTCGAGCGGTACATGGACATAAGCACCCGCGACGCACTCGTCCAGAAATGCGAGCAGGTCCTCTTCCGCGAGCACGCGGAAATCATTGGCGAGGACATTCCTGGTGCTGCGGCAGCCGACTCGGAGGCCGACCACGAGCCTCAATGACCACGGATATCTCACAATGACTCTTAACGTCCAAGAGCCGGATCTACACGACCTGTATCTGCTCATTTATTGTTAATATCATTGAGTGGTCGGCCATTTGTTCCATAGAGGGTATATTGTGCGCAGTGTCCTTCGCCTATGTTCTGTAACCGCTCGTGTCCTCTTTCTCTCACCGTACTCAACCGTTCTGCCTGTCATCATCCATTCCCTGTCTCTTGTTTCCACGCAACCTCGCCTTCACCATACATATACATGATCTGTGCCGTATCCTTATGGAAATCATTAGATCGTTCATTCAGATGACAACTACACGCAGTTATTCTTTTAAGACCCGCTGGTCCGAAAACCTATTGCTTTGCGGTAAACATCGTCTGAGCGCTGAGCGGAAACGCTACCCCTCAATCTAATAATCATCATAGTCGGTGTAGCGATTTCCCCAGGGATCGATGAGACCCTCGTCGCTCGAGCCCTCGTCCTCCTCCTCGGTGGTGCTCTCCCTCTCCCAGTCGTCCCACTTCACATCGACTACGACCTCTTTCAGCGCCTCGATGCGCTCAGCGCTCGCGTACCTGCACCCGTGTAGCCGTATGGTGTCGACGGGGATGCCCGAGTTGCAGCGGAAAATTGCCCAATCCAAGAGGTCCTCGAAGGGCTGGTCCACGTACCCTGTTAGGCTGAAGCGAAATCTGGAGAGATCGAGGACATTGAGGGAGGGAAACGGCACTTGGTCCACGGTTGAGAGCGCCTGGAAGAAGTCGCCGTGAGGATGTTCGTCCACAATAAAAGTCTTCACGCCCGCGAAGCGAGAAAACGCGCCGGCCCACGTTGACTGCATGAACGTCCCCGAGAGTCGGAGTTCCCGGACGTGCGCGAACAAGTTCCCCGCGCCTTGACAAACAGGTAGTAGGAGCATCACCGAAGAGAGTTCAGTACTGAAATGCATTTGGAAGGGTGCGTTTTCGTCCAAATCGCTTGATGTTCTAGCGTGCGTCCAGCCGGACAGGAGCAGGGAACCATCCTCCGGGGAGGTGATGCATAGTGCGAGTAAACATAATTTCTCCGGAAAGTTTGTGATGACGCTTTGCGCAAGCTCCTTGCCGCCGAGACCGTGCCGTGCTGTCAGATGAAGCGATGCTGTCGATGTTATGGAGAGATGGTTGAGGAGATGAGCGAGGGCGAGGGGACCGCCTGCAAGACGTAAGGAGTCAAGTATGGGGAATGTGATGGATTGGGAAGGGCGAGGAAGCTCTGTAGGACTGATGGTGGAGAGCTCTTGTTCAGGTAGAGCGTCCGTGATTTCTAGAACCTTCAGACGAGGAGCGACCACCACGAGTGCTGAGAATAGGTCGTCGAAGGAGCCGACGTCTCGGAAGGCAGCGCCGTGGCGTTCTCCGGCCTGTTTTCCCACGACCACCAAGGTGGTGAGGTTACGGGAGGAGAAGACGGGGTCACTCCAGCGAAACGGGAGCCTCCATAGGTTGAGATGGCGGAGCCGCGACGGCGTGTCCCGGCGTGCAGAAGCGATGATGGGAACCGGTGGAGGTGCGCCGCTGCCATAGGGAGCGCTAGACCACCCAGCGGACAAATGCAGCCTCTCGAGTACAGTAAAGCCGGAGGCGGCTTTAGCGCAGAAGCCCTGGATAACCTCAACGGAACTGTCGAGTAGAAGCTCCTTGATGTGGTGGGAGTGTTGCAGGAGCACGTCCAGTGACAGGATGCGGTCCGCTGTGGTCGAAAAGTGGATGTAGGCATTGATGTGGAGCGGGGCGTTTTTGGATCGCGCGACAAGCTCGGCGAAGGTCACGCCTTTTGTTATCTGTAGGTAGCTCCAGAATCGAGGGGTGTTCAGCGCGACGGCGCGAAAGTGACGGCAAACGTGCGCGAGCCTGATCCAAGCGAAACCGCCGGTGTTTAACGGCCCAGTTGAGTCATACGCTTTCATTGTCCCATACACCAGTATCTCCGATAGGAGCTCAGGTGGGAGTCTGCATATGGGGGTGAGCGTATTGAGACGCGACTTGAGGTCGAGTATTGCGCGTGCATATATGTCGATGTCGCTTTCGATATCTCGTCGAGCTTGAAGTAAGACATCGGAATTCCAGTTGAATCTGATGACAAACTTGAGCGGTGTTCCATGCACGAGAACTCAGGACAGAGGCACTGACCTAGTAGACATTTTTCGCAACTCTCGCTCCAGGAAGTATAAATAGATGCGGACGCGCCCTGAGGTCGACCGCAGTATATCGCACCTTCAAAGAAACGTGATGAGGTAGATAGATTGACGCATGTCTGTGCTCGCATACCTGAACTGCACCGCCCGCGAACAGCCCAATGAAGGTCGGAGTCGGACAAGTGCGCTCGATTACTGGGTGTTGGTATAAGCTTTCGGCCGTTACCGGAACAGGCGCCTGGCCAGCGTGGACGAGCTTATACGCCGTTAATGCATACTACAATCTTCGTGATGCTCACTCTTGTCGATGATCGCATGTCATAAGTACTCATCTTCAAGCCCACCATCGCACGGAAACGCCTTTCAGATATTACCATCACGGGTATACACCGCATGGGATACATACTACTACCAGACGGACGACGCACGCGGCCAGGGAACCCACAGCGCAGCAGCCCCGGATGTGAACAGCGACAGTACAAGCCCCGCCCTTCGAACCGCGTCCGAAAGAAACCGATTGCACGGGAAAATTCTACAGCACCCCGGCGCAGGCACAGCGTAACGTAACGTAGCGTAGCGGGGACATTTGTTTGTATGAGACACAACACGCGCGGCCGTCGCGCGTCGCACCGGAGGTCGTTCGCACATTGGGGGGAGGCATGGGCAGACCAGGCAGAGTGAGGGCGGAGAGACCGGGACCTAATCGAGACATTGGCGGGCACGCACACAGCGGAAGCGTCAGGTGGAGATCGAGAGAGTGGATATAGATAGATCGATGCATGACATGGGGGTGACGAGGCAGTGCGGGAGACGACGGAGCATTGAACCTGGGGGAGGGGGCCGGCCGCTGCTCACTTGTTCTTGGCGATTTCACGCGCGGCCTTGATGAGCGGGGCGAGTGTCCGTAGGGGCTCAGACAGCTTGAAGAAGGGATGCTGCGCAGGGAGGGGATGTGGATGTAAGCCGGAGATGTGTTGACACGCATACAGCCACACGTACCTGGAGCAGCTCGGATGCATTGGGCCGCTTCTCAGCATCTACCTCTAAGGTCTTCCCGAGGTAGTCCCGGAATATTGGTGAGAGCGACTCGGGGTTCGCAATCTGAGGCGTCCCGTTGGTCGCGATGAGGTACAGCGCCTTCAAGGGGTTCTGGTTGAGATATGGCGGTTCGCCCTCGATCATCTCTGCGAAACGATGTTAGGTGACCATCGCACCGATGGCAACTCGCGTCAACGTACCAATGGCCATGATACCCAAACTCCAGATGTCAACCTTCGGTCCGTACTCTTTCCGCGTAACGACCTCCGGTGCCATCCAGTATGGCGTACCGACCATGGTCGTGCGCTTGGAGTTGGCCTCGGATATTTGCGCGCAGAAACCGAAGTCGGCTGTGAAATCAAGAGTAAATACTGCAGCACGACCTGAGTTGAACGATTGGACGTACTGAGCTTGATGTCACCGTTCAAGCTGAGCAGCACGTTGTCGCTCTTGATATCACGGTGAATGACGCCATGTCGGTGGAGGTGCTCGAGCCCTTGCGCGGTCTCGCGCGACACAGCGGCGATCTGGCCCTCCGTCATCAAATTCGCAGTGACGACGTCCGTGAGCGAACCGCCCTCCATGTACTCCATGACGACCCACAGCTCGTTCTTGTGCAGGAACGAGTCGATGTAGTTGACAATGTTCGGGTGCCGCGAGGCGCGCATGACGAGGATCTCGTTGATGATGAGGTCCTTCTTCGGTTGCTTGTCGAGGTCCATCTGCTTGATCGCGACCGACAGGTTCGTCCCGACCTGGTACGCAGTGTAGACGCCGCCCGACGCACTACACCCCTACTATGAGCGACGTCACAATAAGCTCAAACGTAAAGGAGGCTCACCCGGCACCGATCTTGACAAGGTTCCGGTAGAGCTTCGTCGGGTCCGCGTCTGTGCAGATCTGCTGCAGCCGCTTCACGATGTCCGCCTCCTTGTCTTTGTCCTTCTCCTTCTTCTCTCGCCTCCGCGGGGTCGCGGTACCCGATGCGGCGGCCTTCTGCAGGCTCGCCGCTGCCGCACTCGGCTGAGGCTGCGACGCCGGACCCCGTCCGTCGCGCTCGCGCATACTTGGGGAAGACTTGAGGGCCAAATCCGTCTGCGATGATCCCGGTGATGCCTTCGGGGGCTTGGACGGCATGGCGATTTGCGACTGAGCATGGTGGTTAGGCGAATGGTGTGAGGGAGATTGACCCGGACCCGGTGACCGGTGGTCGCGCGTTGTATTCGCCCGTGCAAGCTGCTCAGATGGCTTGAGAGGCTTAGATTGCGGAAGACGTTGCGACGTCGAGCGGTCGAGGGCTGTAGTAGCAGGTGAAGGTGGAGCGGGAGCCATGCGTTGGGCCACGGGCGTGCCCGAGGTGCCCGAGGGCATACTGTTCGCATGCGAAGGCTTCTTGGGCGGCGGAGGAGCTGGCCGGGGCGATTGAAGACCCTCGTCCATGAATGTCTTCGGCGCCATCGTGCTCGCAGAGGGCGTGGGGGGAGTAGGAGCGGAAATAGCACCCATCTTGTCCCAGACGGACGTGTCCCCCCGGTTGTTCTCCTGGTAGAACTTCACAATCTCCATGACCGCCTGCGGGTTCTTCTCCTGCTCCAGCTTGGAAATGCCGCTCTCCTGCAAGAGCTGTTGCCATTCCTTTGGTAGACCCGTGAACTCGCCCGTCGAAGTATTGAAGCCGACATGCGTCAGGTGGACTGGATCGTACGGCGTGCTGATCTCCGGCCGCTTGGAACTGTTGAGGAAGTCGGACATGAAGGTGAACATACCCTTCTTCGATTTCGTTGTAGTCCCGCTCCGCGACCTGCTCCCCGCACTACTGATCGTGCTTGGGGTGGGTGGCACCGGCGGCAATGGTGGTTGCTGATAGTCCACGAATTGGCTTTGCTGTAGCCTCGGGTCGGAGGGATCAGGGTAGTAAGGGACGTCACTTGAGACCAGAACGGGATCGGAGAGCCGTTGCCGGGCCAGGTTAGCCTGAGTGGGGAACATGTCCGTGAGGTTGGCGGTGTTGGCCCGTGAGGGGCGCGGAGGGGGCGAGGCAGTCATGCTGTAGGAGTCGTCCTTCGCGTGGTTGCTGGTGGAACGAGAAGAAGCAAAGGGGTCGCGATCAACGGGATGGGTGTTCTGCTTGCGAGGTGGCGGCTTCTGGAGGGAGTTACGGACCCGCGGAGGTGTCCCGGACGAGTTCTTCGCGATTGGAGGAGGCGGCGGTGCCTGTCTAGAGGGTGCGAAGGAGTCTGAGTAGCCGTTTGCGGCAGCGGCGTGGAGATGGGCCTCGGCAAGGAGATCGTTGTACTCCTGGATGGACTCGCGGGATGGGCGGTGGTACTCAACAGTGATTTTTGAGTGGCGGTTATTGGGCGGAGACTGGGGAGACCTCTGGTTGAGCGCGCTTTGCGACGTCGACATATGCGCAGCCTAGGAAGGACTGAGAAATGATGGTGAAACGAGCGGAGGAATGAGCTGGTCGTGGACGGAAGACACAGATCTAGAGGTCGGCCTGTGGCGGAGCGGTGCAAGACAGCAACGATCGCGATCACCCTCTTTCTTTCACGCCTCGCTGTTGCGAGTCGGCCAGTGGACTGTTGTGTCGAGTGTGCGGCTGCTGCGGCCACTGCAGCCAAAAGGGACCAATGCGGCGGTTGTCGTCGTCGAGGACGGGCGCAGTGATTGACGAAATTGGCACAAGCGAGGCAGCTGGGGGCAGCTGGGGCGTCTCCTTATCGATTTCATTATGCACCTAATTAATATCCACCGCCGGCCTCTATAGCAACCTGCAGGCCGCATTCTCTAGGCTCCCTGTAACACCTCTCGCTCTGTTGAGCGCATCGTGGACGTACAGCGGCGACTACGGCATCAGTACGGGCTGGGAAATCGAAGCTGCGAGTTTATCGTCATGGAAGGTATACGATAATGCAGTATAGTGTCCATATATGCACTCATTTTCTCGTGGATGTCAAATCTATGCAAATGGTCCGTGCGCGTGCGAACCTCTCTACCTTTCCCAACTCTCGCCGCGAAGTTCCTAGTCTCCGTTGCCGCCTGTAATAAAAATGGATGACAATCGCGATCAATTTCTTCGAAGTTCCCCCTGCGGTAGTTCGCTGCCGCCGGCGATGCAGACGGAAAAAAAAATTACACCGCGCGGTCACGTGTAAAACGCGTCGCGGTTCCGGACGTTGCGACTGACCAGAATTCCCTACCACACCGCGATTGCTCTTACCGCTACCACGTGCTGCAACCGACTACTCTCGCCGCTTTTGTAGCACCAGTAAAGAAAGATGAATATGACGACCGCTGTATGATACATATCCACAAACTGAAAAGCAATAATTACACAAACCCAGCGAAGGACATGCGCGACCGCTTCCATGTGAAGACAAAAGCCGAAGGCCCTGCTTTCGATATCCCTTACCAGCAGACATAATATTATGTGCAGAAACGCATAGTCGCACTAGAGCTGCCACCAGTTCAATTAGCAAGTGAATGCTTTCTGTGCCGCAAGCAAGCAGGGAGGTTCAACGTACACAGCTTGGATTCTTAAAGCTGCCGCGAATGAAATCAGCGAATGCGCGAAGGCTTGTACCGCAGCGACCCGGACGAGGACGACGCACCTGGACACAGCTCTCGCCCTCCTCTACATCGCACGACCGCTCATGTGGAGTGCTCGAGATACTGGGCGTGAGGAACACGATGGTGCTGACAGGTGCGTTGCGCGCAGAGCTCTTCCCCGGGCCCTCGAAATGGGAGGCGCGGGCATTTAGCTGAGCGAGCAGCGCGTTGACGTACACTGGGAGCTGCGAGGTCAGGATGATGTCCGGCCGGTTTGACGTTAAGTTGGGTACGCACGCTTGCTCAAAACGAAGTAGAATGCGAAGTAGATGAAGTTGGAGTGGTCACACCCGAACTGACAACGACGGGTGAGCCAGGGGCGACGCAAAATACGCAAGGCGGCGCGTGACATACCGAGATGAGTGCGGCGAGTGCACATAGACTGCGTTGTGATTCATTAGTTGCGATGGGCCATCCCGCGGACGTCTACCTTCGGAGAAGGCTTGCAATCCTACGCACCTCGTGAGGAGGCCTGTGTTGATGCTGTATGCCATCAGGGATCTAAGGATCATGTTCGACCTATGGACGTGGGGAAATGCACGCGGAGTATATCAACACGCAGGTAGAGCATGATTACTGATAGTAGATGCAACAGTCTGCCTACCTGCGCAAACCCGTCCTGAGACTCCAGAGCACGCGGCATTGCGCGATGGCAATGATCAGGTCTCCCGAAGCCTCCGCGGAGAAACCAAGATATAGCGTCCACTGTTGTATCCCGATGTACGATCACTATCTAAACGAATACCAGAAATTTTGTAGGACGCACTGCATAAGCTGGGACTTCGCTATACGATCGTAACGAGTACCTGCAATTACGAGGTCCACTAGGCGTCAGTGCATAAATTGGATGATATGCTCACAGCTTTATAGCGAAGTCTAGTAAGACACTGTAGTCAGTCACATTGCTATGGCGGGGATACTTCAAGTTGATAGATCGAGGCTTACATATCGCATCCACTATAACCGAAGCCGCAGTCAGTTATTGGTTCAATACGTGTGAATATCGTTCCGGCGTACCGAAGATGACGACACAAAACGTTGCCTAGCGTATAGTGGTTTCAGCAGAAAAGCCTTGCGCCAGAGATGCTGAACAACATACGATGACCGCAGGGAGTATCCAATTACGCTTGCTTACTACCGTGATCGGACACTTTCACTACGGAGTCGACAAATCGCAGATACAGGTACTTACAGGCCCACAGACGGTAGCCAAAAATGCTTTGCGAACAGAGCGCATACGGACAGTTTAGCGCAACTCTACACTTCAAGCGGCCAACCTGAGGTGCTCACCATCGAACCACAGAGTTACTGATATTCTGAGGCAAACGGAGCAGTTCAGTCAACATGCTAAGAAAGGGAAAGGGCGAGGCGAAAACCCACAGAGACTATGATCATGGTCTATACAGACAAAGTCTGTCAGGCAACTTCAGGCGATTTCACACAGCGACTCGCCGGTATGGGCCTGTCACAGAAATCATCAGTCTCGATCCACCTAACGGGAACATGTACCCTACGTACCAGATTGGTTGTTGTATAGCTTCCAAATTGGTGAAATTGACGACGCAGTACCAATATAGCGCTAGGCTGATCAGGCAGGCGTGCAGAGTGTCTAAAATCCTAAACCGCACGCAGGATGAATAATCTATTCATATGCTAATGGGAAGTCCATTACCATAGCATCAGGACCTATGGAGGGGTGTTGAATATTCGCCTTTCACATATCCAATCACGCACCAATGCGAGATTCACTGACCGACAGTTTCAACTTTGTGCTATCCTTTTCAGATCTTCTCCAGAACACAAAGGCTTGAACACTAGTGATTCCGTAGAGCCTGCCATAAACGCGTGTCGTGAGCAAACCGCACGGTGTGGTGTGGGGTGAGCGATACCTACATCACGGTGAATATATGACCTACGAACACCGCCCCGAGTGTACTATCAAGGGGTATCCTTGTGCGAGACATCTGTCGCTACGATTCGAGGGATCTCCGTGAGGGAATGTCTGAGGATAGGATTCAGCGTTGTGTGGAGGGGACGAAGGGATACCTGGCTCGACAGCCACCGCAGCCATGCTGTCCGTTTCAGAGCTACCAGGAGTACCATCGCGTGGCTGTGACCGCCGATTTGTTACCCCTAGGATGTACTAGGAGGCGTTCTGGAGCAGACATCGGTGATTTCGCAGCCGCCACAAGACGGTCACTGCTGCAACATGCACATCTCGACGGTCTGTGTAACATGAACTCTAGTTCGAATGATACTTGTATCTTTGATGATCTGTCAAGCGAGGTACAGTTCACTAGGAATGCAAGGTGAGCGTCCCGTCGCTCACGGAAGAACTTTAAACTTACCTTTTCTACTTATAGAGATTTCTTACCTCAACGACGTAGGCGTGGTGGGAGACGTGCCGCGTGCGCGGTGAGTATCGTTCTATGGCCAACCCTGGGCCGAGATGGAAGGTAAAGGCCGCTGTCCTTCCTGATGGCCTAGGTAAATGCTCGACCATACAGAATTCGATTGGTACAGCGTGAAGAGAAACCGACGAACAAAAGACATGGTGGTCCTACTCAAATTTCGGACTCTGGGCTAACGACGCGTATAGACGGGCGCTAGCATCGGCAACGGCCGAGAGCCAGGTTATAAGTAGATCGAAAGCACTCAGACTTAGGCAGTGGTAGAACTCTCGCCGCGAACTTCACCTGGGCTGTTTGAGGCTCTTCGCAGGTGGAGTGTTTTCAGGTAACAACGCCTGGTATATACGTGCATAGATGTGTGTCCTTATATGCTGCTAGTGGCAACCAACTTAAACGCATTGCATATGTAAATTATCATCGGAGCTGGCATGGAAGGTTTCGACAGCTGAGTATACCACAGTGGAACATACACTGGCTTTCTCCTGTGTCGAATATCCATGCGCATACGAACCTCTGCGATGACACGAAGAAATTTCGCGCGAGTGAGGGGAATTCGAAAGGCCAACGAAAATATACAGAAAACAGCGCGCGATCACGTGCGGTACGCGTCGCGGTGCCGCCGAGTGTTGGCCACCTGCGGTCCATTTCTCGTTCCCACCACCACTTCGTCGCGTCTCTCATCGTCCAAGAGGCCGGGTCTCCAGAGCTCTACCCCTTACCGCTACTGCTGTGATGGCTCCGTCTTCGAAGCAACCTATGTCTGGGCTACGGTCTATCAAACGCGACTTCTCTTCCAGCTCGTTACCTGCCGCAAGCCAGAGTTCTACAGTCTCCGATGCCGACTCTATTCCATGGGACCCTACGCCACCAAAGAAACTCACTGGTCTGGAACAACGCTTGAAGGACATACAAGACGCGCTCAACGCGCAAATATCGTCTTCGGAGACCACATTATCTCAGTCTCAGAAGCGGCCATCCTCGTCACAAAACCCGCCCGCCAAACGGCGACAACTACCAGGGAACTGGGACAAGGAGGAGAAAGCGGTGCCATCCGTGTCCAGGCCTTCATATCCCAGCGCGGCATCGACTCGCGCGGCGGCCCCAACACGCCAGGTAGACTCCAATGAAACTTTAGTGATCCCGTCAACCACGAAGAGTGGCGCAGCTTCCAAGCCTGCACCGGTGTTCCTCAGCCAGGAGCAAACGCATATATTGAGGCTGGTGGAATCTGGCCAGAGCTTATTCTACACGGGCAGTGCCGGTGAGTCCTTAATAATGTGCACGGATCACTTTCACCTACACAAGTATGCTATTCGTATACTTGCACTCGCTATCCGCAGTGAAGTATCCAAGAAGTTCGGATGGCCCGAACACCATATGCAGCTTACGTGGCGCAGGACTTCGACACTATCCGCGAGCTTGTTCAATAGCCATCCATCCCGAGCACCATGTGTAAGAGCGCATATAGTTAGCATTTGCTCACACGTCTCCCTCAGGTGCCGGAAAGTCCGTCCTACTCCGAGAGATCATCAAGTCCCTGAAGAAACGCTTTGCGAAAATCCCCGATGCTGTTGCTGTGACTGCTTCCACAGGTATGTCGCCAATAGACTTCGCGCGAACGGCATCTTATGTGATGCCGCTTAGGTATCGCGGCCTGCAACATCGGTGGAGTAACTATACACTCGTTCGCTGGCATCGGCCTGGGAGCGGAAAACCATGAGCAGCTTGCGAGCAAGGTCAAGAAGAATCGCAAGGCCACTACCCGGTGGTTGCGCACCAAGGTCCTCATCATCGATGAAGGTAAGCTGACGTCCACTGACTGTGCTCACATACGGCTGTTGCTCATGCGCCAGTGCAAAAGTGTCCATGGTCGACGGCGACCTCTTCGACAAGCTCGCGCGTATCGGACAACTCATTCGGAAGCGACCTGAGCCATTTGGGGGCATCCAAGTACGCGCAGCATCCCGCATTCCACGCGTCCGTGTCCGGGGCCGTGCTGACAAGGTTCCCAGGTCGTCGTCACAGGCGACTTCTTCCAGCTGCCCCCCGTGATGAAAGGCAGCGGGACCGTAAAGTTCGCATTCGAGGGCGAGATGTGGCCGCAGACGATCAAGAAGACCTTCAACCTCACGAAGGTGTTCCGGCAGCGCGACCCCGAGTTCGTCGACATGCTCAACGAGATGCGGTTCGGACGTCTTACGGACAAGTCCATCAAGCGCTTCAAAGCGCTGTCGCGAGATATTGTATACGAAGATGGACTTGGTGCGACGGAGCTGTCAGTTTCACCCGCATATATCGTGTGCTATGGATGGATGCTGACGTGGTGCGCAGCTTCCCGAGACGCGAGGATGTGGAGCGGTCCAACGGCGTGCGGATGACTGGAATCACGGGCAAGGAGCAGGTGTACAGCGCATATGACGGCGGGACCGTCACCGACCTCCAACAGCGCGAAAAGATGCTCGCGAACTTCATGCCGCCCAAGCGGCTGGTTTTGAAAGAAGGCGCGCAGGTCATGCTGATCAAGAACATGGACGAAATGCTGGTGAACGGGACGATGGGCAAGATCCTGCGCTTCGTCGACCCCGCCGCGCCTCTCGACCACGAGGACGGCCTTCTTGGCGGAAAGCCCCCGTCGAAACCGGCCTCGAAGCCTGCAAAGGACCCCAAGGCGAGCCTGAGCGGGCGCCAGCTCCTCCCGCTCGTCGAGTTCCTGCAGCCGGGGGGCATCCGCCGGCAGGTCGTCATCCAGCCCGAGAACTGGAAGGTCGAGCTGCCGAGCGGCGAGATCCAGGTCAGCCGGACGCAGGTATGTGCTACTATGCTCGGCTTACGATAGACGCGGGATGACGGCTGATTGAGCTGGGTACATGCTAGCTACCGCTGATCCTGGCGTGGGCGATGTCTATTCACAAGTCCCAGGGGCAGACCTTGGAGCGTGTCAAGGTCGACCTCGCAAAAGTCTTCGAGAAGGGTAGGTGGCTCCTCTCCGCACAATTCCCCTTCGCTCATTCTCGGAACGCACGCAGGACAAGCATATGTTGCTCTCTCGCGTGCAACATCTCTGGATGGACTGCAAGTCTTGCACTTCGACCCCTTGAAGGTACGTGCTGTCAACTCCCTCCTTCGTTGCCCATGTGAACATCCTTTTCAGGTGCAAGCGCACCCGAAGGTGGTGGAGTGGAGCAAGACGCTGGAAACGGTCAAAGACTAAATTACAAGGTTCCGGAGCATAGCATCCATCATGCGAGATTCTACGATACTTTATTGATCAGCTACGGACTCGTGATCGCAACCTGATGTACTATACATGAAGCATGATGTGCAGAGATGATGGTTCAACGTTCAATACTCATACAGGCCCCAGCGGGCATAATGGTACAGATGTGATGGTGGATGGTGGCAATGATGAGTGAATGTGCGAAGTCCGAGGAACTACCAATACGGGGCCCAGCCTGCATCATCATCATGCGTGAGCTGACAACGCCCCTAGATGCAGCGCAGGCGACTCACCGATGTACATCAGCGCGAGGTTGGACGGATCGCTTGCCTCCGTGATGAGCTCGTTCACGGTGTACTCGACGCTGAGCGTCTTGTCCAGCTTGCGCGCGACGGCCGAGAGCGCGCGGTCCGCGGCCTCGTCCGCCGCGCCGCTCGCCATGTCGATCCCGATGGCGAACCGGAATGCCTCCCCGGTGAGCTGCGCGGTCTCGTCGGGCACGCTAGCCTGCGCGCGCTTGATCTTGAGCTCGCTCGCCGTCCAGGAGTGCAGCGGGTCGTACTTGAAGACCTCGAGCACGGTCAGGATGATCTCGGAGCCGTCGCGCAGCACCCGCAGGGTCTCTTCGGCGCACCGCTGGAAGACGCCCTGGGTGCCGGAGATGCCCAGTCCATCGACCATGTCTGCGGTCAGCCGGAAGGGAACGCGTTCGGGTTGCGGAAGCAACTTCCCCTGTGGATTCCAAACTGTCAGATATGCGCAATGTGAGGGTGCTCGTGACCGTACCTGTTCGAACGCGATGCCGAGATCGATGTGCACGACTTCGCCCGTCTTGTTGTCGATGAGGATGTTCGACGTGTGCCTGTCGCCGACGCCCAGGACGTGACCCACGATGGAGTTCGTCGCGACGCTGCGCGCGTAGTGTAGGCGCATTGTGTACCACGACATGGGCGTCTTGTGCTTCTCCGTGAAGTAGTGCCGCATGACCGGCTTACACTTCTCCTGGGTTTGCAGAAACCGCTGGATAACCACCTCCGGCTTGTCGTGCCAATCCGTCTTCGGCGGTGGGCCCGTTATGGTGTTGCGCAGCTCACTTTCGAGGTAGTCCTCTGGTCGGTATCTTGTACTTCGCGTTAGCACCGGGTTCCGCTCGGGATAACACATGCGCATACCTGATATGTGCGGGCAATAGCCAGGTCGCCAACGGCATCGTGTTCTCGACAAACTCCAGGACACCGGCCTGGGGATCGAGTGGGATGACCTTGTAGCCGCGGACGCTGAGATTACGCTGTTTCGTCTCCCGGTCGCGACGGAGAACGACATTGACCAGATCAAACACTTGCTCCATGACCGCATCCTGCCGCAGATCATCGTTGCCTTCACCTTTGTACTGTGACGAGCAAGGATGAATTGATATGCTGTATTATACGAACTGCTGTGCAAACTCACGAGCTGCTTGTAGTATCTCCCGTCGAAGCCGCGACAGTTGATGATCTTGGGTAGGTTGACTCCTCCTGCGGTAGTGTATTGGGAGTCGAACTGGTCTATCCAAGCGCAGTCCTCATATCGAGTCGTTGGATCGATGGGTGTATGTGCAGTGATCACTGGGACCTTGATGTTACTGATCCGTCGTATGAGTAGGTTGTCGGGGATCTTGTTATCCTTCTTTTTGCCCTTGATTGGATACTTCGCCCATTCCAACGACGCGTCACAAACAAGCTCGACATTGCGAACGCGCTCAGAAGACAGAGGATCCGTCCGTAGCTTGTCGAAGAGGTCCGTGGCGGCCACACCGCGCTCCATCTGGGAGGACGGCTGCGATGTCTGTCGCCCTGATTGCCGTCTGGAAGAGGATGCCTGCGGTGCAGCGCGGTCGACCTTCAGGCAGTACAGTGGGAAAAGTGTATGGAAGGGATGTTCGCGGCACATACGCTGTATGATGCCCTGCAGGATAGACTGGTTGGGGGAAGGCACACCCTGTTCGGGGTTCCACAGGCGAGCCGTCAGCTGATGGGCGAGGAAGACGAACTTTCGAGAGGGGACGCGGGCCAGTGCCTCCTCGAACCGTAACTTCGCATCATCGCTATCGAAGTTGGCCAGCCAGAGCGAACACAGACGGATGGGCGAGTCATCGTCAAAGTTGTCGGAAGCTGATAGACAGCGGGAGTACATCTCGACCGCCAACGACAGGAAGGACGTGCGCTGCCCGAGTTGCTCTTGGGCACGTTCCTGGTCTTGCCTCAGCAGCTTTTCGGCCTGCTGTTGCTGCCGAGACAGAGAGCCGAAGTCGGCGTTGCCGTTGTGCTGCGCCCGCCTGAGCTCAATGGCCCGACGCTTCATTTCCTCTTTCTTGCGATCGATGTAGAGCTTCCAGCGGAGAGCGTCTGGCGACTTGGAGATAGCGTGGTATTGTCGCTCGGCGAAGATCGCATATTGGTGGAAGATTGAGGCCACAGAGCCGTCTTTGTCCACAGTAGATTGTATATCAGCCGCTAAGATGATGTCTGCTGCGGGCGTGAAGCATTCGGTGACAATTTGAGACGGTTTCTTCATTGACGCTTCCGCGGACCAAGTTCCCTATCGCATGTGTTTGGGATGAGCTCTACAGAAAATGAGATAAGCTGACTCACCAGCTGTGCCATTAGGCTGGCCTTGTGCAGTCTGGAAGGGACGTCATCGAGCAGCATGCCTTCACTACGAGGAGTGACGAGTGCGCCGAGGGACTTGATCGCTAGCTTCGGTTCCTTCATGAGCCAAAGGACGTTGGAGAATTCGCGAGCAACGCTTGAAGAAGGGTGCTTCTCGAGAGCCTGGGCTCGTGTGATGGAGTTGAGGGAGACTTGCGCTTCGTTGGCATCCCGAGCTCTTTCAGACAGACACAGAAGACAAGCCTTCTCTAGGTCCAGTAAGGCAGCGCAAAATGGGGAAAGGAGGTCGCCGATCTGCTCCCGTTGCTCTTTCTGCCTGAGCGAACGGATGAGCGAAATTCGGGTCGTCATGATTGCTTCGATATTCCCAAAGCTGGACAGACAGTCGTTAGCTAGGACAATCCGGATAAGAACGCTATACTCACTCGAATTCTGGCTCCAGAGAGGTGAAGGATCGCCATCTGTCCCCATCGACGGTGCCACCCTGTAGATCCATCTGGGCATCGCTACTTCTCCACAGTCGAATCTGCTCCAAACACATGAGGTTCTGCGCTACTCGACGGATCTCGGTGAAGTTCTCGCCGCCCAGATCGCGAAGACGTTGCATCTCAAGCATGAAAGCTCGTCGAGTGACGCTGTCCACAACGTGTCCGTCCCTCTCCCTGTAGACCGCTCGCATCGCCAAGTAGAGAGTCGCTCCGGAATCATCAGACGCTAGGGTGTCTGGTAGGTCCCAAGTCTCGGCACGCCACCCCAAGTTGTAGGCCAGAGTGCCGGTGCCCAGCGAATTGTCCGAATCCGAGAACTGCTGGAGGGTACTCATAGCCAGGTGATTGAAACCAAACGAGTACAGGGCTTGGATGATGCCGTCAGTGTCAGCGGCTCCTGCTGCTCCCGACTCGAGGACCGCGCCATGGTAGCGGAAGGCCTTGTCCCACTGGTTCTCGTGACGAAGACGTTTGACGAGAAAATTTTGCAGATCGTCCGTCTGGATGCCGTAGAAACCGTCAGGTTCGTCGATATGGCTGTAGATATCGAAAAGGATGTTCTCCGTGGAGATGTTCTGCGACTTGGCCTTCAAGCAAGGATATTCTCTAGCAAGTTCGAGAAATAGGAGAGCAGTGGTGTAGGCGCCACACTTGATGGCGCAGCTCCCGAGGAGTGCAAAGTCTATGGAAAGCCATTTGTCGTGGGCGAGAGCATCGTGGGCGCGAGCAATGAGGGATTTGGAAGTGTGGGAGTGCAAGTCTTTATCTGGAGGTAGTGGTGGATGCGATGGATGAAAAGAGCGGAGATGCAGAACAACGCTGATGATAGCCCGGTGGCAAGACACATCGGCGTCGGGGTACGCAAGGACGGAAGAGAAGTAATCGGAGAGAAGTGATTTGAGCGATGTAGGGGATGAGTGTGTATGGTCATCGAATTCGATCTGCAGCAGGGTGTGACAGAGTACGGGGAGGACGTCTTCGGCAAAGGCATGATCTGTGCGCAAGAGGGTGGACAGTGGAGAGAAGAAAACGTCGCGGCTTCCCAGTGTGTCGCAGAGAAGCGTTGCGACGCAGGTGATCCATCCCGGAAAATCTGAGGTTAGATGCATCGTTTCCTCGCTAGCGAAGATTGAAGGCAGATCCGGCGCGGCATGTTCCAGCTGGGGTTCGCGGAATGCTCGCATATAGTCAAGCTCCCGACGGGTCTCGGAAGGGAGAGTGGCGTCAACGAAGGTTTCCGAAGAGGGGACAGACATCACAGCTCGCAACGTCGTGTAGACGACATGCACTTGCGGTGCAGGGGACGTGTCCAACATCGCCAGCAACGACAGGATGATAGCAGACCGTGCTAAATCAACATCCGCACGCGGAGCGAAACCCTTTAGGTGGCTAGGGACAGGCTTGGCTTCTGTGGCTTTGCGGTGACGACTGCATGCGGTTTCCGGCGCGAACTGTTCGCTACCGAGGCTATCGATACGACCATGGTGCAGCACGAGGAGTGAGGTGAACGCGTCGATGTCGCTGTCGACGAGGTACTCTTGTGGCGGTATACACGCCTTCAGCCTCCAAAAGTCCGAGCCCCCGAAGTGGCGCCCTCTCTCTTCATCGTTCTCGCGAGATGCAACATCGTAGATCTTCCTGACGAGTCGGAACCGGCTGGAGGAGACACCGTCCTCTTTGAGCGCGGAGAGTAGATCGGGTAGATGGAGATTGTCACAAGCCGAACGCAAGGAGGGGGGAAGCTCTCGAGGCCACGCAGCGAGCGCCCGGATGACTAGCTTCCTCAAGGGTTTACTCTTTCGGAGGAAATCCGCCTGAGTCTCCGCCCAAGCCATGAGCTGGGTACCCAGCTCCACCAGGTAGGGTGTCCCAGTCGTCTCGAGAAATCCATGTGCGAGCGTGCTAGTCCGGATGAGGACGTCGGCTAAGCGATGGTCCGGCTTCGCAACGTGGGTCTTATACAGCGACAGAGACCATTCGAGCAAAGACTGAGCGCTATGGGCCAAGTCGGATTGAGCGAACAAAACAGTAGTGCGCCGCATCAACACACGCAGGAGGCTGGTATCCTGGAAGTGGACGTGATGGCAAGATATCCAGAGGCATATGGCGTTGAGCATCCGGTATTGCTCGTTGACCAGAGGGGACCGCTCGATGTCTGCGAAGAGATGGTGCAGGACATGGTATGTGACGGCGGACGAACTGCCGTCCTTGACTCGATTGCAATACCAGGAGAGAGCGCGGAGGACGCTATACGTGCCGTAGCAGGGGAGATTGGGCTTGTGGGCATCGAATGTGTCGAGAGCGCGGTATTTGGTGATCGAGAGGAAAGTCTCCACAGCGGCGTCGGCGCCGTTCAGCTGAAGGGCAGCCACGATAGGTCCATTCCCAGAGACGTCGTGGTCTTCGAGGGTCTTCAGGATAGAGACGGCGATGCGGTCCACGTTCTGTTGCAGAAGTTGCTTGAAGAGCTCCTTATGCTTGACAAGCCTGGTCTTCGCGATCAGTACGCCTTCCAGCTCTCTTTCCATGAGGCCCTGATCGTCAGCATCTCCGTAGCGGTCCAGCCAGAAAACGATCTGATGGGCGATGAGTTCGGGGAAACACTCCCTGATGACGTCGTCCTCGCCCTTCTGGATGGCCTGGCAGTGGCGTACAAAGAGCTCCTTCCCGGTTTCCGCTTCCTCTGCCGTCCCGTCGGCCAAAAGATTGGTAGGAGTAAATGCGCGGACAGTGACCTCCGCGCACTCCCGCCGATCGCGATATCCGAGCAGGTCCGGGGGGAAACGGTAGATGTCGATGCTGGCCACGCGCATGGAGTAGGCGAATTGCGAAGAGTAGCAATTGAAGAGGTCGGCGAATCGCTCCATTCCTAGCCGGGCCGTAACACCCATGAGGGTCGCTTTGAGGTAGGGATTGAAGCGTTGTTGGAAGAAGGAAATCTCAAGTAAGTGCCAAAAGGCTCCTCTCCTGACCGACGCCTCAGATATGACTACGTTCCCGAGGGACAGGAACCGAGTGAGGATGTGTTCGAAACTACGACGAATCATGATCAGCATAAGCAACCTAGCGAGCAATTGCAGCGACTTACAGCTCTGTCTCCGACGAGAGTTGAGTGTGAATTTCGGCGTAGACATCCATCAAGTCGCGACCGGCGAGGCGACCGACAGTGAAGAGCCGAGGGCTAGTTGCAGCGACACGAAAGCGGATCCGGATGTCGTTATCCGTTCCGAAGGTAGGCAAGAGAGCTGCAGGGAAGTCTTCAGGTTCTGCCGTCTCGCCGTCCGCGTGAGGGATCGCCCAGCTCTCCTGCCTTGGGTCCAGGGCCAGATACCGATCGAAGAATCGGATGATAGCGTCCCGTACGCGCCACGACTGCTGGCTTGACGCATTCAACAGTCTTACACATTGGATGCAGTAGAACCGAGCTTTCCCGCCGATTTCTAGTTCATCCGCCATAGGTCCGTGCCAAAGGTGAGAAGTCGCCTCGATGGTGCGGACGACAAGAAGCTTCGCCGAGATGTTGCTCTTGTACTCGTAGGTGGAGCAGAGATCGTCCACCTGCGATAGAACCTCCTTAAGGTTCGATCGACTGAGATGAAGCTTCCGATGTTCGACCTGATCGAGGAAAGGGGGCGCGACGACGAGGAACTGGGAGGATGTGCAGTTCGAGATGAGCTCCAATAGTTCTTTGTCGTGCGTTGGCTCCCCAGAGGACGACTGCAGGATAGGGACGACAGTGAGGGCACTGATGCACGTCCGTACGATATGACTGTCATGTGTCGCGACGGCAGACAGCTTCTGAGCCGCTTCTGCCGATACCGAGGTGTCCAATGCAGAGGCAAAGTCGTCGTGAAAGCCAGCATTCTTGTGCGATTTCCCGGATGTCGACTGTTCGATAGTCATGCGGAGCACGTCTCGCAGACGTTTCAACAAGTCGGCGAACGCATCCTGTACCTACAGCGTTACGTATCGTTAGCCTCTCCATGAACAACGTAGCAGAGAATGCTTACATCGGCGCTACGGAAGACAGCCTTCTGCAAAGCGTGACGCAGCGCTCCGTCCGTGTAATTTGCACCCGTCGACGAACGTAATCGCCGTAGTACCTCTGTCCGAATGCCCGTTCTTTCCCCAGGAGGCACTAAGGCTTCCCAGCCGCTATTTCCCAGGTCACCGTTGCTATCGTCGTCAGTTAGGACCACAGGATCGAAAGCACCCAGCAGCAAACGCCGTTCATGTGCTTCCCAACGTTGGTCAGTGAGAGCAGGGGCGATGGTACCGATCAGCTTGCATGCGGCCTGTATGACACGTCGGTTCGACTGGATGCCGTTCAGAAGAAGCGACGCCTCGAAGAAAAGAGCAGAGACGGCGAGATCTAGCGAAGAGCGAAGGGTCTCCACAGTGGGTTTGCTGAAGGACCCCTCCTTGGCCGTTAGCGCCTCATTCAGCGCCTCCAGAGACTTCAACAAGAAGGCGGAAAGACGACGCTCCCGGCCCCTTGCTGGAGAGAGGTCTGCGGTATCCACATCTTCCACTAGGGGCCTGTCCGCCACTCCGTCGGGAGAGTTGGCCGGCGAAGCAGGCGCGTGGGCGGTGGAAGGGCGCGGAGGTTCATAGGGAGGAAGGCGGGCGTGTAGTTGGAAGTCGCGGATGACCCTCGTCTGTATCTCCTCAGCCATTGCATCCACGATTGGGGAAGGCGGGAGCATGATCTCGCAGCGAAGCCTCGCTCTCCGCGAGCTGCCAGTGATCGCCTCGAGTAGCGCGTGTATGTGCGCGACCGTGTGCGTCGGCATCGCGGTCCTCCGCCCCACGTCAATCCTCCACGCTTCCGTGAGCCAGGAGAGGACCTTTTCCTCCATCTGCATACGGTACAAGCGGACGTCTTGATTGGCGAAGCGGAGGCAAAGCACCATGAAGTTGCAGACAGAATCGTAGGGATACGCCGGACCCTGCACATCCAGGTCCTTGACGAACGCTTCGATCTCCCCTAGGACCCGCTGTGCAGAAAGGAGGCGCTTCGAGTGGAGGAGAAGTACGTGGGCCGTATGACAGGCTGCGCGAGAAACAGCGGGCACATTGGCGCGGCGCATGGCGTGCGTCCACACTGGGTCCCACAGCGCAGGCAGATCCGAGGTCGAATGTGGGTCAACACTGGAGGGTAGGGGAGCTCCGCAGCCCGCATGAGCAATGGCGGCTAGACACATGAACGTCCACGATTGGATCTCAGCATCCTCGAAAGACACGAGCGATGTCAGAGAGATGACGAAATCGCGTCGTAGCTGCTCGTGAAGGACAAGCCAATGCCTTTCGGCGAAGAAGAGAAGAACCTGAAGATGGTGGATCTTCGCGCCGCGCGGAGTGGGCGACTGTATCGTATACAGCAATGAGACGATAGGGTTCTCCAACTTCTGCTTTTTTCGCCTAGCGGTAGGAGTCGAGTAGCTCGACTCAGAATGGCGATATATCTAAAACAATGATCAAAAAGAAAAGACGTATCAACACGTCTGAGTCTCCTCACCTTCTCAGCGCAATCGGCTTGAAGTTCTAGGGCAGCCCAAGTCAAAGCGCGCGTCCTGCTGAGACCCCAACCATATTGAAAGGTCCTAGAGGTGAACGGCTTCCTCGTGATCGAGTCATCGCGACCTTCAGTAACGTGCGACTGCAATGAGCCAAGCCCAAGGTTCGACGAAGTCCTGTTCGCTATTCCTTCGGCGGCCAACCAGAGCGCGTCAAAGGCGTCTATCCGACGGTCTTTCGGCTCATCTCCCAGAGGTTCCGCAGCTAGGGCCGGGAAGAGCATCCGCAAAATGATTACCAGGTCATCCGATTTCTCCCCGTCTTTTGCGCTCCACATGGCCACCAGAGGGTGCCAAGCGTCTGCAGAAAACACGGCAACCGGCAGGCGACAGTTGAGAGTATAGTGACTGAGAGCCGCGGAGAGGCCAGAAAGATAATCGTGCCGCAAGGAGGAATCTATGGCGTGCACCTGGAGGAAATGAGAGAAGTATGTGAGCAATCTGCGTGGGAATGAACGAGGATCCTCTTTGTTGACGTCTTCAGGATATAATAGAATGGGGCCGGTCGGCGAGCGGAGAAGGAGGGTAATGATTCTCATGAAGGGAGCTTGTATGGAGATTGGTTGCCGGACGGCACCCTGCCCGATGGACGGGCCCGGACGAGCGTTGCCGCCAGTCGACACGCCATCGCGCCTTGGACGCTTGAGGGAAGAAGCCGCCTCGGCCTCGTTGTACTCGCATCCTCCTTCAGGATCTTCCACGTCGAGGTGGTCTTCCAGCATACGTCGCGGTGCTCGGTTCAAGACGATGTTGAAGCTGAGAGCCAGGATGTCGTGCCATGTGTCATCGGGAACCGCCTGGAGATGAGGCTTCCACAAGAGAACAGACTCTATCGTGTGCGCGTAGTCGGAAGCAATGGCGTTAACGAGTTTTCCCTCCTTAACGACGCCCTGACAGAGATGCTTGAGCAGAGGCTTGAGTACCCTGTTGGTCAGATACTGTTTGCTGTTGCTGACTAGATATCGCAATGTGCTGGCTATTTCGATCAGCCGGGCAAGGGAGCGGTCGCTCGGACCAGCGCCTTCGAAGGCAGACACAGAACCCAACTTGCTGATACATTTCTTCAGCTGCGCCTGGTATGCTGTGAAAACGGCTTGATATACGACCAGCCAGCCCTTGCGTTCGCCACGCTTGTTGAAACGAGCGAATGCCGAGGGATGGGCGAAGGTCTCCCTGAGAGACTTGATTGCCTTCTCTCGTACTGTCTCTTTGTCGCTCTCGGCGTCCTGTATTACATCGTCGAGTGTCTTCTCGTCTAGCCTCGACATGGGTCTACCTCGAGTGCAGATCGTTAGTCAAAATGCAGAAAGATTGCGAAGAGGATACTTGCCGAGCCTTGGTCAGGATCTGTGAGCAAGCTAGAAGGATTTGGACAAAGTGCAGCGGCGGCACCAGGGCAATGCAGCATCAGGCGCTAACACGCGTACGCGTTCATTGCTCTTGTTTGGTTTGTGGCTGAAATTGCGCCACTGCGGCAAATCCCATCCTTCTCACTATAGCTAGAAGTTGTCCAATGTCTACGGTGACTTGCATCCTCCCGCATGCGTGCGCTTCTACCCTCCTGAAGTCCATTGCGCTCATAACGAACCGTCCTTGCCTAACGCAGCGGTAATCTGTTCGAGACATTGTAAGTTACCATGGTTGGGCCGTGTTCACTATCCAAGAAAATTCTCAACTTATTTCTGCGCGATTTGGCCGCCGAAGAGCTTCAAGTTGGTCATGCTGACAGCCATGCAGATGTCTTCAGACGTACAAGATATGCTCGCCACTCGAAAGCAAGTGGAGGATGAGATTGCTACGCATGCACAGGCCATCATCGACCTCCGAGGTCGTCTGAACACCATGACCTCCATTGCCCGTTTACCCCCTGAACTCCTCTCAGAAGTCTTCCTCCACGTAGTGAGGGACTCCTACTACACGGACATGTCCCCCAACTACCCCCCTTACGGCACTGCGCGTTTCTACAACTGGGTCAAGGTCTCTCATGTGTGTCGCAGCTGGCGCGCAATCGCCCTCGGCACCCCTCGACTATGGGGGCATATCATTCTCACCAAACGGCCCGTTGTGGAAGATATCCTCGCCCGGTCGAAGAAAGCGCCACTGCTGGTCCGCGCTTGCATCTTGTCTAGCACAGACGAGCGCGCGCAGCTTCTCGAGAATGTGCTGCAAGACTCCTCGCGGCTACAGGAGCTCCGTCTCTCGGGGCCGGCTCGCCTTCTTCAAGAGCTATGCCCGAAACTTACGGGGCCTGCTGGCAAACTCGAGACGTTGGTGCTCGCAGAAAACGCTGCCTACAGCCACGCCTACACTCCCAATGTCGGTGACACTGCTCTTTCCGCCGCGCTGTTCGAAGGACAACTCCCGCTCCTCCGCTCTCTCGAAATCCGCCGACTCGTTTTCAACTGGAAGAACCCTGTCCTATCCTCAACTCTCACGAGCCTTGTCTTGGCCGGTCGTTTCGACTCGCAGTCGATGCTCGGATCCTTCGACCAGCTTCTGGTCACGCTCGAGACCATGACACACCTGGAGTCCCTGGAGATCGAGGATGCCATCCCCCGCCTTCCGTCTGAAACTGTGGCACTTCCGACGCCTGAGCGTAAAGTCGCTTTACCACGCTTGCGCTGTATTGCCTTAACAGGGCAGTGCCTGGATTGCGCGAACCTAGCCCAACACCTCTCTTTGTCCCCGACGGCTCGCGCAGCACTCGTAGGCCGTGGCAGCAACAACAGCCGCGAGCTGATCCGCATCATGGGCGAGCATATAGCCCGTTACAAGCCTCTCCTTACCGCGCGTATCTCATCCTCATATAACGCCCAACTTCACCTGCGAGGCTGGCGTGCTTTAGTGGACCCCAGTGCCGCGCCGGAGCCGTGTATCGAGCTGCGCATCGACGCGCTGAGCTACCCCTCCCTGGCCAGCCATCTTGTGCACGACACTAAGGTGCTCGCGCAGGTCCGCACCCTCGAGATTGCGTCGCAGTATACCGACTGGCGCTGGAAGGTCGTCTTCGCTGGGATGCCAAAGCTGCGGACCCTGTCCATGTCCTACAACCCAGGGGAAGAGTTCATCAGCGCGCTTTCGAAGGTCTTACGGGGCAAGAAGGGCCGGTCGCCGTCGATGATTCTCCCGGACCTGCGCGTGGTCAAGTTCACCCAAACCCGGATGTGCAGGGGGGACTACGACGAAGATGAGGACGGGCCGGACTTCCTCGACCGGCTCGAGGACTGGCTCATCATGCGCTGCAACTACAACCTCCCCATCGACGAGCTTTACCTGGCTGGGTGTACGAACTTCACGGAGGACGAGATGGACCGGCTCGTCGGCCTCGTCCCGACACTCGACTGGGACGGGATGGTGGAGTTCGACAGCGGCAGTGAAGAAGACGAGGACGAGGACGAAGACGAAGAAGACGAGTATGACGATCCGTACTACGATGACATGATCGACTACGACTACGACTTTGACGGCGGCTACGATGGCGACTTCTTTGGGTTCTATTGACCCGCAGAGGATTAGGACTAGGTACGCTCCCTCCGCATAATGAAGATCCCGTCATAACAAGATTCCACCTACAGGTTGTTGCGGATTAGGAGTGATGGATCCAAACGCGCCGCCGCGCCGCTTCAAATTCCTACGATATCTGTCAGTACGTGATTTCTGTACATACTAATCCACCTTCAAAAGTGCTTTCCTGTAACTATCGACATCTCGTCTTTCACCAACCCCATGTGAATAGAAGTAGAAGTAGAATTGGCACATCCTTCCGGATCTTCAAATCACATGCACGCGTCAGCGTTTCCACAGGGTTCCTCCATGCCCTCTTCAGACAATGGCAACCTGGAGTTACCAAGGGATCATCTTATAGCGCACGACTCGCGTGAGTCCTTCGCGAGACGGGCCCGCGCGCAACTCGAGCGCCACAACTTAGCCACGGCGGCCTTTGAAAGTTTAACCCTGGATAAGCGGGAAGACCTCACTGCGAAGGGGCGCTCTCTCTCTCAATTTGACCTGCACTGAACGCTCTTGCTATCGGCGCTGTTCCCAGAGTGGGGAAAGCGCAGCACTGAAGAATCGTCTCTCAGGGATGTCAATGACTTCAAGTTTAACCGCAGCGACGGCGAGGTATTGTTTCAGAGAACGTGCATTTTAGCAATTCTCTTCATCGGAGCTTAAAATACCAACACTGCTATAATGAGAGCTACTTCATACCACTGACTCCGTTTGGAGGTCCGACAATGCTTGGCTATATTTGGACTCTGTTTGTGCGCCTCTCGAGTGGCTCCCGGCGAGTTGCGATCTTGACTTCTTGTCACTAACGTTCATCATCCGCCCGCGTCGCCTCATGTGAATCGGCGTCTTGGACATACGTCGGGCGCCACTTCATTAGCTACGCCTCATAAAACGATATCTTCTCGGGGTAGTTCGACACTTTCTTAGGCATCGCCCGCCGCTTCGGTCTTCGCTCGGACTTTTCCTCGTCTCCTATTTCAAGTTTTTGGAGCGCATATTGGACGACCGGTCAGTATCGACTCTGCGGCTTTTCTGCTTTGACTAATACAATTTAGATAATGCCTATACAGATTATGCATTCATTTCAAGGCAATCAGGATGTCCGTGACCATACACGCATCGCTCTGGAGGCCCAAATCTATACACACGAGAATGCCATTATCGAGCTCAAGAGCCGTATCAACGGGATGGCGTTTACGGCGCGCCTTCCCCCCGAAATTCTCTCGGAGATCTTCACGTTGGTCGCAGTCGACTACTACCAGGCGAAACGGTGGCACCACTTTGGCTCTACGCACGCCTACAAGTGGATCACGCTGACGCATGTCTGTCGCGCTTGGCGAGAGATCGCTCTCGATACACCGAGGCTGTGGAGCCATATTGTTCTGACACAACCAGCGGTGGCGAAACAGGTCCTCGCCCGGTCGAAGAAAGCTCCTCTTTGGCTCTCAGCCAGTCTCAATCACTCAGATGATCAACGCGCGGAGACCATGGACGTTCTGATGAAGGAGTCGGGTCGGCTCAAGGAACTGCATCTTACCGGTCCCGCACATACTGTCCAAGCACTCTCTGCCAAGTGGAGGATGAGTGCCGACCTCTTGGAGACAATCAACATCAGCTCTGACTTCAGGCAGTTCGATCCCGCCTCCCTTCTTCCCGCCCCACCCCTTTCCTCCGATATCTTCTCCGGACAAACACCAAAGCTCCGCCACTTGCAGATACACCGAATCGCTGTCGATTGGAGCAACCCTCTCTTTTGCAACACCCTCAAGACCCTGATTATCCACACCGTGTACGACAATGCACCCAGTCTCGGCGAGTTCTCCCAACTTCTCGACGCGCTCGAGGCGATGCCGCAGCTAGAGAGGCTGCAACTTAACGAGTCGATCCCTCGCCTGCCCGACGATACTACGCAACTATCGCACCATGTACAACGTACCATCTCCCTCCAGCATCTTCGCCATATCGAGCTATTTTCCGACGCTATCGACTCAGCCAACCTCTTGCGCCATATCTCTGCTCCTGCTGAATTACGCCTGACTGTGAGCGGCCGCACCGAGCGAGGCGTCACAGATCTCGTGCATATCTTTAGCGAATGTCTTGGCCGTTCCACGCCATTCCGCACAGCGCGGTTAGCACCGCTATACTCTTCCCAGGTCTCCATGAAACTGTGGCGCTCCTACGTGGATTCTATCGAAGGCGGGAACGTCGTGCCACCGTCGGACGCGGAGCTCACCCTGGACGCATACCCGCATTCGCGCGCGCTACAAGCGCTCATCCAACTGTCGACATTCTTCACCCAGATCTACCGCTTCGAGGTACAGCTCGAGGCGCATCGCAGTTGGGACTGGGAGATGATTTTCGGGCGCATGCCACAAGTTCGAGTGCTCTCAGTCACGGGCCAGGGCGACCTCGGCTTCCTCCCGGCGCTCGCGACTCTCCGCTACGACGACGATGCTGACGCCCAAGCACAAATTGACGGGAACGAGAAGCCCCCCCTCCGACATCTTCACACGCTCGAGCTCAGTGGCGTGCGCTTCGGATGCGGGCACTCCGACCACCAGTCGCACTTCCTGGAGGCGCTGCTCGACTGGCTTATCCTGCGCTGCAACTACGGCGTCCCGATCTTGCGGCTCGTGCTGCGCGCGTGCATAAACGTGGAGGGCGACGCCATCGAGCGCTTGCAGGAGGTGGTCCCTGACATCGAGTGGGATGAGCGCGAGTACCTCGAGGAAGAAGGTTACCTGGAAGGGATGTTCGAGCCCGTCGCGCCGTGGCCGGGGGAGCAGCTCTTCTATGCCCCGGAGGTCCCGGACGTCCTAGGCCACCTGTACCACCATAACTTGAACGACGACCCCTATGGCCTCGACTTCTATATGCCAGTGATACCGTTTGGACATTGAAAGTCACATGTGCGTGCCATCTCTTAGCATTGTGGGCCGTGCCCCTGCGCTCATTCCATGATAACCCAGGGTCCATGGACAGCGCCAATCCGACAGCTGGGCGAAGGACCCGCAGTAACGGGGACAATGTATCGGACATATCTAGTGTTTGTATCTATAAGGTTGATATTTGCTAGTGCAATCGAAGCAGAAACGGAATTACCGGCGGCATATTGAAGACAAAATATCAGCAACAGGTTGATTTAGTACTCTCAATGCACTACTTCGTCCCTCAAGCAATTCCGCAGTCGAGAGCGTCCTGCTCGTCCCGGTGCCTTGGCGGCCCCTGTACGTGCGTACGCCCCCGCTCGCCCCACCCATTATGCGCACCGCTGATATTAGTGCTACACGTCCATAGCGGCGCTATCATCCCACTCTCACGAAACTCGGCGAGAGGCTGTTTGCGCACATGCCGCGCCTGCACACATTCGTGTTCTCGGACGGATATATGAGCCGCAATATGTACGCCCGCTATCGCATCCATATCTATATTGTGGAGTTCGCGTGCCTGGAGGCCTGGCAGGTCCATGCGCCCACTCTGCGGACAGTGGGATCCACGCACAAGTGGAACTGGGTGAAGACGGGGCGGGGATGGGAATCCGACGACGAAAAGGCAATGGAGTGGCTTGAGTGGCATAATTCAGGAGGACGCTCAGAAGATGAGGAGGACTAGAAACTCAACTTTCTAATCCCTCAGCGATTAAGACGTTATTCCCGGTGCAGGCTAGCGTAGTAAAATGTACATGGTCGCTGCAAACACATGCGTGGGTACCATCACGCCCCTTGTAAGCACCGCAGATGCTCACCCACGCCAGTTCACAGCGGTGAGACGACAATGGATTTGTCCTCCGACGTGAAGCAGAACCCGTCGAGGAGATGTGCACCGCACAGCGAGAGCGAAATGCATTGACACTACTAGTACAGCGCAGCTCCCTTGACAGTGTTCACCATTACAGAAGTCACACGGCCACATCCTGAGAGAATTTTTAGCACTGACCTCTCCGTATGCGCGCCAGTCCCCTCTCAACATGCGTAGCGTATTTATGGGGAACGAGATCACACAGATATGGAAACAAGCTGCAGCGTGTGACGATCATGACTGGAACTTCCGCATGGTCTGAATCTCGTCGAGAAGGGGTTGGAGCTTGTCATCATCCACCTTGACGAGGCTAAAGGAGGCTGATCAGTATCGGTTGCCTCGGGTTGGAGGAATGCGCCACTTGCCTTGGGATGATACTCTTCGACTCCTCCGCAGTCACCGGACACAAATTGGCAATTTGAGCAATCTCAAACTGCGTAAGGTCGGACTCTCGGCGCAGAGTCCTAAAAATGTGGCCTTATAAGCAAAAGGGGGAGCGAATGACGGTAATTGCGGCTTACTCTCGGATAGCCGCAGCCGCTTCTGGCTTGTCGAATTTCGCGAAGGTCTTCACGTACTCCAGCGTTTTCTTGTACACCCTGTAACAGAATTACAACATGTACCACAGAATATTCAAGAAACATACGAGGTGTCGGGTGCCGCTTTCTCCGACGGCCGATGCTCCAAAAGGTAGCGGACCTCAGAAATGAGCAGACAACCCGCGTTGTTGAACTCTGGGTGGAGCTCAGTTTCGCATGATTCATGAGGGACCAAGAGCAATGTTATTATGTACCGGGTCCTAGCCTGAGAGAGGACGCATCCTCGTCTTCGTGTGCGGGGCGGTGTCGCAGAGACATGGTGGCTGGAGCGGAAGAACGGCGGGTGGTTGTTTGTTGGTATTGTGCAAAAGCTTTGGATTCTAACATGTACAAACAAACGCTAGCGCGCTGCGAACACGGCGCTCGCCGTTGCTCCGGCTCGGCGTGTCGCGGCGTGGCTGTTGCACTCGATACAGATTTACGATCCGGTTCGCAAGACATAATCACCTTGACTTCATCTCTCTTGCCCCTCGAGTTCTTGATTCTGAGGCCAGCAGCTCTAGGAGTCAGGCTAGAGCCTCTCGAATATCTACCTGCATACTCGGGCACCGGGACACGGCGAGATTTACGGCGTAGCTGACAAATCTGGCACCGGATCGCTTTCCCAATCCGTCAGCCTCCCACTCTGCCGGTCGCCGCGCCGTACAAGCTACTGCACTCGACCTCGTTTCTCCCGGACATCGCGCCACCACCTTCAGCTCTACAGCTTTTGCACTGGACGTTGATCGCGACGACCCGTACGAGATGGTCCAGCTATATGGCGCCGCTCAAGGGCACGCAGAACACGGGGAGAGCGTAGATGTCGAGCCGCGGGCGTCGCGCGAGGAAGACGCGCTCCTAGGCACAGAGGCCACCGCGAGGAAGCCGAAGAGGGAGGGGCACGCGACGCTGTCGAGCAGCATAAGCAATTTGGCGAACACGATCATAGGAAGCGGTGAGTCATTCCGTGGTAACAGTTGTTTGTAGCGGATGATTGAGACTGGGTTGATGAATAGGCATGCTCACATTCCCTTTGGTGAGTCGTGCATGTGTATGGCGTGAGGCATCAGCATGAACTTTTCTGCACAGGCCCTGGCATCCGTTGGAATCATACCCGGGATGATCACATGCCTGTTCTCGGGAGGCGTCGCGGCGTTCGGTCTCTATCTGCTCTCCCTATGCGCCGCCAAGGCTCCTCATAGACGAGCCTCATTCTTTGCTGTGGCGGAGCTGACGTTCCCGCGCGCTGCGGTGTTCTTCGATGCTGCCATTGCAATCAAATGTTTCGGTGTCTCCATCAGGTGAGAATACTAAATATCCCTCTGCTTCCATGAGCTGTACTCACACTGGCATATAGCTACCTCATCATTATCAAGTCACTCATGCCTAACGTTGTTGCGGCCCTCTATCATGATCTAACTTCGGCGGAAACAAACCCTCCCGCCTGGATGCTGTCTGGACAGAATTGGATCACTATCCTCATGATACCCTTGATACCCTTGGCTTTCCTTCGGAAGCTAGACAGCCTTAGACATACCAGCTACATCGCACTATTCTCCGTCGGTCAGTGATCCTCCTTACTTCCGCAAGAACGCGTGTGCTCATACCCATTACAGCATATCTGGTGGTTATTGTCGTTGCCTGCTACTTCTTCCCGCTAAAGGGTACACAAGCACCGGGCGAGATACATCTCATACACTTCACTCCGAATTTCGTCTCTACGTTTCCAGTACAGGTCTTTGCCTACACGTGCGCACAGAACGTGAGTGCCATGATCCACGCTGACGGTTTCTTGAAGCTGACACGCTTTGTAGCTCTTCCCTATATTCAACGAGATCTCGTCGAATACGCAGAAGAGGATGAACATCGTCATTGGGTCTTCAATTGGATCAGCAGCTATGATTTACGAGATCATCGCCGTGTTCGGGTATCTGACGTTTGGTTCTAAAGTATGCGCGGCGCATTTTCATGGAAATATATCGCTGACCGCAACTTCTAGGTCGGCGCCAACATCATTGCGATGTACCCGTCCACGTCACTCTTCATAGCCATTGGCCAGCTAGCGATTGCCATCCTCGTCATGTTCTCGTACCCCCTCCAAGTCCATCCCTGCCGAAACTGCCTAGACAAGGTATTCCATGCGGGTCACGTTGCAAGTAAACAAGCCGGCGATGCGGAGGACGAGGAACCCGAGGATGAACACGGCGGCAGCCAAGACATGAGCCCCCTGAAGCACACGTTACTCACTATCGCGATCGTTGCGAGCGGTTTCACCATTGCCTACTTCGTAGACGACCTGCAGATGGGTGCGTTTATAGCCTCTGGCTTCCCTATCTGCCGCTGATACACCTTGTCTGACGTCTATTTTCGCATCGGCCTCTTCTACAGTGCTCTCTTTCGTGGGTTCCACCGGGTCAACCACGATTTCGTTCATCCTGCCTGGACTGTTCTACTGGAAGGTCAGATTCACAACAGAATGTGGCAGGGCACGTCAATATATCGCTGATTATTGTTTCATGAACACAGCTTTCGCATAATGATCCGAATTCGAACAAGACGCTGTCCAGAGCAGCGCTGGGTTTAGCGATCTACGGCATCTTCATCTTCACGTTCTGGTACGTGCGCTTTTGATTCCGTACACGGAACACTGTGCTGACGGCGGCGCGTGCAGTCTGAGCTTCAACATCTATCAAGTGCTGCGTTCGTCGCCGACGGTGCACTGAGCAGCGTTCTTCGCGTCTTGTCATCTAATATGAGCGTCCTTGTAATATATTGACTCCGCTCATGTCTATGTAATTTGTTGTGCTCGACGTGCGAATAGCAACTCATGAAGCTGTCCGTTTTATTGTTGAACAAGATCTCCCCGGTAGCTTCGCGACGAGCAAGAGGACTTCGCGGACCGCGGCGCTTCTGTTCCTGCGAAAAGGACTGACAGGCGCCCATGCACTTTGTAGGCGATGGGCGCCTTCGACGGCAACTCTACACTTACCCTCTGACCTGATGCACCCCGCCTCGTCCTCCACCCACTCTCTCTCATACTCGTCCTTTGCAGCCACAAAAGTACTCGCCTAAGTGACTCGTAATACGGCTGGTGTGTGCTTCTTCTCTTGTCCTCGTGGGGTCGAATCTGGACGCCCAAGTGCGCGAGACACGCCCTCGTACCCGTTCTCCACGCTGAGACTGCGCCTTTCATTTTCTGCTGTCTAGACTCTACCGTGGTATCGAACGCATTCCATAGCCACGCGCAAGATAACCCACTCGATCCTGACGTCCAGATCGGCGATTCCAGGAATGGCGACGACGCCGAGCGATCCAACTACAGCGAGCTCCAGCATGGGCGCGCTCAGCTTGCAGGACGCACCACCCTTTTCCATGAGCCCAACCTCCTCTTATCCTTCCCACGACGATGTGTTGTCTCCATCGTATCCCAGCGTGATGTCGGACGCGCCTGCGCGCGTCTCTCCCCCGCTTGACCCCAACGGGTCATCAGGCGCTCTTCTGGATACCGAGCCGGACGCACAGATACTAGAGGCTCTGCGGGGAAAGGATCGCATATATGTGCTGAAGCTGGGGGAACAAATGGAGGCATTGATCAAGGATCGTAGGTGAGTAGGACATCGGCGCTGCATGCGCCCACAGTCTGCGAGTATCACACGACGGCGCAGCGTCGCTCCCCGTTCATCGCGATTTCCCGCGAGGGGTTGCAGCCGTCTGTCGGGGCATACTCATTACGTCGTGCTCGAGCAAGGGCGATGTGCTAATATATGTTTCTTTCCGCAGAGTGAGAATCGACCTCACACCCTCCACTTCGTACCAGCGGTTACTCGTACATCGATGTTCCGCATATTACAGGCTCTCCCCCGAAGCAGATGCTGCCACAAAGAACATCATCGTTTATTACCGCACAGAGAGTCGGATGTACGTTGCCTTATTGCTGTCGTCGTGGCTCTGTGGCTGATGTATTGCCTTAAGCCCTCCTCGACGTATATGCGAGCTGATTCCGGCGGAGGAGTCGGCACAGCCGACTATCCAAATCATGCGGCGTCCTCGAGGACGTCAATATTCCCAGCCAGGTTCAACCGCGGGCGAGGACGCGGATACCTCCGATGTCGACGCATCAGAAGCCGGTAGCATCGGGAGCCGCGGCCACGTTCCGGGGGCGGCGGGGAAGCGATTCAAGACTATAGAGGAGCGCGAGGCTGCGTACAACGAGGCGCGCTCGAGGATCTTCATGGGTTTTGAGGACAAAGATAAAGAAAAGGAGAAGGACATGAGTGCGAACTCGTCTACCTTCAGTCTGGTGTCGGGCTCGGGCTCGACAAGTGGCGGACGCGGTAGCAGCATCGGGGACCTCGATGACTCGGCCAGCTCTGTTCCCACAGAGAGCGAGTGGTCGGGGCCCGTGACTCGGGACAAGAGGGATAGTCGCAAGGGGGCCGGATCCACGACGTCGTCCAGGTCGATCAGGTCGTCCGGTCCTTCGTTCACCAATGGGTCCAGCAGCTCACGCAACTCGCGGGCCACATCGCCTTCGTTCACCTACCCGACGCTGTATGATCCTGCCACAGCGCCTCCCTTCGATCAGTCGCAGTATGGGAGTATGCCTCCTCCCGCGGGGTACGTCTCCCCTTACGGGTATCCCACGTACACTCCTGGCCAGCCCTTTATGGGGCCGTACTACTATCCCCCGTATAGCTATCCACAGCCACCTACACACCATTCCGAGCCCGCAACCCCTGGAGGCGTAGAGCCGATGTACCCTCAACCGACTCCTTCACAACAACCTGCATACACTCCTCCGTACGTGTGGTCGAACCCGCCGCCCGCTGGCCAACCGCCCATTCATCCCCAGCACCTACACCACGGTCAACCTGGTGCAGTCCCGACTCACCCAGACGTTCATTCGCAAGCACATCCAATGCCGCCCATGCAGAATGTCTCCCAATATCCTCCTTACACCCCTAGCCCGCCGGTATATGGTTATGGCATGCCTGCCTACTACCCTCAACCATACCAACAAGGCGTCCCTATGGCCCCACCACCGTCAATCCCTGGACCTGTCTATCACCATAATCCCGTTCCGGAGCCTATGGGCGCTAACGGCAATCACTCTAACGGGATCGACTTCTCCAGGACATCGTCGCGGAACAGCAACGGTCACGGGAGCATGAACAGCAAACGCGGAGGTGCTCGCGGGCGCGGATCCTGGTCGTATGGGCCTGGCGTGAGTACTAGCGGTTACACTTTCAACTCCCCCAGTGCGATGAATGGCATTGGTGGCAATGATGCGTATGGACCGCGTCTAAGCAGTAACGTTCGAAGAGCTTCGGGCACGTCCAGCAGCGGTGGCAGCGCTGGTGCCCGAACGCCTGCCGATGAAACTGCCTCCACAGCGGTGAGTGTTCGTTCCATCTATCACCCTGTGCTTCATTGCTTGTCATTGCCCGATGTTGATGAGTTCTCGTTGTCTTCTATGCTTCTCTGTTCTATTTTCGCGCGCTCGCTGCGCAGTCGTCGTCAACGACATCCTCCTCTTCCCGGCGGACGTTCACGTCTACATCTACTTCATCAAAGCACCCGCTTCCCGCGCGTCCTGACTGGGCCGTCGGCCTGAAGCCGCAACATCCGCGCCACCACGACTCGTCTCCTGCAAGAATGGGCTCCACGCACCTTCCACAGCCGCATCAATCACAGCCCGTGCTGCAGCCCAACGACTTCCCTCCGCTGTCATCGGGGCCCTCCAATCGCCAACCTGTCGTGGGCGGTGCGTGGACCAATGCATCAACCTCGCGGGTCATGATGCCTGGACCGCAGGGCACCGTCCCTCAGGGAACGGCGCTGGTGCACTACCCTGCGTCGCAGCAGAGCAGCCCGCAGATTCCCGCCTCCAGCGGACGCTTTGACGAGCAGGATCTGTCGTTCGAGCGCCCGCTCTCGAAGAACGCGGACCTCTTCAACCCCAAGGGCGGGCTGCGGAGTGCCGGCGGTGGTGTACCCTCTAACGGTCGCGCCAAGGGTCAAGGAGAGGGAGGGCTTGCCGGGCTCTCCGACAAGCTGGGGGCTCTGGGAATGGAGGACTGCGAGTCTCGTTCGGCCGAGGTCGCTGGCCAGGACAGCTACTTCCCGTCCGTGGTCGCAGGAGAGGTCGCGGGGGGCGTGCCCGCCGGGGAGCCCGCGGCTGCCTCGTCATAACGGGGAACTAGCGGTGCAGCCATTTGCTACGGACGGGTTTGGTCTGCTTTGCGTACTCTCGTCGAGGTGCTGTCGTGTTTGGTTGTGTCAGGCTGATGTGTCATAGTCGTCGTCGCGTCGGGTGGCTGATGTATGTGTGTGGTACGTTATACGCTATACGCTAGCTGCCTTGCTGTGCATTCTCTGTCCGCTCTCTTTGTACGGTGTTGTATTCTCGTATATCTTGAAATCTAAAGTAGGCTCCTTCACCTAATGGGATTTATGTAGGGTACGCAGTGCCTCTTCGGCCGTGGTCTCAAGAAAGGGTTCTGAGATTTGTGCAACAACAGCGAATGCATGATATCATACACACAGATATATCATGATAAACTCTGTAACAGTTTCGTACATTAGTCCACCAACTATGCATCATATCGCCAGAACTACCTGAGGTTTCAGCATGGCGTCAGCAAGGGCGTTGACGCACAAGGAGCTCGGAAGAATTCAGGTAAATACTCACCTTTCTCACTTCGTCCGGGATGGAGCGTAGATCGGAGCCAAGCTTCAGTAGGTCACTGGCAAGCAGTTGACACTGGCTACACCATGCGTTGCCTGTGGTAGTCGCGTCCGCGAAGAGCATTTTCTCCTTTTTGACGGCTGTGCCGGGGCGTGAGCTCGCTCCTTCACATATGGATGCAACGTAGGCGGCCAGCCACAACGATCCGCTCCGGAAGTACTTGGGTCGGAGAAAAAGCAAATCGCCGGAATGTATACGGGTTTCGTTCGATAGACTGGATAGCCTAGTGGGTGATGTCGATGGGGGCGTTGGAGGGCGGGGCGTATTGTCTCCCGGAGCTACCTCGACCGTTTGCCGCCGGACGGGACGGGAACGGTACGCGTACCGTAAAATCCGCACAGCAACGTTTTGGCAGGCGTCACGATACGACAGCAAACGATGGTAGGCCAGCGCCGGACACTGTTCCAACTCCTCGAGGTACGTCGTCTCAATTGGAAGATCAATGGCTTTCCTCGCGGCCGCCCCCGCGCAGTCGTCCAGACCGCGCGTGACGGTGGTAAGATAGGTCCGCAAGGGGGAGGTGCTAGCCAGCGAAAACAGACCGAGCTGAGCGAGCTCATACAGCCCATGCGCGTTGTGCTTGCGCGCGGCGACCATGACATCTGCAAGGACGTGGAGGTCTTGAAAAGGGAGCTGGAAGTCCCCGTTGAGCCTGCAAAAGCTGAAGAGCTGGGCGAGGACGGCGGCTTTCTCTCTAAATACGACCCGGGGCATCGCTGGCACGTCTTCGTCTCCGTCCTCGTCTGACGAAGACAATCCTGCTTTAGTAGCGGCGTCGTGTGCGCGCTCGGCAGCCTGGATTGTCTGGCTAAGCTCCGAGGATGCGTCCGAAAGCAGGTCTTTCCGCACGCGAAACTCGACACCGTCGGATGATCGGCAGATCAGATTTGCGCCAGGCATGTCAGGAAAAGAGGGGGGAGACGGGGGAGAGTCGGGGGGAGCACCTACATCGTCCTGCTCTTCGGATGAGAGGGCGGGCTTCAGCAAGAGAAAGTCCCCACCAACGTTTCCGTGGTTCCGGCGGTATTCCTACTGGCCAGCGGTGATGCCCTCCATGCCGCCGAGGCCTGTGAAGTCGATGTAAGGACTGCGGAGAGACTCCTGTGCCGCATGTCCGGCGAGATCCTCCAGTCCGAGCCGACAGGCGATCGCCCACGCCTGCGGCGGAGAATCGGGGACGATCGCAGACAGTCCGCGAGGACCTTGGTCGGGAGCTCCATCTCGTATTTGATAGCGGCGCGCAGCGCAGACTCCACCTCTCCCGGCGACGCATAGGATTCCGGGTGGACGATGGGGTAGCAGATCCGCAGAAGCGTCTCGATCGTCCGACCGTCCTCCGGGAGCTCCAGTACGGGAGACGACGTCTGCTTCCTCAGCCACGGCTGCGGCGGCGGTGGCGGTGTCTGTGCGAGCATCGTCTGGAGGACGGGGGAGGCCTCCATGAGGATATGCGACCGGACGTGAAACTCGACGAGATCGCAGCTGCGGATCACAACGTCGGCGGAGGGGTTGTCGAAGGGGTGCGGGGCAGTACGAGGTGTAGGAACGGAGGGGAGCTCCCCCGTGCACTCGGGCATGAGAGAGGTGCTTGCATCGCGGTCTGTGGCCATGCCGATGGGCAGTTCGGGGTGAGAGGCGGCACGATGTTCCTCCAGTCAGGCTATATAAGCTGGTCACCACTGGCAATCCCAGGAGAAGGGCATCATGAGACAAGCTGCAGCTGCAGCTCTGGATGCTGCGGTAGACCTGGACATCCGTGAAATGGCAACACCGTTAGCGTGCGCAGTAGGAGATGTCACTGTGATTGTACTCACATGACGTTCGCGCTATATCTAGAATGTATCGTGTGCAGAGCTGTGTTCAAGTATGGTCAGGTTGAAGCAGAGTCAGACGGCTAAGTCAAGATACAACATAAATATATAGAGATACAGGGCGGCCGGTGAGGAGGTTATTGTGTGGTCATATTACATGCACCCCCGGACCCGCCAGAGTTATGCGGACATACTGTATAGCTACATACAAGTGAGTTCGATGCCGGAAATTCATCTACTTCGAGAAATGCTTGAACAAGCCCTTGAACGACTTCAGCCGCGGGCGGCTCCCGTGCCGCGGAGAATTCGGCTCCGAGCTCGTTCCTGGACCAAGGGAGGCAGAGGAGGCCCACGACGCAGACGGACGCTCTTGCCCGCCCTCGTCGCGGTCGCGCAACGTGGACGTCGACGACATGCGCGGCATCTGTGCGAGCTGCTCGGACCGCCTCGCCAGGAGACCTGCAGCGCCGTCATGCGAACTCGTGCTCGACGACGCGTCCGCGGCGTCCGATGACACCGCGCGCCGCGGGGATAGTCGCGGAGAGGAGGGCGGAGACAGGACCGGCAGGCTGCGAGCAGACCCCGGTTCGAGGACAGCCAGCGGGAGATGTGTCCGGTGTTGCGGAGCACGCGATAGGAGGGGTGCGGAGCCCAGCACGACGTCCCCGAACCATTCCGCCTGTTCTGGGGTGGCGAGGACGAGCGCGGCAGGCCGGCGGCGACGAGGGCGGTTGGGTGGGTTCAAGCTCTGGTTCTGGCTGTGGTGCTTCAGCACTGAGACTGGTCGCCGGCTATGGAAGCCTGCGGTCGCGCGCGCGATGGGTGATGTTGAAGACCCTGCGAGGAATTCGGGGGCTCCCTGGTGGCGGATCCGCAGAGGTGAGACTCGGCAGGCATGTTTCATGACGCACGGGACTCACGATCGGTTCGTAGATGTAAAACATCTCCGCCGGCTTCGCCGCGGCGGGGGTAGATCGGCCGCTGCTGGGCGTAGCGTGCGGCGAAGAGGTCTGTCATGTAGCATTAGCGTTTGCGGCGAAGAAGAGCGGCGGCGACGACGTCAACGTCTGCACCCGTCCGCTCGACGCACGAAGCGAAGGTAGAGCACTCACCGAAGCCTGAGCGCCCGCATCCTCGTCTGGGGCGGAAGCCTTCCACTTGCCCTTCTCCGACGTGCCCCACCCGCCGTACTGCTCGACCCACAGCTCTTCCTCCGTGACATCCCCGCTTCCGTCGTCTGAATCTGGGGACCGTACGCTCGGGGTCTCAGATTCTGGCCCGCGCGCTAGGTTCTCCATAGAAGGGTTCGTGACGACGATGCGCGGGACCGATAGGCTTGCCTTCGGGACGCCGCTTCCTGCGGACTTAGCGGGCGCTTCCCTGATCCGGCGGCGGGAGGGCTCGCGCGTACGCCGCTCGTTCGCCACCGCCAACGCCCCAGATCCCATCTGCTTCAGCTCTGCGGCGAGTTGTTCCAGCTGACGGATGGTGTCCTCAGCGTCCTGGGAGATCGGTCTCGTGGCCTTGGACTGTGAAAGGGGTAGGAGCAGCGAGCGGGACCGCAAAGAGGCGTCGGCGACGGGTGACGGGGAGCGTGACGGGAATGGGATGGGGGGAAGAGCCTTATCTGGAGGGGGCGACATATTGGGAAGAGAACGCTGTGAGGCTGAGGTCACTACGCGCGCGGGCGGCGCAGGCTCGGCCGGAGCAGAGGCTGTAGCGGAGACATGAACCTTGTCTGTATCTGCGAGCTGTGCTGGGGGCGGGGGCGAGGTCGATGTAGTCCTGCTCGGTCGCTCGGAAACACTGGTGCCAATGCTGAACGTCCTCTTCTGCCTCGGTGGGGGTGTTGACGGGCCGTTGCGCGAGATCGCAGTCGGCGAGTGGTGGAGGAAGTATGAAGGAGGGCCATGCCTCTGCTGGAGAAGAAAGGGTGGCGAAGACTCTGAGACCCGTAGGCGTGCGGGAGGGGACAGCGTCATGGTCGTAGTGGTAGTCGTGGTGGTCATGACGAGGGAGGACGGGGTGTTGGAGACGAGAGACAGGTGGTCACCGAGGGAAAAGGCGGAGGTAGAAGAAGGGGCAGAAGACACCCGTGTTGAATGGCGGCGCGGTTTCGGAAGAACTCCCGGTGTCTGCAGTGAATGTTTCGAAGGGGGACAAGCGACAGCAGCACTGGCACGCCGCAGACGTATATCATTCAGGTCAGACGGGGTGCGAGGCTGTCGAGGGCCGGTCGGCCTTGCTTTTATGCTCGGTCTGATATTAGGTTGCGGAGCGGCAGGCTCGCAGGGCAGGCCGGTCGGGGGAACGGGCAGCATGAGGGCGAGGGTGCCGGTCATGGCGGCGAGGATATGAGTGCCTCGCGCGCCGGGATGAGATCGAAGTGGGGGGATGAGGCACAAGGAACGGGCGGTACAGCCGTGCAGTTCCCAGTGCACGAGTGCCGGTTTAGCTGCGCATGCCCGTGCATGCACGGTGGGAACTATCAGGGCGCAGAAGGACGATCATCAAAGAACGCAGCCCTGGACAGAGAAGATAGATTGCGGACGTCCATCCGTCAGCCGCGCTACAGGGGGTGAAGACTATGCAGCTGCCAGCAGGCGGCATCGAGCAGGGCTGGTGCGGACCTGGTCGTGTGGGGCGCAATCAAACATCTTTGGCAATGAGCATCATGCAGGTCGCGAACACGACGAGGCCAATGCCACTGAGAACGGCGAGATGGGTCCTGCATAGGAATACAGGATGAACTACAAGAAGGTACTCGTAACTGGGAAGACTCACTGGCTTGCCCGCAAGAAGCCACGCTGTGCGTTCATATCTGCGTATCCTTGCCAATATTCCCAGACGCCCGCAGCTATGGCCGCGACGGCTGCTATGACTTCTATAATTGCAGTGGCCAGACCCGTCTTCGACGCGGGTGTCTGCGCGGATCCTGGGTCGCTGGGGATAGGCAGACGAGTATGGAGAAGAAGCGACGAGGAGAGGAGGGACAGCAGCACAGCCAGACGGAGATGGGACAATAGGTTACGCTCGAGCATAGCAAAGTCTCTGCCGGCGCTGCCAACGATCTCCTGTTCTTTCGGCATCTCGTAGTGGATATGTGGGGGAGCACAAAGTGGGAGGTGAACAGGAGTCGGAGGCTCCAGAGCGTCGGCGGCGGGCGCTGCCTCCAAGTTTCTGTGCGGCGCCTACGCGGCTTCTTACCCGACACCCTCATTACATACTTGCACCGGTCCCCCAACGTCTGTGCGGCTCTGGAACGGCTCTACTGGCTCGAAAAATATGTTATTGGACGTAAAGAAGGCGGATACGTCGGTAGGACTCTACTAAACCTGTCCAAATGACTCGTATCTCATTTAAACATACTTATTTAGCAGAACTTTGAGCTGCGGTAGGCCGCCGTAAAACCTCCGCCATGCGTACTGTATAACAGCGTTCCGTTCTGCAGCAGGTGCACGAGGCCACAACGTGCGTCCCGGGAGAGGATCGATACGGTGCACTGTAGAGTCGCGGTCCGCGGAGACCACTGCAGCACGCGTCAGGCAGCATAGCTGATATGAGACCGCGCAAGCGCAGATCTGCCTCCTCATCCTCCTGCTTGGCCTCCTCACTACATTGCATCCAGCTTCTCGAGCATGTCGCTGCATTCGGCCGATTCTCATACTCCTAAGGCCGACGATGGTTCTTCACAAGAGTCCCTCTCCCGAAGCCGCTTCGCACCGCACCCATTCGACAAGCCCTGTGCGGACATCGTCCTACGCACCTGCGATCGCGTAGACTTCCGGGTTCGTCGCCACATTCTCATCGAAGCCTCGCCGGTGTTCGATAGCATGTTCCTACTCCCGCAACCTCAAGCGGACGCCGAGTCTCCGCACGCACCCATCGTCGATCTCGCCGAGGACAGCGGGACGATCGAGACGCTTCTCCGCATCTGCTACCCTATTAGAAACCCTCCCCTCGGCCAGCCCCTGGATGCGATAGAGACCATGCTCCGCGCCGCGATGAAGTACGAGATGGAATCTCCCGTCTCTGTTCTGACAGACCACCTCCTGACCCTTGCGGAGCGCATGCCGTTGGCGGTGTGGGCGGTCGCCTGCCGTCTGCATCTAGAAGACGTTGCCAAACTCGCCGCCCAGCAATTGCGGAATGTGCCATCACTTGACTTCAATAGTCTCAGTGGAATGAACGGCATCTGCGCTGGCGACTACTTCCGTTTGCGCGAGTTCCATCGCACCCCTCGCTCCTCCGGCGACATGCAGCTCCCGTTCCTTTCGCCTCCTGAGGCATCGCGCAACACAGAAACTGACGACTCGCTCCATGTATGGCCCCCGGTCCCTTTCCCAGACGATCAGCCTCCCACCGTCATATGTCGATCCTCCGACGGAATGGAGTTCGGGGTACACAAGGACGTGCTCTGCGCCATCTCGAGTAGATTCCTGGAT